CAAAACGAGTCTACCCAATTCACCAAGCTTTCTGGTAGGCCACGGTTCTTAAGTACAGTTATCAGCTGTGGTTTGGATACGTTGTCAAACGCTCCCTTCACATCTAGGTGTTACGATCCTGGTTCAAAAGTGCAGGAGGCGCTCTGTTCTACTCCATGATTGGGTAACGAGGTGGGGACGGGGCAGTCCCCGCTCCGCGTGGGATGCGGCCAATCAGGAAGCGCCCCGTCCGGCTAGCTGCCAAGGCCAACAGGGCGGACAGAGCAGGCGCTCCGTGGGGCTCCTGCGCTCTGTGAGCAGAGCGCCCTGGACCCGCAGGGCGTAGACACTGAGGATCCTGATTGGCCCACTTTAGATAGATATATACGACGACCGTAGCCACGGTCTTAGATAGTTCTTGCTTGGTTCTTCAAGCAAGCAATACACATTCACTGCACTCATACACTTTGAGTGGCATTCCGATTTGACTGTATTACCCGTGCGATAGGAGCTTGTCCTTTGTTCTATCTTCATAATTACCAACCCCAGCATTCTGTGGAGCCCGTGCTCCCTTACGAACAGACGAACCTAACAGTCGAGTGGTTTGTAATACTAGGAAAATTGTAGTGGTTATAGTCGATTTTTTTCCTTTGTTTCTGTTGTTGTATGTGATGTAGTAGTAGTAAGACCGTGTTTATTGCAGACCTTTGTTTCCGGTCACCTAACTGTGTGGGGTTCAGCAGGTTAGAGCTATTGTTGGCTAGGTAGTTCAGCCTTGTTGCGTAGATCTTTTCTAGGGTTTTACTCAAACAGTTGAGTAAAGTTATTACCCTATAGGCCTTTGGCATAGTATAGTCTCCCCTTTTAGGTTTAGGTAGTATAATTACAACGCCTTGTTTCCAGGAGTCTGGATGGGTTCCACAGATGAAGAGAGCTTTGTAGATTTGGTTGAATAACGTCGGTATAGCTTTGTAGGCCTGTTGTAATAGCTCGAAGTTCAAACTATCCGGGCCCGGTGCTTTAGTAGGGTTTGAGCTAAATATTGCTCTTTCCACCTCTATAGCCTCTAGTTCTGGCCATTCCCGTTTTGGGTTTTGCCTAGGCCGGGTAATAGGCTGGGAGACAGACTGGGTGATAAGCTGCGTGACGGGCTCTGGAAATAAGGTAGTTGTAAAGGCCTTGCATTTTTTTCAAAGGTGTTGGCTTGTTTTTTTACGCCCTTTCTACGTAGTTGATACTGGGTATTTCGGTATTATTCGTTACCTTCGTATACCTTAGGGCCTTGAACGCTTCTTTCGCCTCTGCCCTAGTTAGGAACTCTTGCCAGTGTGTTGTTTTTGCAGCCCTTATAGCATGGAAGTACGTATTTCGGGCCGTCTTATAGGTTCGTACCTGGTTAGGGTCTTTTTATAGTTTCTTTGGGCATGATGTAAGCTCTTTTGTAGAGATGTAAGTTCGTTAGACCAAGGTTTTGATCTTTCAGTAATCTTAAGCCTAGGGATTGCCTGGTTTGCAGCTTTTGTGATTACTGTACTAAGTATATCAGCTATACTGTTCCAATCGCTCTGTTGTATAGCAGCAGTCTGGACTGCTTTTGCGGCTTCTTTTTCATTTGTGTTCAACTTTGTAGTAAATATATCCCAATTAGCCTTTTTGTAGTTGTAAGAGGGTAAGAGATTGCCTGTACTAGTGTGCTTGCTAGTGGTTTTCGTTGACTTTGGCCAGCCTTGGAAGCTTATAGCTTCGTGGTCAGATCCTGTGGATTCGGTATAGTCCCAGTTATTTCAGGTAATCGATTTGAAGGGTGTAGTGAAAGCTAGGTCAATAACTAAGGTTGTTATAGAGTGCGTCTCTTCCGACTGTTAAAACGTCTCCATATACTGTAGGTACATAGGCGCCCAAGCGTTACAGCTCACCGCCCATGAAAATACCACATTTTACAGTCAAAATTACCACATTCGCTGGCTTCCCAGCTCCAAGCGCTGGCAACGCAATTGTAACGCAATTGCACCTCGCCGCCGTCGCCAACGTCAACACACTTCCAAATGCGGTAAGTGAAGCTCAGGACGGTAGATTCGCTCAAATCGTTCAAATCTCCAGTAAAATGCAAAGCTGACTTCGTTGAATTCGCTTACGTAATAGGGCAAAAAATGCAATAAAAGACTACAGGCCTGCTTACATTACTCAGAACTGCATGCAAGTGACAGCTTTACTGATCCATGCCTTCTAAGGCCCGGGCAGTCGGCTGCGGGACCCTTCCACTTCATATAGGCCGTACAATACGACCTTCAGCCACTGCAGAGGCTGCAGGGACACGTGAAACTCGTGATGTTGTTGTGCCGCCCCGGCTTCCCCTGCTCCCTGAACCCCGGGTGCCACAGCGAGCCGAGTCAAGGTTGTTGACGGTACGGCGGGGAGGCGGCTGGCTAAGCTCGTCAACGTCGTCGTCGTCAACATCGTTGTCGTCAATATCGTCGTCGTCATCGTCAAGGGTGGCGCCCTCCCACTGTGAGGGATTCCGCCGAATGGAAGGCATAAGCCCGGACTTCCTGCCCGGCTGAGTGGTCGTGACCCGCGGAGCGTTCAGCTCGGCTGCGAACGCCGTCGTGTTGCGAGGCCTGCCCCAAAGGTGCTCAACCCTGTCAAAGTCAGGGTACCGCAGGTACCTTTAGCAACCTCCCTATTGAGGACAGCTGGGCGGTCGATGTATTCGGCGATGACTGCTTTATGCTCAGGACCGAAAACGACTTTGGACCTCAGGAGGTCGAAGTCCCGGGCGCTCGGTGGATGATTTGTATGCTCTGTATGCTCGGGATGAAGCTCAAAGGTCCATTTCCTATCGTTAGAAACGAGGGCTTTGGCTACGCCCTGCCAAACGCAGCCTCTGTGATCGGTGGTGGTTTTTGTTCACTGTTGCCTTAGATTGTTGGATTCTTCCACATTGACAGCCAAAATCGACCCTGGTGCGCCGAAGTCCTTGGCGTAGTTGGAGGCTCGTATTTTGAACGTATTGAAGCTCGTAGAAGCGGTCCATTCTTTCAAATCGTCGAGAAGATCATCGAGGCTGTCATATTTCGTGATCAAAAGCTTATGGCCGGCAGGTGGGTTTGAGAGGGGTGGTGGTACCGGCGGCGCCGAATTGGGCGCATCGCTGAGATCGCCAAAGTCGCTAAGATCGCTCAGATATTCAAGGGCGGCCATTTCTATCGCTAGTTAGTACTACGCAACGAAGTAAACAATGAATAAATGAAGCCATACCGATGCATCGATTGAATGCAGTGCCGACGATGTTTTTTGGTGGTTATATAAGGTCGGTTGCAGTGGAAACGTAAGGTTCGGTTGCGTTGTGGTTAAAAATGGTAAATTACTGCGCGGCAGAATAATGGATGTACTGGCGGGCTGGGTATGTGGCCAGGGTTAGGGTTATGGGTGGTGGATTATAGTATTTGGGGACGTTTTAACAGTCGGAGGAGACACACTCTTGTTATAAGGTTAGACCTATGGTATGTACCTCCCCTTTCCTTTATTACTCTAGGATCTACTAGGATATTTGCCTTCTGTATCTGTAGCCAGTCTACTAGTATAGTGCCTTTTGTAGCCGTTGTGGAGTCGGCCTCTCCGTTCCACCATAGGTGGTGTAGGTTGAAATCCTTTACTATTAGGCAGGGTGGTTTCCTTACAATAATTACCAACCCCAGCATTCTGTGGAGCCCGTGCTCCCTTACAGACAGACGACCCTAACAGTCGAGTGGTTTGTTATACTGAGCTCTCAGCTCAGCCGTGCTTGGTCGCGCTCAGTGCGTCTTGGCACTAACCCTACTGAGCACTCTCTAATTGGATGCACCTTCTCTTAGCGGGAGCCCCACCCTAAGTGCCGTTTCAGCCAATCTGCAGCGGGCGGCGACGCCCTCTGCACCTTGAACCAGGATCGTAACACATAGACATCCAAGGCCAACCAAGATGGCTAGTTTAACTAAAAGAAGGACAAGCTATAGGCTCTACAGTATTCGCAGTAAAAAGTTTGCCGGATGAAAAAGCCTGTCTCCAGGGCCGGAATATTGAAGGTACCGGCCTGAAGGTAGTAAAATACAAGACCTTTAGCACTACAACGCAGTGCCGGCGATGCCAAGGATTTGGACATAACACATACACCTGTAAACAGCCAGTAGCCTGTAAGTGGTGTGCCAAAGGCCACTACAGTAACACACACTACTGCAAGAGTTGTGGAAAACAAGGACCATGCCAACACCTAGAAAGAAAGTGCAAAAACTGCAGTGAAAGCCACGAATCTACAAGCCTAGACTGGGAGGTAGTGAGAGCAGTAAAGACCAAGTGTATATGATAAAACCTATATCAGTACTATAACACAGCGTCGATAGACAGAGCGGAGCTCACCATACCGTCTTACAACAAGCATTTGAAATGAACACCACTGTCCCGCGCGCCCGGCGTCCCGAGACCGCAAGTCTCGGGACCACGGGCCAGTGGGACCATTGTTATTGGTTACACAGTTAGATATATACGATGACCGTACCCACGGTTTTAGATAGTTCTTGCTTGGTTCTTCAAGCATGCAATACACATTCACTGCACTCATACACTTTGAGTGGCATTCCGATTTGACTGTATTACCCGCGCGATAGGAGCTTGCCCTTTGTTCTATCTTCATAATTACCAACCCCAGCATCCTGTGGAGCCCGTGCTCCCTTACAGAGAGACGACCTTAACAGTCGAGTGGTTCGTAATACACAACCAACGTTGGAAAAAGGCTGCAGGCCCAGAATAATAGCCTACTTTAGAAAAAACAGTCAGCTAGAATTCACACCAAGATACGATACAGCCAACGACCTCGATATACAAGTGATCGAGGTATTTGGGTTAGAAAGCTTCTATATTTTCACCGTCTATAACGAAAGACAACGGCTAGAGCCACTACCCAACCAACCACAAGCAGAAGCCTTAGAGCCCACAACGGTAGAAAGGGCACACTAGAGCACTACGAGCTAAGAAAACCCTCGTAACCACCATGGCCACCGCCACCAGGGCCACCCTCGCCACCGTTGCCACTATCGCCACCGCTAACAGGGCCACGCACTATCGCCACTACCACCCTGGCCACGCAAGGATGACTCGTAACCCCTTTCACGTGTATATAGACCATGGCCTTCGCACACCTCTTTAGCTCAGGCCAGGTTGAAGTCTTACGCCAATACCAGTCATTGCTCGCCCTGCTTGTTGCTCCTATTGTGACCACCTTGATCAGGCGTACCTGCCTTCTCTTACAATTATGAAGATAGGACAAAGGGCAAGCTCCTATCGCACAGGTAATACAGTCAAATCGGAATGCAACTCAAAGTGTATGAGTGCAGTGAATGTGTATTGCTTGCTTGAAGAACCAAGCAAGAGCTATCTAGGACCGTGGACACGATCGTCGTATATATCTATCTACGTAACCAATAACAGTGGTTCCGTTGTCCCGTGGTCCCGCGTCCGGGTCACCGCCCGGCCGGACCTGTCCCGTGCCCCCGAGCTCCAGAGCTCGGAATCCTGGAACGCTCCTGATTGGCTCGCGCCAAAAGTGCATGCCCCACCTTTGTGCATAACCACAGGGAATCCACAGGGATTCGTGACAAGAGCACCCCGAACGCCTGGTCCGGCCCAGGCGCCACCAGCTGGCCCCAAACACCCGGCCCAGGCACCCGCCATATTGAGCCACCCAATTATGTATATAAATAGTGGCCCTCGCCCACCTTCCTTTGCGAGGGCCAGGTTGAAGTCTTTTACCAATGCCAGTCATTGCTCGCCCTCTTGTTCCCTCCATCGTGACCACCTTGATCAGGCGTGCCTGCCTTCTCTTACACAGACGCAGAGGTCGTCGGGATTATCAAAGCCCTAGAAGAGGCCTAAGGAATTACCACTACTACGTCTACTACGTCTACCACTACGTCTACTACCTTCTATATCTTCGTGGATATCCAAGCGGCAATCCAGAGGCTAGAAGGCTACACATACTATGCAAAAAGGGCCCAAAGATTAGTCACGTTACTAGTCCAAAAAGGCCACAAAGTCGAAGTCCACTGGTGCCCTAGCCACGTTGGAATCGTTGGTAACGAGATAGTAGACCAATTAGCCAAGACCGGCTTAGAAAAAACAACAAAAGAAGTATTACAAACCACTCGACTGTTAGGGTCGTCTGTCTGTAAGGGAGCACGGGCTCCACAGAATGCTGGGGTTGGTAATTATGAAGATAGAACAAAGGGCAAGCTCCTATCGCGCGGGTAATACAGTCAAATCGGAATGCCACTCAAAGTGTATGAGTGCAGTGAATGTGTATTGCTTGCTTGAAGAACCAAGCAAGAACTATCTAAGACCGTGGCTACGGTCGTCGTATATATCTATCTAAGGCGGACCAATCAGAGTCTTTCTCCAAAGGTCAGGGCGATCACTGCGGTCAGTCCACACTGATCGCACTGATCGCACTGACCGCTTCCTGACTGGTTGGCCGTCCTGCAAGTGGTGGTCAGTCGGGCCTTGGCGGCTCGTCGCGACTGACCACCTCCTGGTTGGCTGCACTAGCCCCTAGGTGGGTCTACCCCGCCTGGCTGCCCCAGCCAATCTGCAGGGGGGCAGAAGGCGCCTCCTGCACGCCTGTGCCAGGATCGTAACAAGAAGCATATGTATCACTAGCCCACGTACGAAGACAAGCCAACACCTTATTGAAAAAGCCTGGAAAACCGACTGGCTAAGCCAAGAAGACAGATAAGCAATAAGACAAAAATACAAAGGCTTAGGCACACACTATAGAAGGGTAGCCCGGGAGTTTATCACTTACAACTTCAAGCCCACAATACCATCACTACCTCGACCAAATCAGTCAGCCTATATCCAGTTGAAGACCAGGATTGGCTTCTTAGCTAGTTATCTAGCGAAGATGAGAAAAGTGAAAAGTAGCGAGTGCCTCTGTAAGAGAAGGCAGGTACGCCTGATCAAGGTGGTCACAATAGGAGCAACAAGCAGGGCGAGCAATGACTGGTATTGGCGTAAGACTTCAACCTGGCCTGAGCTAAAGAGGTGTGCGAAGGCCATGGTCTATATACACGTGAAAGGGGTTACGAGTCATCCTTGCGTGGCCAGGGTGGTAGTGGCGATAGTGCGTGGCCCTGTTAGCGGTGGCGATAGTGGCGATGGTGGCGAGGGTGGCCCTGGTGGCGGTGGCCATGGTGGTTACGAGGGTGGTTTCCTTACAGCCTCGGTTGTCTGGAGGACCAAACATCTACACACCTACTACTACGGTGCAAAAAGTACACTATAGAGCGGAAAGCTATGACAAAGGCCCTGAAAAACTACCTTCTCACATTCCAAATACTTTTCTACATCACCGAGGGAAAAAAGGCCCTAGGGGACTTCCTTAGTAGTACGATGATTTGTACAATAAAATGGCCAGAAGAAGTCAGCAAAGATTGATCTATTTCCTTTATTCTTTATTCTTATCTATATTTTTCCTTACTCAGTCGGTTGGTCCTATTGGGATAATGTTACGAATCCCTGTGGAAATACACAATAGTGGGGCATACTCTGTTTTGGGTGGACCAATCAGGAGGGTCCCAGAGTCCCGTGGGTCGGGGCTCGGGGACGCGGGACAGTCCCGGGCAGGCGGTGTCCCGGATACGGGACCACGGGACAGTGGGACCATTGTTATTGGTCTTATAGTTAGATATATACGATGACCGTAACCACGGTCTTAGATAGTTCTTGCTTGGTTCTTCAAGTAAGCAATACACATTCACTGCACTCATACACTTTGAGTGGCATTCCAATTTGACTGTATTACCCGTGCGATAGGAGCTTGCCCTTTGTTCTATCTTCATAATTACCAACCCCAGCATCCTGTGGAGCCCGTGCTCCCTTACAGACAGACGACCCTAACAGTCGAGTGGTTTGTAATAGATAACACTATACTTTCCTTATTATCCAGGCCCGAGGGTGGTACAGTATAAGGCTGGCCAAAGGAACCCCATTACTATGAAACTATCACGCTAATAAGGCCACGCGCCTAACGATGTACTTAGCTCTTGCTTTCTGTATTTCCTACTAGTATACTAGGTAGATAGACTGCCAGTCTTTGACTAGCCACGCCACAGCCCTAGAGGCTGCATGCGTGTAATGAAGAAGAAAAAAAAAAGAAAAAAAAGGCGTTTCCTTTTTCCACGCTTAAAGTGGTTAAAGACTTCGTATAATTACTTAGAGTTTACACGGTTGACCACCACAAACCGTCAAAGTATGAACATAACGAAGCTTGCCACCCTCGAGCCGGAACTCATGGCTATCGGCTGCCATCATCATATGCTCCCAGACACACAAGATATTAACCGACCCCATGGACTCGTCAATAACGTAGCGACGGTGCGTGTTAGGCGCCTGGTGACTATTCGAAGGGATTCCGGGCTTGCAAGAGTCGTCGGGCTTTCCTTTACCCGTGTAGGCAGAGCCTTCAAGCCTGGTGCAAGGTGTTCCCCAGGGAACGGCATTTGCAGCGGTAGCGTTGCTCCTGATTAGATGTGTTAGACTTGTTGGATGACGCGGCGGAATGCTTTTCGAGCAAGGGACATACCACATATCAAGATAAGCGTCTCCGGCCGCCTGGATCACCTCTCTCTTGTCTTGTTTGCCGACTGGGATGGGATCCCATGTCTCCTGTAGGACGTACTGGAGCGTCTTTTTGGCATCAAAGATCCAAGAGTTTGTCGTGGACGCGACCGAGTCGATCAGGGTAACTTTGTTATCTGCGCTGTGATGTATCTGGGTGCCGATGACATAGGGGCTGGCGGCGTCAGTGCTGATGAGCTCTGTGTAGGTCGCACAAGCCGTCATATCGACGTTGGTCCGACGGTGGTCGATCTTGAGCGCCTTGCTCAGCACACCCTTTGTGGCATTTGCCTTTGCGTTGTTCTCCTGGTAGACCCAATTCGCGTCAAGAATGTCTCGAAGCGGATCAAGTCGGCCTGCCGTCTGGGCTGCAACATAGGCATCGGCAGCTTGGAGCAACACACTGCGGCTGCAATCTGCCCCCAAGGGCGATCCAACGACCGCGGCGGCAAGTGCTGCCAGGGCTGCCAGGGCTGCCGGAATGTTGAGCACAGCCATTATGCAATTAATTACAAAGACCTTCGTCGCTGTCGAAGTTGCCTTAGGTATAGGGAAGGAAGCAAGGCGAGATGGGCAATCCCTTTAGAGACATCCAACAGCTCTCACTTAAGGCGGACACCATTCACATATGAATGACAAGCCGCAGAGCACGACAAGATGGTAATTGCAACGAACATCCGTGCCTACCAAGTGCCGTTGCGGAGAAGGATATTGTCCCATACCCATTTGAGCCGGAAGTCGTTGAATAAAATATCAACGGCGGCTCGAGATGGACCCCGCCCATATCCGCTGGCTTGGCTACAGAATCCCTAACTCAGTGGTACATACATATGTAGGTACCTAGAGTAAGACTAATAATATTCTATCTAGCGCCTCGGTTACCTATCTCGTGCATACATCTACTAATAAACGAACATGGCCAACTTTTTCGCTATTGCTATAGCCCGTTGATGGCTCCAGAGATCTATCTGCCTTAACACGGAAGCTGACCACACCTATCTGCTCTCAATACCAACCCATCGAGATCCTTGAACTCATCTTATTCCACCGATATCCATTAGAAGACCAGGGACCCAGGATGGTTGAGATACGTTCCAGATACCGAAATTGGATCCCAAAGTCGAGAGGAAAAAGACCAAGCCCTCCTCCATCCCCAGAACGCGATGCAACGCCAATATGATACAGCCTCCCAAACAAACCCATAGGGAAATCTACACTAACTACTACTAGAAGGAAGAAAACAAGTAAATACACAGCATTGACAGCCTATGCGCTCTCTCGCGGAGCAAACAAGGCTGCTCGTCTGAGCTAATCACTAGCCTACGCGGAGCCAGGCACCAGGCTCACCAGAAACTACACCATCCGATGTAATGCTGGCACAGATTTTCGAGCTTCGTGGCTTCAATGATTAGCTTGTTGACCTGGTCTGTGACATTCAGCTCATCATCCGGCTTGAAGTCGCGGCCTGTAAGCTTCTGCGCAACCCGGTCAAGGACTTCGACTGCTCGTGCGTTCTGAACCTCGGCCAAGTCCTGCGGCCCATTGCCGTTAGGCATGCTGCCTGGCTGCGGGGCCGATGAATTGGTGCGAGCTCGGTAACGGGTCCCCGGCGGAGCCCCGGGCAGAGCATCTATGCCAGTCGCCTGGGCGGCGAGGAATTCGGTTGGGGCCACGGGTGCATCGAGTATGGACGTCCGGCGAGCCCGTACAGCTTGCGGCCCCACAAGCGCCTGTTCCCGCTCTGAGTTGAAGTTGGGCCCCGGAGGGCTAGCTGGATTTGTAAGGCGCCAAGTGAGCAGCGGGTCATGGATGAACTGGAAAGCAGTCAGCCAGTCAGAGGGAATTTCTTGTCAGTGGAGGTGGTATGGTAGACTTACCGCTTCAAGAACAGCCATTACGCTCTCCTTGTTGTCCCGTAACACTCTCATTACATGCTCGCATGTTGTTCGGAAGCTGCCCTCAATATTGCTGACCTCCATTGCATAAGTGAGCATCCGAGTGAGTCTGAAAGGGACCCGTTCGGGATACTTCTCCCGCTTCATCGCCACCTCGAAGCAGTCGCCAAAGTCGATGTGTATAATCTTTCCAGTAATACGGTCGAGCATCAAGTTGCTGGGATGGCGATCGCCTAGGCCGAGAATGTACCCCACCATCGACATGACACCGAGAGACCGGGTATAGTTTGTTCTCCGATCTAGCCAGGCCTCAGAACTCTTGCTCTTCAGCCACAGGACGCGGTACAAGTCCTGGCCTGTTGTATTATCCAGTGCATAACCAAAGACTTCAACTTTTTGCATGAGAGTAAGGTTGTCGTAGTCAGGCGCCATCTGGAGCATGATCCGGTGTTCAATATTGAGAAGGATCTTTCTAGACTCCCTGTATTCCCGGATAAGTTGATGGACCGTGTCGCTGTTAGGCACCCAACCGAGAAGACCTGAATTTTGGGACAATGGAATCGCCGGATAGCTTTGAATATTGAGATGTCGCTTATAGCACTCTGAGTCGTTCGCTAGCAGCGTGTTGCACAAGCCAAAGAGTTGCATGACACGTTCGTCTTGACGAATGTCCTCATGGCCCTTGAGTAGAAAAGTGTAAGTTTTGCCATCGCTCCCGACAATATCAAGCTTTCGAGGGCGTTGCTTGGAGCTAATAACGCTAAAAGTGCCGTCGAAAGACATTATCCGCACAATTTCCTGCCCGCTGCGATATGTTCCAGGCACCGCGAGATCAAGGTCCTTAGCCTTTAAGAGCTTGGGCGAACAGTAGGTCAACTCCAACGAGGTCATTTGGGGTAATTGGCGACTGATGCGGCGGAACACTTGGTAGTAGAGATCCCAAGCTTGATTAAGATCGTTCACATCTTGGGTCTCCTGGTATTGACGACACCACTCACGAGCCTCGCTCAGGTCTCGACCGAAAGTCTGTGCGAAAGAGATCTCCCGAAGTGTCTCAGGTCCGTTTTCGAGTTGATTGTGTAGAGGCTCCAAAGCGGCAAACATGCCCTCGATATTATGATCGCCGAAGTAAAGGCGCGAGGCTTCCTCCAGGCCTTCGTGCCAGAGCTCGTGCCACAACACAGCTACCCGAATGAGTTCGTGACTCACTATCTCGGCTTGCTCGACAAGCCGAGAGCTGTGCTGTCGCATACTATCCATGATCTGGGTGGCGGAGCGTGATCGTCTCATGTTGTGCCGCGACTTCATTGCAACAGTCAATGGATATACCAATGCCTGCGGATGTGCACGGCCGACATCGGCTAAGAGGCTGTGGATCGACTGCTGAACCCTCCTGTTGGGCTGGTTGATCCGAGCAATGAGCTGGGGTATGACCTCAAGCCATGTGTCAACGCTGACGTGGGCAAAGCCCTCTATAACAGCATTGCTGACCTCGGCATGGCCTCCGTAGGTCAGCCACAGGGTTAGGAGGCGAAGTGTATCCTGCAACGAACTGCCAAACGAGAGGGCGATAGATTCGAAGAAGCCTCGGATGGCGGGAACGACGTGCTGGACGATAATTGCTTGTTCACCTCGGCTTTCTTGATCTCCCCTCGAAGCAAGAGCCTGAACAACCTCAAAGTTCGCGAGAGCCCAGGCATGCCAGGCCTTGTACCACTTGGGGTGGTACTGTGTGGCCTTGGAGTAGCAATTAAGAATGTCCTGGCGTTGCGTGTACTGCCAGTCATCCTTATTCAATGTTACCATCCACTCCCCCTGACGAAGATAACACTTGGCAAGCAGCACTGTCTGCTCGACCCAGTGTTTTTGTGCGTGCGGGTTTAGCACGGCGCTTTCGTCAAAGTCAGGGAATACCGCTGGGCCAGGTCCCTCTATTCCGTTTGGAGCCTGCGCATTCATGTGCATCCTGGAGCTCTCCACACGATGGGCTGTCTCGTTGGTGAACTTTCGTAGGCAGTACAGGGTTTTCTCTGCTATGCGCCGCTCGGAGTTTCGAATGGCAGGCTGCTGGCCGACTTCCCACTGGAATTTGAGGACCGCATACAGAATAGGGGACGCGATTCGGTTCGGGCTGGGACTGGCCTGCCGATCGTGCCAATAAGGTATGACAGTCTCAAGTGGTTCCTCGATCTCGATGAGATGCTTCAATGACTTCTCGGCAAGGCCCATCCGTCCTGATTTGCGACAAAGGTTGGCGAATTTTGTCCACATGTGCATATTCTCAGCTGGGGACATGATAATCGATCTCAGCCGAAGCATTCGCTGCCATACTTCGACATTGCGCTGGCAGCCTTTCAGTCGAGTCTCCCAAGTCCTTCGCAAGGTGGCCTGCTTCTCGGCATCGCTTTGCTTGTAGACGATAATCTCTTCTAGTTCGGCGAGCATTTGGACCCGCACAACAACTTCGTATGCCCTATTGTATGATTCACTGACAAGGGCGCTGAGCTCAGTGTCCAGACCCTCGCGGGCTTGGTCGATACAAATTAAAGCCTCGCGGAATTGATTCCGGTGAAGTGCAAGTATTGCGCCGAAGAATGCACGATCAGGCGAGTATCGCTTCATTGATTGAAGATAAATGTCCATCGAGTCCCACTTGCCCAGGCCCCAAGCGGCCGTTGTCGCCAAGGGGGCAATTCTCCGTTGGATTTCTGGCCCGGAGTTGGCCCACGTCTTGCCAGCTAGAGCTGCAAGCGAATCCCATTCGCCAAGGGCATGGTAGCAGCGCATTTTACCCATGACAATATCGACCGGCACAGGTTGATCTTCGGGAATTTCGCGTTCTCGTTGGTAATAGAAGTTTAGAGCCTCGTCCCAACGCTCCAACTTCTCAAACCAACTCTCCCGGAGCTGAATGCCATCTTTGTAGGCCTTGACTTTGCGAAGAATTCCAAGGGCAGCGTCAGACTGCTGCAACTGATTATTGAGAACAATCAGAGCCTCGACAGCTTGGCTGTTGTGGTCTTGCAGGAACTCGAGTTCCTTGTAATGAAGTGCTTTGGCATGCGCATGGCAGCGGCCAGCCTCACGTCCCAGGGTGCGAATGTCGATAGGGAGCGCCTTGTCATCATGCTCCATGAATTCTGCAAGGTTGAGAAGTTGACCCAGAAGATCAGGCGGTATGTTTTCGGACTTGATAGTATTTTCGATGTTTGTGATAAGCTCTTCCTGTACGCGGACTAGTTAGGCATTGACTCAACGATATTCGGCTTGCAATATTCCACAAACCTGAAATTGCTCATAAAGCTCGCTCCAACATGAAACGAAAGCCGAATTAAAGAGCTCCCGTGCTAGCGGTTGATAGTTACTCGCCAAGCTTGCACAAGCTCGCAGAGAGTGGTTGGGGGATTCCGTAAGCAGCGTGGTACTGAACTTGCGGAACCACTCATGCCAATCGTCCTTGGTAGACTTGCCCTTTGTCTCCCAGGCCTGCTTGAGATGCATGGGATTCAAATCCAGTTTCTTTGGGGGATTGTTCTCGGTCGGGTGAGGCTCAACTAGAGTGTCTTCAAACCGTGGGGCAAGGTTCTGCGGCAGGACCTCACCCTTCTTCAGCTTCTCAACTGCCTTATCATAGTTGGAGTGCGGAATTGCGTACAAGGCCATTGCCTTGTTGACCGTATGCTCGAAGTGCAGATAGTCCCGCCCTAGCTGTAGCATAAGTGCGCAAAGGGTATCTAACGCAGCTACTCGTAGACTGGGTTCGCCACTGGCGAGGACCCGAGTCAGAGGGTGAATGATCTTAGCCGCGTAATCATTGAGGTTGACCATGCTTGAGAGTTTCCCGATGGTCTCGATGGCAGATTTCCGTAGGAAAATGGGCTGACCACTATTGTCGAATAGACGCACAAGAACAGGGATGATGAGGTGCATATACTCCTCTCCACTTGGCCCAAAGACCAGAAAGGCATGGAATATTTTCTCGCTCGGCTGTCGCTTCGTGCTCGTGTCTTTTTCCAGCACCCCAAGCATCAGTGGGAGTAGGCCAGCCAGGTAGATCTTAAACTCTCCTTCGAGAGAGCGAGCAATCGACTCAATCAGAGCGATGATGGTAGTCTGCAATGAGGTTGTGGCCCAGTACTCCTGCAGGACATCGATAATGTCGGGCAGATAGACACGAATGTGCTGTCGAACGATGCTAACCAGTCGGCTCAAATGGTTGAAGTAGAAGTCAAGTCGCGCTATGCTCGAGGCCCGAATGACAGAAATGAAGGCAGGGACCACCCGATCAAGAAACTGGACACACTTCAGACCTAGAGTGATGAAAATGCTCATAATGGCATCCACCACGTTCCCGTGCCACTGCAGCAGGGACTGGTCCTTAAGAATATGAAGTAGAGCATTGATGACGATCGTGGGATAGTAATCGTCCTGTGATGGAGTAAGGCCACCCATCATTAAAGACACGTCGGTCAACTGGGCGGCTTCAGGCCGGCGCTGGGTCTGTGGCGCTCGCTCTTCTACTTGCTGTTGAAATTGGTTAGTCTTTAGCTTACGTTGCTCGTCGAGGCTAAGTTGTAAGGCTCACAAACTTGCTCGATGACACAATGTATCTTGCAAGAGATGGGAACGGTGAAGGGGCGTAGAAGAGGCAGGCCTCGTACCTGATATTTGTAGGGATCCAATGCACCTAGTATGCCCATGAGCTTGATCGTCTCCTGGCGCAACGGACCATGCTGTGGTTCGCCCCTTATGATAGACTGCAATATCTCCAGCAGTTCGGGGTATTCGAGGTATGGAGTGATGACATAACCGGCGTTACTGGCTAGCTGGCCCAACGTGTGGAGAGCGGCTTCCCGCTTCATTGGTGCTCCTTGGTCCTGCAAAGCGTCGATTATGATTGGCATGAGGGTGTCCTTGTAAGCCAGCATCGCCTCCCCCCCAACTGTGCACAACTCGCCAATTGCCTGGAGGACAGTCGCAGCGACAGAAGGGGTCGAGTCACGAGACTTCGGTAAAAGCACCTCGGTGATGGAGTTTACGTAGGGCTTGACTAGTTCCTGGGCATGCTGTATAAGGAGGCTGAGCAACTTTGAGCTCTCCTCTTTACTTCTCGCCACATCTGTGTACTCCAGTTCTGTCAACAACTGTATGATGGTCTTTCGCAGCTGTGGGACAACATAAGCAGGGTTATACCGGGCCAATCGACCAATAATTGATACGGCCACTTCTCTAATCGAGAATTTCTCGTCGTGTAGGGCAAAGAAGAGAGTACGGATATTCTCAGCTTTGGCGAGATGTTGATCGAATCGTTCGTCAAGAGCTGCCAAGACAGTTCGTCGAATTTTTGGCTCCGGATCCGAGACGCCCACAGTCAAGAGTTTCTCAATGACGTCGGCAACAACTTGAAGGGCGTGGTAGCTCGTCTGATTGACGATCGGATCACGTACATAGAGCTGACAACAGGTAAGGGCGGCAGCCTCGCGGATTTCGGGATCATCGTCTTCAACGTATTTGATGGCAACATCGCGAACGAATTCGTTTAAAACATGGCCTCCAGACTCTGTCAGCACATGCTTTTAAGGCGCCAACGTCTCCAGTATTGACAGTATCTTCGCCCACTTGGTGATACCGCAACCAGGCGTTGCTAAAGGAACAAGAGAATATTCTAAGAACCAAATACCTGAAAAGTCAAAGCTGCCGAGCGTATTCAACGCCAGTTTTATCTCGGCCTTCCCACGTTCATGGGCCAAGGGGTCTTTGGGATCCCTGACGATGACTGGGATTGTAGAGAGGGAGTTGGGGTGAGGTGCCCCCAAAGGCCTGAACGGCTCACCGCACAGCACTTTGCTCAGCATGTCGAGTAGACGCTCTTGAATGGTCGCCTTGACAGGCGGAATGTAGAAAGCCATGTCGACCAAAGCCTGCGTCAGTTTGGGCGTGAGCTCGCAGGCAAAAATGGGATCGAGCAGTGCCTCCATATACTTGCTGAGCGTCTGGCCAACAGCCACAGCAAGCCGGCTAATGCAGTCGAACACAGGATCGACAGAGCCCCGCTTCCGGGACTGTAAACTGAGGCCCTCTCGGACATGGATGAGTACGCCATCGAGGTACGGCGAGATAGAGCTCTTGACTGAATTCGCAACATTTCCAATGGCAAGAAACGCATCGTTCCGCTCCTTTTCCTTCTTCAACATCCCTGAGAGGTAAATCATAAACTTGTGGAGATAGGTCACGGTAAATTCGGTTGGAGCGTAGTTGGCCAGATCCGGAACGAGCAGAACCACCGTCTTGCGGATAGCAGGGTCACGCGAATCCTTGTGGCGGAAGATGATCTCGCAAGCATCTTGATAGTGGCCTTGCATGTACATGCCACCTTGCTCCAGAAGCTCCTTGAGCACAAGTAGCGAGGCATGAATAGACTCGGGAGCCGGGTTGGTCTTGAAGCCCTTGATAGCTTCGGCGAACATCTTGTCCATCCACTCTTGTTTCATGCCCTGGTCACGCTCTCGTATGATCTTGAAGCAGGCGCTGACGGTCTCGCTCGAGGTTGCTCGGATTAAGTGTCGCTGATCGCGTAGGCCAATCCAGATTTGATCAAAGACGAAGCCCACGTACGAGTACATGAGGGTGGGAGCATTTCTCGCCAACTCGCGTAGAACTAGAACGGCGGCATACCGCCTCTCCTCTATGCGATCGGACTGAAGCCACTCGAGAGCTGTTTGGACCTCAGCATCGACAAGCTCAGAAATCAGAGAGCCGCCTGGCTTGCAGAGCTTTCCGAGGACCACGGCGGCGGGCTGCATTGGGTTGGGATCTTTTCCGCGCAGGATGGTGCCGATGTACTGTTGGAAGCGGCTGTACTTCAAGGCAAGGTCGATGCCATCGAAGTCAACTAGGGCGTCGAGGATATAGACCCCGCCCATCCGATCATATGGGTCGGTGCCTTGGATCAGAGCCATGGTTCGCTGGTTGACTGAGTTGAAGAAGAGCTGGAACTGCTCGGCACCCATCTCTGTAGTGGTGTCAATGGCCATGGAGGGGATGAAGGTACATGTAGATTTATTTAGTTACCTTGTTTGGCAACGTTGACTAGATCCCGTATCTGTCTCGCAGCGCGCTTCCGCTGGTCCTCCGGGAAGGCCCTATGAACACGAAGCAGATGAGTGGGAGCCTGCCTTAGGTTGATTATATGGATTGGCGCGAGAGTTTCAAGCCTGCGCATCAAGGGGACCGTATCCCAGATGCCCTCGTGAACTTGGCGCAGACTAAACAGCAGACGACGACGCACCTGTTTCTAACATCCTTGATGTACTGCTCGAGCGCAGGGGCCGCTTGCTCTTTTGTTATCGACATCTTCACAGGTCGCTATGGTTTCTCGACTCCCAGAGAAGCAGCGGGCAGCCTCGTTAGTACTCCGTCAGTGTCGATGACCCATAGTTGAGTGGCGAGGTATATCGCAAGTTAGGCTTGCTACTGACGGCGATGCGGGAGGATATAGGTTGGTAGTCCTTAGGGGGAGGCGTTGTTGTATGCAAAAGGTATTCCGTTTTCCGCAGAGAAGCCGCGCTTGTGAGGTAGATTGGCGGCGCGATTTCTCGAGGTAATGCTCGCGCGGCCGAACAAGGTAGGTAGGTTGGGTCGGGTGCCGCAGTGGTGTAAGTATGCGAAAGGAAAGAACCGGATTTGGATATTAGCAACAGTGTAAACGTGTATAACTCTTTCCGAAATGAAGCGCACCAGAGCTCGGTACTGCTAGACTGAATCACTCTTGACTGCGTGGAAGGTGAAGCTCCTTTGAACCTTGTTAACTTCGCTACCCGTAGCCTCGCAGCCTACTGGTGGAATTGGCCTGCGCAGCGCAGGGGTCTCGAGCCTGTAACTGTGTACGGATATTCGTATACAGGTATTGTTGGCACTGTGTGTGGGTACTTACTTTTTGCTACGTACCTTGCTGAGTATGTGTGTATGTATCATAATTACATGTACAGTATGTATTTGTGTATGGTCCATGGGAGCACACTACGTAAGGTAAACTTGCAGGTTGAGATAGGTACCTGAGGTAAGGTATTTAGATACGGCCACATACCTGTCGCCGATGACATAGCATTATCATCGGCCTCTGCCCTTGTCCACCGTCTTTTAAAACAACTGACGGTCTGAGATTTACCTTCAACCACGCTCTAGTCTCAGCACAATTCTATATTGCAGACCCTAAAAAACCCAAGTCCCACCAGCCATGGGCAACGATGGCGGATCGATCCCGACACGACGCGAGCTCGTCAAGTCTGCGGCTCGGAACCCTACTGTGAGCGAACTAAAAGCGACCGCACTTGAATCGCTCAGCCATGCTTGGGGCCATGATCCCCTCACTTCTGAGTCTCTTGATCTGGAGAGCGCGGTTTCTGACTGGCGTGGCCGACTTTACAATTACGAGTCGATTCTCAAGGCTTTAATGCCATCCGACAACAGTACAACATCTCCAGTACCCACCAATGACGAATTCACAAACTTAAGCATTGCATCGGCCGGCATTAAATCACTTCGCGACGTTGTGAAGCTCAAATTCAAGCGCTATATTCCTCCCGGAACAAGAGAAAAGGAGATATGGGCATGCCCAGTATCGCTGAGGGAGCTGGGTCCTTCAACAAAAGCCGTGTACCTCGTGCCTTGTGGCCATGTCTTTGCAGACGTCGCCATGAAGCAGATCCAAGAGGAAGCTTGCCCGGAATGCAGCGAGCCGTTCAAGTCACGGGATATCATTCCAATTCTCCCGACCGAAAAGTCCGACGTAGAAAGATTGACGACTAGGCTGAATGGCCTGAAGGCCGTAGGACTGACACATAGTCTGAAGAAAGACAAGGGCATGGGGAAAAAGAAGCGCAAGGCCGAGGAGGCGGATCGGGAACCGGCTGGTGAGGCTGACAAGGGAAATTGTGTGAAACCAGAAAACGAAGAAGGTCCGGAGGCGCCGCCGAGGACCAACAAGTCCAGCCGCCTGAGCGGAATCAACAACGCTTTGACTGCATCACTCACTGCCAAGGTATTGGCGGAACAGGATGAACGAAATAAACGGCGAAAGTTGGCTGCAGCGAAATGATGCATAAACCTAGATACTCAAGACTTCATGGCCGTTTGTGAATGCTTGATACTGTTGACATTTGCGTGCATGCTTTCTCAATTCCACCTGCTCGGGTTGGGAGCCCGTGACGATTGATCGAAACTGGAATCAAAACTCAATTGCGTAATGAACTATTGAAAGTTCTTGGTTCTTTTTATATACAAAATCCTGCCCAACCACGGCCAGTTCGGTCCGCTCAGTTCTAGCTTTGGGTCGCATATACTTGTTTACAACACATACCCTGTACACACGAGCCCCAGTCGTATCATAGCTCGTCCTTGGCCCTCACGCCCGGTTCTTGCACGGCCTCGCAGGCCGCTGGCGTGCCGACTTCCATCTTATAGACACACTTTTCGGACTCGCTGACGCGCCAGACCTCGTCAGTCTCGGCGCATGCTAGCCAGACATGGGTTCGTCTGCTCGGTCCATTCCAGCATCCCTGGCCGTTGTCATACCGCAGCACGATTCTTTGGCCTTTACCAAGCCCCTTTCCATCGGCCCGCTCCTCTTCGTCAGCGAGTTCCCTGTCTATTCTCACGAAGTTGCCCATATTGGTGTTGCCGTGCCCCTTTTTACTCTTCTGGGTCGTCTTATCGACCCAGCAGAGCTCATATTCATATTCGCCGACGTCGGTGCTGACGCATTTCCCCTTGAAGGCACGGAAGATGTCGTCTGGTCCGTAGTCCTTTTGGAGATCACCCTTTTGTTCCTCTAATGCTGTGGTTTTTGACGAAATATCATTCTTGGCAGTCTCCAGGGCCTCCCTGGCGGCGATGACCAACCGGGACTCGCCGTCACTGTCCGGGTTGTCGGCCAAAACGCCGTTCTCAATTAGCCACACACGCAAAACATTAATCTTGGTGTGTATATAGTCACGGACGAAGCCCGGGAGATAAGCTTCTAGATGGTAGACTGTTGTTGTCAGCTGTGCTAGTAGAACGCTGTCTCATTCAGCCGGGGATTCTGTGATGGAGCCACTTACCAACGGCTGCGTCACTGGCACCTTCTTCCTCAAACTCGGCCCAGTTGATCCCAGAACTCTCGCCATCCTCTTTGAGGACCTCCATGATATCGGCATCAGCCAGTTCGGACTTCTTGTCGCCGGTTGCAGAGGCTGCATAATCCTCCCAGCTCTTGACAGCGGCCTTGACGCCTTCGTCGTTGAAATTGGGGTTATAATCCTCCCTGAATTTGGTGAGTATTCCTTCCAGCTGCTCAACTCTGTCCTGCAGATCGTCGCGCTGGTCTAGAACCTTGTCCAGTGTGTCTCTAAGCTCGGACACGCGGGTTTTCGCCAGTCCAGCCAACACTCCAAGCTTGCCACCCCGGCCCTCTCCCTTGACGACCTTTCCCCTCTCAGATCGCTGAACCTCCTCGAATTTCTTTTCAAGCTCCTCTTTCTTGGCTTCGAGGCTCTCGAGCTCTCCCTTTAGGCTGGTAATCTTTACCTCCACCTTGCGACGTAATTCACGGGCCTCTTTAACTAGTGTCTGTCTCCGCTTAACAGAGCGCTCCACGCTTTGCCTGCGCTCCTCCTCAAGACGGCGCCACTCCTTGCCAATGGAACCGCAGCGATTCTCGCATACGACCCCGCCGGCGTGTGCAGACTCGTCGCTGCCGTCACAGCACAGCTCGTAGTCACACACGCCGTCATCGACGTACATGAAGGGAATGTAACTTCCAATGTGGCCGTCGTTGGCGCACCAGAATCCAGGCAGAGCGCGGGTGGTATTGGTAGTGCCGGTAGGCGAGCCTAGGAGGGGTTGCTCGGGAGAAAGGGGATCGAGGTGGGCGCAAGCTGCGGTGCCGGGTTCGTCAGAACCATCAGGGCAGTCGCACGAGTTGTCGTTGATTTGGGAGGACTTGAGGGCGATTGAGGGATTGCCAATGCATTTGAAAGTAGCTTTGCTCTCGTAAAACGCGGAAACTGCAGCGCGTCAGTAAGCTGCACCTGTATCATGGCAAGTGTCTCGTTTGGCTGGCCAATTCCATATCATTAGAATGCGAACGGGGCCAATTGAGGCGACGACTTACACTCGGGTCCAACACCTCGGGGCAGACTCTTAGATGCAGCCAGGCTTCCGTGAGCGAGTGTGCCCAGAAGCACAAAGACACCTGCTCGTCGCATGGTTCCTGTTTTGTATTCCACTCAATGTGGCTGGGGACGAAAGTGTATGTTTGCTCCCCCTAGCTGTGTAAGTCCCTTCCTTAGATGCACTGCTGGACACGTTTCCTACGTCGATCCTGAACGGACAGCTTGCATCCCTGAAGGCAATATGGGGCGTTTTGACAGCTGTCGTAATCCGTAGTGCGCTGTCACGTGGCTTTATTGCTGAGACAGCCAGCAGACTACGCAGACCTTGGCCTTGGCGGCAAAGTGTCAAAATGTCGATTACCTGCCGAGAGAAATTTGGTAACCCCGCCACCAAAACTGCCCCGCATACTGGCCCGCATTGCTCAGGTACGCAATCAGCACCACTGGAAGGTACCTACTAGGGGTATCTCCGTGGTAAAGTTACTATAACCAAACCTTTTAGCGGTTTTTTTTTTCATAAGGAAAATACAACAGCCAGCCAACAAGCCCAACGCCCGACATCTTGAGCTTTGAAGACTTCTGTGTTGTTTTGCGTTTTCATCCCTCCCATTGCTGTCATGTCCTCTTTGGCTGATACGCTCGCGACATTAAACGGCGTGGTTTCCAATGCGCTTTCCCTCATCGACCAGGTTGAAGCTGTCGTAGCCAACATCGCCCAAGGCCCTTCAAGGGTTGACGCCTCCCTACCAACTGAGAGCCAACAGGGCTTATCCAATGCCTCCCTTGACGCGCTATCCCTTGCGCACGACTCAGCAGCCTTGATCAAGGCGCATGCCACCAAAATTTCCCTGTTCATTATCAACGAGCCTTTTACCCCGACAGCCATCGTTAAGGTTCTCCGAGAGCTTACAGCAGGGCCTGTGGCCGGCTTGGCCTCCTCAGTCCAGCTTTGTACGGCGGAGAGATATACCCGGGAAATTCAGCAGGATTTGGCCTGGCAGAGTGGGCGTGTGCTTCGCGAGCTAAAAAAACTTCTCTCCAGGGTCCCAAAGGACGGCAAGGTTCTCTCCAACGACAAGAAAAACGCCTCCGCTGGTGCAGCAGCGGGTAGAGGAAGTATAGCAACTACCGGCGTTCTCTGGGCCGCTTGCGATGACCTTATCACTGTTGCCTCGCGCGGGTTCGCTGGCAATCTTGTGCACAAGGTTGAGCAGTTGAAAGACACGCTCAAAGATGTTATCGAGGAGCTGAAGGAGTGGGGGGAGGAGACCGGTGGTGATGAATCCGAGAATGGGGATAGCAATGACGAAGATGGGGAGGTTGACGAAATTACCCAAAGCATGGAATCCGCAGGGATATCGACAACTCAGACTACTCAGGATATGCTGGATGAGCTCATGAATTCGCATCAATACATCCCCCGCGACGATCCAGACAAGATCCGCGAGCGTCTCGAGTCTTGCCTCAGGAGGCTCCGTCTTACGGCTCTACTTTACCAGGCCACTGTGAAGCGTAGACTTAAGTCTCTCCCACAACAACCGCCAAGTCCCGCCTCGCCCATCGCTGCCCGCCTTGACGAGATCTTTCCTTTGCTTAAAAGGATACCCGAGAGGTGCGAGAACCTGGCTATGGCATTCTATGACCTGGAACCTCTGGAAATCGATCGCCTGATGGACCAGTGTTTCTTCGACGCATTTGCTGTGTCCGAGCTGCTCGTCAAGTCATGGAATGGCCAGAAGGACGAGTTCACCGATTGGGCCCTCAAGTTCCAGGTCGAAATCAAGAAGAGTTAGAGTTTAGGGCTTGGTGATGCTCATGGTTTTACTTTGTGTTTTAAGTACAGCTTGAAATAACCCCAAAGCCCGAAGAGGGCCAGTCGGTGGCGACCTAAAATATACCACCAGGAATTCGCTTCCAATGACTACCCTATATCCTCCTCAGGCCGGAGTCCAAGCCCCCAAACGGATTCGCCGGCGCGTACGATCTCCACGCATCGCAATTAGGCTCTATTTCGTTTAGGTCCATAACTTGTGGGACCTTGTTGACTTGCTCAAGAAATTGCACACTGAGGCCCTGGCTAAGGTGCCACTGTGGTGTTGGGTTAGCACCTCCGGTCGAGGTATTCAACTACTGTCTGGGATCGAGCTTCTCATACCGCGATATGACAATGAAATAGCCATGCTCCAGGGTTGTCGTTCTGGAATGCTATTACCAGCCAGCCGAAAGAGGGCAATACTGTCGCGTCACGCCTCGGCGGGTTGTCGAATTCCAGCGAACTAGCGTCTGTTGCTATTTCGAATACTACAGGCGTCGCCGATGGGGACAGGGGGTTTGTTGGCGCTACCGAGCGTCCTAGGATCATGAAGTCATGGCCCTTGTGCAAGAAGGAATGAGCTCTTCATTCACAAGGACCTGGAGGCGAGGTCTTGAATCTGGATGACGGAACTTACATGGAGATGCATAGGGTGTGGAATAGGAGACCCGTTTTCGACCAACCAGATACTATACTGCGCGCTCTCGATTAGCTTGTTATCCATAGCTAGGTCCCGTATAGTGATACTCCAAGTTCAGACCGCGGGCGTGACGTACATTGCTGTTGTCAGGGATGGTTATGGTGTTTTCGTTCGCCGGGTAGGAATTGTTGTTCTGCGCTATGAACTCCAACGTAGGTTTCTCCCAGATGACTTCCATGGAACTACCGTTGACCTTCCAGAACACGTTGCTACTCTTCGAGTCTACGTCCAATGTGACGGCAAGGGAATCTGATGGGGCAGCCGTGAAAAGCTCCTTTGGTACTGCCCGCGTCACGATAGGCACGAAGTCGGTCTGATCAGCACATAGTGATTCGGGAGGGGGGCGTCCCGTGTTTGTGGGATTGGTGCTGCCAGCCCCAGCATATGATAGAATCGCTGCTGGGTGCGGGTTCTTAGAGGACCCGCACGCCCCGGTCCCAGAGAAGGTCACGTTGATCCAATAGTTGTCGACCGGTTGGCTGGCATCGATGGTCACGTCATATCGCTGGCCGACGCTCAAGTATAGATGGGATGTGGTGAAGGCATCAACCGGGACAAAGTCATTCGCGATGACCGTCATGGAGTGTCCAACTATGGACACTGTGAAGGTATTGTCTACACTCGGGTTAATGAGACGCAGGCGGTGCCGCTTCCCAGGCGTCAAAAGTATCCGGGCGTAGGACCCGCCGGGCCCGGTTGGGTTGATGTTTGTTCCGTTGAATAGGATGTTATCGCTCGGCGGTGGAGATCCGGGGACGCCGGGGATAAAGGGCTTTGCCGGGTCGTTCACGCGGGCGAATATGTTGTCGGCTGAACCGTAGTACCAATCCGAAATTGGGAGAACGCCGAGATCAATGTCGTAGGGCAGAGACGCGGGCCCGTTGATCAGGATCGAGCCCGTAAGCCCGTTGGCAATCTGAAGCGCATAGTGGGAATGGTACCAGCTCGACCCATACTGGGTAGCGAGAAACGAGTAAATCTTGGTGCCACCGTTGGGCGGGATTGGACACTCAGTCACGCCGTTGACGCCGTCGTTGATGTTATTGTTCAGTTGACGAATCCCGTGCCAGTGAAAGGAGGTGCTGGTGTTCGGGACGATGGTTAGGGCGTGATGCAAGATCATCGATAGGTAGCGAACATGGTATGGAGTACTTGGGACTTACCCATTCGCTCGCAGGTCGTTGACGACGGTGATGTTAATCCGATCACCCCAGTCTAAGACAATCCAGCCTGTTAGGACCTGTGTTCTAGTGTATTTGCGAAAGAAGACAGTGCTATCAAACCTTACCTGCGGTGATCACTGGGCCTATCCAGGTGGTACGTTAAGAATCAAGTCTTTGCCATTTCGTGGGCCCAAGTGCCTTCGTAACTTACCAGGAAATTGATCTGAAACCTGGTCAGGGGGAAGTTCCTAGGATGCTAGTTTGAGAGATGATGCCGCGGTTGAACTGGACTGACTATTTATCAACATTGCCTTCTCTTTGACCTGGCCATCAGGCCCAACGTACTTGTCAACCTCGGATAATGTGAAGGTATACTGCATCTGTCAGCGTCCAAGAACATGAGGTATTAACAAAATATTTCCAGGGTCCTCACAGTCCTCGTGACACCCGTATTGGGCACGCTGGTTTCCCAGTCGGTATTGATGTCGAAGCCGGAAATCCAGCATGCTCGGTTACTTGGGGTGTTACATAGCGCTGCCGGTGTTGATACCTCGCTCTTCGATGGGGCTATGAGAGCCAAGCACGGCGATAACGCAGCCTGGGCAACGAGGGCGGCGAATATCTGAACTCGCATGGCGAACGGGGCCATAGGAGAGGTGGGTATACAATAAGAACTGGGAAGAAAGAAAAGAATGGACAATGGGAAACTGCCGTTGAGTGTAGAAATGCGAAGAGCAAGGGCCCTGGCAGGGGAGCAGTCTGGTCTGGCAAGTGTAAGAGCGGTGATGCTGGCACTCTTATATTGGCCGGGCCAAAGAAGCCGTCTTATCTTCCGCTGTTCCAGGATGATGCAGGAACCATGAAGACTTCGTAGAAGAACTCTGCATGCTGCCAGCAATGCTTGGCACACGCGGCCATCACGATACGATTCGAGGGGTCTGAGCTCTCCAAGGCCGTGGCGAGCCCCGGATCGACCAAAGTGATCGCCTCCAATGGCCCCTTGCCCGGTCAAGATCGAGGCTGGCTCTCGTGGGCTGAGCACCGTGGAGTGCCCAGGGGATTAAACCCGGCACCCATGGCACATGGAAACAAGCCCATGCCTACCTTTTAGCCCACCGAAGCGGCCACGAAAAAAGCGTTGCGTGCGCCCGGATTGACGCAGCCGGTAACAAGAACTCCTCGGTGGTAAGCCGACCTCCATTTGGGGGGTTCGAGCTGCAGCCACACTGGCTGTATCGAACGTCAGCGCATGATTGATGGCACTGCCAGTTCCAGACTTTGTGCGTAATTACACGTGTATTTATTTTATCTAAAGGTGTGGGTGGTCACAGGCTGCCAATGCCTCCAAGTAAATAAACCACCAGTGAGTGGGTTTCCCTTGCGGATGAATACCTACCTAGGTCTAACAATAACTGGAAAGGACGCTTGGGACTTTCTGGCGCGCACCTCTTTTCACCCTCATCCTTCCACGAGATGGGTTGGTGCGCGCCAAAGGAGAGTTCGGCGCGATTGCCGTGGTGGGTAGCCGCAGTTAAGCACCGGTTGTCTGTCGACGTTGGTGAGTAATGGAGTGTAAGGTGGATACGGAGTTTGCGTAGTTTGCGCACAGGCCTGGCCGGGCGGCTACCATGGGCCGTACTCGCTCGTTCTCGCGCCCCCTTGATCGTCGTTGCATTCGTTGCGGGGTTCCCCGCGATCTGTCCCGTGGATGGGGACGACGTGTGAGTAGGTTGCCCCGGGATGGACCAGCCCGGACGAACTCTCATTCGGTTCTGCAGCTGCTTGAACAGGACGGCATATCGACAGGCAAGCCAGGACCTGGACAAGCGCAGGGGGCTTGGACTTCCCTCGGAAGAGATGGGATGTCAGGTCTTGGCACTGAAACAGGCGGGGGTCCAAGCTTTCCCGCAGCTGAGTCCCTCCCTCCCAAGGCCCAAGGTCCCCCCCCTGAAAACACTACCACTGCCGATCATGGAAAAGAATGTTATGCAGCTCGGCAGCTTCTGAGGCGAGAGCAACTGACGCAGAGAGAAGGCAGGCAGAGAAGCAGAAGGGGGACCAGATGGGAATCTCAGGACCGTCGACTCGAGGCTGCCTCTCTCTTTCTTTCTCTCTCCCTTTAACACACACTCTCTCTCTACCCGAGGAAGGATATGGCTTTGAGGCATACTGCAGGTCGCCTCGTGTCCGACGGCCCAGCCTTGACTTTCTCTGTCTAAAGTCAAGAGCGGTCCAGGACAAAACCGAGAATGAACCGCTGCCTGGCTTCTGGACACATATTTAATCCACTGTTCCGCTTCGTCCCATATGCTAGGATACCGGGATCGAGTAACGTGGGACTTGTTTGGCACTCCGATTATCTATCTAGGTACTGCGGGTTTGCTTCAGGATAAAAGGGAGATCGCCTACCGTCGACGCAGACCTCTGTTTGTTTAAAGGGTCTTAACCTAGTTCGATGTAGGGCCAGCGAAAAGCAATAGTAACAACACGAGTGTAGGACCCGGTATTCGGAAAACAATCCAAGGGCTGAGACGGTCCGGGGAATTTCAAGAATCGAATTAACCGATTAGCCGCTTCACGTAGGTACGTGCTATCCATACCTACCACCTACTATTTTACCTGACGTCAATTGTTGACCCATACACGGTTCAGTTGGGCCCCTAAACGCATGCGACTTGGCGATAGAGTACTGGCGTGTTGGTTTAATGGGTTTGGAAGGAGCGGCCCTTTTGTAGGATACGCAGATATGTGCTTGTAAGATATACAGAGCTTGATCCCATATGTAGCACATGAGACTAACTATACGTCTAGTCATATGCGTTGGCGGTAGTATTTATTTTATAGCATGATCATTCCGCTGGTACTGGGTTAAAAGCCTAACTAGTCGAGGACTGGCACGATGCTTTGTTGGCTGTGGATGATGAAAGAGGTTGGATGGGTACCTATAAGGGGAGGGAGGGGTGGGTTGTTTACATCTGAACATGGGCTCAAAACCAGGTCTTGAAGAAAAGGTGAGCTTTTGGTCCGGAGGCCAAACTCTCTGGATTTTGCACCACTCAGCAGCCCACCACACCGTCCGTTGTTCTTCTTCACCTGAAGTACCTTAGCTTCTTTTTCAATCGACCGTGGTCAAGTTCTTTACCTGTCTGCCTGCCTGCGCGCCAACCACCTACATCATCTGCCTTTCACGTTCTTACGCGCACTTCCTCACCGTCGACTTCTCCCCCCAAGCATGGAATTCTAGGTGCCCGCCCAGATTTTCCATTCCTACACAGCCGGGTCGTAATTCGAAATTTGCAATTTGCAAGTCGCAGACGAACAAAACGTAACCGACCCCGGGATGCAGTCTCAAAATTCGCACCGAGAGTCAGAGGAGCAGGGCAGCCGATCAATTTCGTCACCCTCGCCGTCGCCGCTGACCTCGCCGCCCTACGCTACACCGATCCAGCGAGTTCCCAGGGCCATGACTACAGGAGAGTACTCGCCGTCAAGCTGGCCGTTTCCCAAGCAACAGCTATCTTCGTCACGGTAAGTAAAGTTATCCTGCCTACCTTCTCCTTCCAATCTTACACCAGTGCTTTTGCTAAGTATACTTATCTAGGTACCTAACCGAGGAAGAAGCTGTGGCAACCGTGCGACAGAGAGAAATCTGCAGCGATGATCCGATGGACAAGAACGGTGCCATGAGTATTCGACCTAGCCAGAAAGCTTGGTATCCAACCACAGGTGCCAGGTCACTTCCCGACATTCACGGTTCGATCATGCAGTCCTACATATTCGAGAGCTCGGTCGCCGGAGTACTTTCTGACCCTTTCGTTTCCAATACAGTGGCCGCTGGTGCCGAGGAAAATCTCATCAAAGGTAAGTTGGTAAATGCCAGCAGGCCCGACCGCACCCTTCATGAAAGTGAGAGTACAAAAAGAGGACTGACGATAAATAATTTCTCAGACGAGAATCCCGAGGCAACCAGCCTCAATTCCACAGCTAAAAATAGCTTGCTGGCGCCAGTAGCGAATGTCCCCGAGAGGCCCGAGTCTCCAACTCCTTACTCTTCAGCAGACGAACCGTCCCCGGGAGACCCTCGTCGAGGATCAGAGAAGGATGCGGACCAGATGCCCAAACTGCACCCGGCACGGAGTGACATGCGCATCAAGACTGCTATTGCAAACCAGAAAGGAGTCCGCGTCTATTCGACATGCGACATGGACGTGCCCGGAAGAGTTGACCACTCCACCTCCGCCTACTTAGATTCTCATCTGCACAATACCAGCTTTGAGACCACGTCTGACTACATGACCGGAGACGACAAGGGTAACAACGACGAAGAATACATTATAGTTAACCGCCTAGCGTCGGAGTTGACTGAGCACATGCCCAGCGGGGAGCGAGGGTTGGCCGCCGAGGCTGCCGCCCAGGAAACTCAAGGCATCATTCTCCTGGGCCCGGCAGCAACGTCGATGGAGATGTTGGGTGATAGCAGAGCATTAACTCGCAACAGCTCTAGGTCTTGGAGACCAACAATATGCCCAGGCACACCGCTACCTGACATCGGATCTATTCGACGCGGCCCCACAATTCGCCACAACCGTATGACGCCCATAGCAACCCGATGCATGACCACGGACGACGCCTACCCAATGACAGGAAGCAACAAGGGAACGGGGAGGCCCGCGAACATTGCACTCATCTTGACGCTTACATCGGCTGTCTTGCTGCAGTTGGCCATCGTGGCCCTTGTCGCGAGCGTCACCGTCTGCGCCATGGATAGGAGCATGAACAAGCCAGTTGGCCAAGGGGCCCTCGTGGGCACCGCCTTGAGTATCGTCCTGATTGTTATATTTGTCGCCGGATTTGTCGTTGGCGTCACTCGGTTTCGCAAGCTGGGCAAGAGGTCAAGCGTCGGGGGCGCCTGGATCGAAATGCAGCACCGGGCCAGAAAGCTCCCGCCGCGACCATCGGCAGACAACAGCGAACCAGAGCAGGAGAATGCCGCCACAGCCGCATGGAAGAAGTTTACCGACAACCATGCGTTACTTCGCAACTATGTCGAGGGTCTCGAGAACGTCATTGGCACTCTCAAGGAACATCACGAGTCTTCTAGCCGCCAACCGAACCACGCCATCGACTCTGCTCTCGTTGCCGACGTCGGCCAGCGACGCAGGAAGGGCACCGCTACCGACGACATAACTGCCGTTGCCCAGGGGGGCGGTATGATGACTGACATTACCTGTAGCCAGACCAAGGGTGCGAAAAAGGGCGTCTCAATGTCTCAACGCCACCTGCTGTACGGGGAGGAGACGCTTGCCACGTCCGATTCCTGGCAAACTCTCGGAAGCAAGCTTGCTGTGCCTCTGTCAAACACTAAAACGAGCATCCTGACCGAGCTGTGTGACGCTGTCGTGGAGCCGTACAGCCCCTTATCCAACGGCTGCAACTCGGAAACCGGTCGCGTCCCCAGTGGTGCGGCCATCTCAGGAACGAGAAACGTCAAGCCGGAGAATGACAGTCTGTCTGGGCCTGCGGTGCCTAGCAAGTGCAAAACCCACCGGCGTGGGGTCCCGTCTATTGAGATATTCAACGGGGGAATCAAGGATTCCTGATGGGAATGACACGAGATGGGTGCATAATCTGGCCGCCTTCACGAGCGAGAGAGACCGGATAGTGAATGTCAGGTCCCAAACGAACTGCGGAATTGTTCTTGTCTAGGGGGTTCTTGGGTTAAATCCTAAGAAACAAGCCCACGGTTGCGAGATGAGGGTGCCATGTAAGACCATATTAGCACTCTTCGCCTACTGCCTCGCCAATGGGTTACATACACTCGCATAACGGCCATGATTGGTACATTTCTTGTCGGATTCTGTAATGTAGATATATATGAAAATCACTGGAACCCAGGGAACCCAAGGGGTTGGGCGTAGATGGTTTAATCAGCCATCAATGCTCGGATGCCTGTCTCTCTTAACTAAGATACGAGGCAATCGGAAACATCACCCTAAATACCTGTTACCTAGCTCTGCTGCAGCAAATCAAGTCTAGTCGCCTAGATTGCTCGGGCCATACGAGCCTTGTTCTCCCTGTAACGCTTCTCCTTGCCCACCAGCTTCCTCCTCTTCTTCCAGGACCGATTGAGATCACCTCGGTTTTCCCAGAACCACTTCTGGAAATCACTTGCAGACCCATTATCTTTCGGCTTTGGAGCCTGGCTAGGGGCTTTCCCGAGCATGTCCACACTACTGTCTTCCAGATCTTCATCCATCTCGTCCTCGCCCTCGTCCTCGTCATCCTCAATATCGTCGTCCTCGGTTGCCCATGGCTTGAATCTTTGGTTCGGGTGTGCTGTGTCTGGGGTAGGCGCAGCACTCCTAACCCCACGTGACTCAAACTCGAGGCGGGAGTAGGGCGTCATTGGAACTTGGCTGTTAGGAGCCATATCTACATCCTCTCTAGGTTGGTCGTCATTGGAGGCGTCGAAAAAGCTAAAGGGTTTCGGGTTTGATGGTCCTTGATTGGCAGTAGTATCCGCGTCGGCTTCTTTCGGCCGTTTGTACAGGGCCTCTAATGGATGTACATGGGGCTCCTTGGGTGTTGCTGGCGGAATTTTGATGCTTAAACTCTTAGCGGAGCTAGACGATTTGGGCCGCGACGGATCAGAATTGGCCAACAAAGAGGATAACACCGGCTTCGAGTCTCCTTGAGCGGGCTGAGAACTTGTTTCGCCGCTGGTTACGGGAACGTCTTGTTCTGGGCTTTCCCGGGATGGCGACGTATCTCGGCTAGAACGCACAGGGCTCCCAGACTGGCTCCCCTCGGCTGCTTTTTCGGCACTGCTGTTTGCTTCTTCATCATCCGCCGATCCAGCTCGAGGGGGTGTGTTTCTTGCTTGCTCTTGAGCTCGCAAACCAGCAGCCACCGCTGATCGGGTCTTGACGGTCTCAACGACATTGCCGTCCTCGTCGACCCAGCCTTTTCTGTCGACAAACTCAAGAGGAGGCCCTGACGGGCTAGAAGATACTGCAGCTTTGAGAAAAGATGGGAATTTGGCAGTCTTCTCGAATTCGTGTACCACAACCTCTCGAGATTTGCCCTTCTTCCTGGGGACAGCATCGTTGAAGTCGGGGGATGCAGAAGCGTTCGCGGGCAAAATGGTCTTCACTAAACATTCGGCATGATCGGTATGCTTGGATTTGACCCGCTTCTTCTCCTTCTTCTCCTTCTTCTTGTCGCGCTTGTCTCGCTTGTCTTTCTTATCCTTTGGCTGGTCCGGAGTGGTCCATCCTCGTTTGACTTGTCTCCCCTCTTCCAGAACAACGCCGGTTATCTCGTCAGCGCCGCGCTTCCGTTTCTTTGGTTTGAGCTTGTCTGCGGTCCCCTTGTCCTTTGCCCTGTTAGCAGCCTTTTCGTCCGCCATCGCTTCGTTACCGAGGGGTACCAGGATGCGGGATGGCCTTGCGCGTTCAATGCGGATCTTGACCCCTTTAACAACGGCGCCGTTGAGCTTCTTCCTTAGCTTCTCTGCGTCCTCGCCTGGTAGGTCCAAGAAGCCGTAGCGCCTGTCGGGGAAGGTATCGATCGAGTGGTATGAAATGTTGCGAGCTTTTGGGAGGAGGGCTGAGGATAGCAATACCTCGAGTAGATCGGCTTCTAGAGGCGTAATGTGCAGTCGGGTGTATGAAGAACTGTCGGAGGTCTGCGAGATTGAGACCTTTGATTCTCTAAGCATATCGCTCATGGTTGACAGAGTCTTTGCATCCCCTGCGGTGCTCTGAAATTGTTCGCTGTTTGGAAATGTTCTGCTGTTAAGCAAGCTCTTCGTTTGGCGAGGTGGGGTTGCAAGGAACCTCTGTTACCGTTGCAACTGCTTGCCACCTGGCAGACCATCCTGACAGCTGTCTCGGATATGCCAGAAAGCTCCTCGTAATTTCAAGTTGTTTGAGCAAGCACCTTACCTGAGTACGTAATACGGATACGGATAACTTAGAAAAGACTTCACGACCATTATTGCTAGGGAGGTTTCCATAATTTTGCCTAATTGCAGCTTGATCTCTCGATATTTGAGCTTGGTACCTTCTCAGGCCCTTTTACGTTCAATGCGGGTTACTATACTCAGTACGGAGTAGGTGGTTTGTCAATCCCAAGCTTTGCCGTTCTGGTGATGTATTGCGCCTGGGTCGTTCAGTCAAACCTGGAAGGAACCGCCAGGTCAACCAAGATTTGTGATACCTCACTTATAGCCATTATAAATGAGAACTGCAGGTGACAAAGGTGGTTGTAGCCGTTCTCCCGTCGTCTCGTGATTAGGCGGGTACATAAAATAAAGTAGTAGCTAAGGGCAAGTACAATCCGACCGCCTCTTTCTTTTCTGGTTGCAAGTGTACAACCTAGGGAAGTGAGAATAGTATCAACTGCTCCTTCCGTCTTTTGGGCCTCTATCTCCACTCCATCTTACTGGTACTCTTACTCGAATTCCCGGGGTCACTCCCTCTTCTACCTTATCCTCTACCGAGTTTTCATTACAATAACTTGGTGTCTCTAAAACTTGTACTTCTTTTTTTTGTCCCAGCTCCATCTTTATCGGACATTCCTTGACAGTTTTATCCAACTATTACACTCGATTACCCTGTCAAGCTCTCGGCCATTGTCGACTAAAGCGGCTTTCTAGATTACGGACTGCCCAGTACATTTCGCAACCCTCGAACATCATGTCAAAAACCACGGCCGGCGCCTGTTCCCCATGCTCGGCTCGCATTGACAACAAGCCCGCACCAAGCTGTCATACAACCAAGCCCGTCCAGACCAAAGTCAGTCCGCCTGTAGATTGCCACAGCGGCAACAACCTAGCATGTACCGACTCGCCACAGCTTCTTTGCAGCCAAGACACCAAGAACTCCCAGCGGCCTAGATGCAAACCCGACTTGACCGGCAATTTCTCGAGCAAGCAAGATGTATCAGATCAGGGAGGCTGCGGCGTAGGCGGTGTATGTGGCCTCACAACCAAGGACAAGTGTGGACAGGGCCATTGTGAAGATGGCAATAAATCGGAACTTGGCGACTGTCATAGTGGATGTGCTTGATACCGACACCTATAGTTTGAGTCAGGTGGCTGAGGAATTTCAGGGGGGCGGTGTCTCAACCGAGACGTAATGCCGTGAATTGGCGAAGGCGGAACGTATCCACGAGCAAGAGTCGTGAATTGCATTGGTATCCTAGATTACACGAAGCTAATATACCCTAACCGACGAGATCAGCCTTACCGCCTTCCGCTTCTCAGTGCTGCATGCTTGCGGTGACTAGTTACTCAACAGCGCGTGCTCTATTACTCACATACGCAGTACTTGGTGGAAATACAATCAAGGAATCACGCGCACAAGACATAGACAATGTCCAAAGTTATGTCGCGAACATCCCCCAGTTATGGCGACCAAGAAATCGACGAAGTAGAACCCACCTACCAAACTCAACTCGGAACTAGAGTGAGCACGTGGGGGAAGCACTGGCTTCTCTTGAGGGAATGTAATGCATATACGTATACATCATTGGGGTTTCTGAGCCCATATTCCAACTCTGTACGGTTGTTAGTCTAGCCTTTAGCGCGCGCCTGGTAGAAGGTTAGAAACACTTGCATTGTAATGAACGCATGGATCTTCCGGTCTTGCATGTCTCTCCTGACGTCGACGAGCAGTTTCTCGACATCTTCTGGCTGCCAGCCGAGCGACCTGGTGAACACAGCCATGGTGAGTCCGTCCACGCCTTCCAGGTTGTTTGTCATCTGCATAGCGCCAATCATTTTCTCGTTTCTGCCTTTTGCCCATGGGTTCATAGGCACAGGAAATCTCTTTTCGACGATGTTGACGAACCCCTTCTCCTCCATCCACTTTTTGTAGCGTGTGGCCGCAGTAGCGTTGCGACCCATCTTGCGGATGCCCTCGAGGAGAAGTAAGTTCCATCGTTGCAGAGCTGTTCCTTCAACCGTCCCGTCAACGCTCTTGAAGTCGATCACAGTCTCCTGGAACTCAACCCAGCCACCAGGGTTAAGGTTATCAAATATGGACTGGAAGAGATGGTCAAAGTTTTTAAGAAACGCACATAGATGGCGTCCGTGGATGTAGTCAAACTTGGAGCTGTAAATCCATTCGTCCTCAACGTCGTCAACTTCAAACCGGCAGTTGGGTGGGAGGTACTCGGGTTGAATTGGGCTAAGGTCAGTGCCAAGGACGTCCGAGTCGGGGAACTCCTCCGCTTTGTACTTCTTTTAGTATGACGAGACTGAAGAGAGCGATGCTGGACTAGGTGACCTACCGAATTCGATGGCCCAGATTCCCGTGCCCGTTCCAATATCGAGCACACGGCGGGGCTTATCTAGGGGTGCAAGCCCAAGATTGCCTTTTAGCAGCAACTTGGCGATGGCGTGCTGAAGATCTAAAGTAGTAGGCTGGTTAATGATCATTGATGAGAGAATTATGGTACAGGTAGGGTCTGACCTAATCTGCTTTGCTCTTTCTAGACAGGGAGTTAGTAGGGAATTGATGTAAGTGAGGGAGGGGTTGGTATGGGTCTATCTCACTTCATCATTGGGGAGAAAGTATTCTGCATTGAATGAAAGGTTAGATTTTTGAGATACGACATCTGATGGCGACGGGGATAGGGGCCTTGGCGCCAAACTTACTTCCTTGCTTGTAGCGATGAAATGTTCGGCCATTTTCCTCGACAAACTCGTACACGCTAGAGCTGACAGAGACACTCGAGGATCTGAGGCAGCTCGAAGGTCAGCAGCTTAAACCACCCGTAACGAGAGCCCAGTTTACTTTTAAATTGCGCGTTGCACGACCGGACTTACACTCTGCCCCCATCACCATACGTGCTGTTATCGTCGTCTTGGTCCACCTGGCGCCCGTGGTCAGCTGCTTGTCCGTTTCAGATCGAAAGCTTGAGACCTGAAGCCTGGTGTCATAGTCGGTAAAAACTTTAGGCTTACACTTAGGTTGACAGAGAAATTGCTCATGGCCCCGAGAGACTCAGAGCGATGTTCATCCCCGGCATGCAGCCCAGCAGTTGGAGCATCGGCCAAGTGCTGGGTCTCGGCAAGGGGCGGGCCTTCGCGATCTAGCGCTTCATCCTTGTCCTTGGCGCCAACATGGGGTTCGCCCTTAGGACTGGAGTCCATCATTCATTTGGCTTCTGTGGTAGTGTGCACTACCCGGCGCGTGGAGCCCTGGCGTTCGCTGTTTCTAGCCGACGTGTGCGTGATTGCAGAAGAAGAAGAAAAATAAGAAAGGGGAGAAAGGCGCCCGGGTACGGACCATCTACTAGAGAGCAAAATAGAAAGTGTCTACCGAGGGGAGGGGGGCGATTGAAGCTGCGACTTACCTTACCCGCCCTACCTACCATTTAACTTTACTCCGTTCCGTTCCTTAGTTTTGCTGCCTGCGTCGTATTGCGTAACCCCTCAAAGAAACTGCCGCAGACCATATCACAGCTAAACTGTATCTGTAGGCGGGCGGCCAGGCTTTTTGAAAGCTGCCTGCCTTGTGTTTGAAGAGGTCAGCTCGGACTTGAGGGACATCCTTCGTGGAATGGAAGGGGCTATAGCGCGTATTTCTGCAGATATCGTCAGTGACGTCTACAATTGTAGGCACCTATGAGGATACTTCATTGCATTGCACCACGTAGCAAAGGCTTGGTGCTCCAGCCAGTCCATGAGCACAAATGAACAGCTCGGATTTCATCTGTTTGATACACAGCGGCTCTATTACATGGGAATTATTTGTTTCGGGCGACTCGGGGCATTTTAACCATTAGGAGGGGAGTTAAAAAAACACAGTAACAAGCACAACAGCAAGCCCCCAAAGCCCTCGTTTCCTGCATACGCCTTCTAGTGTATCCTTTCAATTAGAACAGGCCTTTATTTGCGGGTTTCTGGGCTGGAAAAGCGAGCCTCGCCTCCAGAGGCTTTCCACCAGACATCTCCTCCCCATCGGAGCAGCCGTTCTGCTGCCCCGGTCGGGGTGATGGCAGGCCGGACGTCAAGAAAGAAGACAGGCTCGCCGGTCTCCTCCGGCGGACCAGAGTAGTAGTCGATCACGTAGCGCACTTCTTTGGTCTGGCCGTTGACATTTCGAGACACGTACCAGTCGTGGCGATCGAAGGGGGGTTCGGTTCTGGCAGTTAAATATTAGCATCGCAAGCGCAAAAGTGGCCGCCATCTGTCCCGGCCTTGGGCTTCACATCGCACTCACCCAAACATGGACGGATACAACCAGCCCGCCACCTGCAACATTGCCGCCTTGGGGGTCATTTCCTGAGGCCTCCCTTGGAAACGAACCAGTTTCGGCTGCTCTGGATACCCGCCCTCCTGGGATTCCAATCTCCTCAATACCATCGGCGCATTCTCCTCCCCGCGCTTGCTGATCTCCCAACCTCGCGAGAGGCCTTTCCCAAACCATCGTTCCCATTCGACGATCTCGGCCCAGGCGCCTTCGTTCAAGAAATTGTGGACAGAAACCATGCTCTCAACTGCCGTGATGTCGGTATCCGTGTGGCCCTTGCGCAGCAATGCGTTGTACATCTGCTGTGGCGAAGGATACTCCCAAAAACCGTCACCAGTGCCCTTAGGAATCGACGAAGGCTCGCGCGACGTGGGAAGAGCCAGAGTCTGATTAGGCGCTGGCGCTTGCGATATGGACTGGAACATATAGTTGAGTGGGTTGAGCTTCGACAAGGTCGACTCCTCTTGCTCCGCTAGGGCCTCGCGGTCGCCATGCGGGACTGGGCAGGATGACGGGGGTGCTGCAGTCGCGGGCCGTTGGTATGACGAGGAGTTTAGAGCATCGGTAGTGCGCTTATGCATAGGACAGCTAGGCTGGAGGACGGGTTAGCCAGAGCTGCGGATCTGGCTGGTGACGCCAAACTTACTGGAGGCGAGCCATCTCCAGCGCCTTGAGAGTGCCTTGGCACAGCAGGTCGCTGTGATGGCGACGAGGAAGTGGCTGCTACATCGGCCCAAAACCAACCCATTGCGACGGGTTAATGGGGTTAACACGAGAAATGCGAAGTTACTGGCAACAAGAAGTAGATGGTTGCGTGGGGACACGAGCAAAGTTAAAGACGGCCTCGGATGATAAAGTTTTTTAGGATGCCACGCCTGTTTAAGCTTCGACGGGAACGCGCAGTGTTCCCAGCTGAGAATCCCCACCCCGCCTTGCCAAAATGAAGTGGGGACGCCGTACTCTGTACCGTACCTCGGACCTCATCTACATACCTATAACAAAGGTAAGGTACCTACCATCAATTCTTCCAGTTATCGCCCTAGAATAAAATTGAAGAGGCCGCTCTCTAATGCATTAATGATATCTACCTACATACCTACCCACCTAGATACTCCAAAATAGGAAAACAAATTATGCGAGTTTTGCAATATACCCAACCCAATTCTCCGGAATGCGCGTGTTTGGCCGTTCTAGGTACTAAACTGAACCGCGGGCTTTCAGTGCTTATTAGTCTGTTGTGAAAGAATCCACAGAATCCCATGCTACATCGTTCTCACCCTCTGTAGTCAAATAACGTGCAGCCAGGCTAGGTACACATCACACAACTATACATTCGGAGCCAGGAGATCGTACTTGACGCAGCGTTCGACCTAGAAGTTGAGAATTTTGTTAGGACCAGTTACTGAATCGGCTTGTAAGAGGGGGTGGGGGGTGATCTCACATCTTCAATGCTGGCTTGCATAAATCGTCTTGTTTCGAGGCCAACCCAGACCATCAGCATGGAGAAATCGCCCTCCCTGACCATGTCTTTACCGCTCTGTGCGCCGAGCTGCCTCAGTATCGGAAGGGAGCTGCTCAGCAGATCGACATCTGGATCTAGACTGCGTCCAATCCCCTCGAGCAGGAAGATGCTGATGACCACGTTGACAAAGTCTCCTTCCATACGGACATGATGCTGTCGCACCATACCTAGAACCTGTTGTAAAATATCGGCGATCTTAATATTCCCGAGAGCAAGCGTTTGGCTCTTTACTCCTAAAACGAGATGCTGCATCTTTAAGGAGAATACCTCTTCGTCGAGGACGGCATCCGGCTGTCGACACCGCTCGCACATGAGATGGCCCGCCTTGTAGCCATCAAACTCGGCGACGGCGCGGAAAAGGTCTAAGAAGTTCCGTCTGTTGGTGGCATTGAGTTCTGTTACGAGCCCCGTGTCAATGAAAATCAACTGGGGACGAAAACCCTCGTGGTCGATCTTGGCCAGCTCAGCCGCCCAAAGCTCTTTTTTGCCGCGGTATGGACGCAGCCGAGAGAGGACTTCCTCAGTCACATCTGCCTGCTGTTCTGGTGGCGGGCTTTCGCGCTTGCCGCGTAAGCGGAGATTCAGGCTGGGCTGCTCAGACTGGTAGAACCGTACCATGATGTTCCCAGGATGTAAGTCGGCGTGCACAAAGTTATCCAACAGAAGCATGCGGAGAAAAGCGTCAAGACCTTCGGAGGCGATGTCTTGCTGGAAAGGGCCTCCGCCATTCGCCATGAAATCGGCCAGAGGGATGCCGTGAGCGAACTCCTCCACAAGCACGTTCCGAGTGCTGAATTCGGTATGAGGAAAGGGAAACCAAGCGGTTGTTCTATCCTTGAAGTTCTTGCGAAAGAGTGACAAATTGGCTGCCTCGATGCGGAGGTCGAGCTGCAGCTTCATCATCTCCCCAAACTGGTCAACTTCGTCGGGAAGTGAGAGCCACTCCATAGTCGGTATTGCGTTGAGCAAAGAGGCAAAAAACCGCATGATGCGAAGGTCTCGCCTCACTATTCGTTCAACTCCGGGATGAAGTACCTTGATAGCGACATATGACGAAGGAACCCTTTTCGGAGTGCTCTTGAGGACCGACTCAACATTCCTCCGGACGTTGTGGCGGAGATCGTTCACATCATCAAGTATATCAACATCGCCAAGCGATGCCAGTCCCGGCTTGAGCTTTGCCTTGTAGACCTGGGCAATAGCCCCAACGCCAAGGGGTCTCTCTTCAAACTCCTCAAATATCTCGTCAAATTTACGGCCGTCAAAAGCGGCTCGAACGATGCGCTTCGTGGCATGCAGAGAGTGTGCCGGGGCGTCTGCGTGCAGCTTTGACATGATTTCACATAGCTCGGTAGGGAATATGTCGGACCTCGAGGCAGCCCATTGGCCAAGCTAAGAATGGACATGTGGTCAGCAATGAAACCTAGCTCTTGGGGCAGGTTGCGGCCTTACTTTGATGAAGGCTGGGCCTGCCCACTCCATCGCCTTGACTAGAAATCCATACCACCACAGCGTCCCCGATCGTTCATTTTCGCGCGACGGCTGACGCCTGCCAATCCAAATGGCCGGCACCGTGAGTATGACAGGCACAAATATGGCGGCTAGCTGCAAGAAGCGGATGCCGGTGCAGATTGGTTCCCATATGTAAAGGTCTAGAAACAGCACGACCTGGTGCCGAGCCCGGGTCAACCCAGTGTCACTGTCGCGAACCGTCTTCCTAATCTCCTCCCGCGAGACCTGAAGCATGCGCTTCTCGGTCGTCTCTTCGGGGCCCGTATTTTCCTTCTCAGAAAGTTCAACGAAAGCGGCAGCCGCCAATGCGATATTGGCGGCTGCCATCAGTGTCCGGGACGTGACACGCCCAGGAGGCCATGATCGAGGTCGGGAGTGCGCGGCGCTTCGAGAGACAACAGTAAGCAAGGACGCCCGGGAGGGCCGGAGCGCGCCGCGCAAGGGACTCGGCAGTGGAGCATGGCACCAAGATGCTTCTGCGCGAGAAGACAGGCGGCGCAAGGCGAGAACCAGCCTCATGACGCCGCGGCAGCTGCTATTGCGAAACTATGTTGTTAGCTGACGCTCACGGCATTCTCAACCTTACTACCGCCAGGAAATTTTCAGCGTAGTTCCCAGGCGCATTGGGGTGCCGGTTGCGGTTGCGGTTGCGGTTGCGGTTGCGGTTGCGGACGGGAGTTCGGGGGAAACCTAGGCGTCGCTTGGCAAGCGCGCGCTGTGACGTCGTTGACTGACTGGGTTCCATATTGCTGCAGTGGAAGCCAACAGGACCCAAAACCAACACCGCGATCCTGCGCTAGTTTCCAGTTGGTACCACACCGTGCCCGACCGATATGCACTGTATTATCCGTAACTCGGCACCCATACGGGAACAGGCAACAATACCGAGGCACAATAGAAGACGTACGGAGAATACCTTAGCATCGTATCTTGAAACAAACCCGCCCGCCTTTTCTTGCAAACTCCACTTCTAACATAATGCTTAAGATTCCATGTTGGAATCGATTTGCAGCTCTTCCACAAAGTGATATACACAAGTTGGCTTGATAACCCGGACGAGCACATACTTATCTTTTCCGCTAGTCTAGGTACGCATGGGTTACTCCGCACTACTCCCCGAATCGACATTGTGATAGGCTGATAGCAAACAACATGTGTGTATGTAGTAGTTTTGCCCTTGGAAATCCTACGATAGCGCCGTATCACCCTTACGCGCAGGCTTGAATTACAACCGCGTTGAAATTGACCTATAAAAATTAGTGTTCCGGAAAAAAGGCAGTTCATATTTTGCACCAGTGGTCACTTACTTGACCCTCGTGGCATTCGTTCGTGATTGGCGGGCCCTCTGTCGTTTTTCCATTCAGCGTGATCGTTACAGGGCCCAGTGTTTGGCAGTCGAACGGCATCTCAAAATACGAGACCCCTATTTCGCTCTTAGTCTCGAAGGTAGTTTTACGACCTCCGATGGCAACTGTGACGGAAGTTGTGCCTTTGGTAGCTGCCATGATTGAAACCACGTCCTTTGCCCCGTTTGCGGCCGAATCCGTGCCGCCTTGTCCCCAGCAGGTGCCTTTCTGCTGTTCAGTCTTCGTGCACAGCTTGAAAGTTGGTTAGAGTGACATATCAGATAGACTCACCTCCGTCAGCTCCAGCCTTGGCAGGGGTCGTGCGATACCAAGCAATTGCGACGTCGCCTCCCTGAAAATCAAATCTGGACGACCCAGCTTTGTATGCGGCGATGAAGAAGGGCAAAACAGCTCTAAATGCCGAATGCGAGTAGCCCGTGACATATTTGTCCGCCCCCCTAACGAGTTGATCCGCCACAGTGTCGCAGATGTAGCTTGACTCACCATAGTCGTTCCCTGGTTGGAATTTTGTTCTCGTGTGAGCATATTGAAACGATGTGTGGTGGAGGCTGACGCCGAACGTACAAGTGATGATTTGAACAAAGTCCGGCATTATTTCCAAAACCTGCTGCCACCGGTCATACCACAGAGAGTGGCTGGGGCAATACCAATTCTTGCTCCATTGGGGCAGATCTGCCCGCATGTCAGCACCATCTATACAACAAGCAATTGCCGAGCTTTCAGACATACTGGTGTAGAAGTAGGGGCTGACCCCCATCATATACTTTTTGCCGTTTAGTTGACTCTTATATATCAAGTCCTCCGTCACTGAAACCTTGCTGTGGCCAGCCTTTGGCCACGCATCCCAGGAGACTAGCTGGAGTAAGCATGGGGGCGTATTTGTTACAGGGCAGATGGCAGGAGTCTACTCACATGCCCCGTCGATAGTATTCAACTTCTGGCCAACTCCATACGGCCCTAGACTAGACCAGTCTGGAATGAGGAAAATACCGCCAGTCTGGTTGCGAACTGTACTCCAGTTCTCGCCCCATCCCGGGCCTTCAAATGTTGATACCAATGGCAGTCCATCGACGGTCATCTGTGCAGTGAACGACTTGTACTCGTTGATCAAGTCAACCACCTGAAAGACTGGCCATTGGCCGGCGGCCATACTAAATAGAGAAAGAAAGTAAGCTGCCATCACGTGAAGTTCCTGAACCTGGTACAGGCACGAGAAGAATTGGAAATGAAAGTTGGCCGGAAAGGAATGGGCTTATGTACTCAAATGAAATAAACAGAACAAAATCTTGTGCCTGGTCAGCTGCAAGATATGCCTGCCTCAGTTGTGTGTTGGTCCAATGGTCAGAAGGGCCAACATTTAGCGCAAACCCATCAATGCCGGCGTCTTTAGCCATCATGATATCATGGTGCCACTGTCCCAACGATTGGTGGCAGGTTATACCTACCTATTTGGACAGAAGTAAGCTAAACACGCTCGTGTAACAACCCACTGGGCCCTCGGCAGGTAGTTTACCATGTAGTGGGCGAACACTTTCCGTCCTGACTTTGACTTTGAGGATGAGTTCCTCTGTCTGAAATCTTTGAATTTGGTGAGAAGCTCCATTGTAGTGGCCTCGAAACTAACTAAAGTCAACAGTTAGCAAGTAGATGCAAACATAAACATGAGGGAGTCTGTTCGGGCTGTCAGAAACGTCTGCTTAGACTGTAGGTCATAGTATAAAAAGCACATATGGTAATTGCGTTTAGGCTTAATATAGAAATCCGGAGGTCTCTTGTATTTAGAACACCAAAGCCCTATCGCCTTCTTTAGCGCTTGCTTTATTCGCCAAAACCCGTGCTAGTCCTCGGTGTTGCGCGTACTATAGCGCGGGTTGACGTTTTTGACAGTATGAACAGAATTCATTTTTGGGGGTTTCAAAACCAGATCGAGATCCTTTAATCTTTGGTAGTTTACTTAAACTGCCCAAAATTATTGGCGTGTCTCACGTTCATAATAGGCTGATACTGTCAGAGAACTTGATATTTCCAAACTTCCTTTGGGATCACTCGATTCCCAATATCCGGTTCTTGGACCCTAGTACTGGTGCCATCTGTTATTATGTCGTGCAATGTGAGGATCTGTGGGGCTAGCTCTTGGGTCATTGTATGCCAAGGTAAATCTCATGAGCGGGGGTGAGCATGGCCGAGGACAGAACTTGAAGCCAGATCAATCAGTTTCAACTTACCCAGGCTGAATTCAGAGGAGTTTGATCTATCCGGGTATGTGTACCGCAAAAGACTCCTTAGTCTAGGCCGCTTCTGTCTAGCAATTGGCGAGTACTCCTTAGCAAAGTAGCATGTTGAAGTATGCAGATGCTAGATCCTGAAGAAACCAACCTGCCGCCTACTTTGTTTAATATTTTGCCCTGTTGATTTAGCCTATGAACTGAGGCGCTAGTTAGACATAGGGTACAGAGAAGCCTGGAATGCGAGCTTACAAAAACAAGTGTCCCGGGTATTCGTAGGTGGAAGCACGAACTCGTGGTACCGCGACTAATGTGAACCGAATATGAACTGAAGAGTCAAAGGTCAAGGGCGGGCTGTGCCGCTGCGCGTATGCCCTACAGTTCGATAAAGGTGGAGCCTGAAATCTGCCGATTTGGTGGCGGTGGGGCAACCGACAGTTGGGCAGCTGGCAAGTACCCACGTACCTGCTGCCACTCGGAATGGAAATTATAGGGTTCCGGAAGCCCTGCAGATTTGGCTCCCACACTTTGATTTTGGGGATTTTTTGCATCTCTTGCCATCCTCGACGCAACGCTCCGAATCTCGACCCTGCGCCCGAACTTCGACGACTCGTCATCACACAGTTGCAGAAATGGATTCTTCCAAGGCCCCCGTCAAGCTTGTCAAGGTCACCCGAGTTCTCGGCCGCACCGGTACGAAAGCCGCCCATCAGCGTCCCTGACGGCCGAATTGCCCTCGCTGACAGCCAAAAAATAGGTTCTCGTGGTGGCGTCACCCAGGTCCGCGTCGAGTTTATGGACGACGAGACCCGTTCCATCATCCGAAACGTCAAGGGCCCGGGTATGCACTGTATTTTCTGGGCGGGGTAGTGGCATATGCTAACCGATTTATGTAGTGCGCGAGAATGACATCCTGGTTCTCCTAGAATCCGAACGCGAGGCTCGCCGCCTGAGATAAAAATTCTGGATTCGCGAGAGAGTCGGGAAGGGGATGCTAGGAGTTGACCACGCCATATCTCGGTCGGTCTTGTTTTGGAGCATTGCTAGGTTGACCTGCCGCGAAGGAGCTGTGGGATATATCAATGGATGGGAGTTCGGTAGAACGGTATCATGAGTCTTGCCTTGCGCAGAATCTCACACAGCGGCCTGGCTTTATCGGTTTTTATAAGTTGCCCCGCAACCTAGGGTTACTGCTATGTTCGGGGGAAACACATCGCATTCGCTGGAGAGCACCAAAGATCCGGGCACGAGAAAATTTGGCTATGAGCATAGCCCTCTTCAGATCCCATTTTGGCAGCCAAGTTCCCTCGCAAAGTCTGGCCACACTGCCAGCATGTATCCCACGACCTAAGACCTTTCTTGTAGACCCAAGATCTACGGGCATCGTGCAGTCCTGGGTGCAGCCCACTAAGTTCCCCTTGGCTATGGGATCGGGGACCAACTGAGCTGTAAAAAAAAATCAACTTCGCGCATGTCTTTCACTTTCGCTCCTAGCTTAATACCTGACATCAGCGTTGACATGTATATGCCTTTCTGGAAGCTGTTACCCTATGCATTTGCAAAGGGGGGCGATGTGGAGTTAACGCGGCCAGGTAACGGACAACAGACCCGGGGTTGTGTCGCTGCCTCTGCCCAAAATAAATCATGAAGTTAACTACAGAGCGCCTGCCGGATATGCGGGATCTTGGTCCAGCTACTGACTGTCCGATGTTCCGTAGCCCGGCTTGACTTCAAGTTGTTCTGAATCTTTTCTTGTATAATACGATTTGTCGATTGACAACGACGAGGGAGCATGTCCATGCCGGCAGCGAGGCACCGTCTTGGCTGTATGCAAAACACACTAACTTCTCTAAGAACCCACCCGCTCCGCTGGATGCTACCTGCCCGTCTCAATTGGGACACAAAGGTCCGTTTGTCCCGGTTTTTTTTTGAAATACGGATCATGGCTCAAGCTGAATTCCGCCAATAAGATGTGGCGGTTTAATTAAACGGGCCTGGCAGCGTCGTTGTCTGCCCGGAACTGAGAACAAGAGGTCTAGCTTTAACTCTAGCGCTGCTAAGGTTTTTAATACAAGTCCACCGAACCGGGGCCGACTAGGTAATTGCCAGCTTGGGTGGGTAGGTACTTAAAGATGAAGCTGCAATGATCATTTGCCCAGCATCCCGGTGCTTACCGTTGTGCCACTTCCAGAGTGAGCGTGAGTACCTATCCATACCTGGCTAATTACTAGGTACCAAGAGACAACTTGGTGAAGACAATGCACACCCTCAGGGCAAAAATGCTGTCTGTCATTCTCTTCACGGCCTTCCTCGCCCGTGGTGCGTTCTGTGCGTTTGGATACACGTCATCTGGTGGTAACTACGTTGTTGATGCTGGCTCAGCCAATACACTGGTCTTCTCTGTGAGCCAGTCGAGCTGTGACATCAAGTCAATCAAATACCGCGGCACCGAGCTTCAGTATTACAGCGCTGGTACACACGTCAACTCGGGCCTCGGCTCGGCGACTGTTTCCATAAGCCAGATATCTGGCTCGTCCAAATACATCAAAATCACCTGCGTGACCAGCACCTTGACGCATTACATGGTGGTTCGCGAGGGGGACAGCGCCATTTACCTGGCGACGTACATCACGGCCGAGCCATCGATTGGGGAACCTCGGTTCATCGCTCGTCTGCTGCCGGACAAGCTGCCTAGTGAATATCCATATGGGGATGTTTCAAACACCAACGGCGCCAGCTCGGCGGTCGAGGGCTCAGATGTTTACATTGTCAACGGCCAGACACGCTCCAAGTTCTACTCGTCCACACGCTTCATCGACGAGGACTCGCATTGCGTCTATGGCGGAGGCGACATGATACACGTATGCATCATGACGCCCCAGCAAGAGTCTTCGTCGGGCGGCCCATTCTTCCGCGATATCAACTCCAACAATGCCGGCGCGTCCACCAATCTCTACAACTACATGAACAGCGGCCATGTGCAGACCGAGGCGTACCGTACCGGCCTGCATGGGCCCTATCTGATGCAATTCTCGCGCTCTGGGATCCCTGGCGTGAAGGGCGTGGACGTCTCTTGGTTCGGAGAGCTCGGTGTAACGGGCTATGTTCCCTCATCAGGTCGTGGAACGGTCTCTGGCACGGCAACCGGCGTGCCCAACAATTTGCAGGGCGTAGTTCATTTTTACAATAACGCGGCTCAGTACTGGGCCAAGACAGGCTCCGGTGCGTCCTTTACGTCGCCTCCGATGAAGCCGGGTACCTATACAATGGTGCTGTACCAGACCGAATTCAAGATTGCCAGCACCTCAGTTACCGTCTTGGCCGGAAGGACCACTACCGCAAACATTGCCAGCACCTTCAAAACCGCCTCCAAGTCCGTCTTTAAGATTGGCGAGTACGACGGCCAGCCAACTGGCTTCCGAAACGCGGACAAGTTCCTCCGCATGCACCCGTCAGACAGCCGAATGAGCAGCTGGGGCCCGTTGACATATACCGTTGGCAGCTCGTCTCTCTCCGACTTCCCCATGGCTGTTTTCCAGAGCGCCAACAGCCCCGTAACAATCAAATTCACTCTGGGGAGCGCACCGGGGGCTGCGACGCTACGCATCGCCACAACGCTCAGCTTTGCAGGCAGCCGTCCTCAGGCGACGGTCAACGGCTGGGCCGGGCCGACGCCTGGCGCTCCAAACAAGATCGACAGCCGAGGTGTCACTCGTGGCGCATACAGGGGCTACGGCGAGATTTACGAAGTGAACATTCCTTCCGGCAAGCTCGTCGCCGGCAGCAACACCATCACCATTAGCTCACTGTCGGGAAGTAGCGGCACCACATTTTTGAGCCCCAACTTCGTAAGTTAATTCCTCCCGGTCTATCCGTGTTGACTATCTAGCTCCTTTGCCATTTGTTAATACTTGGAATAGATTTTCGATTGTGTTGAGCTATTTACAACATAATTAGTCTAATGGGGGAGAAACTATTTTGCAACCACCAGCTTATGCCGTGATTAGGATGACACACAGCTATCTAGTTATTTCACTTTAAAGTCTGAACCGGGTTATTAGTTGCAATGCCAGGAAATTCGATTTTCTTCCCGCAGCACACCCGGTCCCCTGCCCCCGAGAACTTCGAGGGAAATTCTAGCAATTATAATTTTATATAAACATCATAGTATCGCTCCACACAAGGTTTTTATAGTATATCTAGAATAGTTAGGGTGGCTCGAAATACCAGTACTAGTCATTGTGCAAAACAGTTATGCTAGCCACCACGTGGTTCCGGTTAAGCCCAGAACCTCCCCAGGGCCCTGAATGACACATGAGTTCTGAAATAATAAATAGCAATAAGGTGTCTATGCTTGGGTAAAGTCTTCAAAACCTTCTTCTTGGAACCCGATAACATTCAAATTAGGCGCAACAATGCCACAATCAAACGTTTAATTACATGAGCAATTCCTGCATGACAGGCATCCGTTCCATCTTATGTTACCATCAGATAATCTGGACTCTGGAACCACATAACTAATTAACCAGGCGGGTAGCAGCGAACCCGACTAGAAAAGTTCGACTTGCTATTCGAGGACCCGACTTTGAAATTATATAGGCTGGTCAGGCTCCAGATCCGCGTGATTGGCCTGAGATGTTTTTTGGCACGAGGCCGCGAGTATCGTCAACGTCTTGGTCAAGAAGGTGGGTCGGATAGACGGCAGGGTTTCCCCCGAACAGGACGTCCATATCTTCGAGTCGACGCCCGTTTGTTTCGGGATACAGAAGGTAGATGATTGGAACACATATCAGGTTTATGGCCATAAAGAAGAAGTAGATTTTGGAGCCGATGGTGGCAATTCCAATGGGCCTTCACAGTTAAGTTAGCTCACCTTCCACAATTTCAACGTAGCATCACATGGTACTGGACCTGTGTGTTTTGGAACCCATGCCACCTCAAGATGAATCTATGCTGGGAAAGGGTGGGCGTCAAAAGCGTGAGCTAATTAGACACATACCAGATTTGTGCAACCACAATGGAGCCGATGGCGCCGGCTGAGGCAGCAAAGCTGAGTCCACGAGCACGGGCTGCCGTGGGAAAGATCTGAATAGCTTGGTGCTTGGTTAGCCGGAGTTCCAATCACTATTGGTTGTACGCGTGCCGCTCTGACCTCAGATCCGTAGACCCAGGCTGCCGGGCCAAACCCCATGCTGTACCCAAGCGAGTAGATGAAAACGAAGACAATACAGGTGTAATCTGAGGCCCTGTTCACGTTATTTGGGTAGACTAGAGGAAGGGCGCCATTGATCTAATATGTCAAACGTACGAGCGTTAGCAGGCTTTTGTGCTAGACGAGGAGGGGGTCATATAGCAATCAAGCTTCCCTTACCAAGAGTGCAAAGGCCATAACGGCGGCGCCCACTACAAGCGTGAGTCTCCGGCCAAACTTGTCAATGATCACCATCTCCAGCACAGTGCACCCGATTTTTAGCGTGCTCTCAATACCGCCGGCCAGCAACGACAGCCGAGAGCCGAGCCCTAGCGCTTTGAAGAGAACCGGCAGATAGTACTTCATAGCCGTAGCACCACACATTTGAGCCATAAACTGCAACAGGGTAGACCGCCATAGCCGGGCAAAGAGGCTGGGGTCCGTGAAGAGCGAGATCCAAGTCAGACCTGAGGCCTTGAAAGCAGCTACCGAGTTCTCGATTTCGGCCAATTCGGCTTCAACTTCATCGGCACTGTAATAGCCCTCGCGGTAGAACTGGAGCGTTTTTGAGGCAGCGGCACTCTGGCCGTGCTCTACAAGCCAGCGAGGCCTTTTCATTATTGTCAAGTCAGGAGGGGTCTAAGTATTGCGGGTAGTTTTATGGGGGTACTTACGACTCGTGCATGAATGGGAGACCCAGGACGAAAAAAAAGCCAGGGATGAAAGAGATGGCAAGCGACAAGCGCCATCCCATTTCGTGGCCGTTTGGGGTGTCCCAGAATGTCACGGCGTAGCCGACCCTGCAAGGAGGTGGTGTCAAAATCACCGAGACCAAGACCAACAGGACGGGGCAGGGCGGGATGATTATCTGCATACCAGAAGCCCATGGCGAGGCCTGCAACAAATCCAATATGATTCATAACGACATATTTACCGCGATGCTTGGCCGGAGCGATCTCACTAAACGAATTAAATATAATCGGTCAATAATTTTGACTGGTCTGTTTGTGAGCCCAGGTCGATGGATAACACTCGCCTTTGATAAAGAGGCACGCTGGTAGAGATGATACCGGTGCCCATGCCGGCGATGATACGGCCGGCAATGATCATAGCGAGAGCGCTGGGTCCGGAGGCACCCACTTGGAGTGCCTGACCAAGACACGTCACGAACATGCCGGTCAGGGCAGCATAGCGGCGGCCAAGTCTGTCTGCAGCCGGGTGGGCAAAGAAGATGTAGCTGGTCCAGGTGCCAAGGTAGTAGATGGCCGTGATCAGGCCGCTCTTGGAAGCGTCGGGGTTGTCGAGTGTCTCCTTGAAGCCAGGATGCACCAGGACCGATGCCAAGACGCCGACGTTGTACCTGAGAGACGCAAGCAGGCCATGGCAATTAGCTCATCCGACCCTGAGCAGTCTAGCTAGGTATAATCATGACGGCCCAGTCCGGGCTGGACCGAGGTAGATAGTTTCTTACCCCCAGACAAAAGAGCCAAGCGCGAGAAAAAGACAGAAACAGTGGAGGCGCCAGGTCGCCTTTGAGACGCCCATGCCCCAGCTCGTCTGCCAAGCCGGCATGTTATTGATATCGGATGACGTCGGGGGAGGATGCTGGCAAACGGGGGACTGTGGGATCTCTCCCTAAATCTAAATAACTTGTGCAGTATGCGCCGTCGACTGTAGACGGTTGATGAGGGAAAAGAAAATGAGAAAGAGCGACGTCTGCTTCTCTAGCTTCGCTATCCTGCTACAGAATCTGGACACAACATGCTCATATGGGTGACACTCGCACATCTTAGCTCCCTCTAGCCCCCTCACTGCTCACGCGGCAGATGATCGAGGCCGGATTTCGGCTCTCTGAGACCACTGGCTGCAAGTTGTGCTGCGAAATGGTGTGCCAAGTACCCTCCCGACCTACCAAGCCTGGCAGGTCTGCAAGTTCTGTCCTACCACTGCGTCGTGGGGCAGGTTGATCGAAGCTGCGGGGTAATTTGTTGAGGAGTCTCCGTCGGTCCCTTCCTAAAAGGAAGATCAGGGAGAGGTGGCCAGCTAGAGTATCTAACCCTAATCCCTGGTCTAGGCATTCGTGACCATCCACAACTGCATGACGAGGACTTGGAATCTCGGCGCGGCAGTTGCCAATAAACATCAAATTTCTTGTGAGATTTTACGGAACTTATGCACTCGCAGCTCGGCCTTGCATCAGAAGCTGTTGAGCTCCCATCATGCCTCTCCAGCTCGGCACTGCATCTATTCGGAGCCGCAGGGGTGCTGCCCATTTCGGACCCGGAGAGAAGTGATTGGATTTAATTTATTTTTGGCGCCACGACCAATTCCCCTGCGCGTCCAAATCGGATCTTACCCAGTAGGTCAATCTCGCTTTCACCCCATCTTTCTGGGGCTTGACGTATTGCTGAACTGTCTTAATTATTCGCATCGCACGGGATGAAAACTTGCTATGTAACTCTCTTCTCTCATTATAAATGCAGATGCTCCCTGGCCTAGGTGGAAATGATGCTGGTGAGTGAGGTTACGTACCTTCAGACCCAGGTCTAGTTCTCCATGTCTCCTTGACGACCCACTGACGATCTCGAGGCAGCTCGCTCAAGCCAAGACGGCATCCGCTTTCCTCACATGATGTTTGGCCGATAATACGATGAGCTGCAAGCTCTGGACGCAAACGAAGCAACGTCAAGAAATAGTAACATGCAGCATCGGCAGAGTCGTGAGCGGAGCCAACAGCGCGTCGCTGGCGACAATGGGCCGCCCAGGCGAAGACAGCCCGATGTCGGCTGGCTTGACCTCCCGAACAAGGACCAGCTCTTTATCTTGGCCATGTGCCGCCTCTCGGAACCGCTGTCGAGCGTCTGCCTCCTGCCGTACATCTTCTATCTTGTCCGTTCAGCTCTGCCGCGAGAGTCGCCGTCTCCGGGCACGGACAACAGCACCGGCAGCTCCACGGACAGCTTTGGTAACCATGCGGCTAGGATCTCGGCCTATTCTGGACTGCTGGTGGCGTCCTTCCCCTTGGCCCAGTTTGCCGTCTCGCTGCCTTCGGGACGGCTATCTGACGCACATGGATGCAAGCTGTCCATCGTTACCGGCCTTCTAATTTCCGTCGTCGCAAACGCGGCTTTTGGATTCAGTCGATCGTTTGGCGCCTTGATATTCTGGCAGACCCTGTCAGGCTTAGCCAACGGCAACGTCGGAATCATGCGCACCATGACGGCTGAGATCGTGAAGGAGCCCAGGTTCCTGACTCGAGCCTTCCTCCTTCTCCCCCTCGTCTCCAATTCTGGAATGTTTGCCAGCCTCGCATTAGGCGGGATTCTCGCCGACCCTGTCATCAACCTTGCATGGTTACTTGGCCCCGACGGTCTCCTAAACCTGAGTCACGATAGTCGGGGAGTGCAATGGCTCGCTGAGCATCCATATGCGCTCCCGGCCCTGATGAATGCCTCGTTGCTCGCCTTCGCCCTCATTCTCGCCATACTGTGGCTTCGTGAGACTCTACCGGGAAAAGAGGATGCGCGGGACGTTGGCCTTCTCACAGGCCTAGAAATTAGTCGTTGTATCAGACGAAATATTCTTCGTCGTCAAGACCAGCCATACATGTCACTGAACATGGACGAAGACGACTTGTTTAATTCGCGCCAAGGCCGCCATCAAACCCAATCTCTGGTGGAACTCGAAGAGATGAAGGAAGCCAGAGACATAGTTGCTGTACTGGAGATACCCTCCCCGACTCCCGGCAACATGCTGGCTAGCCTAGCCAGGGCTGTCGGACCGGTCGCTGGGGGTGCAATCTACGCCGCTGGAATTACGGAGGGCGTCGTGGGGACTGTCTGGTGGCTTTACCTGGTGGTCATTTGCATCGCTGCTGACGCCTGGTGTTTTGGTGTTCAGGGGCCCAAAGAAAAGGAGCTGAACGAGTGATGAGGAATTAGATGGCTGTAAATTTTTGTATTTCTCGACGTTCGAATCATGCGCAATGCCCAGATGGGCTAGAGTAGAGTTAGAGTAGATTTGGTATATCAGCAGGCCAGGCCAGGATAGGATAGAATAGGAATAGAATGTAAGGTTATCTAAGCAGCCGGATTAGCACATTTGATATTTAGAGCTAGGGTAACTAGTTAGTGATGTAATTAATTACCGAATTATATCCGACATAACGCGTCATCTGCCTCTTGCCATCGTTCGCTTCCCACACATGGGGTGCACCACAAGACGTCGTCTGGATCCACAGCACGTTTGATTTTCAGGAGGCGAGGGTAGTTGTCACCCCAGAACGTGCTCTGCCACTGTGGCTCGTAGCGATCGGCCTGTGAGTTGTGACGAGGACATGTTAGCAATGTAAATGGAGGCGCGGCTAGTTAGTGAGGCTGGAGCTTGAACACCTGCCTCGTTCACATAGGCCCCCATATGGGGGCTCAACTCCCGTAGTGCCTCAGTGAGGACGTTGGTTCTCGCTATGGCTGCTGCCTTTGCTGTCGCGTTTAGAGAAGCAAAACTCACGCTAGCGGCTGCAAGGCAGAAAGCAGTAGATTGCCCTGATTAGCTTGGGCCTTTCTAAGTGGGACTTGACTGAAGAGCTAGGTTCGGCAGCAGCTGCAGTTTTACTAGCACTTACTCGCGTGAACACATGTTCTTCTCCACGCAGGATTTACGGCATTGCTGCCTCCCCGAGGCTGGGCGTGCCACACACCCTTCCCCGAGACCATGTACACGGTGGCCTGGCCGCCGTCGGCAAACCTCTCCAACGCCAGCTTGGTTGCCGTGGCGTTGGCTGTCAGCGAGGGCCCGTCGAGCAGGCGCGAGCCCATGATGTTTTCGTAGCCCACGGGCGACGGGTCGTAGTTCTCTTCATACCTGGTGTTGTGCGGAGGCTCGGTTAGAGAGAAAAGTAATAATACTTTAAGAGCCATGTGGCCCAGAAGGGGGTGCGTGGGTGGCCTACCAGGCGCCAAACGAAGGGTAGTAGGTTGCGTTGGTATAAAAGACGAAGCCCGGCCACGTGCTGTTGATGTGTGCGAACAGCGGCTCGATCTGGTCCAGAATGTCCGTCTCGTTGCTTGTGTCCAGCATGACCACCTTGCCGACGATGCCGGTGACAAGAGTCTGGCCGCCGCTGAGAACGCCTGGCACCGCCTTGAAGATGATGGGGTAGCCTGAGACGCCCGCGCCCACGAGCCCGGGGAACTTGCCGACAAAGTAGGCGATTGCGTCGAACGCATCCGGGTTTTCTGCCGCCGCGGTGAACTGGAACATCAGGCTCATCACCTCTGGGCTCGGGATCGTCTTCAGTGTGACTGAGGTGAGAACACCGAACGTCGAGCCGCCTCCCTGAAACATGGATCACGATCAGCTCTTTTGGCTTTTTGGTCAAACAGCCACTGGCGTTGACAATAATAACAGGGGCCAACGTACACCTCTCATGGCCCAGAACAAGTCCGTGTTCTGGCACTCGTTGGCGGTCAGGATCTCGCCCGTGGGCGTCACGAGCTCGAGCTCCAGCACCTGGTCGGCAGCCATTCCGTAGCGGGGGGCCAGGATGCTGTGGCCGCCTCCGGTGATAAATCCGCCCAGGGCCACGGTCCTGCCGTTGCCGCCGACGACCGTCTTGTTGACGAGCGCCATGGCGCGGTATGTCTCCATCATCTGGGTCCCTGCCCCTGCCGTAATGGCGTGTCCGGTTATGGTGACGTTGCACCCCCGAGGACGGAACTCGTCGTCGTGCGCCGTGATGCCCTTCATGTGGTGGACCCAGATGGACAGGGAACTGGGGGCGCTCGAGCGGCCAACGTAGTCGTGCCCGCTGTTCTTGACTATGAGCCGGATGTTGTGGGCTCGCGCTGTTTGGTTGTGAGGACCGTGTCGAGAATTAGAAATAGAGATTGAGTATCTGACTGACCAAAGTCAACACCGGCCTTCACATGGTGTGCCGTAGTGGAGTTTATCACAAAGACGGGGTATCCCTCGGCACTGCAGGGGAGCCGCGGGTCTGGCAGACAGCTGTCGTTGCTCCAGTTGTTCCAGATGGGCGACACGGGGTCTTCAGTGTGCAGGGCTTCGGTGAACCAAGACGACTGCACGGCGGCACAGTCGGCGGCGCTGTACGAGATCTCTGCCGGGTGGCATACAGCCCCGGGCGGGATGGGCCGGATCAGCCGCCCGTCAATGGACGCGTTGAAGGCGGCCCACGTCTCTGGTGACGGCCAGCTGTCACTACCCGGTACCGACTTGCACCTCGGTCCAGCGTCGTCCCCATTCGCCGCCCCAATGGCCGAGAAGCCGACGAGGGCGAGCAATAGACAAAGCCCAGCCATGAACTAATCCGGTCTAGACTTGGAACTAGGTAGGCCGCAAAGCAAAGCCTAGCATGTTTCCAGGATGGAAGATCATCACGACATGGTAATTAGAACGGCTGCGTCAGGATATATGGCCGAATAGCTCTCCGCTGCCCATCTCTGCTGTCAGCCGCGATGGCTTTTGTCTTTCGTCTTTCGTCTACTTGCAAATTCGCGGGTGCAGGCTGCCTGCCGACTTCCCATGCCGCGATGTTGCATGTTACTCCTAGATTTATTTTGCCCAGCGGTAAATAATAGCCTGCTATATCCGGAGAGTAGTACCACGTTTCTAGAACCCAGCGGGACTGCCCTTATCTCGGAGATTGCAGCAGAGGGTCTCATTAATAAATAAATGGCCCCAGAAACAATGTTGGTACTTATTACGAGGTCCCATCAACGACAAAAAACATTTATTAAAGGTTTGACTGCGTGCAGCCCACCACTTGCTCTGGGATCAAGACCGACAGACAGAAAAACACACAAGGTACGATGTCAATTTTTCCGTCCTAATCGGTCATAAATAAGCACTTAGAGAAGGAAAGGTCTTCGCTTGCACGTGAGGTCTTGCGATCATGTATGTGGGCCAAGACCCAGCACTACCGGGCCCGGCTATATTTGGAACTCGGGGCCAGAACCTCCAAATGGGTGCCGTCTAGAGTGACGGAACAAGTAAATGCTGACCTATCGCTCTCGGCTTGGACCCCTAAAAAGGTGCCAAGGTAACCACACCTAGGCCTTGTCGCCCTGCTTGCGTCACCCCCTGAGAATGGTCCGTTACCTCGCCCGACCCCGTCTAGATAGGCTCCAATGCACCCGTGACTTCAAACTCGCGCTTCCGCGGCAATTGACAGTCCAAGTGAGCTTTAAGTTTTTGATACTCATTCCGTTCTGTAGCCATCGGAATTGAGGCGATCCCGAGCAGGAGGTCCTCACTGCGGCACAAAAGGACTGAGGTCTCTCCAAAAGTCACATCGCCGGCCCCGGCCGCCCTCCCACTGGTAGGCATCGGCCAGGGTGATGTTGTTGAACATGCCCGGCCCTCTGAACTGCGTCACTGGAATGCCAAGCGGCGAGATTGCCGTGTAGGCTGTGCCTCCCGTCTCGTTGAGATTGACCAGAACCGGGGCGTCCTGGGACCAGAGTGGCCTGGTTGGTCGAGGGAGCCAGTTAGCTTGCTTTGAGTTCCTGTTGCGTTTCGGAAAACACGTTAGACAAGTACGTACCAGTTACTGGCTGGGTTTGGTTTGGTCGGATTCACCGATGACAGGCCGTTTGCATCGATGTTTGTGATTGATGGGTTGTCGTTGATTATAAAGTTCCCATAAATCTCTTAGTTTGTTTCATGCTCTGTCAATATTCACGTCGACACTATTTGGAGTAATCGAGGAGGCCTCTAAACGAGCGAAAACGGGGAAGGAAAAAAGAAGAAAGCACTCACTACGAAAGGCAGTGACAAAGTCTGGGCCTTGGTTGTCCGTCGGCGGCCCGTAGTATGCCGCGATATCCGAGCCGTGGACTGCAAATGGCACCGAATACTGATAGTGGTACGCTTCTCGGCCCTGGCCTGTAAAGGCAGTAGCAAACCAGTAACTTGGGCAGATGACCGACGCCTCGGCATAAATGTTCTAGTTATTTAGCAAGCCGGTTAGCCGCGGCAGTTAAGACAGAGCATGGGGTCCTTGTGGTAAACCCACATAGCATCGCTGTTGCTGCCCCGTGGCGACCTGGCTGATATTCACCGCAGTGCCAGGTCCGTAGCCATCCGTGTCGTACCTGGCGGAAGAGGGATCGACAGGACCCCGGCTGCTTGGGTAGACCGCCAGGATGTTTGTGACGTTTCTGTCGGACAGGTTGGGAAAGTTTGACTTGAGCCACGCAATCAAATCATCTTGTGTCACGATGTTTGACGGTGGTATCAACGACCCCTCGTTTGAGTTGTTCTGCAGTCACTGGTTAGATATGTTTAGATAGCCAGACAATCCTGTCGATGTATTTATTGTGAGCCACACGGAAGGCGTCGTGAACTTGCCCCAACTAGCAGTCTACATCCGTTGATTTGGCGCTGTCCAAGTTGGGAACTTGGTGGCCCAGTAACGTATGAGCCATCCGTAACGGGAATGAAAGCCCTGGACAGGGTTGTCAGAAGTGAGCTGGGCCAATCTGTAGTTTTTGACTGACCAATTCCCGTGAGGAGTGGGAGCATTCGTCGAGACCAGATTCGCAGCATACTGCAGCAGCAGAGAGTCTCTCGACACCAGGCAGTCAAAGACGGATCCCCGTGCAGGAGCAGAGCAGCCAGTCAGGGACGAGAATGTGTAGTAATGATTCACGGTGACCGCGTCGTTGTGGTATGGCTGCGTCGGGATCCATGGCGAAGCTGCAATCAACTTTGGAGAGACTTAGTCTTCTGAAGGATAAGACGATACATGTCTCGAACGACCTACGTTCTTGAATAGCTGTGTCCCCAGCGTTCCATTCTGGGCAGTCGCGTGCATCAAGACTGAGCCTCCGCCCGCCGACTCGCCAGCCACCGTGACTCGGTCTGGATCGCCTCCAAACTTGCCGATGTGGCTACGCACCCACTCCAGTGCAAAGCGCTGGTCCAAAAGGCCGGCATTGAGCACACCGCGTGATTTGATTTCGGGCGATGCTAGAAACCCAAATGCTCCGAGCTGAGGAGACAGGAAGATGAAAGAGTTTGGTTAATAAACCAGAGCCTTATCATTGGATCTCTAGGGAAGAACCAAGGTTCTGGTTAGGTACATACCCGATACTGAATCGAGACGGCTACGAGGGCATTTCCATTTGTATTAATAAACGAAGACAGGTCCTGCGACCCGTCTCCTAGCCCGTAGCCGCCACCGTGGATGACGACAAGAACCGGGAGGCTCGAATTGGCACTCTGGTTTCGTGGGGCATAAACGTTGAGGAACAGGCAGTCTTCGTTGCCGGGAATGAACAGCGCGCCCGGAACCGAGGGCAGCGCCTGGGGACATGCTGGCCCAAAGGCGTTGGCCAGCGCCAGACTGCGGTTGGTCGCCGGTGGCTTGGGTGCCTGCCAGCGAAGCTGTCCCAGGGGCGGCATCGCATATCGTATTCCCTTCCACACGTCGAGTGCCGACGACAGGTTGCGGACGCCCGTGTACAGCCCATATCCCAAGTCAACCGTCAGAGGCGGCAGGTCAATGGCTGCACAGGCTACACACCGCAACAGCAGAGTAAACAACACCGTTCGACTCGGAGACCACAGTTGGGCCATAATAACGGACATGTCTTGGATGGGCCTTCTCGTCGACCACGATGGATTCAAGGTGGGAAGGGCGGGGGAGCGAGATTTCGTAGGCCCGGATGAAGTGATGCAACTCGTCTCGCCGCTTTTGAAAGGGTGTACGTTTATACATATATATACCCGGCGCTCTTTACTCTAGAGAAACGATAAATCTAGACACCGGCAAAGGAACACCGGAATTCTAGAGGTCGTTACGAAGCCTGGTCGAGTTCATTTGCGTGGCAAGGGATATATCATTATCAAACCAACCAATATTGACTTGATTATATTACCGATTTCTATATTTGGGATACCTGGAGATTTTCAAACATAAAAGGGAACCGCGCCCATGATTCGTGATGCTGGGTCCCTCCGCCCCTTGCAGCCAGCCAAGGAGGGTATTCCGATCACCAGCCTAGTTCAGAGCCCCTCTACCTTGGCGGTGAAGCCTGCGTTTTTAGCCACCTGCAGGTCATACACCGGATGTCCTATGCTATCATGGATGCCAAAAGTCGACGCTATGCTCGATGGCGTGTCGACGGGGTTGTTTCCGTAGGCGAAGCCAAAGGTGACCTGGTATTGCGGGTCCAGCTCGGTGAATCCAATGTCGTCGTCGCCCCATTTAGAGCATCCCGAGCACTTGGCAGTCACTTGCCAGTGTGTCGCATTGATATGGGTCCCTGTCTTGAGGACCGTGTAGTTCGCCTGCGGATAGGCCGGAGGGGAGTAATAGCCGCTGTGCCGCCAGGTTAGCCACTCGAGCGTGCTCACAGGTGGGAGGGGAGTGTGACGTACTAGGCGATTCTCGACGCCACCACGACGTTGTTAGTCCCGTTGGCCCATACAATGGCTAGGGGGTTGTATGTCATGGCTCCGCCCCACGCAAGACCGGCCCAGCCGACATCGATAGGTGCGATGACCTGGAGAACCGTGTCGTACTCTAAGTTGCCCGGCAAGGGGTCCGGTATAGCAACGCGGTACGTGATGTGGCGGTCGTTGGTGTACGAGGAATAGTTGAGACCGGTCACGCTATCGAAAAGCTGCACCGAGTCGGGTTCAAACTGCCTAGGGGCTGAAAGGCATGACCTCAACACGTCAGCACGTAGAGATGGATAGATGGAGAAATGGCAGGGACCCAATGGGCAGAATGGGCTGGCTTACCGAGGCCCAGGAGGGCAGCTAGGCCCGCAGCACTGCGAAGAATATGCATGTTTGGGACTTGCGATTATGTGGCAAATCTAGGTAGGCTAGGCTGGGTCCAGGACGGCAGAGGTCGAGCGGCCTTTGCACAAGGAGCCGGAAAGTCTTTATACAGGCCCTCGCCGGTCGCGGTTGCAACGGCGTCATATGGCCTAATACCAACTAGGGCGCACAATCTCTCCGTCCTGGAATGTCTTTCCGTTAATGCGGAGGGAGGAGACATTCAATATCGAGCAGGGCTTGGGCACAAGGCGAGCCGGCCTCCAAGGCTCCGGCTAGTAGGGAAACGGCACAACATGGCCGAGGGAGATATGGGAGAGGTGGCTCGCCCAGTCTCGAGAAGCGGCGGACGAGTGCCATGCCGCCCCGGTCCGCCGCAACACAGCGATCAAGAGGAATCTAGCTGCTCTGGGTCTGCCCCTAAAAAACTATCGCCGACAGCAAGACGCAGCGACGGGGGGGTCATCGACTCTGGCGTGCCTCCGGTTGGCTTAGCATGTCTCTCACCGGGGCATGGAAGAACAATAAGCGACTCCCTATTGGCTTCCGGGTGTGGATGTCACATTAATAAATTTCCGAGGAACCCTCATTACACACACAGAGAGAGACAGAGAGAAAGAAAGGTAGAGAAAGCTGGCGAAGAGAGAAAGGGACCTGTAAAAAGCGCTATTCTCGCTCGGCTAACCTCAGCCCAGCGTCCTTGATTGGAAGGCTAAAGCGATTGAACTGTATATAGATGACTTTTACTTGCAAATGTGGGGAGGGGGGAGGGGTGCTGGGATGTTAAATGGAGCGGAACGGAAAAGAATGTTCTCTCCCCTTTTGAGAAGGATGGGCATTGAGTGGGAAACAAGGGAGCGGAAAGAGGCTGATATTGGTAATGGAAAGGCAACAATCACCTCCGGTCTTTAGCCTAATGGTCTTGGCCGCGAGCATGAGTGGACTCTGCCGAGAATATAGGAAGTCTAGAGTGATGCAAGGGGGAAGCGTCCAGTCGTTCCGCCTCTGTCTCTTGAAGGCGATAATATTCAACAGTCTGGACTTGGTCGACTCTTGGCGATCTTACAATTAGTATGTTCCACAGGTCGGATGCGTCATTGAGTGCTTGTTGACGTTGTGATGGTAATATCTAAGGCACGCAATGAGCGACGTAGTTAAGGGATTGCGTAGGTGCAGGACCTCACATACCGTAGATCCTAGATTGGGCTGATATTGCTCGAGGCGATGGGCAGGCAACCTACATCGTCCTGATAAGAACCGGAACCGTTCATACTCTCCGTACGAACACAGCTTCGTCCGACATAAAAATAGTTTGCGATTGCGAGACGACGCCGAGATCGAGAAAAGAAGTTGGGGGCCGACTCTGACGAAGCCTTTGATAGGTAATTAGCATTAAGCCTCGGTGCCAAGGGAGAGGCAATAAAGCGAGAGAGAGTTCCAAGATGAAGCAGTGTAGGTCAGGTAATTAAGGTACCGTGGACTCCTGAATGCAGGCCCTTTCTCCAAATCCCTTCCATCCCCGCCATTACTATCGCCAGTGGGTGCCTACCCCGCACGGCTTCCATCTCTCCAACGTTACCTGGGCTCGCTGGACGGGCAGCTAAGCAGCGCTGAGAACCTGAAAGTTATAGCGGCTAGTCTTTTCGAGACCCACTATACCTGGATGTTCCCGAGCCCTGGAATTTCCCCTCATTGCATCATATTTAGCGACCTCCACGCCTTAGCTGCGGAAGTTAGAGTGAGGTGCAGAGTCGCGGCGATTCTTATCGAGCACGCTGAAACTGTGAACCTGGTGAGCCTGTCGCTTCGAGAAGGGTGGATTGGCAAAGTGGGGTTTTTGGCCATCCCTGTGGGGGATCTCCATACGTATTCGAAGTGGTGACTCTACCGGATCTTGGAAGGGTTGCGAGATTTCCCATTGATGCCTCCCTCCTAGTTTGCTCTCCTCGGCAGGCAGCGGCGCTCCTTGTGTTGAAAGATTCGAGTCAACTTGATTTGCTTGCTCAAGAAAAACATAACATCGAGGACTGGTCTCCGCCATGTCTGACACTCAGAGATCGACATCGACGGCGGCGGTGGCAGCGACGACGACGGCGACGACGACGACCAAACAGCAACCCGGTGCTTTTGTCTGGCCACCCCTGCACACCGTCCTTCCGCCGCTTATCCTCGGCACAGCAACGTTCAACACACAGTATGTGGCCGATCCGCTGGCCATGCCCTATCGCGACATCGTCGCCCGGGCGGTTGAGCTTGGCGTCCGCGCTTTCGACACGAGCCCTTACTACGGCCCGTCCGAAACGCTGCTGGGCAGCGCGCTGGACGCCCTGATGAACCCCGCCCCGTCCGCGGCCGATCCGGCGCCGGTTGCGCTGCCACGATCCGACTTCATGCTCGTTACCAAGGCGGGGCGCATCGTCATGGACGAGTTCGACTATTCGCCCGCCTGGATCCGTTACTCGGTGCTCCGCAGCCTGCAGCGGCTCCACACTCCCTACGTCGACCTGGTGTACTGCCATGACGTCGAGTTTGTCTCGCCGGCTGAGGTCCTTGCCGCGGTCCGCGAGTTGCGCCGCCTGCGTGACGAGGACGGCGTCGTTCGGTACGTTGGTATCAGCGGGTTTCCCGTTGACGTCCTCTGCGATCTTGCTGCCACGGTGCTCGCCGAGACAGGCGAGCCGCTGGACGCCGTGCTCAGCTACGGCCACTTCACCATCCAAAACCGGAAACTGGGACTACCGTGGGTTGACGACCAGTCCGCTGCCGAGTCCGCTGCCAGGGGGGACAGCCCCTTGGCAAGGTTCAAGGCCGCTGGTGTGGATGTCGTGCTCAATGCTAGCATTCTAGGGATGGGTTTATTGACGAGCCATGGCATACCACCAGATTCTGACGCGCCCAAAACGACTGAAGGCCAGGGAGAAAGCCCTTCCCCGCTTACCAAGTGGCACCCCTCACCGCTAGACCTGCGTCTTGCATGCAAGGAACTTGCCCGCCTCGCCGTAGCAGCAGGCGAGCGTCTAGAGTTAGTGGCCATCCGCTGGGCACTTGAGGAGTGGGCACGCGTTGGAGCAGCAGCCAATATTGGCGTCGATGTCTCGCTGAGGGATTCTTCTGCACCCCAGCGGCTCGGTGCGACAGTCTGCGGCGTGTCGGCCATCACTGAGCTCGAGGAGACGATGCTAGAGTGGCAAGGAGTGCTATCTGGTCTGGGCCTCCAATCTACCGGCACTACTGGAAAAATTGAAGATGGCCCATATGGCACAGCACGGAGAGAGAGAGTTCTGGGGCTTGTGCAAAAGGGGCTTTGGCCAGCTCTAGGGCCGTGGGAGGGTTATGCTTGGCCAAGTCCGAACCCTGGATTTGCAAACACGAGGCGTAAAGAGGGTAAAGGCGTCACTCCCAACGACGATGTGATAGCTTCACATAATGATCTACTAGTAAAAAGGAATAGAGGTGGGAAGGGGAGCGGCACAAGTTGACTTGAACATCATACACGGAAACCCTTACAGGCCATGGCTATGTATCGTTCAAGCGAGCACAAATGGCCAGCTATGTAGGAGGTGTTTCTATTTGCAATACAATGCTGCTCAATTCTAAGTTCTGGACCAACCAAAACATACTAAACTCATCAGGCCAGGGCATACATAGCATGCCCGTTGAAGAACTCCAAACTCCCATCACTCACCCCGTCAAAGACTTCCATTCTTTCCCCCATGAGCCTTCAAACTAAACCATACCCCAAGAGAACATGTGAGACGGGGTGTGAGAAACAAAGCGGGGCTATGTACAAAAGGGAAGAGGGAAAGGATAGGGAAAGGAAGGAAATGGGTTGATCGACCGACCACGGACTAGGTACCTCTCGTACCGAACCAGACATACCGCTCGAGGCAATTGGATAGCTAGGAAGATTCTGTTTAACTCCCACCCCTGCCACTTCCACTCTGAGAAAAATTGAGAAAAAAAAGCCCCCCCACATTCAGCTCCAAATAACTCCATTCTGACACTCCGCCGAGTCGCTCTCATACTTCATTCTTTCAATCTTCATCTTCGTCTTCTGCTGCCCATCGACCACGGAGTGGGAAAGGTAGCATCAAATCAGGCTCTCACACCACTACTGCGTTACCTGGGGCGGGTGCTCGACAGTAGTCTCGTAGCCAAGCTGCTTAGAGTCTCCGCCGATATCATCGACTGCCGCCGGAGTCTCTGGCGTCACAGTGACTTCGGGTAGCGGGAGCCGACCCAAGTCAGTGGCTATTGTCTCCTGTCTCACTCGACGGCTTTCTTTCTGGATTTCTAGGTGGCTCGGAGAGACATTTTCCACTCGCTCTGTCTGTGGACCGTCGCTCACTTCATCTGTCTTGGCCCGTTCGACATCAGAGGACGGTGACGGGCGGCTAGGATGTTCCACTCCAGGCCCATCTGTCTTCTTGTCGGTTTCGGTATAACTCAAACGCCTTCCGGCGTTTTCACCCTCCAGACTCACTCCTACAACCTCTGCCAAACTCCTGAAATTGAACATGGGCTCAGTGCTTGCGCTCGGGTCACGGTCCCGGTCCTGATCCCCGCCATCCTCGCTGGCGCCTGAACGGCTCCCCAGACTGATGCCGCTAGCACGGGGATCATGGAGATTGGTAGGTGAGGTGAAGCTACCATGCTGGCTCTCTAGAAGCGATGATGATATTGACGAGGCGCTGCTCATTTGACGAAGATGGGAGGGCCCCGCTGACTGATGCGAAGAGGGAATTGGACGTGGAGCCAAGACCGAGGGGGTCGCCGAAGCCTGCGGCATGGCCGGCTCAGCGGCCGAAGTATCAGCTGTTTCTTGGGTAACCGGCGGGCCTCTATCGACGGCCTTTCCCTTGTCTTTTGCGTTGAGATCCGCCGGACCTCCCGATGCTCCGCTGTTGGCCATCGCGCTGGCAACACTGGCCTCGACTCGTAGGTTGCTGGCACCACTATTTCCTCGCTTCCTTTTAAAGCCCAGGCCAGGCAGGCTCAAGCTACTCCCGCTTGCTGAGGTGTGTCCGCTGCGACCTTCTGCGCCCCCATACGGCCCACTTTGCTTCGCGGCTGCCTTTGCTGCCTTTCGGTCCTCTTTTTCTTTCTTCTTAGCCTCCTTCTTTTCTTCCTTCTCGGCCTTGCGTTTGCGCTCTTCCTCCGCAGCGAGCGATAGGCGGATGGCCTCCATGAACATCATATCCTCAAGGTCTTCAATCCGGCTACGCCGCCCATCGCTACCGCCAGATATCAAGGCGCGATTCGAGCTTCCCCTGGGGCCAGGATCAACCACTCCCTGTGAAGGGGTTCCCGAGCCACTGTTGTCGAGATTTGTATCCATATTACCTGGTCCTCCGGGAAGAGTGCCAGCACCAGGTGTGATTCCAGAGCCACCTGTATTCCTTCGTCCAAAGCGACTACGGAACGCCCGTGTCTCTACATTTCCCATTAGAAATGCGGCTGTATGTAGGGCCGTGGCGGCAGCAGCTCGTCTAGCCTGGTGGGCTCGTGCCGCCTGCAGCTTAGTTGCCCATTCCGGCCGGATTCTGTCTGTTAGGATAACGTTCGAAGCGTTGGCAGACAGGGATTGAGTGCGACGACGGCCGCCGCTATTTGAAGAACCAAGATTGGGCGACAATGTAGCCGAGTTCAGGGAGCTGCTCGACGACATGGCAGTATTCATGGTTCCAAGAGTGCTCGGAGGGATCGTGTATGCCAAACCGCGGCGGAAGGGTGGCGGTTCGTAAGTGACGCCGAATTCAGGCTGCGTACAGTAGGGGCAGCAGGCTGGTTCCGATACCAATAGTCCAGCGGCCTCTTCGGGGTTGCTGCTATGGTCATTCTCATTGTGGCCTTCAGGAAAATGCGGGTCCGGCCGCTTGATCTGAACAAAGCATTCGCTGCATATTGGCTGGTCGCAACATCTAGTGTGATTTAGATATGGTGGATATGATAGGAAGCAGATGGGGCATTCCGTGGCTTCCTTATAGAGGAACACCTCAAGAGGTTGGCCATTAACGAAAGGGTCGCGAGGTAGGTTGATCTCCCGGGGCATGATTTCGGTCGTTGATCCGTTGCGAGAAGACCCGCCCAAGACGGCCGCTAGAGCTTTCCCCCGGGGCTTGAATGGAGAACCAGTCCTCTGGGGCTGACTGGAGATGGCCGACGGAAGCCCGGATCCGGCATTCGACACGCTATGTTCAGATGTAATGGACTGGGTGCGATCGCCCATTGGGACAGTTAGGTTGTTGAGGTTCTGAGAGGATTCTGCGGGAGAATCCGGCGATAGGGGTCGCGGAATGAGGTCGTCGGGGGGCGTCTCGTCTGCAGCAGGGACGGGCACCCCCCTCGCGGCAGCGATGATCTGAGGTTCAGTCCACTGATCATCGACGTCATTAAGGCCTCGCCAAAAGGGCGCAACTTTGCGTTCGACCTTCACACAGGACAGTTAGCAAGCGTCACTGCGAGACCTCTAATCTGGGCAGGGTTAGATATCCATAGTCCCAGACGTACTTGTAACTGCCGGACGACGGCTTTATTGAAGTCCTCAGGGCCGGTGTATGTCCCCATGGTGACGAGGTAGCCGCCGTCGACGTGCTCCTCTTTCATGCTCCGCGCTCGCTCGGCGATCCTGTTTACCCGCTCTCGTTCTAGCCTCCGCGCTTCCCTCTCTTGCTTGGTTTCCCGGCGCTCCGGCGGCGGGTCGGGCTGCGACGCAGAGCCCGCAGACCCTAGTCCCAAGACACCGCCCAGATCCCCCCGTGTCCCCAGATTTCTCCTGTTGGACGATCCATCGGGTTGCAAAGAGACGCTGCCGCCCGGTTCCAATGCGGCGGGGAAGCCGGAGTGGTGGCCGCGGTGGCCGCCATCAGCACCTCGCGACTCCTTTGTGCTTGCGTTTCCCATGGTGCCCTCGGTCAACAGCTTCACAGGCCCAGCGGATTGGCGTGTATGTTGCGACAAACAGCCGAATGAGGCGGGCAATCGGGTGAGTTTGAGGGAGGCGTCGAACGAGATGAGGGAGGGCTGTTGGAGCTAGACGAGAGTGACGCCAGATAAGCTGGGGGGGCCGGTTGTCAGAAATGGCGGGGAGGCCCCGTCGGATCGGGAACTGCGGCACTGCAGCAGATCGCTTGCGGGTGTGCTTGCCGGTTTTCAAGATCAGGAAAAAGAGCAGAAGGGAGATGCAGCAGCTTCTCGGCCGCCAAGTAAATGGCGGTTGTTCGTATGGCGGTTGTTCGTATGGCGAGCACAGCTCGGAAAACCGTCGTCTCTGGTGCAACCCGAGACAGTGCAGTGCAGTCAGCAGCAGTTGGGAGGGTCAGATTTAGCGGGCGTCACTCGCACATATCCTTGCGGAGTCGCGGGGCACATGCGGCGGGGTTGGGAACTCGAGCCAATCCAGAGAAAAACGCTCGAGCCACAACACCTAGGGGTTAAGGAGCGAGCGATTCACGAGCTCACTGCGCGGTCCAGGTCAAGTGATTATTGTCGAGCCCAAGATATGATGTTGAGGGAGGTTCAAGATGGATGCCAAGAAGTTAGTTGACCATAAACGCCGCTGACAAGAGCACGGTCCGACCCTGCCGACCCACTTGGGATTACGGAAGACGGGGACTCTTGGCAGGACACAGCATCAGAATATGGAGCTGTAATTGTTGCCCTGTGGGTTCATGTGATAAGTATTCGGGTACCTTAAGGTTATTTTAGTTCGTAAAATTCTAGGTTGATTTACCTCTTCAGCTCCCCTTATACTTCCCGTCATGTAGAAGCTGGGTATGTTGCTCCCTGTGGTATGTACTCGGTACCGAGCAATTCTCACTCTGATGCATGCAGTGATCCACGAATCTAAGGCCCCCCAATTCGCAATTCCACGTAAAGCTCTCGTCCATAGGCTTTTAGTACCTCATTCTTTTGGGCGGTTACGGGAGTGCATCTAGCTTCTGGATATTCCACCTCCCGCGTGCCAGTAAAGAAGCCGAGATTCATGTACCTACGTAAAGAGTGACGCCTTCAATCTCTAGATAGTATGGAAGTCGAGGTTTCTTCCGGCTCCCTACAAGCCGTTTACTCCAAGGGACCCCCAAACTTTGCAAGGATTGGCCGATATTTCGGAAATTTGTATGTTCCCACTCCAATAAATGGCAAACTTTTGGAACGAAAAGCAAGTAAGGTAGTTCTTGCTGCGAAGTCCAGATGCCAGCCAGTTATGCAATACGTCATCCTATCAAGGGTTGGGCAATTTCATGTCTTATTCTATGCATAACCCCAAACTACTAGCAATATGGCAAAACTCAAGTCACTACGCAACTTTTAGGTAAGCGCCTTCCCTGCTCGCCTCAAACTTCGTACTTTAAACCCACACAAAATCTCTAGAAAGCATGATTGCGACCTTCAACTTCAAGCACAGTACGGTAGTAGCAGGATGAGATGCATAAGAGGCCGATTAACGACAAAAGATCAACATTTTCGGTTTTATACAAACCGAGATTACCCCTTCAGTAATTCGTTGCCGCTATTGTTCATCCCCTTGGATGGCGTCGCTCATAATTAGGTAGGTATCTAGTGACTGTGAGAGTATCACACAAGGTGCAGACTTTGTAATTGAGAGCGTTTCTATCCACCGTCCACTGTAGATACATCGGCGCCAAGCCTTTACAGCCAACCAGAACATTACCACATTTTACAGCCAAAATTACCATTTTCGCTGGCTGCACCGCTCCAACCGCTGACTACGCAGTTGTACTGCAATAGTACCTAGCCGCCGTCGCCGACGTCAATATACCTCCAAATGCGGAAATTGCGCATTTCTTCGGGAGTCTTCGACTGCCCTGAATGCCCTGAATGCCCCGTCTTCAACGTCGTTGATAGCCTTGTAAGCCGACCTGTCTGTCCGGCCGGACTGGCAACCTTGCTGTAGGTAGTCCTGCCTCCCTTATCTATTGCTTCTGGTACGTAACCGCGAGGGCCTTCGAGCAAGGGCTTGGTAGGCAATAGATTTTATTCCACGTCGTTGATGAAGTGGAAAGGTATAGGCCAGGTTTCGTTGTGGTAAAAAGTGATAAATTACTACGTGCCAGAATCTTATATTTACCGGCGCGCGGGGTGGTTGATCGGGGTTAGGGTCATGTATGGTATATTATAGTGCAAGGCGACGATTTGACAGTGGATAAAAGCACTCTCTTGTAATTACTTTCCGTATTTTGCGGTTACATCGTCTTTTGGCAAGTTAGCGTGCTCCCTTCCTATCAGCTCGCTGATCTCCCCTACAAAACCATGGTACCATGAGCTTAGAAAAACTCACCTTAACCACTAAATTTTTGCTAATAATTAGTATGGGGGACTTGCAAAAACGAAAGGCCTCACTGCCTACTCATGATTTTTTTCCGAGGGAGGCAATAACTATTGGAATTCTCACTGAGTGGAGGGACTTCCACAGTTAGATTTTTCACAGAAGTGAAATGGCTCATACCCACCACCTCGTACATATTAAAGGTTAACACAAGAATTTGCCGCGGTACAGCAAAAGTCAAACAATTGAACGGCACTGCTCCGATTTGGTTCGATCCACGGATTCCAGATGTTCAGCTAGATGCCAGAACCATAATCGCAAATATAAAGACACAGTTGATGCCTTTTACCTAACGCCATGCCCAGGCCAGGAATTCCCACTAAAGAATCTCAAAGCCCTAGTTTTTACTCTCTTGCAAATACCCTCATAGAACCCTTTTCAGGCAGATTTTGTTTACTAGAAACTCTGCCGTACTGTTCACTTCAAGTACTATGCCAACAGCTAGTCGGGGATTGGACGGTGGGAGGGGTTTTCGTTGCTCCTTTTCATTCATCTTGTCGTTGAACCTCCTTTATTCGAAATTACAAGGCGAGTTGAGTCACAAATTTGGGGTCGAGTAAATGATTCCTCTTTTCTGGACGCTTCAACTCGTTTTCGTGATTCGAATAGAGTGTGCAAAGGAAAGGGGGGATGAAAACGAGACACCACATGGGAGAACAATCATATTGGTCTTCGTATATAGTCATAAACTTGCGATCTTATCTTAAGACGATGATATGGATCAACCAAGTTGGCGGTGGAGGAAGACCTTGAAATCCAAACGATGCCAAGTTAGTTGTGGGAGCAGCAGGTCTAAAAACGAAACCTACTTTCTAGGCAGCTAGAACACTAAACTAGCTTGATCGCAAGCCTACTATTTGCATATGTAATTAAATGCCCTATAGGGCATTGCATTACATGATGTCGGGTGTTATTCGCAGACCTTACTATTCACTTCAATTTTACTAGTAATTAGGCCAAGAGTCACGAGAAACTCTCATGCTGTGTGAATTCCTCCGCCAGACCGTATTTGTTTGACTCGGGCATCTCGAGGAACTTGGAACACCACAAACACCTGAATTTGTTGTAAGTCGCCGTATGCTCAACCCCGTCGGCACCTGTTTTGGGGGTTCTTTTCGCAGCTATGTCCGGTTGGGTAAAAGCCACCAAGCCATCCAAACACATTGAGGTTCAAATTTGTTAGGCTATAGAAACTGTTGCTTCTACGGTTCTAGAGTAAGCCTCTAGACTAGATCCAAATCAGAGCTTGATGTCCGGCAATTCCATCCATACAAATCCTAGGCCAGTCTCGATGCTCTAGCATTTATCTCCTGGCGAGCGTTGAAATTTGCCCGTTAACTAGAGTTCCAGTCACCAACCATCGACGACGGAATACATTCCGGTCTCTGGTGAGAGGACCCTGCCCCACTGTTCATATCATGCGCCTGATATAGGCAGGATATGTTACACATTTCCCTATAAAATATCTCGTATTCCGTACATTCATCTCCAATTGCAACTGGTCAAGTGCTAAGGCTATATTGAAACCTACGACTTCATGATAACAACAACCCCACAAAATGATGGACAAAGCGTGGGGCCTTAGACAGCGTGCGTAAACGAATTACTCGGGTGCTCTGGCTAGAGCCCCGTGTTCACAGAGAAGACTGAGCTGGGAAGACTCTAGCACGGCTTCGTACGAAATGGGATTGACATATAGTACCCAGCACAACAATGCAATGCAGAAGCATGGATGCCCGCTCTCTCAGCATTGCAGAGGACTCGTTGTCGACTAATTATTCTGGAGCACGTAGTGAAACTACCTGGACTGCCCATTCGGAAACGAAAATTGAGCACGAGGTTACGATATGTACGAATATGACTGAGCTGATGGCCCAAAATATGCTGACTTATACCCGTAAGGAGGGGTGACAGAGTGACCGTACATGAGTGGAAACCGAAAGCACGACACGACACACGGATAGCACGGCATGGGCGTAAGGTAGATACTTATGTACGGACAGCACAGAACCGAACGATAATGAGCCAACAGCACTCAGGTCAGCGAGCCAACAGGATCGAGATAGTGAAGCATTTGCGTCGGCAATCTGGTTCCCATGGCCCCAAGGCAAGCAGCCTTTTTGGAGGATCAAAATATATGGAGCAGCGTGACGTGCGGACCCTCCATCAGAACTTTTTTTTGGGATCGGAATTGCGAGGATTCCTTACATATATACCCGGGTAGATATGGTAGGGCAATTTTTCGCATCAGAGCTTCAGCGACTCTGCTTGCTAAATAACTCTCGTGGGAGTTAAGGCCCGAGAGATAACGTCGTACCTACCGTACCTTACCTTGGGATCCGCGGCGCCGGTTACGTATTCGTATTCGGGTGGTGCTTGGAACTATAACACATGGAACGGGGGAAAAATGTCTCCCATTTTGCCAGGCAGCATACAGCGTGGACTGGGAGAGATTAAGAAACAAAACTAGAAAGTTAGGCAAGGGACATACTTGATGTCAAAAGAATGACTGAGTGGGGAGCGGTTCCAAATCGGCATTCCATACCAATGGAGCAGAGCAAATTCATGTTATGCGCACAGTTATTAAAGGAGGGGGGGGTGAAGTAGGGTGGTCAGAAATATCTTTGGCGAGTACGAGCGCGCGCGACAGGAGATCAACAAACCGCAGAAACTGCGCGCGCGCCCCGGGCGACCGGGCTTGTGCAGGACCCCGAGAGGAAGTCCATGCGGGGCAAATCGGACGGAGTCCACTGCAAACCCAGGAAAACGGATTCTTGATTTGGCTGGCGCGGTGCCAAGACATGTAGCCTGATTGATAAATGATTGATTGGGAAGCCTTTCCCGGTCTGGAAAGGCTCTACTATCCAGCCCTCGCTTGCCGAATTTTCTGTGCCAGGCTCCTGCTTGCAGTTGTTATTACTGTTCTTTGGGCTTGATGGCGATCGAGAAGCGGCCGAGCAGAATGGCGATTTTGGTCGATCGTCCTGAATGATTTTTTTACACACTACCCAGATTTGCTCTCACAGCCCGATTCTCGTGGTGAAAAATGTAGCACACTTTTGGCAGGTGCGTGTGGACCCACGGGCTATTGGCGAGATTATTGGCTGGTTCTGGTAAGAGCTGGAGGGGGCGGGGTTGTATCTGGATTCATTCTGAATCACTTCTCCATCGCTTCAGTTCTTACTTAGGAGTGGATTCCCCACGGATTTGTGTGCGCACCCGTCCCCGTCCCCGTCGGATAACCACCAGCAGCGGAGGGTGTCTTGACCACGCCGCAGCTGGTAAGATACTGGGAGGAGCAATTATCAGACAGACGGCTTGTTCGGTAAAACTATTCACAATACTGATACAGGGGGAAGGGGGATTTGAACCTGATACTGAGTACTCCGTACGGAGTAAGGATACTACTGTATGTATGTACGCGGTACGGAATATGTATAGTGCTTTGTCAGGACTCAGATCCGAACGGGAGTGGGGCCGCGCCTCTCCCGTGGCATCCCAGGATGCCATGCCCATCCCGCCCAGCCTGGGCGTCATCTCTGTAGTCTTCACGCGCGCTAGTTACTGCGTAGAGGAACTTTTGAGGTAACCCCCTGCAGCCTCCCCCCTTCTTCGTGGAGGGACGGCGCCGGGGGCGTCTCTGTTTCCGTCCCAAGAGAACGACTCCACCCGGGGATTGGTAAATATCCGCGCTCCCACGCTACTAGTTTATATCTTAGGTTGTGTTTTCCTTCCTTCCTTCCTGCCCGCTTGGCCTGCATTTTTGTGTTTCCGGCAGCGCCTCTACTTCCTCCCCAATTCGCTGCTTCTTGTGCGTTTTGTTGTTGCTCAAGGCTTTTTTGCCCATTCTTTCGCTCATTACCCCCGTCCTGCTGGCTTTGCCTTGGTCGCCAGGTTCTTGTTTTTGTTATACCTTTATTCTTGAATACCAATGCGCCGTGCTCGATAGGAAGACGCGCGACATTTACCACCTTTCCAAACCATAATATCAAGACGCGCCAGTTTCCGGACAAGAGGCATATTGGCGAGTGACAGGAATCAAGGGACGATGTCCTTGACCGGGACAAACTCCTTCGGGAGCTATGATCGGACGGCCCAGAATTCCGGCCTGCCAGCGATCGCAAGGCAAACGACGCACGAGGAGACCGAGGATGCCACCGCCTCTTCGCATGTTGCTGGAGGGTCGTCTCCTTCGCGCCACGACGATGTCACCAGGACACGCGCCACGTCCGTGACCGAGGTCGCCGACAGCGACGCGGGCCACAACGAGAAGGGCGCTCTGGACAAGATGAGTCGCGAGGACGAGGACGACGACGCGATCGAGGAGGACCGTCGCCATACGCTGGTCCAGGCCCTGGCCAGGCAGTATACTTCTCAGTCGCATGCCGGCGAGACCAAGCCTGGTACAAACGTTTTTGTGGATTCGTTGAAAGACGAGTCGTCACCGTTGAACCCCAATGGCCCTAACTTCAGCGCCAAGGCCTGGGCCAGGGCTGTCGTTGCCATGGTTTCGGGTCAGGGGCACCAGTTTCGCACGACCGGAGTCGCTTTCCAGCATCTCAACGTGTTTGGTTTTGGCACCCCGACCGACTACCAGAAGGATTTCTTGAACATCTGGCTCGAGGGCATTGGCATGGTTCGCCGGCTTCTCGGCAACCAGAAGCGCCGTATCGATATCTTGCGCGACTTTGACGGCCTCGTTCGTAAGGGTGAGATGCTCGTTGTCCTTGGACCCCCAGGGTCGGGCTGCAGCACTCTCCTGAAGACCATTGCTGGCGACTTCAATGGCATATTTGTTGACGACGACTCTTACTTCAACTACCAGGGTATGACCGCCAAGGAAATGCACACCAACCACCGGGGTGAGGCCATTTACACTGCCGAAGTCGATACCCATTTCCCTCAGTTGTCGGTGGGAGACACCTTGACGTTTGCCGCTCGCGCCAGGGCCCCGCGCTATCTGCCAGAGGGCGTCACCTCGGCCATGTTTTCTAATCATCTTCGTGATGTTGTTATGGCCATGTATGGCATCAGCCACACGGTTGACACGCGTGTGGGCAACGAGTACATCCGTGGTGTCTCGGGCGGCGAGAGGAAGCGGGTTACCATCTCGGAAGCCACTCTCTCTGGCGCTCCTCTACAGTGCTGGGATAACAGCACCCGAGGTCTGGACAGCGCCAACGCGCTTGAGTTTTGCAAGACTCTCAGACTTAGCACCGAGCTCTTCGAGAGCACGGCCTGTGTCTCCATCTATCAGTCGTCGCAGAGCGCCTACGACCTCTTCGACAAGGCCATAGTGCTATACGAGGGACGTCAAATCTTCTTTGGAAGAGCCGACCAGGCCAGGCAGTACTTCATCGATTTGGGATTCGACTGCCCTGCGCGCGCGACGACACCAGATTTCCTAACGTCCATGACCAGCCCGATCGAGCGCATTGTGCGACCTGGTTTTGAGGGCAAAGCCCCACGCACCCCCGACGAATTCGCCGCGGCGTGGAAGAACAGTGCCCATTATAAGGCCCTCCAAGCTGAAATCGAGGAGTACAAGGTCGGCCATCCCATCAATGGGCCCGATGCCGTTGCTTTCCGTGACTCGAGGAAGGCTCAGCAGGCAAAGGGGCAGCGGGCCAAGTCGCCCTTTACGCTCTCCTATATCCAGCAGATTGAACTGTGTCTGTGGCGAGGCTGGAGGCGCCTGGTTGGAGACCCCAGTCTAACCCTCGGCGCCCTCATTGGCAACTTCATCATGGCCTTGATCATCTCCAGTGTCTTCTTCAACCTCCAGCCGACCACTGCTAGTTTCTTCCAGCGTGGTGCATTGCTGTTTTTCGCCTGCCTCATGAACGCCTTCGCCAGCGCCCTCGAGATCTTGATCCTTTACGCACAACGCCCCATTGTTGAGAAGCATGACCGTTACGCCCTCTACCACCCTTCCGCCGAAGCCGTCGCCTCAATGTTGGTCGACATGCCCTACAAAATCTTGAATTGTTTGACATTCAATCTTACGCTGTACTTCATGACGGGCCTTCGTCGCGAGCCGGGCGCCTTCTTCTTCTTTCTGTTGATATCCTTTGTCACCGTCTTGACCATGTCGATGATGTTCAGAACCATCGCCAGCACGTCCCGCACTTTGTCGCAAGCCATGGTTCCGGCGGCCATCATTATTCTGGACCTCATCATCTTCACCGGCTTCGCTATTCCCATTGATTACATGCTTGGGTGGTGTCGATGGCTCAACTACCTTGACCCTCTGGCTTATGCCTTCGAGGCACTCATGGTCAACGAGTTCCACAACCGGGACTTTACCTGCACCCAGTATGTCCCGAGCCCCTTGGTTCCCGGCTATGAGGATGTGGGCGATCTCAACCGTGTTTGCTCTGCCATTGGCTCGGTTGCTGGTTCTGGCGTCGTGAATGGCGACGCCTACCTAAACACGGGCTTCTCATATTTGAATGATCACAAATGGCGCGATTTTGGCCTCATCCTGGTCTTTATGGCTGGATTCCTCGCCATGTACATCCTGGCTGCAGAGAATGTGTCAGCCAAGAAGAGCAGAGGCGAAGTTCTTGTCTTCCGTCGCGGCCACAAGCCGGCCTCGTTCAAGGAGAACAAGGGCGATGCCGAATCTGGCGGTACCCCCGTGGTCGGACCTATCATCAACGAGGACATCAATGGCGGTAACGCATCTGACGGTGTTCTGCAGAGACAGACAAGTGTTTTCCACTGGAGCAATGTGTGCTACGAGGTCAAGATCAAGGGGGAGCCGCGGCAGATTCTCGATCGCGTCGACGGCTGGGTCAAGCCAGGCACCCTGACCGCTTTGATGGGCGTGTCTGGTGCTGGCAAGACCACTCTTCTGGACTGCCTTGCCGACCGGACATCAATGGGCGTAATCACTGGCGAGATGCTCGTCGACGGCTCCCCTAGGGACACGTCATTCCAACGCAAGACCGGTTATGTTCAGCAACAAGATCTCCATCTCCAAACGACGACTGTCCGGGAGGCCCTGAACTTCAGTGCCCTGCTGCGCCAGCCTGCTCATGTCCCGCGCCAAGAGAAGCTTGATTATGTTGAAGAAGTCATCAAGCTGCTGGAGATGGAGGAATACGCTGATGCCATTATCGGAGTTCCCGGCGAAGGTCTGAACGTCGAGCAGCGCAAACGTTTGACTATCGGTGTTGAGCTGGCCGCGAAGCCGCCTTTGCTCCTTTTCGTTGACGAGCCGACTTCTGGTCTCGACAGTCAGACCTCATGGGCCATTCTGGACTTGCTGGAAAAACTCACCAAGAGCGGCCAAGCTATACTGTGCACCATCCACCAACCTTCTGCTATGCTCTTTCAGCGCTTCGACAGGCTCTTGTTTTTGGCCAAGGGTGGCAAGACGGTCTATTACGGCGACATTGGCGAGAACTCTAAAACCATGACATCTTACTTCGAACGCCACTCTGGACTTACCTGCCCGGCCGAGGCCAACCCGGCTGAATGGATGCTTGAGGTCATTGGTGCCGCTCCCGGATCCACAACCGACCTCGACTGGTACAACACTTGGCGCGAAAGCGCTGAGTACGAGGCTACCCAACAGGAGCTGCAGCGCCTCAAAGCGGATGCGAAAGAAGCGACGGTCTTGTCCGATGACAAGGGCAGCTACCGCGAATTCGCAGCCCCATTCTTGTCACAGCTCCGCGAGGTCACATATCGCGTATTCCAGCAGTACTGGCGCACACCGTCTTACATTTACTCGAAGATGGCTTTGTGCGTCCTTGTTGCTCTCTTCATTGGTTTCGTTTTTTTCAACGCCCCGAACACGATCCAAGGCCTCCAGAACCAAATGTTCGCAATTTTCAACTTGTTGACGGTCTTTGGCCAGCTTGTGCAACAGACCATGCCTCACTTCGTCATTCAGCGTGCTCTTTATGAGGTTCGCGAGCGCCCCTCCAAAGTTTATGGCTGGAAGGTCTTCATGCTGTCGCAGATCATCGTCGAGCTCCCGTGGAACATTTTAATGGCTGCTCTCATGTTCTTTTCCTGGTACTACCCCGTCGGCCTCCATCACAATGCAGCGGCGGCGGACCAAGTTGTCGAACGTGGTGGACTCATGTTCTTGCTCCTTGTCGCCTTCCTCTTGTTCACGTCGACTTTTACCGATTTCATCATTGCGGGTTTCGAGACGGCCGAGGCAGGTGGCAACATTGCTAACTTGCTCTTCACGCTCTGCCTCATTTTTTGCGGTGTCCTCGCCAACCCTGATACTCTCCCGCGTTTCTGGATCTTCATGTACCGTCTCAGCCCCTTCACCTACCTGGTCAGCGCTATGTTATCTACCGGTGTCGCAAACACCGAGGTTAGGTGTGCTGCGAATGAGTATCTCAAGTTCGAGCCGCTAAACGGCACCTGTGGCGAATACTTCGATAAATACATCACCGCTACCGGAGGCTACCTTCTGGATCCCTCCAACCTCAAGGAGTGCGCTTACTGCGCCATTAACAACACGAACCAATTTCTGTTGAGTGTGAACGCCGATTATGCCGATAGGTGGCGCAACTTTGGGTACGTAGTTCTCGCACTGTTTATCTCTAACCGATTTGGAAGCTAACCATCTTTGGCAGAATCATGTTCGCGTTCATCATCTTCAATGTCTTTGCTGCCCTTGCGGTTTACTGGATCGTCCGAGTACCCAAGAACAAGCTGGGCGGCAAGAAGAAGAAGGAGTAGACATTCTTGGAATGGTCTCATTGGAAAGTGGAGGCCACGCCCTTCCGAGTTTTTTGCTCGGAATGAGTGCGATTTCGCTTGCATATACATGGCTGATATGATGCAATATGATTGGGGGCGAGACGCTTTACCCCCTTAAAAGCCACAACCAGCTTCTTTTTTCTCATGTTTTTTCTTGTTTATTCTTCCTTTTCACTTTGCGATGGCACTAACCACTACGTACATAACTTTGTGCACTTTCTCGTACCGTACATTTCCTTCATAGTCATCACCTACATAATTTCTAAAATAGATACGGGGGAAGCCCGGCAGGCTTGGCATGTAGATAGAATCCACCATACGGTTGGGTAGAGCCAAAAGCTAAATTCCATGAATCGACATTTGGTGTTACCGCTCCGGCAGACATGTGAATGCCAATCCAAAAAATTTTTAGCATCGTGAAATGGCTGTCTATTCGTGGTGTATGTCCTTTTGATCCATCAAATGATGTTATAGAAAATTAATACCTACGCCTACCTGAAGACCCTTTCGAACCTGCTCACCCTCTCGCCTAATAATAGGCAAGCTGAAGTTGAGCTCGAACCTGGCGACTGGGTGCGCGTACACCAGACCAACGCCCGCCGCTAAACTGGGAAGCTCGCTTGCCAGCTCACCGACGGCTGACTTCATACCCCTCAAGACCGCACTGGAGTCTAGAGCTAGGTTACTGTCAGGGCCGCCGTTCTCATTTTCTCTGCCTTCGTTTCTAAGCGCCACTAACCGGCCACCATTTGCAAACAGCTGAATCCTCAGCGGAGACGCGGGACCAGTGCGGGGGAGAGGGAGCATCATGTTGACGCTGCCCGCGGCGAACACGTCGCCGCCGACGGCATCGCTGCCGTCGTGTGGCCCAAGCCCGCCGAGCTTGAAGCCGCGCACGTCGGTCGGCCCGCCAAGTTGGAAGCGGTCATTGATGCGGCTCGGCAATGCAGGCCCGCCAAAAGAAAACCCCGCGGCTAGTGGGTACAGTAGACCCAACCGCAGGCTGCCCCCAACTGTAATAGGCGTCCCGCTCTTGTGAAAGCGGGCGGTCGACAGCAGGGACGATGCACCGGCGACTTCGGCCTCGGACTTAAAGAAGGAAACATCGCCGTGCAGGGGGCCCCACCCGGCAAGCTCCGACACGGTGCGGAACAGATGTCCCCGCTGCGGTAGCGTGGGGCTGTCGCGACGGTCACGCGTAAACGTGTGCGTGATGGAGCTCTTGAGAGAGTCGCCGGCGTCTGCGCGGACCGTGGGCGACGCGCCCGCCGCCAGGCCCGTGAGCTGCCGCCAGACGCCCGAGTAGGCCAGGGCGTGGCTGTCGCCCATCTTCCCGGCCAGCCACGCGAGCCGCAAGCTGCCGCCCGCCAGCTGCTCCTCGTGCGAGGCCCAGGGTTTCTGCGTCGACGACCGTAGCCCCTCGACCCCGACCCGCAGGTCAGGGTTGCCGTTTAGCGGCGCCGAGAAGACGGCGTTGTAGGCGGACCGCGTCCGCGTGCCCGTGCTCGCGTTCACCGACAGCGACTCGGCGCCCCCAAAGACATTGCGCAGAACGGCATTGGTATACGCTGACCCCTCGGCGTTGCCAAAGTCGGTGCCGGCGCTCAGCACTAGCCGCGACTTCTCCTTGACGCGGAACGACACGTCGAGCTCCGTTCTCTCGGGATGGAGCCCCGCGGCCCCGGACGGGCGATCGCGCGCATCGGATATGAAGACGCCGTAGCCCTCTTGCTTGAAAATGTCTGTCGAGGATTGCTTGATGTGTCAGTGGGACTAGGGCCAGGGAAGGGAAGGGTTGGCAAGTGCGCACCAAGACGCACAAGCTTCTCGCTCGCTCGGTTAATGCGATTCAGAAGTTCGCCAAGGGTGGTAGTTGGACCCGGGTTCTCGACAAGCGGTCTGAAGAGATGGTCGAGAAGGGATTTCCGTGTGTTGGTGGCGCCGTATACCTCGACGGAGCTGATGGAAGCCGGGGTGAGAAGGTGATCGCTAAGCTGCAGATTCGATCATTAGACACAGTAGACGGCGAATTTGGGTTGATCCAAGGCTTACCGCAGGTGCAGGGGTGTCGGGAATACTCGAGGTGCGCGGACTGTGAGAGGCGGCCTGTATAATGGGCGGTGGGTGGTCAGCCATGTTCATGTGTTGCTCTGTTCTGGAGCTCTGGAGCTTTGGGATGCGTCGGAGCGGGGCTGGATGGGGCCTGGAATTTTTTATATAGTTGCTTACATTGCTACCGCCTGGGGCCAGCGAGGCGGCCATTGGAGCTCTCTTCAGCTCGCTGGAGGCCGTGATGGTGCTTTGGAAGTGTTGTTGACAATTCTGTTTCAAATCCGGCTACTTCCGGCACCTGGCTAGAGCTTGCTTCACACCGTTACTGTAACAGGGAGACCATGCTCTCATCAGCCACGTATGGAGGAAGTGTTCTTTCAAGGGGATGCTGTGGCTTGAATGTGGCTGGGGTTGAGACGTGAGAAAAGGGGAAGGACAAGGGCCCCGCTGCGCGGCGGGGGATGCTCGATCCACTTAGGTTGGCGGCTGGATGACATAATCTGGGGTCTAGACTGAGGGCCTCAGGCGGCGGGTGGGCCTGGTCCAATGGTCACTGGCCTGTCAGCCCAAATTCTGTCGCAGCCTCTTGTCGCTGGCCTTTCGTCGTCATTCGCCTCGCTCGACGTCCTCACCCACTCATTCCCCAACCACACTCTGCGATTCGTCGCCGACGGTAAACAACTCTTTCCATTAGTTCTCGAATTCTCACTCGTTCCGAACAACAGCTCGCGAGCGACGGTCGTGCCATCGACATTGTGATCGCGGGGCACCGGGCGCTCTTTACTGCCGCCGCGCCGCCTTCCTTTCGCTCGCTTGAACCACTGACGGCCCCCTTCCCCCGCCCATACTGCCGTTACCAAGCCGAGAACCCCATACCATGGCGAGCCGTGCGGCCCAGAAGCGTGTATGTACATACATGTCCGGCAGTGTACTTCATTACTACGAGCACTAGGCTGACAGTTTGTCGCTGTTGTACAGCTGACGAGGGAATACAAAAGCATCACCGAGAACCCCCCTCCGTATATCACAGCGCATCCGTCGGATTCGAACATCTTGGAGTACGTGCCAGTGACCCCGCGTTCGCGCTCCCTCTTGCCCATGTGGCTGATTATTTTGGTTTCACAGATGGCATTATATCATCACGGGCCCCGAAAACACCCCTTATCATGGCGGCCAATACTGGGGAACATTAATATTCCCGCCCAACTATCCGTTTGCGCCGCCGGCGATTCGGATGCACACCCCGTCCGGTAGGTTCCAGCCGTCCAGCCGGCTGTGTTTGTCTATCTCGGATTTTCACCCGCGGTCCTTCAACCCTGCCTGGGAAGTCTCGACAATCCTCATCGGCCTGCTCTCGTTCATGACGTCAGAGGAGATGACGACGGGCTCTGTCTCGGCCACAGAAACCGAGCGCAAGTACCACGCAGCGCGGTCCCGCTGGTGGAACTCGACAGGGGGCGGATCACATTTGAAAGCGTCCAACGCCGGCAAAGGCAACGTCAAGGCGGGCGACGGCGGGGCCAAGTTCAAGTCTGAGTGGCCCGAAGCGGACCAGGAGAACTTCCAGTGGATGAGAGAAAACAAGATCGACACGGCCTCGGGCAACAAGCTAGACAATGGTGGCCCGTCATGCGGACCCCAGCTAGGCATCGCTGCTGGCAGCGGTCACCAAGCCCATGCGGTAGTGGATGCAGTGATTCAGCAAAGAGATGCCGGCCAGGGCTGGCTGTTCAAGAACAAGTTGCTGTTGGCGGGCGGCCTCGTTTTCATTTATGTCCTCATTGCAAGGATCCTCGGGGAAGCGAGCGCAAGCTCATGACGAGGTTGAGCGTGGCAGGCCCATCGAAATCGAGGCCAAGAGTGTCTGTGAGCCGGTGCGGTGCCTAGGAACGAGAATATCACGGGTTTCAGCACGGACGGCGATGGAGGACTTCCTTCATGCGGCAAAGAATGGGCTTTGGTATGATATGCGGGGAGGGTTTAGTCCAACTCCAGTAGAGCGAGGCTGTCCGGCCGACAGATACCGGCCGAGCTTCTCATCTGTATTGGGTTGTTTTGATGGGATCTGGGAAGAGTTCACGATGCATGGCGTGGCGTGCATAAGCGTTGGCCCAGCGTTCGTGGATGTACGAATATACGTGGTAATTTATTAGACCATGACGATTACGATAGCACCTCACTGCCAGCTGCGGCTACTACCCGAGACGCCTTCTCTATTGTTGCTGTGGCAATACGGTGGTGACAAAAGGCAGCTTGCTCGATATCCATGATGTCAAGGATCGCCACTTACAAGGTGGTAGGAACAGATACAGTTCTTACCTTACATAAACCGGGTTCCAGGCATTCTTTGCCGAACCATTAGTTGGTTACCCACAACCCTTGCATGCGTGCCTTCCATAAGTTTGGGGGGGCACCACGTGGGAAAATCTTCCTGTGGGCCATGCATACAAGGTTCTATTCTAGAGGGAAGTCGATACCGCACAACAGCACACCGCCGATCAAGCATGACGACGTTTCTCTAGCTTCTTTCCCCCGCCGTCCCACAAACCGGGCTTGCCGCGAAGCCGCGACGCCGTGGTGAAGATGGATGTGTACGTCTTGCCAGAGGGTATAGATAGGTATAGATAGGTGGCGGCCGGTTCTCTCTCTCGACGTCCTTCTCTCTGCTTCTCTTTCCCCTGATGACACTCCGGTAGCTAGCTACCTCGACTAGCCCCCCCAACTACACCAAGGCCGGCTTCTTGATAACCAGCAATGGCACGCTCAATGGCGACCTGGCCACTGCAGGGCGAGAATGGCTCAGCTGCGTCGCTGGTCGATCTGTAGGTCCGTGACGAAGGGCTGGATCCCCCTGCTGTTGTTGTTGTCGGAGGGCATGCAAGTGAGGGCACGCTGGTCGTTGGCACCACCTCATTGTAAGAGAACGGCCAGATCCGTCTGATTCCTGTGTGTAAACCTGCCCCTATTACGTCTTCCCAAGCCCTCTGGCCCAGAGACTGTCTCCACGCCAGGTTGCTGTGGCCTGAGTAACAACACTAATATTGATCTCCTGAAGATGCCAACCCAGGATCCAAAAGGTCAGAGCAGCATCTATTCCAAACCGGGATCCAACTCCTTGTCTATCGGCTTACCGTCTGAAAGATCCTTTGAACATGCACCAATGGCGAAAGTGGACGGCCATCGGCAGTGTCTGCTTCTGTACGTAAAAAATGCCCTTGTTTAGGTTGCTATGTTTATATTGCCATATCTCATTTCGTCGGCTAACTTCTGGCGGCTGCTTCCTCCTTTACCACAGTTGGCTCTCTATCTTCGTTGGCCGAAGTCATTATTGGGTCTCTCGTACCCTTATTTCTCCTCTTTTACTCGGGGGTAGACGTACGGATCCTCAACACTGCCGATTTCCAGAAAATCAGCGGTGGCTCTGCGACTGGCGTCAACCCCTTAGCCATACCTCCCGAAGGAACCATACCTACCCATATTGGCAAGGTATCGCTGCTCGCCACGTTGCCACTATTGAGCAACGGTATTGCCAGCAGTATGTATCTAGTGCAACTCCTAGCGGTTTACCCGAAGTATTGGGCCTAACCGTGTGGTGTGGAAACACGTTGAATGACTCTTGGGACCGCTGTCCATCCATAGCCTCCTGGTCCCCCTGTCGATTGCCGTGGGCCGGCGGCCTGTTCTGTTGTTTGCCAGAGGGTGCGCGTGTTCGGGCGGTTTCTGGGCCGCCGCCAGTTCCTCTCTTGACAGCCACTTGGCCGCGTTCGCTGTTCAGGGCCTTGGTGCTGGCGCTATTGAAGCCCTGATCCCGCTGGTTATCCAAGACATGGTGTTTATACACTAGCGAAACAGGGCCATGTCGGCCATTGTCTCCTCCCAGGACATCATCATTACGGGTCTCGGCGTCACCGCCCCATATATTGCGTCAAACTAAGATTGGCGATGGCTGTACTATATTACCTCAGGCCTGGGTGTCGTGGCCTGGCTGCTTCTGCTCTTATTCTTGCCGGAAACATGGATGAGGTCCAAAGAGGGGCTGAGTACGATTTCCTACCCTTACATCTAGACTGTTTATCGAGCACGTGGAGCTCCGGTTCCAGTTGGCTGAGATATTTCTACCGACACTCTAACGTTTTCCTCCTAGGCGGCCGGAAATTATATCCACTCAAGCCAGGCCGTCAGAACCGGCCAGAACTAGACTACGTCACCTAGTCGGCACCAACAATGTGGACGTATGTGGGCTTCTTCTAGACAAGCTTTGAGTAGAAGGAGGCAGGTCTGTCAATGCTCGACGCCTTGAGGACGGCCTTCTTTCCTGCTGTTGTCTGGGCGACAGTGGCAAACAGTATCTTCGTCGTGGCCAACTCGGCCGCTCAGCAAATCGGACCGTTCGCTTTGCTAGCACAGTGGTAACAAAGATATTGTTTGTCTCCCCTTTGGTTGCGTATGTGCTCACTCCTCTCTGCAGGTGGTAATTCTAGTGGACGGGATTATCGGTGCTACCCTTCATCGCTGTAACGGGGTTGGTATACCTCTTTGGAGGACCTATCGCGGACCGTATCGCCAGTTCCGTGGCCCGTAGCAGCGGAGGCTCCCGGGAACCAGAGCACCACTTGCTCAATATGGCAGCGCCTTTGGTCTTCGGTATTTCTCCAGTGCCTTTGTGTTTGGCTGGGTTGGACAGACAAATGGACACTGCGCATTACTGCTTGCTGGGTCTTTCATGATTATTTTTGGCTTCCTCGTCGCCATGTCCACCCTCAACGTCTTCATCGTCGAGAGCTATCCCATGTGCGCAGGGCCCGTGCTGGTCAATGTGTCGATCATCCGCATCATCGTTGGCTTTTTCCTTGTCAAGGAAGTCGACCGAGTGGATTTTGGAAAAGGGTTTCTTTAGCACCTTTGCCTTGTACGGCGAGGTCATGATTGTGGCATCGCTTAGCGTCCCGGTCCTCTATTTCTTTGGCAAGCGGATCCGGCAGTGGACTGGCCGCCGCGTGCCGGATGACAGGCGAGAGGCTGCTACCAGCGAGCTTATCAACGAGAAGCCGACCCGCCTTGTGAGGTGCTACCGCCGCTCCTGAAGCCGAGCCCAGCAGCTTTGTACTGCCGCTCTGAGAGACGCCAGCAACAGCTTTGCCTAATTTGGCCAAGGCCCCATGCATCGCCCAAGGCCACTCTGCACCCTTCACCCAGCACGATACCAGCACTTAACATCCAGCATCGCCGTACAGGGTCATATTCTGAGCGGTAGCGGCCACTAAGCGTTACTCATCCCGGACTCTTCAGCACTGAATATTACACATTTCAAGCCATTGGCAGAACCGGGAGTCGGGTTTATGTGTGTAAGACCGACATAAGGCCGTTACGGATGACACGGTTTCGGCAGCGGCTGGGGGCTCCGCGGCGGGCTTGATGTAGGTATCCAGCCGCAGTGTTTATATCTTTAAAGCCGCCATAACACCGTTACCTCCATCAATTTTTTAGTGATTGGCTTACCGGTCTTAGGAATTGTTTACTCGTGATAGCAATCGGCTTGTCAATTACCGAGCAGCTGGTGTTATCCAATCCCCGCAGCGGGGTAGCAGTGGCGTGCTCTCCCTACCAGGACCTAGTCTGCTCCGGAGGTATAAATATATCGGTATTATATCCACAGCGGCATTTGTTTCCCGTGAGCTTCTTGATCGGCAACTTACTAGCTACTCTGTACTTGTTCCCGTTTTTTCACTCCTGGCTAAGGCGGAGTTGATCGAGCACGAAGCTGGACTGTAAATGTCGGCCGACTTACACGTGTACCCCTTTTCTGGTTCCCACCTTCATATCACTCCCTGCCTCCCTCACTTACCCGGTTCAAGCAAGCAAGATGGCCGAGATACCCGCCTCTCTCAAGCAGTCTGCTGAGAACTCCAAATGCGAGTATCGCCGGCTGGGGAGCAGTGGCCTCCGCGTCTCCGTCCCCATTTTCGGGTGTATGAGCTTTGGTGACCCAAGAACGCTTCCCTGGTGTGACCCCTCCCCCTTTTTGGAAACGGAAGGAGGGCACGGACGCAGCTAACCAGGCTGATGTATGAAGGGCGATTGGAGAGGACGAGGCTCTTCCTATTCTTAAGGCGGCCTACGACTCGGGCCTCAATACTTGGGATACAGCCAATGTCTACTCCAATGGCGCGTCCGAAGTTATTATTGGCAAGGCCCTTAAGAAGTACAACATTCTTCGCGAAAAGGTCATTATTATGACCAAATGTTACGCCGCCGTCGGGGACGAGCCCGAGATTCGCTCCTTCTTTTACAAGTCAGTGGTGGACCAGTCCAAGGACTACGTTAACCGCCATGGTCTCTCGCGAGGCGCCATCTTCAACCAGGTCGAGGCGTCCCTCAAGCGGCTCGACACACCCTACATCGACCTGCTACAAATCCACCGTTTCGACCCCGACACGCCCATTGAGGAGACAATGAAGGCCTTACATGATCTTGTCCAGTCCGGCAAGGTCCGCTATATCGGCGCGTCTAGTATGTGGGCCACTCAGTTCGCTCGTCTTCAGTTTTGCGCCGAGCGTAACGGCTGGACCAAGTTTATTAGCATGCAAAACCATTACAACCTCCTGTACCGCGAGGAGGAGCGCGAGATGAACCGTTTCTGTAATGATACGGGCGTTGGGCTTGTCCCCTGGGCCCCCCTTTGCCGGGGTCACTTGGCTCGCCGGCCAGAAGCGTATGGTACTACTGAGCGCAGCAAGGGCGAGAAGGAGAGCTCGCCTGGCTCTCACGGGACCGTTGAGCCCGACCTGACCATAATCAATCGCGTAGTCGAGCTTGCCGACAAGCATGAATGGCCGGTGAGTAGTGCTATTCCAGCTCCGTGCCCGTTTCTTCGAGAACCGTGTGAGGAAAAGAGTCTGACCCAAAGGGAATGCCTGACCTAGATATCCCATGTCGCTCTTGCGTGGATCAACAAGCGCATTGCCAGCCCCATTATTGGCTTCAGCAGCATCAAGCGGCTGGAAGAAGCCATCTCCGCTAGAGGCAAGACTCTGACCGAGGAAGAGGAAAAGTATCTCGAGGAGCTCTACCAGCCCAAGGCCATATCCGGCCACTCGTAGGAGCTGGATGAGGGTGCTATCCGAACTATCAGACTGTAATGGTTTCGTAACACGAGAAGACTGGCGTCATTAGCAGCTGGAAGGAAATGGACCATACCTAAGCAAGCGAGCCTAACCTAATGATTAAGGAGAGCTGCTTTCATGAATAAATACCATTAGTTTTATCTTCAATATTATGCTATTATCGGCCGACAAACGTCCAGGGCAGCTTGTCTGGCTCGATGCCTTCGATCTCTACTCGAACGGGCCTATCCCCCGGCACGAGATCGAAGCCGTTGTCGCTGACCGTGACGCCTTGCCTCTCGGAAAACACGAAGCTCTTGACGGGCTTGTCGGCCGATACCTCGACTGCCTTCGGGCCCGCGGCCTTGACCTGGACCCCGCGGTCGGCAAAGTCGAGGTACTTGATGGGGTCTGGCCACGACGTGTCGCTGCCAACAATCTCGCCCTCCACCCAGAGAGACGCGTGTATGACAAAGTGCTCGCGATTCGCAGTCCCGTCTTCCGTCTCGAACCGGTAGCCGACTACAACTTCGGTGCAGCTGTTCGGTCTCACGTCCAGTGTCTTCACCAGCGGCTCTCTAACATTCTTCCCGCTCTTGATGGACACGAACCGCACCACCACCTTGCCGCAGACCAGCGGGAGCCGCGAACTCGCAACCCACACGTCAAACTCAATGTCGGTCAGCGCCTTGGTTGGGTTCACGTGCCCCGTGTCTCTGCGCCACAGGGCGTCGGCCGGTCGCGTGGTGCAGTCGTAGAACTTACGCGACACGGCGACCCCCAGCGGCGCGAGGGCCCGCTTGACGGCGTAGTAAGCGGGTTTTTTGACAAGGAAGTAGTCGACGATGGCCCACGACACGGTCGGCCAGCAGTCGTTGAGCTGCCACACCAGCACGCCGCCGCAGCGCCGCGCGCCCGCCGAGCCCCAATGCCGGCGCCACGACTTGTAAGCCCACGCCATGGCGTCGGCCTGCATCGTCTGCGTCAGGTGGACAAACGACGCCAGGTCGTCGCCGCCGCGGACTGCTCGGAAGTTCTCCGTCAGGTACGCCAGCAGGCGCCGCTCGTGACCCACGGCCTTGTTGTGGAAGTCGAGCGTGGCGCTGCCGGGGTGCCGCTCGGCCGCGTCCGTCACGAAGCGCTCGATGGTGTCGACGTGCGGGTATGCCTCCATGCCGAACTCGCTGACGAAGCGCCCGCCCATGTCGGGCAGCGCCTGGTACGGCCGCATCTCGCCGTGCCACACGTTCCACTGGTGGATGTCGCCGACGGTAGCGTCGACCTTGAGCGTGGTGCTGCGGCCGTCACCCCAGGGGCTGCCCGGGTGGTAAATCGCGTCGGGAGACTCGTCGCGCACGACCTGCGGCAGCAGGTGCTCGTAGATATAGCGCGCTGGGAACGTCGACTTGAGCCACGACTGCGGGTCCTTGTCGGCGTCGAAGTCGTACTCGAGCCCGTACCGCTCGACCAGCTGGTAGTCCTCGTTGTTGCCGCACCAGAGAACCAGCGACGGGTGCTGGCGCAGGCGGCGCACGTTCTGGCTGGCCTCGGTCTCGACGGAGCGCAAAAAGGCCAGGTACGTCGGGTACGACGCGCACGCGAACATGAAGTCCTGCCACACGAGCACGCCCAGCTCGTCGCACGCCGCGTAAAAGGCGCCGCTCTCGTACACGCCGCCGCCCCAAACGCGCACCATGACCTGGTTGCCGTCGGCCACAAGCCGGATCCAGTCCCGGTAGCGCTGCGGCGACGTGCGCGAGATGAAACTGTCGGCAGGGATCCAGCACGACCCCCCCGAGAACACGTCGACGCCGTTGACGCGGAAGTAAAACGACTGCCCGAACCCGTCGGCCTCCCGCACCAGCTCCACCGTGCGGAACCCGACCGTCTGGCGCTCCTCCGCTAGGACCGTCGCTCCGTCGCGCGCGATGCTGCGCACACGCAGCTCGTACAGGTTTTGTGCCCCGTAGCCTCGCGGCCACCAGAGCTGCGGCGCCTCGACTTTGACCGTGGCTGATGTGTATGTCCACGCCGTGTCCAGGCCACTGTCGTTTAGCATGCTGGTCTCTCTAAAGCAAAACACCCGCTGCCCCTGAAAGCACAGCTCGGCCTCGACGGCGGCGCCTGGGCCAAGAACCTGAGCGTGGATCTTCATCTCCGCGCGCGCTCCCTCGGTCTGGCCGCCCAGGTTGACGACAGTGTAGTCGACCCTGACGTCCTGAACGCGGCTGACATACGTCTCGAGACGGACGGGCTTCCACGGCCCGCAGCCTAGGAGAATGGGGCCCCAGTCCCACCCGAAATGGCACTGGGCCTTGCGCACAGGTCCCCGGCTGATCTCGGTCTGGTGCACGATGAAGTCATGCTCGGGATGTGCCTTGGCCAAGTCGAGGCCGCGGCGCCGGGCGGGCTCAAAGACGATCTCGAGTGTGTTCTTGTAGCCATCAGTGGAGCTATTTGCGGCACCGGCACCGGGGGAGGTAGTATCCCCCCTTTTCCTCAACAATGCCCCGACGCGGACGCGGTGTTCGACAAACATGTTGTCAGACTCCAGCACCGTGCGCCCGTTGAGGGTCACGGCCGCGAACGTGTCGAGGCCTTCAAAGACGAGGTCCACCGCCACGGCGGCATTTTCCCCCTCGTCATCGGCAGCCACGGCTTGTTCGGGTGTGGAGAAGGTCGTCCGATAGCGCCACGTCTGCTCCGCGACCCACGCCACCTCGAGCTCGTTGAGGTCGACAAACGGGTCCGGGATGATGCCGTGGCGCATGAGCTCGGTGTGGACATCGCCCGGAACCTCGGTGGCAGACAGCCAAGTTTCGTCCGAGTCCCGCCGGAACTCCCAGCCAGCCGAGAGTGTCTGAGTCCAGAGCCGAGCCATGGCTGGGTATGTAAGCTGTCTGGGTCTGAGACTGAGTCTGGGCTTTTTGTGCGAGTATTTTCAGCACAGCAAGGGAGAGCCCGGCCGTAATCGAGGTTCACTACCTTACCTACTACTTAGACTCCGAGGATCGGGCCGCTGTCTCGTCTCATATCTGGCGGCGGGCGTCTACCAGCCTGCAGGACCTGACCTGACTCCAATTCTCTCTCGCAGAGCCGGAGTCGCACATCGTGCGGGGTTTCGCCAACTCCTTCCTCCATTACCTTGCCCAGCTTGATTCGGACTAGAACGGTTCGTTTTACATAAACAAAACCGGGTGTGTCGATAAACCGCTGATGAAAGTGGGCTAGTGAGCGGCCGAAGGAAGAGGCGGGCACACTGTGGAACCCAAATGGATTGGCAAACGAGCCGAGACCCGCGTCGCCGTCAGTTGCCCACGGCAGTCAATCAACATGACGGAATTTCCAGCGGCGCAACCTAGTCAGTAGTAGCCGTGTGTGGCTAACCGACAATGTCAGAAATAGACTTAGAAAAGATGGACGAGTTTCAAGTCACATCGAATCCTTCCCAAGAACTAAAATAGACGACGCCGTCAATAACCCCTCCTCCAAAAGGCCGAAAGGGGAAAGGGGTTGCGGCCACCAAGAATCATGACCCACTATGCCCAGGCCAATATCTTCCTGAAGGAACACGCGATCATTAAAGCCATGTTGTCAGGTCTTGATATTTTAAGACAAAGAGGCGTGAAAACGGGAAAAGAAAAAGAAAGCGGCCGAGTGCTAGACAGCAATAATTTTTAATGTTTTGTTCGTTGCTGCCAATGACGGCCGAGTCTCTTGTCTCGTATCTATGCGGTACTATCTAAGGCGACTACAAACCAAAAAAAACCCCCCGGTTCATTCCCCGAAAAAGGGTCGTTACAGTACAAAATAAGAAGGTACAAAGCAGAAGGCAAAGCTAGAAGCGAAGTGACGTGTTAAAAAAATGACGGGGTTGCTAGACAGAGAACGGATGTGGACTCAGTCAGACTGCGGCAAAAAAAACCAAGGCAGGGTCAAAAAAAAAGTATTGGTTGACGACGCAAAAAGAAGGAAATATGTCCAAATGCATCCAATGTGGTGCTTTCAACGGACTGGAAGAAGGGCGGAAGTAAAGGGATACGAGGGTCCAGCCACCTGGCCTCTTCTCTCTTTTTGGTTGGTTTTTTTATTTGTCTTCTTAACAGTTCGGCTGGCAAGCCGAGTCGGGGCAGTAGCCACGGGCGCATGTGAAGGAGCACAAGCCTGCGTATCCGTCGCTCATGCCGGGCTTCGGGCAACCCCCCGGCTGGGAGACCACGGCGTTCCAACTGGGAGACCCGTTCGAGGTACACACGCAGACCCCGGCCGGGCAGTATCCCAGCGCGCACGAGAATTGGCACAGCCCGATGAAGTTTCCAGACAACCCGGCGGCTACCGTGCCGCCATTGCAACCACTGGCGGCGTTGGGCTTGACAATTGCGATGGACGTAGTAGGTGTGGGAATAGGGAGAGCAGCGGTGGAAGTAGGCGAAGGACCCGCAGCCGAAGGACTCGGGTTAGCAGGAGCTTGCGTCTGCCGCGGAGGGGCTCCGGCCGCCGGTTGGCCATTCAGAGTAGCTTGGGGCTGGCACGTTGCCACGCGCAAGCCCTGGGTCAGGGAAGCGGCGCCCACGGCGTTCAGGGTGCCGAACCCCTGGTCTGGAATCTTGCCGACAAAGGCGTTGAAGTTGTAAATGCCGCAGATGCAGCTCCCGCTCACCTCCTTTGGCGACGTGCCGGCAATGATCGACTTGCCGCCGCGTGTGAGCTCAAACGATTGACTGCCCACGCCCATGGGGATCTTCTGGAGGTAGGCGCCGGCAGGGGCATTGTACGTTACGGTCGCCTTATTGCCAGATGTGACCGACACGGTTCCCGCGGCCGTCAGGAGAGAGACGACAATAATGGAATCCTCCACCCCATCCGCGCCATTAGGGCGGCCGTTGAAGTAGTCGCCGCTGGCGTTGTTCGCTGGGCCCATGGTGGTGTCGGTGCCATCGCAGTTCAGACCCTTGGGGTTCTGACGGAACCAGTACACTATCTGGTCCTCTTTGATATAGCTGTCGGGCTTGCTCGCCCCGGCGTGGTAGGCGGAAATGAAGGGCTTGGCCATGTCCAACCACGCCTCGTGCGGCATGTCGTTGGCCCACTTGGAGTTGCCGTCGTCGTGGTGCGAAGCAGACAGCGGCGAAAGATACGAGGACTCGCCCCAGTCATTCCAGGTGACGATCTCGATAAACCTGGGCTTGGACTGCAGGAGCGTGTTCCAGCGGTCGTACCACAGAGTGTCGGAGGGGAAGAGCCAGTTCTTGCTGTAAGACACCTCGGGGCCGTAGTGGGTGTGGAACCACGGCGATATAGGGCTGACATAGGGCTTGGATCCCAGCCAGTTCTTGTAGGCGTTGTCGCCATCCTGCACAGTCATAAGCGCGCCGGGAGACGGGGCCTTGTTCCTGCCGTTACTGTTCCAAGCCATCCAGTTGAAGGCGGCATCAAGGCCGTCTGAGGACCCCGTCTTGTATGGGTTGAAGTTGGGGGCAAAGAAGATGGGAACGCCAGCAGCCGACCTCACGGCCCCCACGTTGAGTCCGTCGCCGAGGAAGGAGGAGACGAAGACCTTGTTGTCGACAATGAGCTGGCCCGAGTTGGACGCGTACCTGGCGATCATCTGTCCTATAGCCGAGGGGTTGCCAGTCGACCAGTAGTTGAAGTCGAAAGATATAAAGACTTTGAGGCCGTTGTTAGCGGCGCTCTGGTAGGCGATGTCTAACTGCTTCGTGTTGTAGCTGTCAAGGCCAATGTTCAGGGCAAAAGCATCAATGCCGGCCGCCTTTGCGCTCTGCATATCCACATCCCAGTCGCCGGCGGTTTGGCGATTCGCAACAGTGCCGACCTGCATACGGCGTCAGTTTCTGCTATATCGTCACCCGGGACCAGGCCGGCGAGACACTGGCAAAAGAGAAGACCTACAATGAAATGGGCAAAGACCAGCGGGCCATTGCTCGAAGCCCGCGGCGCAACAACGGGAGCGGCGAGGGGAGCGGCGTATACTGCCCGGGTAAAAAGCCCCACCAGGAGGCAAAGTGCGCCGACCAAGCGGGCAAGACGAAGAATAGAATCCATAACTTGTAAAGGAGTGACAAGCCGCGGGCGAAGTTATTCGCAAGCGATTGGGTTAAGGGGGCCTCTCGGGGAGCAGCGGTCAGGCAAGGAACGTGAGGGCGATCTGAAGGCCCATTGAGGTTATAAAGGTTGTTGTGTTTAAAGGAGTGGCACAAAAAAGGATTGTGGGTGACAGAAAGTGTCAGTCGGATCGGGTCAGATCAGATCAACAGATGACGGGAGAGAGCCAGCTGTGCCTCGAGCCGATGCGAGGTGGCCGTCCGAGGGAGGTCATTCATTGTGTGAATGCAACGGCGCTCCCAAGTCCTCGGCGTGCTGCTTCGTCTTCCTGCCGGGGGGGGAGCCTCCAGGGAGCATGGGGCAGCATGGGTTGGTGGGATGAGAGGGCAAATTTCCACCCGCTTTCCCCCTTTGCGGCTTGCATTGGTGCTGCCCAGCCTTGCCCTACGTGTGCAGTCAGAGTGTAGCGCACTCCGTAGGTGTGCCAAGTGTGGTGCCGTGCGGTGTGCCCTGGCCCTGGGCGGTGATCCCCTGAGGTCCCCGGGCCCTGTCGTGGCCCTTGCACGGATGACAACCTAAAAAGCCGCTTCGAACCAACCAGCGTTGAATGTACTCTGCCACGCTAATGTTACGTGCAGGTACCTGGATATCCCGCTGGTCTGTGCTTTTAGGCGGCGTGAGCACAGAGGAGGGCGGGGGCGGGCTGCAAGGGGTACGAAACGAAAGCGGAGATTTCCATTGTGCCCTGTGCCCGCCTCCCACCGCCTGTGATCTGGTGTACCCGACCTGAGGTGCGGAGAGGGGGCCGCCCAGGCCGCGGCCGCTTCCCCAGCTCCTGACCGCGCTGGCCGCCATGGCACTTATCGCTTCTTGTTGGCGGGTTTCCGCGCCTACTGACGTGACAACCGCCGGCGCAGAGCTTCATGTGCTATGCGCAGTCTCATATTTGCGAACATGTAGACTTAGACCGGTCACAGAACTTGATGCGCATCAGTCAGGCCTACGTGACTAGGTCCGGCGGCGGTGAGTCGATTACTACGGTGTGTGCGCTTGCAGCTACATGAGGACCCCTAGCTTCAGGTTAGGCGGACTGATGAAGGCCTGCTGTGGACGTGGAAACAGGGAAAGAAAAAAGTTTTCGGTTTCACATAGGACATAGGGCGGGGGCTCGCGCCTGGAAGGACCGAATTAGGGAATACAAACGACATATGTCGTCCTCCCCACCACCATGATAGCGGCACAGTCAGCAATCCGTGGAGAAAACAGCACTTGAGCTCAAGCGAACATTTGGAAGGAGATCGGAACGTGGGCGGCTGTCAGGGGTAGATGTTTGGGTCGTTCACTTAGCTTGCTCCTGGAATCCTACCCCCCTGCTGCTGCAGGTCCCTAGGCTTGAAACAAGACGCTAGCTCTATCGCCGGGGGGCGGTTCGCGGTGGGGTCCTGATTGGCAGCTGCGATTGAGCGCGAAGCTTGCTCAAAGTGGACTGGCTACACCTGCCCAGCCCGGGCCTTTTGGGCGTTTTGGGGCAAGCCCCTTCGAGGATTGCAAGCGCGAGCGAGCAAAAGAAAAGTCCCCGTTTTTGCGATTCGAACCCCCCTCATTGATGTCAGCAGAAGGCAAAATGGCATCTTGGAACCCCAAGTGGCCAGGTTGCCGCTGATCCGAGCGAGTATCCAACAGGACGGTTCCTGATACATATGCACCGACTCCTCCAAAGTCATGGGGATTTAGAGTTATGCGCCGACCTCTGCCTGGGAATTCTCAAATCCATCTGATGTGAGGGGCAGAACTTTGGAGGCCCGCCATGACGATGAATGGTGGGTTCGGGGGAGGCGCGGGCCGCCCACTCAATAAAGCGAAGACGACGACGGCCCAAAGTTCCACTCCCACGCATCCTAACGCGACGAAAAGATTTACGGGAAAGGAGGACAGCCCGCCATCCGCTTTGGCTCTTTTTAGCATCAGGGCGCTTTGCCCTGCGGCCTGCACGGCTCTATCCCACGCCACCAACGCCACAATTGTGAATTAGCGCTTAATTCGGTCTAGCGTTCCTGTGCCCTGGGATGAGGCCTTGGCGAAAGATTTGCGTCGTCCCATCTCCCTTTTCTTGAGGACCCATAACCCACGGAACCCCCCCCCGAGACCAACGTCATCAGCAAGGAGATTCCCGAGATAATGTCTCGACGCCAGGGTGATGACTTGGCAGCGCCGTGGCTGGATCAAACTCTCATCTGTGGAACATCTGAATCAATAAAGCCGAGGCGTGCCACCTGGTGAAGCTTTACTGGCAGCTCTTGACCAGCCGTGTTGAAGCAAGACGCCCGCCCAGGTTCGACTTCCGCGGGTTTTTTCATTTCAAGTGCCTTCGCAAGCAGCAAATGGACTTGGCCGAGAGAGAGAGATAGAGAAATTCCTAACCGGGTCCATGTTATCTCTGCATGGAAGCAAATTAAACTTTTAGCTCTGATATGATGCACCACAGCAAAAAAAAAAGCCAACCATGGTTCAATTTTAATATCACAAACAAACATGGGCATGGGGCATGGGTATCGGTCCCTCAGCCCCCAACCAAGGACCAACACAGCCTGGGCAAACAGGCCTAGTGCCCCCTGCCAAGGTCGCTTCGCCGCCGCACGACGTTCACTGATCGACTGCCACCTACGGCAGATAACAACAGTGTGCTGGTCTCCCACCAACCACATGCGGCCTCCGCGAGGCACGGATCATCCATGCCCCCGAGGTTATTTGCACCTTTTCAAAGCGTGTTAGTTAAGGCAAGACCACCGAACTAGGCGCGTCTCTTCATCCCGATCGCTTTTATAGAATTAAATAAAAACCCCGAATGTCCCAAATGCCAAACAACTCAGCCCCGACCGATCATTGTGCTTTCAGGCTCGGATTATAGCTGCTCAAGTCTCACGATTCATGTTTGGTGACATGGCTCGCTCTTGCAGTGCGCCACATGCCAGCACAGCCAACCTAGGCGCCACTCACGACAAAGCTTTTAAATTGCAGTGTGCTGCGATGCGGTTGTGGCCTCTTGAATGTCGATCGTGATGTTACTCTTGTCAGTGTCACTGATCGCTAGTCTCTCCGACGGTCCTTTCATTTCTTTAGGGATCCCTTTCTTTATTCCTTTGATACTGGTATCATTTCACGGGGGAGGAAGAGCTCGTAGGCGGTGGGTCAGATGGCCCTAGAATCTGGCGCTGGAAGCGTTGAGTGACTTGTTCTGACATACCTTAGAAGTTGAGATGTAATTAGTCACCTCGTCTTCAACCCCTGTCCCATGGGTTCAGTCAAGAGAGACTTGGTCTAAGGTATTGTTGAGATTCTATTAGAGGTTGACATTAAATAATTATCGATCATCTATCGAGAGCTTGGGATTGACACTACAACAAGTTAGCAGGAGCCGGAAGACAAAGACAGCTATCAAATGAGGTTGTTGTCTTACCATTTGATAGTATACGCCTCTCTTCTTGATCAGCGAAGCATGGTCTCCCTTTTCGAGAACTCGGCCGTCGCTGATAACAAAGATGACGTCGGCGTTCTGTACCGTGGCGAGGCGGTGCGCTACCACGATCATGGTCCTGTTCTTCTTGTTCTTCTCAAACACGGCTTGCACGGCCTTCTCCGTCTCGGCGTCCAGACTCGACGTCGCTTCGTCCAGGAGTAGCAAGCGCGGATTCCGGATCAACGCTCGGGCAATTGCCAGGCGTTGCTTCTGCCCGCCAGACAGCGACACACCCCGTGGGCCCACTTCGGTGCTGTAGCCGTCGGGGAGCGAGACGATGAAGTCGTGGATCTCGGCGTCGCGACACGCCTGGTGCAGCTGCTCTTCTGTCGTGGTCTCCTCGTCAACGCCGACGAGGATGTTCTCTCGAAGACTTCCACCAAAAAGATTGGGTTCTTGAGCCACAAGTGAGATGTCCTTGCGGTAGCTGCTTAGCGCCATATCTGCAATGTCCAAGCCGTTATACAGAATTCGACCCGCTTTGGGTGAGTAGAATCTGCCAGTGAATACCCATCAGCTGGTGCCTGGAATTAGGGTGCTTTCATAAAGTGCGCTCACCTTTCAAGCAAAGAGATGACGGTCGTCTTTCCGGATCCTGATGACATCTTAGTCTTCAGTGTTTAATTGCCAAGGGGGACAGGCTTACCAGACGGGCCGACGATTGCAGCAAACTGGCCTTTCTCGATCTGCAGTGAATATCAAGTCAGCCCAACGCTTCCGAGCCTGGGAAGTTATGCAGGCTCACTGTTAGGTTGAGGCCATTCAATATGGGCACGTCCCGCGTGGGGTACCTAAACCAGACGTTTTGAAACTGTATCTTGACCCCCATATCATCCTCCCCCAGGTTTCCAAAGTCGAGCGAGACAAGCTTTCCATCAATATGGTCATCAAATCTCATATCAATGATTCGGCTTGCAGCGACAGATGCCTTTGCGATATCTATGACTTGTAAGTTCGTGGTTTTCTCATCAGCTTATGGATAGAGACATACTGGGACCATAGCTCAACCATTGTCCAGCCCCAAGGCCGCCCTGGTGAAACACGTTAGTACATTGGAACGGCAACCAGCTTCTCAACGGCGAAATCTAGACATACCTGGAGGACAGCAATATAGACGATCATATACTGGAACGGCAAGTATTCGTGGTTAAGCATGAGGTTACCTCCGTACCTGCGGAACAGTCAGCGGCCGGATGACACTAGCGGTATCGAACCTCACTCACCAAAGGATGAAAGCCATGCAAAGTAATGCAATGCTGTCTGCCGCAGAAAAGACAAACGTTGTCCAGCTGGACTTGAGAAACGATTTGCTGATGTGATTCTGTAGCAGTGTCTCATAGCGTTGAATGATTGTGTCTTCAAGTGTCAGCGATGAGACTGTCCGAAAGGCGCCAATCGACTCGGTTGCAAACTTGGCACTTTCCGCAAAGACCTCATTGTTCGTCTTCTCAAATTGGGCCTCGTATCGGATGCGAAGGAAGGCCGCTGCGATGATGAGCGGCATTGACGAGCAAAGAGTGACAACGGTAAGTTTCCACCCAAAGTAGAAGGATATCGACAGACAGCCGACGACATTGAGAATCGAAATGATTACAAAGGCCATGTTGGTTCCCAGCAGCTCCTGGAGCTGGCTTGGGTCTGTGGCGAGCCGGGCAGTGAGAGCGCCGACGGAGTGCTCATCGGCATCGAAAAAAGCCACAGATTTGGACAGAATGTTGTTGAAGTACTCAGTACGGTAATAGTGGGTTATGTGCTGTTTGTGTTAGCGGGACGGTTGGTATCTAGATAATGCTGGCTAGCTCCTAGTACTCACAAACGCAATCGTTGAGGAAGCCCATCCCAGAGCAAAGTAGCTTATTGCGACAAATATTGCGAGCATCACGAACATTAGGCTCCAAAAGTTGGCGAGTTCCGGGAGCCACGGGCCCCAGAACTGAAACAGCGTGAGTTCAGTGGCGAATAGATAAGCTTGTATCGGTTGACTTGCTGGGTTCGGTGACGCCTTGATCAGCTAGAGTCCTCAAATAACGAGACTCGAAAGAAAGGTTGAGGGACTCACCGCCGCCGCCCACGGCGCCTAGCATGAGAACAATGTACCATCTCCAGTGCATGCTTTGTTCCCGAAGCAGCAATCCGAAGCTGCCCCATATGCCTCTCGCCTTTTTCTCAGGCTCACCGTCCGAGACAATCGTGGTTGTCTCGATATACGTTGTGGCATCTGTGCCAATGGTGGCCATGCTCTTCTTCTCTGTAACCTCAATGTCTAGGGAATGTGCTTTCACTTCGTCCTCATCAACAGGTGACTCCATGGTAAGTTGTTGAGTAGTTGCCAGAGTCCAGTAGGCCCCTGATTCTTGCGCCATCATGTCCTCATGTGTGCCTTGCTGGACAACCTTGCCTTTTCGCAAAACGATGATATTGTCTGCCTTCTTGATTGTCGCAAGGCGATGGGCAATCATGATAGTTGTTCTGTTTTTAGATACCCTGTCCAAGGCCGCTTGGACCATCTGTTCGCCACGCACATCGATGCTGCTTGTGGCTTCGTCGAGGATCAGTATCTTGGGGCGCTTGACAATGCTCCGTGCGATAGCAAGGCGCTGGCGCTGGCCGCCGCTTAGCTTAATGCCCGAGTCACCAACAATTGTCGAATATCCCTGTGTTATCACCGGCGGTCAGTGACTGTTTCCAAGCCTGTTATGTAGTTTGGACAGGGCTTTCAACCCACCTCTGGTAAGCGGTTGATGAACTCGTCAGCAAAAGCTTCTTTACATGCCTGTTTCACCAGGTCTTTTTTCGTTTCCAAGTCGGCGTCCTCCCACTGAGTGCCAATGAGGCCAAATTCAACATTAACGTAAATGCTGTTGTTGAAGAGGAACGGCTCTTGTTGGACAAGGCCGATTTGCGTCCTCCACCACTTGAGATCAATCTCTCTCAAAGGGCGCCCGCCGACTCCAACATAACCATTGCGCCAGTAAAGGCTCTTAAAAAGAGCAACGTCAAGTCAGTTCATTTGCTGGTTACTTAATAGTGATGGAGACGAGGGGGCAACCTGACATACCATAGCATTGCTCTCAAGAGCCTCGATCTCATACCATCGCTCCAGAAGCCCCACGATTGTGCTCTTTCCCGAACCCGACGGTCCAACTATGGCGGTGATTTTACTAACCGGGAATTGGAGGCTCAAGTCATCCAGAACCTTTATGTCCGGTCTGGTTGGGTACGCAAAGTTGACATTTTGGAGAACAATGTCCTCTGACGCCGAAACCTCGGGCTCTTTAACACCGCTTTTGTCCGGCCTGGGGGCATCTATGATGGTATAGAACACTGTAGCCGCGCCTGCCGCTCTGGCAGCAGCGGCAAGCGGCGCGGTGATTCCGCCGATTGAAGTTGTCATCAGCATGACAGACATGAGAACACTGGAATGGCGCAGACGTTAGCTACTTTTGGAAGCTAGGCGCTCGGCCCATTAGTACTCACACAATCAAAGTCTCAGCACTGTTAAACTGAAGCTCCAAATACATCTTGAGAGAGTACCAGAAAGAAAGCGCAAAGGTCCTAAAAGATGTCAGCAACGGTCAAGCCCTGCTTTACGGAATTCAACACCAGGCATACCCATAAACAGCAAATTGGACTACAGCCAGATCATATCAGTATGAAAGCCATGTTAGAACGTGCTTGAAGGGTGACAGGACTCACTCGGAGCTTGCTGCGCGGCAATGAGCGGGGACATTTTCAGTCCCCGGCGGCGAGATTCGTCAACCCAGCCAGAGTACCGCTTGGCCATCTTTTCTTCGGCCCCGCAAGCTGCAATCATTCTGATGGAGCTGAAAAGCTCGTTCGCAGTGGTTGAAGCCTGGATGTCGGCATGTTGCACGTCATTCAAAATCTTGACTAAGAACGGCGTGGTGACGGCGTAGACCACTGTGATAAGCACCAGCCCGCTGCTGGTGATCAGAGTCAACTTCCAGCTGTAGCTCATAGCGATAACAAGTGCGGAAACGACGGTGGAGAGAGCCTGGAGAAACGCTGAGAGCTTTTCCGAGATCCCGGCCTGGAGGACGCTCGCTGTGATAGTTATGATGGCTGCTGTCTGACCAGGGGGGAGAACATCAAGAGTTGAGACTGGCTGGCCGAAGAGACACTTCATATAGCGGAGCCGAATTGCAGCTGAGATTCTCAAGCTGCACATTCGGAACCCCATCTATCAAAAACGTTCAGCATTTGCTTTCCGTGGCTTGAATACCAAGAGTATCATGCGGCTCCACTTACATAGGCGACGTAGTCTAGCACAAGCCTGATGAAGAACAGACCCAAAAGATACAAACTACAGGTTGTTAGCATTATAGAAGGGAGTATTTAGCTTTTGAACTTACGCGCAGGTGCTGATAGAGTTTCTGAACAACTCATATGTGGTGGCTGCGTCTGCACCGTAATATCCGGTGAACGATCCAACCATGCGGCCTTTTTCGGTGTCAGTTTACTTTCTCAAAAACCAGGCGCATATTCATTGAGTCTCACCGAATACCACATTCATGATCGGCATTGTCACACCGGCTCCCATAGAGGTAATTGTTGCCGCTAAGAGAAGCAGCCTGTCTAGCCATGTTGAAAACGTGAAGATGCGCTGTTCTCGGATAAGCTTCAATGTTTAATATAGGATACAATGTATGAAGATGGCTCACTATGAAGTCTTTGATCGCCGTCTTCTGCTCTGGTTTCAGGCGAAATGGGAGGGCGTTTAAGATTTTGACCTCTTTCTTGAGGGCAGGGGCTGGGGCAGGTTGAGATGGGAGGTCAGGATCGGGAGGCACAAGATCGGGCACCTCTTTACCCTTCACCTTCTCATCTACTTGTGAAGCTTCATGTGAATTAGGCTGCGGCTCGGCAGACACAAGACTGGGTGATACGTCTTCATCCTTCACCTTCTCATCCACATGTGAAGCTGCATGTGAATCAGGCTGCGAATCGGCACGGTCTGGCTCACTGGCAACTTCAGTCGGCAGGGATGTGATGGCCGGCCGAGTCTGCCCAGAGCCATCAGTTAGTTCGGCCATGGCAGGCTGGTGGTTGGCGGCCATAAGGGAAGGGTAGGGCAGGTGGTGGGGGTGATTGAAACCCAAAGCGTCGGCTGGGCGAGAACAACACCGGAGCAGCTGGTCGATGCCCGATGTCAGTGTTTTCTTTGCTCGTACTGGGCTACTATCATCACAGTGGGAGGCTCAGAAGCTGCATGGCTAGTCCGGGAAGCGAGACACAGGGTGCACCGGCCAACGAAACCCCCTCTGAGAAAGGGGGAAAAAAGATCGGCAGTGGTCTGAAGGAAGAGAATGGCACGGGCAGAGCACAAGGGCAAGCAAGCTGCAGAAACAGAGGCGAGCAGCTGGGGAAGACCTGAAAGCGGGTGGTCCTCCACTTCCTGGCATGCAAGTTTGCTTCTAGAACACGCCTGGATGCCCGCTGAGCGAGCAGGACTAGGTGCGTGTGCATTTCGGGGACAGGCCGGCGCCATTCGGCTCGGTTCTCAGGCATGTGGATAAACCCCGATAACAGAGGATGCGATGTGATAATGCAGCTTTCTCTATAGTCAGGGGTGCCGTCGCGATTGCGGTTGCGGGCAGCTGCGGCGGCTTAGTTGGGGAAAGAGGCGAGATCGCGGTGGACGAGCTGCCCCCGCTCCAATTCCATGACACGATTCAATATGACGGCAATATATCCGCAATTTGGCTCATGGGCGCCCAGGCCTGTATAGTGTATACCGCCACGACTGCAGTATCTTATCTCTGCCTGTCATATAGCATACACCAGCCTCGGGGCTCTGCGATTAGTTCGGAGCTAGGGAGGGCAATTGGTAGACGTGGGAATGTGCGTGAGACTGCATAAGGTAGATGCTATTAGTCCGAGAGGGATTGCCCGACTTGGGTTTGCTGGCTATTTGCCCGTTCCCGACGTGTCCGTGAGAGCCTCCAAACCCGACGGCTACCCGAATGGAAAGGTGGCTCTTCCGCCAAGGAGTGGTAGCATCATCATAAAGGCATAACCCTGCCGATAATTAAGGAGTAGCTGCAGCAAGTCCCACGTTGTGTACCTGCGCGCGTGCTTTTCGCCATTTCACTTCAGTCGACACAACTTAGTTCAGGAACACCCATGGAAGTTGCGCGGCGGTTCGGTTGCTTCGTCGTGGCTTCCTCGGAGAGCGGGAGATGAGCGAAAGAAACACGCAATGGTCCACTGCCAATTCCCGCTTGGGTCCTTCCCCATGGGCATGAGGCGGCAGGCACGACGAGCTTAGGCAGGTACCGAGCCGGTATGTTCCCCGTTCCTTCCATTCAATCCACATGCTTCCCCCCCCCCGGCCAGTCGAATTTGACACCCGGAATGTGGGTGGTAAGGTAAGGTGTCCATATGTCCACTTAGACGGTAAATAGATGTTGTGCGTGTGGGTCGCAAGATCCGCGTCGATCCTAGGCTGAATTGCAACCCACCTACCTTAACCAGCGCGAGGTTCGAACAATGGAACTTGAAGGCAAATACCCTACCGATGCTACCAACGGAACATGCCTCTGGTGGGAAGCCTCTAGCTCAGGTTCCCTGGTCGCCTGTATTTCGGGTAATGAGCCGACCCTGTCGCAACACAAGCCCACTTGGATCCAGCCTGCGGTGTAGGTAAGCTCACACACCTCGACTGGAGCTGCCCGTCCAGTCCCACCTCACACAGTTCAGGCCCGAATCGAGCAGCAGCAGGCCTTGGGAGAGGACAATGAATCGTGGGGTAATTTAGCCATGAATGCCGACGCCACTTTCAACACCCTATTACAGCTAATCATCTAGATAGTGATTTAGGAAGCAAAAGATAACTGCCTGTTCTCGGAGCTTATTGCCACTGAGATGCTTTGCCTGGCTCGAAGTGAGCAAGGTGTCTGAGTCTATCAAATATCCCATCTGGAGCTAGATGGTGGGCTCGTAGGCGAAGGCTCCCACACCTATGCACTCCACCTGAGGAATGCTCGGTAGTGTAAGAGATGTATGGACCAGGGAGCGGGACCGTGGGGGATAAGATAATTCGTCACGCAGGGGCAGGGGCATAGGCGTGCTTCACTGTGCGCTAGATATCTAGACTCTTTGCTCTTATCTAGTTCTCTCCTAAGACGTGGAGTGCTTTCCGGTGCGACACATGGTCAAGACCGGTTCGTGCATCTTGGCCCAGACTCGGGATTACGTACCTCGACGGGCGATTCACTACCTTACTGCCGGCTAACACTCCCGCCTATTCCCCCACGGCGCCCTCATGTGAGCTAAGGTACCAACCACCAGGCAAGGCAAGGCATGGAAGGAAGGTACCTGAGCTTGGGGAAAGTTGGATGCACATCATGTTCTGCTGATTGTTCCCGCTCCACCTTATCCGGCTCTGGGCGTTCTCCCGCTTCTAAACGGTAGGTTTGCCCCTGGCCCCTGGGCCCTGGGCTGGGCCAGTCCCTTATCTCGGGGGCGATGGCGATACTCGACGACAGAATGGCATGTGTACGCGTCCGCCCTTTTCTCGTCGTCGCCAGTAGCCCGGAATCAGTCGCCAAGAGACACGCTAGAGTGATATCGATCCCGTTTGCCCAGACTCTGACCAGGACGCGACCCCCCGTCGGTCGCCCTGCACGACAAAAATAGCCTCGCCCGAGCGGAAAACTTGTGTCACCACCACTGCCGCTTTGACTTGTAGGTAACGTTCCAGGCTCCGGGCGTGGGTGGGCTACTGAGAAGGGGGCTCCAGACGGTCCAGACCTGTGGCCCGTTCGCCCGCCCCCGTGTCCCATATTGTTCACTGCCGGGAAGTTATGCTCGTGTACATGCCCTCGACGCTGGAAATCGCGAGAATATATGTACACACGGTCTTACTTCCGTTTTCGAATTTTGCGTTACGCGTCCATCGTGATGCTTCAAGGATCAAGCATTGAAGATGGTAGTGCTCTCCAGTGGAGCGCCTGGGACTTTGATTGTGATTGATCTGCGTGTTTACTGGTGTAGATAGCTGCCAAGTTTGATAGTCTGCTTGAAATCGATAGAAGTATACAAATCACGTTGGAACCTTATGCTACAAACCCTGGCTCATAAACGAGGTGCAAAACCCGGCTCCATGTCCACTGCTTCATGTATCCAAAAGTCTATCCTGCCTAATGGTGCTCATCATCTGTCTCCTCCAAACTCCGGGTGTCCCTTCCAGTTACATGTTATGATGACGAGTGCCAATTGAAAACAAGTAATGCGTCTAGATCTTTATGTCGTAGTTTCTGATAGCCTCGCGCACCACGTCTCCAAGCTCCTTTACGGTATCCTTGTCGCGGGGTAGGGTGTGGCCCTTGGCGTGATCAAAGAGATACGCCGTGTCCGGGTCACAGACATTGAAGAGGGCCAGAGACCCGTGTACGTATGGGTCCAAAGATCCGACTGTGAGGTGGTGAGAAAAGAATCCCGGCAAGATTAGGGGTACTCAAACTCACTGATATGGCATGTCGGAATCTCAATCATGGCCTCGGACTCGTCGCTCAGGATCATGGCGTGAGTTTCTGGGTCCACTGGCGGCCACCCGGCAAAGAAAATGGCATACTTGAACATGGGCTTGATCCCTTTCTTCTTGAGTCGTCGCTGCTCGTGGAGCAGGAGCGTGCCGGCAACTGTGGCGCCCTCAGAGTATCCAATAATGCCCTCGAACGGACCACGCTCCTCCATGATCTTGACCAGATACTTGATAGCATTATCAGTACTACGATGGGTCGTCGCAATACCCTCTCGCATCAATTCTCTCATGGTGTCCTCCGGCGTCTCGCAGTCAGGGAAATCTCTGATTCTTGCCAGTACATCGTCATCTTCGGTCTTCTCCACGTCCTGATCGGGCTCGATGAATCGGAAGTAGGGGGGCTTTCCGAAATACTCCTCGAAGCCCTCGGGAGGAACTGCCTTGCAGGGGCCGTTGATGAAATGAAAAGTGGCCGTTCCATCTTCTGTCAGCTCCTTGATGATGGGTGCTTCGTTCATTGTCAGCACATTGTCGCCGAATCTGGCAGTTAATACTGATGAGGCTTCTAGGATCCTTACCCAACTGCACTTGAAATTTCTACAGGGCATGTCAGCGGCGGGTTTCTTGTTCAAGAAGATGCGTGGGTGGTGATTCCAGAGCACGTGGATCATCCTAACTCTTGAGTAGACTTACATCGGAGCTGCCATAGGCACCTGGGAGACAGAGAAACCTCATGGTGATGGAATATGATGGTAGATGGGTGGTCGTCGGCACTGACGTCTGCAGGGCTTTGCTTGGTATTTGGGGAATACACCAGGTTGGAGACTGGTGCCACGACGGAAATTGTAGCGCGTGAGCTAATCCCCCAGAAACACAACGTTTGCTCTGCGGTACCATATGGCAGTTGGACTCGGCAGTGGTGGGCAATATACTGCTGCCGGCTAGCAGACTGCCATTCATGCAACCATGGGGCGGCTAGTCTTTGGTTACGCGTAAGGTTACTTGAATACCAACAGCCACGAGACTGGAGAAGGCCCAGCTAGCCGCAGGAGGCTGTTGCACGGGAGTTTAAGCGACTATCGCGCCGGCCTTGCCACATATTGAGCAGACCGGGTTCATATGGGACTGTCGCATATCACTCGACTTGGCATCTGTCCTCAACCCCGTCCAGGACGTGGAGGCCCGGACGGCTCGCACCAGCAGAGGTAAGGTACCTAATTATACACTTGGACACTTAGCGTAAATGGTGACCGATAGGTGAGGTGAGATAAAAGCCGGTACTTACTGTAGAGAAATGACTTGCAGGCCTCTCCAGCCGGATTCGGGAGGATGCTCCGAGGTTCGAGTGATCCGGTACAGGCGGGAACTGACATGTACTCTACTGATTTGTCGGTTGGCTGACGGAATAGATGCGCGCGAAAGTGGGAGGGAAGGAATCAAGTCTTCTGGAAGTCGTGCGACAGTGCAGGTGTCCCGTTTGGGATAAATGATAATGCAATTCACAATACTACCTAGTTAGGAACAGAGGTGGCCGCTCGCTTCCACTGCAGCCAGTGGCAGGGGGCCGCCGACAACGAAGTAAGGTAACGGATGATGGATGGTGGCTATGATATCTAGGAGAGGCGGACAAAACATGCGTGCCTGGAACAGAAGGCAGCAAACTAGCCACGCCACGCTATTCGTCCGCACAAACAGCCGTGGCGGGCCGGCGACGCTATCATAGAGCGGAAAGGACAAGCTCAGCCAGCTGCAGCGCAGCATTGGAAGCGGTTGCCGGTAGTGCAAACAAACCGCCTGGACTGGCAGGGTCATAAACAGCCATCCACTGCTAGGGATCCGCTCCCTGCTTGCACCTACCTTTATATAGCATCTGTCCATCGATGTGCAGATGGGCGGGGGGTAGGGACGCAAACTCATGGAAAAAGTTCAAACTTTGATAGAACGGAAGGGGCACCCGGACACTGACAAGACATACTCTAAAGTGTAAACTCTGGAAGTGGCCCACCGTAACAGCTAATACCTATTCGTATGCACGCCCAGCGCATGATCAACCGCCAAGGTTTTTGCTGCCAAGATCGAGCGTTTGAGAAAAAGCTTGATGCGAATTTAATGCGAGCCCAAGTAAAGGCACTCAGTGAGAGAACACTTGGGTCTTTGATTTCACAAAGCGCAGATTGGCCAATGCCCGGGGCGCCTGAGATTGATAATGCTGATGTGGATTTGGGATATTTGGATAGATTAAGGGAGTTTTGCCCGTCCAAGCACGTCGGACCCCTTTCCCCTTTCCTCCCTCCCCACGGCGGCCCTCCCTCTGCACAAGACAGACGCTAGCCCGATAAGGCGGCAGCCATCTCGTTCTCGTGGAAATAGGAAATCCCGATAAGAACCGCGCAAACCACGACGTTTTGCGGCGTGTGTGCGCGGGTGCGGGCGCGGGTGCTGAAGAGACTTGAGAGAGCCCTGTAACTTCCATGTAAGTGACAAGTGTAACGCTGTAAGTGTAAGGTATGGTGGGGTTTAGCCGCTATCGATAACTGAGTCAAAGGGGTAATCCAACCTCACTCCCCAACAGCTCCTTCCATCTCTCCAACCCGACCCCATACCTTGCTCTAATCCCATGTCGTGGGTACTTGGGCTTCTCTCCAAGATACCTTCTCGGGCAGCGGCAAACGGCTGTACTCGTTGACATTTGATCTATCCATCTCACCCATCCTAGATGGGATGGATCTCGCTGTGCAGCCACACCCCCTCCCCCTCGGAGCTCTTCAGCCAGAGGCAATCACTATCGACGACATTAGCCGCCGCCTTAGACCCGATCCACGCTGGTCTGACTCGATTGACGTTCCATGTCAATTCGCGCCAATTCAGCAATGGATGCAAGCAAGCTTAAGCTTTTTCACCCGATGTTGGCTTCGATCCGTCAACATTTCCCGCGCCCGCGCCCCACCCCACTCAACTCCCCTGCCTCCGCTGCCCCTTGAAGACCCTGGATCGTCGCCGTACCTGACCTGACCTGACCTGACCTGACCTCGTGTCAACCTCGACGTGCCGAGTCGTAGGCCGACGGCATTGCTTGACTGGGCCTACTACTTCCGGAACAATGATGGACGGGGCAATGGGGCGCACCCCAGGCGAGTACCTGTGCGAGTATCTATGCAGGGCTTGGCACCGTACATACTGTACAAAAGGTACAATACAGCACAGCATAGCACAGAAAAAAAGAGCATAAAAGCACAGAACATCACAAGCACGCACATCAGGCCGTGCAGCACGTGGGGATTGACGTCCAGTACTCTAGAGACAGAAAGCTCCTCTTTCCCGACTTCCCGTCTTCGAACCCTGCTCTCTGTCTGGCCGACCTGGCCTGGCTGCAAGATTGATCTGGAAGAGTTCGAGACCTCCGGCTCTGTATAGGCACGAGCCGAGAACGCCAACCGACCCTGCCATGTTCTTTCGCCATATTGCTTGCGCATATTGAGGCTGCTGCCCGGCCGGCTGCCACCTTAATATAGAAACACTGAGAGTGGATTCTGCCACCGATCGCCGCGTACCACCAAGTTAGAAACCCCAGGGCTGGGAGTCGGCCGTCGGTTATGTCGATGGAACCGAGCAAGCACCAAGCAGAGCGTCTTGGACCCTGGGAGGCAAGCTGCAAGCTTCCTTCCTGGTGCGATGTACATACCGAGACCCACTGCCTGGCTCTGGTCTGCGGGGGCTAGGTGTTTGTATGCGTGCTTTGGCGATCTTTGGTTTCGGCATATAAGCTGCTACGTGAATCCACGCCCTCGTGCTCTGACCCGAGCCGGAGAGGGAGCCTTTACATCCACGATGCCGACTTAGTCCTGTCTTGTATACCTGCCAAGCACCCAAGCACATCTCGAGCTGTAGCAGAAGCAGCAGCACAAGACCCGAGTCTTTGCTGTTGCCTCAGCCACAGCCGCAGCCGCAGCCATGGCGCCCATTGCCCTGACCCCTGACAGCTCGACTGCGAGCAATTCCGGCGACAGCCTCAACGGCTACTTCCACGTCGCCGATGGCGCCGGTCCTGCCAATGGACATACCAACGGCCACTCTATTGGAGCGACCAACGGTACTAATGGTTACGCCAATGGCAGTGGCTCTGTCAAGCCCGAGCCAATTGCTATTGTTGGCATGTCCTGCCGTATGCCTGGAAATGTTGCCACCCCGGCAGAGTTCTGGGAGCTTTGCACCCGCGCGAGATCCGGATGGACCGAGATACCCAAGGAGAGATTCAACAACAAGCGTTTCCAGCACCCCAATCCAGGCAAAGGCGGCGCTTTGAACCCCGTTGGCGGCAGCTTCCTCAACGTCGACCTTGCTGCATTCGATGCCCCCTTTTTCGGGCTCACCGAGAAGGAGGCCATTTCCATGGACCCCCAACAGCGTCTCCTGCTCGAATGCACCTTTGAGGCGCTCGAGAATGCTGGAATCCCCAAGCATACCATTGTTGGCAAGGATGTTGGTGTTTTCGTCGGTGGCTCGTTCCCCGAGTACGAGTCACACTTGTTTAGAGATTCCGATACTATCCCTATGCATCAAGCGACTGGTGAGTAGCAGCAGCAAAGCCCCTGCCCAGAAGACGATGAGAATCTAACCAGCAACCTCCAGGTTGCGCATACGCCATGCAGTCCAATCGCATATCGCATTTCTTCGACTTGCGAGGCCCAAGCTTTACATCTGATACCGCCTGTTCATCGAGCATGGTTGCTATACACTTGGCTTGCCAGAGTTTGAGGGCCGGAGAATCTACCTGTGCACTGGTTGGCGCTTGCCACTTGAACATGCTGCCAGAGTTTTGGATATCCTTCTCGACTTGCAGGTAAGTCGCTTCCACATGTATGGCTAAGGCTACGCAAAGACGAAGCTAACCGTGATTTCAACAGATTGCTCTCAGACACTGGACGTTCGTTTTCCTTTGACAACAGAGGTACCGGCTTTGGCCGAGGTGAAGGCTGCGGAATGATCGTCCTGAAGCCACTTTCCCAGGCGATCAGGGACAATGACCCTATCCGAGCAGTTATTGCGGGGACTGGCCTCAACCAAGACGGGAAAACCCCCGGCATTACGATGCCAAATGGGCTAGCACAAGGTTTGCAGCTATCTGCCCATGCCTCACCAGGACTTGACTAACCCGAATGCTAGAGGATCTCATGCGAAAGGTCTATAGAGATGCTGACTTGGACCCTAATGCCTGTGGCTTTGTCGAGGCCCACGGTACGGGCACTAGGGTTGGCGACCCAATTGAGGCAACAGCAATCCACAATGTGCTGGGCCTGAACAGGACACTGCGCGATCCTTTATGGATTGGCTCTGTGAAATCCAACATTGGCCATCTGGAAGGGGCCTCTGGTATGTTTGCTCCTCGCTTGTCCATACTTCCTAGTTCTGACACCGCTGTTAGGAATCGCCGGTGTTATAAAGGCAGCCCTGATGCTCGAACGAGGCTTTATTCTCCCAAACTACGACTTCAAGGAGCCAAATCCCAAGATCCCATGGAAGGCGTGGAATCTCAAAGTTCCCGTTACGCAACGGCCGTGGCCTAGAGGGAAGAAGTACGTCAGCGTGAACAACTTCGGGTTCGGCGGTACAAATGGACACGTTGTCCTGGAAGCCGCTCCTTTCAGGGGACAAAAGGCCACTGTTGCTGGTGACGAAACGCCCGAAAAGGCAGGGCAAGGGCGGAAACTCTACGTTCTCACAGCCAACGACAAGGCGGCTCTCACGCAGCTGCTAAAGAACATTGTCATCTACCTCGAGCAACGTCCAGAAATCTTCCAGATGGATCTCACCAGTAACATGGCTTACACATTGGGGCAGCGCCGATCTCTTCTTCAATGGAGAGTTGCTATTCCGGCTGCCAACTCCTTTGAACTTATTGAAGCGATCAACGGCGAAAAGGCCACGCCCGGCAAAGAGATCGAGCCCCTCCGGCTTGGCTTCATATTTACCGGCCAGGGAGCACAGTGGTACGCCATGGGGCGAGAGCTGTATGAACAGTATCCAACCTTCACCAAGAGCATCGCCCATGCCGACAGGTATTTGACCGAGATAGGAGCCGAATGGTCGCTCATTGGTACGTTGTTTGGCTGCATGTCTGGAAAATATGTGTTGCAGAAGACTAACCACAACCTGGGAATAGACGAGCTGAGCAAAGACGCGAAGACAAGCAAGGTCAGCGAGGCTCACATCAGCCAGCCATCGTGCACTGCCATACAACTGGCTCTTGTCGACCTTCTAAGAACTTGGGGTGTTCACCCCAATGCCGTTGCTGGACATTCGAGCGGAGAGATAGCCGCCGCATACGCAGCAGGCATCATTGACTTCGAATCATCCATGGCCATTGCATACCATCGTGGCAGGCTCATCCCCATTCTCAAGCAAAAGTTCCCCGATCTTCGAGGCCGCATGATGGCCGTTGGCGGCAGCAAGGAGGAGTTTCTGCCCCTGATTGAGGGCTTGACGGCAAAGGAAGCCAGAATCGCATGCTACAACAGCCCTTCAAGTCTCACAATCTCAGGAGACGAGCCTGCCATTGCCGAACTCGAGAAGATCTGCGAAGAGAAGCAACTGTTCAATAGACGCCTTGTGGTTGATGTTGCATACCATTCCCATCACATGAACCTGGTTTCCAAGGAGTACCGAGCCTCCATCGCCAAACTGCAGGCCCCGGTTCCAACAGATGTCCGGTTCCATTCGTCCCTGTACGGACATCTGGTTGACGGCACCGAACTCCAATCCAACTACTGGGTGGACAACCTTACCTGCGCAGTGCGCTTCAACGAGGCGCTTCAGAGCATGCTCGAGCCGGTTGGCGACTACAAGTATGGTGTCAACATGCTCATTGAGCTAGGCCCTCATTCGGGCCTTCAAGGACCAATCAAGCAGGTCTTGAAGGAGGTGGGCGGCAACGCTCCAAAGATACCCTATGCCGCTGCCATTATCCGCAAACGCGACGCGGTTGAGACGGCAATGGAGCTTGCTTCGAGTTTGTTCACCAAGGGTGCCAATCTCGACTTTGGCGCCATCAACTTCCCCAAGTCTGCAAAGCCGCCAGTCTTGCTAACCGACTTGCCGCGCTACCCCTGGAACTACTCGTCCAAGTACTGGCAAGAGTCTCGCATGACACAAGTCCACAAGAGCGCAACTGGCGCAAGAAATGACATCCTCGGCACCCTAGCCAACTACTCGAATGACCTTGAGCCCACCTGGCGAAACATTGTCCGCCTGGATGACCTTCCATGGCTGCAGCACCACAAGGTCCAGTCTTTGACAGTATTCCCAATGGCCGGCTTTATTACGATGGCCATTGAGGCTGCATCACAGAGGGCTACAGACAGAGGCCGCCAATTCGACAAGTTTGAGCTGAAAGACGTGTCCGTAACCAAGCCCCTCGTCATTACCGACAAAGACATCGAGATGACTATCACCCTCCGTCCTCACCAAGAAGACACTCTTGCCACGTCTGAGACATGGGACGAGTTTCGCATATGCTCGTGGTCTCATGACCAAAGCTGGACAGAACACTGCGTCGGTATCATCGCCACTGTTGTTACCGATCGCAACGACGTGGACAGTGATAGACAAGCTCTGAACTCTAAAGCGCTTAACCAGGCCGCTTTCTTGTCTGCTAGCCATGCTGAAGGAGCCTCGATTGCTTCCGACAACATGTACGAGAGTCTGGCGGAGGCTGGCGTGGCGTATGGGCCCACCTTTCAGGGAGTTGCAAACTGCCAGGCGTCCGATACCCATGCCGTGGGAGACATTGTCGTCCAAGATGTCGCAAAGGAGATGCCAAACGGTCATCTATCTGATTCTGTCATTCAGCCGGCATTCCTTGAATCTCTCATCGAGATGTACTGGCCTATTGTCGGGGCTGGCCGCCGGGAAGTCGACACCGTTTATCTTCCCTCCTCTGTGGATCGTATCACGATCAAGTCTAGCATTACTCGGATCTCTCAAGCGCCAGGCAGCATCGTGCGCGCGGTCTGCACAGGGGATATTGCTTCGGGCACCCCCAAGCCAACTAAAGTCAACATGACTGCGGTGGCCGGCGAGGGTAGCTTCGAGACCCTCATTTCGTTGGAGGGTCTCACGATATCTCCTATCATCGATGGCGACGCCCAAGTACATCTTGGCGATGCCCGAGATCTTTGCTACAAGCTTGAGTGGGATCAAGTCTTTGAGGCCGGGGATGTTCATCTTCAACTTCCAGCTGATTCCAAGGTTGTCATTGTTCACGAGGACTCCAACTTTCAGGATCTCGTGGCGATGGATCTGGCAAATGCGTTGGAAGAAGCCACTGGGGCACTTCCCGAGGTCGGAACCCTGCAAAACGTTGATGCTTCTGGGAAGATTTGCGTTTTCCTGAATGAGCTCCATCAGCCGTTCCTTGCTACTCTTTTGCCTTCCCAGTTCTTATCTCTTCAGAAACTCCTGACGGGTGCCCAAGGTGTTCTGTGGGCGGTCCGCGGGGCGTATGACAAGTCTTCCAACCCAGACGCCAACATGGTAACCGGTCTGAGCAGAACGATTCGTTCAGAGACTGCAATCAAGTTCGCAACATTGGACCTAGATGCCGAATCACCGCTCTCAGAGACCGACACCACCAAGGCTATCTTGCGGGTCTTCCAGGCTGCTTTTGGCGTAGAGTCGACGGCCACTAGCGAGCTAGAGTTCATGGAGAGAGGGCGGTCGTTTTTCACCCCTCGCATTGTAGTGGATAATGAGATGAACGAGTACGTCCACAAGCAAACGAACCCTTCCGCCATCGAGCCACTGCCATTTGGAGAAGACGACCGGTCTCTGAAGATGGAGATTTCTGCGCCTGGTGCTGCGGACTCTATCCACTTCATTGACGACCAATCCATCGAGGAACCTTTGGAGGCAGACGAGATTGAGATCCGGGTGAAGGCAGTCGGTCTAAACTTCAAGGATGGGCTGGCCGCCAAAGGGCAAGTCCCAATTAGCGACGCCGGGGCCGAAGCAAGCGGAGCTGTGACTGCGATTGGTGCTGGCGTTACTACCGTCCAGGTCGGTGATCGAGTCGCGGCGTTGACACGAGGCGCCTTTGCAACACGCACGCGGACCAAGGCGGCTCTGGCATTCAAGATTCCAGCTGAAGTTTCTTTTGAGGGTGCTGCGACATTGCCACTGGCTTATGCCACTGCCTACTACAGCCTGATTGAGGTTGGCCGTCTCACGGATGGCGAGACTACCCTCATTCATGCTGCAGCTGGTGCCGTGGGACAGGCAGCCATCTGCCTTGCTCATATGGTGGGAGCCGAAGTATTTGCCACTGCTGCGGATGCCGAGGAGAAGGACCTTCTTCAAGCCGAGTATGGACTTCCAGCCGATCACATATTCTACAGTCGAAACACTTCATTCGGCAATGCTGTTCGGCAAGCCACCAAGGGGCAAGGGGTAGACGTCATTCTAAACTCCTTGACCGGCGACGGGCTACGAGAATCCTGGAACTGCCTGAGCAAGTTTGGTCGCTTCGTCGAAATTGGCAGAAGGGAGCAGAACTCGAAGACTCCCCTTGATCTCTCCAGTCTTAACAGCAATGCCACCTTTACCTCAGTTGACCTCATGGCCCTTTTGGCCGAGCGGCCGAAGGTGATAAAGCGCCTAGTTGCTGATGTTTCCCGTCTACTGAAGTATGGAAAGATCAGACCTGTGACTCTGGTCACTGCCTTCTCAATCTCCGACGTTGAAACCGCACTCAAGGCCGAACAGGCAGGCAGAGGCGCGGGCAAGCTCGTGGTTGTGTTTAACGAGCAAGACATTGTCAAGGTATGTCTTCAAATATGCACCTGTTCGTTTTTTAAAGCTGGTTCCTAACGCTGTCGATGTACAGGCCGCACCGTCAAAGAAAGTTAAGCCGCTTCTCCGTTCTGATGCCACTTACGTCTTGGTAGGCGGTACCGGCGGTCTGGGCCGAAGCATGGCCCGATGGATGGTAGCAAAGGGAGCAAAGAACATTGTCCTTGTCTCCCGAAGTGGATCCATTGCTGGCAAGGTGAAGGAGCTCGTCGACGAACTTGCAGCCGCTGGTGCAAACATTCTTGTCCGTCGCTGCAACGTGGTGAACAAAGCCGAGGTCGACGATCTTGTCCGCTCTGGGCTTCAAGGGCTACCTCCAATCCGCGGTGTAGTTCACGGCACGATGGTCCTCCGTGTAAGTGCCACATTACCTTCCATATCTCTGGGGCAGCCACACTGACAAATACTTAGGATGTTCTCTACGAGAAAATGGCGTGGGAGGACTACACCAAAGTCATCGAGGGCAAGGTCCAAGGTGGTTGGAACTTCCACCACGCGCTGAAAGACTCGCCACTGGACTTCTTTGTGGCGATTTCATCCGCTGCTGGTGCCGTCGGAAACCGTGGCCAGGCTGCATACAGTGCTGCTAACTGCTTCCTCAACGCGTTGGTGCAACATCGCCTTTCTCGGGGCTTGCCTGCGTCGTCTCTCGACTTGACGGCTGTCTCAGACTCTGGATACCTGGCCGAGGACCTGGAGAAGGCTGCAGAGGTGGCCAGAAACCTTGGAAGTGACAGTATCTGCGAAGCCGAGGTGCTTGCTCTGCTGGGTGCCGCGATCGACGGTACAATGTCGTCGACCTGCAACAACCATACCATTACCGGCATGCGCATCACGGCAAGCATGCGGCCCTTCTGGACTGAAGACGCCAAATTCAAGGCCATGCGCATCGCGGCTGAAGAGGCGGCGGCGAAGGACGCGTCCCTAAACGCCGTGGTCTCGTTCAACGCGGCACTCAAGGCAGCCAAGTCGATGGCGGAAGCCGAGGAGATCGTGTGCCGGGGACTGGTGGACAAGATATCTTCAGTCCTGATGCTGGATGCCGAGGACATGGACGTGACACGGTCGCTCTCGCACTATCCGCTTGACTCGCTCGTCGCCATCGAAATCCGAAACTTTATCACGCGCGAGTTTGAGGCCAACCTTCAAGTCCTGGAACTGCTTTCAAGTGGCTCGATACAGACGCTGGCTAAGGGAGTGTGCGGGAAGAGCAAGATTGTTTCTTTCGCGGCTTAAGGTCCGCCGTGTGGAATACATTCGATATTGTGTGTTTTGATTGTAATTATGATGGAAGCCGCAGTGGACAAACACAAACTATGTTGTGCCCGTCTTGCCGCGGCCTGTTCAGTTTGGTGCACATTTCTTTTCTTTCTCTTGGCTCCTGCCTTCATTTAGATGTTGCAGTCGATGCCTCGCTGGATTCAGGTTTTGTGCGGGACATGTACTGGACTCCCCGGCTCCCCTTTTGGTTTCTGATGCTATTTTGATCCCCAGTTCATATAGATGCGTCTTTCTACTTGGTTACAACTTTCACCCCTACTTAGCTCTAGATATTCATTATGCATATATATGCCAGAAGTTATGCTACTTCCTTTGTATCTCTTGTTATATTATCTAATCTGTTGGATTCGCGCCCCATGGGATACTTCCTATCCGCGGGGCTGGCCGCAGCAGATGACATGACCAGCTCAGGTTATATCTCTACTCTGTGTTTCTCTCAACACTTTTCCCGCGTAAATAAAACTCCCCAATGGTTGACTTGGCCCTATAAAATCCCATGCTGTATCACCAGGGGCGATACCAGAATCCGGTTATGGGCAGTAGACAGTAGGTTGATGGCCATCAAAGTAATTAGGTAGCTGCAACATATTCAGTCACAAGAAGCCATCATCCGGCCTTAAAGATTCATCTGGGACCGGTGTTCAGAGAAAAGAACGCATCGTTTTGTAGTTGTGATTCTCAGACCTCCCTCTAGGGCACTACTCTAGCTACCTAAAAGCTGAAAAAACTTCAAGTAGTGACTTGTAGACTGTAATCCTGCCATGTGTGCATATCAATACGCCCTCGATGAAGGTAAAAAGCACGACGTTTTTGGGGTGGAAAACGAGACGAGTAAAAAATAAAAGCAGAACTGGGCTGGTTTGTGCTCGAAGAGTACGTTTCCCCCCGGGAGTTTAACCTTCCTTGTTCTCGCGAACTAGGAAGAGGACTGTTTAATATCCTCTCCCAGCTACTTTACATGCCCGGGGATATGATATCAGAGAGCTAGCTGCCCAGCCAAGTAATCACAGGAGGATATCCCGGAAGGAGAACCACCCGCCAAGTCCGACGTTATAGCGCACTCAGCCTGTCTGTCCCAGCCGAACAAACTACCATGTGCCCCCGCAGCCCCCAACCCATCGAAAAGAAAAGCAAAACCGTCCTCCTATGTACTTAGTTGTGGAAAGGCGCTTTAATTAGAGCGCAGCCTGCGTAGCTGGCGGCTTCTCGGTCGGCGCGCCTGTCGACAAGGGCCCCGGCGCCGATGTCATGTCCACCTCCCGGTGCGTCGTCTTCTCGTGCTCGGCCGTGGCCGCGATGGGCTCGGGATTGGCGACGGCGGTAGTGCCAGCGGCGCCACCCAGCGGAATAGCAACCTGGTAGAGAGTCAGTTAATGAACCACCGATTTTTGGTTCAATGAGGTCTACCTTGAGATTGCCAGCCTCGATCTCGCGGGCCAGCTCCTCGAGGCGGCTCGTCTTCTTGTAGCGCTTCCAGGCAGGCAGGCCCGAGTCGAAGACCTCATCCATCTCCTCGAGGGTGTAGCCCTTTGTCTCGGGGGCGAGGAGGGCCATGTGCACAAAGGCAGCCGCATTGAAAGCACCAAAAATATAGTACATCTTGTACGAGATGTTCCACAGCAACGGCGGCACGCCAAAAGCCAGCACCATGTTCCAGAACCAGTTGGACGCCGTGGCCAGCGACACGGCCTTGGCGCGGATCTTGCTTGGGAAGATCTCGGCCGGGTACGTCCACGACACGGGGCCCCACGTGGTCGCGAACGTGGCTACGAACAGATACGAGCACGCCACGATGGCCGACGACACGGGCCGGTTGTCCAGCACGATCCACGTGATGTCGCTATTGTCCGCGTTGCGCGTCAGGTCTGTGTTTGCCTGCCCGTAGTACTGCTGGAGTGCGCCTGGTGCGTGTGTACATGTGTGAGTGTGTGTTTTAAGTCACACACGGTTGGTAATATAACTCACCAGAGATGAACAGCCAGGTCATCATGCCAAACGAGCCGAGGATCAGCGACGGCCGGCGGCCCCACTTGTCGAGGAACACGATGGCGGGCAGCGTCAGGACGACGTTGATCACGTACTGGATAGACGCGGTGGCCAGAGGGGTAGCAATCTGTGCACCTTCCATAATGTACACAATGTAGTACCTAGAGAGGGGATTCCAACACAGGTCAGCTCCGATTGGACACGCCGGGCAGCTGGGTCAGGCCGGAGCGTTGGAGTAGTTACATCATGATGTTCATTCCGCAGAGCTGGGACCACCTATGTGTGTGTGCAAAGCCGCGGTTAGCTTGTTGTTATCACTACACATTTATAGATAACCGGAATTCAATAATCGTTGGGACGCACATCTGAATGCTCATGCCGAGGGCCACGCGCTTGAGCATCCGCGGGGCGACGAGAGCCTTGAAGGAAGAGGTAGCCTGCTCGCGCTCGAACCGTAGAGCCTCCTCGATCTCCTGGTACTGGGCGAGCACCTTGGGGTGGTTGATGTCGCCGTCGCCGTGGAGCGAGGCCAGCACGCGGATAGCCTCCTCCCAGCGGTCCTTGGAGGCGAGCCAGCGCGGGCTGTAGGGGAAGAAGAAAAGGCCGACGAGCAGGATGAAGGCCGGCACCATCTGAATGCCCCACGGGATGCGGAAGGCCGACTCGGGCTGATTAGGGTCGCTCGGGCCGCCGCCGACCTGCGCAGCGCCGAACTGGATGAAGAACTGGATCAAGATGCCCCCTTCTCCGTCATCAGTACTGATATTTCTCACGAGAAGATGTCGTGTCAGAAAGCTCACAGGTAATGGCCCACTGCTGCAATGAGACGACGCGGCCACGAATCTCCTTGGGGGCGATCTCGGACTGGTAGACGGGGACGATGGACGAGGCGATGCCGACACACAGGCCGCAGATAACGCGGCCGGTGCACAGCATGCCGATGTTCTGGGACGCGGCCATGAGGATGGAGCCGAAGATCCACAGCAGGCACGAGATCTGCAGGGCGACCTTGCGCGAGTACTTGTCGGCGATGAATGACGACACGAGCGAGCCGACCAGGCTGCCCGCCGGCATCGACGCCGTGATGGCGCCCTGCCGGTACGACACGGGGTTGCCAAAGTAGCGCTTGTACGCCTGCGTGCCTAGCACCCCCGACATGGAGCTGATGTCGAAGCCAAACAGCCCGCCGCCTAATAATAATTGACATGGCTAGTCAGTCTACGCATCTTTGATTCTTATCTCATCTGGTCTGGTTTCTGATCTGATTTTGATTTGGTTCGATTTGATTCTGTTTTGGGCCCGGGTCTCGGCCCTTCTTTCAAATCACATACCGATGGCGGCAAACGAGCAGATGAAGTAGACATTGCTGGCTTGATACATGGTGGGCAGAGGTTGGATTTCGGTCACCCGGCTGCCAGTTGACGAGGCGACGATCGTATTCGTTAACAAGGTGCGGAAGGTGCGCGATTCCTATTCATTCATTTGCCCGAAGGCCAAGATTAGAAAAAGGTTGAGCTTCCTCAAAGAAGCGGAATCGGAAGTGAGATGTGTGTGCGAGGAGGAGGGGGGTGAGAGGCGGGAGGAAATTTGTATAGATGTGAGCCCTCACCTTTTTTTCCCTTTGAAAGGCGAGGTGTGTGGTTGGTTGCTTGGATTGTGGAGGAGAGTGGGAGGGAAGGAGGCAGCAAATAATTAAATCTACTGAGGTATTATTATGAGATTTGTATCCCGAGGGTACACACAATTTCTGGGTCTGCTGCTACCACGCTGCAAGAGCTCCTCTTTCACGTCCAGACGAGAAATGATTAGTACGCACCGTGTTAAGCTGGCGAGGGCAGCAGATCCCCGTCGACAGCGACAGCGACAGCGACAGCGACAGGGGGGAGGGGGGTGGGTGCCGTCGGCACAACACGCACTCCTCACCCCCTCCACCCTCCACCCTCCTTCCCACCTCGTACCTAGCCATCGGTTTCCGGAGCCAGTAGATTTCTAGGAACTACCTTAGGTACTACTTCGAAGGGCTCGGTATTAACCCACTGTGGGGTTGCACGACCGAGTATCCACACCTGTCTCGGGTCACGCTGCCCAGATCAAACCCCTACCGCTGCATGCGCTCCCTAAGGAGGTAGGTAGGTAGATGGGCAGTAGCAGTAGGCTACTACATGAGCTGGGATGAAAGCCAGGCCACCCTAGCCCATCCGCCAAAGTAGCATGCGGAGGAGCAGCAGTGTAGCAAGTAGACGACATGGCACTGAGTCAGAAGAGAAAACCGGGTTTGCAGCGAGAACTCTTCCCTCTCCGTTCTTCCCTGCTGCTGCTATTTCTGCCTCAGCACTATGACACTCCGGGTGATGCTGAATCTCATTCGCCATCCGAAAAAAAGAACAGAAGAAAGCCAAGTCGGCAGTGAAGCGGGGCAGGCCATAGCTAACAAAGATGCAATAATTAAATGGAATACGCAGCCCCAAGTCTCGTGTGAACTTGGCTACAGTCGCACCTGGAAAACATATGCCGGGACAGGCCGCAGGACCCATCGATTTTACAACGTCAACCACAATGAAAGGCTCCCTCCTTCTCTGCCAATGGCGCGCGGCATAGCTTCGTGGAGAAATGTTATCGTCAGCTGGGCCCGATAAACATCTCGATATATAAATATATATATTGCTGGGGAGGGTCTAATTGGGCCTATCCATCCATAGGAGGGGGGAATAATTGCAAGATTCCAAAACAATTTAATAACACGCCGGCTGCCACCTGCCGACGGCGGGGGAGGGCGAGCGGGCCGTCGTCGAGCGAATGGGCAAAAAGCGCGAATGCTATCCCATGTAACACATATTGCTCCACCGCGTATAGCTATCTCACTCTCTGTTTTCTCTCCTGCCAGAGGTGCAGATATATCTATCTGGCTGTAGTCTATCATCTATCAGTGGCTTCTCATTCTCCCGCCAATCGTAGAGACGGGCGCCAATGCAGGCCAAGGCAGCCAAGCTTCCTGGGTGTTCGTCGCCTGCGACCCTCCTCTCCCTGTTGGCAGCAACCTTAAAGAGACCCTCTGTCCGTCCATGTCCATTCTCATGCTAGCGAAGAGAGATAGACGGTCGGGGGAAGAGAGAAAGCCTTCAAACCGCGCTGACGTTGTGTTCAAGCGAAAGCGCGCTTTTACTGACTAAGTCTAGCGCCGCCTGGGCGAACGGCAGTGGCTTTTATTTTCTTTCTTCCCTTTCGGCTTCAGGGGGGCCTGAGACAGCCAATTGCGGGGGCTCGGCTGGTCCAGGGTCGTGCCCCGCAAAAGCCACCGAGCGGGAGATCGAGCGAGGTGGTGGGGTTGGCAGGTGCTTGTTTCGTGGTCAGTCCTCAGGCGCGTGTGCGGCGAAGAAGCAAGGCGGCCAAGGCCACCGCGCCTACCTACAAGTCTAGGTAGGCAGTTGACAGCGAACCTAGCGTGGGTGGCTGTCTCACATCTACTCCTTGTCCCAGGGAGCAAACACCGCTACTGCACCTCTCGATGCCGCCGACCGACCGACCGACCGAGCACAGAGCCGCCGTGGGTTCGGGCCCGCTGCTTGCCGCTGCCCGAGAAGGCATCTAATCGCGCGTGTTATCTCAGGTTGGACCCGACGAGGAGCAGAATTCTAGCTGGTGGCACTGTATTTTGTACTCTGGGACCAACAAGACAAAAACTTGCTAAGAGGAGTCGCGTGGGCGGTGTCATGTCTCGCTCCTTTCCTGTACTTGGCCGGGATAGCAGCTTTGCTTCCTCCTTTCCTAGGATCACAACTTTCCTGTCAAAAATGGAACAGAAAAACGGCCCATCACTGCCTAGAACGTGCAGCGAGCAGCGCAGCAAACCTGGGCTGGGCGAGCATCTCGAGAGGGGCCGGCAGCAAATTGCGATGCAATTGGAAGCCGAATTGCTGTGTCGTCCAAGTGCGGCCGAAGCAGCGCCGCATGCAATGCCCTCCCCAGGACCCCTCCCCCATCCCCTCTGGCGCCAGCTTTTCGGCATCGGTAAAACGACCTTGTCTTGAACCAATGATTGCCCAAGATTCGAAGTAAAAATTGTCCAAGCTTCGAAGTAAAAGGCAATGATATTGAGCAAAGCTATCTCTCACTGACTAGATATTGTGAAATATGGGGGTTTGCAAGGAAGTTTAACCGATGCCGAAAAGCTGGCGTCAGAGGGGATGGAGCTCCCCCTAGGGAGAATGGAAAGTGCACTGAAGCTTGTTTTCTCTGTTTCGTTCCGGACGCCCCGCACTTTCCTCGGGTCACAACCCGCACCTCCCCCGCGGTTTGAAAGGTTAGTGCGATACAACCAAGCCACCACGTGACTTTTTGATGAGAACCTGCTAGAAAAGTGACTTCAAACCCCCTGTATTTCAGGCTTATATCCCTTGTTCAAACCCCTGCAAAAGTCAACGAGCTAACATTTCAAACCCCGGGGGAGGTGTACATAAAGGGAGCTACCATAGGACGCTAGGGTAGTGTGCATCGCCAGACAAGGAAGCTCCTTCTGTCGACGAGCAATCCTTTTTTGCTGATCTCGATGGTGGCCCTAACTTAACCTACATGTCGGTGGAGTCTTCTAGGTTGGATGGGATCCATGAAATGACCTGTCAAACATCCCTAGCGCATCTCCCCACGCTGCTGCTTCGGCTGTCCTTGCATATGGCACCGTAGGCAGGCGCTGGGTGGTTTCCATGGTTTCTTTGGGAATCGACCATCTATCACCCCCATCCTACACTGTGGTGTTTGGCAAGTCGAGAAGCATGCATACCTGGGCAGCTAGACGTGGAGCAGCAATTCAACGACTTTTTTTCCCCCATGTGAAAGCCGAGGGAGAGAGGGCGACACGAGCCGAGCTTGCAGAGCTCGGCCGACCCCGAAACCGAGTCTGGATGTTCCCTCAAGTCCGAGCCTTTTGTGTGCACATTTTTTTGGGTGCCGCAGCAGCGGCATCGAGTATGCAAGTACAACTATCAACTAGGAGAAATGTCTGCCCGCCTTACGCCCTCTCGCCTTCCAATGCTCCCCAGTACCCTACCAACTTGGGTTGCCACTGCAGTTTGGCGCCGTCCAAGAATCGGCCTCAAGCGGGAACGTTACCTTTCCAGACTACCACATAAACACCCCCCTGCCCCGACATTTCTAACACCGCTAGGTATTGCAGAATAGCTATACATTATGTAGTTCATAGCAGCGTCTCCACGCAGAGGACTAGGATAATGTCATCAGCCATGATAATAGCTATTCTATACTGCTTCAACTCGAAAGCTGTCCATCCTCCAGCAAATTGTTGCAGTACCCGTAGCACGCCGACTCTCTCCACAGCCACACTAAAGCGCAGCATGCAGTGAGAAAATATGGTGGCAAATGCCGAGTGATCATTCAGGCCTGTCAAAGACAGGGAAGTATTTGCTGCACCTTTCGGCCGGCAAATTCCCCCCGATCAAAGAAGTCTGTAATAAGAGTCAGTAGTATATGCGTTTTGCTTTCAGCACAGATGGACTGCTGCCAAGAGTTTGAAGACATTGTTGCCATCCCGAGGTCAGCCACTAGCTCAGAAGCAGTGGGAAAAAGTGGGGAAAATGTGCCGGGGCTCAATTAGAATGACCAACTTGGCCGCTGATGCACTCCGCCGAGGAAGAGTACAAGAAAAAAGAAGCAAAGAGGAGGTGCGGGTAGCGACAGCATTGACATCGAACATGCCGAGCTGAGGGCTAGTCGCTCTATACTAGTACAAATATAGTCTGTGCAAAGTAAGCAGTGCCTAAGACGCAGTGACTGTGACAACAAAAGGGGGTAAAGAAGGCCGTGCTCGGCCTGCCAGCGGCATCGATGAAGGCTCTGTCAAAATAAGAGCAGGAAAATCCCGAGACAGAAAGATGATAGGTATCAAGATGAGTCCTCTCCTCAACGCCAGGTATGCCGACATATTTCCGTACTTCAATTCGAGGCTGCCTGCTAGGTAAGTAGCGTGCCCGTGATATTCATCGTCGCTTTTCCCCCCAAAACGCCATTATGGTTCATCCTTTGTTCGCCGAGTGTTCATACATGTCGTAAACGTAACAGAGGCAGCCAAAACTATTAGCACCGAGGCGCTATTCTAGCAGTCTCATTCCCAGATATTCGAATATCGCCACTTGAGAAGTTTAGCGTTGCTTTGGCGGGCGTGGTCGTCGCTTAGACTTCGAGGACGCCGAGGCCGACGGCGCATCCTGTTCAGCTGGGAACCGGTATTGAAACGGATCCCTCTGTGCTGACAGCCTTTCCAAGTGGGCTCGCTGCCATCGGAAAGTTGAGTAGTTTCCGCCCAAGATGACACCCAGGATCGTCTGGCCCTGTCGCTCTTCCGCTGACATGCCGTCCAGCTGTTCCATGCGGTCTATAAGCAGTGAGTGGGCCCTCGAGAATTGGGCCGCAATCTCGTAGAAGTTGCGGGAGCCCCCGGAGATGTCATTTGCCGGGTTGTTTGGATCAATGATAGAGAGCCGGTCGTAGTTAACATAGTTAACCGAGCTAACCTTATGCTGCAAAGGAAAATGCCGACGAGTGAGGGGGTCAGCATATGGGCGGGGAGGTAAGGGCAGAGAATGGAGAGAATAGCGGCAATAATCACCTACCTTAGGTATATATTTGGGGGGGTCGAGACATATGGCTAGGTTAGTGTAGTCGAAATTGTTTCCATATAGATCCAAGAACTCCAGGAGGAGTTCTCCTAGGTGGTGTCTCGGATCCATGTTTCGAGACTGGACTTGCGGCATCATTTGCAGCATACTGACTACCAGGCAGGTGACTGAAAAGCCCCCTATGCCTCCATTGACAGGCTCGTTGAGACCTCGCATGGCAAGAAAGTGCTTAATAAGCGTGACCAAGGCCGGCATGGCGGGATATTGGTTCTTCCAGCCTTTGAACGTCTCAAGCGCAGTAATACCCGTCGAGTTCTCAAACGAGATATCAACCTTGAGGCCCGTCGTCTGGTCAACGTACTTGACAATTGGCACCTTGGCGTGCGAGATGACTTCGACATTGCCTTCGTATGCCTTGCCGTTCTTAACCAGCATCTGTTGGAGCGAAAACAGAACCGATTTCTTGTCGTATTTCGCGACCCCGGAATTCCTGAAAGAGTCAGACATGAAAACCAAGTCCATGTCTGCAGTGGGCAGGTAAAGGCCCGAGGGATACGATCCGAAAGGATAGAATTCGGCATCTTTACGAAAGACCGCGCGGGAAAACTGCTTGAGGTCCTGGATAAGTGCTTCGCGAAGCTTCCCCTCGAACTCACGAGGCTTGACAAACTCGTAGAAGTCAACAATGTCTTTATGAAGCCTATAGGAACGGATTAGCCAGCTACATCGTCTTCATACGGGAAAGTACGCTTACCAGACGCCCATTTTTGGGGTGGTGGAATGGTCGTCCACCTGCCACGGGTAAGGGTTTTCTCCCTCCTTCTCGCGCCATTTAGACAGGATGAGGCCACCAGCCGGAGCCCTGGCCGACTTCTCAAGAGATGCATGAGGAAGTTGGTTGTACTCGCCGTATGTACGCTTCCGGCTGTTGCGCGAATTGAGGTCGTCGTCATTTCTGGCTTCGGACTTCTTACGGAACTCGACATCCCGGATTTCCTGGACCTCGTCGTCGCTTTCGTCCAGATCGAACGAGATGAAGTCCTCGGCCGAGGTGGGAAGAGAAGGCTTGATGTCCTTGGCGGGGACGCGAGCCTTACGGATCATTTGTACGACATCCTTCTTCTTTGTCTGCACGCCAGCCTCTGCAGGAAGCGCGCTGTAAGGATCAGAGTTGGACCACTTGGGAACTGAGTCGCCAGACGCTGCCTGGCTTATACTTAACCGAGCACGCTTGTTACTCGGCTCGGCCGGGCCATCTGCTTCGTCACCCGAAATGTCCATTTCGGCTTCGTCGCTGTCAGTTAGGTCGATGATAGGTCTGTACGTAACTCCACCCTCTGTACTGAAAAGCTCTTGCTCGGTCCCGGTGGAGTAGGAGGCTTTGAGCAGGTCGCGCTCCGCGGGAATCCAGGAGTGCCGAGGTCTTCTCTGGCCATTTTCTTGCTGCCAATGATGCCTCGGTCCGCCAATCTGGTTTCGGCGGTGCTTAGGTCCACGATAGCCATCGGTATATGACTGCTGTATTCCAGGTGGGGCATCGGCGCGGAAAGTGAATGAGCCTTGAGGGGGTCGGTACGTGTCACGCGTTGCTGGAGGCGGCAGATCGCTGGGGAGAGGCGGCGGTGCATAATTAGGAGGGGGAGGGGGGGGTGGGTTGGCAGCACGAGAGCCCCGATCTGATCTGCGATAATCGCCCTGGGAAGGGAATGGGGGAAGGGGACGATAGCTTTCACCAAATATTCTTGGATTTACGGGAGGGCGCTGTGGAAGGGAGGAAGGAGGACCAGTGGGTCGGGAAGGGCGGGGTGGGAGGGAGGATTGCGAGCGGCCGTCGTGGTAGTCATCGTCGTGGTAGTCGCGATACGATGACGACCGGTAGGAGTCGCCGCCATTAGGCGGATAGCGATCTCGATATGACATCGTGTCGTCAATGACGCCGCTCTGACTGTACGGTAAGATGAAGACCGGCGATGCGCGAAATCAAGGAAAGGTTGATGCGACCGCGGTAAGAATTCTTTGGTTTTGGGCACCGAGCTTTTTTTTAGGGTGGGGGAAAAGAAAGCCTGCAGGGCTACAGGGAAAGGAAAGAAAAAGGGCAAGGCTAGTCTACTGTGGTCGCGTGCAAAAATAAAACCCCCTTGTCAGGTACCTGTAGGGCAAACACTTTACGCGTTTTTGACTCGGCATGGGGCTTTTTATTACCCATCACACCACAGTACTCCAGCTTCCCCACTAATACTGCAGCACTAGTGGCAGCCCGAGCAGCACCCCCCTGGCCAAGTGAGATCATTTGAGATACTAACTCAGTGGTACAAAGGTATCGTATCCACTTATCCATACACACTCAACTAATGCACGACATTCGCCAAATTTGCTGCCTTTTGTAAATATTACTTCGAGCGCACGAGCCATGCGCGAGTTGTCAGTATCCATATTGGCCTCAACTAGCCAATTATACGTTGTGTTTGTATATATGTCGTGCATTATTTGAGTATGATGATGCGATGCAATTAGTACTTCACATGCCTATCTAGGTTGTTGCAAATGTACTGAACGAGTGGATATGGTACGGATAACACGCCACCTGGGAAGGAACCACCTAAGGTGAATTTGCTCTTGCTGGCTGCTATCAATTTTTATAGCTGTGTAGACTAGAGTTTTGCAAAGTAAGTGAGAAACTGGAATTGTTAAATAGAATAGCTAATGATTCGCGCACGGGCTTAGCTGTAGGATACGGAGTATTTCCGGGGTGGGATTCCACGGATAACGGCAGGATCTTACCTCCAATATAAGGTACTATACTTTCCATTACCATACCCCCCGCCCGATCACCCAGGCTAGGCGATCACTTTTTAACCAAAGCACTACAACTTTGAACAACCGTAGCATAGTCAATTGTGAAGCTATTTACAAATAAAACATAGCAAAATGTAGCTAATTAGTCGCTTAATCCAGATATAGTACCGGCACCCTGGTTGAACTCCCTCATCTGGTTATTCTTGCAGGTGGAATGTCGTCATCTGCAGCGTTATCCATATCGTCTTCTTCATCCACCTCTTCTTCTTGTGGCTCTGCTTGAGCCGCATTTTGAGCCTCAACTTGAGGCTCTGCAGGAGCCTCGCTACCCAGTAGTATGGTAACTAAAGTTATGAACCGTTTATTCGTGTTTGGAATTTTCCTCCCTTTCTTTGGCTTCAAGCGTTCCAATTCGGCCTCTAGGGCTTTGATTCGTGCCTGCTTCAAAACCAACTCGGCTTGAAGCCCGTCAACTGCTCGGACGGCCTTTCTGAACTTCATTCTTGTGCCCGGACTAGCCCCCATGCTCATATCCGTTATCCGGCGGCCTGATATGGGGGCATCAGGGACTTCAGGGAGGGCTGGGGGTTCCGGGGTCTTTTTTCTGTCTTATGGAATCTCTGGGTGACGCAAAGCCTTTTGCTTACTAATAGGCCAATTTCCGGTCATTCGCCACCAAGATTTGATGGTTCTTTATGTAAATCCTTCCTCCCTGGCTACCTTGTAGCAGCGAATGAAGTTAATCTTATCAACCGGTGCTGCGTCAGTTAGACTAGCCAACTTGGGCAGCTCACGCCTATAGTAAGCTTTGACCGTATTGAAAGGTCCGTTGTTAAGTGGTTGTAAGCCGTGAGTTGTGTGGGCCGGTAGGAAACAAAGATATATATTGTTAAGGAAGCATATCGTCATGAAGTTATTCTATATAATAAATATAAGAATATGAGTCGAAAGAAAGCACGGGACTTATCTCGTACAGTTGTATGGCTGCCGTGGCCATCAAGAATAATGAGGCGAGCCTCACTGTCGTAGCCTAATAAGCCGTTGGTTTGTGGAACAAAAATATCCTCAAGGCAGCTGATCGCGAGTTTGTTATCTGTCCAGCCGTTTTCGCTTGTAACGAAGCTCCAGTCGGCGATTTTGTTCATTTCTTCCTCAAACTATTGCGTTTGAAGCTCTTTCCCTTTGAAAATACTGCCTGGATCAAGTAGTTTGCCGTCTGCACTGATGCATTCGATTATGGTGCACCAGCCACGGCCCTGGTCACTTTTGAGGTATTTTTTTCTAGTCTCTGAGCTCCCCAGGACTAAAGAGTCAAGCCCTATATAGAATTAGCCGTAGAAAGCATTATGGAGACTCTTTTCTTACTAAAGCCCGCCATAATACCGGCCTTATCGACGTAGAAAGTAAGCTCAGGCCTGACCCAGCCGTATTCTTTCTCTCTAATGTCAAAATACCAGTTGACGGCTTTGGGAGTGAAGCCATTAAATAGAGCGGCTTCCATTCTCTTGCCTATTTTGGCTTTTATCTCGGGATTACGGGCTTTGAAGCCCTCAATCCACTTTTTCTTTAGGACTTCTTTATCCCCCTTTTTTACAAGTAGTGTTCTGACAATACTAAACACTTGCGAATAGCTAGGGGCATAGCCGAGGCTCTCTTGACGAACGACCCATTGAATGAGCCGCTTTTCTTCTTCAGCCGTAAGGCGACGATGCGGCTGATCAGCCTCATCTTTAGGGGGTATTCCTTGAGTCTGTCGTTCAATGTTGTGTACAGTAAACCGTGTCTTTGGGCAGATTTTCGAATTGAAAGCTTATTATCTGTGACACCAAGGTATGCATTAAGCATATCGTCTTCGGTATAGGTAGACATGCTGGTGGTACAACACAATACACACTCGAAGATAGGGAGGAAAGAAGTCAAGGAAGCTAAAGGACGCTAATTTGCAATTAATTTGCGACGGTGTAGCGTAAAAAGTAGGGCTTGTGGGCTGACAAATCTACACTAAAATTAAAGTGCATGCAATTACTTAACCAAATATACTTTTTACTTGCGAATAGCTTCAAAATTGACTATGCTACGGTTGTTCAAAGATGTGGTGTTTTGGTGTAAAAAGTGATCGCCTGGCCTGGGTGATCGGGTGGGGGATTGTGGTGCGTGCGTGGTATCTATGTTGAGGCTCTGGCTAGAACCAACAAACTGCAACTCAATTCTATTTATACTGGATTAGTGCGAGTGGTGAACAGTGGCGTTACGGAGTCGGGGCAGACACGCTACAGTCCCCCTCGAGAACTCCTACCGGCTCTACGCCACCTTGCACAAGGTAGGTAGGTAACCGCGCCAAGTCAAGAACTTTTAACAAGGCAACTCCAACAGAAGAGAGCATACAAGTCCACTGCACATCAACATCCAGCACAATAAATAAGGCTCCCCAAAGACACCAGCCTGGGCAGCCCAGCACAGGGGACCCCAAGCCGGGGCCATTTCAAGTTCGGCACACCCTTCAGGGTGTTACCAGGGAGCCTGTACTAGAGCGTCTCTTTTACTAAGCAGTGTGAACTGCAGTCTTGCTAAACCGGACTGGCCCCTAGCAATGATCCAGACACGAATGATGTAGGCCAGTCCTAGATCTCATCGGATCAAGGGGTGGTTGGGAACACCGAGAATAAGGTGCAGCTTGCTTTTCCGGTCTACAAGCGCACATGTTAGCCAGAGGGCCTTTTGTAGACCTGGCGAGTAGTTGTGTCCAGCTTCCGAGCTTGTATCCAAACCATCTAGGGTATCATGAGTCCACCCTCAGGCCCGCGGCGAATTTCCGCGCCACCCAGGCAGCTCCATGTTCCTCGTACTCTTGCTTGGTGACGGCAAGCTTCTCGACGTGCTCGTGCCTGGCAAAGTTGGCAGCTCCTATCCAGGTGCTTGCGATGGGGTCGGCTGGGCAGGCCACTCTGACGATGCAGGCGTCTGGCACCCTCTTGAGAATCTCGGTCTGCAGGCGCTGGATGACATTTGGGATCAGAGAGCTTCCTCCCACGACCACAATGTTGGCCAGCAAACCGGGCCAAAGGCCTATTGGCAGCACCGAAAGCGACTGCATGATGACATCTGCGAGGCCAGGCTGCCGCATGCCAATGTCGGAGGGGTCGAAGAGTATCTCGGGAACGATGAAACGCTCGTTCCGCAGAGTCAGGATGTCCTCGGCAGACACCCCGCCCTTCCGGGTCCGGGAGAGGCGGGTGGGGTCGTACTCCTGTACAATGCCATGAAACCGTGTGTGAGAGTCTGGTAGAACATAGTCCATGGCAATGCCGGCACCGTTTATGTAGTCTTCTCGACGTTCCCCTTGGGTACCTTTCCACGACTTTTCAAGGTCGCCATTGAAGTCGAGCGACGCATAGCAGGCGGCCTCTTTCATCTCATTGACGACATACGGGTCATTACGCATATCGAAGTAACGTACAGATATCAGGCGTGTGAGGTAGTTTGTCATGAATTTCCCGCCCACGTTCAACCTTCGGATGGCAGGGTGCAACGGCCGGCCCTGGATGATAGGCGTGACCGTCGTGTGTGAGTATCCAGAGTCGACAAGAAGCATGACCTCGGCAGGGATGTCGACGGTGGTTTCTGGTGTCTTTGGGGCTTGAAATATGCTTTGGATGTCTTGGTATGCGTTGAAAGCCGGGCCTAGAGGAGGGAATCTGGTCAGCATGGCAGGGGCGGCAAGATGGGGAGTCAGACAGAGACATGGGAGCAGAAAAGACGCACCGATGCCACGGTAGTAGCTGGCAAATCCAAACTCCTCAAACACCATCTGGTCGCAATGCACCTGCAGGGCTGGCAGCGAGTTTGGCTGCTCGGACAAGACCAAGCGCGTCTCGGAGGGGTCGCATTTCTGGGGCGCCTTGTCGTCGAAGAACTCGCGATCCCATATTTCTTTCTGGGCCTCCCAGTTGACAATAAATCCCTTCTCGACCGGACGCCGGAGTGCAAGGTCTCCAAAGTCTTTGCACTTGTCGAACTCGGATCCGACGTATATCTTCTTGTGGCGGTCGCGAGCGATGCAGTTCGGAATGATGCGCGGGGCCGGTGTGCTAGCGACACTATCGCTGCCGCTGTTGCTGCTAGTGCTGTTGCGCTTCACGAAGCCAGCCTTGATGGTGTTGGCGCCATTGTCGAGAACTAGTGTAATTGATGGAGGCACCGGGCCTGCGGCTCGGGGCTTCCGACTACCCCCAGCCATGCCAGCGGGCGCGGCGTGTTTGTTGCGGGCGGTCTCGCGATGCACTGCGGTTGTTGCTCTGTAGAGGCCCAGACCAGGGCATATTTGCCGGCCCCGAGAGGTGGGTTGAGAGGTGGGTTGAGTAGTGGGGCTGTCAGCTTCTGCCGGCCCGTCAAAATTTGGAGGGTCCGTCACGAGTCAGGAACTGTTAAACACCACAAAAAAAGAGTGCCGGTTGATCCCTGCCCTGCACGATATATAACCCTCAACAAATGGGATTAGGTCATCAGCTCAAAAGGCAAACTCCAGACTCTCAATCGGCTGGATGGTGGAGTGGTCTAACACGCTAGTCTCAAGAATCATATCTTGACCCCGAAAAGGGGATGCATGCATACTAGTCTCGCAAGAGGCGTGGGTTCAAATCCCACTCCAGTCAGTCAAGCAATATTTCTCTCCTTCTCAGGAAGAGGTTTTTTTTTCGCTAAAACTTTCTGGTAATTTTAGTCTTTTGGAGAGGGGAAACAAGAACACCACCCACCACAATCTTTTGCAACGCGAAGAAGTTATTTAATTATTCAGTTTTTAATTTGTTAATTACAATGTGTAACTATTTAGAGCCTTCTTCACGTATTGTAAGTTTTCCTCGTCGGGTTGTTAACTGTTTGCAAGGTGAGCACAACCATGGAGGTCTGTTATATTTCTGTTAGCCCTGGCGAGCACTTTGATAATTATCAAAGGCAGCGTGGGGGCGGGCGGTGTAGGTGTATTATTGTGTTTCCCTCTCCCTCAGGGCTCTAAATCTAATTAGCAGGGTGCTTTACTTTGAAACCCTTCGTCGTTTAATCTTAATTGCATGAATAGGTAAATGGGAACTTCACATCCTCCTCTCATCTCCTCTCATGGCCTGCTCACCTGCTTGCGAGAACACAACTGACGTAATAGCTCTAGAGCTGTTACAGAGGACATGAATGCACCGGTAATCATGTAAATGTCAATTCGACACTACGAGTATTGGCTCACTCATGGTCCTCGTCTACCTAGGTGAAGAAATCATCTCTCAGACACTGCTAGCCGATTAGGTATATAGGAGAGGTATGGAAAAATACAAGCATACTGCTGCGAGGCTAGTGAGGATGCAAGACCGAGTTGAATAAAATTACCGTAATGGAACTCGAAACTCGATACTGGTTGCGTACTCCTTTTTGTTTACACCTTTCTTTCGCATTATGGCACGTGTAAATAGTCCCAACATGCTGGTTGCTGTGTTACTACTCAAAACATTTATCAGGGTGCGGGGATGGAGTCGGAGATGGAATTTTTGACTCAGCAAGAACCAGGCACATCGCAAGGCGGATTCATCAACATGAGCAAAACTGCTAGGCCTGTTCTTCGCGGGGTTTTCCTTCTGATCACAACATCGTCACCCCATGCCTCACCCGCGGCGTAATCAATCTTATTTCCCCTCGGCAATGGACGACCCCTACGAATTCCGTCCACTCCCCGACGCGTCGTGCCACATGCGGCTCCTGACTCTGCTCGGAGCCGACGAGGCCAGCGCGCCCGTCGAATGCAAGATGCGGGTAGTCGGGCTCGGCAGCCAGCAGCCGGGGGAACAAGTTCCGTACGAAGCCCTCTCGTACACGTGGGGAGCGGACGTCCACGACGAGCCTGTCCGCGTCGACGGACGCCCTCTGCGGGTGACGCGGAATCTCCACCACGCCCTCGCGCGGCTGCGACGGCACTCCTCACAACCGCCGCGCGTGCTGTGGGTCGACGCCATCTGCATCAACCAGGGCGACGACGACGAGAAGAACCTGCAGGTCTGCGAGATGCGGCACATCTACGGCCGCGCCGCAGCCGTCGTCGCCTGGTTGGGCGAGTCGGATCCGGACCTGGAGGCTGCTATGTGCTTTTTGCAGAGTCCCGCCGCCAAGTCGTTCGAAAAGCTCAACGTGCTCGACGACTATCCGCTTGCGGGCCTGGCCGCGGCGGCCGACAGAGAGCTGGACTCGGTCGCCGCGGTGCGCGAGCTGACCGCTGCATTTCTCAAGGGAGCCCTGGACAAGGTCGGGTTCGCAGCGGAGCATGATTTCTCGTCCGGCGGCGCGGCAAAAACCCAGCTGAGGCTGGCGGTCCCGGGCCTTGCGAAGCTGTTCCGCAAGGACTGGTTCTCGCGCGTGTGGGTGGTTCAGGAAGTCCTCGGCGCCAGGGTCGACCCGGTGGTCCTCTGCGGAGATGCCCAGGCGTCGTGGAAGACGACGCAGGCTGTGGCCCTGCAGCTGGCGTCCGACGATAAACTAAAACACGCGATTCTCCCAGAAGGCTTCCTAAACATGGGCGTGCTAAGCATGACGCACGGATTCCCGTTCCACTCCCTCGAGCACCTCCTCAAGGCCACGGCTGAGCGCCAGGCCACGAACCCCAGCGACAACGTCTACGCGCTGCTGGGGCTTGTCCACCGCAGCGAGGCCATCACCGTCGACTACCGCGTCCCCGCGGCGCTCGTCTGCCAGCGCGCCATGACCACAATCTTCAAGACGCGCCAGGACCTCCACTGGCTTGCCTATGCCTGCGGGGCCCAGCACCAGCAGCCAGAAGTTCCGTCCTGGTGCGTCGACTTCTCCAACAAGACCTGGCTGCGGGACAAGCTCGAAGACGACTGGGGCGTGACCGCCGGACCCTGGCCCACCAGGCTTCCCTGGGAAACCGGAGCCTCTCACGGGCGGTACCCGCCCACCTACTCCCACGACGAGGCCACCGGCACCCTCGCAGTTACCGGGAAAGTTGTCGGAGTTATAAGCTATTCGCAAGCCCCAAGCGCGGGGGCAGGACTGGACGTATTTGTCAGTGAGTGACTAGATAGCCCCTAAATTCCAGAAGGTCAGCAACAGAGCCAGCATATTAACGCCATTTCCTATCTAGACGACGCCTACCAATTCCTCGCTTGCGCGCTCCCCAAGTTAAAGCGGCGAGTCGGGCTAAACACCGTGGCATCGCGCATGGCTGCGGGGCTCCTCTGGCGGACGATTGGCCGGGGCGAGCTCTTTGACTTTCTGCTCAGGGGCGACCATGGCAATAATAACAAAGCCCCTTCCGCCAAAAGTCTACTGTGGAGCGCCGCCAGCCAAGGCAGCACCATGTTCGACAACATCGGACGACACCAAGACGGCGGCGGCGGCTACGCTTCTCTCGAGGCACACTCGCAGCAACTGCTACAGCCCAAGTTCCTCTGCCTGCGCGAGCCGTGGGCGCACGAGGTCAGCCAGCACACCCCGCTCGCCCTCGGCGCAGCCGAAGAAGCGCTTGTCACGCTTGCGTACAAGGCGGCCAGCAGCTGCTACGTCTCGACCGACACGGGATACTTTGGGGTATCGGGGCACCCTGTGCAGCGAGGCGATATGCTTTGCATTCTGTTTGGATGTAAGTGGCCGGTTGTTCTCCGGCCGCGTTGTGCGGAGCAGGAAGAGAGAGAAGGCTTTTCGCTGGTCACAATCGCGTACTGCGACGACATCATGCACGGAGAGGCTCTCGTGGCGGCAGCGTCGGATTTCACGCGTGAGAGGACGTTTTTTTTGCGGTAGAGAGAGTAACAGCGCCATGGTTACTGCGAGAAAACATTGTATTTATACTACGGGGCTCGAACTGCCAATTACTTGCAAAATAGGAAGGCAAGACGGCCTTCCTTCAACGTGCCACGCCCACCGGCATCCCTGCTAACTCAACCAAGCTGGGTATCTAGACAATCTCTGCGCTATTCTTGGTCTCGGAATTCGTCTCGTGGTGTTGTGCCGTGCTCTTCAGCTCGGCGGAATTGTTCCGGCTCGCCAACAGCTGCTTCTCGTCAAATGCCTCGTCCTGGGCCTCGGCGTCGAGGTTACCGTAGCGGCCAATCTTGTACCAGGGCAGGTCGAAGAGCCTGTTCATGGACTCGAGGCTGCGACCTCCCGTCTCGGGGACGATAAACCACACCCACACGGCGCCCAGGATGGTCACGGCAGTAAAGAACCAGAAGGTGCCCAAGGACGAGATGCCGCCCTGCGAGGTCGGCAGCAACAGGACGGGCACCGCGCGGGAGTTGCCATACTGGTTGGCGAAGTGAAAGGCCATTGCCAGGGAGGTGCAGAACGCGCGAATGCGGAGTGGGAACAGCTCGGCAGTCAACAGATACTGCATGCTGTTCCAACCAAGAGCCCAGCCGACACCCGACAAATAAATCATGGCGATGGCGCCCTTGGAGGGCCCAACCTCGGATGACGAGAGCCTGTAGCCTGGATTACGGCCAAGCTGGGGCACCGACGTCAAAAAGGCGGCGACATAGAGCACCGAGATTGCCTGGAGGGCGATGCCTAGTAGCAGCGACCGCTTGCGGCCGATGAAGTCGACGAGGAACAAGGCGCAGATCACGGCTGCGACCAGCTTGACGATGCCAAACACGGCCGTCACCAGCAGCGACTCATCGGTGCCCGTGATGCCAAGAAGGCTGAACAGGTCTGGGGCGTAGAGCGTGATGGAGCCGGCGCCGGACCACTGGGACAGGATCTGGGCGCCGATAGCAATACCAACGCGATACAGGTTGCTGGGGATGGTGAAGGCTTCTCTCAGGATGCCCATGAAGCCGGCGCCCTTGGTGGCCTCCATCTCGGCGTGGTGGCTGAGGGTGATGGCGTTGACCTCGCGGACGACGTACTCGTGGTCTGAGGGCAGATTTCGCAGGCGCGACATGACCTCGAGGGCCTTGTCATGCTTGCCAGACTTGATCAGGTAGCGCGAGGTCTCGTATTGGAAAAAGGTGAGGACAAAAATAAGGCCGGCAAATATGATGTGCAAACTGGTCGGAACAAGCCATCTTTTAGGGGTAGTGTCGCCAATGTTCAGTTGACAGCCGTAGTTGGTAAAGTACGCAAGGACGATACCCAGGTAGACGAAGCCGGTGAAAAAGCAGGTGCACAGGCCGCGGATGCTGGCCGGGGCGATCTCGGCAATGTAGATGGGCCCGACGACGGCCGTCTGGCCTACTCCAAGACCGGCGATGAACCTGCCGGCATACACGGCACCAAGGCTGTTGCCGTGGCCCATGAAGATGGCGATGCCAAGTGCCCACAGGACGCACAGTTGGCGTGTCGCCCAGATACGGCCGATCCTGTCGCAAACCACAAAGGCACTATATTGTGGACGGTTAGTATTCGGAGACATGATAGACAGACACACATGCGCATATGCAAACACGCATGCAGAGGCGGCAGAGACAGCTAGGTCTAGGTCGACTTACATGAGAGCCCCACCCACGCTGCCAACCTGGACCATGGCTGACACATTTGCTTTGATATTCGCCTGGTCGACTTTGTTATAGGACGAGTAGTTGATGGTGCTTTGGAACTGCTTGCTGTTGAAAGCGCCGCTGATCAGGCCCTCGTCGACGCCGCGGGCAGCGCCCAGCAGCGCGAACGAGACGACAGCGAACCATAGTCTCCAGTTGAAGACCTCTTTGGGCTCGCCCAGGTTCTTCAACTTGAAGATGTTGACGGGTTTCTTGACACCACCGGCCATGCTGGGCGACGATGACGTCCAAGGGGGGGAGGGGCAGGATGTAGTGGAAGGGTTGGCGCGGGAAGAGGCCAGGCCAGTTTAAATCCAGACCACAGATCTGCCGTAGGACACTGGCTACTTCTACCTCTCGAGATTGGGCAACAACAAGGTCAGATCTAGACGAAAACCCGCCGGGATGGACGCGTGCAGGGGGGGAGGGGGTTGGCGACAAGGTCCGACGACTTCATGTTGCTGCGTATAGATGCCGTCTTCTTGCTGCGTACTCCGTATAAATTCCAAAAAGGACACAGGCGAGGTCAGATGTGATGTGCTATTTGATGTGAGTGTCTAGACAACTAGTGTAGACCAGAACATGGAAAAGGTGCCGGCATTCGACCAGGCAGCATCATGGACAATGGAGAAATGGGCAACTTGCTCAACATGATGGACGACCTTGGACTGACTGCCCAAGATCACAATCCGTTCTGCATGTAATCCGGGGTAGTGGTATGGGGAAGCGGGGACTCCGTTTGGCTGGGCGTTCGGAGGATTTTCGAGGGCGGTAGGTCGTCTCCAAACCCTGGATACCCCGCATGTTGTGTGTTTTTGGGTCTGCAGTGGCGGATGACGATGTGGCCCGGTGTAGATCGTTTGGGGCAGGTGCTTTCCGGCAGTGAGACACGCCGCGGGCATCTCCCACTCTGAACGGAACAAACGTGCTGGGGGTATCAAAGTTTGCGTTCCACCGCGTCAAATGCTGAACAGCAGCGGATGGGTCATCCCACTCCCAGATGATGCGGGAAACGCAATGTCGGTGAAAAGAGACTGGAAGCCAGACGGCCGAAGAGCGCCTTCTCTTGTAACTACCTTACAATTGGCAATCGCGGTGTGGTCATGGCTCACAGGTAAGGCACCTTACTGTGCACCACAACATTTGGAAAAGTTTCGCATGCAATGTGACGTTGGTCGTTCTTTCCTTCCCTGCGAAACTGACAGCGTTGTCGGCCCTTTCAAGACTCGTGATCCGAATTTGCCCGCCCTACCAGCGACAGTGCAAGGAACGCCGATCCTTGCCATTTTTTCCTTCCCTTTTTTTTTCCCCCGGGCTATCTTCTTTCGCCCCACAGTTGCCCCCGCTCGGGACGCAGCCGAAGTCTTTTATATCTGTACGCACTACGAGTGCAGAGTACGGAATACAACGGCATAGAAAGCAATTAATTGTCTGAGCTGAGATGTGGCCATTCGACGTGTAAACCGTTGCGTGTTCCGTACAGTACAGAATACGGATACAGCGGGAATCTTTGTCAAATACCCCGCGTCGTCACACTGTACTTGACTTAACACAGCTCGCGTCTCACAACCTCTCGCTCTTATTACTCCGTTAAGACCTGACTCCCGACGCCATGGCAGCCCCAGCGAATCCCATCCTCCGCGTAGGACACGAAAATGCCCATGCGTTCGTTGTCGCCATGCTCGAGGCCTCTGGCGTCTCCTCCAAAAACGCGCCCATCATTGCCAACGGCCTGGTGCAGGCAGACCTTCGCGGGGTCGAGAGCCATGGCGTCAACCGCATCCCCTCGTATCTGGCCCGTATCCGCAACGACGTCCTAGACCCGAAAGCCGAGCCCACCCTCACGGAGGTGACCCCAGTTGTTGCACAGGTGGGTTACCCAAATTAATTAATTGACCCGACTGTTCCATTGGTACTCTTAAAAGCACCCTAGAACCCTGGGGGTACTCTTATTTGTTTTTGCGTTCAGTTCTACCTGTTGACATCGGTTTCCCATGGTCATTCATGGTTTGGTAATTGTTTGCTTCCCTCTTTCTGCACGCCAAGTATTTACCCCCTTTTTTTTTCTTGGCTCACACCTCCCCTCTCTGCACAGGTCGATGGCCACAACGGCTTCGGCTTTCCTGCCGCACACCTCGGCATGGGCGCGGCCATCGACATGGCACGCACCTTTGGCATCGGCATGGTTAGCGTTAAGCACAGCAACCACTTTGGCATGTCGGCGTGGATTGTGCGTCAGGCCGTCGATGCGGGGTTCCTGTCCCTGGTCTTCACCAACTCGTCGCCAGCACTCCCCGTATATGGCGGCAAGTCGCAGCTCATGGGCGTCTCGCCCATCGCCTGTGGAGCGCCCAGCGGCGAGAATTCCAAGCCCTTTATCCTAGACATGGCACCATCCGTGGCCGCCCGCGGCAAGATCTACAAGGCGCTGCGTCGTCAGGAAAAGATACCCTCGGACTGGGCCCTCGATAGCCACGGCAATCCGACCGACGACCCCCAGGAGGCCCTCAGGGGCGTCATGCTCCCTATGGGCGGACCCAAGGGCTCGGCACTGGCTATCATGATGGATGTCTTCTCGGGTGTGCTGTCGGGCTCCGCGTTCGCCGGCGCCGTCACAGGGCCCTACGACATGTCCAAACCCGGCGACGTCGGCCACTTCTTCGTCGCCATCAAGCCGGACCTGTTTGTCAGCCTGCAGGACTTCAAGGAGCGCATGGATGTATTGTACCAGCGCGTCGTCGGGTCCGAGAAGATGCCAGGCGTCGAGAGGATCTATTTTCCCGGGGAGATCGAGCAGCTGACCGAAGAGAAGAGGCTGAAGGAGGGCATCCCGTACGTCCAAGACGAGATCGATGCCCTCAACGCCGAGGCGGAGAAGCTCGGGGTTGCCAAGATCCGGCTCATGCCAAACTGAGCGACTTCGGACCACCGCTGCTTCGAATTTCCCTTTTGAATAGAACTGAACTCCTTTTCCTGCCTTTCGCACTAGATCTGACCGAGTTTGTTGCCGATAGTAGGTAGGTTCACGTGGTTGTTTATGCCACGGCCTCTGGCGCCCTGCAACTCGACCACCACTTGGAGTTGGCACTCGACGTGGCTGCATTTACGCAAGCTCAAACAATAATAAGGATCTCCTCCCCATTAGAATCGCAGTCTCATTCTCACAGGTTGGTGTTGTTTTCAGTCTCGTAGGCTGCATTTTGCGCGTGTCTGTAGAGTCAGCGCGCACACAGGTAATTAAGGTGCAGTCAGGGCTGGGGAGGCTGCGACTTGGTCAGATGGACGTTTTTGCATTTCGTCCTACGTCGGTAAACTGAACACCCTCGGGACCACTCGTCAGCATACACAACCATCCCTTACTCGTTGGAAAACTCAGGGTCAAGTCCGCTCTCCAGACTCCCAGAGGTGAGCCAATGAGAGTACATTCCTTGTTCGTCCCAACCTCAAGCATGGAACTTTGGACGACCAACAAACCCCCTAAATGCACTGCGGCTGCCAGGTGCAAATTTTGGGAGTACTCGGCCCTGGAGGGAATGGGCCGGGGAGGACCTCGCGGCCAGACGGTGAAGCAATCAGGTATGTATGTACATCCCGTCTCATGCGTGGCATGTTCCAGAATTATTTTAGTACCTGAGGCGCGGGACTTTGGAACCAATGTTCGGCGCCGCAGCGGCGGCGTGCGGCCCAGGCTGCGGGGCCCGTTTGCTGGCAGAGCCGGGATCCACCCCGAAGGTCGCTTGGATTGTGGTAGGACTGTCCCGGGGCCCGGCCCGGCCCGGCCCGGCCCGGCCCGGCCCGGCAACCAACTAACTAACCGTTGCCCGTGCCACACCGCCGAGCTATTCCCCGATGGTGTAACTACCTCAACGATCGGGGCCTCCGAGTCTGACAGGCATCGCAACACCGCTGAGGCGGCTTTTGGGCGTCCCCAGGCTGAACTTAGCCATCACGAGCAGTTGGCCTGGCCTGAAACGTACCTCGCTATTAAGAATAGCCAAGTGGCAGAGCTGCGGCGGCGGCCTTAGTGGGCTGTGGTCCGAAAATAGTGGACAAACTAAATCCCCCTGCGTTGTTTCTTTGGCTCTAAAAAGAAGCACATGACTTTCTACCTCCCATCTATGTACACATTGTTGCATACATCGCCAAAGACCTCCATGGTGTGGGCCAGGTTGTCCTGGACGAGCCTGACGCGCGCGGCCATGTCCCTGCCGAGGGGCAGCAGGCGCTCGGCCTCGCGGCCGGTGCCGACGGGGCCCTCGCCGACGACGACGTCGAAGACAGCCCGTACGGCCTTGTCCTTGTCGCCGTCAGGCTGGAACTCGCCGCTCATCAGGCGCATCGTCTGGTCGGCCACGGAGCCCCTGTAGTCGTCGGGCAGCGGCGTCGCGCCCATGGCCGCCACGCTCGGCATGTTTGTGTTGAACGTGCCCAGCATGACGACTAGCAGCCGGACGTTGAACGGCGCGATCTCCTTGGCCATGACCCGCGACATGGCTGCCAGCCACAAGATGGGTGTGTCAGCTTCCAGCGTTTCCATCACCTAGAGAGACTTAATCAAGACAACTCACCGTCCAGAGCGGCTTTGGCAGCGGCGTACGCGCCCATGCTGTCGCGGCCCTCGAGCGCAGCGCCCGTGCTGATATTAACGACGATACCGGACCGGCGCTGGCGCATGTGCGGCAGCACGGCGCGGACCAGGCGCGCTGGGCCAAAGTATAGCAGGTCCATCTGCGCGCGCAGCTCGTCCTCGGTGTAGATTTCGGACGGCGCGTGGATCGACCCGCCGGCGTTGTTGACCAGCACGTCAATCTGGTGGCCGTTGTGTTCGAGCTCAGCCACGACCCGGCCCGAGTCGCGGTCCGTCACGTCGAGCGCCAGCCACGTCCCGCCGTTGCGCTCCACCTCGGCCACCAGCTCGGGCGTGCGCACCGGCGAGCGTGAGGTTGCGATCAGCTTGTGGCCCCGCGCTTGCACCAGCCGCGCAAGTGACAGGCCGATCCCAGAAGAGCAGCCTGTGATGAGCCACGTGAGCGGTCGCCTGGGCGTGCTGAGAGCGGGGGCGGACATGGTTAAGTGTTTACTGGTTTTGATGTGCGGTCGTTGAGGCTCGTTGGGCGAGTTGAAATGATTATTTACTTGATTGGGCCAATAATAATAGTAATAATTCCGGATCAAACCTGCGCCGCACGGCGGCCCTTATATCGGCCGTTGGGAACCGCGCCGTCGCGCCTTCGGCCTTCCGCCGCTAGGTTGGTTGTGACGTTGAAACGGACTTTAGCGGCGGTGATTGCGGATTTGCCTGCTAAGTCCGCAAAGGGCGGCCTCCGTAAGTAGAATGGCGGCGATTGCCCACGGTAACGATTAACCGGCGCAGTTGGCTGGGTTGCTATGCTTCAAAGGCCAACAATGGGCCAGAGAAAAAGAGGAAGAAGGGGTGTGATTGGCGCCAGGGCCCGCATTGTCAGGCGACCAAAGGGGCAATCCTGTACAAGCTAGGGAGATGACAATGAATAGTCGTGGGTGGTGTTGGCAGAGACCGTTGGGAAGGTTCATGTTACACAAAGTCTCTCACACGCCCATCTCAGCGGCCGGTGCCCCTGATTAGTGGTGGTGGTGACGCTTACCTCGCAGCAGCAGGAGAGAGAGATGCCTACTTGGGTGTTGGAACAGGAATATCTCACGGATAAATCTTGAAAGGGCAGCTGGAATTACTCGGAGTTAGGAGTTCGAGATTAATAACGAGCGCGAATCAATTACTGATAGGAAGCTGGAGGGGCTCCGCGGAGTTTAGAAGAGAACGAGTTGTTCCAAAGATGGGGGGCATAGGTTGAAATAGTTATGACTTCTTTATGAGACCGTCTTCTCAAATGGGAAATCTGATAGCAAAGCCCCCCGGGTGTCAGGTAAGTTTAGTACCCTGACGCTGACTTCCTGCATGGCCTAAATGCACAACCAAGATATGGGATGACCGGGTATTCATCAGTGGCGTGAGATGGACAATATACTTGGTAAGTGATCAGAACTACATTTCATGTTTGACGCGGCAGGTGTTGGAAATGGTATTCGATTAAAAACAGAGTAGAAGAGAAAGCTTGTGATACAACTTTTCCTTGTCAACACATAATAATACCACAGAAGGCCAATTATAGACCCCTTTTTCCTTCCCACACGATTAGAAATTAAACAGGTAGGTAGGCATATCGAGAGATATAATAAAAACACAAAAGGGACAATAGCGGGCTACTACAGCCGCCCTATCATACCCATACCCATAGCATAGTTGTAAGGAACCTGCTTGGCGTCGTGCATGGCCATGGGGTCCATGGGGTCGGCGCAGGCGTAGCGCACCAGCCAGCTGACATCGCGGCCCTTGTGGCCGTCGCAATTCTTGCAGCCCTTGCGCGCCATCTCGAGGCCCTCCATGCCGGCGCTGACGCCGTTCTTGTGCTGGCCGGCCGTCGTCGCCGCGAGGCCCGTCCAGCTCAGCCGCTTGCCGTTGTTGCCATTGCTGCTGGCACCGTCCTTCCTCTTGCGCGACGCCGCGTAGTAGTTGGTGATGGCTGCGATCTCGCGCTTCTCGGCGCAGTCCCGGTCGATGGTCATGACGCTGTCCAGCACGCTGCGCCGCCCCGCCACCGCCGCCCCTGCTCCTTTACCTCCCGCCCCAGCCGCTGCCAACATCGCCATCTGCCCCGGGAACAGCGCCAGCATGTAGTCCTCCATCATCATCCCCTTCATGGCGTTGCCAGCGGGGCCGGGTTGTTTTTGCGGTGTCGCTCCTGCTGCTGTTGTTGTCGATGTCGATGTCGATGGTGACACGACGTCGTTGACGATAAAGACGCCGCCACAGAACCGGCCCTCCATGTTCATGCGCACGCTCTGCAGCACGCCCATCTGGGCGAACGGGTCGGCGACGAGGGCGAAGTGCTCGACGTGGACGCCGCGGCGCTCGTGCAGCAGCTTGGCGTCGGCGGGCTGGTGGTGGTGCAGGGCGGGCTCATTGCTGCCGCTGCTATTGCTGTCCTCTCCCAGCGGCAGGACGAACTCGGCGGCGGCGGCGCCAAACGTGTAGACCTCGAGCTTGCGCAGCTTGTCGGCGGGCACGTCGGCGCACAGCTGGGCGACGGCCTGGGCGGCGAGCACGGCGCCGTGGTTCTGCGCCAGCACCACGACCCGGCTCAACGAGTCGTCTAGCACCGCGCTGCGCAGCTGCGCGTACAGCGTGCGCCGCGCCGCGCTCGGCACCGCCAGGCACCGCTGCAGCATCACCGCCGCCAGGTCCAGCGGCAGCCCGTACGTCGGCATGCAGATGCACGTCATGGGCCGGCTGAACAGCCGCGACAGCGCCGGGAGCGTCGTGTGGTGGCAGTGGCGCGAGCTTTTGTTTGGTTTCGTCAGCAACCTAGACCTTGACAGTGGTTTGATATTCTTCACTGACCTCATGCCTATGCCGCCTAGGAACAGCCACTTCTCGTCCTCGGTCTCCTGGCCCATCATCCAGCCCTTGGAGCCGGCGGAGCTGTGGTGGGTGTGGTCGCGGGCGTTGAGCAGCCAGCACACGGCGGCGACGTAGGCGGCACAGGTGGCGGCCCACAGGGCGAAGACGGCGCCGGGCAGCGCGAGGGCGAGCGGGACGGCGGCCAGCAGCATGCACATCTCGACGCCCGCCAGGTGCATCTGCACGGCCAAGTGGCTCGTGTCAGCCCACGACATGTGGCGGCGCTGCGTCCACACGGCCCAGCACAGCGCGGGCATGGCCGCCACCATCTGCGCCGCCTCGCGCCGCAGCACCGCCCACGCCGGCTGCTGCGACCGCGGTATGGTCCCGCACGCCCCGTCGCACAACGGCGGGATGTACGTTACGGGTGATGACGACGACGGCGACATGGCCGGCATCTTGGTGTTCGCCGCCGTGGGCGACATGGTAGCTGGCGACTTCATCTTGGGCGAGACCAGCGGCGACGGCGTCCTCAGTCGGGGCATGTCTCCGGAAGGAGACAAAAGGAGAGTCGAGGGCTGCTTGTTGTGCGGGATCGGCCTCGGCGTTGGTGGGAAGGGGGAATCGAAATTCAATGCTGCCGAGGAAAGAATAGAGGAGGCGAAGAAGCAGCACGGCGATTCACGGCCGCATTATATCGTCCAAGGTGAGAAAGCGCGTCTGGATTTTCGTCTCGGGTGATCCCCCTTCCTCATCAGCGGCGCGAGCCGAGGAATTCTTTTTTCTTTTCTTTTCTTCGGTCCCCCTTTTTCTCGACGCGTGTTTATTCTTGCCGCCGAACGCGTTTGCATTCTTGAGCTAGAGGAGAATCAGCACTAGGGGGCACGGAGATATGTGGGTAATTTCCTCCGTCTTTGCGGATTGGTGTCTTGAGGCTTCAACGTTCCAGGCACGGAGCAGGGCCACATTCCTCGCGAACGATACGCGAGCCCAGAAAGATGGGCGAGTTTGCCCAAGCACAGGAAGGCAGTGGTGTGGAATTGAGCTACCCGCATTCCAGCCCTGTCTTGTAGCTCCCTCATAATGTCGGCTGGTGATTGCAGAACCCGGGTGCTTAGGTTCATGCCTCACTCGACACGATAAGACCAAGAGGGACCATCTACTTTGGCTGGAAAGATGAAAGTCTCAAACAGCGGTTTCAAGACATGTTGAAGCCTAGGCTATCCTGCTGAATGGTACTGAACCCATTAGCACATCAAGATTCAAGAGATTGAAAAAGAAAGAAGAAAAAGACAATTCAACAAACCACGTGTTGGAACGACGTCTTTCTCTCACGCCAAAGTCCGGCGACGTGAACACGGAGGCCAAACAAATGGTCGACTTTGATAGAGTCATAAATCCGTATAATTTTCTGTGCCCAGGCGGGTCGGCGCGCTCGACCAAGGTTCGTGCCGAATGCCGATGCAAGCAGCTCATGCATGCAAAGAGAGTCTGGTAGCCCACGACTGCGGTGCAGGGTGCGGAGCCGCGGGAAGGGAACAAGGTAAAGTGTGAGTGAGAAGTATAGTTATTGACAAAGGAAATCCCGCTATATACACCAATCTACTGTGCGGCCATCTTTTAGGGATTATGTCCAACTTGTTCCTCATCCTAGCTTGGTTCCTTTTGCAAATCTTGGATGAGTCCCTCATCCATCATCTATCATTCATCGTTCATCTCCTGTAAAATCATGTCTAGTCAACTAGACTCTCCCCTCTACCGTCCAATGCGTCATTAAAAATTCGTACGTGCGGATGCAGAAAATGCCAATATGCTTGGCCAGATTCCAGTCTGTGATTATGCCATGAGAGCCATGGACAGAAATGCAGGGGGGGTATATAACGCCTGTCCGTGCTGATGTGTTTATGGTGCCGCTGTGATGATGAAAACCCAAATGTGTTGTTTTGCGAGACGCCAAAAATCTTGGCCAATGAAAACCGTGGATGCATGCCCGACGGAATGAGGGGGGCGCCGGGGCGGCAGGCCGGGAGGGTCCGGTGGGGGGTTCTCAACGGAAATTCCGCATGCTGACCCACCACCCCTTCCCCCGCTTGCCGCTCTTTTCGGGGCCGTCCTCAGCATCAAGCTCCAGCCGGTACCGCACGACGCTGCCCCGATCATCCTCGAAGCCCATGTGTCTTTTACTCTTCGGGACGAAACAATCGGGGACCACGTGGCGCATGACCCAGCCTCGAACGCCCTTCCGAGCTGCATCGATGGCTGCGTATTCGAGCCGTCGTGTCTGGTCGCTTGTCCAGTAGTGTGTTGTCTGGGGCGGGAGAGGGTATGCCGATGTCTCGGAGCTCGACGGACAGTTGGGCCCGCCCGTGAAATCCGGAGCACGGCGGGCGTTGTCCGTCATTTCTGTTTCGTCCACCGGGGGTTCCGCGGTGGTGAAATGGGGGAAGTGGAAGAATGTTATTGGTTCCGACTGGCGTGACTGGTAGGCGGGACGGGTCGAGATAGACTGGCGTCGGCTGTTTCGCGGGAGGTACGAGACGGGGCCAGACTTTGTCGACCGCTGAACACATGGTCTTGTGCGCCGCCGGTGTGCGGACGAAGAGGCCGACGTTGTTGACATGCGTCGATGAGAGGATGGCGAGTCCTGCCGGGATATGGAGCCGTAGCCAGAGTCCTGACGGCTCATCTCGGGCGCCACCGACATGTCGTTCTCCTTGGAAGCGGGAAACACGGGAGAGTTCCGGACGGCCGGGCCCGGTGTAGGTGCTGGAACAAGGTTGGGTTCGTAGAGTTCGACTTCGTGGAAGCTGTGATAGGTCGTGTCTGAAGGAGCCAAGCTCACGCGTGAGAGAGGACGATCGGAGGGCGACAGGTGAGGCATGGCAGCGACTGCTCTGCAATCTGCTGAAGCATGACAACTCGACAAGTCGGGAGGAAGCTCAACGAGCTAGTTGAGAAAGCAAGAAGAAGCGTTTGGCCTGGGGGGGCCAAATGGCACTCTTCAATTGTTTAAACGGGGGGTCAGGCCAAGGGTGGATTACCAGATCAACCCAGGCGAGATGTGTCGGTTGCCACAGCGAAGCAAGCCCTGGTCTGTTAAATTGCTTTCGACCCCCCAAAAGTTGCGGTCAAGCTGTCTCCTGTCTGACTCGGTCGGGGAATAAACAATTGGCAGGCGGGTGGATGTTCATGAGGACTTTTGTGGGAAGCTTAAGCAAGACCCCTGAACAGCGCTGTCGGCGGAGAGGCGAATGAAGTGTGCCAATTGACGGCGGTGGCTCGACGAGCCAGTCTGCGATTGGCACGTAGAACAGCTGCGGGAAGCACCAGACAGGCTTGGCTTGCCGCGAATGCAGGTCAATATATGCAGGCTTGACCTGGGTGCAGGGCCTCGTTTCCCGTCTTGGAAAGGGAACAACCAGTGTCCGGCGTATTCAGTACTTCGGCCGGCAACTTGACCTTTACAGATACGGGCCCGGGAGAATGTCAGCGTCTGTTGCCCGAGGGCTGCTGCAATGCAGAGTCAGACCCGTGGGTGCGGGCTCTTTTGAACCAGGGATTTGTGAAGCACGCAGCCAGGTCACCGGCGCACGTGGGACATTGACAAGAGTTTCGAATTTCGAAGTGCCGTACGGTATCAAAACGGACTCTCCTAATTCCCCCTCACGGGCTACTTTTGACACCCGTAGATTTGTTGAGAAACAGGCGGTCAGGTAGCGGGGCCAAGGTCAGTGGAGATGGTGGACACTCCGTCTGTACCCCGCCTGTCCGGAACCCCACGTTTGAGGGCGTAACTCCAGGGGAGGCAGTGATGTTTTCAGGAGAGATTAATAAGACCAGGTAGGCCCCAGCAATTCCCGTGCTTTGTTAGTTCGACGGTTCGTGCTTGAGAAGAAAGAGTCACCGCCACTGAACAGGGCAAGAATCGAAGAGACAGGCTGTTGTCCCTGTTTTAAAGAGGAGAGACAGAGACAAATGTGGAAAATGGAGTCGGCAGCGGAGCCCCAAGGCGGCCAAATCTGCGAGCTAGGGACCCTAGGAGCTGCCCGTGTAAGCTAGCGCAATCCGATATCGCTGCCAGGCGTTTAAACTTCCAACGTCAGGCGGGAAGGGCCGCTGAGGGCGGAAGTTGCAGCTGGAAGCCAAATGTAAATCTGGGTTCTGTCGGTTCGTCGGGCGAGGAATGAAATAGTGAGAGGAAAAGAGACGAAGTGCGCAAGGCGGACAAGGCGATTTAAGAATCTATCCCAAGCCAAGACAATAAGTTTGCCCTGCCCCGTCGGTTGGTCGGGTCTCGATCATATGAAGACCATTCCTCCGTAACGCTGGCGTCATTCTCTCGTTCTCTCAGGTCTGGTCCCCCCTTCCTTTCCAGATCCGCGGCACCCTCTGCGTTGTACTGTGCCTCGTGTGCCTAGGCAGTCCAGACTGGAAATGAGTCGATCTTGGGCTGTACGAATGTTCCTTAGGACAAGAAGGAACTTTGAAGGCCGAAGAAACGGCTATTTCGGGGGGCATGTGCCGCTGGGCGATGCGAGGTGGGCTGGGAGGTTTTTCACATGCCACATGAAGAACGGTGGTCCTAGTGTCGCTTGGCGACGAGCGCAAGCCCTGTGCGGCCCACCACGCTGTCCAACCTCGATCTGCTGTTCCAATCAGAGACGTCTGTCCGCCAGCGCTGAAACAGGTGGACGCAAACATGGCGACGAGCCGGCCAATCAGGCGCTGGCAGGTGACGAGCTGGACATGGGCAGCCGGGAGTCGGCGCGTTTTACCAGTTGCCCTCTTGTTCAGCGCTGCCCTGGCACAGCGCCGATCTTGTGCTCACTGATCTCCCGTCACATCCCAGATTCCGAGGCACGACAAGTCACTCGGCCAGCCAGGAGCGTGCGTGTGCGTGCCCAGCCCAACACTGACGCAACTCATCACCACGAGAAACACGCTAATTACCTAATTGCCTAATTACCTATCTAGTTGGATTCTTGATCCCAAAGGTTGCCCGCATGATCCTTTCACTAATTATTACTCGGGGAATTTGGAGGATTTCCCTCCACCTGGGCTGCCTAATTAACTGGCCACTCACTGCTTGCAACTCAACGACAACCAACAACCAACAATATTTTCCTGTCGCGGATTTGCTAGTTCACAGTCCTAGCCGCGAATCATCTTGTCGCATGCTGGGCTGTGCCGCGATGACTTCACCGCAGAAGCTCCGACGTCCGAGGGGTGCAGAGTCGCGAACTCACCCTGAGTCCTGAGCTTCACAGACACAATTGAAGTTATGTGCTTCATTCGCCGCACAAAGGAAAATCACGGCTTGTACAAGACAATTGTTAGGCTGCCTTTATCCACTCCAATCGGAGTTCTATTGTCAAGGTCGCTATGCCGACTGTTCAGTGGTGCTCCTCAAAGAGCGAGACTTGAAGTATATAACATGTCGTCCCTGTACCACGGTGTCGAAAACAACACTTTTATTAATACTACTGAGTTCTGTCATTACCCGTGCCAAAAAGTCGTCTGTCCTTTTGCTTACTTGCTACTTGCTGTGGTTGCCGCTGTGGAAGAAGTACCTGTACATCGTCCAGTTGAGACAAGGCATATGCACTTCCAAACTGTCTTGTCTTGTATTCATTGCCTTCAATACAAGGACCAGTTCAGAAAGTAGAAGCTTGGAGAGCGCGAGTGCTGCTCTCCATCCCGCACGAGTTCTCATCATGGCCTTAACTGGGCTCAAATCGCTCATTTCGGGTTTGTACAGGAAAGTACACGAGCAAAGCAATGCAATAAGCAAGCAGGAAGAGCACGTCGACTTTTTGAACGACGCGGCTTCGCTCATAGACATTGAGCTTGCCACGGGGGTTACCATCCATGCTGAGGCTGTCCGGCTGCAGGATGAACGCCACGCGCTGGAGGGCTTGACTTATCAGCTAGACGTGGCCCTGGATTCGTGGCGGGGAGCGGACGAGAACAGATCTTGGCCCGGATTTAATAACCGCCAAATGGGTTTGTCTACAGCGGGCAGCGCCCACTCGGAGCCGCTGCCCGTTCGAATGGAACAGACGCCCCCCGAATCGAAAAGGGAGACCTACGTCTTTGACAACCTACTGTACAACCCCAAGGTAGGTGCCAGCGCAAAGTACACGCTCAACTGGATGAAACGGAAGCGCTCGCCCAAGGCCCACCCCGCGCAGCTTGCGCGCGGGGCAGATTGGTACTGCGAGGGCGACGAATTTCACGAATCGCATCCATGGGCCGAAGAGCGCGAGCAGCTGGCGGAGCTGGAGAGACGCGAACAGGCGGCCATCCGGACCCGCAGCCCCGGCACCTGGGGCGGCAACGGCAGCGGGCTGAGAGCGCGCCGCTCGTTCGGCCAAGAGGTAAGCATGGAGCCGCCGCGCCGCAAGTTCCGGCCGTTCCCGGACGAGCCCAAGTTCAACGACCAGGACTACGATCCGTATTTCTGGGAGAAGAACCAGCGCCCGGGCAACATGTGGGCCCCGCGCCTGGCCTGCGCCCCTTGTTATCAGGAGGACCAGATCTCTCCAAAAACTGTGTCTCGCCCGCAGCTGTCGTCGGGCGACGAGGGCATGTTACCGTGGCCCCAGGTATATGAATACTAAGGGCCGCACCGTCCCGTGCAGAGACCTAGTTAACTGAAACCAATTTGTTGGTTATTCATTATTGCTCACGCCCTCACCCTTCATGGGTGGCGGGACAGTCACATATCGTAGACGAATTGATTAATTGAAAGATGGAAAGCACAGAATTAGTAAAATTTCACTGCATAATTGTGACGCCGGCACGGTTCAGTGTCGTGAATTGCTGGCTATGTACTGTTGTGCCTAGAGGCCTTATTAGAATAGCCTCAGGATGCATGTTGTATACAAATCCTCTCCTTTAGTGATTCCCGAAATCCCAATGAATACACCACACCCTGCTCCCTTTTTCTCATCTCTATCCCCCTTCACTCCCTTTCCCTTCGTCGTAATCCAACTGTCCCCTCCACTCAGTCCTGCTGTTTCGTCGTCTCCTGATTACTGCTGACCATGGTAGTGATCGTCGTAGATAGTCGTACTGATAGCCAGCCGTAGTCGTATCGATAGTCGTAAGTCGTGCATGACAAAATATTCTCTCCACAGATCCGCATCCGCTAATAATTATCGTCTCTCATGCTCAGCCACGGCTCATTAGACCTAAGCCATGGCGACGATGCCGGCATCGATGGCCAGCTTGACGAGCCACATGAGGAGAACAAACAACAAAAGCATGAGCGCACAGATCAAAACAATGAACAGCGTCTCCTGGGTGTCGATGCTCATGGCTATCCAATCGCGGAAGCCGTCGACGACGGTGGTGGTGTTCATCTGGCCGCTCTCGAGATCTAAATCATGCTGCTGATGAGCCGCCGCCTCGCCAGACGTCTGCGGGAGGAGTGGTTGCGTCTCACTGGCCTCGAGGGCCTGGCGGTGGACGTAGTACGACATGGGATGGGTGTTCTCGTAGTTGATCTCGTGGCGACGGCCGTAGCAGCGTTCGTATGCGCGCTCGTCCTCGCTATCAATGCTAGGGATGTCGTCTATGTCGTACTCGTAGTCTATACTAGGGACGTCTTCCGAGTTGTACTCAAGGAGTTGCTGTACCATTTTGGCAAAGACTTGCCGAGAGATGTGCAGTAGAGATGCGGTGGTTGTAGATGACAGTGTCGGTTGGCGAGGCCGCTTGTTGAGGTGTTGGTGGAGGTTTGAGGATGGAGGCTGGCTGATGTTGCTTGGTGATGTCTTGGTGAAGATATCAGTTGACAATCAATTGACAAGACAAAACCGCTGGCGAAGAGAAGGTTGATGGATGGGGAAGCGCGTTGCGGGTGTAGGATTCTGTGTCGATGAATCTGGCGTGCGGCGCGCGGTTTTAAGGGCCCCTGACGCATGGCAAACAGCTGCACTGAACGGGAAGGTAAACATTGAACAATAAACAACGATGTCAAGTTGGAATTTGAACAGGTGCACTGTTCTAGAACGGCCCCCTATTGTCTTCAGACGAGCTCTTACTAGTCTTTGTCCGCTGCGGCGGTACAGCAGTCCCGTACATAAATACGACTCAGGGTCCTCCCTCGATAAAATAACTACAGCAAGGCTCTCAGGCTTCAGTCCAATTGTCCAATACAGGATTCAATCGGGGTTTGTAACCTGCACCCCAACTAGATCAGACTCGGCATCATACCAAGGTAAGTGAGTCTTGATTAGTTGGTTGACAGACAGTCTGCAGGGGCAACAACCCCTTTCCCCCAAACCAGCCATGGATCCAACCAGGGCTGCTACTAACAATAACAATGCTACAAACGGTGCCGCTAACGATGCTGCCAGCGATGGCTCCTTTGAGGACTTTCGCAGCGCGAGCGGCTACCCCAGCCCTGCCGTGTTCGAAGCACTGCATCAGCTAGCAGACCGGGCATACCACATTAGCGAGACGGTCCGGGACTCCGAGGCTTCCCTGAAGCTACCCCGGACGGGGCATCTGAAGAGCCACTCTTCTCTCCAGTACATTGCGCAGCACATCGACGAGATGGACAGGCAAGATCACAGCGCCAACATGGTCAAGGCCGTGCTGGATCTTTTGCGCGAGCACTATGACGGCCTTGGCGGCCGCATCGTCAAGGTGAGAGAGGGCATCGAGGCCCAGGCCAAGAAGATACACAACCTCCAAACCCAAGTCAACAAGAACAAACAGGACCAACTCCAGCGCGACCAGGAGCTGCGCCTGACGGCCGCCGTCTCTGCAGCTATCTCGCGGAACCTCACAGGCCAGGTACCGGAACTCTTCCCCCAGGCAACGCAACAGTATCACGAGGGGTTCCACCACACCTTCACTGCACCGCTTCCACGCCCTTCGCAGAGCCGCATGGAAGCCCTCGCCAGACAAAACCCTCACGGCGAGTCATGGCACTTTGACCCCAACTCAACACCACTGTCAATACCGTCAACACGGGCAACAACACAGCACCCGCCGAACCGTGTGCAAAAAAAGAGTCCCGCCAAGAAGAAGAACCGGAGGGCCAAGAGGAAGTACAATCAACGGAAGCGGTTCCCTGATACTCCGCCCGCGGACAAAGCCTCGACGCTGCAGTACAACGACGTGCGGGAGCAGCAGTAGCAGCAGCAGCAGCAGCAGCATACGAACCGTGCTGCGCAGCCAGGCCAAGGCAAAGGTCCCACGTGGCCGAACACTATTCTTCGCACCCGGGCGCGCTACTTTGATCCGACCACTGCCCCGGCCCCGGCCCCGGCGCCGCGCGAGTGCTCAGAGGAGGGCGAGAGGGGCAGCTTGGTTTCGCCCGACGACGAGATTTAGATTTTTGACTGATATGTTTGTTCGAATAGTCTTGACATAAATACCTAGTTTACTTCTAGATAGATTCATTGTCTAACTAAACTACATTTTCAATTTCAAGTTCTTAATCATGTTCTTTGTAGTGTTTGTGTTGTGATACCTGCTTAGGTTTTTGTGGCGAATTTGACACTGGAAGCACGCTCGTTGACAAAACCGAAGTCCGAATAAACATCAATGCACATTTCACTGAACCGTAACCTGATATCTAACTAATTCTTTTTACCGCATATATCACATTACTGAACTCCTGCCTACTGCCTCACTCCAGCTACGACTCCATAAAATAAGGTGCATATAACCCTCAAGGCTTATCTAATCTCGATCCTTTCGTTATGAGCTGACAGCTCAAGGTTCTATGCTTTGAACCTTTCAACCCAGCCACAGTAAGCACTTGTACTCAGCAGACCAACCGACAATACCAAAATTTATTCTTCTATAGGCGTGGATCATAATTACATACTTGCATATATAAGATAAATCACATCCAAGACTTAAATGCAACTCAGAGTACCACGCATGCAGCGCGTGTTGCATTAGAAGGTAGCTAACTATGTGGGGGAAACAATGGAGGAAAGGGGGTTGGTTTTTGGTATCTCTACGCCATGTCGGAATATCTAATTAACAAACAACAAAGGAAAATGTCAACGAATTCTGCCTGCCTGCCTGCCTGCCGAAGCGATATGACCAAGCCAAGCCATGAAAGAATGAACGGGTATAAGTAATCACAGTGCAAAATGTGTAGCAAAAATTAGACAAATCACGCTAGAATGCAAAGAAGGAACCGAAAAGGGGCAATGAAGATAGGGAGCGGGCATCCCTCAAAGAGCGGGCTGGGACCTCTTGCGGAGCCTCTCGCCGTAAATGAAGAAGAAGACGGGGATGGGGACGAGGGCGAGGGACACGAAGGCGAGCAGGCTGTTGCCCCAGCCCAGGCCGAGGGCGTTGTACATTTGCAGGCCGCCGAGGGGCAGGAGGGCGCCGGCGAGCGATCGCAACACGGCCAGCGCGGCCGTGACGGACGCGGCGTACAGCGGGTAGGCGTCCAGCAGGTAGTTTTGCACGCACATCTAAAAAGCGGGGAAGAATTAGGAATCTGGTGTACAAGGAGTATCTTGGAAGTTGGGAGAATGACTTACCATGACGCCCATGAGGCCGGCGCTGAAGAGCAGCACGCCCAGCATGGCCACGATCCAGTGCACGGCAAAGTTGGTCGACCAGCCGTAGATGAACAGGCCGATGGGGAGGGCGAGGCCGGCCGGGACGGTGAAGATGGGCGGGATTCGGACCTCGGGCTTGTGCTCGTGGCCCTTGGCCATCTTTCTAGTGACGACAATGTCGGAGAGCGCGCCGAATCCCACGACGCCAAACAGCATTCCTAGACCGGCGGGTAGGAAGCTCAGGCCGCTGGTGCCCGCGTCGAAGCCGTACGTCTTTGGGTAGACAAAGGAGAAGGTGGTGAACAGCAGGTAGAGGATGGCGTAGGTGATGGCGACGTAGAGCGACATGAAGGTGACGACGGGGACGGTGAACAGCAGCTTGAGGGGCCGGACGATGGCGAGCTTGAGGTTCTCGGCCGGGGTGTGCAGGCTGTTGGCGTACATGCTGCGGAGGTTCGGGTTTCCAGTCTCCTTGCGCAGCTTGGCCACCCTCCACTCGAGGATGACGGGCGCGTACGTCTCCTGCAAGGTGAAGAAGGACACGACGGCCACGATGCCGGCTAGGATGGCGATCAGCCAGAACACCCACCGCCAGCCGGCGGCGGCGATCAGGTAGCCTCCGGCGACGGGGCCAATGCAGGGGCCGAGGAGTGGGCCCATGGCCCAGCCTGCCATGGCTCGGCCGCGCATCTCGATGGGCATGACGTCGGCGATGCTGCCGCTGCCGATGGTGATGGGGACGGAGCCAGCGAGGCCCATGAGGAAGCGGAAGACTAGAAGCATGCCCGTGCTGTTGCTGAGGGCCGTGCACACGGTGAAGATGAGGAAGAAGACATTGCCTAGGTTGTAGAGCAGAGAGCGGCCGTACACCTCGGAGAGCGGCGCGACGAGGAGAGGACCAAAGGCAAACCCCAGAATATCTTAGGTGTCTGCTGTCAGCGATTTGGCCTGGTGGGGGAAGGATGGGCTTTGCAGCTCGACATGGGACATACAGATGGACAGGATGAAGGTGGCGGTTGTACTAGAAGTTTCGTGGAACTCGGCCAGGATCTTTGGGATTCCCGGTGCAAACATGCTCGAACCAAGCGGACTAGACGCACTGTCAGCACAGCACAGCACAGCACAGCACAGGCAGAGAGGGCGGGTGGCGCATGCTCGACGGCGAGGGCGCGACTCACGTAACGAGGGTGAGGAAAGACAGGACGCCAATGTTTGTCCACTTCTTCTCGTTGGTCCAGTTCATGGGGTTCGCCGGGTCGTTGGGGCCGTCCCAGGTGATGACATGAGGATCGGCATCGGCATCCTCCTCCTTCCCGCCGTCCTTGCCCGCCGACATGCCACGCTCCGACCCGTCGCCGCCGACAATGGTGGCGGCTTCGAGGTCCGTGTCGTTGCTGAAGTCGCGGGACATTTGCATCTCCTTCTCTCTGTCGGCCGCCTTCTCGTTTTCGACATGAGCCGTCGGAGCTGGTGTTGATGTTGATGTTGCCATGGCGCACAAGTTGGGGTGATGGGCCGCACGCCGACGATCTGTGGACCTGTCAAACTGTCACGACTGTCACGATATTCCTCCACAGGGAGCAGGGAGCGGGAAGCATTCCGAAGGTGGGAGCCATCTGTTATTTATTGCTGGTTGCTATCTTGCACCTCGGGGTCTTGGAGACCCCTAGCCCGTCCGATTCGGCGCCATAAGTTCCATGAGCCGATGTGCCGGTCGGGTAGCCCTGGTCTCCGGTGCATAACTTGGCTGGAGCTAGTGTCTTGGTAGGCGGGCGCTGAACAAATCTGAAGCCACCGATTTTTTTTTTGGCCTGGCTGCGCCCACGGCGGCACCCCATCGATGGACTTGGCTTGCAACCTGGGCAATGACGTTACCAGGTAGGTAGGTACTGGGTATATCTCGGGCGGTTGCCGAAGCTGTAGATTAATTCCTTTGCCAGTTAGGCTGCTTAAAAATGCATTTCCAAAGCTCTCTTTCCCTCTTATTCTACTATCCATATCGCTCAAGTTGGCCTGGTGGAGTGATTGCAACAGTCCCGTCCCGCTTTTGCACAGAATTGCACAATCTTACCCCACCCGTGCATAACTTCCCCGGATGCCCAAGCTTCCGTCAGCAGCTAGATATCTAATGTTACAGTGGGCGGCAAAAAGTTTGAATCCAAATTTTGTACCGCATATACGGCTAGCGGCTTACATGGTACTTGGTGCTGGATTCAAACTTTTTACCACCCACTGTATGTAATACGCCCGCCAGTGACAGGTGGATTGAATCGAGCCAGATGTGCGCCTGCCCAGCGTGCAACAGCCCAGGGCTTGCGCCGGAGAGCAACGTCCCAGACTGATCTCCAACAGGGCGCAGCTGGCACAGCTTGGTGATTTCAGATGGATGCCTACATGGCGGGACGTAATGGCACTACCGTCGTTGGGTTCTCAAAAGGCTCAGATGGAAATAGTTTTGAAGACAGTTATCCATAGTGGTTCTGGGTTGGCTACCCAAAAGTGCAGTGCCCTCCTGCAGTCCATGACGAAATTGCGAGCCAATCACGCTTGGAGAAGAGCGACTAGTAGCACGTAAATTCTTCCCTCTCGCATGAGACGCTGTTAGTGTCGCCTCCTCAATTTAGCCCGGTACCCGCCTCTGGCTCCCCTTCTCCTTTTTTCTTCGAGAATCTCCCGTCTCCACGCCATAGGGCTCAAGCTTCATGCACGCGTAAGTACCCGGGACGATCCGTCTTTTTTTGTGCACGCTAAGCATTCTACCGGTTTTCGTCAAGCTCCGACTTGCCGATCTCCAACTGCGCGACGCCGCTAATAACAGCCTACCTACACAACGCGCCTTATTCGGGCTGATTTAATATGCCTCGGCTGTTGCAACAGTCTATAATGGTAGCAGACAGCTGTAAATTATGTCAGCACTGTGCTACCAACACCAACGTCAAGACTGATATGCATATCTCAGAATCACCAGGGTCGCTAACTCAGACTGTTGCGATGATGGCAACGTTGGATATTTGCTACGCAGCTATGTACTCTATACAAACGGTAAAACAATGCCGTGGAAGGCAGGCGGTAGTATTTACGGGAAAACGGTGCAGAGAGCGACGCGAAAGCTAGCAAGCAAAGGCAACAGCACCAACAGAAAAGTTCGCTGCCAACAGGAAGACAGACCCGCACGCAACTTATGTCTCTGTGACTCTGAGCTCACTCTATCACGAGCAGCCAGCACAACCAAATCCAACTAGCACGCCTCATGATGTCTCGTCGTTCTCTGGCTTGGCAGACACCCTCTAGGCACCGTCTGCACTTAGACAGGGGCCGTGGCCGTGGCCGTGGGAACGCCAGTTGAGCCAGGGGCGCCGGGGAAGCCGCCAGTCGAGCCAGGGGCGCTGGGGAAGCCGCCAGTCGGGGGCGGGCCGCCAGTGCCACCGGAGGGTTCGGCATTGGAATTGGCGACACCGCCGTCCTCAGTAAGAGTAGCAGCAGCGGAGACCTCGCGGTGCAGGGTCGAATTGATGCCGAAGCTGATCCAGCCGAGTAGGCCGTCCTCAATAGCAGAGCCCAGCAGCACGTACTCGAGGAAGGGGTCGCCGGTGGCGGCCTCCTGAGCCAGGATGCTGTCCTCGGCGTTGGTCGTGAGGGCCTGCGTGTTGGTCGCGTACGGGCTCGACGTCTCGACCTGCCCGATCAGCTCCTGGTCGAAGAAGAGTTGGCCCACGTGCGACGCCGTCGTGTCGAGCAGCGTGCCGTTGGCCTGTGCCGTCGCCTCGGTGTGCACCATGACGTGAATGTGCGTCGCGCGACCCGTGTAGTGGCCCGGGAAGAGCGTGGCGAATTGGACGACGCCGTCGGTGTCCGTCTGCTGCACGCCGCGTAGGTACGTGGCGTTGATGTTGGACGTGTCGACGTCGCTGTTGCCGTTGCCCGCCGCGGCCACGCCCGAGTACACGCCCGTGGCGTTGGTGTCTGGTGACGCCGTTGGTTAGTCGAGCCCGAGAGCGGAACAGAAGTGGAAAAGAAGACGTACGCCAGATCTCGAGGAACGCGCCGGTGACTGGCTCGCACGTCTCCGTGTCCAGGACCTGGATATCCAGCGTGAGGTTGACCCCCTTCTGGCTCTCAACCACATCGCGGCGAATATACTCGCCAGCGACGTCTAGATGTTCTGGTCAGCAACTGCCAGTCTTTTCCCCGTGTTGTTCATCGTGATGATGAATAGCCGCCGCCGAGTCAACTTACAGTACGGTCCCTCGGTCACCTAAATTTGCGATTCCGTTAGCCGCTTGCTCGGGGTAAATCAGTTGAAGTTTGATTTCTGAATGCATACCTCTGGGCTCAGGATGCACGAGTTGTTGGCCGCGAATATCTCGCTCGGCGGCGTCTTGATGGTATAGCACCCGGTTGAGTGGTGCGTGGTGTTGAGCAGAGAGTCAAGATCGCGGGCTGTTGTCGACGTCCACGTTAGCCTGACAGCTCTCTCTGTTGTGCCATGTTTGATTCAAGGCAATAAACCACCTACCTCGGAGGTGCGCCTCCTTCATGAGATCGGCCGCCAGTGCGGTACGTCTCTTGACAGAGCGAGCGTGCAGGCCACGGGCCTTGATCTTCTCGGCGCAGTGGCTGAGGTCCCGGCGGGAGAAGCGGCTTAGCATCGCCCCGCGAGCTGCCAGCTCGGCCTCATGGTCGTGACCAGGATGAGCAGAGACGATGGCCGCGCCGGCGAGAGCCCTGGCAAAGAGCGAAGTGAAGTGCATCTCGAAAGTAAGCAGAGTGTTGCCGAGTGTGAGAGGATGTGAAGGAGGATTGGTGATGCTTGGCTTTCTAGAGGAACTATAGTAGGACGGAGAGAGCTACTTATGGCCTGCTGGGCGGGATGGTTTATTTACAGCCAGGGCATGAAATCGCCAGCTTCCATCCGCGTACTAGCTCTGTTATAGAAATGGGTTGCCTTGCTGTCCCCGGCGCAACATGACGCTACACCACCTCCCCATTATACGCTAGCCACAGCCACAGCCAGTATGCATCCGTGAAGGTGTGGAAGTACCAGGGGGTGTGCGGTTGACGACGCAGTAAGACAGTCGTCGACACCACTGTTAAACATGAGCTTTTACCCCCGTCCGAACTCTTCCTCAACAACAGAGGCAGTGCGCACGGACAGAAACATGATTTTCCAGTAATCAATTACCAGCCAAGCAGCACCGTTGTTTCTCAGGCCTGCTGTGGGCGGGCGAAGCGGTTGCGGTCCAATCTTGGCTGAGATGATCATCCCTGCCGCGCATCAAGATGCGTACGTGTGCACCCCAAATACACTAGCCGATCTTGAAACCATCGGACCGGCCGTCTTGGGTCCCTTCTCCGCCAGGAAAATTGACGATCCATGATTCGTTCCCGCCGGCCGTGGCCACGACAGAACATTTTTTTTTCTATAAGCCGAGAATAGGCTCGCTAATAACCCGACCGTTGCACAAGCAAGGGGGTAACCCGACGTATTCGTCATCCCGTCTCCCCCCCACCCCATCCCGGTTTCCATCTCCCTATCCACAGCCTGGTTGCGTATTCCGTACTGACTACTGTAAAATAGGCCGTGCACATACCAGGAGGTAAGGTAGTCAACAGTGGTTGCCAAATGCCAAGAACATCCGGGTTGTGGGGGTTGAACAGAACAGCCGACGTCGTAATGCCGCCTCTCCGCAGCGGCGGCTTTCAGGGGTTGCCCCTGACCGATGTGGTCTAGTCCGCGCCAGCCAATCGAGTACCAGATGATGACCTTTTTGCCCAAATTCGCTGACAACGAAGAGCCAGCCCCATGCCCATGGTTGAGATGGGGCTCTGCGGGAGATCAGGGCAAACACCCCCCCAAAGTACAGGACCGGTTTCGTTCCTCCGCTCCGCAAGGCGGGATTACGACCAGACCTGCAAAGCGCTGGTGGTAACGACGACGCGCGTCAATGTGGACAGCCCCAGCATTTGTTCTGGTTTCTCATCTTCACGGAATGCGGCGCCGCCTGACTCGCGGGTGGAGGCATCTTGGCAAGCTCACTACGTACCTAATGAATACCTTGAACGCTCCTTAAAAGCTCCTTAAAAAGGTGTACAGGAAATCGCATCTAAACCGTGCCAATAGAAGCTGCAACTATAGCTGGCCTTCTTACCGAAAATTGGCATGTTTGTTGATTCATTGACCTCGTTTAAACGCATTAGACCATCGATCCATTTCTCCTAGTCTTGTGTGGTAGGATGGTGGGGGAGGCAGCGCGCTCCATGCCCTGCTTAAATAGGGCAGCTCTTCATTGCTGCGACTGCCGATATCACCTCAACCAGGAGACTTGGCTACATGCGCAGACAAGCGGTATCGAGCTGGATTTGACTACCTCGGGCCATTGGACATTGTAATTGACTCACTAATCATGCCCCATGGGCTCGCTGTTTCTGCTGTTGGCCCAAACTATTGCTAAATACAAGATAAGACATGCGAGCTGTTGAGCCCTAACCGGCAGCTAACATTGCTGTACACACTGCTGCTGGTTAACGAGGAAGGTGTGTGAGGAACCATCACAAAGTGGAGATAGGACCGAAGACGAGAATGGAGTGGGGTTGGCATAGAAGGGATGGAAGAGGGTATCCTTCAGAAAGCAGCTCGAACTTTAGAGATGCGCAATAGTGGCATTGTAGATCGAACGGAAAGTCCTTCTAAAAGGCAAGGTGAGGTAAAACAGGGTGGGTGCCAAGAAAACAGCATTGGCGAGGCGTGGGGGTGGGCCCAGTGACGATCGATGGGAGAGTTGACCGCCCAGGCTCAAGAAAGATGTTCAGTAGAGCTCCCGAGGCTGTCGTCCCCCTCCCGCGCACCCTAAGACCAGTTCGTAAGCAAAGGTAAACTCGGAGAAAGAGCTCGGGCTGCAACTTGTGTAATGGAGGCTTGCTTACAATCACACTGCGGAACAACGCATCAGCTATTAATCTGGTCTTTACCGACGTTGAGCGAAGGGGCTAGGGCATACCGAGACCAAGTTTGAACCTTCATTATGTTCGAGACAGTATCCGCCCCCGCATCTGCGACACGAAAGCTGAGTAAAATTGGCGCAATCAGGGCACTGCAAATGGTTAGTTCTAGTCAAGACCTAGGCCATGGCAGATCCCCAACCATCCGACTCCCGCAAACCTACATTCATCCCACATTCCCAGCAGCTCTTAGATACTCGGGGCTGCACCAGATTCTTGTTAGCACGGGTTGCTCCTGAAGAACAAGAAGTTGCTGTCGACTTCAACAGCAGTAGAGGAAGCAGCAGATGATATTGTGGAACAAAGGCCACAACAGAGAAACAGCCCTGAGGGACATGGAACTTGCACAGCCTCCGTGCAACGAAACAGGCTTGGGGTTTGTGGCTTGCGCCGCGTGGCCTACCTCCCGCTTCCCGATCAAGATATTGCGTGGCAGGAGACCTTGCTTCGAACAAAACGGCGCCACCATAACTCCCAAGTGTTCTGGTCACAAAAGGCTCTCGGGGACACAGCCAGCCAAACACAATCCATCCCGAACCCTGTACCTGATATCTCTGTTGTCGTTCATGCTCACACCACTGGTATTAGGAATGGGGTCGCTTACAGGATGAGATATGGGTCCTCCCGCTAGGGGCCCGAGGTAGCAAGATTCGCACCACCATCGATGGCAGCCTCGGCAATACCTGTCCCGTATGCAGTCACCGCAGCGTGGCATAAAACGTGCCTGCTCCTTCTTCGCCATGGGAGCCCAGGGGAGGCGTGACTTGACCTGTTGTCCAGCAGGGCACATCGCTACCTTGAGGTTTGCGGAATGCATTGGCGGAGGGGCGAGCAGGGGGAACTGGCCAGTCTCGAGCGACGCGCTGCCGCTTGCCCTCCTTTCGTCAGGGCAACGCTTTGTTGCGAACGCCTCATCGCCCCAAACGGTAAAACCCTCTGGTGCCGAACCGCACGAGGCGCACCCGTCCAAACTATGCGTCGCGACGGCATAGTGGGGAACGCTTGGAGCTTCCGAGCTACTTGCGGCGTTGAGAGCCGTGATGCTAACGGAGCCCCATGCGGTAGAGTTTAGGTGTCTCGGCCCGGTGCATAGGACAGAGTCGAAAGCGACGACGCCAGCGCATGCGACAAGCGTGTTCGCCCAGTCCGAACTGACTGGCGTATGCTTCGGAAACTGAGGGCCGCGACGGCCCCACCAAGATTCAGGAGACTTCTGAAGGGCAAAGCGCCGCGAGGCTTCCTCGGGCGAGGCAGCTGCTAGAACCTTGTGCTTGCGCTTTTCTCCCATCTCCAAGGCTTCAACATGCCAGTCTTCGGGACCGAATACATACAGGCCCTTCAGCCGCGGCGTTCCCTCTGGTCTCGACTCACGGCACGCATACTGCAAAGCGCCGCAGAGCTTTCGCTCGTTCAGGTTCTTTGCGCCGCGGATGGACAGGATTCGCACAGGAAAGGAGGCTATGATGTCGTGGATCAGCTCTGCCGTCACAGAGAGACCGTCAAGCGACAGAATTTGCACGTCTTGCAAGATATTGGAGCGACGGAGCTGCGAAAAGATGCCGCGCAAGGGTCCCGAGTAGAAGCTGTGCAAGGACGGCACGATCAGCAAAGGGCCGGAATGCTAAGTAAGAGCCATGGCAAAGCGGAAGCGCCACCCACTCGTCTTCGCTCAGGTTCTCGTCCATTTGGACATTGCGCCAGACTTGTCCTCCGCGATCGATACCGCCGACGCCATCAATATCAAGCTGCGCAGTCTTGACATTGGACAAATCTAGGCGACGGAAGACCTGGGGAGTGTGGTAGATTAGGTAGTTGAATGCGCGCGAAGCGGCGGCCAGGTTTAGCACGTCAGAGCACGACATGTACGGCGTTGTGTGGCATAGTATCAGCGAGTTGGTCAACAGGCGGAGAAGAGAGCTGTGCTGGACCTCGACGGGCAGCTGCTGGTTGTAGGAGGCGGTCATTGTGGCATACGCATAATGCAACGCGGCGGGCCCGATGTCAAGCGTGCGGTGAGTGAACAGCGGGAGAATGCAACTAGCCCGAGCGTGTGTGCAGGGCAGAGCAGGAAAGCAAGAGTTGCCGTGCATGCAAATCTTGGTCGGCGGCCCGCAGCAGATATAGTTTGCACAAGTGTATCTAGACCGGAGGCCCGGCCTGTGCAGAGTCAAGCGACGTGGCAAGGCGGCGGGCGAGAGACGTCGGGGGTGGACCCTGGGTCGTGAGACGGGCGCGAGGCCGATGTTCCGGCCAAGCCGCCAAGAGCGATTGACGTTCCGCCGAGCGAGCCCCGAGCCCAACAAAAGCCAGGTCTCGTGGCAACTGGGTAACTGGGCAACGGGCAACGGGCAACGGGTAGTGACGATCGGCACAACAGTATTCGCAGAGTTAGACAGCAAGGGGGCAGTTGCTGCTTATCTTATGTATGTATGGACACGTACGTACACATACTGCAGGAACCTAGTTTGCTGCTTTTGTGACAACCAGAATGGCGTTTGCCTAGGACGCGCCCCGGCCCAGAGCATAAACCTACCTTACCTACCTTACCTATCAAGCCCGTTGATAACGACAACGGTAACGGTATTGAGTTGACCCCGCGTTGTTAGCTGGTTCCATTCCTTGCCCCTTAGTCCACGTGCGGTCGCCTTACCTTAGGTACCTCTCACCCTATCACGCTGGACATGGGATAGCTCCAGGCCAAGCTCAGCCCGGTCCTTTGGCATCGCTCCCGCATGGTCGGCCAAGGCTCCTTGCATTGCAACGCGGGGTTGTGCTGCCGCTCCTTGGTCTCCTGTTGTACAATATGTATGTAATGTACCTATGTACAAGCGGCAGCTGTAAAAGTTCTGGACGCGTGTTACGTAATGGGCACCACCATATTGGAGGGCAGTGTAAGGCCAGTTATGGACAGCGGCGGGGAGGTGTGCCTGGAGAAGAGAGGTGCACGCCTGCCCGAGTGAGGCTTCACCGTGCAGAGCCGCGAAGCCACAACCCCGGGCCACCAAAACACAACTGGTAGGAAACCTCCTTTCCGTCGTTCATGCCGCCTCCGCCTATCTACATCTCGAGGCTCCTCCAATAGCCAAATCCGTTCTGCAACACCAAATGCTAGTCGAGCGCGCATAAAACAGACCGGGTCCTTCTGGCGACAATTTTCCGACCGTAGGAAGCGCCTTACAACTGCGCTCCTCCACATCCGGCGCTTACTTTCTTCCCAATCAGTCTCGATTGACTACACGATGAACCCAGAAATCCAGATTTCTCTGCCCGGCAAAGGTAGATTTGATATTAACAAGGTATCGGCACTTAATAACCTAGGTCTCATGGCTGAAATCGTCACCACACTCCGCGTCCATTTAAAACGTCTTGAGTATGAATGTCTTCCATACTTCGCACAATTCCTTTGCAAAAACGCCCTCGAAACTGGTACTAGGATGCCACAATACTTGCCAGTTGTTCTATCCCAGTTCCAGCAAGGCAAAGATAACGGGGATAAAATTGAACGTTTATTCTATGAGGAAGCGGGTGCTAGAGGCCTCTATGCGCTCGCATCTACCAAGATTAAGAGCGTTCTAGAGGTATTACCCAAGTCTAGTCAATCTACCGTCGCTATCAGTCTGAAAGACTATAAAATGCACACGAGTATCGCCGATAGGCTTGAAGATATCGAACCGCCCGCCAAGCTCATATTCACCCCGAATTGCGTGACTTTACCAGCGCAGAGGTTCAAGGGTGATATTTTCGACGAAGTCTCCAAGCGTCAGACAGCAGATGCCACCCAAACTCCAGCTCTAGCAGAGATCGTTCCAGCAGAGACCGCTCCAGCAGAGACGGCTTCAGCTCCAGCGGAGATCATCCGAGGAACGCACCTGGCCGGCCGTGTGTCACCTCCCAGGACAAGCGAGTTGTCATATGTTCAATACAGCGGCCCAGGGCTGCCTAGCATTTCTACCTGGGTAAGGCTGTGGCACACGCCTTCTCTTTAATAGCAGAGCTGACTTGACAAGTTCTCCGAACAGAGGCTGCCAGACACCGCGGAAGTTCCCAAGGCATCGTTGCACAGTCAGCACCCTCCGGTCATCTCACGTAATTTCACGCAAGAACTCGTGGAAGAGCGGAACGTAATACTGCCGACAAAGACCCAGCCCACTGCGAGCGCATTTGTTCACTTTCCCCCTACCTCTGAGTATGGCGCCCGATAGAAGCAAGTGTCTGTATCTAGAGGCGAGCTGGTGGCTGTTGAACGGAGGCTGTATACGGGCCATAGTAACTAGAGTCACTCTTGTTGCTTTAAAACCTTTCGGGACTGGAAAAACTTTTTAGTATCGTCCAGAACCTTGGTTTTGTTATCCAGTTCAACTATTGGAATCTCCCTAAACGCTTTCGTTGTCTGCGTCTAGACGAGTTATCTATATCATAACTTCGCGGGCTCCTTAATATTCGTGCTTATAGCTCTCTTTATGCACCTGGAGAGAATCTTCAATTGGATCGAAATAGTTGTTAGTATTAGGTAGCTTTAACTACCGAGTCTCAAGGGAACTAATCTAGACTGCTGAAGCAAAAGAAAACAAGTTCTTCCCTCTCCGACGCTATATTAAGCACGTAAGGGGCTCTCCCATTTCGATGTGCGCGCTGGGCGAGAATGCTTGATGACCACGTGTGCTTGGCGGCACTGCCCAGGCCGACCCGATGGGGGGACGACACGAGCGGCAGGCTCGAAACATCAGCGGTCGATTCGGTGAGAATATCTACGCGGTCGGCGAAATCGCGGTCACGCGAGAAGGGGATGTCGCGAACGACGGCGGTGGCGGTATTTTTGGTTGGTCTGGGCAGGTTATTAGTAGCGTCGCTATGCTGGTTTAGACGCGTGATGGAACCGCATCTGCCCCGCGGCGGGGAACAGTGCCAAGGAGTCGAGGACGCGGATTACATAACCACCCTCGCTTTCCTATCCGTACAGGCTAACCCCCCTGTACAAAAGTTACTGGGCCTGGACGCTTGAAGTTTGGGTGCTTCCTGTTGGTGGCGGGGCGGGGCTCGGAACCTACAAGAAACTCGCTGACTGATGAGGTGATTCGAGTACATGTTCGATCCCTTTCTATGAGTTAGGTCGAGGGAGGCTAACTTTTGTTCCGGACGGTTTATCATGGTTCGCTTTTTCTATTGTCTTTCGCTATTTTTTGTTTTTCACTAGATTTCCGTTGCTCAGTTAGATGGCCTGCCTGCCCAACCGTCTTCTTTGTCGGGCTGCTGCATCTGCCAATACTGATTCCTCGCGATTCCAGCTTCACCTCTAAACTCCTGCGACAAAGCAACCTACCCTCCCTAACGCGCATCAGAATGGCCGACCAGCCAGCACAGCCGCAGCTTAAGTGGTCTGCATCCGTCCGCGTCGCACATCCCTCGCGCGTCGCGCACAAGGACCTGCAGGGGGACAAGATCCTCTTACCGCAGTCGGCCCTGGAGCAGCTGCTTGCTGCCTCGACTACCGCCGGCCCCTCGACATCCCACACCTTTATTGCCTTCGACCCCTTCAACCCATACTCGGTCGCCGATGCCCGCCGAGAGCGCGCGCGCTATCAAGAGCCCTCCCAACAACTACCACATCCGTTGATGTTCCAGCTCATCAACCAGTCAAATGGGAACGCAGTCTTTGCCGGAATCCGCGAGTTTTCTGCCGCCGAGGGAGAGGTTGCGCTGAGCCCATACCTGCTCGACGCCTTAGGAATACAAGAGAAGGACATTAAGGATATATCGTCTCCCGAAGACGGGCTTGTCGACCTCATTGACGACGTTGTCGACCTCACCAATGACGACAGCACTGGACCCGGAGATAGCGAGCTTCGGATAACGGTCAAGGCCCGACAGCTTCCCAAGGGCACCTACGTTAGGCTGAGGCCTCTCGAGGCCGGATACAACCCCGACGATTGGAAGTCGTTGCTTGAGAGACAGCTGCGCGCATCTTTCACAACGCTCACCAAAGACTCGACACTCTCGGTCCGAGGAGTGCAGGGAGAAGAGTTCCGATTTCTCGTTGACAAATTCCAGCCTGAAGGAGACGGTATATGCGTCGTTGATACCGATCTTGAGGTCGATATTGAAGCCCTTGACGAAGAGCAGGCGCGAGAGACCCTGCGACAGATAGCTGCCAAGGCACAGCGCGCGCCGGGTACGGCGTCGGCAAGCTCGGTGGGCCACGCCATCGATGCTTGGAAAGACGTCGATGGCCAAGTTCTGCAGGGCGACTACGTAGATTACGAGTTGCCGTCATGGGACAAGTCTCGGGCTGTCGCCATCCAGCTGTCGATACTCGACGATCAAGAAGTGGATCTTTTTGTTACGGCCAAATCCAGTCGTCACCGAGCATTGCCTCGCGACTCGAGCCATTTGTTTGCCGACTTCTCCTCGCCGACGGATGGCGTTAAGCGGATCGTTATCCAACCCACAAATGTCGAGCTCGAGGGCGCAGAGAGTCTTCTCATCTCAGTCCACGGCTTCGCAAGACCCGGCGATGACGCTGCCGTCTCGGCTCCGTGTCGCTATACTCTAAGGGCAAAGGCAGTCGGCATTCAAGGCTCACAGTCGGTACCAATCAGCCTTGACGCTGAGCCTCCGAGGTCTACTGACGAGGAGCAGTGCAAGAATTGCCTGCAATGGATTCCGAAGCGAACTATGGTTCTACACGAGAACTTTTGTCTTCGAAACAACATCCTGTGTCCTCAATGCAAGGGTGTGTTCCAGAAGAGGTCCGCTGAATGGGAGTCTCACTGGCATTGCCCGCAACACCCCGACGCCTACGGATCTTCGCCGCTGAGCAGGGCTAAACACGACTCTATACAACATACTCCGCATACCTGTTCTTCCTGTGGGCCATCCAGCCCCTTCACTTTTCCTTCCGTGCCGGAGCTGGCTCGACACTGCATGACAAACTGTCCGGGGAAGATAATTCTCTGCCAATTCTGCCACCTTGAGGTTCCACAAGAGGGCGATCCCCTGGATCCTTCCTCGGAGGCCGAGACTGCGCTGTCCGGCCTGACTGCCCACGAGCGTGCTGATGGAGCGCGGACCACCGATTGCCATCTTTGCGGCTCAATCGTGCGGCTGCGGGACATGTCTGCCCACACGGCGAACCACGAGCTTGACAAAGTCTCGCGATCAAAGCCCGAGCTCTGCAGAGACGAGCTTTGTGGGCGCACCCTCCACGGCATTGGACCCCGGGGCCAGATAAACGGCGGCACTCGCATGGGACAAGGTCCCGGTAACGACCTGGGCCTTTGTAGCCTGTGCTTTGCGCCGCTCTACGTCAGCATGCATGACCCGGAGGGCAAAGCATTGCGACGGCGAATTGAGAGGCGCTATCTGGCGCAGCTGATGACGGGATGTGGCAAGAAATGGTGCCTCAACGAGTGGTGCAAAACTGGACGGGCAAATCGCGACCTGGAGAGACTTGGGACAAGCGCTGCAGCGGCCCTGCCGTTGGTGAAGCCACTCCTCGAGGTCATCCGCGACTACAACCAGCCCATGCGCTTCTGTGTCGACGAAGCATCACAGCGCCGGAAGAAGACGGCGGAGATGCTGGCCGCCGAAGGCGTCTGGAGTATCGAGTGGTGCATTGCTGCGCTAGAGGCTGAAGGCAGCGACCTCACTAAGGCGAGGAGTTGGCTGATGGACTGGGCGCCAACCAAGGCTACGAAGTAATGCATCGGCGACCACTACGATGCCTGTAGGACATGCTTTTTCTTTCAGGCACTTGCTACGGTGAGACTGGTCTGGGCCGTTTGGGTCTGGGCTCCGTGCCGTTAACGAAGAGACTGGCTAACGATGATACGCAAACGAAATAGATGGATAACTTGGAGCATTGGGGGCGTTTTCACACGGACATGGTAGACATCATTGGGATATAGACGAAGCCATATCATACGTCATTCAGATCCTAGAGAATCCAGCGCGTGGAGATTTCCCATTCTTCGGGTCCGCTAATCCATACATCTTGTGGTCTTCCCTGACACGACGCCCCAGCGAAGGTTTAGTTGATCACCAACTTTCAGGAGCTCTGCGCTGCGAGTAAGCTCATGTCTAACGGCTTTATGTGGCTTCATGAAACACTCACACAGCACGAGCAGCCACTGCAGGTGGAGCAGGAGCAAGTTTTGCAGTCGCAGTTGGCGGCCATGGTGATGGAGAGATGTCTTGTTGGGTGGAAACGTGTGTCTTATTTGGAGTGGTGTTGTAACTGTTGTGTGCTGAGGAGGCAAGAGCTTGGAGCTCCGTTCAAAAAATCTTGTCGAGGAAGGTCTTCCATGGCCTTCTTATACCTCTCGAGCTCGTTTCCCTCGCCCCATCCTAATAGGCCAACCACTTGTTTTCGAAAGCAAAGCCGCACGAACCGGTCCCTAAACTGCCCAGGATGCGGATGCTGCACCGGATGCTCGAATCGACCCAAGAGAGCACAGCGCGGCTGCGGCAGCGGCGGGATGGTATCCCTCGAGCGTCATCCTGACGACAGAAAAGCTTCACCAGAGATAAACGCCGGCCATGGAGCATCTTGGCGCGGGGCATCTCCGCTCGGGTGGGTTCCACGGCAGCTTCCCCGACTTGACACGGCTGACGGCTCCCTCTTGGGCCTGGGCCTCGGCCCGCGCACTCGACCCATCTCATTGCCACTTCTTCTAACAATACCGTTTAACACAGTTCGTTTTTTTGAGATTCGGATAATTATCCAGTTCAAGCCGGCAAGCTGCAGTCTAGCTTGTTTAAAATGTTCTGAGTCTGAGTCTCTTGGAACGTGGCCTCTGCGTTTCTTCTCGCTGACTCGAGGAGTCGGGTGTCCTCGACATCGCCGCCAAGCCCCAAAACGCCACGAGCAGCCATCTCCATGGTGATAGATGGTGCACGAAGCCTCGGCACTTTCTTCTCATGAAATCATGTTTGCCCGTGGGTGACACGAAATAGAAAACAGCATGCCGTGCTACTCTAAGTCAATGATGAGTCTAGGTATAGTGGGCAAAGGTGCTTGATCGAGTCGGGTGTCATGGCAGCCGACAGCACGGGACAGCGCCGGACGGGAACGGCGGTTTACTATGTGCCAACCATATTTATCTGTCGGGGGCACAGAATTCTTGGCTCCGGGGCGTAGCTTGGAGTTTGACGGCGGGATTGCGCTGGGATGCCCCGGTTTGGTGAGTCGAGACTGCGGTGAAACCCCAGGGGCTTCTTGGCGCCGTGAACGTGGCATCCATCACGACCAGACCAATGCTCGCCACCCCCCCGACGAAAATTTCCTGTCCAATTCAATTCTTCCTTCGGAGTTGTGCTACTCGACGGTTGTGAGCAAATTTTGTGGCATGAGAAAAGGTCATCGGAAACGACCTCCTGAACACACACACACACACACACCGCATGCGCAGCTAGTCTGAGGCCCGCTCTGACTTCTCCCTTCACGATGCGCCAAACCCGCCGACTCGCCTCATTACTCATATGCCTTCTCGTCGGAGCACCGGCGGCTATCCACGGCCTCTCTGACGTGCCGGCGAGCGCCGAGATCCAGGAAGACACGGCCGGGCAGGTCACCATCAACGACGACCCGACCAGCAACACCACCGACGCGCAGCTTCCAATCAGCGCGACCATCTTTTCCGGCGTGCCGGGCCCCAGAGAATGCCGCGGTAGCGTCATGGCGACGCTGGACGTGGCCCCGCCGCCCGCGGGAGGCGGCCGCACAGCCGCGGCGTGCTACAACCTGCCGTCGCCGGCGGGCTGCGGCAACTTTGTCGCCAACAAGGCCGACGGCTGCGAGGCCCGCCTCTTCGCCGAGCCGAACTGCGCAATGTACACCAACACGGCCGTCTTCATCCCCGAGTCCCGCGCCGTCGGCGGCCTCTGGCGCAGCATCTCTGTCCAGTGCGGCATCCCCCCGCCAGACCCCGACTCGCTCGGCAAGCCGCCGCTGGCAGATCTCATGACAAACGTCAAGAAGGGGCCCAAGTCTGCAAGGGCGCGCCGGAGTGCTGCTGCTGCTGCTGCCGCTGCTGCTGCTCTCCCTTGAGGTGTTCTCTAGTCTCATGCCGCACGTGCGGAAACAATGAGAGAAAGTATGAGTGGCAGCAAATAGGGCTAGTTGTGTCGTGACGAATTATCATAGACACAATAAACCTCAGCTCAACGTTCAAACAAATCCATGGGCATCGTTGGACTCGGTTCCATACTTCTGTTCCCTAACCTGCCGGGTAATGGCGTCGAAATCTCGAACGGTAGTTATACCGCTCTCGGCCAAAGGGTTCAATGCATCCAGACTCAAGCCGGACCCGCGAAGCAGGGGTTCTAGATCTTGAAAAGGCATTACACACGGTATCAGCCTCCCACTTGGAAATGGGCGTCTCTGCTGCCCAGAAACAGAACAGAGTCATGGGGATCAAGATGGGCTCGTGGCTTGAGTCGTCTTTGGAGGAGAGACGCATTTGTAATTATCAATCAATAATTACTCGGCTCGGGAGCCGATCATGTCTTCAAGTCAAGGCTCAACGCATTTGCCGACACATAATAATTGAATAATGACTTGGAAGAAAGGAACCAATCGCCAGACAGACCTGAACGACACGATGTCCAATTATTTAGTCGCGAGATAACGAAAGGTTCGGCCGAGAGAGGAATGAAGTGGGCGACCCGACTTCGGTGAGCCGCGCCACGCCTGCCGTCCAATATTTGCCTGCTGCTATCGGAGGGTATTCCGCCTCCTGACGTCACACGAATAGCGACTGGTCGGTCTGTCGGTGGCTTTGGGCTTGCCAAGACATTGCGACACTGTGATTTTCCTTTCTCTTTGATTGTGCCCCCGTGCCTGTCTTAGCCGTTACTACTCTGGTACCTTGACGAGCAACTACCACTACCAAATGAACAAGCCCGTTCCCCGACCGACCCCAATACTGCCCTGCCCTGCTGTGTGCTCAGCTCGCGGATTTGAGCCCGCCAGCCATGCGCGGAGCAACGACAGTATTTACCTACCTTTGCCGAGAATGCGGCTAAGCACTACCACCGCCGCCGGAGCAAAGGATGTAAGTTAAGCTAATTCAGGCTAACCTAGCACGGCTCTTTCTCTCTATGCTTGCGTAGGGCATAATTGATTTAGCTGAAAAGCAGCATGGCACTCAGATGGAGAGACAGCCCTTGCAGTCCGCAGCAGCAAACCTGCGCACCACCCCGTATCCACCCCTTTCATCTAAGTGTAAGGCAGTATTCCATCCAGCGTCAGGGGACTAGAGAAACAAAGGCATCAAATAACAGGCGTGCGTGCTGCAGAAGTCCCCTCTACTGAGCTGGCAAGCGCCGTCCGTGGTTTTGGGTTTTGGTTTTGGTTTTGGCAGCGCGGCCTCGGCATTGCAAATGCACCCACCGCCCATCGGCAAGCGAGCGTTTGCGGCCGGCGTACGTATGTGGATTGGGTTTCGATGGATGCAGCTTGTCAATAGTCCGTGGAACAACGTGGCTGCGGATGCTACTCTGGCCCCATTGCCCGCTGCCAGCCAGCCGCGCCCCTTGGCCGTTCGGCTAGCAGCGAGATGGTAGGGGGAGGGTGCGTCAGTCTGTCAGTCAGTGTCGTCTCGGTATGTTTTCCCTTTGGGAAGGAGAGAATGAGGACGAAGGGCCTGGTTATCTTCTTTTGCTGGTACTGGTAGTTAATTAACTGTCCGAAAGAAAGCGAGCATTCCCCTGACTTGGAAAGCAGGCAGAGCTACACCCCATGATTTGGCCGGTTCACCAGAGAAGTCAAAGACACGAAGGCCGTTTTCTTTTTGAAAGTTCGAGGCAACCCGCCCCCCCACTGCCTTTAACAGCCAAGCCCTCCGAATCGACCTGGTGATACGCCCGTCCTGCCCGATTCCGAACGTCCGTCCATTCTCGCTTGCGGGCTGCATATTGAGAGCATTTGTTTACTGGCCAAAGCAGCAGCCGTCCACGCTCCTAGCACACAGGGCATGTCAGAGCAGCATCGCCCTTCTGTGGCCTTGGCTGGTCCGGTGGAATACAGGGAACGCTGTGGGCGATGTCACGCACCACTGTCGGTCGGCGTTGGAACCCGGGCCTGGCGCGTGGCTTCTCGGCCGCGATCGGCACCCAGGGAGGCGAGATTCAGCCACCCACGCCGCCAGCGCCCATGCAAAGTCTCAGCCTAGACTGGCTGTCTGCTGGATGTGGGAGTCTTCTCCGAGCGGCGGGTGACCTTACGGCCGGGCACGACGTGTTGGAGAAGGCAATGGGGTGTCCTGTTCAGTTCACGCGACACGCCAGACCCTAGGTTATTATTGATCTTACACCGTAGAAGCAGTAAGGTAGCTTCTACCCAAATGGGTATGCGATCCGGTCCCTCTACTGGGCTCAAACCGCTTGCGCGGGTGTTCCTCCTTTCTATCTAGGTACATCGTATCTTCTTCAATCCAACTTACGGGTGGCAACCTAGCCCCCTATCCCTTTCATTAGTAGGTAGGTACCTTCTTCCTCTCCCTTCCTCACATCATGCCTCTGCACTACTTCGGCGCTGCTCCTTCCCCCGTCGTCAGTCCTTATTTCACGTTGTCTTTCGGTCTCATCTTCCGTTCAGCTGGCTACGGTCTGTGGGCCGCGTTATCGTATGTTGATGACGCCATTCTCGCATCGTCTGAGGTGTGTAGTCGGCACTCCCGCTTGCTCCTTCGGTTCGGGGCCGACATTGACGGCCAGGTCGGTGCCTGGCACGGGCCCTGACACGCGAGACCCTTGTCGAGTTGACGGGGAGTCTCCCAACCCTGCGGCTGCTAGCTACTAAGTTTCATCCATACAGGAGAGTAATATTCGTAAGGCGACGAGCAAAAAGTCTATTCCCTGCTCGGGTCGGTACCGACAAGGGACAGCACTGGCCAACAGGCCCTTCCTTGCTTAGCTGGAACCGTGCAACTTAAGGAAGGAAAGAATCACCCCTACACGGTAGTGGTGAATACCTGCCTGATCAAGTCTGTTCCCTTCTCTTATAAGCGGCCGTCCCTTCTGACAACCCGTCTTTTAAACACCGAGAGTCATACACACACACACACAAAGAGAGAGAAAGAGAGAGAGAGAGAGACCCGCCGCCATGAAGCTCCTCGGCGCCGCTCTGGCCATCATCACCACCATCCTGGCAGCACAGGGTACCGAAGCCGCCTATCTTTCCGGAGGTGCGGTATCTTGCCAATTCGCTGGCTATATACTAATTGCCTACCCTGCCTTAGCATGTATGCGTATGCGGCAGTTGGGCAAAGGCCAACTGTACCCCAGAGTATTGGTGGTCTAACCCTTGTAATCATTGGAAAGACCATGGGGAGAGTTCTCTCAAGCTCTCAACTGGGTTTACCATTTTATTTTTATTAAAGAGTTCTACCCACTCCACCAAATATCAAAACATAGTACGCTTCGGAATAATGGAAGAAGCTTGGACCAACAACAAATTTGGCCTGCACTGACGCAGCCATAATTAGCTCCTTCCGCGTTTCTGGGGAATTTTGGCTGACTGAAAGCCCCACCACCGGATTATCCTTAGGGCTGGGGTATACCCCGCACCTAGAATCGTACTTCATAGGTGGTGGCCTTCGGCCTGTAGTTTTAGAGAAGACAACCCATTCCACACCATTCTTTTCATGACCGAACAAAGACGCAGTCTTTTGCCTCACATCATCGTCTCCCGTCGCTCTTGCCACTCTCAATCCATTTGCCCTCACTACACTCTGCGCTGAACTCAGGCCTGCGTCTTACCTACCACCTATACCTAGGCGGGTACCTTGACTTGGTCAATTTCTCACTTTCCTCTCCCATCAGTCCCAGACGCAACAGTCAAGATCAGCGCCATGGCGACGCAGCCAAATCTCACACCGCGGGAAATTGCCAAAAGGCTTGGGGCCGTATACAAGCAGCTCGCAGACATGAAGAAGGACGCGACCGTGTCCGAATCCCTTCTTTCCGACCTTGGAATCCACAGGGGGCCCCAGCTTGACGCAGACGATTTGAACCCCAGGAACCAGGAACTCGAGACCGAGCCTGTGTTTTTCTAGCCTCTCCTCAGCAGCGCGCTCGAAAACGGTGTCATCGCGTATCAAGACGAATACGATTTGTGGGATCCTTGCACTGCACCCCACTTCGACGAATTTGGCCATCCGCACCTCCCATGTATAGGATGTGCCAGCAGTAATTCTGTCACTCTCAGGTCACTATACACTCATGTGTCGTCTGAGCTGACACCCGTCGACGCTCCCGAATCCGCATTGGTGTCGGCGGGATGGGAGGACAATTGGCCTTGGTTCGCCATGCAACCTTCCGACTTACCGCACCTGGCACCGAGTCAGAGACGAAATGCATGGAAAACTATAAAGACTTACGGGGCTGTCGGCACGCCCCATACCGGTTGTCTCGTCATTGACTGCACAAAGCACGAGCAAAATATTACTCTCCGTAGCGAAATCCTGATCCCCTTGTTTTTCATCAGAAATTGTCTGAATAAGGTACCGAAAAAGTGCTCGGGCCGAACATTGCCTGTGAGAATCACCACCCCCCTCCTCTTCTGCTGCTTCTAAAGGTAATCTGCTCACGCTGCGTAGGCAATCGGCTTTTCAATCGGGCACGACACAGCTCGCATCACTCAGATGTGGTGTGGCACCAAGGGCCGGGTGACTTTCCGCCAGTCAAGGGTGTTGAAGCTAGACTACCCCTTGTTGAACCGCGACGCAAAAGACATCTTTCTCCTTTTGCGGTGGATGACATGCACGCCCATTGACGCCGACGGCACCAACCCCCCGCTCGTGAAAAAGAAGATCTCTAGAGTGTCGGGCTCCCTTCCGACCACCGGGAGCCCTCTGCGCTCCATGGCAACTATCCCTCATCATCTCGCCAACGCTCCCGCGGTAAGCAGCCCACTCAAGACGAGCAACACTCCCGGGGCGAACGTTCTTGAGGAGGGAAAGACTGCCACCGGGACCAAGGTTCTAGCGACAAACCCCGGCGTTTCCACGACTAGCACACACCCAGTGGCCGCTTCTCCCGAGAAAGCCACTACCACGAAAGCCAATCCAGTCATTGCTCTGAAATAGGTGGACAGCGGCCGGGGCTGGTCCCCGATTCTGCCGCAGGATCGCAACGGATGGCATCTGGCAAAGGACTAATCACTGTACAAATTTTGGCACTCTATAGATGGCGTTGGGGTTTCTGGGTTTGCTCTTGTCTTTAATTGGTCATTGGAACTATTGTTTGGTCTGCTGCTAGAGCACCTTGATCAGTCTTGATGTATTGGGCTTCTGTAGTTCGGCTTCGGACGTTTTATCGATGTAGGACGTGTCAACCCAGAAGGTCTTAGCTAGCGCAGAACTTGGTATTGTCGTAGCTCTTAGGCTTTTTTTCTCTGTGGTTCTGTTGATAATATCCTCGTGTCTGATCTCTTCGTTTTCATCTGGCCGCGTACGTGAAGGAATGAGATATTTGGAAAGCAGTGCTGCAAGGGGCCTTTGACAGCCTATCGAACGCAGATACACGGCAGCGTGTGCAGGCTCTCAAGCCTCTGGCGTAGGTACCTACGCTAGGCGCCTCATCCTGTTGTCAAAATCGCTCGTGTCCGTCGTTCACTAGCTCGCGCTTCGCGGAGATCTCTTCACCTGACTGGATAGTAACTTGACCACGTCGCAATGCATGAGCTATGATGCTACGTAACCTGTGCTTTAGGGAGGAGAGGACCAAATATCTCCAAGGCTCGGGCACTGGCATAGCCCGGGCAGGTCTACTGTCCGAAGCTACGAACCAGTCCTACACACCGCTAGTTTGACAAAAACACCAGCTGCCAAATTTCCCCGTCTTTTTGCCCACTTCTCCGGCTATAATGCGCCAAAGTGAATATCGGCCTATCTATCAAGCGTCGTGTTCTCTAAATGAATAAACTAATAGTTGCTAGAACTTACTCATTTTGTTTCCTTTATTGGGCGCTTCTTCAACCCAACGACTTTTATATACCCTACTCACTTCTCTGCCTGAAACCATCCGTCCAGAACCAACAGACCAGTAATGCAGCTGCCAGCAAAACTGTGGTCGCTGACGGCCACCGAGGTCCTGACCTTGACAGAAAGGGACCTGGTCAGTGTCGAGGACTATGCGAAGGCCCTATTGAGCCATGCCGGGTCGAGAGACGGCGTGGTAGAAGCATGGCAGTACTTGGGTAGGCCGTCTTTACCGTCCAATGTGAAAGGAAGCCCACCTATCTAATTGACCGATCCTGCATTTATTCATTAGATCCTGACCTTGTTCTGAGCCAGGCTCGCGCTCTAGACCGTGTTCCGCGCGACCAGAGGGGTCAGCTTCACGGAGTAGCTATCGCCGTCAAGGACATAATGGACACCAAAGGTGAGTGAGGCTCCACAGCTGTTGGTTGGGGGCGGAACCGCTCACTCCGTCTAGACATGCCAACCGAATACGGCTCTGCTCTCTACTGGGGCAATCGGCCAAGTGCCGACGCGTCACTTGTTGAGATACTCCGGAGGGCCGGAGCCCTGATAGTCGGTAACTATGTCTGTGAATTTGTCGCCGAAGTCGTCATTTTAAAAAGTCGCCACAGGCAAGACCACCACGACGGAGTTCACAGTGCTCAACTCCGGCCCTAGCACCACCAACCCGAATGACCTAAACCGCACGCTAGGCGGGTCCTCTGCCGGGTACGCGGCCGCCGTGGTAGACGTCCACGTCCCTCTCAGCTTGGGAACGCAAACGGGCGGCAGCGTCATCCGTCCGGCTTCTTACATAGGCACCTACGCTATGAAGCCAACATATAACACGGTGTTCGGCGGTGGCATCAAGGTCGCCTCCCTCGAGTTCGACACCATTGGATACTTTGCCCGCAGCATCGACGACCTCAAGCTCGTCACCGAGGTCATCAGTGTCACTGCAGAGGAACCCGTCGAGGAGGCAGCATTGAACCAGGTCAAAATAGGTTTCGTCAAGTCACCGTTTTGGCCGTCTGCGGGGCCCGGCACCGTCGCAGCCATGGCCAAGGCTGCCGAGATTCTCCACCGCCACGGTGTCGCCGTCGTCGAGGACGTCGAGTTCCCCGACGCGTTCAGCGACGCCACGACCCTGGCCAGGATGTTTGGCGTAGTCTTTGCCGCCGACGCGGCGGTGGCGTTCCGTTCTACAGGGACTATCTCATGGACACCGACAAGACTAAGCTGGACCCGCGCATCCGCGCTTTCGTCGACGACGCTCCGAAAAACTCCCGCTCTGACGTGCAGCAGGCGTTCGACTACTACGCAGCCCTGCGCCCCGTGCTCGACGAGATTGCAGGGAGATATTCGGCTCTTATGACTCCGAGCGCGATTGACGAGGCGCCCTTGGGGCTGGGCGACATGGGCAGCCCTGCTTTCAACTCGGTGTGGAAGGTGAGAATACACCAGACCTTCCGGTATTGCCACGGGCTAACTGACTTGTTTCATTTGCCCGCCTGATTAGGCCGCGCACATGCCGGTAATCCACGTGCCCGCTTTCGTGGGACCCAACGGTATGCCCGTCGGCCTGTCTCTCGTAGCCCGCCGGTATGATGACCAGCTTTACGGTCTCGGCGACGCACAACGGGGTGGCGATCCCGGTATCGCAGGTGCGCCTCTCGCCGCTGCCGCCGGGCACGCAATACGGCCGCCACCACCGGGCCTCGACCTCCTTGTCGGGATCACGGAAACCGAAGTCCAAGAAGGCGAACAAGATGCGCCGCGCTAATCCCGCCGTGCAGAGCGCCAACTGGTGCGGTTCCGTCGCCCACCCGCCGTCCACCGACAAGATCAAGAACATGCACGGCTGGTTCCAGCACCCATCCTGCTCTTCCCGCCCCGGCGTCGCTAGCTACCCCCAGGCCGCCGCGGCTTGGGTCGGCATTGATGGCGACTTGTGGACGTCGGCCCTCTTCCAGTCGGGCACCGTTTGCAAGGTGGGTGTCTGTTTACTTGGCTGATCAGGGCGGGGCGTTGTCTGTTTTTGTTTTTCCCTGCCCCTGAAGCACATTTCATGAGGAGGATGGTTCATGTCGAGTTGTGAAACTGATTCGTAAAAAACACAGATTGACAACTCGACGGGTGTAGTAAGGTGCGCAGGACTCTCCCAACGAGCCATGGATTTGCCCCTTTCTATGAGTACGAGAGGGACCACAACTGATTACATCGCGGATAGAAACGAAGCTTGGTGGCAATGGTATCCCTCAGGCGCATATACGATCTCGTCCATGCCGGGTGAGTTAGACTGTCAGATAGACTGATATTTCCCGTTATTTTACCCTCGACAATAATCAAAGAAGGGTCCCGTCTAATAGCAAGCGCGTCTTCTTTGTGTGGATATCAGTGGCAGCAGGCGACTGGTTCGAAGTCACACTCAACAGACGCTTGTCAGCGGCGCGTCGCTGGGCATCCTGGGCGCGAACCAGCTACAGATCGCCGGCGCGTGCTCGTCGGCTGAGTTTGATGACTCGGAGATGGAGGCCTGGTCGACATAGGATGGGGGGTGGCTAGGCGGGTGTTGTTTGGCGGAGCATGGAAATTTCGTCTTCTTTTGTTTGTGAACTGGACGAGTGGGCGAGATGGCTACGTGGAATAATATCCGCGTAAAACACCGTGCAAAGTTCAAATCTTGCCCATTACAAAACAAGAAATAACCGCTACAAAGGTTCTATATTGTCGTGAAACAGCATCCTCATATATTCAACCAGCGCCGCCGCTCACGCTAAAGCTGTCCCCGACATTGCTATGCTTAGACTACTACCCGGCAACGGCGCCTGCCAGCTCTCCTGCCTGATGCGCTGGCTCGACTCGCGGTCGGGATACGCCAGGAGCCGCAGCTCGTCGACAACAAGGGACCTGAAGTTGGCGCCCAGTTCTCCGTCACGACTGTCTTTTCCGATAACGGAGCCGTCCGCGCCTCCGAAATTGACACAGAAATCGCCCTCGAGACAGCGCAGCACGGCGTCTCGGTACCGCGCGCCGGCCGAGAACCCCAGGTGCCTTTTCGCGCGCTCGACGAGCCCGTTCCTGGTCTCGACGGGGTCCGAGGCGCGCGGGCCGTCCTGCCGGATGAGAGAGGTGGCCCTGCGCCACATGCCGAGCTCGAGCAGCACGACGCCGAGGGCGTACAGGTCGTGGACAGGGGCGAAGGCGTCGGTCGGCACGCCCCACCGCTGCGGGTGGCGGTAGACGTTGCGCTCCGGGTTGGCGTCGGACTTGAGCGACGTGTCGCTGTCGACGGGCCGCGCGTACTCGAATCCGTACACGAACCAGTCGGGCGGCAGCGTGGTGCCCGTCCTTTTTTCTCTTGTCGCGCTATTACCGTCCCGCAGAGACTGCTTGGCGTGGTAGAACACGATGTTGTCGCTGCGCAGGTTCTTGTGCACCCACGACACGGAGTGCAGCCGGTCGACGGTGGCGGCGAGATCGTACGCCATGGTGTAGCGCTCCTCTAGCCCGGGTCCCGACGCGACGGACGATGTGGGCAGCGCGTCAAAGAGGGACATGGGACGTGGCTCGAGGTGCGGAGGGATCTGGAACACGAGAGAGTGGGCGCCCTTGTCGACGCGGTCCATCCAGCACAGGCACTTGGGTATGGCCCGGTCCAGGCGCTGTAGGTGTTGCAGAATCGACACCAGCTGGTCGAGCCGTGCGCTGCTGCTGCGTCGCTGCGCGTCGTCCTGCGTGCCCTGAAAGTGCTTCGAGTCGACAAGCACAGCGTCGTCGCCAAACCGGCCGACCTCGAATTTCGATCCCTGGGCCTGCCTCCGAGCGTTGCGCAGCTCCATCCACGGCCGCTTATAGCTTATCCTTTCCCCTGCTGCCAATGCCTGGACGTTCGGAGAACTATCTGAGTTTTGCACTGCCTTTAACTGCGCGGCTAGGGCATCGCTGATGCCTAGGGATTGTGCTGCAGGGGGCTGGAGCTTGACGTCCAAAGAACGTTGCTGGCGTGCCATCTGCAGCTGCCGGCTGAGCAAGTTGAGCTCAAGCAGCTGCGTGATCTTCTGGTTCCACGTCTGAAAGTCGCCGACGAGACCCGTGAGACGCCGCTTGTCGCGAATCGCCCAGCGAAGCTTGGCCTTGGGGCCATCGATAGGCCCTGCTGTGATCAGCTTCTGCCCGCCGCTGCCCCCAGACTCTGCGCCCGTTAGCTGATATCGTTCGCCGAGCGGGACGTAGTCGTGGATGTTCTTGGCGAACTCGGCGAAGATGAGATTGACACTGCTCTGCATGGCTTTGTCAAGTGACTCGAACAGGCACTGGGCGCCATCATTTGCCCCGTATTCGTGAAAAAGCAACTCTGACAGATTCTCGGTGATTGCCTTCTCGGCCGTTACTTTTGCCAAGATCACCGCCTTGTCGTCGTCAAAACTCTTGACGTCGTCGACAAACTCTTGGACGGCTTTATACGCATTCAGCAGCGTTTCGACAGTTGACAAGGTCCCGAGAAGGAGTCCTGCGACTTCCATGGCTGCTCTGCGTTGCCGGGCACTCAAGCGGAGGCCGAGGATGTTGCATTTGGATAATCAACGACTTGGTTCTAGAGGTTTGCTGGCTGCGGTTGGATCAACAGCCAAAGGGGGAGGAGTTGCGAAAAAAGAACAGGCAGGGCAACATTGCAGGAGGGGAAATGGGCTGCGCTCGTGTGGAGAATGCCCGCCCCAGTGGAAAATTGACGCGGTTGCGGCTGAGCATCATGCAGCTAATTACCGCCTGACGAGGGATTGAGGGGCTCACAGAGCCTCGCCTTCGACTTTGATCAAAGCCCAAGTTCTTGTCCTCCTCCGCCCCCTTCAGAATCTCCTCTGGAGACCTCTAGGTCAGATGTTCACATCCAACGACTGACAAGTCTTCGATTTTGGCCTGATAGCTCGTCGAGTTTCTGATTCGATCGCGGGCGCTTATCTAGGCCTGTAGACCTAATCGTATCAAACCATGTCCGACTCGCAAAGCTGCACGAGCTCGCCAGCGTCGTCGGTGATCAACTCTGTTCAGTCTACACGCCACAGGCATAGGTCTGGCGACAGCCTTGCCCGGGCATCGCTCACGCTCGCCTTTGCATCCACGGCGCTACAGAACAGCGTCTATCAGCTCTCGAGGTCCGAGATCAGAGACACGCGGATCCTTGTCGGCGAAGGAGCCACGTGCACCGTCTACAAAGTCTTAATCCATGGCTCCACGAGGCTGGCGCGAGAAGAGCAGCCAGCGGCCGTGAAGCAGAAGCGGCTCAAGGGGTCGTGGTTCGACCAAGACGTCTCCCTCGAGTCGTGGATGCAGACAGCCTATATGGACATCCGCGTCATGTCGCACAGAGGCCTGAAGACGGCGCGGAACGTCACCACTGCTCTAGGGTACTTCTGGGAGCTGATTGAGGATTCGCATGGCCAGCGTGGCCTCTCGCCGTGCCTGGTTCTGCCCTTGGCCCAGCATGACGCGCCCACCCTGCACCACCTTTTTGCGTCGCTAAAACGGGACAGCCAGACGCACAGCGACCACCTCGTTTTGAGCATAGCGAGAGATGTCGCCAACGGCCTTCAGGAGCTTCACAGCTGCGGAGTCGTCCACGGAGACCTGAAGCCCGCCAATATCCTGCTCTTCCCGAGCGCCGAGGATGGTGCAATTTCTGCGAAACTCTCCGACTTTAGCCACTCTCTTGTCATGGCAGATTATCAAGACGACGGTATCAGAAATCTCCCGAGATACACCGGGACCCGGCCGTTCATCATCCCCGAGGTGCGTCGATGGGAGAGGGAAGCGGTGACCAACGGCAAGTCCTCACACCTGGGTGAGTCGGGCTTTGACGCCCCAAATTACTATGCCTGCGATGTCTTTAGTCTTGGCACCATTATAGTAGATTTGGTCATGAACGGCGGCGATTTTTGGGCGAGCTTGAAGGCTGCGCTGCATCAAATTGGCTGGCCACTGGAAACCGAAACGGACCCTGTCCTAGACCGCCCATCATTCGACGTCGAAGAAGCCTTAGAACTAGCCAGACTGTCTCAACTCAGTCCTCTAAGACCAGAGGGATTTTCAACGATATCCGAATGCATTGGCATGTGTCTCGGAGAAGATCCAGATGCTCGAGCAACCGCACTGGACGTCTTGACGAAGCTACGCGAGACGAGTGCGGCCGGCTCCCTAGATGAAACGTAAGAGAAATGAGATTCGAGCATTGTGTAATGGTTGCTGACGCTAGTTTACTTACTTAGTTCTCGGTCTACTGGGACTTTGACGGCACCCCTCCGCCCCCTTTACGGGTCGATCAGCGAGGTAAGGAAGGAGCCGACATTGTCATGGAGTCGCTCTAATATGAACTTGATCTAGTTTGCCCACGCCGTAGGCATGTACATGGAAGCCCGGTTTGCCCAGCCGCTGATGCGCCAGATATTTCAAGAGCTAGCGAAAAATGCCGGCAGCGGTTCCGAAGCAGCGCTTACGCTGCAAGCGTCTTGCTTCGCCCTAGGACTAGGGACGGCGCAGAGCCTAGACTCGGCATTGGATATTCTAGTTCGGTTAGAAAGACAAGGTAACTGGCTATACAGAATGACAGTTCCCTGGCTCATGCGTGCCCTGCGTCCCAACGACGAGCGTGGGGATTCGTCGTTTGCCGGAATGCAGGAGGCATTACGATGGCGTCTCCAGAGCTCACTGTCATATGCCGGCGAGAGCCCGCTGCCGTACACAGAGCGCGTACGACGCATCAAGGTCCTGACTGGGGTGAGATCTCCAGAGTCCAGTGGGTTGATGATCACCATCAACCGTGGCACCCCGGACCCCTTCCTGCCATTAACCGCGCCCGGATTCGACGAGATGATGCTCCCTTCAAAACAGAACTATTCCGACCTTGTCCAGTCCATCTCCTCGCGACGTTCTTTCAGTCTACACCCGCCGACAGACACAGATCCACAGCCCCCTAAAGATGCTCACGAGGGCATAGTGGAAGGCGCTATTAAATCATTTTTGGAGGCTGTCTCGATGTCGCTAAAGTCAGTCGAAGGTGACGCAGAAATCCAGCAGACGTTGGAAAAAACAACCGAGACTCTAACCCAGTTCCGAAAGGCTGTGACAGAAGCCCCAGATACCTGGGAGAGGCTCGATGGCTTCGTCACTGTTGTTAACCCGAGATCGACTACCCGGAAATCCATGCAAGAGCCAACGCTACTTCGATTAGCGGTCAACTTTGTAGGCGGAGACAGCAGCTTCAAAGGCCAGGCGAGAGTGTTGCAATGCGTAAAGGCCGCCCTCAAAACTGAAGGAACCGATGTTATCGACCTGCCTGGGCCCGTGGGTGAAACTGCACTCATTGCGGCTTGCCGGTGCGGCCAGCTCCTTGCTGTCAAATACCTGCTGAGCTGTGGTGCCGACGCAAGACTAGCGGACGACGATGGCATCACGGCTCTGCACTGGCTCAGCTTCTTTGACGACGAAGACATGGCGATGCTTGCAGAGCGGCTGGTATCAAACGGCGCTAATATTGACGCGCGGACGACGGGGTTTCTTGATCTTCCAGAACACGCTATTAACCTGCAGGCTGGCTGCACTCCTCTCCACTACGCTGTCGCCATGAGAAGCTCCCAGGCGGTCAAGACGCTGCTGCAACTTAGCGCCGACCCGTTCCAAGAGGCAACTCTCGCGTTTGCGTATCAGACGTACTCGCTCACGCCACTACACTTCGCCACAAGCCTCTACTTCCACGAGATTGTGAACGTGTTGCTGAAGGTCCCAGGCACTTCCGACAGGGTCCGCTTCACGTGCCGACAGATACCCGCCCCCATGAATGTCTCGATCATCAACCTGGCTAATGTCTGCCTCGTAATGCCGTCCGACATGGCACCATTCAGTCGGATTCTCACCCATGGAGTCTCCTATGAAGAGGCGCTGGACAAAACGCTGTCCGAAATTCTCGAGGTTTTCCCGGACAAAGACGTGCTTGAACTGGCCCATATGAAGCTCAATCACGTATGCATCCCCGCCGAAGATCCGTACGTCTGGAGAGCGTGGAAGCGACACGGCCTTGGGCCTAGGAAGCTATCCATACAAGAACTGTGCCAGATAGGCCTACCATCGCACGAAACCACGCTTCACCAAGGGCCGAATTGGGAGGTAGAGCTTTGGCTGCGGGCGACCTTGGGGAGTTGCAAGATACAAAAGTGCAGCACCGCGACTTCGCATGCAGCTCTGGCTGGGTTTGCTGACAGAGATCAAGAAATCGACCTGGGTTACGTGATTCAGATTCTCGAGACATGCGTGTCGTCTGATTTCGACGGCCTACTCTCCGTCGTCTTGCCGCGACTGAATTCGTCAAGCATGTCTCCGGTCCTGGAATTCTTAGCCCCCTTCCTGTTCTTCATTGCGGCGGAACAAGATGCGGTGGATTGCTTGGAGGTGCTCTGGAAAGTCTTGATTGAGGACGCAGGAAATGACGATCTAAAAAATATGGTTGGTCGCGCATCGACTCGTTTCGCATCTTACCCCCTAGACCTGTGGGTGATAGTGTACGTAGCTGACACGAACCCGTACGCCAGTGTATAGAATTCCAGAAAGACTCCATGTCGGCACTACACTCGGCAGCGCAAGAGAATGCAACGCGCGCAATCAAGTTCCTGCTCGAGCACGGTTGGGACATTGATCGAGATCTGGGCAAGACCGGTACGGCACTCAACGTGGCAGCGTCGTCGTTCGCCATGCGAGACGCTGCCATCCTCCTCCTGGAACGGGGTGCCAGTCTTTTTTGCTGCCGCGAGCAGGGCGAGGGCTTCAGTGTCATGCACCGTGCCGTTCAGTGCCCAGACGTGCATCTCAAGGGCGACCAGCAGTTCTCGCTCATCCGCATACTTGTCGAGTCGTGCCCCGACATATTCCTCCCCGTGATGGACAAGCTGGTTCGGGCGCGCGACGAGAAACTGAAACAGACAGCGCTGCACCTCGCCATCTTCCACAGCGACATGCCCAGTTTCCTCACACTGCTGGAATTTGGGCAGTGCGATTTGGCCGTCCAAAATGCCATGGGTTTCACTCCGCTCATGATGGCCGAGTATAAAATTCACTTCCGGGAAGGGCAGTCTGATGGGCTCGAGGCGGGGCTACTGCGACGGGGCTGGGATCGGTCCGAAGTCGAGAAGCAGAACCTCCGGGACCAGGCGTGGATGGTGGAGCGGTGGAGGCAGATGGTCGAGTTGCTGGTCGAGGCTAGCTCGCCCACCCCCGAGAAACTCGCCATTGCGAACGAATACGAGTTCTTGATCAAGCATGCTGTGCTGCAGTTCGTTATGGCGACGAGAAAGCCAGGCTGTGACGAGCATGACGAGCTTGGCAAAGCTTTCAAGCACTTCGCCTTCATGCAGGGCCCAAGCGCGAAAACAGGGCTGGACCCTGCTGTTGGACTCAACAAAGAAGACAAGACTATTGTACTATTTCCAGACGGGTATGCAGTAGGCCGCTCTGTTCCGTCGGTCGCGATACAGTACGGCAGCAGAAGGTAGGCCGGCACGGTTGGAAGCTGCTGAAGTACGTAGGGATAATTTAGTGGAATTGGCTGAAAACCTTAACTGGGGTCGCTTCTAACACAGCAAGCTAGAACAGGTGACCAGGAAAAGAAGATGCTGGATGCTCCTTCCCTCCAGAGCCCATGCTCCTACTCACTCCATATTGCAGTCCAATCTTCCACGGCGCTGCAGAACAGCGTCTATCAGTTCTTGAAATCCGAGTGTTACATCATCAGATAACGTCAGCCGTGCACATGCCAACGGCACACAGCTAGCTACCATTTGATCATCCTTCTTCTCTTTTTCGGCATCACTGCCTTCACAATACTGGCTGGTTTCTAACCTGCCATAGTATCTTTTGGCTGCACGAGTTCGAGCTGCTCGCTAGGAGAAGTGGTGGCCACGGGACTTGCTATCATCATGTGGATCAACCTGTAAAGCGCCGCAGTCTGAGCCGTTATCGCTATCGTGGGAGCTCGGGTGGATCGGCAGCACCGCCAAAGGCGTAATGATAGTTAATGAGAGGCCATTGTAGGTCGACCATATCTTCATGTTCTCCGCATCCTCCTTACTGGTAAAGAAGGAAAAGAAAAGAACAAATGAGCCGGCTAGGAAAGGTCTTAAATAGGTATTTTCTAGAGAAGGAATAGGCCTTTTGGGTTCTAAAATGGGGATTCAAATAGCTATTACCTCCCTTAGCGAAAACCTTTACAGCGAGTCTTAAGATGCTAATGCCATTTAGACCTTAGAAAGTACCACGCCAACGAACATTCAGAGGCTAAGCGGCTCTGGGCAGTCAAGTGCCTTGGTATCACACCAGAACCAGTAACTAAAGCCTAAGCACAGCTTACTCTTCAATTTCGATAGATGCCAAAGCGAAGCCAATTACCGCGAAATAGGGAATTACCTAACCTTGAGAAAGGGGAAGGGCAGAAAATGCTGGACGAGCTCACCACTTGATATGGTGACCCTAGTACCTAATCGAACCATAGAATCGCGGCCCCATCAACCAGTTCTTTCGGGCGAAGTCTTCCATTTTGTGTCCTAGAAATATCTACAAAGGCTTTTCCTAATAGCCGGTGTATTTGCTTTGTAAGAATCTAGGTATTGTACCACGCTACTAAACATTCAGGGATTGTACTGTAAATCCGGACGTGTGTTCCTTCCCTGTCCTCATCCAGAAACTCCAAGTCCCCAACTTCAACCCGAACGAAAGAAAAGAGAAAAGAAGAAGAATCCAAGTCAAGCACAAATCGCACGCACCGACCAACAGAAACAACCGCCACCACCCGTCAGCCCCCCACCCATCTCTACTGCATCGTCAGACACACTGTGTCGAGGTTATGCGACGGCGGGGTATTAGCAGGATACGGCGTGGCCTTGAGCGAGACGGGCACGCCGCTGCTCGTCTCGGGCGTCTGGTTGGACACGTTCCACCGCAGGTCCCACAACCCCGGAATAGCGGCAGAAGGGAACGCGCAGTACAGCGACATGTGCACGAGCCCGCTGTCCTCGACGACGCGGAAGCTGCGCGCGTCGAGCTTGAACCCGCCCGTCCGCACGTCGTCGGGCACGCGCGCCCCGTCGGCTACGAACCCCACTGCGTGCTGCTGCGCCGACGCTAAGCGCCCGCCGACGAATAGTGTGGCCTTGTTGAATGGCGGTGCTTGTGCGGCGCTGTTGGTGACGCGCGCCGCCCGGTTCGGCGCCGCCGAGAAGCTGTAGCCCTTGTCGACGGCTCCTTTAGTGCGCGGGACGATGGTGACTGTGTGTGTGGTTGGTTTAAAAGATAGGCGTTGATCAGGACGGGCTGTGCTGTTTGGGCTCACTCACAGGAAACAGGCACGAGGTTGTCCAGGGTGTTAGCTGTAGCGAGGTCAGTGGACACTGCGGCTCCTAAGTATTGTCACGATGGCACCAGTCAGATATGCGAACTTTTCGTTGGTGCGTGTATGTAGTCGGCCGAGAGAATGAAACTCACCGTCGGCGTAAAACACCGGAAGCCCAGGTATGCCGTTCCCCCAGGCGTGCAAGTCAAATTCTTGTCCAAGCTGGCCCGGCCCGGTCTGGCGACCAATGTTGGCTGCGTGGGAGCCGCCGAAAAGAGCGAGGAATGTGGAGAGCGAGACGATGTGATTGATGCCCATTTTGAGATTGGTCGGTGCTCTTCTTGCTAGGGGTCTGAAAGATGAAAGATTGTGAGAGGTCTGGACTCGGCGTTGGATGATGGTCTTCAGGTTACGTCCATCCTCTCTGCCTCTTATGTTGGACGAGGCCCGGACCTCAAGTAGTAATTCTAGCTATCAGGGCTAGTAAGGAGCACCACCTCGACGACGTGTAGAAACACCAGTGCGGACAGCGTGATGCGGGGTTGGGACGGGGTAATCCACTCGAGCAGGTGTTTTGGGATAATGTTTATATGATTTAATATATTTTGGCGGGTGGTGTCGTGACCTGTTGCGCGGCCGCCATTGGTCAACACCCGCCTGTAGGACCAAATCCCTCGGCCCAGGGCCAGCCCGGACGGGTCTCTGCGAACCCTGGGAAGCTATTAATGAATGGGCCCGGGGAGGGGGGGGTGATATCATGCTCTGCTATTACGGCCAGGAAGCTGAGCGGCAAGGCGCGAGCCGGCAGCCTTGCAAGGAAGCCAAGGACCTCCGGAGCTCCGCGCTGCTTTCAGCTCCGTGTCGTCCACACTTGCCGCGCCGCACTCGTACTCAGCCGTGTCGCCCCCAAAGTCTTTCTACTTTATCTTCTCTACGACCCAGCTTGAGTCAAGTCATGTACGGATATTTCTTGCGATTTGTTATAGCGACGCAGGGCCTGCGTGCCGCGCCAACAGCCTGCTGGACCCTAGTGGTTCGTACATCAAGGACAGTGTAAACAGAAGCTGAGGCGCCAGCGGCGGCTGTGTTGGGAGTGAACCCTGCCCGGTGTCTAGCGTTATATTTTCATCTTCTATATGCACGCATCCTTTGTTTTCGCTCCCTCTCCATTCCAAATGCACCCAAACCTTTTATGATTCCCTTACCACCCTTCTCGTATTCACGGTTTCCCCCTACACCAACTGGTAAAGCCCAAATGAACAAAAAGAGGATATAATAAAGAAGATGATGATACTGTCACTCAAGCCATTTGCCCCCCAAAAGCTCTCTTCTCCATATCTCTTGACGAGTGCCTCACACTCCCGTGTCAGTCTGGATGATACCCTTATCCTTTGCGAATGCCTTCCAAGCGTCGCAGTTCTTGCCCACCGCATCCGAGTCGCCCGGCTTGAAGATGTCGGCCCTGTTCTCCAGGAATGTCAGCGCCATGCCGCGGTTGACGTGCCAGGCGATGTGGCAGTGCAGGAGCCAGGCGCCGGGGTTGTCGGCCTTGAAGGCGATGACGAGGTGGCCGGACCCGTTCAGCAGGGCGACGTCGCGCCGCGGCGGGTTGACCGTGTTGGGAACGAAGGTCGAGGGGTCGAACTTCGTCGTGTTGCTCTGGTCGACGATCCAGAAGTCGTGGCCGTGCAGGTGGATCGGGTGGTCCTGTTGTAGGGTTGCATATACGAGTCAGTCAAAGATGCCACGAATTAATAGACCAGATTGATAAGAGATGGGTATTGGTTTGCACTTACCCCGCCTGAGTCGGTTTGGATCAGCACGAATTGTATCTTGTCTACCCCATTGACCTCGAGGACCTGTTGCTCATCAGGAAAGGTCACGTTTCCCGGGCCTGCCAGCTGAAGAAGAGCTGCAAGATTCATGTCATGTCAGCGGTTCTGCTTCCAAACCAGTCATGCTTCTTTTGCTTGGTGATGGAAACTTACTTGGGTTCTCCCAGTGGGACAAGAAATGAATCCCGTCCTTGATTTCCCAGTTTATGACGGGGTTGGGGTTGTTGAAGTCTTGATTGAAGTTGATAGTCTGGTCGAACGTCAAGTTGCCGGTGATGTTGAGATTGATCGCAACGAACGGCTCCAGGTTTGTCATGGGCATGTCGGTGCAATCTACGTCGAACGCTGGCGGGGTTGCCTCGGGCGGATCCGCCGTGCCATTGACCCCAGGGGCATTGTATCGCACGATAGCCCTTACATCTATGAAGGTAGCTGCACGCTGGCCGCAATTGGTTTGAACATTGGCGCGAAGCCAGAAATTTCCAGGTGTCTGGTTGGCTGTGATGATGACATCGTACCGCTGTCCAATTCCAATGTTCAAGATTTTCGTCTTGAAAGGCTTGATGGGGACAAAGTCGGCCGCAATGACTTCCATCTCATGCCCATCGAGTGCGACCTTGAAGTGTTGGTCCATGGCCGTGTTGATCAACCGGATCCGGTGACTCTCATTGGGCTGGAAGACGAATTCGAAGCGCTTGCCGGTTTGGACATTCGTAGTTTGGTCTATGAAGATGTTTGTGCCGTTAATGAGCCCGTTGTCTATATTTTCGCCGCCGTTGACGGCCGCGTCGCTTTCTAGGGACTCGGCAGTCTTGTGAGTCCAGTCCGAGAGCATGAGAGTTCCAAGATCGTTCTTGTATGCCGACGAGGCCGGGCCTGCAATAACGATTGGGCCAAACAGGCCATCCCTGTGTCATAATCATGTCAGTTCCGAGTGTCTGGTGCCCGGCACCTTTAGTGTGGCCGACTCACCATGCTTGAAGCCCATAGTGCCCATGATACCACGACGTTCCATACTGGGTTGCGGTCCACTTATAGGTCATGCTGGTTTTGCCTCCTGGAATGGGGCATTGGGTGATGGATACGGCGCCGTCCTGAGTGTTAGTATCCTTTTGTCGGACGCCATGAAAATGGATGCTTGTCCCGGCATCCTCCAGCTCGTTGATGACAGTCACCGCTACCCAGACACACGTTAGCTCAGTTCGAACGCGTAAACAGCTCCCGAATTCTTCTGGGTATACTGACTGACGGTATCGCCCCAGTTGGCGAAGATTGTGGGCCCAGGAACTTGCCCGTTGATGGCAAGCACTGTCCGGTTGATGCCGTCCGGGGCCATGGTGATGTTTGTTATGTGGAATGTGTACTCCTGGTGCCCGCCAACGCTCGGCCAGCTGTCGTAGTAGTTTGTGTTGAGGTCAAAGGTTCCGTCCCAGCAAGTCGGGTTGGCCAACGAGTCGAATGTGCAGGCCCGCTTCTCAACCAGTGGCGGAGACGGAGCTGCGAGGACAACGGGGGCCACGAGGCCCAGCGCCCCGATGGCCGAGGACAAATACATGACTTCTGGCAAAGGGTAATGGCGGGCGAGGATACTCAGCTACACAGAGAAACGATAGAAATATTGAGCGTGGAGATGGAAGAGAAGTGAATCGTTGTGGAACAGCTTGAGAAGACAGTGAAGATGCCCAAGAAACAACATCTTGACTGAGGTGCCACAGAGTCATTATATACTAGTCAACCAGCGACACTGCTGAAGCATCCATTGTATCCTTTGGGCAGGTCAGTGCCTGCCTCACCTGTTTGAACTGCTTGAGGTATGGTCGTGCATGGGGGCGCTTGGTCAGCCACCGCGCCGCGATGCACTTGCCAGGCTCCCTGTAAGCTGCAACACGCGGCCGAGGTGAGAGCCAGAGATATTGCGACGCAAGAATCCGCAAATGGACATATCAATCGCGTCGAAACCGCAGCAGGGCGAATTCTCTGGGTTGATGTGGCTCATTCCCCCTAACCTGACGGCGTCGACATCCGAAGACCGAGCTGGAATAGCTCTCAGATCAGCTGCGGGCATGCACGGTTATTTTCGGCCCCCAGAAGGCTTCTAGAAGCACAGCACAGCGCAGCGCCGCAGTCGCATGAAGGGGGTGGCCGGGTTGCTGACACAATGCCCCGGTGGATCCTAGATCAGTCCAAAAGCTGGGATGAGAAACACAAAGAATCCCACGCGTGATTGAGGACGCGAATCAGCGTCGCGTAAAGTCCCCATTCCGTCGATCGCAACCCCAGGCCCATCGCACTTGACACCTCCCTGCCCACCATGCACAATTCATGCACTGAGCACTCACCTTAGCCCTGCTGCCAGGGGGAAACGTGCCAGGCAGGGTACCGGGTTTTGGAAGTCAGTGAACTCACCGAATTCATCATGATCGACGTCACGTTCCCACGTTTGAACGTCCACTGCCTCCGCGAAGGCAGCTGAAGTGTGAGGTCCTGCATGAACACCTCCTTACGCAGAGCTCGATTGTGCGATCTGTTTGGCCTGCGCCGCCGCCTTGCCGAAGTGACACGTCGGACGCGCCGGGGCGCGCAGTCGCTGCACAACATAAGAATCTCAAAAAGAAGGGTGAGCAACAAAGATTCAGTTTGGCCCAGTTTTAATTAGCCGATCAAATTGTCTGTGTCGGAGCCTACTTGTTCCCACTTCACCTCGACAGAAAAGGGCAGGCGCGACCATGTGTTCCGGAAGCGAAATCTCATCGTCTATGACTCGGAATGTTGCAGCTTCTTTTCGGACCCCATCATAGCTAAATAGCCTTGACGTAATTAAAATAAATGAAAAACGAACTCGAAGCAGTCACAATAGTCGTCGCGGCCATTCCAACACCACCGCCGAGGTGTGCGATTCCTGTGCAGCCTGAAGCGCCAAAACCTGCCGCTTCTCGAAGAAATAATAGAAGGGAATAACACCACCCTGGTACCCAGGTAATCATTGAATCCCTCTCATATGCTGTAGGGCAGGCGTGTCACACCTTAGCACCGGACTTCCATATTAATGAAGTAAGCGAGTCTTGCTCATTTCGAATCCCAGAGGGCCGTGCGGCACGGCTAGGCAAGTACCTAATTCACTGACACCAACCGGGGCAGTTCATGCAAGCGGGTATGGATGCCACGACTGATGGGCGATCAATTTTCGTTCCAGGCTGATTTCGCAGATCCTTTGTTTCTCGTGTTACCGAGTTTCCTTCCAGAACGTTTCCGCAGCAGGCGTAGTGCGATATGCAATTAGGTAACAATATCCCATATCGAACCGCCCATGTTTTCATAGGTTGCCTGGTCCCGATTTCCTGGTTGGTGGTTGTGGTATGAAATTTGGCAAGGGGTCAATCATGCAAACTGAGCCCCAGCCTCGAGGTGACTTGGCTCGACGGGTTTTAAAGCCGCGTACTCTTACCAAGTCTGGATCAAAGTGCCTCGAGGGAACTCGGCGGGCGATTTGATCGATTCTGAGATATTTGGGCTAGCCAGTCCAAGCACCCAAGGTTTTCCGCGGTGTTGATGAGTTGGTGAAGACATGGACGCATTTCACTGCAATGGAAGGTTTCCAAACACCGATCTGGTGGGAGCGTATTGCATGTGTAAATTCCGAAAAAATATCATGAGCGTTCATTTACATCTACATAGACGGCTCATAAAACTAGATATTTGGAGGTGCATGATGGTCCATGATATAGTCAACATCACAGCTAGAAGAAAAAATTGTAATTAAATGCCACATAATCCGGAGACGAAACTCAAGCTCACCAAAATCCGTTTTCGGACGTTGGGCTGAGCTCTCGCCGCTTTGGGGCTGAGCTGCCTGAAGGCCCTGTTTCCGGCCCTCGGCTAGAAATAGGTCAAGGACATGTTCAGGGTTAAAGCGTTGTATCATTATCAGTTCATGGATTCGAGTTCTGCACGAAACCTCGGTGAACCGTAGGAATACGCGAGATATTTTCAAGTGTGACGCCGGTTGGATATCTATCTGAGCATCGGATATATACATTTCGCAAACTTATGCGCTCATACCACTGGGAGCTGAGATACCACCATTTTTCTTCACCGAGACGTATAGGTTAGCATTTCCCGGAGACATCGCGAAATAGAGCTCCCTCCTCATTGCCAGTCCAGATAGGAGTAACGTACCAGGTCCGGGGTCTCTGATGACGAACGACTCGCGCAGCCAGCCGGTAAGAGTCGTCATCTCATTCCCCGCATCAAACTTCACGGTGCGAATCTCGCCAATAAAGGTCTCCATCTGGACTTCAACGTCTGAGGCCATGGTAACCGTCTCATATTTCGGCGTCATGCGATTGACGTTTAAGGTGTCCCAGTCGTCGCGGTAGATGGTCTAGAGCGAAGAGCCGGTATCGTGTGAGATCTGGCATGAATGAAGACGTCGTCTTGGCTGCCGGCGGCGGCAGGAAGGCGGAATTGGGGCCAGAACTGCCTTGGGTCAGCCGGCTGAAAAATCAAGACGAAGAGGAATGTCGGGAGGGTGTGACCTGAAGCCTACTTACCAGGTACATGTACTAGGAGTCACCGACACCAGGGCCGTAAACAGCAGACTGGGCCATCTGTGTCGAGGGGTCACCCTATGGATGAATGGCTGCCCTCTATAGCCGTTGGCTTTGGCATCATCGCGCCACTCTTCCAAAGTACCACGCCCGACGTGGGGCCCGGGCCTATAGGCCCATACAACGATGTTGTGGATGGGGAAGGCGCCGCCGTTTTCGTAAAACTTGAGAATGGCCTCGATATTCTCCTTGTCATCCGGGCGGTCAACCATCTGACGGCGTAGCCGCTTGAGCTCCCGACCTTCCTAGGTATCTTGTTGTTGGTTGGAGTCATCTTGACTGCCGAGGCCATCGTGTTGAGCGAGGCCATCATGTTGAGCGAGCTGAAAGCCTCCCATATGGGTGTATGGCAGCCTGCCATTGCCATTGGCTTTGGCATCATTACGGAACTCTTCCGGAGTACCACGCCTGACGCAGGGCCCATAGACCCATACCATGATGTCGGCGGTAGGGAGGGCGCCGCCGTTTTCGTAGAACTTGAGAATGGCCTCAATGCTCTCCTTGTGCTCCGGGTGGTCAACTATCTCGAGGCATAGTAGGGCAAGGACCAGGCCTTCCCGGGTATCCTGTTGTTGATTGGAATTGTCTTGATTGTCCATGGCGTGGGCAAACGCGTGGGCAACCCCGTGGGCGAGCGGCTACGCGAGGAGGAGGGCGATGTCACGAATCCCTGTTCGTACTGGTTGGGAAGCAGGGCAGGGGTGGCTGGACCCGCCTCGGCTAGTCACGTTAAAGGAGGGGCTTGGACCCACAGTTGCTCTGTTCGGTGGAGAACAGAGCAGAAGGGCCCGCATTTGCTCTGCACGGTGGAGTACAGAGCAACAGTCTGGTTGGCTGCTCTGTAGCTCTGTCGGGGAGCAACAGAGCAACGGTTTGGTTGGCTGCTCTGTAGCTCTGTCGGAGAGCAACAGAGCAACGCTCTGTAGCTCTGTCAGAGAGCAACAGAGCAACGCTCCAATTGGCCCAGCTTAGATAGATATATACGATGACCGTGGCACCGGTCTTAGGTAGTTCTTGCTTGGTTCTTCAAGCAAGCAATACACATTCACTGCACTCATACACTTTGAGTGGCATTCCGATTTGACTGTATTACCCGCGCGATAGGAGCTTGCCCTTTGTTCTATCTTCATAATTACCAACCCCAGCATTCTGTGGAGCCCGTGCTCCCTTACAGACAGACGACCCTAACAGTCGAGTGGTTTGTAATAGGCGAGCGGGTGGGGGAGCGGGTTTATCTCAGCAAGCTCAGACCTCTTTTTCAGGCGTGGAAGGAGCCCTATCCTTTTACCCCTTACCCTAACCCCTAAATACATGGCTAACTAATTTTATCTAGAACCCGAACGTTTAGAATGAAGTCAAAGCTGGTGAATACAGTCATGTGCTTCTAAGCCCGGAACAAGCTATAAACCCGAGGTTTAAAGCGGTCCTTCGTGATCCTGACTTCCACAGCAAGCTTGGACTCTTCGCCATAGATGAGCTTCACATGATCAACGAATGGCGAGAGTTCTGGGAGGAATTTACACACATATACACATTGAGGGCGTCGATACTCAGACCAGTAGAGTGGCTCTTTTCTTTGCGTGTTCTGATTGGTTCAAATGTATATTTGTGGGTCTACCCCCTGCAACTCTAAAAAATCGGGGCCGCAGGCCCTCCACTGGGGCGTAGCCCCTCTTTGAGCCACGGTACTGGTCTGAGCTTGCTGAGATAAGAGCGGGAGCGGGTGGGGAAGGAGAGGAGGAAAGAATTGAGGGGTCCCGCCAAAATTATGTAAGCAGACTCGGCATCTAACAGACGTGGATAGGCTGAGCCGAGGTTGAGCAGGGAGGGAAGGATACCAAATGGTGGCCACGGGCGCTAACCAAAAAGTCGCTTGAGTTTGTCATAGGATACCAGAATATACCGTTTCATCATTCTATTGTGGATGTGAGTTCCGGCCTAAGCAGGCTGCGGGGCTAGAATAGCCATGATGAGGCCGAGTCTGGTTTCCAGGGCTGCTGCTCGGCCTGCTTGAGCTAGGAATTGGGGAAAAGTCGAAAGATTAAATCAAGTCCGGTAGCTAGCTTGGTAATTACCAAGGTTTGGGAAGATGACTTTCAGGTTCTTCCCAGGCCGTCAGAAAGAGAGAAAATTGGTTCGGTGAGTGAGCAACCTGCCGGCAAGCTTCTGGTTCTTGGTAGTTGTTCTATGGCGCTTCGGCGGTATCCTACTTGAGATACGGATTGTTACACCAATGACGCCCAGCCTGTGGCGCTAACTCCTGAAGCTATTCAAACATTACGCCCAAGATACCTAGGCACCCAGCCCCAGCATCTCTACGATTGCCCGGATATTCTTCCAGGCTCCAGGTAGGCCAAGTACTTCGGATGGCAGGGCTGATACTGCGGGCGGGCAAGGTACCCCTTTGTATCGAAGCCTTGCGAATATCTGGCACAATGAGGACTTCTGTCAAAGATAAGAGGCATTGTCATGTCTACGGCAGAACCTGTTGGCTGGCTTCCTAACCGAATGTCTCATGCCAGTTAAGAATCATTAATTGCTAATCGGCACTAATGGTCGTTATCGTCATATGGAAGGGACCGTTACTCTTCCCTCCAGTCTACCAGGCCAGGTACTTTTTTTTTTCCAAAACATGAGATTGTACAATCTACCTAGCCCACACCCGGTCGCGCCTGCAGTCGAATTTGAACTACCAATATGATTGGGCCGAGACTAGGCGCTTAAGGGAACCATTTGTGCCCTTTCAAGTAGCTCCCAAATCTTTCCCGCCTCGACCTCCGCTTCCTTCACACTCACCAACCTTCTTTTTCGCGCCAGCCTTTTACCCGTCCAGATCTCTTGAAGCAACTACAAACTACGGCATATCAATCGGCTAACTGTCTTCATTATAGCAAGACTTTCGAATGAGAACAAAATGACAGTCAAAGATATGTGCATATGCCCCCAGCCAAAGCATTCAGCCCGACGTCCAATTCTCTCCTTCCCCAAGCCGTTCATCCTCGCCCTCCCCGTACTTTCCGCACCTGAGTTTGTTTTTGGTCCTCCCAAAGAAACGCGATCACAGAGGAAGAAGCACACGGCCAATTGTACTTCAATTTGCAGCCGAGGCTCAAAATTCCCCAAATCTTGACTCGGAATGGTCTTGCCCCGAATTCGATCGCGTCGTGGTCGCCTGCACCTGCCTTATCTAGCACCTACACCTTACTTTCACCTATCTCGACCCACTTACCCTCTGCCTGAAAATATCATCTCGCACCTTCCCTCTCAGCCGCTCTTCCTCACAGCACGAACCTTCTTGCCCCGCTAGCAAGCTTTTCATTCCACGCGTTCTCTTCGAATTTCCTGGCCTCCTCCTTCCACAACTTTTCCACTTTTCATCACTCAGGTCGCACTTCTGTTGTTTGAGAAGCCCATTTTATTGGCGAAATTGAACACTTACTCTGTTGCCGAACTACTAGCCATGTCTTCCCCCAAGTCGGATAAGTCTGCGACCAACTCTCAGGCTCGTCCAGAGTCGGAGAATGGTAAGGGCAGCTTCCAGTGGCCCGATGCGGACAACGCGGAAACCAATTTCCATTGGCCTGAGGCGGAGACTGTTATGAGCAACCATGAATCTAGCCCAATCTCGGAGAAATTTGTCATTAGAAACGATCCTGCTGACGCAGAGCCAGAGAAAATCGTCACCAACAACGGCCTTGCCCCCAAGTCGGAAGCTTCTGCCACCAACCGCCAGGCCACGCCTGAGTCGGAGAAGGAGGTCATCCCTGACGGTGATGACACTGCCAATCATGCTGCTACCCCCGGCGAAGAATCGGGCAGCGCTGCCACTGGCACTTCTATGATAACCCGCGAAGATATTTCCAGTGATACCATTTGGTCCCAGGCTGAGCTTGAGCCTATTACAGAGGCATCTAGCGTAGCTAGCGACGAGAATGAGCCGGATACCCAGGCGGACCCTGTTGTTGTCAAGTTTGTGTCGTATCACATTGACAGCGACCTGGAGGTGAAGGTCCGTGGTCCAGAGGGCGTCATCGTTTACAAGGTCCATTCGGCTTTGATCGCAGCTGCCTCGTCTGTCTGGCGCAAGATGATTTACGGTGGTGATCACACCCGACCGCAGACAAGCAAATGGATCATTGAGATGCTTGACTCGAACGACGACGCCTATGGGCTCGATGTTTTGTTCGCTGTCATTCATTACAAGTTCCACGACATTCCCCATCGTCCGGATGTTCATCAGCTCTATAGTATTGCTCTGATCGTTGAAAAGTACGAATGTGTTCATATGCTTATCCCCTACATGAGCAAATGGGTCAAAGGCCTCGACCAGCATGTCATGAGTAGAGGAGAATTTCGAGGCGATTACGATGAGACCCTATTTCTTTGTTGGGTCATCGGCGAAGGTCGTTGGTTCTCCCGCCTAGTCTCAACGGCGGCGAACAATTCGACCATTGACGCCGAGGGAAACATGATCAACGGCAAAGGACAGCCCTGGGCGGCTCAGCGCCTACCTTCGGCAATCATTGGTTAGTCTTGTGGTACTTAACTTTCATCCCCTTCTAGACTAACTATTTGTGGTTTTCAGATCTTGTTCGTGAGCATCGTCAAAAGATGCTGACTACCCTTGTCGATGCGATCCGTATCCCATACGAGCAGCTCATGGATGGCAACCTTCAGACCTTGCCGTACTGCCAAAGCGCCAAGGGGGGAGAAGCTGTGAAGAATCAGTGCATCATGCAACAATTCGGATCGCTTGCCCGAGAACTCAAGCGTACAGGCATGATTCCTTTTGTGGATCCGGCGGAGTACACTGGAAGTGTGACCGAATTGGCAACGAAGGTGCAGGACATTACGGTCATGCACTTCAAGTTGCCAGGAGCGCTTCCGCACACCGATACACACGCCCTTTGCGGTATCAATCACCACAACGCTGCCCGTGATGCCATTCATGCACCCACCGAGTTGAGTGGCCACGTCGTTCGCCAGCTCAAGGTGCGATCTCACAAGTCGGGTGCTTTCACTGAGGAGTTGTTTCAGGGCCTCAATGACTTGGAGAAAAATGACCCTGCTCTTAGAGAGATGGAGGATTTGCGTCTCGACCGCATTCACTACCAGCAGCACGGTTTCGAGTCAACCGGTTGAGCCGAGTGTACCAATGGCGGAGATGTGATTGTCAAGTTTGAGGACGACGTCAAGAGTGAGGCAGACGTCAAGCTTGAGGAGGAGGACGTCTAACTTGAGGAAGTCGTCATCAAGCTTGAGATATCCGATTAATTTCTTGTAGAAGACTTGTGCGGTCATTAGGGCTAGCACTAGACATATAATTAGACCCAAGTGTTGCGTTCATGAGATTTCTGAGCTGTGGCAACTGATTCTGGAGCAGATCTGTATTGACGTGGAATTGACTTGTCGAGTTAGGGGTTTATCATGTGGGAGACACAACACTCTGCATGTGAGAGATTCATGGTGGGCATCATACTCGGGTAGCCAGTTAGGTAGCTAAAATATACTCAGTGCAAACGCGTTTCTCCTGTCTGTCACATGCGACGCGATACCCAACTATTAATCATGCATTATTCTCTTTCCAGACTTTTTGTTGCTTACATGTCACCATGTTCCACTTCGTCGCTACCCTGGGGAACATTGCTGTTTCTGAGACCGCCAGAGACCGGTAGGCCCAATTCGGCGGTTACCTCGGCGTCCATCAATCGTCATGGAGGCGGACAAGGCACAGATGACGCCGTGGCATCCCATATGCCCTCGACACAAAGCTTGTGTGCAACGGTACATGATTGATTGAGCTGTAAGCAGCCGATGGGTAGGTGCTTTGTGATCCCTGCCTTAAATACACGGGAAGATGCATGGCAAGGAAATCACGGCTGCGCCGCGGCCTCAAGACTGAGACAGCACCTCTGTTACCATACATGGCCTACGGGCCTGAGTCTCAGTCACCGTCCCCGCTTTCGAGTTTCATTTATTAACACCCCCAAGTCTATGGCCGAGAACCCAGAATGCTCTAACCAGCACAGCATCACCAGACAGTCCTGATTTTGATCAGCAGCCCAGACTTCACCAACCGCCGCCGCCGATAGCCTTGCTCTCTCAGAAGCGCAAACAAAATCATGAACTACCAAGCGAGAAACTGTCGCATTCTGACCACATTTCCAACCGAAGGACTTGGGTCGCCTCTCGTCACCAGCACCATTTGCAACTCCCCCGTCCGGTACGAGTCCGGGAGGCTGCCGGCGTCGACCCAGCTCAACCGGTGGTTTTGCTGCCACTGCGCAGATGGCGGCTATGAGGACCCCGTGGGCATGGTGCACTGCGACGGGCCCGGCGACCCGTTCGGCGAGTGCTGGAAGCCCAGCTGCCGCCACCTCAAGTGCGCAAACTGCGCCCTGGGACCCACGCATAGCAAGGCCGACATCGTCCGCACCGTCGGCGGCCTGCACGCCTCGGCCGCCTTCATCGACCCCGTGTTCTGGGAGTGCGGCCAGTGCGGCGAGTGGGCCCGCAACGCCTTCCACGCGAGGTGCGCCCTCAGCGGCATCGGCATCGCCGCCACGCCCTGCGCCAACACTACCTGCTTCCTGCAGTGGCAGGGCGGCCAGCACGCCGTGCTGGCCGCGGATAGCGTCGTCATGAACGCCCACGGCGAGCGCCTCGGCACCGCCGACCAGAGCGTCGCGGCCGCCGGCGGCCCGTGGCACTGGCAGCGGCGCGCCCTGGCAGACCCCGACTGCGCTCTGCTTCGGAACCTCCGGCACGCTGATCGCCGCTCGACGGCCAGCATGCGCACGCGCGATGGGCCGCGCGTCTGGAGAGACGGCGAGCTCGTGCCGCGCTTCCCGTACCGCCCGCCGCCGCCGCCGCCGCCGCCGCAGTCCAACTCTATCAAGGACGAGGCCGCCGCTGCCGGATGGCACGAGTATGAATGCGCGTACCTCGCGGGAATACCGCTGCAGCCGAGGGAGGGGCGCCACGACGGCGGTCCCGGCCCCTCTGCAAGCAGCAGAAACCAGGATTCGGCGATGAGTCCGGCCCCTCCTCCTCCGAGGTCGTTCTTTTCGGGCTGGAACGATGTGCAGATGTGACGAATGGGTTTGTGTAGGAGTAAGAGCTGCTTTTTTAGAATCTGAAGAATTTGCATTGATTAGAGGAAGTTCATCGGCTCACGATGGCTGCGATGGTGCAGCTATGAATGCACAAGCGGGTTGGTGATGCAAAGATATGGTCGGGTTGAAATGATTCCATGTCTGTCTACCCGTACGGAATACACCTCTATCTACAGTATCTCAACCTCTCAAAACAAAAACGAAGAGCCACTTCTATATACAGAAAGGAAACAACAAGGGAAGCGAGAGACGAGAACAAAGTCCAGGAAAAAGAATATCCAAGAAGAGATATACAAAAAGGAAGAAATATATGCGAGCGAAGAGAAAGTTCTGGTGCAATGCGGATTTAGGTTGGAGGCCGTGCTAGAATTCTCGGTGGAGAGGGGGCCAAGGCCGAGTAAACATGGCCTCTAGATTCATGACCGAGGATACGACCGATTATCGAAAAGTGTCTAGTAGAAGTAAGCATCGATGTGACCGTTGTTAGACCAGCCCTGGCAGCCGCCGCTGGGGTCGGCGCCGCCGAAGTAGGCGTTATTGTTGGGCTGCTCAGTGCAGCCGATGAGGTTGTAGGTTCCCGACTGCCAGCAGCTGTTACCCTGCTTGCAAACATAGGAGCAGTGGTCCATGTCGGCCTGGCAGCCGGTGCTGACGTGAGCGACGAAGTTGTTGCCGCCCATGTTGGGCTCGCGCGAGATGTTCACAGTGGCGCTGCCGCCCGTCGTGAACTCGCCCCACGTGTTCTCGACGATGCCGGTCCACGCCAGCCGCGTCTGGCGCCCGTAGATGGCCGACCACGCGCCCGACACGCCGTTGTCGAGCGACACGGTCACGCTGCTGCCCCGCGGCAGCGACCACGTCAGCCGCGGCCGGTTGACCGCCACGAACGCCGACGCGTCGTCGACCCGCTCCCACATGACCAGCACCACGTCCGTGTTGGGCGACGAAAAGGTCATGGTGTTGGGCCCGCCGTTGCCGATGCGGATGTTGGACCCCCCCGACGGGTTCGAGCCTGGCCCCGTGAAGCCGATGCTTGACAGGTAGTTGCAGTCGTCCCGCGAGAGCCCCCACGGCGGGTTGTCGCAGCCGAAGCCGGCCGCCGTGAAGGTGGTTCCGGTGACGTTGTGGAAAGTTCTGAGGAGAGACCAGCGTGTAAGTGTTTTTGTCTGTGTTACTTCAGGGGGGAGTACTCACGGGAGAGCAGCCGCGAGAGAAGCAGCGCCGAGGACGACAGCAAAGATCTTAGACAGCATCTCATATATATACCAAAAAAAAAGACTCTCGAAGGCGGACAAACACAGACTGATTAAAGGGAATGATTCTGGGGCGTATAGCTGTAAACAAGCCGGTGATGGAAAGGAGTGTAGAACTAGTAGACAAGACAAGACAGAAGATGAAGTGGCTGCTGTGTGTGATGGGGGACTTTGAATCCAGAGTCGTCGGATGGCATCGTGGTCTTTATAGAAAGGTAACCCACAACCTTCAAGCAAAACAGACATACGTGTCTTGACGATGCTCCTGGCCTGCCATGGCGATTACATCGCAGGAGCCCCTGGCAGCCGATGAGCCTTGCGGGAAACGGATGCCTGCCATTTTAGTCGTCCTGGACTCTGTCCACTGCACATGTGGTGTGGTAGCGATGCGGGCAGGGTAGGACAGGGTAGGGCAGAGCATGCGTCCCAAAGCCGTGATAATCTAGGCTCGATCAAGGAGCAGGGTGCGGGTGTGCCTGAGCAGTTAGCTCAGGAAGCAACGAAGCACCCATAATCATTACGCTCCAGCCAGGTAGGTAGGTGTTCACCGTTCACCTGGTAGCGGGATGCTAAACGCGTATTGGCAAGTCGCCTGGTGCTCCGCGCGTATAAGAGTTCCCCGGATCCCGCCCTGCTGGTAACATTGAACTCCCAAAAGGGGGTGGTGATGGGCCAAATGCTTAAAAATCCTGCCCGCCGCGCCGCAGGAACCATCGAGGAAGCATGAGCACTGTAGATAACAGCGAGGAAAATGCAGGGATGTTGGAGCTTGGCAGGGCTCGAACCGGGCTTCTCATTCTGAAGGGATCGGAGACTTGTTGCTTATATCGCAACCGCCTTCCATCTTCTGGCTGGCCCATCTCTCGAGAATCGGATTAGATCCCGGGTAGGCTCCGAGCGCAACTCGAACGTTCGTTTTCCAACACGCAGGATGTGGCAATTGGGGTTCAAAAAGGGGTGGACAAAACCAGAGAAACGCGCCGTTTTGTTATCCGATCAGCAATCGAGAAGATGCACCCGCTGAGTACATTACTCTGTAATGACAAAAGGGAGCTGGCACGTGTTCGTAGAACAGGTAGAAAAGACATATTCAGTATGTTTCGAAACTCCCACGGGTTGGGGATTGGGGAACTGAGTGGCGGTGCCAGGAACCGGGGTCCCGGGTTTGTCCTGCGGCACAGCCTGTGACAGAAACGGGAACCCTTCCCCGGTCCGTGGACGGCGAGTTTCCCGATATGGAGCGGCAAGCCCCCCTGTCCTCTCAACAGTCTCACGCATTTCCGCTCCTTCAAACGCACGCCAATGCCCCCCCTGCACCTGTCAGGCAGGCTCACTCACACTTGCTTCTTCTGGAATCAAGCGCAGCCGCATGAGATCCGCATTGTATCTCCGCGACTTGATAACGACAGGCAAATAAAGCCCCGTTTTGGAAGCTGTGTTCTCGAGACTAGCCTGCCTAAGAGTTGCCGAGGGCGCTTTCCGGCAACGCGAAATCCTGGAGGAGTCCTTTTTGCTTTGGCACGAGCGCCGTCAACCTCACGGTCTCGCTGCATCAAGCTGCGGCCAGCAACGTACCCATCCCGTCGAAAATCTGCTTGAACAGGACACGATGCTCGACTGACGACACGATAGAGAAGATGGGATCTCAGATACAAGCCCCAGTGGCAATGAAAAGCCATTAGTCCCTGAGTACAACATTTTCGACATCACGACTTCCAACATTTGTAATATCTACTTATCTGTCTACCAACACCATATCATGGTGCTTCGCCACCCCAGTTGCGGGATCCCACTTCCCCCGCATGGCCTAGACTCTAGACACGGGAACAAAGACAGCCAGTGTCGAAAGCGGTTGGCTCGATATCGGGTAGGACCCTGAGACAGGGGTAATTCTGAGCCTCTCGATCCGGGTGTGGAGGGGCAACAAGGTGCCAAGCCATGAGACGTCACCGTTGTTGCTGAAACGTCGGCTTGGGATCGACAGATCTAACGTCTGCACCATGCGACTCCTCAGATCACCACTCATCTCCTTCTTCGACTGTCTACGACACCCCATCGTTCCTTGCCTCACTCTAATGGCACGCGCCCAGGCATCCCCATCAGAGGCTGCCAACGAGCCCGTCAAGCTCGCCGACATTGGCGCGTGGAAGACGGCGTTGTTGTCGGGGAGGCCGGCCCTCTCACACCTGAACGCCGACACGACGTGGCTGGTCTAGCCGCTACATTCGCCGACGGGTCCGGAAGCAGCTCCTGGAGGCCGCTCGCACTTCAACATCATGATCGACCCATGGCTCGGTGGCCCACAGTCCGATGTGGCCTCCTGGTTCTCGACACAATGGTACGTTGAACCGCCATTTGTACGAACGATCAAAGAGCTGAGCGATGTGATCGCCCAGCTAGAGGGAGATCACGAAATTATGCGACCGCCATCACCTGCGGCGGTACGCGAGAGGGATGCACTTATTGATGCAGTGGTTGTCTCCCACGAGTTCACGGATCACTGTCGCCGCAAAACACTTGAAGAGCTGCCGAATAGCACGCCCGTGTTCGCCACCGACAAGGCCGCCAGGCTTATTAGCACGTGGAAGCACTTCAGCAGGGTTCTCTGGAACAGAGCCAGACTGGGCCGAGGTTCTCCGTGACAAGACGGGCTCGTTGCCGCCATAGCTCGGCATCGGGAGGGTTGTTTCCCAAGGCAACGCCCTGTACTACCACTCGGCCGTGGCCATTGTGTTTGAGCTGCCATCCGCCTCTCACGGGGAGAGTAGGGACGTTGAGGCCATCATATAACCCCCCCCCCCCCCCCCCCCCAACGGCATCAAGGCCACAGACCTGGCCGACTTCAGGGGATGCCTGGGGAATGGGATTGAGACTCTCGCGCTCCTTCACGGGCTCAACGACGTGCGGATCTGGATGACGTCACAGCTGAACCTGGGCGCGCTCAACGGCATCGAGGCCGCACGTGCCTGCGGAGCCAAATACTGGGTTGCGACGCACGACGAGGCGAAAAGAGGGGCCGGGTTCATCTCGTGGCTACTGCATCGGAGGTCGTACACGCTGCACGATGCGTGCAAAGACCAGTGCAGTGCTAGCACGCTTGGAAGAGCCCGCCAGTGCTGACTTTGCCTTTGTCTCGCTGGGGTCTGGCGATGCGCTTGTGTTGCTGGCGGGTTAGATATCTTATGCCCAATTTGCATCTACATGTCACTCTTCAAGCAGTATCGGTTGCAGGTTGCGCTGCGTCAAGCTCACGCTTCCAACATGATAACTAAGACCCATGGATGCGCAGAAGGCCGTTTGACGGTTCAAAGCTGTTGATGCTTGACAGCCAATCGTCGTCCACGCTGTGCTGTCTGCAAGGAAGTATGAGGAGAAAACATCCCGCTCAATGTTTGCTTTGTAGCTGTGTCTGCAACAACCCGGGAAAGCATAAAATTTAGGTTGTCACGGGTGGTTGTCAAAGATTAGATGGTGCAAGCAATGGAAGAAGATAGGGAGGTCGTAGTCAGTTGGAGAGGCCATTTTTCCAGCTACGGATTTAGAGTGAGCCCCAAAGAAGCGGATGCGGAAGTGATTCTCGAGTGTTCGTAGTGTCACTACTCTGTAGAGCCAAAGTTTAAACGCACAGACCAGGGAGCTGCCTGCCCCACACCCCCGGCCTGGGCCTATCAGCAGGCGGGACCGATTTTTTCTGCGGGGAGGGGGGGGTCGAAATTTTGGCATCGTCGCCCGGGAGCAATTCGGTCAAACTGCTCTCCTACCCTGTGCTTGAAGTGCCCGCTTCACAGCCAGTCGGCGAGCAACTTCGGCCTTGGAAAACCCGTCACGCTGCCCGCTGCCCGACCGCCGTCAGCTCGCTGTCAACGCCCTGCAGCTCACTTCACGGATTGTACGTATGGATGGATGTGTTTCTTAGCTGCCCCGCCCTTTGTGCTGCGTCCAAGATTATTACTACTACCTTACTGCCTTACGTTTGACTTGCTTTTCTAATACGGCAGCGAACAGAGAGCACGGCGGCGCGTTGCACAGGTTCCGATTCTGGATGTCGCCCAGTCTTTCGGGCCTCTCGTTGTTCGACTTACTTTGACTTGACCGACTTGTCGTCACTCTCTTCCGTCTGCCTACTTTGCTTCTTTCTTCTCCGCCTCCTACTTCTTCTACTGCTGGCAGCGCCTTGGACATCGACTCACTTGTTCGCTTGCCTGGCTAGGTGCACTCTGGCAAAACATCATGGCGCCTATCAACGGGGCTGCAGCAAAGTCGGCTAAGACTAGCACTCGACGAGCCACCTCTAAGACTGTCGTCCCCGTGCTGCCTCTTACCTACCCCCAGCGCCCACCATCCAAGCAGCACGTTCCTGCACCGCCAGCTCTGCCCCCTCCGACCCACAGCGAGCCAACCCAACATCCCGCCGACGTCAAGGTTGAAGGCCGAAAGTCAGACCAAGAACAAGAGCACCACGCCCGCCACGAGCTGCCAGCTACGAGCCCCGTCGAACTCGGCCCAAGCCCTGCCGAAAATATCAATACCTATACGCCATCTGCGGCTCCCGTTCAAGTGGCCATCGCAGCTGAGCTCCCTGCCCCGGGTGCTACCACTGATGTGAAGCCTTCAGGTATGCATGGGTTTTTCCTCTCGAGCGTTGTGGCGTTTGGTGCAGCCTTAGTTTGTCGACATCCCGCTCCCCTCCCTGCGTCTTGTTCTCTTGACCCTTCTCTTTGCTGCACTCTCGTGTGCGGATCAGTCGTGCTCACAGAAGACCAAAGATACTCCGACCTCCTTCTCGCCTTCGATCGACCAAGACATTAATTCCCCCCGACACCCCCGACTCTTCGGCCCCTCAGACGTTGGATCTACCTGTTCTAGTGCGACTGGGCGCGCCGCCGATACCCTTAACACAACTACACAACATCCGATTATGCATCCTCCTGGGTTCCACCATGCTCATCCGAGCAACGGGAGCTTAGTATTTGGGCGGTTCGACTCGAATGCATCGTCGCCTGTCCCCCGCCCCGGAGCCGGCTTCCCTCCTCCTGGCATCATGCCATATCCACAGACTGCGATGCCTGTTGCGGCAGTGGATGGGTATGGCCGCCCAGTGATGGTGTCTCCGACTCTCGATGGCTACCCTGCAGCCATCATGAGTCACCATGGCCCGCCGACCCCTCATAGCTTCCACGGCTCGCAATCGTCGATACAGGCCGAAGACCACGGCTTCGGACATTATCCCCCGATTAATGGACATAATGGATACCACGTTGAGCCTGTTGCGCAGACCGGAATCAACCACCTGAGCTTGAACCCGCACATGAATGGCGCAATGCACTCCAATGCGGTCTCTGCGCCGTTTCAGAGCGTCCAGGAGCAGGGCGAGACGTTGGATTTTCTCCGTCGAGGCATCAGCGATAACACCTTTAACGACTGCGTCATCGAGGCCGCTTTCCGTGATAGCCCCTATTTCGGGGACCATCCTGATTACCGGGCTCTTTTGCCCAGAGTCAGAACTCACGGACACCGATTCGTGTTTTCCCGCAGCCCTGCGCTTGCCAGAGTAATGAAGTCCCAGCGGACTGCCCCAGGTGGCTGCATATTCCTCGACGTCCAGGACGAGTTCATGCGTCCCGATGTCTTCTTGTATGCCATCCGCAGTCTTTACGGCTGGTCTCTGGCCGATATCATGCTTCCCACCGACCTCCAACTACGTAATGTCAAGGACGACTTCAAACTCGCCGTGAGCTACGCCGCTACGGCGCAGTTCTTGGAGCTGCCGAGACTGTATACGATTGCTTTGCAACGTGCAAGCAACCTTCTGCACTGGGAGACTCTTGATCTGGCTGTCGACTTTGCCTTGCCAAATGTCACGGTACCTCGCCTCTCCCGATCTGACGATTTCAACGTCTCGGGGCTCGTCGATCGGCTTCTCGTCTTCATCGTTGATAGCTTCCCAAATGACTTCGTTCTGGATATCAGCGCAGCCGACAACGGCTTTACCCGCCTACCGGCCGCTGGCCCCTATCACCACAGCGCAGATGCGCCAACGATTGCCCATGGTACGTCCGGAGCAGCCTACAGCCGCCATCCGCCCAACATTGATTCGCGCATGCATCGGAACCAGCTCCTGTCTTCCAATCCGCGCCTGTCGCAAATCAAGTTCGGAGACATTTCACCGCCCAACCGGAATGGATATGTGCCCCATGATGCTCCTGTTGGTCTCGAGGCGGTCAAAGGAAATATGATGCCGTCCCCGAACGATACTATTCTTTCACGGATCTTGCTCAACCTCCCCTTCAACCTCCTGACGCGAGTTCTGGAGCATCCTCAGTTGGCCAAGCCCTCTGGCGAGCTCAGCATCCCTGCCCGGTACGCTATTATGTCTAGCATCGTTGCGGAGCGAGAGTCTCGTCGGCTCCGGACCTTGGACAGGGGTGCTCCAGAGCTTCGTATGTTTCAGGACACCCTTGCTAAGGCTGCCGATCCGCTGGCCGTCAAACACATGGGCGACTTTCTGGTGAACAACATGGGATACAAGGAAGAAGTGTTTCTAGGAGACCCCCCGTGCCTTGTGCACCGATGGGTGCCGACTAGCAGCGTTGGCGGCAGTATCACTGCTTGATGGGACCTTGAGAAATCACGGGACGATGCCTTGATGTCCAAGACGCGCCGGGATTTTACGACTTGATGACCTCGAGAATCAGGCTTCACGGAAACGGTTTTCGGGCGGACATTTGCATTTGCACCCTCCTTTTCATGGCATACACCATATCCTAATGCTCCCTTGTTTGATACATTTCACCATATGACGGAATTTCCCTCTGCATTGCGACTGGAGTTGTACGAGTTAAACAAAAAGATCTGCCTGGCTTGCCGGGTAGGCTAGAAGGTATTCGGGTCTGTTACGGTTTGGGACGGGGTCTACTTTGGGTTTTCGGATTGCCATAGTGAACGTTTTTTCGTTGCACAATCTACATCTCGGGTCATTCCGCCATGAAATCATCTGCTTTGGGTGGATTTACGGATCTCGGGGAGTCGATGAGCCTGGAGCTCGAGAAATTACCAGCACTGGCTGAGATCCCGACTCCGACTTATTTGGTTCTTTGGCTTCGTGGTCGTCTCGCCACTTTCGGTCGACATTGGCATCACACCATATGGTGCTACGTCTCCACTGACAACGGGCGGCATGGATACGAACGGGACGAGGTCCAGTCTCGGCAACAGGTATAAAGGAAGTGGTTTCAGATCGGCTTCTATTTGGCTCTTTCCGAGATTTGCTGGACGGTGGGGTGGATCCGGGGAAGTCGCACACTTGCTTGCTCTTGGCGCTGGTGTTACGTTTTGGAAGGCGCCATCTGCGAATGGGCGTGGGGGACAAGGAAAAACAAAAGATATTTTTGACATTGGCTCAAGATCCTGAAGCGAAGCTCTTCTTGCCAAAGATGGATAGATGCGCGGGGATGGCCGACAGGGCGAAATCAGCGTCAGGTTTATCAGGAGGCGAAGTCTTATATCTTTATCTTAGCGAAGTAATTGCTAGGAGGACTTGGAGTCGAGGCCTAGCCGGCATCGGCGCTGCCAACTGGTCTTATGATAGCGATTGGTATCATTTTGTCTATTCTAGGTATAATTTATTTTCTCAGCAGGCGCATGCTCCTTGGACTTGTAATAGATCTTAGATCTCAATCTGTGTGTTTCGTAGTGATGTTGTGCATTGAATGACAGCATTCCCCAATTAAACAGCACTCTGGTGCAGTGGAGACCTGGGGAAATGCTCCCTGCGCGCCTGGGATTGCATGCAACTCGCTGCTGACAGAGCCGAGGCTACTCGAGTCCCGTGCTTTGGTGCCTCTATGCACCCCTGTTCTAGCATGTGCGATGGATGGATTGACAGCTCGAACAATCGGGGTCACCAAATGCATCCCTTTCTCCCCGCTCTAGCATCCCGCCTGAGCCCTCTAATGTCGATGTCACGGCCGAGGCCTACCGGATTTTGTCTCGCCCGATAGGCTCTGGAGCAGTCCACAGCTGAGGTATCTTGCTATTTGGCGACCCCTTGGGTATCGACGACACGTCGGTCTCGATTAGATAACAGGCTCGGTTTCCGACCTCGTCTTACATCCTTCGACAGCCACCTGTTCCATTCCAATACGGCCTCGCATTCCAGCATTCACACCGTGTCATAATTACCTTATTCGGGAGCGCCAATATCCCGACGGTTTGACGGCGGCCCTCTAGAGGGGATCATCGGCCAACTCTGACGCCTGTCCGAAATGGCGTCCCGAGCTAGGCCCTCGAGCTCGCGGAGCCCAGCGCCAGCCTCCCCGTCGGTTACGGCCAAGTCGACGTCCGACCCCGTCCTCCGCAACGCCCTACGATATACCATTTCGGCGCGCGAGTATGCACTACTACACAAATATGTCATTTCGCGATCGCGCATGCTCAAGCGGCGAGCCCCGACCGTTGACACGGTGCAGAAGATGATGGACGGCGCGCCGCAATCCCGCACACGCGCGCAGTCGTCCAGCAGGCCCGATAAGGGCAAGGGGAAAGGGAAGGAGGCCGAGCGCGCCGATGACAGCGCGGCTGCCGCCCGAGGCCCTCCTGCGCGAGGCACTGACGACTATAACGCCCGCGCCATCCGGCACTCCATCCGCGTCTTTGTCGCGACGGGCGCGTTGATGAAGCTGTGGGGTATCGTGTCGGCAAGGTTGATGGGGGCCAAGAAAGAGTAAGTGCAGACTGCCATCTGCTCCTTTCGTCCTCTCTAGATCGAAGGCGCTGCTAACAGAGTGATGTGACCCAGTCCGGCGTCGGCGAACAAGAAGAAGCAGCCGCTGCACAAGTCTCCGACTCTCCGGCTCTCGCTGTCCCTCAGCACCATCCTACTGATGTATCGACTCCTCTTCCGCTTCTTCACGCGCCTGCGCGCCCACCTGCTGGATCCGACAGCAGCCCCGTTCCGGAAGCGTAACCCCAAGACAGCAAGCACGCTGACGTCGCCGTACGCCCCTGCAGTGGGCGCATCGCTGGCGGGCCTGGCCCTCGGCGTGTACCCAAGCCAACAGCTCCGCGTGTCCATCGCGGTATACACGCTGTTCCGGGCGCTCGAGTTTGGATGGAACTGCGCCGAAGACAACGGCATGGTCTGGGGATGGGAGAAGGGCCTCAACGGAAAACCTGACCGCAAACGAGCGAGGCCGTGGTGGTGGGGCAGCTGGATGTTGCAGCCCTTTGCGTTTGGGCAGCTGCTTCATGCCTCGGTCTTTGACCGCGAGTTGGTACCCAAGGTCAGTTTCCGTTCGACATTAGCAGCCTGTCGCTCGGCTTCGTGCTGACCTTGTGCAATGAACAGACGTACACCGATTTCATCTTCAAGCACTCGACATCATACCTGAGCACTAAGCCGCTAGACTTCCCGTCGAGCCTGAGATGGCCAGGCACATACGAGATTGTGGAGAGTCTTAGCGAGATGGCCCGGCTGAACTGGCCGTATGTTTCTGCTCCCTGAGTACCATTGGGTGTTTTGCTAACATGGTCCTACTAGGGCGTTCATCTCACCTACACTCTTCCCCAACAAGGACGACACCCTGCCGGCGAGCCTGGCAGCGATCGCGCCGCTTACCTCGGGAGCCCACCCGCTCATCAGCTCGCTTTCGTGCGCCACGATTCACCCGGCAGACCCGTCGTGCACGCGAAACTTTCTGACGTTCTGGCTGCAGTCGTTCCCGCCCATAACTCGCGTGCTGCTGCTGGCCTACTCGGCCATGCTGCTGCCGCGGTTTAAGGCGCTCTACCACTTCCCCGTGTCGACGCTGCACCGGCTGCTGTCGAGCGCGCTGCGCATGTCGGCGTTTATCACGGGCTCGCTGGCCACGGCGTGGTCCTCCATCTGCTTCTTCCAGACGTGGTTCCCGCGCGCCTTTCTGCCCACGCAGCGCTTCTTCCTCGGCGGCTTCCTCGCGGGCTTCTGGGCGCTCGTCGAGCACCGCGGCGGCAACCGCGGCGTGTTCCTGTATAGCGCCCGCGTTAGCGTCGACTCGCTGTGGAAGGTCGGCGTCAAGCGCCGCTGGTGGCGCGCCATGAAGGGCGGCGACGTCTGGGTCTTCGTGCTCGCCCTCATGCTGACCGGCGTCGTCTACGAGCGTGACGCCAGGGCCGTCAAGGAAGGCAGCTGGCGCAAGGGCATCAGCTGGGTCCGCGGCGAGGGCTGGAAGGACTGGGGCGTCGATCCCGAGGACGTAGATAACGGGGGTGATGATGACGATGATGCGCGCGTCAAGGACGAGTGAAGGGGGCAATCACTTAATTAACTGGTGGGCAGAGCGACGCGGCAGACGATTGCTGTGAGTTTTTTGTTTTGCGAACGAAAGCCGCGATGAGATTAAGTACTTTACTACCGGAATGGTGAAAATGACACATGAGATTACCTGTCCTCCCATTTTCGTGCTTGGCTTGCCATGGTGGATCAAAGTCTGGAGTGCTCGTGACTTTGGTGTTTGCGGGTTTCCTCGATTATACGATTGTGGAGATGCTTTCTCTGGGGAATACAGCCCCAAGGGAAGTGTATTAAATGGGGCGATTCGTTTCTTAATGCTGCGGAGTCTTGCAGCAGAATTACCTTGTTTTGTATCAGGGGCATTGAAGTATCGGATAATGTGGATCTTACTGTGTGTGAGTGAGTAGTGAAAGACATGGGAGTGAATGTTCTAGAAGAGTTTTTGCCTAAAGAAGGAAGTGTCTGTTCTTGCTCCTTGCCTTTCTCTCTCTCTCCCCTTTGGCATTGTTATTTACTTGAACCTATGTTCTTGGGTGACCTTAAGAGTCATGCTAGTTATTGTGGAGAGACTAGAACTAGAGGGTTGGCTGAGTTTTGTTGACAGCGCCGCCTGGGTCTGGATGGGATGGAATGAGATGAGACGAGACAGGGCAGGCAAGCGGATGGCCACATTGCACTGAGCACATTGCACATTGCACTGGCGGTTACGGAAACATATGAGGAGGCTGGGCCGCGTTATGGTGCACACACACATTGTACTCGGTCATGTTTTTACCGTGCCATGCTATGGTGACTGACCCCGCACGGGGTAAAGAGATGCAGATAAGAGGCAGGCTTTCCAAGATCTAGTCCATCACACACTCTACCTGGTCAGTCAAGAATAGACAGAGTCCCGTTAAGCCTCAAGTCCCTGCTGCTGGCGCCGACCCAGAGGCGGTACTCACCGCGGCGCAGGCGCCACTGCTGGGCCACCACGTCCCACACGCTGAGGTCCCGCCGCGTGAGCCCGAACACGGCCTGCCGCGTCTCGCCCGGTGCGAGGGGCCCGACGCGAACGAAGCCGCGCAGCTGCCGCGCCGGCGTGTCGCCTTCCTCCCCTTCATGGTCGGACCCCGGCACGCCGACGTACAGCTGCGCGACCTCGCTGCCGGCCCTCTCGGCGCCCGTGTTAGTCACGGCGCACGCGACGACGGCGACCGTAGCCCAGAGGTCCGGATGCCCGCCCTGGACGACTGGAACGCCCGCGTCGGGAAACTCGACGGGGGGCAAACTGTCTGCCAGCGCGGCGGACAAGCCGGCGTAGCCAAAGGTGGTATACGAGAGGCCGAAGCCAAACTCGAAGCGCGGGGCGACACGGTCGCGGTCGAAGGCGCGGTAGTCGATGAACAGGCCCTCGGCGAAGGCGTCCTCGGGGAAGTAGTCGGCCGACACGGTCGAGTTGAGAAGGTCACCGTAGTCAGCCTCGTTGCGCGCCACCGTGTACGGCAGCCGGCCGCTCGGGCTGACGTCGCCGTAGAGTACAGACGTGAGGCTGTGGCCGCTCTCCTGGCCAGGCAGCCCGCCGAACACCACGGCTGTCACGTTGGGGTGGCCGATCCAGGCGTCGACGGTGCGGATTCCTGTTGTGTTGACATGGCAGTCACAAGTCAGCTTGGTCTCATTCGCTAGTTAGTGTAGGGAGTGGCGGACTGGAGGGCTCACCAGCAGAGTGCACGACGACGATGGTGTTTTGGCACTTGGCCGCAACGTTCGCGACGAGGCGGTCGCTGAACGCGTCTGCGAGGCTGGTACGGTCGAACATCTCTGAGGCATACGCGTTGATAAAGACCAGACAGGCGTCCGCGTTCAAATACTCGGCGTGGGGGTCGACCGAGTAAAAGTCCCAGCGCAAGACGCCACGGTCGCTGACAACACGCTCCTGGAGGGCTTGGAACGGGGACACTACGTATGGTGGCGAGCTGCCGCCGGACCCGCCGCCCGTCACGAGCGTCCCGTTCAGCGTGCCCCAGCCAAAGTTGACGTCGTACCCGCCGCCGTAGCGGTCGGGGTTCTGCCACGGACCGGCCTTGAGCGGCGCGTCGTAGCCGTACACGCACAGGAACCGCGGCTTGATGAGTGGTAGTGTGTTGTTGACGTTCTTGACGAGCACCGTGCCGGCCGCACCGATCTCCTTGATCAACAACGTGTGGCCTGCCTGGACGTCGACGGGCGCATGCTTGTGCGTGCTCGGGTAGATGGCCGGGGGCGGGAAGTCAGTCTGCTGGTGCAGGAAGTACCAGGCCGCGAGGACCCGCGTGGCCATGTCGCTGATGCGGTCTTGGCTGACGGACCCGTTGCGGACGGCCTGCGCGAGACTGGCGCCCCAGAAGCCCGCGTTGGGCATCACCAGGTCCAGGCCCGCGTTGACCGACGCCACGCCCGACATCTGCCCGTCCCAGTCGCTCACCACAAACCCCTCGAAGCCGAGCTCCGTCTTCAGGATGCCGTTCAGCAGCTTCGAGTTCTGGCATGCGTACGAGTGGTTGGCCCGCTGGTAGCTGCACATGATGGCTGCGGCGCCCTCGCGCAGGGCCTCCATGAAGGGGAAGACGTAGAGCTCGTGCAGGGCACGGTCGTCGACGTTTGCGCTGATGGCGTCGCCCATGGAGGACCATCGCCGGCGGAACTCTTGCTCGTTCAGCAGCCAGTGCTTGGGCGTGGCGATGACGCCGGCGTCCTGGATGCCGCGGGTGATGGCGCCGAGGCCGGCGCCGGCGAGGTAGGGGTCGTTGCTGAGACCCTCCCAGTTGCGACCGCCCCTGGCCATGCGGCCGAGCGGGCCGGCCACGGGGCCGAGGGCCACGTTGATGCCCTTGCCGCGGTACTCGTCGCCCAGCGCGCGGCCGTAGCGGTGCATGAGGTGGCGGTCAAAGGTGGCGGCCACGTGGATGCCGGCGGGGAAGGCCGATACGAACTCTTGTCCGCGGATGCCGCTGGGGCCGTCGGCGAAGCAGAGCGCCGGCACGCCGAGCCGGGGGACTTGGCCCGTGTTTCCCACGCACGCTCCGGGCCAGCCGTGCGTGATATTCACCTTCTCGTCGACCGTCATCTGCGACACAATCGCCCGTGCATGTCCGTATGCTACCGCCCACCTGCTGCTGGTGGAGCCATTGGCAATAGCTACGTAGCACGTTAGGGTTGCTAATATCTTGCAAAAAGAATAATGAAGAAATAAAAGGAATAGAAAAAGAATACTCTGCGACAAAGTCAAGAGTCACAACTCACGCGAAGGGTACACTGCAGGGCTGCGGCCGTAGTAGGGGACCTCAGACGGGTGGCCGTCTTGGTACTGCGTTGCGGGCTGGACGTTGAAGGACGCGGCAGCAGCAGCGGCGGCGCAAAGAAATGAAACGGCGGCCTTGGCGGAAAAAGCCAGCGGCTCGGCCAGGAACCAGGGCGCGGTGTCGGGCGCCCGGCACGGAGGAAGCAGATTATAGACGTCTCTCAGGTATTCCATGGCTTTATTGTCCTTGTTCTTACTAGTAGAGCCGCCGTTGAAACAAAACGTTGTCCCTGCTGCAGAATTGCACGCTGTTTGTTGATTGATTACCCACCACCCACCTAGCCTCAGTCCCTGATCGACTTACCATCAGCCAACCCGGCGGTTTGGGTGTGTGACCAAGAGCCCCGTAAGGTAATTTCTTACCGCTTCGTCCCGCAACAAGGCCATCCTTTCGGCTTTGTTGAGGCTGCTGCCACCCACTGAAATCATCCCATTACAGGCGGGGGTTGCGGGTTGGCGACCCGACGAATCCCCAAGGCTCGTTCTATGGGCCCATTGTGGGGTGCAAACCAACCATCCCCGGAGCCCCATACCCATCCGTGGATGTATCCGGACGAACTGGATCTATTTTTGTGTTTCTCACGACTCGCGATATCCCCAGACGCCTGGATTTAGAATCTGGCATTTGTTTCGAGTTCCTCGCAAGGCCATCGAGCGGGAAGAGGGCCGAACCTTAACTAGGTGTCCAACTCCGCTGTCTGACTCGCAGGCCGGCAGCGGGAGAAAAAGCCAGGGGAGCCCAGCACCGCGGGGCAGGCACAACATTAGCTACACAGTAGAGACTAGGCAGTCGAGTCCAGGCAGAAGAACACATGGATGCAAACCTAGGTGTCCATGGTAATAATAATATCACCAGGCAGCTTGATCCATGGCATGTTTTGGATTCTCGTAACACCACTTCCACCCCCATCTATGGCCTGTGCACATCGGGTCGTGTTTGGCTAAGTAGGCACGGAGATGGAAAACACCATCGGTCCCGGAGGCGGAGACTGACCGCCTCGCTGTGCACGAATGCCATTTGCACCTTTTGAGCACCGGAGACGGGGACCACGGGCGGGAGGCGCTCGCTGGCCCGAGCATGTCTCAGCGAGGTTTGCGTCGCTCTCAAGGTGTGAGAAGTTGGTGACCACCACCCCGTGCACACCACTTCGAAAAGACAGCCTGGACAGCGTAAGGTAAGCAGAGGAAAGAGAATAACCTTAATGAACGCCCACTGAAAATGAAGCATGCGGGCCAACGCAGGACGCAGGCACGGCATCCATTGTTCACTGCTCGTCGCAGGCCCAGGAGGCAAAGCAACCGCGCCTCACCTCACCTCACCTCACCTCACCTCGCCTCACCACTTAAAGTGATACAGAGGCGTCACAAGGTGAGTTGCGGCGCAGAGACGCGCAGCGCGATTGCGTCCTTCCACACCCAAAGTTTAGAGGGACGGGGGAGACCATTACCCCGCAGACACGCTTTCTCTCGTCTCCGTGCCTCTCTCTTGTGTGTGCACCTTGTTGGGATGACGCGCATTTTTCGCGCGCGAACCGTTCCTCGGAATACGATGCGACCATGAAGGAAATTACAGACTGACACCGGACGGCGGCCACAGCTGTTGTGACTTCAAGGTTGTGTCCTAGTGTTGTGTTGTGATGACTGATGACCAACACAACCTGGAAGAGGTGTAGCTAAGCTAATAACCCGCGGTTTAATGGTCTGTATTCGTACTTGGTATGTATGCACGACAACTCCCCCGCCCAGCTGCGGACTGCCATGTAAAAGCAGCCCCAATCCAGCCTGTACGACCGCCGGTCGCTTTGTCTTGAGCCCTTGACTATTTGCAGATCTGCAGCTATCGAGAAGTAGATCGTGTCACGAGGTCGTCGGTCGCCGGCCGTCTGCCGTGGTACAGTACTGGTGGGACTGGGTGTCACTGGGCTGCGGGTGGGGGGTCAATGATTGCAGCTCTCCACGGGCCATCCCAACCCAGTCACGAAATCCGGGTCCAGACTCGAAAACGACTACCGAACCCCATAGTCGATCGACACTGGAAGGATGGCGGCGAGGTGGCAGCGGCGATCGTATTGTTCGCTCCATGTCCAGAATTCATTCAGTGTCAGGGACATATTCCGAGCTTCCGGTTTCTCGCGCTCCGCACGTGTCATTCATGCCAGTGACAGGTGGCGGCTTCAGGTTAAATAGGACGACGGTGCGCAGCTGCACCAGTGGCCAGTGGGCTCCGCTCCGCTCCGCTAGCCAGCCCAGAATTCGAGGTCCGGTATCCGTACCCCCCTACGACACGGTAATTTGATCCAAGCATCACAGAACGAGCCTAGTTTCAGCCCTGCTAATGCACCGCACTGCACACACATGTACGAGTACGTTACAGTATTCCGGACGTTGGGGAGGACCAAAGTCCGTATTCACATCGTCGCAGAGGTACCCGAATCCCCGATTCGTAAAACCTGTGTCCGGTGCGACTCGAGCCCATGGTCCAATGACGGCGGGAGCTGCAAAGAAAGGCGATGCGCTAAGCTTCCGGTCATATTTCGGCCGGGTTGGCGCTCCGGTCTGACAGTTCGGCCCAGGGGTTGGCGTCGATGACGTGCAAAAAGGGCGGAAGCCGCCCGAGTCTGTCAGAAAATAGTTCCGCTGTTACCCGCGTTGTCCGGGCAGGCAGAAGCCGTTTGACACTGACTACCAGACGAAACAAATAGGGGGCTGCCGAGTCAGGATAGAACTCGACCGTAGCTGCTCGTCTTGCGAGAAGATCAAGATTCCGAGCTGCTCATCCCTTAAACACGCCTCTTCAGGATAGCGAAAAACTATTCGTTCCTGTGTGAGACAATGTATTTCTTTTCTTGGCTACAGGGGACATGTCCGTATTAGCTCATGCGCATCCAAACTAGGCCGCTGGTAGCACAAGAATGGCCGGGGAGTGGTTCGGAGGCGGCACTGGCCACAGCGCTCGGTTTCAGCATCGAAGCCCACATGCATCGCCAAACAATGCGTCCCTTTGTTCTTTTTGGCTTCGACGGAGGGAAAGGCGCGGACAGCCCGAGAGTCAGAGAGCTTCCAGGGGAGGGGGTGCAGTTCTCTTTTTTGCCCAGGGGTTACGCCTTGTTCTCGTGGGTCCCCGCACACCCCCGATGCTCTTTCAGGTAAAGCGTCAGGAACAGCCGTGTTATTGGGTCGCGGAAGACTGACCGATCCGTCATGGTGGGACGGATGTCGGCGCCAAGGGGGCCTTAAAGGGGGTGGAGATAGCAGAACCCCTGGGCGGGTAGTATCCCAGTGCAGACTGTGCAGTGATTACACAATCGCAATGCACCACAGTCCACCAGGCCAGAGGTCCTCCGCTGAACCACACACATGAGTTCCCCAAAGGATCGCTACCGTGTCGCTGTATCGCTTTCCTGAGCTTCAGGTCTTGGTGGGGGTCAGCAGGGATTCGAATTTCAGATCTTGGAATCCTGCCCAGGCTCTGGGAGAATTTCGCTTCCCACCACAAATCATGTTTTAACCTCGTGGGTGCGGCGGCCCACAGAGTTTAATCCCAAAGGAACGCCACCAAGGGTTTGGAGACCCATTCGTTTGCTGGACTGTGGCTTCCACCTGGGATTGGACGCAATGTGCCCCCTGCTTCGCCAAACAAGCTGTGCCAAATGGCGGGGAATGCTTGCTTCCCGTCCTGTTTGCCGCTGCAGTAAGATTTAGGTGCAGCATTCGAGAGCCAACCCGAGATATTTTGTTCGAAATGGGCTTCGAATGGCCGGCCAAGGAAACGACTGAAAGAAGCGTGCGTCCTCCTAGGCTCGAGAAGTCTATCCGCAGAGGTGAATCCGTAAACAAAGGCCGTCGGCTTCACTGGAGCCGGCGATCCAATGTTGGGGGGGTTGCGGGTCCCAGCGCCGCCCTCATCATGATTGCATTTCATACATTTTTAGGTGCCACGACGGGAGGGCCACTCAAGCACTGCACCGTCTTCCTGCAGTTCAGGATCCAACGGCGCAAACGGTTCCATGTGCTCCAGTACATAACATACAGTGTGTTAGTGCTGGTATGCGCCTGGGCCGTTGTGAGCGGCACGGCTCAAGATCCCTCGTCCGGCAGCCATGAGTGGCGCCAAGGCGATGGATTATATGCGCTGCACCGTGAGGTGTGACGGGCAGGTCTCCAAACGCGTCGGAGGAGGCAATCTGACGAGTCTGGATCTTGTCCAACAGTCTCGTCGATTCGCATAACTGAGCACACATTGGTGTTTGACTAGACGGTATCTTGCCTCCGGGACCTCGGACAGTGATAGGTAGTTGGGGCAAAGCGCGGCGGATGAAATTCTCCGTTTGCTGCATCTCTCTCCAGGTGGTGTGGAAAGGCGGCCTGCTTTTGGACAGCTGTGTGGCAGTAGAAAGACGGGATGAAGGGCGGCAGCTCCCGGGGATCGCGGATGCATTGTTTGAGCAGAGGAGCATCGCATCTCAATACCACCCGTTTACTTCGGAGCACCTGAAAAGGTTGTTGAATGGGGGGCAAGAGGAAAGAAACAGTTAGAAAAGGGAGAGGAAAGGCCGTGCTGAGACCCAGTCTGTCATGGGTGGGTGGGTGAGGTGCAGGACTGCTGCGTCGCGAGACATCCTGTTCAGTTTTCTCAGTAATTTGGCGCCATCCGTCGTGCAATGGATGCTGTCCTGCATTTTCATGCGCGACGGGAGGGGCCAACCGCCGCCCGCTGCACCGAGGCGTGAAAACGGCGGGGTGAACTCAAAAGATGCGATGGATGGATGGCTGTTTGGCAGCTGGTACATTCTCCGTACAGTGCTGCAGCGTATCCCGCACATAACCTACCTGGGCCCAAGCTCCCATACCTGCCGAGCAATCCCAATCGCAGATCGTGGGCCGCTGTCGGGAGTGTCAATGATCTGGCCATGTTTCCCGGTAGCGACACCATCCAGGAGAACAGCGTTCGAAAATCGTCTCGTCTCACGGATAAGTTTTATGGCACACGAAGCCTGGATAAGAGGGAAAAAATCGAGAGGTCAAGGCGGCGGAGAAATAGCGTCCGCGATGGAGCGGTGCCTGGATGGGGGTGCATTGGCCAGTCGCTGTCGTCCAAAATTTCTTTCTTTTTCCCCCCTGGCGGCCATTTCTCTGCATCCACGCCTCTTCCCCACCTTGAGCCTGCAGTTGACAGCCAATGACATCAGGCTCGGCACCTCATTTCCCCTAGTTCCTCCCCCCCTAGCTTCCCAAGTACCCAAGGCGCACGGTGGATTTCCCGCTCGCAAACGGTGCTTAGAGAGTCGAGAAACTAACCCCATGTCAAACGCCCGTGGCCCCTTTCCATTAATGGCCCGGCGATAGGCCAATGGTGGGCCCCAATTCCGGGCTGTCTCTCGTTGTAGTCACACGCCCCCCTTCCACGGTCTGGCTCTTTTACAGTACCGGGGACATATCTCCACTCTTTTTTCTACGAATGAGTTGCGAGCGCGAGTGTGCTCAGTGCTTGGGCCGGCTTGCTGGGGTTGCGTTTTCTGGGCTTCGTCGCTTGTCGCTCCTTCCTCCGTCCCCAGATCCAAAATCTCGCTCGCCCGACCTTCGCCTGGGGCCGATCCTCTCTCACCATCTCAAACCTAACCCGGCACTGGAGTTCGAGGTGGTGCTCTACAAGGTCGACTCTGCTATCCTTTCGCGGCCGCACATCGTGCCGACTGAATTCGTTTCATCCTCTCCTTTTCAGGCCCCTTGGTCCTGCCCAACCATTTACTTGACTTGAACTAGATACGACGTCAAAGAGAAACCGACGCGAGATCGTCGCCGCCTCGTTAGCACAGCCTGCGTAGACTACTTCCCTTTTCTAAATCCCAACAACACAGTCATTACACCTCCAAAACTACAACCCCAGACGCCCTTACGCGTCTTCCCAGAAACCGAGAACTGCCGCCACCCGTTTTCTGCGGGGGAACCGTCGTCGGAACTGTGCAGAATCACGGTCCTGCTGCTGATGGCCAATGTACATTACACTGCCGGCCGACCTGATATCTCTTCGCCCGTCTTTTGACATTCTAGCATTACCCCCCAGCGACTCTGTGTGTCGCCCCAGGGGGTGCTCGGTGGACATCGCTGCACGCGTCACTTGACACTACAGGTGGATATCCATCCTTGAGACGCTGTTAACAAGCAGCATTTCGACTTATGGTAGGTGAACGCCCCGGATATTAATCTTTCATTTGTTCCGCAAGCCCCAGTCCTCTCCCCGCCGGGTTTCTGGTGTCCCCAAAGGCAGTCAACCGAGTCTAGTTCACTGTAGCGGTATTAACAATTTCTTCCCGTGAACAGACACTGCGCTAGTCTCTTCACCTTCTTCTGTCAACTCTTTCGCGTTCGTTTCACACTGAGCTCAGGACGAACTTTCGTTCACTCCCAAGTTCAACAGCTCTCGCTTGCATTGAATGCGACTTTTTTCTCTCTAGTTTTACATTCAGTGTCCCACCATTAAACGCTTTTTACCAAAGAATACCGTCCTCTTTTACTTCAAACACCGATACACCGCCAAAATGAATCGCTTCAGAACCAGGAGGAAGGCGAAGGACGATTCGTCGACAAGTCGCACCAGTGAGGATTCGGAGCAATCGTCAATGCCCTCGTTCAAGGGATTTCGGCGAGGAAAGAAGCCCCAGCAGGAGGAGCCCAAGAAGGAGATCGACCTCGCCACAGCTCTGCCCTCAAATGACGACTTCCGCACCAGTCTTTTGATGTCTAATCTCTCGGCACGCTTTTCCATGCTGAGGCAGCAAGATGACCCAAGCACAAAGATCGGAAAGGCCAGCGATGACAGCGTGCTATACCCCAAACGTCAGTCGCGAATGGCCGACTTCGGATTCAGTGGTGGTGTTGGCGGATTATCGGATATCGCTGAGGTCGAGTCGATCAAAGCTTCTCCGTTCCTTCGTTCGGATTCTTTTGTGTCGTCAGACACAGACTCGACAAAGGGCGTCAGCGTCATGAATCGTGCGAAGCCGATAGAGGGTAATAACTTGTTTGGCGGAAGGCAGAAGATCTATAAGATTCCAGCTGGCTCTACAATGAACACAACTGCTGGTGTAATGGGTGGTCGGGCACTGTACGACGATGATGTTGCAATGTCAGCCTTCCAGCGCTGGAGACAAGCAGAGAGGGAGAGGAGAGGCTCATTGGATGAAGAAGACGGTGTTCAAGCAGATGAGACCGACAGGACTCGATCCGATTCTCCACCCGCTGGGTATAACCGGAAACGCGAAACGTCTTCCACCACATCTTCAGCTTCTGTCATAGCTCGCAACTCAACGGCTGCCACATCAATCACTTCGCAGCCCACTGCAGCTAATAAGGAGTGGCAGTCAGTGTCGCCTGCTCCAAACTCATCCACCTCTGCCCCTACCATCGAGAGGCATGTTACCCGAACGAGACGGCTTTATGAGCAGGGTCTTTCCCAAGAGATGCACGAGCAGCAGTCGTCTGCATTGTCAAGGATTGACACTCTTTCCCGTCAGCGTCTTGGATCCCGCACGCCTGACCTCGGAACTGGCTCGCCCTCCCCAACAATCATTACGTCCAACGACCGATTCTTCAACGAAAGGAGACCTGTATTGACCAAGGCAAGTGCCCCGAACTTGAGGTCTATCAGTCCTCCATCAAGTGCGTCCCCGTCTGGAACAGTCGATTTGGGTCTCCAGTTGCCCAGCCAGCCGGATCTCAAGACCAACTTCGGCGCTTCTCCACCGTTGAGCCCGCCAATCAGCGAAACCGAGGACCAAGTCCTACCCATTCAGCCAAATGATATGGGCAAGGCGACAGCAATGGGTGTTTTCCAAAAACCGGCTCAGCCCTATGACGAGTCCAAATATGCCCAGCGCCAGATCCAGCTTCAGCAAGGTCGGGAAACCCCAACCCAGAGGTTCAGGGCCGAGTCCAATGCCTCATTTGCTACGGGGGGGCGGTCAAGATCTTCGTCATCTGCTCAAAGGCAACATTTTGAGGCCAAATCAGAGTCGATCAAGACTCAGCCAGCAGTTGAGGAAGAGGCCACCCCCGTAGCATCACCCCCGGTTGATGCGGAATTTTCGCTGCCAATCCAATCAACGGCTATTCTACCATCTGCCACTCGGCTTCACCTTGAGCGGCCATCCGACAGAGATCATCCTGCTTTCCGGGAATCGGCTTTGCCAACTCCGCTCACGGTTAGTGCTAGGGCAAGCGCCGCGCCTTCACCCATTTTAGAACAACCCATCATCTCAGTCAGCAGCTCAGAACAGACGTCGCCAGACGATTCTCCCACACTTGGCCCAACTACTACAGGTCTCAGCGGGATGGTTCGTCAACATCTTCGCTCCGAGAGTAATGCGTCTTCTGTTTATGGTCCGGTACCTCCAACGTCAAGCCTGGACTCTCGCTTCCCTGCTGATCCATACGAACTGGCCCCTATCGAAGTTTCGGACAACAAATCGAACCCCTGGATGTCGTCAACTCCAGGTTGGACTGAGTCTTTCTATTCAGACACTCCCGACACAAGTTTGGAGAAACTCAAGGCTCTGAATCAACCAAGGCATGAGTTTTCGTCGGAGCCAAAGGGGTCCAATCACTCCAGCGATGACATGGAGGATGCGACTGACGAGTTCGCAAACCAACTTGCGGATGCTCGTCGCCGTGTCCGGGAGAAGCTGACCTCGTATGCTGAATCTGACAGCAGCCGGGCAGCATCTCCCCAGCCCCAACCTCGCACGGAGCCAACAAGGGATCTCGCCGTACCAGGTCATTCAAACCAGCTCAGTGTTGGTGTCAAACCCAAATCCAGTCGAGGCTCGCTGATCGACCGCTCGAGAAATATTGTGGGCGGCCAAAGCAAGGCTAAGAAGATGTTGGGCATTGGGGCAGCAACTATGAGCTCACAACCGAGCCCAGCTAAGCAGTCTTTCGACGACAATGATGCGAGGCCCCTAGAGCCGACGGCGGAGATTCCGAAAAAGGACTCCGTCCAGGAGACTCGCGCAGCCCCTGAAGCTGAGGCCGAGGTCAAGCCGAAATCTACCCAGGACGACGAGGACGAAGACAGCAATGCTCATCCAGGCCTCCGGGCGTTTCGACAGGCAAGGCGAGAGCTGCAGAGGCGGAGGGAGCTAGAAACTCTAGCACGGCATCAAGCCTCAAATACAACCCAGTCTCGCGATCCGTCAATTGACCAACCGTCAGCCGCCCAGTCTCCACCCAAAGCAGATCGAGTACCGAGGCAAAGGACACCAAGCAGAGAACGGAAACCCCCACCAACCATGTATCGGCAGCGCGGCCCCAGTGAGGAATATAGCTATGGCAGCAACACCAACTCGCCGGCACCCGCCCCATCGTCCAGTGAGCGTGAGAGGAGTGGCTCGGATACCAGCGGAGGCCGGTCTGCATCGCAACAGCGGCCACCGAGGGTGAGAAATAACACGGGTCCGCACGAGAACCATCCAGGTCATATCAACACTCGTCCACCAATGCTGCGAACGCCAGGACTTCCTGGAACCGATATTAGGCACTCCCCCATCATGCCACCTCAGGGATACCCAGGTCGTGGTGGGGCACCAGGTGCTATGTCACCTGCTCCTTCTCCCCAACTCTCTGGGTCCAAGTCAATGGCAAACTTAGCTGTTCACTCTGGACGTCCAGGCTTTGACCCGTATTCGGGCCAACCATCGCCCATCTCGCCCATCTCGCCCATGGGTCTACCCCCATCTCCCTTCACTATGAGACCTGACGGCTCACCGGTCGGCACTCCAACGTCTCTAGGACCAAGACCTCGACGCCCCTCGGCTTCCCAGTCGCCTGCATTAGGAGCCACCACTGGCAGCATCACAGGCCCGACGAAGCGGATTGTCGACAAGCGGGATATCTCAGAACCCACTTTCGTCATGTCAACGAGCCGCGTCCCTACTATGAACCTTCCACATGCGGCTACCAGCCCGGACGCGGGCACTGGGAGTCGCCAGTACGGCGCACCTAGATCACGATCACGATCCAACAGCGGCGGAGGGGCTGGTCCAGCACCGCCTTTGCCACCTATCAACCCTCTTCGGAAACGTGAGGGGTCGCGACCAGGGCCAGGATATGACGACACGTATATGGCAGCTCCGAAGTTGCCCTTTGCCAACCAAGCAAACGGCAGCCAGTCGAGCCTCGATTACAACACTGACGAGAACCGAAGTGGTTTCTCGATCAGCGACGAAGACGAGAGCAACAAAACTGACCATCGCTGGCGCCTACGCAAAGCCAACATGGAGGCCAATCTCAGTTCTCGGGCTCTCGGTGGAAACGCGCGCGACAACAGTGCCCAATTCGTCAGCAAGGGTCCGCCAGCCAGCAGGACTGTTGCGACATCGGGCATGAAAGTCAACAAGGGCATGGGTCCTGGCGGCATGTTCTGAGATAGATGAGTTGATCTCACAGTCCCACGACGAGCATTACAGCCGGCTCCGACATAATATGCAGTGTATTTTATTGTTTCTAATTCCCACTTCTTTCTTTCCCCACTTTAGCTCTTTTGGGGTAGCCCACTTTCTCGTTTTGCGGATTTGCTCTTCTAGTATTAAAGATGGCGAGCCGGTGAGACCTCAGCGGTCGTCGTCACGAGGCCATGAAATTGAGATACCTCTTATATGCACAGAGTTGGAGATGGTTTTGTGTCGAGCTTTATTTATCTTCCTTTTGGTATTTACTTAGCGTTGTTTTCTTCTCTCTGTTCCCTCTTCGCGGGGTGCCATGAGTGCCAGTGGTTAAGGGAAAGCATCGCGTTGGTAGCGCGTCTCGCTTTTCCATCTCCGTGTCGAGAGATTTATTTTTGTTCAAAATACCGCCGGCGCCTTCGGACCTGGGGTCTTTGACGATGTGTGTATTTTTTATCTTAAGCGGCTAGCAGACTTGACAGCGTGGGAACGGTAATCGGTACAAAAAGAAGTTGAGGAATGGGAGACGGTGAGATAGAGTGGTCCTTTTGTAGATCAGCTAGACCATTCAATTAAGAGAGTTGACCTCGTGGCGGGGCGCTTATGGCGAGAAGCTTGTGGCTAGAAGCTTGTGGCTAGACGCTTATGGCACGGTAGCGGTGATCGGCCCGCATAGCCGCTGATTCCCAGCCCGTGACCCTAGCGTCACCCACCGGACAGGGGAGGGACGCATGGGATTTATGGAGTGTATCGGCGTGGGCAACAACACATCGCAACCTCGGCTCAAGCACAGCATCTAGAAGCACTACACACGCATACTCATACTTGCAGTAAACTGAAGGGATCTTGGTAGTTAGCAGGAGGGCGCTTTGTCATCCGTTTGTAAGCGCTAGCCTTGATTCACCGACGGAGAAAGTTGTGAGGGGGCACGGCGGTCCATAAGCCACCAAAAGTGACCCTGGAAGCCGACGCTTGAAACAACCTTGTTGGCTCTTAATTTGACGTTTCTCACCATTCTCACCCAAACCCAAAACTTAAGAGTTCGTCTCCAACTTCTTCCTTCCTTCAACCCCTTTTTGGTCAGAACCCTTCTCCAAATTTATTTCTTTCTCAAAAATCTTGCATTAGCGCACGCCCAAACCCCCGATACATCATTCAATCTCGTATCACCTTCAACCCCGCAAGTCACCCAGCAGCCATGGCCTTCGTTCGCCCGTTCAAGCCTGAGGATACCCAGGACTGCAAGTTCATTGTGAGTATCTGCTTTTCTCGTCCAACTTTGCTTCCTGGGAGTTTGACAACTCGCTTTTTTTTCTGTACCGCCAGTGCCGGGACACGCTGCCTCCAAGCCTGCAGTCGTCCGAGGGGGGGATCCGCGCCGCGCCGTATCTCTGGCTGCTGCAGTTCACGCACCTATTCCCCGAGAACTGCTTCGTGCTCGACGACGGGGAGGGCAAGACGGTCGGCTACGTCATCGGGGTGCCCGACGTGTACGCGTTCGCCGAGGCGTACCCGCGCTACGTGGCCGAGGTGCTAGGCAGCGAGCAGGGCCGCGCCGACGTGCCGGTGCCGCGCCAGCTCGCCACGCGCGAGCCGTCGACCGTCGCGGACCCGGCCACCGGGAACCCCGCCCTCAACGTCGACGCCCTCGCCCAGGAGGCCTACAACTTCGACTGGCTCGTCTGGGGCAACGCCGACAAGCGCGCCCTCAACGCCGCCTACCGGTCCGTCCTGCACATCAACTTGCTCGCCCCGTTCCGCGGCCAGGGCTGGGGCCGCAAGATGATCGACGCCTTTGCCCAGAGCGTGCGCCGGTCGGCTGCGGACGTGAAGGACGACGAAGGCAAGCCCCGCTACAGCTACGGCAGGGGCATCCACCTCGGCATCTCGGGCGAGAACACAAAGGTCGTGCCCTTTTACGAGCGCGTCGGGTTTAGGGTCTACCCCGGCGGCGAGAAGATCAACAATGTGTGGATGGTCATGGACCTGTAGGCTGCAACGTCGCGGGGACTATCGTGCTGTTTAACGTGAAAGAAGTGGTGATGGGCGGAGGGGGAGATTGAATTTAGATTTGCATTGGAGAATATTCTGCTGCCCTTCTGGAGATAAAATTACCTTGGTAGTAATAGAACGGTTGTTGTATTCCTGCGTCTCAACTGCAAGGCACGGAGTAATTCTCTGGTTCGTTTGGCCGTAGGGTCGTCACCTCGCGCCCACAGCCGGTTAGCTCATTGAGAGTAAGGGGCCTTGAGATGCAGGGGGAGAAGGGTAAAGGAAGAAAAGGGGAAGAAAAAGGCAACCCTGGGGGGGTTTGTTGTTGTTGTTGTTCGGTTTCAAAATGCTGCCTAGGTAACTCCGATTCAACAACTCGAACTTTGGCTTAAGAGAAAGTGTGCAGTTCATTTTTAGCAAACACCACATCGACCATGTCATCCATGTACATACAGTAGATGCTATATCTGCCTGGTGGTCAAATATATCCTAGCACTATGCATTAAAAGCAATGAAACCTCTGTTTGATATCCAACGAGTTGGGCGATGCAGTCACGGCATCAGCAACCAATCGACCCCGGTCCCCTCATCGGCAATGACGCGAAGGTTATTGAACAAATCTGCGTCTTTATGCGGTGGCCCGGTTCTGTTCGTGAGTAAGAGCAATAAATCTTCACTCTTCGTCGTGATGTCCGTGTCAGTAATTGATTACGTCGTTTAACGACCGAGTGCAACGTGTTGAACTCAAGCAAGTCTCTAACATACTAAGACTGCACAACTCTGAGACTTACAAAAATATCAAAGGCGCAGTTGAAGCAGCAGCCTTGGATCCGCAGAAACGGCCGGCACGTGAATTCTGTTCACTGAAAAAGGCAGTCGTGGATCAAACTATCGCAGGAGCATAGGCTAACTACATGGCGGCGATGATGAATAATACTGCCACCAAAGACTTGGAACAGTATTTTGTCATTTTTGTTTAAGAAATATGAACAAAACTGTCAGTGAAGGATGGGTCAACCGAGGTGACTGACTAGTCTAGATCCAGCGATTGCATTGACTGATGACGAGGCAGCAAAAGGAATTGTGTTGTCTCTGGATTATCCCCGATCATACCGGTACATGTAGGAGTAAGAGAACCGAGGGAGGAAGCAAAATAAAAAAGTAAACTTCCGACGTGGGCCTGATTCGAACAGACGCTCCCGAAGGAACAAGATTTCGAGTCTTGCGCATTAGACCACTCTGCCACCACGCCAATTAGATGTTGGCATAAGGCTCAAACCCCACCTATCAGTGACATCCGCATTGCTGCTCCTCGCTGGGTTTAATTTTCCCAGAGTTTTGTGCATGCTCGGGTGGGGTCGGGCAACCGAAGTCAGGGTCCACAGTCTGCAGATGTATCCATCATCTAAACCCTTTGGAAAACGAAGAAAACTTCGGCAGGCTTGGCACACGAATCTTCTTACGGAGTAAATACCAGAAAGGTTTGCTGTGAAGCCCAAGTCCAGGTGCTTGTCTGCAGGCAGCAACAGCAATGAACGAATGAATGGGCTACGAAGACAAATACAGAAGCAGCTACGACTAGCAAGAGCATATTTTCGGGTACAAAATTTGAACTTTTTGAGACCGAGTCGAGTTCAGCCGCTGGTTGAGATCGGAGAACAATAGCTAGCGCTCACTAATGCACCCGGCCAGGACTTCAGGGACCTGTCACTGCAGGCCCGTGATTGGCCAATCCAAAAATCGCCTTCTTTACCCCACTGTGGAGTGGAGGGGAAACCAGATGCTAGCGCGATAAGGCGATTGAAGATTTCTCTCGCTGCCGAGGCCCACCTACGGCTCAATTATGTCGCCGGCTCGTTGCTGCTGTTATTGTCGTTGCCACTGCACTGCCTGCTCAATCGAGAAATCTCTTATACAAGTCGAGTTTCGAGTTGTCACCGCCTACTATGAGTGATGATGTACGTGCCTACTTCTCTTCTCCACCTATCTCTTGCATTTTACGTTTGGCAAGAAACTGACAGTCGGCACTCCCTTAACAGAAGAGCAATGACAAGACGTCTGCTGCCGCACGCGTGCGCGAAAACCAACGGCGGTCTAGGGCCCGCCGCCGCGAGTTTGTCGAGAACCTCCAGACCAGAGTCCAAGAGTATGAGCGTCGTGGCGTCGAGGCCACGCTGGAGATGCAGCGCATAGCCCGAGCCGTGGCCCTGCAAAACTCGCGACTGCGCTCGCTGCTCACCTCGGCTGGCGTCTCCAACTCGGAAGTCGAGCGCTACCTGGACTCGTTCCACGACGACGAAGACTTGGGCTACGAGCCAACAATACCCCCGACCGGCCATCACTACCCGCTCGAACTCCAACTCCAGCATCGGCCTCCCGGGAGCCCCGTCGAGGCGCAGGCCAAGAGGATAAGAGACAGCTTTGATGGGGTGGCGGGCATAAAGCGAGAGAGAGCCAGCATCAACTACTATGCCGACGGCTACGGCTCACCCTCTCCCCCTCTCACGGGCATGGAGACCTCACACAGAAACGGCCTTTACCTGCTGCACGACACGCTCCTGATGACGCAGGACAGGCCTCCATTCTCTGGCATGCCGACTTCAAAGCCGGCGCGGAGCGGGCCGAGCACACAATCGTCCAACGACGGGCGGGAGGATCCAAGAACTGCCCCATCCGACAGATATGCTTCGTGGTCTGCCAGCGCGGATCACGACCGAATGTCTGCAACCTCGGACAGCAGTCCTAACGCGGACCCCTCGCCCATGGAGATGTCCTGTAGCGTCGCTGCCAGCATCATCGTGAGCATGCAGCGAGGCCAGGACGAGAGGCGAACCCGGGAAGCGCTAGGGTGTCAAGGGACCAAAGAGTGTCTCGTGAAGAACACCATGCTCTTCCAGTTCTTAGACAACTAGATTTAAGAATCTTGTCGCTTGCTCGCGAGGAACACCCGATCCAACTTCCTCTCGGCTGCCAGATTAGATCCCAGAAACCCTCCCATGATTTGCTGGCGGACCAATATTCTGATGAGACTTCCACATCGGGGACAGGAGCACAAGGGATTGAGTGGCCAACAGACCGTCTCGGTTTCTCGGCTTCTCGGAGGCAGATACACAATACGGGTTGCTGCAGGAACCAGGGCACCTTAGGAACTAGTGCATCCGAAGATGCTCGCCTATCACCTGCCAAACCCGGATAGAGGCGAGAGCTTGAGTTTGGCCGGCAACTCACAAATGACTTGTCACTGAAGTCTATTTCTTTTTCTCTTTAACATCCTCGTCGCCATATTTAGCGCCTTGCCACCACACCGGAACGCCTTAACACGGACAGAAAATATATATGCATGTACGGTAGATCTGACTTTTGCACGCCGTGTTTTCTCAGATTATGTCTCTCTTACATTGGATAGGCCTGGGTATAGTAATGGTTAACTACTTGGAAGGAAAATCAAAAGGGGAAAAGGGAAACACGCACGTCTACATGAAAGATTAGAGTATACATCTTGGCTTGGATATCTAGTAGGTAATTACGACCGGGGAAAACAAAATGAAATTTTACGACGATTGTGATTTACTCTTGGCCATTTCATGAGCGACGGCCCGGGCTGTTTTAAATGTCTATTTGGTCTGGTATCTATCCTTGTTTGTTGGATCTAAATGCTTGGAGAAGAGAGAAGAAGCTGACGTCTAGAGTTGAGTTCAGATTCATCATGACGGCGTGTTCGAGGAGTCTAAAAAGTGTGTATCAGCATGAAAATCAACCCAACGACGCCAAACGTATGAAACACGTCCACGCCACACATAGGCAACCCGATGGCGCTCGCGCCGCCGATCCAGTAAGTCAACATGGGCGTCCAGTCGGCACCCGCGCGCCTCGCGGCATCAATCTTCCAGCATCCGAGACCAAACAAGACCAGATTCGCCAGGCTAGCCACGACAAAGGCGACCATCCACGGCCAACCAAACATCTGGATGCTCCTCCTTTGGCTGCGCAGCGGGATCATGCAGACCAGCAGCACAGCGCCCAACAACCAGAACAGCAGAAACAGCGTCAGGTAGTTATCGAACGTCATGGGCGCGGCCGGGTCACTGAGCGCGTCGTATAGCGCTTCGGGGGCTGCGGGGTTCCTCGCGAGGCCGGCGACGCCGAGCGAGACGTCCAGCAGCCCGACGGCCAGGTGCACGACGTGCTCGGCCGTGCGGCCGAGGCTGTTCCTGCCGCCCTTGCGGCCCAGCAGGGCCTTGACGTTGTCGAGCAGGCCCGAGGGCGCCTGCAGGCTGGTCATGGGGTTGAAGCGGCGGATCAGCAGCGTTGGCAGCAGCATGACGCTGGCGTACTTGTCGATGACGACCTCGGTGGCGCCGTGGTAGATCTGCGTGCGGCGGGACTCGGCGCCGCCGCACGTGCTGCACCCGTGCGACGTGCTGCGGCTGCTCGTCACCACGTCCCACTGGGACGTGGTCATGGACGTGTGCGCGCCGCTGTAGGAGCCCGCCGGCATCCCGTGCTCGGCGATCTCGGCCGCCGCGTCCGCGCCGATGGTGAGCACAAATATCTCGCGCCCGCACACGCGGCACGACAGCTCGGGCGGGTGCGTGCCGTCGGCCGTCACGCGGAAGCGCGTCCACACGAGCGAGGCCGCGGTTTCGGCGCCCGACACGGCCACCAGCAGGATGAAACCGAGCCACAGGCCGACCGTGTCGACGGCTTCCGCGGAGCCGCTGGGCTTCCCATTGCTGGCTCGATATTCTGTGCTGTCTGCGGTGGTGCCTGCTGTTGCTAGTGGGAGAGAGAAGAGAAAGGCTGCCAAGAGGAGGGGTATTCTGAGGGCTAGCGGCGGGCGACCGAAGCGAGGCTGTAACATGGTTGTCGCTGTAACACCTCGACGAGAGGTATTCCCTCAACCGTTGAGGAAGGGGATGAATGAAAGCTACCATACAAAATATTAATCGCTCATCGTGATGGATGAAAAAGGCGGGAGAGAAGGCAGAGTGAGGCTCTGCTCGTCGCGGTATTTGATTCTGATGATGCCGTGAAGGGATTCAGGGGCCAAGACGCTAACCGAGATGGATACCACCTGGAAGTTGATGCTAACACGCACGTCATTGCATGCATCGTGATTCGTCGCACCTGGTTGTCCTGCCCTTGCACGGGCCTCGTGACACCCTCCGCCTCTTATCTTCAGCCGCAGCGCGTAATGTAATTTCAGCGAGAACCCCGAGTTACTAAACAAAAGCCTAGACGGACAAAGATACTACGATGAATATAAACACTTCCATACAATACTAAAAAAAAAAGTGACACTTAGCAAAGCAACTTCCAGCCAGTCTTCATGATCTGATCTGGGCAGCTGGAATCTGAGAGCTTGCTCTCAAGTATTAGGTACAAGTTGACCAACTTGACATGGTGCTTGAGGGCGTTTCCCTAACCGCATCCGACGGCGTGGCGTGGACGGCGGCGCTGGCCAGCCGCCCCAGCGCCGAATAGGACTGACTCGAGGAGCAAATGACCAGAATAATAATTATAATCGTGGGGGCTACCCGCCAGGCACTGCAGGTAGGCACCTCAGCCGTAAAATAACATTAGGGGCCCTAAAGCCTCCTCCCCTCTCGTCAGAACCATGATAAAACACCAACCCGGTCCATCGCCAACCACAGCCGGTATTCACAACCACACACGTCCCCGCCATTATGGCCACGGCTCGCTGGACTGCGCCGGCGCGGTGGTCCACCGGCATCGCGGCGCTTCTTCTGGCCGTGTCTATGTTATCCGCGCAGCACGTAGCCGCGCAGGCGGACGCGACCGTGTCGATCCAGGACTCGCCGGCTTACACGCAGCTGCGGGCTTGTGCACGGCGCATCGTGTCCGAGGACGACTGGCTGCGGGCGGGGCTCAGCTGCCCGGCGCCGTGGTACAACTTCTGCTACTGCCGCGGCGATTTGCGGACCGTCGCCACCAAGTACATCAGCAGCTGCATCTTCACCGACTGCCAGTACAACAGCGTTGATTACACGTCTGTGGTCAGCATCTACGACGCCTACTGCGCCACCGCCCTTCTGGCCTCGCCGACGCCGACGCCGCCGGCCACTGCGCCTGACCACGCGGTAACCGTCACGTCGACTATTAGTCCCGGCGGCACGGCCGTCGTCATCGTCGCTACCACCATCGTCCACGACAGCGCCGGCGGCAGCGCTAGCAGCGCAGCTCCAGGTCGGTCACCACCGCCCTCACGGCTCGCGGCCCTTGCAGTCTGTGGCGCCGTCGCGGCCGCTACTGCGACGGTTCTCTTCTGTGGCCTTGTTTCTGCGGGCTGACGGGCGGCGCTATCTTCTCTCTCTCTCTATTTAGGCACAGGCACAAGCACAGGCACCACATTCACCACTGCCGTGGTCGTCGGAAACAGCCCGTCCCAAACGCTCTACTCCACCTTGACTTTTCACTCGACGCGCGAGGCAGCATCATCCCCAGGCGGCGGCGGCGGCGGTCTGAGCCAGTCGGACAAGATTGCTCTGGGCACCGGCATCAGCATCCCCTTGGCCGCCCTGATCGTTGCCGTCTATGTCTGCTTGGCGCGCAGACGAGGACGGGGCCCTTGAAGAATAGTTCTAATTACCTCCCTTGATTATACATGTACATTAATTACCTAGGTAGTCAATGGTTAGTCTGGTTCTGGCTGCGGTTTTTCCTAATTACCTAGATGGTTTCGCAGGGAAACTACCTCGTCCTAATCAACCTTCAATTCCACGTAGAGATATTGGTTCTGGGATATCAATTAACGAAATTCAACTGACGAGATTTGACTGACGAGATTTGGCTGACGAGATTTGACTGACGAGATTTGACTGACGAGGCGCTTCCGGTCGTCATCGCAGCTCGGTAATGAATGAGCCAAGGCCGAGGGCCACTGAACAGGCCACGCCATGGCGAGGGACTGCAACAAATTGAAGTCTGTGATTAGACTTCTTGTATCGTTTGTATTTTGGCTTGTGGGCGGGCATGTTGCTTGCTAGACAGACCTTGGGGCACCGGGCAGTAAGACTAGGGATAACTGTACCTCGCTGGCTGGTTGGAATCTCTTGACATGTGTAACATCGGTTGTACATACACAGGTAGCTTCGAGGCTCCACTGTCTGGTTCCCTGCTTCGGCATCGTGTCCCACCTCTACCCCTTTCCAATAAGGACAAAATACTCCGACCACGACGTACCCGGACCCGTCTCTTGGACGGATTCATTGCCGCCTCAACTGCCGCTCGGCCGATACCGTCGAATATCTAGGCCCAGACTTGTGGCAGGCACGGTTGACACGGACGCCAAAGGCCCGCCGGCTGGTCGTGCTTTCTTGGCTCGCCCAACAGCCTTTTGCAGACTGACTTCTGCACCATTTCGTCATGAAAGGATTCACCCAAATCAAAGTCAGATGTTTGTGAGGTTTCCACGATGTCGGCATCTACAAACAAAGGTATGCAGATAGAGCTCCTCCTACTGGGTTGTGGTCTTGACCGATGGCTTGTCTTAACGTATTATTAGTAGAAATCGCCGAGAATGGCAGTGCATAGTCTTAGTTTACTGGCGCCGGACAAGCACTAGGTGACCGGGGCCCAACACTCAACAGACAGGGCCTCTATTTTTCGCCGGGATAGATCCTAACTAGTTCTAGCGATACAACAAGAGCTCGGATTGTAGGCAAGCATGAGATGCCGGCCAGGGGAGGAGTCAGTTGGGTAGTAGGGCTACGGCTGCATAGTCCACGAATCATGGCCTCATTCTCGGATGTCACGGCACTGAGGGACCAAGGATGGTCCGAGTTTCCTGTTTTTCTTCTCCTCTGGGATAATTACTGCAGTTTTGTTCGTATAAATCTGGCCATAATTATCGGCCGGTGAGCCGCTGCTGGTTATGCTGCTGGTTATACTGCTTTTGTGGCCTCCAAGTAATAGGGCCGGTGCTTGGGGCTCCGGGGGGTTTTCTGCAAGTTTTCCTGCATTGAATGCATCTGTTGAATTCGAGATTTTTAGTCTCCTACAGTAGCTGTGTGAGTTGAGGCGTCTTGGCAGCGGCCGGCCTTTGGCATATGAAGTCGGCCACAGCCAATCCTGTGTGGCCGGCGTAGAGTGCATATGCAAGCCCATATTCGGTCGATATTGCCTCGCAGGCCATCTCCCCGCACTGCGCAATATCCCAGCCGTGCCTGGATAAATTTGGTGTCCAGCGGCGTGCCTTGGATCGACGTAGCCGTTCCGCAATCTAGGTACCACGGCGAGTTCCGGGTGTGATGGAGTGAGGGAGACGTCCCGACATAACTCGTCTCTGTCTTCCGTGCTCATCTTGCTGTCTTTTGGGAAAGACACGGGCACCTCTGTTTCCCGTGTCTTCCCAGGCCCTAGACGCCGCTCAGCGACCCTGTCAGGCACGGTTCTAAACCCGGTTCATGTTTACGGTTTACCAGATATCCAGGGCTAGACTGGCCAGCGTTGGCCGGATGCAATTAGCTCGACTTGGATCTAAATATTCTCGCCTGTTGGGGCCGGCTGCAATCCTATTATCCCTCCTCCCTCGGCTCATTCTGTCATGGGCCGGGGAGAAAGGTCGGCAAGAAGCCAACTGGCATGGATTGAGGCCTATCTACTCGTGCTGCCCACAATGACATCACTGCGTTGCATCTGAATCGAGGGCAGGCGCCTATGCTAATTTCTGCAGTCGGAGTCATGAGCCCAGAAACATAGACATATATCGTATCGAGATTGTTGGGCCATTCCAACGTTGCATAGAACCAGATTCCAGGCACAGCCAATGGCCTGCCTCTGCTGCCCCGAGGTCTGGTGCCGATGTGTGGCTTCCAACGTACATGGCTGTGCAGAGGGACGGCATAGGACCCTATCCGTCTGGCTCTGGTTCCGGGAAATCTGGCTCCGCTGGCGGCGAGGAGCACGGGCGTTTAAGCGCCCAGATACAGGTGTGGTTGATGGATGGCTACTAGGTATTCAGGTAGTTGGTTAGTTAGCTCTGGCTGTATCCGACATCCCAGCCCATGACTTGCTTCTCACCCATCATATCGAATTCATTAACTAGTGTGCTGGGATCGACATTGAAATTCCCCGATTTGCTTGACTTTGAAGGCCCGAGCCACCTAATTCCACATCGTCGAGATGCAACTTGGGTCAAGAAGTCAACCAACTCGTCAACGTCCAAACCTCCCGGAGCACTAACATGTTGTTGTCATCGTGCAGCAAAATCATGCCCGATAAAAACAAAACCAAGAAATGGCTACTATCGTGAGATGGATAATAACTTGAAAACTGTGGATAGAAGGCCGGCAACATCTTGGCCATCGGCATCTATGTTTGGCACCAGACAAGAATCTTCCAAAGCGACGAGAACGGCGGCGACAAGAGCGAGAAGAGAAACATAAATAGACATGTTTGGCACTTCCACTGTCCATCTTTTTTCCCACCAGCAGCAACAAGCCATCCAGAGACCACAGCAACTCCAGCTCCAGCATCCTTTCTCGGCCACAACACTATTCTAGCCCTTTGACCAGCGCCACCAACCCAGCCAAAATGAAGGCCGTCTTTGTCTTTCTCTGCACGCTCGCCGCGTCGGCCATGGCCACGCCGCTCGTGTCGGAGCGCCAGCTCGAGTCGCAGGGCGACGAGCTCGACAAGCTGACCAGCACCATCAGGGGCTACACGGCCAACATCAGTAAGCCGACACTGCCCAATCACCACCACCCCTGCCTCTGACACATCTGTTTCTAACCAACCCGCGCAGACAAGACCACGGCGGCGGCGCCCAGCAACCCGACGCTGGCCGACCAGACGGCGGCGGGCGCCGCGCTGGGCCCCGATTTGCAGGGCATCACGAACGCGCTGACGGCGGCGACGGCGCTGCTCTCCAAGCGCGACTTCGTGCTCGCGCGCACCGCGTGCGGCAGCGACTGCCTGCTGCTCAAGGTCAAGATCCTCGTGTGGGAGATTGCCTTTACGCTCAAGGTCGTCATTGTCAAGCTGGGCCTTGGTGAGTCTCTTCTTTTTCCCATCTGCGCCTGTCAATAACAACACGCTAATAAAAATAGGATGTGTACTTGTGTACCTTACGCCGCTGCTCCTTTCGCTGGTCGGGCTGCTCAAGTGCCTCGACAAGGTCGTGGCCGGCCTCTTGTTCGCCATCAAGGGCCTCTTAACCGAGATCCTTGGCGCCGTCGCCGGCGGGGTGCTTGCCTTGATTTTCTAGGCCCGGTGGGAGAGCAGGTTGTCGTGTCTGGTTTTAGGGTTGGTGAGTGTGTCTCTGTCCATGCGGGACTGAGAGTGTGTTCTGAAGCGAAGTTATGAAGCAAAGTTATGAAGCAAAGTTGTGGTTGATTAGCAGCACTAATCACTTGATTAATGAAGGTACAGCACAAAGGAGCCATAGGAATACAGTCGTTATATAATAGTTCTTTATTGGTTACTTAACTCTTATGAATTCAATTTGCTTTTGGGGATTGGATGTCTTGTTCCTACCAAGTTAAGTATTTGTGTCAATGCTTGAAAGTGTTTCAAAAGGAAACAAGCTTGTCTGTCAGCAACGGCACTGACAGACGCAATCGAGTGCCGGGGTTATGGTTAACTGCAAGAGTTCAACTGAGCAACTGCGAGGCAGCAACGACTCTTGCCAAGCTATCTTTCTTATGTGAGGCTGCGTCGCGGCGTGACTCAGAATGAGACTCAGGCAGGCTCGGCAGGCGCACCCCATAGGTTGTGGAGCTAGGGAAATGGCGGCCTCTACCGATGCAGTAGGGCTTCCAATGAATGCACACCGTCAAATCACAACCGATTGCTAATTGGCCAGGGTGCCGGCTTTTGATCTGACTCTGGCCCATGCAAGCACGATGGAGGACAGCCTTTTAGCATCATACGCGAGCTTGGCAATGACAGACCCCGGAGCCTTGCCTGCCCCGCAGCTGGCCCCTGCCGTCCTCACCTCCAGTCACACTTCGAAGCAGTGCAGTCGCGTTGCAAGTTTGCAAATTGCCACAGCTATTTAGTCCCAGAGAAGGCAGTTGCAACTTGCAAGTCGCCCTCAATCTGCCCAGCCCAGACCGCAGAACACCCACCCACCTATTGTTGTTAACCAACTGTTGGTGTCTTCTTTTATTTCTCTTCTCTTCTGGGATACCACCCATACCTACCTAGTCGATGGTGGGAAACATACATCATTAATTACCCACAACACCTAATCAGCATATCTACAAGTTGGATAACCCCCTTTGGACATCGACACCTGATACATCCACCCTTCTCGGGACCCGACGGTCACGGCGTAGCAATGCACACGGAACTGCGCGGGCGTCTCCTACGTGACATTGCCGAGCTCAAGTTGGACCCGTATCCCAACATCGCCCTCCATGCGCGCGACGACAATATCGACGAGGCCTGCCTCGTCCTGACCCCCGAGGGATGGATCTCGCTGCACCTGACTGTCATTTTCACGAACCGATACCCCCTGGACCCCCCAATCGTCCGCATGGACTCGAGTGTGCGCCACCCCAACGTCTTCCAAGAATACATATGCGCCTCCATCCTCAACACCACCGAGGGCTACACCCCCGCCTACACCCTCAAGGGCATTGCCATCCAGCTGCTCAGCTTCTTCAACAGCGCCAGCATCGACCAGGAACACGGTATGACCGTCAGCCTCGACTGGTACCGCACCCAGTCTTCCGAAGAGTCTCAACGCACCCCATTTGCTTGCGACAGGTGCGGCTTTTCGTCGCAAGGCTCTGAACCCTCGTCTACCCACGTCCCATCTGCCCGCAGCCCACTTGCTCGCATGGCCACGACCGCACGCCCCGAAAAGTGTTTCATCGACGGCTTGCCTAACGAATTGCTACTTCAGGTTGTCGAGTCGCTCGAGTTCAAGGACCTCGTCAGCTTCTCGAGTGCCTGGCCCAGGCTGAGCCAGCTGATCACCATCTTCGATGTCGTGCGCATGCGCGAGATGCAGTGCTTCGTTCTGAAGGAGAACTATCTGACGACAAAACTCGGCGTCGGCGTGTCGGCGGGCGGTCGGGGTGTGAAGGCCAAGCTGCAGTCCGAATTCGACCTGCTGTCGCAGAAAGCCTACAACACCCTCCACGTCCGCTCCTCAGTCCACAACATCTCCTTCACACACTGGCTGCCACTGCCCATCTCTCCGGGCCACTGGCGCCGCGTCGAGGCCGATGTCCGGGACTCGCTGCAAACCATATCCCAGTTTGCCCGCACCGGCGGTTCGGCCACCGTCATGTACGCCTTCATGAACGACATTGTCGTCCGCCTGAACGCCGACCTCGAGCGCAGCAACGGCGTGCGGGGCTACTCGCGCAAGAGTACGCTGCGCCACGCCTCGGAAAAGGCCATCGAGTCGTACTTCCACCTCTTCCACCTGCTCCTCTGCCTGGCCACGAGCCCCACGGGCCCCGCTGAGTTCCGCGACATTGTGCGCGACGCCAACCGCATGATCAGGTCCTTCATGTCGGGCAAGACGGGCAAGGCCGACCACCCGAACCTGGGCTACCTGCTGATCGCCCTGCTCATCAGCGACATCGACCCGACCGAGGAGCTCATGAAGGCCATCGTCGTCGAGACCATCACGCGCAACGTCGTCTGGCTGCTCGACGGCAGGGGCGCCGGCATGGCCGAGCTCGCCTACCTGGAGCCGGCCAAAGTCTGCGAGTACCGCCTCAAGAAGACGTTTGAGGGGTCCCGGACCTCGTACCGACTGCTGATGTTTTCCGAGCTGTTTCGGCGCGCCGCGAGGCCCAGCATCTCGCTGCCATCGCTAACGGACGCCACTGCTGCCAAGAGCAGCGGCGCGACTAAGAAGTCGCTCAGCGAGCTCCGCGACGAGCTCTTCACGCGTCACGGCGGCGCGCCGTTCGCCGCGGCGGCGCACATGGCGGCCGAAGTGCGGCGGCTGCAGCAGATCGACGACTTCCCGTCCTTCCTGAAGGAGATGGGCGTGACGATCCCGACCCAGGCGCGCTTCACCGAGGTGCTGCGCGGCTGCGTGCAGGCCAGCATGGACCGCGGCTACTCGAAATATGGCGCGTCGATGGCCGCCCTCGCCAGCCTCCGCCTCGCCAGGGACCGCTCCATTGATCCCGCCGCCGTCGTGGCGGATATGACGGCGCGCGGCATTACGGAGCGGCCGCTCGCTCAGCGCGTCGAGTTGGATATCAGTGCGGGACGTATTGGCTTCTTTATTTCCAAGGACAAGCCGGGCAACGGTAGAGCGCGGCCCGGGCGGGCGTGAGTGTCAGTTGCTGGGTACATGTTGGTGCTGTTTCACATCGTTGTGTCGTTGTAGCGGGGCTAGAGCAGCACGAGTCGGGGTGGAGCTTCCCACTTTCAGCGTACTGGAGTGTTAACTGCTTTCCTGTAGTATCGAACTAAATATTGCATCAGACGGGCATTGGGCCAGCAAGTATTCTTTGGAGAGACCTTTGGCACAAGATAGAGAGACGATTCCCTGCCTGAGGGACCAAGACAGCGGGTGCAATCAACGCCCGCCGCAGTCTAAAATGATTATTATTCACCAGCATAACGCAATCGTACCAACCGTGCTGAAGCTTGATTATTTTTTTGCATCTTTGTAGTCGTGCAACGAGTTGGAGCCTATGTGAACTTTGTTCTGAGACTGGATTTTCCATCAAGTCACAGAACGCTCCTCTCCACAGACACAAAATCAGGTGTCCCCGCCACAGCGTCCAGGGCATAGATCATAATCCACAATTATCACGAACTACTTTCGAGCATACACTGGCCGGGGCTTTTCCTGGCTAGCCCGGTTCGGCTCGGGAACATAGTAGCCCTGGGGCTGGGGCTCGGCTCGCCGCTGGACTTTGGGCACGAGCTGGACCTGCCTCACTCGCAGTCTCTCGACGGTCTGCTGCGCTGACTTCTTCCGCTCCGGCCGCTTGCACACGAGACAGCAGCCGACGCAGCCCACGGCGGTAGTGATGAGGTAGAGGATGCTGTAGTGATGTTAGCCATCGCTCATACTCAATATTCAGGTAGATGATTCAATCAACAAGCAAGAGGAGGAAGACCCTGGCTAGCGAGATGGAATGAGATGAGGATAAAACGCACTAAACAAGCCACCCACAGACCCGCTCCTTGCTCCGCCACGGCTCCTCGCCCGGCCCCTTCTTCTATAGCGAACCTAGTAGCAGCATATATACGGTCATATAGAAACCAAGACCAAGTACCGCCGCGTCTAAGATAGTATTACACCCCGCTGCGTCCGAGTTATACTGCCCTGGTGCGATATACACGGCCGACACGCTATCTAGTACGGCGACTAGCGAGACATACTCTTGGTTAATTAGCTTTCTTTCTTCTATTACTAGATAGACTAGATGGATGGATGGATGGATGGATAGATAGATGGATGGATGGATAGATGGATAGATGGATAGATGGATAGATGGATAGATGGATAGATGGATAGAGGGACGGAGGGAGGGAACGCACGACAACAAACGGCTAGATATATTTCGTCTTGTTCCCCTCGTGCCGCCACCGCACCACTAGCTAGGTGGAGAACGCGAGCGTCGCGATCTCGTACGTTGACATGGCCGTGCGGCCCGCGAAGCTCGCGTGCAGTGGGTACGGCGCCAGCTTGAAGTGCTGCCCATTGACGTCTACCGCGCCGTCGCGGTCGACGTCTGTTGCTAGCGGGAAGGTGTGCGACTTGCGCGGGCACAGGTGCACGTCTGACAGCTGCGGCGGCGGCGGCGACGGCGGTGGTGGTGGTAATATCGTTACCATTTCGATCATAATATTCAGGGCTGTTATTAATTATAAGTTATTTTCAGAGAAGCGAGGACTAATAGACAATTATAATATAGGATTCGGGGATAGGGTACTACTCTTTATTTATAGTACAGAGCCAGGTCGCTTCGTATATCAACTACCAACTACCGGGTTTTGGTATCGCCTAGCTACCCATAGCGGGCGCAGTATCATAGCCCTATATAACTCTAGACGAGTAGCTCGCTACCATCTAGCTTAGCTCGCTATACTACGCTCCCAATTAGGCCCGATACACGGCGGTAGCGCTAGAATCGTATCTCCAACAGCGGTTCGAGGCTCACTAGCCGGGAGACATTGAGTCTGCCTCGCGCGCGTAGTGGATCACTTCCTGTTTAGTCGTCGCCTCTCACTTGCTGGTGCTACTTTCTTACTGTTAGCTCGACAAGCGCGGCCCGTGTGACCCCTTTGCCTCACTGGGCCGCCATGTTCGAACAAGCATCGCCATGGACGGCGATTGATTGCTAGAAAGACACAAAGGGCCATAGAAACAGCGTGGTTCCAGTACAGTATTGTCTGAAGCACTCGGCACCTATGGCCTCTTAGGTGACTCCCTCATGACGCACCGGAATGGAGACGCTGGCACCGCGTACAGGTAAATCTATAGCCGCCTGGTCTGGAATTCATGTGCCGTGGTCGGGACTGCCGAATTCTGATCGCTCAGTGTTGTACCTCGACCGATAAGCCTGGGTACCAACCACCTCACTGAGAAAGTCACCAGGTCTTGATAAATACACCGCATCCTCCCTTGTTTGTATATTTTCAACTTCCGTTTCCTTCTTCATCTCGGTTCCGGGCCGTACTTTAGCCAATAGGACATTTTACAAATGCACGCAGCTGGCGTAGCTACGTGTCGCCACACTTGGCCTATTGCCTTCCTCCTCATCGTGATACTCGCCCGGCCTTCCCTCGTCGCGGTGTCACGGGCCTACAGGGCACAACCACTCTCACTCCTACTCATAGCTTCCTGAGACTTTCCCCAACCCTCGGTATAGACTTGGTTTAATCCCAACCTTACCTGCGGTACTTTCGTCTACTGCCATAAGCAGTCAAAACCGACCGCCGTTCCCAGCACCTACCGTATCCACCTATCCGCCTTCATCTACAAATTATACTTCCTTTCTACCTTACTATTTAGTATAACTTACTTATTATACGCCCCGACTAGTCGTAACAAATGCCGTATAGGCTAACGATGTTAATATCGAGACCCTATCGTGTTCAGGGTGTTCAGCCCCTAGACCCCTACTAGGGGTTCTTAGCTCAGAGCCCTCTGCTTAGGAGCCCACAGAGGAATAAGGGTAACGGTCACCAAGGGTAACCACACCCCCGGAAGGCTATTGTAGGTCACTAGCAGCTCCCAAAGGCTCTGCCCATCGGGTAGTATTGTGGCTAGATTATTGTGGTGGAAGCCATACCTAAATTATTAACTAAGCTCCACAGCACGTTTCACCAACCATTATCGTAGATCCTTGCCCGTGGGAATGCTTTCCGCTGCAGCTCCTTGCCCCATTTCTCCGAGTCGTATTCCGCACCCATAATCTCTTTCTCCTTCTGCCGCTCGAGTGCCCTCCGTGTCGCGACGTCGTCGCCGGCGGCATCCGGGTCAAAGTCATCCCACCACATGTATAACAGGAATGCCTTGAGTCCCCTAGTGGCGAGCCCCTGCCGGATGTGGCGGAAGATGATCCTGTAAATCTCGGCATGTCGCCTCTGGCGCCTCGCCAGGCCGCGGACAGCCGGAACCCCGCCGAGGACAGCTAGCACCTCGCTACGGCTGTGCGCGTCGCGCATGTGCAGCTCTAGTATGAGCGAAGGCAGACGTGCGTGTGCGCCGAGGAGCTTGACGAGATGGGTGAAGCCGGCGGTGGCGACGACGCAGTGCCGGATCGACGCGACGAGCGTCAGCCGGGTAACGTGCCGAAGCAGCACATGCGGAAGTGGTGGCGATTCCGCTATGGTGGGCTGTCGGCCCATCGTTTTCGAGTTACCTGCTGTGCACCACCTGATGTCGTTGTATTGGGCCACGATGCGGTTTCGCCCGTAGAACAGCTCCAGAGCGAGGTCGCGAAACCGCTTGCTGACGAGGAAGTAGGCGGCCGGCGCGTTGCACTGATGACAGCGGCCGCGAGATGCGACATTGCCACTCTCGGCGCAGAAGGCTCCGTCGACAAGCCAGGCGAGGCGCCCGTCGAGCCGCGAAAACTCGACAATTTGCTCCTCGGAGCCGTCTTCCTTTAGGCGGCTCAGCAGGGGCCTCCCGGCAACGTACTTGAGGTCGAACCCATCGTGAACAAGGTGCGAAAAGCTTAGAACCTGGAGCTGCAGCTCGGTTGGCAGATCGAAGAAGGGGAAGGTGGGTCTGTACGTTGCCGCCTGGACGATGTCTCTGGCGAGCGATAAGAGCGACTCTTCGTGTGGGCCCGGTGCGTCCTTGGCACGGCGGCCGAATGAGACGCCGAGATCCTCAAGTGATGTAAAGCAGCCAAGCGGCCTCGCAACGCGCTCGGCCGTCCTGACATCCCTAACCACGCACCGAAAGTATAGGCTGAGACGCCGCGGCTCGGCATGCCGCGCCAGTTTCGCGCATACTCTCTCCCACTGGGCGACAGTGCGCCTATCAAGGCTCGAACGAATATCCAGCGGCCTCTCCCTGCGATCTGAGTTGACCTGCTCCAAAGTCCAAGCCGTGGGTTCGAAGCCGTGATCGAGCCACTGGTCGCGAGTGCCAAGGCAAAATTTCAGGTCGACGGGGATAGGGTGGGGGCACACGCCCGTTACGACGCATCCGTCGCATGCGCACGGAGTGAGACTGACGAACAGGCATCTCATCGCTCTCACAGCTTGAGGACTGAGATTCTCTAGCAAACTCAATCCGCCGCGAGCGCTCGCCGAAACCCCCCAAACATGGGACTGGTAGAGCGCATTCTCTACCTCGACGTGGATGGCGTGGGACACTTGCAAAAGGTTGATCGGAAGTCTGCTCTTCCAGTTGGCGCAGACGCGCGCCAACTCCTCTCTATCCTCGGACTCTACATCTCCAGAGTGGCGATCCTGGGACGTCAAAGCGGTGAGCTGGTGGCCACGACTCCAGCAATTAAGGTCGATGAATCCATCCGTTGTGCCTGCGTCGTGCCCGATACCGGCGAAACCGTAGATTGCCCTCCTCACTTTGGCAGGCAGCTTCATAAAGCTGCCAGCAGAGACGGGAGGAGTCTCTACCACCACGCTGGTAGTTTGAGAGAAGAATTCTGTAATTCTTTTCTGTCCCATATTTGGTGTTTATTGCGGTCGGGTTTCGTCGTGTGTGATGAAGAGTCGACTGGCTAAATAATCTGGCAGTCGAAAAGTGGGAATGCTCATTCTGGGCTTGGCGCGCACACACACCGCTCGATACGGAGATATATTGTTAGGGCCCTTTGTTTTTTAGGGGAACTCTTCGGGGGCACCCGCCCCTAACACCACGAGCACCCATCAATCCACCTTGGCAGCTGTATCGAAGAACGGGCTTTTTTAGCGGTAAAATCGGTGCTTCTGGATTCTGGCCCCCATATGTAGATTTTTGGCCTTCACATGCCGGGGAAAATCAACCGAATGCAAATGAGGCCTGAAAACGGGTTTTTGTAATCCGTTTCTGATTGGCCGCAGCCCCCCTGTAGGCCCTGTGGGTCAGATGGTACATACAGAGCGTTCAGCAACCCAGTCCAGACTGCAGCACGTGTTGTCTATGTGCTATGTGGAACAAGCCAGCTCTCGTCCAACTAGGTCATATATCAGGTTGAGAGGTGTATTATTCCCACTATTTGCTCTCCGTGTGGCGGGGTCAGCGCCAGCCCGTCGCAGGATCATTATCCCGCGGCATGTCTCATTTAGCGTAGTGACGATGTCTTTGGGATTCCTGTAAAAACCGACCAGCTCCCCCAGCGGGAACATGAGGCATGCGTCTGCCCCGGCAGCGCAGAGAATGTCGATGAGGTCGATGTTGCACCAACGGGCATCGAAGTCGAGCGGCGACACAGCTCCCGAGCTATTGAGGGCGTTGGGGTCGGCGCCACAGGCCAGAAGTTCTCTAACTGTGGCATATTTGGGTTCGGGGCGTTTGGGGCTTGCACTTCAAATAATGTTCCATTGTAAGGGGTTAGAATGGGCGATTAGGTAGTCTGCTCTTGTCCCCATCCCCGTGAAGACGGTGCCTTCGATATTGGCTCCAGCCCCGAGCAAGGCTCGTAGAGCGTCGAGGTCGCGCTTATCAATGGCAACGGAGAGGGGGTTTCATCGATTGCATAAACTGTAAAGCAGCTCTTAATTAATTGCGTGTACGGTTGTGTGCGTAGCTTCATAATTGGGATCTGCTCCAGCCTTGGCGAGAAGCTCGAGGATCGGTAGAGTGCTGAAGCGGGTAGCCACCATTAGCGGCGATTCGAATCGAAAGTGGTCACCGGGCGGAAGCGGACCATCCGGACGCGCGCCGAGACAGAGCAACGTCTTGACGCAGTCAAGGTTCTTAGCAATTACGGCGGTATGAAGGGGCGCCGGAGGACCCATATTGGGGACTGGATCCTCTCGCAAGAGAAAGTTGGGGTCGGCCCCTTTGAGTACCAGGGCCCTGAGCTCCTCCCCCGAAGGCCTCGACGAAGTCATGGTGGTGACTGACTCCCGAAAGTTGTTGTCAAGGCTTTTGCGGCGAAAGCCAAACATACTGGAACGTCGTTTGGAAGCCCTGGCGATGTCACCAAACCAAAGCTGTAGCTCGCTCGGGATATTTGGCGCGGCGACTAGCGGGGTTTTTCTTCCCGAGACTCTAGTTCCTGATATGCCATTAGGAGCAAAATTTCTTGTACCAGCGATCATGTCGGCGCCCGACGTGCCTAGGGCAGAGGTAGTGGTTGCCCAATCATGTTCGTTTAGACCGGAGGTGGCCGTTTCCCAGTCATGCTCGCTCTGCCCGGAGGTGACCGTCTCCTAGTCAACGGGTTGCTCGGCGAGCCAGTTCGTGATTGCTTGTTCTGATTCGCCAGAGGCTTTCATGCCTCTCATGTGGTAGTAAATGGCATCGACCTTGCGGTTCGTGTTTTGGGTGAGCTCATAACTCTGCTGTCCCGTCTTACTGTCCGTCTCACTCTCGTCAGCCTCGAGTTCTTGACTTTTTCATGGCAAACTTGAAGAGGTTAAGGCTTGCGCGTCGCCGTCTGCACGAGCCGAGTCAGCGCCGTCGATGCACTGGCGATACCCGACAGCAGGCCGGCGCACGATGCCGCGACCGACAAGGGATCCATCCGACCCCTTTGATTCTCCGACGGAATAAGCCAATTCAAGCCAAGCCAATGCCACTTTCAGGGGTTGCGTTGCGGGTCTATGGCCCCGGGCCGCTTCAGGTGGGTCGTCAGTTCCCTACTAGTGCAAGGCGGCCGTCATGGCATTACCACTAGCCTCGTGTAGCGGTGCGGCTGAGATTCTCTCTCAACTGCTGCTTATCACGTGGGACCACACGCTTCAGGGCGGACACCGGGTCGCTCGTGGGCTGTTCTTTGAGACATTGCTCAAGGCAGGGTTAGCCTTCTCTTTAACTAAGATGGTCTTGGTCCAAATTCGGCAGCCAGCAGGTTGCCGTCGGCGGGCAGCGGCGGCTTGAAGTTGTTCCCGTCCCGGATGCTGTCTTGGAGCCGCGTGCCGATCTTGTCGTACAGGAATTGGCTAAGCTCGGGATTCAGGTCTGGCGACAGGGCCATATGAGTCGCAATCTCGCGATCCAGGGGAGATCGCGAGGAGAGAACATGCATGGCCAGTTGACTAGGCATCCCCCCGCCGTCCAAGCAAGCCGCATCGCGAAGGAGCTGCTTGGCGATGGCCTCTGGGCCTCGAGTCGCTATAAAACTGGGCCAGTACGAGTCCATTTTCGACTCTGGGTAGAATGGTTCGAATTGGGTTGGGTATAACGGATATGTCAACCATCTTCTTGACCGCTGTAAAGCATCTTGGCCGACTCTTGGTAGACTCCTAAATAACTCTAGAAGGTTTTGGTGAGTCACTTCCAGCTGGTCGTTCACTGGACTGTAGTAGCAGGCACAGCAGCCCTCTCGTTTAAACCCCAAAATTGTTTAGCTTAGCATTATGTCCAACCGGAAACGGAAGTTGCGGGAAGCGCTGAAAATAAGGGTATTAGGGAGCCGAAAATAAGGTAAGCACTTTGTATCCTAGAGCTAACCTAGGCAAGTTCCGTGATGTCGACCTCTGACAGTCCGCCCAGCTCTTTCGGCACAACGTCAATAAGGTTGCGCCACACCTGCATGCGCATAGGTATTTACTACGGCGCCCCCCTGCCAATTTTATCCATTTCGTCACTTACGAATCTCCAACAAGACTATCGCGTCTCCCTCCCAATATCCATAGACCACCTTAGCCATCGGCCAGATGGCAACCAAAAGTATAACCTCGAGTTCGTTATGGTGTCGCCGCTCAGTAACTTGGTCGGATTCTCACCAATAACACCACAAAACGTCCCTTGGTATGTCATGTTCTCGATCGACTTTGTCGACGGGCCGGGATATATGCAAAAGGGGTTATAGTAGACCACACGAAATTTGGTCCATGAGCAATCTTCGTTTGAATGTCGCCCCAAAAAAGGGCATTACCAGTTCACTCGGTCTTGGCGCATTCGCGAGTTTCCCAACAAACCTGCCGTGAGCGGGTAATGTAAAGCCAACGTCCAACGCACACCCCGGTTTGAAACTGCCTGTGCCGCCCCGGTTGCCATTTTTCAGGATGACGAACCGACGACTTGTTTGACACCCGACCGAGATTGGACGAGACCACTTGTGCCGTTCAGACTGCCTTTTCTTCGGCATGGCCAACCGAACCTAACCCCCAACGGGTTCCAAACCACGCCGGGCGCAGGTGACGCCGCATTGCCACTAATTATTCTGAGCGGGCTTTCTGCTAATGGATATATAACCGGCCTTGTAGCCTTCGCTACATCAATTCCAGTATCCATGCCATTACCCAGCTCTCTCGACAGCCTCTTCGTTCCTCTCGGATTTCTCTGCTCATTTCAAGTCTAGGTCTTGATTTCACACTTTCTGCACTGTTCAAAGGTTTTCTCTCATTCGTAGTAATTACTGATTTCCCACATGGCTTCCAAAGCCAAGCTTAGCGTGCCTCAGGTGGTAGGGTCGACCACTGGGGGAGCTGCCCCACCGGCGCTAGGCTCCATCAGCCTCAAAACGGGGTCTAAGACGGCGCAAAGAGTCTTCAACAACATGCACAATAGATTCCACATATCCAGCCACATAGCTCTCGATGGCAAGAGCACCAGGTAGATGCATGTGGCCCTCACGAACCAAGGGAAGCTGTTGTCCTTTGGATTCAGCGCTTCAAACGACATCCATCTTCCCAGTCCCGAAGAAGACGCGAAAGTTGCCGAGGCCTACGCACCGAATCCGAACTTGGCCCAGTTCAGAAGCGCTGCTCCACCGGGCTGCTCTCTACCTCCTCGGCCGACGACGCTGTCAGCCTCGCCCATGGCCGCCCAAGGTGACAGGGCGGTAATTCCCTCTGCAGCTGCCACGATGAAGAGTCTTCCCGCCGGCACGGTAACCACGGTCTATCCATCCGCGACGGCCGCCAATCTCAAGGTGAGCTACGCCGAGAACTAGTGTAGCATCAGCCTCAGGGGCGACGGCTTCGTCTTGCACGATTTGTCCAAGGGGGGCCATTCCTCAGTGCACATAGTAAGCAGTGTCCTTGGATCAATTCCCCTGACGGCGGAAAGAAACGAGCACGGCGTACGTCATCCCGTCGAAGCCAGCGTCCGAGAACCAGAAGATTGAGATAAGGATGAGAGAGGGAATCGAGCCGGCCATTTTCTACGTGGAGTGGGATAAGAACTAGGATGTAGCTATGTGGGTTAGGTTAACCATCTTTCGGCGGCTTTTGTCCTCTAGGCTTATTTCTGTTCCGCTTGTTGTGAGTTGGGTTTACAAGAATGGCTCTATGGAATCTGGAGGATAAAAAGGCGGTAGGAGGGGGGATTCATTCATTGCTTTGGATCGTGTTTCAGGTGCATCAATAGAGTTGGGCTCTGGGCGGGACTATAGATAGCGTAGGTATGAACCTAAACTAGCCGAGGTAACTTCGGTGTTTTTATAAATCAAGCCCTTTTGCTAACCAATTACATGACATTTCCCGGATTCAAATATTTTTGCTGACATGAATATCACATCTCTGAAGCAGAAAGCACTTAGTAAAGATAACTAGAAAGTGATGAACAAAGATAACTAGAAAGTGATGAACAAAGATAACTAGAAAGTGATGAACAGAGTGAATTAACGAACCGAGTTGGTTTCTCTTTTATTAACTTGAAAATGGTTAACTTCAGCTAGTCAAACTGTACGCAAGTTGGTTCTGTGAGCCAGTCAAATAATCCATTAGTCTTGGTCTCGACTGGGATTCAAAGAGTTGAAATTACCGTAGTATCCGTTCGTTTTGTTCTTTGATGTTCTTGGCCACGTGATAGTGAAGTACAGTCGGACGCGACTCGGGCGGTGTGACAGCTTGAAACTTCAGAGGGGGGGAGGGCGGAGGGAAAGGTGGACTAGAAAGTTAATATTATATCATTGTTGAAGGAAAACTTCAATTTGAGTCAGTACCTACTAAATCGGGTTTGTTCAAAAGCGATGGTGTAATTGTTGGATTCACCAGGGTACCGGTACTGGACTCAACAGGGCGTGGCTGCACGCCGAAAACTGGTGGTTCAAGTGATGGATTGTAGATGTCTATTCTTCTCTCTAGCTTTCTGGCAGTGCCAGAAAGCCCGTTCTTATACTACTATTGTGGTGGCGAAGTGGGTGGCGAAGTCTCTATCTAGAACCTTCGAGGCCCTTCTGCTTGACAAATTCCAACAGTAATCAATAATTTGAAGTTTTTACTTACTTTAGGTTTGGAGGTTTTTCGACAAAGCCCTCAAGCTTGGGATTGGTGCATTCAGCTAAGATTGTTCGTGCAGTCTTCCATTGGGCGTTGGACAAAAACGACTGCCACAATCCCTCCCAAGCTTGGAAGGCCGCCGGAGTTTGCATCGAATACTCTAAGGCTTGTCCAGGACCTAGGGTATTTCTTATTTTGGCCAAAATACAACCAGCTTCGCCCTCAACGATGAGTCGAGTAATATTAGTTCCAAGGTAGAACCAAGGGGACTCGCGTGTTGGAATGACAATATCATTCGTACTAATCACTATAGTAACCGTTGCAAAAGGATGGGGGTTGTGGTGGTTGTATTCTGTTATATCTCTAATGGGAATAAATACACCATCCCGTTACAAGAATACGAAAATCCTATTTGCATCAAGTTCGAAGACCTAAAAGCGATAGCCGTTTCCACGTCTGCTAGGACAAGATATAATAAGACGCGGCTGTATAACTACCTACCTACCCAGACGAGCCGACCTAATTACAAGTCAAGCCGATGAACACGGTCACACCAACATATTTCCGCAGGGCCCGTCCGGCGCCACCGTCTAGTCTCTAGTTGGGGTCTGCGGAAGACGGTATGCGCTTTCGGAACCACCTGGAGGCTCCGGCTATTGGGTTGTCGAGAAACATGAAAAGAAAAGGAAATAAAAAAGGTCATCGACATCTAATCATCTACTATAAATAGCTAGTGTGCGGCTGCAGTTTGAAGTTGTTGCTTTTAGGGGCATGTGTCATTTTTTGGACAACTTAACCAAGCTCTAAGAGCTGGGAAAGCGTAAGAATAATTGCTAGGGACAGGGCTGGAGTTAATTAGCACTATATAGCTGGTCTATTTTGCACCCATGTCATCTTGCAACAATGCCTGAGATTCTAGATTGAAGTCCGACTGCCATGCTTCAGACTGAGTGTACAAGTCTGCTTCAACCTCAATTGAACAGATTGAGTCTACTTCATATATGGAGTCTAATTCTGGGGGGGGGGGGGTGAGGGTCCATATTTTATCCCCTTTCCTTCTGCTCTATGTTGATTTGAGATGCCGGCTCTCCTTTTGTGGGGAAAAGGGTCACGGCCAAGAACAGCCCCAAATGGATTGTTGGCTCGGCAACAAAAGCTTGTTTCGGGGCCTGCGCGGAGCACCCCGAAGCAAGCTACTCAGAAAATCGTGCCAAGAAGAGAAAAAAACGCGGTTAAATTTGGTTGGTGGCGTGCGGCAATGCGGATACGCACCAGAACTCTTCATGGCTTAGCCCATGTCAGCCGCCATCTCTCTTTTGCCCCAGGAAGACGATTCCGCTAGACGAGGGGCGTGGAATGACTGAGCCATGCGTGGCTGACTGAGCCTGGCTGACCGCAACGGCGTAGCCCGGCTGAATAGTCCTTCTGGGATGCCAGAGCAAAAGCGCAACCAACACCATGGTCCTGAATCAGCTGCATTGTCTACGCCATCACGGCCTCACGAATCAACCTGAGTCGGCCTCTATACCTTGTCTATGCGGCATGCGTAGCTGTCCAGTTGTTGAGACTTTGGCGCGGGCCTCCAACGTCCCAGCCGGGGGTTTGAAGCCTTGGACGCTTCTTGGTCAAAATGGCGAGGCAAATGAAGCCTGCTGTCCCCGGCTCTAATCGATGATACCGAGCGCCAACAGCTAAAGCACGGCGTGCCTGGGCCTACGGTTGTTGGTATGGTGTATAGCGTGTCTGCGGCAAGTGAAGCCAAGAGGGCCAAGCCAGAGAAGGCCGTCGAACAGTCAAGCCCATTGATCAGCTCAGCCAAGCAGGTTGGTCGCCCAGGCGAGCCGACACCCACATATATGTTGCCTTGGTTTGATTTCTACGACATCTTTTCTTGTTCGAGTCACCTAATATCAACACTTAATTTCTCAGGTCCTCAATTCTGCCGTGGCCAACGCGCTGCTCCCAAAACCCGACGCGCCATCATGAGCACATCCAAAAATCAGGGCCCCGCTCCTCGGAAGGTCGCTCTCAGACTCAAGCCATTCAATGAGGAAGGGTAAGATGTATTGCTTTTCGCTGCCACCAAGAGAGACGACTTATCGACCTTCTCCCTTGAAATCAATCACGACAGGAAGTCAACCGTACTAGCAAGCATGCTATTTTTCGCCTCGAAATCCGCGAAGGCTCATGCGGCCAGCGACCTCATTTTGCTTATCACCACGGCAGGCCCCAAAAAGCTTCGCAGGTGTGCTCTTTATATTTCGACAAAGAAACCGGCTGTTTCGTCCTCTACGACGAGGTGGATCCTGAGGGCACCTCTATGAGGCAAGCGCACGTAGCTACTGACGGGAAAATTACATGTCAGCACGAGACAGTGCTCGAGTGCTCGACTCGGCAACGGTGCTGAAGAACCAGGTGCACATCATCCAGGGAGACATGGATCACATATTGGAGCCTGAAGATGCCAAGTCTGCGGAGAATCTCAGGGTCAGATACGGCTACAGATACAAACAGCTTGGGGGTATTGAAAAGAACTCGAAAGAATGGCCATTTTTTTGGTTGAGTGGATATGGAAATAGAACCCGCCTTGGCCCTGGTAGCTAAGAAATAGAATAGTTGATCCACTGGCTAATTCTGGCTTGGAAATGGCGGCCAACTATGGTTGGGAAGGTGGTCTAGTTAATCAGCCGAGGTTCTGCGAGCTGGGGGTGCTTATTTTGTGGCGGGGAGCTGGCAAGTTCAATTGCAGATTGTTCCATCGAAGACCACAGCCCCCCGCATTCGTTGTGATCTCCAAATCCCGGGTTCCGTTCCCAATTTCTTGTTGGGCGAGGCGGGGGGGAAGCGGTTCCTTCCCGAACGCTGTAAAGCGTCCGGCGCCGCCGCAATGAATACGCTTCCCATCCCGGCCCGCGCCGCCGTATACTCTAGGCTAGTTCTTGCTGCGGCCCAACCTCCGATGTTTCAAATTGCGCACGGCGAGGAAGTGTCTTTACTTCTTTCTTTCTTCTTGCGAGGGCGGGCCACGGCAGTTTTGCGGGCGGGATCGGTGACTCTACTCTTCTAAAAAGCCAAACCACCCATGTCCACCGTTTTCTGCCCTATCCTCCTCTGCCTGACTCTCTGTTTCCAGCCCGGGGCACTTTCAATCGATCGAGACGTAGGATCTTGAGACGCATTTCTTTTCTCAGACTGGCTGTCTAGAACTAGGTAGTTGTTGGAACGATATCCGAGGGCGCGGTAGACCAGCCACAGGCAGGCCCGTATCGACTCTCCGTGTAATATGCTAAGTACAGTAGTAATGTGATATGACCATCCGGTTTAAAGGAAGGTAGGAATGCAAAAGAACCCCCAATTTCTGTTTCAGATCGTCGAATCCGGCCACCAAAATCCCGTCCCAACGATCCAAGACCAAAATGCAAATCCGTAGGCCCAGCCTCCGTATTATGTGGTTCCCGCGGACGGGTTCGGCACATGTACCTACCTACTATTTCTCACATAACGTCTCTGAGTGTCACCGGCTCATTCGACGCCACCTTTTCCGCGCTGTACTTGGTCTTGAACACGGCTGCCTGAGGTCCGTCGCCCATTGTGAGCGTTCTCACCCCCGATGTTGGGAGTGCCCGAGAGGCCGGGGGTGCGATCCTGTCGTCGCGTAGCATGGACCCGACCTCGGCTCTATTGTGTGCTGGGTAGCACAGGGAGAAGGAGTACACGAACGGCTGGTAAACTGCTGGGCACGCACCTGCTGGATGTCGAACTAGATGCAAAACAGAGGGCAGGGCCGCCCTCTGCTCCGCGGAAGATCTTGTTACTAACTCGGTTGCGTTCACAGCGTTGCATTCTCTGTGCCTTGTCGTCGCGTTCCGCCTGGGACATGTTCTGTGCTTCCTCCTCGCTGTGTTTTATTCCGAGCATTCTCCGTGCCTCCGCGTTCTTTGGAAACAGCAAACAGAACTTGGGGCCAGGAGGGGTGCCAAAATGTTCCAATACCGTGGCACGGTGCGTAGACATGCTGGCGTTCCGGGTTGAAGATCTGTACTCTGTCTTTGGAAGCGTAGTAATAGGTATTCGTGGGTAAGCTGGGCCAAGGTGAAGTGCTGGGCCAGGGTGAAGTGCTGTGATTTGGGGGCAGGGACAATAGCATCCAAGACAGGTTAACAAGAGAACCTATATATTAAACAGTCTCGTCGTGTTCGACAACACTCGCACCCCGTCAACTGTTCATTGGTTGTAGAACTGGTGGTTGGCTTCAGATCAGGTGGATCAAATATTAGCGTCGGCTTCCTGATGGCTTCTGAAGCAATAGTTGAGTTTATCGTCCAGGCTGCCAGAGACTTGACCCTTAGTATCAGAGATGCTGCACCATCTTTCGAATACATGAAGCTCGTATTGGCCAACGCCAAAAGTGTACCCCAGGTCAAGCACTCCCAAGGTGTAAATGTAAAAAGAGACGAGGAAATAATGGTCCTGACACAGCCATGCCCGTCTCGACGCAACTCTAAGAAAATGTGTGACCCATTATCCCGGCTCGGTATTCTTTCGCTGTGGCATGAATTTCATGGAAACGGCCAGTATTGGATCCACGCGAGATTCGAGATCCTTCGGTCGGTCGGTAGTCTGGGTGGGACTGCAAAGCTTGCTTGTCTCGCTTCGGCGCTGGTTTATTAGTTCTCGGTTCTCGGCTCTTGGTTCTCGGTTCTCGGTTCCTGCGAGTGCGTTTTCTCAATCTGTCATTGTGGTACCCTGTGAAATATGAACTGAATGCTCGTCAGCGGTGCCTCGAGATTGTGGATGCGGCCAATGACGTAGTGGTGGTGTGACAGCACCTGCCGATGAAGAAAGGGCCAGACGGTTGCGGACTCCTTTCAGCAGGTCGGCCCTCAATCAGCAGCATGGTAGGTAGCATCGCCAGATCACTAATATCGAATAACTATGCTTCAGCGCGTGCATATTCGCTTCATGATTGTCTCTTGTTCAGCCTGATCGAGCCCTGGCGCATGACGCTGGGCAAGAGTAACCAGGAGGATGACCACAGGCCCTCTCGGACTCGGGAGCAGGATGACGCTGAGGCCATGTATCTGGACGGGGGGAGAGAATGCAAATTCTCCATCTCACGGACGCGTTGGAGCACTTCACTGGGAAGCTCTTCCAATAATGATGGGACATTGACAGAGGACGAGGGGTTGCGAGCAATTGACAGAAAAAAACATGATCGCTGGCCCGACGATTAACATTAAGGGCTTCGCAACGGCATGCACAGAAGAACAAGGCGTGGGTGGCTGGTGGTTAGCTAAGAGCGCGCAGATGCATAACCCCAACATTCACAGCAGGCAAAGGACAACAGCTTTCTTCTCCATGCCGCAACCCGTAGGCTGCGATCATAGTGAAAAAAAATGTTTAGCGTCTCTTTGAGTAGCGTGTCATCCTTAGTGCAGGGGCCATGCTAATCTTCTCTGTATCGTTTCAAATTGACCATATTGCCCGAAGGCAAGGAAAAAAAGAAGAAAGAAAAAAGTGCAAGAAGGTGGGAGGGCAGGCGCGTTTAAATATGCACGGGTGCAAATTTTACAGGTTCTACAAAAGGTGGGCCTCAACGTGACTCAGAGGGCCTTGCTGTGGCTTTGACGAAGGCGCCGCCACCCGCTGACTTCAAGTTGCTTACGTAGCTGACAAGTCAAAGTGTGGCGCTCGCGCAGCAGCGGCATCACGGTCAACCACGCGCCTGCCTGCAACAGGAAGAACAAGGGGATCCCAAAGCCGTGAAACCGCCGCCGCCGCCGACGTAGTAGTATCCCACAACCGGCACAGACACACAGACACACGAGGCAGGCGTGCACGCTTGATGTCAAGTTCCGCGCCGCAGCCGTGACAATGACCCGGCTTCCGCTTTTCGTATTCCTCGTGGCCTGGCTAGCCTCGCTGGTGATAGCATGTGCGTTTTCTCCCCTCCTCTCCCTCCCCCCCAAACCCACACCACCTAACTAACCCCTCCATGACCGTAGCGGCCCCGACATTCTGCAAATGCACCTGCTTCAAGGAGTCCAAGATCATCGCGCTGGGGCCGCAAAAGGACCACCCGCAACCACCACCACCACCACCCACCGACGAAACCCCACCGACAGAAGACACCGCTCCCATAACAACCGACGCAAACTCATCATCATCATCGTCCGGCCTGCTATCAACACGCGCCGCGTCGTCCTCGTGCACGCAGTGCAACCGCGCGTTCTGCATCGCGTACCAGCTGCCGATCTGCAGGGACGCCGAGGAAAAGGACGTGGTGACGAGCTGCTTCCAGCGCGACAGCCGCAAGGACCAGATCATCGTGTGGGGGTTCATCCTGGGCACGGCGGGCTTGCTGGGCTGGGCGGGCCTGCGGCGCGTGCTGGAGCTGCGCGACGGCGCGGGCAAGGACGGAGGGGGGTTTCTCGGCGCGCTGCCTCTTGCTGGCGGAGGAGGAGGAGGAGGAGGAGGAGGGAGTGGGAGTAGGGCCGGCGGCGGCATCGGTGTGGTGCGGCGCGCTGTAGCTTCTGTTTCTGGCGGCGGTGGGAGTGGTGGTGGTGGTGAGGATAGGGGGTTGTATAGCCCACTGGAGAACGCCGATAGCAGGCTGGGCCGCGGCCCGGGATGAGACCGTTGCCTGCCGCGTACCTGTGATTTTGTCTGGGCGTTGCTGCTTGGTTATGTTCCGTTCGTTAATGGCCAGGGCTGGAGTATGTTCTGCAAGTTTTGATGGCAATACAAGTCCCCAGCGTGCCGTATACTTATAGTCTCGAATTTATACACAACACCATGCTGTCCGCCTCGAATCTGTCGAACTAACCCCCTAGCATACCAAGCATATACGCGGTAGTGAAGGTCCCCTACCCTTCAGATTCTCTTTCGCATTGAAGATCTTTATCGGTGCTGTTAGAATAGTTTCTGTCCGCATTATTATTATCCCTCGTTATCTGGAGCAAAAGTTGAGTGCTTGTAGTCTCCTCGAGCCACAAGCAATGCTACCGGAATGAAAAGATTCTATGTCAGATCATTCCTCCCCCATTCTCGTTTCAAAAAAAAATAAAAAATTAGAAAAAAGCAAGACCTTTTTCTCTATTCCGAGTTCCCAGCAAAATGTACGGAACGGGAAAGTTCTTCCCACCCCTCCCCCATTCGTCCCTCCTCACTAGGCTTGGAGAAGTCGCGCCACCCATCAAAGCCTAGGATCTAGATTGTGACTTCCACGACAGTGGAATTTATATGTATTGGCAGATGGGGCAAGTGCGGTGGTCGGCCTGCAAGCCCGCCCCATCTCCTAAAGACCCAACTTCGGCATCGGTAAAACTACCTTGTACTTCAAGACGTTTTAACCAACAGTTGCCCGTTCTTTTGAGAGAAAAAGGGTTGCTAGCGAGAAAAGGCAATCTCAAAGTTATCTTTGGTTGGCCAAATTTGGCAAAGAAGCAGGCTTTGTCCAGGAAGTTTTACCGGTGCCGGAGTTGGGTCCGTAGGAGATTCCGGAATCAGAGCCATTGCGCTACTCTTCTTCCAGCAGGGTAGCCTTGTGATCTGCGCCGTTGCCGTTAGACGAGCCGCCGTTGACCTTTCTGCGCTCGCGAACGGCCGCCGCAAGGTCTTCGAGAACAGTGACGGTAGACTCCCAGTCGATGCAGGCATCCGTGATGCTGACGCCCTTCTTGAGCGCCGACGGGCCCTCGGCGGGCACCTTCTGGTTGCCCTCGTTGATGTTGGACTCGACCATGACACCAATGATGGCCTTCTCGCCCTCGCGGAGCTGGTCGGCGACGACCTTTGCAACCTTGGGCTGGTTCCTGTGGTCCTTGTTGGAGTTGCCTGTTTTTTGTTAGTAGACGGCCGGCGTCTGGAGTCTAAGAGGCAAGCTCACCGTGCGAGCAGTCAACCATGATCGCCAGCTTCTGGCCCTTCTTGGTCAGGGTCTCTTTGGCGGCCTGGATGTTCTCCTTGTCGTAGTTGGTGCCCTTGGTGCCGCCTCTCAGGATGACGAATCCATGCTCATTACCCTTTGTCCGGGTGATGGCGGCCAGTCCTTGCTTGGTGACACCCATGAAGTGGTGCTTGGAAGCGGCAGCGCCAATGGCGTCGATGGCAACACCCAGGTTGCCATCTGTGCCGTTCTTGAATCCGACCGGGAACGAAAGGCCGGACGCGAGCTCGCGGTGAAGCTGGCTCTCTGTTGTCCGTGCACCAATAGCGCCGACCGAGATGAAGTCGGCTAGGAACTGGGGGGAGATGGTATCGAGCATCTCGCTAGCAATAGGAACGCCCGCGGATGTCAAGTCGTGGAAGAGCTGTCTGGATACCCGGAGCCCCTTGTTGATCTTGAAGGTCTGGTCGATGTCGGGGTCGTTGATGAGACCCTTCCAGCCCACTGTCGTCCGCGGCTTCTCTAGGTAGGCGCGCATGATGATGACAAGATCGTTCTCAAGCTTGTCCGCGAGAGCCTTGAGCCTTGCCGCATACTCGAGCGCCGTAGCTGGGTCGTGGAGAGAGCACGGCCCAACAACCACCAGCAGGCGGTCGTTACGGCCCATAATGACACCCACGGCATCCCGTCTGCCCTTGACCACGGTGTGAAGGGCAGAACTTGTCATGGGGATCTCTGAAATGAGAAGGGCAGGAGGGATCAAAGGATCCTGGCCCAGCACTTTGGTCGAGGAAGGGTTAGTCAAGACCATTGTGCACTAGACTATAGAGCTCTTGAGATTCGAGCGAATTCTCGACGAGAAATACAGTCGAAAGGTTGGTGAGAAGAAAGACTCCTGCCCCCACGCTCTCAAGAGCCGCGTCCATTGCTATTATAGTTGACTGCGGGCGCAGCCGTGCCGCACCGCGCAGCCCGGTTCCAGAAACGAGAAATGGAAAAGGCGGCATACCTCTCATATCATCAGCCACGAGGGGCGCCATGTCGAGTCCGGGCATTTTCACGAATGCCTAGGTATGCACCGTAACTAGCGGCTATCAAGGTGCCGATTCGGAAAACGGGTACGAGGCAGGTACGCAGGTAGGGCAAGTGAAACTAGAAAAATTCTGAAAAACGTTTAATAATTTCCCCCGCGGCAACCGAAGGCAACGGCGATCGGCAAGGTCAGGGCGCGTGGGTGCGCTGCTGACAGGAGTATAATTGACGATGACAGGAGTGGTCAGATCGAGGTTAGGAAGAGAAGCAGGCAAGCAATTGGGCGAGAGTGAGTCCTAGACTGCTGGCAGGGAAGGGATCCGATGCGGAGCGGCGACTCTGGAAAGGCAAGGTCCCGTTCCCCACAACAAAGAAATACTGCGTGCGACCCACGGCCGAAAAAAGAGCACACATAAATTATGGAATTTATGGACACACTTCCCGAACAGAACAACTCAATTCGTGTGGGGCAGGCGGGACGCGTGGGAGAAACGCAAGATGGGCAAACAGTTCCAAACGAGGCAGAGCTAGGTTGTTTACCTACCTAGTGAACCAGGGCGGGCGTGGTTTGTTCGCTGAGCGGACCAAAAAAGAAACCCAAAGGGCGGATAAAGAAAATGTAATTTTCGGTGGTGGGTGTGTGCCGTCGACCAGAGCCAGTCGAGCTGGCAGAGTCCCCAGCAGCAGCCGAGTCCTTTTGAGGGCAACCCAAGTACACCGAGGCATGCTCGAGTGACGGAGACTATCATTCGATCAACCACTTAGCTGCTCCATTTCCTGCATGTGTCCGTCCGAAAGACGGACGCAGCAAATTATCATGTCCAATTACCAGTGACACCCCATGCGGCTGGACCCCTGCTGTGGGCTGAGGTTAAAGACCACCGTCAATGGTGGGGGAGGGGCAATGTGTGAAATTTGGGCAACAACCAAGGCAATCCAATGTGAGGGGAAGGGGGAGGGGGAGGGGCACAGATTTTTTTCTGTCGCGGTTTCTCGCCCAACTCACCGCCTTTCTATCTATCACCGCCTTTTGGTTACAAGTCCACCTCTTTGCATCGCTCGCCGCCTCGCTGATGCCTCGAGGGCATGAACTGGCGATGACACGGTGTTCTTGGTCAGAGATTGCTGACCTGACCATCTTACTTACCATGACCTTCATGACTGACTGAGCCTCGCATATCATCGCAACTTTTAACCCTACCATGACCATCAGATGGGGGCGCAATGGCACGAGCAGGAGCTGCTGGCCTCTTATTTGCCAGGCAGGCTCGCTCAAGCCCGAGAACGAGGCTCCGAACCCGAAAGAGACAGGGCCCGGCCTTCGCGGTCCGCACGGTGGTCTTTTTTTGGTCGCCATGTGACTCCCAGGTCGTGAGACAGTTGCTGCTTGCGCGTATGTCATGTTGATACTAGGCACGGGATTAAATCCCGTTCCGTCCGTAGGCTGATGCAGTTCATAAGGCGGACCGCCGCGAATTCCCACACGGAGCGGGCGGAGACATCCGCTGCTTGTTACTCATGTATGCAACATGTCGAGATGCCCTCCACCAGACGCCCTTCTCACTGGCTTGTGGAGAGATCGGCTTACCCGGTTTTTCTAATTTTAGACATGTGCTTCCTCATCGCTATGGCGTACGTGCGTAAGTCTGGCATTTCTCTGAGGTGAAGTTTGGTGTGTGCACATGGTTATGCGGTGTGAGTTGGAGCACTCGCATATGTTGTGAGCATCGATAGAAGAGCCCCTGACAAATTGACCGAGATTTGCGAAATCTCGTGCTACCGTGCATCTCATGTTTGGATGTCGCGGGCGCGTGCAGACGATCCTTCATCAACCGATCTCTCGCGGGGGCACAGGCTGCGGTTAAAACCTTGTGTGGCGGAAGTGATGGAGTGATGGCCAGGTGGCCGCAGGTCAACGGCGGCGACTTGGTGGGCTTGGTAGGACGATTCACTCGAAGTAAAGTAAATAAAGCCGAATGCCGATGAATCCGGCATGGATATCTCCGTACCCAAGGCAAGGCAGTGGTCGGGCGTTTCCTCATGGCCTCTCAAAGGCTCCAGGAGGATCCGGAAACAAAACAAAACAGTCATGACGAAACCCGCCAGTGCAGCGGTACCTACAGGTATTCCTTCTTCTCCCTCGGAGGCTAGAATTCCCACGGGTGTCGAAACTTACTCGGTGTGTCAAACTGGATGAGTCAACCATGAAACGAACCCGGCCGGTCTCCCGCTCTGAGTAAGTTCGAGCCACACTTTCCCCTCTTTTCGACCCGGGGTGACGGTGTCGTGCTCATCTACGAGCCCTCGGCGATCGAAATGGCATGAACCATTGGCAATCAGAGCTTGAGCGTGAGCCCAGCCTAGAGCAATCGGCACCTTTGTCAATCTCCCCAGAGAAAGAAAGGGGTTGCTGTGTAGATTGTTGACAATCCAGTGAGGGACGAGCGAGCGAATGTTGCGAGGGGTCGAGGCCGAGAAGTAGAAGCGGGCCTTCAGCAGCCGCCGGCCTGGGTAGCTCAGGTCGGCATCCCTTCGACGAGCGGGCGTGCCAGTTGCGGCCGATCAGAGTGTGGGCGCGAACAATTAACCTGGCGGTAGTAGGGCGGGTGCACGCGACTGTGAGGTTTCTGGTCGCCCTCGACGTGTCTTGAAGCAATCCTGAAACCAGCCGCGCTCGACGGGTCACGGTCACCACCGACTCGGGTTGCCCTGAATCTGATCCACACTCTCCGCTCAGGAGGATCTGCGCTCCTGGGGGGTCGTGCGCACCCTGCGAATGCCTGTCAGCTCTGGCAGGGCAGGGCAGCAGGGCTGACCGCGTGCACCCTCGGCCGCAGCCTTCGGGGTCGGTAGGCTGGTGCTGGTGCAGGTTCTACGGAGTGAGCAATTGGAAACTGCCCGCCTACACGACGGGAATACCTGAGGTAGGTGCAGTGGTTTGTGCGTTGCATCGTCAATGTTTCTTCTCCCTCTCTCGTTCGGAGAATTCTGTCTTTTGCGACACTTGTTTTGGGGGTTGGGTCATGTCACGGATTAAACAACCCTTTTCCCTCTTCCAATACGGATATTGCCTGCCATCCAGGTTTTAGGTCGGCCCAGTCTGTCGGTGGCAGGACTGAGATGAAGTGCCCATCCCATACGGATGATTAAATTCTTTAACTTATAGCGGATGGTTTTTCTCTTATACCCACCCTCCACTTGGACGGGAACCCTTGCTGCGTCTGACGTAGGTTCCTCCTCCCTGCTAATCGCGGCCACTTTTCGCCCAGCGCAACACTTCTTTCACGGATTGAGGGGAAACCGGTTCCCCAACTCGGGCTGCCGCCCCCTCGCCGCGGGTGCCTGCCCGCCCGTGTGTGGTTTGTCGCTCTGGCTTGCAGCCGTTGTTCGAGTCCAGCCCAGTCCGGTCCAGTCCTTCCAATTAATTCCTCAATTGCTCCACTTAGCAACTCGTGCATCTCGGTGCACCTCATTCAACAGTGCCTTTGCCCTCGAGTGCCGTCTGTGCATATATGTTGGCGCTCGAATCGAATGCTGCATTGTGCTGATCTAGACCTGTCGGAGAGCCCTGCTGCGTTGCTTTTTGGATCGTTCAGTGTCTTGCGACAGCTTCCAGGCCGTGCATCTTCTGGAACAATAGTCCAAAGCCGGGGCTGGTGGAGTTCACAGATCAAAGACCCGACCCGACCCCAGGAGCAGGAGGGGAGGGCAGCTTCCATTCCTTTAGTTTAGGTTAGCTCGCGGACGGCAAAGAGCCGGTGAGAGCTACCTCTACCTCTACCTCCGTCGGACCAACCCCCGACTCCCATCCTCATCCAGCCCTTCAGCCTCCGTCGGCCGCCCCTGCGCCTCCTCGATTCGTCGTTAGCTAGCGAAGGCTCCCCCTGCTCGCTTCAGCACGAACCCAGAGATCCCAAAAGGGCACAAAGAATCACAAGCAAGGAGGAGGAGCAAACCACTAACAACAATACTTTACTACCACCCCCTCCTTCTACTGCAGGCTCGAAGTAGCCGGCCAACATTCCAAGCTGGCATTTATCAGTCCATCGACTGAACCATTCCTTGGTTCAGCTGCGACATCCACCACTACCTTATCAACCCCAGGGAATCGACCCGCGATATTTAAGCCCTTTGACCCCCCCCCCCCCCCCCCCCCCCCCCACTGGTTTCCGCAAGCGCGACCGTATCATCCGAATTGGACCACCGAGTACGCGGTACAGCGTACTCTGATCTGGCCGTCTGGGAAACTCGCCACAATGATGAGCGAACACGAATGGCCCGAGGCCCATCGTAAGAGGCTTCGCGACGACGAGTACGCAGATGTGGCCACAGGAGGCTCGCTCGGCTTTACTGAGCATAGAAGTGTAAGCAGTAGTTTCCCGCTCCTAATTTATGGTCCCCATCTCCTTTACAACTCTATCCCAATATTTCCAGGCCTGTGACAGTTCACTGGGGCGTTTTGGCTGGCAATATGGCGCAGGTTGAGAACTGCAGTGGAACGATGCTGACTTGATGATGCAGAAACGCCTCCAAACCTCACTACCCCTCAGGACATCTCCAACATCCAAGCGATGGGCCGAGCATCCCACCTTCCCCCCTTCGATCCCGTCCTTTGCCTTTGCTGCGCCCATTTCGTCACACACCATCACACCGGGCAATTCGGATTCAGATGAGGCGTCAATGGCCCAGGACACGTGGGCCGACGAGCCAGAGATCAACCACTACAGCGCGAACGATGTGATTTCAGAGGCGGCCGACGATGATATGGACATGACAGAGGCGTCTGATACCATCCCTATTAACGGCGGCCCGGCAGGGGACCAGGGCCGGCAGCACTTGGCCCCAGGCCTGTTTCACCCGGACCCGGCCACGACCAGCGTGACGGGCCGAATGCCAACGCCGATCCACTGCAGCTTCGGCGCACAGGTGCGCGGGAACAACCGGGGTGGCGCCGCCGGGAGCGCTCTACGGGGCGAGCCTCTAGCGATGACGCCCGAGGAACAGGATCCAAATGCGCTTGCGTTCAGCCACAACAACGCCGCCCTGGCGGACGCGCTGCACCACAGGTCAGGCGGGATGATAGGTCACGAGAGCGTGCCTCGCTCGTTTGACGGCTCGGCGGGGACCGCGCAGGTCATGGCGGACTGGGGCATGGCGCAGAACCGCCGGCTGCCGTCGCCCATTAGCGAGAGCGGCGGTGAGGACAGCTTAGAGAGCCCTAGGATGGTGCTCGACTCGTCGTCGCAGCACATGTGCCACGGCCACCCGGACCACGCCGCGCACCAAAAGCACATCGCGCACCACCAGCAACTCTCCCTAAACTCGAGATTCCAGCCACACGCCGGCGAGCTCGGGCCAGACACGACAAGCCCGTCTTCGCGCGAGGGCACGCCGACGGAGAACGGCAGTGCAATGGACGTCGAGTCGTCGGCGGCGACGCCATCTCCCGGAAGGAAGGGGCACACGAGGTCGAGACACACTCTGAACTCGTGGACGGCGCTCCAGCCCGGCATGAAGCGCTCGTTCAGCATAGGATACCGGTCGGACTGCGAGAAATGCCGACAAAAGGTGCCTGGCCACTTCAACCACATTATCATATCTTAGAGAGACGACCAGAACTGGCGCCATAGCACCATCGAGACTCCGCTGCAGCGCATTCAGAAGCCGAAGCCGAAGCAGAAGCAGGAGCAGAAACCGGACACGGCGGCGGCTCCAGCTATCGCCTGGCCTACTTCATACTGCGGGAACATCATGCGGCCAACCTGATTGGACGGAATTGGCTCTATATTTGAGGGGGAGAAATATCCCTCACCCCATCAGCCTTCCGTTATCCCATGTCGCCAACGGTGTAGCTACCGACGACAACAGCAGCGTTGCTTATTGACGGCTTTTTTTTAGTGCCTATGGCTATCTTGTAGGTAGTATACTACTGCTACTCGGTCTCCTACCGATTCCCACATACAGCTAGGGAAAGAGGACACAGAGAGACACGGCCTTAGCGGTTACAAGCCGTGTTTTTTTTTTTGCAGGGACTGGTAAATAGAGTTAAAGGGAGGAAGCGTGGAGTGACTCCGTGAGAGCTGTATAAAGAAAGCAGTGCTGTAATTTTTCCCATCATATCACACACGCACACACGCACATACGCACATACACACATACAGTCTTGAGCGTACAAACAAACCTCCTTGAGGTTTTTTTTTGTTAGCAATATCATTGAGAGCGAGCGACCGTGGGTCTGGATCTTGGGCAAAATGAATCGAGGCCTTCCTTTTGTGGTCTGATTCCTTACGAAGAGACGAAAAATATACCTACTCCTACTTTTAGTATACAAAAATCATCCCAATATTAAATGAAATCTCCCGGTGAAGAAAAAGAAAGACGGTTGCATTAAAGACACGAATAAAATAAAAAGTCTATGTACACTACACGACCTCTACGCTGGTTCATGCGCGCGTCCTTGTCTGCCTAACCTACATATACTATATAGTACAGCTCTCGCGCCCAAATCTCTTAATTTTACCCACTGATGGCCATAGTCTGGCGTGGCAAGGCCGCTTCTCTGCAAAGGAGTTTGACTCCCCGGAAAGCCAGTAAAGAAATGGCCATACCGGCGGCAGCGTGGTTGAATAGCAGCGGAATCCTTTTTTTGAACACAAAAAATCGGGAGTTGCCGCGTCTTCCAGGCGGCAGCCCCGTGTTTTATGGCCGCGCCTCACTCACCACAGCCACCCTTTCCGTTTCGGCTCTGTCCCGGCAGCGGTGGCGGCGGGCTTGGCCTCGGTCTCCAGGCCGACCCGGTCCAGCGGCCCGCCCTTCCTCTGGTTTGCCTTCTCCTTTTCGAGGGCTGCAAGCGCCTTGTCCTCTACGGCACGGACAAGGTCGCTGTCCCGGACGCCCGCGCCGTCGTCCTCCTCGCTGAGGCTCTCCCAGCCGAGCCTCCGCTGGGCGGTCCCGGCGTCGTCGCCTTCCTCCTCCTTCTTGAGCGTCGACGACATCCAGCCCCATATCCCTGATGACTTCTTGGTGCTGCTAGGTTGCTGCTGTTGTTGCGAATCTGCGCCCTTGGGCCATGTCGCTGCCTCCGTTACCCGCTGCGGCTTGCCTGCTGTGGTGTCGGCGGCGGCAGCGGCAGGACTCCGCTCGCCAGTGGGCTGCGGCGATCCCAGCAGGCTGGGAAGCTTGGAGAAGAGGAGCGGCCCAGACGTCTGGCCCGCCTCGCGCTCCCGCTCCAGCACCTCTTCCACGAGGGAAATCTGCTCCTCGGTGGCTTTGCCCGTCATGTAGGCCAGGCGGGCGGCCTCGAGACTGTCGGCTTCGAGCTTCTTCTGCGCCTCGATAAACTCGGTCTTTCGCTTCTTGTTGTACATCATCATGTCGGCGGCCGTGTAGACAGTGAGGAGACTGGCAATTGCTATTGGGGCGTCAGTGTAAGACGTTTATTTTAGAAAATAGTTTAGATAGGGGGGAGGGGACATACCCGTGAAGCCAATCAGGCCAATGACCGTCACCTTGTGTGCCGAATCGAAGAAACGCCGGCCGCCGTCGACGATCTTGTCAAACTTTGAGATCTCGGCCGCCTTGGCTCTCCGGTGCGCAGCTCGTAACCGCGCGACTTTTTGGTCTGGTGTCTCGGTGAACGGCCCTCCTCCAATTCGCCGACCGCCACCACCGCCGCCGCCACCACCGGCACCGCCAGCGGGAGCGGCCCCTCCCGGGGCCTTGCTGCTCCCGCCGACAGAAGTAAACCGCGGCGCGGCCGCTTTGGAGCTCGCATGGGGCGTCGTTGGGGTGAAGCGCGTCGCGTCCGAGACGCTGCGTGGAGCGGAGGTTGTCGGCATCGCGGAAAACGCGGGCAGGGGGTTGAGAGTTGAGGCGCCCGTGCAGTCTGACTGAAGGCCGTGTTGCTTGGTTTCCACTTGCTCGCCTTGTTCGTCGGGTACAGTGCCAATTGGGAAATTGGGTGGCAGGAAGCACCCTGGATTGGGTCGTTCAGATGGCGAATGGAGGGATGGCGAGAGAATACAAGAGCCAGTCTGCTTGTGTGCTGCTCCTGGAGCTCTTAACCCGACACTTTTTTCTGGCTCCACAGTCGTCAACTTCAGATCATCCGACTGCGCCAAGCAAAGGAAAGATTTTGGGAATGCAGCAGGGGAAGCTCCAGCCACAGTTCCCAGACAACGGTAGGTGTGCCGTGCGCTGTGGCGCTGGGCGGTCTGGTGTGCCCCACTTGAGCTGAGACCCTGGCAGCTCGATGTGGCTGCCGAGACTGGAAATTTTGGCTGTGGCTACTGGCGCGACAAATCGTCGTCCCAATTTCGCGAGACCCGAGACTCGTCTGGGAACATTGGCACCCACCACAACTCTCCTACTAACGGCTGCTTATTGACGCTGCCCAAACCACCAGCATGCGTCGTTTACCGAGGCTGGGAAGCTCAGCTACCGTGGCAGCTCTGCCTATGTCGTCAACAGCTTGTCTCCGGACACCTGCAGCGAGTTTGTTCAAATGCGAAATCGCCCTGACTTCGGCGACGCAGCCACACAGCGTCCCACGGCAACGGCACCAGGTCTGGGCCAACCGGTTCCAGAGCCAACGGCGATGCCTGTCGTCTGCACCTCCCCCGCCTGCCTCTACCCCCGAAAAGGCTGTCGACGGTGCCTCAGACGTGCTGGTAGAAGCCCAGACCGCAGCGGCAGAAGCCCAGACCGCGGTGGCAGAGGTGGATGTCGGCGTCCTCTCTACCGAGGTAGACACACAAAACATCCAACTCTCGGCGAGCCAATCCCGTAGGCGCCTCCGGGCCCGCCTGCCCAAGACTGATCTCACGATCCCCCGCAAACAACGCACTGTGCCACGGCCGGCCGATATTCCGGATGCCGAGTACGTGCCGGCCGAGTCGGGTCTCGGCCTCGAAGAGGTTGGCGGTCTGGAAGGCTGGTGGGACAACCCGGCACATTGGGGACCTTCCAAGAATTACGTTGGGTTCGGGCTGCAGGAGAAGGTGATGGACGCGGCCTTGCTCCAGGTGCTCGCCAGGAAGGCCTTGGTCGAGGCTATCGCTCTGAAGGACAAGTTCGAGTCCAAGATCAAAAACTATAGACGGGTGGACCCAACCCCCGCCGAGTTTCGGATGGCTGAGCTTGTCAGGATTTCGAGCAAAGAGATCCTGGTCGCAGAGGATGGTTCTCCGACCATGGCGCAGCACGACGTATACAAGACCCTGAAAGCCCTGAGCCACCGGCTGCCGGTGGCCGAGGGCGAAGTTCTCCCCAAGCCTGTCGGCCCAGAAATGACGCCCGAAGAAGCAAAGGAGCTGCTAGAGTCGTGGGACCGCAATTGGAAGGCGGCCTCTATCGAAGACCCGGCCCTCAGGTTTTATGTAAGTGCTCTCGTTTTCCAGCTTGAGGCTGGTCTGCTTCTTTCCGCCTCTTTGCGATTTGCTGATAGGCGTGCCACAACAGTTGGTCAAGCGGATCCAGCGGCTTACCGGGCACGTCATCCCAGATGCCAAGCTGGTAGGAGTCAGGCACATGGGCGGGCTACTCTCGGTGCTCGTGAAGCCACCCAAGGCCTTGAAGCTGGCCGAGCTGATCACTACAAAGAGTCTTCTGCCGACGCTTCCCAACGTGAAGATATACCCGCGGAGAGTGACGCCTGTGGACAAGGAGAAGATGGTGGGCCGCTGGAAGCTTATCCAGAAGGAGCTCCAAGAGCGCGGTCTGCCTGTCGTTGGCACCGAAGGTTACGGAGCGGCGGTCGAAAAGAAGTGGGTTACGGGCAATTAAGAAGTTGGTGTTCGCATTGCCAGGCATCTACCTCCCTCGGCGATGTTCGCGTGTATATCATCTCCTAGATACGCTGCGACCAGCGTTGCAAAGCTGTATATCATGTATAATGCTTAAGCGAGAGGCGAGGAACCCGAGGGGAGAGATGATTTGACTTGTCTTCCTGATGACCCGTATATAAACGACCAAGGCCATACTATGCACACCCCATATCTAATATGCAATCCCTCCTATTACCGGTAAGGGGGCGGACAAGACGCACGGGCCATCCATGTCAAGCAGAGGCGGCCAAGCCTTGCAGCCTGAAAGCTACCTAAGGTAGGCACCTACTAGAGCCTGGAAGAAGCTTGTTTGCTAGGTAGGCATTTCTGATCCACCACACCACCTCGAGTTTGCTTGCCATGTAATGGAGAACATGTTTGCGTGCTTTTTGGTGGGCAAACAACAGCGTTACTCGGCTTGTTTCTGCGCGACTTGGACGTTGGACCCACATTACGTAGTACAAGACACAGGAAGGTATTTAGTACCTGCCAAGGTAAGGCAATGACCGACATACAATAAAGCATGCAGTGGAAAGGCAAGAACTCAAGGCAGCTCCAAGCCGTGCCACTATAGCTTCTGCGCATACCACAAACACATAGAAAGCAGACTGACTCGAATCTCACTCACTCACAGACTCGCCCACGCAGCTGTCCGGTACATAGCTCACCATAAGTTCCATGAAAGAGGGTCATTTATTACTGCCACACGCCCAGCTCGTCTCGGGCTCTTTCATCCGAAGCAGGACAAGAACGCCTGGTATATATATATATAAAAGAACTAATATATGGAAATGGCACCGACACGCCAAGACATCGAGGCACTTTTCAGACAGGTCGCTCCTCTGGCCCCGCCGCCGCACGGCGGAGCTGACGAGGAGTCCGATGCCAATGCCGCCGCTGCCGCCTGGCGCACCTCGCAGCTCAAGGACACCGTCCTCGCCGCCGCGCAGGACGCCTGGCCCTCGCGCCTAGACGACCTGGCGTTCATAGCCGAGAAGGCTGCCGATGCGGCGAGAGACGGTACGTGGGCGTGAGACGAGTTTGTTGCTGTGCCGGCAACCATTTTTATTTCTTGTCGGGGGACCTTCATTAGGTCTCAGTCGTGTCATGCGAGACCCGAAAAAAAAGGCTTCCTCTTCCACCGCCTCTTTTTCCCTTTTCTTCCACTCAGAAATAAAACACGAATATATGGGCTAATCACATGATGGCCCAGCCTCCTGGAGAGTGCCGATAGGCGACTCGGGGCTGCTTGGCTTGTTCCTGGCCGTCATCCCGGACGACAGACTGCCGCCGCTGCTGAAGAAACACACGCTGCGTCTGCTTGGCAACTCAGCTGCTGACTGCGGTGAGTTTTTGTTCTAGAACGAGCTCCTCTCGGGGCCTGTTGGTGCTAGTGTTGGTGTAGTCGGGAGAACATGTGGTAGAGACTGACAAAGCCCCCTTTTTCTTGTTCCGCTCTAGATGAGAACAGAGCCCGCGTAGTCGAGTCGGGCCAGCTAGGCAGCACCTTGATCCGCTTCTTGCAGGACGACTTCCTGCTCCCCTTTACAGTGCTCGTCTTCCTCAACATGTGTGTAGACTGCGGTAAGAAGAGAGAAGCCCTCCCTAGAAGCCAGGGGACTAGTGTTGACAGTGTGGCAGCTCCGGCACAGCGCCAGGCCTCCGAGGCCGGGTTGAGTCGAGCACTCGTCGACATTCTCTCTGGCGAACGGCTGCGGTTATGCCAGTCGTCCCTTGGCGCCATGGCCCAGGTGCTTGGCCTCATCGCCAACCAAGGTGTGTCTTATTGCTGCATATATCTTGGATTAAGGCCCATGTCAGGGCTGTGGCTGTCCAGCCGCTGAACGTACGTAGAATCGGAACCCAAATTCGTAAATGTAGCCACGCCGGCGTTGGTTCTCGAGCTTGCTACAAGCCGGGAGTACCCGCTCGACCTGGAAGATTTCACAGAGCTCTGCACAGTGGCGCTGGTATACCTCACGTACGAGCAGTTCCAGCAGACGCTCGTGGAGTCACGCAAGCTCGAGGTCCTGCAGCAAGCCTTCGACGACTCGTACACGCAGTTTGACGCCGACGACGCCGACCAGGACGTCCAGGACCAGCTCAAGCAGGTGTGGAACGCTTTCGTGACCGTCTTCTCCGACATGTCAGCGCTCCCCAGCTTCGCCGCCGCCTACCCGCTCTCCAGCCCGGCCGTGCAGACCTTCACCAGCTGGCTCGGGACGCCCGCGTCTTTGTCGCATCTCCAGACGGCCGCGTGCCTGTCGCTGGGCAACCTCAGCCGGTCCGACGAGGCAAGCACCGCGCTGGCCAGGGCCGACGGCGTCGTCGGCAGCCTCGCCGCGATCCTGGCGCGAGCCGTCCCGCAGCAGCAGTCCAGCAGCGGTCCTCCGCCTCCGCCTCTGCCTCCGTCACCGCAACTCACCCACGCAGCGCTTGGCTTCCTCAAGAACCTCGCCATCCCGCCCGCGAACAAGGCGCTCCTCGGCAGCCGGCTGCTCGCCAGTCCGGGGCCACTACGGGCGCTGTGGACGACGACGACGACGGCGCAGCCGCAGGTGCAGTTCGCCGCCGTGTCGCTGGCGCGGCTGCTGCTGGTCAACTGCGCCGACAACGTGCGGCTCGTGTGCAGCACCACACCCAACAACAACAACAACAACACCACCAGCACCACCAGCCTGCAAACCCTCACAGAACTGCAGCCTCACTTAGACGCCGAGCCGACGCGCATCGAGATCGCGCGCGCCGTGTGCGCCGTGTGCCGCGCCCTGCACTCGAGCAGCGACGGCGGCGCCGCGATCCTCTTGCCCGCCAACACCACGAATACCGATGCCGGTACCAGCGCGCTCGCCGACGATGCACTTACTAGCTTCTACGTGGTGCACGGGACCGGCATCGCCAGCGCACTCGCGAGCCTACTGACACAGACACGGTTCGCAGCGGTGCGGTCCGAGGCCGTGTTCGTGCTGGCGCTGATGAGCCGGACCAATACCAACAACACCAACAACCAGTCCCAGTCCAAGAACCCCGGAGGACAAATAGCGTTGCAGGTGCTGGCCGCGGCCGGGGTGGTGCGTGTGCTGGCGACGGTCGTGGTGGGAGGAGGAGGAGGAGGAGGAGGAGACGGCACGGATGGGGAGGTGAAAAAGGAAGTGGATGCCATTATTCTACAGGACGACGACGATGTGAGCGCCAGGGAGGGGGAGGAGGAACAGCAGCAGCGGTCTACGCCCGAAACGGCAACACCAGTGAATACACTGGCTAATGCTACCACTGGAGGACTAGTGGATGGGCTCGGCTTGGAGCCGCAGCAGGCAGACCCGAAGCAGGCGGCTGGTCTAGCGCGGGTCGACCGCGAGAATGCGCTGGTGCTGGTGGCAGAGATCCTGCGGAGCTTCGCCGGCCAGCTGCCGCCCACGCGAAAGGCGACGCTGGAGAGGATGCTAAGCAAGGGCAGCGAGCTTGTTCGGAATAATAGGGAGCAAGTGCATCCGTAGATGGAGACAACCAGTTCTGTGAGCAGCTAGGAGACCCAGATATAAAAGCGAGCTAGAGATGGCCATCGTATAGATCTCATTCAGATCGTAGCCTCTGTATAATGGTGGCAAACACGACGGCAAAACAGGACTTGATGTGATCATGTGTCATGCTTTTCCGTGTCCCATTCATTTGATGCTCTAGCAAAATCCCTATGACGCGCAAAGTTCATCCTGAGCCCTGTTCTTGAGAGCGAACAAGGATTCCCCGAAACTACACGGCCATCGGAGGGAAGCCCTGTTCCCCCATCCGGTTCACCAGAAAAGCAGCAAGCGAGACCAGAAACCAGCCAAACTAACACCGCAGGGAATCTTCCTATCTTCCACCGTCCATAACCACAACCAAGAGGAGACGTTTATTTCTTGTCTTTCTCGGCCTCCGCCTTCTCCTTCGCGCGCTTCTCCCGGACACCGACATAGCGGGCGTCCGACCTCGCCTTCCGGAGGGCCTTGTACGCACCACCCTCGACGTTCTTGGGCAGGTCGCTCTTCTTGATCTCGGAGAAGCTGGCGGTAATGGCGTCGACAACGCCAAAGGCGCTGCGGATGCTCTGTGTCGTCTCGCCGGTCTGCTGGTCCTTGGGGGTATCGGCCTTCTTGGGCTTGTTGGTCTTGCGGGGGAAGACAATCAAGCGGGCCTTGTAGGCCTTGAGGCGCTCGACATTGGCGGCGAGGCCCTCCTCCGACAGATTTGCGCGGCGGTGGTCGACCTTGATGCCGATGGTAGGGGCATAAAGCTTGGGGATGCCGGCAGCCTGTTTTGCGCAGAATTGTTAGCAATCTGACGCAGACCCTGGTTCTCGTCCAGTTACATGTCAGATCCTGCTCGTACCTTGAGCTCGGCGATCGAGAAACCGCGGCCGAGGCGTGTGCGGCGGTTATACTTGACGGTACTGCAAAACTCTAGTGGTTAGAGAATATTAACTCGCCAAAAATTAGGACGTGGCGGGTTTGACTAACGGGCATCGCACAATCGGGCGGAGGCTATCCACGGGACGGGGAGCGACAGCGGCGGCCTTCGCACGACGAGCGATACGGCGGGTGACCTTCTTGCCGGGCTATTTTCCATCGAGGTTTGTCAGAATTCAAGTTTGTTGCAAAGTCGCACTTCCCGCCCAGTCCCAGAGTCGTCACGAACCTGGTCGAAGTGGCACCGCACACGTCTCTGCCAATCCTTGCGGAAATCTGAAGCAGTCTCTGTCAGTTCCTGTCGTTCCTCCTCGTGCAAGGCCAGCGCCGGGGGCCAATCTCGTCGTCGTGGATGGGATGCTCACGGTTGTGGGGGATTTGCTGATTGTGCTTGATCGCCTGGAGTGAAGAATTCGGTCAGCATCTCAATTTTGAGCAACAGGCCAGTAGCCGAACGTGGAGTCAGTCGCAATGAGGCCTGCGTACCATTTTGACGGTAGTGGATCAAGCACTCTTGATTGTCGTGAAGGTATCGCCGGTCGGTGAAGCAATTGCAGTTTGGGAGGGCGGACTTGGAAGGGCGGTTCCAAAATTTTGGCAGGGCTTTGAAGCCCTATGAAAGTGGTGGGGAAATTTGATTCGAGGAGAAAATGAGTTGGTGGGGCCCTCGGATGGTGCACCGGCTGCCAGCTGGCGGCGGCTGGGTAATTTCTCCGCTCGCAAGCAAAACACAAGCGCCGTCACGACCAGACCCACATAAACGAACTTCTGCACGCGAACGGGTCTTCAACTTCAATGTCCAGACTCCAGACAGCAGCCAGACAGCAGCCAGTGACTGTCATTGCCATTCTATCGAGACTTCATGTCGGTATCTGTCTTACTAATTCCTCGCACCTCAACCATCCCGGCAACAGAGTTCCAAAGATACTGGTCACCAAGATCTTGAACGCTTGTCCAATTTCTGGCTTAGGAAGATGTGCAATAGCTGCCATCGTCGCGATCCACACCAACTAACCTCCACAACCACTTACATGCGCGACCCTCGCCGTCTTTGCATTCACATCGAGTCTGCGTTCACCTTCGGCGAACTGGAAACTAAGGGATAGTCCATTTGTTAATTTTTAGACTCCTCGCTACGCTAAAATCTCAAATACCCTTCTTCTTCGCCTACTTTGCCGAGCTGCTAGGCATGTATCTGCAGCGTTTGCCGAGGCCATCCGTGACGCCGCCAGCAAGCCACGTGGTCCAAAGCATATAACTCCCTCCCATTGCCATCATGATATCCGTACCCATCTATTGTCTACCCAGTCCATCGCCCTTAGTCCATCTTCCCTAGTTCATCTTCCCTAACCCATCTTCCATGATAATCCCGCGCCTTTCTGACGCGCCCATTTGAGCCAACTCTACGGCTACCGTGGCACCACCATCACCTCCTGATTTTACCAGCTCCGCCGGCTTTGCTGGGTTTTCCGACTCTGCCGACTTGTGTGACTCTGCCGACTTGTGTGACTTTGCCAGTTTTGCTTGTGACGTTGGTAGCCCCGGTTCTGCTGGCGCCACCACCTCCACCATTTGCCGACTGCGCCGGCTTTTCCGGTTGTACTGTACTTGCACCACTGACAAAGCATACGCCGAATCCTTCTGACCCACCGCCACAGCGCTCGCCATCTGCGCGTCCGAGGCGCGCTTAAACCCGTCGACCAGTCCCGTCTGCGGGTTGCGCTTTACACCACCACCAAGCACGCGCCCGCCGCTGCTCCGGTGCAGCCCGGCCAGGCCCTTCTCGACCCTGCTGTAGCTGCCCAGGAACGCGTGGGCGCGGACGTCGTCGTCTCCGGCCGCGGCCGCGGTCGCAATGCCGTGGCCGAGCGTGACGGCCCAGACGCCGCCGACGAGGATGGCGTGGGCGTCCGGGTCGCTATCGCGCTCCAGCAGCACCGAGTACACGGAGCCCGTAAAGCGGACGGGCCGCGCCGCCGCCCCCGTCGTCTGCACGTCCCGCGGGAATCGCCAGCCGCCGGCGTAGTACACGGGGTGCCACAGCGTCACCAGCAGCTGCTCCCCGCCATTGTCGCCGCTGCCCACCACGCACATAGCCGCGCCGGCCACAGGCGTCCGCAGCACCGCCCTGACGCGCCGCGCGCCTCGCGGGGTCTGCACCCGCATGCCCCTGCGCAGCTGTGACACCGGAACCCTCTTTCCCGCGCCCAGCCGCCCGACGTTGAGCAGCGGCTCGGGGCCTGCCGCTCCTCCCTCTATCCCTAAACTCCTCTGCGCGCCGGTATTGCCGCGAGCCGAGGCCGGCGGGGCGAGCAGGACCTTGCAGCTGCTGGCGAAGCACGGGTTGTCGAAGCGGTTGTAGTTCTGCATGCTGATGGCAAAGGATGCGTGATTCTTGGCGACGCCGCAGCCGTACGAGTCGGCCGCCGGCAAATTGCTGGGGCGGGGCGCGGGCAAGGAGTCGAAGGCGGCGTCGAGGCGGTCGCGGCACGCGACGAACAGCGGGCTGCGCGCGCCGTACATCAGCGGCCCGACGTCCTTAAAGCTGTTGCACACCTGCCGCGCGTGCGCCCCGGCTAGGCTCTGCAGGTAGTGCTTGCCCCAGCGGTAGTAGAAGTCGGCGCGGCTCAGCGCGAGGCTGACCTGCCCGCGCGGGTCCGCGCCGCACAGGTCGTCGAGCAGCGACCGGCACGCCGCGTCAGACGCGAACTCGGGCCTGCTCGCCGGGAGGGTAGCAATGAGCTGCTGGAGGGGCGCCGTGAAGCCGGCCATGCTCTCGTCGAGCACGGCGACCGGCTGGTGCTCGCCGTCGGCGCGCAGCGGGGCGAGCGTCGCGAGGAAGGACACGATGGCGGATCGCGAAACGTGGTAGGCGATCTCGGCGGGGGGTAGGGTCGTGGTGGGTGCCAGCACGTCCTGGCTCACGGCGGGCGTCCTGCGGACGGCGTCGGTAAAGTGCTGGTACTCGAGCGTGGCGGTGACGACGGGCGACACGTCGATGTCGAAGCTGTACTCGACGGCGTCTTGCACGGCGCTGTCGTAGCGCAGGTACATGTCGCGCGACTGGCCGTACTGCAGGTTGTTGAGCGCGATGGAGAGCTGCATTGTCGCGTCGGGCTGGTCTTGCTCGAACGGGTCGTCGGGCTGAACCGGCTCCTGCTTGTCGACGGACTCGCCGGTGGTTTCCTGCAGCTTCAGGTATTTTGGGTATGTCAGTCGCAGCACGGCGTTGTTGGCGAATGTCGATTGCAGGTTGGCCACGGCGTGCACGAAGACGGTGCCCTGATGAAGGAACGCAAAGTGGTTAGCACTCAGCAGTGAGACGGGAGTGAAAAAAATCAAACAGGGAACATGTTACTCACAATCATGCCGGCGTCGGGAATGAACGAGTAGTTCCCACCGCCAACTTCGGCGATGGATTTGAGCAAGCCCGACCTCAGTGTGTAGCCAAACCCGAATGTGTGTATCGTCGGCTTCAGCTGCATCTGGCGTAGCTTGTGGACGTATCCGTGCGGAGGGCACCTGCCAGGTGGAATTAGTCAGTAAATGAAATAACCCGCCATTGTCAGGCGATGGCAGTTATCATGACAATGTTGTCAAGATTCACTCGGCATAGACTCACATGTGATTCGGCACGCCGTCGGTCAAGACCATCAACGCCGGCACCTTTCCCTCTGACGACCCGGCGGCCCGGTCAAACAGCTTGAGGCCTTCGATGATGCCGCCCCAGAGATTTGTGATGCCCTGGGGCTTGAGGTGGTCGAGCTTCTTTGACGTCTTGTCCTTGTTGCTCGCCGTCATGGGCGTGAGCTTCTGCACGCACTGATTGTTTTCAAACCACAGCGTTAGCAATGTCACTTTAGTCTTTTGTTGTTGTGAAGGTGAGAACATACCTGCGAGGTGTGGGCAAACGTGACGATGCCGAGCCTGTCGTTCTCATTCAGAGTTTCCATAATCGTTCTGGCGGCGTGTCTCGTCAGGTCCAGAACCGACAAGCCGTTCCGCTCTGGGGTTTCGCCGGGCTGGGTGGGGACCGGGGCTTCGGCGGCCATGCTCCCAGAGATGTCGATAACCAACACAATGTCGCAAGGGACGTGTTCCAGCTGGTTGTTTGCCGGCTCCCGCGGGGGCTCGACCTTCACGATCACGCCGTCGAGGGAAGGGAGGGCGTGTATCCTCACTACGGGCTCCATGGAGACGGTGTGAGGTTGAGCTGGGTCTGAGCTACGCTCATTCAGCCGAATAGGTAGGGGCTTCTCGTTGAATTCGGCATTGCTCTGATTGTTTTGGTTGCTATCGCTACCGAACAGTCCCAATCGAGCCATGCTGCTATGGGGGAATGTGGGTTTGGAGTTGGTGATCTGTGTCGAAGACTCTCGAGTTGACTGGGGGCGGCACAGGAAGTGCTATATAGGCCTAGTGAAGAGGCCGAAGATGTCCAGATAATGTGTTCAAAGCCTGGACAGAGACTCGAGCGGGAAAGGGGGCTGAGGGGAAACTGTGACTGTCACACACCGGCGTCAACAATGGTCAACGGAGCAAGTCCAATGAAGCAACACAAGACAGGATGGCTTGGTAAGGTGGCTCGATACTTTGCGCGGTTCCGAGAATGATGCGTGCCGACTCCCTATAGGCACTTATTTAGTGGACAAGAGCCACTGGAGGAGAGAGCGAGGGGGAGTGAGTGAGGCAGCCATGCGGGTCTAGCGTGACCGGTGAGATCATCTCACCTTGGCTGTGCAGGTCTAGCGCGATAGATCTCGGTGATTCGCCTGTGGAAATCGGGGGGCGCCTGACTTTTGGGAGTTAGTATGAGCACGGCCTGCGCGCAGCGTCCATGATGAGCGGCCCGGCCTGGGTTGATCTTCGGTGCGGCCAGCGGCAATTGAGACACCACGTGCAGCAGACTGCTGTTTGCATAGGGGGCGGATATCCAAAGGCCAGATCCAACGCTGGGTGTCAATTATTTCCGATGCGAAGAGCGTGGCGTGGCAACCCGGCTGCTGGGGCAAAGGCGAAGGCGGGCCCAAGGAACAGACAGCACAAGGATCAAGGAAGCAGAACCAAACCCCTAAAGAACGACCACAACGGCAATAAAAGACTTCGACGTTTCAATAATCAGCTTCACTGCAGGTAGTCATCTGGCATTCGGCTGCTAATAAGTACAAAGCCATTGCATGAACTGGTTTGTGCTGCTCAGGCCAAGGTGAGCCACAGATACTAATCAACTCTGGGAGGCTCTCCACAGGAAGGATTACTGCTTCGGGGCCTCTGAAATCAGAAAGCCTCATGCTGGGTCCTAAACTTGTGCATATGCAGTTAGTTGGTTTTGGACGTCGGCGGTGCTGCGTACAAAGTGGTAAGAGCGGATACGGAAACCGAGATCTTAGTGGTGATTTAGCGCCTAGGGTTGCATTGCGGACTGGCAACCTGGGCCGGCGGCTCTGCAAGGCGTGAGCGATGGCTCGGCCAAGGCATCAGTTTCTGAGAAGTAACCCTCGCCCATGATTGGCTGGCAGTCCCGTTGAGGTCGGCCAGGCCGCGACCAGGCGGCGAGGCCACCGCAGGCAAACTGCACCGATTTCCTTTGTCCCCTAACGATGGATGGCAGGAAGCCGCAATGGAATGGAACACCATCAACTTAATTACGCCTCTCCCGCGACCCGGTAGCTTGGGTGGGCCTGGCGAGAAGGGGCAGAGACCATGACCGCTGCGTATTCGAGGCTATTTTAGAGTCGGGTGCATGATGTTGGTTTGAGGCCACCCGTCTGGGCTGCAGAAAGCGGCCGTCATGGGATCTGGGGTCCGCCGAAGTGGGCGGAGGGAGTGCCGAGACACAGTACACACAGTAAGGCAGGTAATCCGTCAGCGTGAGCCACCTCGCAGCTGCGAGTCCTCGTACCGTACATTAAAATGGATACATGCTGATGGCGAGCCAACAAGTTCTTCTTGGCTGTCAGATGGAGGACTGAAATTGAACGGAAAGGGGAAAGAAATCTGGCTGCATCGCCTACCCCTCTGCCCCCACGGGAACATGCGCGTTACCAAATCCCCAAACCTTATGGCATCCTTCTCATTGGGACCCTGAAAACGCCTCGTTGCGGGGAAGGAGATCGACCCCCAAGCTAATGCAGGGAGGGCTGCAGTGCATCATTGGTGGGGTCGTCCCCCAACGTCCACCAGACCGACCTGACCCGTCCCCGAGCTTTCCTGAACCCTTCGTACCGAGCGTCTCACGATGCCCGCCACACCACCCGAGGTGGGAGACTAAAGTTTGTCCTCCATCTGTCTCAGGCGCGCCAGCCCAAGCACCCAAACCGGGGTTTTTTTTGCTCAGGTCGGGGTGTCCCGTCCCAAAGGAAAGGCGGCTACTGAGAAGGCTGCACCTGTGCCGCCAACCATTGGTGGTTGGGGGGGCACTGGTCCCGACCTGGCCTCCCATTCGTCCTGGTGTCGTGTGACAGGCTTTTGGCAGTCACATCTTGCCACTGGTGTCTTGGAATGGGGGTTGCCAGCCTGGTGTATATAGTCCTTGCATCTGCCCTTACCGCCCGCATCGCCCGGCTGGTGCGGCTCTCCAGCTTTATCCCAGGTGCAATTATCTTACGTAGTAACACAGTTGTCCATCCTTCCCAAAGAACCAAGAATACCTTGCCCACCAACGCTTGCCAAACGAGCCAAAAAGAAAGAAACAGCACCGCAAACGTCACGCCACCCACGTCGCCTTTACAGTAGCTTCAGCTCCACAGCACATATAAAGCAATCATCACCCTCAACCATCACCACCATGTCGGCCACCCAGCCTCGCTGCTGCAAGTGCGGAGGCATGCTCGTGATCAGCGACTCGTGCTCGCACTGCCACCACAGCCAGTGCGAAGACTGCGTCTAAGTCGCGTCCGCGGGCACACAAACATCGCATTACTACCTACTCCATGAAATGCGACTGCTATCGCCATCCATCCATCCATCCATCCACCCATCCACCCATCCATCTCATACACTATGTTTCTCTCCGCGAAAGCCTGTCACTGATGGCGATTACGATATAACGCATTCGCACCCCGTTGCCTGCCCGCCTGGCCTCTCCTCGCACCACATCACTGAAAGAGCCGTGTCTGATACGAATATCGACTACGGCAGGCAGGCAGGCAGGCAGGCAGCAGTTTCTAGGTCCCTATCCGTATCCCGGACCATCTCTCCGTCTCGTCTCGACGAAAGCTTTGGCTTGTCTCCTTTGTCGGCAGGGAATGGACACACGGCGTGCGTCTCAGTCTCCTCGTTTTGGGGCAAGGGGGAGTGTAAAGTATCATATCGGACATGATAAAATTTGACACTGCAGTTTGGAGACTCGGATGGTAATGGGGATGGGAGACAAACCGAAAAAAAGGTATCACGAGCTTTTATACCCCGAGAGGAAATCTGGAACGGAACTAGAAAGGGAAAGGGAAATAAGCCCACAGCGCGGTCGATCCCCCCCCCAAACCGGTTGAGTTGATATCTGTGTCCCTGATGTATCGCGATACCCCTTGCTACCTTATCTAGCTAGCCAGCCCAAAATGATTTGCTATTCATCAACGCTGTGCTCCTGCTGCGTCTGCAAGTTCGGGAGGGGCAGATTAGTGTCATCAGACGGCCGGGTCTCGTGTCACTGCTGCCGCTGGCCGGGTTCCTGCATTCTTGCTGCTTTGTTTTGTGACTGGCTGACTGGCTGACTGACTGACTGGCTAGCATCAAAGTTGGGAGGCTATATATGTTTCGTTCCGCAACCAACGCAGTTACCCCATGTCGCTAAATCTGAACTTGAACAGGTGCACATGGACTTTCCAGCCGGTATAGAACAATATGTGAAAATGCTAAAACGAATATTTACAAAAAAAGAAGCGCACGCCGCCCCTACTCGCGCACAAACAAGCCGGCCATGCCCATGCCGGTGCCAATGCACATACTCACGACGCCCGTCTCGCCGCCCGAGCGCTGCAGGCCGTGGAGCAGGGTGCTGACCATGCGGGCGCCGGTGGCGCCGAGGGGGTGGCCGAGGGCGATGGCGCCGCCGGCGGGGTTGACGCGGCCGTCTTGCCACGCCTGCTCGAGGCCGAGGGCGCGCGCGCAGTAGAGTGCCTGACTCGCAAACGCCTCGTTGAGCTCCCACGTGTGCACGTCCTCCGTGGCGAGCCCCAGCTGGGTGAGCAGCTTGGGCACAGCGAGGGCCGGGCCGATGCCCATCTCGTCGGGCGCGCAGCCGGCGACGGACGCAGCGACGAACCGGCCCATGACGCGGTCGGCCAGCCCCAGCCGCGTCGCCGTGCTGCGGCGCATCAGCAGCGCGGCCGCCGCGCCGTCGCTGACCTGGCTCGAGTTGCCGGCCGTGCTGGCGCCGTCGGCGGCGAATGCTGGCTTGAGCTTGGCGAGCGCCTCGAGCGTGGCGCCGGCGCGGATGCCGTCGTCCTCGGCGACGGTGACGGTCTGCTCGTCGCCGACCTTGTTCCCCTGCTTGTCGGTCGGCTGGAAGCGCGTGGTGACGGGGACGATCTCGGCAGCGAAGTGGCCTTGGGCGCGGGCGCGGGCGGCGCGGGCGTGGCTCTCGACGGCGAAGGCGTCCTGGTCGGCGCGGCTGACGCCGTAGCGGCGCGCGACGTTCTCGCTGGTCAGGCCCATGGCCATGACGCAGTCGCGCGCGTCCTTGACGGGGCTGTCGCGTAGCGCGGGCCACGCGTCGGTCGGGATGGCGCGGCTGCCGTAGTTGCGCGTCATGCTCTCCATGCCGGCGCCGATGCCGACGTCGATCATGCTGGAGCGGATCTGCGCCGCGACTAGCGCGATGCTCTGCAGCGACGACGCGCACGCTCGGTTGGCCGTGTACAGCGACGTTGTCGACGGGAAGCCCACGTGGTTCATGGCCATGCGCGCCGCCTTGGACCCGCCCAGCTCCGACAGCACAACGCCGACGGCGACGTCGTCGATGGCGGCCGGGTCTAGCGTCGGGTTCGCGTCGAGTGTTGCCCGCAGCACCACCGACAGCAGCTCCTCGGGGTAGGCGTCCTTGAGCTGGCCCTTGTACGACCGGCAGATGGGCGTGCGGAGGGCCGAGAGCACGACGACGTCGGTGGGCGCCTTGCTCAGAACGGCCTTGATGCCTTTCGGGAGGGAGGCCATGGCGGCAGACAGATACCGAGGTTGTGGCTGGTGTTGTGCTGGAAGAGAGGCGGCAACGACCTAAGCAGCAATGTGGTAGTCCCCTTACCAGAACGAACTCGATACTTCGGCAGTTGTGTTAGCGGGCACGGAGCGGGTCAAATTGGTCGTGATATGGACGACGAAGCAGGAGACAGGCGCTAGTCACCCAATTGAACACAAGCAAAGCAAATACTACGCCGAGGGTATCGTCAATGGCAAAAGGAAAGAAAAAAAATTAAAGAAAGAAGAAGAAAAAGAAAAAGAGAAAAAGGCAGCAACGAGAACAGACTAGAAGCAGACAGCGGGATCGGCTAGGAGCAGCCGTGAATGAAGGCCGGCTCAGGATAAATCGCCCCAAGACAGGCATAGCTGTAGAGTTAGCCCTTCCCCGGAGTGGAGAGAGTGGTGCTGGAAGGGAAAACGCAGACCCGGGCGGCGAATGGAGGCGGCAGTCCAAACCCGCAGCGGGGCCCTTCCCCACACTGAATCGACCACCCTTCGCTGCCTCCCCAGGTCTCGAGAAAGACAGTAAATCCAGTGGCAAGGTATCGAACGAATTGAGGGGTCTTGGTTGGGCCTAACTACGTGGTAGATAGGTCCATACTGTAGCAACCGAGTCTCGGAGCCAGCCTGAGCCTGAGAGGCATGGTATGCGCAAATGTGAACAATCTACCTCTTCTTCCTTCCACGTCTCGCCTTCTCTCCCGCCTCCCGTTAGCTTCTTGGCCGAAAGGGCCAGCTCCCCACAAGCCAAAAAAGAAAACCTCCCGCAAGCCGCCCCAATAACACATCCCTTCCGTCATAATGTTCGTAATGTACAACGTCCAACCCGGCTTCGTCAGTCTCTGTAGGACTGCTAGTCAGGGGGGTGTGGCCAGAGGAGTCTGGTGAAACGGATTTCGTCGGTATCGTAGCAATCCTGAAAAACTTAAACTCCGAGCATGTGGCGTTTCCTTGCTACCGCCATAAATCTCAACCTTATAAAGTGCAAGCAAAGAACGATTCAATCGTTTCCGAGCCTCCTTCACGTCATAGCAAAGTCATAACCATTTTTCGCCAGCGTGCCTAGCAAACCAGTCTTTCGCTTGCACATCAGTTCGCCAGGACCAGGCGCGAGACCACAATGGCCAGGCAGACTGGATCTGGCCCCTACGCCTCCTGGCTGTACTGGATGCCCAGCCCAACACGGCCCGGGTCACGGAGCCCACCCGCCAGCCGCAGCTTCTTCGTCGGGCTCGTCACGCGGTCTCGCAACGAAATATCTTCCTTCGCCTCCCCGCTTCCGCTAAACTTGCGCTTCTCACTTGTTGACAGGCCGCTCTTATTCAGACCGCCAAACAGCTTTGCTTGGAGCTTGGCAGCTTTCTCCGCCGGAGCCGGGGTGCCGTCTCGTGAAGTTGCGACTGAGCTGGCAACTTCAAAGCTCTCGCGGGGGTCCTTGCGGAGCATTTCCGACGCCGCCTGACTGGCCTGGCTCTCAAACACCTCTTCTTCCTCCTCGCCGTCCGAAGGCTGCCGTCGGGAGCCGCGGAGCTTCTCGGAGCTTCGAGTGGCAAAGGAAGCCGCGACAGACTGGAGCGCCTGGCGAGCGAGTTCCTCGTTGTCCTCGGCCGATATAGTGCTCTCTCGGCTCTTGCGTCGCTCGCGGCGGGTGGGTGTCCCGGGGACGAAGCGACCCTGCCGATAAGGCGGCTCTGTTTGAGGAACTAGATCGATAGATGGCAGAAGGCCCCCGGTTTCGAGACGCGAGTGGTATATCGGGGTCGTTGGAAGCGAGGACATGGACTGCACGTTTCGAGTGTGCTTGGACGGAATTCGAGGAGCTGCACGGTGACCCGTCACCGGAGTTGAAGGGGCGCTGTTGGTATCTTGGCTCAGCGCCTGGAGCAGCACTGCAAAATTCTCTTTGCTGTGGTCGCGGTCGGAACGAGCCTCTCTCTGCGATGACCTGGGCGTCTGTCGTGGCGTAGCTCGGGCCTGGACAGGGCTTGCGGCAGTCTGCCCCTTGGGAGTGATGGCGCCGTGGAACATTCCTCCGGGGCTGCGCAGGAGATTGAAGTGCTCGCGGTTTTCTCTGATGCGTGTGAGGAGCATGTCCCGGTCAATGAGCAGGCCGGCTAATTCGTCTTCCTTTTGCTGAATGACCTTTCGCGCTGCCTTGGACTTTTTTTGGAGAAGATCATTTTCCGCCAGCGCTTGCTCTAAGAGGGTTTTGAGTTGCAGGTATTTCGCTTGGGCCGTCTCAGAGGTGGAGCTGAGATCGCGGCGAGCCTGGCGCGAGTGTTCGGCCATGCGCAGGGCCTCGACCTCCTTCCGGGTCATCTCGTGCTCGACGGCGGCACGCTTCGAATCCTCGTCAGCCTGCAGGCTAAGCAGGTTGTACTGCAGCTTGTGGTGGGCGGCTTCCATTTTTAATCTGGCGTGTTCAGTAACGCATGATTGGAGCAAACTGCGAAGCTCATCGGTAGAGGCCTCTGCGATTGTTTGCTGGTCTGGAGGTGTGAACTCGGAGGCAACTCCGCCATCTCTCCTGAGCCCGTTAATTCCGGTTGCAGGAGGAGAGAAATAGCCTGATCGTTGCGAGCTGACGAAGCTGAGCGGGTTGACGATACCTGCGCCGGCATGGTTGGGAACTTGGGATGACGGAGGAGGGGTCAGCGACGACGGAATGATCGACTCAATACGATCATCGTTAAGCTCCGTCTTGAACGACCCCGAAGGATCTATCGGAGAGTTGGGGGCCTCCGTCGAGGGAATCTGCGACAACTGCCCGATCGAATCGTCATCTCGCGGGGTTGCAGGTTCGTCGAGGAGCCCTCGGCGCTCCTCGTCTGGGGTGTCATTGATCAGCTGAGCTGAACGGTCAATGTCCGAAGACATCTTGGTTAGTTCAAGTCGTGCGCAATTGTTTTCTACGGTGCGCTAGAGAGGAATCGTCTGCGACGGAAGAGCGACAAGAGAATCGGGTGGGAGCCGGTGGTCGCCCAAGCACGTCAGTCACAGCCAGCTTTGGGCGTCAACAGCGACGAGAGAGGCCGACAGAGGCTGGGCAGAACGGAGCGGACCGGGTAGCGGAGGAAATGAAGAGTGCGGATTCGAGGTCATGAAGCTTTCCGGGGATTTGAGCCAAGTGGATTTGGTGGTGGGTGCGTTGGTATGTGGGCTTTGATTGCGAATCGAGCGGAGTGTCTGTCGAGCGAGTTGCGCTGTCAATTCCTGCGCCGGTTGCCCTGTGAATGGGGGGGTCTGGGCGCGAATGGCAGGTTTGGAAGGGGTTGGCTACGCGCGCTATGCCGGAAATGGTGCTAGCGTTCTCCGAACTGCCCTATCACACCGCCCTATAAGCTCTCTTTTGAGGGGCCTTTGGGCAGATCGCCAAAGCTCCTCCGGAAGGGGGAGGGGTCCGCTACAGCCCTCGCACAGGGCAGTCAACCTAGAAGTTACAATGCGGTGCGGTGGGCTCGACGACGCTCCGCTGGCATTCCCAGTTGCCACGTTTTGCCTCGGCCGAGCATTGCATTATCTTTTTTCTCTATTTTGGCAGACCATCGGCTACAGCTAGAAGTGAGTCAGTATAGAGACGTACATGATGCATTGATGTACGGCAGGCTTTGAGTGTGGCAGCCAGCTGGCCATGCGGGGGAGCTCGAAGGCATGGCGCACCGCGTGTCTCCCAACGGTCATGTATCTTTTTTTTTTCCTTTTACGCAATATTCTCACCACAAATCCCGAATTCTTCCAGGTCGATTTACTTGACAAGTCAATCCCCGACATGCCCTCTTCTCTCCTTCAGTACGGAGTACAAATACAGAGTATCGCGCCAACAATCACCTTTCATCAAGGATTTGGAGTGTGCTCCCCCGACTTTGTCACACAACATTGTCACACAACATTGCCACGTGTGAATGGCCATTTCGGCATGTTGGCTAAACGTGTCGCTTCGTGTTTCTCTAACCGCTCCATCCGTATATGCACTGTACATGCACTCGGAATTTTCTTCTCTGCCCCAACACCGCACTGGCGCCTAGACCATGGCCAAGCCAGCAACAGCCAACCCTGCCATCGCGCCGAGCATTTCCTTCGCGGCCCGCGTCGGTCCAGCTGCTCCTGCGGTTGAGGTTCTCGACGCGGCAGTCGACGATTTCGACGAATCCCCGCCCGCGGCCGCCCCCGTCGCCGCGCTGCTCGGCAAACTTCCGGCTGCCGAGTTTCCAGCCGCCGAGTTTCCTGCTGCCGAGTTACCGGCCGAGACGGGCGTGGTGATGGACGACGGAAGTGTCGGGGTCGGCGACCCGTGATTATGTGTTTCCGTAGTCCCCTGAAAAGTGACGCTGTTGCCCGGCCCGGACCCGGATCCGAACCCGCCCGTTGCACCCGGGGCCGTGGTAGCGGTACCCGTGGCGGCCGCCCGGGGGAAGCCAGAGAGGAAGCTCGGCGTGACTGTCGCCGTGCCGTCGTATCCCGCACAGCCGGGCACGGTGGTCTTCGGGGGCGCGCGCCCGCCTCCGCAGTCGATGAAGGAGCAGATCTCGCCGGTCCCGGGCACGTACCAGATGAGGCTGGCTGCGAACTGCTCGAAGATGACCTGCGTCGAGACACAGCCGCTCAGATCGGTCCTTGCCAGTGCAGGACTGGCGCAGAGCAGCACGATGGCCACCAGGATGGCTGGAAAGGCCGAGCTGCGCGAACGGGCGGACATGATGTGTGTGGTGATATGGACCTTTACCCAATGACGTAATGACAGGCGATGTTTGTAGGAGGTTAGGTTGAAGATTCAGAAGTGTGAAACGAGGGACGTAAATCTGCGCGAAGTTTTTTCGGACGAGTTCAGTAATAACGAGCGACGAGAGGAATTACAGGAGAAGAAAGGAAGAAGAAAAGCAAGAGAAGGGCAGGTGGTACGAAGTCTGAAGGGGGGGGGGCAAAATTTCGCAAAAGTTCACCACACGAAATACTAATTCGCTGTTTACCTGTTTTCGGGGAGTTGCCTAGGTTGAGAAGTCAAAGCAGCCAATGGGAGCATGGAAGTCACAATTATGTGGAGCATGTCAAGGGGGGAGGTAAGTCGATCAGGGGGTTGGAATTTGAGGGTAAGCAAAGGGTGCTAGTGATCTCGTGGATACGAGATCGACGAATTTTGGCAGGAAAAAGATTAAGTCTATAATTAAAACCACTATCCTATGCTTGTTCCAAATGATCCAGGCTATTAAAAGTCTACAACCTCGTACAGGAAAAAAAAATACACAAAGGGAAGTTATAATAATTTGACAAAACAGATGAAAAAGAACGGAAAGCAGACCTAGCCTAAAGAAAGACGCATGATGTTCGCTGGTAGTTGCTCAAGCCGACGAATATCCACCAGCAGCCTATGCGGGGCCGCATTTGTTCGTGCCATTGAAGTACTGGTAAACGCTCGGGTGATATGTTGTGTTTCCGTAGACATTGCCGCCATAGGTAAAGTACCCAGCGCTCAGCTCAGTTGGGATCTTCTGGATATCAGCAGCATCGCCGACGGCCCAGACAGACTGCATGCCTGCAATGGTTAGTTAGCAAAATGAACCCAGATGCAAGAACGGGCAATGTCACTTACCCATCATCATGTGCGCTAGAATATGGCAATGGATCATCCAGACTCCCGCATCTTTAATACGGATTCTCCAAGCTCGCCAGCCAGCCACCGCCCCCGGGTTGACAGTGTCGGCATACCGGTACAGCATGGTTGTGTCTCTCAGCACAGGCGTGTACCCTAACGAGCTGAGTTTGGCATTGTTTGCATCGGCGTCGTACTGACCTTCGCCGCTTCCGATGTCGTAGTAGTGGTTGCCGTGGGCGTGGAAGGGGTGAGTTTCGACGCTGCCAATCGGTCCAGCCTGCGCTCCCGTGTTTTGGAAGACGATCTCGAGCACCTCGCCAATCTTTGCTGGGAAAGACAGTGTCTTGGGGTCCCATCCGTAATTCTTCATGGCGGCGTCGTAATCAGGGAGTGCCTCCTGACCGCGCTGATAAATGTCGACCAGCATGGGGCTCTGGTAGGTGTACTCAGTCCAGGACAAATGGGCGAGCTCCCATACCATCCTGCCACTCGCGTCGTCAATCTTCATCTCGGCATCAATGGTAATCCGGCGAGTGACTTCAGCGGCGGTCGGGGCCTGGTTCCTGTCAGGATAGAGCGGCTGAAACGTGTATTCCATCCAACCGCTGATATCGGTTGGTGTGGCAATGAGCTGGTCGCTTGGCGACACCGGGACTGGGGAGGAGGTAGAGTAGCGGAGTACACCGTATCCAACGTAGTTCGTCGGGCGGTCTAAAGTCTGAAACTGAATGAAGAAGGTCGTCTTGTTGCCATCAGCTGCCAAATCTTCCATTGTCTTGGTTTTGAACATGACATCGAACCGTTGGCCTGTCCCAAGCTGAATGTGGTCGGTCGACACGGGCGCATTGTACTCTCCGCCATCGACTTGAACAATTGTGAGATTAGTGTGGTCTTGTAGCGCAACCGACAAGTGGGAGAGGCCAGTAGCGCCAACAAAGCGGAAGCGGTACGTCTTGCCCGGATCAACGTCGATGACAGGAAGTGTGCAAGCGTCTGAACCGCCGACCTGATCTACTGTCGACGTGTCGCGACGACCGATGCGAAAGCCGGGTGCATTCCCGGGAGGGCTGCTATATCCACCCCCAAAGAACCCTCTATCCCCTCCGGGCGGGCCGGTTGTAGCTGTCTGGCCGACGGCTACGCCCTTGCCGTTTAGGAGGATGCCGTGCGTCTCTCCTGTCGGCACAAGAGGCGTGCTGGTCAAACCATCCACCATTTGCTGGTCAGTCTTCAAGAAGGAATCCTCAAAAAAGAAGATGCGTTCGTCGTCATAGTGGTACGGCGAGCCTCCGCAGTCGTCGACAATCAATGGTCCAGTACAGCTCATAGCCTGCATGCCGACGTGCGAATGATAGTAGTAGCTGCCAGCATCTCCAACCTCTGTGAAGATCTCATAGTCGAAGAAGTGTCCCGGCGGGATGGGCCACTGGGCAGCTTGAGGGGTTCCGTCTGAGAAGGGCGCCATCCGCTGAGCCAAGCCATGCCAGTGCTATTATTGAGTTAGTGCGTGGTTCCTTGGGTAGACGGGTGGTTGCAGATGAGGGACCCACCATGGTGAGATTTTGGTCTCCCATATCATTGTAGACCCTGATCCAGCTCGTCGATCCAGGCAGCAAGTGTATCGCAGGCCCTGGCGAGGTGCCGTTGACCACAATGTCCTGGCGACTTTCACATCCTGTCGGTACCTGAGCCTGAGTGACTCGAAGGACGTGGTCAGGAGTGAAGCTGTCATCGTGGACTGCAAGTTCAGCGAAGACAGCTGCAGGAAGCCAAGTCCCAAGCAGGAAGGTCGACAAAGTGCCAGCTCGCATGGTGCCAGTTTGGGGGGGCTTGGCTTCTGGTCGCAGAGGAAAATGCGCAGATGGATGATGCTGTAGGTGGTGATGAAACATCCTCATAGACAATATCGAGGCCGGATGCAAATCTTTATATGCCCTAGAGAGCAGTGCTCCCTCGAGCAGCTTGCTCGACATTACCATAGGGCTGACGATCCCAGCGCAGGCTGTTCCGTCTCCGCCAACACTAGTGAAGGCCCAATGCACAAGGGCGAAGGCCGTTTACAACGTAGTTCCACCGATAGACACGAAATCATAAGCTTCGTAAGACAGTTCAGCAACCGGCCATGGTAGGTCGAGGGATGAACAGGGGCAAAGCGCCCCCTGGCCGCGGAGCCGGCGCCAGAAGTCTGAAGCCTGACGACTCTGAAGACAAACGGCTTCGTTACTGTTTGTGGGTGGCGAATTCTGAGTTTTGACCGACCCGACTAACACGGACGCCAGCGAGCCCGTTAGAAGTGCATTGGCGTCCCTCACGCGCCTCGATGGCGGGTTGCGTCTGAAGATCTCCATCTGCAACTGACATCATCCAAGGCCTGCCTCGTTTCTCTTTGGTGGCTGGGAAGAAGAAGCGTCCGCAGTCAATTGCCTGGGCAACTTCGCCGAGTTCTATGACATGCCGACATTCCGACATTTCGGCTCTCTGATCCCACCGGCTCGAAATCAACGCAATGAAATGTGAAAAAGGCAGGCAAATAGACTCTCGCGTCCATGACATGCAATGCGAGTCAGGCCAAGACAGCCAAGATGAGACCACTAAACCATTGGAACCGCTAAGCGTGTAACCGCCGCCCTGGCGCCGCCCTGGCGCCGTTAAACCTACAGACGAACCGTCGAGTCTGCATCTGGTTTTGTTTCCGGTGGCGATGGTGGTTCAAGGTTGTTGTTCTGGGAAGGAAGGAACCAGGTTGCGTCTTGTGTCTATGGCAGAGTGCAGACACCCAAAAACGCCATCCTGGGTGCCCATGCCGCTTGACAAAGTGCTTCAACCTGCCTTGGGTTGACTCGGATATGTATCACTTAGTTCAATAACTAGTTTCCGGCTCCGGCTTCGATGTCGAAGCAAGATGTGAGGTGATAGGAGATGGTTGGACTGAAGAAATGGGACGAAAAGCTAAAGAGCCTCCATTAATGGTGATGTGGGGAAACAAGATAAGGGAGGGTTAGGGTTCATCTCGTGTGGGGTCACTGCGCCTACTTCTCACCCCTGCCGACTTCGCTCCGTTCCCCTGGCAAACAAAATTTTGTTCCACACTTTTGTTTCACTGCATGCATCCATCGTTCAACTGCCCTAGCTGCAGGCCGGCCTGGTTTAAGCTCTCGTTGGGCTGTTCTCTACTAGTACTATTAAAACGGACAAGAGGTTCCGGCTCGGTTCACCTCGCAGCCGTTGCTTCAACGAAGCAGCCGTCTCTTGGAATTAGCGGCGTGTTCGGAGTTGGCTGCTGACGTCAATTTGGAAGCCAAGGAAACCAACCAACGTGCGGCGCAGCTGGTTCTCCCGCCCCATGGATGCTTGTTTCTTCATCGCCTCACGGCTGGCTAGCAACCGAATTCCGAGGACGCATCCGCGAGGTACCTGGGTGGCTGCATCTCGACAACGGGCCTGTACTACCGTACTTGGCGCACCTTAATTACATGTTGATTATACATCTTATTCCCCGTTCAGAATACGCTCGCGGGCTCTACGGTCCGCTGTACACGCCGCCAATCCATTCCCATCCATGGCCCAAGTCGTGGTGCCTGACCGGACAAGCTCCTGCGCCAGCACATCGCGCCGCCCGGCTCCTGTTGCTCCCGGAACCTTGACTTCATCCCAACTTCACGCCCTACTTGACATTCTCACCCACTATGAAGTCTATGCAGAGGTGGAGTTGTTCAAGGACCCCGCGACCATTTCATCTTATGGCTACCCCTTCAAGTGCGACGCCGCCAATGGCGCCCCCGAGTTTGCCGCCGACTCGTCCGCCCCCTTGCTAGCGACTCTTCTGCAGAACGTTCTCCTGCCCGCACCCGGCATCCGGGATCTTCCGCTCGAGTTCTGGCATGTGCGGCTGCAGGGACTCATGGTGACGCTCGCTGAGGCTGACCTCTCAGAGAGTTACGACAAGGGAGCTCTGGGTTCTAGAAAGACTCTAGCTACCGCTGCCTCAGTCATCCATGAGTCCCTATCCAGGGGCATGCTCGGCGGTGTTCCAAGCGGGCCCAAGAGGAACCTGAGTGGCAGCTATGACAGGTCCAGGGCCGAGGATCTCGAACGGGCGTGGGAGGACGGGGTTCATGAACTCGTGCATGGAGACCTAATTGATGAGCTCTTCAACTGTGCCACGGAACAGTCGAGCCTCGAAGAACACTCGCCCGCTATAAGGGCGACTGTTGACTATGTCATCATACAGTGAGTCGTCTTGCCGCGCACGACGAGTACTGCGGCATTGCTGACCTCGTTTGCAGCCTTGCTACATTTCTGCACTATGTCTTCGTACTCTCTCCTGAAGGCCCATACTTGGTCAAGTTGGTGGAAAACGTTCATAGGTTGATACCCTACACCATGATCCGGCAGACACTCCGCGTCGGAAACGCGGCGAGCATGCTCAATGGCATGGTGAAGTTGCTCCTGGCAAAAATGGGTGTCGGTGCCATCTCAAACTGGCTTGGGCTCACGCAGAATGCCGATGATGGCATGAACTTATTGCAGAGGTATATCCAACCCGCTGTTGCCTTGCAGTCTACAATAGCCCCAGGCTAACGTGTTCAGAATCATTTCGTTGGTATTGTTATGGGACACGTCCGAGTTTCGCAAAACGACCGATAAGATCGAGAAGGCGAAAGGAGGGCCGCCCAAAGAACATCTCGCCGCAATCAAACAATACATCGACAAGTCGCGGATAGAACATGACCGGACTCGCGAGTCCAGCTCCAACTCCTCATCATCTGTGATTGCCAAGATTCTAGAGGAGTCGGACCCAAAGCTGCTGGCTTCTCTGTCAAAGACGCAGCACGCTCAGTGTCTGGAATACTTTTCTGCCTCGCTCGAAATCCGGGACCGCGAGGAGATTACAAAGGCTCTCTGTCGTCGCAATCCCGACCTCTTCACGCAGGCCATCAAGGATGCCGTGGGCAGCTTTGAGCCCATGATTAGGGCCCTGCATGAACGGATTGATCTCCGGGAGCAAATCACGGCAGCTGAAGAATTCCTGACCGGGTTCATCAGCGCCTCAAAACCCAAAAAGAGCGCTAGTGGCATCTCGGAGAGCGTAGTTGAGGGGGCGAAAACAGCAGGTGCAGAAACACGTGCTCCTGCTGTTGAAGACTATGTCAACTTTTTGTGGAAGAACAAGCATACTCTTTACAGTTGGCTTCACCAGATTGCGAGCAAGTGTCCCGAAGTTCGAGACCAGTTTCACGCCTGGGCCAACAAGACAATCAAAATCTTTCGACAGAGCAAGCGGGCAACCCCTGTGCCCGCTAACTCGTCTTCGCCATCGGAACCGGCAACCGACCAAGCAACGGTCGTAGACGATAGCAATGCGCCATTCAACAGGAATCAGCACAGTGGAGCGGCTGGTGCATTGAGTAGCAATCTGCAGAGCCTCTTTGCCGTGCTTCCCTCGGAAACGAGGGCCAATGTCCTTGCCGCAGTTGATGCTCACGCGGCCTATCTCTCGTGCCTCGAGGACGTGTCACGAAAGCGGATGCAGCAGATTCTTGACAACATCGACATTACAGGCGACCCAGCAAAAGGCAGCCCTGCTCGAGGGAGCCCGGGTCCTCGCGGCTTCAGCATGTGTGGGCCTGGCATATTTCTGTCCCGCTGGCAAAACCTGCTCGACGAGACAGTTATCAGTCCGGGAGTTCCCAAAGGACCTCTTCGCTGCGGTAAGGACGTGAAGGGTTCCATTATTCAAGCCAGGACGGTGGGCGCTCCCGCAAAGGGCAGTTGGGATCCCGCAGCGCTCGCAGAGCTGGGCGAGAAGGAGATTCCGAGCCAACCCAACGTCGATATCGCAGTCAGCGTGCTGGGGTCCCCTTTTCGAGACTTGTTGGCGGATCTTCTGAAAAACCAAACAGAGACAGATGGAGTGGTCGGTCAATAGCGGCGAGGCGGAGCCATACATAGGTAGCATTGGGTTTGCATTGAATCATGGTACAGTGGGATGGAGTTATGGTTATTGGGTAGCATTCGACTGAGCTGCATTTTGTTTATTATGAAGCTCACTTCACACTTGGCCAAAAAAATCATTAATCATGGTGAACATTTGGGTGTGAACCAAGTTGCACGATGTATGTCGTGGTCGCTCAGAGACATTTGAAGAGATAACTCAACACTGAATCATTGTCTAAATCTGACAGAGCAGAACTGAATCAATCCGAACATCCAAAGTACATTGTCCCTTGCGGATTAACCATTCATAGCACCATCAATGTCTAGCATGAACCCAAGTCTCCCAAAAAATTGAAGCCCACATCATACCCGACCCATTTTCCGAGAGTGAGCGAGTGTGCTGTGCTGTGCTGTCTTAGCAACTTATTTGCACTCCTTGCAGGTGCCTAAAGTTTGACGGGGTCGACGTTAGTCACGAGTCTCCATGTAGTCACTGGCCCGAGTCAGGGAGGCGGGCAGGGAGGCGGGCAGGCAGAGAGATTGAGGGCACGTACACTCGCCCGCCGCGCAGGTGCAGCTGGAAGAACCGGAGCATTCGCAGCCAGCCATGATGATGGATGTGCTTTTGGTTGGTTGGGGTTGAGTGTGTGTGTGTGTTTGTGTGTGTGTGTTTGTGTGTGTGGTTTGTTGTCTTGACTTGCTGATTGAGAGTGGATTGGAGATGTTGCAAGATGATGGGGAAATGACAACTTGTGACAGGGAAGAGGGACGGGGAGGGGGATTACTTATAGATGGGGCCTGCGCAAAGCAACGGATGGAACAAGTCAGGGAACTTGCTAGAAACCCCCCTCTTTCTCTCTCTCGCTTTCCTTTCTATTCGGTTCGTGCTGCGGTTAGTCTTGGCTCTTTTTGCGTGGTTTGTGCCGGTTCCATTCCACTTTTTTGCGTTTTTTGAGCGGGTTTCGCACATCGACCGAGGGACCGAGCTTGGAAACGGTTCGCGCCCGCTGGGTCACCAGGGCAGCCCGCCACCCGCACACATGGGCACACAGAGTCATGATCTCGCGTGCATGCGGGCCCCCGCTTGGCCCCACACAGCAGTGAGGGGCAAGCTGTTTGGCGGGGCTTTGGCACACCCTTTTGGGAAGGGGTGGCCAAACCTAGGCCCGTCACAGCGTGACCGCGGCCGTCGTCATCTGCACCGCCTTTGCGAGATTTGTGCGTGAACGTCGACCAGTGGTGCCGAAACTGCGCTACGTAATTAGCATTGCAGTCGCGTTTGGCAATCTGGCTGGTCAGCCCTGTCGCCGCCCGTCTGCAATGGTGCACCAACCGACCACCTCAGCGTAGAGTTAAGGTGCCTCGCCTCACCTAATCGATCAGCGGAAATGACGCCGACCGCGCTGGGCGACTGTCAATGCTCTGGTTGGGACACTGGGCCTTGTCCACTCACCTGTCAGCACTTGTCTTCATCCTCTGTTTGGCAGCTTGAGAGCACAATCCATTTCCCGTTCGACGTGATGTCCTCCGTCGGCAAGTAGGCATCGGCGGGGGTATTACGTCTTTCTGTCGGTCTGTCTGTGGAGACAATGCTTGCACGCATGTTGAAAGGATTGGCAACGCCCGATCCAAGGCCCATTACGAAGTATTCGGTGGAAAGTCGGCAGCAAGCCTGTCTCGCCCGGCCAGTCAATGCCCCGAACGGGGTGAGCCCTGAGGAATACGCCAAGGCCGCGATTTGCCTCCCCAGTGCCACCTCGGCGGCCAGCATCGCCCTGCGGCCCGCTCGCTTGCTTTCGGGGAGCCATCGCACTTGGCCGGCCCTACAAGCAAGCAGCTTGACCGGCCACCGGAAGTCGCTTTGCATGAATCCGGTCGGCGTTGAGATTCCTTTTCGTTATTGCGTTTTTTATTAACTAAAAATCCCCCTTTCCTGCCAACCTCACAGCACACCTTTTCTCTCTTCTCTCCATCACTAACCCGACATCACTGAACTCGAGTGCTGTGGTGGTGTAAATCGTCACAGCTCCATATATCCGCTGCTCTCCTTATTCCAAGTGGGATACGTTTTAACTTGCGCGGCTCTCAACATACGCTACTGGCAATGGAGAGGATATCCCTTGTATCGTATTTTCCCTGTCTTTATGCGTGTGGCCCGCGGTGCTGAAACTAGGTCGAGATGCGGCTTGACTTGTGTTCGAATCAGGTCCTCGCCACCATTGTCGGCTGTTTTTTTGTTTTTTTTTGCTCTCTTTATAAGGCCGTCTCTTTGCCAGTGGACAGCAATGTTCTCGAGAGCAAATCTGGCCGGAAAATAATATACATCAACACCTCATGTTCCTCTGCCAAGCCACCATGTCCAACATCACTCCACGCCGCTCAAACGGAACTGAGGCGCGCGCCGGGACGTCCGTCTTTCCAGCTAGTACGGTCAGATCCAACTTTGCGGCATCCAAAACCGTCTATCCGCCATCGAGGGCAAGTTGTTATGCACCGTCTAGGGGAGACTGCCGTGCGCCATCCAGAGCACCAAGCAATGCCCCGTCTCGAGCACCAAGCAACGCACCATCCAGAGCACCAAGCAACGCTCCGTCCAGGGCAGCGAGTAATGCGTCATCCCAAACAGCGAGCAACGGGCCATCGAGAGCAAGCAATCGGCAATCCGGAGTAAGCCACGCCTCATCCAGAGCAAGCCACGCCTCATCCAGAGCAAGCAACGCCCCATCCAGAGCAAGCAACGTCCCGTCCAGAGCAAGCAACGTCCCGTCCAAGGCAAGCAATGCGGCATCGAGAACGGGCAGTTCGTCAACACAACTGTCGGCTATTCAAGTTGGTCAATCGGCTGCAAGCTCGGCGGGCTCGACTCAGAGTCGATATGCTCCCACGCAGCAAGTGCGTCTCACACCAAAAAGGTCCCCAGGGGCAGACGGTGCGACCAAGACGCAAGTGAACCAGATCTGCTCCATCTCCATGATGGTATCGGGGCCCGCCAACCCCCTCCCATTCGCTCTGCCGGTTCCGTTAGGGTTGACCATGCTCGTTACTGGCCAAGCCGGAAGGGCAGGCACCAACTCGGGAGCAGGGGGGCGTTAAGTACCAAAGGCCTACAGTGAGCCCAGCCAACAGCCACTTCGGGTGCTCCTGGTCTTGTCGTTCTTTCTTGTGCTAGCTACCAAACCTACCACGAGAAGCCGTGTCTAGGATCACTCTACCGCGGCAGATGTCTTGCATTGTTGGGCACATTGCTCTCGGGCTAGCTTGTTTATATCCGCATCTACGCGCACGACACGATGTCTCGAACAAGATTGGGCTTTTTTGTACATGGGGTAGACTAACACTTGGGTTGGGGTGTTGTAACGTTCACATTACCTCGATAGCACAGGCTTTTTGATATTCATCGTCACTGATAACTTACGTGGAAGTACAGAAGGTACAGTTCTGCCAAGTCCATTTGGAACTTTTCGTCGGCGTCATGATGTGCCGAGTGACAGAACAACTCGCCGGAGTGTGCCCGAGCATTCTTCTGACGGGCGATCCCACGTTGCCGTGATCGGGCTGGACCGCCGCCATCGTTGGCGAGCCTGGGGCCGCATTCCTGCTGACAGCCAGAGGCGGCGGCCCTTACCGCACCTGCCGCCACTTGAGGGTTGCTACAACGAGGCGCAGCCCAGCAAGAGAGAAGCGTGATCTAGATAGTGAAAGTGTGTAGTCCTACATAAGAGTTCCCGTCCCCTTGGGCGGGGTCGTGCGTGCCGGGCTGTCAACCCAGGAATACAGCCCTGCTGCATAACTGGACTTTCTGTACTAGGGCCACTACCTCGGACATTTTCATCATACGTCTTCCCTCGGTACCCGCACTTATCACTGTCCTCGCGGGGCTGGCCCAGGCCTAGTTTACTGGCCAGGCCGTCGCCAATGCCCCCGATAACCTGAGGGCGCGGACAGCGACTTTGATACTGCCGGCACAACAGATGGTGGCGGGGAACGCACGCGCCAACTGCAGACACGCCAGGGACCCTGGACGGTGGGGACTTTTTTTTCCTTCTAATCTTCCCCGTTCGCCGTCTCTCCGTGCCCAGAGCGCTTGACTGACGTGACTCTCTTGGTGTGCGTCCCAGGCGGTCGTGTACACACTCAACGGCGTCGACAGCAACACGGACACGCTGATCAAAACCCTCCAGTCGACGGCAGCCACGCTCACCAAGACGCCGTACACGGGCCCCGACGCCGCGGCCATCGGCTCCCAGCTCCAGAACTTTTTCAACGTCCAGCTCGAGCTGCTCAACCTGTTGTTGACCAAGGCCTACGTCGTATACAACGCTCCATACGTCAGCCGGTCCTTCACCATAGTGCTGCAGGCTCTCAAGTCGTCCGTCGATGTGTGTGCTTCCCCCCCCCCCCCCCCCCCCCCGCAAACTCTAATTTGCTAAGTGACTGACTCTTTGTGAATGTGCGTAGAGCTTGGGCATCTACCTCAACGACAGCGTCGAGCCCGGCACGGCCGTGCAGATAAGTAGCAATCTGGGCACGCTAGACGCGCAGTACTCTGCCGTTATTCCGCTGTTTCTCGCATCGGGGGTTGAGCGGGAGCTGAATAGGGGCGAAGAGGATGAGAGAGAATGCAGAAACAGTACCGTATAACGTTACTACATGTAACATGTCATGCTCAACTGTTCCTGAATGAAGCAGGAGTCAATCTTTTCCAAGTTCCGTCTCTGCCACTATTACAACCCATCACCTGCATCCAGAACCCCATGAAAGCAGTGTGCTAAGTGCCGCAAACACTGCGTGTAGTTTTGAACCAATGCCTATTGAATAGGAGAGAATCAATAGCCGATAGATCCATCCACGGTACAATCGACACTCCCGATAATAACCACAAAGCCAACCACACACCCCCCTAACCACCTGCTCACAGCATGAAAAACCTCACCCGCCTCTCGCCCTCATCCCCACGACTCGAATCCACCGACGCGTCGGCACCCAAGCCGACATCGACCGCGAACGTCAGCCCCGACACGGCAACAACACCGCGTGCAAGCTCAGCCACCGACAGCGTCACGACCCTCGCCGCGCGGCCCTGGGCAGCAACATCTACCGGCGCGCCCTTCAGCGGCCAGCGGCCCAGCGTCGGGCTCAGGTCCATGTCGGCGTCGGCGCGCCGCTCCGGCTCGACGCTGCTGTCGCGCGTGGTGTTGGCGCCGGTGGGGGCTGGGGATAGTGATGGTTGAGTAGTAGCAGTGGGGGCAGCCAGCGCGCTCGTCTCCCCTCCGACCGGGGACAGGGTCGCGTCTATCGTCATCGTTGCTGTTGTTGTTGATGACGACACGGGAGGCCGCCAGTCCTCGCCTGGCGACAGCGCGGCGGCGGGCTCAAACCGGCCGCCGACGCGGAAGCTCTTCGTCGTTTCCCGTCTCCTCTCCTTCACAGATTCACCATCAGAATAAAGCCCCCGCCCCCACCTCTCTTCTTCATCTTCATCGCCATCATCAAACTCGCTCTCGGACGCAGCCGCAGCCGCAGCCGCCAGCGCAGCCTCGAATACGGCCTCGCGCACTACCTGCTCGACGCGCATCACGAAATATGCCACGTCCAGTCCCGCCAGTCGCACGTAAGCCAGCGCGCCGGAGTGTTCCCCGGCGTTGCCGTTCTGGAACTGTGTCCAGTCGTGCTCCGCTAGCACGTAGTCGCCGCGTGTCTCGCCTAGGAGGGGCTGTGTTGTTGTTGCTGTTGTTGTTGTTGCTGTTGCTGTTCTTGTTGCTGCTGCTGATTCTGTGGCTGCTGGTGGTGGTTGTGTGTTGGTTGTGTTGTTCTTGTTGGTATTCTCATTGCTGTCTTGGGCTGGGGTTTGCCCGGGGTTGGCTGTTTGTGGCGCTCGCGCTGGTGATGCGTCCGTCATTATGGCAACGGCGACGCTGAGGGCGGGCTCGGTGGGGGGTGGCGGTTTTGGTTCTGAGGGGGTGGGCGTGGGCGAGGCTTCGTCTGGTGGTGGTGCCTCTTTCGTCGTCTTCTGCTTCTTCTTGGCTGCTGCTGCTGCTGCTGCTTGCTTCGGCGCCGCCTGTTGCTGCTGCTGCTCGGTTGCCTTTCGCTTGGCGGCGCGTGCGGGCTGTACTCGCGTGGGAGCCTGCGCGGGCTTTTCTTTTTTTTTCATCTTCTGGCTTCCGGTTGTGCTATTCACTGGCGGTTCTTGCTTTTCTTTGACTTTCTGGCCGTGCTTCTCTTCCTCCTTCTCTTTGGCCTTGTCTTCCTTCTCCCTTTTTTCCTTTTCGTTGTCTTTGACTCGAACCTTTTCTTTCTCCTTCTCTTCTTCGTTCTCTTCTTTCTTCCTCTTTTCCTTCTCTTGCGGCTTCTGTTGTTGGTCCTGCCCCTTTTCCTCGAGCACTATCCCAAGTTTGGCAGCCGTCTCTCCCATTGAGCCCCTTTTGATCCCGCGTAAATGATCTTGCTGTTCTTCTATTTCTTCCTGTGCTCGAGTCAGCTTACGAACTCATCACCGAACACAAGTGCAGTTAGTACGAGCCACTAACCTCCCTCACCCTCTGTCGGTGCAATAGGCGATCAATCTCGGCCTTGTACCAGGCCTTGGCCCGCTTGTAAAAGTCGGCCTTTTCGTACACGACGCCCTTCTGGAGCGCCGCCACGTCGTGCTTGAGCGCGAGCTCGGTGAAGTGGTACTTGCCTATCGCCTTGGGGACCTGCAACACTCCGTCAAAGTAGTAGACCCCGTGGTTGCCCTGCTTGCACGGCGGAACGAGCTGGCAGGCCGACTGATTCCATGGCTCGGGCGTCGTCGTAGGTGCAGCATCGTCCCAGGGCTTGAAGGGGCCCTTTGGCAGTTCTGCTTCCTCAGCCATGTCCAGCGTGCCAGAGCGAGAGATGATGGTGTTTTTATAGGATTGCTAGGAACGAAACCGCTGGACACAATGACTCGGTGTCTTATTTTGCTGGAATTCATAGTAATCCGGGCAGATGAAGAAAGACACAATTTCAACACTTGGGGGCGGTGGGCTGCGGAGGCTCCCTTTCACTTTAGTCAAGGAGTTTAGGAGAAGATCTGTCAAACGAGCCATCCTGGTATGTAAGCGTTTTGCCTACTATTGTTAAGCGTATTTCCCGTGTTTCCGCCTTTAGGTAGCGTGCGGGTGCAAAACAAAGGGCCAACGCCGGAATAGGGTTGCCATTCTTGAGGTTTGGCGGCTTTCTGTTATGAGTTGGGCAGGTAGAGCGCCAAGAGACAAAGAAAGTCTTCGGACCGGGCACTTGAGATCGAGATGAATGAAACAGCTCTACCTTCTTTTCTAGACGGTCTTGTCAAGGCTCTTTGTTATCCTCTGCGATTATCACACCGCACAGTCAAGAATGCAACACACGGATTTATGGCTTCGGGTTTGGTATTTCCAGACGATTGCCACAGATGCTGTTTCCATGTAATCGAGTGCTTCTTCAGGCGAAGCTGTTCAATTGTCCGGTCTGTTGTCTAGACAGCGTCCTGTACCCAAGTCTCAGCGCCCCTTTCTTTATTTACGGGTACACTAATTAGTCAAGTCAGGTAATTAATTACCTATGTGCACACATGGACTTTGAACGAGTTTGCTATCTACGCGCTCTGGACAGCAGCCACGGACCTATACTCATTGTTCATTCAAGACTCTGCTCAGTCATATGAGGTAGACACCGAGTAGTAAGCTGCTATTTGCCTTCGTTCTCCACCTTCATCCTTCCGCGTGTCTCTCCGCTTCTTGTCTACACTAGTTCTACGATCGTCTGATTTCCCCAACAGCCAAACCCCACCCAGGAGGTCCTTCTCCAGCCGTGGTGTAGAACTGACCAGTCAGTCCTGAAAACGGCCGGGCGGGTCTAGGGAGGCGCGGTCATCTCAAGTTGTGGACGGTTGGGTGCGGATTCCATGCGCGGGCTGCCTTTTACCTCGGTAGGTAATTGTTAGATCAAATCAATGATCACATTGTGGCGGACGGGTAGCGAGCGAGTACGACCGGGCCGTATTTTGGCCATCGGGGACACGAAACGCGCTGTGTGGGCCGTTGTTGCTGAGTCTGAGCCTCAAGGGAGCCTCAATGGGGCCCTTATCCGCGGGCTCCTGATTGGTGCTGGCAAGGCCGAGGGCGACCAACGCCGGGGCACAGCACCGCACAGCTATTCGTTCCTCGGGCGGATCCAGTCTCGCCACATTCCAATTGGCCCCTATTTTTGTCGCTCTGAATCCTTCGATTTTAGAAAGGATCCACGAACCCGGTAGTGGAAGCGTATGTATTGTTCTTGTCGGGACGGGATCGGCTGCGGGCAGGCAAGCCTCTGCCAGCCCTGACCCCTGCCCTGCCCTGCCCTGCCCTGCCCTGCCCTGTCCTGCCCTGCCCTGCCAAGGAGGCAAAGGCAGGGGCCGGATTTGAACAGACTTTCTAACACCGGCCCCGCCTCCGTCCCCATCCCTTGCTGTTCCTGTTCCTGGGGACTGCGTGGTAATTACAATTACAGGAGGGAAAGGGCATTGCGTACTGGGCCTCAGTCGCTCACCTCAACCTCCTTGTTACCTGAGGCCGGCTTCCTTGTTGCCTTGTGGCCCGATCATTGATCCATCGCCACGGATAATCCGCCCCCGCATTATGCATCCCATCCCATCGTGCAGGACAAAATAGCCCCCAATCAGCCAGTCCGAGACCCCCCAGTGCGAGGCTCGAATCCTTGCTCCTTGGAAGGATTGGCTTATGTCTCGTGTCGCCGTCCTCTCGCAAACTCACCACCACACCTGGCATGGCCAAGCACGTCCAACCCGGTGGTGACCCGGTGGTGAAAAGCTGCCACAACCTGTTCGGAATTCGGACACGGCAAGCACCGGCGGCCGGAATTAGTGGGCGGGGGGGCATGGCCACGACTGACCAACGGCTGCCGGGGAGGGTCTCATGGACGTCAATGCGTGCCAAGGTCCGACCAAGCCAACACAAGGCCAGGGACAACAAGTCCGATGGCGCGTGGGGGCCCGAAAGACAGGCACGGGGAATGTGATGCGTCATTATCTTTTTTTGTCTCTTTTTCCGTCTTTCTCCTCAATCCGTATAATCCTTGCCGACTGTTTTTTCGCCCTTCCACTCGTCTTGTTTAGCGTCGAGGCACAACAAACGGCACAGCGAGAGACGGAGATACCTAGCCCGCAGCTAACTCGAGGCGACCTGGGGCGGGCTGGATTTCAAGGCTGGCTTTGAAAGTCTGAGCTAAATTAGTCTGAGCCTTGCCTTGGGGTAGGAATTAGCTCGCGTTTCACATAATATTATGGCGCCGTCAATAGAGAGGGACAGGGTGGCCGTCATCGGCGCCGGTGAGTGATGAGGGACAGCACGTTTGGCTTCCTTCGCTTCGGCTTCCCGCTAGGACCTGTGTCCATGGGTGCTGAGGTGGGCAATGGCAACGGGCATCGGGCGTCGCTAACCGTCAAAAACAACCCCGGCCGTAGTGACGCGGGGGGGTCTTCAGCAAGTTCACCTGCGGGTTCTCCGACTATCCCATGCCCGACAGTGAGTCTAATCAGATACCCAGACGAAAAAGAAAAAGAACGAACCGACCAGGCAACGAACCAGAATCCCCGACGTACATGTAGCCCTAGCAAGTTCAAAGACAAAAAAGTGCTCGTGATGGGGCTGAGCAGCACGGCCGGCGACATCCTCCCAACAACAATCCCGGTCGCCGCAGCCGTGCACGTGTCGCACCGGCGCGGCGTGCTGCCGTTCAAGCGGTACCTGCGCGGCAAGCCCATCGACCTGTACTCGACGTGGCGCAGGCGGCAGATGGGACAGGCCCTGGCGCGGTGGGCGCCGGGGGTCGCGCGGCGCGTCGTCGACAGGGCCATCACCGGCATGGCGCGCGCCTCGTTCCCGTTCCCGCTCCCGCTCGACAACCCGGCCTGGGGCTTCGAGCCGTTCCCGTCGCCGAGCTACGCGCTGCCGGCGTCGTTCGAGCTCGCGCTTCCGTATATCCGCGATGGCAGCCTCGGGCTGCTGCCGGGCGTGCGGCGGTTCGTCGGGCCCAAGGATATTAAGTTTGCTGACGGCACTGTGCTGGATGACGTCGATTCTGTGATCCTGTGCACGGGCTACTCGGCCGACTGGGCCTTGTCGGCGCCGTTCATGGAGACTGCCGGCGCAGTCCACCAAAGGGGAGGGCCCGCCGAAGCAGCCGCGGCTGTACCTCAACATGTTCCCGCCGGCGTACGCCGACAGCTGCGTGGTGCAGACGCACTGCCTGTTCGGCAAGAACAACGGGTTCAACTTTGGCGACGTGACGGCGTGGGCGGTTGGCAACCTGTGGCGCGGTACTGTCACAGCACCGTCGCACGCGGCCATGGAGGCCCAGGTCGACGGGCACCACGCGTGGCTGGCGGCGCGCTGGGACGAGGACCAGCACTGCGACCTCAGCGCCGTGCGCCAGTGGGAGTACCAGCAGTGGATTCACGGCGCGGCGGGGACTAGCATGGAGAACCTCGGCTAGGGTTGGCGCTCTTCGGGTCTGAATAGACACGTTTTCTTATTTCCGGCCCGTATCGGCCTTTCAAGGCTCGAGAGAGCCGTAGGCAGCCAGTATCGTGATTGATAACGTTTCTTTCTGCTAGCCACAAGTATATTGTATAATGGCAAGGTTTACTTGTTAAACTCTGGCTAGACACACTAAGGTAGCTAGATTGTCTAGGTTTTGGTGTCGATTATATCCAAGGTTTCGGGGAGAGGATAGTATTTACCTAGGTTTTAATCATCAACCCTGGTGTCGTCTAGCCTCGGCAGAGACCAAAGTTGATTTTCTCCTTGGGTTGCTTTCCATGGTATCGTGTGCCACTAGCTAAAGCCTTTCTATTCTGTACCGTACTAATGTCCCTTCGTCTTGTAGGGTATGCTTGTAAACTGTCTTGGCCTCTGCTGTAATTATCTGTAACTAAATTCCGCGAATTCATTCACGCTGGGCTCCACAGGTAATATTCAGAGTTTCCGTTGAACCGGCTCGGGTGGCTCGGCTCGCCGGTATAGGCAGAAACCCTTATAATCACTTGACAGTCGACACTCTGGCCATCCGCGCATTCATATTAATTACATCAAGAGACGCTCGAGTCTGGCACTTATTATTCAGCATAATGTCGATGGCGACATTTCCAGCGGCTAATTGATGTGGCACCCACTCGGCAATGGAAGACGCCATTTGGTTTCTGGAAATTGCTAGGCAAAAGCTCCGATGTTTGCGATTGAAAACGGCCACCTGGTATATTAATCCGACCGGCAATCCGGCAGTTGTTCTTTGCTCTTTCTGGGTATACCTAATCGATTGATTCGGTAAGCGGCTCCAGCTTGTGGCCATATTATGTATTTCCTTGGTCGATGGATAAGGCAACTGCTCCGGAAACAGACGTGTGACTATTTTGACCGTCAATGGGAGGTTTTTCTTGAAAACTGGGTTGACGGAATCAATTACCCAAGCATGTACGTACCAACCTAGGCAGGGTGGCATCTGTCATGGCTTGGCCTCCATCTGCAACGGTGCCTGAAACGTCTGACTCCCGAGGCGATGATGTGATCGACAATAGCCAGTACGCCGCTGATTACTCAGGAGAGATGGTGATGATGAAATCACTGCCTCCGGCCACGGCAAAAAAACTAGCATCTGATGTAATAATCATGGCTAGCGGCACAGGTTTTGGGAGGGACGGTAGTAATCGCCCAAACGGGCCAGGCAGGCCAATTGGCCGCATCATAATTACGAGTAAGGGGCGTACCCTGCCTTGGTTCTAAGAATAAATAATTCAGTCGCCGCCGGTTTACTCGGTACATCTGAGGCAGAGGCGCTGACAGAAGCTTGTCTGAGTCAGAACGCCACGTTTTCGTTATGTCATGTTCCCTCCCTGCTCTGTCTGCAACAGAACGACGGCGTCGGGTAATATTACCGAGCCAGGCCCACACCAAACTCGCCCCTGCCTGCCTTGCCTGGTCGGTTCACCTCAGCTGCCCGCCCTCTCACCTCTCGCGCTGCACGCGGCCGCCTCTAAAGACGAATTGAGCGCCAAGACATCCTAAAAGGTGTCGATGCGTCATTCCACGCCTTGCTTGACTTTCACCTTCCGGTTGGTTCCTCATCTTGGGCTGATTTTTATTTCCGTACCTCCCTTAGCTACCCATGATTAATATGCACGGCGCATGGTTACATACAACAACTGCATCGCACTTGCAATGCGCTGCTGCACCGTCCTGCATCCATTCGAAAGCCAAGCCAAGCCACATGCTCATGCTGCTGCATTTCACCTCAAGCTCTTATCTCACTCACCTCGTGACCTTCTTGAAACAAGTTCCTCTCCCCTCCCAAGTAGGTTGCCATCTTATCGTGGTCTTATCCCAATCGCGCACCTCCGCCCCGCCGCCCCTTCTGCATCTTAGCCAGTTCTAGGCATCCGCCGACGTTAAACCGATTGGGGGCCTTCGTAACCGACGGAGTTTACGCTTTGGTCTAGGCCCCCGCTTTGCATTTCCAATCGCCCCCCCCTTGCCTTGGACCGACGCGGTGGATTTAGATCGCACGCACCACCACCCAGGCGGCTCGCTCTCCCCCACACTTGGAACTACAAATCTATATCACCCTCACCTCAGCGCACGGCGCGCCCGGGGGCCTGGTCTAGCAGTAATTTAGACTTATTTCTTTTGTATCTGTGTGTGCGTCTGTAATTATCTAGGCGGTGAAAAATTTCCGTCTCAACATTGTACTGTTGCGTCGCAGTCATCTTTTTACAGACACGAACACACCCGGAGTTCCGCCGTCTCGTTTCAGAAGAGAACCTTGCTCCGTAATCCGCAATGAATTGATGAATAAGACCATCCATGGTCGGATCGTCACTACCTTGGTTTCTTGACCAATACTACGTAATATTAAAAATAAAAACACGAGGCGCCGTTTTTGGCTTCTCCCCCGTCTTATTACCACGCAGTCACACACCTCAACATTCGCCCGAAGACGGTCGGCTGTCGTTGCCGTCGCCACCCGGCTGGAGTCATTACCTCCGGCGCTTGCTAAGGTAGGTTATTTGCAATTGGGGGTAGCTTGCAATTCTAGGGCTTGGCTTGGAGCAGCCCCCAACAGCCCAAGACCCGAACCAACCTTCGTAACTACTACGCCGGGCAATTGCCTACACACACACGCACACACGCATCACCCCATAATTTATCCCGCGCGTTAGGGGGTGATGATGCGGTTGTGGATTGTAGATTGTGGGTTGCGGGACGGACGGGATTGCTTTGCTACTAGTTTTTACCGCGGCCCTCTTATCCCCGCGACCGTGAGCCGGCCGTCATTCTTCTTCTCTGATGACCCGGATGGCCGTTCGTTGGGCAGGGGTGCAATTTCCGTTCTGTTCGTCAGTTCTTGTGTTTGACTGTCCGCAAAGCCAACAGCGTACCCGGGTTTCATTCCCCTGTTTTGGTGCGACCAGAGAAACGCCCTCTTTTGCCCTCCGCTGCACTGCTCTCCGCATCTCACACCCCTCTCCCCTCCCCTCCCCACCAAAACGCCCCGCCGCGCGGCGCGCCCCAAAGTGGACTCTTTTGGAATCACAGCCCGAATTTCTTTTCTGTGTGTGGACTTTTGGTTGGGTGTGCTGCGTCCGGTCTGCTGAACGACACCACCGTACCGCACCGCTTGCTGTGGTTGGGGGTTTGCGAGACCAACGCTAATTAGTTCTCTATTGTGGAGTTGTGACTTTGCCCTCGTCGGTGCTAGATTAGGTATTCAATCGGTGTCAAAAGCCGAAATATTTGTTTATTGGCTGGGGCAGCATGACTGGCGTCCGTCGTGTATTCTTGAATTTCCCCGTCATTACGGAATAATTACCACACCACAGTCACAAACCACGAAGTTCTCCTCGGGCGCCGCGCTCCTAATTAGCTACCGTGGCACCCGATGGATGCTACCGATGTTTTTTTGGGGTGAGCATACAGGACGCTACTGCGTAAAGTTGCTTTTGGGTGCGACAAGCGATTGGGCACATGATTTTTTTCGCATTTAGTTTCTATTTGATTTGTGCCCCATGCCATGCCCATGCACGGGCGGTAGCACTAGTAGCCACGAAGCCACGAAGCCACCACTCATTGGGCGAGCTAATCAATCAACAAGAAAACTGCGTGCATCATCTGCAATGAACCCATGCATGCACGCACAATCACAATCACAATCACCACTCGTAGGCCGGCATTTTGCCGTTCGATTCCTGCTATGGTGTACATACATGCCCGGAAACAGATGATTTGGTTGCTCTGATATACTTAGATTAACTTGCGCCCTCGCTGCCCAAAACTCGCCTGTTCTATAATACGCTGCTACTTACCTGCTGCAGCACTTCGTATAATCCAATCTTGTTCTCTCCCCCACCAAAAATCAAGACGTGTGGGTGCCCCGCGGCACTCGCTATTGGCCGTGTCCTGCTCTTGAAGACTGGATCGGTTATTAGTGCGGGAATGTCGGTGAGCCACATGCGGTTTCTCTTACAAATAGCATCGCGGTGGTGAGTCATAAAACCTTATCCCTCGCCACATACATAAGGTGATTATCTTGGAAACGAAAAGAATAAGGGCGAAAATAATACTCCGATGCGTTTCAGCCGTTGGCTTGATGGTTCTGCCGCCTCATGACCCAAGTACGGAGTAGTGGGATGATAGTTGGGCTTCGGGGCGTTGCAATTGGCCGCCCGTAATCAACTGCGACATTTTAGGGCGTTGATAAGGAGGTGTGTCATCGCGAGATTGACTTGTTTTCTACTAGCTCTTCGCAGTCCTCCCGTAGTTTCCTGCGGCTGGATTTATTGAGTGGTTGCAGGGGGCGGCTGTGGGAGGGAGGGAGGGGCTGGCTGGCTGCCATTCCCTAGAATGGATCATTATTCCCGTAGCAGCAGCAGCGAAAAGGAATAATCGCCGTTGGGGTATATCAGGCCTAGTACGGCGTACAGGGCGTGGCAGCAGTTATGGCGCCGCGAAGGAGCCAAGCACCCCGATTGCTTCTGTAACGCAGAATATAGGATTGGGCCTGCAGTCCAAATTGCTATGGTGCGACGCCGGCAAACGCGTCAACCTAAACCATTGGGCAAATGATTTATTGAATTCTAGGGGCGGCAGACGTCCGAAAGTGCGAGGCGAAATAATCCGACCAAGTCGATTCCATACCAGCAACACTCACCACAGTTCGTGGGGATTCAGCGGCCGAAAATATCAATAGAGCCTCGTTCTTGCAGCAGCAAGATTCTACTTAGGATTTAGTCGTTCCTCAACGTTCTGGAAGGGGCCCGATAGAGGCGGCCAATAGGAGCTGAGTGGCCCTTGCGTGAAGGCAGCTCTATCGCTGTTACCCTCACCGAGTGCTACTAATTGCTCCGTGGAAATTCCGTAATACCGAAGCCGAATGACGAATGCAATTAATCATTGCGAGTAAAAATATCAAGCCACATGATTCTAGAGGCTGCCCATCATTTGCCACCTGTGTCAACAAGGGCTTGTGTAACCCGGTGGATCCCCGGCAGCTCCGGTTGTCTGTCATACCCCTCGCCAGCCTAGTCAGTAATCCAGGTCTACATAACCGAGAAACAGTACGCCATTGCACGGCAAGGAATCGACTTGAGAAGAGGGCTGGGCCACGGTAACTATTTTTATTTTGTGTTGATTGGCTCCTCTGGAATCTGCAAATGCTCAAAAACCGCTGTCACATGATGCAACGATTGCGGCGGAACTCGACGAGAATAGGGACTTGGCGGTATGAATTATGATAATGCAAAACCCAGCCTGCCCGATGTAAAAAAAAACATGGCGGCGCGCACTGTTTGAAATTGCACGCTGCTGTTTCTGCATTGGGTTTGTAATATCATTCATCGTTCTGTACGACTTAAATGCGGCATGGCATTGGCGTTGGTTCGTGGATTTCGGGATGGATCCCGACTAACTTAGATAAGGTACTAGTTGTGTTTCGTTGGAAGCGAAAGGCGCCTGTGGTATGTTTATTGTAGGGTTCTCATATGCGGTGCAATGATGGTAGCCGAGCATAGCTTTAGGCTCCTGGGCCATTTGGTGAATTACGTTATCAAGATCTTGGCTACGACCCTGCTACGCCGCAAGCGAGCATTGCCGGTTGGTTCCAGACTGGTCCCGCAAAACCTGTGGGGGGGACAGCCCGGGCCGCGAGATCCCGAAGATCGTCGAGATCGTGCAATTGTCAACAACGTCAACGTCGGGCAAAAAAAGGTCGGTCGGTCGTCGCTGCGCTGGCGCAGCCATGTTTCACTCTTTACTCCTTCGGTTGATAAGCTCTTGTGCAACAAACTTTGGCAACCAACGAGGCCAGTCTGCGGAACGACAAGAGCAGCTTGGAGTAATCAACAGCCTCTTCTGTGCAATACAAGGCAAAGCAGTGCAGAAAGAGTGTGTTAATTACTCAATAGATGCCAATGGGCGCGCGAGCTAATACCGTGTACTCCTGGTGCGACTCGACGGGCCGGACGGAGTTGCAACACGGGACTGGCAAAGGCAAACACTAGCCGACGGAAGTTCGTTCTTTCCCACTACGAGGTCTGCTATATATGCACTTACTTCTGAGCTTTGCTGATTGCAGCTAACAATCCGGTTCGAGTGTCGGCGAAGCCCTCAAACAGGCCAACCAACAATCCGAAGTCCCTACGTAGCCCGGCTTTAACAGTGACCCAAAACGGCGAAGCTACTCAAGGTTGGGGCCCAGCCAGAAACAGTGGGGCCCTCGAGTCTCAGGACCGGCCAACAGCGCCCCGAAATACAGGGACGGGCGCCCAACAGCACCACCCACCTCCATCTTGTTCGCCGCTCGGAATCACCAGTTCACAGCCAATACCGAAAATTACCTGGGCATGAAACGGCATCCTGTACGCCGGTCGAGTGGCCGCAGACTAGTCCGTCCGCGGATCCAGAGACCCAACGGACCCCACGGTCACAACGGGCCGCCCGGATCGAACTCAGGACTGTTCCTCACTGGGCTGGTTTCCGGACAACCCTGGCTTCTAGCGTTGTGGCGGGCCACTGTGCTGAGCCACTGCGCCGAGCAGTCGCCTTGAAATCGCCGTCATTGAAACCTAGTTCTCGTCTAGTCTTGCCGTTGCCAAGAAAGGGGAACTTGATTAAGGTACCTTCCTAGACCTAGGTAAGTGGTACTCCGTTGGTGGTGGTCAGAACTGCCCATGCATGACAAAACCAACGCTAGTTTCGCGGAATATTCGCAAAAGCCCGGCCCCTCCCCAAAACCCCCCCCAACGTCGCATCCGCGCGGCTGTGAAAAGCGGCACGGGCGCTTAACTCGCCACTTCAGATGAGTGGTGCCTCCCTCGAAGAAACAAGGCTCGGGCACGGGGTGCAACTCACAGGGTCCCCCTCCCTCGCTGGCTCGTGGGGGCCGAATTCCCATGCGGCTGCTGTGGCCGGCTGGCTGGCCGGCCGTGGGTGAGGGCTGCTGCGATTGTGTTTTGTTTCGTGAAAACAGTTGTAGGTAGGCAATTGCAGAGAGTCGAGGGAAAGGAACCCCGAGCCAGCCTGTCAATTAATCGACTCCGGTCCGACCCAGTTGCACCTTGGCAATCCCGTGCGGCCGCGCGACCAACGGGCGGCCGTCCCAACACCTTGTTTGAATCCGGGCTAGGCTTCTGGCTGGTAACCGCGATTTGAGTTCGATCTAGCCTCGTTTTCCAAGGGTTCTTGTGCAAATGGCGACGTTGCGATGTGATGTTTTTGTTTCCACTGCCTGACTGGTACGTTGCGTTGGGCAGGCACCTCGCACTTTTCAAGCTCGAGACCAACAAGCTTCGTGGCGTGAAATCAGGTACCCTATAAAAACGAAACCTCATGTGTGAACAATGTTCGGACGAAAATCGCACCCGATCGAACCATTTCACTGCCGCCAAGGAGTCTCGGCCGACTAGCCCGACCTCTGCTCTCGCTTTCCCCTTTCCAAACCCCCTTTACTACACCTTTCACCCATCAGAGTCTAAAATCGGTATCATCATTCGCCATGTAGCCCGAGTGCCGAGAGCTCAAGGCGCGAACCGAACAGGACGCGTCGCGTCACACAGACATTGCGGCGGCGGATGCCTGCTGCATCCCACATTCCGACTCTCGGACTTTGAGTCTTTTTAGGGTTCAAGGCGCCAATTTCGTAGTGCGAATCCCGCAGGACAGTTTTAGAAACCTAGAAGGAGCCTGAGCCTTTAGGCAGCCGTAAATGGGACCTATTGAAGACGTTAGCAACTGACGGTCATTGATAATTAAATGATAATCTCGCCTTGTTCAATGAGCCTGCCAGCCGTTTGTCTATCGACTCAGGCGAGTTGATTGCGCTATGCGACTAATCACAATTACTTACGTGTAGGAAATATGGGCTGCACAAGCTGGAGAGGCCAGGACCAGGGATAAACACTTACACTAGTTCTAGAATTGCCTAGATGCCGGTTCTCCAGACTTGAGACGCCGAGTTTCGGGTTTAGCCCTGTGTTTGTAAGAGAAACCCCGTGCCTGAAGATCCTGGTTTGAAGTCGGTGGATCTTACCCGGGCTCGAAAACACACATCTTGTTTATCTTGCTCGTCGATGACTCAATTCGGCAGTTGCAATTAGTGGCAGCTCGGCAACTCGGCGCTTGTAATTCGGCGACTGCATGGGAGATGGATGCACTGTCGAATTTCTTAGACTACACCCGCAGTCACGCACCCTCTTTTTCAGACTTTTTCAACATCATGCTCGTTCATTTCTAGAATGGCCGTCTCAGTGAAAATTGCCATCTCTACCCTTGCCGCGATGTGACGATAGTGACAGCCTCTTAGATTTCTGTTCGTCCGCGGCAATTCTAGTCGGTGTCTGGTTCTGAGTCGGCGTTGATCTTTGCAAATGATAATCTAATCAAGCGGTGGAGGGGCGCGTATCCGTATAACGTACAAATAATCATAGTCGCAGCAAACGGCAACGCATCCCCGGACATGGTGTAGTGTAGGAATTAGAGATCAGAAATCCGCGGGTGCAGACTCCTGGGTACGTAATCCCCATCTCGACTAGTCAACGCCGGTGCGCAGTGTCGCCGCATGAGGCTCCCCTTCCACCCCCCCAAAAATAAGCACGCCCTTGCAGAAAGCGAAAAGGCGGCGTGTGATGTCAAGATTACGGCTGGTTGCATGGTGTGCAGACGGCCGACGCTAAAACAAGATCGCGTTGCTGACTCGCTTCGGATATCACCCGTCCCAGGTGTGCCCCAGAAGCCAAAAATGAAAGATGCAGTGTGAGCTGCCTTGCGCATTTTTCGCCTCTAAAAACTGATATCTATCATCCATATTGGACCTGCCCCGGACATTCCGCGGCTACCTTAACAGTCTAGTGTGGGTGTTTGGAGTGTTGGCTGCGCACGCAAAACTCCCCGACATCTCTTTTCTTTTTGGGTAACACAAGCAAGGTGCATGTCTTGTCACTATTCTCGCCCCCTCCTTGCTCTGTTACGTGGAAAACAACTTGGAATTCACAATTCTCCGTGCCTGCCACGGGCTTTTTAACTTAATACACATGTGGGGGGGCAAGCGGCCAAGCACTTTACTCGGTTTGCGCCCGCTTCAAGTTTTTTGCGCCTCGATCCTAAAAATCCCGTTGCTGCGCTGCGCTGCGCCGGCCGTTGTTGCTGTTGCTGCCGTGCCCTCGGCAGCCAAGTCCGCTTTCCACATATCTCATGAGGCAGTTGCTTCGAACCTTAAGTGTGTCTAGATTGGGTTAGGTTGGCTCTGGTGGGCCGATGGAACTGGGGAATCCCGTCTGTTCGGATTTTGGGGGCCTTTTGTAGGGACCTGGGTTCCATTCCGTCTGAGCCCCTGCGGTGACGTGACGGGAGGTGTGGGCGTCCAGGTCTTCTCCGTGGTCTCCGTCGCTCTGCTGCTCGGTAATCTTCAAACGCTCGGCACGGTTCCTTTTCCGAGCACCTCACCAACCTTGTGCGTACTGGGCCCCATACACACCAATTATTTACCTTCCTCTAGGTAGCTACCTGTAAACATTAATCGCCGAAGGCCACCAAACCCGTCAAATCCAACCGCCACCTAAGGTAAGGTACGTAATCCCGCCGGTCGCACTTTGGTCACCGTTTCAGACCCGCACGGTTGACCATCCACACACACACACACGCACACACACGTGACGGCTCGCCCAGAACAGCACACGCAGAAGCACGCGCATGACGGGCTCTTTCTCGCTCATATATGTCTTTTCGCATCCGACTTCTTTTCAACACCGCCACTCTTGACTCTTGTATTCCGAGAACTCGTATTAGATGTGTCGCTAGATGTGTTGCCCCAGTCTGGGGTGGGCGTCCTCTGAGCCAAGGGGAGCGCACGATGCAGGGAGTGGGCCGACCACAGCATGGTCGGATTAGTCGTGGGCTCCCAGGATTGGGTCAGCAGCGTAGGTCTGGGCGTGGTTCTTTCTGAAACCCCTGCCGCCAGCCGCGGCCGCTGATTGGCTGTCCCTGACCGGGCACAAGCTTTTATGCAGGCTTTATTAACCTCTCATTAAAGGCAGCCATCTCTTTGGGGGGTGTGTGTGGATACTGCACCGCACCGCAGCTGGGGGGCGACTACTGGGGCGGCGAGCCAGGTTTGTGAAGAGTGAGGTGCGGCAATTGAAATCTCGTTTACCCCGTACGTATGGATATGCACCCTGCTCGGGCGGGCGCTTTGTTCATACATGGCACCTACCTATCTATTCTACAGCTAATCTATACTCACGATAACGCTACTGGTGTGGACTATATACGGTAGCGTATGCGAGGTAGCGTCCCTTTTCACCCACGTGGTCGTCAAATGATAGACACTGATACGCAGACTTTTTGCTTACTCATTTTACACTCCGGCTATAACCTTGGCTAGAATTATTTATTATCTGTTCTTGTTATTCTGCTCTCGCCGTTTCGTCTCAACTCAACGAATCAGACTAAAAAGTTTATCTCTAATTCTTTGAATCTCTTGTGAGGTGATAGACCCGATCGGCTAGGCGCCATTTGAATCGGATACCCGCAGAGTCATGCATGACTTCATTCTCGCTAGCTAGCCGCTCTGCATCACTATTACCGTCTGTATGAAATTCAGCGTCTGGACGACGTGTGAGCCTGGTGCCATACGGCGCTTTTAAGACTTTCTGTTACTATTTACCTAGTCATGAATATATCCCAGTTCTCTCTTTCAACTGTTATTATAATTGATGGTTTACCCCAATTGCACGAGTCACGCGTTTAGATATAATTACTTCGTTGATGCATGGGGTGGAGCTAACACGCGTACTCAGCCCGCGTATACGCTGTAGCTTACTCACAAATCATGCCATCTCAACCATGCACTTGAAAGGCATACAATACCTACATATACATGAGATACCGTCGCCGAGGCGCTGTGAGGCCAGCATCGTGTTGCTGGACTTTACAGACCGGAGGTTGGTCGAGTTGTCAAAACGGATTGGAGGATTTAAAAAAGATACACGTATAAGACGGCAAGGAGCACCTGAGACTCTGTTTGAGGCGGGGGTGGTGGAGGGTGTGTACGGTAAAGTAGGTGTGTTGTCGGCGTTGCTCCGAGATCAAGCCAGCAAGCACTTGTGAGTGGGGTGGGGGGTGGCTGAGATTGTTGGTTGGATTTGTCTGCGGCGAGGGGACGCCTTGAGCCAAAGGGGGGAACAGTACACGAATGGAGAGCACCCAACGTGGCGGCGCTGCACGTCTTGGCGAGGGAAATCCGTGGAACTTACGGAGGAGAAACGGCCGTACAAAACGGGGTGACGAGCGGGAAAAAGCAAATTTGCCCTTGCCGGCTGCTCGATCGATGACTGGTGGTGAGGATTCTCCCTGTGGGAAAAAATCCCTAGTGACCTCGTAGCGTGCACGCCCTAGGCCAGCAGCTTTCCATGGCGGCTCAGCAGTGCCAGCATGGAAAAGGTGGGTGGGCCCGTTGGTTCCGGAGCGGTATTGTGCTGTATGGTACGGTACGGGGACATACGCTGACATCCACTTTGAGAATACGATTGTCAGACCGTAAACATAGGAGGTAAGATTAGCGCAAAAGAACCCTGTTGGTCATTCTGACAGCACGTCAGCCACGGACTCTGCTCGCCATCCATGGAATGGAGACGGAGTGTCCCACCACAGCTCCCAAGTGCCAAGGGGCGCAGCGTGCTCGCTCGCTCTGGTGCGTGTAGTGCGGATGTGGGATTAACATTGCACACTGGTGCAGAGCAGCAGAGACGGGAGTTGCTGGCACCTGTTTATACGGGCCCTGGCGATCCCTGGCTGCGACGGGACTGGCCAGTTCGCCAACCGCCCCAAGGCACCGAAGCTACCACTAGTGCCTGCCACCAACAAACTCCAACGAGCGTAGCTGCGCCGTTTATGCCTCAGGCAGCCGGCGCTAGGGCGGAAATAGAGCAGAATACCTAGGCCCTCGCAGTCGCTTCCCATACGGGGGGGCGCTAGCTAATAATAATAAGCAATGCTAGCTGTTTTCCCTTTTTACTCACTCCATCTCCCACTCCCAGCTTGACCCTTCTTCGGCCACCCATCATCTTTGATCTCGCACACCCGACCAGACTGTCGATCAGTCGCCATCATTCCGCGACGCGACCGTCTTAGAGATCACTGCATTGGCCGGTGCATCTTGCTCCTTCCTTGTGGCTTTATTTGAAATTTCGCATGACTCGAGAGCAGCCAGCCTGCCAGTCATTGCATCGCACTGCATCGCATCGCACCGCATCGCATCGTCGCATCCAGACAAACACTCTTCACTCGACCTGTGGCCGACTAACTGACCCAAAAACTCGAGGTGAGTTGAATCAACAACCCCCACAACACAAAACCCGTCGCTTGCAGAACGTCTAGCGGTGTTCGGCTCTCCACCCAACATATTTCGACAACTGAACGCTTCGCTTCATTCCACCCGCTGCAAGTGCAGCATGCCGCATCAACTCTGCGCTTTCCTGCTCTTTTTATTTCTTTTTGACGCGGCCGGCTGGTCGCAAACCTGCGCCTCGCGTTGCAAAAAGCAGACCCACACACAGCCTTGAACCTTGCATGCCTTCTTCCCTACCTTACCTATCTGGTCTGACGGACCACGTGCTCCCCTCACCTGCTTCCTTCACCAATCTGGTGGGACTGTTTTCATTTCGCCTTTCCTGCCTCTTCTCTTGCATCGTGCTGCGGCCTAGTGACACTCGCGCACGCATACACACGCAATCATACTTTTCAAGACGGTTCTCCACTTTCCATCTCAACCCCTTCCAGTCGCTGATGATTCACCAGCAAGCATTGCCTCGCACGCTTCTCTCAACTCTAGGTGAGTTCTTTTTCCTTCTCTTTGCCTTGGCGGATCCCTTTTTTTTCTGTGCCTCGGGGCTTCCTCCACTTGGCCACTTCCGCCTAAGGGCCTTAGTTCGCCATGGGTCATGGTTTTCGGACTTGCTAACGCTGTGCCACAGACCTTCGGATGTTGAGACGTGGGGATTTTTAATTTTTCAATTTTGAGGGAGCCATCGCCGCACAACCACCACCCGCCCATTTGACCATGGCAGCCGCGGAAAACGCACGGATGGCTTCGAACAGGCGCATGCTGCCTGAAACGGCTCGGGTGCAGGCTCGCCATCTTCAGCTGACTAGGGAACTGGAAGACATGACCAAGCAGTTCGACTATGACGAACAGCGAGACGCAAAAGCGTTTGAAGCCACCATTTTGGCAATTGAATCCGGGGCCGACGCGAAGCGGCGCGAGTTCATCTCCCAGATGCCCGCCAACATGTCAATCCCCGATGTTTTTGAGAATATGCTCCTCGACATTCGGTCGCGCGACATTTTCAAGGCCGAGGAAACCCTGGCACTGAGGAGGGCCCAGCGCAAGAAGATTTTTGACGCAAAGATGCTTCAGCATGTCGAAAAGTACAAGGCTACTCTTTTCTCTCCCATGATTCCGATTCGCGTAAGTGTCATCAGCCTGCCCTCATTCCCGTTGCCTACTCTCGAGTCGGCTTTTGGCCTCATCCCAAAGATGTGTCAAAATGTGTTTGGTCTAGATATACAGTTCTTGCTGACTCGGATTTCAGCCGGAGCCAATCAAGGAGCGCGAAGTGATGAATTCGCCAGCCCTGGTGACACGGGCTGTACCACCATTAACTGCGGACCAGATGGCTTCATCTCAGCCTAGGCGCCACAAGCCCGAGAAGGAGGGTGCTAACCCCCAAATGCGTCGTGAGTTTGAGAGAGAGAGCGTTCACTCCCAGATGCGCCGCGAGCCCGAGAGGGACAGCGCCCAGTCCCAAATGCGCCGTGAGCTCGAGAGGGAGACGGCTCGTCCCCAAATTCGCCGTGAACCAGGCCGGGAAACCTCTCAGTCTCAAATCCGCCCTGAACCCGAGAGGGAAACAGTGCAGCAGCAGCCGCAGACCCGCGCGGAGACGACTACCGTCCCCACAGTGGTTCCGCAGCCCGCGCCCCAGTCGCCGCCCCAGTCACCGCCAAAGCCAACATTGCAAGTTACAGTTGAGCACCCGGCACCCGTGGATGAGCCCCGAGCTGTTGTTGAGGAGGATCTCGGAAGGTCGTCCCCCGATAGCATCGTCGTCCGTAGCGACACTCCACCGCCAGAATGCCCAAGCCGTGTTTCGAGGGATATTGAATCAAAGCCAACCGACTCAGTCGTTGAAATGGAGTTGACCGTGCACGTTTCGAGACCAGTAACTCCTGTGAGCCGCCGCGAAGGGTCGGCTGGGTCTGTGGATGACAGTCAGCACAAGCGCAAGGCGGACGAGCTCAGCTTTTCTCAGAGTACCCAAAAGCGAACGAAGCTTAAGGATGCGAGAGACCCGATTGACACAGTTAGCGTCGTAGCCGACCCCATGACACCGAGGCGTCGCGGCAAGAAGTCGGGACGTAAGACGATTTCATACGATGAGGTTTTCCAGAGCGGGAATGCGCAGTATAAGCACATCATAGTCGAATACCCGCCAAGCAGCAATAACTTCTATATCCTTAAGTGTGACGAACATGGCGTCCACTTCAACCAGAACCCTCTTGCAGGAGCCGCGAAGCATCTCCACAGCGCTCAGCATGGGAACATGTCTAAAGAGCGTGCACAGGCCGTCGAGCTTCTAGGTCAGCTGGTGCTTGACTGCGACCCGAAGAAGGCTGCGGCGAACAATGAAATTGTTTCGAGTGCATTTGCGAAAGGCTACAAACCTTTGAATTTGAACCAACTCACCAAGACGGAGCGTTCCATCTATGGTCTCCCCCCGTTAGATGCCCCGGCGAGCGCCCAGAAGCCGGCATCGCAATTCGTCCATGAGACCCCCTCCAACTCCAGCACGTCGCTAGCACACCAGCTGCCAGTTGGCATCAATAACCCCACGCCTGGAGAGCTCTACCTTGGCTATTGGACCAAGGAAAAGAAAAATTATGCTGTCTTGCTTCTGCCCCGAGGCGATCTTAAATGCGCCGGCATGCATGGCACGCTCTCGGATACTGGTCTGTTGATTAAGGCGCCCAAGTGTTACGTCATCGATCGTATATCGATGCAGATCAAGGGTTGGGCTCCTGGATACGAAGACGGCGGCCCTCTGGAGATGAAGCGTGACTTTCCTGTTATGTACTTTGACGGAAGGCGGTAAGTTTGAAACCCCTTGCGCCGTGATGGCGAAAGCTTCTTTGCTGACTTTAGCTTAGCTCTGTTGGGTGGCTGCGGGCCAAAGACCTCTCCCCATTCAACTTTCAAAACCCGTGCTGGAAGGACATTCCTTTCTTCAGGGAGGCCGTTCAGCACTATGCTCTCGTTAGAGGCTTCAAAAGCTACGACCAAATGGTTGAAAAGAGCGGGAATATGAACTTGAAAATGTGTATGTTACTTTCTCTCCTCCAGACACGGTCTTTGCCTTTTCCATTCTCTCTCCTGACACTCTTTTAGTTGCCCAGGACAAGTCCTCGAAACGCCAACCACTACCATCGTCGGCTAGTAAGGGGGCTCAAGAAAAGCAGACCATCGATGCTCAGCCCAGCACTTCTGAGAGGCGCAGTGCCCGTGTCGCAACGGTTGAAGCTGATGAACCTGAGATTGAGAAACGAAGAACGAAACACTCGACGGCAGAGGACCACGAGATGACGGATGCGCCCAACAACGATGAGTCGGATGACTCTTATCAGGAGTCCATTGGCAAGGCCACGTCGGATTCGGAAAACGACATCGAGATGGCGAACACAGACAGCCGACGAACCAGTGTCTCGAACCGGGGTGAAACACGGGAGGCAGACGCGAGTGTCACTGTCTCCAAGCCGACGTCGCCGGTCGAGCCACCAAGGTCTATTGTTGAGGTCTCTAAGCAAGCGTCCACAGAGGTGACACCCCGGCAGGAAACACCCACAGAGGCAATTGTCGCCGATACAGTAATTCAACAGACGTCGCCTACAGTCGCGACACCCCAGCAGGTGACGCCCACGGAGGCAACCCCCACTCAGGCAACGCCCATTCACGCAACGCCCACTCAGGCAACTCCCACGCTGATGACGGCGATGCAGGCTATGCCCACAACGAGGCTATCGCCAGCCAACACCAAAGCAGTAGTAGCCACTGACACAACTGCAGCAACCAATGGAACCGAGCGGTCAGTCGAAGCTCAGGTGCAGCAAATAGCAGCTTCGGCTCTGTTTCTGGGAAGTCCGGAGCGCGAGCTTTTGGCGGCCCTGAATGGTGCGAAGGATCACGAAGCCAGGCGGAGTGCGTCGGCAAGCCATGAGTCACATTCTCGCCAATCTAGCATTGACCAGGGATACAAGCGGGTTGAAAAGATACACGCCCGTAGCAGCAACCCGTATAGGGCAAGCCAGAGCCCGGCAATGTCTCCAGCGGTATTGCCGGAGCGACGATTGGATGGGACGCCGCAACAGGATGGACACTCTCGCCATCCACACATTCCGAGAACCTCCAGCCCAGCCAGCCTACACAACATTCTCCAAAGCTACACCAGCGAAGGTTTTTTCCTACCCCGACCCGGACCCCTTATCCAGAATTATGCGCCACAGCAGGGTCACGTCCATGGTCAAGGTCACGTCAGGCACAACTCTCAGTTTTCTCACCGATCGATGCCCTCACCCGAGACTCCTGGATTTATTCACCAAACACAACACCCCGGACGACAGGCAGGTATTTTTCCAGGACATGCACCGCAGCCCCAGGCTGTCATGGTTCCCGGTGGAGACCGCCATCAGATCCGAAGCGCGCCGTGCGCCCCGATTCCCGGCCATCATCCTGCGAGTCGCTCTTCTACGCCAATGGTGTTGGCTGGTAATGACGTCGCCCAGGATCGCTGGCGTGCGGTACGGCAGCCAGGCTCCACCACGCCCCAGCCATCGCCACCTCTGGCACAACCAACAAACCAGAAGCTTGCGCCACAGGTGGTCCCCATCACTCGTCGCTCGACCGAATCTCCTCGAGAGCTGCAGACTCCATTCAGCCCTCTGGCAACACCGAATTCCAACATTCGAGCCAGCTCACCTGCTCAGCCCAAGTCAAATTTGAGTGCTTTTATCAAGTCTGAGCAGGTGACTCAAGGTTCCGGCCAGTCCGTCGATGTGTTCGATCTCGCACGTTTTGAAGAGGGTGGCGACGAATTGTTTTCTGCGGCTTCGTCGGGCAAATTTCTCCGTCTAACTGTCAACCCGGAGACCAAGAAGGCAGTCACGGGCCCAGACGAGGCCTGCACATTCACTTTGGATCCGCTCAAGATCAAGGCTGCAGTGGTCGAGCCATCTTCCGAGAGCGGACAGGGTTGCACCGTCACGCTGCAACTGGTTGATGGACGGGAGCAGAAACTCGGGTTCGAGACTGCCAATTCGATGGGACGTGGCGCCGAGGGAGGCCGCATCCACGCGCGACGCTTCTGTCGATGGGTGAAGACGGTGAATCTCAACATCGACTATCGGAATAACAGGTCAGTGATGTCTTGACTTGACACTTCACTTAATGAACCTTAGCTGATTTATTCCCTTAGCTTTGATTCAAATCAGCGACCCAGCCAAACTCCGACCAGTGCTACCACAGCTGTCAGCATCACGGTCGAATAAACGCAACTCGGGTTTCCCATTTTCTGCCTAGTAGAATGCCGGCTATACTTGCCTTTTCTGGTTGATAGTTTGTGTATTCAGGATAGCGGTTAACCTAGTTAATCGCGTGCCGCGGGGGCAAGGTGACCAACCTTTTAGACGGCCTTGCGCCTCGCAAGGGGCCTTTCATTTTCCTCGCTTGTGTTTTGACATTTAGCCTGGCTAGCAGTGTTTTATGCATATTTCCTTTCAGTCTCTGCGGATTTCTGCTTGCCAGGCGTGGCACAAAGTAGCCTGCCCACTATTCTTTTCCTTGACCTCCGAGGGGCGTATTTATCAGCCGTATACCTACCCACTGTACAATATTAATTATCTAGTTTAGATGGCTAGCGGAAACTCGTGCGTTGTGAAGATGCTTGCCTGTTGATTCTACTCTGTTGATTCTACTTGACGGGCTTCCCAATATGTCTTGTACAATGACCATGATTTCCTTTACTCAAGCACTCATATATTATGCTCTAACCAGCTCAGGGCGACTACCTTCAGCTCGAGAGTCTGATGTTAATCTGAACTAGCTATTTAGGGTATTTACCCGGGGCAATAAAAAGCGTTGTAGCTGCTTAACGTGATTTGCAGCCCGTCTGCATCTGACTGGTCTAAGAAGACTCGATGAGGTAGCGCCACGGATTTCCAAACTAAAAGTCGCTTGATCAAAACTTGTCTGGCGCGGAAAGGGGCTTGTGAGATGAGACTACCTCCATTTTGGGCAGCGATTGACTAATTATGGTGAAACCAGAGGGAAAGCCTATGGTTCGTTTGAATGGAATTAGGGCGGTTTGGACGTTGATCAAGTGTAATATGTTTTCTCGACAAACTTTATTTCTGTTGATCCATACTCTAGAGATGAGGAGTTGATAGATTGATCGCTTTGTTTCCTATTTTGGGTTTAACCTGGTGAAATAATCCAGACGCGGACGATAATTAGCATGTGATGCATCCTTGGTAGCACAGGGGCGGGGCCCAAGCGCAGAAAGTCGGGAGTCGGGAACAGCCTAAGCGAGGGGGCAGGCAGCCAACTCCCCGCCCGCTCGCCCCGAAAATGGGGCAGGCGGGTTGAGTTGGCCTCACGTGGCAGCCCCCCCTCGCTCTTCCATTCGATCTCGCTTTCAATCAGTCCCTCGTGCTTTCCTCCCGTCGGCGCATGCGCATTGTTTTGAATACTAAGCCTAACCTTTGACATCGCTATAACCTCTGCAGAGCGAGTCTGCACCTTTTTTTTTTTTCCTCTTGCACATTTTCACCTAGACGGCGACGTTGCAGGCTCCATGCGACCTCCATAATTGTTGGCTAGGTGTTCGGCTCCCCGGTCAGTGGACGTCAGTGCCAGTCGCCTATGACGTGTTGAATCGACTTTGGGGCGGTTCGGGGCGCGCTGTGGACGAGCCGACAGCCAGCAGCGCTCGGCACCTTCTTTTGATGGCTGCATTCGTGAGTTCCGTTCCCCTCTTATCCATCCCGTCGTTTTTTGTTTTCGCAGCCACGCCCGCGCATTGTACCTTCTCGACCGCCGACAAGGCGAAGTAAGCTCAGCTCGTTGGCTCGCATTTGGCGATTTGGCTTGCTTGCTTGCCTCTCTCGCATTTCGGAGGGGGGGGGAGGCAACAGCAACCCCCAACCACTGTGTCTCGTCAGCAGAAGCTCCCCGCCAGTACCTCCAACCCCCACCGCATCGCTTTCTCTCCGCGACATCCGACTCCAGCATCGCCATCGCCGCCCCGCGCACTCGGCCATGCTGCGCGACCTGCTCTGGCAACGCAATCCGGCTCGCTCTACCGTCGCATGACTGGTCTGGCTGCCACATTGAGCGCGACGCGACGAGATTGCTGACGCTTTGCTTGCGCCCGCGGACTATAGGACCCCCCTTGGCTGACGCACATGTCTCCTCCTCGCTTCGAGCGCGCCGACACGCTGGACTCGTCCTCGCCCAACCCCCCGTCTACCCCCTCGCAGCAGCAGCGCGGCAATGCCTACTCGAATGATGGCGCCGCCCCGTCGCTGCTCTCGGGCGCCGCCAACCCGACGTTTGCCTCCTTCTCGCCCGCCACGCTGAGCTCGACCACCCCGACTGCCACCTCGGCGGCCAAGCGGAGGAGCACCATCTTGGTGCATCAAAAGTCGCCGCTGCTGCTTGCCACCCCGCCCCAGATCACCCGCGCGCTGGCCTACAGCCATCCGTTCCTGCTGCCGCTGAACCGCATGGTCGGCCTCCTTACCTGGACAACGGGCGACCCGTGGGAGAGCTTCCTGCTCGTAGTCGCATTCTGGGCCTCGGTCCTGTATGGAGATACCGTGGTGCGTCTGACAGGGCCCGTGGTTTTGGTGCTGATCCTCATTGGCGGCATGTACGGCCGGCGCTTCAGTCCCCTGAGCAGCAGCGGCTGGAGCGAGCCGGGGTTGGGCGGAGGCGATGGGATAGCCACGGGCGCCGATGCAAAGATTAAGAAAAAGGCCAGCAAGAGTAAGAACCTGTCGGTCGACGGCCTGCCCGAGAAGAATGGAAAGGCAGCCGCAGGAGGCGCGCCAGCGGGCGGCGGCGGCCACCAGCGGAACCAGGGGTCAATCTCTGAGATCACGAACACACGCCACCAGAAGACGCTGGACGAGATAGTCGAGACACTCAAGGAGTTTACGGCGCGGTGCAACATCTTGCTGGAGCCATTGCTCGAGCTGACCGACTTCCTCAGCACGCAACGGACGCCGACGTCGGCCACGACCAGGCCGGCCCTCACTACACTGTTTGTCCGAATCCTCCTCTGCACTCCGTTCTGGTTCCTCCTCACACTCCCACCACTCCGCATAATCACGACCCGACGTGTGATATTATTGTTCGGCACCCTGATTCTCACGTGGCACGCTCGTGTCACGCGCGTGGCGCGCGGCATCCTCTGGCGCAGCGCCAGCATCCGGAGGCTCATGGAGCTCATCACGGGTCTGCAATTCGAGGGCCCGAGGAAAGCCCAGCCCGCGCCAGCCATTCCCTCAACCGAGACGTCGAATGCGAGCACCTCGACGGTGTCGGGTGCCAAGATATCCACCGCCAACACCACGAAGGCCCCCCGCGAGTCAGAGCTGACAAAGGCTCTACGGCGGGCTCGAGGCGGACACGATGCCGGCGTTCGCTTCACCTTCATCATCTACGAAAACCAGAGACGGTGGGTTGGTTTGGGGTGGACTACCAGTCTCTTCGCCTATGAGCGGCCGGCCTGGACGGACGAGCACAACAACAGTGTCCCGCCGCGAGACGAGTTTGAACTGCCCGAGGTCGAGGACGGCAGCAACATGAGGTGGCAGTGGGTCGAAGGCTCGCGATGGCGCGTGGATGGCGTCCCGGACGAGGCCGTCGTGCCCGAGGACAAGGACAAGGAGTGGGACTACGACGGGTCTGGGGGGAGGATGGGGTGGGTATACTACGACAACAAGGTACGTCTGCCACTAACCGGGCACGCCGCGCTGTGGCTAATTGCGTTTTGTGAATTCAGTGGCAGAATGGTCGCCGCGGCCAGGATGGATGGGGGCGGTGGACACGGCGGCGGAAGTGGTTCCGTGACGCGGAGCTCGTTGAAGCTGACGATGCCGTCGAGCCGCCGCCCGCCGAACTGCCGGCGGCTGAGGCGGCTGTTGCTGCCCCGGTTTTGGATGTTGCGGAGCCGTCGCCGTCGCCGCCGGCGCCGTCGCTTCCCCCACGGCCAGACGCGGCGGCAGCGGCAGTGGTGTCTGGGAACCCGAGCTTGAGAAGCTATGGGTCTTCAACCACGCCGGACACGCACTCTACGTCGCAGCCAGACGACCGGGACAAAGAGCGGGAGGAGGAGTATGACTCGGCGTCTATGCTCTCGACGTCGAGCAGATCGATGCGCTTCAAGCCGCCTACGCTCCGGAGGCGCGTGACAGACTCGTCCCATAGAAGCCGACGTGCGAGCGCGGTGGCGAGCGAAGACGAAGCTGCCTCGTTGGGCACGAAGCTCAACCTCGCCCTACAGGACGCGGGGACCGAGGCGGGCAGCTGGGGTGTCGGCGATGAGATCCGGATGGGCCTGGAGTGAAGAATTAGGAAGAGGAGCGGCCGGTGCTTTGTTTTGGTTGTTTGGTCCACGCGAGAGGTGCATTGGTTTGTCAGGAGTCTTGATTATTATAAGATGTACAGGTCCAGCTATTACACGGGAAAACAGCGAGCAATCAACCAATGGGATGGTGGCAGGGGGCGCAAAATCAGTAGCTAATTACTTGTATACCTACACTGACACACACGAGAGGAAAGGGGGCGACTCGGAAATTTTAGGGCTATCGAGGAATCAAAGGATCAAAGGCTTGCCTATATAACTGATGAGCGTACAGGAGCAACGGACCAAACTTGAGCGCTAGATGATGTACGAGCCGAGGTTTCTTCACCACCCGACTAGAAGGGACGATACTTGAGCTCGATCCACCGGAGGGGGAGGTACAGGATGGCCGCCAGCACCAGGGCAACCTCGAAGCCAATGTCGCCCGTCTCCTTGGCCAACGGCCCCGTATACCACACCTGCGACATGCACGGCACGGCGAGGCCAAACGACAGGCCCATGGCGCCGATGGCAGCCAGCCCCGTGGGCAGCTTGGACGGCTGGTCCCAGTGCGCCACGTCGTAGGCGGCGCAGTCGCCGCGGCGGAAGACGAAGTGCTCGGCCGAAACGACAGCCACAAACGCGGCGGACCAGTAGGCGATCAGATAGATAAAGTTCTCGAGCGCTGCGAAGAAAGACTTGGCGGCCTCGATGGCCACGGGGATGGCGACGGCCGTGTACACCATGACGAAGACGACGCGCGGGATCTTGACGAGCACCGGCAGCACCAGCTGGAAGCTCAGCGAGATGGAGTACATGGCCGTCGTCAGGTTGCCGATGACGGTCAGCGACAGCAGCACGGCCACGAACCGCCCGAACCCGCCCGCCGGCAGCAGCATCGCCTGCAGCACGCCGCCCACGCTGTGCTCGGCGTACCCTGCCGCCCACTCGGGCATGTTGGGCGTCGCGCCGCCGATGGCAGCCCCGAGCACCATCAGCGGCACGGTTGGGAAGAAGAGTCCGGCGTACGTGTACGCGAAGATGCGGAGTGTCGAGGCGGATGCGTCGCAGTACACGCTGAAGTCGGCGGCCATGGCCTGGGTCGGTGGGGGATCAGAGTGTCAGCCACTAGTTAGTTGCCTTGATGGGTTTTTGCTGCCGGGAGGAAAGGGGGGGAGGCGAGACGAAAAACATACAGCCCACGGAATCAAAAACCCGGCAACAACACCCCCAAAGCCCACCAGCGTAGCCGCCTCGGCGGGGGCCGTCTCGGCCTGGCTGGCGAGGTGCTTGCCGCCGACGCCGGTAGCGATAGTGATGGCGAGCAGGGCAAAGACCCACGAGTAGCGCTCGTAGGCGTGGATGACGCGGATCCCGCCGAAGCACACGACCATGGACACAAGGGCGATGACGACAATCCCTGCCGTCGCGTCGAGCTTGCCGGCCGACGCGGCTGCCAGCGTCGAGCCGCCCAGCACGCAGTCGATGACGCCGAACCCGGCGATGGTGCACAGGTTGAGCACGACGATGATGGAGATGAGGTAGTACCTTTTACCACACAAAATCAGCCTCTCTCAACCCATACATTATGAAAGGGAGGGGAAAAGTCACCCAAACGTATACCGAGCATGCAACATCTGCCGCAGCCCTGTGCGCGACCCAAAGGTGCTGAAATACCCCGCCGGCAACGCACACATGAGGCTGAAGAAGAGGATCAGCAGCGAGCAGTCGCGCAGGCCGATGCCAAACACCAGCGTGCCGACCATGCCCGTGATGATGGGCAGCAGGTTGGTGCTCATGGTGAACCACACGAAGAAGATGCTGGCGAAGCGCTTGTCAGTGCGCTCGTCGGCAGGGATCGGCGTCATGCCGCGCTTCTCGCCGCCGGCCGTCCACGCCGCCGCGCGCGACAGCCACGCGCGTGGCTGGTTGTGGTAGATGGGCTGGGACTCGGCGGTCGCGATGTCTATTGTGGTGTTGATGGCGGACGCGGAGCCGGGGCCCGAGCCCGAGGCCGAGGCTTTTTCGTCCAGCGACGGTGTCTTCATGGTGTGGTGATGGTTGGTGTGATGGTTGGTGTGGTGATGGTTGCTGTGATGGTTGGTGTGATGGTTGGTGTGGTGATGGTTGGTGTGATGGTTGGTGTGGTGATGGTTGGTGTGGTGATTGGTGTGGTGATGGTTGGTGTGGTGATTGGTGTGGTGCGGCGGTTGGCGTGTTGATGTGTTGGTGTGTAGGTGTGTAGGTGTGTAGGTGTGTTGGTTGGCGTGTTGGTGTGTTGGTGTTGGTATATGGGTGATGAGTCGAGACAGAATGATGAAGCGGCGTTGGGCGCGCGCCGATATATACACACAGTCGCAATCACAGTCACATATCCTCTCCATGTTGCAGTCACAGAACCAAACTCGCTAAACCAGCGCCGCCAAGGCCCCATCATCCACGTGTTGTCGCGGGCACGTCCCGGCACGTCTTGTCTTATTCCGTGGACCTGGGAATGCGCGCTACCTACGCTTCCGCCAACCTGGGACCTAGGTAAGGTAGGTAACCAGCAGTCTAGCTCGCATTGCCAAGATGTTAGATTAGGTCTAGTAACTAGTAGCTTGGGGGTGGGGGGCGAAGATAAACGGGCTGGCTATCACGGCTCCACTGCCGGCAAGATAGGAAGGCTGGCAGACTGGCAGAGCAGAGATAGGGGCCGGGGTTTGCGGCCGGCTGTTGGGGTTGATTACTCCGTGTCGTGACTACCTTAGCTACCTGGGCAGTTTATCTTGACGCCGAATTAGGGTGAGATTGCAGTCTGGCATTGCATATTTTGGACATTCAAGTGTTGATGTCTTGACGGCTGGTTTCTGGCTTCAGGATGGTGCAGTGTTGTGGGGCTGTTCGAGCAGTGGAGTCCAGTCAAGTGGAATTCGTTTTGAGGAGTGGGTCATCTGGCAGGTAATGATCGGCAGATGTGTGGCTTGATAGGAATTAATGCCAGCTTTGAGTCGACCGAGGTCTTGTTGTCTTGGTTGATTCATTGATTCTTGGTTGATTAATTAGTTCTTGGTTGGCGCACTAGTTAATTGTTTGTTTATCCTCTGTCTTGGGAGAGAGGCTTTGCAATTTGTATTTACCAGAAAGGCATGTGGCTTGTCACCACTCGCCCCCACCCCCTTAATTACGAGATCTCTTAACTATATACACAATAAAAGACACACCATTGTTAGCTAAACTAAATTCATCGACATTGCACAGGTGAACTGAACTGAATTCATCGACATTGCACAATGAACTGAACTGAATTCATTGACATTGCACAGGAGTTGATGCTCAGGAAACTAACCAAAGAAACCCAAAACTAGTCTACCAGAAGTTGAGACCACATTCAACACAATCGCTAACATCACCACCAACACCAACACCAACACCACCAACGCCACCACCACCACCACCACCACCACCTCACGGCTCCGCGGCAGGCTCCCCTCCCAGAGCGCCCAAGTGCCTCACAAACGCGGGCTCGACATCCCGCCACACATCATCCTGCACAGGCTGCAGACAGCCGCTGCGCTCGAGAGCGTACTTTGTCAGCGACACGTGTGCCGAGACGTGGATCATGAAGGCGATGGTATCCTCAAAGATGCGCTCAGGGCCCAGGTCGGCCGTCGTAGCATCAATCCAGCGCTGGTGCGACTCGCCGTGCGGCATGTAACTCGGCTCGTACGTGAGCCCGCCGGGCTCCAGCCGCGTGCCGGAGCCGTGCCACACGCCGTAGACCATGCCCATCAGCTCCGTGGCCATGTTGCGGTGGAAGTAGGGCGGGCGGAACGTGTCGCGCGTGGCGAGCGTCTTGGGCGTGAAGACGAGCAAGTCGGCCACGACGCCGTCGCCGCACCGCGCCGTCACCACGCAGCAGATGGACGGGTCGCTCTGGTCGCGGTCGCTGGTGGCCGAGCTCACGAAGCGCTCCAGCGCGTACTTGTACGGCGCGTAGTTGCCGTGCCACGCCACCACGTCGAAGGGCGTGTGCGGCTGCTCGTACTCGATCAGCCGGCCCGCCAGCTTGACCACCACGGTCCAGCCCGACGCCAAGTCGACGTCGAAGCCCGCCACGGGCGTCTCAAAGTCGCGCGCCTGCGCCATGCCGTTGGCGCCCACGGGCCCCAGCTCCGGCAGCTCAAAGTGCCCGCCAAACACCTCCCACGCGTAGCCGCGGCCGACGCCGTCGGGCAGTCTGACCGAGAAGCGGATGCCCGCCTGCACGACGACCAGCTCGCCCGGCCGCGCCATCAGCCGCCCGAACTCGGTCTGCACGTCGAGCCGGCCCTCCTGCGGCAGCAGCAGCATGTCGCCGTCGTTGTTGCAGAAGGCCCGCCGCGGGCCCATGGACGCGTTGGCCGCGTACACGTGCAGCGCGAGCCCGCGCCCGAGCGTCGCGTCGCCATGCCCGGCCACCGTCTTGAGCCCGGCTACGAAGTCCACGTGCCCTTCACTGGCGCTCGGCAGCGGGAACTTGTCCCAGCCGTAGTCCTGCGGCGTGGCCACGGCGGCGGGGTTGGCCGACGTGAACACGGCCTCGATGTCCGCCGCGGCAGGCAGCAAAGGGCGCGGCGGCGCGTGCGCCAGCGACGGCTGGATGCGGTACAGCCACGAGTTGAGCTGCGACGCCCGCGGCGACACAAACGCTGCCCCGTTGAGCTGTTCCGACACCAGGTCGTACGCGCACCGCTGCGGCGTGTTGCAGCCCACCGGCAGCGCGCCCGGGAGTGCTTCGGATGCGAAGCGGTTGCCGAACCCGACTTGGTACGTGTACGGGTCCGCAGCGGTCGGTGGCGTCGTGTACGGCCCGGGGGCGGTGGCGCCGGTGAATGTGCGAGTTGTTGTCATGGTTGATGGTTGTGTGGCGGAGGGGTGAAGTGAATCTGAAGGAGGTCTGACTGAGAGTTGGTGGGTTGGTGGGATTGTGAGCAGCCAACAGTGGTGGCTATTGGCTATTGAAACCGATGATGGATGAGTGTAGTTAATGGACAGGGAACTGGATGGATGAGTGTAATTAATGGACAGGGAACTGGATTATTACAAGTCTCGTCAGAGATGAACATGTCTCAGCCCAATGAATAATGAATCACCCGGTAGTTGATATAAAAACGACACGTTGTGGCCGTCCAGATTGTCAACAAGCGGCGGCCAAGACGGTCAGGGGTAAGTCACCAGATCTCTCGGCCGGACCCAGCAAAACGGGGCGCGTTTGAATCGCCTGTGTGTCATCACCAGGAGGCAGTTGCCGGGATCATCCGACGGGCTGATTGTCGTGCCGGCCGGTGTGGAGCTGGATCCACGGCTTCCCTATCAATGCCCATTCTGCCGGCAGAGCGAGCCCGGCCGGCTTATCTTGCCGGCCACAACTGGCTAAACTAGACAGACACCACACGCTAGACCGGCCTCCAGCGACTATCAGCGGGGCCTCAGACACTGTGGGGGATCTCCAGTGGCGTGGTCCCAGATAAGTGCCTAGTGGGACTGACATGTGGAGTTGATTATCGAGGCGGCACCAGAGATGCAGCGATGCGGATTGCGGATTGCGGATTGCGGATTGCAGATTCCAGACTGCAGATTGCGGATTCCAGACTGCAGATTCCAGATTGCAGATTGCAGATTGCAGATTCCAGATTGCAGATTCCAGACTGCAGACTCCAGATTGCAGATTGCAGAGAGTCCAGCAAGTCATCTTGCCATGTAAAGCTTCGTGGTTGATTAAATAAAATACTTGATGACTTACATTGCCAGTCTGTCCTCTCGTCAATGTTGGGGAGATACCGGGACAGCACACGTACAAAGTCTCGCCATTGTTGACATTCCCAGCATGCTGCTCTCCACACAACCACCGCCGTGGACCGCCGCCACCGCCGCCGTCGCCCTGGCAGCCGCGGCCCTGGTGGCCATCCTCTACCGGCGCCTCCAACAACACAACCAGCTCCCGCTCCCCCCCGGCCCCCCGGCGAGCCGCTGATCGGGCACCTGCGCGTAGTGCCGGCCGAGCACCCCGAGCTCCAGTACACGCGGTGGGGCAAGGACTACGGCTCGGACGTGCTGCACCTCTCGGTCCTCGGGCGGTCCATCGTGGTACTCAACTCGGTCGAGGCGGCGCGCGACCTGCTGGACAAGCGCGGGGCCAACTACGCGGACCGGCCGCGCTTCGTGCTGTTCGAAGTCATGGGCTGGGGCGTTACGCTGACCTTCCTGCGCTGGTCGCCGCGCTTCAAGCTGCACCGCAAGATGCTGCAGCAGTCCTTCACTCCCACCGCCTGCCGCGCCTACCGCCCACTCCAGACCGACGAGGCCCGCCGCGCCGCGCGCGCCATCCTGCAGAGCCCGCACCGCTGGGCGGTGCTGCTGCGCCACTTCTCCACCGCCGTCGTGCTGCGCATCGGCTTCGGCATCGCCATCCAGGACCGCGACGACCCCTACGTGCAGATGGCCATCGACGTCGAGGAGGCCACGGGCGAGGGCGGCGTGCCCGGCGCCTCGCTCGTCGACCTGTTCCCGCTGCTGCGCCACCTGCCCGCCCTCGGCGGCCTCCTCGCGCCCCTCGCCCACGCCCGCCGCACCAAGCCCGCCATCCAGCAGCTTCACGACGCGCCGTGGGCCGCCGTCGAGCCATCCATCCGCGCCGCCAAGGGCCACGACGACACGGACACGCATACGGACACGCACACGGACGCGCACACGAACACGCACACGCACACGCACACGCACACGCACACGCACACGCACACGCACACGCACACGCACACGCCCTCCTTCGTGCACACGCACTTCGGCCGCTACCTGGACAACGAAGCCGCCGGCCGCGCCAACGCGGCGACCGTCGCCGACATCAAGGGCGCCGCGGGCGCCGTGTCCATCGCCGGCGGCAACACGACGTGGTCGACCATCGTCGTGTGCATCCTCAACCTGGTGCTCCACCCCGACGTGCAAGCCCGCGCGCGCGCCGAAGTGCTCGCCGCCGTGGGCGTCGACGCCGACGGCGCCGCCCTGCGCCTGCCCACCTTTGACGACCGCCCGCGCCTGCCGTGGCTCGACGCCGTCATCGCCGAGACGACGCGCTGGATGCCGCTGTCGCCCCTCGGCGTGCCGCACGCCGCCCTCGCCGAAGACAGCTACCGCGGGCTCCGCATCCCCGCCGGAGCCACCGTGTTCGCCAACGCCTGGGCCATGTCGCGCGACGCGCGCCACTACCGCGACGCCGACGCCTTCCAGCCCGAGCGCTACGCCGAGCGCGGCGAGCCGCTGCCCGACGGCCCCTTCGGCTTCGGCCGCCGCGTGTGTCCCGGCCAGCACTTGGCCCTGGCCGGCGTGTACATCATGGTCGCGACGCTGCTGGCCACGGTCCATTTGCGGTGTCCCCTGGATGCGGACGGGAATGAGGTGCGCCCGCGCGTCGCCTTCTCGAATGGCTTGAGTAGTGTGCCGGATAGTTTCGAGTGCCGGATTACGCCGCTGTCGAAGCGGTCCATGGAGTTGCTCGAGGGCGTGTAATTGGTCCAGGCGTGGGCTGCTTTGGAGACGAGTTAGTTGGAGACGAGTTAGTTGTGTATAGAGCCAACTATGAAAAGAGTATTCTATGTGCCCTAGGTGGAAACTTTGATCTTGTATGGCCATGGTAAGGTTCCTGTTGGTTCCGTTCAATCGTTTGACTCATGCTTTTCACGTCTTCATTTTAGTGTGAGTGGTGATGGGTGTAAGACATTTCACATTTGCGGTAGATCTAACCGTCGAAGTGCCTCCTTGAGCAGACGAAACACAACAGAAAACGGTAAGGACGCTCGCTACCTTGCCAGTCAAGGGAGCTGAACGGCCCCTTTTCTTTCCTTCTTGCCTCCGGCGGCCCTCCGGGGGCGCCTGCGGCGGGCTGCTCGCTGCGCTCGGATGGCGTTCTATTCCTTATTCTGAAGCTTGGGTGTTTTATCTGATGTTCCAGTATTATAAATGTTCCTGTATTATATAGACGACCGAACCCAATTGTGAGAAAAACCAATGCGTGCTTGCTAACATTGATTAGGGGTTCAGGGGCCGGGATAATAAGGGGTTTGTTTACACCCTTACCCGATGTAATCCGGTACGAAATCGTTCCTTTTTTCTTAGCCCGCCCTTCCTCTGATTAGAGATTGGTATCGCTCCACAAGGTACCTTCTCTTTCCAGCGTTCCGTGGACATTACGTCTTTTTTTGTGGATTGAGATCCCAGGACCAGTACCGCAATTGTACCTTTTCCATTGCTATGTAATATTTCGTCTATTCTAGGAGCCACTTCCACAGTTGGATCTAACACAAAAATAAACGGCTTATACCCATCACCACGCACACACTAAAATTGTCTTTGTTATCTTTAACTACCTGTCTATGGATACTTGTGCCTGTACTTTGTGAGGCAGCCTTGGTGTTTCTTTCTGTCTTTTTTGTTGCTGTTGTCGCTGTATGGTGGTGTGGTGTGGTGTGGTGGTGTGGTGGTGTAGTGTGATGTTTTTGTTCGTGGTATTCCGGAATGGTTCGTAGTAGTACTACAGTTGGGGGGTAATGATTGTTCATTGATTGTCTACAGAAGTAACTAAGGTTTCTGGGAGGGCTTGGTTTTGGTGGATCGGCACGCAGGCCCCGTGCGCTCACGTACCGCGTGAGCCGGCACGTGCCTTGCGCTACCTCCCTCCGCACCAAAAGTACGGTCATGAATGCCGCTGTTCCAACAGTTTTTGCACCGGTTCAACATCATGTAACGGATGGAATCTCTGAGCAAGAAATGATATAAAAGAGCCCGCTAGTACGACGGACCGATCCCCGGAACGGATTTCAGAACTGGCCGGCCCCCAGTCGAGAAACACTAGGTGTAGAAATGAAGTCGAGAAGACAGAATTTACGTCTTTGTACGAAGGCTCAGGCCAAAAAAAAGGGTCACTTTGGCTAGTGCGCACCAAGCAAACCGCCACCGTGCACTGCCACTCAATATAGCCACAATAATGACCAAAGGAAAAAAAGAGGTAATATTCCAAACGACACAACTACTTCAAAAAAAGTCCAATCTAGCTACAAAAATGACCAATCTACTCGTCGTCTTCCGCTTCATCCTCGGCGCCTGATTCTTCCTCTGTCAGAGGCTCTAGGACGTCTGCATCCTCGAGCACATCGAGGTCCCAGTTTACCTTCGCATCCGAGTTTTCAGGGGCTGGCCGACCCTCATTGTAATTGTTGCCTCCACTCAAAAACACCACCCACTTTGGCCTTGCCATTGGCCTTACTCTTCCTGGAAGTGCCCTGCGACCATGTTTTCTTGCGCGCAGTCATCGTGATGCATACGAGAATGAAGCTAGTAATGCAGCGAGCTCAACGCAGTTGTCAGAATTAAAAAATCTTCCATTTTGAAGAAGCTGTGTTCTTTTGTTTCTTTTTCCTCGGTTGGCTTGACCAGGGGGGTGGTTTTGCTATGCCTCTTTTGGTCCGTGGCTTGATTTTGTTGCGCACTGGCCAAGGTGACGCTTTTTTTTGGCCTGAGCCTTCGTACTTAGGTTGTCGCCCACTTTTGACCCACTCTTGGCCCACTTTGGAGCCACATTGTCAAGTCACATACCTGCATATCCCTGCACATCCCTTCATTCGTTACTTTCAGCCCTGATACCTTTTTTCGGGCTCCCGGACTTCCGAATGCCCTCTTTTTTCTCCCTTGCTACGGCTGAGTCCCTTACGTAGTACGACTGAATAGACTGTTGAACCAGGTTTCCTTTGTCCTTTTCTTGGAAGCATAAAAGGCCTTCTTTCCTGTATTATTAGATTGGATTTGGACAGACAATTCAGACCCTTCAAGCCACTGTCAACTTTGATCACGGGCCAGATAGGTACTAGACCTAATTGCTTTGACTTTGCTATTGTCTACAGCCTACTTGCTAATCCGTGACCCATGACGGCTCCGTCGGTTATTTGGGTAGAGAGTTAAGGCTCAAAAAAAAAACAGTGTTTGATTGTATGTACCATGCGTTTCTAAGCAGTATGTCACAATATTGGGATTAGTGAGCAAGAAAGATCTAGAAGCTGCTATGTGATTCTTCGCCACCAGCTTTTGCCACTATTCATAACTATAAAAAAGAGACTTTTGGCCCTGCCAAAGGAAACAAAAGATTAGACCTTTTCAGACAATTCAAGCCTTACCTCCCTGCATCAAATGCTTCATTTCCGTTGCCCTGTGAATGCGCGTGATACAGTATCTACTAATTGGTTGCACTTGGTTGCACTTGGTTGCACACGGTAGAATGCTTCCAGTCGGGTTCTTTATCACTTGGACGTGCAAATCAATAAGAGGGGGCTCGTGCAACGTGGTTACAAGTTAGACATCTACACTGAACCATAAGCACATGCCATCCCATCTCTGCTGAACCACTCAAAGACATCACAACACTTCCGTCTTCCCCTCATCTACATCGCCCTTGAACCACCGGGCTGCCTGGTCCGCCAAGTCATTCAGCAGCTGCCGCCCCTTTTCGAGCACGCCTACACCGCGTCCAGTCAGCTTTCACACGGCACACCACAAAACCAGGCAAAGAGGGCCGCGGTAGAAAACTCACCATTCAGCGCCAGAATCGAGTGCGTCGACCCCTGGTAGACCTTGACGACCACCTCCCTGTCCTTTACGCCCTCGCCGTCCCAGGCCGCCGCCAGCTGCTCCGCATACCCCTCCGCCTCGGGCGCGAGCAGGTCCCGCTCGGCAACAGCGATCCACGTGCGCGGGCTGCGCGCGAGCAGCGCCGCGGGGGCAAAGTTGGGCGACGCGCGCCAGTGCCGCCTGTCTTCCTCGTCTTTCCCTCGGAAATACATATCCCGGTACCACGCCATGCGCTTGGGTGTCAGCCACGGCGCGTCGGCGTTGCGCGCCCACGTGGTGCCCACCGTCGCCGTGCTGTCGACCACGGGCACCACCAGCAGCGCAAACGCCAGGTCTTCGCCGCCCTCCTCAAACGCCAGCGACGCGGCGAGCTGCCCGCCGGCCGACAGGCCGCCGACCGCGACGCGCGACGGGTCGAGGGCCTCTCCAGACCCGAGATGCGCAGCCAGGCCGTGCGCGTGCCGCGCCCAGCGCAGCGCGTGCGCGGCGTCGTCGATGGCGGCCGGGAATACATGTTCCGGCGCTAGGCGGTAGCCCACGGCGACGACGACGCAGCGCGCGCGCGTGCAGATCAGCGCGCACGCGTCGTTGTTGTGCGACACGTCGCCCACGCACCAGCCCCCGCCATGGAACCACAGGAACACGGGCCACGGCGCTCCTCCAGAGCCTGATGGAAGGGGCGGTGGCGTGAAGATGCGCACGTCGTACCGGCCTGCTATGCTGTGTATGTCGAGGACGCGGCCGACGGGAACTGGTGGGCTTTCGGTCGGCGGCATCGCGCCGCCGTGGCCCGCCCGCGCGGACCCGTCCCATGGCTTGCGGTCGTCGGGCAGGATGTATTGCAGGTGCGCGTCGTGGAAGGCCACGTATTCTGGGTCGAGGAGCGGGCGGGCGGACGGGTGCAAGGGCTGGTAGATGGGCCGGGTTGTGCCGGTTGTGATGGTGTGGGAAGGCATGTTGGTGGTTGTGCCGGTTGTGGTGGTGTGGGAAGGCATGTTGGTGGTTGGTTGGTTGGTTGTTTATTTGTTGATCGGTGATGCGCCAGTCAGGGGGGGAACGTGTCATTCAATTCGCTTATTATTTTGGGGTTCAGTTTTCATTCCCAATGCGTCAACGTCACTATGTTGACTCTCGCCATTTTTCATGCCGTCTCTATTTATTTGCTCAACGTTTAACTGTTATCGCCTGAAAAGGGGGCCCCGCCTCCGTGTCCCGTGTCCTAAAGGGGTAAAGTGTTGGCCCCTTCTCTTTCCCAGCCAAGACGCGCCGGCACGGCACCGACCCCACCGCGCGCTCCACTGCCGGCCGGTCTGGTGCCCATGCTGGGATATCGCCCTGATAGCGCGGGTGGGTTCGCTGATCGTGGTGCCGGCCGGCAAAAGGCGAGATGGCGACTGGACCAAGCGACTGGACCATGTCGACCTCGTTGCGGATGCGACATGGAAACCTATTGGTTAGCTACCAACTATTCCAATTCTCTACCTTGATTTCACACTCTAGTCTACAAACACTTTCGTCGCATAGCATTTCTTTTCCCGTTTCATATCCTGTTCCTCGTCCTAATCACCATCCACACCCACACTGGCACACCCACCCACCCACACTGGCACACCCACACTGGCACTGGCACACCCACCCACACACATACACACACACACATACATACACACACACACACACATACACATACACACACACACACACACACACACACACACACACAATGGCCGTCTCGCACACCTCATTAGAATCATACGTGCGGTCAGGGTTCGCGAACCGCATGGGCTGGGGCTCGCGGCCTGCACTGCTGATAATCGACGTGTGCGCGGCATACTGGACGGCAGGGTCGCCGCTCTCGCTGCTGGGCCACGCGGCAGCCGAGGCAGCGCCCGACGCGATGCGGCGGCTCGTCGCTGCCGCACGCGCCGGCGGCGTGCCCGTGGTGTGGAGCCAGGTCGAGTACGCGGACCCCGACATGGCCGACGCCGGACTGTTCTGGCGCAAGGCCAAGGTGCTCGACGTGTGGCAGGCCGGCGACCCGCGCGGCCTGGCGGCGTGCCTCCCCGGCCTGGCACCGCAGCCGCGGGATACGGTGGTGGTCAAGAAGTATGCTAGCGCCTTCTTCGGGACCACGCTGGCGGCGAGTCTGCATGTGCGTACCGTCACCTCCTTGTTTGTGCTCACCCGGAGAAGAAGAAAGGGGCTGACTTGGCGGCGGCAGGTCCTCAACGTCGACACGCTGGTCATCTGCGGCGTCAGCACGTCGGGCTGCGTGCGGGCCACGACGCTCGACGCCATGCAGAACGGCTTCCGACCGATGGTATGTCTTGCCTGTCCATCTTGCGCGTCTCTTACTAACGGCTGGACCAGCTCGTCGCGGCGGCCTGTGGAGACCGCACGCCCGAGATCCAGCAGGCCAACCTGTTCGACCTCGACTCCAAGTACGCCGACGTCGTCGACGAGGACGAGGCGCTGGCGCGGCTGTCGGCGGGGTGGGCGAAGGAGCCATGATTTATCCATGTTCATAGCAGGCAGATGATATCACACGAAGTCATGTTCAGTTATTTATCCAGACCCTAATTAATCATGGTTACTTATGACACGCGCGTTCCACATGCATCCGCCAGCTCAGGGGCTCGTCGGCACCGACCACGGCCCGTCCAAGCCCTCGACGGCGTCCCACGCGTCCATGTCAAACGCGCCCAGCATCGAGTCGAGCGGCAGCGGGTCATTGAACTGTAGCGGGTCATTGAACTGCAGCTCGCAAGTCTCGGCCGCCCCGACAACAGCAACAACACCATCAACACCGACACCAACACCGGCGCCGGCGCCGACACCGACACCGACACCGACACCAACACCATCACCATCACCAACACCGACACCAACACCGACACCAACACCAACCGCGCCGCCACCAACACCGACACCAACACCAACCGCGCCGCCACCAACACCGACACCAACACCAACCGCGCCGCCACCCGCAAACGGCACACGCTCGCCATCACTATCAAGGCCCAGTCCAATGTCCTCGGTCGCCTTGACGAGCGCGCGGTGCCAGCGCTGCGCAAACGGCCAGGCGACGTGCAGGCTCGCAAGACCACGAACAGACGAGCGCAGCACGGCCAGGGCTTGCGGCGCAACGGCCACACACAGCTGCGGCTGGCGGTGCAGGCGGTTAGCCAGCGAGCCGCACACGTAGGCGCAGAAGACGACCAGCGCCGGGTATCCGTGGGCAGGCGCGCGGTGCGCAAAGAAGGCCGATATCTGCTCGTGCAGCACCAGCATGTCCGCGTACAGCTGGCCGGCGACGGGCTGCCACGCCCTGTCGTCAGACGCTGTCCCCGACCGCGCGGCGGCGTTGAGCAGGCCGTCGAGGTGGCTGCGGCGCAGGATGACGTTGCTCAGGCGCAGGATCATGACGGTCGACAGGAAGGCCAGGTCTTGGCCCTCGAGCTTGAAGGCGCGCAGGTTCCACACGGACCAGGCGTGCTGCGCCGGCAGGTCGCGCTCGAAGCCGGCCAGCTCGCCGGCCAGCCGCGCGTAGTCGCCGGCGTCGATGCGCGGCCCGCCCGAGCCAGGCGCGGCACTGCCGGGCTGCATCATGGCGGCGTCGCCGGCACCGGCCAGCCGCGCCACGCGGCCCCAAAGGCTGTGCGTCTGCAGCAGCGTGGCGAACAGCGAGCGCTCGGGCGCTGGCAGCCGCGTGAGCGCCGGGTTGGCCAGCGCCGGCGGCGTGCCCATCAGCGCGGCGCGGCGGTACGGGCGCACGCCAAAGGTGAAGTCGCGCTCGTCGCACGGCAGCAGCACCGTCATGTCGGCGTACGAGAAGGCGATGGGCGAGCCGGCGCCCGAGTGCAAGTTCTCAAACGTCTCGAGCATCCAGAAGGTGCGGCGCGCGCCCTCGGACCGCGCCACTGCCTCAGCGCTGCTTCCGTCTGGTAGCCGGTACGCCTCCTCGCGGTGCAGGCGCATGATGCCCGCGAGCCGGACCGCAATCCCCATGTACACGAGGCTGCGGTTCTTGTCGCCGTTCCCCCACTCGGCAATGCTCAAGAGGAAAAACGCCTGCACCGCCTCGAGGCTCGACTCGAACATGTGCTGCGGCACGAAGGCCGACGCGCCGCGCAGGAAGGCCTGCGTTGCGCGGCTGCCGCTGCCGCCGTACCGGGTTACCAGACTGGGCGTGAACGGCGCCGACACGGCCAGGATGCTGAACACCAGGAACAGGCTGACCGTCTCGGGCCGCTCGCGCAGCGCCGACGAGAAGAGCAGCCGCGGCACGAAGCCCAGCTGGAAGAAGGACGTCGTCAGGCTCTCGACGCCCTGCACCACCTCGCCGTGCGGCGGCAGGCTCTCCCACCCGGGCGTGCGCGGCGGCGCGTCGGCGAGGGTTAGGGGCAGGGTAGGGATGTACGCGGTGATGGCGCCGGAGCTGGTGCTGGTGCCGGAGCTGGTGCTGGTGCTGGTGCTGGTGCTGGTGCTGGTGCTGGTGCTGGTGCTAATACTGCTGCCGTCCGAGTGAGATCGCCGCGGCGTGGAGTGGGTGCGTGACTGTGCGTGTCGCCGGAACGCGCGGTCGGCGTCGGGCTCGCCGCGGCCCGGGAAGCTGCAGTCGGCGCCGGCCCTGCGGCACGGTTCGCACGGTGCCTCGCTGCCCTGGTTGCCGTTGGCGCACTTGGTCCGCAGCCGTCTGCACCGCCGGCAGGCCTTGGGCATGCGCTTGAGGGTCGAGAGGGGTAGGGTTGCTGCCGGCGACGGCGGCTGCTGCTGCAGCTGCTGCTGCTGCTGCTCCATTCCTTGGGCGTTGTTGTGTGTCGTATTCTGAGATGGCTGCGCGACTGCCTGCGTGCGCTATCAGCCCCCAGCCCCTTGTCCTGCTGCCGGGCCGGCTGGCGTGCTAGGCGTGCCGGTGCCGGAGGCTAGCGGGCGGGTGACCCCTGACCCCTGAATCCTCCTCCATCCTGGATCCACACACCCGGTTGCTCCATCGGGTAGCGCACTTGGCTCCACCGGGTCGGCTGATAACTAGTGGAGCGCCATGTCTTGTTCCCGGCACCGTTCCCGGCCAGGAACCGCCAACCAGCTCCTGCTTGTGCATGTGCCATGATATCTAGCTAGCTTGCCAGCCAGCAGTTTCCGCCGGGGTCGGAACGGGCAGCGCGAGAAATGGAAGGCAGTTCGCCGTCCTCTGCACGGCTGGGAAGGACAAGAAGAGAGACAGGCCACTGGACTTCCTCCCTACCTTGTCCAGGTACACAAGTGAATTGCGTCTAGTTTTGTCCTCCCTCAACCTCGACCTAAGGCCCATCCTCAGCCATGCCGGAAGAGACCACAACCAAGACGGCCACGGCTACGGCCACGGCCACAGCAAACCACTCCGCCACGGCCACCGCTACAGCAGACCACCCTGCTACGGCCACGACCACAGCAGACCACCCACCACACCCACCACACCCACAGGCACCACCCCCCCACGACTACGACTCGGCGCCGCCCAGCATCTACACGCGGTCCGGCAAATGGACGCTCGTCGGCATGGTAGCCGTAGCAGGCTTGTTCAGCCCGCTGCCGGCCAACATCTACTTCCCGGCCATGCCGGCGCTGGCGGCCGTGTTCGGGCGGTCGGCCGAGGACATCAACCTCAGCGTGACCGTGTACCTGGCGCTGCAGGGCGCGTCGCCGATGCTGTGGGGCCCGCTGTCGGACCGCCACGGCCGGCGCCCGCTGCTGGCCGCGTGCCTGTTGATTCTTGCCGGGTCGAGCCTCGGGCTCGCCCTGTGCCCGGCGTCCGCCTTCTGGTTGCTCCTACTTCTGCGCGCGCTGCAGGCCGCCGGCTGCGCTAGCACCATCTCGCTCGGCGCCGGTGTTATTGCCGACATCGCGGCCCCATCCGAGCGCGGCTCCTTCTTCGGGACCTTCAACCTCGGCCCCATGCTCGCGCCGTGCATCGGCCCGGCGCTGGGCGGCGTGCTGTCGGAGCGCCTCGGCTGGCGCAGCATCTTCTGGTTCTTGACCGTCTCGGCGGCTGCTTGTCTCGCCGCCGTGCTGCTGTTCCTGCCAGAGACGCTGGCTGCCGCGGTGGCCAGGTACGGTATCGGCAGCGGCACTCCCGCCTGCCAGCCCACGTTCCCGCGTGGCCCGCTGCTGCATGTTGTCGGCCGGCGGCAAGTCGAGCAGGACGCGGTGGACAAGGGTGCGGGTTCGGACAGCAGCAGCAGCACCACCACCACCACCACCACCACCACCACCACCACCACCACCAACACCACCATCACCACCACCACGCAGCAGCAAGGCGTGTCTGAGAAGACTAGGGCCCCTGGGCCGCCGCAGCCAAGCCGCCGCAGCAGCACGAACCCGTTCCGGCTGTTGCTGTTCCCGGACATTGCGCTGACGCTGGGGTTCACGGGCACCGTGTACGCCGTCAACTACACCGTCATGTCGACCATGTCGTCGGCGTTCACCGCCACGTACCCGTTCCTCTCCGAGACGCTGGTGGGTATTTGTTATCTGTCGACGGGCGTCGGCATGGTGCTCGGCTCGGCCGTGACGGGCAAGCTGCTGGACCGCGACTACGCCCGGCTCGTCACCGAGAGAGAGAGTAGTGGTGCGGCGGTCCCCGTCGAGCACGCCCGCCTGCGCATGAGCCCCGCCCTGCTGCTCGTGTTTATTGCTGCCGTCATCGCCTGGGGCTGGTGCATTCACGCGCGCGTGTCTATTGCGGCGCCGTTGGTCGTGCAGGTGATCCGTTGAGTCGCCCCCTCCTGTTCCTGAACAGTGACAGTGAGACTGACTTGTGTGGCGTGCAGTCGGCTACACGTCCATCGCGGTGCTCAACTCAACCATGACGCTCATGATCGACATTGTGCGCGACCAGAGCTCTGGCGTCATCGCCTGCGTACGTGCCTCCCTCGCTCAACTTGCCACGAACCCGTCCACAGAGACATGTTGCTAACTTTTTGAAACAAAAAAAAAGACCAACCTCGTCCGCTGCTCCCTAGCGGCACTCCTTGTGTCGCTCATCGACCGGGCCACGCAGCGCCTCGGCCACGGCCGGACCTACACGCTGCTCGGCGGGCTGTGCTGCCTGCTGCTGCCGTGCATCTACGTCGAGATCCGCCGCGGGCCCGTCTGGCGCGCCGCACGCGTGGCAAGGGGCAAGGCTGCTGGCAGTGAATAAAATAGATGGTAACACGAATAATGAAATGGTCAAGACGCTTGCATGTGTGCATGTGTGCATGTGTGTGTGTGTGCTCAAGTTTGCGGTGAGACGTTGAAGGGCGCGAGTATCCCCGTCTTCTCTTTGAGCTTGCTAGCTAGCCTTTGCCAGCCTTCTCAATCTCTTTCACCAAAACAAGATCAAATCGGGATCTGTCCGATATTCCCAGCTACCAAACCATCAGGCAACAGCCACAATGTCGCACAAAACGTCTCGCAAGGACAATAGGTGGCCGGGGGCCCACCGTGTCCTGCGTCTTGCTCTCCGTCACCTTGAGCCGGAAGATGTGCAGATCTTCCATGAGACTCAGGGAGGCTCTGCACCAGGCTCGCGGCGAAGCCGAGACCGATTGCAGCGTCATATACGTGGACTCTACGGGAACGACACTTACGCGGAAAGAGTGGGAGTTGAAGTATGTTTCTTGGAAAGCTTCAAGGGTTGACTAGTTGCCCGATGATTGGATAGAAATTGGATAGAAATTGAAAAGTCTACCTCAAAGAGGTTGATGCGGTAAAACCGAGAGGGATGCGAAAAAGGTGTAAAAGGTGATGATTTTTTTAAGGCTAGGTGGGCGCGGCTGATTTCCCTACGGTTAGAAATCCCAGACCCCGCTATGTCACGTGCCAAACGTGGCACGTGCGCAAGTGCGGGGCTGGCCAGTGCGTGCGGCTAGCGCCGAACGCCATTAGTGGGGCCCCCACCAACGCTCTACGAATGAAGCTATTTTCGTGCATCAGAGGTATTCTTCTCTCCTGATACAACAGTCGAAATAACTTCGTGTGGAATCTTGGGCTTTCATTATTGCACGGGAAGTCTCAAAAATAGCTGGCTAGACCTGGCACGAAACTCCGTTACCCTGGGGGGCTTGTTGTGGGAGTTATAGCTGCTGTTGCCAGAGATCCAGGCATACAGGTATATACCTACCTGTTTTGTCTGCTGGCGTAACGACACACCGTTACCTGACTAAAGGACTCGGACTCGATTTAAAGAAACTCCCAAGGTACTTCGATAAGCTTGGGGCTAATATTTATAAAAATTATCTCTAACCCCGTGCAGAGCCCGGCTCTGTTAATTCACGATCAATATAATCCAACGCGATGAAGCGATAGAAGAATCCCCACCCTACACCATTTCTCCAGCAGAGTTGCCCGAGCTTTTCTCAACACGCCCCCCCCGCCCCTCACATTTCCCTCCCCAAAAAGAAATAAAAAAAGTAACAACTTCAAACTGCAGCCGCCCAACTGGCAAAATTTGGCTGGGCCCTAGATATTTGTCTTCTGGCTATTAGATGTCCTCTTTTCGTTCGTCCTCTTTTCTATCTCTCGACAACCCGAGTCCTAGACCTCCAACTGGATTCCGAAAGCGCACAGCTTCAGCCACCTCTTGTGATGTCTACCTAATTAGTCCCACTTCACGCTGAAAACGGCCAGCCGTTCACGGAATTCTGCAACCGACTTGGAGGTCTTCAAAGCCACAGAACAGCGGGGAATCTTTTTTCGCCTTGAGCCAACACCCGCGGGGAATCTGCCATGTACGCGGAAATTGAGACTGGCTTCCGCTGAGTGGACACGGTTGGTTTCAACCTGAAGTCAGAGTCGCAATGGTGACAACACCGCCGCTGGATGACGCAAGCAGTGCAACCTCTGGGCGCCAAAACATGAGAGAGTCGGCACTTCAAGTCGACTGGCTGGCCTGCAAGTTGCAACTGACAGGTTGTCTGCCCGGTAAATAAACTCCGTCGCCGTCTCACTACAATCAAAAGCTTTCCGCTTCACAGATGTTCTATCCACTTCGACCACCGAGAAAAGTCTTGATTTGATGAAACTCCAAAGCACCCCACAAGGTTAGGATCAATACCTAAGCTATCTATAGTGCCTCTCAAAGCCCAGGTCTGCCAATCTACGGACAATGTAATCTAAAGCGATGAACCCCCTCCTACGCCCCTGCTAATAAAGTCTATAATTGACCCCCCCCCCTTAAGATCACCTACTAAACCGAGATAGCCACGTACTATTTATGCTCTGTCCAGTGGAGCGTGAAAATGGCCCGTTCTTCTCCATTTCCCATAAGTATTTGTATCCCGTCGCTCTTGGATGCAGGCTGTGGCGGAATGGCGCAGTAACCATTCGGCATCGGTATTTCTTCGGGTTTAGCTGATGCATATACTTTCCGCACGAGGGAGCTTTTCGTCGTCGTCCAGTCGTGGAGTTCGAAGCCGGCTCCCTTGAGAGCGATGGAGCACTGTTCCTGGGAATAGATCACAAGGGGAGGCCCAGAGTCGTCGAGTCTCTCCTCCTCTGCCTCCAGATTCGGATTGACAGGTCCTTTTGCTACTTTGGCATTCTCAAAGGCTATCTTAGCGGCAAGGTGGTCTTTGACAGCGGCAACATGATCATCGAGACTGGTAAGGTGGATATCATTTGACTTGCCATAACCAAAGGACAGCAGATATCCATCCTTCCTGGATTTTAAATCCGGGGTAACATGAATTACTTTGTGGATAATACATTTAGTAGTATTCGGAATCTCCTCGTGGAACTCAGTTACGTGGCTTTCATTGCTTGGATGATTGCAGATAACTCTTGCCGACCTATTAAATGGGTAGAGGGTAAAGGAACCGAAGGAACCGAAGGAACCTGGCAGCTTTGCGGCGGAGGCCCTCCCGGAGGTCGACCCTTCCGAAGGCACGCTAAGCTTGTCGGAAGCTCCCTTCGGCACGATAAGCTTGTCGGAAGCCCCCTTCGGCACGATAAGCTTGTTGGATGCCATATGAGCAACTAGCACTGCGAATGCGGAAAGAGTGGCTTGACTTTTGCAATAGAACTCGATGTGGATGGGCGGGGCGGTCAAAGAGGGCGGGGCGGTCAAAGAGGGCGGGGCGGTCAAAGAGGGCGGGGCGGTCAAAGAGGGCGGGGCGGTCAAAGAGGGCGGGGCGGTCAAAGAGGGCGGGGCGGTCAAAGAGGGACGAAGGGGCTGTAGAGAGAGCTTGGCGAGGTGTAGACACTAGAATAGCATTGATTTTGGGAATGGAAGACTACGAGGTGGCTTATATACATCAGAAGGCTCGTTCTTCGGGGCAGCGATGATATGGCATCATTTTTGCCCCGTTTGCCTTAAAGGCTCGTTATTCGGGGCAGTGAATAATGTGGCATCATTTGTGTCCGGCCTGCCTTGAAACTGGTTGACGTTTGGATTCGGTCGGCCATGTATGGTCAAGCCCAAAAGGTGGCGGTACTGTACTAACAACAGGGCTTTTGGCAGTTGGCCCTCTTGCTTGCTTGCGGTGGCTTGTGTTGGCTCGTGTTAGCACCCCAAAGTCAAACCCCTACGGTCTGAAGGTGGTGTCGTCTGATGTCTGTCGGGGTGCGGCAGGCCACGGGTCATGGGCCGGAGATGGGCCGAAGATGGGCCGGTCGTCCTGATGAATGGACGAAAGGGCAGCCGGGACGGCACAGGCAGTTTCAGACCGGGGGCGCGTTGGATGATGATGGTCATTTGTTCTCCAGAATGGGGTCTGAAAAATTCTGCTGAGTCACGAGTGGCACCGTTGGTTTCGACTTGACGGCGGAAGGTGCGCGTGCAACTGGCGGTGGGGGCCGCATTTCCCTCTTTCACCTCTACGAAGACGAGAGACGCCGCACTTCCATTGGCCAGGCTGCATGCCAAAGAGGGACCCACGGATCGAGATTCGGCACAAGAGCGGCAAAGAAGGCAAAGTTGGGTGGTGCTTTGGCCTTACGGTCCAATCACATGCCTGGAACTCAAAGAGGAACTAAATTGAAACTTTGCTTCAATCAATACGCGCAATACACACCTCCGTCGGGGTTTGAAAGCTCAGTGCACTCCAAGCAAGCCACCACGTAACGGTCCGCCCGGTGAAAACCTGCGAGAAAAGTGACTTCCAACTCCCTGTATTTCAGTCAAAATCCCCTGCAGAAGTACCTCTGGGTGCCCGGGCAGCCACGCTGGGTTCCGGGTCGTTGTCAGCTTCTCCCCGACGTTCCGCCAAACCAAGTCGCGGCTTTCTTACACCTCCTCTGGTCCGACTGCACACCTCACCATCACGTGACCATGAACAACATGCAACAAAGAAAGCGCCAGTAATCTAAAGTCCTCAAATCTCAAGGAATACATGGAGGAAGCCTTCCTGGCGCCCTGTCAACACAGTTGTTGACAGTCCTGTCAATGCGGTTATCGACTCTCCTGACAGTCGGAGTGTCCTCCCAAGCAGTCACAATGCCCTCCTATAGCTGGCTTGACTACAGCACCGGGGCAGCTTGCCAAGCCCGTGCGTGGATAGGCACTCAAGACTTCGACAATTGTAAAAGAACCGAGTTTTCAACTAGACACTTGCAGTACCCCAAGAGCCCAGCTCTCTTAATTCGCAATTGAACAAGAGCTTTGATCAGAGCACTCTACTGGGGGTCCTTGGCACCTTCCACCACAGGGGCTGCTTTTTATGTGGTAAAATGCTGAATTTCATTGCAGCCACCCAGCGGCCTACCGGGCAATGAGGAAGTCAAAATGACGCTATTTACATTTTCACATATAGACCATGGTACGCCCAGCCGGTGTCTTGAGGCCCTCTTGCTGCAAATGAAACGTTGTGAAGGTAATTAGGTAGCTAGGTTGCCAGACTCAACAACACAGAAATACATCACCATGCTAAGAAATTATATTATAATTTAATAGACCAGATAACCGCATACCACGACCTTTCGCTGATTTACGTACAAATCTAGGCCCGGCGTTGCCCAACAGCCTGAGTAGCAACGAAGAAATCGTCAGAATGGAAAAAATCTTGGAAAACGGGGTTTTGACGGCTTCAACGTCGTTGACCCGGGCGCCCGGGCTACATGGTAAGCGCAGATAGCTACCGCCGCCGGACTCTTTGGAATGAGGTAGAAGGACGCTAGCGGCTTCATGGTGGCGGCCCCCGCCAAAGCCGGTGCTTTCGGTACGGTAAGACTGTTTCGAGAAGCCAGGTGAGCAGCTAGCACTACGAATGCGGACAAAGTGTCTTGGCTTGGCGGAATGGGCAATATGGACAATAGAATTGGATGTAGACGAATAGCGCGATTAAAGAGGAACAAAGAGACTAGTTAGAGAGGTTGGCGAGATGCAGAGTTGCAGCAAAGCTGCAGACACTAGAAGGGTGCTAGGAAAGGAATGCTACAAGGGGGGTTATACACATCAGGAGGCTCGTTATTAAGGGCACTGGTGATGTGGCATTGTTTGTGTCCGGCCAGCCTTGAAACTGGTTGTTGTTTGGAAATTGGAATGGGTCGGCTATAATCATGGACCAAGCCCAGAAAGCGGCGATACTGTACTACAGGGCATTTAGCGGTTGGCCCTCTTGCTTGATTGTGTTGGCTCGTGTTAGTAATACAAAACCCACTCTTGGTCTCGTCTGATCTCAAGGCGGGCCGGTTGTCCTGACAAAAAGACAGCTGGGGCGGCACAGGCTAGTTTCAAACCGGGCTGCAAGTTGGGAGTTGGCGTCGTACGGATAATCGTGACAAACAACCCGCGGGTGGGCAATCCGGGGTTAGCTGGAATACCAGGAAAATGTCCCAAGATCAGACAGTGGTGACTATTCAAGTCGCAAATCATATCAAAAAAGTTACTTGTTTTTGTGCGAAGAGCTCGTTCTCTCCGACAGGCCACCACTATCCTTACTGGTGACCCGTTGGTTCAGGCCAGCCTAGCCTATGACCCCCGAGAGTTCTGATTCAATAAATACATCAGGCCCGATAATATCCCAAATTACTTTGACCATGATCCCGTCATGTATGTGAACAGAATGTGCCCCCCCTCCAACTCCCCCATCCAATATGTGGACCCGTAAAATGAGCCCGTGAAATGAGGTTCCTAGTGGCGGATATCCATCCAAGGTATGAACATGGTGACAAACAGCATCACGGCGCTCACACCGACACCTAGAATAAAGACATCATCGAGCGAAGTCGAATACGCCGCCAGAACGCTAGGGAGGTCGGCCTCACTGACAATTTTGCGGAAGCCAGTCGCCCCAGCCGCGATTATTTGCATGGCGTTGACATTTGGCGCATCCACCGCCAGTTTCGATCTCAGTCCCTGGTAGAAGATGATGTTCGCCGCCGCCATGATGATCGAGCTCGAGAAGAACTGGAGAAAGATGAGAAACCCCAGGCTCATGGACATGTGCGTGGGATTGCCCGCTTGCAAGACCAGAGCTGGCTGTTAGGACCATACAGATGTCAGCGATTGAGGTTCAGTCACGACCGGAAAACAAAAGCTCCATATACCATTTGTAGACCTATGCCTCTGCCAATTCCATTGAGAACCTGAAATGTGGCCCACAGTGAAACTGGCGTTTTCGATCCCAGGGTGGAGAGCAAGCCGTTGCTCAGGAGAAGGAATACAGCCGAGGCGCCGAGGTAGGGAGTGACGAATCCCGTGCGTTCGACTGTTTTTGTGTATCATTCATTAACAATCAGTTGCTCCTCCATCAGTAGAAATTATCACTTGATAAGCGCCGCTTACCAGCTATCCCCGACATGCCCGCAAATACGAGCTGGCTGAGAATGCTCGGCAAGATGGAGACGCCACTCATGAACGGGGATGTTCCCTTGATGGCCTGGAAATAGATGGGCAAAAAGTACGCTGCCAAGAAGAGAGCGCAAAGCGAGAAGCTTCCCGTGATGGCACTCGACCAAACACTTTGCTCCTTGATCAGATGGACAGGGAACAGCGCTTCCTCTCCCTTGCGCCAGTTCCACAGCAGCCAGAAAAAAAACGTTGCGCCCGAGCCGTAAAAGAGACCGATCACCGTCGCAGACTTCCAAGCCCACGTGCCGCTGCCGCCGCCCTGAAGAGCAAGCAAAAACATGGCTGCAGACGGCGCAAAGAGGGCGAAGCCCACGAGGTCCAGTTCGTCGTGGATGCGCCACAGGAAAGACCGCGTCAGGAGCTTGGGGACTGGGTCCGGGATGTCGACAGCGCACAGGCCGACGGCAGCAACCAGACCAATGGGCAAGTTGAGGTAGAAGCACCAGCGCCAGGTCGAGTACTCGGTCAGGGCTCCTCCAATGAGCGGTCCGCCAGCGATGCCAAGCTGCCCGACGCCCATGATCAAACCGGTGATGGACGGCCGGCGGTTCAGAGGGACAGAGTTGGCGACGATAGTCAGCGAGCCGTTCATGAGACCGGCCGCGCCCATGCCGGCGACAGCGCGGCCGCCGATGAACATGGCAGAGGATCTGGCAGCGCCGCAGATGGCGGATCCGGCCTCGAAGACGGCGAAGAAGGCAAGAAAGGCCCACTTGATGTTGATTTTGGTGTAGATCTTGCCGGAAAGCGGCTGGAAGGCGGCGCTGGCCAGCTGGTAGACGCTGATGTACCAGCCAATATCGTCGAGCGAGTGGAATTCGTCCGTGATTCGCGGGACCTGGTGTTGTGCTTTGTTAGTCAAGCGCCTGGTAGGTAAGAAAGACACATAGAACACGTACGGCAGTTGAGACAATCGACGTGTCGAGGTACATGAGGAGCACGACAAACGTGACCGAGGCAACGACGGCCGCGAGCTTCCAGCCAGAAAGAGGCTGATGCTCGCTGGTGCCGCCCACGGTGGTGTCCTGGGCGCTCGATTCGGGGTCAACAGCGCCGTCGGTATGCCGCACCGGCGGCCAAGTCGCCGATGGGATCAGCTCGATTTCGTCTTCAGTGAATCGGCGGGACATTGTGACGGCGACAATGTGCGACACGAGGTATCGGCAAAATAAGCGAGATCAAATGAGTGTGGGTTTGCCGGCAAGTCAAGTTGGTGCTCGCTCGCAAACGTGGTCGCGCAAAACGAAGAATGGAAAAGTTGAGCGGGTCCGCTTCTTGTTTTAGCAGACGCGAGTACTCGCATTAGGGCGACCGGCGACGAGGGTCGGAAGTGAGCAGACGGAAAGAGCATCTGCCTGCCTCCTGCCCTCGCACCTGGGAGCGATTCTGGGGTCCAGGCTCTACACCTTAAATCCGTGCGCCAATGGTTGAATGTGCACTTCACTTTCACCTCACTATATCCTCAGTCATGAGATGGATTAAAAGGTCGCTGCCTCATGTAAATACGAACATGCCCAACCCCTATCCATAATGTCTCTGAGTCGAGCCGAACGTTACACAAGGTAATCAACAATTAAATTGTTTGTGCATTTGCTCTTGCACCAGTCTGTCTGTAGACTGGGCCGGGGGAACTTGGGGCTTGGCAGGCCGGAAATCATATTTCGTCCCAACTTAGCGATGAATTTGGAAACTGGGAACAGCAAACAGCAAAACCCATGTTCCCCAGGAAACTGACGGACATGCTTGAAGATGTTGTCCGATTGCGGTTTATTTGGACGTGGCCTTACCCTGCTTCGGTGGATTACACGCAATTGGTCGCCCTGAGCTGCTGAGACCCACCTGACAAATGCAGCGGGATTCGGGATGCGCACGAATTCCGGCGGGATTCAAAATTGGCCCGTGTCCAGCCTCGCAGTCAATACAAATCCTCCCATGGCCCAGCTGACGCCGGATTCGAAGAACCCAACATACATTTCTTGGCCGAAGTCTGTCTGCCTCGCACATCAACGAAACCCGCGATACCTTGGCTCTAGCCGCGGCTTCCTCGATGTGCTGTATGAAGTAATACGCACGCGCCACAGCCGTTTCTGCCATTCTGGGGTGTGTTTCAAGTGGGGTTCGGTTTACAGCAGTGTCTATACCGTACTGTACCGTCCATACATTCATTGGTACGACGTGGCGTGTTGACAATCTAAGACACCTGAAGGACGCCCGGGTCCAGCTCCGCTGCCCACCTCATCGCCGCAGCTCAAAAAGCACAGAGACGCCGGCATCCATGGAGACCAAAGCGCCTTACGGAAGAGCGTGTACGAATTGTGCCCGGGCAAAATGCAGGTGCATCTATCGTGGGGATACCACTGTTTGCGAAAGGTGACTACGCCCGGTTTCTGAATCTCCACAGTATCCATACATGTACCCCGTTTTCCCCCCATTCTTACGGATGTCCCTACCCTTCCATCTCCAACATCCACCCACACCCGACCTTATTGCTTCTCGTCCATCACATATATGTACCACGAAGCCGGGCCAGCGCAGTATAAAGCCTCCTAATGGCATCGTGCGATGGCTTGCGCTTCTCCCTCGCCCTCGCCCTCGCCCTCGACCAACTGCACAAGCGCATAGACTGACGCTAAACTATCTTGTCCACCTTGCTCCGTGTTAGATGCAATCGCCTGAACAGAAATTGCCAGCCGTCTGTTCCTGTTCGAGGGCGCGACAGTGGGAAGCGTCAACATATTTCTCGTACTGCTCAGCTGCAAGGGAAGCTGGAAGACTTGGTTACACTGCTGCGGAGCCAGGCCTTGCCCATCAGCCCCGTCGTCCCCTCTGACACCTCCAGCGCTAGCGCCAGCCATGCCGACGACAACTCTCCCGTCTTCACTCCCGCCGCTTCTACCAGCCAGTCCACCAGCTCAAGGCCAGAGACGACTCCCGATGGGTCCCTGGCGGGAAGCGGGTTTGAGCCCACGCCTCATCGCCCGGTACTGCATCTGCCAGGTTCACCAATCCACCCCAGTGTCCCGTCGTGGCCGCACCAGCCAACTGACGAAGAGGCGGAGGAGAATCTCGACAAATTCCGCAACACCATGCTCATTTCTATGCCAATTGTCTACCTTCCTCCGTCCATGACGGCCAAGCAGCTCCGCGAGCAGTACCCGTTCCTATGGTTCAACATCATGACGATTACCTGTAAGGGTGCTGCGCGCCAGTTCGCCATGAGCGATGCCATCTTGGCCTTTGTTGCCCAGAAGATGGTAATCGAGTTTGACAGGGACATGGATCTTCTCTTGGGGCTGCTGATCTACATGGGCTGGAAGCAATACCAGCGGAAGGGGAAGCGCTGTCTTTCGCTCATCACGTCGCTCGCAAAGTCCATCGTCTACGACCTCGGGCTCAATAGGGCGAATGGCGAGACCATCGCCTGCCTAGCCCTGTCTGTCAGCGAGGGCAAGCGAGCTTTCAGCACGGGCAGAGAACTTACCACCGAAGGTCGACGGGCCGTTCTTGCCTGTTTCTTGATAACGTCGCATATTTCCTTCATCTTGAAGAAAATCGATGCCCTGAATTGGACACCGGAAATGGACGAATCTCTGCAGATCTTGTCAGAGCAGCCAGAGTGGGAAGGCGACGAGATGCTTGTAGCTCAAGTCAAGATCCAACTGGTCTTTGAGCAGCTGACGAGAGCCACTCGGGAGTCTCCCGACGATGGGGTGTCGGCCTCGTATCTCTTCGCTCTCCAGTCCGAGCTACAGACTATCAAAGCACAGTTTCCAGCTCATGTGCAGCAAAACGGTATGACGCGCCTCCATCCTCCCCAGGTTGCTTGACTCGTCTAACATTTCTCCGCGCAGATGTAGTCAAGGGCTTCGTCTACTTCACAGAACACGCAATCCAAGAGATGGCCTCGCTCAAGCCTAAGATCTCCAAGTCCATCGCGCCAGACCTGCGGAGATACGAGGCGCTCGAAGCCCGCGTGCGCACCATCCAAAACCTGTTCGACATGCACCTGTCCATGCCGAGCCGCCTCTACGGCGGGCTGACGTTCATGTACTGGTGCCACCTGATCAACTGCATCATTTCGCTGTACCAGCTGTCCGTGTACGACGACCCGGGCTGGGACCGCCGCGCGCTGCGCAACAGGATCGACATCTTCGACCTCTGCGACCGCATCACGCACAGGTTCGACGAGGTCGCTACCGCGAGGCTCCCGTTTGCCGGGCCCAACCTGGACGACGACGTGTTTGTGAGCTGCTCCAAGATGATGCTGACGCTCAAGGAGCACTGGCTCATGGAGTTCGCGGCGCTGGAGCGAGGTAATATCGCCCTGGCAGCGCCATTGGACGGCGTCGCGTACGGCGGTATGACAGACGCGCCGCCTCCAACGCCAGTTTTGCAGCTGGATGAGTCCGAGGTCTGGCTGAGCGATCTGTTTAATATGAACTGGGAGATGTAGGCTCTGTCGCGCGAATGCATTTGTTTGAGGGGCAATGAACACTTCAATCCACGTCACGCGAGGCACAGCACAAAGTCCGCCCAAGTACTGTACACTTGCCGCGGAGGCTATATTTACAAGATACCTATGTACATACATGCGTGCCGGGGCGGTTTGGATCACGGCAGCTCGACCTCATTGCGTTCCAGCGGAGACTCGTTGCCCGTCGCCAGCGCCCTGCCAACTCGCGGGACTGGCGGCGGCGGCGAGGAACTCGGATCTGCCTCTGGGCTTCCAAAGCTCGCGGAGCGGGCCCGCTCTCCCCCAGGTATCATGAAGGCTGGGAGGCTGAAGTTGTCGCCCTTGGGAGGATACGCGACGGCTTGCCCCGACGCATTGCTGGCCGGGTTCGCCGCTGGCATGGGCACGTCGGTGGAAACGGCATGGTGGTTTTGGTACCCTGGGCTCGCGACTGGGCCGCTCCGTGGCGAGTATCCCATGTCTTGACCGCTCCGCGGCGAGGATACAACAATGTCTTGACCGCCCCGTGGCGAGTATCCCATGTCTTGACCGCTCCGCGGCGAGGATACAATGCCTTGACCGCCCCGTGGCGAGTATCCCATTTCTTGACCGCCCCGTGGAGAATATCCCATTTCTTGGTCACCCCGCGGCGATTGTCCCATCTCCTGACCGCTGCGCGGCGAGTATCCTACCTCCTGTCCGCCCCGTGGCGAGTATCCCATCTCGTGACCGCTCTGCGGCGAGTATCCTGCGTCCTGGCCACTCCTCTCCGTGTCGTACGCTAGATCATTCGCCCCCAGCGTCATCTCGGAACCGCCCTTGCCCTTGCCACTACTTTCTGCATCGTTCCTTGCGGGGGCTGGATACGCCGCCAGCGCCGCGGGCGGGGGAAAGAACCTATCGGTGTTGCTTCGTGAACGGATGGGATACCGCGCCGCGGGCGGGGGGAAGAACATGTCGGTGTTGCTTCGCGAAGGGACGCCGCCTATCGGCGGTTTCTGGTCGCCTAGCGAATGCGGATAGTCAGCCGTCACCACGGTTCCGTTCTGCACCTTTTGCCGCTTGTGATAGGCGATCATGAAGACGCCGACGAACGCCAGTACGCCGCCAACCACGCCGGCCGCAATGCCCGCTGCGGTGCCCGAGCTGATCTTGTCCCCTCCTCCTGTTTGAGGCTCTGGGACTCGAGTCGAGGCGGCGGTGGTTTCGGTGCTGCTCGACGTGGTGAGGGTGTTGCTGCTGCTGGTGAGGGTAGGGCTGGAGCTGGTAATGGAGCTGGAGCCGGAGTCGGTGTTGATTTGCGTTGCAGAGGTTGTGATGGTTGTGTCTGCCGCCGAGGCGGTGGAGCTGCCGGGACTGAAGGAGTCCCGGCTCTCTGACAGCGGCGCAGTTGATGTTGACTGCCTCGTCGATGTTTTTGTGATAGTTCTCAGAACAGTAGTGACAGCCCCCTGTCGTCTGTCGAGCACGCCGCCATCATCCCCATTTCGTGCCGCGACGGCCTGTTGGTGACAAGTCAGCGCCAATGCAGGAGTAGAAAGTGAGGCTAGTGCCAAGAGAGGAACACTTACCGGCGTAATGGACGTGACGAACTGCGCCGAAGCGGTACCCGCGGCGGCGACCAGGACTGAGATGGCGAATGTTGGCTTCATCGAATCGCCCGCCTCACTACTGCTGTTGCTGGTGTGTGCGTGCCTCGCTAGCTACCTTGAGAGCTCTGCCGCACCATCTAGCGGGGGAAGGAACGTTTAGGTTTTGTGTTCTACCAGGAACCTGGTTCTGAAAATGTGGCAGAGCAAATGGGAAATCCGGGGGAGGGGGGAGAACGGCGGGGAACGGGGAGGCGACGACAATTAAGAGATCGCGCCGCAGGGGACGTGCTGGACGAAGGTGAAAGTAATTCTGTGCCTCTGAAGCCGCGATCACAACCCGCACCCGGTCAACCTGTTTGGAGGCCCGAGATGTTGAACCGACCTGGGCTGGGCTTTTTTTGTGCGCGGTGTTGAGCGAGCGAGCGATGGAGGACAAAAGAAGGTGGGTTAGGGTGGTTTGTGTGTGCCCGTGGATCACGCTGCCCTGTTTTTTGGCGAGCCCGCGCTGCGCTCCTAAGGATGAGCTGGGGAGGTTGAGGGTGATGCGTGCCTGCCTTTTGGGCCGTCGAACCTGACCTTGTTTCGGTGCTCTTTCTTATTTTATTTTAAAAATTAATCCCTTCTGTGCCTCCCCGAAAGTTTGGGACCTCCCTGGTGGCCTGATCTCGTGGGCCGGGACGGCTAGGGCAGGGCGAGCTTATCAGGGCTGGAAGGAGCGAGGGAGGAGTTATTTGGTCTGATCTTGTTATAATTACAAAGATTGGCAAATGATAATCATCTCCCATCCCCTCTCGCCTCCCCTCGTCCGCAGCCCATTTGCGCGGCTTGTGTCATGTTGTGGTATGGCAATTGGGTGAATGAAGTGAGTGAGTGGAGGGAGTGGAGAGAGTGGAGGGAGTGGAGGGAATGGAGGGAGTGGAGGGAGGTCGTCTACGTTTTTTGGTGTTTCTGTGCTCCCCTCCGCTTGCGCTTGCGCTTGCGCCGCACCTGCAGCCCCGGCCTCCGGCCGCCCACTTACCGGCCGCGGAAAACGGCTGCTGTTGGTTTTGACGCCGCCCGCTTCCCGGACCGCCTTTTTCTTTATTTAATTTGTCTGCCTCTGTGTCTGCACCGGTGGAAACAAGAAGACGGCCGTGAGCGATTTCCTCGTGCACCACACACTGCATGCATCCATGCCATTGAACACGGTCACTTATTCGTTTGGTCTGGCCCCGTTTGTCGGTCGCTGTTTCAACCTTGCTCTTCCTTCCCTTTTTTCGTGGCTTTTTTGGCTCGGGTCATCCCGAGTCCGTCCGTCAGCGGCTGACCGCCGTTTTATTCCCTTGGAATTCCGCCCCGCGTTCCTTTTTATCCCTTTCGCCCCCTTACTCGCTTTTCTGTCCCTTTTTCGTCGAATCTTCTTCGGGCATTCACTGCATGCAATGGATGGATTTCATCCGACTGCACTGCCAATTCCACGGGATGTCGCGCTGTCGCGCTGTCGCAGCCCTTTGGGCCTAATGGGCAGCCGTCGACCACCTGTTTACTCGCCTTGCACACAATACATGCATGCATTTATGCCATTCGTGCTGCTCGCCGGAGTCGAGCTCCGACGCCGGGCCGCCTGTCTGCCTGCCTGCGTGGTGGGCGGGCGAGACAACTCACCGCCGGGCTGGCTGTCGAATCTCCCTTCTCCTTCTGTCCAAACTAAAATAGGGGCGCCAGCCAAGACAAGCAAAGCAAGGAACCGGCCGTCGTTTGCCTCACTAATCGGCCGGGTCGAGTTTGCACCCACCGGCCCGTCGCAAACATCCCCCCTCCCATTTGTCAATTGCGAGTTTTATTTTCTTGCCGACTTCCGCTGACGTGCACAATGTGCCCTGTTTCAAGCCCTCGCTACTATCAGTGATCGTCGGGCAGCCCACCGATAAGACGGCCGCAAGGTCGCCGCACCCTGCATGAGTCGACTTTCTGCCTCACCTCTCGTCGGAACCCCCTGCTGCTGGTCGCTCTCTTGGGGATGGTGTTGATGTCTCTGCTTCGCCTCTGAGTTGCTCGCGGTTGTGGCCGTGTCTCATGCTCATACTCAGTGGCACTCGAGGTAGCTGCCCCGTTGTCGTCATTGCTTGCATAGGGACAGAGATGCTGTGCAACGTCTCTTGGCCCGACACCCTGCCTACGATGGCATCTCTCTGTATGAGATGCATGCGCCATGCACTATGCAGCGCGAAGCCCTACTTCGCCGCGCTCGGGCATGCGTTCACGTTGCCATGCGCGACGCGTATCTTCCCGGCCGGAACGCCGACAGTCGCCGCTGGCCGCTTGAGTTGGAATCGATGGTCAAGTCGAGCACGCTGGAGATCAGGATTGAACTTGATGTCTTTAGGACGTGCGGACAACGCACCCTCTGGCGGTTAGACTCCGTGCATCTTGCCCGCCGGATACCCTACGTGACGCGCAGGGCGGTGATCATCCTCCTTTCCCAAGGTATCACGGGGACGGGCAGCAGCTAGACACGGGAAGCCGGGTCGGACAGGTCTCACTTCTCCGAGACTTCAGTGTCCTGGATCATCCGGGTCTGGTGCTGCTTGGGCAGACTCTTTCAAGCCATTTGGGGGATGGCACAAGGAATTCGTAGCTACGTTAGGTAGACACGCAGATAGACCTGGAGCATGTCGCTTGTGAGCAGGGGAGGAGTGGGGTTTGTCGTGTATCGCCAGTATGACTCACTGTTGTTTGTGGCCCCTTATTCCCCCGGTAACAAGCAAACTTAGGGTGAGGCATTTATTACCTCTCCATCTGCGCCTGAGCTTCTCCCACGGCTTTCGGATTGCGGTCTGGTCTCCATTTGCCGCGGAACCAGTAGTCTAGTGGACGGGTATAACTTGATGGGAGAATTAACCTGGACGAAAATAATGATGAAGTGTGACGTTCTGTGCAAGTGCCGAATATTTTTATTTGTTGGGCAAGTGAAGGTATTATTCTGATACAGGACGAGATTGGACACGACGGTTGGTCCCCGAATCGCGGCCCTATCTGTCCCAGGCCCGCTTCAACCCCAATTCCTACATCTTCTGTTTCGCTAGATGTCTACATGTCTAGTTTTGGCCTCAAGAATAGAGCTTCCTAATTGCCGTCGGCGACAGTTTCGGACAGAGTTGGGGGATGTTTGTTCTGTAAACAGTCCGTCCTAGCTTGAGGTCTAGGGCTGAGCGGGGTTCAAGGTCCAGGGTTTTGCTTAGTGCACTGCACAAGGAGAAGCTATTGACCCCACCCCGACATCTAGGCGGGAAGGAAGCAGGCTGTTCATCTCCCCCTGTCACACGCATCAGCATTGCAGTGTGAGTGCACGGTGATTTAGCACGCTAAGCCGTCCAGGAAACGAGCTGTGGACTACCCCGGTCGTTCCTTCTTTTTCTTTGACCAGGACCGGACCTCTCGTCGATCAGCATTTTGCCTCTTGTCTGGTCGAGGGCAGCAGCGGACTGAAACGCGAACCTCGCTGCTCGCGACGTCTCTCCTTTCTCCCCGACCCGGGAGAGCTTCTGCTGCCGGTTGTCTTCGTATTTTGTCAACACCAAATTTCCCGACGAATCACTGCCTAGCCCGCTGATTGCATGGTGCTGTCGACGCGCTAGCCACTGCCACTGTGCGTGCGTGCGTGCTGCAGACGTCAACGCGACCCGTCTGTCGCCGCGGCGGGAATCTGTGCGCTTGCCCACCTCTCAAAAGTCAGCACCCAAGCCCGAGCGACCTCACAGGTGTGTGTCTGTGTGGCGCGCCAACCTTCTGATCCGTCGTCGACATGGACGACACACGCCAAAGCAAGTTGACTGGCATTCCGCGACTGTCAAAACTGCCCGTGCAGTCCTCTAAACTTCCCGTCCCTCGATCCCACTCGCTGCGACCCCCGCCATCAGGGGAGTCCCTGACAACGCCAAACGCGAGCCTGAGCTTGCCTGGGATCGGGAACGCGACAGCGACTGGGAACCTGCGAAACCCGAAGCTCCGGCCGGCTGCTTCGCGCGACCAATTGGCTCCCTCAACCCGCCCTCAACCACCCGTGGCACAATCGCGCGTCGTCTCGTCCCCGCAAACCCGCCAGTCCCAGACCCAGACTCTGGGCAGCGCGCAGCGAACATCCCAATATAGCCCGAATGTTCCTCAGCCGCAGCGGCCGGGACGGGCACCGGGGCCGCCGCTCAGTCAATCCGTCCGACCGACTTCGGTAGCACGTACCGTGCCCCGGCGCCGGCCCTCCCAGCAATGGATATCTGCCTCGACAGTCCCGCCGCCTGACGGCACAGAGGAGGCCGCGCTTGAGGGGCCAGAGATTGTCCAAGCTGCTGAGCCGTCTCCCACAGCAAATGACTCAGAAGTTGGGTATGGGTCCCTGCGTCCGTCTTCGTTCAAACCGCGACTTTCTCTTGCCGAGAGAACGATTGAAACCTTATCTCAGTTACCCTCGTCTCCCTCTGTGAGGGGCAAGTCTGGGGCTGCATCATTCTACGATCCAGATGCCGGGAGAAACAAGTCTCCATCGAGACCCGGAAGCCGCGCTTCACGGCCTGGATCGAGCCACTTATCAGACGGATCAGCCCGAGCGCCTTCGAGATCCGGCAGTCGGCCTGGCTCCAGCTCCGGTCAAGAGGAAAGTGTCTCGAACTTCAGGTCGACCATCAGCGCGTACAAAAACACGCTCGCTACCATAGAAGGCACCCCGCTCCGAGGCCGCAGGAGCATTCAGTCGTTCCAGGCTCCGTTGGCGAAGACGACGCCCGCAAGAACGGTTCGGTCCTCCGCCTATGGAATGCCATCCCCAGGAGCGGCCACCGCCCCACGCTCGAGAACTCCCAGTCCGGGAAAACGAGGACCAACTGCCCCTGTCTCCAAATTTGGGTCTAGGACTGTGGCCGCACGGCCGCCGACCAAGAGGCCGTCGATTAACGGGCTCTTCAAAAAGCCGTCTACACAAGCCTTGAACAAGACCGCTGCCCCTGTTGAAACGCCGAGAAAGGCATCTTCAGCCTCGCAGAGATCATCAGCTACGTCATGCGAGGGCACAAACCCCTCGAGCATGTCCATCACCTCCACGAGTACTGCAATCACCACAGACTCTGCCGAACCCGCACCCGGCCAGGCATACCGGAAGACGTCCGCAGCCTTGCGGGAGCAGATCGCCAAGGCCAAGGCTGCTAGGCGAGTTGTATCGCAACATGTCCCCACCTCTGAGACCGTCCATGAGGTGGAGCCGTCCCCTTTAATACCAACCGACACCACATTCGACTTTGGGCTATCTAGCGACCCCTTCAACCAGCGCAGGGACGATCAGTCCCAGTTGAAGATACTGCAAGGCCGACTGGAGTCTGCTCGGACGAGCGGCCGATTAAATATTGCCGCCATGGGCTTGAGAGAAATCCCGGCAGAGGTTACAAACATGTACAACCTCGAGTCGATTGGCCAGCCTGGCGCATCCTGGGCTGAGAGCGTGGACTTGACAAGATTCGTCGCTGCGGACAACGAGCTGGAGATGATCAACGACTCCTTGTTCCCCGACGTCGACTTGCAGGATTTTGCCGACGACGAGGATAGCCAAGGAAACATCTTTGCAGGACTCGAAACTCTTGACTTGCACGGGAACATGCTTATTGTACTGCCAATGGGATTACGGCGCCTGCCGCTGTTGACGTCTCTCAATCTGGCAAGTTTGCGCATGAAGTCCTAGACACAACTCTTACTAACACTTGAACAGTCTCAAAACCGGCTCGCGAACAACTGCCTCGAGGTGATCTCCCAAATCACGTCTCTCAGAGATTTGAAGCTCGGTGGCAACCTACTGTACGGGCCTCTGGACCCGATCTTCTCGCGTCTGGCAAACCTCGAGATCCTAGACTTGCACAGCAACAACATTGCGTCTTTGCCCTCGAACTTTGGCAATCTTTCTCGCCTCCGGGTTCTCAACATCAGCGAGAACGCTTTTGAGACTTTGCCATTCGAGACTTTTGCGATTTTACCCCTGACCGAGCTCAGTGCACGCAAGAACCAACTCCGCGGAACCCTGATTCAGGAGTCTGTGACATCCCTTCCGACTCTCCGAGTCTTGGACGTCTCAGCAAACCAGCTGTCGCATCTCAGCTCGCCAACAGCCACACCAGTTGCGATGCCCGCCTTGCACCAGCTTACTGTCTCAGTCAATCGTCTCCAGTCATTGCCCGATATCAGCGGCTGGACCAGTCTTGCCACTATTGCGGCCGACGAGAATAGCATCAATGCCATCCCCGAGGGTTTCACCGGCCTTGCGCAGCTGAAATCAGTCGACTTGTCTAGTAACGATGTTCGCACCGTCCCTGCCGAAATCGGACGCATGGAGAGCTTAACTATGCTCCGACTCAGCGGCAACCCGCTGCGCGAGAAGAAATTCAGCTCTATTAGCACCGACGAGATGAAGGAGATACTCTTCCAGAGACTGGAGCCGCCTCCAACAATCCCCGAGCCTGTGGTTGAGCCGGTGGTGGCTGACGCGGGCGCTCGAGATGACTTCCCCAACTTATCCACGAACGACAGCAATGCAAACGAAGACATGGATGACAATCACTCGGATATGGACGATTTTGCGACGCCGCCGACATCTGCACCGGGGTCTCCGGCCCGTTCTCGTTCACACACGCTTAGCGGACAGACGTGGCCAATTAAGTCCGGGGGCGTGCTCGATCGGTCGAATACCGAATCATCGTCACTGCATCCGGTCATCTCGTCAAAGGTTGCTGCGAGCAATAGGATCTTTGAGGTTCAGCTTCATCACAACCTCTTTACGGCACTGCCTGACTCTCTCACATTTTTTGCCGGGACCCTGACTGCGTTGTCACTATCGCATAACCAGCTTGTCGGGGAAACATATATGGGCGGTGCTAGCGGGAACGAGGGGCTGGATCTTCCGGCTCTGAAGGAGCTTAACTTGGCTTACAACCACATAACTGGGCTGGGTCCTCTGGTTGCTCATCTCCGAGCTCCGAAGCTCGAGAAGCTAGATGTCAGCATCAACCGAATTGCCACTCTGCCCCCCGGCACGCAGCTGCGCAATGCCTTTCCCAACCTGACAGTCCTGCTCATGGCTAATAACCATCTGGCGGACTTGGATCCGGTGTCGATCAAGGGCATGCGGATTGTGGATGTTGGTAATAATGACATTGCGCACCTCAATCCTCGCCTCGGTCTGCTTGGCGGCAGCGGCGGGCTCGAGAAACTGGAGGTCAGCGGCAATCGCTTCCGCGTCCCCCGATTCAACGTGCTTGAGCGCGGAACCGAAGCAACTCTTCGCTGGCTTAGGGGTCGTGTTCCGGTTGCTGAAATGGGTGCGTGGAAGGGCGACGACGGCGACGGGCAGGAGACCAGCCTGGCCGATCTGGACTGAGCGGATCAGAGTTCGGTTTTGCCAAGGTGGACAGGCGAAAGCCACAGCCATCTTTGTGGAGTGTTGCTGGACGCCAAGGTTTGGCATGTCGTTAACTTTGCCGTTATGCTTGCCATCCTTTTCTACATTATCTCACCATTTATTGATACCAACCGAGTTGTTTTGGATCGGCGTGTTTGCCAGAGCAGGAGCGCCGAGTCGTCTCACGGATATAGCTCTGGGCAGAGCTTTCACTTCAGCAGGACCGGGTTCATTCGTGGGTCTTGTATTATTAGTTACCTTATGGGACACATTTCTGTGCGGGCGGTCAGCCACGCTATAGCTCTCGTATATTTTTATCTATTGTTAATAAGATTGTGCATAAGCATTTTGTCGGGAGCGGAACAGATGTGCTGTTCAGCCACTGCTAACGTTGTCGTGGAACAGCGTGCCCGTTCAACGGGTTGCCGGGGCCTTCATTGCTTGGTGTCGGGCGCGCCATCATGGGAGCGCTCCCCCTCTACCTACAATTACAGATGTCGGCCGTCTAAGTTACCAAGTCGACAGTCTTTCTTTCAACACACTTGAGGCCATTCAACTCTGAATAATTTTGGTTATCCTCGACAAGAAACAGCCCGCGCTCTCCCACAAACAACCCGCGCTCTCCAGAAATACACACGCGCCACCACCCTCCGAATCAAGTCCTTATCCTGCCCATCAGCAATCTGTTCAAGTCCTGGAGACCATCCTAAAAGGACAAGCCGAGTCGCGCATCACGGCATGCACTCGCGAGGATTGCGCCAACGCGCTAAGCGCTTTCTTCGCCAGACGGTTCTGTGGGGCAAAGCTGCGCTACCCGTCGGCGCCGGCGCTGGCGCCCATGGCAACGGCGATATCAACACCAACAACAGCGGCAATATCGATAGCAATGCCCACAACCAAAACAATGGCAATCCCGATGGCAAAGCCCGCGCCAGAAACAGCGGAAATGCCGATATCAATAGCAATGCCGCAGCAGGACGACCTACCCCCGCAACAACAAAATGGCAGGCAGGGACAATGACGGAGCAACACAACAACAGCCATCTCGCCCAGCGCTCTGGCAAGAACCTGGCGCATGGCGATCAGATCGCCGGCGACAACGATGATGACAGCGAGAACTGGACAATCGAGAACAACGACGACCGGACCCTACAACACCCCGACTCCTATTACGACCAGGGAGGAAAACAAACCCCCGGCCACACAGGCGCGAAAGACGCAATCGCGCTCGCCGTGCTCGCGCCCGAGAAAACTCTGCGCATTGTCCACGGGGAGGATTACGAGTACGATGACGACTATGTCCCTGTTACGCGCCGCCAGGCCCGCGAAGAAACGGGCGAGGAGGCCGCCAGGGAATATGTCCCGCGCCTGATCAAGGTCCCGCCTACCCCGCTGAAGCGCTCGAGCAGTTTGTATGCTACTGCTTCGCGGTCGGCTATTTTTGTTGCGGTTATGACGCCCGGAGGGCTGGAGACGATTTTTGAGGAGGACGATGATGAGGAGTAGGGGAGATGTGATGAGGAGTAGGGGATTTGATGAGTGATGAGTGATGAGTTATGAGTGATGAGTGATGAGTGATGAGTGATGAGTGATGAGTGATGAGTGATGAGGACGGGGAGAGATGACGAAGACGGGGAGAGATGATGAGGACGGGAAGAGATGATGAGGACGGAGAGAGATAACAAGTACCTAATGAGGACGAGGAAATGTGACAAGGGGTGATGTGGTTGAGTGAGATATGAGATTGGTGAGGTGTGAGAAGGGGGTAGTGATGATGGGAATACAGGTCTGCATAGATATTACCGGAATTAGCGGGAAGTGATTCGGGGAACCAACGAGTCTCGCCGCGGTCGCTGATGGGATACCTGTTTTAGGGCAGCAATCTTGGATGTGTAAATCATACATCATCACGCTGAGCGGACTGGTTAGGGATGATTGCAGCTGGAGCTGTGGTAGGCTTTGGAGAGTTCTCCATAAGGGGCGTCTTCTGGTGCTGTTTGGATGTCACAAGAGCATTCTCTAGGATATTATCGGCGCAGAAAATTGGATACGGGGCTAGCTCTTTCTTGCGTTTGGTGTATGTTTTCTTTGCTCTTCGTCCGTCTCACATAGGTACCTGATTACTATATGGCCTACTTTTAGGAGTTGTAGATGCCAAGCAAAACGACTGCCGATAATTAAGTCTCGTTTCGAGGCTTGAGAAGGGAAATGGCGCGGGGGTTTGCAATTGGACATAGCCTCGTTGCTCAAGGTGCTCTTTAAAAGAAAAGTGGCTAGTTGAGGGCAAATGGAGGTTCTGGAGAGGGTGGCCGCGTTTGTTTACCACTAAGTTGGCCGCCCCTGAAACCGCTTCGCCCCAACCCTAACCCTGTCTCCAAAACTCGCCCCTTTCGCCTGCGTACGATTGCGCAGAGGATAAACCCTACAACTATTCCATTTATAGGTGATCTATAGGCGATCCATAGGCGATCTATACGCATTCGTCAGACCAATGTTTTGGGGATTCTCAAGACTGAAACGGGCGCTTGGTTGTGAGGCAGGTCATAATCAGCAGGCCTCATTCTGTGGTGGTAGGTGGCCGAGTTGCGGCCGCCCATCAAACTGACGCGATGGATATCATGGCAACTCTGTTTTTTTTTAATCGCAGCCACAATAGTGAAACGCTCGCTCCATTTGGTCGAGGCCATCTAGTCAAGTTCAAGTACGTCGTGGGCTCCCCGATGACAGTGCTCAAGTATATAGATTGGTCAAATTTCACAACTCCAGGTTCAGTTTTGCTTACCAACTCCCTACACTTCCTTTACTACTCGCTCACCTGATTACTGCTACCACACGCAAGATATCATTCGCAGCCCCACCCGCAGCATGACTGGACACAAAAAGGCCACACACGGGGGCGAGCCACCGAATCAACACTACGGGTTCGCTGTCATCGCACTGAATGACGCGGCAAAAGCAATTCTTAGCCACAAGGCCAATCGTGAAAACCATTACATATTTGACAAGCCGGATGATGCAACAGTTCCAATTGCAAGGGGTTCTGGAGATTTCATCCTGCTGTCCAGCTCCGACGAGACACGGGTACAACGGACTGGAAAGCCTAAGGGCAAAGGGAAAATCCTGTCCTTTGGCACCAACCGGGAACACAACGACGTCTACCTCCCTCCCCTGGAATACCTGATACAGCACACGGCAACGACCAGTCCGGAATCCCCCATAGTCGACCCAACCGTGGAGTCGGACGACCCTGGGTTCCAGCCATACCACTGCTGCATCATGAACAAGACGGGAGCCCTCGTCCTGCACGATGAATCGGGTGGGCACACTCGGGAGAGGGAAGGCGAGCGACGCAGGACCGTGGACGAGCTCGAAAGTACGAAGCGCCTCCGCGCAATTGTGCACGGGTATGGAAACAGCCACCCAGAGTGGAAGCCCTACGAGGAGGAGATATCGCAAGCTCTCATAGCAGGGATGGTGGCCCTGGAGATGGACAAAGAACCCGAGAAACCCGTCAAGGGACATGTCATTACGGTGGGGCGGGGGCCCTACAAGGCCGAGTTCTTCCTGGATATGCACGGCGGCGCGATACGGTTTGAGCTCGGGGCGGAAGATGCCGAAGAGGAGACGTGGGAGATGGTTGGACATGACCTTCGCTTGCGAACAAAGGCGAAGCTTTGAAGGCTAGGGAGCCCGAGGGTTCTCGGGGTTTAGTAGGAGGTTAGGGAGGTAGTAAATGGAATACTACGATTTTGCCAGTCACAAGTTGACTTGGACACACATTCCGTCTAGTCGGTTGTTCCCGACGTTTTGCAGAGCATCTAAACTCCTTGTGAGGGCATGGTACCTAGACGATGAACGAAGTGCATCGTGAGTTCGGTGCCCGTTATTGCGCTGGATACCGGGCTGGGAGCTGCTGTTGCCCAGGCTCTCAGGCGACAGGCGTCTGTTTTGTCTGCTGATGTAGTGGCGGTCTCTAGCAACTTCCAGGCTTGAGGATGTCAAAATTGTCAGCACTTCATCATCTCATCAATACCTACCTAGAAATAGTGCTAAACTGAGATGGCGAGCTACTCCTGGGCTTAATCCCGTTAGAATTTGTTGTCCTGGAACTGGCGGTTACTGGCTGGCCTACGGAGTACAGCGACATGTTTGGTGGTGTGCATGCGCCATCAGTGGGTTTGTGCCCCTGCCGTTAGCGTAAGGCCTGTGCGTTGGCTGGCTGCACCCCTGGACATTGCGGCTCGCGAAAAGTGTCCGGATCGAGCGAGGTGTCTCGCCGCAAGCACACCGACGACGACACGACAAGACACGGCAGGTCACGACAAGACACACGACAGGACACGACACAGCTCGAGCTCGCGACTCTGCCCACCACCACCGCCTCCTCAACCTCACGAACGAAAAGGACAGCCAGTTTTACTCAACAGCAGCAGCAACCATGTCGCGCGCACGGCACACCATTTCGGTTGCGCTCTTCGTGAGCTCGGTACGCATGCATCACTTGCCCTCTTCTCCCTTCTTCCGTCGCATCGCGTCGCGTCGAACTGCATTGCATCGCATCGTATTGCGACCAGATAGGCAGACACATAGACGAGAAGAAATACCTTCGAAGAGATAATGCTGATCTTTTCTGTCTTTGCATTCTAGCTCTACCTCTCGCTGTACCTCGAGCTCCTCCCCCTGCCGCCCGTCATCCAGAAGGACATCATCCCCGTGGTACGCACCAGCCTGCGCTTCCAGAGGGACATCCGCTCGCGCATTGACTCGAACTACGAGAGAAAATAATAAACTGACAAAAAAAACCACAGCTCCCATTCTGGGCACTCGTCTCGCTCGGCGCGTGGCTGCTGTTCCGCCTGGGCTGGGGCATGCTGACGTTCCGCGACACGCCCGAAGCGTACGCCGAGCTGATGGAGGAGATCAAGCTGGCCAAGGCGGACCTGCGGACCAAGGGCGTCGACGTCGACTGATTGTTTTTTCTCTCTTCTGGGACGGTGCAAGGGTGTATTGTCACTTACGTACGAATACCCTGGCGGGCTGGGCTGGGCTGCAAAAAATAATAATATTAGAGGGAGTCACGATCGATGGGACGGACGTGACGGGATGGGCAAGAACTGATATTGCTCAGCGAACCCATCTACCTTGGCCTCGGGATTCTAAATGCGACTGTGCCATGTGCTGGTGTTAATGTGTGCACGCTACGAGTACTAGACCAGTTCAGTCCAGGGATGCATTACAAAACCTACCCGAGCTGCAACGAAAATGGCCACCGCTCACAAATGGAGCCTTAGGACCAAGCAGTTGGGATATACCATGTTATTAGTTATAAAGGATACCTGGTTATCGATGGATGGCTGAAACATCTCGATGCCGGAAACGATAAACTATACTGAAGCAGCAACAGCAAAATAAGAGCCCGTCTAGGGCTAACTAAGTATGCACATGCCTAATAACTAACCCGCCCGTAAAACTCGTCAGCCAAATGACAAATACATCCATAACATCGAGTTAACACGCCACACCGCACATGTCCCTTGCCGCTTGATGCTACCACTGCAGCGTCAAACCGAGACCGTGACAGCGTGTCTCTCTCCCTCCTAGACTCCATACCGTACCGTAACCACAACGCCGCCGCGCTCGCCATAACACCCACGCAAAACCAGTAATCATCATCATCATCATCATCATGCCGCCCGCAGCTCTCCAGCCAGCAGCGAGACGACGGTCCGCACGGCGGCCAGGGGGTCTTCGCCTCCGCGGATGAGCTTGTCGAACAGGGCGGGGATGCGCGAGAGCTCGCCTCGCTCGTCGTGTTTATACCCTGTATTTTTTATGTCTTAGCGGGCTGCAAAGCAACAGCGTATGCAAATGGTGGGGAGGAAGGGAAGGGACTCACACTTAGCCGGCAGGCTGACCAGCACGCCAATATCGCTCCGCGCCTCGCCCGTCCAGTCAAAGTCGATGCGCCACTGCACGCGCAGCGCCGAGACCGAGCCGGCGCCGGCGCCGGCATCCGCATCCGCATCCGCCGCGTCCAGGACCGGAATGTCAAAGTCGATGCTCGTGCGGCCCATGAACGGCAGCAAGTCCTTGGCAGTGAGGGCGGCGGCGGCGGCACCCTTCTTCTTCCCGCCCTCGGCATCCTGGCCGTCCTCGTCGGCGTCATCTTCGCGCTGGTCGTCGTCGCCGTTGTCACCACCCGAGCGCGCATTGGCCTGCCGGCGGGTCCGGCGCCGCTGCTTCTTGCGCACGCGCGAGCGCGCCACCATGTCGGCGAGCGCGCGCCTGTCGGCGAGCTCGCGCTCCAGCACGCTCCAGACCTTGGCCCGCCGCGCGGCGACGCGCAGCCACTCGCCCATGGCCCAGGCCAGGACGCTGACGTTGTTGGTCAGGGCGCTGCTGCTGGTTCTGGTAGGTGCAGCCACAATGCGCTCGATGAACGGGCCGAGCTCGGCCGCGGCCGCCGGGTCGAGCCGCGGCACCGCCAGCTCCGTCACCGCTGACGTCTTGGTGTTGACGGTCATCTCGATGCGCGCCGCGAACAGCCCCGGCGGCAGCGTGGACGTGGCGCTGATCGAGTGTCTCTGGAGCAGGGCTCCGCCGGCGCTTCGTGCTTCGCGCGGCAGCGGCGAAATGTGCGAGGTGAAGGCCAGCGACGTAAAGACCTGCAGGTACGGGAGCGCCTCCTTGGCCGTCATGGGGACCGGGTGGTGCGAGACGGGCGAGGTCTCCGCCTCCTCGGCAGGTTCAGCACTGCCTGGCCTGGGGAAGATGGTGGGCAGCGGCATGTTGTGCGCATCTTGTTTGTTGAATGGGAGAAATCGCAGCGGGTCCAGGGCCGCGGCGAGCCAGGCTGGGGAAGGGAAGTGCTCTGGCTCAGCCTCCTTCTCTGGAGGGAGCACATGGTCCTGCAGAAGACGGACAATCTCGTCGCCGTTGGCCGGGGGAGAGGGCTCGCGGCTACCGAGCCGTGCCTGTCGGATGCGCTCGTTTTCTCCCGTCGCAACATCCAGGTCGCGCTCGAGCTTTGCGACCTCGGCGAGCAGCGAGTCCCGCAACTTCTTCTTCTCGGCATGGGGATCGAAGGGCTTTATCCCGCGCTGCTCGTCCAATGTTTGTGGCTTTGAGGCTTGTGACTTCGGCGGGTGCAAGGCACCCCCTCTTTTGCTCGACTTGCTCCGCGGTTTTGATCGGGATTCCCTCCCCTGTGGCTTCACTGGCGGCTTCTCTTGCGGCCTCTCTTGCGGCTTCTCTTGCAGCTTCTCTTGCGGCTTCTCTTGCGGCTTCTCTTGCGGCTTCTCTCGCGGCTTCTCTTTCGGCTTCTCCTGCGGATTCTCCGGTGGCGCCAGGGCAGGTTGTTTTAGTGGCGAAGAGCCCTTAATCCTTTCAGCCAGCGCCTTGCTCCGCCTCGGACGCTTCGACGCCGTGTTGTGTATGCCGGAGGGCGGCGTGCTAACCACCGGGTCAGGGTGCTCGGGCGTGGGAGGGAGCTCCGGCTCGGGTTCCACGACCTCTGGGATCGCGCTGGCCGGTGACCGTCGCAGCATGCGGCCTGCAAATGGATTCAGTATCTCTTCGTCGTCGTCTTCGGGACCCCGCGGCGGCAGTGGTCTGGGGTTCGGCTTAGGGCGGCCCGGCCTCCTCGCAGGCGATCGTAGTTGGGCTCCCTTCCCCTTGTCGCCTTGAGACGCCGCTCCCGCGTCATTAGCTCGGGACTTCTGCGAACCGGCAGCCGCATCGACCGCCTTGGCTGGACGCTGCCCTAATTGCGAGGCTAACGTCTTGTCGCTCTCGGGAGTGGTCGGGCGCGATGCAGAGAGGGAGGCGCTCGTCCGATCGCCCTTTGGTCGCTTGGGCAAGCTTTCCCGGCGGCGCAAAATCTCGGGATTGTGTCTCTCAAGGCTGGCTCTGGTCGGAGACGCAAATGACGGTCGTTTAGATGCGATGGTTGGCTGGGACGGCGTGTCATTTGGGTTTACAGTCGGCTGTTGCCCTGGCTGGGGCTGGACTGGAATTGCCGTGTTTGGTGACGTCTTGCGCCTCTTGGGCACCGACGTCTCCATCGCGTCGAAATGAAACTGCTAATCAGCTGCTCATGGTTGCAGCATGCCGCACCACGTTATACCGGCAAATTGACGCGTGTAGTCGCGTGGGAGACTCGGTTGTGGTGTTGGGGTTGTTGGCGGTGGGGTGCTTCGTTCAGTTCGGGTTGAAACCAGGCGCGCCGCTCGTAAAAGAATTGGCTTGGCGATGTCGATGTCGGCCACTGCCCGCCCCGGCGGCAGCATACAAAACAGCCCCAACCCAAATTACAGAAATAATACTGTGCACGTGGAACAGATAGGTCTGCAAGAAAACAATTAAATACCCGGCCTGTTCAGAGTAATTCGCGGTACAGATACCAATGGCACTTGTTTCGACGCTAGAATGCCTTGCAGAGCTCAGGTGACAGGGCACGTGAATAGAGTGGGTGGGTGTTGCTGGGTTTTCCCGCTGTCCCGACACGCCCCGAGCTTCCTCCCCGATGACGTTCGGTTTTGCCCCAGAGAAAAAAAGCCCGGCAAAGTCAATCAACCTTATCTCTTCTTTCCACCTGTCGCAAGACGCCAGCATCAACTCAATTGGGGTCTCGTCCAATTGCCTAGCCCGGAACCATATCCCGTTTGATGCGCCAGTAATAACGTTCAACATAAGCTATCTCCTACAGCCACGCAAACTCAATTTCCAACCCCAAAGTGACAAACATGCGGACAAGCCTTTTCCGCGCCCGGCCAACGAGGGCCCTGGTGGGAGCCGGCCGCGCTGCCGTCCTCGGCAACCAGCGAGCACCTCGCCGTGCCTTTGCCTCGCCGCCCATCAAGGCCACGTCGCCGCCGTCGCCCATTGAGCCGTCCCAGGAGCAGGCCCATCCCATAGGGCCCTTCTACGAGAGCATTCTCCGGACTCCGCAGCCGATCCCGAAGAAGCCCGAGGTCCCACCCGTCACATCCAAGCGCTCAGACGCCGCCGCGCCCGCCCGCGCCCCTGCACCGGCGCCTGCACCCGCGCCCACGCTCAAATCTACACCAGCATCCGCGCCCGCGCCCGAAGAACCCGCGGCTGCCCCGGCCCGGCGCGGGCGCAAGCCCAAGGAAGCCAAGGACGACAGCACCAGCACCAACAAGGCCAAGTCCGTCGCTCCTGACTCCGCATCACCATCATCCTCTTCCACGTCTACTGCCCCCTCATTGCCCTCCTTGTATACCTCCTCTTTCTCTCCCTCTTCTTCATCTTCTCTTCCACCGTCCGCGCCGCCCCTGGCCGCGAGACCGGAAGAGCAAACCCTACTAGACCAAAAAAACCAAGAACAAGAACGTGGCTCTAACGATACCGACGTACAGGCCCGAGCCCGCGTCGTCTTCGGGTCCAGCCTAGCCGGGCCCGCCGAGCGCGCCGAGCGTCTCGCCGCCATCCGGTCGCGCAGCCGCCTAGTCGCCGGCGTGCTAGTGCCGCCCCGCCCCGAGGAGCCCGACAACTGCTGCATGAGCGGCTGCGTCAACTGTGTGTGGGACCGCTACCGCGACGAGATGGAGGAGTGGGCAGCCGCCCACGCCGAGGCCGAGCGCCGTCTGCGCGCGCAGGAGGCCGGTGGCGCGGCCGTGGGTGCGGCGGCGGCGAGCATGGCAGCGGCGCACGGCCTAGGGCAGCAGCAGCAGCTCGGGGGTGGCGGCAGTGCGATGAGCATGGATGACGATGGAGGCGGCTCGGTGGCGAACTGGGGCGGAGGCCCTTCTTCTTTGCCTTCCTCGGCTAGTGGCGGAAACGCCGCCAGCGCGACGGGGGATTTAATATGGGACGAGGATATGTACAAACACGTCCCCGTTGGGATCCGCGAGTTTATGAAGCAGGAGAAGAGGCTGAAGGAGAAGCATTTGCGCGAGGGGACTGTAGGCGGGTGAGTTTGCGTCTTGTCTCGCCTCGCCTCTGCCTGGTGGTCCCGCTTCCGCTTGTTGTTTTACTTTTTGTACATGACCTTTTTCGATTCAGCATGCAGCGTATTCATAGACTTGGGACGGACGTTTTGACAGGGGAGGTTATTTGTCATAGACACAGGCCCACTGGGAATAGATGCAGTTTTAGAGAGCCAGCCATTCATGCCTACGTGTTTTTTTCTTCGCCAGCTCGGCGCCGGCCATGTCATTCGTTGTCCTATCCTGCGCTACCCTGCATGCGTGTTGCTTCTGTCTACCGTTGCCCGCTCGCTGTGATACATGCCAACCAATACCTCTCCCTGCACGAGGAGGGAGGGTGGGGATTCAAGCCAAGAAAAGCTGCTGCCCACAACTAACTCCACCCTAGTCTACTTCTCGAACCAACGGAAAAAGGAGATAGATAGATAGATGGATGGATGGATGGATGAAGAGAATGATAGAGAGTATGATTAGGCGAACCCTACAACCAGATGCCATGCCAAAGCTTGGCTCCCCCGTGTCGCTACTTTCTAGTCATGTGTACTCATCGTCTTCCCACCCCCCCCCCCTTCTCTTTATTCTTTTTTTTTTTTGGTTATTTATTGTTTCTCCTTTTTTTGATTTCCTCTGCCCATGAAACATTCTACGCATCGCCGTTGAGCTTGCGGCCGTCGGCGTTCTGCTCCTGCGCGTGCTTGTCGTGCTCGTCAATGTCGACCGCCTCCCACGGGTAGCAGATCCACACGTCGCTGACCGTCCGCGCCGCCAGGTACCGGCCCTGCTCGACCATGTTGTGCGGCAGCGTGCCCTTCTTTGTCTTGTCCTTGTTCTGTGTTGGAGACAAGCGTGTTAGTTTCACATCTGTTTGAGTTGTGGAAAGGGAGTGGGTGGTGGTGGCGTACGTGAAGCACAAAGATGCTGAACTGGGTTTCGGCGCCACCGAGGCGCGCGCGCGCGACCTCGACGTCCTTCTCGAGCTCCTTGACGGCGTACTCGAGCGTCGTGCGCGTGTCGTCGACCTCGTCGACGATCAGCACGCGCTTGCCGACCAGGTTGTCCATCTCGCCCAGGGCGCTCAGGTCCAGCCACTGCGTGCGCGTCACCTTGGTGCCGGGCTCCTCGACCTCAGCGTCGGCCGCCCCCGTCAGCGTCTCGTACAGCGACAGCCCGATGGCCTGGATGGGGATGTTGGTGCTGCCCGGCCGCTTGAGGAACGACCGCAGGATCCGCGCCGGCACGTATCCGCCGCCGCCGATGGCGATGATCAGCTGCGGCTGGAACTCCTCGAGGATCTTGGGCGCCGCCTCTTGACACAGCTTGTGCACCTATTGTCCCGCGGCCCTGTTAGTGCGTGCATCGTAGAGCCGGGATTGGACGGGCGGGATGTGGTTTGCGATGGGGGCTCCGAGGCCGAGCGGCCATGTCTCATGCAAAATAGAGCAATATGGTGGCAGAGACAAAACTCACATCATTGTACGTGACGTAGACTTTCTCAGGCATCTTGACGGTCGGCGCGTTGGCGTCGCGAAATATGGATTGACAAGACGGGAAGAGGGAGGAGGGGTTGAGAAGGATGGCGGGGTTGCGCGGGAGCGGGAGAGAGTAAGATGGATAAGCGGCGCGGAAGGGTCAGGTTTGGCGACAGTGGCTAGAGCCCGATTTGGTTCTTCTGCTTCTCGCCGGCAAATTTCTTATGGATCTCACTTTAACTCGATCAAGAAGCGTTGGAAATTTGGCAGCAGACCGAGAGGAGCCCGAGAAAAATTGTTTCGATCGAGCCAACCGCACCCCACTATGGCGGGGCGCAGGGCGGGAGAGGGGCAGGACCATCTTGACTGGCAGGGCGCGTTGGTGTTGGCCCGCACTTTGTGGGGTTACGAGTTCCAGGGTCCCGCATCGAGATTTTTTTAAATCGGGAAGGTGGCAAGGGTGGGTGGCACTAAAAAGCGGAGCCGGCCGCGCTCATTCTGAGGGTTGGGGTTGTCGCACACCGTGTAACGAGATGTCTCGGAACTGTGCATTGTGTATCGGTTCACATGAAAAGGTGTCTCGACTTTTGCAGAACATGGTTGGCTGAGTCACAGGCCGGTTGCAGCACGTATCGAAATTCGGAACCCGTCAGGTCGGGCTTACATTTTCACATGCAACGCTGCCTCCTAGGTACGTACCTAGGTTACCTATTCCAGTCAGCCAAGACGGTCAACTACATCATTTATCAACGGCCCGATGTCAGTTACGACTTCCCACTAGGTGTCACGGGCTATTATGGGCTGAGAAACGCCGTAATTAGCGTTACCCTTAGGACGGCTCTCTCCGGCTCATAAAATCCTAAAAGCCGAAGCACGCTACTTCGTCTTGTACCTACCTTGAAGCAGCAAGACATGTGCGTGAGTAGACACTTACGTTCCGATGTTGAGTGGGTAGAAACTCATGCAATGATGGTGCAAGGGGAAAGATATCCTGAACCACTAGTCGTGGTGGCGATGTATTATCTTCAGATAACCAGGTTTCATCCCTACCTACCCATTCGAGGCCAATGTTCTCTGACTACCGAAACAGGTATATCTTAATACCGTGTTCTCATCCTGGCTGGTCCTCGAATATCGCGGCAACCCGGCTGGCGGACTTGGTAACAAAAGGGAAAAGGGAAGACTAGCCAGCGGGTATGACATATATGGCGAAGCGAAGACGTGCTGGAACAAGGACGTGCCTGAATTTTCATCTACACCTAATGCGTGGATGTGATCAAGTGCGATTTTAGATCAAACATGGGCCCAAGATGTCCTCCAAGGTTTGGAGGTTCGCAAGCCGACGACAGCGCTTCCGCGGCAATCGAGTTTGGGCTCCATGCAAACACTACGCACCTTGCAGAACAACTACCAACCTTACCCTACCTAATGCCATGCCATGCCATGCCATGCCATGCACCCAGTGTATTAGTTCACGACTTCAAGACAGCCTTTGGACTTGGGCCGACCGAGGCTAAGCAGCCAAAACTGAAAGCGCGCGGCTCCTTTTCACTTCCACGCCCAACTCATCCGATTCCGACCTCAGCTGAGCCGAGGACAGGACGACGATAGGTAGTTGATCACTGGCGCTTGGTACCTGCTCTTGCCTCACACAAGCAAGCCGCCACGCCGACAGAACCAAGGTAGAGTTTCCATTGTCTGGGCACATCATTAATTGCCAGACCTGGATCAAAGGCAATCAACGTGGGTGAGAGCATCTCAATGCGCCGGCAAACAAAGACGCCCTCAGCTAGTCCGGCACAGATATCAAATCGCGAGAAACAGCCTAGGTAGCCGGATCCACGGCCTCGGCCGCTGACTACCAGCGAACCCAGCGAACCGACTTCCACTCACAATAATTATGACTGTTCTGTGGCTCATCCCTAATCCCGCCGACAACGAGGCAGACCAGCAATCCGCGGCAACATCACAATCCGCCCGTACTGGCTCTAATTTCACCGTTCTCCAGTGGTTGTCCAAAGGCGACCGCGAAGCCAACGCCACCGAAATGGGTCTCGAGAGCCTCGTCCAGCTAGACAGCCTAGCGTCCTCGCCTCTACTTTCGCTCTCCACAATACCCGAGGCGGACAGCCAACAAGGCGAGCCGCAAGAGCCCGCTGACGCCGGCCTGTCCATCGCAGAGCGTCTTGCAAAGGCCACCCAGTCGTTGCACGACGCCGAGCTGCTGCATGCCTACGACGTCGGCGTCAACGCGGCGCTGCACAGCATGGCCGAGTACTGGGCGCAGCGCGCGCGCGAGCTGCACGTGAGCAGCAGCGAGAAGCGCATCTTCGAGCGCGAGGCGCAGCGGGTGGCTGAGCTCGTGGTCGACGCGGAGCGCGAGACCATGAAGAGCAACGACCGCCTCGTGCAGAGCCGGCGCAACGAGCAGCGCCTCCGTGGCGAGCTCGGCGTTGGCGGCGCCCCTCTCGGCGAGCACCCCGACGACCGGCAGTACCCGGCCTGGATGGGCTCGGAAATCCTGGCCGCCCTCCAGGTTCGCACCGAGAGCATTAGCCAGTTGAGCATCGGCGAGCCTCTGGTCCTGCAGGACGACCCTCCCCCTTCTCCCGCCGCAAACCGGGGTGGGGTCTAGGAACCGGGTCTGCAGCAGATACTTGAACAATTTCGAGTCCCGAGACGTGTTGCCCTTGCGCACGCTTATTTTTCTGTGCTTATATTGATTAAGGTAACCATACCATCCTGTCCCATATTTCCACTGCGTATAGTTAATGGCGGACGATAAAGTCCGCGATTTAGACCAAATCCGGCCGAGGTGTGAGGAAAACACACCAGAGAAGCGCGATTTGACTCGTTCACCTCCGTGCAGCCAGGTTGCACAATCCAAGCCGAAATCGGGCGAACTGGGATAGAAAGTATTAATTACATCATTTCACGCTAACACTAAGTCACCAAACACATTGTCCTTGAGATCCTCACGATTACTGCCTAATATACACCTTGTCGATGTGATATCATCTTGGGACACTGGAATACCCATGGGAAATCTCCGTCAAGTGGGTTTCATGCTCACTCCTATTACCGTTAATTATTAGGAAAGAATGTCAGGTAAAGCGTGCCTGAATTGTGACGGTGGACAGACAAGGGGAACGAATGCAACTAGGCAAAAAGAAAGCCAGGCTAGAGCTTCGTTAAATTGTCATTGTTCTCAAGTACTTGAACAAACAAGACAAAGACAAAGGAAGACAAAGACAAAGGAAGACAAAGACAAAGGAAGGCAGAGACAAAGGAAGAGAAAGACAAAAGAAGAAAAAGCCCACAAGTCCAGACAATTGAAAACCAGGAATGTGCCTTTCGCGATCCAAAAGACAGAAAACGTTGCGTCAGCCGCGAATCGAACGCGGGACCCATCGATGGCAACGATGGATTTTACCACTAAACCACTGACGCCTGCAAGGGGGCTTGTATATCCAGGGTTGAGATATCTCTGACCGTGGTTGGTCGTTCAAGGCTCTCAGAGATCCTCTTTGCTGAGTCTAGATCCACTTGCAAAGAGGGTTGGCTGGTGTGCCGTTGGGCGGGCTGCACCTTGCCTTGGCCATGTCGATTACCGTCACAAGGATCAGGGGCGTAGCTGAGAGCGAGCAGTGCTGATTGGGCCATGCCATATTTCTCCTTGAAGACATCCTACGGATGCAGGTGGACCATGCCTCAAACAACATGGTTACATGTCCTCAATCCAATCAGGCTAACCGCCTCCTCTCATTAGGCTAACCCTTTTCCCTCTCAATACTCCAATGTCCCTTTTGAGGTGGTGCAATCCAAGCACAGCTTGCCGCCCTCATGCCAGACGTGGGCACATTTTATGCATTTCGTGTTGTGGAACACTGAGTTTTCCTGTAGGCACTGGCAGCATTTCCAGACGTTGATGGTAACTTTCTTCATGCCCCCCATTCTTGATAGGTGTCTTGGTACTCCAGCGCCCTTATGGCCGTGGGTATGGTTGAGTGGGTACCTAACCGGAGAAGTTACGTCCTGTGTTTGCGCTTTGGTTGGTATCCCGGACGAATAGCTGACTATGCATCTCAGTTCGTCTCGCAATTATCTGCGCGGCACAGGACAGGTCTCGGGCTATTCGGCTTGTTGTTGTTTAGTCAAATTGAGAGAGTGTCAAAGAAGTTGGTGAGATCTGGGTGTCTAATTCAGAGTAACGTCTCGAAATAGCAAGGCGGTTGACACGTTTATAGCTCGCTCGACACAAACAGGGAGCTTGTTTATCCGGACGTGGTGTTTGTAAAGCCGGAATACGGCAAATTGATGTCCTCGTGACTCCTCGTCTATCCACATAACCTTGATTCTTGTCAAGGACCTTTGCACTCTTATGTTTGACCGATATTGCGTGCGTGTTTTTGCTTGGCCATAGTGCTAGGAATATCTCGGGCGACGATTATGTGGACGTTTTTGAAACCACCAGTATTTATTAATCCAAATTAACACATTTCTTGTTCTACGAAACGCAATCTCTTCTGCTAGCCGAACCCGTGCGTTCCCCATTTTGGAAACGACAATAATTGCCATGGCAAGGAGCTCGACTTAATACATTGAACAAAGGTTTGTCCAGTCCAGACATCAAACATTCAGATACCAGGCTTCGTCACCCCCACACCGCTCTATCCCCCTTTACCGTTATCCTTCCCTACCTAACAGTCCAGTTCTACGGGCTCTGAAAATACGCATGCCGCCAATTCACGATGACACGCTTGATGAGTATGAACAACGAAATACGTCTGAGCTTTTGCGAGAACACCATACTATTATCCTAGACCTAGCTGCGAACACTGAGGCCAGTCGTGAGCAAGAACAAATAGCGCGGCTGATGATTGCAGGGTGAGAAGTCCTCCGGCAAGATAGCCAATGTCTCAACCATTCAAGGTAGTTTGACGGGAGGCTGCCTCCCTGCGACACAAGTTTCAGGGAACAAGAGACGGGGAAAGGCTTGATAATTCTACCATGATGCACAATGGCTTCTACTATGATGTACGATGGCAATGGAATGTAGTCGAATTAGAATAACAGGCGGAGAAAACGAATAATGCCAGGGACGCCAAGGTGACATCGTAGTTCACAACGCCGGGAAGCTAGACAGTCGTCGGAACTGACTCCAAGCTAAAAAATACTAGAGTGTGGACTCTGAACTAGCATCTTGACTCTTCGCAGATTAAACAGGGGGTGGGTGGAGTAGGGCTAAGTCTAAGAATATGACCATAATTACTTGGACCCGTATTCGGTCACGCCTTCGTTACGTATCACGCCTTCATTACGTACATACACAATCGCAGCGCAATTCAAATGCGTTGCTGTACACTGTAAATGACAAATGCCAAGTTTAAATGTTGAATAAGAGGCCGTTAAATTCCGACCAGGCTCTGGGCTTTGACTCGAACAGTGATTCGACATCTAGACTACAACGCATCTGTACAGAAATAACACCAACACCCACATTACAAGGCAATAGACCACCCAAGTCTGTACAGACACATCCTACTCCAAGAACACTGAACTAGACCAAAAAAAAGAGACAACCCATCCAACAGTTTGACTCTAACCCTTAAGGGTGGATAAAAAGACTTTTTAGTAAGAGTAACGGAACCTCTTGTTCTCCTTGTCCGTCATGCGGGCCCAAGCCTCGGGCGACAGGAACGCGTCCTCAGTCTCGGCAGCAACGTTGCGCTTCTTGTTCTGCCAGACGTAATAGACGAACAAAAGGAAGGTGGTCAAAGCGCAGCCAGCCTGCGTGCCCATGACGGCAATCTTAGCGGGGCGGAAGTCGGGAGCGTCGCGGGCCTGGAAGGTCTGGGGCCCGATGATGTTTCCGATGGAGAAGGACCCGCTAACAACGGCGGCCGCAAAGGCACGCTTGGTGGATCCACCAACGTTGGCGGCAACCCACTTGGAGACAGTGTTAGTAACTGAAGTTTGGATTGAAAAAGATTATGACGACCTACATTGTAGAACACAGCAAGGGGAGCGACGACAGCGTTGACGAGGTAAATGCCAGCGAGAACGCCATTCTTGTTGCTCGAGGGAAGGAAGGACATCAGAGCACCACCGATGATACTGCCATTGCGTTAGCGTGAGCTTTTTCAAATGGAGGGATCGTAAACGTACGCAGGGAAGATGCAAGCGAGAATCCACGCCCAGCGGTGCGAGTTCTTGCGGACACCATATCCGACGAGCAGAGTGAAGAAGATGCTGACGGCTCCCGAGGGCATGTTCATCAATGCAGCCTGCTTGGGTTGATATCCGAGATTCCTGATCAAAGTGGCCGAGTACGTGGTAACGACACCGCTGGAGACGGAAAGCTAAAAAAGGGCATGTTAGCCGGCATTCTCTTCCAGGATGGAGCGATTCGACAGCCAAAGAGCCAACACTTACCAGAATCACCGACAGCAGAATGAGAAGGAGCTGAGGGTCCATGATTCCTTCGATGATCTCCTTGAGGCGGAACTTCTTGTTGTCGATTCCGGTTTGGTTGACACTGACGTGCTTGAGCAGGGCCACCTTTTCGGCGTCGGACAACCAGCGGGCCTGCATGGGGGTGTCGGGGAGGAAGAGGAAAGTGCAGGCGCCGATGAGCGAAGTGATGAGGCCGAGAGTGAGGAACATGATCCTCCAGCCGACAAACGAGGCATTCGCATCAACTCCCTGGAAGCCGTACGAGATGGCACCGCCAAGGATCTGGCCGAGGCCGAGGCCGAGATACCAGAAGGAGAAGCGGGGGGCCTGCTCCGACTTGGTGTACCACTGGCTGCTGATGAGAATCAGGGATGGGCCAATGGTGGCCTCGAAGATGCCGAGGAAGACACGCGAGACGAGCAATGTCTGGTAGTTCTTTGCGGCGGCACCGCTGGCGGTGGCCACACCCCAGAGCAGGACGTTGGCTCCGAGCCACTTGGCGGCAGGGAAGTACTGGAGGAAGAAGACTGTGACACGCGGTAAGCAAACTGTTGGCGTGGCACCTGGTAGAACAGAGCGGCGGTCTTACTGTTGGGGATCTCGAAGACGAGGAGACCAACAAAGAGGAAGGTGGCGATGTTGGAGAAGTCATTGCCCGTCAAGTTGAGGTCCTTGTTGAGGCCCATCACGGCGGCATACTGCGATAGAGGTCAGTCACTGGTGCAGGACTCGTTCCGGAGTGGTTGACGTGGACTCACGTTGAGAATGACCTTGTCGAGGAACTGCACCGTGTAGCAGCAGAACATGATGGGCACGATGTGGAAATCGATCTTCCAGCGCAGCCTGTTGATGTCGATGGGGGTGGCGCCGGCGACATCTTCGCGATGCGCGTCGAGGAACTTCCAGGCGGCGTCGATGCCGCCCGACTCGGATACATGGTCCGGCGGCGGAACCGAGTTCTGGCTCGACGTGTCGACCACGGCGTCCTTGCCGCTGCCCTTCTCACTGCTCGACATGATGGGAGCAGGTTGGGATGACAGGCAGATTCACTTGAGGGGGGGAAGGGACAAAGGGAGTAAAGACAACAACAGGTGAAGAACAAACGAGGTCGTAATGAGTGAACCCGAAAGATAGAAGAGGCAGGTGCCGTGCCGAGTCCGTGTCCGATCGGAGGCCAACGTGGGTAAAACGTGGGAAAGATGCAGGAAGGAAGGAGGGAGCAGGCGATGGAACCGAGTTTAAGGACGAGGACACGGCCGCAGAGGTTCACGCTTGCTCATTTGCAGCCCGGCGTGGCGATACGCATGCTGCGTGAGGGACCGCGCAACAACACTCGGATGCGACGACACCCTGTCTCTGGGAATGGACTCAAGAGATGCTTGCTCGAGAAGGTCTCCCAGAAGCGGAATGGCCAAGACACTGCTGCAGAGTGCAGACGCCACTGGGCCAGGGTTGGCTGATTGGCGGGGACTGTTGATGTGTTAATGGACTCCAGACTCAGCGCCCGTCACCCCACGGGAAACACCCCTCTCGCCCACCCCCGCTCGCTCACCACCCCAGCATGGATGGAATGGAAGTTTGCGGGCAGGCCTGTCGAAATGGGGTTGGTTCGAGATTGGTTTGGCCTGGGCACCTCGCCGAGCAGGCCAGTGTGAGTGCAGGCGTATTGGTAATTTTCACTAGTCCCGGGAGGGTGTGTAGGTGTGCATTCTGCACCTTGGAAGCCCTGTTAGTGGCCCGCGCTGAGGGACGTGGTTTCCCCGTCTGCGGGCCGTCAATAATTGATCTCGACTCCCGCACCCTTGTTCCTGCCCTTCTAGTGTAAACTTGCCCCCGTCCATATTCCATGGGTTCTCAGCAACGCCTTCCGACGCTTGACATTTCCTCTCCAGGGCTCTAGCGTCATTGGCCGGCTTCGCCTTGGCCCCAAATACCCTGTCGCTCCATTGGGCAATTGCTTTTTCCAATGCACTCGATGCAGACCAAGCCGGTCTCGCAGCTTGGCTTGTTGCCTGGGCCAATAGTCACTCCGTGGCTGCGCATGCCGCTAACTGACTTGAGCTTTCGTGAGAGCTGCCCCATTGTGACAGTAAATGGGAGTGCAACCCACCCCGGGTGCTGGCCCCGATGCACCTTCACGGCACAGAAAAACAAAAAGATGCCAGTCGGTTTGGTATCGAAGCTGACGGGAAATCTACGGAACGGAATTCAGCGGAGGTGTTTTGTGGTTCGGCCCTGGGAAGCAGGGCAGCTAGCAATCTATTCCAGACCGCCTACTTAGGTGGTAACGGTGGGCCTGGAGCTCCCTCGGCACCAGAAGATTTGACGGAGAACAATCCTGGGTGGCGCGATTTCCAGCGCATGCCTGCAATGCCGAGAACTGCTGCAATGCCTGACACTCGCTTATCAGGAGCAATCACTGCAATATCCTGCAGCTGCGTCAACCCCAGCCAGCACGAGCAGGACGAGCTCCGGGGTCAGCACTGGATTTTGTTCGATTGGACTGGACTGAACTGGACTGGACTCAACTCTCGACTGGACTGCGCTGGACTGGACTGGACTCGAACTGGACTGGGCTCGAACTGGACTGGGCTCGAACTGGACTGGGCTCGAACTGGACTGGACTCAACTCTCCGACTCGACTGCGCTGGACTGGACTGGACGCGGGGCAGTCACTGGTTGCTGGTTTCGTCCAGAGTGTGGCACTGTGGCGGCGCGGTACTTCAAATCCCAGGTACGCAAGGTGGGAGCACAAGTACCTTGCCATCGTCACTGACACTAGCTGTTTTCCATCCAGCCACCAGCCAAACCTCTTGTCTTGGTGTTGCTGACATACTACTACAGCATACAGCGCTTTAATGGCCAGGGGGCCCTGCAAAAGAGCCCTGTTGAGTGCACCCAGGCGAGACGGAGAGGTTTCCTTCCATGCCGTCTCGTCTCGGACTCTGGTTGTGGCAGGCAGGTCACATCGACCGTTGAGAGAAGTCTTGGGCGAACAACGGAGAGAAGCCGAAGCGGCACGTTGGTCAAGCCGAGCGAGCTACGCTAAACCCCATCCACGCCCACGCCCACGCCCACGCCAACGGCGCCCGTCGTGATGGGAAGTTGGAACGGCTGTTGCCCCTTATTCTTGCTTTCTTGCTTTCTTTTTCCCATATCAGCGACCCGGGATTGGTGATTTACCCCTGTATGCGAAGGATGGCATTCTGTGTTTGTGCCTGAGGACCGAGTCTCGCTCACTTTGTAATTCCGCAGGCATTGCAGTGCAGGACCTGCAGCGCAGCGGTCCTTGGCGCTGGTCACGGGCGGGACAGACAGAAACACAACGTCACGGCCGGTCCACTTGTCAACCCCATCTTGGCCGGTACCGTGGCTGGCAGGGCTCATCCCTAGACAAGAGAGAGAGGCTCGTTGCCATCCAGTGTTAGATATATCAGGGCCCGGTCAGACTCACTCGCAGTGTTGATCTCCCGACGACCCCATCGTTCTGCCTATTCTCGTTCCAGGGCCCTTTCTTGCCGATCAGTTCGGTTCTTGCCTCTCCTTGCCCTCCGTAACCCAGGGCCGGTCCACTCCCAGGTCTTCACCTCACTGAACGAACAAGCATCGATCGATCGATCGAACCAGTCGTCAACATGGGTTGGGTCGACAACGCATCGCCCGAAATCGAGGCCAAGTCCGAGTACAGGACCATCATCAGCGTCGTCGTCGTCCTCACTGTCCTGGCCATCGGCATTGTCAGTGCTCGACTATGGATCAGAATCAAGTCACACGGCATGGCTTCCGATGACTGGATGGCCGTGGTTTCGATGGCGTGCTGCATCCTGTACTCGATTGCCTGCATCGTCCGTGAGTTTGCGCCCCCTGAGCCCGTGGACAAAGCAGACGACAAACAAGCGATGACTGACACTTTTGGCATCCAGAGACAAAATATGGCCTTGGACTTGGTATTCTAGATCGCCCGAAAGCAAACCTGATACCATACACTCGTTGGAACTATGGCGCTCGCCCCTTCTACCAACTCGGCATATCCTTCTTCAAGATCGCCTTGTTGATCAGCTATCTTCGACTCTTCCAGGGCACAAACCAGGTCGTCTACAGACGAGTTGTGTGGAGTGCCATCGTGCTCATCTTCTTGGGCCACTTGGGCTGCACGTTCGCTCTGGTTTTTGCCTGCAATCCCGTAAGTTGGTTTGATGCCATCTCCTAACTTCTTTTGCAGCCGCAGCCGCAGCCGCAGCCATAACTGGCGTCTGGCATGCGGTCGTTGCTTTTATGTGCCGTATCTGAGGCTGACTGTGCCGGCTCCCCGCATACAGGTTGACAAGTCGTGGAATCCATTAACACCTGGCTCCTGCCTCGCACCCGGACCGTCGTTCGCCGGTTATGCTATCGTCACCATCATCTCCGACGTCGTTGTCGCCGTTATCCCGATCCCCGTCCTGCTTAAGTTGAAGGTCAGCACCGGCAAGAAGATTGGTCTCATCGTCATCTTCCTCCTCGGCCTCTTCACCACGCTGTGCTCCGTCTTCCGCTACCTCCAGATCAACCGGATTCAGTATGGCGACGGCAACTCGACTCTGCTTGTATTGTGGGGCGTTATCGAATTCAACGTTGGCGTACGTTCCTCTCCTCGGTCCGCGCGTCCCTAGAGTGCCAGCTAACCGTATCCTGTGCAGAACATGGTCTCCTCGCTTCCTTTCCTTGCTCCCGTCTTCGTGCGCAAGGCCAAGGAGTATCGGGACAAGTACGGAGTCAACGCATACGGATCCAACGGAGGGAAGATGGGCAAGAGCGGCGATGCGTACAAGCTCGGCAGTGTTTCCAGCCAGAGCAAGAGCGCGTATGCCTCTGCTCAGGGTCACAGCACCAGCGAGGAGAACATCTTGAAGGACACCCACGACGGCTCCATCATGAAGTCGGTCACATACAGCGTCCACGTCGACGAGGCTTCCCGCAAGGTCTGAGCAGGCCCCAGACAGTCGTCTCACGAAAGGACCACGACAGACACGAAACCAGACTTCAACGGCGAAATTTGCTACAAGACTAGAGGGGCGCCCGGCGATATTTTCTCTTCCCATGTGTTTTGATGGTCTTAGATACCACACGCTGTACATTTTGGTCTAGACACTTGCGCGAGATACCTTGTGTCGCTCATTCATTTGATGCGATATCATATGCGAACTGCTGGTTTTACTAGGCGTTTGTGTTTGCTTCTAGTATTGCAATACAATACAATCCTTACAATGAGTCTGCTCTGTCTAAACAGTCTTTCGACTGGTGCGTACAATAATACAGCGAGGTCTCACGATTCTAGTGGAGGTATAATACAAGGGTGTTTAGATTCAGGGGGTTTCGCGCATCTCACCTGTTCACCTTAGGCTCTCGGTTCTCACCCAAGTTCAGTGGCCTGAAGCCATGCTCGGCTTGAGTGAAGTCGATTCGTCGCTGGGGCGGGCAAATCCACAATTCGCGCACCCGGTCGCTTGCCCCCACACAATCCCACTTTCCCGCTCGGCCCACACACCTCAAATTGTTCCTTCGGCTAGCGCTGCAACGGTCAAGCGCCACCAGACCCTAATTTTTGCTCTCGACGGGGTTTTTCCCAGTCACGTAATCCGTATCTTCGTATCTTTTTTCTTTTTTCGCCCACTTTGGACCCTGTCAAGATCCCGTCATTCCCTGCCCAATAACACACCTCAACGGCTCCAAGACAAAGATCCCTGATCGCCCCCCGCCCCCCCATCAGGCCCCAGGATGGCCTGGGTACCGAGCCTCCGAGTCCCACCCGTGTAACATCCATTACCTAACTTTGCAAACAATCCGTGTTTCCTGTCGCAATTCAGAACGCAGCCCGAGGCGAGTGGTGAGCCTTTTATTTTCATTCATTCTCGGCGGACCCATCTCACTTACAACGTATCACCCGGCCCGAAACCTGCTCAGACCTACTCAGTCGCATGAGTCTACTTTGCATAGCAGGCAGATAACGGGAGCCAGACCAACCCATTGTTCGGATCTGGCACGACATTGTCACATTGATGATTAACAGGCGGAAGAGATTTACATTTTACCACCACACTAGGCCGCCCAAGACACCAAACGGGGGTTCGGAGTTTTTTTTGCTGTGAAAACAACACAGGGCTTGCCCGGTCCCGTCGTCGGCCGCTTTTCGCGTCTCGGTTCAGCTGCGCAGGAAGTGACCAGTGAAGCTTGGCCTGCATTAGCGTCAGAACTACCGACCCTCTCAGTATCAGGACTGCAAGCCGCGAGGTGCCCGTCACACATTTGCCTAGGCAGCTTAAGGTAGGTACAGATCCTTCTCGTCGAAATCAATCTTCATGACCCGCCTGCTCAGCAGCGGGCTCTGGTCGCTGATCCTTTCCCAGCTGTGCGCATCAATGCACGCCTGTCTAGACGCGAGAACCGCAGGACGCGTTCTAGCCGCAACCACGTCCTCGAACTGGTCCAGCGCGGCCCGCAGTCTCTTGTGCCTGTCACTATCACTGTCACTGTCACTACCACCGTGACCGCTGCTGTTGCTGCTGTTGCTGCTGTCCTGAACAATTTGGGGCCCGATAACGAGCTCTGCGAGCTCGAGAACGTCTACAATGGCGTGGTTGGCCCCCTCGCCTCGATCTGCATGCGCATCTCCGTGTCAGCAAGCAGAAAGCAAGTGTAGAAAGGCCTCCTGCAATGCAGTGTAGTGCAGTCCGCTCTATAGTAGTACAAGACGTGCGCGCGGCAAAAACTTACACATGGACATTGGGTGCAAGGCGTCCCCGACCAGTGCCACACTGGCGGTAGTCCTCAGGCCGTGCGGCGGCGGCCAGTCGTGAAGCTCGAGCGACTTCATGTCTGTGCCACTAGCTCCGGCATCGTCCTCCGGGAGCGAGTGAACCAAGGACCGCAACGGCTCAGCCCATGTTTCAGCAAACCTTTTCATGAGCTTGGCTCCCTCGGCGCCAGTGGCGGGGAAGGGAATTGGCAACGGCTCCCCAAGAAAGCCACTCCGGACGGGCCACGACGCCACTATCTGGCAGCTGTACTTGCCCGACGCCGGGTCTGCGACGTTTTCCCCATGGTTGCCAGGGGCGTCAAGCACTGCCGCGGACCCGGAGTCGTGTCAGCCATCAATGCATTGACTGCGGCCAATCTGGGGGGAATTATAGAGTGACAACGAGCAAAGGACAGCAAAAGCTCACCACTGAAATACACATAAGTATTGTCCTTTGACGAAGTCCCCTGGAGGAAAAAGGGGTCAAGCTTCCGGACTGGCTCAATCTGTGCGGGGGTGCAGTCGATTCTGACCCCAATCACACGGACGGGAATTTGAAAGGCAGGCGTGTCGGGGAAGAGAGCTCGTCGTATGCGGGACTGGCTCCCGTCACAAGCCACAAGCAGCCTCCCGACACACCAAGAACCGTCTTCGAGTCGGACTGTGACGGACTCCTTGCCATCACCGTCGCCCTCTGCTGCTTCGAATCCGCTCACTGCCTTTCCCCACTGTCTCTAGTATTAGGATATATGCAACGATTGAGGGGCTTTTTTTTTCCAATGTTGGAGAACGCACCTCAATGTCGATCCCGGTCGCCAGAATACGCCTGAATACGTTGCGGCTGACCCGGATTCGCTGCGCCTCGGGTGCAAACGGGGCCGCAGACAGACGCTCGCCGGTGCTCAAGTCGTAGAAGGGGAAGGCCGACGTCAGGCCGGTGGCCACGGCGGCTCTGTCGACGTAGGCTTCGGGAAGCCGGCGGACCAGGTCGTCGGGCAGGAGCGCGCGCAGGGCAGGCAGCGACCAGTGCAGGGTGAGACCCCATCCGAGCCCGCGAGTGGTAAAGTCCGTGTCCCGCTCGAAGATTCGAAACGGCACCCCGGATTTGCGGAGGTACTGTGCCAGAAGCAGACCGCAGATCCCGGCTCCAGCAATGATGACGGCTGGTTGGGGTTGGGGCGGCGGCTTGGCTGACAAAGGCTGAAGGGGGTGGTCCATGGTTCCTGGTTGGTCTGCCCCTTTGGTTTCCGGGGGAGGGGGAGGGGAGTGGTGGTGGCTGCTGTGCTGTGTTCTGCTGCTGCTTGGCCTCAGCTAACCACTGATAGCAGAGCTGTCACTGATATGCTACCACTTCGCCGTGAGGGCTCGCTTTTCCAAAGAAGCAACGTTTAATAAACAAAATTCCGGGTTGCGTGGGGGTGAATGCAGACGAAAACACAGAAGCCACAGACACGCTGAGGAACACCCCCCCATTTCGAGGCCTTTTCCCCCAATGCACCCTCAATTTGCAAGCAAAGCAATCTCGCCCCCCTCATGCGTGGAACTAGCGAACCCGGCCCGCTGGCAACCAACCTGCATGAAAACCCGCCCACCACTGCAGACGTACGAGCCTACCCACAGAAAGGCGCCATGGACGTCTATCCATTGGTCCAACGCAGAATCACCCCCCTCCTTTTTTTCGCCAAAGATCCCCCGGCATCCTTCGGACCCATCCATCCTGCTGCACGTACGAGAATTCCACCCTTTTTTCGTCCTTCTGCTCCCTTGACGAAACCAGAACAGGCAAGGAATCAGTCGACTTTTCTTTTGTTCTTGAATGCAACGCGCCACCTATATTTCCATGTCCAAAAGAGGGGAGAAAAGTGATTGATCAGAAATCCCGTTATCACACACATCCCACGCTTGCATTTCATCACTTGTGTGAGCAGGCATTCTGGAAAACTCCGAGCAAGCATGGGCAAAAGTTTGGGACCGAGGAGGCGAGCGAGACCGCATTTGATCCTTATATTTTCTTTGCTTCTTCTCCTTCTTTCCTTCTAGACTCTCAATATTGCTTGCAACCTTCTGCAGCAAGGAAGGCCGAAAGGGCGACACTAGCGACGAGGTAGCCAAGCAAGCAAATCGGTACTGTGTGATCCGGGGACCCAGAGGTGGCCCGGCCGGGCCTAGGCAGGTTGCCTGCCAATGGTGAATGGACCGCTGCAGCGGCCTGCTGCTGTGGCCAGTCAGCCTGTGATGCTGCAGGAGCTGGTCGTTCTATTGTTTTTTCCGGGCTCGTATTTTATCTCCTTTTCTATCTTTATTGTCCCAGGGGGACGGAACGGATGGGATTTGGTTGAGTGGGTGGGAGAGACTCCAGGTCATCGATGAAAAGGGGAAGAAAAAAAGATAACGAATGCACTCCCACTCCCATTCGCATTCATACTCCCATTCGCATTCCCACTCCCACGTGCGAGCCATGAAGGAAACTATTATCCGCAACGATGCAGTGAGACGGAGACGAACTGCTTGATCGAATCCGGGCAAGGGTGCGCCGCGCGCGCGTGTGAGAGTGAGACATTCTCGCTTGGCGTGCGGACTTCGGAGGCTTGACCCCGGCGTGCATGTCTTTGGTCAAGTTATTTATTTTGAATTTTGCGGGAGAGGAGGACAAAGGAAATCGTCAAAGACGGCGCCCCTTTCTGCTCACTTGTTCTACTTGTTCTTTACGGCTAACCGACTTATTGTGGTGGTGGTGTATATACTTCGAGTTGGCGTGCGCGATACGTACCGTCTTGGCGGTTTTCCCTTCTTCCTTTGTGAGCGCTGACCACACACCACACCAGACCAGACCAGGGTACGAGGTCCGGCGGCGCAGAACAAGGAGCTGATTCAGAAGCTAATGGCCACTCCCTCCCCTCCCCTCTCTTCCGTTCCGTTTCGTCCCGGTCCGCTTCCGAAGGGGGTGCCACGCCGTGCACTCATTGGACAGACCGCAAGCCCAAACACACGCCACCACGCCGCCACTGCGCCTTTCGCTACGCTGTCTCGGAGACGAGACGGTGAAGGCGCCCCCCTTCTCTGCGACGTCCTCATTTTTGATCCTACGCAGCAGTGCCAGCGTGTGCCGAGTCTCCGTCCATCTGTCCAATCCAGCCGAGGACCTGTCCAATCCAGCCGAGGCTTGATGGCGGGATTCTCTTTTGAACGGAACGAGTTTATTACCAATTGACGCGACGGTGGCCAGTTTAAGTTGTCCGCTTCACCGAGCCCGGTGTCATCGAAGTAATCAGAGTATGATCGGAATCCTAGGGCAGTCGCGAAATAATAACAATCAATTCATGTCTACCTATCGCGCACAACCATTATTCGGCCCGAGAATGTTTGCCTCGGGTGGTTTCTTAATCTCGCCGGCCTGTGACTAGCGGTGAAGGACATTTTTTATTTGCTCTATGCTCTTAATTATTCCCGAGGTCACTATGAACTAATGGCCAGTGAACTAATCGCCAGTGGTAGACTTCGGACGGGTTTCATCCCTTAAGGTATCGACTTCGGCACTGGTAACGTGTGCTGGTTAACGCCAAATTTCTTTGCAAAGGTTGGTAAATTAGTCATGGACGGCTTCGGGCTTGCCCTTCCTCACGGATAATTCTTTTGGTCGAAATGTCGGGTAACTAATAGCTGCAACGTCTTCAATTTTATGGTAATCAATTAGCTTCTCTGATGCGGAGATTGAGGTAGGACTTTGGGGGAGTCTAGGAACTCTGTTGTAATTAGTTCTTCTAGGGTTTACTCTTGTGTGTCCGCGATGGCGATGATGGTTATGACAACACGATGCGGTCCGTTGTCCTTGTGCATAGACCCAATCAATTAAATATAGACCTCGTTCTTGCCAGGTAACAACGGCTCCGTCATGTCGCTGTCAACTGGCGACTTCTGAGTCATAAATGGCATATTAGGCGTGGTTTGTCAGCTCTGTCGAGGAGCAATGACTTCCACGTGGCTAAATGCTTCACGATAATGAAATGGCTTTATAACTACTCATCACCATACACGTACTAAAAGAAACATAATCGAGCCTTTGCCGCAGTACAGCAGAATGTTGATTATCATCATTGCGCGTGGTTAGATTTGCATACCTGATTACGTAGAGTCTGCTTGAACTTTGAGACGCCCACACTCATTTGCTGAAGCGCTCTTGTCCTTATCTGAATTCCAATCCTGTGTAAATAGGTGCCCCAATTGAATAATTGAGTAATGAAACTCTACGTATCTGCCAATTCTTGATATTGTCCTCTACCCCGAAAGATGATATTGTCCTCTACCGCTAAAGAACTTTTGTTCCGAAACTTCCGATAGTGTATTGTCAAAGCGCAAAGAGACAAGTAGCTCGGTAAGCATCAGCACTTAAACATCCTTACCTTCCATGCCATGTCTTGCATGTGAACCTGTCGTAGAGCCTGTTAATCCGCTTGCCCCTCGCGATCGGCGCGGTTGGGGTCATGGGTCTAATCGCGATCGCGTCAATCGGTAGTTCCGCCCAATTCGTCGCTGATCGGCGGGATCGGCGGGATCGGCATTGCTCTTCACAATTTCCCCCGGGTTCGGGATCCAAGTGTGGGAATACGGTCGGTGGTATTTGTCAAGGTGCGCGTAACGCTTAGTTCGGCTTCGACCCGTGAATGTACAGGTAGATCTTGGCCGTGTCCGTCTTCGGCAAAATAGATAGTTTCAACCGAGAAAAATAGGGTTCTGATTAATTGCATGGGATGGGGCTGGCTGATGTTTGGTGGAGTGATTCTGGCAACACATAAAAGTCTAGCGAGGTTGGATGTGAACTTGACTTTGCGACATGAATTCGGCAATTAATTCTTGTAACCTGATTTTGCATTGCCAAGCTAGAAGCATTGGTGCCGAGTTTTAACGTTGGAATTTCGTCGATCAACTCGTCGAAGCGCCTTTGCCAGTCACTGTCGCTTTTCTCGGCTTGTGATTCCAATTAATTAACTCTAGGCTATTGGAATTAGGTATCCAAGGTAGGATGGCTTACGACCGCGAGTTCTTTATGGACTTCGTGTCTTCGTTAAAGATGTTATTTTAACCTGTCACAACGGCAACAAGAAGGACACTGTAGCCCTTTTCTCCGCCGCCTATGCAGTCGTGGTACCGACAAATACCACCAACACTGCGGCATATGTGGCTGTAGAGACCAGCGTCTCGATATTGGACACCCTAACCACGAGAGACACAGCGAACGCAAAGATAAGCACAGCGGACGACACCGTTATGAGACTCTTGTTCTGCGAAGGCTTAATGCTCATGATAAGCATTGGTGCAACCAAGAAGGTCCCCCCTATCAGGGCGATGATGAGACGGACGACGCGGTCCACAGCGCCGGAGACCTCCTTTGGTTTTTGGCCTTCCGTGTACTCCTTTTTTCGTTCCTCCTTCTCGTGTGTGGAGAAGGCGAGGCGAGGGGGAAGTTTGCTCATGAACATTCTTCGGAGGGGATCGATCCGTTCCTGAGATTCTTTGAACCAGCAGTAGTCTGAGGCTTGTTAGTTGCGGGACGCTGTGAGTGTGGAATTGGCTGTGGTAATTACGTACGGGATTGGAATGGGTCGCCGTAGTCATCAGAAGACTGGAAGAAGCGCTGCAGAAGGAGCTTTCGAGTTCGAGTCTGTGCTTTGTCTAGAGCCTTGTGCTGCCGTAGTTCTTCGTAGTTGCGAACCGCAGTTGCTTGAGATATCTACATTAGCTGAGAACCATCCTGTGACGTGGACTGCACAGTTTGGGTTACCATAATTTCCGAGCGTCTCGCTCAAGTCGTCCAACTGATCCTGCTCGACTTTGCCGTCTCGCTGAATCCGACTTTTCATTTGCGACAACTTGACCGTGTACTGTGTAATGTTGAGGCGCTGAAGAAACTCGAACCGGAGGAAGTGAAACTCCTCTTCCTCTTCGAGCGATCGACAAACATATTGGATGAGGTTGTCGTCATTTCTAGGAGCTTCCTCCATGGTCTAGTCAGTTCGCAGTTGATGACAGCGGCAGGGTTTTTGTTGCGCGATGGGGATGATGAGGATAGTTGTAAGAAAAGCTGTTCGAAAGCAATGGAAGAAACGCAAGCGATTCGTGCGGGGGCTGTGCGCAGAAGGCATCTTGGCAATGAATATTGGCCTAGTTAGTGGCGAAGCACTGTAGCTGCCTGCGCGGCGGTGGCGGCAGTGCTGGAGAAGCAGCTCGAGCCTGGCGGGTGTGATGGATGCTATTGGATGGATGCGGGTTCCCACGACACGACGGGCTGCCCAAGTGCTCTGCTTCGCCTTGCGGGCTTCAAATGCCACAGAGGCAATGGGATGCTCACCAAATACTAATACCTGAGGTTCTCAACCTCCTTCGGTACATGTACAGGCATAAAGCCCTGCATCATGGTGTCCCGGTTCCTGGACTTCACAATAATTATTTACTCATTTGATATCAACGAGACGCCTGAATTCCGAGGGAGTGATGACCCAAACAAAAAGACAATGGAGCCTTCGAGGCGCCTACGAGCAACTAAAATCCATCGCCCAAAAGCGAAGCCGCGTGCCATCTGCCCCGAATCAATCTTCGCAGGGTCAATTACGCCACACCTCCGCACCAAGGCCTCGCCGAGGAGACCTGCGAAGCGCCCACCATGCTAATGACGACAAGGGAAAGGGGATATCGGAAGCAGGCCAACTGTGGCAGCAGTACATAGTACCACCAAAAGGAACCTCACTACGTGCGCATGCGACCCCCTCACTAGCAACACCAATGTCGCTGAAAACAACAACACTACCACCATCACCAACACTACCACCACCACCACCACCAACACCACCAACACCAACACCGCCACAAACACCACAAACACCACAAACACCAACACCACCACAAACACCACAAACACCACAAACACCACAAACACCACAAACACCACTTGGCCGTCCATCCTCAGCACCACCCTCTTCATCAAAAAGGTATACGCCCTCCATTTCAATCCACAGGCGAGGGTCAAACTATTCAGGAAATCGCGTAACAAGCCCTTCGGGAAGTCGCTTGACGAAGAACCCACCCCTCACGACATACTCAATCAATCTGTTGAATGACTCTACAAAGCAATCCTCAGGTCGAGGTTTGAAGCGGACATCATCTCGGACCTCGGCTGGAGGAGTATCAAGGCCAAGCTCGCGGGGCTCAAAGCTCTCGAGAGCCTCCAGGACGTCGATAAGTTCTCAGGTGTCCAAAGAGTCAGTAACAGGTGTCGCAGAGAGCCTAGAGGCTATTGCAGCTCTTGTTACAGAGTCGAGAAAAAAACTCGATAAACGGAGTTGGCTCCAAGGGCAGACTATTTTTCATGGCTCCCTGGTTCAGATCCTCGGCCACATGGCGAAGAGGGTGGGGTTCTACCAAGAAGTCCAGAAGGCGTTGGGAGGTGCGGTTGAATACAACTGTGAGTCCATCCATCTAGTCGCTGATCCAGAGATGCATGCCTTCTCCTGATTGTGCTTGATCGACTCGACCTCAGGGGGCTAACCTTGCCTGACGATAATCAGTCACAGAGCAGCACTCACTCGTAAGGCTGTATGACGATATGAAGCTTACGCTGAAGTATGTTGGGAAGCTGAAGAGCGATGAGGGCACGGGTTTATTGTTGGACGCCCTCCAAAGAAAGAGTTACTCGAAACAACTGGACACAATTTTGTGTTCAGGGGCTGCGATCGGACGGCTGGGGATTCCAACGGCTGATAATGTGAGAATCCGGGTGGCGTCGAGTTCGGTGGCGGGATGGTAGACAGCTGCGAGCTGGCCACTCGCTAATACCACGGGCCGAGAGTGCTAAGCGCACCACTGGTCATTCATGACGAACCTCGAATGCTTTATGAATGATGATTCAAACGATGTGATGCAAACGATGTGATGCAAGTTGAGCCGCCAGATACTACTACTGCATTCGTTATCGTTACAAAGGTACAGTTTCTAACGAGATGGACAAAGACTCGAGTATCGAGGAGAGGTTTTGGCGACAACATTGATCCGCGACATGAAAACTACCTTACCTACTTGAGCTGGCCATGGTGGCTTATGCCTTAGCTCGTCAGTCTCTTCGCGTCATTGCAATTGGGCCATGAGAAGGCCAGCGAGCGATGCGTGCCGGTATCTGCCGGGCCAATGGAATGCAATGGCACAGCTGCGCAATGGGCTGAGCTGCGCGATGGGCTGAGCTGTGCTGTGCGAACTGGGCTGCAATCTGCAGCCTGAGATTTTTGCCTGTTTTCTTGACATCGTCAATTGCCCGTTGGACGACTTCAATTGCCACCCAAATGCGAAAATGAACGTTCCGTTTGGCGATCTGCATGTCCCATGCGCTTTTTTGTGGCCACAGTGACACAATTAAATTAACTCTTGGTGACGAAGGAGGAAAGTGTGAAGAAACCAACTGGCGACGATGAGATTTGATATTTACGACCCGGACGACGTGCGCGTTCACATTAGCCTGACCCTGAGAGCATGGCGGTTGCTAATCGAACCTGGTTTAAAGTAAGCTGCAATCCTTGTTTATGTGATTGAACTTTGGATAATTACCTAGATAGCCAACTTAGTTTCTCGTAGGGAGCTGTCCTTGTTGGTTCTTCAACGCTCAGCCGAGATGCCGGGAGGGAAGGCGGAAAGGGATTCAAGCACAAAAACGAAATATCCGCCACGGGCTAGTCCACGACTCGCCGGACTAGATCTACCCATTTTGCCCCGACGGAGAACACAAATATCCACGACCGTGGTCAGAGAAAAGTCCTCCAAATGTATCTGTTGGAACCACCAGGTACCGGTACTGGAAGTAACAGGGCGTAGCTGTACGCCGAAAACTGGTGGTTCAAGTGTTGGTTGTTGGTGTCTATGTAGATCTAAGAAGGAAGGTGGAAGTGGCCTACGGCCACTTATTTAGGTTCGGTGGCCCTGCACCCCTGCGCCTCCACAGCCACATGTGGCTGCTTGCGCCTCCACACCGCCACATCTGTGGCTGACTAGCGCGTTGTTTTTTTTTCTTTTTTCTTTTTTTCAATACGCGTATGCAGCCCGGAGGGCTATGACGCGGTCTATTAAAGCTATAGACGACTACCTAATAGGTTATAAGGAAAAACTACTCTAATAGGGCATATTAGATATAGAGAATCCTAGCTGAAGTAAAGTTGTAATTCCGTGTACTTGTTTCAGGTCAAAGCGGTTAAGGTATCATGTACCTAAGGGGTTAGCGCGTTGTTCCAACAGTATCAAATCCACTAAATGTGAACAAAGACGGACCTGCGGATTCGAATTGACGAGTCAAGGCACACACGGCACCTACACCCCACCAGCATCGCCCGAGCTCTGGTGCCTGGACAGGAGTCGATGATTTTAAGCTCCTGGCCTTACGAGCCATCGGCAAGGACTAGAATCAAATCCAGCAGGAAGGGTTCTCAAGCAAGACGGGCAACGCCTGCCGCAAGCGCCATGAACACTTGGTGGAGAGGGTGCAAGATGGAGTAAAGAGTGATTGCAGCCCGGCAAGCAGTCCGGATATTGATCCCGAGACAGGCCGGCTAATACGTCATACGACTCATACCGATCTCCAGCACCTCCACCTCCGAGCCCAACCGATGCCTGGAGAGGCGATTACGCCCTCCTCCGCAGCCATAGCCCAGGTCCGACGGCGGGTAAATCCGATGTACTCGGCCTACTCTGCGAAGGGAGATTTACGGATTCGGGCTACGAGTCTGCACCACCTCTGGCCTGCAACATGGCCCTCGGCAATCCGGACCACACGGTACCAGAAAGTCAGAACCTGCATTTAGACAACGAAGATGCCAGGACGGCCATTTCAGCGGCAACTGTGTCGATCCCAAGCGCGGCCCAGCAATCCATCTCTGAAATGTACAATGCCATCTATTGCAAGGTTCAACAATATGTCGACCAAGGCAACCGAGCCTTGTTTTTTAAAGTTCTGCCCGAGCTCCTCAAAGCATTTTGCAGAAAATATTACAGTTTTGCCTCAGGTAATTAAGAGTCTCACCAGCCTACCGAGAATTAAGTAACGTCCCGAAGTAGAGTTGCTAACTCGAATAGCTTTTCTTCGGGACAAAACGGAGATCAAGGCTGTACTCAAGAGCTCTACGCTTGTCGTTGAAGTTGCCGGTCCTCGCCGCTCAATTGCAGAGTGTGGCGAGCAGCTTGCTTGGCTAACGACCGCCCTCCAAGATTCTGACGGGAAAATTGCAACCCACCATGCGCCCTTGCTCGTCAATCAGGACGTGACACATTTGCCACCCGGCACCCAAGCACCTGAGAGCTGTTGGGAAATCGAAGTGGCCCCATCGGGGCAGAGAAATCGTACCAAACATAGCCCCCCCAATAGCAACGGGGTGGCTTGGGGGCAGGATAAAACCCGTCATTGCCCGAGGCTTTCCAACAACTCGCCGTCCATTGGGATTTTCCGGAGTCGAGTTATCCCCAAGGGTTTTTGTCTCAATTCTTTGTGCTGCCGAGAGCAGATGGGAACTTGTGAAGAAAGCAGATGGCGTCTGCCTCTGGCACGTTCTCCCCTCTCACGAAGAGAGATGCGGGTGTGCGACTATTTCGCAACCCCGATTCTCTACAGATATTCACAATTACCGCCACATCGTCGACAACTGTCCGAAAGTTCACCTGTCAAGTGGCTTCTCGCAACTTGGGCCCCTCCAAGCAAACTCCGATCCTAACGTCCCGAGTCACTCTAGGGAAGGGCTTGTGGTGTCACTGATGGCTAGCAAGGGTAGCTTTAACGCCCTAACCCAAGTCCTACTCACCGTGTTCCCTGCCACATCTATGGACCCGGATATGATGTCAATTCCAGACTCGCCAGAAGAGTTTTCTCTTGAACCCTCTGGCATCCTATCAATTGTCGCGAGAACGACAGCACGTCAACTGCTCGACCAATACAGGACTGAAACGTCGAAAGCCTCATCAAAATCCGATCACGGTAAATCTTCCCCCACGGCCGATGGTGAGCCCAGCGATAGCACGAGCTCTCAGGGGCCGTCTAGCAACGAATCATATCAAAATGGGGGTTCAAGCTCAACAAGATCCAACGTGGCAGGGCAAAGCACAAACGGCTCTAGCTAGGAGTCTGCTGGGCCGAATCTCAAAAGGACAAGACGGAACGAGAACGACGAAGAGGACGGCAATAACAAGGACAGAGACCGCATGCCACCTCCCAGGAAACCGAAGCGTGGCCACGATCTGCCAAGTGGCAAGACTCTTGCCTGCCATTTTTTGGAAGCTCGATCCCGACAGGCACCGTGACTGCTCAAGGCGGGAAAAGTTTGTCCAGATAAGCCGGATAAAACAGCACCTGGCCCGGAAACACACGCCCATCTACTGCGAGCGCTGTAAATTAATCCTTCCCAGCGAGGATAGTTACAGGAAGCACCATGAGCAGCCCGGCCAGGGATGTCTGCACAAGGATTGGGATCCCGAGCACGGCATCTCGCATCAACAGCAAGCAGTGCTGCACAAGAAGTCCAGGGCGGACCTGTCGACGCCAGAGCAGTGGTTTGCCATTTGGGACCTGTTGTTCCCAGAACACGCGCGGCCGAGTTCGCCTTACATCGACCAGGGGCTGTCTGACGACTTCTGCAACTTCCGTGAGTATGTGCAACTGCGAGGCACTCAGGCCCTGGTTGCCCAACTCCAGGGGCAAGGGATCTCAGCCCCCACATCAGAGCAGGCCATAGCATCGTATCTTGAGCGGGTCGTCTTGAGCGGCTTGGACGCGCTGATTGAAGACTGCTGGCACTGCGCATGGCGCCCGAACGCTCCTCCAACGGCAACAGGGACCAGGACGACCACCCCCGGTCCGAAACATCGGGCCGCGGAACCACTGGCGGCTCGCAAACTGACAGCGGCGTGGTCTTGTCGAGCCTGACGGACCTTTCTTTGCTCAATCTGGTGCCCCAGGACGGCAATATGCCGACTGCCGACATGATGTCTCTTTTTGGGGAGCTCGGTGTTGAGAACTGCCATTCGATAGGTAATCAGATGCCGATTTCTGACTTGCATATCCCCGCCTTGTCCGGAGACATGGGACTGAGGGGCACGTGGCCCGGTAACTTTGGGGACGATGTGAATTCTGGAGGGCAACTGGAAGACTATCTCTGGGATCCATTTCCCGACCAAACCGGGGAACACAATTAAACGCTAGTTTGTTGGGGTTGTTTTATTTTGGAAAGTAAATATGCACCAATCATGTCATGAGCATATTTACCAACTTCAAATATTAACGTTAAATGGGAGTTATTTTGACGACATCCGTCACGGATTGACTTTTTAGTTTACTGGCAACCCTCCACCGCAATCGAACCTCTCCATTGCTAACATTCTGTAATCGTGTATAAAGAAGCAAGCCTCCTCGCCCTGTCTAGTCTTCTCTCTTCTAAATTCTCATATACGGCCGAAAGTGGCCGCACTCTGCTATCTAAGTGTCTACAACACCAAAATGACAGACAAAGACTCAGCCAAGAGGCGGGGTGCTCCAAGAATGTCCCAACCACCTGGCGGCGGTGCACGAAAGTCAAAATCCGAGTTCACTAGAGAATAGCCTCTTTAGCTGCACCGCACCATGGAGTAAATTGAACACCCAGTGGGTCAGCGACAAAAAGGCTGCCGAGAGGGGCTGGGGCGGACGGGGCCGGGGGGCCGGGGCTCTCCACGACAAGTCGTTCCGAGGCCCAACAACTAATGATTACGGCGTGTTCCACATGTCGAACTGTCGGCGATGGGCGAACCGTAAACCCACGGCAGCAGCAACAAGGCGTTTCTGAAGACCCTTTCCATGGAGCTTGACTTTACACGCTCGTCAATCTTTGGTGGGAATTAGAAATAAAATTGGGAAATGAGCCGTGGAAGGCATTAAGGAACCAACCATTGCAGTACTGTGCCCTCGTAAGGTGGCTTTGACAAATAAATACTATCAGCTGCCATAAAGAGTGGTAGGATGTTAATGACTCGTCAGACTGCAATATTGCATTCCTATTATATAGCTCTGCAGACACCTTACTAACATGGAACTAGGGGGCACCTATTGATCCATCATGAACAAAGCGCAAATAAACAATAGGGAATGCCCTCCGTTAGTCCCAATTACAGGCTATGCCCTCTGTATGTCTGTGCCGAGTTTCCGGCCAATTGATTCGGCCCCCAAATATAGGTAATCTGCCTAGAATAGATTATTCCGAGTTCGGCCCCCAAACATAATTATTTTACCACTGTCTTCAAAATCTACATTCCAAGTATGCCTGTGCACTTATTACATTCTGCTTAAACACCAGCGGCTGGATTAATGGGGGCGGGCTTATTTGGAGGATAATATGCCTGGCGTCTTGAGCCACAGCCGAGATCCTCTGAAATACACACACGATGCATCAAGAATGATCACCTGGTGGCGAGTTGAAGGGCGCGTCTCCTACGTATGTAAACCACTTGACATTTCCAGCCAAGACCTTTATTCTCTTTACACTCCTGTCGATCCGGCACCCAAGTCTCTCACCACAAAGAAAACACACTTATCTTGCCACCGCATATTAGCATTCACTTGATTACCAAATCTTCCATCGCCACTTCGCGCAGCAGCATCCGTCGCCCTCCTCCTCGCGCCGGCTTCCCCGCGCCGGCTCCCGGGTGTGCAGTGACGTGCACGTCGACGGGGACAGAGAGCTGCACGCTGACGCTCTTCGGCGCGCTCAGCGAGCGGACGCGCGTCTTCGGCTTGTGGACGCAGCTCAACGTCTTCGACTACGCGTGCAACGCCATCGGCAGCGTGCGGTTCCCCGCCCAGGGCCTCGCCGTCGACTCGCAGCTGCCGTACACCGTCGTGCCGACGCACCTGGACACTGGCAAGAGCAGCTACCAGAATATTGGCATGTGCTATGCAGGATACTGCTTCCAGGGGGATTTCGTCTGCACGACGCGGAGAATCGGCAGACCGGTGGCCCCGGGTTCGAGTGTAGGCATGCTTTTCCTTGCCATTGATTAATTGGTTTAGGGGTGGGTTTTTGTGCGGGGAGGTGGTGGACTGAGTGGGATGGTTGGCTATGGGAGAGGCAATGCAGATAAAGACGCTGTAGGTAGCAAATAGTACAATTTTGCAACCTGAGACCTACCTCGGTGCTTGGCAATGTCAATAATTGGTCCAAAACTTGATGAAAAGTGTACTTGACACAACCCCTTTCATAAAACAGGGGGAATCGTACCGTTCGCGTGCCTGGTATGCGATATTTTCATACTTAGCCTAAGCGAAGCAATAGGATAACATTGGCATGATGAAGCGAATGTTGATTGACCAGCACATTGTTTCATAGCTTAGAGAAAACGAGAAACGAGCTAGATTTTGAATAATTAACGGATTACAAATGAGATTTCCAACGAGGGGTTTTCTCCTTTTTTTCTTCTTACCTTATACTAACCGAGACTGAGGTGTTATTGAATAGGAGAGGCAAACAAGGCAAAAGAAAAGACTCGATTATGTGATAGTGGCCCTAGAATGAATTATTTCATCTTGGCGGCCTCAATGTCATCCCTAATACTCCCCGTCCCTAGTCAGGACTGCTGTCCTTGGGACCTTCACTCCAGGCACTTTGGCGGTGGTGGAAAGGGAAGAGGGGACGGGGGGGACTTCGATGGACGCCGCGCGCTTTGCCGCTCCTACCGGGAGGCTCGTCCCCTTGCTGCTGCTACTATTAGTACTACTGTCAGCTCCGGGCTCCACCTTAACCTTGACTTCGACCGCATTTTTCTGCTCGCCGGACTTGGCGGGAATCTTTGCGAGGAGGAGATTGGCGATCTCGGAATGTCGCTTGGGCACAAGAGCTTCCGGGCTCCACGTTATTGAAAACAATGCACCCGTGGAATCTTCGTCCCCTGGGCGACGCCCGAGGGTCAAACGTAGCTTTGAGCTGTCGTGTGGTGGAATTTCGCCCCGGCTAGGCGGGTCAGGCGCTGAACACGCCTCGATATTATGGGAGTGCAAGCTCTCACTTGTCGGTACGCCCTCCTTTTTTGGCACGACGTAGTTGAACGCCGTTTGGTAGTACACTCTGGTCTCATCTTGGAGCAACAGTGGTCTCTTCTTCTCACTGCCGATGGTGAAGAAGCATTGATGGTCGTGGTATTTCCTGCCCTTCTGGACTAGCTTGCGGCTCGCGACGTCCTTGGTGTAATAGTTGTCGGGTGGGAGACGCACGTCGTTGCCGCCGGCAACCCCGAAGGATAACAGGCACCCTGGTCTTTTGGGCTGCAAGTCTTTGCCAACGACAATGGCAAGTTTCGTAGGGGTGTCTTCTCTTTCCCCCCTCAAGTTTATGAACTCGACGAGATCAAGGTCCTTCTGGTTTGCGCTATTGATTTCGTAGTGAATCATGGGCAATTCGGGGTTCGTATCTCAGTTGTAATAGCAGATTCTCTCTGCGGCCTGGTTCCGTGGACTGAGAAAGAACAAAGTATCTTTTGGGAGACCTCGAGGCTCATCAGACCGCAGATCGGATAGTCTAGACGGAGCAGCCTGGGACATAATTACTGGCTTTATGGGCTTAAATATGGCAGTAGTATGGTACTCAATGAACACAGAGCTGTTGGGAAGGCGAACTTGGGTGGCTCTGGAATGTGGAGGAATGCCGATGAATTCTGGCAACAGGATGAAAAGGGAGGAAAGTCCAGTTAAATAGGAAAGAAAATGATCACAGAAGACAGGGCAATGCTGTCTGTCACTGTCACCTATCCGCAACAGCGCGGTGGTCTCGTTGAAGTGCAGTCACAGAGGATGACGGCGGTCTGGCCTGATGCTAGGATCACGGGAGTTTCAGCTTGGATCGAGACGTGGCCAAGCACGTTATAATTAAGACACAGGTGCGCCAGAGGTGGCCTTCAACGGGGGCCAGTGTAATCTCAAAGTCTTGTATTGGAGGGACCACCGAGGGAGGTACAAAGGTACGATAATACTAGAGTATCTGAGTTGGGTGAGGGAAGTCCTCAATAATATAGGTATGTGCTACTTCCAAACTGAAAGGGCAACCGCTATGCGGCCTAGGCTTCGAGGAACAAAAGGTCAAGCCATAGTCGAGATTCGGGGAGAAAGAACGGGCGAGGGGAAATCCCTGGCGTAATCGGCGTCATTTCAAATTACGGGTGCCTCTGCTCGATCGTAACCCTGTCTTGAAATTGAACTTGACAGGGTTGATTCGCTGACCACCAACAGTTTCAGAACGCTTTGCCCCCAACGTAATCTTGGGCGACATGATTTAGCGCTTATTCTCAAGTCCTGGGGCCAGCAGAAGCAGCCCGATTTTGGCTCTCACCTGTCAACAATTCCGACCGAGCCCGCACGGTTCTGGCGAAACTGGGCAAGAGAAGGGTCAATTTTAATGAGTTCAAACGCCAGGCGAGGTCTAATGGGAACGGACATGAGGCACCTATCATTCACATCTGACTTGGCGCTGTTGGCGCTGTTGGCGTGACCAAACCACTTGCCAAGCTGGGCCATGACGTGAAAAAAAGGAACAGCCCCTGGCCCGAACAACATGGAATGTTTAATGATTGAAATGGGGGTTGTATCGCCAAAAAGCACCCTGTCAGAGCGCAGCAGCGTGGCTCGCGAGCACCTGAGCCACGCTCCCCTGAAACTACGCCGCAGTGCTCATATTAACCCTGCACGGGGTACCTTCTCCTTTGTGTGCCTTGATTACTTGCTGGAGTTTCTCTTTTGTAAAATAACCTTCAAATATACATGCATTTCTCAGTGCAGTTCTACGGCTCCTATTTCGGCGCTACACATGCGCGACACTTCATCCAGGCCTTGCAAGCTATTTGTCAGACTGCAACAGCACTTCTAGGATTGTGTGCACCAGAGTGAATTGCTCTTATTCTCGTCCTCCAGTCTTTCCACAAAAGACTCTCTCTCTTATACTTCCTTATGTGGCAATTACATGACGAAACCCAGTGGCGAAGATTACGCACCATAGATTCCAGAACCTTCTAGGCCATTCCATCTGACACTATTGCCCTGCTTATGCTTATCAAAACTGAAACTATGTGATAATTATTGTGGGGTAACATATTCGCGTGTTGGACCATTTCGGTGCCACTCTGCCTCATCTACATGGTAATATACGGCGAAGGAGGCAAGTCAAAGGCCAGTTGGGCCAAGAAGACAGTGAGTGGAATGGAGAGGGGGGTGGGGGGTTAAGGATGGGACTGCGTCAGGCAGGTTGTGAGAGTTCTCTCACGAGTCAGCTTATGCAATAATTTTGCGGCAATCGGCGACCGCCACAGAGCAAATCGAGGCCCAGGATCAGTCAGCCAAGGTCAGACACAGTCAATTGAGTGTGGCCGAGCCTGGGCTTCAACGTCCAACATCCAACCTGCAGGCAGCTGGTTATGTCGTGCTCGTGGGCAGGGGGGCCGAATTGGGAAAAGAAAAACCAACGGGGGGAAGAGTAACCATCCTTCAACGCCGTTTCAGAGTTCTCGGAGGAAATGACCTTGTCTTGGCTTGACTGGGTGTTTCAGAGTACCTACTGACCACCCCGTGTCTTTCAAGGATGCTTTTGTTCCTCCCCCCTCCCCCTTCATTTCTTCTTTATTTAATTAGTGTCGGTTCTTTCGACCTGCCACCTTTTCTTTCACCTCTTGCGTTTCCCTCCTCGTGATATGTATGGGCTTGGTGGGGATGAAATTAGTCACACCAGATAGGTGCTCTGCAGAATTTGCAACTCCGAGCCCTCCACCTTCGCCATGTGTTACCCGCCTTGTTCGACCGGTCAGGCAAGGCTCAGTTTGTTCGCGATAGGGTCAGAGTTTACCCTGGTTCGAGCTTTAAATGCGAATGCTCCGAACGCCCACCCAAGGTGATTTTCCACGATGGAACAAGCGACGCCGGACCTTGTGCAGCTCCCTCGCCAGATCCTTCGTCGTATACTCGTCTATATCGGCGTGGCGCGTGCTGATGGGCGCAAAGAGCGGAGCAGCTTTGAGTTTGGCGACTGCTCCGACCTCCTGATCTCTTGTCGCGCCCTCTACGACGAAACAGCCGCTCTTCTATACTCGGCCAACCGCTTCGTTATCTTTTACTCGGGCCGGGGTTCTCTTGGCCCTCTTCGCGCTCGGTCGCCAGCCGCCCTTGCGTCTCTAACTAATCTGAAAATGGTCCTCAATCAGTCCTCATACCACCATTACAGATCCCCTGCCCCTTTCTTCTGTGCTCGTGATGGGGTGTTGGAGTGGAGGGGGGCGGTGCGGGTGTCCATGGTAGACGCCACCCTGTGACTTGGCGTGGGACTTGGCGTGGGACTTGGCGTTGGCGTTGGCGTTGCCTTTGCCTTTGCCTTTGCTGGTGTCGGGACCGGGACCGCCGCTAGCGGCTTAGCAGCCCGAGAGCTGAAAGCATTCGGAGGCGGCGTGGGATGCCTTCCCCCTCCCGATTTCGGGGTCTCTTTGTCGGCAGGATCGACTGTATTAGCGTTTGATCCTACTGGACGATGAGCTGTCGCGTGGACAGTGACCGGCGCTTGTGGTTGTTGTTGTTATCTGCCGACCCTGGGGCTCTTTGCCTCTTCGTCTGAGGCGTGTTCTTCCAGGACAACAGGGGAATCTCTCAGGTTTGGATTCGTCTTCTTGTCCAAGCATTTGAGAGAAGATCTTTGAGAAGCTGGGCGCGCTTCTCTGGAATCAAAGCTTCGGGACTCCACACCAGCGTAAACGCGGCGCCCTCGGGGTTGTTCGCGTGCCCTCCAATGCTGAAGTGTAGCATTTTGGTATTGTCGACAGGAATTTCCCACTCCCTATGCTTGTCTACGGGGGGTCCCTCGTCCTGGGGTCATGTACGGGGCTTTTCTTATCTCCAGCTTCGACGTGACTCTATTCTTGGAATCCGTCCCGCCGCAATTTCCATCTTTGTCTTTGTTTGGTGGCACGACCAGAGAAAACGTGGTCCGGGCTTCGTGTGGCCCTGTCTCATCCTCAAGGAATACAGCATTCTTGGCTGGGTCTATTCTGAAGAAACAGTTCCGTCTGTGGTACTTCGTAGGGTATTTCCTACCATCCTGTCTTTCCACCCTGCCTTGACCCCCTTTGGGCCTCTCACTGGTAGACCCGGCGTGTGCGATGTAGGAATCCGCTGAGAGACGTACGTCGTTTACACTGCTTCTCCTAAAAGACAACAGGGCGTCCCGTAATTTTGGAACGTAAATCTTGGCCGATTACAATATCGGGTACCAATCCCTTTTATCTCCTACGGGGGTTCACGAAACCTTTGCCGTGTTTGTTGTAACCAAGGCTCGTGTTTGTTTTAACCAAGGCTAACCAGGTCATCGACTCCCTCCGGATCGACTTTGTAGCGAGTTATAGGGATTGTCACGGCCGGCTTGGAATGAGGGCGGAACTCCTCTATTGGGCGCTATAGACGAAGATTCTAAACTAAAGGGAAAAGGGAAAAGAAGCTCAAAAGCCTCCCCTCGCGAGATTCTTCCAGGACCTCTCAAGGTGGGGCTCTGGCTGGTCGGGTGGATCCACCCAACTGGCGTCTGATTAGTCAGAGCGTCTGGGAGGCCTGGAGGACCAGGCCCTCACAGGGATAATGTGTTGAACATCTAAGCGAGATCACAGATCCTCTCTGCCTCCTTATTCCCTAGATAAAGATTTCCCACGACCGTCCATTACCAGAGTTGAACAGTTTATACAATCACTATGCTCATACTGAGATAAACAAAACCAAGGGTTGGTCGCGGTATAGTAAAGAGCTAAAGGATCGAACGGCACTGATAGAATCATGCCGGGAAAGAAAATATGGTAATTAGATCCTAATTATACCCGATACTGTTTCCTTTCTAAATGTGATAATAAATCGAGGTAGAGAGAAGAGGAAAGATGGAAAAGATAAGCTCTTGCTAATTACTACCGCTAACAGTACTGATACGGGAATGGCCTCAATTGCGCGTGTCAATTGTTGACACGGCCCCGCACGTGCATTTGGCACGAGCACCACTGTATAATTACATAATCAGCACCATAGACTAGCGTAAGGCGGGCAAGGAAGCGGTGTGTACAGGCAGTACTATTCTGCCGCCTACGTGGGGCATATCCCCGCGGCAGGGCACACAAGCCCCCTTTTCCACCTCCAACCTTCTACACCATACAAATTATACCATCTTTGGTCACCACTGCAGCTTTCCCTATCAAGTACTGTCTTCTTTGGACTTCGTCTCGACTTTGACAGACTTTGGCCTCATGCTTCCGCTCACGAGAGTTGGCGTTAATCTTTGCGAACAGGAGACTGCTAATCGTTTCACTAGCGAAACAGAAACATCGCCATTCCACATCAAGATGAATGTTGCGGCCCTCGAGGTTTCTTTCTCGAGGCGGCGCCTAAGGGATACACGCAAGCTCACGCTGACGACCCAATAACTTCTTTGCGGCGAACTCCGTTGGGACCCCAAGTCGAGGTGAAGTCATGGACCCGCATGCCTTGTGTATTGACACAGTAAAACCTGGTCTGGGTATCTGCTCCGCTCTCATCTTCAACGAGAAGTAACTTTTCTTCAGGTTCTATGGTAAAGGAACGCTGCTTTTTGCGGTATTTGGGCGGTCTTCCGCCGTCGGGCCCGATATAGTCAATGGGCGGGAGGGACGCATATCGTTGTCTAGATCAGTCCCAATGGATAACAAGCGAGCGCCCGGATTTCGAGGCCAACCTCGATCTAGGAGGAAAATCCGCGGTCATCGGGCGCCACGACACCGATAGCGCCCATGAGCAGCCGGCGGCAGCGGCGGCAAGAAACCAAAGGCTGTCTTGAGCAAGGTGATCAAGTACGACGTCCACCACCGGAAGCGTCGGTATTTTGGGATGCAGATCATTGCCAACGAGAATGTCATATATCCAGTTATTTGCCTCCCAAGTCTCTCCAGGGTTATCGCTGAAGGCGTTAAGGAGACCGACTTTGGTCTCTGTTTCTCTCGTATTACCCGGAAGCTTTTGAGGATCCAAGACGGATACATCTTGATACTATAGCTCAATAGCAGAGGCCGATGATGGTCTAGCCCAATGCCAGGATGACGGGTGGGCAGTTTCAGCCTAGATCGAGCCGTAGCCAAAACACGTCATGAATAAGACAAATGTTGCAACGCAACAGGCGCAGGATTTAGCGGGGGATGTGCGATCAAGCCCAAGGCACAAAGATTCAAGACAATAAAACATCCAACTTGGGCTCAGGCGGTCCCCTTTATATGTGCTGGGCTGTCTCTAACCTGAAGTGCAATGATCGCGCGGCCTGGATGTAGGGGGCAAAAGATCAAGACACAGTCAAGGGGCTGAAAACAAGGAGCGAGAGGTAATCCTTGGCGGAACCGGGGCCCTTTCAAGGTAGCGACTGGTGCGCCTGCTCACTCGTAACTTTGGTTTGAAATTGACGTCGTTGGTTTGCTGATTACGCCAAGCTTCACAATGCACCGCCTTCAACGTCATCTTGGGTGAGGGCCAGCAGAAGAATCAGCCCACTTTTGCTTGCACCTGTCCCCGATTCCGACCGAGCCCTGACAGATTCAAACGCCAGACAACGGAGAACTCGGAAGCGGCGTCATTGTGCCACCCTCGCCAAGACCCCCATCTTACTCTTGGCTTTACCAAAGCCCATGCAAAGGAGCGTTACTAAGTACATACGAAACGAACGACCCTTGCACTGGGGAATTTACGAGCTACGTTAGTTGGACTAGACTGCGGCAAAATTAAGGCACCTATGGCGCAAGTCGTCTGTCCCACTTCCTTTCACCAAAATTGAACCTGAAGTAGCAGGGATAGCACGGTCTATCATTTACCATTTGCGGTTACTGTCTGAGTAGAATCAATAAGCGGTAGCCTGAATGGAACACAACAGTCAGCAGCAGACCGGGCTGGCAGCCCATAGTTACTTGGCTCGTTGGCCAGCTTATGAAAGATTTGGGCGGCATTCGGCCGTGGCAGAACTGACGTGGGCGACTCAATAGTGAGATTCAGGGCTGGGTAGGTATCCTGAATAGGTATCCAAGTCAGAACCGGCGAGCTGGGGTCAGCCAGCCGTCAGACATAATCGCTGTTGGCTCAGGCACCTACCGATTTAGCCTCTCACTTTTATTCATCCAACCGTCAATACCAAATGAGGAGGAAAAGTCCAAGATATGGGGAGCGGTGTTCGTTAAAGCCTCCCAACAGCGGTGCACAATGGGCTGGAACATATTAGGTATATTTCAATTATCACCTTGTGTTCGCCCGCCTCCAAACCGCAAATGCTCTGCTCAGCCCAATTTCTCAATTTTTGGGGGGTAATGGTGACTTCCTACCTGACGCTCTCACGGAGGGAAAGGTTTGCGCGGTTTGTGCGGTTTGCGCGGTCTGCGTATTCATGAGCCCGGGGAGGCGATGATCGGACATAGTGTTATCTTGGAACAACTTCGTTTGCGCCATTCTAACTGACACCAAAACTGCTGACAATGCCCCAACCCGAGGGGAACCTTCCGACGTCTCACAATTCAGCCAACTATATGATCGCACTGGCCAGAATGTGTGCATAGGTCCTTCATCTTCTGGCTCTCCCTCTTTATCTCCCTCCTTTGCTCCATTCACTGGATGCTCTCTAGTTTCAGGCCGCGCCATGGCCGCAGCTCCAGGCCGGAAACGGCCCATCTTTCAGACACACAACCATTTCCCATGTCGCCTTGACATCTACCTTTGTATCTTTCTGAAACATGTCTCGAAACCGCGATGCCGATTAGACCGCGTGCTCAGGCCCGATCACATCATTTAACCTGCATGGCTGAGCCCGATGAGACCGCACTGCCGGGTAAGTGTAGGCGATGATGAATCTCACTTGCTCTTCTTGCTTTCTGCTTTTCCTTTAAATTACGTAGTGGCACCTGCGTTCTTCGCTTTCGTTCGGTCAAGGACTTTCCCCAATTCCCGAACTTTGAGGCTGGTTATTTCAACGGCCCTGTGCAGTACAGACCGCTTTAGACGCAACATACCGTCGGTGACATCTCTTCACCTCCTCCTCCCGCAGTTTCCCGAGACAAGTATCACCTAATCCGCTTCAACGACGCCAGAATGGCGGATGTCGGCACAACCAAGGCGGTAGATACCAATCTATCTTTATGGTTTCCTAAATTGCTTCCACACAGCACTGTGCTTTACCTCAACCCACAAAATAAAGAGGCGCGAAACATTTGCATAGAGAACATGAGGATCGGAAACCCAAGAATCAAAGCCTACAACAGTGACGATACGGTCTTCAATGGTGGTCCTGAAAGCAAAACAGCGAGCTTGAATTTCATCATCCGTGTAGATGTGCTCGAGCCCGCGGACCCGAACAAGGCAGAGGCCTTTCTTTCCGTGGAACCGGCAAGGCCAGAGACCTTCCTTTCCATCGGAACAAGCCGAGACAACGATGTGTTGCTCCCGGGCGGAGCGAGTTTAGCAAGTGAAAAGGGCCCTGGCATTACTGCACATCAAAACATCAATAGAAAGTACCACGATCGCCAGCTATCCCTCGTCCTAACAGGACGGATGGGAGAGCTTACGCTAGTAAATTTGACTGGGAATCCTGGAGAGGTCGATCTCTACAAGCGCACAACTCACAACGGTCAGTCAAAGCCCAGGAGATTCTCGGACGACGAACATCAACCACTACTTATCCCGAGGGTGGGCTCCGGTCTTGAGCATGCCAGCAATGGCCTTTGGCCGCCCGAGGCTATTGAGGAGATATGCATTCGTATCGGAGGCCACCTTGAGGACAACCGGGGAGCCTTGTTCACGATTACATGGGGGCCCCAGTTCCTTGCAGATCCGGTCATGGCCCGTTTGCGACTAATTAGAGCCTCGAAAAGTCTAGGTCCTGAGCCAAAAGTGGACCAAACGACAGTGGACAAGTTTGAGTTGGGGAAGTATTACAAATACCCGACACAGTCCAGGAGCAAATACGGCGAAGTTCTTAGTTACTTCCACGTGCTCTCAGGGCAAGTCTTTGTCGCCCTTGAACGAAAAATTATAAGGGAGGAAGAAGACATGCCCCCCAAACGCGTGAAGGAAATCAGGGATTGGACCCAACAACTAGATTCGGATGGAAGACTTGCGAGAGGTGTATCCCATGTAGGTGATGCTGCAGCCCCTTCCGCTAGTGGAACCAGAGTCATGCTGCAGCCGCTTCCGTAAGTGGAATTAGAGTCACGTTGCTGATCAAGAGCGCTTACAGGGTAATATCCTTAACCTTAAGGAATCGAGCCCCAATAAGACCGTCCATAGGACCATATTTCAGCCTTGTATTGGTAATGTTAAAGACCTGATGGCCTCTAACTTTCGAAAGAATATCAACCCCTGCTGGCCGGGTGACCTGGTCCACCACGTGTCTAGCGCGCTAGAGTACCTGTCGAGGGAAAATATCGTCCACCGCAATATGCAACCTCAAAATATATTCTTTACCATCTCTCCCAACGATAAGAGAAGGCTGAAGTTCTTCCTTGGCCCTGGAGACTATTATTCACTCAACAAAGGAGGCAAAACTGGCTCGAAAGATGGCAGCAGTCCTGGTCAGGGGGCTAACGAAAGAGGGTTTGAGTATCCCTCAGATACGAAGATGGAATACGACTTCATGTTGGCGCCCGAAGAAAGAGCAAAACTTGGGCCAGAACTAAAATCGGATATATGGCGGGCCGGTCTTCTTTTCGCCCAGGTCCAAGGCCAAATTCCATTGCAGGATCAAACGCCGTGGGATTGGGAGCTCTCACGGTTCAAGGCTTACTGCAGCAGAAAGGGGTTCGATTTAGACTTTAGCAACTACGAAGAGAAGGAGGACAAGTCGCCCTGGTTGCGGCGGATTGACCTCCTCGTCAAAAGCGGCTGCCTAGGGGCTATGGTTGGAGCTATGCTGAGGCTGCTGCCTGGCAAGCGCCCAACGGCAGCACAAATGCTCGAGATTGCGAGAGAACATGCCCATGATCTCAAGACCCTGTTCGAGCTCGACCCAACAAGAGAAACTGCCAGGGGGGCCGGCGGGCGAGCACAGCAGGCGACTGGCAAGGCTTCCACCGTCACTACCACCACCACCACCGCCCGGCCGCAGACATCATCCAATTCCAGCAGGCAGTCCGCACCCCACGCGGCGACGATCACTGGGGGCGGTTCGCAGCGGGGCGGCCCCTCAGCAAGGACACCAACACCAACACCAACACCACCAGCGACAGCAACAGCAAAAGTGACAACAGCGAAGGGGCGACCTGGCGACGCCCCATCCCCTGGCCCAATCCCTCCTCCTCGTCTTGTTCGAGCCGCGAGAAAATTATCCGAGGAAACGAAGCCGGATGACGCCATGGACGTAGACGAGTAACTAGAATCCGTGGGGTTGGGTTTGGAGAGGGAGGAGAAGGCGGTGTGTCACTAGTTGAGCCGCCGTCATCATGCGTGCTCCCGTTTGGGTCGGAGTTGTTTCCTTTTTTTTTCTTGGCCAGCCTGCTTCATACAAGGTGGGGGGAGGCCCACTCTCCATCTAATCAGAGGTCAGCATCGCTCCTTGCTTTCTTTCTTTTAAACTTTCGTCAGAAATCACGTCTTTTTGCCATGAATTGAGATCACCAGACCAGTGCATTCATTTGTGCCTTTTTCCTTGTGAAAATGCACGGCTATCATTGTATACACGTCTCCAAACGCCAGTCCAAGTCTGAAAATCAAAATGGAAAAGAAAAAAAGACTCCGAGGCAACGAGCCAATCCACGGGTACTAGTAATAATCCGTCCGCTGCGAGGTGTCGAATTTTCTCTGGCCAAAAGACAGTAGACCAGGTTCCAACCGCGAGGGGTGTTCTTTTGGATGCGCGATGTAGTCGTCAGAAGCGCCCAGCATACACCTTCATAGTTTATGCGGTAATTACTTGACAGCTCTGCTAGACTGTTGGGTGAGGTCGAATCAGTGGGCCACTATAGTAGCTGCTGTCCTTGGCCTATCACTGCTAAGCGCTCTGGCTCGGCTCGGCCTTGCTGCGCTCACGGGCGGCGGCGCTTGCATCATTGCGCTGGAGGAGGCCTCGCACGTAGCGCTCTTGGAGGCTGCGGTCAGCCTCACCCGCCCGCTCATCCATCAGTCTCACGCCGTCGGGGTGCCGAAACACGTCGAGCGCCTCACGGGTCCAGCGCCAGGGGTGTGCCGGCTGCACATGGAGGGCTCGCAGGCCTTCGCCGCCCGCGACCAGCTGTCTGAGCGGGGTCAGGATGCACTCGTATCCGTTGAGGACTTTGGCGACCTGGTCGTCGTGTGAGTACCCGCGGCTGCAAGCTTTTCTAGGGGCGCCCATGAGGATGCGGACGGTAAGCGCGGGCGCGGTGATTTTGGACCGGGCCCAGAAGAGGGCGGCGCGCCAGTCCTGGAGCGAGGCGTGTTCCCAATGCAGCCAGACGTCGGGTTCGTAGGCGGGGAAAACCAGCTCGAGGAAGCGGAGGTGGGCGAGGCAGTGTGTGGGTACCACGTCCCTGAGGAACTCTGACGCAGCGAAGCGGCCAAATGGGTAGAGACAAACTACGGTGCTGCTGGTGGCTGTGTCACCGTCTGGGATCTAGGGAGGCCTGGGCAACCCAGCGAGTATATGCGTGTCCTCGGTAGCGTTGGAGTCGTGGACGACGAAACGGTTCGTCGAGAAGAAGACGAACTGGGCGTCGCGGCACAGGGCACGGGAGACGAGAAACAGGTCGGTTGGGGGAGCCCAGCAGCTGCAGGTAACGGAGAAGGCGGCGTGCCGGCGGCGGCAGAAACAGTCGACATTCATATCGGGGTCGTCGAGTGGGCACCCGGCTTCATGCAACGCGTGGCAGACTCGGTAGCCGCGGTCCTCTCTGCTGTACGTGACTTCCTTCTGGGGGGCGACCAAGTCGGTATATTCGAAGATGCGAACATGCAGCTCGGCAGGAAGACCTGTTAGAGGCGACGAGGTGTTACTGTTAGCCGGCTCGAGAGAGGTGGCTTGGCACTAGGGTGCGCTTGCATGACGGCTTGTCGAGCCAGGCGCTGGAGCGGGCGGTTCGGGGTTTTTGCAAGCCGTACATGACAGGCTCTGAGGGGTGGGAAGAGGGCAAGAGCTTCGACGGCGAGATGTGCTATCTCGAGGGCATATTCGTGGCCCGGGTCGATGTCGCAGACCAAGGCAAGCTCAAGGTGTCCGACGCCAACACGGGACGACATGAAAGCCGCGGCATCGTGGAACTCGGCCAGCATGGCCAGGGCTGCAGCCCTGGCCGGCAACGTCGAGTCCAAGGCCAACAGAGGACCAACTTGGTCTTGGGGCAGTATGCGGCACTGCCGGCTGGCGTGATTTGCGGAGCCACCGAGGAGTTCGTCAAAGTCAAGGTAGCAAGAGGCGCCGCTGTCGTAGTGTAGATCGTAGCTTCTAGGGGTAAAATGTACCATGTCAAACCAGTGGCGGATTAGGAATCTGTTAAGAACGATCTTTAGACTGGTCAGAGAGGCGAGGGCGACTGGCGACAGAGCGCGAAGACGGCCGAAGGAACCTGGGCGCGAGTAGTAGATGACGAAGCGGTTGGCTGAGTACAGAAGGGCGGCTGTTTCGTGGTGCAGGGCGCGGCAAGAGAGCAGAAGGCCGGCGAAGTCGCGCGCGGGCGGCGGGTCCAAACTGCTCCAAAAGTCAAAGCTGCTCCAAAAGTCAAAACTGCTCCAGTCTCTGGGCCCGTCCAAGTGGTAGGTATACGGCCGGCCATCAGCCCGTGCTACGCCGGCGTGGACTAGTATGTGACGAAGTATGTGACGAAGTATGTGGCGAGGGAGCTGCACAAGGCCCGGCTTCGCTTGTTCCATAGTGGAATGAAGAATGAAATGTTAAGTTGGAGATCTAGAGCATTCTCGGTGGGGTTTGGAGTAGTTAATTAAGGTAAATGGGTCTAAACACTAGGCTGCCAAAAGGCAACCGAAGGTAGGTGGTGCCTCCCTACCTAGGCGCCTGCCTTATGTTCCTTAGCGTAAACTTAAGCCTGGGCTTCAAAGCTCTCAATACGGGGCAAGCCCTAACCCTACCACCACCCAGCGCATACATGTCACGAAGAGGGAATCGCAAGGGATAAAAGAAAAGAGGCAATCCAGATACAAAGCGACGAGAAAGAGAAAAGTAAAGTATTTAGACAAAAGGAATCAGAGAGTAAAGCTCACATACGCCAGACCAGAGGATAATTTCCCAACCATTTAACTAATCATAAGAACAATCGCACAACACAGACATCAATAAGGAAGCTGCCCGCCATTGATGCCAAATTCCAGAGCGAAATGCAGAAATAACAAAAACGAGAAAGAAAGTCCTGTCAAAATGGGGCTCTACGTTTAATAGCTTGAATAGGTAGGTACCTTATTACCTACATTGCCTGCCTTTACCTTACCTTACCTATATAACCCCGAGGAAATAGCGTAACACAATGTGACTAAATTTTTTTGGGATCATGTTAGATGAAGTTGCTTATATCTATACGTTTGGGAGCAGGTCTCTCTGGAGTGCTGGTGGTCATGGCTATATCTACACGTTTGGGAGCAGGTCTCTCTGGAGCGCTGGTGGTCATGGCCCTCTGGCGCTTCTCGCCCACCGCGCCGGGCTCAGCGGGGCCGCGCTACGCAAGGTTCAGGTTTGTAGAGTCAGAGAGCACCGGTCTTGCAACAGCTGCGGCGGCCTTCTTGCTGGTGACAATTGGCCTGAAAAGAGTGCCGGCAGGTGCTGGATCTCGAGGCGGATCGACCTCAAAGACGGTCCCGGGTTCCTCTTTCTTGATGCTGCCCTGGACTAGAACGGGGAGCTCGGGTGCCGTGGGCTGAAGATCGGGATTGCTGTGCGGCATGGTTCTGTGGAGAGGCGTGAGGCGATTTTTGTCCAGTCTGAAGGACTCCACCATGTCCCACCACGGATCTACCGGGGTGTTGTTTCCCAGCCCGGGGTGTTGTTTCCCAGCCCGTCTTTGATCGTAGTGTTCTCGCGATACTTCATACTGTTGAGGTTCCCGGATTTGGTTATGACGTCGCTCGTAGTCAGGTTCGCGTACTCGGCTGCGCACCAGTAACCCAGCACCTCGCCGAACAAGATACCTACCGACAACATTTCGGACCGCTGGTCAATCTTGCCGTGTAGTGCCACTTCGGGCGCAAAGTGGTAGTTGTGTTTGTCCTTCTTGGGCGCTTGTCTGGCTCGAGATGCAAGGTCGTCGGCCAAGCCATAATCCCCGGGCCCGAGAACAAATTTTCTAATGTTTCTCCCGCCCTTCCTCATAACAAAGTTCCAAAATATATTGTCTAGCCTGATGCAGTGGTGGGTGATTCCTTGTCTTTTGAGGTAGGCCTCAGCACTCGAGATGCAAGTTACCAAGTCGCCGTACCAATGGTAACCGTGCGCCTTTGGCGATAAGCAATCGTGCTTTTGATCCTTGACCAAGTCTGTGACTGTGCCGTCATAGACTGGGTAATAGGTCCATAGGATTCTGCAGTCTCCGCGGACGTCTAGTTCGAGATCCAGACACGGGATTATATTATCATCTGAAAGTTTCTTACTAACATCTTTTTCGATTTCGAAAGTCACCCCTGCGGCGCCAACATCCTCGAAGGTGGCGATTGGTAATCTTAATGCTCTGAAAGCTTGGAGAGCCCCTGTACGTAGATTGGGCCCTTGATCGACCGTGGCGAACGTATTGCGGCAGAGTCTGTAGCCCTTGTAAACGCACATATTCCCTGTAGAGTCTGCGGGGGCCGTTACACCAGAATTCAGGAGTCTGGCGATGCTGCCGAGCAGCGCTTGGATCTCGAAGCTCTGCAGCCTATTGACAAGTTGCTCGCTCCATTGCAACTTGAATGCGGCCTTGGAGGCTAAATCTTCGCCAAATGCAATGAGCAGAAATAACTTTTCCTCGGTGGGCAGCCTAGGAACGACCCGATGGCATTGCCCGGGGTTATATTTCCAGGAACGAAGGCAAGTCGCCATATCATGGTCGCGTGATTCTTTGTCCTGTTGGGAATTGTTGGATTTAGCCAGTTGCACGGTTGGGTAGGTTCAATTGTGTGTTTCTTGTGTGTTCCTTTAATTCCTGGCTCTCGCCCGTTCTTCTAGAAGTCTCTGTTGTGGCGCACCAGCCCCCCCACCCTGCGGTGGATCGGCGCCACGACCGGGGTCAACCACGTGACTTGGCATGTGGCTAATCTGATAGGAATCCCCGGATACCTCTTCATCGCTCCTGCGCCATTCAAGCATTGTCCTTGAATCTTCCCCAGTTTCGTCTTTGAGCATAAGCTCTCCGGCAGGGGCGAAGAATAAATAGCAGTGCTGGCTATGGTATGCTTGTATTTTGTTGCCTTCAAGTCCAGCGTTGCTTTTTACCGCGGGAAGATGGACGTCGTTTTCTAAGCCGGCCCCAAAAGATATCAGGCTCTCTAATTTTCTTGCAGTTCCCGACAGCTCTACCGAAAGAGACTTGACACGAGTAAGCTTGTCTTGGAGGAACTTTTCATCGATGCTGATGTAGGGGCCGCTTTCGCCTGTCGCAGAAGCCCTCCATTTGGCCCCCCCTGGTCACGATTGTGCGCCAAGATCCTTTCCGCTTCCGGGTTGGCTGGAGTTATAACAAACAGCTCGCTAAGCCCGTCTGGGAGCACCGCAGACGGTGGTTGCAGTTTGGAAACTCCTCCGTCTGCCATTACTAAAAAATGACCCCTACGAGGCTGAAGTGCTAAGATTTGATGGGGGTAGTCTAACGGGGTCAGACAGGAGAGCTTTGAACGGTGGCGTTGGTTTTTGTCTCGGGCATGGAAGAAGAGAGAGAGGAGTAAGCAAATATAATCAGAAGGAAGAAAAAAAGAAGCATTCGAGCGGGGAAAATGGGAACTTTTATTGCATGTATTGTGCAACACAAAGCACCTCGACACCCCACACCTGTTTGAACGAGTGAGAACCTGGCCCGATTGATGGATATGTCAGTGCCATGTTCTGGAATGAATCCAGTTATGACGCGCGGGGAGTTTGAGCTTCGACCAAAGCACGCCCGGATTGAACTAGGTCCGCTGTAGGGGCCGAGAACCGAGCGGCAAGGACTCCGTAGCTCAGCGCTCGCAACAATGCAAATACGGTAATGCAAACATAGCAAATACAAATGTAGGTAAACACAAATAGGTCAAAAAGGACCAAATTAAATACAAATATGAAGCCGTAGATCCGTAAATATACGTGACATATGTGGGCCCATTTAATATGGCCCATTTTCCTGGGTTCGGGGTGCCAACAGTGGGTTACCGGCCCAGGAAAAAGTGGATTTTCCAGGCGAAATCCTGCATTTGCCTGGCAACCTCTGAACAACTTTCTGAACACCACCATACTTACGAAAGCCCGCATTTCTACCGCAACTGAAGCCATTCCGACCTGTCAACACGATGACGAGTCCTCCCGGAAGTCCCTTTTCCATTTCCGACAGTCCTCCGAACTCCCCCGGCTCGCCGTTAATATTCGCCTGCTACGCCCCGAGCCTGCCGCCGCGCCCGAGCTTCCTTTGGCCGGCGAAAGTGAGGCCTTCCTGGCTCAAAGCCTTGATCGCTCAATTGCGAAGCTCAAGAAATACATCAAGAGGTTGGAAATCACACTGGTTTACTGGGTCTCGATGATTCTGCACCCTGGGCATAAGGACAAGTGGATTGTGAAGTACCAAGCCTGTTGATGACATTCTAGCTTGGTGGACCGACAATAAAGACGGCTTTCCACAGTTATCACGAATGGCCTTTGACCTTCTTTCGATCCCGGCCATGTCTTCAGACTGCGAGAGGCTATTCAGTATGGCCAAATTGATCGTTGGACTGCAAAGACACGGGATTAGTAGCGATACCATTAACAAGCTATTGTGCTTGTTAAATTGGCGGCGATATGGCCTGTTTTGAAGCTTCGGCATGGCTTTGGCTGGCTTTCGGCGTCTCGGCTGGCAGGTTTTTTCTATGCTGGGGTTTACACGGGCCGGAATATTGTTTTTCAGCGCCGGTCAAATATTTGTAAATAAAACAATTAACTCAAATACATGTTGGAAAAGCTCAAATATGGCCTCACTTTGCAAATTAAATACAAATACGGGTCCTGGGCATATTTATTTGCATTGTTGCCGTAGCTTACCTAGACTGCTTGCTATAATTATTAAACAGCAGGGCGGCAAGGTGCACCACAAAGACGGTGCAAATAAGAGTCTGTCATCGCGGTGGCCCGTTTTCGGCATCCAACTCGATGCAACCTGCGAGGCCTGAACCCAAACCAGCTGAAATGGTGTGAGTTTGGATTAGACCTTGATGACCAGCCGACCCCCCGGTTGCGGGAGGGATGCAGAAGGTTACATCAGGTGGAATTGGTTTCCATCATTTACCAAAGGCAGTTAGGTCTTATCATCTTGGCATCATATCATCTTGACATCATATCAAATTCGGGCTGCAAATCTGGGCTCGCCAGCCCGGTTCTCCTCTTGGCCGGCTCTCTGCAAGATCTGAGGTGAGCATTGGCTTACCACACCGCTGGCTTCGACGTGGAGGACCGAAGCAATTAGAGAAGTTGGGAACCTGCACGCGCATGTGTGCCCGCGATCTCAGTTTGAACATACGTTTGACTGGCCTCCCGAATAGAGGATTTCCACACTGGCCATCCACAGGCTTCATCCACCGGTGCCGTACAGCAACGGCAACTTGTCAAATCTGGACGCACCAATTTGTTGGACAATGGGGCGAAAACGGGGTGTGTGGGGTTAAGTGATATAAGATCGTGTGTGTGGAATCGCAATCGCATAGCGGTCGAAACAGGGTCTGGAGCCCGCGGACATCGTTCCTAGGGGATCCGCTTATGGCAGTTTAACTTGATCCGGGGGCTCGTAACGACATCGTTCTGAGCTAAGGTAATCGAGCCACGCAACCCCAAGGTTTCGAAATACGACTGGGACGACTGGGACGACTGGGACGACAGCGAGTCAGCAGCTGTTAGACCAACAGGCCAGCAGTGTGCCAACCCCCGGGCCGATATCAGCTGAGAGGCAAGGATTCATACTTACACTACCTAGCCTTCGCCTTCGTTGTTATGCTATTCTTATCTCCTGCGCTTACTAGGTCCTCTTAAAGGGCACTTTTCTTAGATCATTTCTAATGCAAAGCACCATGCAATCCTTCTTCCCGCAGCCTCCCCCAACTATCCCAACTATATTTTCATTTTCTTAAACCCCCCCCTATTCAACTTACTTCTTGGTAGTTGGGAGTCGGGGCTGGATTGAGCAGCTGCGCTATGGTTCCGACTACCTCTTTTTCCTTTGTCTCCTGCGGGGGGTGGGAAGTGGCCGGGCCGGAAGCAGGACCAGCAGGGCCCCGGATGGAAGGGGCTCGGTAATTGGCACGGACATCATCTTTGGGGCCCTGCATGAGCACGTCGTGGTCTAGAGTGCCATGTCTCTCCCGTTTCAGCACACGCCAGTCGACGTCAGGCAATTCTTTCTTCTCGCGCTTCCCCAACACACTCTCGGTCTCGGTCGACTCCGGGTGCTGCGAGCGCTTGGAGTGTATCGGGAGTTGAACGGTGGCTGTGGTGCTGTCAACGGGCCTTGAGGTGCTTGAGCCCGGAGAAGTTGTCAAGACTCTGCCTTGGCTTGCTAAGGCTTTGGCTTTGGTTGCAGGTGCATCCCAATCAGAGCCTGGCATGCCGGGTCCACGAAGGCGTGTAACTTGGGGGAGTTGCGGGTCGGCAGCGGTTGCTTGTGCCCCTACGTATACCTGGGACGATATGGAACCGGGCTTCAGTGGAGCCCGATTGAATTAGTCCGTGTCGAGGGGCTTATCTGGTCGGTTGATTGCTGGCTTTGCTCTTGTCTTGTCTCTTTCCGTCGTTTGGGTCTTGGAGCCGGTCGAAGGTATATCCCTACGAGAGCCAGCTATGCCGTGTCCGCCAAGAGCCTCAAAATCGGGGAGTTTCGGGATGGCGATGGGTTTTGGTGCCCATTCGTGGACCTGGGATGAGACGGAACCGGGCCTTGGCAAAGCTTGATTTGGCTCGCCTGTGGCGAATCGATGATTCTGATTGTTGGTTTGCCGGTTTTCGCTTCTCATTTGATCGTCCTGGGCATTTGAGCCCCGACTCGCACGGGTCTGCTCTTCTTTCGTCTTCTTGGGCCCGTATTTGATTGGTCGGAAAAGGTTTTTCGCATACTCGTCGCTTTTGCCGGCTAATCTTTCGGCAAAATGAAATGAAAATATGGCGCCGGATGAGGGTGCCTCGTCGGAGCCTCCGATGATCAAATATAGTCTTTGGTTCGGGGCCAAGTTGATAGGGATAGTCTGCTGGAAGGTGTGAGTTTGCTTAAAAAGTTCCGTGTGGCCTGTCAGTTGCTCTTTTACAACTTTGCCCCTGAATTCGTCTTCCAGCGGTTGGTATTTGGGATCCTCACAATAATCCCTCTCTTTGTCCTTTTCCCATTTTCGTAGCAGCATGAGCCGTGCATGATTTTTGCTCCGTTCATAAGTGCAAATTCTGATCTCGCCGGACGAGGTGATGGTGAAACAACAGTGCATGTCGTAGTACACATCTCTGTCGGGGACAAGAGTGGCGTCATTGAGAAAATCTTTCCCGAAGGTCAAGTCATTCCAAACCCGGCTCTCCCAGAAGGCAAGTCCCGCAGTTTTTTTTTTGTTTCGGAGTCATCGTCAATATCATGCCTATAATTGGCCGTTTTGTTCCTGACCGTGTTGCGGATTTCGACCGCTTCGAAATTCCGTGGTATGAGATAAAAAAATATCAGATTCATCTTTTGTCCGGGTGTTTGGGACGTCACTCTGGACGGATTCAGTATCTGGGACGCAACTACCCGATCTCCGGAGCGCTTGGCTCAGAGAGGGGCAAAATAGGATCCCCAAGTCAATTATGGCCACTGAGGCGAGATTGAGAATTTAGATAACTTCGGCCTGTCGTGCAATGTTTGAGCATGCTCAATTTTGACGGAGATTTGCATCGACTTAACCATATCGGGAGCCTAGAGCGACAAATTTCCCAATTAGTCAAACCAAGCGATATCGAGATTAGTTGTGAAACACGACTGGACCTTGAGTCAGCTGACAGGCCAACAACAAACAGCCTTACAGCTCACCGGCCCATCCAGTTGAGAGGTCGAGAAAGGTAATATGATATTAATAATCAGCAGCTATAATCAGTTGCCAGTCATGCTGAGAATCTCACGGGGAGAACCAATCACCCAATTCGTAGCCGATAGACCGCCAGGAAACCACGCCCGAGTTGAAACCCGCGTATTTGGAGCAGAACTCTTCCCATACTAATTTTTGTGTGCTTGGGCCCTGCACCAACACTTGCACCAGTAACTAATTATCCTAGGACCTAGCCAAACATTTTGACGGGAGATTTGAATAATTGAATCCTCCAGCGCGCTCACTTTGATCTGCGAATCGTTGGGGATTTAGCTAAAACAGTTTGTGTGTGGAGTCAACTGATGTGCAATTGTCAACTAATGTGCAATTAATCTGAAATCAGATATCACTTACCTGTATACCTCATGTAATTACCTGGTAGGTATTCCTACCTACTGTCGATCATGGGGTGAGTCTAAGTCTAAGAAGGAAGGAACGGAGTTGGACATGAAGCGGAGAGAAACACCCTGTCGTGGCGCTGCTGTGTGGCTGGAAAGGGCTGAGCCACATATGATTTCTCAGCGCACGAACCCCTCGCGAATCCAGAGAACACGTGAGCCTATAAGCCAATAACCCCCAACCGAGTGACAGCAACCCTGTTAAACTTAAACGACTACGTTTTCTTTGGCAAAAAAAAAACGACTTTCTCAAATTCACTTCCATTACTCTATTTCACGTCACAAATCTGCCATCCGATGAGTAGTTTTGGACCCTTGGCGATGGCTTCCAATGCGCTAAAGACGAAGGAAGCCAAGAGCCAAGCCACCCCGGGCTGCCTCGTTGTGCAGTGGCCCGCAGTCCGGCAATCCATGGATGCAGAATGCAGTGACGCAGCGCTAACGAATATGCCCCGGGGGCAATGCACTTTGAATTTCAGCTTCACCAGGCTCTGCCCATGCCACGCCGCCACCGCATGGATGCAACTCACTTCAGGCCAACCCATCAGTCACATCACATCGATGAAGTGAATTCCGCCAGGTTTTTTGAAGAGCCTCGGAATCCTTTTCAACCCAAAGGTCATTCATAATTATTACCGCGCCAATGGACCCATTGACTGCGCTTTCGGTCGCAGCCGCTGTCGTTCAATTTGCCGACTTCGGCTGTCGTCTGCTTAGGCGCGCATACGAGATTTACGAGTCTCCGAAAAATCAATCGGCCAAGAACATTGAGCTCTCAACCGTGTCGCGCGACCTGGCGCATCTCGTCCAGGACGTTGAATTGAAGCTGGGCGGAAATGGCAACGAAACTGAAAATAGAAAAGGGCAAGGGCGAGGGCAAGCCCAGAGCCGGGAAGAACAGCACCCCAACGAGGCCTTCATGCGCCTGTGTCGCGAGTGCAGAGAAACAAACGACCAGCTCCAGGTCATTATCGGCAAGCTGCAGGCTCGCGGCTCCAACAGGCTCTCGCTGGCCGCCTCGAGCTGGATGGTCGCGCTCCGACAGGCCGCTGCCGCCGGCGACCTGGACAGACTCACCGAGCGCCTCAACCAGATCCGCCAGCAGATCATGGTCGCTCTGCTGTCCCAGCTGCTGGGCGAGGCCCGGAGGAGCGGCCTCGACCTGCGCCAGTTTGCCCACCAGCAGGCGAGCATGATCGCCACCCTCGATCGGATCGACCAGAACACGAAGCAGCTCAGCACCGACGTCGTAGGGCTCGTCGACATGAGCTCGTCGCGCCATCGCACCGAGGCCAACGACATGGTGAACTACGTCATGAGCGACAGCTGGGATGCCGACGAGTATTCTGCTCCGGCCCGCATCGACAAGTACCGAGACCGCGCCCTTCTCGACCGCGTCTTCCAGGCCCTGTTCTTCACGACCATGGACCACCGAGAGGCGAGCATCCCCAAGAAGTACGCCGAGACATTTGAGTGGATCTTTGCCGAGCCTCGAAAGTCAAAAGACGGCCAACCTCTGTGGTCCAGCTTTCCCAAATGGCTGCAAGGCGATTCCAAAGGCATCTACTGGATGAGTGGCAAGCCGGGCTCGGGCAAGTCGACCTTGCTCAAATTCATTTCGAGAGACCCGAGGCTCAAGGAAAACCTAAAAGTGTGGGCTAAGGGGTCTGAGGTGCTCGTCGCCAGCTTCTTCTCCTGGACCGCCGGCATGGACAAGCTCCAGAAGACGCACGAGGGGCTTCTCCGAACCCTGCTCCTTGACCTCTTTCGGAAGAAACCCCAACTCCTGGCCACTGCGTTCCCCGCCCGCTGGTTCCTTCTCCAGTCGTTCAACGGGAACGTCAAACTGCCGCCCCTCGACTTTGGCTCGCTAATGGCTGCGTTTCGCAAGCTCTTGTCCGCGGCTGGCGACGGCATGAAGCTGGCCTTTATCATCGACGGCCTCGACGAGTTCGACGAGGACCACCGCGAGCTGATCCAGCTCCTCCGCGAAGCCAACACAAAATCCGGTGTCAAGGTTTGCGCGAGCAGCCGGCCCTGGAACGTGTTCAAGGACGAATACAGCAAGAACCCCATGCTGCAGCTCGAAAACCTGACTAGGCAAGATATCAAGCTGTTCGTCAAGAAGAAGCTCGAGCTGAGCCCGGGCTACCAGGACCTAGCCAGCACCTCTCCGCAGGCGGCGCGCAAGATCCTCAGCGACATTGTCAACAAGGCCGAGGGCGTGTTCCTGTGGGTCTCGGTTGTGTCTGGCCTGCTCGAGGGCTCGTTTCAAGAAGGCGCGCGGATAACGGACCTCCAAGCCATAGTCGACGGCCTGCCTAGCCAGGTCTCGGATCTGTTCCGCTATATCTGGGACCGGACGAGCAAGCGGTTTCGCGCTGAAGCTTCCCAGTACTTCCAGGTCATGAGGGCCTGCGAGAAGGTGGGCACCAACCTCTTCGGCCTGGCGCTCTGGCTCGGCGACAGCGACACGCCCGCCGACCTGGCCGCAGCCGAGGTCACAAACGAGTACCTGACGGGAGTTGCCAAGTCGCTGGAGCGCAGGCTAATGAGCCGCACGGGCGGACTGCTTGAGCTGACGGGCGACTTAGGCGGCATCGCAACCATGCACGTCGACTTCATGCACCGGACCGCCAACGACTGGGTTCGGGACAACTGGGAAAGCATTTCCGCAGCAACAGAGGCCGGGTTTGACGAGTGGCTCTGGCTCTTCAAGGGCGAGGCTCTGATGATGCTGTTACTCAGCGCAAGGCCGCCCCAAGCCGGCTTCTGGGCTCGTGTCCGGACCACACTCGATGCTGCTTCTCGCGTGAGCGATGCCGACCCAGCAAAGACTGCAATTCTGGTCAAGACTATTGACCGCTTCGATCGATACCTGTTGACGGTGGCTCGGTATTCTCGCAATCCGGATGGGTCGTACGTCTTTGCTGGGGAAGGATGGGGCAAGCATATGTGGGTCACGACGATGCACTGGGGCAACGTTATGGGCAAGGCGAGCCAAACGGACGACTCGGAAACGATCCTTGACACGTCTGCCAGGCTTCAAGAGTTCATCAGAGTCCACGACTGCGTCGACATGCTCGGACTTGCCGCTCGCCTCGCCATTGTGCCGTACGTGAGATGCAAGGCCGAGCAATCCCCGAGCCGGTTTCAGCAGGTTGCGCTGTCTTCCAACATTCTGGAGTGCCTCGTCTTCAGCGGGCACGAAAATCTCCGTGCCACGGCCAGGTTGCGTCTTCTGGAGTCTCTCTTGCGCATTGACGACGGCCGCTCTTGGGCTGACAGGCTGCGCAAGATCAAGGACATTGCTGCGTTCGAGCACGGGTCGCGTGAGTATTTTAGCCAGGTGGTGACTATAATCAATTCGCATCTTCCGGTTGAACCAGTCTCAAAACGACAGCAGCCCGGCACCCCGGACAAACCGGCGCGCCACCCCGAGTCGGAAAGCGGCGCAGCACCCAAGGCACAAAAGACGACTGAGCAAGGGAAGAGCGGGCCAAAATTGGGGATGCGCTTGAAAAAGCTGTTTGGCCGAAAGCCGAGATAACAATCTGACAGAGAAATTAGGTTTAACTTCATCCTGTCTTACTTTCATCCGACCTGTGCCTCCGGCGGCCCTCCGGGGGGGCCTGCCGCGGGCTGCTCGCTGCGCTCGAAGGACCTGGGGCCATGTGCCATTGCCTCGTTTGCCAGTCACCATACCTTACTCTTTCTTGAATCCTCAGATAATGATTCCCGCTCTCGGCTACGCGGAGTCTCTCTTGAATGACCAGGAGAGGGCGGCATAACTTTGAGAGAAAAACACCATCAACCTCAAATTGCAAAAATCTAGATACCCAATCTGAAGTTACGGCCGCGGCGAACAGTCATGGATATTTTGTGCGAACAGAGACACTGGAACTGGTAATTCTGTATAGTTGCATTGCTCAACTCTAAAAGACACAAATATCTTTCCAGCTAACTACCTAATTATCTTGGCACAGAATCCATTGTGTGAGACGCACGTCGTCGTCGTCCCCAACAGACCTTCGTACATCTTTGTCCAACCTCCGTTGAGGATATGTGCATGTTCTAGACGCTATGCGACCTTTTGGATCTAATTGCCAAGAGCTTCCGCGCCAATTCTATTGCCGCCGACTTTTCAGACAAGAAGCTGGTGCTGTAGGGCTCCCCTAGTACCCAGAACTCGGCATCTCCAATATACAAGACTAAATGCTCCTTGAGGCTCCTCACCTTGGGCACCGCAAGGCTACGAAAACAACGAGCGCGCTCCTCCCATTTAGTGTTTGTGGCGGCCCCTTTGTAATCGTAACTCACAAGTTCGGTATGCGGCTGTGGAGCCGGGTTGCTCTTGCTAAGGCTTTTATCCGAGACGGGCATCTCGTCAACGAGGAAGACATCGTCGCCCTCGGTGACGCGCGCCGTACAGGAAGGAAGTGGCCGAAAGGCCGCTGCTCACAAGCCTGCGGGCGGAGAGAGAGGCCAAGGCTGTCTTGGGGAGGTGGACGTCGTTTTCCTTTTCGTCTCGCTCAAACGTCAGGAACGAGTCGCCAGTGCCGGATGCTACTCCGTCGAGACGCCAATCGTGACGTCGGGCTAGTTGGTCACTTCTTTAAATCCGTCCAGTCCCGATGGAACTACGAGCCGCTCGTTGAGCTAGCAAATCTTGACTGCCTCGGCGTTTATTGCAATAAGTCTGAAGAGCAGCGGCTTGGCCTTCATAGTTTCTGCAGCGGGCCCCTAAGCCTTGCCCTTCTGGTCCTGCGACGTGCTTGCGCTGGACGCCATATTTTTAGGCCTACTGAGGCTGAGGTTGTCTTGTACTTGGCGACGGTTGCAGATAGTTGTTGCAGATGGCTGTTGCAGATGGCTAGGATAGCAACTTGTGGCCCTTCATTTATGGTACTGGCGGGGTCTTGCCCTGCCGTGCCTGCGACGTGCTTGCCATGCTAGATGTCATCCCTGCGTGATTGGATGAGGCTGGAGCAGCTTCAGCTTCCGGGGTTTCTTTTCTTTTCCTAGTTTCTTTTCTTTTCGCGTCAAGTTGTGGCCTTCTTTATGGATCAAGGTGCCGGACCAAAGGCGGCTCCGGACTGAATGAGATGCAGTTCAGGAACATATTAAGCTGCTGTGCTTTCTATATATGTGTGCTTTTGGCTCTTGAGATGGTGGTCTGGGCCAATGGGCCACAAAGACTCGAATACCGAATCGGATTTAATAGTCAAACCGGGCTGGGAGGCCAGCCGCCAGTCAAGGGCCATCTAGTTGTGGGACCGTCCCGAATTCCGAGTTCAGACGAGCACATCTCGGCACGCGCAATTGTCGTCGACGGCCATGCTCTCTAGCCGTGCCGTGGCTTCGGCCCTGGTTTCATCTGGACGTGCCACACCACGGTTGCCCACCCATCTCGCCGTTGAGCAGCAGATCTGACAGGTCGAACAAGAAATGGTGGCGTGCGTGCGGCGCTGGCACCGCTCACGACCGCCCAACAGCGGGCGTATGCGCGGCCAAGCGTGCGTTTCGGGGCCGGTATCATGGGAATTCATGTGTGTACAATCATGTTCTCTCCACTCAATACTCCACAGCTTCGGACTTCCAACCAGCGAGGGTGGAGCGTCCCTCCTCTGGCGGAAGTTAGGAACTCCGGGAGCAAAGTCTCGTTGGCTGTTGGGACACTGGCTGCCATTTCTAGCCGACTTCCATAGCAGAGCCAATAAATTTCCCTCCCTCTATCCAAGTGCGGAATCTGGAATTTGACGTGGGTGGGAACAAGTTGTTTCCGTCGACTTTTTTCCCTCGGCTTCTGGCGCCCCCATTAGCTGTAAGGAACATTACCCACTTCTGGTTCCCTGAGCCAATAAGATGCACAGTTGTCAAGGAATCAAAGGCCGTTGGACAGTGGCGCATCGAAAAAGCGGGTAGACTTGAGCCGCAGGCTGAGGACAGTTGAGTTCGAGTTTACCTGCATTAGCACAAGACAGCCTTTCAAACGAGACAACAAATAAGCAACCATTAGCCTAGCGCCAGGTTCCAAAAAGAACCGGCCAGAAACCTCACCATCTTACCCGTCTGACCATAATTATGTGGGGAGTAATTAGTCTGTAACTGATTCCTTATTGGTCTTTATTGGTCTTTGACCCAACGAATGTCCAAAATTCCACGCAACGGTTGAAAAAAGTGCCTGGCCATGCAATGTGTCTCAACCAGACAAGCACATCCATAATTTTTCTGTCGGGCTAACTAACATCAATGCCTAAACTAAGACCTACTTTACAACCCACAATCGACCGCCAACAAACCAACAGCCTTACAGCGGAGCCGGCCGGCTTGCTGAAATCAAGATCGAGATATACAATACATCAACTCAAGCCTCCAATAGCAATCGGGTGCTTCCAGCCCGATGCCAAATCACCTCCTCCATCTTAGCCGAACCTCAAACGAAACTGCAAGTTCGACCGTCAGCCGGACTCGAAATATGCACCTCAAGACTGTTCCTTTTTGCCGCCGGAAGTAATATCAGAACAGGGGATAAGGACGAAACGGTTTGTGATTTTGGGTTTGATTTTGATTTCCGGGACGGCTCGGTGATCTTGAGAGCGGGCTCTCTTGTCCTTCCATTTAGCGTTTCGTTTGCATAATCATGTCAGCCCAGTCCTAGCCCCAGGTGATTGCTTAGATAGAAGAGCTAGGATAACTATAATAGGTACTTCATTGGCATTATCTTTATCACACCTGCCCTGGGTATGGCGTTAAACGGTATCAACTATATCTTTATGTCTGCGACTGTAGTTCTGGCATCTAGCTGAATATTTGAAATCCGTTGATCGGAACTCTGTCGGCACCGTTCAATTATTTGACTTTTTGCAATACCGTGGTAAATGCCTATGTTAACTTTTAATACGTACGTGGTGATGGGTATAAGCCATTTCGCTTTTATGGCAAATTCAACTATGGAAGTCCCTCCTTAAGGCAAGTCTTATTGAAGTAGACGAAATATCATATATTATATCTTTACTCTCTTGGCAACTAGGCACCTAATTTTCTAGACCTCTGATATGAGACGCTTGTAGAAATGAGGCATAACGCAGAATCCCCCGGGTCTAGTTAGGATCGAGTAGGGCACACGAGAACTAGAAATACAATAATAAAAGAATTGTTGGAATTTGTCAAGCAGAAGGGCCTCGAAGGTTCTAGATAGAGACTTTGCCACCAACTTCGCCACCACAATAGTAGTATAAGAACGGGCTTTCTGGCACTGCCAGAAAGCTAGAGAGAAGAACAGACATCTACAATCCATCACTTGAACCACCAGTTTTCGGCGTGCAGCCACGCCCTGTTGAGTCCAGTACCGGTACCCTGGTGAATCCAACAAGAATGAATCCGAACGAGAAACAAAGAGAAAATCTAACAAGTCACTTTGGCAGGCCATACAGCTCAGGCCGGTGGCTTTTCTGTATCATCAATACGCTGCTTCTTGTGATCAGAGTTTGGGTTTCCTGGCGCCGGCGGCGATGCTCCGCGCTTACCATCATCCCTGCCATGTGCGACTGGACCGGTCTGGGTCTGGGCGACAACGCCGCCGGGTCCGTAACTGGCTGTAGTGGCACCCGTTGGTGTCGGTGCGGTAGGTACGCCTGCGGTTTTTCCCTTGTCAAGTATATGTGTAGATAGCGCTCCAGATCCTCCTAGGACTGTATGAGGGGCCGCGCGCTGTTTTGACTCTGGCCTGAGGTTTAGAAGAGGGTGAAAGACAGAGTGGCCTCGACTGTGGGGCTCTTTGATTTTATCTAGGCATTCTTCCACGGAGACTCGTTCGGCGGGATCCCATGCGAGCATTCTCGCAAGCAATGGTGGGAGGCAGCCAATATTTATGAGCGACCGAATGCGGCTGTGCCAACGACGGATGCGAAACTCATCATCATCCTCTGTGGCATTTTTAACTGGATCTGTGAAATCTCCTCGTGCTCCTAGGCTTTTCCGCCCGGGGTTAAGAAAGTCGAGTCTCCTACACCATTGCTCTTCAGTCATGATAAAATCCATGCCACAGGTGTAGCGGAAGTTCTGTAGAAACACGTGGCCAAGCGAATATATATCCATAGCCGGGAAGATCGGTACCTGGGCCAAGACGGCCTTCCTAAGCTCGTCTAGTCTGTTTCCGGCCGGACGTTTGAATTTCAGAGTGGTTTCGGGCGCAAAATCATATCTGCCAGGATTTTCTCGCCAGCCAGCGGCCCCTTTTTTGGGGTCAGAAATTTGACTGTAGCTAAAGTCAGCAAGGACAAATTTCTTGCGGCCATTGGCGAGATCCTTGCAGAGTATGTTCATCGGATTGATGTCATGGTGAATAATGTTGTATTTCTTCAAGTGGCTCAAGGCGCTGAACATGGCCACTTCAAGGTCAACTGACCAAGGTGGGATTATTGGAAGCGTTGTTTCACATGATTCTACGTCATGCATATCCGGACGATTAGTACCATTTGGCAGGAGAAAACGTTCAGTCAAGAACGGAAACCTTTCCATTATAGAACCGCCAGAATACCAAGGCATCCAGATCCTGTTCATGTTGTCAATTGTGTAGCCAATGATATGTTCCTACAGTAATGATTAATAATATGATTCGGTAGATGGAGAAGTCAGTATTAGAGTGCTTACATTCGGCGGGTGAGACTTCAGCTTTTTAATTGTCTCAATCTCTTGTTCAAAGCATTTTCGGGCATTTTCATCATATTTTGGGTCGCTCGCCTTGCTCGCCCGTGATGCTGGGATGTCATTCCGGACTTTGATTGCCTTTATCCTTCCATTCAGCATGTCGACCACCTTATACACCGTCCCCGCCGCGCCCCGGCCGAGTTGGGAATAACAAAAGAATTTCTCTGGAATTCCGTTCAGGATGCCGCTGGTGTATTCGAATTTTAATTTGTCGGCTTCAGTTTTTAGGCCTTTCTTAAATTCTTTATAATCTCCCATTGGCCCCCAATTGAATTCAAACTTTGCATCCGGGTCCCCCAGATTGATTATAATTTTTGCGTTGCTGATCTTTGTAAAGTTTGAGGAATGAATCGTAGGGATCACGCCTTGGCGAATCTCCGCGCTCTCATCTAGCTCGAGCAGCCGTTTCACTCTCTTTCGAAACTCGATCAACTGAGTCATAGTTTGCTCACAATGAGGATAATCTATTATTATTTTGGTGCGCTTGTCTTCCGCCAGATCTCGGAATATGAGCTCCCCTGACTGCGCGAGAAAAAAGCAGCAATGATTGACGGGCCCGGGCTCATTTCTGTTAGAGAATAGTTCGATGTCGTTTGTAGACTTGTCGTGGCCGAATGAAAGAAGGATTCCTGGCCTGGCGGGGGCTTGCTGGTTGCGGGAGACAACAATGTCGAATTCACCATCATCACGTTTCTTCACTCGATTTTTGTTGCCTGTATACCCGCATACCCTTTTTGCCGTCGGGTTGCTCGTTGTCAGTGTAAAAATGACGTCGTTATCGGACGCTGGTTGGGGCGCTTGCAACGTCGAGTTGGTGGCCATGTGAACTGAACCGACCAGCGTCCAAGTGAGGCGTCTAATAAGTGGTAAAAAGATTCAATTAGTGGTCCACGAACAAGAAAAAGGACGTAGGTCTTAATTAGTTATATATGAATATTACAGGACACGGAAGGGGCCACCAATAGCCCAATAGTCCAGCAACCGAGCTTCAGACGGCTGGCCTGGGAGCTGCACTTACCCGCGTTTAATTATTGGTTTCAAGTCCAGACGATCAGGGCGGAAGGAATGGGCCCGCCGGCCAGTGCAGAGGACCGGACCTTATGAGTGGCCTAGGTCGGTCACTTGATTATCAGCCAAGGGTGTTGGACTAGGAAGGTGGCGAGGCAGTTGATTGGTCAGAGATCACGTGCCGCCAAGAGCAGAACCAGGACGTACCAAGCCATGAGGGCAGCCGAACAAGTACAAATAGGCCGAAAAATCGTCTTCGTCTGATGTCTAAGCACTCGGCCGTGTTACAGACCGCCAACACAACCTTAACACTGCGTCCAGACGAAACAACAGCTTTATCATTAGACGTCCCGGCCGGGCCGGCTTCGGTTTCCACACTGAACCCAGGCGGGACACAGACGGCACCCGGGAACCCGAAGAGCTGGCCAATTAGGGCGCACCAATTCCATCTACCAACGCGCGAGTGCGTTGTTAATTTGGGAAAAGCGAAGAAAAAAAATTGAAAATACAAAATCGAAAAAAAAAAATTTATTATGAAAACAATCCCCAGCATGGTTCAGGATCCGCGTGATATCCTCGGATGCTCGTCCTGCTGCGGGCACATTACTCCTGTTCCCCCGTTCCCTGGCGGGAGTGGCTCGAACTCGCTGCCAGTGCCGCGTCGGGGGCAGATTCAGAGTCTGAGCGTTCAAAAATGGAGTAAGGGGGGTGCTTCTTGCGAGCCTCTTCCTGAAAGCCCTAATACGATTCAAATGCGAGGATATTCTCCTGCGAGTTGTAGCAGTCAGCATTACGGCGGGGTCTGGTCCAGGACATGGGGCAAGGAAGTTGGAACTGGCAATTAAGGACTCACATGTCTTCATCTGCGACTCTGAAATTTCCACATTAGCTCTAAATTCCTTTTGAGAAACTCTCGTGCGTAAAATCTGTCCTCATATGAGCTGCTTGACCCGATATTCGCCTGCGAGGCGACCCATGAATACCCGGTTTGTAGGTCAACCGCTTTCAACTCTTGCGCGTAGGGCGTCGAGTTGATGACGCGGTATATGATACACACCTTACTGCTCTCATTGGTAGTGATTCCAACCGGGCTGTGCTCGGTTCTTTCCGAGGCGGATCGTTTCTCGGGTCTTAGGACCAGCCCCTCGGACCCCTGGGCTCCTGCATAGGCCTGGAGAGCGCTTCCGAGGTTGATGTCCACCTTCTTGGTGTCGATAAGTGCGGGGGTCCAGACCAGTTTGAAATCGGCCTTCGCAGCCTCCAGACTGATGGTTAGTCGGAGTCCTAGGACTGTGGTTAAGACGCCGCCGAGGCAGGGTTTAGTCGGAATTGAAGAGCATCTTCAAGCGGGCCTGCTCGTCTTCTTTCTTCAGCTCAAGTTCGTGGACAACGAGGGAGATTTGGGTCGCAGAATCGTGCGCTTTCATTAGATCGTTGAGAATGAATAAGCCCGACAGAGTGATGGAGATGGAGTAGCAATCGTGCATGTCACTCGAACTGCCACTTGGAGTGACCGAATCGGGCAAACGGATGTCACTTTTCTCGCTCCACCCAAACCGCAAGGATGGCGGCTTTTCCGGCTCCAGACTTGATGCGGTCATGACGGGAACAATGATGCGAACGTCGTCCTGCCTTTTATCAGTCAGCAGCTCGTTGCGTGGGTCTTTGCATATTGCCTTTGCCCTTTCGTTCGCCGGCTCGAGAGTAAAAGCGACTTGGCTGGCGTCTGGGCCAATTCGGGGCGGTCTGGCCTTTGACGCTTCTGACAAGAACTTGAGAAGAAGGAGCGGAGGCCGGGAGAAATAAAAGAATACACTTTCAATTCACCGAGACTACCTAATTGCATTCTCCCTCTCAAGCCTTCCTCAACCTCGCAGCTGTAAGTCAGGTGACCAGCTTTTAGACCAACCCCCTATTAGACCACGCACTAAAATCGCCACCCCACTACATCATAAAATTCAATTGCTCACAGCTTCGTCAATTAGATAGCTACATTAATACAGCTTGCAGTGTCAGGTTCCTCTTCTTCTGAAATTCTAGAATCTATAACATTCTCCCCAGCAGCTAATCTTTGTGCGCGGCGGATCTCCTCAATACCAGCAAAGGCCTTATTGGGGTCGATTTCCACCCTCCTTCTCTTCCGGCCTCTCGCACGTTCGAGCTCTTCCTGGGCCGCTTGCAATTGTTGTTGAATGGTATCCAATTGGAAGGCCATGTTATCGAATTCTTTGTAGGCTTTCCGCATAAAAAGCCGTTCGCTGGCAGTACGTTTAGTACCACGTAGAAAACGCTCCCCCTGAGCCGAGAAATCCTTGGCCTTTTTAGGGGTAAACCACAAAGGCCGGCCCTCCGAATTCTTGCCCAGAATGGGGTTATTGAACGACTCAAGGCCTGCAGAAGGTATGGGGGCTACCGTACTAATGCAGCCATTGGAATTCATAATAACGAGGCTGTTACTTAGGGGCTTCCTTAGGGAGACTAGCCACAACCCTGAGGCCTTCCAACCAGCCTTGATATTTGACTCGGTCATTCCGAAGATTCTGGCGCGCCTATAGCATTCTAAAAAGGCTTGTTTTGCAGCTACAGAGTCGCTGGTTAGGCCAGAAAGCAAGTCATTCAGCTGTGCCCTGTACTTAGCCTTCAGCGGGCCGAAAACGGCTACATCCACGGGCTGGAGAACGTGAGAGGTGTGGGCTGGCAGAAATAATAACTGTACGTTGTTGGTAAAAGCCAGCCACATAAATTCCTCAGTGGTATGACTGCCGTGGCCATCCAAAATAAGGAGGCGTTTCTCCTTAGGGTTGGCCGGCCGAGTGGCCGGAAGAAAGACTTCGCGGAGCCATTCGACGACAGTGTCATCGTCAGTCCACCCGTTTTTGGTTGGTTTGAAGGCCCAACCTTCGAATGGGGTCAAATCGCGTGGGTACCACTGTTGCTGGAGGCTCCCACGCTTGAAAATAACCAGTGGGTTCAAAAACCGGTCGTCGGCCGAAACACACTCTAGAATGGTGGTCCAAATTCGGTCTCCAGATTTCCTCTTTTATAAAAGCTTTCTAGATTTGGAGCCTACAACCAGACCATTATCTCCAATGCCATTAGATATGCCAGTTTCGTCCATATTGTACCTGTTCTCCGGCAGAATGGGCTTGACCCCTAGAAACTCCAGGTAGTCAAACCAGGGCCGAATAACGGCCTCGCAGGCTCGGTCAGCACGGTTTGCGTGGATTCTCCGTGGTCTCTTGGTAGAAATGGAAAGATTTCGGTTGAAAAAGCGGCGGCACCAGTGCTTTCTAAGGTGTGTTGGCTCTCCAGAGGCGGCGAGTATTCTGGTACCCAATTTCCGGATTTGCCTGTGGGTTGGGGGGTTGCCAATAACCCCCTGGAAGAGAAGCCATTCTGCGAGACGTTCTTCCGGTGCCGGAGAAAGCTTCTGATTGACTATTTGGGAGTAGGTGGCTGGATTGCCACCTTTGGATCGATAATATAAAGTGTTGTGGGGGATGCCGTGGTTTTTGGCCGCATCTGTCACCGCACAGTCAACTGTTATGAGGCAAGGCTGCAATTTAGTCGCTGCATTCGTAGAATCTAAAGCTAAAGAAGGAAAAAAAGGAAACGGATTAGAATCAAATTCGTGAAGTTGTGGGCGATTGAAATAGAAGAGTCGGGTGGCAAGGGTTAGTCATCCTTCTAGAACCTTGTGGTCTAAAAGGGGGTTGGTCTAAAAGCTGGTCACCTGACTTAGGCCTAGTGTTGGATTGGCTATTGTCAGATGGACAAGGGTTGCATGTGGAATAGAGCTCATCCCAGCTGAGCTCTGGTGTGGTCATCCGAGGTGAAAAGAGGCTCAGGGGAGCTGAAATGAAGTGGCCAGTTCAGCTGGTGTGGCTACTTTTGCCACCACCATTGCCACCATTTACAACTATAATAGAGGCCCTCTGGCAGGACCAAAAAGAAGAAGGAGGAGAGATGAATGAAAAAAAGTTGAAGTGCTGAATCCAACACCTAGTCCTTGGTAAATAGTCATTTTCCTTTCCTCGCGGTGGACAAGAGCACTGGTAGCCTGGGTTTTTTGATTAGCTGGCCCCACGTGCATTCATGTCCAGCAGTTGGTTAGTTAGGTAGTTCGCGGCTTAGTCGTCGACTCACGTTGGTTGAACGGGGGGGGGGGCGTGGTCACTGACAGTCTTGACAGTCTGACTGGTACCTATAGTACCTGATCACCTAGGCCCCGGACCCTGTTCGCAGCGGAACTTAGTCTAGTGGGTGCGTGAGGTCCAAGAACAGAGGTCTTGGCGTTCAATGTGGCCCTGGTAGTTACAAAATACAAAAGACGAAGAAGTCAAGGGAAGAAGCAAATTGTGCGCTACAGCAAGATCTAATAATCAGGTAGCGGTGTGCAGTATTCTCTCCGTGCGCTGAGAGCTAGCCAACTGATATGGATGACGGGGTGCAGGTATACACGCGACGCGTGCTTGCAATTATATACTTTACTCGGGGATCTCACTGATCTTCACCACACATTACAGCATTTCGGTCCGGCCTCGTTTCGATCACGAGTCTTCAGACGGCCTGCTTCAGCTCATCCGTGTATGTGAGCCAAAGAACAGCCGCGACTCGGCCAGAGACATGCATCATGCAGTTTCAGTCATCAGAAGCACCAGACCTGAATAGTGGGCCTGGGCCGGGGCAGTGGGAGCCCAATATTCCAAGACGATGGGGTAGTCCTTTTGAAACTCGTCCGCACTGTATCGATCCATCCGATTAGAAAAAGAGATGATGGCGACAGGTGAATAATTATTGAATGGGAAACATCCGGTGGTTGCTTGCGAGTTTAGCAGCTCGTTCGCATTGCATGGCAATGGTCAAAAGGAATAGTTGACCATCATCTATTGCGCTTACGAGGTCTATCAAGACTAAATGGTTAGGTAGGTAGGTTTGCAGCCAAGATGTTGCCTTACAAGGGATCCAAGATGCCGACGAGGAACGCCTACGTTGTAACCTTAAGCGGAGATGTTCATAAAGGTGAATATGAGAAAGTCCGTTCCAAAACGCCCGCACCTTCCGTTTGCACGTCCTGTCTTCGATTTTACCCAGAATGTTAGCAACAGCGACGACTTTGTCCCCTATCTCATTCAGAGTAGCTTTCTCTTTAGGCCGTTTGAAGAGCACGAGGCAGGAGACCAACCTCGAGAAATCCAAGAGAGCGTAATCACAGAACCCAGCGCACAGAGCTCCACCACTCAAGTGATGCCACATTTAATGGAGGCAGCGTCTGGTACTGCTGAAGCTCGCTCAGAGACAGATTCTGCCAAAGCAGTGACCCAGGAGTAGCGAGTTGAGCAATTTCAAGTGAAGGGCGAGGCGGCCCGCGTGATGGGAGGAAACCAGGCAGAAACCTAGCGAAGTAAGGACATGGTAAATCTTAGGTTTCTTATATGGTAGGTTGCAACACTACACGACTCATTACATGAACAGCAAGGATCAAAGAAGGAGTGGTCATGAAAAGTCTGCATGAAAAGTCTGTTGATTAGTGGGATCGTAAACGACGGGCAAGAGAGCCATGGAAGTCGGAAACTGGAAATGGCAAAGTTAAACTCGTCTCCACCTGAGGTGACTATTCTCGAAAAATGTGATCAATCCGCTGTGGAACTCGCTCATAATTAAAGTAGGCCAAACAAACACAAATATAATCAATCCGCTCTTCCAAGACACCCCTTTTATCACAATGAATCCTCCAGCCCCACTCCATGCCTCCCTCCTTTGCAGACTGTGAGATACCAGAATAACAAAAAATGCCTGCCATCTCCCCTCATCTGTTCGGTCGCCGGGTCTATCATAGAACCTGGCTCTTCTCCCTTACAGCCAATACCAAGTGAGAAAGTGCGCCCCCACTATAAAAGTCGATGAGAGTGCAGGGCCGAGTCTGTTCCAGTCTATACATCGTACCCACAAGCCTGTTGTATATTTCATGCGACCAGACTGGGTCGCATAGAATCATGGTGGACGCCCCGGTCAGGCTGAGGTCCTACCAACCGTCGGTGACGGCGCTCAAGAGAACGACGCAGAGATTGTCGGAGGGGTTGTTCAGGCGCCGGACCACATTTTGCGCATGTTCCTTGCCGACGAAATAGTTATCGAAACGGCCGATGCCGCAGGTCACCCACCTCCTCGTAAACTCGCGGTAAAGCCCCTCAGAGATCGTGTCCAGGAATGTATCCGAGTTGGAGACGACAATCATCTTCTCCATCGGCTTGGTACTGCGAATATGCATGATCTGCTCGATGACAGGGCCAGCAAGAGTATCGCTCAAGTACAGCCTCGCATCGTTCTTTGCCTTGAGCTCTTTGAGCAACTCCCAAGTTTGGTTAGCCGATCGTTGGATGGCCAGTGTCTTATCGTCCATTGCTTTGAGCTCGTCGCGCAGCACCAAGATTTGAGCCACTGATCGCCTGTTGGCTAGAGCGAGCCTCTTCTGCATTTTGTGCATGATCTCGCGTGCCGTCTCGGGGGTGAGCTTGGCGATACGATCCAAGTGGATGGCCGACATGGTTGCTAGCTGAGAGGAGGGAGGTGAGAAGCGGTGCTCTGTATACTGATTGTCGGTTGGGGCGGAAATGCAGACGACAGCGGCGATCCTGTGTGCGCAAAGCGGCTGGCGATTGTAGACCATGGACTAAGGATGTGCTAGCAATAATTGGGGTGTGACCTACATGGATTCTTAGTTGAGCTGTAATCTAAGATAGTTTGACGGCCGAGTTGAGCGCTTGAGATCAAGCTGCGAATGGCGACCCTAACGAACGGAATGTTGTAACGAGCGAGAGTTTAAGAATTGGACAAGATTTTGAAGTGGGGTGGAAGACTGGAGGATTGAATCCCCCCAAGTGTAAACAGGGCAATCAGTGGATCAATTTTCTTTTAGATGATAGAAGGTGCGATAAAGGGTGCGAGTGGAAAGGGCGTACCTCACCGTACTTGATGCAGACTCACCAGGTTCTTAAGACTGTGACTGCTACGGTCTGGGAAATGTCACACCCTCTGTTAGTGCAGTTCAGTTTGACGTGCCCCTCCAACGACAACCGGGCTTCAGCTCAGCTTGAACACCGATAACCTCGTGCCCTTGTTTCAGATAGATAGGGGTTTCTATGTACCTCACTGGACTGGAAGGAGGTGATAAGTATGCCCTGATTGCGTAAGGGGCGGGGTTCCTTTTGGATTTTCACGGCCACGCTCCTTCCTTCAGAAGTTCAGGAGTCAAGTTGCACAAGTGCGCTGGACGCGCGGGGCAAGGGCGAGCTGGTGGTCGGGCTGCTGCTCTGCCTCGTGATCGCGGCGTGCAACCCCTGTTCTCGTACATCTTCGCGCACCTGCTGTAGCTGCCGGACGGGCAGCAGGCGGCCGAGGGGTAGGTCGTGTCCATAAACTCCCCCGCGCCTGCCCTCTGCGCCCTCAATCCCCATTCGTTTCTGAGCTCTATTTACACCTCCCCCGGGGTTTTAAACCTTAGCAGAGTGGCTTTTAACAGTGAATTTGCCAGGAATATAAGCCATAAACGCAGGGGGTTGGAAGTCACTTTTCTAGTAGGTTCTCACCAAAAAGTCACGTGGTGGCTTGGTTGTATCGCACTAAGGTTTTAAACCCCGGGAGAGGTGTATAAGCGGTAGGTCCCATGGCGGTGTGCACGTGACAGTTCGCCCCACAGTTTGACCGGCTTGGGCACTTGGCGGTAAAAACGACAAGATAAGATGGAAGCCGCGAAACAAGAATTGGATGGAAAGGCTCAAAAAAAACAACACCCAAAATGCCCGGCTCATCCCTCTGGCTCCTGCCCCCGCAAGCGCACCCCGTGCGCGCTGCACTGTCGACACTGATCGCCTCAACGCTGCCCGCCGCCCTCCCCGCCGAGGCCGGCGTCATTTTCGAGCCGCACATGACGCTGACGTCGGACATCCCGGCCGACGCGTACGGCAAAGACCCGCAGAGCTGGCTGGACGCGATTCCGTGGCCCGCTGCTTCCGCCGGCGACGGGGTGCGCGTGCGGTTGGCGAGCGTCGCGTCGCAGGACGTCTTCGTCCGCCGCTGTTACATCCAGGTGCATGCCGGCCAGGGCGGCGTGCGCGACCTTGTCGGCTTCGCGCGGGCACACGCCGTGTATGGCGAGGAGGATGCGAGCGGCCCCGAGACGCGCGCGTGGTTGCAGCGGTGGGAGGAGGCGTATGGGCCGCATGTTAGTTTGATTTAGTGAGTTTTTGTTTCATTTTTGGTTTATCGCTTCTCGTCTCCGTATTTCATCAGAGGCTTGGCTGTCGTTTATTCAGAAGTTGGCTGTACGGTACTGACTCGCTGACCGCAGTGGAAATGTCCCGATGGACGAGGCCAAGTTGCGCGGAGTTACAAGGCTGGTGGGAGAGGCTGGCATTCGGCTGAACCCATCTGGGGAGACTGCGGCAGTTGAGAGCGAAGCGGAGGGAGAAGGGAGATGGGACGGATGGGAAGGCGGCATCTTGTGGCTGGTTCCCACCGACAAGCCGATTGCAGAGTGGAAACCGATTGCCACGAGAGTCATCTGAGACGTGATTTTTGATCTTGGTTGTAGGTGGAGCCAGCAGTGTAATAGGTTGAAATCATTAGCCCATTAATCAGGGAAACAAAGAAAAGAACAAAGGGATGTTAAAAGTCGACCGCTTAACACTCATCTTGCCTCAGCACACACCACACAGCAACGAACACAAACCGATACAAGCTGACTTACTAACTATTTAGCCCCGTAGCCCCCACTAACCCTTCCTATAAATACAAACATTGCGGTATTTCACAGCCTAGTAAACCAGTTAGTGTACTCTCCTTCGTGACTACCGAAGCAAATACCACGCCTAAGACAAAATTAAAAGGCCCGAAATCAGGTTCAAAATGCCTATTCACTAATTACTCTGCCCTTCATGTTATAAAGGTGGCATTTCTACCAACCATCCTCGTCGGGCTCTTCAGCAAAGGTCTTCATGGGCTTGGACTTGGCCGTCGACACGGTGTGGCGGATCATGTTGGCTTCAATTCAGCGGTTTTGGACGGTTTTGGATGCCATACTTGCCTCTATCGAATGCGATCCTAAGAATGCGATCTTAATGGAGAAACCAGGGGTCGAGACGAGAAGCGAGAAGAATCGTGCCTTCCGTTCATTTTGGAAAACGTACGACACGACGTCACGTCCTATTGTGGGATGTTTGCGCCTTCCTATTCGTTTCAAAGTTACTGCGTCTCAAAACCAGAGAAGGCAGGAATGAAGATTCCAGATGAACACCATAAAGACCTACACTCCCCCACGGCCGCTCGCGAGAAGAGTTGTGAGGTTGGGCACCACACACGCGTGCGCACTGACTAATTTTTTTTCCCAGGCAAAAAAAAACGAAGAACCACGACCATGGACCACGTGGCGATTGCAGCCTGGATTGCCACGGGCGTGAGGGCCTCGTTTATTTTTGCTATTGGCAATTGCTGGTGGCAGAGGCGCGTGTGGAAGAAGAAGGACAAGAAGGCAGCCGAAGACTTGGAGAGGGCAGCGGGAGACTTGGAGGCCGCGCTGGCTGCTGGTGCGGCGTATAGGGAGGAAGAGATGCAGATGAGAGGCCTAGCGGGTGGTGAGAACGATCCGCGTGGCGTCGAAGTGGCCACGTATATCGATAGGAATGTGGTGCGTCGCGGCCCGAATCGGTCCGACCCCCTTCCCGAGTAGTTTTAGTTTTACTTTTATTTCTTAGGTCAACTAGCTAGCTCTTATTCGGGTACGGGTTACGAATCCCCTAAACCATCTCTTTCGGTCTATGACGGTACGGCGAGTTCCTAGGCATCCATCTGCTTCTTCGCGGCTGCGTGCGCCCTGGAGCCATCCATAATTCGAACAGAAACACATATTACCAGCTCAGGCACGATACTTGCCAATATCAGACTGGCTAAGCAGAAGTTTGTCAAGTCCAGGTTGGTGGAGAGTGTCTCCTCTATTTCTAATGCCCATCGACCAGAGGCAAGCTGCATGTCGGCCCGGCGAAAGGTGTGAATTCGTCCAGCACTCGAAAACTGGAGCGTTGACGCAGCATACAGCGAGCACCCGACACAATGCTCCAGGGCCATGAACAAATGCATGTGCAGCGCAATGAAGAACCGCCGCTAAACTCTCCAGCTTGCCAATTTCTGCTAAAGAAGCCACTTATATCGCGCCTCTGTCGACTTGTTAGCCCTTTCCCTAAAATCCAATAGAACCCCACCGTCAAGTTTAGCTGAAGCCTTGTCCCGAATGTCGACTCACTCGCGCCATTTCCACCTCGACATGATTCTCATCTTTAATCATTACGGTGTTTCAGGATGGATCCACTAAGCATCACAGCAAGCGCAGTCAGTCTCTCAGCGAATATCATCCGGGCAGTAGTGTCGGTGAAGGATGCCGTTGACGAATTCAAAGATGCGCCCGCCCTTGCGCGCGATATTGAAGACGAGATCATAATCGTCCAGGCCGCTATTCGACAGGTTGAGGTGGCCCTTCAGCGTGATGGTGGCGCTATCTGGCGTTTCCAGCTGGATGATGTTTTCAGTCTCTCGGTCCAAGGCTGCGAATCTGTGTTGAAGCAGATTGGCAACGAGATTGACGCACTCTTTGGTAGAGTAGACTGGCGAGCCCGCCTGTTAATATGGTGGAATCGTGGGGAGATCCGCTGGTTGCTTGGAAGGCTGGGGACGAGGAAAGCGAGTTTGACGTTGTTGGTCCAGGCGCTGAGTTTGTGAGTTAATACGCTTAAGGAGCCGAGTAGATGACGTTGCTAATGATTGACCGATAGCAACTCGATGCGTGAGATGCACGATTTGCTACACAAAAATCGCACCACGCTCGATATCGCTAGACTTGGTCTCGAAGACATGGTCGCGAAGTATCTAGCTTTCGCGCCCGGAGATATGGACTCGAGGGCTTCTGTAATCGGCTCTGATGATGGTCTCGTCGGCGACCGGGACTCGGTTCTCAGCAACACTAGATTTGTTTTCGACGAAGTCCTTTTTGGCAGCAAGGCATACCGCCACACGGTAGCAAGGGTTTTGGCAAAGAAGAATAGTAAACCTGGAGCCTCTAACTCTCCCAACTTGGCTACGGTACGCGAAGGCGGGACGGACATCAGAAGCATGAAATCGGAGAGAACAGCATCCCCAAACACGCCGTCAGTAGCGACAAGTGATGTGCACGAAGCAGTCCTGATGAAACTTTGGGAAGCAGAAGAACGGATTCGAGCCCTGGAAGAGCAGATGCAACATAAAGCTTCGGCAACACCGGGGCGCCAGGAGGCTGCGCGAAGTCAAGCGCATATTGAGGCAGGGGGTCGGCTGAGCGGGTCTCAAGATTCTACCGACAACGTCATTGCTGACATGCCCACGGCGGTGCCTGAGATGCCGGGCCACTCAACCGGAACCAAGTCGTCGGCCATCTCCCCGCAACTCATGGCTACCGAACAAGCCGACTATGCTCCTCCGCAGCCCCCAAAAATACGCAAGGGAAAACAAGCCGTCGCGGATGAAGGACAGGAGTGGGCCGAACAAGCAGCTAGGGCGGTTTGGGGTGAATCAGGGCCGAGAGGATATGCCGGCACTTTGAAAGTAGGCCAGTCGTCAACCACTCCCGTGGAGCCCCTAATACCCAGCCGGGCACTCGAAGCCCCAGAGATATCATCGATGCGCGTGCTAAACGGCGCAAGGATCCAGTAGCCGACAGGATTGGGAAAGTTATGGGGGAATCTGAATTACTCCAAGCAACGCAGCGACTGGAACAAGCGGGGGCGGCGCGGTCGTACTCTGTTCCGCAAGACGGCACGCCAGTCACAACCAATACCGGTCCCAGGCGCAGTCGCTCTCAAACTTCTCATTTGATTGAGTTATTCGGAGGCGGCAAGAGCGCCAACCACGGGGGCAACAACGCAACGGGGGGAAGGAATCGGTCCGGCGGCGTACGGCTCATTCCTGACGGGGGATCAAGATCTTACGCCAAAGATAGAGGCCGCTCGGTGGTCGAACACCGACGATATCGTCGAGAAGTGGATATCTCTTCCATCCCGCCGTGCTCTTTCTTTGATAGTTTGGTGGAGGAACGCCCCCTACACAGTGACATCATCTCAGCAATACCAACTGACAATCCCTTTCTCGACGATCCGGATCCTACTTCTTTTAAAATGGGGGAGAAACCACAAGACGCTGGCGCCACCAGGCAGAAGGATCCAACATCTCTTGATAGGCGTATTCTCGACGAAATGCTCGACAGGCCCTACAATTTATCCGAACCGTATCAAAAAGAAAAACGGCGACAAAAGATGGACAAGGATGGCAATAACCTCGGACCAAGGAGGGCCACTCAAAGACAAGTCGGAGACACTGACAACCTCTCTCCGTGGACAACAGAGAGGGGTATCCTATCAGAGGACCATTTGACTCTTGTTTCCAAGTCAGAGAATACGATAAAGTCACCACGACGATGTGTACCCGTACCAGAAAGTCATGGAGCAGTGGATAGGTTGAAAGCGCCAGGACGAGAAGAGAGCCAGCGGCTTCATAATCAGGTGGAGGGGGCAGCTAGCAGCTCAGAATCTAAAAGAGTAAAGGAAACCCCCGAAATGGCGGTAGCATACACTCTAGCTGCAAAGCAGAAGAGACAAAGACGAAGGAAGGAGCGTCACTTGATGGAAACCAAGTCACAGTCGGGTACAACGTCTGGGGAAGCGGGGGAAAATATTAAAGCTAACAGCAACTCGGTACGTGTTAGGCTGGTTGCTGTCAGGCCCGTACGGCCAGGGTGAAATGCTTAGAGTGAAGGGGACAGGCTAAGGCAGAGTCGCCGTGGGAGCAGCGCGAAAGCAAGGACTCAGGGGGGAACCACATTGATCTCTGACTCTCTGCCTAGAAAGGGGAGTGCCACGGTGTGGCTTCAGGGGCTTGGCCAGCTAGTGGTAGCGGGGCCAGTTGGTGACAGGTGGTGGGCGCGCACAGGGTGTGCGTGTGGGCAAGTGTTCTGGGGTGCTCTTTTCCTTACATGCGAGTCCGCGAGTAACCTATCCTATAGGTCACTCAGAGCGCCATAGATCACGGTGCTCCGCGTGCTCTGTCTGGCCTTGGCGGCTAGTCCCCACGGAGCACCTCCTGATTAGCTGTACCAACCCTTGCTAGAGCGTCCACCCTTCCTAGTTGCACCAGCCAATCTGCAGGGAGCTTAGGGCGCGCCTCCTGCACACCTGAGCCAGGATCGTAACATAGTAGCTTTTAAGCTAGGACAGCGCTTGCGTGTGTGCCAGGGGTTTAGTGCTGTGCGGGTACTGTTAACAACGAGAGGACATGTGCCCTGCCCGCTATATATTTATTGAGGCGGCCTTGACTGCTGAAATTTGAGACCACGCGCCCGCCAAAAACAGCAGTCCAGACTGCGGCACATGTTGTCTGTGTGGAATAAAAATGCTCGATTCGGGCCTGACAACAGACAGATGATGGGAAACAGGACGACCAAACGCTCTGAGCGCTGCACAGCTGTCGCCAAATTACCTGTAATACTCAGTAGTAGTCGCTTCACCAGCAACCAATTTCAACACCCCAGTTCATCTGCCCAATGCAGTCGCTGGTCGTGTAAAGGTTCGCGGTTCCTCGCCGAAGCCGGGTTCTAATTAAGTACCTAGGCAACTTCGATCCTGGATTTACTCATCAGGGCTACAAAAACGCCCTGACGAGTAGTGTTGTATTTAGGATGAAGCAAGAAAGGCGAAAGCCTTGGGAGAAGCGGGGGAGGAGATTCGCGTCTTTAGCATCCACACTGAAGTTCAGCGTGGACGCTGTGACTGAACAAGTGGCCCGCAATGCAAGTATGAGAGCGATATCCATATAAGGGAAATCGTAGGAGCTCGAAGCCTAGTTTGGTAAGGGCTGGGGTAGCTGGCCCTCCGGCCTATCTCCTAGTTTTCCCCCACGATAGTAGATATCATCCAAAATCGCTGCCGTGACAACTAACAGTAATTATCTTCGCCTTTGACGATAGGGGTTGTCAGGCGACACAATATCGTGTCGTCGCCCCCGGGGGGCCAGAAACCGAGGCGGAAACGCGGACCATCTACCTAGACCTACGGATACCGACAACCAGCGACGGCTAGCGAGTGTACTAAGTAGCTGCGGTAGGCAACGTGGAAAGCCGGCCTTCCAAACACGCGGGAAACCTTGTTCGCCCTCGCGTCGTCGTCGCTTCCCCACCTGTCCAGCCACAGGGCGGCGGGCCCGTAGCGCCACCCCGTCGGCGCACCCATGGCTCACCTACTATTATCTCGTCCAGCGCGACAGGGCGCGCAAGCTCGTAGAGCTCCAGGACGGGATAGCCGTATTTGGACACTTTGCGACCGGCGTTGAAGTCGCCGTCGCCGATGCCGAGGGTTTCTCGGGTACTGTTACCGGCATGTGCCGCACGCCGGCGGGTATGACGGCGACGTGTCTGGGGAGAGAGAGGCGGGGGGATTAGCGGAGGGGCCGAACGATGAGAATGCGGCGCGGGGTCGGGGAGCTGACGTGATGGAGGAGCGGCCCTCGTCGGTGCCGTCGCGCGTCTCGTAGAACCACAGCCGTACGACCTCGTCGGGCAGTCGGTATTTGCGATACTCGTGGTTCTTTTGCTGGCTGGCAATGTGGGCGAGGCGGACGGGTTTGATAGCGAGGAGCACGTCCGTTTCTACATGGTCGTCGGAAGTTACTAACTTGGGCGCACCGGACGCGTCGACGCGCGGAGATGGTCAAACGAAATGATCGAGGCGGCTCCAGGAATATGCGTCAAAGTCGACTGCCGGAGCAGGGACGAGCCTTCCTTATCAGGCTCCAAAGGTGCCATCTCCACAATCGGGTTTAGATGCAGGGCATGAGAAGGCAAGTCGGTGATGCGTCTTCTCAGACTTCAATTGGACGGAATTTCCAAGTGTGCATATACAGGGTTAGGGTTCTACCATAGAATGTTGGGGGCGGCAAGTTGGAATTTGGAAACATTTGGGGGCCGAAGCTACAACTTACACACAAATACAAATAACTCCACCAGGTGCCGTTCTTTGCCAAATTGTCTGCGCACAACCCCATGACATCGCAAATTCCCACCTCTCCACCTCCAACCTTATCTCAGATTGGAAGGTGACTGTGAAGGCGTGCTCGACCAGCCCCTTTTACTAGTGAAACATTAGCGAGCGGGCCAATCAGCGCTTGCGGTTGGTCGTAGAAAAAGAGGCGGTCGCCCTTGCAGGGGCTAATGTGTGGGTTGGCCACACAAGCTGCCCGAAGGATCACTCCATGTGCTTCGCCAAGCGGCGCATGCAGGGGTAGGATACTGAAAACCGGCAAGCGATAAGGCACGGACTGGCTTAGATGGCATTAATGCGCACGCTTCGGTTTGTTTCTTTCGTCATGGGGGGGAGCATTTAATCGTAAAACGCAAAAGCCGGTCCGCGATGTGGAGTGAATGAGACTTGGTTTAATTAGGTAAGCTCCAAACTACAAATGATATCGAACAGACATTACCTTGATAATGGATCACTATAAGGAAGAAGATCCCTGACTCCCTGAGTGAGAGACAAGCACTAGCCCAAATTAACCCGACGATTCGGCTCGCTGACCCGTAATTGAGTCTTGGATAAAACTTGAAAGAAACGGCGAGATGTCAATGACAAAGATCAACTCAAGCGAAACTAAGCCAAATGGCTTGGTTGATATATCCACTGATTCCCTTGCTGATATTAACTTTCTATTCACAGCCACGAAATAATCCAAGGTGGCAATGAAATGTAATTTGGTTTCGTAAGCCAGTCATAGAGCTTGGTTTATAGAAACTCGATATATAACATGTATATAACCTAATGTTTAATTAAAGAATCACAGCTGGGTTAACTGTGCTGTCTGGTTATCGATGAAATCTCACTGGTATAAAGACGGTGAAGAAAAATGCCAAATCCCAAAGTGAAGAACAATACGGCTTCGGGTACGGCAACCATAGTGACTGTATCAATGACGCCCTTGGCCCCTCTACAACCTGCAACCTTTCAAGGCAGCTACGCTCCCATCGACTCCAAGATGCCGCGCACACCAGCAAAGTCCAGCTCGGCCAGCGTCTCGTCCCATACACGCTGGATCACGACCGCTCCCTCGGGCGTGTACAGGAAGGCGGAAAACCTGCCGGCAAGAAGGATTAGTCAGTGATACGATGGAATCAAGATATAACCACAGGGGGAGAGAAGGGAAAAAACCCACGGATGAATCTGCCAACTCATAAGAAAACACCCATGCGACTCTTGTCCCTTATTCACAACCGCATCGACCAAGCACGACGCGCCGACGGCCTTGGGGCGGCCGGTGGCGGCGCCAAACAGCTTAGCGGCAGCACGCATCGGAGCGCTCTGGACGTCGCGGCCCAGGTCGGTGCCCTTACACCAGGCGGGGTCGGCGAGGTTGACGACGACGTCGGCGGGCGCGACGCGGTCGGCCAGTTGCCACAGGAACATGTGCGCCAGCAGCTTGGACGAGTGGTAGTGCTCGCGCGCATCGAAGGCGGCGGGGTCGTCGAAGGACGGCAGCAACGGGTTGGCGGCGCGGTTCGGGAACTTGGCTGCTAGGGACAGCGCTGCGTTGACGATGCTGAGGCGCGGCGGCGGGCCGTTGGGCGAGCCTGTTTTATTAGGCCAAGTGTTAGCTGTCGGGACTCGTGGGGGGTGGGGGTCGGTTAGGTTACGTGGTGTTTCGTGTTTTCTGGGGGGAGAATATGGGAGAATATGCGAGGGCAAAGAGTGGTTAGGGAACGGGAGGCACAGGAGGACAGGCAGGGGCCAGGCAGGTCAGGAGGAACAGGTGGAACAAGGAACTCATTGTCGATTGGAGCGCGCAATAATTACCCTTAGCCTTGAGGATGGGAAGCAAGAGGACGGCGAGCAGCACGGTCGAGAGGTAGTTGACCTGCATCGTCTCCTCGTGGCCGGTGGCCTCGATCTTGTGGAATGCGAGTCTGACGAGGCCGGCGTTGAGGATGACCATGTCGATGCGCTGGAGCTGGGCGTCGGCGCGGCGGGCAAAGGCCTGGACCGAGGCGTAGGAGCTCATGTCCAGCTCCCAGACGTCGACGGTGGCTTTGGGGTGCAGCTGGCGGAGCTTGGCGGCCGCGGCTTCGCCCCGCTCAAGGGAGCGCACGGCGACGACCAGGCGCGATAGCTGCAGGCCCAGCAGCTGGGCGGCCGCCTCGTAGCCGAGCCCCGTGTTGGCGCCGGTGACGATGGCCGTCTGGCCCGAGAGGCTAGTGCCCGGGGCCGGCCATTGCGGCTTAGCGCGGAACTGGTTGCGGAAGAAGACGTTGGGGAAAAAGGGAGTGGTGGAGGGCGGCAGATCCTTGGAGCCAACCATGGCGGCGTTATGTTGGTGTCGTTGTGTTGGTGTCGTTGTGTTGGTGTCGTTTTGGTGTCGTTGAGTTGGTGGCGGGCGATTAGTGAACCAACGACGTGCAACCAAAGCCTTGTCTAGGCTTAGATGCGCAATGATTATTGTACTTTTAGAGTTTGAAGAGCCAAGAGCCACGTCGACCTGCTACAGCTACCACGACAACGAACACCAGACTGCGAAAAAAAAAAAGATATGGCCATGATGCGAGGTTATATACGTCTCAAAATCAGAGACACAAAATGGACTTACTCTGTTAACTCCGCTCTGCCAGGTGTCGATGCTGAATTGCCTGACTCGTCGCTTGCTTGCTTGGGCCATCATCACGGGTCTTCAAACTCTCCGAGGGGACTTCAGGACTTCCCATTGGAGTGGATTCAGGGCATGGCAGCCGGGTACGGATACGCGTGGTATTTTTACGTACCAGGGTGCAGGTGCTTGATGGCGCTAGTCTGAGAGTAGCCCTGGTTCGCGGTTCTGATAGGCACTTGCCCGCCCGTTTCTGCCGCTGATGAATCAGAAGTACGCCCCGCGGCCGTGTGTTACACAGCGCCTTACAGCCCGGTTCCGGTCCCACACATTGTTTTCCGAATCGGGAAAGCAGTCTCCAGATTGGCAGATTTTCGAACCAACTGGCCCGGCTAGTGCCGAAGCGGCAATTAATGTTTGGAAGGATGCTTGGCCAAGTTCAGCATATCAAGACGTCCGTTGTCCAGTTTCGTCGCATCTTCTGGTGCACCAGCCGCCGCCGGCCTCCCTCGTTCGCCCTCTATCCCATTTAGAACCGCTATCTTTTAAGGTTTTGCTCCCGAGACAATACGAAACATTGCTTGCCATTTCCAGTCCCGCCGGCCCCAACTTTGCGCCGCCGCCTTGCACAAGATTGCATCCCCGTCTTGGAAGTGACAACTCGACGACACGACACGAGGTGGAGATGGCTAACTCGGCGAACCCGCCTCACGGTAAGACCAAGGCCGGCTGTTTAACTGTTTTTAGTTAATTATCTGCATCTGTCACACCATGTGCTTGCAATTAATTAATTACATGGAGCAGCAGAACTGCAGTTCGTCGTGTCGACCGGCCTCGAAAAGCCCGATGCCGACCTGCGCAAGTTCATCCGCAGCCACGTCATGAAGGGCAAGAACCTAGGCAAGAAGCTGCAGCCGCGATCACAAAAGTCGAAGCACGCTCGAAAGCAACAGGCTGCAGATGCCGACGCGGCGTCAGCAAGCGATGCCCAGGCCGAACATGACGAGCTCATTGTATATGGCTCTTTTGCTCCCCCGACGCCCCCTCCTCGTCGTTCTTCTCCTCCCGCGCAGGCCCAGTCCCTCTACCCAGGCCCAGTGCCAATCCCAGGCCCAATGCCAATCCCAGGCCCGCCCGCCTCGGTGCCTGCAAAGTTCGGGTCGGACGTGTCGTCGATCCGGTTCCCCGACGAGGTGGAGCCTGGGGCGGTCGAGGCCGTGCTGCAGTGTGAGCCATGGCCGCTTTCTAATTCTGATTCTGACCCTCGCCCGTTCCCCGTCGATGCCTACATGTTTCCATCCACGCAGGCTGCTCACTTCGTGCCGCCCTCCGGCTACTTCCAGTCTCCACCATCGCCAAGCGCGTGCTATTCCCCCTCGAGTCTTGCATATTCTTCGAGAACAGGGCCGAGACATGGATAGCCCCCCTGGCCGTCGACCCCGCCTTCCTTCACGTCATGGCCTTCACCTCGCAGTGTAATTAGCCCAACCTTCCAACCCCATCCGTCCATGACTGTCTTGGCTGCCATGACTAATTATCAAAGCTAGGGTACTTTGACGTGATTATGCCTGGCAAACCCATCGACGTCGTCAGCCGCCGCACTGTGCCGCACTATACCCGGGCCATCGAGATCCTGCGCCAGCGCTTTGCGCGCGACGACGACCCGGCGCAGCTCTCCTTCACCACCGTCGCCGCCATCATGGGCCTTGCCGGCCACGCCTTCGTCACGGGCGACATCAAATCGGCGAGGAACCATATGGAGGGCGTGTACAGGATAGTCAGGCTGAGAGGGGGTGTGTCGGGTTTTGCCGGGGCTACGAAGCTGGTAGTGGAGATACTGAGGTACCCCCCCCCCCCCCGCTGCAATACACACACACACAAACACACACACACACACACACACACACACACACACACACACACACACACACACACACACACACACACACACACACACACGCACGCACGCACACGCACAGACACTTAGCCCCACGACTGACTGACTCTCTGGCAGGGTCGACATTGGCATGGAGCTCCACACGGGCTCAAGGCACATCTTCTACAGCAGCTCGGACCCGCCCCCGCCGTATCCGGACCTGACAGAGCTGCTCAAGCTGCGGGGGCCGTACGGCCCCAACACCCCCCCCCAACAGTGCCCCATCAGCGCGTTCCCCGACGGCATCGACAGAGGGCTGGCGCGGGCGTGGCAGGCGCTGGCCGACTTTTGCGCCGTCATCAACTACGCGGCGGGCGCGGGAAAGTGCATCCCGACGGAGACGTTCCGCGACGCCATGGCCGCCGTCATGTACCAGCTGCTGGATTTGGGTGGGGGCCGCTTCGAACCCGGGTCGAGCGCCGAGGCCGTGCGGCTGGCCCTGCTGGCCTTCGCGGCCAACGTGTTCCTGCAGTGGAAGATGATGGGCGCGGGCTACGCACACCTGAGTGCCGCGCTCAGGTCGTGCTTCGCGCAGCTCGCGCCCTCGCGCGTCGACCCCCGCCTGCTCGTATGGCTGCTCATGGTCGGCGCCGTGTCGGTGCTAGATACCCCTGAGGACGCGTGGTTGCGCATGCTGCTGTATGCTAATGTGCGCCTGTGCGATGTTGAGTCGTGGGAGGACATGCAGCGCCTGCTTGGCTCGTTCATGTGGATTGGCATGACGCAGGATAAACGCGGGAAGGCCGTGTTCCAGTCGCTGTTTGCTTCGCAGGGTGTTGCTTCGTTTTAAATAGGAATTCAACAAACTAACTTGTGCTTGCTGTGACCACCTTGGTTGCGTGAATGGAGAGCGAATCAGTTATAAATGGATTAGGTACAAAACAGAACAAGTCGAGTAGGGAGCGGATTGAGTTGACATACTTGACGTCTCTGGACTTTGTGTTAGTTGAAGCTATCTACGGATTCCAAGACAAGGTTAGGTTTCTGTTTGCAATGCAGCGTGTTGCTTCGTTTCAGCTACAAATTCACTAAAATTGACCTGTGCTTTGAGGACACTGTCGATCGGCAGTGGGTTTGCTTTGATCAAGTTGTTAACAGAGGAACTTGAGCGAGAGAGCATGTATTAAAGATCAAATGGAGCTGGGGGCCGCATTGAGAAAGGCAAGTAGATTGGAGATTATTTTACAGAGAGAATGTCTGGTGGTGTAAATATTTATCCAAAGGAGAGAGCACAAGGGGGGCACCCCGTCCAGGGTGAATGCGACTGATAGATATAAGCCATTTCACTCTAGTGAAAGACCTGACTCCTAGAGTAGACGAATAAAACGGAAAGCACTTAAGATATCCATACGAAATACCTAGTACCATGACCCACCCCCCAACGGATCACCCTAGCAGTGGATCACCCTTTTACACCAAAACACTACATCTTTGAACAACAACAGCGCACTCAATTGTGAAGCTATTTACAAGCCAAATATGGCAAATGTAGCTAGTTGACTGTTTAATTCATATACTGTGCTAGCACAGGAAGTGCACGGCCAGATCTTGTCAGTCTTGAGGCAGCTCTTCCTCAGCCTCTTCGTCAGCGTCGGTTTGTGGAATGAAAATATCCTCAAGCCAGCTGTTCGCTATTTGGTTGTCAGTCCAGCTCTTTTCTGCATTTCTTCTTCAAACCACCATGTTTGAAGGTCCTTTCCTTTAAAAATTATGCCCGGGTCGAGTGCGAGGCCCCCGGCACCGATGCATTCGATGATGGTGGACCAGCCACGACCTCGGTCGCTTTTTAGGTAGGCTATCTTCGTCTCTGATGCCCCTAGGACTAATGAATCAAGCCCTATATATTATAAGTAATAGATAATATAACTAGGTATTATTTACTTACTAAAGCCCGCTATAATGCTGGCCTTATCGACGTTGAAGGTGAGCTCAGGCCTGATCTAGTCGTATTCTTTCTCCCTTATATTGAAGTACGGGTTGACGGCTTTGGGAGTAAACCCGTTAAAACGAGCGGCTTCCATTGTCTTGCTTACTTTGGCTTGAATATTGGGGTTTTTAGCTTTGAAGCTAGAAATCCAGTTTTCCCCTACAGGGTCTTTTTGCCCTGCTTCTTTACAGAGTCTTGAAGCAATGCTAGATACTGTTGAGTAACTCGGAGCAAAGCCGGGTCTTTCCTGCTTGACGATGCACTCAATGAGCCGCTTTTCTTGAGGCTCTGTGAGCCTGCGTTGTGTTTGGAGGACCTCTTCTTTGGGGGGACTCCGTTGAGTCGTCGGCTCAACGTTGTATAAGGAACTCAATGCTTTTGAGCCGATTGACGAATAGAAAGCTTATTGTCTGTGACGTCTAGGTACGCATTGACCATATTATCGTCACTTCGTTCAGACATTGTGGTAGTACAAGACACAATTCACACTCAAAGGTAGGGGGAGAAGAATGTCAGGAAGCTAATTTGGAGTTAATTTGGAATTACTTTGCGACGATGTAGCGAAAGAATTAGGGCTTCTGGGCTGACAAATCTATACCAAGATTTAACTGCATGCATTTAAATAACTAGCTCAATTATCTACTTGCGAATAGCTTTACAATTGACTACTTTATTGTTGTTTAAAGGTAGTGTTTTGGTGTAAAAGGGTGACCTACTGCTAGGGTGATCCGTTGGGGGGTGGGTTATGGTAATAGTACCCTTAAGTACACCCTACACAGATACAAGCCGCGAGCAGGAATGTGTGCTAAACCGACACCATGTTACCCCACGACATCAAAGTAGTAAAGTAGTTGATTTAGAGCTGAAGAGTAATCAAGAACGGCCGGCCAACAACATTGAGTCTTTATCACGTCAATGTAAGGTGTTAGATGATGTTCCTTGCCGGGAACCACCCCTCACCCCACTCGAAAGAAACCCTAATTGACTTGACAAGACTTTCGCTTTTTTTTTTTCATTGGCGGCGCTGGCCGTACTTTCTCTTCGAGCCCTGATATACTTACTTTGACAATTTCCTCAACAATTATGAGAAGCAATAGGTCGGCAGTTTAAGACATTTTTAGCACGCACGTAATACATACGTACAGAATAAGTACCGCATATTCTCAGGTCGTTTGGGATCTGAGCTTACAGAGAATCAACCCCTCGTCGTCATTTGATTATCGCGAGTTTTCTCTACACTTCCTTCCTCTTCCTACGCAGTAAGATCCCGATCGCTAAATCTGGTGAACTTTATTCTCCGACCCTGCAAGTTCAGATCCCAAAGGACTCCATGAGAAAAATCGTTACCAGCCAACGTACTTAAGGTCGGCAACTAGCTGCTTAAAAGGTCTTTAGCACCGAGTAAAGAAGCTCGGGCTCTGCTGATTGGCAGCCGTCGCGATGCGCATTGACCTGTTGGCTCTGTAGGATGCTACCCGCGCGCGGATCTTCTCGTGTCAGGCGTATCTTGATTAGTCAGGAGGTTAAATTCTGTGGCTGCCAAATCCCTCGACGGCAAACCGGGGCGCAGCGCAGAACCTTCCAAAGATTTGAGGTCCAATTGCTTGCGTATCCGAGAAGCTTCACCAGCGCTGCCTGCCTGCCTTCGTGCCTGCCGCGTCCTGCGGACCCGCCCGCGCTCTCAGGTCTCGTCCGCGAACAACCCTTTTGGCTCCACACGCATCACCGACTTTTCACCGTCAGCACGCACTGTGAATTTTTTTGAATTTTTTTTAAGAAAAAAAAAAAGAAAAGCGACAAAATAAATGAAATGAGAAAGCAACAGCGGAACGCGGCAGCACCGGCGGCCATGCCGCTGCTCAAGACGTGCCAGGCGTGTTCCAAGGCCAAGATCCGGTGCCACAGCAGCCAAGACTCGGGCAGCTGTCGTCGCTGTTTGCGCCTTAATAAGACGTGCACCTTTGCGCAGGCCCAACGCCGCACCGCTGCCGTCCTGCGGGGCCGGAACGGTCAGCCTGACGGCAACGGCAGCGAGAACAGCACGCCGACGGGCATGACGCTGACCATGACCATGAATATGGAGCCCGGCGACACTAGCGGCATCTCCAGCCGGAGCGACGGAGTCCCCGCCTCTTTGGCCGCTAGCGCGACTAGCTTCCGAGATGAACCTCAACCCGTCAGCCAGCCAGCCCTCACTCTCAGTAGCCAGCATCAGTATCTGGCTGGTGTGCATGCCGCTGCCGGGCCGTACGATGCCGTCGCTGTCGGCTTGCTCGACATGGATCAGGCAGAGCGGCTGGTCCACGTGTTCCGGTCGGCCATGACCCCCCGCTTCCCCTTCGTGGTGCTGCACGACGCCGTCACGGTCGAGCAGCTGCGTGGCGAGCGCCCGTGTCTGTGTCTGGCTGTGCTCACCGTCTCGGCATTTCACGACTTTGTCCTGCAGCGGCAGCTCAGCGCCCTCTTCAGCCAGGCAGTTGCCGCCCGGCTGGTGGCGTTCGAGCTTGCCTCGCTGGATGTCCTGCAGGGACTTTTGGTCCATCTCGCCTGGTGCGCCCCCACCCACCATCCCTCCCGCCCCCGTTTCAGCCTTACAGGGGGGGGGGGGGTTTTTTACTATCTAGTCTGAGCCGTCCTCCGGTTCGCTAACAAGACCGCGCTCGACCACAGGGCCCACTACCAACCTCGCCTGCGCAGCTACAGCCAACACCTGCATCTCGCCACGAGCATCGTGTCGGACCTGCGGCTTGACCGCCCCCCAAAACCGTACCTGTGGCGAAAGGTCGAGGCGGATAACCGCGACGAAGGTGTGAGTGCCGGCGCCGAGTGGGGGTCGGACGAGCAGCGAGCCCTCATTGGCACGTATTATCTTGCCTCAAGGTAGGCTAGCCGCCCTCACTACTTGGTTCTACATCTGGAAGGGAGACACTGCTAAAGTACCTACCCGGCTAGTAGCTCGTCCATCGTGCTGCTCAAGATGCGCCACTTTCCCTACTCGCCCTTCATCCTCGACAGTTGCGAGAAGCTCGAGGCGCGAGGCGAGTTCCCCGGCGACAAGTACCTCAAACACATTGTCCAGATCCAGAGCCTCTCGGAGCAGGTCGACGACCTTGTCGGCCCAAAGGCGGCCGGGCCCTTTGTGCACGAGACCATGGCAAAGCTCGTCGCCATCCGCCAGCAGCTTGACGTAATCAAGCTAGATCTGCACTTTGCCCTCAGCGAGTGTCGTAAGTGCCCGCCTGCCTCTGCCTCTGTGCGTGGTTGATAACTATTTTGAGCTACATTCGTCCTGACAGTCGCTTTTACAGCACTACTACTCCTCCAGCTGGGCACGATCGAGCTGTCCATCAGCCAGCACTCCCTCCCGGGATCTCCATTTGCGCCGAGCGGGGGCATTGCACCGCAGCAGCCGGGCGGCAGCTTCATGGAGATTGTTAACGTGTTCTCCGACTGCGTGCTGGCGGCCAAGTCGCTAATCAACATCCTGATCGTCATGCCGCCGCGGCAGGAGACGGTGCTGACCAACATCGAGTGGATCTCGCTCAGCTGGGCCCTTTCCTTCTCTGTGCGGCTGGACCTCATGGCCGCGACCCCCCGCGTCACCTGCTTCACCAAACCTCTGCGGCGCACCCTCGACATCCGCCACGCCCTCCGCCAGGTCGTGCTGCGCATCAAGTCCATGGTCTCGCCCGACCGCGACAGCGCCGGCGACCGAGACGCCTTCTACCGCTTTTGGCGGCGTGTCGACCTTATCGAGGCCTGGTATCTGCGCCAGGCGGCCGAGCTGACCCCGCTGGCGCTCAGCGATGCCAACGCCACCCCTTCCGCCGGCGGCGACGCCGCGGCCCAGGACATGGGCGGGTATTCGATGGCCATGGATTCGGGGGCCGAGTTCCGTGATGTGGGTGTTGACGCTGCGGACGGCGGGCCGTACGCGCCCGACGACTTCTCCATGATGGACTTGTACTCTGAGGGCATGGCGCTGGGCGGGGAGATATGGCCGCCCATACCGCTTGACAACATTTGAGTGTCTTGTGGCTCGAGGAGTGGCGGGCTGTGCAGAGTTTAAATCAAGTGGGTCCGGATGGGCTGCGCCCCTAATCAGGCGGACACGGACAAGGGCACAGACACGGACACGGACGTCGTGGCGGGCGAGCTCGGCGGGCTGTCTACGCTGGCGGCGGCGGCGCAGGCTGAAGCGCAGTTCGCGGGCGTCTATTCCTCCTCCTCCTCCTCCTCCTCCCCTGGGAGTGGAAGTGGGAGCGACGTGGCCGAGTTCGCCCTCGCGCGCGACGGGCCGGGCTTGCTCGTGGCGCACCTGCAGCTCGGCGGCCGGGACGTGCGGGCTGGCATTGCGGCGGTTGCGGGCATTGCGGCGGTTGCGGGCATTGCGGCAGCTGCGGGCATTGCGCTGGACAATCTCGACTAGCGCGCGTATCCTGCCGCGCGGTCGGCGGATGGGAAGAGGCATCAGTTTGTTGCTGTCGTCCAGGGCCGCAGCGCGCTTGTTGATGCGGGCACGCCCACGTGGGTTACCTGCATGGCGGCATGGCGGGCGCGCATCGCTTTGTTTTTCTGCTGGATGGGCAGGGGAGGGCTGGCGGTGTGAGTGTTCCGGCGCGGAATGTCCAGTTGGGTAGGGAGGACGGAGGTAGAATAGAGAGGTGGAATAGGGGCGTGTTTATAACTAGGTACCTAGATAGTGCGCGCAGTCCTTATTTCTATACGAATACATGCAACCGCCAAGGATAATGTCCATGTCCAGCATGGCTCAGTTCCTATAATGTTTTACTATCTAGCCGTCTTTGCCTGTTGCAGCTCAATGATTCCACTTGAGGCTCTCTCCTGTCCTGTCCCTTTTCTATGTCACATCCCTATCCATCTGTCCCTTGTCATCTCGAGCCCCCGAGGTGCCTGCCTGCCTGAGCTGGGGTCTAGTCCATGTGACCTAAATGACACTAAAGTTGTCCAGAAATCGGTTTCCGCAAAGCTGGTAGTTTGACGACTCGGGCTAAGAGCTCTTGGTAACTGTCTTGTCTATGTGGAAGATTTGCAACGTCTCCTTGTCCGCAACGTAGATGCAGAAGGAGCCTTTTCCGTTCTGTGCCACCGAGCGTACAAAAACAAAATTGGCCTTGTTGTTGGGTAGGTCGGTCGGATGAACCGTGTGCGTGGGGAGGAGAAGAGTCAGGTTGCTCGTTGCTTCAGCCTCCCCCACCATCATCCTCTGGTCAGGCGTGATATCGACCTGGATTAGCACTGTCTTGCCATATATCGCTTTTTTCTCGGTACAGTTGAGCGGGAAGGGAGCCGTCGCGGCGGCGGCGTCAACGGCACCTTTGTTCAGGTGCTCTTGGAGCTTCAATGCCAAGGGCAACAGGATCGTGTCCCGCGCCTGATGTGCAGGCGGTGCTACAGTAGGTATAGCAACCTGATCGGCGGGTCCCTTGTCCTTGAGGAGTTGCCCAGTCTGCGGACCGTGATCTAGGGTTTCGGGGATAGCTTGGATGACTGAGAATCGAACCGAGCCCTCGTTAGAAACACACACAAAAAGGGGGAAAAAAGGAAAACCATAAATAACGCACCTTGACCTTTAGGCAGCTTGATCTCGGTGTGTAACTCGACATAGACGTCGTTGCTAACCCAGTACAAGCCCGAGGTGCTTTGCAATGAAACATCGCCAATTGCTGTGGACGACTTGGCAATAGCGTGGGAACTTTGTTGGTTGTTGAGGAAGCCCCTCGCAGCATTCTGTGCCCTCTCGTTCGTGTCGTAGCGATTGATGTGCAGCGCGATTGGGTCATGTAGGCCCGAGCAGTTGATGGTGTATACGACTTCAACAGTGCCTTTGCTTGGCATTCTCTCCTTGGTGAGATATGATACGGTTGCCTTCTTCAAGGTGTCATCGCTGCAAGATGCCAGGACATCTTTGATACCGGCCAGGTTCAGGTGGGCAGTGTTCCTCTTCTTCGCGTTGGTGAGCGGGCTCGTGTGGATGGCGCTGCTCCAGATTGTGTCGGACATGACTGCTAGATGGGAATGAGACGAGGTCGGGAATGTACTATGGGCGAGATCAACAAGTCGAAAGTGCACCTCTATGATCTTGGCCCTGACAAGATGAACGTATGTGGGATGTGTGGTCGGGATACAGAGAGTGAGGATAGAATGGGGCTTGCGAGAGGTGCTAGGACTGAGAGCCTTTTAACCAGACACGAGACACATCCAGCGGGCCGAGCAAATGGAGGGTTGACTTTGTCACGACGCAAGGAAGGAAGACTCCGAGGGCCCCATCCCATGAGTCTTGACGCAACATGAAGCCATGAACTGGACAGCGCATAGCATAGGCCCAACTACACGTTTTGGTTGCTGCCATCATGTTTCAACCTCTTGTTTCTCCAATAAGAGGCACAGAGACTCAGGGCACATGAAACTGTGATGCAGAGACGGAATTCCTCATTGATAATCGGTCAGAGAATCACGTTTGTCCAGTGTTTAGTTGTCGCCGCAAGCCCGAGGCGACCTCTTGGACAAGCCGCTTGTTGCAAGTGCCGCCCGAGCTAACTTTTTTGATTCACCATGGCAAACTCGGGACGCACCGAATCAGAGTAAATTTGGCCTTGAAACAGTGGTGTCGCGGCCTCTTGATCCGCCAAATGCGCCGCTATCGAGTACCGCGCGCGATGCCGAACACGGTCAGTTGCAAGCCCGCCGCCAACAGTTGCGAGGTGGAACCGGTGAGATGGATGCGGCGCAGAGTTTGGTTGGATTTCCGAGGCGGAAGTGGCGCGCGGAACTAGGAGCTGTGTCTAGCCCTTGCATAGCCGTGATGCGAGGCGGCTGCGGCGCGGCATCGCCAATTGGGGCCGTTTCGAGTTGCGGGGTGCCCCCCTCGGACTCCGTCTCTACTAGTTCGATACCAAACCGGGTTTTCAAGTGCGGGGTGCCCTCCTCGGACTCCGTCTCTACTAGTTCGATACCAAAAAATGGAGTCTTCATGTTACAAAAGAGAGTCCAAGGAATACAAGGAATACATCCCCCGACCGAGTTTTGGCCCATACGACACGGCACCGAGTTGCCAAGATCGAGGCCCTTCTTTTCCCATACCTGCCGGGACTCGAGTTGGTTACCGCACGACGGAGCTGGACGCGGCGTGGCATTTTCTGTCCCTCCTCCCCCATTCCCCCCCCCTAATTACCCAGTTGAGCTGAGCTGTTCTTTGGCTGAGGCCCATCCACCTTGGCCATTGGAAACAAAGGGCTCGCGGCCACGGAAGCGCCCACCCCCGTTTCAGCATGGGCCACTCTCTTAAACTTGTGTCAGTCATGCCTAGCCGGCCTCACAGAATCTCGGCGCGTGGAAGCTGGGAAAGCAACAAAGGCTCATATATAAGTGGCCTTGGGCCCAAGTCAACAACGACGCCCTAAGGTACATATTCACTTGCCGACCATCACCTATTCATCCTAAATCGGGTTTCGTTTCCCGGAAAGCTCATCAGCTAAGGACACTCTGCACACAAACACACGCCCCGCTCCCGCTGTCGCTCCCGGAAATACGAAGCCATGGTGCTCAAGATCAAGGAAATCATGCGGGCCGAGACCCCCACCACCTGCGAACTTCGACAAGGCTGGGGCAAGCTGACCAGGCACACGCCCGAAATCAGCGTCGACATAATTTACCCAGACCCGTTTTCACTCACCGCCGAGGGTGCTCATGGCTGCCCGGCCGTGATTCAATACAATCCCGAAGACATACCCCTCGAGGTCGAGTTTGAAGTCCCTCAGAACCTCCCTGCCAAGTCAAAATATCGGCTTGTAGGGGCTCAGTGGGCCGGACAAGCGAAAGAACGAGAAGGCTTCGAGATGGTCAGCGCTCCGTTTGAGTTGCCCAAGGGAACAAAGGACATGGTCGCCAAGGGGTTCAAGGCTGCCAATGAGATCAAGGCTCCCGACTCCCCCTTCCGCATCCAGGGCAAGATAATGTGGTACCTCGTTGGCGAAGATTCGAAGCCGCTCAGCGACAAGATTCCGGATTTTGGCTCGGCAGTCTCCCACGAATTCTACTTCGTGCTGGGCCCAACCCACAACTTACCCCACATCATCAACGAATGGTTCCGCGAGTTGAACGAGCTGGTTTTCCCCGACTTTCAAAAGATAGCCGGAAAGAAGTGGGCCGAGGTCGAGGGCTTCGTCCTCCAGAATGCCGTGGAAAAGCTGTACCGTCTCGGCAGCCATGATGACTTGCGCTACGACTCGCGTCGCCACGAAGGCGGCAGTCCGCATCACCTCAAAGGCAAGACCGTGTATCTGAGTACCTTCTTCCAGAAGGAGAAGAAGCTTGTTAACTGCTTCGACCTCGCTGCCGTGCTCAAGCTGCTCCTGTTATCGCTAGGCACGAGGAAAACTAACAGCGGCGGGTATGAAAATGTACGTGCCCGATCCCCCCAATAAGGTTTAATTATGGTGTAGTCATTAACTCTAGTAACCCGTTTCCTCGCGTCGTCTCCAGGTGATTCACGGCCTCGCAATGACCATTGACCAGCCATGGGGCTACATCCCGCCGGGGCCGCTCTTCGGATGGCTTCGTACCGAGGCACACTACTGCAACAACCCGTTCTGGTGGGACGAGGATCCCAAGAAATGCCTGAAACCACATGTCGAGACGTTCGATCCGGCCCGGACCAGCTTCGGCAAGCACTGCTACGTCAAGTTCAAGAACCACCTAGGCAAGGAGTGCGCCGTCGACGCCTGCCACGCTCTGGCCGACAGCAAGAACCCCGGAAAGATCCTTCTGGCCACTGGTCATCAGGACATCGCACAGTTTCGCGAAGCCAACACAGACGTAGGGCCGAAACGTGATGACTTGCCAGCAGGGCCCCCCAAAGTTTCTGGTAATTATGCGGCCTTGCTATCCCCGTCATAAAAATCTCGCGACTGACATAACGGCTGCACTAGAGAACCAATTGGAAGCGATTTCCCGGTCATAGAGGGAGTCTGCTGGCACTACTCTTCCTCTCCCTTCTACCCTGGTGATAGCAGGCGATTAGAGAGACGGAAAGTGATTTACCGACGGAAGAGAAAATACCGCGCAGCATCCCGATCTGCTGCAAGCTTATATATAAATATACAGTACGAGATGTGCAGTTAGTTGGAAACGGAATTCGCAGGCCGAACTTTCGGGCAAACCATCAAGGAAGGGGAGGGGAGAGGAGAAGGCAGTCACAAGCGCGTTGCTCTGGTCAGCAGTGGTCGCTGCAATACCTGCATTCTGCAATAGAATAAACCCTCGGGGACCTGCACAGGATGCAGAATATTTTTGGAGCTCTTACATGTCGTTCCTAAGCTTGGTAATTTTCTCGGGTGGTTGCATAGGTGTACACTCTAGGGCATCTGAACAAGGATCTGGGCTAGATAACGGTGACCCATTTCTCGTCCGTAGAGTGCACTGCTTCTGCCCTTCTCTCGCTTCCCAAACCTGCAGGTGCGTGCTTGTTACGACCGCAGCGGCAGTCGCAACTCAGTCGGACAGTCACGGATCAGGCAGTCACAGATCAGGCAGTCACAGCTCTGGGATGTCATAGGCGATGGAAGGCACGGCTCAAGTACGTACGTAATCCAATTAGGGCCCGGCAGCCGCGACACACAAACAGTCTTGCTACCAGGTAACCCGTTACCGGTACCAACGCATCCCAGAGCGAAAGACGCCTTGTTAGTACCTTTCTTGCCTCCCTTAGCTACTGAAACCATCGGTACTCGGCACCTTTATCAGGGTTGATAATTAACATTTTTTGCATGGCGAAAAGTCGGGTCGCCCGATCCAGGCCGTCGTTCAATAATTAGGTACTCACCTTGGGAGATTGGGATGAGCCCGTCTCTGGTAATGAGGCCAGCGCTCGAAAGCATGGGGCTCGGCGTGACGGCGGCGTTGCCCAGGACGGTAAAGCCCTCATCTGACAATTGGAACGACTTGTTGGACTTGGACCCATGCTGCTGCAGCCGCTCGCGCAGCGTTTCCACCGTCGATTCGGGAACCGGGGAACGGTTGGCCCCCCATTCTTGCACGCGCCAGTGTCGCTCGTCCTGCATCAAGGGCATCCACGCGTTGGACCCGAACTCGTACTCGAGCGACGACAGGGGCGAAAACACGGCCGCCAGCGCTGCTGCGCTCTCGCTATTGCTCTCGGCCGGGAAATCGAAATTGAAATCGTGGCAGAGGCAAGCCACCTCTCTCCCCTCGCCCTCGCCCTCGCCCTCGCCCTCGCTCTCGCCCACACGACACCTCCCGATCAAAAACGGCGCGCCGTTTGCCAGATTTTCACAAAATTTTACAACGGCATCGCTGTACTGTCCGTCGTCATCGTCCGCCGCTGTCCGCCTCCCAGCCCCCTGCATTGTAGTGGTGCTGCGCCCCGCAAATGCTCGCGACCACTGACGGGCAATGTCCCTGTCCCTGTCCCTGTTTCTGTCAGTGCCGCACCGCCACCATTGTCCGAGTTTCCCGGCGGTAGTGGTGGAAGGCGGCAGAGGCACAGGCGCCAGTTGCGGCTCCCGGAGCTTCTCGACAATCAAAGCCAGCTCCTCCGGCCCGGTCAGCTGGCGCTGCATCGCAAGCGCAACTACGGCCTGCAGCACACTCTCGGCAATGGCGTCCTCGCCGATCGCCTTGACAAGCGTCTCCATCAGCAGCCGCACCCGGCCGCCCTTTGTGTTGATTTTTCGCAGTTTCTGGCTGAGCCCGCGGAGCCCCGACGCGGCGTCAAAGGGGCCGACCTCCCACACCAGCCCCTCAACGGCCAGCTTCCCGTCCAACACGACTGCCCGACTGCCCCGTAGCGGTTTGGCCCGGAACCGATCCATGGGCGTCATGGACGTGGCGATGGCCTGCAGGCTGAGGCGCCGGTCAGGTAGCCACGACGCCAGAGGCCGGACGGCCTGGGCGGCGAAGGTGCGACCCTCGCGAGGGAGCGACGCCTTGGGTACCCAGGTGAAGAGCGGGCTGAGGTCGCCGTTGTAGAGCGCGAGCGCCATCGCACAGGCCGAGAACCCGAGCCGGCGCCGCGTGGCCTTGTCGATGTCGATGCGCTGCCCGTAGTCGGCCAGGTTGCCCAGGATCGCCAGCTTGTCCGAGAGCATGAACAGCTCCTTTTGCTCGAGGATGCTCATGGCGGTCGAGAAGGACATGGCTGGTGCTGCTGCGTCCAAGTCTCCGCCGGCATCAGCCGCGCCGTCCGCGATGCCGAGGGTCCCGCTTGCCAGCGTGGCCGACACGGTCTGGATCGGCAGCGGCGTGAGGGGCATCATGTGGACCACGGCAAAGATTTGGCCGCCCGTCAGCACCCACTCCCGCGGCACGACCTGGCAGCCCGGGCTCTCCTTGTTTTCCTTTTGCGCCACGGCCTCCCACGCTCGGCCGGACGGGTCGAGCTCATGCCGCCACCCGACAAGGTACCGAAGCTGCCGGTTGCTCGACAGGCCCAGCTCCTGCGCAGTCCAGGCGCGCGACCACCACGAGTCCGCCTTGATGCGGCCGCGTAGGGCGTTCTGCCCGCGGTCCGCCAGATCGGTCAAGTGGAGGACGGCCTTGATGTCGGACGCGTCGACGACGTGGCGCCCCAGCATGACGAGCGTCACCGCCGCCCAGCGGTACACAATGTGCATGCTCTGGACGCCGAGCGCCCTGTCCTGATCCGAGTCCTGGTGGATGCACTCCTGGTCGATCCAGATCTTGCGGATGCCCTGGGCGGCGGCGAACTCGAAGGCCCGCTCTAGGATGTCGGGCGGCGCCCGGATGGGCCGCACGTGTCTGGTGCTGCCCGGATTCGGACTCTTGGGGTCCGGAGCTAGGATCTGGTAGACAGCGGCCGACTCCTCGTTGGCCGGCGGCCAGCGGTACGAGATGGCGATGAAGGGCTCCCGAGCCTCGTCCTCGTTGGCGCTCTCGATCAGCTCAAACGCGTGCTCCACGGACCGGTCTGCTCGCACGTCGATGACGAACCGGAGACGCTCGCACCAGCGGCGGAAGAGGGCCTCGGGAACCATGAGCTCCTGGGCTTTTTCCATGTCGTGGAGCAGCCGGCCCCGTGTGGCTCGCCCAGGCCACATGTCAAGGGCCTGCAGCGGCCGTTTAGAGTCGTTTTCCATCGCCGTCGTGTCTGCCTTCTTCTTTTCCTTTTGCTGGGACTCTAAGGGCTAACTAAGGTACCTTGGGTATCTTGCCACCTTTTTGAGGATGGCGCCCCATCCTCCCTTTGTTAGCTGCACGGATCCCCTATTTTCTGGGTCAGCCGCAATTGGCGAGAACAATGTTTGGGCGCCAGCCGTCGGGCGAGCTTCCTAGGTCAGGTTGCTGCATTGATTGGGAAGGAGCGGTCGCGCACATTGTCAATTACAGCGATCAGCACCGCCGAGCCAATTGACTATGACCGCGGTCGCGGGGGGTGGTTACACGTTTCTGCACGCTCCACCGAAATCGGTCCGGAGCAGTCAGGACCACCCTCACCAGGTCACGTAAAACGCTCAGCCGGTATCTCCGCTGCAATCCCCGCTTACTTTAGTGTTGTTCTTCGTCGCAAAGAAACCCCATCTCGAAAGACGAAAAATCAAGAAGAAAAGCAAGAAACTTACTTGCCATGCCGGTGACAATCCAGGTTGCGTCTCATCCCGCCAAGGGCGTCAATGCCCGAAGGGGTATTATAGACGACGAGGCAAAGGATACCGGGATCGACTCGGCGTCGTCGCGCTTCCTGGAGAGCGTGCTCCGCGGCGGCGGCGCCGAGGTAAAGCGGGTGGGCCTGCTACAGTCGACGCTCGGCGACGACGAGGCCGCCTCGGTGTTTCCGTGCCAGAACGGGCTGGTGAACGCCTGCCTGGAAGCCTACAACCAACACCACCACCTGGTGCTGCGGCCCGACGACGTCTGGATCGCCATCATCACGCAGTTTTCCTTCTACGTCAACGCACACGCCGAAGAGATGCGCTCCTTCTTCGTCGCACACGAGGGCCAGAAGGAGCTGGTCATCCAAGAACGCCCGAGGGGCGGCGTCGACACTGACGGCGTCGAGACGGCGGCCGAGCTGGCCCGCGCGTGCCTGAGGGGGGGCATCGATTTCGCCCGCATGACAGCCAAGATGGCCGACCTGATCCAGGACAACGTGCTCGACAAGGACCTGCAGGCCTGGATCATGCCGTCCTTCTCGACCACGACCGAGATCGACGCCGTCGTGTGCAGCGCCATCGTGATGGGCGCCATGAAGCACTACTTCAAATACCGGTTCCAGGTTCTGTGCGGCATCCCGTCCGTCACCCTCCTCGGCGACGTCGCCGACTGGGAAGCCATCCTGGCGCGGCTCCCCAAGCTGGCCTCGTTCGGGCCGGCGCACCCCCACCTGGCCGAGTGGGCGTCCCTCGTGACGCCCGTGGTCCAGGGCATGGTCGACACGTTTGGCGCGCCGCCGCCCGACTCCGAGTCTGCCGCGACCAGGAACTTTTGGTCGCGCATCGCCCACTACTCGGGTGGCGGCAGCGGGCCGACATACCTCTCAGGCTGGATCACGGCCTTTTGCCTCTTCTCGTCGCGCGGCGCCTGGCAGGGCGGCCAGCGCGCGGACCCAGGACTCATGTCCAGTTGGCGACACAACGACGAGGAGGAGCCCGCGCCAACGGCCGACCGGGGACCTGCAGCGGTGGCGTTCCCATACATCGACACCAAAGACGTTCCGGCGGCGTGGTGCGAGGTCAATGTGACGATTGAGCTGCATCCGAGCCTGGTGCCGGCCGAGGTGGCGCGTCGCTGGCGCGAGGAGGGGGACAAGACGGGGCAGGCAAAGGGGGAAAAGACGGGGCAGGCAAAGGGGGACAAGACGGGGCAGGGGGACAAGACGGGGCAGGCAAAGGGGGAGGACAAGAGCGGGGAACAACACAAGATCCCGGGGAGTCTGGAAGTGCACGCCGTGATGGCGGCCGGGCTAACGGGCTTTTCGGCCTTTGTGCTGCGTCCCGGCGAAGAGGGAGCCGAGGGAGATGACGAGGAGGTCAAAGACACTGTGCAGCCGTTTCCGGCCTGGTTCATATATGTCAAGGAGTGGGAAGGCGGAAGCCAGGTAATGAACCGTTTCTGCTAGTTGCTTTTAGAACCCCCGCTGACCAGGCCCAGAGAAGCCACGATGTTATTAGTGACGGCCACGCCAGTGATGACCGTCTGGACGACATGTATGGGGGCTATAGTGGGACGGTGGAAGGCGCCGGTGGCGATGGTGCTGTCAAGCTCGACAGCGAGGGAGCTGTTGGGGAGGACGGCGCCAGTAATGGTGCTCCTACAGGGCGAATGAGGAGATGGGGTTTCGGTTCGGCTCTCCAGCGTCTAAGCCAAGCACGCAGGCGCGTCTGGCTCTGGCTGTGCGGGAAGGAGTGACAAGCTGTCGAGACTCGTCTCTAAAGACTTGAAATTCAACTCGGGCTGTTAGAGTTACATTCCGAGAACGAACGGTAGTTTCAGCAGTCCTTTTCACGGTAAGTTAGGTGGGGGAGTAAGCGAACGCCACTGATCCAGAACATTGTAGATAAGCGAGGAACACAACCAACCCTCTTATATAAAAAGCCCATAACTCAACCAATTCTTTTCCAATTCTCTTCATCTTCAATTCGTTTTATTCTTCTCTTGACAATGGTTTCATATACAGAAGAAGACCTTCGCAAGGCTTGCGAGGAAGCCGTCAGAACACATCGATTACGCAAAGTCGCGCGAAAATGGAACGTTCCACCCTCCACCCTTTATGGCCGTCTACATGGCTCCCTACCTCGAAATGTTGCTCATCAAGATGAGCAAAGGCTTACACAGACCTAAGAGGATCGTTTAGTCGAATGGATTCTTCTTCAACAAGATTTAGGATTGCCCCCTACACATGCACAGATCAGGGAGCTTGCACGCCGTATTCTAGCTGAAAGGGGGGACTCCTTACCACTTGGAAAGGGGTGGTGCCGTGCCTTTCTTAACCGCAATCGAATTTTGAAGACTCAGAGGGCCAAGAGAGTCGATTCGGTCCGCGTCAACTGCGCTACAGAGTCAACAATTCGACCTTGGTTCAACCATTTCCAAACACCAGCTATCAAGGCGATTAAGCCAGAGAATCGCTGGAACAAGGACGAATCTGGTATTATGGAAGGCAGAGGAACCAACGGCCTTGTCATTGGAAGCCGTGCCTTTAAGGCGCTTCAAAAAAAACAGCCTGGAACCCGCACTTGGACCACTTTTGTCGAATGCATCTCAGCAGCTGGCCGTTGCCTTCCTCCTTTGGTCATTTTTAAGGGGAAAAGCGTTCAACAACAATGGTTTCCTTTGGATATGAAGCCATTTCAGGATTGGTTCTTTACAGCAACTGAGAAAGGATGGACTACCGATGAGACAAGCCTCAAATGGTTAAAAAATGTGTTCATTCCTCTCACCAAGCCAGCAAACTCCTCTGAGAAACGACTCCTTATTATTGATGGCCATGGCAGCCACACAACTGCCGATTATATGTGGGAGGCATTCACAAACAATATTCACATTATTTATCTGCCTCCCCATACTTCCCATGTCCTCCAACCCCTAGATTTGGCCATATTTAGCCCCCTAAAACGACTTTATCGCAGACGGCTTGAGGACCTTCTTGCTAACGCCTTTGACGACTCTTCTGTAGCCGGAAAACGTGCGTTTCTGGAATGCTACCAGATTTCACGCACAGAGGCAATTACTAAGAGTAATGCTAAGTCAGGATGGAAGGCATCAGGCCTTTGGCCCTTGAATGTCAACAAACCGCTAAGAAGCCCACTCCTCCTCAAGAATTCTAATACTTCACGCCCCTTAAGAACTACTATAGTTACCCCAGAGGTTCGCACACTCCGTATGCCAATCCTGGAGGATTATGGAGACGATCGGGTGCAGTGGAGGACTCCTAGAAAGGCACGTGATTACGTTGAGCAGGCAAAGAAGTTCGCACGCATCATCAAAGCAATGCCAGCGGATAAGCTCTTCCTCAGAAAGATTGGTAAGGCTTTGGATAAACAGGCCTTTGAACTGGCTATTAGGAAGCGAAAGATTGAAGGTCTAGAACACACTCTCGAATCAATAAGAGCCAGAAAGAAGAAGAAGGTTGAAGAAGATCCAAATACCACCTTTGCGAATATTCAGACTATTCGTGAGGCCCAGAGAGCTGTAGGGCGTGCAGCAGAGGTTTTAGAAGATGCGGAAGAAGCGGATGATTCAGAGGATATCAAAGATTGTATTGAAGTTTTGTAAATAAAAAGATCACCCTTTCTTTTGTTGGAGGGTTAGTTGGGACTCCTGCTTATACAGAATGTTCTAAATCAGTAGTGTTCGCTTACCCCCCCACCTAACTTAGTGACCTACTTGTCTATACAGATGAAGGAAATCGACAGTACTTGGTGGACCAATTAGTATCCTAAAAATAGACTAGGTCTAAGAGCTATGCACCCGATTTTACATTACGGTTCCTGTAGACGAACTTCCCTCGGCTTGGGGAGGTACTCGCTTTGCCTCACCCCCCTGCTTAGACTATGCGACTACCTAATCCGGGCTTGGTCGGGAAATTTCGTAGGGCCTGGGTAACCAAACAGTTACCTAGGTACATAATTAGACGTGGCGGGATCTATCTCGAGAAACACTCACCAGATACGTAGCACACTGTTTACCAATGAGCCACGGCCGCCTTGCTTGAGTTGCCTGGCTTGCCCCGATCCGTTGGCGTTCAGACAAAGGCGCGCAGTCTTGGCACTGGGGCTGACCGCGCCGGTTGTCGGGCATGGCGGCAGCGCCACCACTGGTCTGCTTCAGCTCAGGCTGCCAGCAAATGTGCGGCTCGTGAATGGCCAGTGCCTCCCCTGCGTGAAAAGCTTGTTTGTTCTTTTTTTTTGAGATTGTCCAGGGGCTGGGAGTGCGCAGCAACTCGTATTGGGTGGTTTGTGAGGCGTTGTTGGCAGGAATGGAGTTGATAAAGATCGAGCTTGGCGCACTTTTTGTGCTGCATCTCTTTCTCTATTTCCTTCTCCCTAACAGCAGTCCGTCGACAAACGCTCAAATCCCGAGCCAAAAAAAAGGTAACCTGCCTGAACTATCCAAGACGCAACAATGTTTCCTCTCGCCACCCCCCTGGTCGCCATCGCCGCCCTCACACTCGGCGCCTCGGCCTTCTCGGACATTTTCGACGCCACCATTACGCCCGGCCTGTTCCCCACCACCGTCTTCTCGAACTGCAGGACCACCGAGCCGACTGCTATCCAGTAAGCCGCCTGTCTGTCCCCCTTCTGCCGCCGCCAACTGACTGACTGACCCGCGCGCCACCGCATGCAGCGACTTCAACTCGTGCACCTTCAACAACGGCCTCAACGCCGCGGCGCCGTGCCTCGGGCTCACCGACTACAAGGACCCCGCAATCAGCAGCCAGCTCATGGCGTGCTGCACCAACGCTCTCCGGTCCGAGGCCAGGTTCGTTTTGACCCCCTCTCATCGGCATTTTACCCTGGCGCTGTTCCGAGAAACTAATTAACGGGTTCCTGTGTGTACTTGGTTGGCATCGCAGCTGCTTCACTGATACCAGGTCGTTCTGCACTGGCTCCATCTCCATCGACATCGTCAGCATATGCCAGCACCCCACTCGAGTGCCGGCTGCTACTGCCACCGGGGGCGCAGGCGGTGGCGTCGGCGGCGCTGCGGCGACCGAGACCAGCAAGGCCCACGGCGCGCACTGGCCCGTCGCCACGGGGGGGATGGTGGCGGCTGCGGTTGGCGTGGTTGGCCTGCTGGTCTAAGCCGGGATCGAAGAGACTTGAGCAGGCGGAGTGGTTTAAGATGAATTCAAGAGCAGGCGAGCGTGGAATGTCCTTCCGGTTTTTGTGTTGTTTCCGCTGCCGGAAGACGTGAGGTTGTGTGCCGGTGTGCCGAGGTATCGAGAGAATGAGCGTCGGATCCGCTTGGTGCCGGTCTGAAGTCCTCTGGTCTGAAGTCCTCCGGTCTGCCCCTGCGCACGGCGCACCATAATATAGGGTTTCGCTCTTTGAGTAGCCAGCCGAGTCGTGATGAAGCCGCAGGCACAATGAAAGCACGCCTCCCCCTGAACTCCTCAACGCACTGTCACGCCTGCAATACCAGAGCAACAGAAAATAGTAATACATGTGTTGATACAATAATTCACACCACCGCCGTCTCATAACCGAGACCTAGAGTCGGAAGGCGCTGCAGTGTCGCCGGCCCCGGTGGCTGAGGCAGCGGGCTGGAGCTGCAGCTGGGCAAGCCGATCCGTCCACGTGTTCGTGTCTTGGAGGTACGCGGCCAGCATCACAGACGGCGACGACGTAGAACCTTGCGACGAGCTGTCAAGAATGAGTTAGCTCGAGTCAATGCGCTGAACAATCACGAAGTCTTTGCGAGATTTCGTTCTGCCTACCCCTTCCCACTGTCGCTCCCGTCGAACACTGACGCGGTCGAGGACATGATGAGCTGGATAGTTTGATTGGTTGGCCGAGGGTCTTGACTGCGAGGCAGAGATGCAACTTGGCCGCAGGCTGAGAGCAACTTGGCCGCAGGCTGAGAGCAACTTGGCCGCAGGCTGAGAGCAACTGACAGAATAGTCTGAGAATAGTCTGAGATGGGAAACCTGAGTCGAGCCTGATCGTCATCGTCTGCGGCCTGGACACATTTTCACCGTGGTAATGCCTGGCCCAGGCCTTTATAACCTGAGGTATCTGGACACGCGGTGATGCCATTCCCGCCCCCAAAGTTAGACAACACAACACGGGGCTGCCAAGCCAAGCCATGTAATTGCCGGTGCATGCTGCGAACAACGCGTCCGCGAGCAATCTCATGGCCGCGAAGGTCCCGGCATTGATGGACATTCCCAGCTCATGACGATGGCCATGTATCCGGCGGGCTCGATGGTGTGTGGGTCAGGGGTCGACCCTAGCCCGGTCCTTGGGCGGATGCTGACGTGTGGTGGTGTAAGGGCACGCTTTGACACGCGGCGTCCTGGACGTCCCTTCATCGCATATCGCAAATCGCAGGGCTCTGCCAACTTGGCGGGTTAAAGATGTGTGGAAGGGGGCGGCGGCGGCCCGGAACTTTGTAAGGCTGTATATTGGTTGCCTTGGGCACGGCACCCTCCACACCTTAGCGGCGGCTAATATTGGTTGTGTGGGGAAGAGGGTGTGTGGGGGTAAGCCCGAGGGTTTCTTCTCTTCCCCCTGAACCTTGCTCCTAGTCGACAGAAGTGACTCTAGTCGACAGAAGTGCTCCTAGCCGACAGAAGTGCTCCTGCTCGACAGAAGTGCTCCTGCTCGACAGAAGTGCTCCTAGTCGACAGAAGTGCTTAGTGAGTAAGAAAGGAGAGTGATGGGATTGTTAAAAAGGGGTTAACAGGAAACTTGTCTCCGTGCATGGCGTTCGGGCCTGTCCATTTCTAGTGGCAACTGGCTTTGCGGTCTTCACTCATGGACCCCTCTCGGTCGCTTCCTGACCTGCATCCAGGAGCGACCAGGGGCTCATGGGGGGTAACCCCAGCTGTGACGGTTGTCATGAACCAATCACGACCGAGATGCGACAGGACGGCAGCCAAGTACTTGGCTGCCGTCCGCGCGGCATGCCACTAACACGCCATGTTGCATTGGAAGGGGGAGGGGGCCTGGCAGCCCCTGGCCGAGCGTTAACACGCCTTTTGGCGTGCTGACAGGCGGTACTTGGGGCCTGGCGAACTGGTCCGCCTGCTGCATCCGCAGGCTCGAATCGAGTCTCGGCAGTCATCCCCGTCGATTGAGGGCGGGCAGTTATCCCCGTCGATTGAGGGCGAAGCCAGCTGCCGGCCCGACGACGTCTCTGTCCCACTGCACTTCTCCCTCCTCCAGCGGCCGCCAGTCAATCCTGCGTCTTTCACCGCTCCAAAACCTGTGCATCTCAATTACGTGCTGTACTGTGCTGTGCGTGGTTCATGTGCCGGCCCGCCAGCATGGACGGCCAACGCCTCGAACTCGCCACACAAGCAGACGGCGCAGCGATGCATAGTCATGGCCAAGGCCCCATGCCCCGGAGCCGTTCTGTGGCCCACAATTCAGACGTCTATGCCCACAAGATGGCACGGCAGGGCGATATATCATCTCATTCTCGTTGCGAACCACTCGGTGGCGAGTCGTGCCTGCCTGCTGTCCGCGGCGAGAGGAGGTCCTATCCAATCCCGGTGCAGTCGCCGCTGCCAGAGTCGCTTGCCATGGGGTCGGCCCGCCCTGAGAGCCATCACCACGCTGGAGGCCGAGAGCAGCAGTGCGAAGCGCTGCTGACGCCCAAGTCCATGCCCCACGACAGGCCGTCGTCCCCCGACATCGACGACGAGGGCCCCGTGTCCAATCCAATACGCTTCTCCTTCCAGTCTAGCTCTAAAGACTCGGGCGTCGTCATGGAGGCCGAAGACATGGCGACCGCTCCGAAAGGTTATCCGTTCCCCCACGAGCGGTCATACTTTGACACGGATGATTCCTCCGAGGAAGAAATGAGCGACGCGAGTAGCAGGTAGGCTGGCTCTTGTCCACGCGTGGCAAGGACTTGGCTATCAGACCCGATCGCTGACTCTGTTCCAGTATTGACATGGACCAAGACGGCGAGCCTGCCCCGGCCGCGGCGAACCCGAACCTGCCAATGGCAGAGCTCCGCCTCGAAGACGACGTCCCGCCCGCCGTCTCGCCGGTCGACTTCGACTCGGACGACCAGGCGACCATCACCGAAGACGTATCAGAGGGCCAGGTCGACAAGATCCTCAACTTCACGCTGCGCACCGTGCTCGGCGTTGGGCTTGCGGACCTCGGAAAGGGCCGGCGCGAGCTCGGCCGCAGCCTGACGCTCCGCTACGCCGAGGTCTTAACCGGCCTGGTGGAGAGCATGCCCGACCTACAGGACTTTGACCAGGACCCAACGTCGTCCGGCCGAAGGACATCCGGCGCGGCCGCCGGCGGCGATGAAGGGCGCGGCGAGTCGGGAGCCGAGAGGCCCTCCGGCAAGCGGAAGCGGAGCGACCTCGACGCGCAGGCGCAGCAGGCCGGGGGGGACGGCGTCGACGTCGCGACGGCAGCGGCGAGCGTCACCAAACGGCAGCGGCCCATGCTGCGGATCAGGTGCCCGTACCGCGCACGGAACCCGCGCCGCTTCAACGTGCGCGAGCACCAAGGGTGCGCCATGACGTACTTCACCCTCATGTCGGACCTGAGGTGAGCAACCCAACCCAACCCCCGCTCACCCTCCTCAAGCCATGCCGCCTGACTGACAGCGCACCAGGCAGCACGTGGTCAAGAAGCACGCGCGCGACGACACGTCCATGTACTCGTGCGCGCGGTGCAACGAGATCTTTGCAACCAAGTCGGAGCAGGAGACGCACGTCAAGCGGGCCGAGGGGTGCCCGAGCCGGGCGCTAGACCCCGAGGACGGCGTCGACGGCGAGACCATCATGCGCATCCTGGACCGGCACCGCGAGACGACCAAGTCGGGCGGCGAGATCCTGGTCGAGAAGCAGTGGGCCGAGTTGTGGATGCTGATTTTTCATAATGACGACCCGTGCGCCATCCCGTCGTACAGTGAGTGATGCCGGCATTTCATTCTCTTGGAACCCACCCCCTCAGCATACGTGCTTGGCCTTTAGTGGCCGTCAAACCCACTGACCGTCTGCGCCAGAATACCACGCCGTGATGGAAGACTGCGAGTTTGCCTTCGAGTGGAAGGGACTCGCACCAATACTCGCCGACGCGCTGCAGCGGGAGCTCGGGCTAGGCGGGAACGACGAGACAACACAACTGCTACACCGGATATTGCTAGAGCACCTAGAAATGGTAGTCAAGGCGTGTCAGGAGAAGGCGTGCGCCCTGCAGTACGCGAACCGGGCGCGCATGTCCAACACCACCACCACCAACCACAACCGGCCCGGCGGCGGCGGCGGCGGCCAGCGCCGCAGCGAGGTCATCTCGGTGCTGCACAGCCTGATGGGGCAGTTCTCGCCGCGCGACTCGGGCATCGGCACCGAGACGTCGTCGAACCGCGCGTCCGAGTGGCTGTCGCTGGCCAATATGCACGGCGGAAACAACAACAACAGCAACAACAACAACAACAGCGCGCAGTCACCAATACTACACCGGCCGCCGTCGCAACTGCAGTATCAACCACACTATCCCTCTCCGGGAGGCTTCCACGGCGACAGGGCGTCGTTTGCGCCAATACCGGTGCCGGCGCACGAGGTGGTGCCGCTGACGCCCGAGAACCTGGCGCGCAACGAGGCCGCCGCGATGATGGGGAGCGGCGAGACGGCCTACTTCGCGATACGTGCCGGGCTGGCGAGTCCCTTGGATGTCGGCCAGCAGTTCCCTTCGCCTAGTAATGGCGCTGGGTACCCGCCGCCGCCCTATGTCGTTGGAGGGAACGCTCGCGCTCAACTGTACGGACAGCAGCAGCAGCAGGTGTACCATGCCGCGCAAGGGTTCGGGCAGCCGGGTGTGGGCCAGCAGCCGCGGCTGCATATACTCGACGAGGCGCAGGCGGTGCAGTTCTCTGCCGGCGCAGCAGGCAACAGCAGCGGCAGTAGGGACAGCTATGGGAGCTATTCGGCGCGGTACTCGCGCTCGCAGCACCCGCCTGCACCAGCACAATCACAACATTTCCTTTCGCAACAACAGCAGCAGCAGCAGCAGTATCATGCTGCGGCAAACTTCGGGTTCGGTGGCCAGGGCGTGCATGCGACGGCGCTGCCGCATGCCGGGGGGCATAGTATGCCGTTGGTTGAGAGCGGGTTTGCTGCCGCCGTGCCCGGCGTGGTCTGCACGGGGAACCCCAACATGATCTGAGTTGTGGACATTACAAGCAGTGTAATTAAAAACGCTCTTCTCGTACCTTACGTGGGGAGTAATACTTAATAATGCATGGGCATGATGGGCCCTTCTTACTCGCGCATGGCAATGGGCAGGCAGGTGATGACCGGCGGGATCCGCATGTAGTGGCAGTCGATATTAGACATGCCTCGCCTAATTAATGATCGCCTAATTAATGATCGCCTAATTAATGACCTATCAACATCAGTTAACTGCCATCTCTCGACAAAAAACCACTCATCTATGAGGATAGTATATACGCAATCCCCAAAAACCAGTGACGCCAAATGACAGAAGAGCAGCCATAATATCGAGTGCCGGCCTCAATCTTAATATCCTACGAAGCCGGGACTTGCACCGACGACGCCGGGACTTGCACCGACGACGCCGGCGCGGTTTTCAGCGCCGCCTCCGACACGGGCGGCGTCGGCGGCTAGCGCTCGCTGAGCTGCAGCCACTCCATCTTCTTTGCGAGCTCGGCCTCGGTGCCGCGCCAGGTGCGGCCCTTGAGGTGGCGGACGCACAGCCTGCGGCCGTCGTCGGGGTAGTACAGCCAGCAGGCCCAGCGGCGCCACTGGCCGTCCTTCATCTCGCAGCGGGCGCGGTGGCCGGCCGTGTCCTCGATGAAGGCGCCGCGCAGCATCGACATGCGGTTCGGGAACACGAGCGCCAGGTAGTGCGCCGTCGTCGCCAGGTGCGGCTTGTCGTGCCAGAAGAAGAGCGGCGTGAGCGGGATCTTTTGGGCGGCGCCTTCCGGACTCGGGGCCGTGGCTGCCGAGGACCGCGGCGTAAAGTTCTGCTTGTGCAGGTTCGTCAGCGCGCGCAGGGCGGGGAACTGCACGACGTGGTCCGAGGTCGCGTAGCTGACCATGCGGATCGACGGGAAGCACACGTATTTGACGGGCACGGTGAGGACCTGGCGGTCCATGCCGTCGGCCGCGGTGTCGGCCGGGGAGGAATCGGACTCGGACTCGGCCGGCGCGTGCCGCTCCTGCTCCTGCATGATGTCGAGCAGCGGGCCGATGGGGATGTCGGCGACGAGGGCCCAGTCGTGCTGGTGCACCCACACGTAGGGCGTCTCGGTCAGCCGCAGGGCCGAGCGCACGGCCAGCCCGAAGCCCAGACGCACCCCAGGCTCGATGAAGGTGACGCGGCCGTCGCGGGTGCGCGATATCGCGAGCGGCACGTTGTTGTTCTGCTTGGCGTACTGGATGGACCCAAACTCGGCCTCGGACGACGACAGCGCCATGTCGCGGCCATGGCTGTCGGCGTCTTTTCCGGGCGGTGCAGGCGCATACTGGTCGAGGATGAGCCGCTTGGCGTTGTCCTTGTAGGCGGCAAACTTCTGGGCAAAGTCGGCTGTGACCTGGCCCTTTTTTAATCGCGCGCGCGTGGTGATGTGGTCGTACGTGTCGATGACCAGAATGACACGGAATTCCAAAAGGGCGGGGCAGTGTGCGCGGAAAGACGAGAGGACCGCCGACAAGAGCTCGGTCGACGGTGCGGAAGGCGTGGGCGACGTGGTGATGATGAGCGTCACAAGATCGCGATTGACCCTCGGCGGCACAGGCGGGGTCGGCAACTGTTGGGCGGGCATTGCGCGAGCCGGGAACAGCCAAACGTTATTGGGAGTGTGCAGACGCGTTCCTCTGCAGCGAATCCATCCAGAGGCCTGGCGACGCAAAGTTACAGGTATGTACCCTGGCTACCTAAGGGCACTGAGGCAGCAGGAACGGCGGGCTGCGCTTGTCGTGCAGACGGCGCTGCAGCTGTCGTGGGATTGACTCGAAACTGCCGAGGGCAGGAGCAGAATTCTCGGCTGGTCAGCGCCCGACAGAAGTGGGGCGGATTTCATGTTGTGCATGCTTGTGCATGTTGTGTGTGCTTGTGCATGTTGTGTATGCTTGTGTGCGTTGACTCGACTGCAGTTGAGTTGGTAGGACGGTTCTCTGTGCGGCCGCATTTTGCCCAAAACGGCTGTACTGGTTGGCGACTTCCTCGTACAACCAGTACAGTATCCGTAAGGCTTTGAGAACCCCACGCGACAAGGAATTGGTTGGTGAGAAGGTGCGATGTTGTCATTTTTTCACACAGTGTTATCCTTTGGTTTCTTTACTGTGTGCTCGTGCACTGTGCATCCCCATCCGCCTTCTCCTTCCCCTTCCACCGTTTCACAATAAAACCATTGTCGGAGATTCCAATTCACCAAGGTAATGAACAAGCACCACAATTGTCGACGTGAGTCTGATGAGACTCGGTTGGGCAGACTGCGGTTCGGAATCCAAGAACTAGGTTCTTTTTATTTAAATCCTCGATACTCAAACATTCTCATTCAACACCTCCACGAAAGTTGCAACGACCCAAAGCCCCTCTTGAATGCGACGATAAACTGATTCGTCCGTCTCGTGAGTTTGATTTGCATCAAAACGGCACATCTCCGTCGTTCATCTTCCCTCTCCCTGCCGGCACAAGGCCCATCTTGCTCGCTCTCCACCGCCGCCACTCGCCGAACAGCGCAGACAGCATCCAGAGCGACCACATGACGGCAGCCACGGCAATGTAAGCGGTCTTGAGCTTCTCGGACGCACCCGCCATCCACAGGCCAAGACCGCCATTGGCAATGCCCAGCGTGATAAAGATGCGGCCGTTGAAGATGTGCAGGTATGACCACATCTGCCTTCGCTGCACCTTTTTGAACTTTGCGTGATGGATAATGCCCAGGATGGGCTGGGTTGCCAGGAACGCCAGAACAACAATGCCAATAATTGGATGGTAGCTCGTGTCGGGGTTCGTCAGCTGCCAGCATCACATCGTCAGCAAGACTTGCCCAGCATGTAACGTCCCAGGGATGACACTTACCAGACTCCCGCCCGCAAAGGGGATCTGCACCATGCGCACAAGATAGATGCCCAATCCCACGGCTGCGACATAGACGCCAAACGCCACTGTCTGGGCCAGAGCGTGGATCCAAAGAGAGAGACGGCCTGGGATGATGCGCATGAAGATGGAGCCAACGGGGAAGAGGACGACCATGGCCAGCGCCCCGAGAATCCCGTGGATTGCCCGTACTCGCGTCGCCGTCTCGATGTCGAAGCCCGCCCCGCTTTGGAAATTCCCGAAGCCATTTGACCCGGACCCGGACCCGCTACCAGAGCCCGATCCCGATCCCGATCCGCCGTCAAACGGGTTCCCTCCACTGAACCCATCGAATTGGGCCTGGACAACCACCGCGGATGCTGTCACAGAACCCGTCAGAAATGCCAGATATCATGAACTTTGGACAGAAGAACCCACCGAGGAGTACGGTTGCTGCGCGTTTCGTGTCCATTGCGGCTGCTTTGGATGATTCGGAAGACTAGGGCATGTCAAGAAAAGCAATCTAGGTACAGAAACCGACCACTTCTCGCAGGGGAGCTGCGGCGGTTTTAAGATCATTTGACTGAGACATGGCCGTGAGCCAACGCCCGATGATCTCATGCATGCAGTTACGCGTCCCTCGTCCCTAGCGGCATCGATCTCTCGGACCCGCGATGGGGATCCACCGTTGGGCTCGCCTCTGGCGTCAGCCACCGAGTCTGACCAAGACGCTGCTGAGACGGAAAACACAGCAAGGATTCCGAGCCAACGAGCGATGCGCAGACAGCCAGCCGACCAAGGGCCGACGGCGCGAACCATGGAGAGCCCCTAGTGCCAGTTACGACCACTCTGGCCCTCGACCGTTCAACTCTAAAACCAGAGCTAACTCGGTTCACTGGGCCGTGGCCTGGCTGCTTGGGAATTGCGCAACATTGGTGGCACAGCACCGATAGGAGCCATGTTAATGCGCTCGGCTAGTCCTGTGAGACCGAGTGCGGCTTGGCCAGGCCGTTGGCTCCCTGGCTCCCGGCCCTCGGGACCGACCATTTGGCTGACATCCGGTTTTTTTTCGGCTGCTGATTGGCCTATTTCGACGTTGGATCTACATCTCCCTGGGTCGTGGTCAGCCTGGAAAGGCGTGGTCATGCTTTCCCGGTATTCGGGTGCAAGCAATTGCAGCCGCCTCGAAGGCAACCGCCAGGGTTGGGGTTGTCGATAGGAAGAGTTTGTTGCGATCCGCGAAGAACCGGGACAAGTGCCTGGTGGCGGGCAGAGATCAGCCTAAGCGCGGTAGAGCATCAATTTCTCGTAACTTGATGATAACTTCACCTCTACAAGAAAGCTGGAGCAACCAATCTTGCAAGGCGCACGAAGAATCAAGGAAGAAATACGGCCCCCCGACTCCAAAGTCCGCAATGGAAGCATCAGCATCAACATCGTCATCACCGCCATCCCTCCTCACCCTCCCCTTCGAGCTGCGCGCCGCAATCATCACCGATGTCATCCTCGACTCTCCCCGCCCAGCCCCCAACCACCCAGCCGAGCTCTCCCCCCAAGAGCGCCGCACCGTCCCAGCATCCGAATCGGGAGCGTGGGAAGAAAGCCGCCGGGTGCGCTTCGAACGGGCTCCCCCTCCAAACCCGGCCCTCGCCTTGCTCCTCACCAACCAGCAGCTGCACAGCGAGACGCACAGCCTCTTGTCCTCCAGATCGCTCTGCCGTCCTCTGCGTTACACGCTCGACGTCGCCTACCTCCAGGACTGCACCCTTTGGCCTACCTGGCTTTCAGTCCCGCAGCGTGCCTCGCATGTCGATGAGCTGAAGGTCCAGTTCCGCGTGTTCAACTGTCCCGCCGACATGTGGATGACGGAGAAACCGTCTCGCGGCATGTTCCGCATCGGGGACGGGGCGCCCGAAGCTATTGTGTGGATCTTTTACCATCTCATGCATGTCGCGCTGGCACACGGACCTTGCGGACGTCCCATCACGGTCGGGCGGCTGGTCCTCGACTTTTTGCCTACAGACGAGGAGGACATAATCCCGTTGGTTGTGAGGAGGTACCGCACGAGGTTGTCAGATTTGACTAACCCACGCGACTTTTTTCGTCTGAGGAGGGCTGACAACTGTCCCAACCCAGTCTTGGATCCCACCGACTTCAAGACACATGCCGCGGCCGCCATGATGTGCTTTGTCGAGCGCGAGCTGGACATGCTGTTGGGTATCGGGGCAGACATGTTCGGATACGGCAGAGTCATCTACGAGAACATCGGGGAAATCGAGTATCGTGTGGCCGGCAAGGCGCAGGGAGAGGCCGGCGTGGCCTGGCGGCTCGCCCACACGGCCATGTGGGGCATGAATGCCACGAGCTTCAGCCGGCAGAGTTGGTACACCAAATTCTGCCCGTGGCTTCCCAAGGTCCAAGAAAGAAGGCGGAAGCTGGGAATGCCGGTGGTTTCCAGCGGCGCAGAAGGAGCGCCCGCGGACGGGGACGAGAACGAAGGCAGCGAGGCCTGATCGTCAACCCATCGGATCCCATGACTCGGGAAACAAAACAGGAAGGGAAAAGCGGGAAACGGGTGGATCAGCGGATGCTCTGGATATTAAATAGCCATCAATCTGAATCTGTAGCGACTTTCCACTCGTCCGGGAGTTCATACAAGGTGGCCCGGACATCGGGCCTCGCTTCCCAATGAGGACGGCCGATCTGGGGAGCATCAGGTCCAAATCGGCGGCCACATTTGCAGCCCTGCCAGACAGGCTCCACGCAGGCCGGGCCCGAGTGGCGGCGGCCCGGATTCTGTCGAACCAGGCAGCGCCTTTGCCGTCATCCTATGGCAGCTCCGGGGCAGCTCAACCGGGGCCCTTACAGGCGGCCAGTCATGCCTGTGCACATCACCCACCTCATTGTCCGACCATCATACAATTTCGTTTACGCGTTTTCGCCGGCAGCAAACTCCACACGGCCTCCGGGCTCGTTCGGTATAAAGCAATCAACGTCACCCAGCTGGTATTTTGGCTTGCACAGACAGACACTCTCGCACGCACAGCCACGCAGCAACACAACCACCACTTGGCAACGGGTGCCGGACACCCCTTGCGCTGCCAATTGAATTGTATATCTAATACTTAATAATCGTGGATATTTTCGTTCTCGCGCGCCCCCTTTTCACTGCTGGTTCGGCCTTTCGACTCCAAAATGCGCGCTACCGACAAATCCCGAGTGCTCCCTCCCATCTCCACGACGATGCTCCAGGTGCCGCACCACCACGCCGGCGGCCAGCCCCCGAGGACCCCGCGGGCGTCGCCGACGGCGGCCGACATGCCGCAAGTCTCGCTGTCCCAGATCACAATGAAGATGCTGAAGTCGCCGCACCACGCCGCCAGCCAGCATCAGCGCCCCAAGACGCCCAAGGGAACACCGACGGCGACACCGACGGCGACACCGGCGACGACGAAAATGCCCCTGAGCGCACTGAAGATGCTGAAATCGCCGACCCTTCCCGGCGGAAAGCCGCGGCGGCCCCCGACACCCTATGCGGCGCCGAGGAAGATGACGCTGCCGCCGCGCAGCCCGGCGTGGGCGGGGCACCGCGAGAGGAAGAAGCAGCAACTCCCAGCCGACACGCGGAACGGGCTCATCGTGCGGCGGCAGCTGCGCAACGGCTACCGCGCGTACCGGCCCGAGCACATCTGCGCGCTGCCCGACAACCCGCACGTGCGGCCGTTCCGCTGCTGCCGGCCGTGGGTGCTTAAGAAGACGTGCTCGTTCACGCAGCAGCTGGCCGCGCAGCCGCGCAGCCTGCACCGCCGCATCCAGCTGCGCGACAAGGGCAACAAGTCGTCGGCGTCCGTGTTCGCGCGCGCGCGTCCCCACCGCCGCGCCTTCCGCGGCGGCAAGTGGGACAACATCCACGAGCAGCTGCAGCAGCAGAACCGCTACGCGAGCGGGGCCGGCTGGCGTCCCAAGGCTGGCGGTGGGCTCACTATACCGCGAGGCGCCGACAGCAAACTGGCCCCAACACGAGCGGACGAGACGAAGAAGACGGCGGTCCACGGCAAGCCCGGCAAGCGGCCCGACCTGCAGATGGACACGGGCGAGGAGCTGGCCGTGTCGGGCGTCGCGCTGCCGTCTGACCGGTGGCGCGACGCGCAGGCGCCCGGCCGCGCGGCGCGCGACGTCGTGATTTTTGATGGGGTAGCAGCAGCAGCAGCAGGAGGAGGAAAAGTTGGAGTAGTAGAGACGAAGAAGGTCGAGGCAGACATCACGCTGAACTCTGTCGCGCAGGGGCGCGAGGGCCGCATGTGGCCGTGGTACGAGATGAAGGCGAAGAAGCCGACGCCGCCCAAGAAGGAGAAGAAGCAGAAGACTCAGGACGAGGCGCAGGAGGAGAAGAAGACAGTGGACAGCGACAAGAAAATCAAGAAAAAGAAGAAGGGCGTGCGCATGGCGAGCAGCAAGGCGGACAAGGGCAAAGCCAAGGCGGACGATAAAGACGAGGGGGCATACGACGCGGCCGCATTCGAGTGCGAGGCACTCGAGCGGCTGCTGCCGTTCTGGAAGTGCGAGTGCTGGCCGCCGTGCTTCGAGGTCGAGATCAAGCCGTGGGAGCACGTCGCCGACATGGACGACGGCGGCGAGCCGTGGGTGAAGGTGGCCGCGGGGACTGTTACCGTCGATGGCGAGGAGGTCGAGGTGCTGGTCGAGGTGCTCGAGTGGAGCAGCGACGAGGAGGGCGACGAGACGGCGGCGCCGGCTGTCAAGGCTGAGGGGGGTGAAGAGGAGGGTGACGGTGAAGGCGACGAGGAGTGGCAGATTATCAACAAGGAGGATGCGATTGTCGATGAGGATGACGGTGGCGATATCGAGTCGTGGATGGTCATGATTATGTTCGAGGACGAGGTCGGCGAGAGCTCGCGCGGCGCTTGATTGACGGGATGGAAGGAGATGCGGTGGGGGACTGGGAGAACAGCGGTGGTGAAGTGTGGAGCTGGAAGGGGTTTGAACGAAAAGTGAAAAAAAAGTATCGACGACGGTTGCGGTCTGAAGAGGACGGAGGAGAGTCTGAGGAAGTGGGAAGGAGAGTCTGAGGAAGAGGTGGGAAGGAGTTGGGAAAGAGGTGTGGTTGCAGAGAAAGAGAAGCTGGGGCCGAGAATCAGGGTTCGGAAGGGTTACGCACGAAAGGTTGAGAAAAAGATGAGGATTGACGACGGCTGTGGCCTAGAAGAGGAGGGGGATGAAGAGGTACGGACGGCAGAGACTGGGTGACGATGGGTCGGGAGATGAGCGCGGGCGGAGAGGTGTTGGCGACGAACATGAGGAAGAAAAAGAAAAGGTAGTAACGACGGTCATATGGAAGAGGAGGGTTATCGAAGACGCACGGACGGGAGAGAAATGATGGCGAGGAGCGATTAAGGACGAAAATGAAAAGGTGTTAACGAGGAGGGGTTTGTTAGAAGTTGGTGGCGATGGAAAAAAGAGGTGCGCGCGCAAGAGGCTGGGTGGAGAGTCTGGTGGAAGGATGAGCGAGGAGTTGTGGAAGGGCGAGCGAGGAGGAGTTGTGGAAGGGGTGTGGCGAGGAAGAGGCTCCGTGAGGCTGAGGCTGTTGGGTAGGTGGCGAGAGAGGCTGTTGGGGAGGTGGCGAGAGAGGCTGCTGGAGACTGCTGACGAGGAAGAGTCTGGCGGAGAGGTTGAGGGCAGAGGAGCTGTCGGTGCTGTGGCTGGAAGAGGCTGCGTGAAGAGGAGTCTGGTGAAGCGGGTGGAAGAGGGCGGAAGAGTTATTGGCGGGGAAGGTGTCATTTGAGACGGCTAGCGAGGAGGAGTCGGGCGGGGAGATTGCTGGAGAGGTGCAAGAGGTGTTATGGGCGAAAAGAAAAAGGTAGTAACGATTTTTATAGAGGAGGAGCTGGTAACGGCAGAGGGGTATTGGAAGAAGGGGTCTGGAGGGGAAGGCTTGATCGAGGGCATGTTAAGCGCGGATTGGTTGGGACTAGGTGACGGGGTGGTCGACGAGGAGCTGAGAGGCCTGGGAAGAGGGGAATGAGAAGGAGGTGCTGGGGGTATTTTGGGCGGAGAAGGGTGTGGGGTGATGTGTGGAGTGGACGGACGAGTTGGAGTTGAGAGGTCGCTGAGGTGTGGTGTTGTCTCAGCAGCTCGGCTGGGGTTGAGGGGAAGGGAATGGCGAGCGGATGAGGACGAGATAGCGGACGGACTAGTGAGACGGGACTAGTGAGACGGCTTTCAGTACTGAAAAATCGGATTTAATTGGCTAGGAATAGGGAACCATGAATTAAACCTGCCTCAAGTATCCCAGTCAAGTGAAACGGTGAATCTAAGTGAAACGGTGAATCTGAGTTGTGGCATTCTATATTCAGTCTGATCCCACCCTTACAGTACGTAAGTACCTTATCTATACACAGGGTCTTCAACAGCGTAATGATCGCTCTTGACAGCTCTCCATTGGAGCCCGTCTCGCTCTTGGCTTCAGACTGAACCAGCTAGGAGGTGAGTTTCCGACGTCCTTGGTGTTATAGCAGGCCTTTCTGCGGGTCACTGTCACGGCACAGCGCATTGTGAGTTCATTGTCGCTAGCCGTGTTACGTCATCTTCCAAGAAACCCAATTAGGCTTAGCTTGTGGGTCACGTGTTAACTTCGCCTGCAAACCTTCTTTCATGGAAAGAGCCCAATTAGGTTAGCATGTGGGTCACGTGCAAACTTCGCCCACAAACCTTTTCCACCGATCGCAGCTCCTGCGATCTTTCTTTCTTTCTTTCTTTCTTTCTTTTTTCTTTAGCTTAGTTTTACACTAAATGAATACGGTACATTATTAACATTTGTCCTTTAAAATCCTATGAACCGTGACAGTCACGATGTTGCGGATATACCTACACGGGTCGGGAATACTTTTCTCTCGAACTATTTAGCATATTTACGAACCACAAATGCATACACATTTCCATCCAAGCGACTAGCTCCCCGGCACACCCTTGACCTCGAGCACAGAAACGCTGAGGTCGGGCAGGGAGTACGTGAAAACACCACCAGCACCAGCAGTGAGCGTCGTCGTCTCGGTCTTGACGGCAGCGATGCTTCCGACGGCATTGCTGCTATTCTCGCCACCGGGCGCCGTGAGCACGGTGAGCGTGGCCGCGGCGCCGGCGGCCACGGCGTCGCCAGCAAATGCCACCGTCATGGACACGGCCGCTTCGCTCGGGCTGCCGTACACGGCTGTCTTGACGACGCGCGATCCCGTTGCAGCGTTGAGGCCTGCCACGTAGTATACGGGCTTGGGTGGGTCGCCGGTCATGGACAGGAGGTGTGTGATGCGTACGCTGGAGAGGAGCTGACGGGGCGTTAATACTAGCAGTGGACTTGAGCAGTGGGCTTGGAGTGGCATCGAAGGAGGGACGGACCTTGATGACGGCGTGGCTGGTGCTCTTGACCGTCTGCGCGGGGTCGGCCGTGTACGCTGTCCAGTCACTAGCGTCAGCAACTTGCTAGATAACTGCGGTCAGTCGGGTGCAACTCGCCAATCAGATCCGGCGTCCACTGGTGGCTGTTGAGGTTGCAGAACAGCGGCGCGTACGTCAGCCCGATGACGACGTCGCCGTTGCGCTCGGCGCCAATGGCCAGCACCGCCTCTGAAACGGACCCCTTCCAGAACGGATACAGCGGCCGGTTGCTCCACATGTTGGACGCCGAGTCCCGGTTGATGTTGGCGTACTCGCCTGTTGGCTCGCCAACCTTGTTAGACTTGTTTACATACGAACAGGAGGGACGAGAAAAACACACCGACAATGACCTTGTGCTTGCGGTCGTAGCGGTCAAACTTGGCAAAGTCGCCGATCATGGACTTGGGCTGCGAGTACGTGTGGTAGTCCTGCGCGGCGTCGCCGGGCAGCGACTTGGTCTCCATGCTGGCGACGACAGTCATGTTGGGGTACTTAGCCTTGATGGCATTGTAAAACATGGGGAAGCGGTAGGCCGTGTACGAGGCCGGGCCGCCATTGAGGTTGTCCTCGTTGCCGATCTCGACAAAGTTGACGCGCCACGGCCGCGCGTGCCCCAAGATGGACGCCCGCTGCGCCCCGTACTTGGTCGTGGCCGCGTCGCCCATCAGAAACTCGAGCTCGTCGAGGAAGTCGTCCACGTACGGCTGCAGCCCGCTCTGCGGTGTCAGCGAGCCGCCCAGGTACAGCCCGGCCCATGTGGCGAGGACTGGCCGTTGTCAGTTCTGTATGAGCAGGGGAAAAGGGGGTTGGAGCCAAACTCACGCGGCTCCATGCCCAGGTCCTCACACCACTGCATGTACTCGACCAGCCCCAGCCCGTCCGTATTCTGGTAGGACCACGTGCCCATGCGGCCGGGCCGGTCCTTGAGCGGTCCGACGGTGTTCTGCCACTTCCAGTAGTTGGGCGGCGCTTCGCCCTCGAGGTTGTTGCCGCCGGGGAACCGGAGAATCGACTGTTGCCCTAGTGTTAGCGACGGGGGACGTCAGCTTGATGGCGTGTGCACTTTACCGGCTTCATCTCCGCCAGCGCCTCCATCAGGTCCTTGCGCAGCCCGTTGGGCCGGTTCTTGTACGTCGGCGGAAAGAGGCTGACGAGATTGAAGCTCAGCGAGCCGCCCTTGACGCCCTGTTCACCCGTCAGCACGTCTGATGCACCCCCGAGGTTTATTTCGGCGCCTGCCATACCGACGCATTGTACGTGATGCTGAAGGTGTTGTTGGAGTTTGCCGCCGCCTTGGTCGGGACCAGCGTGAAGCTGTGCTGCACCCAGCCGGCCGACGTGGCAGCCGACACGACGTCAACACTACCCAGTGTTTCTTTGGACCCGATCGATTGGAACGACGCCGTGAAGTTGCCGGCGTAGTCGCCGAGCACGTAGAAGGACCCCGTATACGGCTGGACCTTGACGTCGAAGCCCCAGTAGCCCGGGTTGGCGAAGCCGACGGCGCCCGACCCGCTGGCCACAGCCAGCGCCTTGGGCAGAGCCGACGACAGCGGCTGGGTAGTGGACAGGGACAGGCGCGCGCCGCCGACGGCGGTCCACGGGCTCACCGACGTCGACGCGCCCTGGAAGGCGCGGTTGCGGATCAGCTCGGCGTACAGCCCGCCGTCGCCCGAGAAGTTGATGTCCTCGAACATGATGCCGTACATGGTTGCGCTACTGGCTGCGCCCGCCGCCGCCCCGACGTTGATGCGCAGCGTTGCCGCGCCCGCCGAGAGCGAAGCCGCTGCCGCCGCCGCTGCCAGTACCGCAACAGAAGAGATCATTGTTGTTTGGCAGACACAACCAGGAAACGTTGTTGTTTGGCAGACACAACCAGGAAACTTTAAGAAGTGTCACCAGTTACACACGGTACGCTGACCCAGTTCTGAGTTCTGACGACGTGCAGCTCCGAGGTTGAAATACACACTTCGCCCTCCATCCCACCGGAATAATAACAAACGCCGCTATTAGCACGTGGGGCCGGTACGAATTTACGCTGCCACCCACCACCCTGCTAAGCCGGCGAGTATAGGCTATAGCGCGCAAGGGCGGCGCCGTAACTCGAGCACAAACATTACTCCGTCTCAAGTGCCTCGGTGTTCCTGGTTCTTGATTATATTAGCCAGAGTTGCGGGAGCTACCCTGACGGCTGCCCTAAGGCTTGGCCTCCGCAATATCCGCCGCTCGTTAACGTTTTGGGCCTGCCGTCCCGATCGGGGACCGCCCGTGATTCGCGTATATATTGTCTAGAAATCTTTATGCGCGCCAATCAGGCGTTGTTGTTTGTCCCGCCTGTTCCACGGCTTGGCTAGTCGGTTTTGCTGCGGTAGATTTAGCTCGTAGATTTTAACAACAGCTGAACACCCACCAACATGGTCTGGTATGAAAACAAGTTTAATTGGTTACTTTTCTAAAATAAATCGACGTCGGATATTCAGTAACTAGCGACTCTCCAGCCTGGAAATAATCCAAAGGAAATGGAATGTACCCAAAGGAGTGTGCCAAAAGAGTGTGCCAAAGGAGTGTGCCCAAAAGAGTGTGCCCAAAAGGGTGTGCCTAAAGAGTGTGCCCAAAAGGGTGTGCCCAAAAGAGTGGCCCAAAAGAGTCCAAAGTATTATGTCAAAAAGATTATGTCAAAAACGAGTGGATCCAAATGAGTGAGGAGTGTGTCTAAAGAATGTGTGCAAAACGAGTGTGTCCAGAACGAGTGTATCCCAAAGAGAGTGCGCGTAGAAAGGACGTGCAAAAATAAATGAATACCTCCCTCCTGTCCCTTCCTGTCCCCATGCCATAAAGAACGCCGTTGCAATGCAAGGTCTATTCCGTCCATGTTGAGCCCCTTGTTGAGCTCCCTTTTTCGAGCCTGTCCCCCCATGATTTCGCCATGCATGCCTCCCAACTCCATGAAAATGCTCACAAAAGCCCAACAAGCTCGCTCAGCTCTGCATCGCCCTGATTACTCATGTACCAAACGGAAAACAGCAGACACCACACTACGGGGTGTGCGCAGCTCCAAGCACGGCAAAGTTCTGGGCGCAGGTGATGCAGAAGCTCTTGGCGCCGGGGCCGAGGGTGAAGTGCGACTCGTCGTTGGCGATGGGGATGCACTGTGTCGTCTGCAGCTGCTCGACGGCCCAGCTGACGTACTGCGACGTGCAGTTGGCGCCCGAGTAGAACCGGAACACGCACTTCTCTTCGCCCGTCGTGGCGATGCCGCCGTAGTTGCCCTGCGGCAGGTTGGTGCACGCCCCGTCGTTGACCGTTTCTGCAGGTCTCGTCAGAATTTTGGCTAGCAAAGACTAGAGGGGGGAGGGCTCAGTAATCACTGTCAAAGTTCAGCGTCTTGGGGTCGCACGCGCCCGAGCCGAACGACTGGAAGTGGATTGCGGGCGCTCCGGCACGCTTGACTAGTACCAGATCGTCTTCCCGCACAGCCTGCACAGGTGAGCTGGCGGCCAGGCCAAGAAAGAGACACACAGAGGCCGTGGCAAGTCGGACAAGTTTCTGCAGAGATCGGATTGTCAGTGCCTATCTGGCCAGGAGAAGAGTCACGTACCATTCTTAACAGGCGTGGTTTTGAGCCTGGAAAAGGGGTTATTGTTGTTGTGGTTGGCCGGTTATGTGCGGCGGTGATGTCGATCTGGATGCCGAGACGATAATCAAGCCGGAAGATCGGCCCATACTTATACGTCTGTCACACAGGGCCTTCCAAACCATCTCATGCTAAAGGAAGGCATGGTCGCGGGGATTTGCGTTCCGGGTGTTCGTCGGCAGACGGCGGCCGCAGCCGGGCCGGAGCTCAGCTTATGCTTGTTTTGCGCTCAAACACACGGACCCATCCCGAGTCTGGCGTCATCAGTCATCCGACGTGCTCTGCCCAGCCCGTCATCCCGGCTTGGCGGCTGGCGGCCCACGGCCTGCTTCATGTGCGTTCACGTAAGCCCCGACAATGCGGCTCCGAACGCGGGCCAAGCAAACGAAACACGGCCTTGGCCTGGCTTGCTGCTGGAATTCTCTTCCGAAATCATACCGGATGCCGAAGTTGGGAACGGTGTAATTTTGACTAGCTTGGCAAAACACAAACCTACAACCTCGAAAAAGTTGTGATTAGAAGTGCGAGCCGCGCGCAACCAAGTTCAATGCCAAGTCATATGATTTCAAAACGTGCATGTGAGAGCCCGTCTACAATGCAAGACCCATCAAATCATCGCCGTACCCCGACCCCGAGTCCAGCTTCCCCTGACCCAGTAAACATGGCTGCGCCAAGCTGGCCCAGCGCTTGGCATCCGTGCAGCCGGGTTCAACAAGAACCAACACCAACACTACATCAACGGTGGAGGCAGGCATGTGGGTGGCCAGAGAGGTTAAGAGGTAGTTTAGGTGTATTAGGTGCATCGCGGTGGTATGGCTAATCAGAGGGTGGGATTGAGATAATAATCAGTTAGTTTTTCGGTTGTCCGCTTGCATGCGCCAAGGCTAGCAGCAAGGGATCTACGCAGATTTCAGTAGAACTGGCCCAGAGTAATCTCTGCAGAAAATACTGTGCCCGATTCTTTACAAGAGTTCAACAATGCAGTTCAGACAAGTGCCCTCCCCTTTGTTGCTAATGCAGTCTCAATTTGACCATATCAAGATCTTTATGTAGGGCCATAGCCTTGAACAAAATGATTTGCCACTGATATGCCCCCATCACGCTCGTGCCATATCATTGCCATCATACCATCGTATCATACCATACGCATGCCATCATACACCTAAAATAGAGAAAGCGGTGTTGTGGCCGCCGAATTTGACGACTTTCTCCTCTACGAAGCACAGCCCCGGCGCCCTCCGACCAGCCCAAGGCAACCCGACCAGCCCAAGGCAACCCGACCCGCAGGATCGTGTTCCAGGCTGCTGGGGCGACGTACCTTGACCTGGTAGTCAGTCCCGAGGAAGCCCGTGATTCTGTAAATATAAAGATTGACAGGTATAAATGTAGAGACACTGCCCGGGGATCCCATGTATGAAGCTATGTACATCAGATAAGGAGAGTCGCTCTGCTCAAACATGGCCGCGTCCTTGCTAGCAACGACTCACGAGACACAAGACGGCCCTTGCCGCTCCCCAAGACCCATCTCACGACCACCCCCGAGATCAAGTGTCTTATTACTTGGCCAGACTGTATCCCGCATCTACCACAGCACTGGCACTCGCAGAAAGCGCAAACCCAGCCCACGGCCCATCTTCAATGTGATAATGATAGAAGCCCGTAATGACGCCCTCGTCATTCCAAATAACCGAGCCGCACGTGCCGTCTGGAGGTTGAAACTTGCCCTCGTTGCCCTCTTTCTGGCCCGTGTATGACCAGTTGTAGAGATTATAAGCTAGCTGACTCTCGGTAAGATACGGGGAGGTTTCAAAATATCGTATTGAATTGGCCACTAAGACCGCGTCCATATTGCCGGTATATGGGCTGTTGAGGTAGCATAGGGAACCGTACGATAGCTCATCAGTCGAAGTCTTCAGGCGAGTAAACTGGGGCACCGCGCCGGCATCCGTCTCAAAGATCTTATTAACAAATACGACATCGTCCTTGAGCTTGAGTAGGCTGACGTCGGTAAAGGGGATCTCAACCACGGTCTCGCTAATTGTGCGGTCAGGGCGGTCGGCATGCCACACTGTCCCGCCCTCTCCGATCCCGTGCGAAGCGCTCGTCATGAAGGTATCCCCGGCGGCGTTCTGCACTAACACGCCCGATGTGGTGGAGAAGACGGCTGGCGGAGCTCCTGGCTGTGGATATACCCGACGAACCGGTTGGCAATCTTGCCTGGCATCCACTTGGCTGGTATCTTTACATGATCGTCCAGGACGACGTAGAAAGCGCGTTCGCACGTGTGAATTAATTCCAGCATGCGGACACCCGGAGGCGCGTGCTTGAGGAAGTAGGCATTGATATCAGACCTCAGCCGGCAGAGAAGTGCGTCGGAGAACGTGGCCGCGTTAGTATAATGGGCTTCAGAGCAGATCGGGATGCTACCGTTCCCAAAGATTTGCCTCGGGAATATGAAGGCGCGACCCTCCGCAGTCAAAACGTCCCTAATCACAAGTGTGATAGGCAAGCCGCCGACCGTAAGTGGCCAGGGGGGGCTGGGCCACCTACTGAGCTGAAAGATGAGATGGGACCGGGCCCTGGCGACGTTATAGGCCCCGGGGAAGATGCTACAGAGTAGCTTCTGTATTTCTTCCGTGTGAATGTTGATGCTGAGGTCTCGCAAGTTATATAGGAGCAAGACGTGCTTCTTGTGCCAAATGGCATCTTTTTCTCCATCTTGCCTCCATGGTGGTGGTGGCGGATGACTATGCGTGTATTGCCGGGCTATCTTTGCCTCGCCATGTGGAAAAAGCTGCTTGGGGGCAAAAAGGGGTTGGGTGGAGAATGCTGCACCCGGGGAGACGTTGGATGGCTGCTTGCTTGGGGTAACTAGGACCGAGATATGCTTTGGCGAGGACGTCTCGGCCGACGGTGAAATCTTGCGTTTGCTTCCTGGCGTGGAGGGGGCGAGGCTGCCCGATCCGGAGGGAGTAACAGAGAGGCCGATAAGGGACGACACGTTCAAGACCTTGTTGCTTTTGGCCACTCTGTGCAGTCCTTCGGAGGGCTATTTGAGAGACGTGTTTCTTGCGGCAAGAGGAGATTTGGTGAGGATATAGAGGAGATTTGGTAAGGAGATGGGGGAACGAAAGGTATTTAAAGCAAAATCCGGCCACCTATGGCGGTCTAGCTGGATACTTTATGAGTCAAAGCCCCAACCTTCTTGTACCGCAGCCTCTGTCAAACTTTTTGTGTAGCCGGCTGCGCAAACCTTCGAGGTTGAGGTTGGGCTGCAGGGCACAGTCGGCCGCCGAGCGGAGCCACCGTAGGCGAGCGAACTCGTACACTCGTATTTCTTTATCAATATCACAATAAGATTCCTCAGGCAGGACGCGTAGGCGGGGTCATCGGTGCGCGTAGCTTCCATTGCTTCCTCGGCTCTGTCGATTGCTTTCCGAATGTCCCCCATTGCTCCAGCCCGAGAGAATATGAAGTAGTACACATTGCTGAGTAGCTTGACTTGCGCAGTATCGTTCTCTGGATTTTCTTCAAGAATGCTTGCGAATTCGTACAGTAGCCCCAGGTCCATGCCACAGAATAACAGCTCGGGCTCTGTAGAGGATGTTAACCAGGTCTACGAATACCTCCGCGACTGGTTGGGAGTCCAGGACTCTCATATATACCGACTCACGGCTACGACACTAGGCGACGACGATAGTAGGGCGCCGAGAGAGGACAAATCCCAACGGCCCACATATGAAAACATGATCAGGGTTCTCCAGCAGGTGTCCAAGAAGCCTAGCCGAAGGACCTTGTCTACCTGTACCACTCGGGACATGGGATACGTGTCAAGACGATTTTTGGTGACCTGAAGGGCGACGACGGTATCGACGAGGCTCTCATGCTAAAAGACATCGCTTGTGCCTGAGGCCGTTACGTCCGGGACGTGGAGGTTGCCTACCTGCTCCAAGAGATGGTCAAGAAGGAACTCGTCATTACAGTCGTTCTCGACCGCTGTCATTCTGGCAGTGCTGATCGCGGCGTGGATAGCAGGATCCAGGGAATTAGCATGGTCGATACGAACAAGCTTGACAGCGATGTATCGGCGCTTCTATACCATGTACTGGAAACTACGACAGGACCTGCTCCAGCTGGCCGGCGAAAAGCTAGTGTGGCGGATCACTGGTTGCTTGCATCCTCGCTCGCACATGCATCCTCTCCCGACGCCGCCGCTACGTTTGCCTAGGCGTAAGGCTCAACACGGCAAGCCTCGCCGCTCAGCGTAGGCTAGCAAAGGGCAGAGTCGAGCGAGCATCGAAATAAAATGGCAAATGTCGCGAGATTCCGAAAAACGATAAGTAGCGCGCCGAGGTGCGCTGGATTGGTGAGGATGGAGGGCAACGACGGCGCGATCGATGTGGCGAGGGCGTATGAGTGGGAACGAGGACGAATGGAGACGTAGCCGAAATGAAGGATCAAGTGCGGCCACCGCGTTTTTGCATGCTGGTGTAATTGCGAAGAATATGAGAGAAGGACAAAAGGTCAAGAATACCAGAAAGAGACGCCGGGAGGAGAGATTCTTATTTATCTTTGGGCGGAAGGAAATAGAGTCGTGGGGTTAATGGAAGGGCCGCGCTAAACCTAATGAGGAGAGGTGGGGGAGGACGCCTTTCCCGGAACGTGCAGCACCGTGTTCTGAAAGCCCGCCAGGGGAGTTAGTGTAGGGTTAGGGTTGACCCCACATTGGGAGATTGATCCGGCATTCGTAGCTTCTGGCCTTCGGCTGGGAACTTGAAAAAAACAACCCGTTCTATCGACAGTTTTTCAGTTCGCGAATACGGAGGTGCCTTTCAAAAGTTTTGCGCAGTGCCAAGAAAGCCACCCTCTTTAATTACATACGACCCTGGCCATCTTGGCCCCCTAGCTCCTTATTCTTTTCCGGCCCTCTCGATACTCGTTACCTCCTTCGCACTTTATTACCTGTTGTATATGCTCAACAATCCTTTCAATCCAGGCTTGAATACGCTGCTGAGTAAGTTTTTCGTTCCAGCAATGTTCCCATGCTCGAATAGCCTCAGCCCTGCTTTTTGGGGCTCCCTTTTTGGTTGTTTCTCTCTTCATCCAGAACCAACAAGGCTCTATCATATTAAGATCAGGTGAGTTACCTGGCCAGAGGAGGCGGAGTACCTGATGGATATCGTATATACGCTGTTGAGCGCGATGAGCGTGTGCGCCAGCCTTATCCTCCTGAACAAGCGTATTCGGCCCACAGCTTTTGGCGAAAGGGATAAGCTTTGGTATAAGGATCTTGGTTTGATAGCGATACCAGTCGATGCCTCCCTTGGATTCTCGTACGAGTTTGCCGTTCGCTTTGTTCCATCGCCATTGTGGTTTTCTGCCTCGTTTCGTAACCAAAGAGAGCCTTCCCATTTTGGTATCCAACTCCCACTCTTCACGCATTATTGGTTCCAACTCCTTATTCCATTCCTCAAGATCCTTCTCAGCTTGCTCCTTTTCAGCCTTTGTTTCCGGAAGCCAACAATGGCAAGGCCCCTTTTGATCGTACGAAAAGCAACCCCAAAACATAAACTCCGAATATCCTTTCCACCGTTCACGAATACAGCTTTTAAGAAAACGCTCATCAGCTTTCCTCCAAATACGATATCCTCCTCGGCGATGAAGTAATACAATAGAAGTTTCATCAGACCAAATAACACGTTTCCAATCTTCTAAAGTCCAATCTTTATGATCAAGACACCACTTCAGTCGTTCCTCCTTCATCTTCTTCGTCAATCCAGGCTTCCTCGTTGGCTTCGTTTTGTTGAATCCTGCTAATTTGAGGATCCTCCAGATTGTGATAGCTGAGATGTCGAGGCCCTCGGTACTGAGCTCACCGGCCAGATCAGCACAGGATTTCTCACGGCCATATCGATCTTTGCGAACCTTGGCGATAACCTTCTCGGTATTTTCGGGGGTGTGTTTTCGTGGACGGCCAGAGCGAGGGGCATCTTCAACCCATTCATCCTTAATAATTAAGGGCCGTATATTTGGATCAAATCCACGCTCAATAGCCCTGGCATATATTCGATTGACGGTACTAACGGAAACCCCGGTTTGTGCAAAGACATCGGCCGAAGAAAGGCCCACAATAGGAGATTTGAGGGTAACTATAAGCGCACGCATGGAAATATCTGTATTTGGCGACATCTTGATCGTTGTGTTGACTGTTGAGCTGTGGAAGCGGGGTTGAGGGGTAAGATTACGTGGCCAAACCAGATGTGGTGTGGTCGCTGATCATTCAGCTAAAGGGGTGTGGCTGGCTTGGCATTGCGCAAAACTTTTGAAAGGCACTTCCGTACCATCGTATCATATCATCATACCCATGCCATGCCATGCGCCAGTATCATGTACCCTATACCAAACCAAAAACATAAACACCCCGTATCCCAAGTCGTTTCCAATCCAAATTCCAAACGAAAAATCATCTCCAATTCATAAATATTTACCATCCACTCTGACTCGCCCCCGCACTGGCGATATTCACTGGCCGACAATTACTCGCTATCGAGGCCCAGGGGATCGATCCTCTTCTCTTGGCCGCCGCACTGGCCCGGCGGGTAGATCTATCGGGTTATTGACCGAGGCGACCGGATCGTCCTCTTTCCAGACATCTGGCCAGGGCTCGTCGCCGTCCTCGTGTGTTATGCTTATATAAGCATAGAAGTGGATCCATAATTTAGCCTACATGGAAACAGGCACCACAACCTAGCTAGCAGAATTCATCATCCTTCTTCCGCCTCTTGTTTCTGCACATATTGTGCATCACAACATCGTGCTCCGACCAGTCGCCCTCGTCGCCCTCGTACGCCAGATTGCAGTCAGCGGCCGGATCCACCTCCTCTTCCTCTTCCGTGGGATCCTCCTGGTCCTGGGCTGTGGCTGGCTCTTTCGAGCCCTCGGCCGGATCCTTTTTCGTGGGATCAGTAGCCTTGGCGGGCTTGTTCGAGCCCTCGGCTGGATCGGCATCGCCGCCATCATCGCCGCCGCCATCATCGCTGCCGCCATCATCGCCGCTGCAATCATCGCCGCCGCAATCACCGTCGCCGCCATCACCGTCGCCGCCATCTCCGTCACCCTCGTCGTCTCTAAACCGCGAATTCATGTGACAGTCGTCATCGTGGTCTGGATGATCCTCGTTCATTATGCCGTCGCAGTACCAATCGCCCGCAACTAAAAAGGCGACCTCCATGTCCACAGCTTTGTAGGCGTCGATCAGCGTGTCGAGGGGCTTCTTGACCGCGTCAAACACGCCCCGCGGCACCTCGGGCATCTGGAAATACCGCGGGCGGCAGTCTCTGCTGAGGCGCGACGTCCAGGTGGCAGAACTCGCGCCACCACGCGTCGTCGCGCGGCGAGCCCCAGCCCTCGAACCGGAGCACCATCTTCTTCAGCCGCGGCATCCAGTCCCGCATGTACGGCGCCAGCGCCACGAGTAGCAGCCCGATGGTGCAGTGCACGGGGCCCCTCTCGGGCGGCATCTCGAGCAGCGCGTGGTGGCCTGCACGTCGCCGCGCCTCGATGCGCGCGTGCGCGGTAGCCGGCGCCGCCATCCAGCCGACCAGCGTCAGCTGCTCGAGCGACGCCGGCAGCAGGTCGCTGTACGACTGCAGCAGGATGGGCAGCGGGTCGCGGTCCGTGGGCTGGCCGGTGCTGAGGGCCGGGGTGCTGGGGTCCGCGGACCAGTTGGTGGGCGGGCCGCCGGGGGTGCTGCCGTGGTAGCGCGCGTAGTCGCGCCACACGGCCCCGAAGTGGCGGAACAGCCCCAGGAACCGGTCGATGCTCAGCGTCGCCTCGCGCAGCCTCGGGCACTCCAGGCCGGGCGTCTGCAGCTCGGGGCCGTACAGCTCGAAGCTGGGGCCCAGGCCGAGGCGGACGTGCTCGTGGTAGCCCTCGAGCGTGTCGCTGTAGGTGGTCGGCACGAAGAGGCCGTAGAAGCGCACCCGGGCCAGGGCGACCACCAGGTCGCCGGGCGAGTACTGCAGGTACCCCTGCCGGGCGATCATGTTAAGCTCGAGCAGGTCCTCGCCGATCATTTTATTCCACGGCAGATCGACGTTGATGGGCAGGTCCACAAGATCCACCGTCCACCGCTTGGCCTTGACGATGGGGCGCCCGCGAGAGCGCTGCCTCTCGATCAGCTTGAGCAGCTTGGCGAGGTCGCGCTGGGCGTCGGCCGCGAGGTACTTGGTGGCCAGGTGCTTGGCCATGGACCCGATGCGCGCCAGCCCGTCGAGGTGTTTGGTCAGGGGCGCAAACGACGGGAGCCGCTTCAGCCCGTCGAGGAAGGTCGCCATGTCGACGTGCTCCATGGCGTTGAGCCGCAGGATGTTCCTTGGCATGCACAGGATGCGGGAGAAGACCGTGTTTGGCATGGCCGCGCCCCAGTCGGTGAGCAGGTGGGTGAATTTCGTCTCCTCTATGCGGGAGAACTGGTCGAAGGTGACGACGCTGCCGCCGCGCGGGAAGAAGCCGTACTCGACGTTGATCTTGGTCAGCGCCGCGGGCGAAAAGCGCGGCGCCAGCTGCGACGTGAGTACTTCGTCGTAGTTGATGAACCACTTCCACAACCCTTCCGAGTACGTGTCGAACGGGTGGGCAAAGCGCAGGGACAGCGTCTCGACGTTCTCGGCCATGGCCAAGACCCCCATGAGCGTGACGCGCATCAAGTTCTTCGCGGTCAGGAGCAGCCTCCGCCTCAGAAACCACTAGGCTACCTCAGCATGCTTGACGGTCATGTTTGACGCCTCCAGGTTTGTGAAGCTCGCGGCTATATTCCTCACCCAGCCTTCGAACTCGAACTGGTATTCGCTTTTGTTGTCCGACACGTCGGTCTGGAAACTGCGGATGTACTTGACGAGCTCCGGCCTGGAAACTAGGAGCTCTAGCAGGCGCCCGAGGGTGGCATATTCGTTGCTGATAAACACGTTCCGCATGAGGAGCGGGCGGGCCATTTGGTCAAAGTGTTTGTTAACCAGGCACAGGCTCCTGAGGTCCTCCCGGTCTTCGAAGAAGTCTTGCCACTCGCCCGCAGCGGAGCGGCTGCTCTGGTCCATGTTCAAATATCCGGGGTCGCTGTGAACGGGCTCCGGGACTAGGTACTCGAAGACCCGCATCCATATCCTGGGGTGCAGTCCCCCTATGCGTTTCATGGGCAGGGACACCAGCTCAGCTGGCAATAACCCCAATGGGTCCATTGTTGAGGGCAGGCCAAGTGTCGTGGCCGTGAGAGGTGATAGAGAGCGGTGGATGGTGTTGAGGGGCGGCTGGTGGTGTTGAGGGGTGGCTGTTGGTGTTGAGGGGTGGCTGGTAGTGTTGATTGGTACCAGGCCGGTTGCTATCTTGCAGGCGATAGGGAAGTGCCGTAGGTTCAGATTCCATATCTATATCGTGAAGAGTCAGGCGCGAGAGGATCTGATCAAGCAGCTGTGATTGGAACAGGCCTGTTGGGCTGGGGACAGGAGCCCAGTCCCCGCCGAACAGGCTGGCTGTTCTCACCACTTGCCGCATGTTCGCGTCAGGAGGGGGGAAAGAAGGCCGGCTGTTCGCCGGGAGACTAGATATCGACACCATGGTACTGTTCTGTTGAAGAAGCTTTGTTGTGAGGCCGACTCTCTGAGACTCTGCTCAGCAACCATGGGAGCATTGCTGCTGGGGAGGAAGCCTGATCATATACCAGTCCTAGCTAGACAGAAGGTTACGGCACGAAAGCAGTTTGCGGTTTCAAAAAGCCGTCAAAATTTAGCAGTTTAGTTTCATCAACCTCTGAAAACAGCCGTAGGGTATTAACTTTGAGAGTACTTCATGGAGGACGTTGCGGGACCCAGTAGCCCACCATATCGTAGAGAGGCACTCAGTACAGTTTCGGGGCAGCAACGTCTATTGATCAAGGAACCAACAACAGGTGCTGACACATCCTCGACGTAGGACTTATAGGAGAATGCGGCAATATCGGTTTCCTGTATACAAACATGTAGCGAGCTTGCTCAAGAACAAACCGATTTCCACAACTTGATGACGTGTTTCATTTTCTGCAATGTGCAACGCCAAACACGTGCATGCAACAATTCACGATAAGACCACGGCAGCACCAACTAAGCCAAGGTAAAGGTCTAAATGGTGTAAGCCAATTAGCGAGACGTTGTGGTAAGTTCAAGCCATACAAACATCCTCAACAACCCTCCCACGATAGAACTCTAAAAGGAGCCTCATGACGAAGAGACATCAACGGCCGAAAACAAGGCCACCCAACCAACGGTCGACAAAGACCCGGGCCGAGCACCAGTTGGCTAATTGACAACAAATTCAATCGGCAGTGAACAACAATGCCCACAATCCAAGAAAACAAGAAAAATCCGGCTTCCTCTAGGTGGAACATGACACGCACACTTTTTATAGTCCTGCAGTCCTCGAACGGTTCCTTTCTGGCCAGCGACAGAATGCATGCATTGAACTTTGTGCCAAATGTGCCCGACCTCCACGGAGTCTTGTGCAAACATCTCGTATAGGCACGGCCCCGGAAAGGAAGAGGCACGGCTGCACGTATTTCCGGCGGCCAAAAGCAAATGAGAGGTCGCCGTGTGACTGTTGCTGCGCGTGACGGACCCAAGCAGAATCAGGCCAGGATCAGCACACAAACCCCGAAAGCGGGCTGGCATATTCCGCTGACACTGGGCGAACCCCGACGACCCCTTGCGGGGCCAAGCGAGAGGGCTGAGAAGCCCCTGCCGGGCTAGTCCGCGTCAGGACAAGCGCTGCAACGCACTGCGACCCGCAAACTGGGGCCATTGGGGAGGACCCTGGACAATCCGAGCAACCACTGCGCCAAGACCCATGCCCACACCGGCCCTCATCTCCACACGTCAGTCCTTTGCTGCACGCCCTTGGCGCTGGCCGTTTGGGGAAACAGACCAAACAGAGCTGAGAGGCAACCACGAATCCGCATGCGGGAGGGTGTGCTGTGCTGTGCTGTGCTGGTGCTTGCTCTGGCGCGGTGCTTGCTGCCTTTGTGATATAAATGCATGTTTCCCGCACTTCCCGGCCCTCCTTCTCTCGCCCGTCTCGTCTGTTCTTTGGTTGAGTTGAGTCCATCGCCGCCGTCGCTTCTTGTCCTTCTTTTTATTAACCTTAATTTTTGTCGCAATCCACCCACAACTTGTTTAGCTCGTCCCTTTTTGTGATACCCCCATTCCAACAACACAATGGCCGCCGCACCCGCAAAGCCCAGCCCCATCAACGACCACGATGTCGAAGATTGGAAGACTCGCTTCAACGACGTGCTCGCGCGCCCCAGCGAGCACATCAACTCGAAATCGCCCCCCACCGCCGCACCATGGCACAACTCTTTCTTCGCGTGTCTCACGCCCATCGACACGTGCCTGCTGACGTACTGCCTGCCCTGCGTCACCTTCGGCCGCACCCACCACCGCCTGCGCAAGGACGGCAGCCTCGAGGGCTATGAGCCCATCAACACCTCGGTGCGTACATCAACAGAGCGCAGACAATGCCATCCCCGTGTTTTATCACCACTGCGTACCTCCTAGCTAACCAAGCGTGTTGCAACAAACAGTGCCTCCTGTTCTGCGGCGCCGGCTGCTTCGGCGCGCACTGGATCCCCATGGCCATGCAGCGCGCCGACATCCGCGCCAAGTACAACCTGCAGGGCAACTGCCTGACCGACATCGCGACGGCCTGCTGCTGCGCGCTGTGCGACCTCGTCCAGGTCGACAAGGAGGCCGCCTTCCGCGCCTCCGAGGTCCCCGCCGGGCCCCAGGGCGTCCAGCAGCAGTACGTCGCCCCGGCCGCCGGCATGGAGTACCCCGCGCCCGCCGAGGTCAAGAACTAGAGCGGTGTCCACTCAAAGTCATCGTGCACTTTCACTCGGATAGGGCGAGCTGGGATGCGATGGGATGGGTATAACAGCCGGACGGAATCTCGGGCTTGGAGAGCTAGCCGCATGTTGCATCGTGTTTTTGTGCTGTTTGAAGTGTGTAATACCCGCGAATCTTGTCAGTTCTCGAAATGATACCTCGTGCTATTTTCCTGGAGTTTCTGGGCCATTGCAATTCCAAGTAGCAAACAGCAGCAGTTCAAAACCCATGTCATTAAAACTTTTACCACCACAAGAAACGGACTTTTGCCACCACAAGAAACCACAAGAAACGGTATCTCTTCGCATTCGTTTCCTGCGCATCTCAAGCTTTCCCTAGCAGTGTGCATGTGTTCATGCGTTTAGGTGTGCTGCGCGCCGCGTTTTGCTACGGTGCGGTGGGCAGTGTGGCATTTGGCGTCCCGGCAGACTCTGTGCCGGCCGACCTGCTCCCCAAAAACTGACCCCTGCCCAATGTGGAATCCACTGCGATGCCACTCCGCCCAGGGGGGTCAGCGTCAGCACAGGGATAAAGATCGCCGTGTTCCGCTCGCTTCGACCCGAACTCATTTTCATTCAGCCCCGAGTAGTTACATAACTAGTGGTCTGTTTGTTATCAATGTCAAGCGAAACTGGGCATGTTTCCCGACGGCCGCTAACAAGTTCCTAGGTAATTACCTAGCAGTGATGTGCAGGCTCCCCCAATCTCCCTTGTATTCCAAAGAGTTGTAATTGATATGAAGACGAATTGCGAAAATAGATAGTTACCATTTACCATCAAAACCATAGTTTCGTAGCAATTAGACCTCTGCACCACGTGCCCAACCGTCCTCGTATTCCCTACCCTACCAGTGTGCCTTAAGGATGCAGTTAGACATAATTAGTCTAGTCGATTTCAACCTTGAAGTCCACGCATCACATTAATCATGACATCATCTACACCGTTGTCACATTAATCACATCATCTACACCGTTGAGAACCCTAAACCCTATCGTGTACAACACAATATCGACTTCCACTATATGAGTATAGAAGCGGTAATACGTACTCCAAATAAATAAAGCGTAGTATTACTCACATCTAACAACCGTTCAAGCAGGAAGACAACGTAACCCTCAATTCATCATGTAATTAAGCCAATCCGGCTTAGAGGACCCTCGTTGCGATCAGGCTCCACTCTGCAATAGGCCCCGGTACGACCGAATGCCAGTCTGGACTCGGTCGGATCCATTGACTCGGGTAGTCCGTACCTGCGGAGCAAGTTACGCGAGCTGTCACCGAAGCCGCAGGAGGCCCCTTGTAAAGCTGCTATGCCTGGATGGGGAGGAAGTTCGTAGAACATGTTACCTTAAGCATGTTAATTCAGCGACAGAGGCTTGTTGGGGGAAAGATTCACCTTTTAGCTGCAAGACGATTAAATCCGCCTTTTCCAGTCCAACACAACAGACTATTACAAACCACTCGACTGTTAGGGTCGTCTGTCTGTAAGGGAGCACGGGCTCCACAGAATGCTGGGGTTGGTAATTATGAAGATAGAACAAAGGGCAAGCTCCTATCGCACGGGTAATACAGTCAAATCGGAATGCCACTCAAAGTGTATGAGTGCAGCGAATGTGTATTGCTTGCTTGAAGAACCAAGCAAGAACTATCTAAGACCGTGGACACGGTCATCGTATTTATTTAATTATGGCGGGCCAGTAAGAGCTGCGCTCTTACTTGCCCGGCAGGAAGGAGCTGCCTGGCGCCGGGCACTGCTAGCGTGCCGGGCCATTTGCCTGGTGCCAAGACCCTTCTTGGCACCGGGCACCGTCTGATTGGCTCTCGACAAGCGGGGCCCCCAATCTTGCCTGAGGCGCCTGCCTTCTGCAGCTGGTCCAGTACGAACCAGGTTCGTCACACAGACGCGCCAAACAGCATGTTCCTTTAACATAGCCGTCCCGGCGAATGAGTCGCTTTGGGGCAGAAAAGGCCTTGCCCGGCCATTATGTTTATCTTTACAAAATAGATCGAATGGCAACAACAAAGTCCAAACGGCCCAACATACTGTCATTGAAGGTCCGCGACTTCCTCTCTCAACGCCCGCGGCTTTTTAGTCAACGAAAGCCGGCTTTCTTCCTTCCTTTCTAGCTATTTACCTAGATAAGGACTCTTCCTGCATCGCACCCGCGCCGATAGAATAGATAGACAGTTAACTCATTTACTCAATGTAACTCCCCGTAACCTGTGACCGGGACTCCCGTTGTACCAGTCAGGTGGTCGTGTCTTCGAGTCGTAACCGTTCCTCTCTTTTTTCAGGTTCTGAACAAGTAAAACCTCCTTCCTTTCCTAGGTACCTGTCGCCAGGTGGCTAAGAGAGAAGGGGGGCTCCCTTTGCCTGGAAAGCTCCCTTCCAATAGTGTTTTTGGCGCAACGGAGTGTCTTTTCATTTGTATTTTGGCTCCAACAGAGTGTTGTGGCTCTAGCAGTGTGTCGCCTGGAATTGACCCACTTTTCATGGAATTGAACCACATTTTCCAGGCCCTGGTTAGCATGCCTCTGTACTTCCTTCATTCTTTATTTTTCCTTCATTCTTGGCCTCGGAATGCCCTCACTTCATTCGGAATGCCCTCATTTCGGGCTGATTACAACACTTCCCCTGCCTTCTCTCGACGAGTATAAGGAAGCGTTCTATTCTGTCCTTTGAAATCTATTTGGCCAGACAATTCAATGCGCTGTCAACTTCGATCACGTACAAGACAGTGTGATGCTTTGGTTACTGTGTTTTATCCATGCCTTGTGCGACGACTGTAATTATGTTGGTAGGAAAACCGATTGTTGCAAATATCTGTTTAAGCAGTCATTTATTTCGCGCGGAACTGTTGCATCTTTAACATGATTAAGGTGCCTCCTCTGTTGTAGGGCCCCCCTTTCAGGCCTGGTAATAGTTAAGTTGGAATGGTTAGTCCTAGGTAGGGATTATGTGTACGGGCGCTGGTGACTGGCACAAAGAAGGCGATTTGTTCCGCTCCAGGCACCGAAAATACAGTAGATGAACTCCGCCTTTGACAGGGCACGACTTCAGGCATTTTGTCGCACAGTATAGTAGGCAAGGGCGTCATTCCAAATCGGGTATGGCGCTTTGTCAGAAACTCGTTTCTCGCACGGCCCAGTAGCACAAATAGAGCATTCGCTGGACTGTGAAAAGGCGGGATGGCAGGACAGTCACAGTACATCTCTTCCTAGTCTACCACAAGACGGACAGTCTGATTTTCCGACAGAACCTGCTCTAGCAATACACGCACAGAACGCTATGGCTTCGGAGAGCCAGGAATATGCTGTCGACGACGAGATCGCGATTTTTTTTCTCACAGACCTCGGTGCGCCGCGAAACGTGCGGCGCATTGGCCAAGGAGCTCGTCGGCAGCGACCAAATCGTTCCAGTCGCGGTGCAGGGAGACTGCTCGTACACGGTTTACGCAGGAGAGGGCCTTGGCCAGATCGTCCAGTTCCGCCTCAAGTCTCTCGGCTACGCTGATTCGACTTGCCGCAGGTTCTTTGCTCTGGCGTGGAAGGCGCTACAGAAGGTGAACCAATCCTCCCGCGATCGCATGGCTGAGACGTTCGAGACCGAGCTGCAGATCTTACTCGTCAGCCTGCCCGACCGGTTTCACCCGATAATCCGCAACACGCTGGCGTCCCTACCCAGCATCTTGTCCCTTCCCATGGTCCTCTACACTAGGACTTTGGTGATTGCAACATCATAGTGGAGGAAGAGTCGTGTCATGTGGTTGGCGTCATTTATTGGGCTGAGGCGGAGATTGGTCCCTCTGGTACAAACCTTCATTCGGTGCAAAATCTGATGAGCAAATTGCACTTGAAGAATGGCTGGATTAGGTACGAGGACTACCGTGACTTGGCGCGTTTGTTCTGGGAGGAGTTTGGCGACGAGATTGGCGGACTGAGCGATGGTACCAGCAAGGCTGTCAAGGCCGCTAGGGTCTCGGGGCTGCTACGACCTCGAGGCTTCACCAGCAGGCTCGCAAACATGCCGAAGCCGGTACCGATCAAGGATGATGACAGCGGGAGGTACGACATGATGATTCCTAACGGGCTGTTATTGAACCCAGCTACCCGACTCGAGGGGCTAGATGAGTTTGGTGAATGCAGAACTACTAGCGCTGAACGATTTACTTAACATACGGCCGTGGCTTAAAATTACCGTGTTTCAAGTGCGACCTTGTTGAGTTACCGATGAGATTGAGGATTAATTTCGTTGTCTGAACGGGGTGGGCAGGAACTACGGTAATTGTTTCTCGCAGTGAAACGAAGGTTTTAACACCTTTTGCCCCTTTCACCAAGGTCCTGTAAGGTAAAGAAGGGTGAGGTACCGAATACAGCACTCAAATAACTCAATACACTTGAAACCTGGAACTAGCCTCGCCTAGCTGTGCCTTGCTTTGGCGGGAACCAAGTCTCTCTCTCATCTGCGTTGTGAATCGCGGGGCAACAGCAACAAAGAGATTAGTGGAAACAAAAACAAAACCGTCTCCCACTTCACTCCGCGGCGAAGTTGATAAAGGAAACCATTCTCCTTGGACCCCAGCACGTTTCAGCTGCATCGGAATCGACTGGACAAGGCTCGTGCCTCCACGAGCGCGATTGTTTTGCGGCCTTTGACCCTGTTGCCCTGAACCTCCTGTCGCTTGTCTCATGGTCGGTCGGATGTCAACAAGCGGCATAGTGATCTGGGTGCCTGCTGTTCCTACTCCTAGGCACGGGCTAACCGGACTTGCTTATATTCAGTCACCCAGATCATTGCCTCTTGCTTGTTTCCTTTCCTTCTCCACATCATGGCTAAGGTAGCCAATATAGTCTTCACCCATTGCACATCAACATTGTTCACCTTCCTTGCCCAGATATTGCCGCCCTCCAGCTCGGGAGTCTCAAAGATGTACTTGACGACAGGGCTGCGGATGCGGCCCTGTTGTTTTTGTTGTTTTCGGCAGAGTCGTGTAAACTATTATAGGTGAGCTTTTTATCGGTAGGAAACTTAACCGTCAAGACGCATAGATTGGAAACAAATGGAATACAGATTTCCATCTACGAAACCACTAGTCCCCTCTCAGATAACGCGAATGGAATGCCTGCCGTCGCGGTACTGCAGACAAGGCGGCTGCGGCTTCTCTGGGCTCCTGTCGAGTCCTAGTATCTTCAGCTTCATGCCCTCACTCCACGCCCTCGCGAGACCGATCCGCTCGTACGTCGCAGTGTCTTTGCAAACCAGCTTGAAGAGCAAAATGTACATGGCTGTGCCATTGGCGGCACCCTCTGGTGACCGAGCAGGCATGGCAAACAAGCACCCGTCATTGTTTTCCTTGCAAAACTCGTCGTCGTCGAGGTCGAGAATAACATGTGGCTCAAGCTGTTTGACCTTATCATGCTGGATAGTAATTTCCACACTCTCCAAGGTCATATTCCACTCGTTTCCAACTTGTGTGGAGGGAGGGTTTCGGTTGAGCTTCATCCCCATCAGGACCCCAGCGAGACGAAGCCATCCGCCGGATATGCCGCCCGTGGTATCAGGGGTTGTGTATGTGAGGTTCCAATCTTCGACTTTAATCAAGGGAGACCCTAGTCTAGCAGAGCCCAACATGAGTTTGCCGTCGACCGACGCCCAAGACTAAGTTGGGGCGCGGTATTCTGTAGCTCTGAACGTCAAACCCCTCCGGTTGGCGACGGTAACAGCCCAGAGCAGTTCGTTTTCGAGGTTGCGGCGCCACATCCCGGCGACGTACTCGTCTTGAAGAACCGTGGATATTCGCTTTGCGAGGCCTGATATCGCAATGAGTTTGTCGCCGGGATATGTCAGCTTGCATTCCGAGTACAGGTCCACAATGCGGGACCAGACCAGGGATAATATTGAATTGTAATCAAAGGCGGTATAGTTCATTGAGCTATCAGGCAGCGCCGCTTTTGGATTGAGGATCTTGAACCGAGCGCCTAACAATTTGGTCAGACTGTCGGGAAGAACACTTGGATGTGCCTCGGCGGCATCCTTCTCAAAGCATTCCCAGAAGACCTGCTGCTGTCCAAAGTGGAGGATGCGAGGAGATAGGAATCGCTCCTGGAGCACCCATCCCCTGGTGTTGACCAACTCCTTGGACACTTGCGACGTCCAAAGCTGGGGATCGTAAATGATGAACGACTGAATTTTGAGGCTCTCGTCCTCTTCATCAGAGATGGGGAGTTCGATAGTCCTAGGGACGAGGGTGTCGGGATCTCTGGAATTGAAGATGGATTCCGAGCAGTCTTTGGCGACCGTTGCCGAGATGTTGCAAAACGCATTTGAATAGACTTCGTGCATGGTCGATGCTTCGTGTTTCCAGTCCTCGGCGTCTAATTGGTCCTGAATGATGCAGAGGGGATCAATCCAGAGGTATCGAATATCTAGCGCTTTGCAGACATACACGGCATCCCGATAGAGCTGCGGCAAAGACGCCACATGGTATCCAGCCGTCAGCTCAGAGTAAGTATCCCGGTTAAGTGACAGCTGCTTGACGGAGCCCCAACAGTGGGTGAGCGTCATGTAGTGACCCGAGGGGGGCGTCTGGTTAGTTTCAATCAATCGTATATTCTGCTCCGGTGACTCCTGCTGATCCAAGTCCAGGAGGCGGGTGGGATACCAGTCTCTGTTTGGCGCGGCCGCTTTGCAATTGTCGTGGTGAGCACTGCAGTCTTCAATCCAAGACCTCGCTTGTGAGAGTGTTTGCTTGGAGTCTGTACTTGAGCCAAGGATTTGGCTGCTCATGATGCTGTCACCTGGTAATTATGCATTCAGCTCATGGTTTTCCTTCGCAGCACGAGAGAGTACCGATGGGACTCGGGACAGCTATCGTACCAGGAGTGGGTTCAAGATAGAATTGAACCTGATTTATTTTAGAGACACCCGTTTTCTGAAAACCTTCGATTCCGGTGGCAGACAAATTGTAAGTAATTTTAAGGCAGCTCTGCCCGGGTCGGGTCACACCGCGGAACTGGTACACATTTGCGGAGATTTCGGGTTGTGCGTGGAACTTGACATCCTGCAAAAGTAATCCCTGTTGGCGGGACGTTAAACCGTCCCATAAGCTGTTGCAGAAATGGCATCCTTGGTCGATGGAGTGTTTGAAATCCTTGAATGTCGAGTGGAGGCTCACAAAAGACGGTGGCGAAGCTGCCGGGCCTTGTTTAGATACTGCGCCCCAAAGACCAGCTCGACATATGGAACAAATCATTGCGCGAATATAGAGGTTGATGTGGCAAGAAATGGGTGAAGATTGCAAAATCTGAAGTAAGCGCAAAAAAAAAGAAGGCAATCGAGAGGGGAAATGGAGCTATTTTGTGTGCACGTGGATTTACTTTGCTACTGCCTGAAGAGGCAGGCACTGAGTGGATGCCTGCACGTCCTCCTGTCGGCGTCTGATGCACTCCGTGCGGGTACTCGATATGTCCAAAGGAGCACGCACGGTGCCACATAACAACACTTGGACTCATTTGTCTTTCCTAGGCACGTTTTCGTCTTGGGTTTTGGTGGGACAAGTGGCAGATAACTAGCGGGAGGTGAGGCTCCTAGTAGGCCGTAATGTTTTACTCAATTTGGAAAGACAAAGAATCCTCAAGAATAATAACAAACCTACAAGTTTCAAAAAGAAAGAAAGGGAACACAAAAACAGAAACTCGCTGTCAACTAGCTCCCCGACCAAAGCTCTCCACAGTCGAAATTTGCGCACGTCTCAGCTCCCGTGATATTGTTGTAACCGCATTTGGCGCATTTGGCGCATTTGGCAGCATCGATGGGCTTGTTTGAAATAGCGCAGGCCATTTATGCCGGCGTTAGAAAGGTGCCTGGTCAGTGTCGTTGCTTAAATGTAGTAGAATAGGCATTTGTATCGCACGGTATGTGCCGATGCGAGCCTTGGGAATTCGTTGCTTGATGAGTTGCCGTACGAAATGATTGAAGGCGACCAAGATTGAGAAGAGTGCCTAGCTACTACCTAGATTGAGTGTGTTCAGACCACTGAGGGGGAACATGGGCAGGCCCTCATATATCCGAGTCGGCCTTGCCTCTCTCTTGCTTGAGCGCTGCGGGGAATGATCGTGTATCACTCCATAACTAGCTTCTCGGAGCCTGCAGCGACGTGCATGAAGTGCGATGTGGGGAAGCCAAAAATCACCAGTCACCACCCGATTTGCAATCATGGACTGGTTCTAAATCGGCCTGGTGAGCCCAACCCGCAGTTTAGGCAGCGAGAACCCAAGTTGAGGTGTGCCGCCGGTAATTGTCTCTGCCTATCAAGCAAGCTCGAAATTGCGCAGGTGCATATCCGGCGTCTCCTCAGGCGGCCGAGCCGTTCTGTCGGGTCTCAGAAGCAGATCCTACTGGATCACGGCCACACGACGCTATTGAGTGAGTGGCCAGTGCACGCTTGATTAGGCCGCTAGGTCGCAATCTCTGTGGTATCGGAAATGTTCTGTTCTGACGGGCGTCCGCTCCATCGTGGAAATGCCGCCCCCCCCCGCCCCCCCAAAAAAAAAACCATATTGACCCTGCAAACAATGGCTAAATCCTCATTATCTAATTATTGCCATTATTTCGTGACTTCCAGGTTCGCTATCTGTTATGTACACTGGCTAATTGTGATCTTTTGATTGGTTTGAGATAATTGCTCGGTGGCAACTGCGTGTCTGAGCTTTGAAACTTGGTTCTGGATGAAAGAGAGCACTCGCAGCCAACTCGATCTTGCCCTGCACATGAGATATGACGACCATCTACGATGGTTACTCCTTCTGCCCATAGACAACATGCAGCTCAACGTGCGCATGGATCTTGCCGCTCTTCAGCTCGTTGCGCACATTAGCCAGCAGCACGACGACCTCGTCCTCCTTCCAGCCGAGCACGTCGCAGTACAGGCGCAGGGAGAAGGCCTCGAGGCCCTCGAGGACCTGGGTGATGTTCCACAGGCCGACGCGCTTGAGGTGGGGGTCGCGGGCCCACGGCCCGATGGGGAACTTGAAGCGGCGGTGGGCGACGTTGGCGAAGCCGGCCGCGCGCGCCCAGCCCTCGAGCTTCCCGCCCGGTTGCGGGTCCCGCCCTAGCTTGTTGCCCGCCTCGATCAGCCCGTTCATCCACGTGCGCGTCGCGTGCGATGCGGTCAGCGACCCGTCGCCCGAGTACCACTCGCCGTCGTAGTCTTGGAATTCGGCCCACCCGCCGGGTGCAAGGTTGCTGTGCGTCTTGTCAGAGAGCTATGTTTTGAGGGAACGAGTCGGGAAGGCAATCACTCGTGGACGTTCTGGACAAACGCGGGCCAGTTTAGGATGCTGCCGGCCATGTAGCGGCTGAAGATGAAGTCAAAGGGCTTGCTGTAGACCCAGGGGCTTTCGACGTCGTCGATTTCGAATTTGACGTTGGGAGGGATCCTGCCGCTGCTGTTCAGTCTGGAGCCTCCCGGAATTAAACTATGGGCTGTGATCAGCTACTTACCAATGCGGCTGGATGGCACTGAGATCGTTGCCGAGGACCTGACGGACAGCGCAGTCAGCGCAGTGCGCACAGCAAGACCAGTAGAGCCAACATTACCTCGGCATTGGGAAACCTGTCGCCCATCTCAATGGCCCCTGAGAAATAGGCGATGCATGAGTCAAGAAGGCCTAGAGAAGAGACAACGTGTTTGGCAGCAACGAAACTCACAGATGCCTGTCCCCGTGCCGACATCGAGAATCGACTGCACCTTTTCCATGTCGACAGGGGCAAGATACAGCCTTCCGTTGAGGCCAGCAAGCATAAGCTGGTGAGTCATGTCGAGGCGCTCGAGTTCAGGCTAGGAGTGGCTGTTAACCAGACGATCTTGTCGGAGTGCTGTTCGAATTGACTCACCTCGTCGTTGGGCAAGGGGTAAGCTAGCACGTTCCAAGTCAGCAAACGATGATTTTCAATCGAGTCTGGGCATTCAAATCGTACAGCCCGCGCGGTAGGCATGGTATTGCCTGCCATGCTCGATGGGGTAGTTGACCAGGCTCGAGGTCAAGGACGCCGTGAAAGTAGTTCTGCGCCCAGGTCAGCGGCCCAGACAGCCAGTCGTCGAAAAGAGGCGCGGTGTATTTTACACCTGATCTCCATAAGAGGAGTCGGCCTCGTCCGTGCTCTGGCAAGACAAAATTCGTCAGTTCTTTGTCACTGTGACTAGAGGGCGTGGTTGATTGGTTGGTTGATTGACGTACCTCGGGTTCGACCTCAATCGGGCCCTCAGCCTGCGGTGTTGCTGCCGCCACTGCAGGCGCTGCCGGGGGCGACGACGCAGGACCGGCCTCGTGGGTCGCCAGAGGTGATGCCATGATAGCTTAATTACCTTTCGTGACTTGTCTTGTTGAACAACTGAAGTATCTGTGTGTCAAGTCAAGTCAAGTATGGCATCAGTGCTTGGGGTGCGGGGGCGTGGAGGCATTTCATGATGAGCGTTACGCATTTTATGATGAGGGGTAACCCAAGCACGAGAGAGAGTACTTTCCAGGTTATTACACAACAAAGACGAGGGTAAGGTGCTGGTGCATCCCCGGAATGCCGTTTGGTTGCGGCTGGCCCCACTAGTTGACCCTCGCTGGACTTGTCGGGCGACCGACTGCGAGGGAAAACTGCAACAGCGTCCCAACACAGATTCGGCTGCAGATGTACATGCAGAGCCCAGTCACAGTCTGCAGCAAATCACAATGACGCGGACGCGCTGAAGATAGCTTCGGCGTATGCAATTAGGTGCAGATTGATAAACTGAATGAGGCTGCAATTAATTAGTACCTAACCTGGTTGGAATGTTCCGCCGAGTTCATGACTCCGTACTTCCGTACCTAGCCGAGGATTGCTAGACACTTGGATAGGGAATTACTACGTACCCTGAGCATTTGAGCCGCATACCTAAAACAATATCCGTATCGCATCCTTCTTTCTTTTTCCTTTCCAAACAAACAGCGCAAACTAGTTCTATGTATATCAGTGACTATCTACGATGTAAAAGGCTTGGCTTGGAGTTACATGGACGGGTGCTTTTGGCTCGAAGCCTTTTCTTTAGCTCTTAATTAGAACCTACTATCGAACTAATTACTAAATTGCCAATTACCTGTATTAGTTTAGAGCTTTGATCAGGGCACCCCGTCTAGAAATCAGGCACCCTACTTTGCATTCTTGGCGCCTGTTAGCAGTTGTGATACTCAGGGCCTAATTTAGGACGGTAAAATTCTGAACCACCATCCCGCCGCCCATGCGCGTAACATGCAGCCCGGGCGGGCTCCCGGGTCAACAACTTTGAAGCAGGTACGTTGACGATGTGTTATTCTCGAGTCTCAAAACACCAACTGCGTGCACCAAGGCCCGCACCAAGGCCTTCGTATTTGAAAGCGTATATAATGTTATATGACTTCGCCGGTCTTTCATAGTGCTCGGTAGCCGGGTAGGTGGTTGCCATGTAATACGGCGTTCTGCCATATTAAAAGCTGTCCCTGTGTTGGCAGGTGCCAAGGACCCCGAGTAGGGTGCCCTGATTTTTTGGATGGGGTGCCCTGATCAAAGCTCTTAGTTTATGTGTTTGTGTGTGACTTGATTGAAATTGCTACTAGGATCGATATGGAATAGGCAACAACCTTATTGGTGGTGCAGGTTTCTTTCCATTCGTCCTCAGTACCCTTTTTCTAATTACAAGGCCCGGGCCATACGGAACGCCGTTCATTTTTTGTACCTCACCCGCCTCCTAGAAATATTAGATTGTATTATGACCCGACCTCTTTGACCACATGGGAAGGACCGCTCGGGAAGGTGAGAATCACGGGCCTCCCGCCACACTGGAAGCAAAATCTCCCGCCAAGAGCCAACGCGCTTCTTAGAGCCACTCTGACTAGACCAAATACAGTCTGCCCAAGTTAGTGGTGCATCGCCTAGAGGGCTTGGTCGCGATCGCAGCCACACATTCTTTTACAACCTGACGAGGGTGTGGTGGGTCTCTGAGGGATCAGGCGGGGGCTACCCGTTCAAACCCCGCTTCCATCTCTTGAACCCGCACCAACCCAAAACTCAAAAATCGGCATCCACAGCTTCGAGGCTTGGCCGAGCTGGCTGACCGGGATCTGGCTCGTCCCGTAACAAGCATGCCATCCAACTCTAAGACACTGGCAGTGTTTGGCCAACCCGGCGTGGGCAAGAAGACGCTGGTGGGCAGCCTGCTGTATAAAGTACGTCATCTGATTTAGGTTGCTCACTAACTTCAATCGCACCGCGCCGTGAATTTCAGAATTTCATCTCATCTTGCTAACTATCGCTTGGCGGCTGGCTAGTGCGGGATGGATCTCAGTCTTCTCCAACAGCTTGAGAGCTCCGGCACCAGAAAATATGTCGATATTGTTCCCTTCTTCGAGCAGCACAAGCTGGCCAAGACGTTTTATGCCCCATCCACCACCATCACAATTGTCAACGGTAAGCACTGATCCCTCTCTCCCTAGCATACTTAGCTTTAATGTCTACGGGGCCATATTCTAATCATTGCACGCATTAGGCAAGACACCTGACCTCGTTATTTGGGTTGTGGACGCGTCTGCCCTAGACCGTGGCGCATCAAGCCCTGATGAGTTGGCGTCGTTGATCTCTCACAAGGACATCGAACCCAAGGAGAAATTGTTGATCCTTGTGAACAAGATGTACAAGTGGCCCCGCCCCCCAAGACTAGGGTTATGACCCGTACTAACTTACTTCTACAGGGATGAAACCGAGTCGTCTGAAGACGTGTTTGAAGCGATATCGAGCTCCTTCAAAAGCATCGATCTGGACTCGTCCGGCGAGTAAGTGTCTCTCGCTATATATCCTCCCCTCCTGTGTAATGAAGTTAATGTCTAATCGACTGCCAGGACCTACACTATCCCAGCCTCAGCTCTGCGCGGAGACAACCTTCTAGAAGCCCCAAGTGTGCCGTGGGCTAACACTGGGCCGACTATAATGCAAGCGCTCGGGTAGACAGATGCTTTGGCCGGCACCGTCATGATGTCTTTGGATATCACATTGGCTACGATATAACAGAGTTGTGGTATATAGCACTCAGTTGTCTCCCCTCCACCGAGTTCATTTGGGTCGTTATCATGGTGTTTCAAACGCATTTCTTGGCGGGCAAAATAAGCTACGAAATTGACTGTGCTCTAGCAGGAGAGCCTCAATACAGTGCAGAAAGAAGCAGCAAGCGGCCTTGACGGCTGCGTGTTAATTATAGAAAGAGGTCAAAGTCAGTCCAGATGCACTGGCAGTGAGTGGCTCGGGGGTCACTGCCAGATCCTCCAATCGGGTTCAGCCGCTCTGCAGATTTTCTTCAGTTGAAGATAAATAGGATCGCACGCTCTGATTCGCTTTACCACCGTCCACCGTCTACCGTCCACCGTCCGCCGAGACCCAACCTACGGCATCCCCTTGGTTGGAGGGTTATCTCCTTGGTTGGAGGGTTATCTCCTTGGTTGAAGGGTTATCCCCTTGGTTCGAGGGTTAAACCCGGCCCCCCCCCGTGTTCTAATTCGTTGCACCCCCTCTTCCTCAGCCCCTATTGGCTGTAGGGCTCAGAAGGGTTAGGAGGGAAAAAAGGAGACCGGGCACACTAGTCCAGGCATCTGAGACTGCCCAGGTAGGCTTGGTCGACTCGCACTGCGGGATGCTGTATAACTAATATGCCCTCGGTGTCAGCCAATCGAAGGCCCTTGTTCATGGGGGGCCAGCTGCAGACTTGGGGGACCGTCACCTAACTTTCCCGGGTGGTCTGTGCCCCACGGCCATCAGCATAACCGCCCTCTCTGCATATTCTGCGCAGATTCTTGCCCAACTTCCTCTGGGGGGGAAATGTTCCAATTTCCACGCACAAAGCACTCTCGCTAGCTTCTCGATCACCAACCGTTGCAACAACAGCTATGAAGAAGCTGTTCGGGAAGATCGCGAAGCGACCACGGGCAGCGGACGCAGATGCTCCAGCGTTGCAAATCTCTCCTAGCCCCGTTGTTCCTCCAGAGCGGGAAACATCCAGCCTGAGCCCAGACACAAACGATCACGAGCAGTATCCGGTCGACATCATCGATATACATGGCCTGAACGGACACCCCTTTAATACCTGGACGCACGAGAATGGTACACTATGGCTGAGGGACTTGTTGCCCGGTCATCTTCCAGGTTGCCGTGTCTACACTTACGGATATCCTTCGGACGTGTTCAGCAAGTCATTCATGGAAGTCAAGGAATACGCACGAGCACTCGTGGACTGGATACGATCCGAGGTCCTTCGTGACGACGACTCAGACCAGGCATGTCACACCTCGTCTACACATCTGCCGCTTTTCGCATCTGCCGCTTTTCGCATCTGACCCGTTGAATGACGCAGCGCACTCGTTCCATCCTGTTCGTGTGCCATAGCCTGGAGATGACTTATATGGAATTCGTCTCCAGCATCCCCCCGGGCCATCTTGACGCAGCCTCCAAACTGCTGAAGCTCATATTGGGCAGCTGAAGGCCGCTGTCCCTTGACGAGATCAACACGGCATTCAGTATCGACCCAGTCACCACACCGCCGAGAGCGTCAAAGAAAACTGCCAAACAGGAATGCAGCGCACTCTCCAGAATATCTTGGGGCCCCTAGTCAGGGTTTCAAACTCCAGAGTCTCGCTCTTACACCATTCAGCCAAGGAGTTCATCCTGCACCGCGCCAGTGCGAAAGTAAAGCTCCCATCCGAGATCCCACTATCAAGACGGAAGGATGCGCGCTGGCCATCGCCACGGCTTGCATACAATATCTCCTCCTCGACGATTTCAGCGACGACTTGTTCAGTCTCGTCGAGTCCCCCGTCAATTCCCCCATAAATTCTCCCGTCGACTCCTCAGACCCAGACGACAGTCCGGCCATCTCCGCATCGGGCAAGCCATTCTGGGAAGACGAGAGCGAAGAGCTCGCCACAGGCGGCATGTTCAAGGAAACGGGCGAGCTCGACGAGGACACGTGCCAGCTCATAGCCGCAAAGCACCTCTTCTACCCCTATGCCGCCCTCTACTGGACCGAGCACTTTGCCGAGTGCGAAGCATTAGCGCCCGCCGAGCTCAGGGATGCCGCTGGACTACTCCTCAACTACAATAGTGCCAACTGCACTAATTGGCTGCGATTCCACTCCACCGAGGCGGTAGCCGGGGACCAGAGCGTCCCTGGAGCCCTCGACGAGATCACCCTGGCAGCCTTTTTCAACTTGCACGGCATGCTGGAGCATTTCCTCGATAGCTAGCAGCCCGTTCCTTAGACCCACCTCGACGCTGCCTTATTCTGGGGAGCAGGGTAGGGCCACGGCAAGGTCGTCAGCACGCCCCTCCGCGCGGGCGCCGATCCAAGCGCACGGCCCGAGGTCTCCGGTAAGCAGACGGCCTTGGCTGCCGCGTGCAAGAACGGACATGTCGATTGCGTCAAGATTCTTTTGGCCGACGACTGGACGGACGTGAACGCAAAGGGGGACCGCGGGCGCACGGCCCTGTCATTTGCGAGCTCAAACGGGCACAAGGACGTCGTACAGGCTCTCCTGGGCGAAGCAGGCTGCAGGGCCGACGAGCAGGACGACCCGGGCAGCACGCCGCTGATCTGGGCGGCTCGAGACGGCAGTCCCGAGATTGTTAGGTAGCTAGCTCGGCATCTGGCCGTCGACGTCAACCACGGCGACAAGACGGGACGCACGGCCGTGTCCTGGGCCGCAGGCGACGGGATGGACGACGCGCTGAAGGCGCTGCTCGGCGACGGGAGGGCCGACCCGAACCTGCCGGACAACCAAGGCCGGTCGCCGCTGTCGAGGGCGGCAGGCGACGGGTGCACGGGCGCGGTGCGCGCGCTCCTACGGGACGGGCGGGTGGACAAGGCGAGCGGCGACAAGAGCCGGCGGAACGCCATCTCGTGGGCGTGCGAGCGCGGGCACGTGGACACGTTGCGGGTGCTGCTCAGGGGCAAATGTCCGGGGGTCGACGAGCCGGACGACGCTGGGTGGGCGCCGCTGGCCTGGGCGATCCAGAATAACGCACCGGAGATTGTGGAAATGTTGGCGGCGCACCGCCACGATGGCGCTGCGGTGGATCTGGAACGGGAAGACTCTTCCGGGCGGACGGCCCTGTCGTGGGCGGCGGAATACGGCCATCCCGAAGTCGTGAGGGCCTTGTTGCGAGCGGGTGCTGATCCTGATGCTAAGAATTCAAAGGGGATAGCACCAAAGACTGCCGCTCTGAGGGGATTGAGGCGGTCTAAGATTGTTGAGCTTCTTCAGAATGCGGAAAGGGATAGAATAGAGTAATAGGTGCAGCGCTCGGGAACCATCAGGCAGATGTCCACATTTCGACTTTGTGTCTTGAACTTCCCGGCCGAGAAGTGGTATCCGGGGACGGGCAGGGGTTGTGAAAGGATTCAAGGAAGTCGAGAACTATCAGGGGAACTCGATAATTGACGTATCTTGATAGAACGAATTTCTTACACACACCACACATGGACCAAAGGCAGCAAATCATGATAATCCGCACGCGTAAAATAACGTCCGGTCCAAAAAGGAGAGCAGGGCAGTTGAATACCCGCGGTGCAGAGACGAGCAAAAAACAAATAAAAAGACAAACAACACCAAGGATTTGCTGGTCGTCACCGACCCAACTACTAGTCTAGCGACTAGTCTAGCGGTTATAAGATTATTGAGAAGACTCAAGGAGGCAGAAAATGGCAGAACTTGGGAGCCGAAAACAGGGAGTTACAAAAGGCAAAGGGTAATAGACGCTCGCCGGTACCCTCGATGAAACAGCCTGGTCGTCTGCGGCGAATCTGGGTACAGGAAATTCCCTTTTTCGTTCGGAATCCTGAGCTGGGTTGAGCTGGGGTGAGCTGTGGCTGATTTGTCATGAGCTTTAGCTGATTTGTCATGAGCTTTCCCTGATTTTTCCAGAGCTAGGTGATCCCATACGCGGCCGCCGAACAGCCCCAGGGGCCCGTTTTCAGTCCACCCGGCTAGACTTTCCTATCGATGGAAAGTCGATGACGCGTAATCTGTAAGGATAGCTCCCAGGCAACAATTCCAACTACGATGTACCTGCGTACTAGGTATGCTTGCGGCTCGTGTCATGTGCACCAGAAAGCCCTATCGCCAAAACCTATAGCGTCATTATACTATGCTACAGAAGGATGCGGTATGGATGGAGTCGCTGACGACAGCGGCAACGCCATCTGTCAGTGCCCTTATCTGGTTGAAAAGCCATTTTCTACCATTAAGGATATGTAGGCTGTCAGGAGACGTTGGGTAGTTGGGTGATAATAATGCTAGCGGTTAGTTGATGATAAACTTTCATCTTCAATGTCAAGGATAGAATTCCTACCTTATCGGAATTCATACTTTGTCGAAATTCCTAATTCGTCGATATTCGAGTACCCATAGTTCTGCTAGTACGTACTGATTCTGCCCGATAGAAAATTCTGCCAGCAGAAAAATTATGCTTGTCTAACTCTTGTTCCTCCGTATTCTATGTGAGGGCCTGGTCCTCCAGGCCTCCCAGACGCTCTGACTAATCAGACGCCAGTTGGGTGGATCCACCCGACCAGCCAGAGCCCCACCTTGAGACGCCCTGGAAGAATCTCGCGAGGGGAGGCTTTTGAGCTTCTTTTCCCTTTTCCCTTTAGTTTAGAATCTTCGTCTATAGCGCCCAATAGAGGAGTTCCGCCCTCATTCCAAGCCGGCCGTGACATTCTACACCGTTTTTGCCGGCAGCATATGAGACCGCTACCGTTACGCTGCATACCTTTTCTGTCGGCAGAAATTTACTGCCCAGTGTCAGCAACCCAGTTCTCTGCCATGAGTCTATATTTATATGGCGTCCAATGGGTGTGCACCCCCCCCTTTCAATGCGTGTGCATTCCCCTTGATTTCAATACGTGTGCACCTGCCCAACCACATAGGGGTTAGTGTTTTCTATTGGCCTAAGTCAGGTGGGGGACTTTTGGAACACCCCTGCCTATGGAACAGCCCCTGAATCGGACCCCGCACAACACCACAAACTTCAATTGCCAACAACTTTGTCAATTAATTAGCTACAATGATGAAGTCTTCAGTATCGGATTCTCCTGATTCTTCTCTTTTAGAATAACCAAGGTCCTCTCTGCCAGCCTCTCTCTGTGAGGCACGAACCTCCTCAATTCCAGCGAACTGCGTATTAGGGTCGACTTGGACCTTCCTTCTCTTTCGGCCTCTTGTGCGTTCTAGGCTTTTTTCTGCAGCCTCCAATTGATGCGCCGTATTGGCTAGTTGGAAAACCACGTAATCGAAGGCTTTTGCGGCCTTGCGTATGAAAAGTCGGTCGTTGGCAGTCCGTTTCTGGCCGGCTAGAAAAACCTGCCCCTGAATACGGAAATCCTTCGGCTTTTTAGGGGTAAACCATATAGGCCGGCCCTCCGAATTCTTATTTAGAATGGGGTTATGGACCTCTTGAAGGTCTATAGAAACCGTAGAGGTCAGTTGACCAACGTCGCCGTTAGAATTCTTAATAACAAGGCCGTTGCTTAGGGGCTTCCTGAGGCTGACCAGCCAGAGGCCTGTAGCTTTCCAGCCGGCTTTGATGTTAGATTCAGTCATTCCATAGACCCTGGCTTGCCGGTAGCATTCTAGGAAGGCCCTCTTTTCAGCAACAGTGCCTTCGTCGAAGCCGGAAACAACCTCGTTATGCTTGGCTCTGTACCGGGCTTTTAGAGGGCCGAAAACCGATAAATCCAGGGGCTGGAGAACGTGGGAGGTGTGGGCTGGTAGAAATAACAATTGTACGTTATTAGAAAAGGCTAGCCACATGAATTCTTCGGTGGTATGACTACCGTGGCCATCTAAAATAAGGAGGCGCTTCTCCGAGTGGGTAGCTGGCCGAGTTTCTGGAAGAAAGATATTGCGGAGCCATGCGACGGCAGTATCATCGTCAGACCAGCCGTTTTCAGTGGGTTTCCACTTCCAGCCCTTAAATGGCTGTAAATCGCGTGGATACCATTGTTGTTGAAGGCTTCCACCTTTGAAAATGACGACTGGGTTCAAATACCGGCCGCCAGCGGAAATACATTCGATAATCGAGGTCCAAATTCGGTCTCCTTTCTTCTTTTTCTGGAATTTCTTTCTTTCCTTAGATCCAACAACCAGGCCGTTATCTCCAATGCTAGAAGCAATGCCAGTTTCATCCATATTATACCTATGCTTGGCTGGAATAGCCTCCACGCCTGGAGGCTTCAAATAGTCAAACCAAGGCCGGATAACGGCCTCACAGGCTCGATCAGCACGGTTTGCATGGATTCTCCGAGGCCTAATTGTAGAAATAGATGGATTTCTAGCCAAAAACCGGCTAGTCCAGCGTTTTCCGAGGGTCTCGTTATCTTCGAGCATTCTTCTAGCTAGTTTCCGAATTTGGGCGTGGGTTGGAGGGTGACCGAGCGACCCTTGGAATAGAATCCATTCGGTTAAGCGTTCTTCCATAGCCGGAGAAAGCTTTTGATTAAGAATTTGGGCCTTGGAGGCTGGCTCGGAACCACGAACCCGATTAAAGAGAGTAGTAGGGGGGATGCCGTGATTTTCAGCAGAGCTACGGAGTAAGCCGGTTTCTGCATACTCTGCCAGCGCATTCTGCAAATCCAACTGAGTATATCGCTTCATCTTTCATTTCTCAATTGAATGGAGAAAAGAAGATAAGTATTGAAGCAGAATTGGTCAAGTTGCAAGCGATTGAAATAGGTGAGTTGGGTGGCGAGCGGCAAGTCCTTGATGACAAACCTTGTTCCAAATCCAGGGGTGTTCCATAAGCAGACCACTTGACTTATTGGATTTGTCTTCTCCAGAGACAATGTAGAAGATTGAAAAAGGTCTAGGTTCCTTGTACTCCTCCCCGTGTTGAAAGACATGGGCCATGCTCAGCAGGGAGTTCTTGCTGAACTGACTGGTTGCAAGCTTCAGGGCGAGTCGCCGAGGAAGTGCAGACATGAACGCTTTTAAAGCGCCGCTCAGTCGAGTTGTAGATGGAACGTCATTCCGGATCCATCGGTAGCGCCGGCTCTGCAGAAGGCCTTCAAGAAATCCAAGATGCTCATTTACACAGTCGTTGTGGGAAAAACTGGAATGTTGAAAGCGACTGTCTTTGCTCGCGAGGCGTCCCCACATCCAGCAGCATATTAAGCACCCTTAAACAATTGCCGCGAAGAACGTGTGGTGGGAAGTATGCAGTATTGCTTTCTTGGGTATGAGGCTGGTACTCTCTGCGTTGAATGCAGCCTGGATGCCTGTTTGGCAGTTCTCGCAGAGCATGGTGTTGGTGAAAGCACGCGCAGCTTAACTCCTGAAATATGTTAGCTCACATGTTGGGGCATTCGTGTTGCTCAGATTTTGGTTCACCTTGAATCGCTGCGGGTAAAGTGCGTATTCTACTCCCTGCCCTGTCAACCGAAGTGCAGGCCTGTCTCGTCCTCTCAGATGCCTTGGCGATAGCTTGATATGGCCAACTCGGTTGGCATAGCATAAGGTCTTGCACTTAAACTTCCGGCTATTGCAGGGAGGCGAGCGCCAGTACGGGATACCCCAAGTTCAGTTTGCAGGAGCAGGAGTAGGTGAGTGGGGGGGCGCGGTGAAATGGGCTGGGTTGTGGCGAGGGAATTTCGGGGAAATTCCAGCCTCGGGACAGTAGGCAGCAATTGGCGCCAGGTTAAGATGCGGAAGGCGCGACTGACACTCTCCAACCCGTCAATAGGCAACCGCTCAATAAGTGCAGTCAACGTCGTCACCGTGCGCAAAAAGGAATGGACAGCCGGCTCCCGCCTGTCGATCTCCACTCGGAGGCCACGCGAGACCCCAGCCAATTTTGGTCCTTTTTGGGTCGGCGGCTCAGATTGGGATGGACTCTCTGCACACTCAAGGGATGAGATTCCCACTGCTGAGACTTTTCGAAATCTTGTTGGTAAAAGTTGCAGCCGCAGCGGCTGACGGCTTGGCCCAGGGCATGTCGTGTCGACGTCCCTCATCTAATTCACTGCCTTAACGCCTCAGGCAGAAAAGGAGGCCGAAAATGTGCTTGCTGGGCGGAGTGGCGGCTGAGATCGGCTCGAGAGGGGCGCAGCACCTCGTCATGCCGTGCCCCGCAACTCTCCCTTAAAAAACCCAGGATCTATGCGGGCTGAGCCACCGAAGGATCGAAGTGGATCGACCAGTACACTAGCCAAGCCAGGCAACCCAGGCAACCCAGGCAACCCATTGCCGCCCTCAAAACCATCCACAGAGGTACAAAACTCGGATATCTTCATCTTCTTCTGTTGCGCTTTCCTAGCGACACAAGATATTTTCTCAAACATCGAAAAAGAGCATTTTGATAGTACAAGATGGATAACCTCAACGCGAAGAGGCGCTTGAAATACGCCAACCTCACGTCCATGGCTGATATTATCAAGGCGAGTAATGAGCGGAAGGCCGAGGACGAAGCCAAGGCGAATGCGTTGGCGGATGCCTCGGCGGGAACCGCCGAGGCCGAAGCCGAGACCGAGCCGTCGCCGGTAATCGCCAAGGCCGAACCCAAGACGGAGCCGTTGCCAGAAGTCGCCGAGGCCGAAACCAAGACGGAACCCCCATCGGGGACTACCGAGGCCGAACCAATGACGGAGCCGGAGCCCTCACCGGAAGTTGCCAGCACCAGCACCAGCACCAGCACCAGCACCAGCACCAGCACCAGCACCAGCATCAGCACCAGCACTAGCACCAGCACCAACACCAGCGGCGACACCCCAGGAACCAGCCCCACCCAGCCCAGCCCTCCCCCCAGCAAGAAGGAACCGCCCAAGCGGAAGGAGGAACAGGACCAAAAGCCATGGGAGAACGACATGTCGGACGAGAACAAGGCGCTCATCCGGGTGTGGATGGAGAGCGAAGACGACGGGCAGCCGGGTGATGCGGATCGCCTCGGCGACTACGACGCTGAGTTCGAGGAGACCAGCAAGAATTTCCACCGATACATACACCACCATTTCCAGGGCAAGGAGTGGGGCACGTACTCGGAGAAGAAGGATCAGAAGGACAAAATCGACGAGGAGTGGTTCATCTCGTCCCCCGTGGTCCTCGACGAGACGGACCCGGAGTACTTATGCGAGATGTGTCGGCACATCGACTTTGGTGCGCTCCTCACCCAGCGCGGGCTACCCGGGACGAACCAGCCGGGAACCAATACGGTGATTCAGCTGCAGGCGCTGCCGAGGGTTCTCGATGCCGCCATAGCGAAGAATTGCTCGTTCTGCAGTCTGGTTCGTCAGGCTTTCGAGGATCGGTGTACGCCGGAGGAGATCCAGGCCTCTAGGAACCACGACGACAAGTTCGAAAGTATGCGGCTGACCGTGCTAGACGACGGCCCAGACTACGCGCTACGCTTAGAGATCATGCTAGCAAACTTGCCCAAAAGGGTCGTGGTGCAGATGATGCCGCCGGATCCGAAGGCATCTTTCCCTCTCCAGGGCGCCCCTGTTCGCCAAGACAAGGCGGATATGGAGAGACTCGGGGCGTGGATCCAGAATTGTGAGATGAACCACCAGGGGAAACCCGCCGTGTCCATCTCCAAGCTCGACACCCTTCGAGTCATTGACGTCGGCGACGGCTGCATCGTCACGGTAACCGCGCCCTGCCGCTATGCCTGTCTCTCCTATGTCTGGGGTCAGGAGCTTGGCACCCGGCTGACGTTCGACACGAAAGCCATTCTTGAGAAGCCCGGAGGCCTGGCGGACGAGTCGATGAATCTAGGCCAAACTCTGAGGGATTCTATCGAAGTAACCAGGGCCATCGGCCTCCGCTATCTCTGGATCGACGCACTGTGTATACTCCAGGACGATGACGACGATAAAGCCGCAAATATCGCCCAGATGGGAGCCATCTACAGCAACGCTGTGGTGACCATCATGGCCTCGACAAACTCAGGACCTGCTCAAGGCCTGCCGGGCGTCGGGGACACGCCGAGATCCCATGCGCAGGTGGTCCGACGGCTGCAGGGCATTACTCTCGCCGCGGCGTTCCACGATCCGCGTCTTCCGTACGACGACATTGAAGCCTCGGTCTGGAACTCGCGAGCCTGGACCTTCCAAGAGAGACACCTCTCGCAACGCGCCGTGTACTTCACCAGCTGCCAGATGCACTTCACGTGTCCGCACGAGAGTGTATTCGAGGATACCGTGCCCGGGCTCTCGGCTGAACACCGGCCGAAACCACTCACGGACGCTTCCCAGTTCGATTCGCGGGTCATGGCCTTGATGCACCACATCTGGGAGGACCCGACCCAGACCATGTTTGGCAACAAGACGTTCCACATCCACGGGAGGGGCTCCAAGGCTGTGTCGATGATGGGGACAGACCAGACGCTGCCGTCCCCCATCTACCGCGCGGTTCCGGTTCCTAGCCATGGCGACGGCGGCATCCTCCGCTTGGAGGGAGAAACTCTCTGGAAAGCCTACAGCGATGCCGTAGCCATGTACACTCGGCGCAAAATGACGTGGCAGTCGGATGTGCTGAATGCTTTCCAGGGTGTGACGGATCTCCTCGCCCAAGGCGTCAACACGGAGTTCTGGCACGGCTTGCCCGAGTTCGCCTTTGATCAGGCCCTCCTCTGGTATCCCCAGGAGCCGCTGAAGCGCCAAAGTCACGAGGGTGCGCCTCCGTCGTGGAGCTGGGCTGGCTGGCAAGGCCATACGACATATCGAGGGCGGGGCTGGTACAACGCCGCCGCCCTGCCGCCTGTCAATGTCGTCCGGTGGCTCCGCCTGGTCCAACCCCGGGAGCTGGTCCAGGAGTACATTGACAGCGAGGAGAATCCCACGCGCGAGAAGATTGTCGAGTACGCCCAACGCATCGCCCACGGACCCAAGATCCTCCGGGCTATTGGTACTTCGACACTTTACCATCTCGACGTCGAGAACGATGGCTGGACGCACTGCCGCGACACAGATCGCAACGAGCACTACTACACGCACGCCGCCTACCCCGGGCTCCGCTTCACGTACCCCGCCACCCTGCCCTCGAAGCTGATTCTGCGGCGCGTTTCGCCCCTGGGGAGTCTCTTCTTCGAGGCCCGCACTGTCCCCGCCCATTTCGTAGACATGTCCACCACCCCGCACACGGGCGACCCTGGCGTGGATGACTTTCTCCAGCTCGGACTGAACGACGCGTCCCGCTCGTTCCGCCAGTCACGGCGGCCGTGGGAGCATATCATTTACCACCAGGGCTACCGCGCCGGGTATCTCTCCCTCCACGCCCCTCTGACATCACCGGAGGGAAACTACATCCTGGTCGCCATGTCGCGTGACAGCATCCCGGACATTGCGCCGCCCCTGGGCGGCTGGGATGTGTACTGGGGTCTCGAGCCGCGGGATGCGCAGCAGGAAGCTTTCTTTCGTTGGGAGTGGGGACCCGATGAGAGGCGAATGCCGGCGTTTGGACCCTTCGGGAAAGATGAGCCGGATGCCAGGGCAATCATCGAGAACGGCGATCCGCACTGGGAGGCAGTGCGATTCGGGGGTCCGGCGATGATGACTGTGTATAATGTCTTGTTGTTGGAGAAGAAAAGGGCCGGAGATGGCGAGGGCGGCCAATGGTGGTGTGAGCGGGTTGGGGTTGGCAAGATGAATGCTTGTGCCTTTGGGCATGCGAAGCCCACGGAAGAGCTGATCCTTCTGAGGTAGCTTTGTGGGATTGGGAGCGTTTGTGCGATTATATCGGACAGGACGAGTCAGCCGCAATGGCAGAGACCAGGTGTACAAGAACTGTCAGCCTGCCTCCAGGAGACCTCCGCTGCGATAATAAGCTTAGAGACCCCGATACCGGTTCGCAAGACCTTCGCTGTTCAATTTAGCAAAGTAGGCGTCATTCTCCCCAGGCGAGTCAAATTCGACCCGCTTGAGATCCAGCGCCACGATCTTATCGTCTGCCAGCTGAAAATTTCCCACTTGCACATCTTCGAGCAGCACGCCCGAGTCGTAAATTTCTCGGAAGCACACCTGCAACTTTCCCGCCAGGTCTTTCTTGTAAGCTTAAAAGGAGACCCCGGTGGGAAGAAAGCGAAACGCCGCCGAGGCGGTCTAGGACCAAACTTCTCCCTCCTTTTTTACCAGGCGAGTCCATATAATCTCAGGATCGTGACGTCCTGAAGCGAGTCGAGTTTGCGGTATGCTTTGATCTTGGTGTCGAACAGGCCTGCCGGCTCGTTCTTGCAGTTGCCCGGCTCGGGCCGCTTTTGAGTTTTCAAGACAACGGGGGCGAGAAGAAACCATTCGGGAAATACACGTTTGATCCAAGACTGAGCAAATGTGGGCAGCAGGACGACACAGCGTGCGATCGGGTGAACGATTGCACACGAACGCAGATAGACGTCGTAGACATGAGGGTGGCTGGTAGAAGTCGTACCGAGACCAGATATGTAGCGGGTGCGGAACCAGGAGCTCTGTCTCTTTGCAAACAAGCCACTCTGCGAGATTGAGAATCTTATCGAGGGATGCCATCGCAGTAGATACCCGACCTCAGCGTCGAATAGAGAAACGTCACTCTCACAGCTTTAAATAATTCGCAAACCACCTCACTGCCTGATCCTCTGCCTCCTGGCACTGCCTCGGCAAATTCTCATTAAAATGATCCACACGGTTCGTAAACCCATGATTCGCCCCAGGATACACCACCATCTCCTCAGTGTCCACAGCCCCCTTCTTACGCTCCCAAATCTTCTCCGTCATCCGGACCTGATCCATAGCGACTGCCATGTCCTTGTCGCTAATGGCAAGCGATGCCGGGCAGGTGACACGTTCCATGCCGTCGGGGTACGTGATGACGCTGGGTTGAGCGATGAAGATTGCATCGACAAGCGGCGTCTTGTTGTCAGAGGTCGAGACGCTGTCGGCGTGCGTCAGGATTCTGTTTCTTGGCATAACTTCTAAAGTCGGCAAGACTTTGGGTCTGTGGCTGGGATCGCAGGGATCAGGCCGGAACCCGGCCTGATGCGCCCGAGCCCAGACATAAGTGGATCTGGGATCCACCAGTTCAGGCCATCATTTCCACATATATATTCCGCCGTGGCCCAGATAGCTAGACTTCCTGCAAGCAATCCAGTCATTCCCTCCCTGCCCACAAGGTCTCTGTCGGCCATGCAGTCACGCCAGTGAGGATCTGCCCGGGAGTGCTTGCAGCATGTTACACACTCAAGCCCATGAACACCCCTAGATTGTCAGTATCAGGACATATTGCACTAGGATTCAGTGAAAGTCGAACCCATGGGAGGAAAACGGAAACATTTTAAGCTTTAAGCTGTAACACCTGAATCTTGGAGCAGTTCTTTTGGGAGTGCTGGTGGCCTGCGGCGCGTTCCTTCCCCCTGCAACGTCTCCATTAGATGCCGCAAAGAGGCAAGAGCCTTCTGCCGCCAACAGAACTGAGAAGGCGCTAAGCTGGGACACCTGGTTACCGAAGCCCCTGCCTGGTTACCCAAGCCCCCGCCTGGTTACCCAAGCCCCCGCCTGGTTGCACCAACCAAAGTCGGGCTGATGCGCTCCCCCGTCTTCGAAATTATTCCCTCGTCGTCTCTCACCACGCTGCAAGCGGACATTCCCTCGTTGAAAACTACCCCTTCCATTGCCCTCCTCTCTTCTCTTTTGCCTCTTATGATTTCTTTGCATGGATTGCTCTTCGTCGCCCGTCTGATATTGCTGTAGCGCCTCTCCGGCTAACTCTTGCAGGCCTAGCGCTGGTCGCAGCAGGGTCACCTGTCGGGAGCCGAGATTCGGGTCCTGGCAAGGAGTGTGTCCCCGAGCCTCTTAAAATCCCACTGGTCAGATGACACGCAGTCCGACAAACTCCGGGCCTTTTCCTCAACCTCATGACAGAGGCCGCTATTCTCCAGACAAACGTCAAACATGCCACTCGGATGGGACTGCGATGTGTTGCCGAAAAGTTGGCTAATACTGCGCAGACATGCCCACTGACGGGACGGTGCTTGAAGACAGCAGCGCTCCTCTTTTGGAACGAGGGCCCGCCTAATCAGAACTGCTTCCCGCCCAGCCCTTGGCAGACTCGGAGATCTGCAGATCATATCACTCTGTTTCCGTGCCTTCTGTAGGCGCTGTGGGCAGGCCTACGGGTGCGTGACCATACTATAACCTGCTACAGATTGCAGCTTGGCAGCTTGCAATTCTGGCATCCTTTTGGAAGGTGTGGTGCAGCGGTAGTAGGCGTTGGGCCCCGCCGTCACATACGGAAGGAAAAGGGGAGAAGAAGTTGAAATTAAGTAAGGGTATAACGTCAGTTAGCGTTAACTAGTGTATTTATAAATATCTAGCGGCTTGATTAATAAAGGGGCCGGCACCTAGGCTCGCCAGTCGAGGCAGTCCGAGCGTAAGATCTGATTGGCTAAGCTTGGTGTGTCGCGCAGGCAAAACAGAGCAAGTAAAAGGGCCCCACATTAGCCAAATAAAAGTGCGTGCAAACCAAAATGAAGCCTACTTTATTTGACTGTTTATTTTTTATTTTGGCCTATTTGACTTGTTTATATTTGCATTTGATTGATTTGCATTGTTCGATTTGCATTGTTGCGAGCCTTGCCACCACCGCCCATAGGGCTCGCCGCTGTCGCGGTGAGCAGGAGTCCGGTTGATGACATTTGCGTGGTTGGTTTTGGCAAATTCGATGAGCCTTGGAATGCTGGGGGTTTATCGAACTCATACTTGCAGCGCGTTTCTTCCATGCACTCCCAAAGGAGCTCCTCGGCACCAAAGTGGAGGACTCGCGGGGACAGTAGGCGCTCCTGGTAGACGTAAGCACTGCGGAGCAGAGGGAAATGGGAGTCGTAGAGCTCGTCTTCATCTTCGTCGGGGTCCGAGCAGATTTTGTTCCTTAGTTCCCAGTGTAGCAACTTTTGCCGGCAGTATAGTGTGAAAGGCCATCCCTTTAGATCCACACCGCAGAATTTGCGGTGGCTGTATCTCTAATCCTGCACGGAGAAAAGGCCGCCAGTGCAGTTCTTTGACTTTGTGACAGCTAGGGTAAGGTATGAGTCGAGATATGTAGTCGAATTTTTTGCCGACTCTCTTCGCCAGTCCTCTTCGTCGTCCTGGACAATACAGAGCGAGTCTATCCAAATGTAGCGTTGGCCTAGAAGCCGCACGAAAGTGACGGCACCCTAGAATGTCTTGGGAAGCAGCGGCCAGGCTATCTCGTCTATCTAAGTTGATAGATTGCTGCGCGTTGTTATCAAAGGCTGCAAGCGCTCCCAGCAATAGCTCAGGCACACGTACTGGCCTGTTTGGCCGTGCGTCTGGAGCAACTTGACCGGGCCGTCTAGTTGACGCGGCTCAAGCCCAAATGGATGGACGTCAATGATCCTCCGGGGCAATGTCGGGGGCCTCCTAGACCTATTTCTAGTCGGGCTGCACACCTTGTGGCTCGCAATACACTTGCGCAGTCAATTCTGCGCCTAGCCAAAACTTGCATTCGACGAAGTGTCACCTGGCGTTGTAAGTAGCCCGGGTATATACTCCCAAGGCGCTGGCTGGTCTGCAATAACAATTTCCCGTGAGCCTTCTCGAGCACAGCACAGCATGGGGCAGGCTCGGGGCCGTCTTGGAATACCGGGCAGAGAGAATACTTCAAGCTTGCAGAACACGCAGCTCGACGTGGGCGATTTTGGAAAATGAGAACGAGTGCTAACTCTCCACCGAGTGTATCAAGCAATCTGATTAGGCTCATGACGAGTATAGTCTGAAATTCATCAATGCATGTGCTGAATGGTGGAAGCGGGGAGCCTGGATGGGTTTCTTTTGGAGTTGGTCCAGCGCATCCACAATCTTCCAGCCAGTTAAGAAAGGTCAGGAGCATCCTGACGTTGGCTAACAAAAAGAAAGAAAATCGTACCAGGTTACATTGGGCAAGTGTATATATAAACCCTTTATTATCCCAGCCCCTGAACTCCTGATCAGCGTGGCCTCAAAGATACGTTATATACTCCCAATTGGTGTTTTGCCGGTGTCGCCGACAGGTCTCTTGCTAGCCAGTAGCCACCCAGAAACATGTTGTTTCACCGTGACTGTCAGACCAGATCTTCCCACCAAGACGGCGGCGCCCCGGTCCGGGCGCTCAAATCTCACAAATCTTCATCCGCGATTTCGGTGGGATAGCGGTGTGTCGAGTTTACTATAATTGCACACAGGATGTTAGGTTTAAAGCGGTGAATGGGAAACCACAATGGTAGTCACTGACTCGTGGCAGGTCTAGATGTCCTGGATGAGGACGACCCAGCGCCGGCAAAAACCCGGCATACATCTCGTATAGCAGGATTGACGTCAACCTTTTCGCGACTGGTGACCGTTGCTGTTGCCGTGTCGGCCCTGCCAGCACCCTCGCCTCCACTGAGCTGGAACGCGGCGAATGGAGCGTCCCGTGAGAGATATGACCGGCAGTAGTCCTGCCTTGTCATATTGGCGGTGGAGGACCGCACGTGCTCTAGCGATAGCGATGGTAGGAAGGCCGGCTGGGCATTTGTGGAATGCGAAGATGGCTGGCGCGACATCTGAATATGGAGATTCACGGGTGCTGTGACTATCACGGCGCTGTGATCAACCGCAGGTGCGAAGGACCTCGAGTCGCTGGAGTATTGTAGGAGGTGAAGGCCAAGTGTAAAATGCTCTGCTTGCTGGACGGAGATCGAATAGTTCGCGGAAATCGTACGCATGTTGAATAAGAGAGGCACAGGTAGCAAGCAAAGGCAGGCGTGGAAACAGAAATAACAAGCACAGCGGAAGGTAGAAGGCACAGCGGAAGGTAGAGGGAACACGGTCTTCAAAAAAGTCGTGAATTGGCATTGGCATATGAATTTACGCTAGGAGGGTCACGTCGGTTGATGGAGGAGACATCCTACACCCCAGAAATTGGCAGCCAATGTACCAATAAAGACACTTCGAGTGAGTCGGGGCGGGAGATGCGGTAGAAGGCTGGTGTACTTGCCCTCCATTGACCCCATGTACAAGGCATCCATCGTCGGAACGCCAGGGGCGCTTATGGCCACGAAGGTTCCCCTGCCTGAGGGTCTGCGGATCGTTGCGAATTCGCGGGTGTCGAGTCGGCGGTACCGCTCGATCCGGATGGTAAGGCGCTGGCCATGCAGTTGCTGTGGCAGACGAGGTCACTGCCCACTGGTTGGGGAGGTGGGGGTGTCACGCGCCCCTTACTCAATCGAATGCGCACGCGGTCGAGGCTTTGGATCAATTGCGCAAAGCGAAGTACGGAGCAGTTGGGGCTTGAAGTGCGATCACGGCTACTGTCTGCAGTTAAGACTCGGCATGAAAGCGGGGGAGCTCACCGAGTCGATGTAGGGATGGCAGCGAGGAACGGATCTTCCCATTCGACCTCGACCTTGTCGCGTGCGGGGGATGGATTCGGGGGGTTCGGCGAGGTTCGGTACGTAGCACCTCGATGGCGAGAGAGGAAACGAGGTGTGTGAACCCCAATGCGGGTTGGACAGAGGAGAGCTCGTCAATGGGTGGTTGCCTTCTCCTCGGCCGGAAAGAAGGCACTACCGGCGTCTCTGCAAGCATGCAGGGGTGAGTGGTGGTGGTAGTGTACAGTCCAACGACAGCATCGACCTGTCCGGTTCACCCTCGGGCAGACTTCAATGTAGGAGTAGACAGCCACTAGGTCTCCCATCTTTCCTGCCGATTCCTAGATTAGAGTGGTTGTCGAAAGCGGCGTGTCGGACCGGGCATTGTCATTGTTACTGCCAGGTTGCTGGGCCGCGATCATTCTTGCTGTGGTTACCTCGTATCGGCGCTCAAGTGAACACGGTATACTGGCGCTGAGGAGAGTAGAGGGTCGAGATTGTTGGGCAGAGGGTGATGTGCGAGGATTCAGTTGCCTCGCCCAAGCGGGGAGAAAATGAGCAGCCCGAACTACCGATGGCAAGCTCAGCTGTGTTCGTTTTTCCGGAGTGGTCGAGTGCACCGGTCTGCATGAATTCCGAGCTTACCAATCCGTCCCAGAGACCTCGAACAAGACGATTCGAGGGAAGGGGATTGGTCTGTACCATTTCAGGATGACCCCGCTCACAGTTCAAGGACCCTCGTCGTTCCCTGGTTCCGCACATCCTGCTCTGCCTACACAGGCAAGTATCGAGAGGTCGAGACAATAGTTCATCCCTCTGCGCGATGTCCTCTGCAGCAAGATAGATGAAAGGGCCAATCGTCGCTGCTTTCTTGGACTCGGATGCGCATTGTCGAAGGAATCGCTCGCCTGTGGGACGTCTTGGCGGTTGGAAAGAGGGTCCGACTCCGAGATGATGCCGATCAGGCTGGCAATGTTCACCGTCCAACGGAGTATTTGCTCCTTCGCCGAGCCTGAGGACCGCGCGTGGCCCGTCTCGAGCTGTCATGCGTGTCGAAGGAACCAACCGTGTTTCTCGACAAAGGGCGAGGGGGCATGCGGGCCAGGAAGTGCGCAGCTCCTAGGCGGTCGTCGTCATCGACTAGGGTCCCTCACCGAGCCCAAGAGGGGCGGCCGCGTTGTCGCAGGATCGGGGTAGTAAGCCCAACAAATTTGGCCGCGCCCTCCGGTGCAAAGATAGTGGGCGAATTGCGGGAGGGCATTGTCGTTAATGCGCGATTTATCCCATGTCTAGCGGTGTCGGTGATTTATCGTGGGAGAGAAAAGGAGGGGGAGGTGAGGCAGCGACATGGTGTTGAGGGGGGTGGTTCGCAAACTGACGTCGTGGTTCGCTTCGGGTAAACGTCAAGTCGGGTGGGTCAAGTCGGGTGGGTGGGTGTCCCAGACCTGGACTGGACTGCCAACTGACTGTTAGTTAGGAATGCCGCACTGAGCAGCGTGCTCGCCCGATTTGACAGTGACGGCTTGCGGGAGGTCCACTCACCAGAATCCGAGGGTTATCGGTGTCGCAACCGAAGAGTAGTTGTTCCGGCACAGACACGCACATGGGGACATCATTGCGAGTAGATCATGGGTGGGCAGATTGTATTTAATGGTTGTGCGAGCTGGGAAGGCCACACGAGGAAAATAACTTCGGTGCAATTGATCGTCCGGGTAGGCCGCACCTGCTGCTTCATGACCCATGGTGGGGGCCCTTATTTGTGGAACCCCCTTGTTAATTGGTGGCCTGGCAGCGCCAAGCCCCCTTGATTGGCAAAGCATTTTCCGGTTGGAGGAAGGCGAGAGGCCTACAGAGGGAGGTGTGTGTGATTTTCAGAGTCCACAACACATTTTTGTCCAAAACACTTTTTCCAAAAGACATCAAGGCCGGGTCGCGGTCAAAAACACAGCTCCCATAATGGCCGCAACACCTTGGATCCACCCCGGCGCCGTTGGGTGAGAGCAGTCGGGGGGGGGGGGGCCCTGAGTCTGAGAAGAAGAGGAAGCCCTCCAAATCGGACTGTCTAATTTGGTGTTTATCGACAAAAGGAGACCGAGTTTTGCTTCTCTCTCCCGAAAACAAGTCCTCCTGAGACGGAAACGGCAGAATCGACAATACTCCGGATCCGATCCGAAACGGTTGCTGAGATGCCCGTTTCGACGGCGAGTTCGTCGGGGGCCGCACGACATCGACTGAGCCGGCTGCACCGTGATGCTAGATCGCGCGCTGTCGGTGCTGGAGCCCGTCATGGAACTGAAGCGGGAGCCAGCTTCACTCCTGGTCATTGTCGCCACCGCAGCAGCACCAACGTTGGAGCCGAAAGCGCCGGCGAGTCACTGATGGCCGGCCTTTTCGTCATGGAGTGCGGCTGCTGCCTCTTCACGGAAAATCTGGGAAGCGCTGAACGAAATCGCCATTCTGTCGCGAGCACGGAGCCATTTATTCACCAAGCACCATGTGAACTGTTGCGGAAGGCATTTCCCGTCCTGAATATGACGTGAAACTGTTCCCGAGATTTGATCGACCAAATGCTGAAAAGCGACATCAAAACAAGACCAAAAATAAAAGACCAAAAACTAAAGACCAAAACCAAACCACCACAACAAAACATACACCCTATTTCACCGAGAAGCAAAACCACAGCTCTAGGCAACCATGGCTTCCAGGGCAGGTCTAGCGACATGTTTGGATTCAGGTTCGGAGGCGAAACAAGTTGAAGCAGGCATATCTCTAGGATCCTCGGACATTCCGTGGGATGTTGGGCCTACCTTCATTTACTGGCCGTTGCAAAAGCTCGATGCACTCACTCGAAGGGAGCCTTCACGAGCGATCCAGGACATGCACAACCCTAGGCTAGAGAAAGACCAGGATCCGGTCGACTCCAGCCCCCCTACCCTAGATCTCTTGAGCGGACCCGTGTCCGATCCCGTTCAAAAAGCGAACGCCTGGGGCAACCCTGTCTCACTGACACAAGACTATGACGAAACATGGAGCTTATTTCAGCCGCAACATGAATTAGACGATGGCACGGGGTGGTCAGAATACGCCTTCCAGGACAGCTTTGAACTCTACCGTGAATCACCGCTCTTCTATGTTGAACACTTCAGGGCCCCATTCGACTCCCGCCCCCCAAGTCTAGCTTCAACTGTTGCTTCAACTCCCACACTAGACCACAACAGCCGCCCAGGCTCCAGAAGATGTCACAAATCCCCGCTCGCGTCACCTTTGGCCTGGCCACGGGCATCATCGCCGAAGAGATGGGTTTGCACAAAATGTGATAAAGATTTCAACGAAAAAAACTGCCTCAGGTTCGTTAACTGCTGAATACATCATCCATGCTCCTGTGCTGACGCTTTGGTCCAGAAAACATCTACGCAGCCACATTCGACCATATAGCTGCCCAACTTGCAAGAAGGATTTTTCGTTCACCAAGGATCTGAGGCGCCACCAGCTGACACGGGGCCATGGCGGACACGACGTTATGGAATTGCTCTCCTGCCCATCCGAGGGATGTGGATTCAAGTTTAAGGCGTGTAGGAGAGATACGTATAAGAGACACTGCAGGTTGGTTCATGACGCGAGGCCGGGCGAGAAAACGAGGCGAAAAGTGGGAGAGTCTACTTTTGAAAGGGATATATGAATGTGGGATATTCGCTGCTCCAACATTGCTTTCAGTCTTTGGTGATACTTTAGCTAGACCGGCGTTCTATTATAGGTATCGAAATTGATGCAAGAGTCTATCGGGCACCACCCAATCAACCAATAGAATCACATGGTATCCCCCTCCCTCAAATGCATCCACGATGACTATGACTAGGTTCGGGCACAGCCCTCCACCTCTCCGGAGTCCAACCAGAATTCCCGAATGTGAAGTTTGAAATACGACTTTAATTGTTGAGTGTGGAACGCTGTATGGAGTGGAATGATAGCAGGGTGAAGGTGTTGGTTGAGATGTGGATAACCGAGTTGTTGGTAATTAAGTTGCACATGATTTGGGGGGCTGAGATGACGACTGCTGCGGTTACGACTGCTGCGGGGACCTCATTTTGACACCAATTCAATATTTTTGAGAGTGTGTGCAGTTGAACGGCGCAGCAATCACTTCATAAGACGAGGCAGACATAGGTCTCTTAATACTTGAAAGGCGTTGACCTACATGCTACCGGTGCGGGGACAAGCTTTTAACCGACTATCAGATCGACTGTCAGATTTTCCGTCGACGGCGCAGCAATTAACTGCTAATTCATGGCAGTGGACGTGCTTCCAAAGAAACAAATCGTGAGCAAAAGATAAGTGTAGTCAAAGAGACAGTTTTGTGGCATGGCAAACATAGCCCTGTCAAGGCGCAGTAGTGTGGCTCCCGAGCGCTTGGTATTGTCCTATGCTTACAACTAAACTGCCGTGCTCGCTCTTACCGTGCACGCTCTTACCGTGCACAGGGCACCCCCTCCGTGCTCTCTCTTTTGTAAATAACTAGATCCTTTCCTTGGTAATCCCTTCAATCCACATACTTTCTCAATGCAGTTCCTTGGCTCCATATTATGTGTCGCAAGTTTCTTTGCTTATATTACTCTCTGATACTTCTCCCGCTCCCCACTCCCTGCTCGCTCACCCTGCGCCTGGCGTCTGCAGAGCTACGTCTTCCGCCAAATTCAACGGTTCAGGTCCGGCCCAACAGCTTTACGACAATGGCCCCCAGTTCCAAACCGACAGCTCGTGATGAAGGGAAACAAGAGTTGAAAGAAAAGCAAGGTGGCCAGCCACCTCCAGGACACCGATCAGGGAAACGGAATACCAAAATGTACAATAGCTCCACAAAAGATAACAAAACATGACTGTCTGATCTTGACTGATGTCTTTTAAGAAAATCGGTCCGCAACAGCCAGCTCAAAGTTATCCACAGCAACACAAAGAAGGGAATTCTCATCGAGTTTCTTCTTTTTCACTTTTTGCTCGTCTTTTTGGTCCTTGTTTTTTTTGCTCTTCATCTCAGCAACGTATATTGGCATCCACCCTCACCGAGCAGTAACGTCCTGAGCGCCTTGCAGTTTGTGGCAAAAGCCCACGAAGCCTTGATCGTAACGACGATATCCACAATCCTCCTCGACCATATACGGTACAGACTTTTTGCTTCGACATCTCCCGGCATTCCGCTGGGTCTGGTCACCGCCCCATTTCGTCTCAGCTCTGCTGCGCCTACTTACCTCGCGAGTAGCGAGTTCTTTTCCACTCTAAGAGAATGGAGACGTCTTATGGCCAGGGACGTAGTGACCGCGGTGCTTATCGTCTACCTGTTCATCATAGTACTATTAGCGAGCCCATCAGCGGCCATCACCATCTTGCCGAACCTGTCGACGCTGCCATACCCCGAGTCTTTCCAGACAATCCAATCCGAGACGAGAGGCCGCGAAGGCGTCTATCTCGATTTCTACAAGGCCTGCCATTTTGCCGACCTGTATCCCACCCTCCTCAATGCTTCGTTCTTAGAGGGGGGGAATTGCCCAACAGCTCAGCCTGGCTGTCCTATAAATGCCATTCCGGAAGTGCTCAAGCAGTTCTACGAAGTATTCCTTACGAACCTAGTCGACTTTGGCACCTCTTACAATTTTACGGTCCGGGCGGAGCAGACGATCCGCTCTAGGCTGCTAGAGTCGTCCAAGTCGTTTGGGTTGAATGATGGTGGGCCCGATTCGGCAGCCGAAAAATACTACGTGGAAGTGGCATACGCGACGACCTCGCCGAGGTCTCTCAGCGTGAACATGGGGTTGCTTACAGAGCTGGTCGGACGATGGCTAAGATCCAACGGGAGGAACTGGCCGGTGCGAATCACGTCCACGGCGGGCGACTCCACGGGAACCTCGCTTTGGAAGCAGCCATTTGTCACGACGCACTGCTCGCACAGAGATAGCCCTCTCGAGTTCTCCAAGTGCAACGGGACCATCACTGACGCTACCCGGTTTGGATTTCCGGCCTCGGACAACTCGACCATCTCGGTCACTGTGGCTGCGGACACCTTACCGTGTCCGGCCCTCAACGCTTCGAGCGCCATCATCATACCACGGACGAGCCTAAGCTCCAGCCCAGCCATTGAAATTTCCTCGGCGTTGGCCTTCGAAACCAGCAACAACGCCACAACGCTCTGCATCATCAGCGCGCAGTGGCTTGAGGCGGCCGAGACTTTCAAGAAGCCGCTCCAGCCAGGCAACGTCCCCGACTTTGCGCTAGCCGAACCCAACCTCGATCTCCACTACCACGGCGGCGATAGTAATAGCAGTATCGGTAGTGCCGGTAGTGGTATCACCGGAGGAAGAGGCGGAGGAGGAGGAGGCCAAGTCCTCACCCTCACGCAAGACTGGCTCGAAGCCTTCGACCAATGCCAACAGCCCTCCTCGCCGGGCTACTTTGCCAACCTGACGACCATCTGCGGCGCAAGCGGCGGGGCACGGCCGAACCCCGACGCGGCGTGTCTCGCGGCGGGGCTCTCGACGGGCGTGGCCGAGGGCCTGTCGCAGGCCATGGATGCCCACGCCACGTACTACCTTGGCTCGACCGACGACGAAGACCGCGCAGGCCGCCACCCCGGCAAGCGGACCCTCTACAGACTGCGGTCCAACGCCGATCTCGCCAACCTGGAGCCGTTTGTCGAGGTCGACACAGGTACTACGTCTGACGGTAACTCGGGCGCGGCGGCGGTGCGGTTGTTGTTGCCGAAGTACACCCAAATGCAGTTCGCCATCACGCACGACGTGTATGCGTATACGTTTTCCTCCGGCCGTGGTGCTGCTGGCGGCGGCGGCGGCGGCGGCGGCGGCAACGTCACGGTGTACCTCGCGTTCACGGTGCTGTTCCTATACGTGGCGACCGCGGCCGCGCATGTGCTGCTGTTGCTTGTCGGCAGGACGTGGACCAGCACCGCGTGGTCGAGTCCGGGGGAGCTGCTTGTGTTCGCTATGCGGGGGGTGGGGGACGGCAGCGTGAGGTGTTTGAAGATTATTAGTAACCGCGATGTGATAGGCAGGGATGGGGATGGGGATGGGGATGGGGTGGACCCTGCGGGCTGTCGTCGATGAGGTTGATCCTGGCGAGTGTGAGGGTGGGAGCTCGGGGCCTGGGGCCGTGTGTGCGGGCTTCGTGGTGAGACGTGATCGTTCTCGTCGGAAAAAGAAGAGAGCAAGCAGGAAACAAGACCAGCCAACGAAAATGAAGAGGCTTTATACGTACGCGTAGGTAGTTTTTATAATTCTCACTCTACTCCTGTGTCGGGGTAGATATTGTTATTTCTAGTGACTTCCAGGGGGTTATGGGCAGGGGGTTAGCCAGGATTCGCCACCAAGTCAGCCCCCCGAAAAGGCGCGGCTCCGGCAATGGTTTGAGGCAGAGAGAGCCCATAAGCTCACGCCCTTATATCAACTCAGATATCATCTTCCGGAACCCTCGGCCTCTCCTCTTACGGCGAGCATGCCCTCGTGCAGGCTGTCCACGATCTCGAATATTACAGCAGAATCCGGCCTTATGAGATCCCTAGAACCGAAGCCAATAAGCGTACGCGGGTATCATGGTGCCAGAATCAGCTACAGTTACGGCCAAGTCCTGAAGACTAGGAGAGAGTATTTTGGTCTGACGAAACCTGGGCTCTCAACGACCCAATGCGGAAGAAACGGGCGCTTCTTCATAAGAACGATGATATACGAGATTGGGCACTGAAAAAGAGGAAGCCGAAGGGCCGAAGGGCTGGATATTTGGGCTGGGCGAAGAAAAGGGCCATCTTTCATTGAGTGCGTCTCCTGCTACTGTTAAAACGTCCCCACGTACTGTAGGTACATTGGGGCCAAGGCTTTACACCTCACCGCTCAGGAAAATACCACATTTTACAGACAAAATTACCGCAATCACTGGCAACACCGCTCCAAGCGCTGGCAACGCAATTGCGGTGCAATTGCACCTCGCCGCCGTCGCCAACGTCAAAATACTTCCAAATGCAGTAAATAAAGCTCAGGACCGTAGATTCGCTCAAATCGTTCAAATCTCTATAATAAGAAGCAAATCTGGCTTCCTCAATTCTGATTACGTAATGGGGTTAAAATTCCAAAAAAAAACTGCAGGCCTGCTTATAACTACTCACAACTACTCATAACTGCCCGCAACTGACAGCCTTACTGATCCATGCCTTCCAATACCTGGGCAGTTAGTTGGTTCGAGAGTGGTGGTGGCGGCGCCGCATTTTCATCGGGCGCATCGCTAAGATCGCCAAAGTCGCTCGGATCGCCCAGACCTCAAGGGCGGCCATTTCTATTGCTAGTTAGCACTACGTGACGTTATGGACGATAGAAAATGAAGCTATATCGATGTATCGATTGAATGCGGCGCCGACGATGTTTTGGTGGTTGAGGAAGGTTGGTTACGGTAGAAAGGTAAGGGCTGGGTTACGTTGTAAATTACTACACAACAAAATCTTGGATGTACTGGCGGGATATGGGGTTAGGGTTAGGGCTATGTACAGTGGATTACGGTACGCGGGGACGTTTTACAGCAGCAGGAGACGCACTCCTTTTATTTGGGAAAAGAAATACGGCGGCATCGACGCAACAAACTATATCCGGCATGTTGTACCCCTTATCATCGACTTCCACCACCGTAACGGTAGAAATCTAATCTTCCAACAAGATAATGCGCCCTCACATAGGGCCCGGAGGACAAAAGATACACTGACAATGGCGGGGGTAGAGATTCTTAAGTGGCTTGCTTATTCCCCAGACCTTTTACCAATTGAGAATGTATGGCCCTGGCTTAAGGGCTGGATGGAGCTGTAAGTGCCTGATATTCAAGATCTTGAGCTGCCGGCCTTACGTATACTTTTACAGGAAGCGTGGCGCGCAATACCGGAAGGCTGGTTGCTGAGGTTGGCTCACAGTATGCTTCGGCGGTTGCAGTTGTGTATTGTGCGGAGGGCTGTACAATAAATTACTAATTTTTGGCTTAAAGACCCTTGTTCATTGTTAAGGCCTTAGCGCTTGATAGTAGCAAAAATGGTCTTAGTAGGTAGCGAAATAACAATATCTACCCCGGCACAGGAGTACATTAATACCGTCTCCCCTCCAGGGCACTACCAGTCCCCAAGACAAAATTCCATTTAGTAAATATATCCAGATACCTTGTAGACTTGAATAGGTAGTCAAGATGTGTGTATTATTCTTGTACCTATAAAACTCAATTAGTTAAGGTAGGTTTGCAATGGATGATTCGCGATCCAAGGCTCCATAATGTCTTCGACTTCCCGGAAATTAATTAAGGTAGCAAGCATACCTAACATGAGCCGGCAGTGCATCATGTGCCGGGAGAAGCCGCGTCACGTAATCCGGCTGACCATTTCCGGCCACTCAACGAACAAAGACTTCTTTTTCCTTAACGTATTTGATAAGCGAGTTAGCCATGATAAGCAGGTTAGCCACCTTAACGAGACCGGGTAGCGTGCGCAGCCAAATGCGATAAGAAATTGATAAGATCACTAACAATTTACTAACATCTTTTTGCTTGTGCCCCACCAAATCTCGTTAAGGTGGCCAACTCGCTTATCATGGCTAACTCGCATATCATGAACGTTATATAAAGGGGCACCGCCCTTTCTTCCTTCATTGACTTCTTCCGAAGAAAAGCACTCTTTTGCCTTCAATCAATGCAGTGTTGTATGTGACATCATGGCCGTGATCAACATGGCGTACACTAGACAATACCGCACGCGCGCCGATCCTTCCCTGAAACGGCTCGAAAGGGCGGACGGCAAAAGTCGCTCAGGATAATTACTATGCACTCAGACTTGGCCTAGTGCTGTGCACGTAGCTAGCGCGCAGCTCGGAAGCTGACCAAGGCGGTGCCCGCGTTCCCCCCCCTCCGGGACCATGCATGACTGCTGATAAATCTGCACAAAGACCCACAAGACGCGCGGGCGGTTGAGATGGATGTGCGTGTCAATCGTGGTCCTCGTCACAAACCTAGGTACCTAGGTAGCGAAGACGCTGCATAGCTCACGTCGACTCCTCGTTTGTCATAATTAATTAGCGCAATGAAGAGCTTCAACGGCTGCTGGACTTGCCGGGTGAGGCGCAAGAAATGCGACGAAAACCACCCCGTGTGCTCCACGTGCGCTGGTCTCGGCATCACATGTCACTACGAGGAGGAGAAGCCAGAATGGATGGATGGCGGCGCCAAGCAACAAGACATGGTCAAGCAACTCAAGCGTGACATCAGGGAAAATGCTCTCTATCGCCTCCCACTCGGGGAGCGCACCTTCTATGCATCTGTACCTGATTCTGCCGACGCCCTGCCACGCCCAGGGCCCGAGTCGTTCAGCGACCCACAGCTGGTCTCGCGGGCCGCCGAGAGCCCAGTCGTATGGCCGCTGCGCGAATCTGAATCTGGCAGCTTGGTCGACCGAAGGGGAGGCGATGGCGAATCCTCCGGATGGCCCGACGCATGTCTCTTGATGTTCTACATGGAAAACCTCCTGCCTTTTCTGTTCCCATTCTACCGACCCTCTCCTCTCCAAGGCGGCAGGTCTTGGATTCTGGACATGTTGATGTCCAGCCCCGTCGTTCGCCAGACAGCATTGTGCCAGAGCGCCCATTTCTTCTCTCTCTCGTTGGGAACGACAGCTTGCGACGGCGCTTGGGCCAAGGTGCTCGCTCAGACGAGAGCGGCCTTCGACATGCTGCGGAGATCGCTCCAAGACATTGATGGGCAACGAGGCATTGCCGGACACGAACGCGAAGCCGTACGCATCCTAGCAAGCATCATGCAGTTGCAGCGATTCGACATCGCCATGTCGAGCTTTGAGAATTGCCATGCACACCTCACTGCCGCATGCGCTCTTCTTAAGCTGATCCTCGAGAGTGCCCTGCCCGGCGATGCTGCCCTGCCCGGCGATGCTGCCCTGCCCGGCGATGCTGCCCTGCCAGGCGATGCTGCCCTGCCCGGCGATGCTGCCCTGCCAGGCGATGCTGCCCTGCCCGGCGATGCTGCCCACCTCGGGTCAAACTTGATCAACATCATGAGTCGTTTGGGCCCACCATCTTGGGTCCTGCCATCTCAATGCACCGTTCAAGTTCTGAGCGCTGAAGAGACGGCTTTGCGTTTCTCTTCTGCGCTTGTGATATTTGACGACATAATCGCCAGCACGGCACTTCAGAAGCGGCCTGCACTTCACGAGTACCACCGCGGCCTGCTGACTAGCCCTCCTTCCGTCCCAGCGCCGATCGACATGGAGGCGGTCGTTGGATGCCAAAACTGGGTCCTGCTGCAGATTGGCGAGATCGCAGCCCTCGACGCGTGGAAGCAGCAATGCAAGATGGAGGGAAACCTCGACGTCATGGAGCTAGTTCGCCGCGCGACAGCCATCAAGGAAACACTCGTAACTCGGCTTGCACATCTTCAATTAGCAAATCCCGTCTCCAAACCTAGCGGCGTGCTTGATTTGTTAGCTCCGCACGGTCAGCCATCCTCGGACCGTGCCGGCCAACACTGTCTGGTCACGCACGTATGGGCTCACGCGGCGGTAATCTACCTGTCCGTCGTGGTATCTGGGTGGCAGCCAGCCAGTACCGATGTGCGACATCACGTTGGACAAGTCATCAGTCTTTTGACGTATCGCCTGTCACCACCAAGCCTGCTACGTACCATGGCATGGCCATTCTGGGTAGCGGGTTGTCTTGCGGAGCCGGCCCAACAAGGTTATCTGCGTGAGATGGTGGAGACATTGCAGCCTCCGAACCTCTTTGGTACTCTTCGCAAGGCGCTCGAGATTATGCAAGACGTTTGGCGTGATGGCCACGTCGGAGGAGACAGCTCGACGCGCGACCTGGCTTCGTGTTTACGGAACCAGGGTGGCTTGTTGGTGTTGCTCGTTTAGAAGGGTGCTCCCAGACGATACTTATGCGCCAGAGGCGCATACTTCAAGTGTTGATTAAAGTCGTTTGTTATTTGTCAGTAGAGAGTAACAAATCGCCTCCGTCAGCAGCCGAATGGACAGAGTCAAATCACTAGCCAGAGCTCGGTTGATCGTTGATCGAGGAGTGACATGAAAGCGTAGGGTTCAATCGAACAATGACGATAGTCGTTACTCCTGCTTGAGAGGACGGCCATATCTCTCCTGCTACAAGCTAGTCTTGCTGCAATACCTGGGCCTCGACGCCTTCCTTGACAAAGTTGGCCTGCCAGAAGCTAACCTGCGACATGGACTACAATCGATATAGGCTGCCGAAGTCCTTATATCCCACGCCCTTGACGAAGGTCTGCAACCACGGGCCCTGCGTCTCCGCCTCTGCGAGCTCCCAGAAGAGCTTCCCATGCGCGTCTCCGTCGACCTTGAAAGCGGCCGTGCCGTCCGGCTTCCGTTCGTCAGCATAATAGAACCTAATCAGAAACCGTCAGTTCTTTCGACCAACGCATTCAAGGATGGCGGGGATGGCGGGGATGGCAACGCATACTTGAATCCTCGGTCTTTGTATGCAGCCGCAGCAGCCATCATCATGTGTGCGGACGCCGACTTGCCAGCGCCCGGGGACATGAAACTCGGGATGGCTGTGACGTTCAGGATATTCCCCGTGAAGAAGAACGACCTTGCCGCGTCGGCAGGGAGCTCCGCGAAGCCGAGGACGGCTTGTTGCGCGGCGACAAAGGCGCTGGTGGCGTTGACGGTCATGTCCCGGTTGAAACCATCTAACGGGATCGCGAACGGGTCGTCGGCAAGAGAGGGCGTCCAGGCGCTAGCTGCGAACTCTCAGCGGGCATTCGGCCAGAGTCCTCCTGGTCCCGAGACTTACCGTTGTAAACGACGACGCTTGGGATGCCCAGCACCTTTTTCACTCTCGTAAAAGCATTGACGACGTCGCCAGGGTTGCTGAAGTCGCTTGTAATGTTCAGCTGATCGTCGGTGCTGTCTGCCTCCTTCAGTGACCGGGCAGCGATGGCAACCTTGTAGCCTCTCGAGGCAAAGGCCCGAGCGACTCCCTGGCCGATACCAGGCCCTGCGCCGAGGATGAGGATGACGCGAGATGTTCCGGGCATGATTCGGAACGGAGAAGAGTCAGGCGTATGTGTCGTCGAACAAGAAGGTCTTCAAACAAGAAGGTCGTCGAACAAGAATGTCCTGTCAAGGGGTACGGGGAGGCGGAGAGGGCTGTGCCGAGCGTTAATGAAGTGTCCTTATAAACCTACTAAATATTCGCCCGGCATCTAAAAGGTTGGCAAGCTTGATTTCTAATGCGCAGTGATTTCTAATCCTACCGCGGCGCATTCTACTTGCACGATACGGAGATCAACGGGTTTCTAGTTTCTTCTTCTTGTTGTAGCTGTAGGTCAAGGCAAAGAGCTGCAAGCCGCGCGGTGGAGGCCCCAAGAGACCCACATACCGCGCGGTGGTCAGGCCGCACACCAGCTCGCTCGTTCCCGAATTGTCAGGTCTAATCGTGATTCTTCTCGTCACCTGTCTTTCTCCTCGGTGTGGCATCAATCAGTTAGATGATTCGGGCCGGTGACAAACCCTGCCTGTGCTATTTATAATCAACAGGAGCGGCGGTCCCGTAGAAAATTAGAACAATTCTGGTTTCCCGGCTTCTTGATGATTTATAATGGCATCTAGGTATTCAGCATAACGTGCAGGCAGCGCGAACAGCGCCGGAAAGTACCTGATCACATAATTATGCCAGCGAGATCAGGAGGTCGCAGATTGCACGTCTTGATTTGTCATGGCAGGGAAGATTGATCCGTAACCCAAGCATCTCTCGTGGCGCTTAACAGCCCTTAAAGCCATGATCTTGCAATGTCTTGAAGTGCATACTTGCCCTCGGATGTAAACATCTTCTCAGCTTCCGTGCGACGAACTGCAACAAACTCCAACACAAGATGCACAACATGACTAGACTGAACGGAAAGACGGCCGTCATCACGGGCGGCGCTACCGGCATCGGCCGCGCAGCGGCAAAGCGCTTCGTCGAGGAGGGCGCCTTCGTCTTCATCTTCGGCCGCCGACAGGAAGCGCTCGACGCAGCTCTGGCCGACCTCGGGCCCAACGCCCGCGCGGTGGAGGGTTCGGTCTCAAACCTGGCCGACCTCGACCGACTCTACGCGGCGGTGAAGGCCGAGCGTGGAACCGTCGACATCGTGGTCGCCAATGCCGGGACAGGAAGCCAGCTTCCGCTCGGGAAGATCACCGTCGAGCACTGCGACGAAATCCTCGACACCAACGTGAAGGGTTCCGTCTTCACGGTCCAGAAGGCATTGCCGCTGATGGGCCAGGGCGGATCGATCATCCTGACCGGATCGAGCGCCGGCACCACGGGCGCCTCGGCATTTGGCCTCTACGCCGCGAGCAAGGCGGCCGTGCGCAACCTGGCGCGGACCTGGGCCGAGGACCTGAAGGGCACTGGCATCCGGGTAAACGTGCTGTCGCCCGGCCCGACGGCGACCGAGCTCGCCAAGGAAGCGCTGGGCGAGGAGGGCTTGAAGGCCTTCGCCTCGCTCAGCCCGCTCCAGCGCATGGCCGATCCGGCGGAAATCGGGGCCGTGGCAGCTTTTCTCGCGTCGCAGGACAGCAGCTTCATGACCGCCAGCGAGGTAGCCGTCGACGGCGGCCTCGCGCAGATTTGACGCGCTAATACGCTACGCGCGGGCGGTCATGACAGGGAGGGGAAGCGGGACACAGCTTAGGATCACGGGCAGGCGATAGGCTCTCCAGATATGCGAGACTACGATGATTTAGCAGTTTCTACAAGGTCTTAAACTAAAGTAACGCAGGATAGAATATCGACTCTTTTGCAAATCGTGTCACCTTTCACTGGAAACAAAGAGCAATCCGGTGACACGGGCATGGCCTCTAATTATGACCTATCCGTTCTCTAATGCGTAGGAACACACCAAGCGCACCCTAATTATAAGCCATACTCGCTAAAGCCCGGGCAGGCCTTGAACGGAATTGCCGGCTCACAGTCGGCGTTCTGCTCACAAACCGTACCGTTCGCCGGAAGCATGCCAGACTTGAAGTACTCGCGCACGATGCCCGCAGTGCAGTCGCTGGTGGCCGTTAGCAAGGCCGTGTGTCCGAAGGATTCCTGGACCACGACCGCCGACCCACCGTACGCCTGCGACAGCGCGTAGGCGTTTGCCAGCGGCGTGGCGTGGTCGTGGCGGGTCGAGAGCATCAGCATCGGACTGCTGCTGCTGCTGCTGTTGTTGCCGCCGCCGCCGCTGCTGCCGTTGCCGACAGCACTCCCAAACGGGACAGCACTCCCAAACGGGCCCCTGAACGTGTAGGGCGGCTGAAACGTCCACCCGCTGCACGACACGGGGAGGCGCAGCCACGACTCGCCGACGGTGGGCGACTGCTTGACCAGGAAGCTGACGATGTCGGTGGCGAAGGAGGCGTTGTCGCGACGGCCTGCGGCGGAGGCCGAGTCGCCGCAGAGCACCCCCATGGCGGCCTCGTCGGCCCACGCGTAACCGCCAACCTCGGTGTGGTTTAGGGGCGGTGGTTGGCAGAAGTTGCCGCCGCCGAGGAGCAGCGTGTGGTTCCCCGCGAGCATAGAGCCAGCCAGCGCGGCGGCGAAGTTTGCGTACGAACAGATGGGCGTGTACAGCATGGCGCGGATTGCGTCGCGCACGACGAGCGACGTCACGAGCCGGGTCCGGCCGTCGAACACGGCCGAGAGGGGCTCGACTTCGAGAGAGTGGATGTAAGCGTCGACGCGGCTTCGAATGTCTGCGGCGCTCATGTCGGCCTCTTGGCGAAGCGGGCATGCGCTGGAGCCTGCTTGGAAGCAGGTCTGGTAGAAGCGGTCGACAACCACCTCGGCATCGTTCAAGTTTTGGAATAAGCTCTGCAAAAAATAGGGTTAATTAATGACTCCTTTCCACGGCTTCCACAGCTTTCCACGGCTTCCCACAGCTTCTCACGGCTTCTCACGGCTTCTCACGGCTTCTCACGGCTTCTCACGGCTTCTCACGGCTCCCCACTGCTTCTCACGGCTTCTCACGCCTTCACAAGGCTGCCCCTTAAGGGAATACTAGAAGACTTACGCCGCTGAGAAAATCTTGGGCATCAACAATGCCGTCAAGAACCATCCTCTCGACGCGGTCCGGAAACATGGAAGCAAACGTGTTTCCCAAGAAGGTCCCATACGAAAACCCCAGGTACTGGAGACGAGCGGGTTTGGTCTGATTTCGGCAGCCAGAACCTGGACTCCTCAGTGCCTCGGCGCGCTCCACAATCTCCAGCATGTCGCGTGCAACCGAAGCCGTGGACATGTGGGAAAAGATGCTGGCCGGTCCGGCGGCGGCTTCGTGTTCGGCACAGACGCTGCTCCCGCCCTTGGCGGCCTGGAAGTGCAGGTTCAAGCCGACGTTGCCGGCAGTCACCGGAGGCATGCCGCCCTGCTGGACGGCGTCGGCCAGGCGGTTGACGCCGTTGCTGTCGCTGTAGCACTCTGCGCTGGGCGTGCTGAGCGCCGTGCCGCGCGGGTCGAAGCCGAGGATTTCGTAGTGCCGGTCTTCCGCGTCGAGGATGCCGCGCAGGTAGACTCCGGAATCGAGGGCCATTCCCGTGCCAGAGCCGCCGGGCCCCCCCGGGTTGATGAGCACGGTGCCGCCAAAGGACGGGTCCGTGTCGGGGACCGTTGCCGGGAGAGTGATGATGGCAATGGCTGCCCACGAGTCGGAAGAGGACGAGCTATTGTTATTGCCCCCACAGGCCCGAAATGGTGCCGCGGCGGCGGCCTTGGCCCAGTCGAGAGGAACCTGGAGGCGGGCACATTTGTAGCCATTGTAGCAGGCGTGGTACTGCAAGTCCTGCGATGGAACAATCGAAGTCCAGTTGAAGTCGACTACAAACTGTCTCCTATGGTGCTGTTGCCGGACAAAGGCCGAGCTGCTCTCCGCTGCCAGGAGCCCTGTAAGGAGCCAGGCTGTAGACGTGGAGGATGATGTCCGCATAGTGGGCAGCCGGAAACAAGGAGTCGAAAATCCAGGGATGTGGCGACTAGAATCAGCAGTTAGTGTAATGACCAAGTGTACAAAGAAACTGATGAACAAGACAAGATGAAAGCGCACCAGGAAAGTTGAGTGTAGTCGTGATTTATATCCATCCTGACCCCCCCCCCCCCCCGGACCCCCCTCCACCGACCCCCCTGCAACTTCAAAGGCTGAGAAAGCAGGTTACACAAATCATACAAACACACGCAAGGCCGAATGGCGCTCTACTAACACGAGCTAGAAATTATCCACCTTCCTTGACATTGGCATGCTACGACTTTGGACGCGCACACCCCAGCCCCTAAAAAGCTCGTTAGCTCGATGCTTCGAGGCCTTGACAACATGGATGCATCCAATTATTTTTTGATATAGAATCGAGCAAAAAAAAAACCCGAGGGTACGGCAGTTCTGGAACAAATTCCGAGTAAAAGCAAGGTCTTGGGTACCGCCAAGCCCAGAGGAACCAAAATAACGGCTCAGGGGCTGGGGTGGGAATAGGGGTTGCTGATTGGCTCGTCGTCTATTTGACAATCCTTTTGCAACAGTCAGCCCTGCCCGTACCCGGTTGCCGTTTCGAGACGAGTATCCATCCGTAGGATTGCGCCGCTCAGCCGCAGCAGTTACGCGGCCCCTAGGTGAGGTAGGGCCGCAGCCGAGGGCAACGTAAATTAGACGACGGACCCAGCCTCCTTCCTGGGCAAGCTTTAGCTAGCATTGATTCAAAGTGTCAACAATTTACGCTCCGCTCGTGCACCCAAGAATGGCGAGACTGAGTACCCCTCGATCAAAGACAGGCTGCCGGACCTGCCGGTAAGCTTTTAGCATTAAACCCTCCCTGGGGTCCTACGGACCGGTTCTGGGCGGGCCCCGATTCCAAACCCATGCCGTTGCATCCGACTGATCAGGACCGCTGGTGTTGGAAGAGTGGCAAAAATAGTGGCAAATGGCACTGACACGCGCCCACTAGCACACGACGAGTAAAGTGCGACGAGACCAAGCCAGACTGTCTGGGATGCGTCCGGACGGGGCGGACATGTGTCCCAATCAGCAGCAGCCACTTGACGACGAGTAAAAGTAGTAGTAGTATTGCGTCCTACTGCATCCCGTTCCGCGTGCCCGGAAGCCAAAAGGACCGCCAGCTGCTGCAGTTCTTCTGCGTGCAGGGCGCGGCCGACGTGTCGGGATTTCTGAAAAAGACCTTTTGGTCCACCACGGTGCTGCAGGCCAGCCAGCACAATGCCGTGGTGCGCCAGGCGGTCATGGCGCTGAGTTCTCTGCACATGGACTTGGCTCAAGTCGATGCTTCTTCGGATCACCATCAGCATCACCACCACCATCATCATCATCATCATCATCCTCCTCCTCCTCATCATCATCATCCTCATCATCATCATCCTCATCATCATCATCATCATCATCATCACCATACCAGCGACTACTCGGGGACGGAGAGAAGTGCGACCGCTGCTGGTGTCAAGGCCTCGACCTTGACGCGGTACGGGACGGCGCTTCGTGCGCTGCAAAGGCGCATCGACACGCTCAGTAAGAGTCCGGGGGTCGAATGCGAGGGCGAGGGCGAGGGCGAGGGCGAAGAGGTGGTAAGGGGGGCGTTGATTTGCTGCACCTTGTTCTACTGCTTCGAGAGCACGCTCGGCAACAGCAAGGCGGCCATGCGACATCTCGACAGTGGACTGCGCGTCTTCTCCTCCAGAAAAAACAACCGGCGGATAGCCAATCGAAGAGACGATTTTATCCTGGCGGACATGTTGGACGTCCTCGCGAGGCTCGACCTACAGGCCAGTTTCTTTGACGGCGGGCGCATCCCGCTACTAGCGCTTGTCTCGAGCGAGGAAAGGGCCATGGCCATCCGTGGTGGCGAGGAAGAGCATGCCTTTTCCGGGCTTGACGACGCACACCTCGACTCGACAAGACTGCAGAACTGGATGTTTCATTTGCTGTCTGAAAACGTCGAGTTTTCTGCTAAACCCGGCGCGTGTAATGCTATTCTCCCTCCGGCCATCTTGGAAGAAAAGAAGCAACTGCTCAAGGAGCTCGGCGTCTGGGAGCGGCGGTTCGAACGGCTCGTTTCCGACACAAGCAAGCCATCGGCAGCATCCGCATTTCTCTGCGGCGTGCAGACGCTGCTCATCCACCACCACACCTCGCAGATGCTGCTCCTGTCACGGCTGCCCGACGACGAGGCCGTCTTCATCGCCGTGCCGAACCCGACCGCTCGAGACGTCATCCGCCTGGCGCGGGCCACTGTGGATCTCGACAAGAGCCATGATCAAAATAATCAATCAGGGAGTGAGTCCAGCCGCCGTTTCTTTTCCGCCGAGACTGGCATTGTCGCGCCGCTCGCCTTCCTCGCCGCCAACTGCGCCGACGAGGCCGTGTCCACGCAAGCTGTCGACCTGCTGCTGCAGTGCCGTAGAAGAGAGGGCCTGTACGACGCGCGCAACATGGCCGCCGCCGTGGTTCAGAACACGGACGTGCTGAGGCTGAGGCAGCAGAAAAGAGATTAACTTGGTGGGAGAGACAAATGGAAACGCCGGGCTAGCGCTAGCACAGTCGCCGGGCAGCGCCAGCACAGTCGCCGGGCAGCGCTAGCACAGTCGCCGGGCAGCGCCAGCATAGTCGCCGGGCTAGCGCCAGCACAGTCTCTAAAGCACTAGTAGGCACTAACTCGCCGCGCGGCTCGAGAATTCGCATCTTAGCGGAACGGTCACGCTACAAGCCTTCTTTAGCGTACCTGCCATGCTGTTTGCGGTTTCTAGTCTTCCTTTTGGCGTCGAGTTTCCAGCCTCGCGTCGAGCTGCCAACGGTCGCACCGCACATCGCAATTCCGGCCTTTCCCGTGTCAGCGCTAGATGTCCGCAAAATGCCACGTGAAAACATAAAACATGATTATCGGCCGTTGGTCGATGGAACAAACGGACGACATAAAATCCCCAGAACGCACGCCACAATATTAGGTCTCAAACAGTTCGAAACAACAACAAAACGGGCGTCCAACCCCTCAAAGACGCACAATGACCGACCCAACCGCAATCCTTCCCATCTCACCCGCAACCCTTCCCATCTCACCCGCAACCATCTGCCTCATCGGCCTGGCAATCCTCGTCGTCTCCCTCGCCCTACCCATGCCGCAGTCGCACCCCTCCCGCGACTCCGCGCCACCCCAGGCGTCCAGCATCTCCTCTCCCGTCATCCGCCAAAACCAAAACTCCGCCGACCACATCCACGGTCCGGCGCCTGCCAGCGGCGCTGACCTGCCGGCAGCCCCGCTGGCTGGATCAGAGTCCGCCGGGAAGCGCCGCAGAAGGCGGCTGCTGCCGCGGGGTGTGCAGTTTGTGCCCGAGGTTCCGCGGCGCACGTCGTCGCTGGGGCAGGTGGGGCCGTGGGGCTCGGGGATGTGAGGACTGGGGGTTTTGATCCCGATTCACGGCTGGTGGATACTATTACCGCGACGGGTCGGAGGGGGTCGGAGAGGGCCGGGAGGGTTTGATTGGCTGGAGGTGATTGAGGGGGGGGGGGGGGGGGGGATAGGGGGTTGTAAGCGGTTCTGCATTTTAGGTGGGTGTAGGGATGGTGTGGGTGCGGGATGGTGTGGGTGGTTTTCACGAACAGATGTGAGAGAATGAATGGTCATCTCAGCAATTTGGTACTCCACTCATGTTGCGGTAGAAGAGGCGAGCGGGGGCATCGAGGTCCGAGGATAGCCGCCGCAATGCACATCCACCGGTTCAACACTAAAATCATTAGCTTGACGTCTATCTTGCATGTCGCATCTTGTCCCATAACAGCTCTTCTTTCGCCGGGTCGGTCATTGTCATTCAACTCAAAACGAAGATGGTTCAACTATGCCAAGACTGTCGAGGCATCGGCGTCCGCAGCCTTGTGAAGGCATTTACCGAGTCCAGGGAGTTTTCAGGCCTTGAACAAGGGGAAAAACGGTGGCTGAACCCCGAGCCTTACATCGACACCCCTCGCTTCCAACCCCATCACAGCAGCGTAGCGGCTCTACAAGAGGCGGGAATAGCAGGGTGTGAGCCCTGCGCTCTGATATGGGAATTTCATGCTGAGTATTCCTGGGCCAACCAATCCCGGCATAGTTTCGATCCGAATCGCGAGTGCAAACTCTATCTCGGGCCAATTTGATTTTTCATCCATAGGACGTCAGTCTCCGACGAGACCACATTGCGGGTGGTAGTTATGGGGAGATGCATAACGAAGGATCTCCACCCTTTTGGTCTCCCATCAGGAACATTGGTCACGATGGCGGAGCCGAGCGTGGACGTTTCAGGAGGAGCTGCTATCCATACGGCTGCTGTGTTACACCACACCACAGGGCGCATGGTCTGGAACTGCCGAGCTGCGTTCGTTCTCAAGGGGAAGGGATCTATAAAGGTATCTGACAATTCCCTTTTCAAAAGAATAAAGAATGTTGTTCTTCGGCGTTCTCATGTCCCTCGGGGTACTTATTCGACCTGGTACACCCTCGTGGAAGCACACGCCAAGCGCCAGCTCCAAGTTGTCAAGCACGTCAACGGGTGATTATACCAGCGTTTCAAGCTGCTCTGCTACTGTGCCGAGGGACAGCACCAAGTTTGCGCTGGTTCAGATCGCGAAAGGACAGGGCTGGCGGGATCAAGAAATTACGTATCTACTTATGCTAGAGCAACTAAAGCAAGTGAAAGGCAAGAAGGGCAAGCTAATAGCCCTCTACAGGAGGTGGGGACTTTAGACCTCAAGGCTTCCCACTACTCCTATTCAAATACATGGCAAAAAGAGGCAGTTGAGTTGATGGAAGATGCGTACAAGGAGGTTATGGCAGAGAAATGGCCGATCGGGGATGTTGTAATCTTCTAGCGGCTTAAACGAGAAACTAAGGGAGGGGAGAAACTCGCTGGCAACAAGCCAAGCAGTAGCCGGGACGCAACAATTTTTTCTAGCCAATTCTCAAAGCGGGATGGGGGCTGGCTCGTGTTTGAAGATGCCTAGGTACCAGCTGTTAGGTTTCAGTGCGCGATGAGTGGCTCGCCGCCGCCAAGTCCGTCTAGTCTACTTGTTAGCTTTGATGCACGGCGAACCATCACCATCTTGATCATCATCTTGATCATCATCATCTTGATCATCACCATCTTGATCATTCTAGAGTCCTAGACTCGATCAAGGTAGCAATCCAACATGGCAAGACTAAGTCCCCATTGACTTGATCGCTAGAAAAATTACACACTTTCCGGCTCTAGATTGAAACTAGACACTTTAAGTAGTACCCTATCTACAATTAGAGACGCCTTGGCAAGGAAAGCGACCGAGATGGCTAAACTTTGGGGGCGTGACATGAGCACAGGGCGAACAACTTGAAGTCATCTGTGATGTGAGAGCATCAAATACTTGGCAGGGTCCCCGACAACAAATGACAAGGCATTTGGTACTAACAAACGACAAGGCATTTGGTAGCTAACAAACGACAAGGCATTTGGTAACTAACAAATGACAAGGCATTTGGTAACTAGCAAATGACAAGACATTTGGTAACTGCCGGCAATCGGTCGGCATTCGTATTCGAGGTAGCATTCGAGCGTGTCGTGGCATTCCTCCCGGCTAGCACTAGTCTAGTATTATTATGCGAGTAGATGCGGAGCTGACAAGGAGCTGCTGACGGATTGTGCCACCAACAAGGTATGATGCCAACGACGGGCCTGGTTGGGATTCCCTTCCTGCCACCAAGTTCACTCGGCAACAAGGGTCGAGCGGCGGGGTTTGGGATTTACCCAACTCGGTTGGCTCCCAAGACTGTTGGCTCCCAAGACTGTTGACTCCCAAGACTGTTGGCTCCCAGACCGGTCGTGTGCGCAGTTCCAGGCCACGTACCTGCCACTCTATTGGCCAAGTCGAGCGGTGAAATCGGCTAGGATTATGAAAAGGTCTTATTTAAGAGCGCTGACTCCCCTCCAACGACGTTGGCGTAATGCTCGTCTTTGAACACAATCTCACCCAAGGCCATTTTCCCCCACCTCCTGCGGCCATCCTTCAACCAGGCAAAGATCCAACATCCTCGTGCACCAGATCCCGCATCCAAGATGGCCTCGACCTCGGAAACACGCATCGCGATGCGAGACGGCTACTACAACGAGAACTGCTTCATCCAGAACGCCGCCGTGAAGGGCGCGCTCGACATCCTGCCGGCATACCCAGACAGTAAGAGCCCCAGCCTCGGAGTCGCGCATCGCACATCAACGACAACTAACAGACCGTCCTAGAGAAATCCCTGACCATTGTCGACTACGGCTGCGCCCAAGGTGCCAACTCGTGCGTAGACAGCTACCACTTCCCCTCACCTCTTCTTCCAAAGAAACGGCGCTCGGACTCTTGAATACGAAGCAGTAAGCGCTAACACGTCAGCCCCAACACAACAGAACGGAGCCGCTCAAGGCGGTCCTCGCGTCACTGCCCGCCGGCGCCACCGCGAGCCTCGTGTTCGAAGACACGCCCTTTAACGACTTCAGCACGCTCGCCAAGACTATCAGCGCGAGCCTGCCGACGCTTGCGCCCGCGGAGCGCAACATCACCGCGCACGCCAGCATGGTGCCCGTGGGCTTCTTCCAGCAGGTCGTTCCCACAGCATCCGTCGACCTGGGCGTGTCGTGGTCGTCGTTCAACTACCTGTCGCACCAGCCCACCGTGGCGCTGCCGGCGACAGCCGCGCCCGCCGAGTTCGCCGCGGCGCGCCAGGCCGCCTTCGCCAGCGCCGCGCACGCGGACCTAGTACACCTCCTACAGCTGCGCGCGGCCGAGATCCGGTCGGGCGGGCACCTAGTGGTGGCGCTAGGCGGGACGGCGCCCGAGGGCGACGGTGAGACAGACATGCCGCCGTCGACGACGGGCTTCATGCCGCTGCAGACGGCGCTGATGCGCATGGTCGGCGGCGGGCAGCTGGCGCTGGGCGAGCTGATGCAGTTCGCGCTGTTCCCGAGCCACGAGCGGTCGCCGGGCGAGGCGCGCGCCGCGCTCGCCGACCCGGCCGTCGCCGCCCTGTGGCGCGTCGATTCCCTGCAGCCGCGCCTCGTCGTGCACCCGGCCTGGGAGCCGTACCAGGCGGCGCTGGGGAGGGCGGAGGCGGGGCAGGATGAGGCGGGGAGAAAGGAGGCGGTGCGCGCGTACGCCGAGGCCGTAGTGGTCAATCTCGTCGCGGCGTCGGGCTGGTTCTGGGCCGACACGCTGCGCAAGTGCCGCGGGCCCGAGTGGCATGGCGAGAACGCTTTTCTGGAAGAGTTCACGCGCGTTGCGATTGATGAGTGTGTCGAGAAGTTCGCCGACATGAAGGTGCAGATCTGGTACACGTACATCCGGCTGGAGCGGCGGGGGGCGTGAGCCGTGTGAGTGAAGCTTCTGTGGCCTATGTACAGAGAATTACTGCCGTATATTTCCTAAAATGTCAAGAATGAGCCCGGAGTATGATAATGGTAAATAGTGGTGACATCGGTCGGACCAACAATTGCGTATTAGGAAGCTAGGTGCGATCTAATTAGGACCTTGACCATTCAAGCTTGATTACCTAGAATACATTCACAACTATCACATCGTATACGACCACAGGCGCCGGAAAACTTTTGAGTTCGTCCGATCCCCACAAGGTAAATATGCGAGGGTGCAGCAATGCAGAAAGATGATGAATGGCTTAAGGAGCCTAACGCTATCTGTCCGTGGGCGGGAAATCTATGTGGTGCTGATAGGGTGGATACGCAGGGGCCAACTGGTGGACCCAGCTGGGCCAGGCTTGGCCTATGCCTAGCACAGTAAATATGCCGCTGACCGCGTTGTTATTCCAAAGGGACAGCATGAGCCGCGGTTTGGGCTGCTGTTTTTGGCGAGCGCGTGGCCTCAGTTTTCAGTAGTCCAGGCCGCCTTATTAAGTACATGTCGGGTGGCGCGTATGTCTTCTCTATATTGACAGTACCCATATAGTGTACACAGTATACTAGGCCCACTTAGCCCTTAATGAGTGATCGCCCAATGCCCTCTATGGTAGGAAACCAAACTTCTGGTAACGATGCAGGCTGCGAACTTTTTATCGTTCATAGCCAAGACGCAAAAAAAAACCTTCTCTAAAAACCCGAAAACTCCTCCCCCCCGGTAAGGTCCGCCTATCTTCTTGTCGACTTGGATATAAACTTTCTTAATTTCACTTAATAATAATTTTGGAACCTGGCGGGTTGCCCTGCACATTACTGGGCACGGCATTAGCCCCGCCCGGGATTTCGCCCGCATATTTAGTAGGGAGATTTCCTCCACGAGTTAGTCAGCCAATGCACACATTGTCCACTCCCACAAATCGCATCTAAAACGAACAAAAATATCATTATCGTGCTCTACGCCTTCAATTACTCAAGCGCAGGCCATGGTGATAGAAATACCGCAAATGCAGAGATTTTAAGCCACGACCGTGGGTTTTCGCGCGACCAGGACCACGCAGTTGGGGTACGGTCCGCGGGCCCACTGTTTCACCGCAGAACAACAACACGCGCAGCGTCGGCGCCGAGCCCACGGAGGGAAGCGGAAGTCCAGGAGCAGACAAGCAGATCCTCTTCGAAGCCTTCCGTGCTTCGGTGGCAACCGGTTGGCCGGAAGTTTCCGCGGCGGCGAAAGCTTACTACAGTACATGTACAGACCGAACAACAACGCGGCCGAGGCGGAGCGCAGCAGCAGCGCCCCCCACCCCCACCACCCAGTAATGCAAATAAAAATACTATATTGGAACGTCGCCAAGACGCTCACCAGGGTCAATACTGCGCTCTACGGGAGCGGCGCGTACGGCGTGATTGCGATACAGGAACTTTGGAAGAACAAAGACACGGCAGCACACGCGTGATTTGTGCCTCTATTGCCACCTGTTGCCACCTAAAATAAGTTAGTTTGCAGCTAGAAGGGGCCGTAGTGGTAGACCTCGAATACAAGACCCTAAATCCTTGCCTTGGATTCTTCGACCTTTGCCAAAGATGTGCGGCAGTCGTCTTGTACGCAAAGCCGATGGAAAAGACCATGTGTCTTAGAGAGGAGACGACTGCGAGGGACTCGTAGATAGATTCGATTTGCTCTGAGCTCGTGGGCATCGCAACCTGCTGCCTGCGCCGCAACCTCCAGACATTTGGTGCCATTCTCTGCATCAGTTGTGACCAGAGGGATTTGCCTATTGATAAAGAGACACGAAATCGTTATTCCTATTGCTTCCTTATCTGAAGTCTTTCTCTCTAGTTGCTAATGTTGTACCTTTGTGTATTTGCCACTCCTAACGACTGCAGTGGCAACGTTACGTGATCTTGGTTCAGGCAGCGTCTGGAACCTTCCATCTAACATCTTTCCTCTCTTCTTCTTCAGCTTAGTATCCCGCAATATAAATAGGGGTAACTATAGCCCTGTTTATTACCTTTCTACCTTTCGTGATAATACGTTACTTTATTACCTTTGAAAGATAATTAGTTACTGAGGAATCTAGACCAAAATAAGGAAATAGTAAGAAGCTTCTACCTAGCTCAATTACATTCTTATTCAACAATTTCAAAGCCAAATTAATGCACTAATAAATACCGGCCTTTACGCTTTTATAACTAAAATTGCTGGCGTCGCTTCGTTCGTCAGTCGCGTGACCCTTCGCTGCGCTACGGGACGCTTCCTTCCTCTCTCTCGCTCCTGGCAATTTAGAGCGCGATAGTTAGCTTATTTAGATAACGTAGAGAGCAAGCGAAGCGACAATATCCTGCCCGGAGGCCAACAACTCCGATGCTCTAGAGATCTTTTCTTATAACGACGGCTAAACCTACGTAACTAAATCTTATATCTATACAATGGAGCTATTAGTTACATACCCGCTCATATCGCTCGAGTCAACCTTATCTTCCTATAGATCTAATAGCTGCAACTTCTTTGCCTCGTAATCCGCTATCTTCAATTGTATGCTCTGTACCGGCACTTCGCGGTATATCCTACTCCGATCAAACGGCGACTCAAACATTAGGCTATCCAAGGTCTTGAACCTGGAAACTGCTACGTACGATAGGCCGGACGCGAACTCTGGCGCGGAGATATCATAAACTACTGTTACAATCTGGACAACAGGTCCACGGAGCTAGGGCCGGCCTAGGATTGTGGGGGTCTGGACGGCAGGTAGGAGATGACAGGAGGCAAGGAGTATCGTGCACAGATTGCGAAAGACGGGCTTTCAACACACAACCTATGTGTACCAGATGCATTGATAGCTGCAGAACCGTTCTCCCAGAGAGAGCGTGCTGCCAACTCCTATGTAGAACTACGAGCAACCAATCAGAGTCCCTTCTTTGCGCTCTGTGGGCCCCGGGGCGATCTGCCAACAGATCGCCATGGGCCCCACTAATCGCCCTGCTCCGTGCGCTCTCCTAGGTCTTGGCAACTAACCGTACAGAGCACTACCTGATTGGCCGCATCCTTCCTGCCTAGGGCCCTGCCCTGAATGCCGCTCCAGCCAATCTGCAGCGGGCGGGACAACGCCCTCTGCGCCTTTGAACCGGGATCGTAACAGAACAGCTGCTCGGCCTCGTTGTAGTTGCCTTGATAGTTAACCGTAATCGCTAGGTTATATATCGTACAGAGTGTATCGGGATGCTCAGAGCCTAGTACTTTGGTCGCGCCAGCGTCTGCCGGAACAGCTACTCGGCCTCGTTGTAGTTGCCTTCATAGATAACCGTAATCGCTAGGTTATATATCGTACAGAGCGCATCGGGATGCTCAGAGCCTAGCACTTTGGTCTGTAGCGCCAGCGCCTGCCGGAATAGCTGCTCGGCCTCGTTGTGGTTGCCTTGATTGCGAACCGTATTCGCTAGGTTATGTACAGAGCGTCTCGAGATGCTCAGAGCCTAGTACTTTAGTCTGTAGCGCCAGCGTCTGCCGGTATAGCTGCTCGGCCTCGTTGTAGTTGCCTTGATAGTTAACCGTATTCGTTAGGTTATTCATCGTACGGAGCGTATCTGGATCCTCAGAGCCTAGTACTTTGGTCTGTAGCGCCAGCGTCTGCCGGTACAGCCGCTCGGCCCCGCTGTAGTTGCCTAGTGTAGAACTACTTTTCGCCGCTTTGAAAAGAAGGCTTGATTCAACAATCTCATCCGTCGAATTACCTCCTGACTTCAGCACTTTCAAGCTACGTGGAAGATATCTTATCCACACGCTTCTATTCTCATGTTCGGGATCCGGAAAGACCTTTTCAAGCTGTTGCAGCGCCTTGGTGGCCCATTCTTCTCGCTTCCCTTCCTGCGCCAGCCAGTTCAACATGGACAGTTGAACTAGCCGGTGCATGTCGTATGCATTTTGCTCTTGCTCTTGCTCTTGACGCTGAGTGACGAATGCGTATGCTTTGAGATTGCCGATTGCCTCTACTGCCTCTGTGTCACTTGGTGCCGGCGGCAGTAAAGACTGCGGAATGTCCTTTTCAACTAGGAAGCACATGAATCTCAGGTAGTCTGCTGCCAGGGGGTAGTGCTGTGAAATGTGCTGGAACGAAATAGCCACGTCGTAGCAACTGGATATTGGCTGTCATCATAGCGATGTAGATCATCGAAATCCTTGCTTAGTAGATTGATCATCGCCTCATCACTTGATAAATAGAGCTTGAGGTACTCTGTAGTTGAGATCTGATTCTTGGCCATAAATGCAGATGCCTGCCGTATGGCCAGGGGTAGATATGTGAGGAATTCGAGCAGCTTCATTGTACGTTCGGAATCGTGTACCTGATGTTCCTGTAGGTGCATTTTGAGAAGTGTGAGAGCTTCGACACGATATGGTGATTCGCGTTGTGAACAGAATAGAGCCTCTGGTGCTGAATGGGAGACAGTCGGCCAGATGCATATCATCAAAGAGAAGCTTCGTGTCGTTGGCGTTATCGACAACTAGGAGCTAGGTGCCAGCATCTTTGCGGCTCAATGCAGCCTTGACGAGTGTCTTGGCGTCGGCCGTGTCCTCGTCGATCCCGGGAACTTGAAGTTGTCGACCGATCGTCCTGTAGGCATTCTCAAAACTGGTCGCGTTTACCGCTGGAGCCCAGAAAACGGAGCAGTCTTGGTACTTCTTGCGGACCCGGAAGGCGGTTTCAAGAGCAATCTGTGTCTTCCCGATGCCTCCGAGACCGTCGATGACGTTGGCATCTGTCCTCATCTGCAAGGGGCGGAACGCTCTCGAGAAGCCTTGTCAGAATCGATTCTCATCCGACGAAGTCCTTATTCTTCTCAAATAGGACGACCCAGGAGCACTTTGATGGGGGCAGTACGACTCAGGAATTAGCTTCAGGAAACAAAAGTCAAAATTTAGATTTGAAATTTACGTACTGGTATCCGCAATGGCCTCGATACGGAGTGGGAAGCTGGGAATGGGCCTATCGGGCCGCCACCTCATCATCTGAGGCTGTCTTTGAGATCCACCCATCTCGACCGATTGCGAGCCAGAAATCTGGGCTTGGGTAGTTGATTCACCCTGACCCTGCCCCGCCTTAGACGCTAGTAACGCCACGACTACCGTATCGATGCAGGAAGATACTGTATCCTGTTCTAGATATCCGGTTGTATATGTGCGGACCTCGCCTAGATTCTCCCACTCTTCCAGCTTGATGTCATTAAGACCGCGATCAACGCTGAAACGCAAGTACGTGTCTTTGATGTTTTGAAACCGCTTCTGCACTCTTTCCGCCGTCGTATCAGACTCTGTGGCCATGGTCTTGAGCGCTTCTATCAACTTCAGAGGGTTTGTCCGTGGGGAGGGGGGAAACTTAAGGACGCGAGCCAGGCCGGTTCCGATGCTGACGATGCAAGCAATTCTTCGTCCGGGAAAGACAAGTCTCGCCTCCTCGAGTACCTGTTCGATAGGGTTGTTATATCCGAGCCCGGCATCAACGAACGCCTCCCGTTCCCACTCTTCTCCGATTTCGATTGGATCGAAGTACGTAGGTGCTGCAGAAGTCGCACGACAGGCCTCCCAGATTGTGCAGTTGAAAGTTGGGTTATTGCGTATAGTATACGTCCGGAATAGCCTAGGACCGTTCCGGGATCGAACGTCTTGCTGCGGTACGGCACAGACAAACCTAAGAATAGGGGAATTAGTCGGTCGATAACCAAAGAGTTCCAAGACAACATACACTTTACAGGAGGACTTTGAACGGTCAAGCATTCTTTTCTCGCCATTCCCAAGGCGGCGTCCAAGGAGCGACTTCACCGCTTTTTCCAGGGTCCAGCTGTCGAACTTGCTGCTCTTGAGGTAGGTTTTGACTGAGAAGATCTCCTTTGCAATCTAGACATACTCCTTTCGGGCCTCAGGTACCGACAAACGCACCCGTCCTAGCAACAGCGCGATCAAGCTATAGTAGAGAATGCATTAGTTATATCCATAGATACAAATCTACTTCAAGTGGTAAAACTTACCCTCCAGTGGATGTCCCACCAATAAGGTCGAAGAAGTCGGCCGGTAGAGGATCGTCGGCCATGTCCAGGTCGTGCTTAATTCTCCCCATAACCTCCTCAAGAATAAGGAGCTCAGAGAGTCCACGAATGCCCCCGCCGTCTAGACAGCTGTTAGCGACACGAGTAATAGTAGCTAAACTCGACCCATATTGCTGACCTAAAGCTAGCAGGCACAATGGCTTGTCATCCATCTTGTCAGGATACCTCGGGATAGCAACAGGAGGACGATATATATTTTGTTGCATTCAGCTTCTTGCTCAATATAGAAGATGATGAGGTAGAGGGGCAGAGCCTCGCGTGTTCAGGAGAATATAGGGTGATTTGCTCTGCGGCCGCCGTTCCACGTCACATAAGATGGCTCAAAAGGTGATCAAGGTTCACGCAGTTAGCTTCGGATAGAATTGCTAGGAGCGGGGGAAAAGGGGGGGGAAGGTTTTCGGTGCTTAGATGTGGGCTGCGGTAACACCACAGCCCCAATGCTGTTCGACCTGCCTCAGCTCAATTCAGCCTCTTCGTCTTCTCTGATTGTCATTGTGCAGCGGATTGGTCAGCTCACGGCAGCTCTCCTGCACTATGCCGCTGACGGCGTTTGGGTTGTGATCTACGGAGGAGCGCTTATCGTTTAGATATTATTGGGTAGGTAACTACAGAGATTCCGATTGGTGGGAAAAGGAATTCAATTGTCATAATTTATACATCGTGGCTTGATTGAGGTGCTGGGCCACATGTGGTCAGACCAATCAACTAATAGATTCTGCCCGACGCGTGGTGGGCAGGGAACAGGCGCTGTTTGGTCGCTTTTGGTCACAACTCCGGCTCAGCCGCCGCCACACTCCTCCAAGTTGTTCGCTCATCCATCTTCTCATTCGCTCTTCTTGGTCGCCAGTGGACCCACGGGCGATGGCCTGAGACCTATGATCGGGCATGGCTGCCGCAGAGCCACTGAGCAATCAGAATTCGGCAGGCCCAACCACGGCACATGAATTCCACGCAAAGTGTGGCGCAGACTCGCGGAGCGAGCGTCTAAGCTCCTGTTCTCAATACCTATTTATCCGGAACACGGGTTGCTAATTATTGACTTGTACCACAATGCCAAGAACAGCGATATGCATTGCCCGAAAGCTGCCCTCGGCGATTTCCGTTGTGTTACAGGATCCTGCATATAAACTGCTGCCTCTGGCAACTAATCACATCTTGCGAAACGCCGGCGGTGTGCAAATAAGCGGGGGTGCTGTGCTTGCTCCGCAGACCGAGGGCGGATATAGACCCATCGCGTGTCATCGAGGGCCATCGAGGGCCATCAAGGGCCATCGAGGGCCATCGAACTATGAACTCTATGGCTGGTATTCCGGGATTTGATGACATCGGCTTCTTCTCTCTCTCGTCCCTGCTCAGCGTACATCAGAGACAACAAGAGGCCGAGAGCCACGATGCTGCTGGCGACACGGAGAGCACAAGCAGCGAAGACTGGGATGCCAATTCCGATGACGGCCCAACGGCGCCGCACCAGCTGCCGAAACTGACTCGAGATGAGAGGCAACTGAAAAAAAGGTTCCTCGATTGCACAGCTGAAACGTTTTCTCGAGAAAAGTCCATCCCCTCAAGGCAAGCAAAGCGCCATGTGCGGCGGAGGGGCGACACAAGGGGCAAGGGGGCCAGTCATGTCGCAGCCTCTGGCCTGGCCATGCTAAATAAAGAACCCACGGTTTATGTTGCGAAGAATGGGGGCGTTGAAGATGCCGACAAGGACTTGGCACGGAGTCTCACCGTCTGGATCCGGGCCATCGCTGTTACCACGAAGCGACCGACCATCGAGAACGATGCTATGTGGGCAAAGCTTTTGAACTACTACAAGCAACGCCTAGATATCTACGCGGCCCAGATCGCGTCGTCTTCCGAATTAGAGGTTGCTGCCGCTTTTGATGGAGGGTCGGATGGAGCTGCACTTGCAAGAGAGCTGCACGGCTTGTCCGTCAAATACGAAGCGGACGAGTCCGTTGCTGTGCTTCAGGACATGGTATTCGCTGCATACAGCCTACGTCATGAGCCTGCGTCCGCCACACCGGCTCCCAGCGGGAGACGGTTAATGAATTCGGTTCACTTCCTGGGCCGGCTCAGATCAGCATACGAAGCATTCAAAGAGGCCGCCATCGTGTTCCGAACGTCCTTTGCAAAGCTTAACATTGTTTGTATTGAAGCACCGCCGGCTAGACTGCTCTCCAAGAGTCTGGTTAGCAAGCGGGTTGAGGCATTGGCAAGAGAACATGAAATTCCACAGCCGACGAAGGACGAGCTGCAGAAGAGTTTGGGCAAAGCATCCGAGCTATCGACTCCCTGCCATGCCGAGATGCAGCTCCTCATACACTTAGAATGCTCTCTTGGGCCCAGCGCCAAACCATTTCCCTATTTGGGGTGCAGCAAAAAAGCATGCTGGTTATGCCACGAGCTGCTTTCGCGCTACAAGGACAAGAGGACGGACACGAAAGGCTTCTACCAGACGAGAGGTTCTCATGGACGAGTCTATCCGCTTTGGAATATCACGCTAGCAGCGTATCCGCAGGCCGATCATCGCATTCGTCTCGACCTCTCCGCTTCTCTCCGGGGCATTGAGACTCTGATGTTTGAGCGGCTTCGGACCGTCTCTCAGGACCGGCTGCCGGCAGTAGCCGAATCCTCGGCAAATGTTACCGTCACCGGTGGAGCGCTCAAGCGGCGCGCACTTGCAAAGTCGAGAGTGGCCGAGTCCACAAAGAATTCGAAGGGGGCCGAAAGCCAGATTCCAACTTTGAAAGACTCTGTATGCTCCAAGACGTGCATGCGGATCCCTGCTAATGGCGAACCTCCTCATCTCCTCAGCATCAAATTCTACGAGCACCCCGGCGACCTACCCGGCCACGAGCCCGTAACGTTCCGCATTCCCGACTTTGGCGCCTTCTGGAACGCTTCCAACTTCGACCGTGCCCACCGCCGGGTCACGGTAGAAGCACAACCCCTGGCGGAGCTCAACGGAGAGTACCTCTTGTACTGGTGCCGCAGCGATGCCCTGCCCCCGAACGAGTGCCTGATGTCTCTTCTCGGGTTGCAGTCTCTCCAGGCCGACGAGCATTTCTGGCATGGCGACGTTTTCATCACGCGCTACCGCGAGGACGGCGAGTTCGAATTCCACTGCGAGGACGTGCCTCGGGCAAGCCTGGACAATATGGAGTGGATAAAGACTACGATTCGCGCGTTTTGGGACCGCAGAGAGCCCGAGAATGAAATCCGGAGTTGGCAAAAGGTTGATGCCCTCAACGAAAAGTTGAGCGCCGACAAGGAGATAATATACAGTAAAATGTAAGGTGCCAGTCCTTTTTTGTGACACAAGATCATAAATCGAACTAGGCCGCAGCTGACAGATTGCCTTCATCCAGGTCTGCAACAGAACGAGAGAAACTGAAAAAGGTGCCGGGAATGTTAGACTTTCTAGCCTTTATCTCTAGCGATGACGGAGCAACAGATCAAAGGGGCTGGAAGGGGTTCTCGAGCGACAGCCTCTGATACTTCACGTGGTCGCTTGAGAAAAATTGGTTCGCTTATGGGAAGCCCACAAGGTTGCCCGGGGGGGGGGGGGGGGGCAAGATACAAAGCAGGTAGGTACTAGGCACGCATATCATCATGAACTTGTACAAGACAACGTGGGCAATGCCCCCGTCCCCCACACCCCTTTATACTCAAACTTCCGGATTCTCCGTGGGCGCCAAACTCGGTTCCGATTTAAATCACACGACATTTAAACAGAGTCGCGGCATAAGCACCCAAGCTGGTAACTAGCCCTCGGGGTCGCACAGCTCGCGCCTGGTGTTCTTGGCCGAGCTTAGACAGTCACCTCCGAGCACAGCAGTCAGACTGACAACAGACGCGGTCAAGATCTTGGGCTCGGGGCCGTCGAAAGTCCCGCCCGACAAAAGCATCAGGTGGTCGGGGTGCTCCTTAAACACCAGCAGGGCGCGGCTGTAGGCGGACGGCTGGGGTACGGCGCGGCGCTGCCACGCAGCAGGGTCGCCACCGGCCGTGTTGGTGTAGACGGTGCTGTAGTCGGCGTCGGAGACGACGACGGTGCCGTTCGGGCCGCCGGCGGGCGACCACACGACGTAGGGGGCGGCGTTAGGCGCGAAGGCGCCGCCGATCTCGATGCCAACGCCCTCGGCCGCGTCAAAGGTTAGCGGCGAGTCGGACAGCCGGTAGTAGACGGGGTAGTGCGAGCCGTGCGACGACGAGTTGCCGGCCGGGTTCTCGTACACGAGGATGTATTTGTCGATTGGCGGGATGTGGGCGACGACGGTCATGCCGGGCCGCTGCATGTACAGGTCGTAGGCGACGTCGTTGACCACGGACCCCCACGTGCGCAGGTCGGTCGAGACCTGGTGGGCGAGCTTCTGGCCGTGCAGCGGGTCGCGCTGGTCCGAGTAGTAGGCGGCGAGGGAGCGGCCGTAGACCATCAGGAACGGCTCCCAGATGGGGGTGGCGCCGTTGGTGGTGTTGGGGGCGCCGCCCTGGGCGATGTGGCTGACAAACTGCCAGGTGCGGGCCTTGTCGGTCGAGGCGTACAGGTCGATCTTGGTGCCGCCGGTGGACGAGTTGGACGAGTCGGGGTGCCAGCTGTTGCCCGAGGCGAGCACGGTGCCGGCGGGGAAGCCGCCCAGGGGCTCGGTCAGCTCGATGATGGCGGGCTGGGCGCTCATGCCCCAACCGTTGACCTGGTCGGTGATGTTGGAGACCCAGGCCCAGTGGATGCCGCCGTCGGTGCTCTCGAAGACGGGGAAGAAGGCCGGCGTGGCGCCAAAGAGGCCCGTGGTGGCGAGCAGCGTGCCGTCCTCGAGCTCGGCCAGGCGCGGGTAGCTGGCCGAGAGGTTCTGCGCGCGGCCGTCGAAGACGACCTTGTCGGTGAAGAGGCTCCAGGGATCGCCATCGGCGGCGACGACGGGGCCCACGGCCGCGGCCAGCCAGGGTAGGATCTGGGAGAAGCGCATCTTGGAGTGGAGAGCAGGCAGGAGATGGCCGGCTCCAGGTGACAGCCAGGCAAGGCTTGGGGATACTTCATTTATGACAGCTCCATGTCCGCCCGCTTAGGGATACTTCAGATATGGCAGCTCCATGTCCGCCCGCTTAGGGATACTTCAGATATGGCAGTTCCATGTCCGCCCAGCGTCGAGAGGTTCCCCTGGCAGTGACATGATACAGTTCCCCTGGTAGTGACATAATACAGTCAAAGGTCAAGTGCAGGCTGATTAGATTGGGAGCAGCCCGCCGGCTGTAGGACTAGGCGGCGGCATCCGGACCGACGTCGACTCGACCCGAAGCCTCGCGTCGCTGCTTATGCAAGCTTGACATCGGGCCAAGTCCCCAGCAGGTCAAGTCCCCAGCAGGTCAAGTCCCCAGCAGGTCAAGTCCCCAGCAGGTCAAGTCCCCAGCACAAGATGGTGTCTCGATGAAGCGAATGCATGCCGGATAAGTTGGTTAATGACCGCGGGTAGGCTTCACAAAAAGGAACGAGCTTCAGGTCCCCCGCATTACCGCATACACTCATTCGTTTGGGGATTGAAAAAGGTAGCTTCCGTATTGCCTCGTTGTCTCCCAGCATCCCAGTAAGGGGTCGGGAGTTGCGTCGGTAGTTGCGCCGGTATTCCGTAACTGCCCCCTGGATTGGACTTGGGAAGGGGGCGTCTCCGGCTACTGTAAAATCGTCCCCATCCACTGTAGGTACATAGGCCCCCAAGTATTACAACTCACCGCCCCGGAAAATACCACATTTTACAGCCAAAATTACCACATTCGCTGGCTGCCCCGCCCTAAGCGCTGGCATCGCAATTGTACCGCCATTGCACCTCGCCGCCGTCGCCAACGTCAACATACTTCCAAATATGGTGGTACTAATATAGATGGATATCGACCTTTTGAAGCTTCAAAGTACCTTCTCGGTGACGCTGAAGGAGCTCATGAGCGCAAGGAATGCCATACTGCGCCCGGAACCGACCGGTGCAGGGCTTCAGGGCCGGCGCGGTCCCCGAGAGCAGATTCCATCCTTTCGTGTTGCTTTACAACACGATCGAGGGCATCATAACACACGTTATAGCGAGCATCACCAAGCCACTGTCGACCTAGGTGGTCGAAGTGAATACGCTCTTTTTGCTTCGTAGTCAACTTATCGTAGGCTTCCTTCATACCCTCCACCATATTGAGTGACTGTTGTACGGTCTGGAAGGTATTGCTATTGCTAGTGATAACAAAAGACTTGAGAAGCTTGTTGACTGACTCAACAGGTGATGTGGTGCGTTGACCGAAATTGAGAACGTTGTTGGTGTAGCAAGTTGCCCACTCTTCAATAAGTGGCATATAGGTTCGTTCGAGAAACCGAAGTATGGCTTTTTGTGCGGAAAAAGTACCTTTCATCATCACCCATGCCTGTGTGGCCATCGAGGGTAGGCGAGTACATCATATGCTCCCAAAGAAGGTACATTCCTGACTTGGTGTAAGGGATCTCGGCCAGTGGGCCTTCAATGTTGATTTCCTGTCCATCACGAAGTCTTCTTCCTCGTTATCTTCTTCTTCGTTATCTTCTTCTTCGTTATCTTCTTCTTCGTTATCTTCTTCTTCTTCCTTGTCTTCCTCTTGTTGTTGCGCTCCTGGGTCTCGAGCTTGAGCCTGAGCCCGGGCAACCTGCTTTGTAGCGGCCTTGTTGCATTTCTTCTTGAAGCTCAGGACTACATTCTTGTGATGTGGAAAATGCAGAGTTGTGGGTAAGCGTCAGGGTAACACGCGCAATTGCAGACCTCATAGCCTTCTCAAAGTCGGTAATTGTAACCGCAGGACGTTGTGCGCCGATTTCTTCGCGATGCTCGTTGACCGTGTCCATGAGCCAGTTGAAGCCTTCCTCACGTTCGTTGTCAATTAGGCCGAACGCACAACTGACTGATTTACCCAGGTGGTTCTTGTGGACAATTTGGAAGAGAGCCAGACCCTTGTTATTAGTACTGTACGTGTTATCGTAAAACTGGACCCAGGGGTAACGCTTCCACTGCTCCTCACACCAAGGAGGAGACCAAAAAAGGCCCCTCGGCTTGTTTGGGTCATCAACCGACCAAAGGACTGCATAATGGATATATTTATCGTCAAGCAACTTCTTCGTGGCCTAGAATGGCGAGTATCTCTTGAGGGCAAATCTGCGAATACGAGCGCGGCATTTTCGTAGCTGATTATGATCGAAATCCAGGTCCGGAAAAGCTCTTCGCAAGCCTTTGGAAATCTCCCTGTTGGGGACAACTGGCCGGTCGATATGCACAGAAACAAATGCCTTGTGCTTAGGGCCAAAGATGACTCTGTGCTTCAACTTTTTGAAGTCTCTCTCAGGCGGATGATTTGCATGGTTGGTATGCTCAAGAAGAAGCTCAAAGGTCCATTTCCGGTTGTTGGAGATAAGTGCTTTGGTTACGCCCTGCCAGGGGCAGTCCCTGTGATTGGTGGTGGTGATATTCTTCGTTGCCTTGGACTTCACGACTTTCCCTCGGCAACAGCCCAAATCCACTCTTGTTGGCCCGAAGTCTTTGGCATAATTGGCGCCGCGTAGCTTGCATACGCTAAAGCGTATAGAAGTAGCCCATTCGTTCAAATCGACGGGCAGATGGTCGAGGGTGTCGTATTTGAAGGTAAAAAGCTTGTGGTTAGCCGGCGAGTTAGAAAGTGGTGATGGTGGCGGCGCGGGCGGCCCGGCGATGATTTTGGTGGTGGTTTGGTTGAAAAGAAAGGTTGCAGTGGAAAAGGAAGGTTGCAGCGTAATTAGGTTAGGTTGTGGTAAAAAGTGGTAAATTACGTGGCGGCAAAATTTTGGATGTACCGATTCAATAGGGTTAGGGTTGTGTATGGAGGAATACAGTGGATGGGGACGATTTTACAGTAGCCGGAGACGCCCCCCTTGGGAAATGCGAACGTAGCCGCGCCAATCAGAGCGGGCGATAACTTCCCTGCAAATGATTTCCCCCTTTGTTGCAACCGATCGTTTATTCGTAACCGGACCGACCAAACTCGAAATTAATTACCGACTTAGTTACATAGGCGAAGTACAACTTTGGAACTTGGGGTTTTGTATTGGAAAATTACAGCTGATTTTAGAAGACCCGCACATCCCCCAAGCCTCATTCTCAGCACATCCCCGCACGCATCTTCCCCAAAAATCCCCAACCCACCCCTGCTCATTAATCCCAACAACCGTTTTTGCAACCTCCAACCTCCACTCTCCTCGTCGAGACCACGAATCAGCCAGACGACCACTCACCACTCACTATTCACCACTCACCACTCACCACTCACCACTCACCCAGTAGTAGGCGGCGCAGGCCACCAATCCAGCACCGCCATCTCGCCCGTCAGGGTCACGGTAAAAACATGCGCCTGCTGGGGCGCGACATCAAGCACAACCGTGTACGTGCCAGGATACAGCACGGTATTCCCATCCGTATCGTGACGCGCGAGGCTGGCCAGCGTCCACCCGAAATCTAGCACCACCGTCGCGCCCGCCCCGACCGCCCGCGCCCGCCCGTACGCCGCGAGCGTCTTGAGGGGGTGCGGCGCCGGCCCGGCGGCGGACTGCGTGAAGGCCAGCGCCACGTAGTCGCTGGTGCGGGCGCCCGTGTTGTGCACGCGGATTCGCAGCGGTGGGAGCGGACACAGGTCCGCGTGCGGCGCGCTGCAGTTGGCCAGCGCGGTGATATCCCACCTTGCGGTTTTGGGTTGGTGGCGGTGTCATTAGTGCTTGTGGTGGTGTTAGTTGCAGCGAACGACGCAGCAAACGTCGTGTAGTGCGGCCCGAAGCCGAACGGCTGCACCGCGCCCGCGAACGAGCGGTACGTGCGCCCGGGGCGGCTCGCACCGGCGTCGGGACGCAGGTGCATGTCGGTCATGGCCAGCTGCGTGTAGGCTGATGGGTACTGCGCCACGGGCAGGCGGCCGGCCGGCGCCGCGGCTCCGCGGATCAGGTCCATGATGGCTGGCCCGCCCTCCTGTCCCGGCCAGCTGGCCCAGAGGATGGCGTTGATGCCCGTGTTGTTGCTGTTGAGGAGCGGCGTGTTGTCGAGCTGGTCGCCCATTTGCACGACGATGAGTGGCTTGTCGTGTGCAGCTAGCTTGGCGAGCAATGTTGGCTGCGCCGTCGGCCAGTCGAGCGACACGCGGTCTAGCCCCTCGGCGGCGACTGACGTGTCCTGGCCGCCAAAGTAGAGGATGCAGTCGGCGCCCTCGGCCGCGGCGAGCGCGGCTGTGGTCCAGGTGTCTGCCGCCGTGTTTGAGCTGCTGCTTTGCAGGATGGGGCCCGACGTGTTGCGCACGTCGTAGCCGAGCTGCTTTGCAGCCCAGACGGGCCTGCAGATCGCTCCCGTCTATGCCACCACGCATCAGATAACACACCCACCGTCTAACCTGGCTCTTTATTTTTCATCACGTCTCATCTAGCCCTAGAATCCACAACAGATCGGGGGCAGAGGGCGACTACTGGGCGAGAATCTAAGCCTCGCGGCGTGAAGTATGCCGAGGCCTCGTCGGCATCCGCCATCTAGCTTCTCAGGCCAAAGGGCGCGAAGCAGAGAATAGAAGGGTAGCCGTGGTCGAGTTCCAGCCCGTTCCCTTGCCAGCGGCCTCGACAAGACGCTAGATAACACGGCCAGTAGCCCATCGGATAAACCCATGCGCCGGCGCATCTTTATGCTCGAAGGCCTCCCAAGAACATCGTTGAGGTCCTCGGACCCAGACTCAAGATCCCTCCAGCCTTGTTCGCCTCGCACTGGACTACCGGGCGATACGAGGGCGTAGTGCCGAACCGGATGCCGCGCCACTATGACGCGGCGAGCAGATGCACGCTGCAGATGCCCAGGTTCCACCGTGCCAGAGTCCAGGCGCTGGGCGCGGATATCGCGGGAACCCACGCCGGCGACGACGGCAGCACCAGGAGCGCCGCCACCACGTGGCTCGACAGCGCATGGACGCGTCCCTGGCAGTCGCGCGCCTTCGCCCGTCTCGTGCATGCGCGCCTCGCCCTTGAGGTCATCACGGACGGTCTCCGGACGAATATGGACGCATTGGGATTACTGGGGGGAGCATTCCGTGGCCCTGACAGGAGAGCTGTCGTGGAAGGCTGGGAGGCCGACGCGTGGCACAGCCGGCGCGAGACGCTCGGCAGCAGCGGCCGGCGCCTCGACATACTGTGGCAAGCCTACAGCGAGGCCGTGGCCGCGCGCGAGAGCATCGCGTCCAACCGCCAGGGGCGCCAGGGGCGCCACGTAGGCTACCTCTCGTCGCTGGCGACGCTGTCTGTCCCTGTGTCGCTGGGTGCCACCATCTTGTCCATGGGAGGCGACTTCGCCGCCGGCGCGAGCCGCTTCTGGGTCTACTGGGCGGTGGCGGTGCCGTCACGGTGCTGGGGTCTCTGGTGCTGTTTACGCGTGCCGGTAGGCGGGCCGTGGGGCGCATAGCGGATGAGGAGGCCGGTGGTTGACCGCAGGGAGCTGACTTGCGATAGGCTGGTGGTTATTGGTATGGTTTGTTCGAGGTCTTGTTATAGCTTTTTCAAGGTCTTGTTATGGCTTGTTCAAGGTCTTGTCGTCTCTTTGGTGTTTCAATGGGAATGGTGGTCCGGCCAGTCCATTCGATATGGGCCTTCGTTCGGTTAGTTGTCAGCTTACCCGTTTTGTTATGTCAATAGTCGTATAGAGGGTTGCCCAGGGAAAAGCAATGCAACTCAAAGAGGGTAAGTCTGGTTGGAACCGTACAACAACTCAGGGCTGCCCTGACCTGGACCCATTCAGCGGCCGCTCCCTGTGATCACCCTTCCACCCATTCCCGCCACTGCTAATTACGGGATAAAGTTGGATCCATCTTAGCCCATTCGTTCTCTCCCATTACTGACTTGCTGTTCCTCTCTTTCGTTACGAGGAACGGAAGCGACAGGGTCCGATCCAATGCCCATCCACTTTCCTCGATAATTGCCTGGCTCTGCGAGATTGACTGGTTGCATGCGAGTTCCTCCGCGGCTACTGGTCAACTTACGAAATGAGGTTTTCCCAAGATGTTTTTGGAGTCTGCTGGCTTCAACACGTAGCCATCTCCAGAGTCCAGACCTCGAGAGCGGCCGCCCGGCAGATGGTGGGGCAGCTACGTCGATGCCGGTAGGGCTGAAGACGGCATGGCATGGGCATGGCATGGGCATGGCGCTCCGGAAACTGGCATCCCGCGCCACGACGGAACAAGCCGAGACCAAGCAGCACTTGCACGGGGCAGCAGCACCAAGTTCTTCATTTGCTGCCGGCGCTCTTCCAGCGACCCGCCCAATCGGTTGCTCCTCAACACCCGCGCCACAGGCTGTTGGCATTGGTTCGCGCGGCGCTTGTCACCCACCTGTCAACTGCATGGGCTCTTTCTTTGACGTCTTCAGCTCCCACAGCCGTGCCCGCAAACGGTAATTTCTACTACGATCCACTTATCCACCAAGTGGTGTGATAATTCTGCTGCAAAGAGTTCAGGAACGTCAAATTTGAGCTCGAAATGGATATATAACGGCCGCCATGTCCATCCAAGAGATCACCGACTACACCACCAAACCGACCACCCGAACTAGACAACAAACTTGCCATAAACCCCCTTTTTCTCTTGCCCCAAAACCACACCCAACCCAGAGCCTCTCCGCGCACGTCTCACCTCCCAACTCCAACTCCAACTACAAACCACCCCACACACAACACTACAAACCACCCCACACACAACACTACAAACTACCCCACACACAACATGGCATCCTTCCCCACGCAGGCAGCCTTTGTCGTCCACGCGACAGGCTGGTCCGAGAACCTGTTGGCACACCCCATGGGCCGCTTCCTGCACGCGTAAGCCTCCTGCCCCTTCCCTTCCCTAATCACCTCTACCCTCACCAACCGCCACCCTCACCAACCGCACCTAACCACCTAACACCACGGCCATCGCACAGCCACGAGAAACTCTTCGACGCCGCCGACTGGGACGGCGCGCGCGCCTTCTACACGCCCGACTTCGAGTACGTCAACAGCAAGGGCCAGGTGGTATCCGGCGCCGCGCCCGCGAGCGACGCGCTGCGCGGCGAGTACGCGCTGTTCGCATCCTTCTTCCACGAGCCCGTCTACGGCACGGCGCACGCCGTCGAGTTTGCCCCAGGCGAGAAGGGCTACCGCCTGTTTGGCTGCGCGCGCATGTTTGTCAACCTTCCCGCTGGAAACCAGGAGGTGGTCGAGAAGGCTCAGGTTGATCGCCACGGCCGCGCCTGGGAGTGTGTCGCCAACGGCGCCTTCTTGTTCGATGCTGTTGAGGTTGGCGATGGGCCGACTCCGGAGGGTCTGCGCATGAAGCGGTTCCAGATCTTTGCTGATCCGACGGCTATCTTGGGGGAGGCGGTCAAGCGGGGGATTGTCCCGGTCGAGGCGCTGACTGGTGGGGGGAATTAGGTTGGGTGCGTTTGGGCTTGGTTCGTGCCTGAAGGGACCGGGGGGCTGTGTTGTGAACTTGTGGATGATGTTGGAGCTGTTGTGGTGCAGATAAGCCAGTTCACGTCTGCTTTCTGAGTCGGTATATGGGACGTCTTTTTGGCTTCTTTTCTTTTATTCCCGCCCCCCCCCCCCCATCTGTTCCCCATTTTCCCTTTTCCCTTTTTCCTTTTGTCTTCTTTGCTTTTTCTAATTTTTTTGTTTCCACTCTTTCCACTCTCAAAATCCCCCCCCCCCCCCTCTTACTCCTCGTTTGATCTTTTTACTTCAATCAATAAGTAGCTTGTTAATTAGCCCAGCTTGCTTTACTTGCCGCCTTGATGCTCATCCCAGGCAGAGCCTGCGAATTAAGGTTCAGTGTTTTCATTATATGAAGCTGTGTGTAATGGTATCAAATTGGGATAGTTAAACAGCCCGCATTTCAACGCAGGAGACATCCATCCAAGTGTCATCTATTCCAACTCACACTCCAGCCTCAGGCCGGCGGCGGCGCCACGACGACCAGTGGGCCCTCGCCCCTAATTTTGACGGTCTCCTTGGCGACAACCAGCTCTACGTCCCAGCGCATCGAGTGCCAGTGCTTGATATTGTACGTGACAAAGTCGGGGTACATGACCTCCTCGTCGCCGCCGCGGGGCGTCATATCCGCACCGCGCCAGTAGCTGCTCCGCGCCTCGAACAGCAGCGCGCCGGCGCGCCCGACATCGAGCGGCGCCACATCGTCGCCGCACGGCACTCCCAAGCCGCCACCCTCTGGCCAGCTGATGCGCACGTCGCGCACCACGGGGCTCTTGGTGCGGTGGTAGCTGCTGGGGCCGCGCACCGCGGCCTCGGTCCACGCCGTGATGCGCAGCCGCAGGCCCACCACGGATATCTTCAACTCGTCCGGATCCGGGTCGTCGCCGGCCCGTTTCCCGTCGCCGGGCAGCGGGAGGCCCGGCGACGACTGCTCGCGCCCCGCCACCACGCGCAGCCGGAACGACATTGGCGGCGCCGGCCGCCCGGACGTGCCGCTGCTGCTCAGCTGCAGCGCCTCGGGCGCCTCGACCTCGACGCGCAGGTTGAGCTTGGGCACTGACGACGTGTGGAACAGCTTGCGCGTGCGCTCCATGAAGCTCAGCTCGGCGTCGGCCATGCCCGGCAGCAGCCGCTGCGTGTGCACCGTGTGGTGCGACACGGCCGCCCGGTGCAGCGCCGGGTGCAGGAGGGCCGGCACCGGTGGCGGCAGCATGAAGACGGTGCGCGTCGCCGTGGCCGTCGTCTTGGCCTTGGCGCCGTGCTGCTCGACCAGCTGCGCCTCGAGCACGTACTCGACGAAGGTGTCGAAGCGGTACTGCGAGTACGCGAACGAGAAGGGCAGGCCGCCGGATGCGATGACGTTCGGGTTGAGGGCGAGGAAGCTGTACTCCTGCTCGACCTCGCCCAACAGCACGGCGGCGGCGTTGGGGCGCACCGGCAGGGTTAGTGCGAACTGCCACGCCTCGCTGCCGCCGGGCGGGATGTGCAGCACGCCGTCGAAGAGCGCCTGGCCCAGCTCGGGCCCGCTGCCCAGCAGGTCGAAGCGCGACCGGTAAACATCTGTGTGACGATTGTTGTTGGACCGCCGCTCCACCGACACCTTGACCTTGGTGCGCCCAAACAGCCGCAGCGTCACCCACGCCCGCGGACTCACCGCCTGCACACTTCGCACCACGCGCCCCGAGATGATCTCGCCCGCCCAGAAGCCACGGTCAAAGTCGAGCTCGATGCTGAGCGCCGGCGACACGACGGCTCCAGTTCGCGGCATGCCGGTTGTCTGTATTCAAGACGACTGTCGCGTGTCTAAGGCCTGTTGGGGGGGGGGTTTTTTTTTTTTTTTTTTTTTTTTCGTTTTGTTGTTTTATTCTTTGCTGTCGTTGAACAGAGTCTAGTTGTATTCGGTGAGTTAGCCAGGTTGGAACAAGCGGCAGTGGAGTTGTCTGACACTATTATCCCCTTTCGAATGAGGCAGCCTAGCCGTTAATAGGAAGCGGCGGAGCGCCGATCAGTTTAGTGAGACCGCCTTATTTGCCAGGGCTGGACGAGTCTGCGTTGCAATGCGGTGTGGCTGTGCCGTTGTGCGACCTTCCTTCAACGGCTTCACCCAATTCAATGCAAGCCTCTGGGTATCAGCAAGACCAACAGAATGAAATTTCCCATGATTACTACTAATTACAGGCGCAGGCTCTTTGAGTTTTGGGGCTGAACTTAAACGTTGTTTCAAAGGATCTGTTGGAATAACATACTGGAATGACGCGCTGATCCAAGGAATGCGGCTCCGCATTCCTGGCCACAGCAACGTCTGTGGAGGAGCGGGCCTGACAGATGCATATATATTGGCCTACGCCCACCTGTTCAGATAGATAAAAAGACAAAAAGACAAAAACGAATCCATCACTTGAACCACCACCTTACGGCGCGCAGCGCGCCATGCTGTTTCCAGTACCGGTACCCTGGTGATTCCTACAGGATCGTTGTGAAGCACTGGAGTTTATTTGCGGCGTAAAAAGATCCAATAAATGGTGGCAGCTGATTTTCTTTCTCGCGCCGACGGTAGCTAACCTTTCATGTACAGCAGCCGGCGAATAATTCCAGTTAAAGGTTGCGCGGCGCCTTTAAGTTTTAGGTATTATTAGCTTGCTATGACGGTATAATGGCTAAGAGCTTTTGATGAAACTACCTAGCCCGAAATCTCATCTTCGCCTTCGTGCAGGCAGGCACTGCATTTGACACGTCATCATGGCCTCTCTTTTCTCCTACCTAACTGCTCTCTATGCACGCGTCCGACTGCTGCACTGCGTTTTCGCTACGAAATCCCCAGAAGTTGTCAGGTGGTGTGGGTAACATGTCATGTTTAAATTCGTCAAGCAGGAGCCGAAAAGCAGGCCTTGAACCGAAAGAATAGCCGAGATGGATGTTGGGTTCTGTGCTCGTGGCGGAAGACAATATCTGCATAGCTTTCAAGTGCCAGCTTTCAAGTGCCAGCTTTCAAGTGCTAGCTTTCAAGTGCTAGCTTTTAAGTGCTAGAAATTCGATGGGACTCTTGCACAGGCATGGTCTTTGGCTCTTGGAAGTCGATGCAGTTATCTCTCATGATTTCCTCCGTTCAGCGAACCTATACCTATACAAGCAAAGACATCACAACCCACTCGAGTTGACCAGAGAGGTGATTCAAACAAATATGCAACAACAAAAACAGCCCTCCCAACGCCGCCAAGACAATGCACGCTATGCACCCGAAACCCAATGCCAGGAAAAAGAGAACCGGAAACACTCAAACCCTTCCACCCAACAAACACAATCACCCGCACAACTCCAAACTCAACCCACTCGCCTTGCCGCTCCAGCCAACATTAACCCCCTGCCGCGCGACCATCTCAAAACTATACTCTCCAGCCTGGCACGACCACGTGGGCGCAGCGCCCATGCGCGGCTCCAGCTCGTCGGCGCTCATATCGACGCCCTGCCAGTCCGCCACCCCACCTTTCCTGGGTGTCAACACACCCGCCAGCGCGCCGCGCGCCGGGTGCGCCGCGAACGTGTACTTGTCGTTGAGGCACGCGTCGAGGCGGTACAGCTCCAGCTGCGCTGGTGTTGTCTCGGACGAAACGATCCAGTCGTCGGGCGTGAGCCGGAAGACGAGTTTGCACGTCTTGCCGGTGGCCTGTTCCGGGGACAGGTTGAAGTACACGGCGGTCGTGACGGTCTCGGAGGGGCTGTTGAGGAGGTGTCCCCGGGCCGAGTGGCCGCCTGCAGCGTTGGGCGTCTTGGAGGACCAGCGCGACTGCACGGACGGGTAGTAGGTTTGTGAGGCAGATGATGATGAGGTCGAGGAGGTGCTTGTGACGTTGCGGGGTGAGATGAAGGTTGTGGTGGTTGGTAAGGCGACGGCGCCGGCGGCGAGGGCGAGGATTGTGGTGAAGATTATGGACTTCATGGTGACGAACTTGAGACTTTGAGATGGGCTTCAGTGTCGGGTTTGGACTTTTGATTAATTGGTGGATGGATGGAGTGGTTGTCTTTGACTCAAACACTGGAGATGTGCAATTGATGTGATGATGATGATGATGATGATGATGATGATGATGATAATGATGATGATGATGATGATGAGAATTCGAATGTTTGGACGGCATTTCGTGCACGCTATATACAAGATTTCCAACAAAGATGAAGCTCTTGGCGATGCTCAATTCAGAGCTACGACGGCTGTGCAGTGGTGGGCGCACTGGCGCAGTTCGGGTTATTGATTCTAGGCTGCGGCTGGCGCGAGCTGCCAGCCCCAGAGTCAGCTCAGCCAGCGCGTGCCAAGCTGTCGGGTGCGGCTTTGATTCATCAGACCACAGCTGCCATTATCTCAGCTAGCTCAGACCTCTTTTTCAGGCGTGGAAGAAGGAGCCCCGGGGCCTGCGGCCCCCCCAATAAAAGGCACCCTAGACCGCATTCGTATCCTGTGACCCGCAAATTTTCGCTGTGGCTCAGATAGACCCACTTGGACCCACGTTGCACAGAACGCCTGAAAAAGAGGTCTGAGAGCATAATGTTGTGGTAGTCGTCAGTACGGATCCAGCCGCCATACAAACGGAAAAAATGTGGTTTAGTTTCCCGTCAATAACACAACAACAACGTATCGTGAAAATATGCAAATATGCTCCTGAAGTTGCTGAGACGTACGCGAGTCTAATGATATACGGATCCGTAATTTTTATGTCTATAGCTATTCTAAAAGTGTCAATTGTAACCTCAAACGTAAAAAGTTTAGCGTGTCTCCAACTTTTGGCCGTCATCTTCATCCTAACTATGTAGTCACCATAGGGCCAAAAAAGCTGAAAATTTTCACATAGAATGCCCTCGCGCGGGGCGTCCTCAGCATACAGCTTCTCCCTCCTATAACCTACTTCTTCCGTTTGACCTACCGGGAGAGCTCCCGCGCCGCCGAAATGGAAGAAAACGAGCAGAAAAAACGCATCAACGATGTGATCTGCGAGATCACAGGCGCCAGGGAAGCGCACCAGGGCCAGATTGACGCGGTTCATCGCCTTGTTCATCAGCGGAACGATACAGTGCTCGTTGCAGCTACAGGATACGGAAAAAGTGCTGTACTCTACGCCTTCTCAGCGATCACGAAGCTCACTACGGTACAAATCGTGCCCTTCACGAAGCTGGGCGAGAATCAGCGCGATGACATCGCCCGGGCTGTCCCTTCTTCGAAGTCTGTGTGGATTGGCAGTATTACATTCCCCAGCTTGGCTCCTTTACCCTTACCCCTGACCCCTGAATACATTGCTAACTAATTTTATCTAGAACCCGAACGTTTAAAATGAAGTCGTCTTCGTCTTTTTCTTCTTCGTCTTCTTCATCTTCTTCTTCGTCTTCTTCTTCTTCGTCGTCTTCTTCTTCATCTTCTTCTTCGTCTTCTTGTTGTAAGGCTTCTATAGCCTTAGTAAGAGATGAGAGCTCAGGGGTGCTGCCCAGGCCAGTAAGCTGTGAGCTCGAGTCATGCCCTCGCAGGAGCAATGCCTAGCAGCCACCCAAAAGGCCTGAATCGTCATTTACTAACGCGCCAGACATGATCTACTGATGATATTAGCACCGGAATGATCAGAAAATTGCGTGCATTCGAACGGTACTAACCGGGCAGTTGTTTGATTGCTCTTGACCTTGTTGTTGAGGCTGCAGTGCGTTGTATGTTGCAGTTTGGAGACGGTTCGATGCACATTATGCACTCAGACCAGTACAGTGGCTCTTTTCTTTGTGTGCTCCGATTGGTTCAAATGTGTATTTGTGGGTCTACTCCCTCTGCAAATCTAAAAAATCGGGGCCGCAGGCCCTCCACTAGGGCGCAGCCCCTCTTTAAGCCACGGTACTGGCCTGAGCTTGCTAAGATAAAGCTGCCACCTGTGGCGTGAGCTGCTCTTTGTTGTCTCGGAGCGCCACCATTTACTGCGGTCAGCTCAGCACAGCACGCCAAGAGCCGACGCCAAGAACCGACGCCATGCAAGTCCAAGGAATCTATTTCGGGACCTGTGGTGGTGGTTCATTCCAGCCACAGACCTGATGGGCATTTCACGATTTGGAGAGACAGTTCACTTGAATTCAACTCTACGCAGCCAGAAAACACTGCAGATTCGTCTAATCACTGGTTTTGTTCCACATTGAGTCCCGAGACGGTTTTGTTCCACTTTGAGTCCCGAGACGTGTCTGCTACACTAAAAGTTCTCCTTCGTCAAAACCGAGACTTCTGGAAACCTGCCCGGTTCCTTCCCCTGCAGCAGCGGCCCTGCCTCCCTCCCCTTAAACGCCCCATCCATCCACGCCGTCGTGTACGCCGTCAGCAGGCGCACCATTCGCGCCGGCACGATGGCGCCCACCACGTCCGCGAACGGCGCCGTGCTCAGCCCGGCAGCCACGATCAGCGAGGGCACGTCGGAGAAGGACTGGTGCGTGGTATTCGCGACGCGCAGGACAATCTTGGGCCCCGTGAGCTGCGGCCAGGCGGCAAGCCACGAGGCGTCGGTGGTGGGGTCGTGGGTGAAGAAGAGCACGGGCTGCGATATTTGCGGCAGGGCCGGCGACCCGATGATGGTGCCGTCCCAGTTGGCGGCTGCGCGGATGCGGCGGTCCTGGCTGGCCGCGAGGATGGCAGCTACGCCGCCCGCCGAGTGACCCAACATGGCCACGCGGTCCGTCGCGAACGCCCGGCGGCCGCGCCCCGGCAGCAACGCCGCCATGGCCGTCGCGTTGCTCAGCTGGTCGACGATAAATGACGCGTCGGCGGCGCGGTCCCAGTCGTTCCACGTAGGACTATCCAGGATAGAAGCGTTGTTGTACACTACGTGGCCGTCGGGGTAGACGATGATGTTGGCGTCCTCGGGGTGGTCGATGGTGATGACGACGAAGCCTTCGCTGGCGATGGCTGAGGCGATGACGCTGTAGTAGAGCCGCGGGGTGCTGTAGCCGGGGGAGAAGAGCAGGATGGGCCGGTTCTCTAGGGGCGAGCAGCTTCCGGGGTGGTCCGAACACACTGGCAGGCGAGCCTCGAGGAAGAGGGGAGTGAGATCGGCCGAGATGTTGAAGCTCTGTTGAATAAACGGCCCTTGGTACTCGGCGGTTTTGTCGGGCATATAAGGTACCGACACAATGGACGCGCACGTCGCAGGCTGAAATACGGACAGCATCAGTGCCCGAGGCGTGGGCAACGCGGCATAGGCGTCATTGCGGCTGTAGTCGACGAGGGTTCCTGTCGTCAACGTGACATTGTATTTGCCAGTCGGGTCTGGAGCCAGGAACCCTGCAGTGGCCGTGGCCAGGAAGAGAACAAGAATTGAACGCACAGACTGCATGGCTGCAGTGTCGCGAGGCTCTGGCGGAGGAAAAATCAGAAAGTGATGAAGAGGCTAGGCAGCGATAAGCATCAGCTCAACCGGCGTCGACTGGTAGTTAGAATGTTCACCGATGCCAGGGCTGATGGTTGTCAAGTAGCAATAGGTGGCATTCAGGGGCTATATAGTGAACAATCTGCGACCGAATGTCAATCCCAGCCATACCCTACGTAATTACGCAATGGGGCATGGTAGCACGCGTGTCATTGGGGCTGAGCCTCAGCGTGGTTCCCGCATCTCGACCGAAAGGGATTACGAAAGGAATTAGGGCCGCGCCCAATTCGGAAAATAGGGTCCAGCATTGTTCTTGTCAGCGCTAGCGGCCCGGCTCTGTTCTCCGAGTTGATGTTACTTACTATGGGGGCTACTCAAATGTAGGAACCAGAATTAAACCCTTTGGCGGAGAAGGGATTGCGGAGAAGGGATTGCGGGGAAGGGATCATGTTATTACCAAGTGGAATGTATGAAGGCATTGAGGCTTGTGAGAATCTATCAGCCCGTCTGCGCAACCCACACTGCTCAAGAGGTTGACAGCTCTTTTGACAGCCAGTGGGGCAATTCACGAATCTGGCTTTGCATTCAAAGGACTGTTGCCATTGGTGCCTCCATAGCAGGCCCTTGTTCTTAGTGCAGCTGTCCAACGTTCGTGTTTTGCTACCATCGTTTTCTCAGCGGAACAGGTGTTGCGCAGTTTCACTTGTCCTGGGTTACGGGGTACGTGTATGACTTTATGCGGCTCAGCGAACGAATTCGTACGCTCTTCGCTTTAGTTGGGGGAAGAGAAGGTGGTGAAAGAAGTCAAGAAAGACAGGAAACTCGATGCTTCAGCTTCTCAGACAACCAGAACTGAGAATCGGGTAATGAATATTGTTAAGGTGTCCTTATTCTCCCGTCATTCATCTCCGATAGCTTGAGATGCTTTGAAAAGGGGCACCTCGCTTTACCTCGCAGCCTCGATGCTGACGTGGAGTGTTGCTTGTCGGACTTGTTAGACCGCGACTGTCGACAATCAAGTGCGATTAAGTGCGACGTCACATGATCCAATGAGACCATGACCCACCACACCTATAAGTTGACTGTCCAAGTCCCCTGCACCTCACCTGGCTACCCCACTTTTTTTGGCGTGAAGGCGGTGCAGTGGCAGCCTCCTGGCACAACAGTGCACTGCAATTTCTAGCTCAACAGAGGGCGTGGGTTACAACCCTAACCCTAAAACACACTTGGACTACCACGTGACTAATCATAAACCACAGGCCAATTTTAAACAGCGAAACTCATTCTCAGACAGCTGGCCGAGGCGGCTGGACGCGCAGCCAATCAGCAGCGGCCGCTTGCCAATATGCCGTTGCCTGACATCGCTCAGCGGACGCTGCATCCGACACACTTGGTGGACCCCACGTTGCCCACAGTCACCGTCTAGGCGTGCAAAGACCGATCACGAACAATACATGCAAGCAAACAAACTAGGCAGCACCGAGTCTTTTCAACTAGAGTCACTGTTTCGGACTCACCACCTCCTTTGCTTTCCGCTTTCGATTTTTCCCCTTTTAGTCGTTCGGGAAGCGTTGCTATCGGGGTTCTGGGGCAACGTTTTCGGCCAGTCATGGCCTATCAATACTTTTCTACATTAGGCTACTTACACGCTTTTAGACCGGATGCTAGACATCACCGTCGCCAGTGCATATCTAACCCCCTCCAAAAGAAACAGACCTGCGACGCCCAAACTAGTCACATTCGACGACACACCTATTGCTTCTACACTCATAGCGCGATTCCGGAAATAATAATCAGCAACAATCAAATCCGCGATGCGGCCCCCCCTCTCCACCCCCGCGGGAGCAGCCGCCGCAACAGCCGCCGCCACCATCTTGGCACTACTCTCGCCCACCCTTGCCCAGCTCACGCCTACGCCCTACACAGACGCCAACACGGGCATCGTGTTCCTGGGCTTCGCCGACGGGACAGGGTTCCAGTTCGGGCTAGCCCTACCGCCGGTCGGCGACGGCACCCCCACCCTCATCGCACAGATCGTGTCGCCTCTCAACAAGGCCGGCGCGGGCTGGGGCGGCGTGGCCTTCGGCACGTCCATGATCGGGCCGCTGCAGGTGGTCGTGTGGCCCACCCCATCCCTAGGAGACGTAATAATCGCGGCACGCTCATCCTCGGGCCGCGACATAGCCGACACGAAGCCGTACACGGCAAGCGCGGTCTCGTTCGCGCCCATCGCCAACGGCACCTTCGCCAACGGCACGCACGTGTCGGCGACATTCGTGTGCATGGGCTGCGTGACCAGCGACTCGTTTACCGCGGCAGCCGCTGGCAGGCCGGCGCCGTTCGGCTACGCCTACTCGCTCGTCGCCGTCAGCAGCCCTGCTAGCAAGAACAGCGCCCTGTCGGACCACACGACGCAGGGCGAGCCGTACGGCGGGTTCTCGTTGGCGCTGGCGGATGCGCGCACGGCCGACTATAAGCGGTTCGCTACGCTAGCGGCAACTGCGAGCGGGGAAGGTGGTGGTGGTAGTGGTGGTAATAGTAGTAACAGCACGCAGCCGACAGCCGGGGGGTCGAATTCGACGGGGCTTGCTTCGAACGCTACCGGCAGCGGTGGCAGCGGTGCTGGGTCGCCTGCTACGCCACCTAATGGTGATGGTGATGATGATGGTGCTGATGCCGGTGCTGCTGACAGCGATGACATCGTTGTCCATAGGACGGAGGACCGGCTCGACTACAACAAGATGCCTGTTGGGGAGGTGGCGGCGCTGGGCGTTGTCTGTGCCTTGTACGTGTTACACGCGTTTTGGGTTTTCTGATCGGCGCGAGGTGGGCCATGGTTCTTCAGCCGGCCTGGCGTTGCCTGGAGTATACTGCGCTGGCGATGACTTCAGCAATCTCTTCAACAAACATTAGCATACACACCCATCCATTTGAGTGTACAAACCCCTCAGCATGTCCGGTGGCGTTTGGATCTGCCACAAAGAATTTTGTTAGGAAGTGGTAATTAGATGCGAGCCATGGCGTTCCTCGACTTCTACCGTCTCCTCGGGCAGACTATTCGTCTATATTTTCAACTAGCTAGCTAGTATTCTTTCTTCAACAAACAACCTGTCCTTGTTTCTGACTTACGCGTCAGTTCATAGTCTCTAGAGTGTATACAAACCCTAAAGAGACTCAATTAACAGTTGGGCTAGGGTAGGTATACCTCTTTATAATTATAGGTCCATAATAATTAATAAGATTCATGTAATTGCCTCAGCCGACTGCCACAAAGCAAAACCTATAATCAATATTAAATTCAATTTTAGTAGCTTAATTCTCTCAAAAAGTAGACAGATTGCCATCCTGATAACCTATTGATACCAAAACGCCGCATCATTCAGCTCACTATCGTGAAACACTACTTATTACGCAAACCTCACACTCTTGTCATTTTGATGCCCTATTCCAAAAACTGAGACCAAAATGCCATAGCAAAATGTTCTTTCATCCTTTCAAATTCATAGGACCCAACCGGCAGGCCAAAATCTCGCATCTCACATCACATCAAACCGAACCGCTCCAATGCCTTGACCAGCCTCTTCAGCTCAAGTGGCCTCGTCAGAAACATGTCCACCCCACTGACAGACGCATCTTGCTGTACATCAGAGGCCGAAAGGCCCGTAAGTGCAATAACGACCGTGTGCTTGAGTTTGTGGGTGCGCTCAAACTCTCGGATGCGGCGCGTCGATTCTAAGCCGTCCATGATGGGCATGGAGATGTCTACAAAGGCACCCCGTGATAAGCATGATTGCGGCACGCAGCAAACAAAGTGTGAAGTCAAACATACCCGTCAGAATGCAGCTGTATTCGCTTGGCGACTTGGTGAAGGTTTCCATTGCTTCGAGCCCGTTGACTGCTGTTGTGTGGGGCTGCTTAAGCTTTTCCATGTACGCTGTAAGGACCTTGGACTTGTAAGCACATTCTTTGGAACAAAAAACTAATCAAATATCATCGCCTTGCCTTCAAGTTGACGTTGTTATCATCTACGATCAAGAACCTTGGCCGGTCGACCGGCTTGGGAACCGTGCCTGCCCGGCAATCTAGACCTGAAACATTAACGGGGGTCGTTGACGAGCAGGATAGGTTCCGAGGTCCGGCAGCTGTTAGTACCTCGCACTTTGCCAACATGGATGGGACTTCCTGCAGAGATGGACGTCTCAATTGAAAGTTGGGGAAGCTTGTGGATCTTTTCAGCGGCGGGCTGTCTGATAGATGGTCGTTCTCGGAATCACCACTATTGGGCGGGCAGGCCTGAAACAGAGAAGACTTCTTGGGCGTCTCGGTCCTCGATGCTGCGGTTGTGGCATCTGCGACCTCCTTGTACCGCGCACGACTTGCCAGAAGAGCATCGGCCAATTTTCGCGGCCCAATTCTGCGAGTAGATTAGGAATGGGCACAAACAAGAGTTGACTGGAAGGAGTTCAGCTTACGGCTGCGTAAGGCAAGCAAACAGAGTCCAGGGGTTATCCTGATTGGGCTTATCGTCATCATATATCGTGTTCGAATCCTGTCGAACATAGACGTGCGGGCACACCAGGGGGTCGGGCTTGGTCGCAGAGTTTGCTGGAAATGCGTCATCATTGTGCCAGATGACAAAGTCCGTAGGGCCGAGGGGCTTCTCGTCGGTTTTGACCACGACCTTCATGCCCAGCCATTTCTCGCAGATGCGCTGGACCACGCCGAGTTGGGACATTTGCTTCGAGTCCTCACGGTAGAAGCCATCCCTGACCATTACTCCCGTGTCGAACCCGCGCAGTTGAACCCTGCAACCGGCCAATGACTGGTAAGTCTGTTGAAAAGTCAGCTGGCCCCTCTCTGCTTCCTCGTTGCGCGGAAGGGGCAGAACCACGGTGACGGTGGTGCCGTGGCCTTTTTGACTGGAAACATTTACACCGCCCCCAAGACTGGTAGCCATTTGTTGGACTAAGCTGAGCCCAAGTCCCGTCCCGGGTGCAAATTGGTCTTCCTGGGAGAAGGGCATAAAAAGGTGGCGCCGTAAATAGTCCTGGCCAATCCCTTTGCCCGAGTCGGAAACCGTTAGCACTACCGTAGCTCCATCGTCCGAACCAAGCTGAGAGTTGGGGTCACGCTCTTGAGACAGTGTTATCCTGATAAATCCCGAACTTGTAAACTTCAATGAGTTCCCAACGAGGTTCATGACAATTCTGCGGAATGCGCCGGGGTGGATCCGGAACGACCAGCTGACCTCTGGATCAATGTCTAAGTATGTCTGGACGGATCCGGCCCGTCCTGGTTCTCGCGACTTTGCGCTTTTGTTGCCTTGCCTGAAACAGTTCCAGGCCGCAAAGTGGGCATCCGACATGTTGCGGTAGCTCCATCCAGCCACCACGCTCTCCACTGCTTCTTCCGCGAGTTGGCACAGCTGGACATCAATGTCTGTTGTGCTTATTGTCTGCATGCTTGGAGACCTGGATCTCGACCGTGCGTTGGCCGTGCTGTTTTTACGGCTAGCTTTTGACATGCGAATGTGTGTATTTATCCTGCTGTATTCGAGCAGCTAGACATACACGTCCAGGTCAGTCGCAGAGCGCATCGATTGCCAGCGTCTCACTTACGTGGTCAATGGTATCGAGAAGAGTCCGCCCAGATGTCTCTATTGTGTGAACAAATTGCTCTTGGGCGGAGTCCAAGTCCGTGTTCCGTAACAAATCGACGGCGCCGACTACCCCGTGAAGGGGAGATCTCAGCTCGTGACTGATGGATCCCAGGATATCCGTCTTAGTCCTGTCGGCTGCCTTGGTGTTCAGACGCGCAACTTCTGCCATCGTCGTTAGACTAAAGACTCTGAGATAGCTGAGCTCATTTCTGGTTGTGAAGATTCGTGTTGGTGTTTTTGTCCAGACGAATCCACCCGCGAACCACCTGCTCTTCTGTCCGTCAAAGAGCGGAACAAAAGCCACGCTTCTGGCGCCCGCAAACATTTTCCTAAGAGAAGCCACAGTGTCTCGGCGCTTCCGCATTTCCTGTGGGGTTCTCGACGTCCCTGAATCCACCACATTAGGCGCTGGACGAGACCTACTGAATGCTGAAGGCGAGAGGAAGCAACTGTCTATATCAGAATGAGTTGTACCAAAAACAGCCGCGTCCGGTTCAAAGTTGAAAATGCAGCCATGCGGGTGCCGATGGAGAAGACTATGCAGAAGCTTCTCGGGTATCGTGGTATGTTCGTGGTGCGGTTCGTCGCCGTTGATCGAAGATTGGGAGGATGTCGAGAAGCCAAGCAGCTTGCATGTGTGGGGCTTCGTGTTTCCGAGTGCAGCGGAAGTGCTTTCATCGCTGCTTGATTCGCCAGATGAGGGCTTTGTCAGGATTGGAGGTTCCGATACTTCCTTGCCAATGAGTCCCCCAAACGACCGAACGCTGGCGTCCAAGAACAAGACTCCCTCGACCTCAATCGACTCCCGGATGACATTGGCCGCCTTGGAAAAAACGCGCTCTACGTCGCCTTGCAGCTTATCTGCCAAAGTAAAGTGGGACGCGCTCACGGCCGCCTGGGGGATTGGTCTCGAGCCCACGGCCAGCGCAGGGGTGGGAGTCTTGGTGGACGACACAGTTTCGGAGGGCTCGAAGGGAGATTTGGGCCTGGCGAACAAGGGAGATCTGGGACCGGCCTGCAGCTTCTTGTTAAGCACGCCTTCTTGGACGCCGGGAAGGTCGTGGAAGCAGGATCTGTTTGGACTGTCGCTCCAGTCGGACAGTGTGGCATGCCCGTCGACGAAACTGCCGAGCCCGCGCACCATCCTCTCCTCCCTCCGATACCACTCGCCTGATCGCTTTGCCTCGAGATAATGCATAATGGTCTTCGACATGTCCCTTAAAAACTGCAACTGGTCGGCGCTGACCCCATCTGGTCTCGGCTTATCGTCCAGCACGCAGTACACGCCAATGTTGATACCAGCTGGCGACCGAATAGGCACCCCGGCGTAGAAGCGGCGCTTTGTGTCTTGGATGTGGCAAAACCTCGGGTCACAGTCGAGGTCGGGAATTACTGACACTGGCAGGTCGTCGGCTGGCGCGTAGCTGTGCGCTGGTCTGTTGCTGGATGTACACTCGGAGGCTCCCGTCAGGACGTGCTCGCAGATGCTGGTGGCACGGGGCACGGCGGCGCCGTAGCTGAGCACAGGATGGCCATCGTGGCAGCGGCAAAGGGGCTCGGAGCGAGTCGCGTCAGCGACAAAGTGTTGGTAGGTTCGGTCAAAGAGAGACACAAGACAGCGCAATGTGTTGAGCCTGTAGAGACCCAGCTGGGCAAAGGCAGTAAGGGCAGGGTCGGGCGTCAAGGACAGGACCGACGTCGGAATGGACTTGAACGGCGTCTCGGGCGTCGACGTCTGGAGAGCGGCAGTCGATAATCCGAGGTCATCGTATCTAGAATGGGTGTGCGGCAAGCAGCCGGCCGTCGTCAGTCAGGGTTGCTGTGTAATTGGGCCAGGGCTTAGGGGCGAGGGGTTATTTGCGGGGTCAACAGTTAAGGTAATTACTTGAACGTCTCTCGCTCCCGAGCTGTTTCGGAAAGTGGCTGAGACTGAGAACTCCCAGTAGACATTTCGGTCGTCGGCAGAGACCCGTAGTCTTCATAGTAGGTCGACAGTCAACACGCTCGAATACGTTGTCCTCGCAGTTGGCTGCCGACAAATCTGAACTCTTGGGCTTGGCTTGGCTGAGGAATGGGGGAGAAAGACCGGCCCATGGAAGCCTACCTTAGCGATAATTTCCACTCCGAGACGCACCCTCAGGAGGCGCGCTCGGACAGGGGGTAAACTCTAAATGCAAGCTAGTGCGGACCACCTTAGTGCACCTATGCACGCTAGGCAGGCAGGCCTCCACTGGCCATGGCGACAAGGGAACCCTTATTGAGCACGAGAGAAACCCAAGCGCTACCCCACGAGTCAGCCTGCCCAGGGTCCCTACTGCACACTCCAAACCTTCTAATAGGCAGAGCTTAAACCACCAGACGCACTGACTTTCTCTCGAGCTTAGACCCCGCATTCCAATTAGACTAGCACGACCGGCGTTCTGAAATCGCAAACAAGGTTTTGCTAATCACGCCTTGATCTATCTACCCTCTGTACCGCAATCAGCTATGATATTACCATTTAGGGCCACACTGTTGAGTAGTCAAAGTCGGGGGACATGGGATTTTACAAGTCGATAGTATTGCCTAATTTCCAACTCACAGTAATTACAAAAGAGAAACTTGCGTATTGTGCATATGGTTTTTCATTTTCATTAAACCTGTAACCCTGCCCTTTTGTCCTCTCAGACATGCCTCCGGCATAACTTTGGAACCACTGCACCCAGCTAAGCCTTGGGGCTACTTAGAGCTAAGATGCGCTGCGATGCTTGTTCCGCTGCTATGACAATCATGGCTGACGGGTTGCCTGTTGAAATGCCAGGGAATATGGATGCGTCGACAACAAAGAGATTGTCGGTTCCATAGACCTTGGTGTTGACATCCACCACGGCACTGCCGCCGGTGCGGCCGTCGTCATAGCCCAACTTCGCAGTGCCCATCCAGTGGTTCGAACGGCGGCTAGATGGTGACACGATGAGCTGCCATCGAGTTAGTTTCGCTTCAAATCTGTCTTCTCACTCGCTCAACGAGGGAAAACTCACACTGTCGACCCACGCCTCAACCGTCGTGTTGGCAGGTGGCAAGACCCATGTCAGGTTAGGAATGATGCTCAGGCCAGCCATAAGGTTCTTGATGCCAATGATGACTGCCTCCTTGTCAAACGCATCATGTAGGTACGGATGCAACAAAACGTTGGTATCGAGATCGGCTGTGATGCTCATGCGGCCTCTTGAGACAACACCCACTCCAAGATACTGGCTGAGAGTCATTGCGTCTATAATATTCATTAGCACGATTTATCAAGGAGTGTATTGCCTGGCGGTAACAGTGGGAACTTACTCTTTGAAGTGGTTATTTGGTCATTGCCCTCGACACGTGCTGTCCATTGGAGCTGGCGAACAATTCCATCCGAGCCCTTGATTTCATCCCAGATCTGCAGAGAGAATTAGCTCAAGAAGGATGGGTCAACATTGCCCGCGAGGCTTACCATCGGGCCAATGTTTGGCGCAGACTGGGTGAGGATACCAGTGCGGTTGGAGAGATAATCGACCTTGTCGGTCTCGATTGGCGTATTCCAAGCCTCATAAAAGTCATAAAAGACGACATCGGGATGAGTGATGATAAGATCAGTGTCGAGATGATCAATAAGATTGTAGCCAACAGGCAGGTCAATCCACTGGTCCTTGGCGATGAACGTCTCCGCGTCGGCTGAGCCGGCAACCACCTCCAGCTGGTCCGCAGGTCCGATGCCGCCTATCCAAATTATGTCAGCACGAAGTATTGTATGGAGCAAATAGCGTGATGGTTGACTTACTCCGAAGCAGAAGCTTGGCAGAGCCGAATGTACCCGCAGAGAAGATGACTCCTCCGTTTGCGGAAACATTCACAATGCCGCTATAGCCACCGTCGCTCAAGCATTCCAGCTCGACGCCGGTAACACGGCTGCCGGTTCGCACAGCCCGTCTCACGGCAGAGCCAGTCCACAAGTTGAAGTTCTCGCGCGCATAAGCCGAAACGAGATAGGTAGCCAATGGACCACCTCTTTCTCCGTTGGAGAACATGAACGTCGTATGGCCGTATGTGTGGTTCTTGAGATTGGGCGAGTCGTTGGGGATGACTTCGGTCCACCCGGTCTTGTTGAGTCCACTGACCAGGGTATTGAACCCCTCCTGTCTGTACAGCTTGCCATCTTGCGACGGATGCCAGGTGCCTGGAATCCTGTCGAACACACGCTTTGTGGCACCGGCCAGGTCGCTAGATTTCCAGCCTGCAGGGAAGTTGTAGTCCCAGTCTCTCGGGTTCGGCTGATGGTTGGTTAGCAAGATCTAGAGAAGTGGATACGAGCACTTTGAAGCTTACCTTCCACCAGAGACCCGCGTTCACGGCTGTGCCGCCTCCCAGGACACAGCCCGCCATCTGGTCGGTATCGGTGCAAGCAATTCCAGCCGAGTCAACCCAGATCTCGTTGCACAAGCCCGGGACATCAAAGCGGGTGAGATTGGTGCCGGTGAGCCAGCCAGGCTTCATGGTTCCGTTCCATCGTCCCGATGAAGGAGGCCCCTTCTCGATAAGCAGAACAGTCTTGCCAGCCTGGCTCAGCTTATCCGCAAGGGGAATGCCTCCGGCACCACCGCCGACCACAATGTAGTCATAGGTCTTGGCCGGGGCCGCGACGCACGTTGGTGCTTCAGGCTGCGTGGTCTGGGCTGGCGGAGGGGGCTCGAGGCTTGTAACACCTGTCAGAATATGCGAATTTATGGGGGTTTGCCACCAACTTACGTCGTGCAGTCAGTAGTGGGCGTCGCCGTGGCCAAGGCGGCCCACGTAGAGTATGCCGCATTGGTCGTGTTCTCGAGCGAGGCTCCCCATTGGCCATAGCCATTGTTGTGAAACCCGAAGAAGGCCTTGTCGGGGCAGGTTGGGTTGTGCAAGCCCGATTTTGCGGCAGCTCGGCCAAGAATCAGGTTCCCATCAGTGGTAGAGACACCGCCCTTGGTGGAGCCCTGCTGCCAGGAGAAGCATCCCTGGCAACGGTAGATCAGCTCGAACTCGTTGGGTGTGATGGTCGACGAGATTTGGGTCAGAGTGGCGTTGCCAGAGTAGACACCAGGAATGCTATATCCAGAGGTGAAGCGGAACGAAGTGTAGATCTTCCCGCTGTGCTGCCATGCCATGAGAAGCAGAGCCTGGGTCATCTGGCCAGACTGGCCATGGGAAAGACCGCACCAGCCAGGGGTGGCGCTGTCGGCGATTTGGCAACGCTAGGCAGTGTAAGCGGTCATCTTAAAAATAACTAGAACCAGACCTGTGGACGTGTCGAAACGTACTAGGATACCGATGTACTCGGTAGCGTCCTTGGTCAACGCATCGCCAGGTAACGACAGACCAAAGGTGAAGGGAGCCACGCTGGCAGCCTCGGGGTCCGACCCATTGGTTGTTGACCATGTGTTGAACTTGATGCCCGTCTTGGCGTCCGTATACGGCGCCTCGGCCATTTGCGCCGCGCATTGTTGCACGCCTTTTTAATGGTCAGCGGACGCAAGTACATCTAGATGGATAACCCAATGGGGCAAGGCCACTTACACAGCGACGCCGCGATGGCGGTCGCCCCCAATTGACGCAGGAGCTTCATTGTTCCGGTGCAGCCAGGGGAATCAAGACGGTTCTCGGGTCAGGGCTGAGAGTAGGAGACAAGAAGACATCCTAGGCCAAGGCGTCACGAGGAGGGGAGGGCAAGAGATATTATAACAGATGAGCCCAGGCGGCGCCCCGGACGGGGTGCCTGAACACCGTCGTCCCTGAACTCCGCATCCCAGGAACGAGCCGCGGAAGCGCAGTCCGGGATTGGATACGGAACGCCACCGATAGGATGGATGCCACGGCAGAATGGACAGAAGGGGGCCAGCCCCTTGGACTAAGGTAGAACCAGACGGACGAGGATATATTGGCTGCATGTGGAGAGTATAGCCTCCGTGAGCTGGAATATGGGAATAGCACCATGGCAGAAAGGGGCTGATATGAAGGGAGCAGGGAAATTGGAGAAAACCGCCCCAGAGGTGGAGCTGTCCCCAAGTTTTCCCCTGGGGAGGGCGGAACATGGTGAGATTGCCGGGCAGCGGCATGACAGGCTGAGCGAAGCGAGGAGGACGGGAGAGAAATCCGCCAGGGGTCCAGATGCTGTTCCGCCACTCACAGGCCCCCTAATCCCCATTTGTAGCGGGGTGCAGCGCCGCGCAGCACTCGTTGTGCATGCATTCATCGCCGTCGATCACTGACGAGCGGGAGTGTCCAGCGCCTCCGAGTCTGAGGGGTAAGGCGTCACGATCCATCTTTGTCAAATTGACAACAACTTCGGTGATGCGAGCTATTTCACCTCGCATGCCCGGTTGGAGGGAAGCATGCAAGTACCTAGGTAAGGTAGCTCAATGTCCAAGTTGCATTTTCGGTCGTGCTTGCCTGCCCAAGTAAAAGTTAGCAGTGTTTGCCATTGAGTGCGACAACGCCTAGAATCCCGGGTGCTTGGTCGCATCCCGAGATCGAGGTTCCGCAGCCATGGAATATGCTCGGCTGCGGCGGCTGGATGCACGCCTCGGCGACGAGTTTGCCGTTTGGCTGACAGGCTGATGGGATCCAAGCAATGTTTTGATGAACGGTGAGGAGCATTGGATAGAAGTCGAGCGAAGCAACCCGAGGGTGTGGCTCAGTGCTGGGCCAGTGCCTTCTGCAGGTTGCGTTCTGGAACCACGGGAAGTCGCGATTGGTAAAGGCAACCCAGGTGCCTGCCATGTCTTGGAACCCTGCTACTAGGCTTTCATTGCCTTACCTAAGGTAATTGCCAGCGGGTGGCGGCAGGAACGTAGATGCTGCCCCGCCTCAAGCCTTCCTCCTCCAGAGTGCTGGTGTGGCTCGGCTGCTACGTACTTCGTGGAGCCGCCACGGTTTGCTCTGGGAAGGAACGGATGGTGTTCGAGCAGCCCATAACGGCAGTGGCAATGGAAGTTGGGAGGTCCTTCGCCAAGATCGCGCCTGTCCGGTTCTAGAAAAACGACCCGTTTACGGGCCCGTTGGCAGCTGAGGACCGCTGCAATGTGCAATATCCCCCCACTTTGGATAAAAAACACTGCTAATGCGGTGCCGCTTTTCTTCATCTTCCCCGTCTGACTTCATCTATCCTCAACCTCAGCAGTTCGCTGCTTACGCCTCAGTGTCATTCTCAATCAGCCTATATCAAAACACCTCTGCTATAGTAAACGTCGCGGTCCGGCGGCCCTGATCATGCCCCCTCATTCACCGCTCCCTCCAAGGTTGTCGGAAAATGTCGCGAGCGAGAGACGCCGATTGTCCGACTCGGGAGACAACACGTGCTAATGCCTAAACAACCCAGGGAGGCAGTAAATCGATGGAATAGCCAGGTCGAGATTGATCGGGATCCAGAGAGACTCGCAGCGGGCAGGCTTCCCCATCCAAGTCCGATAGCAGTCGGCCAAAGGGCCAAGTGATAAACTGTGACTACCTCGGCGTCATTTAGACCTTGCAGGCCTAACACCAAAAGCTCGGAGCGTGATGGCTTCAACTGCGCTTTGGGGACTCGTTCTCATTTTGTACTTTTGGTGCCGGGCACTTGCGCTCTCGGGCTTTCCGGTTTCGACCCCAAGATCGCGTGGGGCGTTCAAATGGCGGACCATTGCAGCGTCACAACTCCCGGTTCCATGGCATCCACTGCCCTGACAGGCAACGCGCCAGTTGCTGAGGTGCACGGATCCGCGTGCAAGTCTCGCGGCCCCATCCTCTCTCCAACGCGGGTGTCACACGTGCGAGCGCTTGTCCCGTGACCTGGCGGCACTTTCATTGCGGTGACACAGACTCTCCTGCCGGACCAAGCTGTTTCTCAGACTCTGGGGAAATGCGGGTTGACCTGGGGAAGCCCTGCCGCATCCCTTCCAGGTTCGGCTCGGACTTGGCCCCTCCGCCCCCCTAGTCGTCCCTTTCACTATCACTGGTCAGAAACACCAAGGCCTCATTCAGCATGATGCCCACGAGATCATCGCCATGGCTTCGGCATGCCATGGATATAGAGAAAACCGGCTAGCATGGCAGAGGAAATCCCATCTCCGGGATATAACAATAGAGCTGTAAATCCCCGGTCCCGATTCTTTGCCTTTTGCTTATCGCAGCTTTTGATGTGAACGAGACGTCTTGTTTCCCTGAGCCTCAAGGTTTGTATTCTCGACGCCAAGACAGTCCAAGATGAAAGTCTCTGCAGTCCTAGCCGGCATCGCATCCGCCTCCGTTGCGTCAGGCCACACCATATTTCTCTCGCTCACGACTGATAAGAGCTACGGTATGGACGTTTTTGGACAGTGAGCTTAGCTTTGCACTAACACAAACGCAGGTATCTCGTACGGGATCAGAACTCCCTCTTACGATGGCGTAAGCACCGATGCTGAAGCACCAGGACAAGAGCGCTCGCTGACGTCTCAAACAGCCCCAAACCGATGTGAACGCCAAGAACATGGCCTGCAATGGCGCGCCGAATCCTACAACACCGTCAGACAAGATTATCCCGGTCACGGCTGGAACGAATGTCTCTGCCGTGTGGAGACATACCCTCCAATGTGCGTCAACCTACCTTCATACCTTGTACCGATCTAACAATGGGTAGCTGGTGCCAACGACGTGATGGATCCCGGACACAAGGTTAGATGGCTCACCTCCACAACATCAGGTCATTTTCTAACGCACTGCGCCATAGGGACCGGTGATGGCATACCTCAAGAAGGTGACCGACGCAAAGACTGACTCGGGAGTCGGCGATGGCTGGTACGTGGCAGCCATTACGAGGGCATATCGATGTTAACTCCCAACTGACTCGTCTCTAGGTTCAAAATCCAGGAGGGCGGATACAAGAATGGACAGTGGGCCACAAACGAGGTCATCAATAACAAGGGAAACCAGGTCATCCGTATCCCGTCGTGCATTGCCAACGGCCAGTATCTGCTGCGAGCCGAGATGGTGGCCTTGCACGGCGCCCGGTCGGTGAACGGAGCACAGCTTTATGTGAGTCCAACGAAGCCCCTGGGTTTGTCGGCGCCGATGACTGGAACTAATCGCATTGTTGTAGATGGAATGCGCCCAGATCGAGATCACGGGCGGCAGCGGAACTGCATCTCCCAAAACGTATAGCATCCCCGGCATCTACAAGGTATGTGCAGAGTCAAGAACTGGGCATCTCGAGATTTTGTGTTCCTAGTAGCTTACTCCTGAATTACAGTCAAACGACCCCGGTCTACTCATCGACATCTACTCCATGAAGACTACCACGTCATATGTCATTCCCGGTAAGAACTCCTCTCAGTGTGTGTAATTCACGGCTCTTTGACTAACACTGCCAGGCCCGCCTCTCTTTACGTGCCCATAGACGATGGAGCGTGGCTGTACGGAAGAGGCTCGCGCCGGGGACATTGATGGCAATATCATCATTATTCACGTAGCATGTGCAAATATCATGGGTCCCGCCTAGCCTCTTACCGAGAATTGGGTCAAGAAATGGCGCAATCAGAACGGTTGTGGCACGCTTCCAAAACTCAAGGATTGATGTGTTGTCCCCGGAAAGCGGCACCCGGCCACAATGGCCAACTCGGGCGAGTTATATCCGATAGAACAATCCGTGATCGAGCAAGACAATTACCAATATCGAGTGTGGATAGTTCGGCATCCCACGCTCTGCTTACTGCTAGGGCGTGCTTGGTCTTCCAACGCGTTCGCATCAAGTCGCAAAGTCGAAGGCGCAAGGAGGCAAGGACACGGCAACAGCTACCGGGACACGGCATTGCCTCTTCCACATGGCAAGCAGCGGCCGGCTCGATATTGGGGTCCGGGGTAGCCAACCCGCGGCGCACCCCACATTTTGGCCGCATGACGAGCACCCCATTCGACGTGATCCAAGATGCAATATACATTTGGGTAGAAGGCAATCTGGGGCCCCACGCAACCTCATCTGTCCTCGTTCTCGGATGCGCTAGTTTCCCTGGCTTATTGCCCGCGCCTCGCAGCATGGCATGCCGTAGTGGGCTGCCATTGCTGCCCAAGCGCGCCTCCCAGATGGGCCATCCGGCCCGTTTCATATACAAACTGCCATCCTGCGCACCCCCGGCATTTGCGGCCGCTCGCCGTCCGGGAAGTTCGAGAGCCTGCTTGGTGCCTACCTAGTTCATAAGCCCTGCGTTCGACACTACGACCCGACCGTCGCTACTTGGTGCAACTCTGAAACCACCGCGTCCCATTCCAAGGCCCAGAACTGGTCTCTGTCGGCCACTGCTTCCCAAGTTCCCATCATCGCCACCCTCGCCGCCACCAACAGCATGAAGGCCGTCTGCGGTCTCGCGGCCGCGCTCGGCGCGGCCCAGGTGTCGGGCCACTACATCTTTCAGCAGTTCGGGCTGGGGTCGAGCAAGTTCCCCGTGTACCAGCACGTGCGGTACAACACCAACTACAACTCGCCCGTGACCAGCCTGACGTCCAACGACCTGCGCTGCAACGTCAACGGCGAGTCGGGCCACAACACCACCACCATCGACGTCAAGGCCGGCGACTCGTTCACGTTTTACACGGATGTCGCAGTCTACCACCAGGGCCCCATCTCGTTGTGCGTTTGCCTGGTTCCATCTCGTTAGTGGAATGATGCTGACGATCCCACCCCGCAAACAGGTACATGTCCAAGGCCCCCGGCGCGGCCGCCGACTACGACGGCTCAGGCGACTGGTTCAAAATCTACGACTACGGCCCGACGTTCAGCGGCGGCCAGGCGTCGTGGCCTCTGCGCAGTACGTATCTACCCTGCCCCCCCTTTACTATTTGTTGTCAAACACTAACAACAACACCCCTAATTGGAAACAGCTTCCTACCAGTACAACATCCCCAAGTGCATCGCCAGCGGCGAGTACCTGCTGCGCGTGCAGAGCCTGGCCATCCACAACCCCGGCTCCACGCCCCAGTTCTACGTCAGCTGCGCGCAGGTCAAGGTCGCGGGCGGCGGCAGCACTACCCCGGGACCTACTGTCAAGATTCCCGGCGCTTTCAAGGCTACCGACCCGGGATACACGGCCAATGTGAGTTTCTTTTCTTTTTTTCTTTTTTTTTGTGAGCGTGTTTGTTTGTCTGTGTGAATTGGATGCTGACTGGGAATTAGATCTACAACAACTTCAAGTCGTACACGGTTCCGGGGCCTTCCGTCTTCACCTGCTAGAATGCATGTGGTTGATTTTGTGGTGATGGGGAGAGCGATTGTTTCGTAGTTGTGTATATATTGTTTTGTCCAATTACGTGGCCAGCTTGAGTTGCGCTGCACACTTACGAAGCTTCATGATCCAGTCTTTTTAAATTTTACCTGACCCTTCATTATTGACTATGGTTTTTTCCCCCGTCCCCCCCAATTTGGGTTGGTAATGTTGTGAATGACTGTGCCTTACCTGTCTTTGACTGACCTGCTGGCTTTGATGGTGGCGCTCTCACTCAACTCTCGCAGGCCGATCAACAGGAAACGCACAGAAACAGATTCGATCAGTACCTGCTTGTCCACTAATCAAGACACCGTGAACTCGATATGGCCTAGATCATGCATGCGCAGATCGCGGGAAACCATGCTAATTCTGTCGCGGTGTTTCCGGCGTGGTGGCGTGGTGGCGTGGAGGCTTGCACTTGCATGAACCACGACGCGGGACGGCCGATCCCTCTCCGCTTGCCATGCCGCGACGGTTGACCTAGTCCGAAAATGACGAGGAAACGAGAAAGTTCATGCGGTGGGCTTAGTCATGGTATTTTGCGGTCAGGGGTCGTTTATCGCAAATGTCACTGTGGCTGGCGGGTACAAACGCGGCCCGAGGTGTGCTTGTTCATTTTCTAGATAGAGTTCGTTATGACAGTGACTTGCAAATAAAGTCCATGTTGACTCTACATAATAGATCGCGGTAATCTATTGCCGTAGATGTGACTAATGCAACAAGTCTGGCACCAAGATCAATTATCAATTCACGCCATGTTCTCGATAATTAACAAGCCCAACGTGGTTCTAAATCAGGTATTGGTGGTATTGTCATTAATTTTCCTATGAAATCCCAAGGTATATATCCATTCTGTCCCAAGCGCCGGTGACTAGTTCTGGTCACTTGTCACGATAAATCCACAACTCCACTCGCCACCTAATTACTCCCCGAGTTTGTCTCTCAGACATCCCATGCCCAGAATCCTTGTCTTCATAGACATTATGATAGAAGAACCCAGATTCTCCGCCATTGCTAAGTTGTGCCCGCAAGTATGGCGCAATAGAAAATCCCAAATCGTAATGTACATTCCCCATAATATCCACTCTCGTGAGTGCAATGTAATTAGTCTCGAGTGTGTGAGACTACGATGATCAAAGATAAAAGATCAAAGATCAACTAGATCTGAATCCTCTCTCAAGTCAGCACAAGGCTACATGTAATCTACTGAATCAAAGCTGTAGGAGTACTCACCATTCAGGTCAAGTCGTGAACCAACCCTGTAGACTGAACCAACCCTGTAGACTTCGGCCATCACACGAGTCCGTATGTCTGAAAGACTTGGCGCCGAGCTTTAGCTGGCTGTGACACGCGGCCATGGTGGCGCGGGCGACTGCTGGCGTGGTTGCGGTGGTTGCGGTGGTTGTCAGGAGGACTGAAGAAACTGTGGTTGTTAGCGCGACTCCTGTCCCTAATGGATTCTCCGCGAGAGTATATGGCGTTGAGGTGTATATTTTTGCTATTGGAGGGGAATGTGAATTGAAGGCTGTGGGAGGGCTGTTCGAGTAGTTACCTGTATCTCGACATGTCGAAATCATCGCTGCCGCTGTCGGAATCAGCGTGGCGGGGGTCATGATTGCGGCTCACGAGCCGGCAGCTCTTGTCGTTGCGACGCTTCTTGCGCACTAGGTAACCCGGGCCCTTGTCCTTGGCCTCGACATCGAACGTGCTGAGCATGCAGCCCATTGTGTCGACTGTTGATCAAGTTTGTTCTGGTGAGATGGAGATGTATAATTGTGAGAATAGAAGTGTGAAGAGACTCGGTTCCGGTTGACGAGGGCGATCGGTGATGATGCAAAGTGGTAGAGCATATGTTTATCTTCGTGGTCGTGTTACTGTTAAGATTAGTGTTTGGCTACGAAACAGAGGGGTTCAATTGCTTTGCGAAAGAATAATATACACGCGCTGCCGCCATGGCGGCGTCTTGTTCAGAGGTAGTTGTTCCTGTTCGTGAACAGTCGCCGCTCTGCAACGGATGAACAATGTCACTGTTCAGGTGCACCCCCTGAGAGCCAGTTGAATTGTTGACATGCCGCAGTTGAACAACTAAAACTTTAGGCATCGGCTTGAACAGTAGCAACTAGCCCGACTCGGTAGCCACTGCTCGGCGAAGCTGTTCGCCAAGCTGACTTATTAGACTTAGTAGTTTTAGTTCTACTTGCCATCCTATCTCTCTCTTATCCGAGCCAACAGGAGTCCTAAGTGGCAACCATCAACAATATGCAAGTTAGTTCTACAGCACGCACATCAATGTCTCTCATCAAGAAAATAAACACTTTTTAATATCTATCTAGCTTAGTTACGGGTCCGTAATTATCAACTATTACTCAAACCAGCATCCAAAATTGCAGCGCAACGCATCTAACCACCCTTCAAATCGGACCTCGAGATTCAGTATCAAGCCAGAACTCGAACAATTATTCAACTCGCCATTTGAGGAGTGATGACTAGTTCAACTGCCCATTGACCATAGACATGGCGGAAAGTTCCGGAGGCAGCGAATCAGAAGGGGAAAAAGAGCCTCGAAGCCTAACGAAACCGAATGGACCCTTGCCTCGGGAACCCATTCTCGGATTTTATCCAACTTTGGAAACAAGAAGGGCCGGCCTCGGCGCTTGGCGAGGGCTGTCTGCGATGCCCGGGTCGGGTGGGGGTAAGCAGGGCGAGAATCATGCCGCCGCGCCGTGGCAGTATTGTGGTCATTCTTGGGTGGCTGAGCGCCCTTGTGCTCCCACCTGCACGCGGTGCTCGGCGGTGGCCGTCACGGCGGGCCAGCCTCTCAGAGGCCATCGCGGCGCTCTTGGCACGGCGCCACGCTCGCAGTCCCGTCCATTTACAGCCCGGGTAAGGCTGACGTTGGGCTTGTACGCTGCAGCCACGTCGCATCCCCCTCCCTGGACCCAAGCTCGGGCCTGGCAACCGTCACTAGCGCAATGCCGCCGTCCTCGTATTCAGACTGAACCCTCGCAGACGACGAATCACTTGACTCGCACCCCCCCAGCGGTCAAAGGTGAACATCACTTCCTGTTTCGGTTTTCTTACCAGCCCTCGCCAGTCGCTACTATGGGCCATCAACCAGTATGTCCACACCTCACGTACACATAAATAGCTACGCCCGCTTCACCTTGGGACTGCCTGAACCCAACTCCACTCCTGCTAAAACACAAAACATCACCAGCGCCCACACGCTCCCCGCCCAAAGCGCCCAAGTCTTTTCCGGCGACTCATATACCACCTTCTCGTGCTCACCGCCGCCCGCCACATCCTCGCCGCCATGGCCAGGCTCGCAACCCTCGTCACCAGCGCCCTCGCCCTCGCCCTCGGGGCCGCGGCGGCGCCGAACGCGCTCGACGCGCGGTGCACAACCACAATCCTGGCGCCGTACGACACGGTGGTGTTCGACCTGGCGCAGCCCAACGTGGCGGGGTGGTCGACGAACCCCTTCTTCGAGATCGCGCTCAACATCGACGGCAGCGGGTACAAGCAGCTGGTGCGGTTCGCGCCGCCGAGCACGGGCACGTGCTCGTGGGTGCTGAGCCTCCCGCAGGCGCGCTACGAGCGCGACGTGCTGCAGAGCCGGCCCTACAACGGCCCCGTGCTGCTGACGTCGTGGGCCGTGCAGCCTGGCGGCTACGCGCCCGGCTTCAAGCTCGCCGACGTCCAGCTCAAGCCCGGCCCCTTCGGCGTCAACGCCATCCAGCCCGGCGTCCAGACCATCCACGCCGAGCCCTGCACCCAGATCGGCGGCGAGTTCTTTGCCGAACTGCCGCCCTGGTCGTCGGACCCAGAGTTTGTCTACTGGATGAACGATATCAAGCCCGCCAATGCGTCCGACTCGCTCGGCATCTACATGCTTGTCCAGCAGTGCTAGGTGCAGATGCTCTAACAAGCGTGTGAGGGCTGTTTGCGTTGACTGGGAGGATCAAGTCGAGGTTGCAATGGATGGGAGATATAAGGAGGCGAACCATAGTTATTGACGAGAAAATGAATTGATATTAGATTACTGTACATAGGTTTTTTGAGTTTTTATATTTTTTCAAACGACTTTGCCATCCGCTCAGTACTGTTTTTAGATAGGCTCTATACGTGTCCGTTCTAAGTAGAATTTTTGTCCCTTACGAGCGATCGGTTATGTCCATACTTGAAAGTATTTGAGTTAATATTGCGATCCCTATTGATTATTGACTAACCAACTCCATGTGCATGTCAATGATACGTGGGTTTCTCAAGAAACTTACCAATATCCCCTGTTGCCCAAGTTTCAATACCTTGGTTTTTTTTATCGTTACAAGTGTAGACCTTTCTTGTTTCCCTACTAAGTACGTAATTAGTACTGACAATGGCTATGAATATGTAGATAAGGTTTCCGTAGTTACACCCTTACACAATATAATCTACCTGGTATACTTTTTTTCCTTTTCTCTTAGCTTGCCTACCTCACCTCATATAAGGTGGGCAGCCCGCCCGCCCTCGCTCTGATCAGACGGCCGGCATCGCTCTTTCCTTCTTTTTCTAGCCACTCTTTAGAAATCACGTCTTCTTACCATGAATTGAGATCCCCGGATCAGTGCACGCAATAGTGCCAGTGCACAGGTAACTACCGTTGACGGACCTACTGAAACTTCATTCGGTTCTCAGAGCGTAACTTTCAATTTGCCCGAGTTAAACTTTTGTTCACTAATAAACAGCATAGTGCGGATATTACGCCTGCTAATATAGACCGACTCTGCTGTAGAAAGGGGGGGAGCAGTAAACGGAGGTGGAAAGTGGAATTCCGTATAACGATGCGTAAAGAAAGAGGGACAGGGACAGCGGATGGACCGTCAGTCACCCCAACGCGTCTTGTGGTGACGAGAGCGATAGTTAGCCGGGAGTCGAGTGAGAAGTGGGCCTTTGATACTGCTTTACAACCCGCTGCAGACTGCCTTTTGAACGGGAACACGGCTTACTACGATTAGAGGCAGTGTTGTAGCGTAGAGGTAGTGTTGTAGCATAGAGGTAGTGTTGTAGCGTAAAGGCAATGTTGTAACGTAAAGGCAGTGTTGTAGCGGTCACGGCCGGATCTTCCTGCGAGCGCATCTCTGAGACTCGGAATCCGAATCCCCACCCTGCCCTCAAATGCTAATAAATGGGCTGGGCAGCTGGACGGGGGGGCTGTGAAGGCTTGGGCCACATTTCTGGCACCAAGAATACAAGAATACTTGGATGTTTTCCTTCTTCAGATATAGTCTATGACTTTTCTTCCCCTCCCCTAGCTCCTGTAGATGGACTTTGAAGGTGTATTTTTCTGTCTGTTGTATTTTCCATCTCGCCCATTTTCTCTTCTGCACGTGATCCATTCTCTGTCGAAGCCCGCCGAGCCACTGAAAGCAGTTCTTCCAATAGGGTGAGACGGACCAAAAGATAATGTACCTGGGTGGTCGGCCGTGGTCTTGGCGCGATCAGGCGCAGCCCAAGGGAGACTGACTCCCCCTTGAGCCCCTCACTTCAGGCTTCGGTTTCAGCGCAACAACTTTGGTCGGCACAACCTCGCACAGAACCGCCCGCAATGGAACTCACATATCGAACGCTCGTCCGGCCGATGCCCGTAAAGCACAGTCTTGCAGGTGTGGCCTTAGGCCCCGGCATGCAAACGTGCAGCCTGTGCAAAGCCGCAGTGCCGGACCGCAACAAGGCGGCAAACAACGTCATCAAGACAGACTACGAGCTTGTCGATACCTTTCCGCACTTTCCTGTTCTCAAAAAGTCGATAGCGGCAGGGTGCGGGCTCTGCTGGATCATTCGAAAGGCCTTGCGGCACAACTGGGCTGCCCGGCCGATGGAAGAATGGGGCGTCGGCCCTCTCTCGGAGCAGGATCCGGCATTCGCAGACCTGCTCGATGAACCGTGGGATTGCCGAGTGAGAATTTCCAGCCTCAAGTTCGTCTTCAACTCTTTTCCCGGAAGCCAGGAGGCGAAGCGAGACACGGACGCCAACAATCCGAGCCCACAGCGAGGGGGCATGGTCACGGGCATGTCGCTGGAGTTTGGCCCTGTGACTCCGAGCCCGACAGATGATTGCGCTCAGCTCCACGATGATATTAGCCAGGTCCTTCACTTCAAGGTGTTTGATTCCATCGGTGAGTTTGCCACCACGACATGCGAGACCGGCCTGGCCTAGTTAATTATGCTGATCCGGCTTGGGGGCGTGTGCAGACCTCGATTCGCAGGAGACGTCTCACCGGGGGAGGCTTCCCAGTGATGAATCCCTATCGGACGACAACATCAGCATGATACAAGGGTGGGCCAGTGACTGCGAGTCAGACCACTTCCCATGCCGCGTATTGCCAGCGTCGGCAGCATGGCGCCCCACACGGCTTTTGCACGTTGGGTCCGATGCCGGTGCCGACCCGGAGCAGCCGCGCGACCCCCGCCTCGTAGAGGCCGAAGCCCTAACAGACAGCGCCAAGGCGCTCCGTTATGCAGCCCTGAGCCATATGTGGGGGGATGTCCAAGAATCCGCACCTCCGCTCCGGGCCATGAACTACAACTACGCCGACTTGAAGGACGGCATCTCCCTCGGCCGTCTGCCGCGGAACTTTGCCGACGCCGTGGAGACGTGTAGGCGGCTGGGCATAGAGTACATCTGGATCGATTCGCTCTGCATCATCCAGGACAGCGAGGAAGATTGGAAACGGGAGGCGGCAACGATGCACATGGTGTACAAAAATGCCTTTATCACCATTGCTGCGTAAGCATGAACGCCAGTGAAGCGAGGGAGAAACAATAGATAAAAACCCATCTGCTAACCCACAAGATGTGTGCTGCATACCGCATAGGACTTGGGCGACCTCCTCTCACGACGGCTTCCTCGCGAGGAACCTCGACGTCATCCCGGCCGTCAAGATCGAGTATGCGGTGAATACAGCTTCCGGCGAGAGCGGCCAGGCTTATGACGACGTTCCGTCCGGGTTCCTCGTCGTTACCCCCGTCCACGACGACGGGGTGGGGCTGCGACGCGGCGATGTCGACTGCTCCAAATGGAACACCCGAGGCTGGGTCATGCAGGAGCGGAGCCTCTCGACAAGGACGATACATTTCTGTAAGAACAAGATCTATTTTGAATGCAGGAAATGGCTTAAGTCCGAGGAGAACGAACCGGAGCAGGTAAGGCCGTCGGACCCGTTCCAACTGTGGCCGCGGTCTCTCGCCGACAATGACCCTGCCAAGTGGTACGAATTCTGGAAGCGAGCCGTCATCGGCTACAGCCGGAGAAGACTGACGGTCCCGTCGGACAAGCTCACAGCCATCCAAAGCTTGGCCAACGAAATGGCCGCTCACGTCCCTGCCGGCAGCTATATCCCCGAGGCGGGAACGTGGAGTGGCAACATGGAGAGAGAGCTCCTGTGGCTTGTCGAGAGCGGCATCGCCCGGCGGCCGGCGACAAAGCGCGCCCCTACCTGGTCGTGGGCGTCGCTCGATGCCAACATTGGCTACGTCAAAGGCATGCGGTCCGTTGACGGCCCAACGCCCAAGGGTTTAAGTCCTATCAAATTCCAGCCCCATTCTCCGCATATGGTATTCTACGGGAACCAGATGCATGTCATGCAAATACGGCCGGATGACGAGGGAAGCTGGACTTTGGCCACCAGCTTCCGATACGCCATAATCGGGCCCGCGGACAAGCTCTTTGCGCGCGGGATGCTCGACTTTGACAACCGGGACAGCCTCCTTCCATTACGGCCAGGCCATTCGTTGTGCTATCTGCACGTTTCAAACAGCCAGCGACCCTCGGGGTTGCTTTTGAAGCTCACGTCCGGAACCCGCAGTCACCGGACCTGGGAGAGGGTCGGGGTCGCTACCATATTTGAGACTGCTGGCGAGGTGATTGATCCGGAGGGGTGGGGTGATGCTTGCAGGGAACTGTTCCAAGACGTCATCGAGTAAAAATAGATTACCTGACGGGTCAGAAAGGGGTCAGCTGAATGGAGCCTCTTTTTTTCTTGTTTTTTTGCGGCTTCTCCCTTGCAAACAAAGTCTCACACGACACGCGCAGCCGCAGTCGCAGTCGCAAAACGGATTGGAGTTGAGCACAACAGCCATACGCTTCCCGAGCTAGCAGCCGTGACAACTGCTAGCCCGTGACCGATCTGACTAGGCATTTCGCTGCCTCTCTTCCCCATTCCTTGTGTTTCTGGCGCCATCTCTGCACCCTCTACTTGCTCCATTTCCCTTGCGGCGGTGGACAACTCGATGCTTAACCATCTCGTGCTCTCTGCGCCTCTACTTGCTCCCTTTCCCCTTGCCGCGGTATTGGCGCAGGGCGTGACGGGAGGTACCTCGATGCCTGAATCCCTGTAGTATGGTGAGCTGGGGGGAGCGAGGGTGAGCCGAAGGTGGGCCAAGGGTGAACCCTGATTTAGCCTACCATCTTTTGATGAAGGCTCTTTTTTTTTTTCTTAGAGACGGACTACCTCTATAGTCACCCCCCACAACATTTTCTGACCAAGTCCGGATTAGTTGCAAAGCCTGAGCAGGGGGCGAGGTGCAGTGAGCGCCTCCCTGAGCTGAGGTGAGCAGAGGGAAGCGATTTTTTGGCTCGGCTATAATTACCGTGATCCAAAATTGAGTGTATGTAAGTTGCAAGGGTCCGTTCTGGACCCAGTTTTGGGACACCAGTCCACCACCAGTACTACTGTTTTCCTTTGCCTACATATATGTAGCCACCGTTACTAGGCCCACTGAAACTACTGCTCGTTCTCAGAGCGTAACTCCAATATACCTAGAGTCGAACCTGTGTGCCTGTCTGAGGTTTTATTTAATGCCTAGGGAAAAGTGCTGCGTTCAATGCTCGAAGCCACCAGTGAGCCTAACAGGACCTTATAAGAGCGCCACGGGAATGAGGCAGCCTTGGCTTCGGGAATGGGCCTCTAGGAGCCCAAGTCTCGACCGCCACGGCAACTGCGATCCCGACTTTGGGACGCGGCCCATCTCACACCCCGCCGCCGTCACACTAGGAAAGATAATATAGCTAGGTAAAGGCTCGGTCTCCAAGTGGCCGGTATATATTTGTTACATTCGGATGTTCAACAGTCTGAAGGCTCCTTAATAGAGGTCTAACACTGCACCATTGAGCTACGCCAAATGACTCGATGAAAATACTCCAAAACAACCTAAGGAGTTGAGACATTCGATAACCTCCAAGACATGCTCCGCGTCGACAAGCTGCTATCACAACCCATGGAGGGATTGCGCAGAAGGCTCTGGAAATACATCCACTAAGCTTTTCAGGAAGCGACACTAAGCTTTTCAGGAAGTCGTTACACCTTAATTTCTCCAAGGGCCTCAGTACCTGCAGGAAGAATTCCCGTTGTAGCTCGCCATCATCATCTTGATCTCGCCCGCACTTCTCAAAGCCTGGCCCGATGCATGTCTTGACAATTTCCCAGTAGACAGGACCCGCTCGGAAGGCGACATCGTCTGGGTGATTATCTAGTCTGCCGGCGTTCAGCAGTTCATCGCGCCTGTACTCCACATCGGCGACTCGAATATCATCCTACATTTTCAAATCAATGTGCTCCAGCTCGGCCCTAGTCTTCTTTCTCATGTCCTCTGAGACGTCTTTGAAATACTTCTCCCGCGCGAGCGGGATGAAGCTTTCCTTGAGTGGTCGCCACTTGGCAATGTCAAGAAGTACTAGACCAAGACTGTAGATGTCGTAGCACTTTTGGAAGCCATAAGCCTTCAGACACTTCGGGTGGCGGTAGATGTCGATCCTGGCGTTCTTCTGCAGCTTCTGTGACGGTGCGCCCAGATTAGCCGGCCGTGAGTAGTCGAACCCAACTATGAAAGGGCTCTCTAGCGGTCGCTCGTCGGACCGGGGAAAGAACACGACGTTGTCGCTCGAGAGGGCTTTATGCATCCAATTGGCGGAATGAAGAAGGAGAACAGAGCGCGCAAGCTCTCTTGCTAGCTGGAGCCTCGCCGATAGCGACGGTTTGTAGCTGGATGACATATATTCCCAGAGCGACTTGGGCGGCCGGGGGTTGTCGGGCCTCCCAGGCCAGCGATACAGAAACTCGAACTGCTCTTGGCACTTGTCATCGAGTATGCCAAAGCACTCCAGCGTCCTGAAGGACTGGTGTTTCGGCGCATTGAACAACTGAGCTAGCCCTAGGATTCCATTCTCGGCCTTCTTTCTCATCTCTCCCGGGGTTGCCCAGTCGTATCGCTTCCATTCGACGTAGTACCAGAAGCCGTCGTACTTCATAGCGCCACGCGGGAATCCATGCTCTCGAAAAGACTCAAAGCTCTCGATTCGACTTTCAAGAATGAACTGGAGCGAGTGGTGAGCCGCTTGGTTCGACGTCCTCTCTAAAAATTGGTCACCATGGGGCAATTCAGGATCAGGTATGCTGGTCTTGGTTGGAACCGATACGCGGCACTCTATAGTAATGGCCAACACAGGCCGCTCGCCGAGTGGGACCTGGCGCCCAGGCAGAAGATAAAGGCACAGCTGCAGCGCCCCGGCTTCAGCACTGCCGACCTCAGCCTAAACACGGACAAAGTGTCCCACTTTGCCGCTTCTGCCGGGTTCGTCGCGACCGTCGGTCTATGGGCAGATCCGATACCCATCTCGATCAATGAGAAGGGCACCCAGGGGGAGACAGCGCTTCTACAAGCGTGCCGATCCGGCCATCTCCATGTCATGCGACTCCTGCTACGGTGCAGCGCAGACCCAAAAGTCGCCAGCAGCAACGGCGACACACCTTTGCATTAGCTCGTGGGTTTCGACGACTCTCAGGTTGAGGATGCAGCCCGCATATTGGTGGGTGGATAGCGGAGCAGACGTTGACGCAGCCGCAAAGCCCGTTAGCATTGCGCATGCGCCTCTCTGCAACTACGAGGCAGGGACTGCCTTGCACCGGGCCGTCGGAGGTGGCAAGTTCACGGCCGTCAGGGCACTTGTCAACCTTGGTGCCAACGCCGACGATGTTGGTCATCGGTCAGATGAGCGAAGCCCCGTGTATCTTGCGGCACAGTATCACTACTCGGATATCGTCGACTTCCTGCTGCAGTCCCTTGGCGTGGACGAGCCAGCTACGAGGAGCAACGCCGGGGTCTCGCTCCCTGCCGTAGCGCTGCGCGGGGAAGTCTTGTACGGTGAACGATTTTCGAGAATCGCTCGGCACGGAAAAGAATGGTGAAGCGAGAGCAAGAGGACGATGGATGCCCTGCTCGCAAGAGGAGCCTTGGCCACCTCCACGGGTTCCCCACCACAATGAGATGCGGAGGCACCACGCCACTTCTGATCGCCGCCTCCATGGGTGTTGCGGAGGACGTGCAGTATCTGCTCGACCGAGGTTGCTCGTCTGACTTGAATAGTCTGACCTACTACTGACTGGATGGGGGCCACTACACTCCGCTCGTCAAGGCCATCTTTCAATGTCGGGATGATGTCTTCCAAGTGCTCCTCGATTCGCGGAGCAGACATCTCGATCAAATATGTCGACCAAAATGGCCACGAGTTTCCCTATCTCTACCAATGCGCGGCCGCTGGCCACAACGAAGTTTACATAGCTTCCGAGCTAGTGTCACGGGGCATTTCGGTCCGTGAGACGTTATCGAGATTTGAATCCGCTTTTGCCTGTGCCGTGCGAAACAGTTGTTTTGTCCTGGCTAAGTGGCTTCTTGAGCGGGTAGTTGATGCACATGCAGAGTATTCAAAGGGACTCATGGTTGAGACCGTACGTGCAAGGTCACTTCTTGGGTGGCTGATCCTCGAGCATACACGAGGTGGCGTTACGGCTGCCAAATGGTTTCTGAGCAAAGTTCCGGATACCCATTGGATTGTTAGTCAAGAGACGGGGTCGACCGCACTCCACGCCGTCGCAGCGGCCAGGAACTGCCGCCGAGATGAGTGGAAAACGGGCGTGAGTGAGTTGATGGTTGGGGTGGTGTTGGGCCACTTGCGGCCGTCGCAGGAGATGTTGGATCAGAAGGACAATGATTCTTGCAGCGCTCTCTGGGTCGCCGTCAGTATGGCTAATAATCCGATGGTAGGTGCTCTTGTGCGTGTTGAGGCACGAACTGATACAGCGAACGCGGATAGTGTCAGCGCCAGTCAGATGAATGAGGTACTTCTCGAGGTGCTTAGAGAGAACCCAGACACATTTTTCGACAAGGTAGATCCGAGGCCACTAGAGACACAGATTCGGTCCATCCGGACTGCTCGGAGGCGATCAGGGAGTCCCTCAACTCTCAAACGGATGACCAGTGAAACGAGAAACGATGGAACACATGCAATAATGGGCGGAACGACAACGCCAAGGAGTTCAGTTAGGTCTATTCTAGAGGCACCAGGGATACCCCAGTCCCGACAAACAACCCCGCCCACGTTCTTTTCGGGCCGCTCCCCGACCCAGACAAGTACAGAGGTCGAGGGTAAACGAGATTATCTACCGGTCTACTACATAACTTAGAGACCACGGGGGCACGGAAAACTTTATCAAAAACGAGATTATTTACCGGTCTACTACGCAACTTAGAGACCACGGAGGCACGGGAAAACGTTATCAATAAAGACGAGGGATAACTCCATCACCATTCACAATTGCCTAACCGTACTCTACCAATACATAATGAACGCGTAACGCCGTACGGTAGGAGTCATTACTGTCAGAGGGCTGGCTTGCGCTAGCTTGTGAGATCTAGCAGTCGCTAGAACTATGCGTGTGGGCCGTGTTGGAAGCCGCTTCCTGCATCCCAACATTAATTTTAGGCCGGTATGTTATTAATTCTGCGTGCTGGTACACTGTATACTATGTCACATTCACATACCAGTGCATTGCGCACCATCTCTGAATGAGGCTTAATTTTTTTTAGCGGCCGACTACCTAGGTATTTACCTATTTTGTTTTGAGAGAGAAGAGGAGCAATGGAAAAGGCTTCGGCCGGTTGAGGACTAATCAACTAACGAATTGTCTCGTTGATGACTATGGGAGTGCCTGATGAGTGTTGACATACTAATTTCTTGGCGACTGATCCGTGCAACTAGTGTATAATAGCAAGAAGAAACCGCTATAGACGTCTCGAGAGAATAATACCGAGGGTCCCAGTCCTTCTCTGTACCATCATTTATACCACTCGTGTTAACATACATAATTAAGATAGTGGGTCGAGCTAGCTGTGCTGTGGCTGTGAAAGCATAGGCAACCCAGAGGAACCTTGATGGAACCCCGAGACAGTCAAGAAATCCAACCAACTATTAGAGGTCCCAGGAAAGAGAAAAGAAGGAGGAGGCGGGGGGGGGGGGGGTCCGCGGATAGTGGGGCGCCACGTCTCTAACCTTCTAAGTTATATATATATACTTCGTTTCGTAGCCGAATGTGTGAATTCTGCCGTTGTCTGAAAAAGGAAAAAAAAAAAAAAAAAAACCTCAACCAGTGTTGTCTCTGCAAGCACAGACTCTTTTCTAGAGCGTGGCGCTGCGCGCGCTAGCTGCAATTCTCTTTTCCGAGCCAAAAGAATTGCAGGCCACAGTACATTGGCACGGGCCACCGGGAACGCGGCGGGGTCCGTGCTTGCAGAGATAAGCTAAGATAAGGCAGGTGGCATTTTTGCACTACTGTGGTATGATGACCACAGTAGACCTACTAGCAGAGCGGGGTTTAGGCACTGCCCCGAAGCAATGATGTGAACGCCAACGGGATAACCCACGCTTTCACAAAATTCACAACCGACTATCCTGTATGTGGAAGGGAATCCCCACAAATCTCCACCGCGCATCTCGATCACCCACGTCGTCATTCCCCTGGTTGAACCCCCTACTAGTCGGTTGTGAATTCTGTGAGTGGATACGGTAACACTTACCCACTCTTTCACGAGGGAGGATAAACCACAATGCCAGACTCGGAGCCTCTCTGCGCCAGTTTATGTGCTGATTCTCATCGTTCTCGCCCCGCCCCAAAGGCGTGGCCGGGGTGGGCCTCGTTGGAGAGAGTCAAACTAAAGAAATGTCCTAGCTGCGCAGTCCTGGCCGAAATTGTGCGTGTCTATTCGCCGAGGTTCGAGCATGGGAACGGCATTGTCAGAGGAATAAGCCTTAGGAGCCGCAGCGACACCGGCACTGAGCTCCCACACGGTGCCTTGGCAGTGTTGTTTGAGATCTATCTCAAGATTGGCCTCTCTGGCCACTGCGTGGTAATCACAGCCATTAAAGGTACGTGAAGTTCAAGTGCTTGTCGCTAATTATCGTTGGCGTTGCGACTCATTCCCCCGGCTGCAGGCAAGGAAAACCCTTGGGGACTACGAGTTCCCTCGGACTCGGCGGGACTGGATAGCATGTGTTTTGGTGGCAGCACATGGTCCCCCCAGGCACTTGCTTTAGCGTCGACCTGGGTGCGCGATTGTCTCGCAGGGCACCAAGCTTGCACCAAGGCCGGCGCAACCAACGACCCTCTACTACCGTCCAGGGTCATCAGCATCGGTGGCGGAGACCCAGGAGCGGTCACACTATGTGAGCCTGTGGACAACACGCGAGCCCGCTACATGTGCCTCAGCTACTGCTGGGGGGGTGCCGATTTCATCCAGACAACTACGGCAAATATCCAGTCACACTTATTAGACGGCATCTCGCTTGAAAGGCTGCCAGCCGTGTTCCGAGATTTCATCCAAGTAGCCAGGGCTTTCCAAGTCATGTATGTTTGGATCGACTCACTATGCATCATCCAAGACAGCACCGAAGATTGGCAGCGCGAGGCAGGAAGAATGGCGGCCGTTTATCAGAACTCTTTCCTCACTGTTGCAGCCGCTAGAGCCGTGAACCCCCACGTCAGACTCTTCGCCCGCCGAGAGGTGTCTGTGGTCGACTGTGTCCAATGCCACAGTGTCGACCATCTTCTTTCTAGGGAGCCCTCCCATTCTGCCTCGTTCCCCCTGTCTTCTCGTGGCTGGGCTTACCAAGAGCAAATACTCTCGCCTCGGGTTCTCTCCTTCGGGCCGGATGAGATTTTTTGGCACTGCCAAACCACGCACAATTGCGAATGCGGCCAGTACCGCGGTATTCCACAGACGTTCAGGGACAAGACCAGAGCTTCCTGGGGCGGACGGGATGGCATGGACCACCTGATGATGTGGCACCAGGCGGTCGAGCAGTACACGAAGCTCAGCCTGACCAACTGGACGGACCGGCTCCCAGCCATCTCCGGGATTGCCGATTACCACATGGCCGAATCACGCATGGGGGGTGCAACGTATCTCGCAGGGCTATGGTCCGACTCTCTGCTGTATGATCTGCTATGGCGCCAGGCTCCCCTGGGGCCTCGAGCGCCAATGACTGGAACCCCAAGGCCATGGACGGCACCATCGTGGTCGTGGGCCTCGCGAGACAGGCCGGTGCTCTACGACATGCCGTACCTTACTGCCGAACACAAAGTTCAGACATTCTGCGAGGTTATAGCTGCCGAATGTGTCCTGGCCGGCGAGTCAAAGACGGGCCAAATCAGATCCGGCTATCTGAAGCTACGATGTCCGATGATGGAAGTGAGGCGGAAAAAAACCGTCAGAGGTGACAGCGATAGGCCCACGCTTGAAGTTGCGGTTAAAGACGTCGAGGGCAAGGGTAATAAGTATGCAACTTTTGGCAGCCCCACCTTCTTTGACGAGCTTGGGGACAACAGGTCTCTTCCTAGTAGCGACCTTTATCTCATGAGAGTGGTCCTGTGTGGCACCAAGAATCATCTTCTTATTTTGGAGAAGGCGGGACGACCCGGCAGTGACGCGCACACATTCACTCGGATCGGGCTTGCTTGGTATACCGAACGGCCGGAAATGTCTTTGAACTGGCCCGACAAGCTGACGGAGATCACCATGATTTAAACTCGTCGGTGAGTTCCTCAAATCCTGGACCACCTTGGCCCTTCGCCTCCACCCCAACAACGACAACCTGCCTGCCCCTTCCCCACCGTTTTCTCAGCGGCAGCAACAACCCCCACCCAACCCACCGCTCCCTTCACCGGCCTCCAAAAACCCACGCACAATATTCGGTCGACAGATGATGACACCCTGTCCTCCACAAAGCAGACACGATAGCGATGTGTAATACGTACAGAGGCAGAATAGAGATTAGGGCATTGTCTCTACTCCCTAGTAACAATGGAGCCTTTGGATGAGTTACGAAGGCTTCAGATTCAGATCGCCCATGACGCGGCGCTCATCTCCGTACTCAAACGGGTCCATGGACGTGATAGAAGAACAAATTTGGCTTCTTCACTTATCAGTGATGCTAGGGATGATTACGCGCCATCATTGCCATAGTCTCTCTTCTTTTAGATTGGCAGGCATTGACTTGCTGGGCTGGCGGAAAAGGCACGCATCTAACAGCAGCCGAGAACAAGAACCGTGCTCAGAGGTAAGAAAAGCCGCGTGCTACGCGGCAAAGGGTGAGCGTTGACGAGAAGGATTAGCTTAATCCGAAAGTTAGGACAACCTACGGGCTGACGTTGATACAACCTACGGGCTGACGTTGATACAACCTACGGGCTGACGTTGATACAACCTACGGGCTGACGTTCATACAACCTACAGGCTGACGTTCATACAACCTACAGGCTGACGTTCATACAACCTACGGCTGACGTTCATAATGATACGTTGATACGTTAAGCGCACAGGAGTTGGATAGAATACTAGCTTATTTATGGTAAGAATAAAAGTATAGGGTGACTATTGAGGTAGGTAGTTTCTTTGTGTTGCAACCGACATATATGCGGTTCTCGCCGCCGCTTTGCACCGGTCCTCAAGCGAATTTAAACACGCCATGCACGCATACCTACACGTCATCAACTACGTAATCTTCTCATTTTTCACGTCGTTCCACAACATAGCCCATCCACCAACCAACCAACTATCCACTACCATGTCACTCCGCAAAGTCCAGACCCTCCCGTGACACAACAAACTCAACTCTCACCGGTATCCACGGCGGCACGCGATCGACCAGACAGAGCAGCGTATCCAACCCCAGCACACGCTGCGCCACGACACGCACCCCCGCCTGTTCTGTCTCGGTCTCAGCATCAGCATCACACAAGATCTCCACCCGTCCAGCGCCCCGCGCAAGCAACTGGCTGCGCACGAGGAACCCATACACGGGCACGGCCTCGCCGGTAATGGCATAGTCAGCATGCAGGCGCGCGGTGAGCGCACTGCGGAAACCATGTTCCTTGTCAGTGTCACCAGCCACGGTATGACTGCCGAGACTAAGCGCCGCGTCGACGAGCGCGGCGGTCCAGTTGGCGTCGATGTGCACGAAGCGCAGCGTCTCTGGGCCCAGACTGTTGTCGTCTGATGCACCGGGGACCAGGTACATCGCGGGCATGCCGGCCAGGCGCAGTTCGGCGAGTACCCATTTCCGCACGGTCGCGTAGTCGGCGTTGGACGGGATTGCTGCTGCTGCTGCTGCTGCTGCTGCTGCTGCTGCTGCGGCTGCGTCGATGTCGATGTCGATATTGCCTGCAGGGCTCGCCGTGGCCGTGGCGTGTCTCTGGCCCGCGTGGCCGCCGAACCGGCGGGGGATGATGGCCGGTCCAGATCGGGGGGCGAGCGTGTCGCGACGCAGCCGCGCGACAGCCATGGTGAACGCGGCGTCGCCGGCCGCCAGCTTGCGGCCCAGCTGCCACGCGCTGGCGTACGACGTGTCGAACATGTCGACGTCCGGGTCGACGAACTGCATGTCGGCGACCGAGCTGGCCGGCAGCGCCGGCCCTGACGGCAGAGGGTGCGGAACCGCGGCCGGCACCAGCGGGCCCCGCATGATGACTGCCTTCATCTCGCCCGTCACTGTCCGGTAGCGCGCGAGCGTGTAGCCGTCGGCCAGCCGGCGCGCGACGATTTCTGCGATTCGCGGCTTCGTTCCGGGGGTTGGGGTTGTGGTTTCGGGCGTCCGCGTATGCTCGATGCGGAGCGGTTGAGGCGGGTTGTCGGGCGAGTCTGGCGGCGATGCCGCGCGGTTCCAGCTGGGCAAGCTGGCGAGCAAGATGCGGTCCTGGGGTTGGCTTGGCGGGCCGCCGCCGATGCGTGTTTCGGCACTGGAGGACGGCGTGTAAGAGTCTAGCTGCATGTCGCTGACGGTGTGCGAATCTTGCTCATTGCCCAGAGCCGGGTGGCGATGTTCTTCCGCCATGGCGTGAGTCTCTTCGCTGGTTCGTTTTGATGAGTTGCCGCTGTGCACTGTTCAGTTTCCAACCAACTCCAAGACTCAATGCCGAAGAATTTCTCTGAAACTCGCGTGTTCGTTCGTCCCAAAGCCTTTGCATGTTGAGGTGAAAATAGAATAACTATATTCCCCAGCCTATATAGCTGCCAGGGACCACGGCCACGCGCACATCCCCGCTCGGCAATGCGGCCTGGGCCTAGGCCGTCTTGGGCCGAGCAAGTTCCTGCATTGCGTGTTTCGACAGCACTGGAGCTCGGCCCGATAGGGAATGGCTGGGCGGTCATCCCCGGGGTTATCCCGGACCAGCTGCGGAGACCGACTCGAGCCAGCAGAAGACAGTCTTACTCTTATGTAGCATCAACCATCCAACATTCGCCTCCTCTATGTCTCTTCCTACCAACAATTACCCAATTACAGTCCAACACCTCCGGCCCTTGCAGATACCCGTCTCGGGCGGGTATACGACAATCTTTTCGAGATCCGCGCCCTTGTAATCAAACCCGTTATACAGCCCGCCGACGGTAATAGTGTTCGCGTCGCCCTCGTCGAGGGCCAGCAGCAGCGGGGCGGAGAGGACGACGCCCTTGTGGGTGTCGCGCTAGAACAGCGTCTCGACCGCGCTGGCGTTGCCATTCACGACAACGCTCGCGATGCGGCGCAGCTGCCAGGCGCCGCCGATGCGGTCCGGGGCGCCGCCCGGCGCGTCGCTGAAGCCCCCATGTCGTCCGTGTTTTGGAAGTGGAACGACACCGACTGCGGCTGCGGCCCCTTTTTCTGTCCAGCTCCGCGCACCCCCTGGAACGTCACCGTGCTGTCGTTGCCGCGGATCCCCGCCGCCGCCTCCCCGCCACCGCCACTCGCCGCCGGCAAAGCTAGCCTCCTGCTAGAACGCGCCGCCGCTGGTCGTCTTCCTGGCGTCGGCGGCCCGGCGTTCGGTGCCGGCCATGGCGGCCCACTCGCCCGTCTGCACGTCGAGATCATAGACGTCGTGCCACTGCAGCTGCAGCCTGTGCTTGGCGTCGTCGATGGCCAGGGCAGCCAGATGTACCGGCTCTCCCACAGCGAGCTGGCGTCCCACTGGTCGCCCAGGTACAGGTTCGTCGTGGCGCGCGAGCCGGCGATGCGCAGCACCGAGCCCGACTGCGAGCTGAAGGTGCGCGTGTTGGGCGGCGCGACCGTGAAGGGCTGCGGCCACGGGCCGGGCGAGTCGGCGCGGAAGGCCACGACGTTGTTGGGCCGGTAGCCCGTCTTGTGGCTCATGAGCGCGTAGTAGCTGCTGTCCGTCTGCACGATGGCCGGCGCCTCGAGGTCGTACTTGCCGAAGCGGTGCACGATGCTTTCGAGCGCGGAGGTGTCGTCGTACGCCGTCAGGTACGCGTCGCGGCCGTCGCGGCCGTCGCCATTCGAGTACAGCGCGTACGACCGCCCGTCCTTGTAGTCGGTGAACATGCCAAAGTCCTGCGACCAGTTGCCCAGCGGCGCCGTCGCGCTGACGAACGTGTACGAGCCGGAAATATTGGGCGATGGTGCGAAGCCTTGGAGCAGGAGCCCGTAGGTAGTGTTATCTGCATGCCACCACATCTGCCACTGGTGTTAGTGCTTGGCCACGGCTGGCGGGAGCGGCACCTCGAGATGTCACGTCACTACGCACGCGATACTCGTTGCTAATCTTGCTGTAGACCACCTTGGGGCGCTGGATAATGTTCTCGGGCGAGATGTACCCATGCCCCGGTACGGGGGCTGCACAGGCAGTCGGCGTCCGAGAGCAAAAGAGGCCAGCAGGATCAACAAACCCAGCGCGAGACCGTGGCTCTCCCACGTGGCCAGGTCGCTTGATGAGTACACCGACACGCCTCCGCCCTCGGTATGGCCTTCGACCTTGTACTCGCCAAACAGCCAGAACTTGCCCGTGTCCTTGTCGACCGTCACGCACCCGGCATGCGCGCTGACCAGGTTTCCGTCCGTGTCCCGCCACCTGCCCTAGGAACAATGTATTTGCCCGTCGACAGCCCGGCCAGCAACAGCGACGCCACGGCGAAGAGGCTGATCTTTTTCATCATTTTTAAGAACCCCTTTAATTATGGCGGCGATGTTGATTGCTGTAATCTGACTCTGAAACAGTCTCTCGCCCTTGCTAGTAGCAGGGCCGGTTATATAGACGGGCTCCCGCCATGTAAACAAATCATCCGGCTGCTCGCCTACCGAGTACCAAGTACCAAGTACCAAGTACCAAATACCAAGTACCAAATACCAAATACCAAGTACTAAGTACCAAATACCAAATACTAAGTACTAGGTAATTCCCGCCCGGTGGCTTTTGTCCCGAGCCTTCGCCTGCCCGCTTGTCCCCAGGTCAATTTCTCCGCCTTTCCCCACAACCTCCGGCCATCCAAGTGGACGCTAGCGTTCTACGAGAACACGGGACCGGATGGAGTTGCAACGGTGCAGTGTCGTTAGGTTGCTGCAGAACCGGGCCGGCTCGGTGCAGATCTGCACCAGTGACCTCGTGTCGGGAATTGGGGAAAGCAAGAAATGAGACGAGAAGAGAGCAGAGACAGTTGTAGAACCCCAGGCTCACAAATATCCCACAATACCAATCATAATTTCAGCTGCTGCGGCCATGTTCTCTCTAAAAAGAATTCTCTTGGCGCACGAGGACGGTTAGCCCAAAATCAGGCCGCTTCGGCCCCGGCTCACCTTCGACTCACCCGACTCAGCCTCCGCTCACCATACCACGAAATTATCAACTTTACGCGACATTTTGGGGGATGAGTTTCGGGCCTCACTCTCCTAATGGCCTAAAAGAGGGCCAAGATAGGCCCCATTCTTGTCTGCCTAGCCATAGTAATAACCTTCAAAACGGAGGCCCAGAAATAGCCCTAATAGCCCAGGGAATTTACTCCACGTTTTGAAAGTCTTACGGTCTCATCTTATGCATATTACTTTCGGGTACAAGCTAGATAAGGAGGCAATTCTGCTCCGTCCTACTACCTACCGTACGGCTATTCTCTCTCGCGTCCCTCACCCCATATCCCTGCTCCCTACTACTAGCTAAATCTTTCTTCTCCCGTATTTTCTTATATACCTTGCCGCTATTTTCTATTTTCTATTTTCTATTTTCTATTTTTATATTTCATATCAACCTATACTACACGTACTTATATAATACCGAGAAAAAAGAGCTCTCTAGAAGTCTTTCGCTACGGAAAGGAGAAGGGCTCGGGAAATCATACCAAGGGCTGAACTTGAACACGCCGATGAACGGAAGCGGCAAGTCTTTCTCTGGGCAGCAGCGCTATTCCAGGCGTTTGGGTGGATCGGGCAAATCCAATGATATTCTGTCACCTCAAGCGTGCCATCGCCCTAGACAGCAGGCGGGATAGTCCGGATGAGAAATCGGTCGCGTTGGAGCGGGACAAGGATTGGGCCCCTGGACGTCGAGGTAGGGTCCGGATTCTTTTCTGCTGTGGACCGTGGATCACGTTCGGACGACCGTAGGGCCCCGCGGCTAGGATGTCTCAGACAGCCTGGCCGGACGAACAACGTCACCAAATGGCCGCGGTGCAAGTGTGAAGTCGCGCGACCATTACGCGCAGATACGGTGCGCAAAGGTGAGATGGGTACCTGCTGAATAGGAGTTGCCAAGGATAACACTCGCCAAGCGCATTGAGCTGTTACCAGGATAACGCTACTTCCTGCCCTGGCTTGTCCGCAACCCAATCTGCCCACGTCTGCATCATCACCCGTGCCGAATGCGCCCCCGTGAACGTCACAGCCGCCCCGTATAACTTGGATGCAAGTGGTGGTACTGACGTGGCCTCCCTCTCCCCACTTGTGTGCTCTACTTGCACACTACTAACCGCCGCCCACAATCCCCCGTCGCACCCTTTTCCCGCTTGAGCGGCAAGCGCGCGCTCTTGCTCCACGCTCAACTCCGCCAGTGCTGCTGCAAATACGCTGTCATACAGTCCTTCACGCCGGGGATACCGGCGCAGTAATTCTATGACCCGCCGTCGCAACGTCGGCGCCAGCCCGTGGATATGTGCCATGATAAACAGCGGCTGTGTCGTAGGGAGCGTAGGCGTAAAGTTTGACGCGTCAGCTCTTGCTGGTGGAGACTCGTCGCCCAGTATAGATTCAGCTATATCTAGCGTGCGGGCGACGTGCCCCGCGAGGGCAGCTCGAGGGTCTAGGTGGAGAGCGTTCTCATCCACAGAGTCGTGGGCCGGCTTGCCAAAAAGAACAAGCGGGTGATAGATCTCGGGGGAAGGGCTGCCATCCGCTGGAGGGTCATACGGGGTCTTGTCGAAAAGAACCGGGTAACAGGTCGCGTGGTAAAGCCTGAGAGCATCTATCGCCTTCTTTTGATGCTGTGTAGGTGCGGGATTAGCAAGCCCAAAGCACATGCACTCGTCAGCGGTGTCCCTAGCGAAAACGCTGATGGCAATATCCAATTCCCGAAATGCGCGGCTGTGGGGCTGCTGGTGGCGGATAAGAGTTGATAGGAGAGCATCCTCGCCTTTCAACACCAAACGCGCCACCTCTGCTGAATTCTGTTGCGATAGGGTCACTAGCGCGTTCAGCAGCGACTCAAAGGCTCGCCCCGCACGAGAAAGGTTCGCAGGAGTTGCCCGAGATGGCACGCATTTGCCGTGTTGGCAGAGTCTGGAGGAGCTTATCCTAGCTGGTGCGGTGTAGTATCTCCAGGCGGTATGTATGTCGGCTTCCCCGAAAATAGCAGGCGTTACACTCACGCCACCGTTCTGGATGGCTTGGGAATGGACCTCGAGGTTCGCGACGACGGACAGAAGAGGCTTCAAGGTGTATGGGAGTGCATTCCTTGTGAAACATTCAGGTGGCGTGAGTGCTGCGTTCGAGCCCACGAGCTGGGCGGTTGCGGACCTGGATTCCCGTTTCCTGCGGCCCTCGATTTCTTGGATTAGATTCTTGGCCGCCCCAAGATGGAGGCCGGACTGGGAATAGAGCCCTTGAATGCTGTACAGGTAGGTGAATATCACACTTGCGGTGAGGGCCCGTGATCTCTCTTCCAGCACAGTCCGCGAAGACGGGAGATGTACCAAGTGTCTGACCACAGCATTCATCTGCTGAAGAGAAAATGCTGTCGGTTCCTGGGCAGCACCTTGACTCGCGATGTAGCTTTCGTGCACCGCTCCGAGGCTCACCGCGGCATGCCAAATGGCCGGGTCCAAGTGGCAAGTCCGCGGGATGTCGGTTAACCAAAAGTCGGCATCGAAGACGCCGGCAATTACGGGCGCCGTGACATCGAGGAAGAAGTGAAAGCTTCGTAGCTCTTGACCGTTGTGTCTGGGTAGCGGCACCCCGAGGGATTGGGGGATGGGTGCCAAACCTTGCCGTTGCGTCCGCGACCTGGCCTGAGAGGAGCCTCTTGAATGTTGAGCGACTAATGGCTGGAAGTTATTTGCATATCCATCACACCTCCGACCAGTCGAGACGCAACGATTACAAGACGGCTTTTGCTCATCACATCGAACCCGCCGGATCCTGTGTGACAAGTCAGCCAAGACCACATATTCTAGAACCCGCCAACAAACGCGGCACCAACGCGAGCTGTCCCTCCTAAAGGCGCACGCTATGTCGGCTGTCGCTTCTTACCTGCAAGTATCGCAGCCTGTCCGGGCTCTGGTGTGGTGTGCACGCTGCCGTCGAAAACCGTTATCGGGGGCGCCATAGTAGCTTTCTGTCGATTCTGCGGCCATGCGGCCAGGTCCTCCTTTCCGTTCGGTGTAGAGAGGGTTTCCGAGGCCCTGTCAGGCGGGGATTCCAGTATCAAGGGCAGATGATGACTGGATAGGGGCTGGATTCGTTGCCTCTACCGCTTTTGAACTCTTGCTGGCCGTCGTAACTTCAGACAATTCCGAGGCAGCATTTGGTGAAATTGCCGATGAACCCGGAGACCCATTCCAGAGCGTAGGCGATCCCCGACCCCAGAGGCCCGCAGCCCCTGTCGGTTCCGAGTACGTGATGCGGCACAGCGGGGACGAGGGCTAATCAATTAGTGGTACCCTGAGGGATTAGACGAGTGGGCCAATTAAGTTGGGTGCTTTACGCCTCCCCATATTGGTTGGTTCGAGCAGCCCTGGAAAATTGTCAGCCTGTGAGTGTGTGGCTGACGACCTACGATATTTGCGACGCAACCTCACGAAGCCGTCAGCTCATGCGACGTGGAGTCGGGGAATTAGAAATAGTGCGTGCCCAAAGCTTTCGAATGAGTTGTAAGTTTTCAAAATCCCCTCGCTTCGATACCCTTGGCCACCGCACTGCCCCCCGCTCGAACCCCTTTATCCTCTAACGACCTGACCAGTAGGGAAACTCTCCAAGCTAGAGGCTCTCCTGGTTGGTTGGAGTGAGAACTTACGCGTACAGAAGTTATGAATTGCCATAACGACCCTCCTGGTAGCGGTGCCTGGTTCAAAAAGCCCCGCTTAACCGTGCTCCCACGAGACTATTTAAACATGTTTCACTGCAAACCTATATCGCCCCAAGACAACCCAGCGGCGGCCCTTTCTAGACGAGCAAACTCGCAACCCAGCTCTCTTTTTTTTTCCCCCAGCTTTCCTCGCCACGCAGCAAGCGCCGATCCAAACCTACCATGAAAGGACTTCACCTACTCCTCCCACTTGCCTCTACGGCTCTATCCTGGTCTTCCACTGGGCGTGATGGTGCTCACAGCTACCCAAAAATAACATGGACCCTCCCCTGTGCGAATGGACTTGATGTGGAATGTGGCTTTCTCTCCGTCCCGATTGACCACGACCACCCCCACCAAGGGTCCTTCAATCTCGCCGTCTTCCGCCTCAAGACCAACCGCACAGACTCAGCTGGGAGTCTGTTCTACAACACGGGCGGCCCAGGTGGATCAGCAAGCGCCTGGTTCCGGGCCATGAAGAATGGCGGTCAGCTCTGGAGCGAGAACTTGCTGGCTAACTACGACATCATCGGTGTCGACCCACGCGGCATGGGTTACAGCAACCCCGTCGTGTGCGACCCAGAGCTCTTCAACACGAAACCGCAGCTGCTGGATGCAGGCGACGGTGGCGGCTTCGCCCAGGCTCTGGCCTTCAACAAGGCTTTCGGCAAGAGCTGTCTTGACAGGACTGGCGCACTCGTCGAGTTCATGGACTCGGTATCGACGATCAAAGACTTCGAGCTCGTACGCCAGGCCCTGGGCTCGAACAAATTCCATTATTACGGCATGTCCTATGGCACCGTCCTGGGCCAGACCTACGCCGAGACCTACCCGGACAAGGTGGGGAGGATGATATTGGACGGGGCCGTCGACCGTCGTTCCGTCGGGATCGACACTGTCATGACGGAAGCTGTCACGTATCAAGCTTCGATGCAGAATTTCTTCGACTGGTGTGAGACCGACCCCAGCTGCTCGCTGCATGCCCAAGGTGTGCGAAGCATCTTTTCCAACCTCACGGCCAAAGGGAGCGTATTACCGGCCAGCTGTCCTACCGCCGCGCCCTGCCGCCCGCAGGTGACGGGCGAAGACATTATCCTTACCTTCCAGCAAGCGCTGGTCACTCGGGATCCCCTCCCCGCTCTCGGGCTTCCCGGTTGGGTTCTACTGTCCGAGGTGCTGGCGCAGGCAGCCCTAGGCAACGCCACGTTCCTATCCACGCCACTGGCGCGGGCCAACCGCTCGGCCGATACGGCGCGCTACTCTTACTATGCCGTAGCGTGTCAGGACTACGGGACAACGCTCAAGACAGCAGCGGACGTGAGGCGCGTGCTGAACGTGGGCGCGAGCCTGACGCCGTGGAACAAGGGTCTCTGCGAGTTTCTCGACATCGCAATCACCTGCATCGGATGGCCGACGAAGCTGACGAACCCACCCCGGGCGTTAAATCCGGTCCGCATGGCCAAGGTGCCGCCGATGCTGATTGTCAACGCCTTTTTCGACCCGGAGACCAGCGCCATGTGGGCTTCAGGGCTTCGCGAACAAATCCCCAACGCCGTCAATCTGTGGCGGAACGGGACAGGGCATACCAGCTACTTTCTCCACGGCGACACGAGCAAGGCCATAGAGGACTTCCTGATTGATGGGACGATGCCCGCGGACAACACTGTTTTGCAGTCGTAATGAAGCCGGGCATTTGTTTGTGCTGTGTCTAAGACGTGCAGTGGATGTCGCGGGGCAAGACGGAGGGGAACTATTGTGTTCTAAGCCTAGAGACATCACACCCGTGATAACCAAAGTAGCAGTCGATTAATTATTGCTTGGTCTCTTGGGTAGTCGCCATGATGAATTTGGTGCGATTTGATAGCAACTTGCACTTGTGGTGTTGAGAAATGCGGCATGGGGATATTGATCAACAATGGTGTCCAGGGGCGATCTCTCAACAGATCGCCCTATACGCGACAGATCATTCTGCTCTGTGTGCTTTCTGTGTCTTTAGCCACAGATCACCAAGAGCGTTTCCTAAGAGGGAGGTTGCACCAAGCTAGCGTGGTCCACCCCACCTGCTTCTCACGACAGACGAGCCCAATACCCTCATGATCTCCGACTGCGTGGCGCTCCTGGAAGCGGCTTACATAGCCTCGAATAAACATTTAGAGACGAAGCACAACAAAAGAGCGGACGGCTCGACGCTCAGAGATTACGGGTACGATGCAGAATTCGCCCTCGAGACGCTGATGACGTACAAGCTCCTCTCTCCGCTGCGAGATATTGCGTGGCTGCGCAGGCTGATCAAGAAAGGCGCCGGGCGGTGCCCTTACAACGGCGACTATTCCCACCGACGAGCGCCTGACCTGGCCAGCTTCGATGGCTGTGCCATCGAGCCACCAGTAAGTACTACGGGCGGCCCATCAAGAACAGCTAAGAGCTCTTCAGGCGGTGTCCGCACTGGGCCGTGCGGCTGCAGGTCGTCTTCGAGGAGGCCGACGATCCGACTCCGACATCGCAAGCCGGCGTGTGGACGGAGCGGCACAAAGCGTCGCGCCATTCATTTTGGACCACGTTTGTCGTCTTTGCTGTGGCCATCGCCTTTGGCATCATCTCAACGTGCCTGGGCGTCGTGCAAATATGGATCTCGTATTGCGCGTGGCGGCCAGCGGAGAGCGGCGTCTGCTGGACCCCCAGCTGACTCATCTTTTTCTCTCTCTTCTTCTTTCATGTTTAAACGGGGAAACTGGCGTAGGGATTTTAGCGGGCTTCATTAAAGGGGTGAAAAGACGCCACAACAAAACAACCGTAAGGCGGACCGGCGGCTTGCCTTACAAAGTAGAATAGAGGTACCGGTAGTCAGAGCCAGGCAGACAAATACAGCAAAGAAAAAGTCACTACTGCGTGCACTGATGCAGAGATCTCAATTCGTGGTAAAAAGACCGATCATCATTCCGATAATTCGCTGTACCGCATTTATCTTCGTCGTTTCTAAGCAAGTCGTTAATAGTCAATCCTCAATGGGCCGTCGTCAAGCGCTGTTCGCAAAGAATTTGGTAATCTTCTGGCTGCCATCGGCCTTGCCTTTGCTCTTCGCCGGGCTCTTCTTCACAGAATTTCTTGTTGCGCTGATCTTGGCGCGCGCCTGTTGTGGTTGCTTCTCCTTGGCCGGGGAAGCCGAGGGTGCCAACTTTTTTACCAGTGGCCCGCTTTGGGCTGGGGAAGACGAAGCCTCTCGTTTGATACCCCTCGCGGGCGTCTGCAATCCCATGCCGCCGTCATCGGCTGTCTCCTGTATTTCCTCGAGAGACTTGGTTTGAGTATGGCCGCCTGTTGGTGATGTTGACTTCTCTTCCTTTACCTCAACCTCGGGCTTGACCTTGTTTTCCTTTTCGACTGCAGGGCCCTTGGAAAAGAAGTTCGCAATGTTGTTTTTGTTCTCTTTGCTTGCAACCGGGATGATGAAGCTTGGTGAATTGTTTCCCACCTTACCCACCTCACTGCTGACAGGGTAAACAACGAGCTCGCCGGCATATGGCTTCAACAGGGCTTGCAGCTCGCCAGTCCACTCGTGCCTCTGGGGATCGAGCCAAGTCTTGAGTGACTCCGAGTCTGGGTCGAATATCACGGGCATGCGGTCGTGCAAGAACTTGAGCTGGTTGTTGCTGTCCGTCGTGATTATGGTGTACGTGTAGTGTTTGGAACCTCCGTCATTCTCGAACTGCGCGCAGTCCCAGAGGCCGGCAAAGCACATAAGCCGCCCGTCTTTCCGCTTTACAAAGTGTGGGATCTTCACGTTGGATGCTGGGCCACCCGGCTTCAGCCATTCGTAGAAGCCCTGGGCCAAGACGATGCAACGCTTGCGTGCTTTCATGCTTGCCCACATGCCCCCGGCTGCGGCCAACGAGTCGTCACGGCAGTTGATGGTCTTGAACGTCGACGCATAGTTCGGGGTGCGCTTGGTCCAGGAGGGAATGAGCCCCCATTTCATCGACTGCAACTTGAAGCGCGGTTTTCCATCACCGTCGTCAACATCCCCTGTGGCTTTGCTCATCTCCGTAGGCAACTCGTCGCTTGCAGCATTGGACTTTTTCTTGCTCACACTCGGCCCGGCTCCCCGATCTGGCACATCGGCTCGATACACGATGCCATGATAGCTTGGAGCGAAGTTGAAGCTCTGCCGCGGGGCATCTTCGCCGTCGTCCTCGGGCGCATCGTCTACTGGAAGATCGTCGTCCTGCAGCATCTGGCGAATTTGCGAGGGCCGCTAAAGCAAGATAGCCATCAGTTGATAAGGCAAACATTTAATATGGACGTGAGATTGAGCGTGCAATCGCGGCTCGAAATTTGATTGCAGTTACGCGGTAATGCACGACGCTGAGAGACTTGGGTGGCTAGGTTCTTACCAAGGCCAGGCAATATCGACCGCACATGGTAGGTAAGGTAGGCTTGAGAGAGAAATCGCGTGCAGTATGCCGCAGGCCCTCAAGCTGCCAAGCGCAGGGATGGCTCGAGCGAAGGTTTAATTTAATTTGTGGAGGTCAGTTGACGCAATGGGTCCTGGTGAGAGCATTCTATTTATGGTGACGTCAGGTGCCGTCAGGATCGCGATCGCCTGTCCGCGCCCAGCGTGGATGGTCTCGTTGACTCGCCAAGTCACGTGACTTGATCGAGCAGGTACCCAAGGTACCGAAGAACGGCCCGTTAAAAAGGGGCTTGATGGAATATTCGGCTCACAAGCCCTCCGTTTAGCTGCCTACATGATTCCTAGTACCCAATCATCGTGCGCCGTATAATCTACAGCGACCTGCTTGATGCAGTCGCGCACCAAGTATCCTCTTATCCGCTCGCTACCCAACCCGAAGTCCGAAACCTAAAAGCCCCGTCCCTAAAACAACACAAAATAAAATAGCAATCCTTTCCTAGCCGCTGCGGAAAAGGATGTAAGCCAGAAGGCGGTGGGCGGTATTATGCTGCGTCAAGGCAACGCATCATCGCAATCCGCACCCGCGTCCTAGGCCGACGCCGACACCGCAGTTTGTTGTCCTTGCATCATCCCTCCCATTCCCCTACCCTTAACACCGCTTCTTCGCTTCACCAACTTCTCCCTGCGCCTAATTGCCTCATCCTTTTTCCAAGCATCCTCGAAAAGCGTCGGCTTCGGTGTAATTTGGCGGTCTTGAATGCCGAGTCTGCGAACAACCTGGAACGCTCCTGTGCCAATGGCCATCGTCTGCCCCATAATGATACACTCGCTGACACCTTCGATGGGATCCGACTTCATGTTGGCCGCCGCATCAAACAAGTGGTCGGGTGTCTTCTCGAACGAGGCTAGCTGCAGCACGCTGTCTCTCATCTTGGCCAGGCCAAATCGTGTGATCCCGAGAATCTCACCCTTGTATGTCATCACATCTGCTAGGAGGTCCATGTGGCGAGGATCAATGTTCATGCCCGACATGACGCTGCCAATCTCGATTGCGATAGTCGTGCGGGCTGCTTCAATGCCGAGAACGTCACGGCATTCCATGACCGAGTTGGTCACGCACTTTGTGCCAACCACGCCTTCCGTGGTCATGCAGGCACGCAGCCCGTAGCCCTCGACCAGCACCTTGTTGGTGCTGTCCTTGTCGGACGTTTGGATGATGGCCCTGTGCGCTTCTGGGTAGCCCGATATGGCCACTTGGGGCAGCAGCCGCTTCAAGAAGTTGACCCGGAGCTGGAAGTCTGCTGCCGCTGCCGTCTTGGAACCCACCATCGATATTCCCTTCTCCAAAGCCGCCTCTCGGACTCGGGCCGCCTTTTTGGCAGCCGTGGCATCCAGCCATGTGTTCTGTACAAGGACTTCGATGCAATCTTCTCCAATCCGTATGTCGTCGGGCTCGATTTTTAGCTTTAACTTCTTAGCCTTGATAATCGAGTCGGCCACATCCTTTAGTGTGAGGCCTAGCTGCAGGTCCGACAGAGACTTCATGTCCACCTTTAGCACAAGCTTGGCTACATCCGACAGCCACTCGTCGTCAATGTGCTCGATAATATCTGCGATGAACGTCTTCTCGATCCTGCCCTTGACCACCCGAGCGGCCTTGAGGTCGGTCTTGTTCTCTAGCTCGCAAGATATTACAGGTGTGCTAATCGTCTTCGAGGCATTGATGATCTCCTTGATTCGAGGCACACCCTGCGTAATACTCATTCCGGCGACACCGGCGAAATGGAAAGTCTTGAGTGTCATCTGGGTACCCGGCTCGCCGATGGACTGCGCTCCGACCGCGCCCACAGCATGGCCAGGTTCCACACGTGCCTTCTGGTATTTGGTGAGACACATCTGGATGAAGTCAGCCAGCGTTGCTTCTGAAACCTTTGCAACGCGGTCTATGTGGTCCAGCTGCGCCTCTATTCCAGACTCGCCCTCGGCGCCCCGTCGCTCAGTCTTGGTCCATTCGGCTTCCCACTCTTTAAACTCTTTCTCCATCTGGGGATCGTCGGTCGGTAAGCAGGGATCTAGCCCTGCCGCCCTTCGTGCTTTCGCTAGCTTCAGGGCACGGTCTGACACGTATTTGTGGACGGAATTGAGATACACCCTGACGCTCTCGTGCTCATCAATCGCGATTAGAACGTCGTGTTCGTTGCTGCTGCTAATCTTTTCGTCGTCGTAATGAAGCTTGTCGTCAGTGACGAGATGCTTTCGGATATACTTTGCTCGTTCTTTGTCAAGGACGTCCTTGCACCGCTTGGTGATCTCCCACGGAAGAAGCGACCTGACGGAATGGTCCATTTTCCGGCTCTCGGCGTGATCCCACGACCTGTCGAAGTTGACTGGCCTAGCATCTCCCTCCATGTCGACGGGATCTAGCCGGTCAGCACCGTACTGAAACTGCACGATGCCTCCTGCAGAAGTGCGAACAGTGTCATCATATTGAGACGAGAGATCTTCCAGGGACTTCATCAGTCGTCTTGACATGTAACCGGTCTCGGCAGTCTTGACAGCGGTATCGACTAAACCTTCTCTGCCCGAGATTGCGTGGAACAAAAACTCGGTCGGGAGCAGACCCGTGTAGAAGCTGTTTCTGACGAAGCCTTTTGAAGGAGGCTGGCGGGCGTTCTTGTGGAAATGCGGCAGGGTTCGATCTTGGAACCCGTCGGCCACACGTTTGCCGCCAATAATCTGCTGTCCCACGAGGGCAGCCATCTGGGCCACATTAATATCGGAGCCCTTCGAACCAGACTTGGCCATGATCAAAGGGGCGTTGTGCATGCTCAAGTTGTCGACGCAATAGTCTCCGCATTGTTGCCGGACTCTACTAAGGATGCCTGACATCGAGTTCTCCATTGTCTCTTCGAGGTTGCAGCCTGTGGCCTTTTCGAGCTTCCCGGCCTTGAAAGTGGCAATGATGTTGTCACATTTAGCATAGGCTTCCTCCACGAGCTGCTGTTTATGGTTGGTCAGTGAAGATGACGGCGTCACATCACCACACCCAATCGAGAACCCCTGTAAAGTCAGATACCGAGCGCAGAGCTTGGCCAGACGGTTCATCGCAGAAACGGCATATTCGGGACCGAAATCTCGCAGGATCACGTAGAAGACAGAGTTCTTCTTGCCTTCTCCAACCGTGCTCTTGTCCATACGACCACACATGACTTCGGAATTTCGAATCACCAAGTAACAGTCGTTGATATCCATGTCAGGAAGCTCGCCTGGCCTCTTTTGGTAAACCTTATTCTTCGCCTCGAGGTTGACCAAGACTGGAGAGTCATTGTTCGGACGCATCAGAATGTTGAACACCTGCTTGCCCGTCCACATTTGTGTAGGCTTCAGAATTGCAGGGGGCGGGATCTCCAGATAGATGTTCTCCCCAAGCAACATATGAGTGCAGATGTATGTGAAAGTGGTTCGGTCAAAGAACTGATCTTTGCCGCTCAAAAGGTACGCGGCAGTGATGAAATCTTGTGTGGCGGCGATGATGGGCTCGCCGTTTTTGGGGGTTGCCAGGTTATTTCCCACGCCCATCAGATTGATGGCTTCAGCTCTCGCCTCTTCTGTCTGAGGGACATGGAGATTCATCTCGTCACCATCGAAATCGGCGTTGTATGGAGAGCAGACGCACTCATTTAGTCGAAACGTCCTCCAAGGTCGGATTTTGGCGCGATGGCTCATGATGCTGAGCTTATGAAGAGAGGGCTGCCGGTTGAAGAGAACAATGTCGCCGTCCTCCAGGTGCCGCTCTACAACATCTCCCATGGCAAGTTCTCTTGCGCGCTCCTCTCGGACATACTGGTCGCCGAATTTCAGGTTGAACTTGATCCCGTCCTTCTTGACTAGGCCTTCGGCACCTGGCCAGACTGTTGGCCCGTTCAGGACACAGCTTCTTAGCTTCTCGATGTTGTTGCGATTGACTCGTTCCGGGTATGTCAGGTTTTTGGCCACTAGTAAAGGAACCGCAACTTGGTCGATGCCCAAGTTCGGGTCTGGCGAAATGACGGTTCGACCGGAAAAGTCCACACGCTTTCCCGACAGGTTACCACGAAACCGCCCCTGTTTTCCCTTGAGCCTTTGACAGAATCCACGAATTGGCTTCCCAAATCCCGGCTGGTTAAGGCCAGGCACGTCGCTATTCACGTACATGCCGACTTGAAGCTGCAGAAACTCCCACTGTTCCATAATGATCGGAAGCGAAGTTCCCTTTTGGAGAGACTCCCGGAGACAGCCGCCATAGAGAATGATCTCCGACAGTTTGCTGGTGATGTCGTCTTCGTTGCTGGCGTTTTCCTGCGCGACCGAAGGTCTGATACAGATTGGAGGGGCGGGAAGATATTGCCAGAGAAACATCTCGGGTCGACCCTCGGCAGGATCTAACCCAAGGAGTTCACAGTCTGTTGGGCTGATGGCCTTGAAGAGATTCAAGACTTTCAGAGGATTGAGATCATCCATCGCCTTCCGAGTATGCTTCTCAAGATCGGGCAGGTATCTCTTGGCCTGGGAGAAAGAAGCATCGAAGGCAACCTTGCTCTCCGGCGCAACTTTCTTTTGTGCAGTAGACTTGTTGTAGGCCGAGAACCTGTCGTGGACAAGCTTCATGACGCTAAGCTTACGGATGACGCCCTGCGTACAAGCGCAGTACGGGCATGTCCTGACTTTTCGGCATTGCTCGTTGATCCTCTTGACAATCTGGGTGCGCTTCAAATTGTCGATTCCCGGGCGACGCAATTCTTTCAGGAACTGTCGCCGCTCTGTCTCTTCCAGTAGAACCCTTGAGCAATCCTTGCAAATGTTTTGGAGTGTCGCCTGGATATATTTTAGGTATCCGATGTGGAAAACCGGCAAGGGAAGTCTGACGTGCCCAAAATGGCCGGGGCAGTTTTGGAGAGGCTGGGAGCAGGTAGAGCATGTGCCCGTTTTACTCGAGGTTCCCTTCATGGAGTTGTTAGCTAGGTTCGCTGTCCACTGCCGCGTCATGTCTCTTACCAAGCGAGGGTCGAGAGGGCCGTGGGGATATGTTCTCCGTCCATTCTCAACATCGTAAAGAAGATGATCAGAGACCTCGAGGACACCCTGGCTGACGATATCCTGATTGGATCTTTTCAGATTATCTGTTAGTATATTTCCAACCTGGGAGTGCGAGGTGCAAATGAAACACATTCAGAAGCAGGAGGACTTACTGGATACCGAACTTCAGCGCCTTGAAGCGCTTTGGAAGCTGGTCGGTCAACTGCTCCTTGACCAGAGGCCCTGTGATCTCCCCCATGTTCCTTATTTCTCTCTTAATCGTCTCGAATTCGGTGAGGCCGCTGGGTGGTGCCGACAAGGGACCGTGTAGCGCAAGAGTCAACAATTGCGTCCCCTTTGATGGTCCTTCGCTAGACGCTCATGGCGGATTGTGGGGGGGGTTTCGGGTCGCTTGTTGCTATCGGCAGTGTGTGGGGGGGACAAATTTCTACTGCCAAAAATATGAATTGTCCTCCGCCGCTGGGCTAATCGGGTTGTTGGAATTGAGGTTCGCGAAAGAAAAAAAAGTTAAAGATCGCGGCGGGGCACAAATGTCGTGACTCCAACTTGGCGGGGAGTCGTACCCCACCACAGTCCTGAAAGCATGCTCCTCCACCTGCAACTGCTGGGGGCATTTGCTTTGCTGTCCCCCTTCGTGCCTTGTTTATGTACTCCAAATCAAAGGAATACTTCTGGATCCCCACCATTTACCCCTGTATTGGCGCCATTTAGTCTACCTAAATGCTGTTAACAGAGTATCTCTGTTATATTTGGGATAAAGAAAGGCGAGGAAGAGGCAGGCCCACTTCCGGGGACGCTGTGCAGACAGCTTCCGCCAATAGGCGGACGCTGATCTGACATGCACTCCGTCATACCTGGGCTTTGGGCGGGCTAGTGACTTCCATCGCTAGGTTGTCCGACCCTGGAGCTTGCTCGCAGCTGGCGCCAACGACGGGACGACCACGACACCTCAAAGGCCACGGCCCAGCGCGCATCTGATCTACCCCTAGATTCCGTGCCTCATTCTCACTCTTACACCCAAAAGGCGTTGGTTAAAGGAATCGGGCACAGCGCGTTCCAGTTTCCCTGCATGCTGCGCGCTTGCTCAAGCTTTCTGTACTTTCTGTGCTACTAGTTGCTGAGCCTGGTACAGGTTGTTGGCTGTTGGCTTTCGTCAGACCATCCTACCACCATCTAGAACTTAACCCGGTAGCATCCCAAAGCCAAGCCTAGGAAGGTGCCTGTCAGCATCCACCGTGCCCCTTAAGGCTCAGTTCGTTGCCGGCACTCCCGCCGTCGCCGAGCTCCCGACAACTCGAGCTTCGGTTGCCAATTCCTCAATTCCGCCAAATTGGCTTTGATTGTGTTGCGATCACCGTGTTGTAGACCTGCGTGGCGTGCTCTACACTTTGGAAACTCGCGAGCTTCATACTCAAAAGGCGTCAACGGGGCTCTCTTGGGGTGGCCCTCCGGCCACGCCGGTGTCATGGCACCGGGGACCGGCGACAAGAAGGCCGAGAAGTCGTACCTGGCCTCTGCTGTGGACTCGTTCAATCCCTGGAGCCGCAACTCGTCGCCGACTATCAAGGATGCGGCGCCAAAGCCCACCCCGAATCCCGGCGATCATACCTCCAACCCCTTTTACGGCCAAAGCTTTAAGCGATACAGTCCAGATTGCCCGCCCTTGAATGTACAGTGGTTTCATGCCGTCGACGTAAGTTGCTTTGGGTGCCCCGTTTCCGTCTCTACAAGCGCCCCGGATTAACTGCTAGCTCTTGCTATTCTAGGTCCCGAAGCGCAAGCCCAAGTTCCTCAAGATCAATAACAATCACGACGACAAGAAGCCTCCTGTGCAGCCCAAGAAATTCGTGGCCTTCTCAGAAGAAGATTCCCGAGCGCTTGAATCCACCTACCAAACACGACTGCAGGAGATCGAGGACGAGAGGACAAACCTCTGGGGCACCGCAAATCTTCGCGCTGGCTCCAAACGCCCGCGCGCTACGTCTAGCGTCGATTGGAATAACACAACTCTCGGGGCTTTAAATGATGGAGAGCCGAAACGGCCTAGCACAAGGGTTCCCGTCAACGAGGACTTCCTCTTCGACGTGGATATCGAGGAACGAGAGCTAGCTCCCGCTTATTGGGAAGGGCCGGTTTATGAAGTTCGCAGGGGAAGCTGGTTCTACCAGGAAGGCTCAACCCTTCGTCCATGCGAGGAGAACCTAGCCTCGCAACTTGAAGAGGGATATCTCAAAGTCAAGCCCTGGCAGTACCCAGCACCGGCAAGGACTCGCAGCAACTCGGCAGCCCAAAAGCTCACACCCAAACCATCATCTGAAAATCTCAAGGCCGCTACACCCAAGAATGGGGGCACACCAAGGGCCAGCCCTGTTCCGCAGCAACACCAACCCCAGACGCACCGTCTATTCGGTACCTATATGAACAACATAGCCACCTATCAAGACTCCAACACTGCCTGGCTATCTTCAGATGGCATGTTGTCCTGGGTGACGTCAACTGTCTATGAGAAGTTTGCTGGTGGCGGCTTCATGAGCGGTGTGAAGCTAGTTCGTGGCTACACGGAGTCAAAGAAAACAAAAGAGGAAAAGCGCCCGTCGACCCCGACAGGGACCGCATCGGTGCCAGTAGAACAAGACGAAAAGACAAAAAAGGCCCTTAAGAGGCGCTCTGCTCCCGCGCGGTCCGAGTCTGGTATCTTCGATACCGAAGACGAAGAGCCTGTTGCATTTGAGAGCACGCAAGCTCGGCTGACCCGGCAGTTTTCGAATCTGATTGAGGGCGTGCATGACTCGGACGAGGAAGCAGAGGCCATTCGTAAGAGAGAGGAGACGGAGATATTGGATGATTATAACCCGAGACTCGGCGAGACTCAAGGCCGTAATATTGAGCATCTCGTCTTGGTGACACATGGTATTGGGCAGCTTCTAGGACTAAGGTATGCTATCTCCGTGCCCTCTCTGGGCCACTCTCCTACCAAGCCTACTTATGGGATGTTAACAGCGTTTTAGAATGGAGAGTGTAAATTTTGTGCATGACGTGAATGTCCTTCGCAAGACGATGAAGTCTGTCTACTCGACATCGGCAGACCTTCGAGCGCTCAATTCGGAGGCGGATGAAACCGGGCCGGGCAACTGTCGGGTTCAAGTTCTGCCCGTTGTCTGGCGACACCTCCTTGATTTCCCTAAACGGAAAAAGCAAAAGGCAGAACACGATCTTGGGGAGACTGCCGACGAGGAAGATGACTGTGAGCTATCTGCCCCGGCATTTTCGCGCTTTGTTAACTAACAACTTGGCAGACCCTTCCTTGGAAGATATCACAATCGAAGGAGTCGCCTTTGCTCGGTCGCTTATTTCCGATCTTGCGCTGGATGTCCTCCTCTACCAGAGCGCGTACCGAGAACAGATTGCCGAGATTGTGTTGAAGGAGTCGAACCGTATATACAAGCTGTTCATGGATCGCAACCCCGAGTTTAAGGGCAAAGTGCACATTGTGGGCCATTCTCTCGGATCTGCTATCATGTTCGATATTCTTTGTCGGCAACGGGAGCGGTCCCAAGAGCCAGAGCCAACAAGGAATCCTCTTCGATTCTGGCCTTCTCAGGATCGGTACGAATCAAGGGATCCCAAGGATCTCGCCTTCAACTTTGATGTCGATGACTTCTATTGCCTCGGATCTCCTATCGGCCTCTTCCAGATGCTCAAGGGTAGAACCATCTCGGCACGCAATTTTTCCAACGCCCTACCATCCGAAAGTCCTCTCAACCCTGAATACCTCGAAGACCCATTTCTGTCCGCTTTGTCTCCAAATTCACATGCGAACCAGAACGTTTCCCCTGTAACTGGCCTCCCCTACAGTGTCTCTTCCCCCAAAGCAGCGCAGCTGTTCAACATCTTCCATCCGTCCGATCCTATCTCCTACCGTATTGAGCCCCTGATCTCGCGAGCCATGTCGGCGCTCAAGCCCCAGATCCTGCCATACACCAAGAAGGGAATCTTTGGGTCGGTGACTCCCGGAATCACCGGGATTGGCGCAAAGGTCGGACAAAGCGTTAGTGGCCTGTGGAGCAGTCTCAGTTCCGGCATTGCCAGCAGTCTTTTGAACCGCAGCCTAGGTCTCACGCAGGAAGACGTGGCCAGCATTACAGCATCTCAGCAGCAAAACCAGAACCCGAGCCCCGGGGCCGGGACTAATATCTCTGCCGGCGTCATTACCGACAAGAATATGACCGACGCAATGCGAAGCGAGAAGGCAGCCGAACGTAAGCGCCAGCTGGCCATGGCAACCGGCGGCGGCGTCAGCACGACGGCAAGCGGGAACGAGGCGACGCTGATCGACGACGAGCTTGAGACCCTGTTCAGCAGATTCCAGAAGACAAGGGCCGCCAACTCCAAAGACAAAGCGCCGGGCGAGGATGGGCCTAGCGCAGAGGCGCGGCTGGAAGATGAGCAAAAGTCGCAGAAGCTGCGGCGGGAGGAGACGAAAGTCCGGGCGCTGAACCGGAACGGGAGAGTCGATTACTGCATTCAGGAGTGAGTCAATATTTCTCTGACACAATTCCTCTGGTTCCTTGTTCCACGGTCTATTGAGGGCTTGGTAGTTAACGGTCTGCGACAACTTTGTCAGGAGTGTACTCGACTTCAACCCGATCAACACAATTGCCTCGCACATGAGCTACTGGGGCGACGAGGATATCAGCCACTTTGTTCTTTCACAAATGCTGTCAAGTAAGGCGCGGACACCTCGACACTAGATCAAGAAGTATTGACAATTTCTTAATGTCTTCATATTCGGGCTGTAGATGGGATAGGAACTGCACTATGGGATGGCCTAGAAGCATATGGACCTGTGCATTTATTGGAGATACGGCGTTATGGGTCAGCTTTCACGTCTTTAGGCGGACATTTCATGGTTTACGGCGCACTGCAAAGGGAGAAAATTCATGGCAGGTTGTAGAATCTCGCAGGTCATAAATAAATACCTCGATGGTTTCGAGGTCGCGGTAAATAAAAATATACATCGAAATGGTAGTGTATCCCTTGCAAGACTCGCAGAGTGATGATCTCTTTCCCCGTAGGCTTTTATTTCTTCTTTTCAACTGCGAACTTGTCTAGGGCATGATGTTTTCGCATAAAGTTGCAAAAATCGCAATATTTTGCCTTTCCTCTACTTCTACTTACTGCCTCCTTTTATCTGCAGGGAGGCCATGGCCCCTTTCCCACATCAATGTTATCCACGATAACAAATATTTTCTCTTTTCATTGGTCAAAAACCCCGTCTTCAACAAAACGAGTCCACGGCGATCCTTGAGCCAAGCACACGTCTAATACGCTACGCCCCATTCCATCTTTGACAAATCTTACGTCCTCGGCTCGCGGGACTTGAAGTCCTGGTCTAACCGAAGCGACTCCCAAACCATCAGCAGCCTGCGCGGCGCCCTGGGGGAACACAGCGGTCGGCAGCCCGCTTGCGAGCCACATCAGGAGCCAAAACACCTCGACCTGCTGTGCCTCGACAGCGATGTGCAGTGCGCTCCGGTTCTCGTTAAGCGGATCTGACCACGCTAGGAGCCTCACGACGCTGGCGCCGACGACGGCATCGGACTGCGCGCTGTCGGCGTCGACGTCCTTCACCAGGCTGACGATGCCGACCACGTCGCCCTCGGCCGCCATGGTGTGCAGGGCGCGCGCGGGCCGGGCCTCGGGGTGCTCGGCCAGGAACGCCTCCTCGGTCAGCGCCGGCAGGATGTCGAGCCCGTCCTCGACGCCGCCCTCGTTGACGTAGCGCGTCAGGATGGTCACTGCCTGGCTCGCGCGCCGGAACGCGTTGGTCGCCGACGACGACCCCGGCGCGTTGGAAGGCAGGAACCCGTCGCACGAGGGGCACTTGAGCGACAGCGCCACCTGCGGCGCCGAGTCCATCAGGCACTGCCAGTGGAAGTGGCAGCCGCACGGGAGCTCGAGATCGTCTTCGACTATCTCTTTTTCTTCTTCCTGTTGGTGTGGTTGCGCCTCCTCGTCGCCCGACTCGGACGCCTCGGCGTCGATGTTCAGGATGAGAGGCTCATTGCATGCTTTGCAGGTTTCTTCCATTGTGTGAAACTGTTACCTGAGTAGGTACCTGTTAGTGGTAGGTGAGCCGGTTGGTTAGCCACTTCCATGATTTATTTTTTTTGATTGGATTTAGGTTTGGGGAGTGCGTATTCCCACTCACCGGCAGCGACTCGTGAGTGATATCTAATAGGCCAACGGTATAATTTGAAGGCTGCACGGTTTCGCCGCTGCCAAACCTCGAGCAAACGCGCGTTCAGGTACGTGTGTCAAGCGTGTGTTGCGGGGGACAGAATTCCAGGCTGTGATTTGCGAGTTTGAGGCATCAATATTCGCACGCTGCTATTGGGTGCCAAGAGAGTCCCCTGGGCTTCAGACACTTTGTCGATGGGGCTGAGGTTATTCGTGGAAGAGAACAGAAGCAAACGTAGATTGAGAGCTGTTAGTTGGGGACCCAGTCTATTGTCTAGAATTGGCAGTTGGCTAGCCCAACGCGCTTGGCCTCCGACAAGTGACCGCCTAACAAGCCACCCCTGGCGTATTGAGGGAGGCTGTGGATTTGACGAGAATTTCGGCTGCCTGAGAAGGGGCTGATTGGGCCGTTACGCAACCCTTCCATCCCTGCACCCCGGCGACACCTTGATTTCTGCCCAGGCCGATTACATCAGACTGCTTGGCCTGCAGCCCGCACTGCCCGCCTAGGGAGGGGACCTGGCTTGGACACTCTGAGGTGACCCCCCTCCCCCGCCCCCGCCAAACGTCCTTAACCGCAACAGCTTCCCGAAATACAAAAATCGCACCATTGCGAGGCTCTTGTCCTCGAAGTGCAGACAGACAGACACATTTGAATTGCTCTACGAGGAACCCTGTGTTTCTTTGTAGTAGAGATTGCCTTCTACTTATCAACCCCGCGCCCGACCCGCGGCCTGCATCATTTAGTTGCAGCATCCATCCTCACGCCATCGGTACAAAGGAGCATCTCGGTTCCACGCGTTTCTCCGAAGCCCCCGCGCCATCATGAATGTCCTCAAACTGCAGAGGTAGGTCGACCAGGCACACCGCGAGGAGCTGCAACAGGATGCACGGGACTCGCTCGCGGCATTCAGACGTTAATTTCTGTCTGCAGGAAATTTCCTCAGTTCCAGCAGAGCGAGATCTTCGGGTTAAGCGACGCTTTCCGCAAGCTCGACATTGACGAAAAGGGTTATATCGACGAGGCTACCGCTATCAAGGCCACGCAGGCCAGCGAGCGCCAACCCTACGATGTCGTTCGCCAGGCCCTGAAGGACGTCGAGCTCGACTCCTCCAGGCGAGTCGAGCTGGAAGACTATGTCGGCGTATGTTTACGATCTCTGAGTCGTTGCCCTCGAAGACCTCCTCCGGACCTCCTGCTTGGCAGATTCGTGTACTGTTTCAGGTCCCAGACAGCAAGGCTAACTTCTTAATCCAGCTTGTTGCGAAACTCCGCGACGCCCCCTCTCCGACCCAGCTACGAGTTCCTGGTAGCGCCGGCACGCCAACGTCGCCGACCGCCGTTATAGCCCAAAGGACCGGCGGCCATGCGTCAAAGGGCAGCATTGGCGGCGGCGGCAGCGGCAAGATCCACGTGCAGGGCTCGAATGCCAACATCACCCACACCATCAACGAGGATGAGCGCACCGAGTTTACCCGCCATATCAATGCTGTCCTCGCTGGCGATACCGACATCGGAAACCGCCTGCCCTTCCCGACCGACACCTTTGAGATGTTTGACGAGTGCAAGGATGGCTTGGTTCTGGCAAAGCTCATCAACGACAGCGTCCCCGACACTATCGATGAGCGTGTCTTGAACGTGCCCGGCAGGAAGACCAAGACCCTCAACGCCTTCCAGATGTCTGAGAACAACAACATCGTAATTGAGTCGGCAAAGGGTATAGGCTGCTCGGTCGTCAACATTGGCAGCGGGGATCTCATCGAGGTCCGAGAGCATCTCATTCTTGGCTTGATTTGGCAGATTATCCGCCGAGGTCTGCTTGGCAAGATCGACATCAAGCTTCATCCCGAACTCTACCGCCTGCTCGAGGAGGACGAGACCCTGGAGCAGTTCCTGCGGCTTCCCCCTGAGCAAATCCTCCTTCGTTGGTTCAACTACCACCTCAAGGCTGCCAACTGGCCGAGACGGGTCCAGAATTTCTCGGGCGACGTCAAAGATGCCGAGAACTACACGGTTTTGTTGGCGCAGATCGGATCCGAGTATGGTTGCACGCGTGCCCCGTTGCAGACGCGCGATCTCCACCAGCGGGCCGAAGAAGTCCTCCAGAATGCCGACAGGCTCGGCTGCCGAAAATTCCTGACACCCTCATCGCTCGTTGCCGGAAATCCCAAGCTCAACCTCGCCTTTGTGGCCAACTTGTTCAACACACACCCTGCTCTCGACCCCATTACCGAGGAGGAGAAGCTCGAGGTGGAGGATTTCGACGCCGAGGGAGAGCGCGAGGCCCGTGTCTTCACCCTTTGGCTCAACAGCCTGGACGTGCAGCCGGCAGTCCAGTCCTTCTTCGACGACCTCCGCGACGGCACCATACTGCTGCAGGCATATGACAAGGTTATCCCAGGGTCTGTCAACTGGCGGCACGTCAACAAGGCCCCAGCCAATGGCAGCGAGCTGATGCGGTTCAAGGCCGTGGAAAATACTAACTACGTCATCGAGCTTGGGAAGCAGATCGGGTTCTCGCTCGTCGGCATCCAAGGCGCCGACATCACGGACGGTCAGCGCACGCTTACGCTAGGTCTAGTGTGGCAGCTGATGCGCAAGGACATCACGGTCACGCTGAAGGGGCTAGCGCAGCGGCTGGGCAAGCGCGAGATCACCGACGCCGAGATGGTGCGGTGGGCCAACGATATGGCCCGCAAGGGTGGCCGCAATTCAAGCATCCGCTCGTTCAAGGACCCGTCCATCGGCACCGGCATCTTCCTCCTCGACGTCCTCAACGGCATGAAGAGCAGCTACGTGGACTACGACCTCGTCACACCCGGCCGCAATGACGAGGAGTCGTACCTAAACGCGAAGCTCAGTATCAGCATTGCTCGAAAGCTCGGCGCGACCATCTGGCTGGTGCCTGAGGACATTTGCCAAGTCCGCAGCCGTCTGGTGACAACCTTTATCGGTGAGTCCCCAAACGCATACTGATCAGACTAGAAAGTTGTGAAGCTAACAGCGCACGTCTCGCAGGCTCACTAATGGCGACGTACGAGAAAATGTAGTAGCCGTGGTCACGCTCCATATCCCACACCCAGGAATGACAACAAGAGTCAGGACGCGCCTGGGAGTTAGTTATTCGGCAGGCAGGGCAGGCAGGGCAGGCAGGGTTTGGGAAAAGTCGAATGATCACCTAGGTTTATGATGCGTCTTTTTCCTATTCTTTATTTTGCAACCTTGTCTGAATCGCTTGTTCCAGTAGTCTCACCATGTTCTTTTTTTCTATTCTTCCCGGACAGTCGGTCGGTTTCTAGTTTAGTCGCAGATGGAAGACAAATCGGATCTTGTTTGGTGGGCGGGCAGCAGGCAGGCAGACTCGAACGGTTTATTACTTCATTATGATGCAATGCGCGCGCTCTCTGTGCTTGGCTGGACTGGATTCTCCCTCTCGTTCCCGTTAGGCGTAGGCGTCGGTGTGTTCGGGGGGGCCAAGAGCTTCTAGAAATGCTAGGTTTCGTGTCGTTGGTTCCTGGATATCCCGATCGCAAGGATTATGCCGAAGATCCCGCTCCCACTCACTCCTCTTCCTCCGGGTTACACCTACCTACCCACTCTCAGCCCTACCTCCCGGTCTACCTTGCTTAGAGACAACCATTCCGCAGATCCCCTAGCAGAGACTGCCCGCGGACTGGTCCCAGCCTATCTGATCTATGAAGCTCATGTCTTCAATTCCGATCCGTAGTGTTCGGCCTGGGTAGATATAGCAAGTACTTCGCTTTTTGCTGTGTATGTTTCGGCTGGTGCAGCCGCCCCGCTCTCTTTCCACGTTATTCGTGTCATAGACATTTCCCTGGCGGGCGGACTGTTCGGTGCTGGAGTCGAGTCTGTGAAAGGGCAGTAGCATAACAGGGAAGAAAGCCCCCAAAGAAAGAAAACCGGGGCCGGCTAGACAAGGTATTACCCGCCCAACGTGGCGGGAACTTGAAGGAAGGCCGCCTTACAGCTCGCTCGGCAGGATCGGATGACTTGCCAAGGATATGAATTACTTATCCGGGCTGTTGGTTAAACCTTTCCGGGGATTTATTTTGGCCTTCCACAGTCCGTCCGTCCGTCCGTTCATTCCGTTCCTTCTTCTTTTTGCTTGCTGGCTAGAAGAGTTAAGAGGCATATAGAGGGATCTGCGGCGTCTCCGACGGGCAACGGAGTGGACACCCGCCGCGCCCCGGGGGAGCCTCATCCATACCAGATGACCTCCATCCCGGCGATCCGAGAATGACGATGGGCGAATTAGAGAAACGAACCACATTGAGAAAGAGAGAGACAGCAGACCTGTCCTCCTGTCTATTTCGCTCTAATATCTCCCTCTCTCGCTCTGCTTTAAAGGGAACAGAAATACACGATTTTCCTCCCGTCTGGTAATTTTTTATTTATTATTTATTACTTATTACTTGGTCGACTCCTCGCCTCTTGACTCTTTCACTGGCGATTCTTACACAGCACATCCGCAGTCATCATCTGCTTGCTGATCGTCGCCTTCACATACTCATATACCTACATCCCTCGGCTCATCCCCATTCACCTTTTTTTTTCTCGGCAGCCTTGCCATAATAATTCCCATCCGAGATTAGGTTGCAGTGATCACCATCACATACCGAGTTCCTTTACCCCATCCTTGGGTAGTATTCTCCCCTAAGATAAGCCCGCCACTTCAGAACGTGCAGTACCGCTACAGATCCGGTCACCAGCAGAGCGGGTGCGCAGCGGGGACTTTTCGTGTGCGACTGGCAACTGCGTCGATTTATTCGCCGCTCTCTTAATCGACAACACTCCGGGCATTTCTTTACTTTTTGCACAAGAGCCCATCGCCAATTAGAAGCGGAAACCTAACGATACCAGACGGCCTTCTTGGGAAGTCACGCCACCAACACGCCATACCTACTTCTCGGTGAAGAAGAGGAGGTTATGAGAATATCGCGAAGGAACGGGTTGCTCTTGCTCTAGCTTGTACAATAATAGCTTTATTATTGTATTGTAGGCCGGGCAGTCAACAACCGGGCGAATTACAGGAGCTCCCTCCCCCGCAAACAGAAAACCGGAGAAAAGGAAAGGTTGTGTACCGGGAAATTTGGAGACGGCTGCCGCGCCCACGGCTTGCATGACACGGCGTCAAGATCTACGGGAGCAGCAGCGCCGCGCAGCTACTGCCGCCGCTACCGCCTTGGCGGACATGGAAATGAAGACCATGAACGGCGCGGCACATGCGCCGCACGGTAACGGGGCGCTGCAGAATGGGGCGGCCAAGGGGGTGCTGGTGGTTGGATTGGACAGCGGCAGCTCCGGGACGACGAGCGAGGAGGACTGGGACGAGCTCTCGGCGGCGGCAGGCTCGCCGGTCCAGGTGGACGGGGGAAAGGACCTTACGATTCAGGCTGCATCTGCTTTCCGAGCTGGGGGGCTGCGCGGCTGGCATCCGCAGCCGCCGGCGTTACGCATAGAAGGGGCCTCGGCAGCGGCCGCGGCCGAGCCGGTAAAGGGGGCGGCAAGGGGCGTCATACTCTCGGCCGAGGACACCGCAGCAGTGCGGGACGTGCTAATGCAGACGAGCCTCCTCCCAGGAGGGGCAGGAGGGTCCCTATCCTCGTTGCTATCTTCGCTGGGGGGCAGCGAAGGCGGGAGCGGCGGCGGCAATGCTGCGGCGACGACGCCAAAGCCACAACGCCGGCGCGGCAAGTTCAGCGACCTGGTGTTTACGCGGACGTTCTCGGCGTTTGACCGGCAGAACCAAGACGCTGCCAACAGTCCGTTCCACGGTTTCTACACGCTTTTTTGGATTGCCGTTTTCTTCTTCGTCGTCAAAATTGGCGCCGACAACTGGCGCACATACGGGTCTTGGCTAGGCACCAACGAGATCATGCAGACCATGTTCCGGCGGGACTTGCTCGTCCTGCTCATCGCCGACGGCGTCATGTGCGCGGCCACGGGCGTGAGCTGGCTGTTACAACGCGCCATCCGTGCAGACTACGTGAACTGGGACCGCTCGGGATGGGTAATACAGAACGTAGGTTGAGCTCGCCGAGGTGTTCAAGGAAACTAGGTTTGGCAGGAAATACTTACTAAGTCCCTATTTAGGTCTGGCAAACAATCTTCATCGGTGCGGTGATCGGGCTGACGCTGTGGAGAGATTGGCCGTGGTCCCACACGGTCTTCTTCGTGATGCACGGGCTCGTCATGGTGATGAAGCAGCACTCATACGCCTTCTATAACGGCTACCTCTCGTCGGCATACGAGAAGCGGTCGCACCTACTAGCAGCGCTCAAGCAGCTCGACAATATTTCGCCCGTGCAAACGCCGTCGCAAACAGAGCCGCCCGTCTCGGCTATTTCGACATCGCATCTCGCCAGTGTCCCTTCGGCCTACCACTACAAGGAGCGACGCCGGTCAATGGCCGGCGCGCAGGTGCCCGAGATCGACCGGATAGCCAACGCCATTAGCTCAGGCGAGCCCCTCGACGAGGAGCAGGTATACGTCTTCGAGCGTATTCTCAAGTGGGAGGTGGACGCGCTCTCCGACGAACTGCGTGGCAAGTCGACGGTGGCGACGCGCGCGTACCCCAACAACCTCACATTGCTGAACCACTATGAGTTCATCGTGCTGCCGACGCTCGTGTATGAGCTCGAGTACCCGCGGTCCGAGTCGATACACTGGTCGTACGCGGCCGAGAAGATCGCCGCGTGCTTCGGCATCATCTTCGTCATGATCATGGTGTCGCAGGCCTTCATCTACCCGGTGGTCATCGACATGGTTCGCATGAAGGAGGCCGGGGTTCCGCTCGCGGGCCGCTTCGCACGGTTCCCGGGCATGCTCACCGAGCTCATCTTCCCCTTCATGATGGAGTACCTGCTAGCGTGGTACCTGATCTGGGAAACGATTCTCAACTTTCTTGCGGAGTTGACCTTCTTCGCTGACCGCAGCTTCTACGACGCCTGGTGGAATTCCGTATCGTGGGATCAGTTCGCCCGAGACTGGAATCGGCCGGTCCATAATTTTCTTTTGCGACACGTCTACCACAGCTCCATCTCGGCCATGAAGGTCGACAAGCACACAGCCACCCTCATCACTTTCTTCCTGTCGGCCTGCGTGCACGAGCTCGTCATGTGGTGCATCTTTAAGAAGCTGAGAGGTTACCTGCTCTTTCTTCAGATGTGCCAGCTTCCGGTATGTGTAATTTCGCGCCGCCAATTGTCGATTGGGTTCGTGTTTTTGCTTGCTGACATGGAAGTTTGTTGTTTGACAGCTGGTGAGGTTGAGCAGGACAAAGTACCTCCGTAATCGTGCGACGCTGGGAAATATGATGTTTTGGATGGGTATCTTCACGGGCCCAAGTATTCTCTGCAGCCTATACCTGATCCTGTGACGGCGAGCCTTCCTCGGAGAAAACCCCCAGGCTAGCCCGAGCCACAGGGCAGCTATGCATTTCGCGTTATCATCCAGCGAGTTAACATTCCACCTTTTTTGTTCACACGACATGCCCTAGCAAGCTTCACATGCCATGCAAATGCGCATCAGCTGCAGGCAGGAGGCTACTGTGGCCAACGATGGAGAATAATAGAAGGGTGCAAAGTTTAAAGTTAAAGTTCAAGTAGATAGAAATAAACATTAATTAAATGCAAAAGGCTTGAAGAAGCTCAGAGATCCCGTGACACGTTGGCCGTTTTCTCCTTTAACAGTGTGGGTCAAACAATCCAAATCGAGTAGACTCGAGTGCTCCTTCCCCAGCTTCCATGCGGATCTAAAACCCGCGCCAAAATGTGAACGAAGATCGGGGTTTCTGGGCTGACACGCTAAAGCCCTATGCAACACGCCATAGCCAATACGCGCTCGCGTTAAAGTGGGTCTCTGCCCGCCTAGAGCTTTTCGGGAACCACGCCCTTTCGCATTTCTCGCCTCAACATCAACCTTCTTTCCACCTGCACCTTTGGGCATTTCAGGTTCGAGGTCCTCAGCTTTTCCACCTCTGGTCCACCCGGCGTTCCTTGTCGGTTGAGTTGCCATCTTATTAAACTTTTTAGTTTGTGCAGCGCCACTTTCTGTACCGCATAAGTGACAAGAGACATCAGGGTTCACCAACAGCGGTCTTTTGCACATTTAAAAAGCTTCCTTCAGGCTACGACCGCATTTCTGAACCTAGCATAGCCGAACACCCCTCCGCCATCAACAACAGGCATCACCAACCATGTCGCGCAACGGTACCACTCTCTACGTTACCGGCTTCAGCCACGGAACTCGCGCACGCGACCTCGCGTACGAATTCGAGCGGTACGTCATGACACCACGGCGATGACTCGATCGTCAGCTTCGAGTTCGGTCCACGGCCACCTCCTTCTCACCGTCCCCCCTCCGTCCCCCCTCCCTCCTCGTCGTCGAACACCCCCCGCCCTCGCTGCGTCTCCTATCCCCATCTGTCGCGCCTTTATCGCCTGTCGCTGTCAATTATTGCGCGCCTTTCTATCCGCTCGGGGCTCTCGCGGCGCCCTCGCCTTTCGTCCCTCTTCCCCCTCCTTCCGATCGAGCGGTCAGCATTGACCTGTCCCCTCATGTCGGGCAAGTCGCCTGCCACCCGTGGCAGAGCTTCCGAGCTAGATCGTTCGCGCTGGCAAACAGACGCTGTGCTTATCAATTAACTCCGTGAGTCCCGAGACGCTAACGTTGCTAATCTAGCTATGGCCGACTGGTCCGCTGTGACATTCCTGCCCCGCGCTCCGCGAGCAGTCGTCTGTAGGTTCCCCTCTCCCCCGTTGGTGTTTTCATGTCGCCATATTTGGGTTAATAATGGAACAGCTTTGCATTCGTTGAGTACGAGGACCGCCGCGATGCTGACGAGGCTTATCATGACATGCACAACAAGCGCATGGGCCGTGACGACATTTTGAAGATCGAGGTAAGTTCTTCTATCTCGGTCATAACTGCTTCCTTACCCCGTTATGTCGCTAACCTGACTGTTACCTTCTCAGTGGGCGCGCACCCCTCCCTCGGCTTCGTGGCGTTTCGACCGCACTGATCGCGACCGTGCTCCTCGTCGCTCTCCTCGCCGTCGCACTCCTAGCCCTAGACGTAGCGCTCGGGACTATTCGCCTCGCAAGGACGACAGAGACCGTCGCGACACGCGTGATCGTGACCGTGATTATGATCGCGATCGCCGCGACACCCGTGACCGTTCCCGCAGCCCGGATCGGTAGGTTTCTTTCCAGAAATGCGTATTTCCGCTATACTAATGAGTTTTCATAGCGAGCGTGACCGTGACGTCAAGGATGAACGTGACCGTGATGATCGTGACCGTCGCGAGAACGGCACCAACGGTGACGACCGAAAGCGTACGGTATACCCCAAGAATAAATACAAGGAGCATCTGCTAATTGTCCCTTTCGTAGAAGCCATTGACAGCCCGGATCGCCCTGCGCACGACGACCTTGACGTCGCCGAGTAGACATCTGGCTCATGGTACTGATGTCGCCGAGTTTTACAAACCCTGTATTGGAGGTGTAAGCGGGCAAACCTAATATCACACGACATGAAATTTGCATGGTTTTCCTCTCCCTAGCCAAGCTCTTGGGCGGAGTCACTGATGTTGGGTGGTTGTTGGCCCCCAACTTGTTTTATCAACATCGTATTTTTAGGATCGAGTCGGTCGGATCCAGGTTCCTCGGTCGGTCGGTCGGGTTGGCCTCGCCGGAGGCTGAAGCGGTAGACAAAATAATCCCCGTTTTTTCATGCGATATTCGGCGGCCGCAAAACATATACTTCCGGCGGACGGTGTTTGTTTCTTCTCGGAATTTCCTTGTTCTCTCCCCGAAGTCTACCGGAAAAGTAACTAGATCCAGTGTTTAGCTAGTCGCAACGATAGGATGAACTTGCGGACGTGTTCTGCTTTTCTGGTAGGTATCTAGCATTGTTCCAGCTTAGGCTGATAGTTCCTACTGCCCATCTTGTCGGTGGTGATGGGGCTGGTGCTCACGAGTCCATATTCACAGCGGGCGAGTGGGTGGTCATGGTTTGCTTGAAGCTCGTGTGTTCGCCTGTCGTCTTCGGTCATGTGCCGCTAGAAGACATGTATGTAGCCAGCTTCTCGCTCCCCGGCGCTACCCTCGACCTCCAATGGGAAATCCCGCGAAATTACGCATAGCAAGGCGCTCTGCGCGTACAAAGGTAGGCATGGAACCAAAACCGACTTGACAGACGGGGAAACCATTGCCCCTCTGTTTGAGAGAAAGCCGCCAGGGTCTGGAAACAGAGCGGGGTGGTTGCGCTAGCAAGCTGTAGCTCTTCCGATCCGATCCGCAGGACGGGAAGTCGGAGCCAGGCGTCCAGCTTGATAGCATTGCGCCGGAACAAATTGCGCTATTAACTTACTAGATGTCGGGACAGCTTTGGTTGATTATCTAAAGAACAGTCGCCAGCCTGTGTGTTGAATCACGATGCACCAACGTCGCTGTCGGTGCCAAAGTGAGTCAGTTGTGGACTTGTTGCCGCATAGCTTGGAAGCTCTCATCGGCGTCACATGAGCATCAATATCCCGTGCATTAATAACCGAGGGCTAGAGCTAGCGTGGGTACCGAGATGAACCGAGTACTACTTGTATTCAATTTGGTAAACACTTGAGTCATTATGAACCATAATTCGTTCATGGCCTGGCTGATTGGATAGAATATCTATATGGAAGGTCGGTTGCATGATTTCGCGGCTTGCGCGGGTCTTCAAGTTTACGGTTAACGTTAGCCTGCCATGCGGTTGCAATAAAACTGCTCCGGACCATGGCTGTGCTTCAACGCCGTTCAAGTGGGCTGCAGATTCCATCATTGGGACAACAGTGAGGCGGGCTGTTTTGGGCATCCAGGGGCTGTTCCAACATCTGAACCACCTGACAGGGCGCTCCTGACACGGCTGTCTTGTGAGGCTTCAGGGCTTAGGTTCTCTGAAGCAATTGAATGGCTGATTCAGCCTCCCTGCGGCCTGCCCGCTTGGCGCTGTGCCCTTGTGGAATTGTCGTCATTCGGGAGCGTCAGCCAATGGATCTCCACCCGGGTCGCCAAGCAAGCACCCCATCCCAGTCCCTGCTCAGGATTTGCTCAGGCTGGCTCACCTTTGCTTTAGCCAGGTTCTGCACGACAGAGCAGGATTACAGTGCAAAAATAACGTGCCCTAAAATAAAATGCATCGCAATGATAATTCTTCCGCCATGTCGGCTGGACTTGGGGCAACTGCTTGCTATCTATGGCCACCTCCTCCATCATCTTTTCCCGACGATTTGGCCTTCCCTTTCCCATGCGACAGAGCTTGACAATTTTCCGTTCCCTCCACCATCTACTTACAGCGGGGGTTCGAGACTTTGCTAAAATTCCACGAAGAGTCTACACCCACGTATGTATTAGCATCTTTTAGGACAACAGCAGACCAAGATCGCTTAATCCATTTGGATCCAAGGTATCTGCAGCCTCTAGAAGCTCATCTATCTCACGTCCCAGTCCGCTTACCTCGAGGATCTGGGATATGATATGATGCACTTTGAAGCACTCGGGGTCTGGCATCGGAATGTCGGCATCGTGCTGTTCTAGGCAGATTATAGAATAGCCCGATTTCGACTTGATGCAGGATTGCGGTACCATCAAGTTTGCCTCATACGAGTGCTAAAATATAGGGTTGGAAAATTATAAATATGAAGAATGAATTAAAAGAAATACCATAAGCTTACCAGGACGTCCTCTTGAGGCCAGAATGAAAGCTAGAAATCCCCGAATATATTATGGACTTCGCTAAATATGGTAATAACATTTCCAAGTTGGTTAATGCTAGCGGGGTCGATTTTGCCTTGTAGAGCCGGGAAGTATCGATAAAGTGTCCACCAGATGAGAGCCTTATTTTCGGTCTCCAGGGAATCTTTTTCGTTGAAATTCCCAAGGGCAAATGGAATAATGTGGGTACATTCTGTCCTACCACACTTGGCCTTTTGAGGTAAGGTGACCTCCTTGTCCTTTACAGAGCGACGGTCGAAATAACCTGAATAGATAGATACATCGGTATCCCTCTCTACGTAGACACTGTCGCTTCAGCTTTATCTGGTCCCGTCGGGAGGGTTCGATAAACGCCACAGTTTGTTCAATCTCGTTATCTTCATCGGCGAAGATGGATGGGCGACTAATAGGTGGCGGCGCCTTGCCACCAGATGCCTTAACTAGAATGGCAACGAATAAGCACACAATCAATCTTAGCAAGCAGCAGGAGAGCGCGGGCTTGGCCTACGCGGCAGCAGGATTGCAGCCACGAGGTGGTTGGCGAGCTCGAACAAATTGTCCTCGATATCAATCCAGGCCAGAATCTCTGCTGCGAGGACCTTGCGCCCGTCGTCCTCCAGAAACTGGAAGAAGGTTCCGAGGATACACGCAGCGCGGTTGTGTCTGGCGCTGGCGAGGCCGAACCGATCGAGCTTGACGTTCACCTTGAGACTGGCAAGCTCCTGGTCCGAGATGGTGGACAGCTCTGAGGACAGCACCGTAGACTCCTTAGCTGGGTGTTTGGAAATCGGCGCCAGATGGCGCAGGGGATCGACCCAATCCATAGTGTTGTTGCTTGCGGTGTGTAGTTGTCGTCTCCCGCTATGGTTGATGTAGATTGATGATCTTTTAGGCCTAATTCGGGTTTTGTGTAGGGCGGTCAGAATGGTTTGCGCGTGGTGCCGTGCTTGCCTCTGGTCGCTAACCCCGCTAAATCGACTTGTCAGTGTAGCGGCATTAGCAACCGTCCCCCATCAAAGCTTTAGCTCCGACCTAGAAGGTCTCGTTCCACAAATTCCCAAACCGGTGGCCTTGCGCCTTCTCTTGTCGCCGTCGCCGCCGCCGCCGCACCCACCGCTCCTCTAAACCTCCGACCCGCCTTGGACCCAACCAAGGCGCCACCTATGCGATCCGTTCACGCCAGAGCGGTTCCTGTCTCCGACATGTCTGTCTCCCTGTCCACGCCTCCCCTCTAAACGCCCTACCAACCCACCTACCACCCACCGACCAACCTACTTTGCCTTACCTTCTCTCTTCCCTTCTCCTGTCTTGCAAGTTTCCCTCTCCCCACCACGCCTCCAGATATCCTATTGCTCGACGGTAGTCTCATGCGAGGCCCTTAGGCAAGCTCGACCTTCGTTCTATTCGTTCGCAACACTGTCGAATGCGCATGTAATGCGCGCAACTGTTACACGAACAGCACCAGCAGTTCCGGTCGTCTGTCTACCGGCTGTCTCCTTTCACGACGACAGCGCTGCTCTATAATCCACCCACCCCGAACCACAACCAGCACTTTCGGTTAGAGCCTAACCTTGAGCTCGATCCAAACTTGCCGCCGCCGCCGCCGCCGCCGCCGCTGCTGCTGCTGCTGCCGCTGCTCGATCCTTCAGAATGTCGGCTGTATGTAGTATTCTATCCCCACGATATCAATGATGTCTCTCAATGGGGAATTTTGGAGGCCATTTCTGTTGGCAGGCAGCCGTTTCAAATTGCTGACGAGGCCTTCATTGCCGGTTCCAACAGACACAGCCAGACATGTTGAAGGCGCCGCAGTCGCAGCCGCAGCCGCCAACCCAGACGGTGGTGGAGGAGAATGGACAGCAGATACAACCAACCATAGGCCCAGGCGCCAGCCCCGACCCGAACTCGATGGGACATCGCTTCTGGGGCGTCATATCGCAGCCCGTGATCGCCGCTTTCTGCGCAGGCGGCATCGCCGGCGCTGTGTCCCGCACAGTCGTGTCGCCGCTTGAGCGCCTCAAGATTCTGTTCCAAGTCCAAAGCGCCGGGCGCGACGCCTACCAGCTCAGTGTCGGCAAGGCACTGGCCAAGATGTGGAGGGAGGAGGGCTGGCGCGGCTTTATGCGAGGCAATGGTACCAACTGCATCCGAATCGTCCCCTACTCGGCCGTCCAGTTCGGGAGTTACAATTTCTATAAGAGGGTGGGTTATGTCCCCTTGGCACGCACGTCTTGGCTTTGGCACGCTTCAAGCACACGAATCGAGGCTCTACCACTCAAGAAGTCCTAGCTTTACCCCGGCTGTGTCGAAGGTTGGACGCGTGGGATGCATAAGCAAATGTGCTAACTGGAGGCCGTTTTTCTAGAACCTTTTCGAACGGTACAATGGAGACTCGCTCACGCCTCTAGCGCGCCTGACGTGTGGCGGTATGGCCGGCATCACCTCGGTCACCTGCACCTACCCGCTAGACATCGTGCGCACGCGGTTGTCGATCCAGTCTGCCTCATTCACAGAGCTTGGCGCAAAACCCAACAAGCTCCCCGGGATGTGGCAGACGTTGATAACCATGTACAAAACAGAGGGAGGGGTTGTCGCACTGTACCGAGGCATTGTTCCCACCGTTGCAGGCGTCGCGCCATACGTACGTTGACAACCTAGCGAGATGAGGATCCCTGGCGCACTCGATTGGAGCTAACTGGATGCCCGGAACAGGTGGGCCTAAATTTCATGACGTACGAGTTTGTGCGACAGTACTTGACCTTGGACGGCGAGCAGAACCCCAGTGCCGCTAGGAAGCTGGTTGCTGGCGCAGTTTCTGGAGCCGTTGCGCAAACATGCACATATCCATTGTTAGTATCTTGCGCGCCTGCGTGATATCCTATCACATTCCCCTAGGTTTGGAGTTTTGGCTAAATGGGGTTACCAAAAAGCGATGTATTACGGCGCCGGTTCCAGATCAACACCATGTCAGGCTTGGGCTATCAGTACAAGTCGATCCCGGATGCGGTCCGTATCATCGTCGCCCAGGAAGGGATCAAGGGCATGTACAAGGGAATTGTGCCCAATCTCCTCAAGGTCGCGCCGAGCATGGCATCCAGCTGGCTCAGTTTCGAAATTTGTCGGGATTTCTTCGTCAGCTTAAAACCCGTGGAGGAACCGCTCTTGCGATGAGTGTTTCTGGCCTGCCCCGACCGTCAGGACCAGAACCCCGCCGGCGCGAATATGTCATTGTACAAAAATGGCATGACAAAAAGCATTGAGACTACGTCAGTTGGGCCATTGGGTTCACAAGACACTCTTGACGACCAGTATTCCTGTTCAAACAGCCTTCGCATTATCCGAGAGGCTACAATAATACCAACCAAACCCCTAATTTTACTTACAGAACCATATGGTACACTCTAGATTTGTCAGACCTTTTTGGTTGAGCAAGATCGCAGTCAGTCATGGGAAGGCTAGAAACTTAGATCGAGGTTCATTCCTGGTACGACATTCACAATTGGCAGTGCTGCAAGCCTTCAGTCCGAAGGAAGAGGGAGAAAAGAGACGGAAGGTAGGTTGGCTTTGAACACGTGGCGCGACGTTGCCGGCCTGCCCACATGATACGTGCCTGGCGCTTTTCTATAGTTGGTTGTTGTATATAGATTTGGTGGCTCTCACAAATGTGTCTAGCACTCTATGTTAAACGAGACACTCGAGGACAATAGAATCTCAGCGGGATATTCCAGCCCGTTTCGTCCATTTTCTATGTAGTCTAATATTGCAAAAGCAATATTTGGTTAGAGTTACATCAGCTGTTAGGAAAAGAACACCTTATATTAATCATCAATTGCATTTTCACCATTTAATTAGCTCTCGCAGCTTTTGATGATAAGTGTACTAGGGAACTTGACAGCCAGGTGCACGCCATCACTGCCAAAAAGGTACAGACCTAGGGCTCCCACTCCCTCTTGGCTTTGCATACGAGTTAATTGATTCGTATAAAGCTTGGCGAGACTCGTAAAAGCCCTCGGGGGGGAGGCAGTCGGCTGCGAAGGTCGCCATTGTGATGGACTGGCGTTGGTGTTGAGAGCTCCTTTTTTTGCGCGGGGTAAATGCTGCGTTAGATGCATTTTTAGATTTATGTAAGCGAATTTCAGGCTTATGTAAGCGCACAGACCTGTGCGCCTAGTGGGAGCCCAGACCTAGAAGTAGATTACCTAATCCCCCACCCACTCGACAAAGGGCGAACGCACAGACCACGGAGTCTTGCACCTGAGGGAACTTCTGCCGGCCTCGACCGCCTGCGCACACAATTCCCCACCGAGCCACCAAAAAAATAACTTGACCTTTGCGGAACTCCCGATCTTGAATTGATCAACCACCGAACTTTTTCGCCCATCGGCTCGGATTCTGTCGACAATCCGCACGTCACCTTCACGATGGGTACGTAACCAGCAAGGTCTCTTCCGAAACCTTTGTGTGCGAGTGGATGAGATTCTGAAATACTGTTTCTCTCTGCGAACCATGGCAAAACTAGTTGCTCCTGGTCGGGATTTCTCGCCCGTCGTCGATGGCCCTTGAGGCGCTCTTTTTTCCTCTCTCTGCCGCGCTTTCTATTTGTCCGCAGACAATGGACAGAGCGCGACAGAGACGATGAAGAGCCCTGCAGCCAAACTCGACCGACGGGCGGAGTCTCTTCCAGTCGAGCACGCCAGCATGAGCATACCCTGACCAAATGGCTGACTGGATTCCTTTCTGCAACTCAACAGGTATCGATCTCCGGAAGCATCACGAGCGGAACACGCACCGCAAGGCCCCCAAGAGCGACAATGTCTACCTCAAGCTTCTGGTGAAGCTTTACCGCTTCCTGGCCCGTAAGTTTCTTTTTCCCTTTAGAGCGTTCAAATGAAGACGGGGGATAAGCACGGGGAAATGTTTCCTTGGTAGCGCAACTGAGAGAGGATTAATTTTCGTTGTGGATGGGGACGAAGTGGCTGACGTTTGGATTCTCGCGCTCGTAGGCCGTACCGACTCGGCCTTCAACAAGGTTGTGCTCCGCCGCCTGTTCATGAGCCGCATCAACCGCCCGCCCACCTCGCTCTCGCGCATTGCGGCCAACATCAAGAATGGCAACGAGAAGAAGACGGTCGTTGTTGTCGGCACCATCACCGATGACAACCGCCTGCTTGTCGTCCCCAAGGTGACTGTCGCTGCCCTGCGCTTCACCGCCACCGCCCGTGCCCGCATCGTCGCCGCTGGCGGCCAGGCCATCACCCTCGATCAACTCGCTCTCGAGAAGCCCACCGGTGCCAACACCCTGCTCCTCCGTGGCCCCAAGAACTCGCGTGAGGCCGTCAAGCACTTTGGCTTCGGCCCCCACAAGCACAAGGTTCGTCTTTTTCCGCCTATATGGTGCGAATTTCCCTAGGAATCTTGGCTAACGTGCACGTTTCTTTCGTACTTTACAGAAGCCCCATGTTCAGTCCAAGGGCCGCAAGTTCGAGAAGGCTCGTGGCCGCAGAAGGTCGCGTGGTTTCAAGGTGTAATGTGTATAACCTTGATCTTGTTTGCTTTGAGAGTTGGTATGTCGTGGCGCGGGGAACAAGTCAATGGTTATGGGGCCGGATGTGCTTTTTGGCCTTGTTATTTATTCTTCATAGCCACGGTGTGCTACTGGGCGCCTACAGTAGTTGTGCGCGCAAGGGATTCGTGCATGGTTCCAGCGCGTGCAATGGCAGGTACATCAAAAGGGTTGTCGGATTTTTCTAACGACGAATTGACAGGTAATTTGCTACCACCAATATTTATGACATCCTTGGCATTCTAGTGCCTTGGGGCTGTTCGTCTTTGTTTTGTGATTGTATGTATCCAGTGAGATATGTATAGTTGGTTTACAAGAGTAGGTAGGAAAGTGGTTTTACATGATGGGTGTGTACAGGGTATTTCGTCCTCTTTTTACATATTTACAATATGCAGCCGCCGTCAGTGTTGCCACGACAGCTATTGTTGCTGCTCGGCGCCCTTGATATCTTCCAGGGCGACGTTGCCTTTTCGGCGTAGCGCTACAAAGTAGCATTCTCGCGATTCCTAATACGTACGAAATGCAACGTTCTCGTTAGCTGAGCCGGCTCGAAATCCTTAACCAGGTACGGGACGGGAGGATAGGATATGAAGGAAAGGGAGCTTACACTGCGTGACGACTCGGGCTTCTCGCGGTGGACCTTGGCAAACATCTTCTTGAGCATCTTCTCAAACGCCTTGTCGTCGTCCCCCTGGTAGAACTTGCACACAAAGTGCCCGCCCGACTTGAGCGTGTCGCTGGCGAAGGACAGGGCGGCGTAGCAGAGGTCCTGTCGGCAGGGCGGGGAGGGGGGGAGGGGAGATTGGTTAGCTTTTTGTTGTCTTATCTTGTGTCTTTGTGTCTTAGGTGTGTTTATTCGTCTCTTTGTTTTTCGTTTTTGGTCTGAAAGTTTGGATGATGGAGGGGGAGGTGATGGGAGGAAATGAAGGCGAGATGGATAGATGGGTTTGATGTGAATGGGAAAAAAGATAAAGAGTGAGAAAAAGAAGAATGAGTACTTTGCTTTACTTACCATGCTGAACGTGTGGTCCCGGAAGGGAATGCCGCTCGTGTTCATCATCCTGCGATACGGGTTACTCAACGTCCGCACGGAATACCCATGGATCTGGGGCCAGGGCTCTGACATGTCGCTGAGTACTACCTGCGGTCGTGCGCGGGGCGGGCCGCGGATGCGGACGCGGGCCCCAGTCTGTCAGCCCTTCTCTTCTCTTTGTGATATTATCCTCCTTTTTTATTCAAGGAAGGGATTTGTTTTGCGTGGGGGTGGAAAGGGGGTGAGGAAGTAAGGGAGTGGGTTGCGAGGTTGACAGCAACATGAACGATTTCGGTGGGAGAAAAGAGATGCAACGTACGTCCACCAACCGAAGCTTTTTTGCTTCCGGGTTGGTCATCTTCTCCCCGTCGTCGCCGTTGCGCCCCTCTTCGGCCACCTGATTCCGGGCTCTTTTGCCGGATGCCGCTGACCGTGACAGCGGCGGCGACCGTGATGGCTGCGACTGCTCGGCACCGGCGTCGAGCGATGCGACCCTCTCCAGGTCTATGTAGCTCAGGCGGTCGGTGAAAACCTCGCCGGCAGCAGCTCCGTCGGTCTTAGCGCCGTGTTCGGCCGCCGGATCCGCGGGGTCAAGCGAATCCATGTCGGGTTTGGACCCAAGGGTCGCGTCGTCGGCATCGGCCTCCTTCCGGGCAGCCTGCTGGGCCTGCCACCGGCGCTCCGAGTCGATCAGGAACTGCTTCACCAGGGCCTGCACGCTGGACTGCAGAAAGTTGCCCTGGATGGTGCTGACGCCGCGGGGAGGCTGGGCGGGGAGAAGGTCGATGCCGAGGATGCGGCCGTTGGGCTTTGTGCGGTCGAGGGCGACCTGCGACCAGCTGCCGGGGGCGAAGCCCAGGTCGACGACGACCTGGCCCGGGTGGCTGGTGATGGCGGCGCCGTCTCCATGCTTCTGTGGCGGAAGCGGCTTGAAGAGGCGGTACTTCTCGTCCATCTCGAGCAGCTTGAAGGCGGCGCGACTCTTGAGACCCTGGACGCGGGCCTCGCGGGCGAGCGAGTCGCTGCCCTGGCGCTGCTTCCATCGCGAGTTTGACGACGAGTGGCGCACGTGTACACGCAGACTTGATCCCAGAGGGGTGAGAGGAGTGAGAGGAACAAGACACCTAAGGGAGGTGAGGGTGAGAGTGAAGGCCCGGCATGACGTTCGGGTCCATGGCGCCTGCATGGATGCGACGGGCCGGTCTATCCGCCGAGTACATGTGTCGCTGGCCTTTTCGACCGAACCCGGCTATGTAAGGTGCTCAAGGTATGTACAGTCTCGTTGGAATGGAAAGGTGCCTGTCGAGATCGATGAGCGCGTGGTGAGCCACAGCAGGCAAATCTTTCCTTTCGGTGTGCATTTGGCTATGTTGTATAGTTGCATGTCCGGGGCTGAAGGAATCCATCCATCCATTCATTGCAACCTCCAAAACATCTCTGTCGCGCAATGCTATCGAGCCTAAAAGTGTCCGTGGAGCGCGCTAACAGGCAGGATGCCCAGGCCTGAATGGGCAGCCCCCCTTAATGCATTATTCTGATCGCTAACCGGTAGGTAATTACCCCAACGGCATCTTACCAACGGCATCCTACCAACTACACCCTAGTTCATAGCATCAAACGACAAGTCCCAGAGAGAACAGCGCCAACGGCCTGTTGTCTCTGTATGTACCGAGTGCATGCAATGGATCCAATCCCTGAATGCTTGCCAACGTATGAGTTCAATTGCCCAACGGCTTCTCCCGAAGACTTTCCTCGAAGGGAGTACCGTAAATACCAAAAGTATTCATGCACATCAGACGGTAATACCTACATGTAAGACTGGGAACCAACACAGCCCAGGTTGACGAATACAATCAGCCTACCCGGAAAAAGCAATTCCAGGTCAAGTGGAGGTACTGATGAGAAGGATATCTGGCACATACGATGCCTCTAGCTTGGTTTGTCATGTCACCAAATATGCGCTTCATAAAGACGAACAAATAACCCGAACAGACTTTGCGTTCCCCAAGATACAGAATCTCAGAGCCTCTATTTTCCCCTTCAAATAAATGCCGTGGCAACGGGCTGGACACATACATGTCGAGCGTTGGAGGAGATGGTCAATGGGAAAGTACCAGGGATCTGTTTGACTTCAATGGGAGTTTGTGGGGGGGAGAGAGGCCCTGGGTAAGGTACGGCACTGAACTCCAACCCCTAAATATCTGCTGGCCTTCCATGTCATCATTCTGGGATTTGTTGGACATGAAACGATTTTATTATACTCATACGCCGATCAACTGCTAGCCTCTGAGATTGTTTGGGTGGTGGCTGGCCGGAACGCCATTCGTCAAGAACCCCCTTCGCCAACGGGCGCCACTCCTCGCCCGTCTTGGATCTTAACACTGGGTAGTAGGTTATTACCTCAGACCTTTCCCCCGGTGTTGGATCCTCAAACGCTTGACTATGGTTATAAAGCACTCCTCCATTCTTGACATCTCCACTCCCGTTGATGAGCGGTTCTGCAAACTTGTTAAACACGCAGCAGTCGTCACACATTATGTGGGGGGGATGAAAAAGAGCATCCATAGAGGACGCCACACCACCATCGCAATAGTTCCTAAATTTCGATCCTTTGGCCTCTCCTTTTTGGACATACAACCACCATTCACTTCCGCAATAACAACACCCCCATCCCTCAGCCTCAAGACGGGTAGCAGCCAAGACGAATTTGCTCTTGCATAATCTGACGTTTTGTCTTAGGCGGTTCTGAAATCTGCACAGTCCGCATATTTTATAGGGTTTATCACTGTGTTTTTCGTTGTTGCAGGTAGGCGGAGACCAGTCTTCAAGCGTTTCTTTATCGAGGAGCAAACGTCTAATCTGCTTCGAATCCCTGCATTAGCAGCATGCCCAGAACCAAATTGTAATCAAGTCTTTCTGTGGTCTCATTCGTTCTGAGAGCTCCGGCTGGCTCGGCCCCGGTTGACTCGGCCCCGGTTAATTCAGCTCCGGTCGACTCAGCTCTAGTTGACTCCTCGGCCCCGGTAAGGTCATGTTGTTAGGCGCCTGCTGTGGGCCAGAATAACGTGTCGCGAGGGGCGCGGTGAGTGGGTTCGAGTTAAGTACAGGAGCTACTATGCTGCCCGGTACACGTTGCGGATCCGAATCCGAGCTATTTAACCCCCGTCGAGACGTATTGTTCGGCGCTGATCTAAGCGTGTCATTGCTATCGCCATAGTTTGGCTCTCACATTGGCCCATGATGTATAATACTCGATATACGTAGCGGATCTGAGCCTGAGCTGTTCAGCCCCGGCCGAGACGTGTTGTTCGAAGCCGATCCAGGCGTATGGTCGGAATTGCCATTGCTATTGCCATTGCCATTGTCGTCACCGTTACGATAGCCATCGCCGTTTCCATAGCTATCGCCATTACGATGGCCATAGCGATTGCCATGGCCTGATCCTGACATTGCTCGACGAGCTTCAAGCTACGAACGAATGTGATTCGGTGGTGTCTTGGGCGTCGCTCTTGGGCCTTATTCGGGGGCCATATATCCAAAGGCAAAGCATGTGTCGACTAAGCTATATTGCAGGTGGAATGGCCGAAGTGAAGCAATGCTGGAAAAGGATGATCGAATGTGATATCTGAGTGTTTTCCAACTTGTGCGGGCTGCCGCGGTTGTTGTTTGTGGCGTGGCGTGATTATGTTCTCGACAGATGGCTGCTTTGCAAGACTGGCAAATGTCGGGTGCAGCCTGCAAGTGCTGCAGGGCCTTCTATAGTGTCTTTTGAACGTGCGGTTACCTTCTCGCCATGGAAAATGGCAAGAGCTATGCAGTATGTATATGGCCCTTCGTAAGGACCCAAACAACCTGAAAAACAGTAAGTTATCGGTAGATAAGAAGAGGAGTGGCACGAACCTTGAAAAGTAGAGCTAGAAAGACGGAGAGACGCGCATGCAATGAATACCTATTCAAGAGAGGTGGTAGACGTATGCGTGTGCTTCAGTGAACAGTGAGGAGAGGCGAGAAGGGAGACGGACGAAGAAGAGGGCAGAAAAAGTACAATCCCAAGTCGCGGATAAACCCAACCTCTAACCGCTCATGGTCAAGAACCTATTCATTATTCGGGACAAACCACGCGGAAGCAAGATAAACAAGACAAACGCCCCAACGCAACACTTAACCCCAGGCACCAGACACCCTTGCCTTTTCCCGTTTCCCATAACCCACGAGGCAGGCATCCAAGACCCCCTCTACGTCCTCCCCCGAAAGCGCCGTGAAAATGCATCTCTAAAACTCTTCCACTTCCCCAAGAAACCCAAAAATCTCTTCCCCGAGATCAATAGCCGGCCCAATATCGCAACTTCGCTCGCAACTGATCCTACACGAAGACAAAAAACACCACGTCGAAACATGACACTCAGGCTAGGAAGCTGGCATTGACGCCTCGCCGGTCGCGCTTGAGGGGCGAGAAGGCGGCGCCAGCGAACGGGTTCTTAGCCCCTATCCCCATGGTCTTCTTCGCGCCCCCTACGGTCCTGACGCCGTTGAGTCCGGCCTTAGGCGGCCGCTTCGTGGTCACAGCAGCTGGTTTCACTGCCGTTCCCCGAGCAGCAGCTGCTGCTGCCTTGACCACGACGCGCTCGCCTTCGTCCTCGTCAAACACTGAGGGCCTATTCGACGAGCCAAGCACCTTGCGCTTCTTCTTCCTGGGCTCTGTCTCGACGCTGGCGCCACCCCTTGGACGTGAAGTCTCCGTCGACGCCTTGTCGGTGGCGATGCTCGTTGTCTTGGTCACAGATGCGGCTGATGTAGAGCTCTCCATCGACCGGTTCTCCTGCTCATCTTGGCTGGCCTCTTCGGCCTCCTCAGTCACCTTCCCCAGCGTCGACTCTGGCAGCGTCGCTTTGCCGTTTCGAGCCGTCAGGTTCTTCTTTGACGGCGACGATTCAGCCAAGGGCTTGGCCTTTGGCCTGCCGCGTGGCTTCTTCTCTTTTAGTGTTCTGGTAGCCTTCTTGGTCGGATCTGCTGTAGTAGCGGCAGACTCTGGTTCAGTGGCGGCCGGCTCATTGTCAACCGCCATAGAAACTACCGTTGTGGTTTCCTCTTGACCGCGAAACTGGAAAAACGGCAGAGCGCGGGTGGTCTCGTCTCGGCCGGCTTTGGGAGACAAGTCGCTGATGTTGATTGTCTTGTTCAGGAAAGGCGTAATCGAGAATGTCGACTTCTCCCCCACGACCGAAGGATCAAAGCCCCTCTTCTTAAGAGGGCGCTTTAGCCGATCATCCTTGTTGCTAGGAGTGAGGAGGATATTATCGTCGATGCTCATTTCGTCGACGCCTCTCTTCTTCTTCTTTGCCGGCACCCGCACTGCTGGCTTCTTGGTGGGAACCGTAGTCGTCTTGACGGCTGGGATTGTGACAGAGTGCTCCCTGGCCTTTTCGAGGTCGGCTCGGCACTTCTTCAGATCTTCTTGCGCCTCTCGCAGCTTGGCTTTCGTCTTCTCTAACTTCTCGTCAGATGCTTCCTGCTGGGCCTCAACCTCGGCCAAAGCTTGTTCGCTCTGCTTCTGGAGGCGAGCCTTGTCCTTCTTTTCGGCTGCTAGCTGCTTTTCGATGCTAGCAGCCGTCTCTTGAAGCTGCGCAACCTCACCCGGCGTGGACAACGTCCCGCTTGCTTGGTCCTTGGCTTTCTGCTGGGCGGCGCGCTTTTCGGCTGCCAACGCCTTCTCGGTTTCGGCTAGATTTTGTCGCAACTGGTCGAGTTCCTCCCTCAGCTCAGTTGGGATGTTGTCCTCGTTCTTGCTCAGCTGCTGGACTTTGCGCTTTTCCGCGGCGAGGCTTTTCTCCGATGTCGCCAGTTCCTCACGTAGCGACTGTAATTCTCCTTCGGCCTCGTCGCTTATGGCCTGCTGGGTTTGCGCATGCTTCTGGGTGGCTTTCTTCTCCTTGGCGAGCTGCTTCTCCAGCTCGCGCACTTGCTTCCGAAGTTCTTCTTCCTCCTGGTTGTCCCGGTCTTGCTTATGGGCCGCTTTTTGGGCGACCCGCTTCTCGTTGGCCAGCTCGACCTCCAACGCGTTAAGCTGGCGTTCTAGAGCCAACTTCTCGGCCAGAACATCTTTCTGGTGCGACAATTGCGATCGGAGGTGCTCAATCTCAGGCTTGAGGAGCGCGACTTCCCGGGAGAGAGCCAGCTTCTCGGAAAGGAGCTTTGTCGAATCTTGTGACACGCTCCCGAATGCCGACAATTCGTCCTGGAAAACTTGTTAGAAATAGGCAAGCGAGCGCGATAAGGCGGGTTGGATTGGCATCTGGGGAACTTGCCTTCAGGTTGTTAATCTCGCGAGCCTGCGCCTGCACCATAGCCTCCTGCCTACGGCACTTCTGCTGCACGCTCTCGAGCTGGCTGCGAATGTCGTCGCCCTGGTCGACAAGGTTTTTGATCTGGGCGGTCTTCTGGGCAACCCGGCCCTTCAGCGACGAGTTTTCGTCGCGCAGCAACATGCTGCGGAGCTTCACTCTCCGCGCCTCCTCATCCTTGACCAGCAAGTTGGCCTGGTGAGAGGTATTCTGGTATTTCATATCACGCTCGTGTATGACCTGGGTTCTCTAGATTGCAGGCAAGATGTTAGCTCTAGTTGTGGGATGGCATTGATTCCGGTTGCTGGCGTTTGCGTCGCGCACCTCTTCAGAGTCCATGTTTACACATAGCGACGCGCGTTTGGATGGCATGGGATCGCACTGCGTGTTTAAAGGCAAGCACACGTTATGCTTAAGAATAAAGCTAGGCGTTGGCGCGCAGCCGGTTTGCGTTTGGGATTGCCGAGTGTCGATTGAGGCCGGCAATTTGCGGATCTGGTGCTGATGCGTCGTCGTGGTTGATGGGGAAGAGCGACCCACGCAACCGCCCAAAGGGCTAGAAGTAAACAGTGTTCCCAAAGTGGTTTAGATCAGTTCTCCCCCACCTTACTTACCTAAGCTTTTTGACCGTTGACCCCTGCAACAAGTCGATCCGCTAGCAAGTGGGGCCCTGCGGGCACAAGTCGGTCCGCTCTGGCAAGCTCTGGCCAATGGTACGTCACTAAGCTGGCACTGCTGTCGCGCGATTGAGGACACCTTTTGATGGAACATTTAGGGGAGCTAAGCAGCTAAGCACACGAACTGTAGCAAACGCAAACACCAGACGGCACCCCACGCCCTGGATCAAGTGCCCTATTCGAGCGCCAGCGACAGCTACATTCTTTTAGAGTTCTCATTGCCTTTCGATTCGATTCGCACACGGAAGTCAAGATGCGCTGGGTGCCCGCTTTCCTGTCGGCGGCACTCGTCGCCGCCGCTGCGTCAAACTCCAAGAAGTCGTCCGAGGAGCGCTTCAGTGCCTTCCACACCAAGTCCCTCTCCTCGACCCCCGTCAAGCTCTCCGACTCTTCGTACCGGGACCTGACCAAGACTCCCCGAGACTACACGGCCGCTGTGCTCCTGACCGCCATGGACACCCGCTTCGGCTGCCAGCTGTGCCGAGAGTTCCAGCCGGAGTGGGACTTGCTCTCGCGCAGCTGGATCAAAGGTGACAAGTCGGCCAAGTCGCGCATAGTCTTTTCGACACTTGACTTTTCCGACGGGAGGGATACGTTCATGGCTGTACGTTGTAGTCGTCTTTGTGCAATTCCGGCACCTCAATTCGGCTTGGCAAATTTCTGACACTGGACCCTCGTCATAGCTCGGCTTACAAACAGCCCCGGTCCTGTTCCTTTTCCCGCCCACCGTCGGCGATCACGCGGCCTCTTCGGCCGAGCCCCTCCGATATGACTTCACAGCCGGGTACATAACCACCGCGCAGAATCGCTGAATGGATATAGAAGCTAACATACGCATCCACAGACCCCCGTCCGCCGAGATGGTCCATGCCTGGGTTGCCCGTCATATGCCTGATCGTCCCCATCCCCCCATCTCACGGCCGATCAACTGGATCAGGTGGATCACGACCATTGTTGCCATTGCTGGAAGTGTGACGGCCGGCTTCGTGGCCTGGCCCATCGTCCTCCCCATCGTCCAGAACCGCAATGTCTGGGCAGCCATCAGCCTGATCGCCATTCTGCTGTTCACCAGCGGACACATGTTCAACCACATCCGCCAGGTTCCCTACGTTGCTGGCGACGGCAAGGGAGGCGTCACCTACTTTGCCTCTGGCTTCCAAAACCAGTACGGCATGGAGACCCAGGTCGTGGCGGCCATGTGTAAGCTCTTCTTACCCGATGTCCCTCCTAGCAGAAGCATGTGCCATTACTAACGAAGAGACACAGATGGCATTCTCTCCTTTGCCGCCATCTCCCTCGCGGTCAAGGTGCCCAGGATTGCCGACCCCAAGTCCCAGAGCATTGCCGTCATTGCCTGGGGCGGCGTCCTGTTCATCATGTACAGCTTCCTTCTCAGCGTCTTCCGGATCAAGAACGCCGGTTACCCCTTTGCGATACCGCCGTTTATGTAAGTCCCGGGGCGCTGTTGGTGGGGGTCGACTGCCTGGTATTGTTATCTACATACATTACCCTTAAGATGCATGCGTCGTGGGCCTAGAGTACGGCCATTTTGCGCGCTAGGTGAGCTTGTGGTTCAACCCTCTTTTTTTTGTATGTCTTGTAAAGTAAATTTAGCGGCGTATCTAGAGGAAATGGAAAAGGATTTTGCGCTTAAATGTGTACACGAAGAGCAATCCGTGCCGTTATGGCGATTCGGCAGTTGACTGCAGATTAAAGTTGACATGTGTAATGAGAAATTCAGACAATACTTTTGCTGTCAGGCAACATGTCCACCAACCAAGAGGCCAATTGGGTTTCGAACAGAGCTTCTTTAAACGAATTCTACTTGATGGCCCTTTCAACATCTTCAGCTTTGCTTTAAACATCCATTCCATGATGCAACCAAGACAGACGGCACATGAGTCAAACTCAATTGAGCACTGGGCAGGGACCTCTCCAAGTCAGGTTTATCTGTTATCACAATAGTGAAATGGCTCATAACAATCACCACGAACACCAAAAGAAACATAATTAAAAAGATGGAAGGTATGTAAACATTTCTCTGTAGAATTTTATGAATATGAACTCTTGCTATCTAATTATGCGTAGTTATCAATATGTAGTTATCAATATGTAGTAATCCATATGTACCTAGTTATCTACAAGTTTGAGCCATTCATCTGATACAATTTCCCATTATTAATTGATAATTGTATGGTCGATACAATCTCTCAAACTAAAACAGAGAAGCGAGGCAACAAATACACACTTGCTCCGTGTAATTATTCCCGGCGGCAGGTTTATTTCTCGCAAGGAAAAGAAAAAGAGCGAGGCAATGACCGAGTGCTGATTTCGGGTGAGGCGGCACAAAGTCGAGACCCGAGATAGTTAAGTGTGTGCGTGTGTGCTCGGCGAGCAAAACCCGAAGTCCGTTGCAAGGTTTCCGCCAAGTCAAGGGAGGACTCTGGTGTCATAATTAAGCAGGCGAGCAAATGCAGACTTTCATTTACCTATCTTAATCAACTCCACACCATCTGGCTCTTACCACCGAAACCAGCCAAGAACAAGACAGTGTTCCCATCTCACCCGTGATCGTGTTGCATTCATTCTCAAAAACAATACTCGGCACAAATCTCTAAGCTTATGGGCTGATTGCCAAGTTGCTACGCAGTTCCGGGAAACAAGAAGCCTGCTGCTGCTGCATGACTTGGAACTATGGGAAACCAGCTCCATAGCCCACCTACAGGTTCTAGTCCAGACAGTTAGGTCTAGATGGCGTGGCAAGAAGTGGCGGACCTTCAATTCCGGGTCCACACGGGCACACAGACACGCATCCCTCCCGCAGAATCGCGGTGGCGTCGAGTGAGCAGCAGTAGCACAGCCCGATGCCAAGCGGGCGAAGAGGCATGCCGGAGCTCAAGCCGGGTCGGTTAGGCAGAGGATCTGGCTGGCAGGGGGATACAATTTGTCACGGGCCCAATCTGGCAGTTTAGGGGACTTGTTTTCTGCTAGTCTAGTCGGGCGGCCCTTGCCAGCTTTTGATTCTGGCGGTGCGGTTCGGTGTTGGTGCTCCTCCATTTTTCAACTTCATTATTAGACGAGAAAAACGCGCGCGCGGCTTCCGTGTGCGCGAAATATAAAGGCATCCCGTTTGGTATTGTCGTGAGCGTCCCTCCGTGCCGGCAGCGCGAGCGGCAGCCGAGAAAACCCCCGGGGCCTTTAGCCGAGGCGGCACCAAGAGCCCGTCTGTATTGGGCGGCAGAGCCCTTAGACTAGACTCTGACGCGGTCGACTTTGGCAGGGCAGCGAAGGAAGCCCGGCTAATAATATGCGGCTTAATGGGCGCACTATAGAACAGCAAATTATCGAGACTGTTTCAGATGAGCACAGATTGTTAGCCCATCAACTGCCGCTTGGCCCTATGGAGCAAGTCTGGAGTCGTCCAAAGGTTCAGAGTCGTGCTCCATCGAGCCCTACGCAGGCTTCTGAAGCCAAGCCCCCCGCACCCAAATAATAAAAGATAATTAGAAAGGCGCCCCTAAATTGATATGCGGGGGAGAGCAGGTGAGTTTCTAGATCTACAACGCTGTTTAGCATCTCGAGATGATGACTGCTGACTTTCTGGACAGTGACACGCCACCACATCTGCAATAGGGAGAACTCACCGAATTCTCGGGGCGCTACTAGCTTCAGGTCAGGGTGAAGACAGAGCTCGAATGGCGCCATTGCCGTCAGAGCATTCATCCAGCCGCAAAACAATATGGCGAGCCGCCAAGCTGTCTGTTCTGTCTCCGCACAAATGTCTTGGCAGCGGTACCTGCCTCTTCCTCCAACACGGCTGATCATCTCGGGGCCCCCCCAAATCCAATGGGCAGCGAGAGTCCAGGTTCCCCACAACCTTATTAGATGGCAGGAGCCGTGGGTGGTGCGCTTGCCTAGCTCGCCTGCCTCGCCGAGGCCAAGTGTGGCGAGGCCTGAAGGGGAAGGGGCGTCCAAGGGACTTGCATGATGTGTGGAAGAATACCCCAGAGTGCCACAAAGAGCTGGCCCTCTTTCCCTTTCCCCACACTCTCTTCGCAAATGGCGGCCCTCGCACCAGTCCACCAATCTAGAGCGGCGCTGCAGCTGTCGACTGAGCAGAAATGAAGTTCGATATGGAAGAGCCGATGGCATCAGGGGTCCGTCCACTCACCATCTCGGCATCTCCCTCGAGCCCCGCATCCCATTTGCACGCGCCCACTGCTCGGGGGACGGTTGGTCGTCCGCTCGGAAGTTCCTGACCGAGCGATGCCGCGAGCGACGGGCCTGTCTTCCTGATTGCGAGCCTTACTTGCTTGCGTGCCCAAGAGTGTGGGGCGTTGTGTTGCGGTTAGAGGGAGGCGGAGAGAGAGACTGAGAGACAGACTCCCGTCCCGACTGCAGCCAAGGGGGGCCAGAGCAGAGGCTCTATGAGCAAGCTGCTGTTGCCCCCGGTATAAAGCCCAACTGCCCTGCCTCCCCTTGGTATGGAGCTCTCCTCTCCTCAGGCTTCTACTTGACCTGCAGTTGTAGAGTGCGAGTGCCATAGCCCAGTATGAAGCTCACACAGTCGGCTGTGTTGGCGTTTGCCGCTTCGGCTCTCGCCGCCCCGTCGTCGACGACCCAGCAGGAGCCCCGGAAGGTCGCCGCCGCCTGCTCGTCGGCCGTCTCCCTCGATGCCAGCACCAACGTCTTCAAGAAGTACACCCTCCACGCCAACAAGTTCTATCGTGATGAGGTCACCGCCGCCGTCTCCGCCCTGAGCGACTCGAGCCTCGCGTCTGCCGCTGCCGCGGTCGCCGATGTTGGCACCTTCTTGTGGATCGATACCATTGCCAACATTGCCAAGATCGAGCCCGCCCTTGCCGATGTGCCATGCGACCACATCCTGGGTCTGGTCATCTATGATCTCCCCGGCCGTGATTGCGCCGCCAAGGCATCCAACGGAGAGCTGAAGGTTGGCGAGATCAGCAAGTACAAGTCGCAGTACATCGACCGTGAGTATTCATCCCGTCTAGAAAGGAGTTTGTTTGCTGAGATTGTCCGGCAGCTATCGTCAAGCTCATCAAGGCGTACCCTAACACCGCCTTCGCGCTCGTTATTGAGCCCGACTCGCTGCCTAACCTGGTTACCAACGCCGACAAGGACACGTGCAAGCAGAGCGCCTCTGGTTACCGCGATGGTGTCGCATATGCGCTCAAGAACCTCAACCTTCCCAACGTCGTCATGTACATCGACGCTGGACACGGCGGCTGGCTCGGCTGGGATGCCAACCTCAAGCCCGGCGCCCAGGAGCTGGCCAAGGCCTACACCTCAGCCGGAAAGCCCAAGCAGTTCCGTGGTATCTCCACCAACGTCGCTGGCTGGAACGCCTGGGACCTGAGCCCCGGCGAGTTCTCGACGGCGTCTGACGCCAAGTACAACAAGTGCCAGAACGAGAAGATCTACGTGACGACGTTTGGCGCCGCGCTTAAGACGGCCGGCATGCCCAACCACGCCATCGTCGACACTGGCCGTAACGGCGTCACCGGCCTACGCAAGGAGTGGGGTGACTGGTGCAACGTCCACGGCGCCGGCTTCGGCGTGCGCCCCACGGCTGACACCGGCACCGAGCTCGCCGATGCCTTTGTGTGGATCAAGCCCGGCGGTGAGTCGGACGGCACCAGCGACACGTCGGCCAACCGCTACGACAGCTTCTGCGGTAAGGACGACGCCTTCAAGCCCGCCCCCGAGGCCGGTACCTGGAATCAGGTGTACTTTGAAGATCTCATCAAGAACGCCAACCCGAGCTTCTAAATTTGCGATTTTCGCTCCCGCTACTGAAAGTCGGCTGCCAATCCAATCCAACTCAAAACCCCGACATGAAAAAAATCAAAATGCAAAGTGCGGGCCCCGGGTGAAACGTAAAAACGATGAGTCCAAGAGAGGGAAAAAGGGAAATTCGGGCTTTGAGTCTCGGGGAGGCGAGGCGAGAGGGAGCTAGGAGGAAGCAGAGGAGGGAAAGCTTTCTGTAATTAACATACCTTTTCCACCCTCTCTCAATCTAGAATCCCTAGCTGTACATATTCAAACAAAGTTCCGTGTATACCTTAGCGTGTCCGTAGTCTTTGAAATCTTTGTCACTGCGCTGATACCTCTCTCGATCCAAATGGTCGAGATAAGATATCACATGGTGGAATGTGACACTCTCAATCGGGGGGTTGGGTGCCCGTGATTATCAGGTTCTTATTCAATAAGCGCAATTGCGCATCTGCATTCGTGCATGTGTGTTTGTGAATCATGTTGTCGTTTCTAATCCCTCGTAGTTATTAGCAAACCTTTTCAAAGCTGTCTATTTGTTCCTCTCTATAGTCGCCCCCCACAGCATTTTCTGACCAAGTCCGGATTAGTTGCAGAGCCCGAGCAAGGGGCGAGACACAGTGAGAACTGCCCTGAGCGGAGGTGAGTTCAGGGGAGCGGCTTTTAGCCCGCTTATAGTTGCCGTGATCCAAAGGGCTGCAATGATCCGTTCCCAGACCCAGCTCTAGGACACCAATCCACTGCCAAGTACATACACCGTTTTCCTTAGCCCATACAAGTAACTACCGTTAACAGACCAACTAAAATTACTGCTCGTTCTCAAACCGTAACTCTGAGATAAAATACTGGTAAATTGAAGTAAAAACAAAAATAAAAATTAACGTAGATTTGTTCTGGCTTCGTATCAGAATGCTGCCATTGTTGATTGTGCACTGTGGAAGAATTTGGCACTCGTGTTATGTTACGATGTGGCACGTTAGACTAGCACTAGAATGGTACGAGGCCAGGATGTTATATAACTTCATTACTATACCAAGTAATGAACTATATTCAAGATCGCTAGAGACTCGTATCTGCCTATCCGCTACCACGTGAAGCCGACGTAGACTCGGCTGTTGGTCTTTGGTGCAATTACTTTCGCTGGAGTACTGTGGCCATGCCCTCTCGTGTGTGCGTGGTTCCTTCCCCCCCCAATCCTGAGCAGGGCGAAGATCATGTCTCTGGGGTCGGCTGCCGCGGGCTCCCCACCTCTGTTTCAGAATATTCATCCGGGACATCGACCGAGTCTACCCAAGGTGCTAGGACGGGACCTCGCCCAACAACATCCGTCCATACGGAAGGTGCATCTTCTTGGGCACAAGCCTTCCTCGCAGCGGAAACAGCAACGGTGTTCCATTCTCTCGGGATCAGCCAGAACTGGACAGCCATCCCCTCCTTCTGATATTGCCGGATCGTAAAAAGCAGCGTGTGCCAGAGATCCCAATCCTTGATCCCCGCTCCGCGCTTTAAATAGTCAAACTCGACCAACGTCGTGATGTAGTTGGTCGAGGTCTCAACCACATGTTCGGAACTGGAAGCAATGACAAGCGTGCGGATCCCATCGCTGGGCCAGTGTCGGAAACGCAGGGCGCCAATGACCGCACGGAGCTCCGCTCGGTTTCTGCCCTGAGCCCAAGTGTCGCCGAACGGTCCCGTGGTCTCCAGGCGGCCAGAGACGACGAGTGGCTCGTCCTTGGGACCAACCCCGTGCCAAAAAGCCCAGCCCGCCTTAGAGTCTGGTAAGCCGTCAACAGGTAGGCATGTACCCCCGGTGAAAACGATGACTGTGCTGGTATCATGTTCGAGAGTCAATCTGATAGACGATCTTAGCCACCATTGTCTTGCATTGGCTGTAATTGACCTGATTACCTGGTGATAAGATACAAAGGTCTCTGGCCAGAGAATTGCAGCAACGGAGCTGACTGTGATAGCGGCTTGAACTTGGTGGGAAAGAGCCCAGCCATGGATCCGGCTTGTCCCGATATGAGTAAGGATGGACGAACTTGTGTGGGGTTTTTGGAAGTGTTGATACTTCTCTAAAAGCTGCTGTTGCTAGAGAAGAAGTGCTGATGTTGCCCTGGCTGTTACTATTGCCGTTGCTGGGGACGATGTGTTGCAAGATCCTGGAGATGGACCCGCGACTGGAGCTACAGAATCGGTGGCAGGATTGAGCATGGACCTTCTCGCCTGGGCAGGCACGAGCACTTTATGGCCTATGCTACTTGAGAAAGCGCGATATGAAAGTGTAGCTTGCGTGTTTTCTTTCCTTGGCGGGGCAGCAAAGGTGGGCGCGCGGAGTTGCCTAAGGACGATTGAATGTAGTGGCTTGTTCGTGAGATGTGGTCCTGAGCGATCCTGTGCAGCCAAACATTTGAGGCGCTTTATGTGCCTTGGGCGAAAACTTTGGTCTTCTATGGCGGTGGTAAGGTTCGTGAGTCGTCGGCCGGTATGACCCCGTCGGTGCCGTTCAGTTGTTTGACTTTTTGCTGTACCGCGGCAAATGCCTGTGCTAACCTTTTAATGTGTACGTGGTGATGGGTATGAGCCATTTCGCTTTTGTGACAAACATAACTGTGGAAGTCCCTCCTTGAGCGATAAGCAAGCTAGGTACCAGGTATTAACGTATGCGGTAAGAGGAATCACAAAGCAACTGGGAATTTCGGCTTCAATGAATTGACAAACATCATCAATCGTATATTATCCTAGCTACACCAAGGCACAATCCAAGACATCATCCCTCGGGCGGTACTGTAGGCCATTAAATCAGGCACGAACCTCAGCCGATGTCGCAGCAGCCGTCTTCTCCTCTACCGGAATGTCGGCGTCGTCTTCACCAGCCAAGTGGCGAGCCTTGGCCGTAGCAGCGTCGCCACCGACAATCGCAGCATCACCATCAAAGAACTTGACAATTTCTTCGAGGGCTGTGTTCTTGGTCTCAATGTAATACTTCCAGACGACAAGCAGCTCAAAGGCAAGCCAAACGCAATACACGAGGTAATACTTCCAGGCAATGGCCTCTAGGGCGATGGGGTTGACGTATTGGTTGAACCACAAGCTGAGGTCGACGCAGAAGAACATGACGGTGAGGCCCTTGGCACGGATCCGGTACGGCAGAATCTCGGTCGAGTACGAGACCAAGAGGCCGCAGAATCCCAGGTTGTACATGACGTAGTAGACGAAGATGAACACGATGACGGTGTTGGCAGCCGCCGAGCTCTGGTCCACATCGTACCGAGCCAGAGCAATCGTCGTGGAGACGAACGCAGCAAGCATACCGATGCAGGAGGTGATGAAGAGCGGGCGGCGGCCAATCTTGTCGACGAAGAAGCAAATTCCAACAGCCGAGATAAGCTGGACAATGGACAGGTAGCCGTTGATCTCCAGAACCAAAGTGGAATCGGTGATGCCAATCAACTTCAGCACCTGGGGCAGGAAGTATGAGACAATACCGTTGCCGGACCACTGGGAAAAGAAGCCGATGGATACCAATATGATGAGGCGATGGCGGTTGCCGGGAGTAGCCCACAGTTCGCTCCATGCCGACTTCTCGTACTCCTGTTCCAAGGCAATGGTCTGCTGGATTTCGTTGAATTCGACATTGACGAGCTCGTCGTCGAGATTGCCCTCGGCATGAACATTGGCGAGGATTTGCTTCGCCTTTACATGCCTCCCCTTGGAAATAAGCCATCTGGGAGATTCGGGCACAGTCCAAATGAATATCATCTGGACGATCGATGGGAGTGCCTGCAGGAGACACGGTACACGCCAAGACCACTGGCCATCGAGCTTGTCGGTGCCGAAAGCGACCCAAGACCCAACCAGAGAGCCGAGATACCACAATGTGTTGTAAATGGTGCTATAGATGGCACGATGCTGGGGATGGACGAGCTCGGCAATCAGGAGTGGCGCAGACCCCTATAGAAGGCTTGGTTCAGTGGCCAATCATTCTAGAGGCGAGCATGTAAAGAAGTGGGGAGCGGGAGTAAACTTACATGAGCAATGGCAATGCCGAAACCCAGGATGAGGCGGCCGATGATGAACAGAGCAACATGAAAGCCGATGCAGATTAGTGCAACGCCGACGATCATAATGGCACAGCCAATCACGACGCCTGTTCGACGACCCAGAATGTCGGCAGTATAGGGGACGACGGGGATTGCAAGAAGAGAGCCAATAGACATGGAGGCAGCGATGAGACCGAGGATTTGGCCATTAGGGTTGTTGAAGTCTGGAGGTACGTGTGGTGAGCATTGCGAGGAGAGATATCATGACAGGATTAGGAACGGGCGGTTCTCACTCTCGTTCCATGCCGCGATAGCCTGGAGGCCATTCATGAGAGACCCATCATAACCTAGACAAGATGCGTGTTAGCAACGGGCCGTTCGTTCACTTGGCGCAATCATCACATGGAGGAGTGGCCAAGCAGCTCACCGTTTGTGGCTGAGGTTAACATGGCAGCCCAGAGAGTCAAGTAGACGGTGCGCATGTTCTTCAGCTTCCACCAAGTGACTTTGGGCCAGTCGCGGCCGGCGAGCTCGAAAGTGTCCTTGCCCATGGTGGAAGCCCTGTCTGGGAATGGGCGAGATCAAAATGGATAGGTCTTGAAAGCTGCTGCAGGCCTGGTCGTGGCCGTGGTCCTAGGAGCCCGGCGGAGCAGAGTTGTCTCCTATGGCCATGGGCCCCGAGGTGGTATTTAAGCAGAAGATCCATGGGGGAGAGAGCACGCTCGTCTGTAGTGTTCCTGTGTGCGAGAGAGAAAAGAGGGATAGAGTGAGCAGGGGTGGAAATCATTTGTCTGGCCCAGACCGGCCCTGTCTAGTACCTACGGATACACTCGTAGTAACAACGGGACTAAGCTTCCCCCAACAACACAAGCTTCCCCAAGCTCGAGGGCGGCATGCGGGATACGACACGTGCATGGGCGGGGGAGGGTGGGCTCATCTCTTAATGGACGTGGCGGACAGCGACCGGGGTATTCGCGTGTGCTATCGGGACGTCGATCCCGTCGTGTTCGGGATGCCAGAGCAGGAGCCCAAGCAGATTTACGCGAGACCCTCAGCGCGCCTCTGCCTGTCCCAGAGCCCGTCCATGTTTGCGAGGAAACTAGGGCCAAAAGGGCGTGAGGCACAGACGGTTGGGCGGACCGACGATGGAGGTGGCGCGAAGCCACGTCTGATCGTGGAAGCGAATGCAGTTCGTCAACGCCCAGGTGCAGCGGAAAGGATGCAGGTCTTGGCCCGAAACGTCGCGACACTGGGGACATTATTGGCGCGAGGCCTGCCAAAGGGCAGCCACCGCCTGGGCACGGTGCAGGCACACACACGGATTCATGCTAACACCAGCCGTCCTCGGTCCGATAGCACTGCCAGTTTGGGTGTGGCTCGCTCGGTTGATTTGGGTGATGGAAGTCAGCATGGAAGGCGCCCATGGGAGGAACCGAAGCAGTCAAGCTGCCGCTGCGGGGCGGGGTTCCTATTTGCCGGGCGAACGGCAATGGATCGTGGCTGCCAAACACGCTGCCAAACATGCATCCCAACGATATGCAGATCTAGGCTTTACTGTTTTTGGCTTCACGGGGCGGGGGTTCTGCCCTGCTTAGGGAGGATTCCCTGGTAGGATACGACAATCTATTTCGCCTTGCTTTTGCAGGTTCTAGATTGCATTCCATCCAAACACCTTGACCAAAGACCTGGGACCGTCTGCGAAATGAAAAGAGAAAATAGATTGGATACCAGGTAGTAGTATAGAATACACCTGCCCACACTGTAGCTTTGGATGCCGTGATACTGCAAGTCAGGCCGCTCCTTCTATATTTGGACAGTGCGGGACAGGCAGCCTGCACGCGTCGGTTCCGGTAATAAGCCCCTCACTACAGATCGTTGAATTTGAACAGCGAGAGTTGACTAATCAAAACGCGAGGATTGAAAAAGACTCTCGGAGTGGAAGATGTTTCTATGCCGAGAAGTGATGCGCACAAGTTCTCTTGACGCCGAGTGCCCGAGCCGGCTCTCAGTCACGCGGCATCGATAAGCCGAGAACAGTGTGAGCCAAAGACGAGGGGTGAGGAGACGAGATGGAGAAGCAGGTAGGGTCGCCTGGATGGAACGCAAGATGCTAGGATACCCACTTGACAATTGGGAATCCCCGCGTTGACTTGGAAAAGCTGATCCAGGGCGGCCTGCAAACGACTTTTCCCATTGGCCACCAGGTCCCGATGTTCCATCGCCTCAATTCCTCAGGCCGCTAGCCCAGCCATTTTTAGGCCGGCCCGTCCTAGCGGATGATAAAATGCTGACTGAGAGTAAATAGAGGTAGTATTAACAGGTTGGGCTATTGCTTCGTCGTCGTCGTCGTCGTCGTCGTCGTCGGTCTTACCTGTCGCCAGCCTCCCAGCGTCGCAGCCATTGAATGGCACCGTGACACATAAGACGGCAGGTCGCCTTGGTGCACGGCGCGCCCCAAATTCCAAGTCTCTCTCCCACCATTTATATACATGGCAGATGCCTACTACGGTATCCCGCCGCTTCGGAATCACAGTGCTCCTGAAATAACACCCTACAACGTGATGACAAGCCGGCCGAGACCTCATCAGCAGCACGCTGTGACATTGGGGACGTCAAAACAACCCCAAGCGAGCTTGAGGCTCTGCAAGTCAACGACGGGAGTTGAATAGCCGCGCCAATATCTCGGGTCGGTCGGCTACACTCGTCTCCACTAATAAACTCTAGTAGAGCATGTCGAAAGGAGGGAGCCTGCATGACACAACCTGACAAGGCGCTTGTCAAGCATTTCTTGTTCCGTCCTTGGCATACCCACACTGAGCCTCTTAACACTTGGCATGGTAGGCGGTCAGGTAGCTTCCGGGATTTCATTCCTCATGAAGCTCCTAACCGTTGTCTTTCTAGTGTGATTGTCATGTAACTAATCCAACTATGATTATGGATGACTCGGGTTAGATTCTAGAAGATTGTGAGAGAGATGTTGATATCTAAATTGCGTCACCTGCCTGATCAATAGCGTAGTAATTACCTGGTACAAGAACAGGATAAGAAGGGAATAAAAGCGAATCCACTATTTCTGGGAGGATAATATATGACGATAAATAGCCCTTGCTCGCTTTGACGTGGTTGTTATTTTTCTCTTTGTCTCGCCTCTCTCCTCTCGCCTTTTGAGAGGCTCCGTAACAACTGAACTCAGGCAGGGACCACAAGAAATCTGAAGCAAGCACACCAAGTTTGAGCGAGTAACCAATGAAAAATCGATGGGTCTATCTGTCTGTTTTCGCGAATTCGTGACAAGGCCTGATAAACTTTCCCTTATTCAATGCTTGTCAACGGATTTCATTTCATTATTACGTGTGTAATTACTCGCCTTAACAGCCTTCATCATGGATGATCCTCAGCACAACGTTCTGACGCCTTCCCTGCCGACTGGGTCACGAGAAGGCCAAATACGTGTATTCTTGAGATGGTGTATGTCTACGCTACCTAGGTACGCTATCGATCTATTTTCTATATTTGAGAGAAATGGCAAGACACAGCGCCCACCCTCCTACCTGAGAGCTAAGTCGCGGAATTGGACGTAGCTACGACTAGGTAATTATAGGTAGTAGTGAAAAGTAAAGCACATAAAAATTCCGACAGCCAAAGATACCACTGCCCCGCTACGCATTGTCTTTGAACAGAATCTTCTCGTGGACAACGACAAAGTGGCCAATGTCGACATTGCCGTTGGCCGCGTAGCCCGTTTTGAGCTCCGCCCACTCGAGGCTCGTTGTCATGGCCTTGACCTTGTCGAGGCTGTCGACGTAGTAGGTCATGGCAATATCGTAGTCCAAGCGGTCCACCTGGGCCGGTCCATCTGTTTGAGGGGCTCGCGGAAGGGCTCGCGGAGCTCGGGGATGGTCACCGTCTAAATGTGGATGAGACGAGGTTTGTGAGGGATCAAGTATGGAAAACGACAGGCGGGGATGGTTCGTACCTGCGTCACTTGAGCCATGCCGTACTTGGCAAACACGGGACCGGCTTCCTTGGGTAGTCCTCCGTAGCCCATTTGACGAACTTGTCGTAAGGGACGCAATCTTTCTTGTAGATGAAGACGGTGAACTTGAACAGTGGGGCGGATGCGGATGCCATGGCCGCAGATTGTTACTTTGCTAGAAGACAGGGAAGATGAGAAGAAATGGAAATGGAAATGGAAATGCTCGAACGTTTGGTGAACATGAATGTGAGTTGATCGAAAGACACGGGGCAGCTTAGTGAGTGTATAGATGAACGTCCCCTGGGTAGGCCGCGTGCCAGGGGCGTGGACTCAGTGGAATAAGCAGCCGTAGTCAGATCGGATTTAGTAAACTACTACACCGTGCGGTAAGATGAATAATAAGTGACGACGTTGGTCAGCTCCAGCAACCGGGCGGTTGCCGAGAAGATCCTAAGGGATCCGCCCCGTTTGAATCCGCCTGCACGATGTCTCCGTTGGTGCCATTGGCACGTTCGAGAGACCCCCGGTTTACTTGAGCAGCCCGGAGACTCCGGGAAAAAGAGGATAAGCCTATGTAATTAAAGCGAGGTAGCTTGGGAAATGAAGAGATTAGTTTGAAATAGAAACAAGCCATAATCGCCAGCTTACGGGCACTTAGTCTCACTTATTATCTAGCAATAATAAAAAAAGAGAGAAAAAACAACCCCCGGGTGGTGGCCGCATTTCTGTCGAGCCCCGACAACTGACTAGCGCTGTCGAAATTTAGCCTTGGAAGATCGGTCTGCTGCTGGGAATCGAACCCGCAGCCTCAGTGGAAGGTGTGAGCCAATATCCCACTCGGTCAAATCTCTCGAAGCCCTCTATTGCCTATAAGCGTCAGGGTGAACGCGCAAACTAATACATATAGGTGGATAGGTACGGGAGTTGCTACGGTATGCCGTCACGCCAGCCGGCGAAACAGATACCGGTACCTGTTGCCTGGTGGCACTCTGTCGCAACCCCTACTAGTACGCAGCTGGGTGCACAGGTGTTAGAGCGCATGGCAAGTGAGGCGCCGGGGCAGTTGTAGATGATTCAATTAGGAGTTGAAACAGTTATATATTCCCTCGGAGAAAACATTCTAGGGCGAACAATACGGCAGTCCACGTGTGAGTATTCGGCAGGAGGTAGATGTGATATCTAATGTCCATATTGGCCGAATGATGGCCTGAAAGAACTTAGCTAGCGTTGTCGTACTAACAAGTCTAACTCCTTAAAAATACGTCTGCAAAGGTTTTCTAGGCGGGGCTACGTTTGTGGGTTGAATACTATTAAACTCTTACTTTGCTTTAGTTTCACGGCTTTTCGTTGTCGGCTCTCATCTTGCCATCTACATTCTCTCGTTTAGCATATAGCGATAGTGAAGCAGTGCACGGTAGTCATGAGCTAGATGATCTCGTTCTTTCTCAAGCCAGATATGCTCAACTAAAAGAGGCCGCGTCAGGGCCGGGTATAATACAATACAGCTCCAAAGTGACCCGAACCCACTGGCAGGTATAGCCGCTATGCGTCGTAGCCACCAAGACTTCATTAATACAACTCTTAAGGAGCAGCTAGAATGGCATCGGTAATGCTCAAGTCGCATGAACGAGACAATAAAGACGCTATGAGCCGCCTTGCCCCACCGTGCCCAATCCATGGACGCAAATTCTGGGAGTATCTCATGTGATGCCTGCTGCCCAACTTGCAGTGACGTTTAGATCACCCTAGAAGCACGCAGTCTCAAAAAGGCGCCGGCGTCTAGGCGGGTGCCGTCTGAGGTTACGCAGCAAAACTCTTCCGACTTTACGTCAGTAATGGCCGGCTTGCTAAATGTCGATTTGAGTGGGGTGTTTTGTTCTGCTTGCAACATTCACATGCAATGGCTCATTTGGCGATTCTGTAGATGCCGAGCCAGACAAAGACAAGAGAAGTTGCCGTGATGGCGATACTCCTGCTCCGCATGCCGAACCTAGAATTGCTTGCAAGGATAAGTGCCCGCTGTTTCTCGAGCTGAGCTTGGCCGGAAATATAGCTGTACGCGCCAAGACCGAGAAAGGCGCCGCCGCCTGTGTTTTGGCAAGAGAGTGAGCTTAGCAGTGGTTCGTTTAGAATGTCTGTCAAGGAGCTCAAAGACACTCACCAACGATTTTGCAGCTCAGGCAGTCATCGCCCCGGTCCTGCTTAAGCAGGGTTTGAAGCTTTTCCGGCTTGTCCAGCGAGTGGACCGAAGGTACCGGGTCCCCCGCCATGGTGAAATGTGCTGCGAGCGGAAAACGAGATGAACAATTTCGTGCAGTGAAGCCCCGACGACTCAGCGATGTTTCCCCCGCTAAAGTTCTGTTGGCGATGAGTGGGGGCGCGTTGTTTGAGCTCCAACAAGTTGGCTGATATCCGGGTCGGAAAGAGCCATAGGGTCAAGCGCATGATTTTGTGCCACTATTCACCGCCAAAGCTTTGCTAGCTACGTACAGGGCCCACACGGCTGGAACGCTGAAATTAGGTGGGTCGTCAGCTGAGACATAGCGCCCGCTGTTGTTGGACACAACCCGGGCCTAATTGCGTCAGCCAACTTATACCGCCCTGCACTTGGAAAAGGCTCGCGGCGCCAGACAAGAAGCAGCCCCGGCGACAGACTCAACCATGAACGGCCTCATTGAGGCGCTGCACATTTACGACGAACAAAAGTAAGGAGGTTCTCTAGGAAATGCATGATGACGGATGTAGGCTAACGCCCGCGCAAGCAGCCTGGTTCTGTCGCACACGTACACATCGCGGCCGCTGTCGGCGACGCACCTGCTGCCCCTCTATCTCGACCACCCCACGCCCCGGCCTAACCTCATCTACCTAGCAAACACCAACCCGCCGACGCTCGTCTTCAGCCTAACCCACTCCAATCTGCTTTTCCTCCTGACCAGCTCGTCTGAGGTCGAGCCGCTCCTTGCCCTCGAGTTTCTTCACCGCGTCGTCGACTCGTTCGAGGAGTTTCTCGGTGCGCCCCTGCTGGCCCACAAGATCGAGGCCAACTACGATGTCGCCGCCCAGCTCCTGACCGAGATGTGCGATGGGGGCACCATCAACACCACCGAGCCCAACGCGCTGCGGGACCTGATAGAGGTTGAAGGCCTGATGGGGAAGCTGCTGGGAAACCTGAGCCTACCTACGTGAGCGCATTCCCCGTTGCCCTCCAGTAGGGAGGGACGAGGCCGGCTGACTTTGTGCCCAGGAAAGCTGGATTCGGCACCAACTTCAACAACTCGAGCGCCCCGTCGCTAATTCCCCAGAACACACCCGCCCTGCCGTGGCGGCGGGCTAACGTCAGGCACACCTCGAACGAGCTCTACGCAGACATAGTCGAGACGCTGTCCGTGACGCTCGCGCCCTCGGGCAGGCCCCTCGCGGCCCTGGCCAGCGGAACAATAGCCTTCACATCCAAGGTGTCGGGCGTGCCAGATATCGTCATGACGTTAACGGGGCCGTCCGGGAAGCACAACCTAAACAGCATCATCGACCTGCCCGTCTTCCACCCCTGCGTGCGCCTTGCGCGATGGAGAGAGCAGCCGGGTGTGCTGAGCTTTATACCCCCGGACGGCCGGTTTATCTTGGCCGGCTACGAGGTCGACTTGCTGCCTGCGAGCGACGGGAGGACGGGGAGTTTGGGACCCAACAGCCTGAAGCTCCCTATCAGTCTCGAGATCAAAACGGGTCTTGGCGCAGCAGGATCGGATTTTGAGGTCAGGCTCAATGTCAACAGGGTATTCGCAATTGGCGGCAGCTCCCACCAGGCAGGGAGGCCGGGCCCGGGAGGGGGCAGAGGGCTGGGTGGCCCGCAGGCCGGCACGGCAGCATCCCCCTCGCTCCACGACCTGAAGGTGCAGGTGCCCCTGCCGGCAGATGTGCGGAACCTGTCCGAGCTGCGGCCCAGCAAGGGCGACGCCAACTACAACCCCGGAGACCAGTTCCTGGAGTGGAGCATTCCGAGCAAGGATCTGGCCTCGGGAACCTCGTACTTCGGCTTGAGATGCACAGTTGTTGGGCAGTTGGCGGAGGAAGACGAGAGCGCTGATCCTACGGGCTTTGGCTTCAACAACACGGCCTCCGCCGTGAACGAGTACTCGTACGATGAGCCATACCAGAGTTCCTCGGCCCCGAAGGAAGCGGGGAAATCGGCCGAAGCCGAAAGCGAAAAGGATGCGCGCAGGGCCGCGCAAAACAAGATACTAATGCCCAGCTCGGCCTCGGTCAGTTTTGCCGTCAAAGGATGGCTAGCAAGTGGGATCAAGGTGGAGAGCATCATTGTCGACCCCCGCAAGAGCCGCGGGCTCGGCGAGGCCGTGAAGCCGTATAAAGGAGTCAAGTATCTCACAGTCAGCAAGGGAGGCGTCGAGATTAGGTGTTGAAGGTGAGGTGAGCGAGAGCTTGAATTCCCTAATAAACCGCAAATAAAACAAAGTCTCAACTTTCCGGACGGCTACAGCCGCAGTCTCTTACAGTCAATGGGTGAAGGACAAGGAGGACAGAAAAGGTGTCTGCACTTGTTGGGTTACTTCTCTTACTCAAAATCCCTCAGCGGGCGAGCTTTACAAACTTGACGCCAAAAGCTGCCGACCACGGATGAAATCACGTTTCAACACACTAAAGGAGTTCGTGCTCAGTCCACAGCTCAGAACCACAGACCCTGCTAACAAGAAACACATTTGTCCATGGCAACCATCTGTCCCGAACGCCCCTTGTGTTTTATACGGGTGCCTTGCTTAGTTGTTTGCGCTGCCACCGTCCCGTTGAGGCCATTGTCTAGCTCAGCACTCTTTGCCGCACGGGTTCATGGCTCTGTTTCCCCGATCCTCTCTTGAGGCCTGGAGAGGTTACGGTGAGGTAAGACGGCCGGAGCGTCAGGTTTCGGGCGAACCCTGTTTGCGTCCCATAAGATTGATTGCGTTGCAGCTGTCAAAGTCCGAGGAGTTGCTTCGGAGTACGGCCAGTGGGTATAATGAGGTGAGAGGCTGCCTGCCTGCGCCAGGCAGATACATAACCATCCCACACCCCACACCCCGGCCGGGGGTTTAATGCATCTTGGGCCAAGACAGGTAGGGTTAGAAGCTTGCTTGCTTGCTTGCTTAACAATGACATGGGCCGTCGGAGAAAAAAGAAAGTCGGGAGGGAATGCTGAAAGGGCCGTCGTGGGCTGGGCCGCCGCAATCCTGTCAGCAGCATGACGCTGGCCTGGCCTGGTCCCATGTTGGGGGCTATGTCCGAGGCGACGCTCCAACCCACCGGTATCGACTACTACGTGATTGCGCACCAATGCGGGGGAGAGCTGAAGACCGCCTTGGCTGGCTGCAAGAAAAGCGAAAATCTGCCTCGCCTCGCCCTGCTTGGCCAACCCGGTTTGGTCGTTGCGCTGTGCTCGAGCACGGCAAAGTATGGAGTTGCGTGCAGTATTGCAGTATGTATGTATGCCCCCCCTTCCGGCCCCCATCCATCCCGCGCTCTCAGCTCGGAAGGAACCAGGTTTGACGGGTGCGGCACGGCTCTGTCTCCTCACTCATCTTCACCCTCACCCTCACTCCCAACCTCTCTACCCCCCTTCCGGCCCCCGCTCTCATCCCGCCGCCGCCGCCACCGCCGGGGACGTTGCCACCCGGTCCCGTGCGGCTGACCTGGGGACGTGAACGGACGGATTGGGTAAGCCTCTCGGTTCTTTTCGTCAACGGCCGCACGCCAAGAAATTGCCTACCTGAGTACTGTACTTCACTCGGTGGGTTGCGGCACGGGCACGGCATTTCCCGTGTCTTGTCTCTTGCTTTCGGTTACGAAACGCAGCATGCTACCGCCTCGGAAGATTACACATCAATATTAACGCGGAAATAGGTATAGTATGCACCTAGGTGCCTGGTAGCCATTTACGGACGAAACAAGATGCATCATCCCACCACAGACGTCCCCACACGGGGCAGGTAGCCAGGAGACAGACCAGACGACATTCCGGATGTCTATCTGAGGATCTGGGCATCCCATGCTGTCCGGTCCAGGCTCCTACTCTGGTTGTGCCCTCGACACAAACGGGTCTGTCCCTGGGCACGGGGAACCATCCAACTGTTCTTGATTCCTCGTCCCGGCACTGGCTGATTGGCCACGGCATGGAATTATTGCCGGTACATGCAATGGTCTTGGGTTCAAGCCCCATTCGTCAACGAAAGAGAGAGAGCCGCAGCAAGGGAACGGCTACGGAGTCTTCTGCGCGGAGTTCCGCCGCGCGCGTCTACGGCGAGCCTGGGGGAGGATATCACATACATCCCGCACAGTATCCTTTGTTTCTGTGTGTTACCGACAGCCGCCGCTAGGCATTTGGGGCGTTTAGTTTTCCTGTTTGCATCTGCGGCAAACAAACAGCCTGCCATGTCCCGTTTCAACAGTACTAAGTATACCTCGTTATTCCCTACAGTGTGCCGTGCGCAGGCATGTATATTGGTAGATACGCATGAACACGTATGCGTACGTATCGGCCTGCACCTGCACCTGCGCCGCCGCCTCGCCGCCCTTTCCCGTTTCTATTTTTTCCGTCTTGATCTGCCTTTCTCGGAAGGACGAGACCGTGTCCCGGAGCCGGTCCAGCACTCGAGAAAACGCCTCCCCAATAAAAATAGCAAACACACAACTCACATGTAAGGTATTTGTGTGATTTGGAATTGGAATTGGGAGGCCCCGGGGAAGCGGGCGGGGAAGGAGGACAGCTTGGAAGCCTATTCGATGCACAAGGAATCCGTAAGGATCTACTTCCCCGTTTTTTTTCACTTCAAAAACAGAAGAAGAAAAAAGAAAAGAAAGCAAGTAAGTAAGCAAGCAATATTAGCTAACAGATTGCTCAATCACTACTGGCAGAAATAGCCGCAGCAGGGCGAGCGAGCGAGCGAGCGAACGAGAGACAGAGACAGAGACAGGGAGAGATGAGAATACGCGGAATCAAGCCCGGAAAGAGAAAGAGGGTCCGAAAAGGCTCAATAGGGGGAGCATGGGTCGTGACCGGCAGTCCGTTGGGATTCCGGTCCGGACTGTCATTGTCATCTCACACACGGACTGGCCGACTGACTGACTGACTACCATGATGGGAGATGGGAATTACGTATGTGTGCTTATGGGCATTTCCCCTTGGTTCGCTCACCCGCGCACACAACCCCGGTCTGCATGTCCCAGCGGCTCTGCTGCCAACCATGTCGCCGCCGGCCGCTCCCTGCCCTGTCCGGCCGGGGAAGGGAGGTGTCCTCCGTACGAGGTAGTGTGTGTGTGTGTGTGTGTGTTTGTATGGTATGCTGGCGTGATATGTCTGTTCGGCAAAAAAGAAGTAAGTGGATAGGCACCGAGGTCACATGCAGCAGCAGTAGCAGCAGCAGCAGTGGCTGTTGGCAGTTGGCAATGGACAGACAACTCTATCTGCCTACGAGCCAACTACCTAGAGAAGTAGTCAACGTTTTCGGCAGCCGCTCCGAGACGGGAAAACAATAATGCAGCCTAGCCGCTATAGCACCCGGGCCAGGCCAGGCTACGTAGCCATTTGATCTCGGCCGAGGCGGGGGATGGGATCGCCAGGCATCACCATCACCATCACCATCTCGGGATTTGATGGTGCAGTGAGGTGAGGTGAGGTGAAGTGAAGTGAACGTTGCAGCGACTCGAGAGACCACGCACGGGCAGTGACAAGGTTTCTCGATCGAAATATACACGTGTGCGTGGCTCGTGGTCATTTTCTTCGCCTTATCTGGGGTAATTACTCCGGTTACCCATACCTATACCTGCCTAGGGTCCCCTCCCCGCAAGGGGACATTTTTTTAGATGTGTGTTGCAAAATAAATAAAAATAGCAACAACAATAGGTACCGTACGGAACTCCATACCATACTTCGGTACCGGGTCGGCAGCAGGGCTGGGGCTAGAACGTGGGAACGAAACGAAATACATACGTATCAGGGATGATTAGACGGGGGACGGAAGGACGGGCGGCGGACGAGGACGGCTCCCGGCCCCTTAATTTTTTCGGTACCAAGCAAACGAGAGAGAAAAAGAACTGGGGCAGGCAGGAACTTTTGGCCGCTTTCGTCGATTCTATCCCCCTCCCTGTTGGGGCAGTTGGGGCAGCTGGTTACTTAACCTACCTACCTTACCCAAAGCACACACACACACACATTAAAAAGGAACAGGGCCCCTGTCCTGTCTAAAAGGAAAAAGCAAAAATGTAGTATTGCGGCGAAGCCGGCAGCAACACCACCACCCACCACCTGAACCAACAACCCATGCACATTGCACAAATTGCACACACGCACCCTTCTTGCATCCGTTTTGGTTAGTGCCGTCTACTCTTGCATTCACACATCCTTCTCCGTCCCCCGCTCCGTCCAATGGACTCGCGAGCCGACCCTTTGTGTATCACAGTCTCAGTAAAAATAAGCTTTGGGCAGGGACCAGGACGAGGGTTTGCATCTTTTTTTTGTTCTGTTTTTGTTCTATTTGGCTGAGACTGGCTTCCTTTCCCGCCACAGCGGGCGGTAAGAGAGCGAGAGAAAGATGAAGGAGAGCCCGGGAGAGCCACCCGGAGGAACACCGCTAGCCGCCCGCTTATTAGGGAGATAGACGCAGACAAGAGGGTCAACCAATCCATGAAATATTGGCGCGCGTCTTATCTCATCCCCCATCCTATGCTGTTTGTGTCCCCCCACCCCGGCCCCGATGCTGTTCATGGCATAGCGCATATCCTCGCCATCGACCCAATCCATCCATGATTCCTCACCAGCCGAAACACTAGTGATCCTCGAAGCTGCTTGTGCGAAGAAAAAGGAAAAAAGGAAACCCAATTGGAGATGACAAGACAGGGTTGCGAGAGGAAAAATCCGCCACAATATGATTAGCTCCAAAAAATGCATACACCTAGCTACCAGAGCTCTCCTCCGGTGTATGTTTTTGTGGTACATGCAGGTTTCCGTCCCAGCTGTGGCTCTGGTAATAGGTGATAGATAGAGAAGACAGAATTGTAAAAGGAGATCAGACGGAGAAAGCCGGCATGTAACCATCTCGATCGGATTGCCCAGGGAAAAAGGCAACAGCCACAGAAAACAAAAGTTCCAAACCACATGCGACATCTCTTGTATAGGACAATTATACTGGGTATCATAAAAAATCGAGCCAAAATAGAAAGGAAAAGAGTCAGGCGGATATAGAGACAGGATTGATTTGTGCTCGTCCTAGATAAAGGATATGCCCCGGCGGTGGCCCGCCTTGAGGCCCATGTAGATGCTGTACGTGGCGACATCCTGAAGTAGAAAAGCACGAGTCAGCATTAAGATCTAGCATCTTGGATAGCCAAAACAAGAGATGGGGAAGACATACCTTTGTGACAACGGACCCGGCCCCGACGGTCGAGCCCCGACCGATCCTCACCCCAGGGAGAATCACGACATTGGCAGCAATCCAGACGTCGTCCTCGATGATGACCGCCTTGCCGTATTGCGTACCCGTGTTCCCAGCCCGGCGGCGAGGGTCGGTGCTGCATGTTCCCGTGTAGATGCACACGTTAGGACTGATAATAACATTGTTCCCAATCCGGACTTCGCAAACGTCGTTGATTAGGCAGTTGCGCCCAATCGACACATTGTTGCCAATCTGGATGTTGTAGCCATAATCGCAAGTGAAGGGCGCCTCGACAGTGGCGTTGTCGCCTACGCGGCCCGTGTGTGTCACGGGGGACATGACGGTGGGCGAGATATGCACTCCTTCACGCGGGTGGAGGATGTCGCGGAATAGCCTCGCACGCTCCGAAGGCGAAACTCCAATATTGGGGTTGGTCGAGTTGTTGAACCTCCAGCACGCGGCGTTGCACCTTTCCCGCTCCAGAACCAGCTCCTTGTTGAAGGGGTAATAAGGGCGCCCGTTCAGCATCTCGTCCTTCTCGCGCCTTGGCCGATCCGACGGGAACTGGGTGTGCGAGAGTGCCAGCTGGGCTGTCGCCTGTGGCCCGCCCCCGGCGCTGGACGGGTGAGCAGACATGGGCGTCATGGCAGACGGCGGGGTAGATGTCCGGCCGCCGTGCACAGCACTGAATGGAGATAGGGTAGTCGTGCTGCTCTGAGGGGGTTGGATCTTGAGCGATTTGGACGAATGCTGCTCTGGCTCCGTCCTCGTGAGGTCGTGCAGTGGAGGCACCCGCTGGTATTCCTTGGGCGTCCGGTCCGAAAAGGCCGTGGTAGGAGCGGCGCTGATTGGTGTTGGGAAGATGTTGACCGATGGAGTTGTCGTGTAGCCCGACAAGGCAGACAGTTTGTTGTCTGGACTGAGGACAGAAGCGCTCGGCAGCGTAGACGCGGTTGGCCTGTCGTCGTCGCTCTGCAGAGGACGGCCCTGCGGTGGTGTAATTCGTAGTGAGGGCTGCCCCCGGTTATATTGCAGGGGGTCGCGCTTGTTCTGGCTGATCATGGGCTGGTTGTTATACGGGGGTTGCTGAGGCATTCCATAGGCTCCAGGCGGAACATAGTTTGGATCCTTCGACTCAATATTGACCTGGGCGGGCTTGCTTTCGGGCTTGGGCCAAGTGCCCCTCTGCGGCGGGTACCCGGCACAGACGAAGCCACCCCGGATGCAGTTGCTACCTGAAGGATCGTTAGTTCTGTCCACGGCGCGGCAGCAAACTCAATCACGACTTACATTCAGGCTTTGTCTCGTCGCACTTCTTCTTTCGCTTCCTGCACGTCAGGCAGCCGGTTTTGGTCCGGTTGCTGAAGTTGCGCTTCCTCTTCTTGGGGTCCGACTGGATGACACCGTCTCTCCGCTGCTCGGGGGTATACTGGCCCGAGTACATGTGGTCGTCATCCGGGCTCTGGCCTCCATAGTCGTCTCCCTGGCTTGCGGCTCTCCGCAGAGAGTCGCCTATGTTGTCGTCTGATAGGGCTGACACGGGTCCCGCCGAGTAAGGCCCTTCGTAGCTCGAATTCCGCTCCTCTCGGTCCCTAGACTGGTGCCAGTGATCGCTGCCTTCGCGACCCTCTCGGCCGTCATCGCCATAGCCCCGGTAAGCATCCTTTTGCGGCGTGCCAAAACGGTCGCGATCGCGGTCACGGTGGCGGTCGCGGTCGCGGTCGCGGTCTCGTTCGCGGTCCTGGTCACGGTCCTGGTCGTGGTCTTGGTCGTGGTCGTGGTCACGGACACGGACACGGTCTCGGTCTTGGTCTCGATCCCGCTCCCGCTCCCGCTCCCGCTGCTCTCTTTCCCGGTCCCGCTCTCTTTCCCGGTCCCGCTCTCTCTCCCGCGCTCTCTCCCGCTCCCGATCCAGTGATTCCGAGTGAGGTCGATGTGGCCCGTAGGGCTCTGCCCTCTCTGCTGGTGAGGGCTGGTGGGCCCTACTTGGAGAACCAGAGATGGAACGCTTGCGCTTGTGTGACGATGGCTCGGCATCCTGATAGTTTGCTGAAGGATAGGGGTTTCTATCATGGCTGGCGGCACTCCACCCTTCCCTTTCCCTCTGGCTAGTTACCGGCACTTCAATGGCCAATCTCGGCGGCTCTGCATTCGTGGACTGGCCATTTACCCGCTCCACGTCTGCCGTCCCATTAATCCCTTCTGTGGCTTTTGGCGAGCCCCCGTTCAGGGCTGTGAACGTAGCCATCTTCATTCGTGGTGTCTGGTTCGAGGCGAACCAGATGCAGCCACGTGCTGTAGACCTCCTAAATGCGGCACCGCCGTCGAAGAGCAGACGCGCGACTTAAGAGGTAAAATGCGATGCACTCGACTCCGAGGCAATCAGCTAGGCCGCAATATCACCAGTCGGCAAAAAAAAAAGTCTCCACTGAGGTCTCCGGACTGAAACACAAGCCCGTCAGCACGCAAGATGAGAGGCGCGCAGAATGCAAGCGATGGGCAGAAAGAAGGCGAATGAAATCCGCCGGTTGGCTCGCGCAGCCGGATCGCAGACGACGTGTGGTAGCGGAGCCTCGGATGCGGTAGATCAACAACAAGACTGCCTGCCTGCCTGAAAGGCTTCAGATGAGATCAAGTTGAGTCAAAGCGACGGGGGGCATGCGATGGCCGGTCCTAAAATGGCCGCCTAGAGCCGCGTGGAGACTGCTGCTTGCTAGGTCGTTGGGAATTTCTCGATGAATCAGCGCTGAAAAAGTGTGATCAGCCTGCAGGGTTTCCCGGATGCGATGCGATGCGATGCGCCAGCGAAGGCGGGGGGGATCGGACAGCGCTCGTGCGTTACGTCTATCACCCAGCCCTTGGCTCGCTCGTCTGGACGTGCTGGCTTGATGGTCTTCGTTGTCGCCCCAATGCCAGCACTGTTGCGAAAGCTGAGACTGGCAATATGCCAGTGTCTCGCCGTCTCGACTTTGTTACTCTAAAGACAAGGTGTCGGCGCACGTTGGGTGAGGACTCGAGCGGGCGAGATGGGGGAATGCCGCGTCCAAAACCGAACAGCACAGACACACACGTAGGCGCCGTCGACGAACCGCAAAAGCCACAGGAGTCACAACACCTCTGCTCACCCCTCCTCCTGGCCTTCACGCTACCTGTTGCGGGATCCGTCGTGAGGAAGATGGTTGTTTTTTTTTTGCTCAAGCGGCGAGCTTCTTTGCACGGTATGACACGTCAGAGCCACATGAATCGCCCCGGTTAGGCGAACGGCTCTGATTTGCGCAAAACCTCGAGGCCGAGACTATGCAAAGCGGTGAGAGAGACTGAGAGACTGAGAGTGAGAGCGTGCGATGTCGTCTGGCGCTTGTCGCTTCTCTTCTCTCCTGCTCTGCTTTGGTGTGATGCGGCGGCCGGAGGAGACCCGTCTCGACCACTACCGAAAGTCGATGCCGGATATGGAGAAGTGCTGCGACTTGCCGAGACCAATGCCGATGCGGCCGTTCAAGCCGTCGCAGAAGAAAAAAAAACTACCCCAGTTTGTATAAAAGATTTCACAAAAGCCCACACAAGCTTCTGTTGTGCGTGGTGGCGGGAGAGGAGAAAAATAGAATGCGGGCGCTTGAGGGGTTTTGACGCGCGATTATGCTGCGCCTGTCGGGAACGAGCGAACAAGGCCCTGCCACTTCAGTGCTTCAAACGGCTGCTTTGTTTGCTGCTCCGAGGTACCGTACCGTATGTATTCTACCGCAACGGAGGAGCTCAGGAGACTTTCAGGCGGATTAGGTACCAGGAGGCGGGATCTCGTCGAAGGACTGGTGAATTCTCAACCCCGTGCTGCACCGGCATACAAACGTGTTGTTTGGTCCGTAGAGCCAGCTTCGATTCGATGACAAGGGTACGTCAGTCCTCCTTTTCGGGGGGGGCGGGGAGAAGGGAGGGGAAGAGAGAAAAGAAGAAAAAAGAGTCGGCGCAGCTGCCGTCAAGTATGGATGGACTGGACCTGGACTGTAGGTAGGTACAGTACGGATACAGCGTACCTGAGCGGCTGGCTTGGCGTGCTTGCAGGGTTGAGCCGATGAGGTGTGCCAGCGACAGAGAGCGCGCGCAAGCGTCAAAAGATTAAAACAGGCGATGGGGCAGCTGGCACAATGGGTACCTCAGGTTAGGGTGTTGCACAGACACGGACGTCGTGGGTAGACAACATGGGCAGGAGTCCCGTCACCTTGTCCTTGCACCTCCTGGACAGATGGAGCGCGCGGCGTGCGAGTGGTTCACGGGCGGATGAAAAGAAAAAGGTGACCACCTAAAGTGAGATGAAGAATGAATGGCTCGTCCGCTGGCGGGAGCGACACAGGGCAGCATGCATGGGCTGTGGGGACAAGAGAGGCTCCCAGGTGGTACGTACTGTACCGAGTACAATGCAAAAGTACCGGTACGGAGCAGATGGCAAGCTCGACCTCGCGCCTCTCGTCTCCCGCGCGCTCTTGCATGTACCAGTGCCCCACAGCAAGACGCCACTGGACAGGGCAGTTCCTGCCTTCCCGCTTGCCGTGTCCCTAAGCCCCAGCCAAGGGCCCCCGAGGGCACGCGCACCATTGGGCAGCATGGCGCCTGTCCGGGGCAAGACGGAGGGCTGGATCAGGTACCAGTACCTGTACATTCATGTACAGTACACGTACCTCCACCGTCGCAGAGCTCCTCCCCTCGCATCTCTCCGACCGCTGGGCGGCGTTTGGAGAGGATGGATGGATGGGGCAGCTGTCCCTCCCGTCCATGATGAGCATCGGGCCAGGCACTTGCAGAATTGCAGACTTGCAGCATCCCGCACTTCACTTCCCAGGTCACCCATTACTTTTAACGTGCTAACCACGCCAAGCAACGTCTCGGTCGGCACATTGGACTCTGTGGTGCGGTGCGGTTCGGACAGGGGTCTTGGTCTCAGGAGGTCGTGCCCTCTGAGGTCTGTTGTCCGCTGGTCACACCTCACAGGCAAGGGCCAGAAAGCCGCCATGCGCCATGCGCGAGGCCCAGGGCCGTCTTGTCTTTTTAAGTGCGCGGCTGGACGCACGCACGCCCACATGCACGTAGGGCGTACAGTACGCACCACTGAACAGGGCGCGGCCGCGGCTCCATCGGCGCTCCCTCTTCAGGTTCCGGCGCCCCTTTGGGCTCCCGGCTTGACCTTCGACCTTCTTGTGCCGGAAGCGCCTGGTGAACAAACTGCTGTCCCGGTATTTTTCTTGTGGCGCGGCCCGCCAAGGAAGCAAAGTGCCTGGCTGGCAACGAACTATTGCCAGCTGACAGTGTCAGCCCAGCCAGCTCAACTCATTCATCGCCACCCAGACACCTGTATTCTGTCCAGCACCAAATGCAGAGCTCAAGGTCGACTTACGGCACAGTCGGGCCCCCCATTCTGCCCCATAATTGACCTTTCCGGTTCGTGCGATCTCACCTACCATTTACGTACTATATGTACGGATTGGCGAACAGTTGGTCGCCCGCTGTGTGGGCGGAATAAGCGATCGAAGCCGCCGCTTCGCATAGGTCTGTCACTGTCTGGTCGTGCCCGAACAAGCTAACAAGCTAACTTGGGCCAACGCGCGACACACGGGCCGGCGGAGACGTGATAGGAATTCGAGCCACCCTGCTCGCCTGATCCATCGTTGATAATATTATTTCTCGTCACAGCGTGACCCAATCGAACGAAAGGTGTTGAGAGCGCAAGCTGCATAGTATAACTAGGCACTTCTAGCGCAGCAACCCGAAAACTTGGAAGCTTGTCTCGCTCCGTCCGTCTGTAAGGAGTAGCTAAGGTAGCTTTGCGCGCGCGCCCAGAGTGAGAGTGACAACAGTGAGACTGAGCAGACTCAGGCTCACCCACAGCCTGAGTCCACACACACACACACACACATGTCGCTTAAGTTAGCCCTTGACGACGAGCGCAGTAGCGGCTATCCTCCGCTTCGTTCCGCGGTTTTGCGGCTGCGTTACACGGCTACTGTGCCTCTCCCCCAGCTGACTGCCAATTCTAGATGTTTTTATGGTAGGACCGCAATGCCCCACGCAGCGCGGGCTAGGGTTCTGGAGTCGAGCAGCAGTCGATGCGCAAAGCTAGCAGGGTTATAAAGCGGTGTTGCTTGCTTGGTCCCCCGCTGTGCCGTGCCAACCAAGATCTGGAGGTGCGCGGACTGACATTTATAAAAACGGCATCAGAATCATCCGAGGAATCTAGCAGCCTGTGGCACCCGGCCTACAGACAGACAACCAAGCACGCACCATGCCAGCAATATGTGCCTGTCGTCCTGGAATAGGCGACGGGCCATCCGGCCCCCATCCTCGAACCCTGTTGGGAGAAATGTGTTTTTATTCAGTTACTGTGATTTGCCAGCTCGGCAATGATTGATGATGACAAGCATCGACTCTGTCGCAGATGGCCCGCTTTGCACATGCGTACCAGACCAGACCTTCCGGCTCTGACGCAATAAATAAACGACGGCATGGCATGCAGCGCAGAGCAATGTCAATGTCCCCTGCAGCAGACCAGACGTGACGCTTGTCAAGGTTGGCTTTCGTCACACAATGGGAAATGGCAAGTCTTACAGCTTCGCCGTTCCCTCTTTGGACGAAGAAACCCCCAGTTTCACACAAGCGGCCCACGCCAGAGGCCATGTGTTTGTTTGTTTCTCCGCCCAGGCCCCGAATGCGAGCCTCCGCTTGGCTAGCTGCCTGGGCTAGGATGAATCCATAGGGCCGTGAAACTAGGTCGCCCATGCTTCTTGTTACGATCACCTCCAAACTCTTGGCCAACCAAGCTGGCCATTTTCGGGCCATTTTCGGTCGGTGTGTGTGTTGATAATGTCTAAGGCGAGAGCTGGGTCTCGCGAAAGTCATACATCTGGCGTAGCGTTGCCGTTTTCCTTCTTGTTTCTGTTCTCTTGCCACCATCCGTTAAGCACTCCGCGTCTATTAGATGCGGCGGTGATTCGAGGTATTAGTTATTACCATATTATGGCAGTTAACGCATGTCAGAGTCCGGTGTGTGCCATCCCCCCATAACGCAATCCCTGTCGTACAGGGTACCTCGTATCCAAGTGCTCCGAGCATTCGACCACACCAACTTCCCGCCATGGACTGAATATACACTACCTACGGATTAAGAGTGGCTCCAACAAGCGCTGCATTCCCGCCATGAGGGGGTGAGAGATTGAGAGGCGAGGGGGGGATAAAAGCGTCACTGCGCCTACCTTCTCTGAAGTCTGGAGGTCGTCTGCAGCGCAACGGCAAGATATTTGATCCGAACATCCAACTCTCGGAGACTGGATCCACGTTAGGGAGTTGCGCACAGTACAGCTTCTTATAGCATGCCTGGACCACGGTCTGGTTGCTAAATATAACCCCTCCTCCGGGCTGATCCCTGTCCCGGCTGGGCATCATCTCTCTCCTCAATGTTGCATCCTCAACGCTGCGCTGCAGAATTACCTCGACTCTTTCCTGAGTGTGTTAGGAGAGCAATGAGTGTGGAGAGCGGAGGAAGGGGCATAAGTGCGGGTGCGCGATTGAGGCGCAGGAAAGGTGCTGAGCTCCGGATCATCACACTATCACGGTCGTGGGGGACGCCATGTTTCCCCAGGTTGCTCTCGGTACGTGATGGTAGGAGGTGGCCAAGTCGGCACCACCTTGTTAACCCATTAAGCTCACACCCAGTTGGGCGTATACGTATTCGAAGGCTGCCCGAAAACTTGCCTTTGGCCCCATGTTTCCAGCCGAGGCATTCTTTCTCATCGGTCCCTGCTGCCGCGTTACTCACACGCTGATACGGCTCGCCGCCGCCGTTCCCGGTTTGGACTCAAACTGATCATCTGGCGTGTGAGGTTTGTGACGCCCAGCCGCCTGGTTGCTGTCAGTGTCGAGGGGCGAAGAGGCGGCTGGCAGTCATTTTGAACACAGCACTTGCCACTTGCAAAGAGACAGGAGAAGCCGAAGGGTTTGCCGCCAAAGCAGAACAATTAGTGCCGAATTTTTCTCTAAGCGGAAAACGCGGCCTGATTGGGTCGAAATTGTGGAAAATCCACCTATGAGGATGGAGTGTGGTCCAGCGATTGAAGCCAGTAGCTGTCGAGACTCGAAAGTTCCTTTGGTCTCGCGGAGGTCTAGGACCGAATAGAGCGGCTTTGGGCGCCAATGAAAGACTCTTGAAAACGAGCCACGCATAACCCTCAAATGCCGACCGTGGCCAGGCGGCAGACGATGTTATCGCGATTCGGAGCCGCGGGTTGACAGGACGTCCAGGACGGTCGGTGAAGCGTATTCCGTCAACACTAGCCATGTGAGCGGATCCGGGATTCAAGGACCCGGCCGACTGGCCCGAAAGTCAAAACACGGACACTGCCTTAATCTATCCAGAATTGGCCACGGGTGATTGCTCACGCTGGCTCCGCTTTATGAACCGATTTGTCTCATGCCGTTGGTTCTTCGCTTATTCCCGAAGCGAAGGTGCGCGGATGAGATGCTCGGGGCGGTCAAGCGGTGAGATTGTCAGACCCGCCTATTGATCCTACAAAAAAACATGATTGCACTACAGGCCGGAAGATCCAAATCTTCAATTCAGCATGGTGGCAGAAAGCGAACAACGTAATGTAAGATTGGTGAACGAGGCTTGCGGCGGCCGGCACATGGAAACCGGAAGGCCAGACCGGGCCGATCAAAACCCAACGAGAGCTCTCTCGACTATCCAGCTTCCGCAACTCCCGATGGAAAGGATATCCAAATCGGGTGGTAGATGGTAGGGGAGGCAGGAATAGGAAAATAAGAACGGGGGTGGCACGGGAGCGGGAGTGGGAGCGAGCTGAGTAGGTGTACTGTACTCCGTAGGTATGTACGAATACACAACTGTATGCCAAGTTGCTGTCAACTCTTGCATGCGGAAGGAAGCGCAGGCCGCGGAATCTTGCCGCATTGCTCCGTAATTGTTAGTGATCTGGACAGCCAGGACAGACCGGAGTCGCCGTGGGGAGGCCGGGGTTTTTAGTCTGAGGCTCGGAAAAGGACGCCCTCCGCGACGGTATGGGATCGGATAGGGTGGCAGTCCAACGGTCGGAGTTTGGTAAGGCTCGGCTGTCTCTTCCCCTTTGGTGACCAGCCGAAGAGCTGTTGGCGGACAAATGCAACTGCCTTCTCAGACCCGACGGAGAGGATTGGTCCATGATTGGACAAAACCCGAGGTGTTCGAAAAGAAGATGAGTGAGCGGCACAGTACTGAGCGTCACGGGCCCCTTGCCGTCTGTGGACTAGATCTTTAAATGGCACTATTGGTTCTTGACACTGTCGATTTTTGGAGAGGTCGCTTTCCTCAGCCTGCAGCCATATGAGGAAAGCGGAGCCGGACCGGGACGGTGCCAAGGACAGCGCCAGGTTCAGCAGCTGAGAAAGATTAGTAGCAGGAGGTACTTCGAACTTCTTTTGTACAACCATGCATCCGATTCGAGCTGAATCATTTTCGTCAAGGCTTCCGTGTATCTCTCATCGTCCTTTAAACAGCTACCAATGAACTGCCGGATTATCTGGAGAGAGAGAGAATCTTGTGTCATTGTAATCACGTCCTTAGGGTCGGTGGCGGTACCCTTGAACAGGTCAAGGAGCTTCTGAACCGACTCCGCAGTCGCCGGGCTCCTAACTCTCTATTCAACAAGTCAGATAACCGCTTTGTAGTTTCTTCGATTGTCTCTATCGTCTAATCGAGGTCTGCGCGGCTTGCAGGGCGAACCGTCGCTACTAGGCCCTTCAATCTCCATTTCGTGTCGTGTGCGAAGTGTCAGGGAGATGGAGATTTCGTTTTAATGCAGGAAGTGATCTGTGAATGGCACGGCTAGTTCTTGAGGCTGTCAGTTTTGAAAGGTTAAGAAAGTAGAAGACCAGTGAGGTCCCTGAATATTTATTAACGGGGAACTTTCCAAGATTTGAGGCCTCAGCACTTTAGGGCTCGACCTCAAGGTTTTCCGCCGAGGGAGGTAGTGGCTATTGGACCCTATTTTAGAATTCTAGAGGTCTATCTCTTCTCCAACATGCCCGGGGCTTTTCCTGGCTTGTTTATTTGCTAGGCTATAACATTTATTCTACCCAAGCACCACGGCAACAAACATACCAGGTTGAATGAAGCCTAAGTGTAATCCCCGCTGCTAGTGCCTTCCTTTTCCCCAGGCTGCAGCCAAAAGAGGAAAGCGGAGCCGGAGTGGGACGATTCCAGGCTCAGCAGCTGCGACAGATTACCTACACAGATAGCGAAGCTTCCACTGCGAGTCTTCTGCGAATTCTAGGGTTCAACCTTACTAGGTACACGGATAGCTCTGTTCCGTACCGCGTATGGAACCTTCCTTAGTGTGCGGGTGCAATCATCGGTCAAACCAGCAATTGTTTTGATCGAAATTCCATCGTCTCTGCGGCCAACGACGAGAGCTTGTCTTGCCATTCAAAAAAGAACCAATGGCGTCGCAGTAAGCGTGACTTGTCGAAACGCCAATACTCGGCGGCGAATCACAACAGCCGGCGCCAGCTAGCCGCCCTCGTCCCTCCACGACGGCGTCTTCTGCTGCCGGCGGCAAGTTGCCGCCAGCAAGTCGGCGCGCATTGCAGCAATTCTTCTAGAACGATTCCTCGGCCGGCGAGCACCAATGGCAGCAGACGACGCTGTGAAGCGCTGCTCGGAGCACCAATCATAGCGGCGAAGCTGGCGCAAACAATACTGCATGAAGTACGTGTACGGAGTAAGGTAGGGACCCTACTCGGTATGGCATAGCTTGCCAGTATCATGGCAACGAATGGGCGTCAAACAAAGTTCGCGCAGGCCACCGCTATCGGGCCAAATCACAAACGGCGTGCATATCCAGGACAGGCATACATACATACATACACACGTACAGTGCAGTACAGCACAGCCGGCCTTGAACGGCTGCAGAAGCAACCCCACGGCCCGTGGCGTGAAGGAAGGAATCAGGGGATCGCTGTCGTGCAGACGAACTGCCACCCACGCACCAGTGCCGCCGCATGGTCGATGGCGCAACCCGAGGGCGGGCGCTCCAGACACCACGCTACCGGTGAGCGAAACGCCGTGCTTAGGCTTCTCCCCACGATTCCGCCCATACAGATGAGCCCTAGTGTCAGATCTGTGGGGCCCATTGGCCTTGTTGTGCATTGCCAGACGCCGCGCCCCTGAGCCAGCGCTGTGGCATTGGCCGAGAGCCGGGCTGCCCATCCCCCGTCCGGCTTGAGATACGACGAAAGCCTGCGCCTACATGCGGCCAGTCCCCGTAGCCCTATCTCAGCGTGGTGGTGATATCATCGTACATGTTCAAGCCTCGTCGAGGCGCCAGCCGATGCCACTTTCCACCACAGCGGCCCAGCAGCCCCCTTTGCCTACTGTGTGCTCCGTAGTAGCACATAGCAATCCGGCCCGAGGATGTGGCGCTTTCTCGGGCATTCTGACAGGCGCCTGCTGTCGTCAGCGCCTGCATCTGCAGCCTGAGGTTATTGAGACGACCCAGGATACACCTCATGCACAGTCAGCGGCTGCGAGGCGCTGCTGGTGACTCTGCTTCCCTGGGTCACGCCGGGCTGCCCTTCTTGATATACTCCGTACATATAGGATACTGTCTGGCCCCACTTCTCCTTTTCTGTATCCGATATATCTGGACGCTCTTCTTCTCAGGCTCTCAGAGACGCCGTCACACCTTTGCCGCCATCCCGTCTAGGATAGGCGACTGCGTCAAATATACCAATCAGACGTCATTGGAAATATCTCTGTGCAGCTCCCTCGCTTCACGTGCCTGTCGAGAGGCTGAGATGTACTGAGACCTCGTTGATGCCAATGCCAGGCTGTCAGGCTGTCAGGCTGTCAGGCTGAGCCCGCATTGTCTCTGGTCTAATATTAGCACTACGGTTTGCATTATTGCCAAAGAGTCCCCTACTGGGCGTCGACGCCATCCTTGGCTACTCTACAAAAGAGCCTCCAGATCATCATCTCTCTCCTATCCTAGACTCGGGATATATTCACCACAATACCATACATCCTAGCAACGTAGCATTCAAGTTGACATCTCCGCCCCTGTAGACCGGGGCCATCTCCCCACAACGTCGCCCTTTGCTACTCTTACCTGAAATGCTAGCGTCTATTTACACTTCGCTCGCCTGCTCGTTTCAAGTCCCTGTTCAACCAACTCGGGGTGTAGCCAAGTGGCTAGGCATCCGTCAAGACATCTCAAACCTAGCACGACCTACAGTAAAGCCTGTCCCGCCCATTTTGTGTCCTGGACCTTGGAACCAGACAAGGCGCCTAGGTGTATTACAGGAGCTTTGCAGCTGACTAGCAGCTTTCCCATCGGGTAGCAGAAATCTCGACGCCTCGGTCTTGCTCCCTCTCCGACAGCTCGAATTATATCTCACTGGCTGGGGTGCCCGGGGGCGAGACACTGGTCATATTGACAAACGTCCGCATAGAAATACGTAGCCACTGTTGTTTACGTCGTCCATGTTTACAAATCGCCACGCAAGCCCCTTAATCCGTTCTCTGGACTCGACGCCACATTCCCCCGCCACCCGCCACCCGCCATCCTTGTCTTCAAGCCCGCCCTGGCGGCTTTGTGGGTCTATTCCAAAGATTAGCAGTGGTGTTTGCGTATGGGTGCGTGTTGCTGGCCTTGAGGGTGATAGTTATGATATCCTGCGCCCGGGAAACAGCACGCAATAAATAGATCTTGAGAGAAGTTACATATTGCTTTGTTTCTTGGTGTAAAAGCCGACGTCTACTGCTAAAACGTCGATCTTTCTCTGCTGGACGCCGTATTTCGATAGTTTATGTCTTAGTGATAATATGCTGAGTCTTACGTTGATATTATAAGGAACAGCGGACCTGCAATAGAAGACTTGAATTCACATCTGAGCCTGTCGATTCAGCTCCGTCGACCTGTGGTCGGGTAATGTGAGACGAGTAGCCAGCTTAAAAACATGTATTCACATGCCAATAACGATACCCTGAACTAAGTGTCAGCTAATCCCTTTTCCCACAATACCTAATGCTCGGGTGGGTTTCTCCGTCTCGAGATCTCCTGCTGTAGTAGTAAACGCGTAGGCAATGTTGCGTGGTTTACGAGAGAACAAAATGAACCCTTAGCCTTCTATAGCAAATACACAACAGTGTACCGATAGTAACCCGGAGACTACGATCAGACTGGCTTAATTACAATACTCGATCGACACAATACTATTCTGCACACGATCACACAACACGATGTTCACGAGATAAATATAACCCATGTTGGTTTTCGAGTGCCTCGCTTCGAGATACCTACCCTAGGTACCCGGTTCACTTTTACTTGTTTGTGACATAGCTGATGCGCGTTAACCTAGCCAGTCCGACCAGAAACAAGACCACGGTATATTTAATTTCGTCTACTCAAGCAGTGGATTTCACAGTTAGATCTATCACCAAAGTGAAATGGCTTATACCCATCACCACGCGCACACTAAGATGAACACAGTTAAGAAGACCACGGTATGTGTTCGCTGGCCCGTCTATCTCTGCAAAATACCACCCCCGATCGATTGGAAAGCCCCAATTTAAATTCCCTGTTCCTAGATTCCATATTCCGACATCTCTCACCCTCCTCGTGAGTGGCACACAAACACGGCATGTTCGTTGCCAACTAATACCGGGATATCGGGTGTCTGCCTCTATGAGAAGTTCTGTTCAGACTGTCAACAAACGTCTACTCAGACTGTAGCTTCCACAAAAGATACAGCACTTTCGGAAATAGCCTCAAGGGCTAATATATGTAGACTACGAATACCAAAGCCCCATGTCTATTTCACAAAGGCCCCAGCAAAGGCTTTTTGTCTACGCCAGTTACGCCAGCATTGTTCATTACATCGTAAACGAGCCTACGACTATCAAATGCCAAAATAATCTTTCTTCTGGGGATGTAGGCACCCTAGTTTCCAGTGTTGTAATTGTGTACCTATTGCAACAGTACAGAGAAACAGTTCCCAACGGTCCGAACAGACAGCCTCTCTCTTCTCTCTACATCTAAAATGTGTTTATAGATTAGATTGGCTCGTACTAGTCGTGAAAGTCTTCTACTGGCCACTTAGTCTCTCTATATAGCTGCGCCAATCGTGGGTTGCGGATGCTCAAGAACTAGGACCGGCCATTACGCTATGACAAACACACAAACATAAGTAACCATCTCAGACGTCTAGGAGGATGCATGGGCTGCAGTACCACCCACGCCATTCTTCACATCAGTTCGACTAGGCGTCCTTTGAAGTCCCGAAGCTCATAAAGTGTCATTTCAGGATTTCGTCTGGCTATATGGACCCCTTGCTTACGCGCCTCTCCGCGCACATATAAAACGCACAACTAAACTACATTACTTCTTTTGCCTCTTGGCACTCTTGTCACTTATAGTGCTGAGCACACTCGCACTACGCTTGTGTGCTCCACTGCTGCTAGGCCTTGGACCAAGCTTCTCGCGTTCACCAGCGCCGGGTCCCTCCTTGACTTCAGCTGGAGCCCCGTCTACATTGGCACCTTCACCAGGGCCACCTGACCCTGGCTTGGGCTCGGCAGCAGCAATCCCGCCATCCCCATTTTGCAAGTCATTGTGCTGTGACCTCTGTGACCTCGGTCTAGTCTCAGGCTTTGTTTCTGCCATCCCGGATTCCGTTCTCCTCTCGTCACTTTTTTCAGCAGACCCGTTCAGGCCAGCGCCGTCCTTCCTGACAGACTTGTCTTTGCTAGAGGCATCGCCGCCCCCGTTCGTAATCCCCCTAGCCCTGTCACGTTCGGCCTTTTTGTGCTCCTCCACCTTGACGTCTGCATCCAGCCTGTCGCTTACTTTGCGAAGGTCGACAAGGGCTGTAACAGCACTCCACAAGACCTCAAACTGCCCCGTGACCGCGGCAGTCGGCATGGCCAGACGAGCTGGGATATCAAGCTCGCCCAGGGCATTGGTGATCCGCAGCTGCTGCTGGCCCGACTTGTGACTGTACAGTTTGTTGATCTTCTCGTAGCGGAAGGTTGGACCACTGCCTAAGCGATCGTGGTGAGTTACGCCGTAGACCTGCTCCTCCTGCTCTGAAAGCTTGCGGCGCTCAGCTGGCGCCGCACCCTTCTTCTTGGTATCCTTAGGTGTTGGCTCCGCGGGCGTCACAGGTGTCCCGGAAATAGACTCTCTGTGGCTAGGCCCAGTCGCCGCAATACTCTCTCGGCGATTGGGTCCTGCTTCAGACACCGCGGTGGGGGGGACTGCGGTGCCGGGGCTGACACCCTCTCCCGGAGCCATGATGCTCTTCCGTTTCTTGGTCTTGTCAACGTTCATCAGATTCTGCAACAATGATTGAAGCCCAGTGGACGTCTTGTACGTGTTGATATCTACATCGGTGGATGGGTAGTCGAGGCGTTGGTATAGCTCACGGCGCTCCTCTTTGAAGCGCTCGGTGCGCGCAAGAATGCGCTTCATTTCCAGAAGCAAAGACTCTTCTTCGCGCGCCTCCTCCTTTGAGCGCGCCATAGTGTTGAGAGCGAACTCTTTGCGCGCCTCCTCTTGCAACGGGTCGAATTTCATCATGGTCTCGTATAGTTGAAATTCCGGGCCCGTCATGTACTGAGCTGGTTTCTGAACCGACATCATCACCGTGGCTACCTCGTAGTACCGGGCTTTCAGAGCTTCCATAGAACGCTGCTCTCCCTTTACGGGTACGACGGCCGTGCTGTCGCCGTTGACTGCCTCCCCATTGACAGGGAAGGTTTGTGGGGAGTAGTCGTACCGGTCCCAAATAATCGGCCACCGTAGATCATAGTCCTGGACAAGCTCTAGAAGATAGTCCGTCTCCTCCTTCGACCAGTCGGAGCGTTCTAAGTTGGCGCGGTACTGGTCGTCGTTGTACTGCGGTATGGAAATATCGACGTTGAATTTTGCGAAGGTCGAGTCCTCGGTCTTAATGGTCGAGTTCTCAACCTGGCGCTCTCCATCTGCGGCATTCTCTACCGGCCCTGGTTCTCCGTCCTCCTCCATTGCATCTGGCGGCGCATCGTGATCCGTTTTCCGCCTCCAGTGTCGCAGGACGAGCGCCCCTCCGTCCCCTCGGGCCGAGTTTGTGAAGGGCCGCAGTTCCCATCGCGCGGCCGGCTTTCTGCTAATGACGCGACGTTTTTTGAACACGGCAACCTCTGGTACGATCGCGATAGGATTGTCGCCGCCAAGATTCTGTACCTCCCTGGCTAGGCCCTTGAGGTTTGGCCGCCCCGGGCCAGTCCTTTGCTTTTTGGACGGGCGCGGGGTTGAAGAGTGATCGGAGGGGAGGTTGAGGACATCGCGCAAGTCGTGCGAGGTCATGGTGGTGGTGGTAGCGGACGGTATAAAGGTAGTTTAGGTGGGTGGTGGGCACTCGGGACGACAAACGCGTCACAAGCTTCTGCCCAGGTTTAGGCTACGAGCTGCGACAGGACAGGTATGGCGCGGTTGACAAGCGGCGCGCTTGGTGGAATTAAAACATTTAAAATATAATAAAATCTGCCAGAAGAAGAGGAACCATAGCAAGCCTGACTTGGTGATGAAGGAATGGTGAATGGCTTGTTAATGACGGAAAAGCGATGAGCTCAATCGGCGCGACCGGCCTGAAAAAAGCGATTTTGATTTTCTTTCCAGGGGTGCAGTCAACTGGGTGAATGCCAGAGTCGCCCGCCAGCAAAAGAAAACCCACTAGGCGGGGGGTAGTACCAGCCCAGACCTTAACGCCAATCGGAGCAAAAGTAGCACGTGACCCCAAGGCTTCGAACCCCTGTCTGAACTTTTCTGAACGTGGCAGCTTTGGCGAGCTGGGACTTGGGAGGGCCTGCCAGCTCGCCTTAGCGGATCGTCGACTTCTTGGGACATCGAGTCGCACGTTGCAGCACACACACACAACACGACGAACCCAACGACGACGGCGACCAATACCTCCACGTTAGCGCACCACCACCAATTAACCCCAACTACGCTAGCTGCAGCAATCATAGACAACACAGCACTATGAGGGCCTTCTTGCCGCTACTCTCGCTAAGCGCCGTCGCGCAGGCGCTCTACTTCTACATCGATGTCACATCGCCCAAGTGCTTCTTCGAGGAGCTGCCCAAAGACACTCTGGTCATGGGCCACTACACGGCCGAGGAATGGGACGACCACCGGCAAGCATGGTGGAAGCACGATGGAATAAGCATCTACATCTCCGTCGACGTATGTGTCCCTGCGCCCCTTGGGCACTTGTCTCGGCCCCCTTTCTTTCCTCCCGCCCTACACTGTATATACATTTTCTTTCAGCTATGCATATGTGTGCTGACCTTTACATCCTGCCCACTCTAGGAAATTTTTGACAGCGAGCACCGCGTGGTCTCCCAGCGTGGCGGGGCCAGCGGCAAGTTCACCTTCACGGCCGCCGAGGCGGGCGACCACAAGATCTGCTTCACGCCGTCCTCCAACAGCGGCCGGTCCAACTGGCTTTCGCTCTCGTCGCCCAACGGCGGGATCCGGCTGACGCTGGACGTGGCCATTGGCGAGACCAGCGCCATTGAGAGCTCCGACAAGGACAAGATCCAGGACCTGGCCACGCGCGTCAAGGACCTGAATGCACGCCTGAACGACATCCGGAGGGAACAGGTTTTCCAGAGAGTACGTCTGGCGCCACGACCTCCATTCTCCTATGCCTCTCTCCCACCTGTCTCAACTTTGTGCCCCGGCTGCGAACCAAGCTAACAACCCATCCCCAAATAATAGGAACGCGAGGCCGAGTTCCGCGATCAGTCCGAGAGCACCAATGGGCGCGTGGTGCGGTGGATCCTGATCCAGCTGACTGTCATTGGCATAACATGCGCATGGCAGCTGTCTCATCTGCGCTCGTTCTTCATCAAGCAGAAGCTCACATAGACAAGAGTCCACGGAGGGTCTGGCACTTCTCTCCAGAGGCTCGTGTGACATCAAATATTGTAATTGGGGAAAGACTGGACGCTTTTGGTCTCTCGTAAGACACCAACATGTAAGCGCGATGTCGATTTCCTGCCGGGAAGGGCTGGGGACAGTATGGGTGTATCAGTGGCGATCTTGCCACCATCCCTTTATACATCTATATATTAACGGCCAGCGATAGCTATGGAGACACTTACGGTTTACGACCAGAGCTGACTGAGACTTGGGGCTACATTAGCTTGGAGCGGAGGTTTTTTTTTCAACTTTAAAATATATTGCAATGTACAAGAATAGAGTGGCATCAAGTCTTGATCCAAGTGAAGTGATAACTCGACGATATGGCCGCACACAATGACACCATGTGCTGCCCCATGCATCACACCGTGTTTCATAAGTTGCGATGATGATGCTTCACCTTCGGTGTTTGCGTAAATACAATGGCGTGATATAGCAAACCAAGACACTCAAGCTGTGTAGGTAAACTAGATTAAATAATTAAATGAAACCCGGCCGTGAACTAGGCCGTCCATCCATCCATCCGAGGTAAGAAGCAATCAACCAAACCTCAGTTTAATAACGTTTGTGCACCAGGGTTTCTGAATTTCCGTCTTGATTTTCTCAACCTATTATTCCCCGTGACGAGACTGGCTGACGGAAAAACAGACTAGCAGATGGATAGATGGCGTTTCAAAAACCCCGTCGATGAGAGATTCACGTTGTAAAATGTCATCCATCTACCATCCATCCACGAACCAATCTGTTCTCGTCAGAATAACCCATAACTATCTCTTGGCCCTCCCTACGCTCGGGGTCAACCCGAGAACTCGACCGCCGCTTATTTGTCCTCGCTTCCCATGCGCTTGCTTCACTCCCCTCTGGGCCATTCCTCTCCCCGACAGAGACAGTCTTCGCCCTTAATATAAACACTCGAAACAAAGGAAAAAGAGACGCGAAGGAGATAATTCGTGACGCAAACAATGCTATACCCTTTCGCCCACGCCCTGGCCAAGCAACAGCTCCTTCTTGAATAGTCACTATTGTATGCTGCTGGGGTTGTGATCTGCCTTTTCTGCAATGCTTTCGTTATTGCGAGTGGCAGAAACAAAAATGACATGCCGGGCCTCCCATCCAGCCAGCCAAGGTAAACCATGTCTGTTACAATACCGTTATTTTTCTGTATGATCTGAAGGAGGATGCTGATTATTAGAGAGGTATGTGAGAAGAGAAAAAAAGCCTCCAATACGTGATCTTCCTGGCTCGCGGCCAGCCCAGAAAATGAGGCCCCGTCTGGTTTCGAAAACCTTCGGCAGCCTGACTCAAGGCCCAACGGTAGTAGGGAAACGTAGTCGGAGTATCGTGATCATGATGGTTTCTAGCCAAGTGCTAGATGTGCCGAACCGCTATGGAAAGAAGGTATCCTCTATGTCCCATGCAAAAAACCAAGATCGGATGTGTCGGTAAAATTCATACAGGACTTTGTCTCCCGTCATATCTGTATAAGACGGGGCGCCCGTTGCCGCCTTCAAAGGTCAGACTATTAGTAGACATTCGTAAAAGGGTTAAAAGGAGGAAATCCATACATAAGCTGACAACAGAACATGGCAAAGACTCGATTCCCCTAGCCGCAGCAAAGCGTCTTCATGAACTTCTGGAACCCCGTAGGCGGCTGAGGCTGAGGGTTAGGGTTCGGTGACTGAGCCATGGTGGCTTGATGGTTGAGGTGGCCCATGTTGTTCTGCGGGCTGAGTTGTGGCGGGTATTGTTGTGGTGAAGAGATGGGAGCCCCCGGGGTCCTCGGCGTCGGCGCCGACGCGAGGACGCTTTGCCGGGCGGGCTTGTTGGGCTGCCTGTTCGGTGGCGTCGGGGGTTGCGCGGCGTTTAAACGGTCTACAGTGAGCCCTGGATTGAGCCGAGTGTTGCTTGTTTGGTGGTGTGTGGTGCCACCCCGGGAATTGGCGTGAATTTCCATGGCCGAAACCCCGGGTCTCGCGTTTGGGTTGTGGAGAGCACCCGGCCGCTCCCAATCCCCCTTCTTGTCAGGCTTGCCAACCTTCATCCAGTCGTACTCGCCATCTTCCACACCACCGGCATCCTTCAGCGCTTGAGTAAAGAGCTCACGCAGATAGTCGTAGTCTGGGTTGTCCTCAAAGCCCAGATTGCGGACGTAGGTCAGATACTGGACGAACTGGTCTGGGAATCCTTCGCAGAGCTCCTTGATTGCGGTGGTCTGCTTCTTCTCGCCGATCTTCTCGTACTTCTGCTTGTTAGTTGCAGCTTTGAGACCCTGCCAGGGCAAGCCACCGCGCAGGAAGTACATGAAAACATGCCCGAGGGCCTCGAGATCATCTCGCCTCGACTGCTCTCTGCCAAGATGCGTGTTGATGCTCATGTAGCGAGCAGTTCCTGAAAGCGATTTGCGCTCCCGATACGGGATGTGCTGCTTGGTTTTGGGGTCCCGATACTGCTTCGCCATGCCGAAGTCGACAACGTGAATGACATTGGCCGTCTTTGTGCCGGGTCTACCAATCAGGAAGTTGTCGGGCTTGATATCCCGGTAGATGAGGTTCTTCTCGTGGATGGTCTGCACCCGAGAAAGCTGCAAAAAAAAAAGTCAGACCACGGCGATAGAAGAGGGACAAAGTCGCAAAGATGCGTACCATCTGCTTGGCAACCATGACGACAGTCTTGAGGGTGAACCTCCGATTGCAATGGTCAAAAAGATCCTCTAGAGAAGGGCCAAGCAAATCGATGACCAAGATATTGTGAAGTCCCTCCTGGCCGAAATAGTAAACATTGGGAATGCCGGCTATAGGTGGCGTGGTTAGTCATAGCTACGATTGCCTGGGACCATGTGCGATCAACTTACGGCACCCGACCAAGATCTTGTAGGTCCGGTATTCATCACGCAGTTGAGGAGCATCGCTCTTTCTCGGTTCCTGTCGCGAGCAAGTCAACACGGGCGGCCTTAAATGGGGGAGCAAGCTTCGGCTGTCTCCAGTCAGAGGCGGAACGACGCACAAACTTGATGGCGACCTGCTGATTGTTGAGTAGGTTCGTTCCCTCGAAGATAACACCAAACGAACCCTCTCCTATCTTCTTCCCCACCCGGTAGTGCACGCCAACAACGTTTGACGAAGACGACGCCATTGTATTTTATCCTCGAGACGAGAGGGCGACGTTACGACAGACCGTGAAGGCAAGGCTGGCCGGGCAAATGGCGCAGCTCCGTGAATCGGCTGTGTACCGATGCCTATGATAGATTCCAACTGTCAGTGGGCTGCAATGAATAAAACATCTAGCGGTTGTGCTTCAAAAGGATGCCAGGAGATCATGGGGACAATGACTGCCAAAATGGGGTCGCAAAAATGTGATGGCGTCGTGCAGCGGGCAGGAGGTATATGGAGGACAAAAAATGCAGCCAGATTGTTGAACAGGCAGCACGCCGGCGATAGGGTTTGGAAAAGGTTATATGCACAGCGGGAAACCCATAGTGTTGTAGGGCGGGTACGCTTGGCCGACTCACCTGAGCGAAGGGTTCAACGCCTTGGACTCCCCCCTTTCTGTGCTCGACGGCCGACGGTTGTCAATAGGCTCGACTATCGCGGGGGCGAGGCAGCTATGGCCGACAATGATTTCGGATCTGGGTCACGATAGCTCTGAGAGTTGGGCAATTCCTAGTGTAGAGGCGACGTCTGTGTCGTCCTGGGACTCCTGAGGTGTGTGGTGGATACAGCCGCGTCGGAAATGGGCTCGACAGGGACGGGTAGTGATTACTTGTCGCGCTCCCACTGCATCGAGAGGCTGGCAAATCTCAACCCCGGCAAAGGACGATTGAAAAAGGCCGATTGGCGGCTGCGTTCCCGCAATCAATCGCCCCAAGAGAAGATTTGCCGTCTGCGGCCTCTGCAAAGGCACGCAGGTTCTGATGGGATGGCGATATTGTCGTGCGAGGTGGCAGGCTGTGAAATGGAAGAGGAAAAGAGACACGGGGGAGGGAGACTCGAAGGGGAAGCAGGCTGTGGGGCGCAGGGGAATGGAGGATCAGGTGCAAGCGAATACCAGCACGGGGCTGCCCGTCCAGGGCGAACAGGGCCTGGTCTGCCAATTCGCAGCACGGCCATGCCACAAGGGGCAGGGGCCAGCGGTCGCCCCGATGAGGTGGCGGTGAAAAAGATGGGGGAGAAATGCGGGCGGTCTCAGCCAAATCACCGAGCCAGGCGAGCCAGGCCGCCAGCAGGAAGGCCGCAAGCAAACTTTCAGCGCCTATAGGAAAATCACGAGGCGAGACTGGGCTACTGTATGATTTTACTTTATTTTGGGTCGGAGTTTGCAACATGGAATCTGCAAATGCATGCATTTTCTCGTCTTGCTTCGGTTCAAATCATGCAAAACTTATGCACCGTGTCGGTATACGTTTTTATACATGCGCAGCTGTAATCTGTGTTACCCAACACTTCCAGCTCCTAGAGTTATTAGAAAGGAAGGGCTTCGGTATGCTCTTGCCGGAAGACTACGGTGGTAAGGTCGGAGGCTTGACCTAGGACCCTTCAATTCGACTGACCCCTCTAGGAATACCACTATGCTCTTCGTGTCCTCCAAATGGACCCCTCGCTGAGCCGGGACAAATGCTACTTTACAATCTCGTGATTGGCGTTACTGACGCGGTATGCAACTGTCTTGGCCAATTCCCGGCCGAGAGACCGAAGACACTGAACCTGAGCCCAGCCTTCTTCCTGCGGCTGAGCTGTTCTCCCTAGGTCAGGTCTGCCACCTCTCGTCGGTGGTGCACGCTACGTTATGCGTTAGGTCCTTACTAATGAGGGAGGTGTAGATCGAAGGGGACGGATAACGTAACCTAGTATCCGTAGTCAATTAGTGTCTAGGCCTGCTCCCGTTGACCGAGGTCGAAAGCGGACCGAACGGGAGGCAAGACCGAGATTTAGACCAGGCCATCTTGTCAGCCGGACCCCTCAGGATTCAACGGTCGGCCAATGAAGGCAGAAAGGCTCTTTTGCCAGTGATCCAGATCTCTACAAAGGGTTACGGCGGTGTTGGTACGGGAGTGTTGGGGGTATATGGTGTTGACCAGGTGTCTCAACTGCCGTCGTTTCTTTCCTTTTTCCCTTTCCCTTCTTTCCTTCGTTTTCGCTTCCCGGGATATCTCAGGACCCTTCCTGAGCCTCCCTCCCTTTACTCGCTCACTTCCATGGGCAATGTGTGGCAAGTTCAATGCTCGTCGGGTTTAATAGTCTCAACTCGCCACCAACACGGTAGCCTGGACAGGCAAACGGTCGCATCCGGCGATTACAAGCTTCCTCGAGATTTTACCTTTTTTTTCTTTCTTTTTTTCTCTTCGCGCCTTGTTATTTCCATCGGTGAAATCCTGAAATGCTGCCTTTCATATTTAGCGCACTGTACGAAACACTTTACTCGCACGCATGCATAGTATTGTATGCACGAAGTTATCGTTGCTTCATGAAATAACACAGACAGGAATTCGTGAACTGCGAATCCCAGCAGCTGCCTTCCACATCCCCAGACGCGATGCACGGGTGCGTTTATTTCCTGGAGCGAAGAGGATTCCGCAACGAAGTTATCGAACGTCGCACAGCAGCTTAGTTGGACTGATGATTGCATGACAGCGAAAATTGTAACTGAACAAATTGATTTCGTACTTCGACCGAGCCTGGATGGAATGTTTCAGAGTTGACAGGCCCCCGCAGCCTCTGGCAAATCGACAAATCAGCTGGCTTCAGCAAACGCTTGACTGGCGCCTTCTTGAGATTTGTGGTTACATTACACTAGGGACTTTTTTTTTTACGAACATTTCAGCACCCGGGCCCCCTTTGAGCCCTCTGTGCCTTTGCACCACAGATATACCCCACTATTAGTCTAATACACCAACCAGACATGGGGAAAAAAGGCGAAGAAAATACTCCATGCGGGGTATCCATTTAACTGCAGTCGGAGAATCTTCTGCTCTTTGTTTTCGGTTCAGTGTTAGCCAGGTACCGTCCCACCCCAGCTACGGAACCTGTCTTGCGCGCCAACTGGCAGCGCCTCCAACACCACAACGGCGGAACGTCTCAACAGGCTTGGTATCTTGGTATCTTAGATAAGGTAACTCAAGTCAACCTGTCGACGTCATAAGTCAGTTGGTAGATGCCGCCTCTCAAAGGGACCCTTCAAGGCCTAGGTCGTTCTTTCTAAAAGGACCGCATTCCATCTTCCCGATTCATCCGTCTGCTCGTTACTAGTGCCAATGCAAGCCTCGAGATAACCAATGTACGGTGCACATGGGCTGCCAAGATCCAGATCTACAAACACCCGCCCGCCTTGCCTTATCTACTACACCAATCCTTGGCCTGTCGATGTCCAGAATAAAGGCCCATGCGACTTTTGTTTTTCCCGAGCATCTGAGTTAGAGGACAAAGAAGCCAAGGTGATCGGCCCTGGGTATTTTTCGCATTTTTCGCATTTTTCGCGGTCGCGGTTGCGATTCGCCCTCTTCAGAGCTATTCTATCTGCTCCAAGAAATCGCTCGTTGACAGGATGAACGACGCCAGCGGTGAGGCTGTGGGGGACCATGTCCAAGCTCTCGAGCCCGATAACCACCATATACACCCCATACACGGCGGGGATGACCAGGCGCACTTGGACCCTAGGTGAGTTGGTTCTTAAAACCGTGCATGTGGTTCGTGGGGGCTGTTTTTTGTTGACTGGTCTTGGCTCCGGCAATATGAAGCCGGTGGTGGTTTGCTTCGGCCGCGTTTCCCATGATCGCCGGCACGCTGGGCCCCGTAGCGTCTGCCTTCAGCATATGCGCTCTGGTTCGACCGTGGCGGCAGAGCTACCAGCCAGAATCGAACCCCGACTATGCGACGTACATCGCCGACCCGGTGTGGCTGACGGCCATCAACGCCGTCCAGCTGGCCATGGCCATCATCGCGAACCTGGCTCTGCTTCTCAACATGACCAGGAGGCTCAGGTTCTCGATCGCCCAGCCCATCACCATTGTCGGGTGGTACATTTCGTCGATTACCCTGGTTGTGCTTACGGCCACAGCCTCAGGCCCGCTGCTCCTCCAACCGACTGACCAGCACATCTGGTCTCAGGCGTTTTACTATGGCATATACTCGGCCATCCTCTACTTGATCGTCGGCTCACTCATGCTCGTGACCTTCATGGGTGCTCACCTAGGCCGCTATGAGAAGGATTTCAAGCTCACGCCAAGCCAGCGCACGCTAATGCTGCAGACCATCATGTTCCTCATGTACCTCCTCGTTGGCGCTCTGGTTTTCTCTAATATTGAGGGGTGGGATTATCTCGATGCTGTGTACTGGTCAGCTGTGACTCTGTTTACCGTCGGATTTGGTGACTTTTATGCTACGACGACCCTAGGACGGGCCCTGCTAATGCCGTATGCGCTCGTCGGTATCATAAGCCTCGGTCTCGTCATCGGCTCTATCCGTAGCTTGGTCCTGGACCGTGGCCGGCGGCGATTCGATGCCCGACTGGTGGAGAAGAAGCGCCGGACCATGATCAGGCGCATGACCCTGAAGGGTAACGACGAGATTCTCAAACCGGTTGGTGGCCGCCATGCCGACCCGATGCAGCACTTATCTGAAAGCTCTCGTCCCAGCACAGGGCTCACCGAGCTAGAGCGAAGGGAGGAAGAGTTCAAATTGATGAGGAAAATCCAGGAGGATGCCGCCCGTAGGCGGCGGTGGTATTCGCTGGCTATTTCAGGAAGCACGTGGATGGTTTTATGGCTGGTTGGAGCGAAAATCTTCCAAGAGTGCGAGATACCATACCAGGGATGGACATATTTTGACGCCTTCTACTTTGCCTTTTGTAGCTTGACGACGATTGGCTACGGCGACACGACTCCCATATCCAACTCTGGAAAGTCGTTCTGGGTCTTTTGGGCGCTTCTCGCACTGCCTACTATGACGGTGCTCATCTCCAATGCTGGGGATACCATTGTAAAAGGGATCCGGGACGCCACGGACCAGGTTGCCATGGTCACCATCCTGCCTGGCGATCGAGGGTTCAGGAAGGATCTGAAACTGTTTTTCAAGATGATATCCTGTGGAACACTATTCAGCGAGGAGATTGAAGAGGCGCCTCTGGGCTTTCTCGGCGATGCCCAACGGCAAGACTATAGCGATACCGACAACGATGTGGAACGGTCGCTGGAAAAAGACCAGGCCGACCTGGAGAAAGAAGGGGCAACAACGGCTGCCGGAAGAGCAAAACGCGAAAGAGACGCTAAGGATGAAGAGAAGCATAGGGGACGGGTAGACGATAATACGGCATCGGAAGCCAGCACTAAACGTCTTATCAAGTTCGGCGACGAATCGAAACTAGGTACCGAAAACAAGCCGCCGTCACAACAGGCTATCAAGGTCCACCAGGGCGGCGTGAGTTCAGGTAGTCCCGGCAGCCCCAGCAGTCCCAATAACCCCATTCAGCTTAAGATGACGCGCACACCATCTATTCCGCGCAATGTCTTGCCCGACATTCCGTCCAACAAGGCCGAGTACCACGTCACGCTGATAGAGGAGATTGGCCGCGTTATGGAGCATCTCAAAGCCCACCCACCGCGCAAGTACACGTTTTGGGAATGGGCGTGGTATCTACGCCTCATAGGCGAGGACGAGAATGACGCCGACCGACACCGGAAGCCGCTGACGCACTTGCACGGCGGCAGCAGAAAGGAGAAGAGGCTGCTGCTGGCGCTGCCCCACTTTCGGCATCGTGGTAGCAAAAACAATGATGGGGAAGACGACAGGCACCCAGTCGATGGCGGGGGAAGCGGCAATGGTAAGGCCAAGGCGTCCCCTGATATCAAGTCTTGGAGCTGGGTCGATAGCCGCAGCCCTCTGATGGGGTCGCAGGAAGAGGCCGAGTGGATATTGGAAAAGCTCACGCGGAGGCTGACTGAGGAGCTCAAGGGGGTGAGCAGGGTCGAGAGAAGGAAGAGCCACGACCACAGCCACAGATGAACAGGCACGCTAGGTAAGTTTCGAGGTTTGTTAATGTCTGCTTTTGTCTGCTTTCTGGGGGTCAAATATGGGATACTGCAGGGTTTGGCGTGAGGCCCCTACGGTTCGGGGTGGGTTTTGGGTTTGGAAGTCTGGACAGGAGCCGGAGCAGGTCGACACTGGCATAGCATGCGTGGTATTTGCAAGCGGGATACCCAGGTTGCATTTCCGCATGTTTTGTCGGATTGGTAGTTCGGAGTTCCATGGTTAGAGTTCCATGGTTACCTAATGAGTATTGATGAATGAGTTAACTGGGAAACATGCATGGCGATATATAGGTAAGGTGCGAAGTAATGCAACTTTCGTGGGCAGGAGGTGGCTGGACTGGGCATATCTTAAATAGATTAGGAACTGTGTAATAATTCTGGGGCCGGAGAGTAGAATGCAAGGAAAACATGAAGACGCCGTATTTTTCTCATCTTTGCGTGATATAAATGTATGGTTAGCTCTCATGATGCTCGACAACGAAATCTAGAGATTACATCATGTTTCTGGCAGAGTGTGCAGTGAAGATTGAGTCGAGGTGTCGTTGAGGGAAGGAGGGACTGTTTTAGCTTTCAAGTCCCGTCATCTTGACATCTCATCTTAGCTGTGCCGACAGTTGGCGCTGGGGTGTTCCCCCTGACAGCAATGGATGTGGGTCAAGCTGAGGTGAGCGAGGCCCGTGATGAGAATTGCTGCTCACTGTCACAACCTTAACTTAAAAATTCGAAACAGAAAAAACATCGAAAATTTAATGCAAAGATGCGTGCGCGGAAACATTCATCACGACACACGTAATAGGAGCCTCGATTGACCGCGCAAAGTAAATTAAGGGCACTGGAGGAATGTTTGCGCCTCCTGGCTCAAGATGCGAAGATGGCCGCCAGCAGCGAGACTCTGGCGCGCTTCCGTTCCACAGCAGAGAGCAGTGACCCCCCGCAGGCTCTTTCATGACGCTCAACACTTTCGCGTTCCCTGTGCATCGTCCAGTGACATAATCGTGAGGTGGGTTGTTTGTCCTTGGGCACTTTTCTCCAACGAATGAGCCAATTCACTGACACCCGCGCAATGACAACAGCCTTCACAACATAGGGGACCAGCACCGCTCAAGCGACCCCTTACTCATCTGGCTCCCGCCATTCTCGGCTTCACACGCCATCAATCTCAAAAGCGAATCCTGGGACGGCTCCAGCAGCCCTCCCGTCGCCGACATACCATCATGGCTGCCACGGTACCCGACTGCCGTCATCAACTACAGGTGGTTACCCTTGTCCGAGGACGATCCTGAGTTGCCGCCGCCTGAGAACGGCGACAGCATCACGCCGTCGCGCTGGCCGACCCCCATCCACGACGTGCTGTTCGGCTACTCGTGGATCCTCAACAACCTCGCGCCGCCCGACGGCGAGCGGCGCGACGTGTACGTGTGCGGGTCGTACCTCGGGGCCGGGCTCGCCGCCGGGCTCGCCATGACCGAGTCGCACGCCCGCCAGCCCATGGCCGTGCGCGGGCTAGTGGCCTACAACGGCATCTACGACTGGACCATGTTCCTTCCCGACCACCCAGTCCGCCAGCACCGAGGAGCCAAGAAGGACAAGCCGTCCTCTTCGTCGTCGCAAACAGCGGGGCGAGTAAAGCTCCCATCGCTCGCCTCTCTCCGCCGCTCCTTCGCCAAGGCGCACCCAAAGAACCAGGACCCGGCGTTCCGGCTGCTCAAGCAGCGCATGCCCGCCCTCTTCGACACGCCGGGCGACCTGTTTGACCCGTTCGCTAGCGTGTGCCTATTCTTCCACAGCGCCGCGTTGCACGTGCCGCCCGACTTCACCACCAGCGTCACCGCCACCGCCGCCGCCAGCGACATGTCCCGGGCCATTGACGCACTAGCGTCCTTGTCCCTGCCCCCGCCCTCTTCCTCTTCCCGCTGGGACGAGCAGGGTTACGGCGACGACGAGTACCCGCGCTCGGACGCTGTCCTGCTCGCTGCCACAAAAGCGCCGCGCAAGGGCTACCTGACCTTTCCGCCGCGCAGGTCGACGCTGGTGGTCCCCGAGACGCTGCTGCTCTCATCGTCGTCGTCATCGCTCTCTAGCAGCAGCAGAAACGACAACAGCAGTGCCCCTCCCCCGCCGCCACCGTCTTCCTCCACAACCACCGGAGCAACAGCAGCCAAAGCCTCTGCATCGGCATCGGCATCCGCATCCGCATCCGCAGGACCGACAAAGGCAAGGCGGGCCACCATGCGACGGAAACTCGCCGGCGACGAGCAGCACCAGCACCAGCAAAAACACCAGCACCATGACCCTACTGAGAAAAACAACTTCACCGTGCAGGCGCACGAGCTGGGCTGGCTGATGCAGCGCAGCGTGGCTATGGTGGAGCTCAAGGAGCGGATGCGGCGCGAGACCGAGTTCGAAGACTTTGACGCGCGCGTGGCGGAAGCCGAGCGCCGGGTCCAGTGCGAGAGCGTGAGCAGCGAGGCCGGTCCCGAGGGGGTCGCTGGGGAGGGGGTCGCTGGGGAGGAGGAGGAGAGTAGCATGAGCGGCGGCCTGGACGAGCGCGGCCAGGAGCTGGTGGCCGAGTGGCTGTATGAGAGAATCGGGATGTGAAAAGGACTAGAGAGATTCTAGAGGGAAGCGAGGGTAGACGATGGAATATGTAAATCTCATGTCATATTATTATGTATATATTTATAAATAAATAAATAAATATGTGCGGTTGTGGGGGGGTATAGATATGTTAATACCAATACCAATACCTATGTAACTCAAGATTTGTTTCCTTCATTAGGCCGTTTTCCAATCCATATACGGCGTGATTCCACTCTCCCAGGTTAGTTCCATCAAGTTAGACTTGTGTAAATGTAGTGAGATGAGATGAGATAGATGCAAAGATATGGTTGTGGGGTATAATATGAAGCGACAAAAACGGATGCAAAAGACAAATTAATGCCTTCGAAGGAATAAGAGAAGGATACTGTGCGACCCAAAAAAAAACAATGATATGCCCGCTCTTCTCGTCAGCAAAGTGTAGAAAGAGAGAGGGATTGCAATTCTACTTCTTTTTCACATATCTCAGGCTCCACCTCCCGCCCTGTAGTGCCCGCCAAAATTGGGCCCGTTCACGTCACTCTCTGCGAGCTGCATCGACGTGCTGTTGAAGTCGCCCGCGACGACGTTGACGCCTGGCTGGGGGCGGCCCCAGAACTTCCGATAGAGAAAGTACCCGAGCGCGCCGAGGAGGAGGACGCCCCCGACCAGGCCCACGACCAGGCCAATGATGAGGTTGCGGCGGCCATTGCCATCGCCGCCGTCATCACCAGAAGTCGACGGAGACGAGGTGCCTGTGGCCGCGCCGGAGGAGGTTGACGTGGTCGACGAGGAGTGCGCGGTCGAAGCGCTCGTCGATGGGGTGGTGGTTGGCGTCGCTGTGCTGGTGGCACTCGTCGACGTCGACCGCCTGCTCGTGGTGGACGTCTTTGGCGGGTTTGTGGCAATGCTGATCGAGGGCGTCCCCGTAAACGTGGTGTCGGACACCTGGATGATGGTCTGAGGAACGCCGGCGCTGATGGTGAATGCGCCGCCATTGTTGGAGCAATTGCATTTGCCAGCGTTGAAGTCGTTCTCGCAGCAGAAGCTCTGACTGCTGCAGGCGGCAAGCTGGCCCTCCTTATTATCATCGTCTGCAGTTGTGAGAGGCCATGTTAGACAACTTTCGAAGAGTGGATTGGACTCTTGGTCAGATAAGACTCGGCGGCGTGGGCTCGACTCACCGAGGCAGGCACTTCCGCAGATGTTGTTGTTCCACGCCGGGTTCGTGCATGCTCCTCGTTGCACAGCACCCAATGTCAGATTGGGGAACGAGTTGCTGTCTGTTGTCGCGATGCAGAGGGCGTTGCTGAAGCAGGTCCACCCCGCTGGGCAACAGGAACTGACTGGCGCATTGAAGGCCTGGCACGGAAAGAAGCCGAGTGCAGGCTCGCCCCCGGGATAGTAGCAGGGCGCGTTCTCAACCGCCCCTGCGAGTGTGGAGAACGACGCCGCAAAGACGAGAGCAAACCGCCTCGCCCGCGAAAACGAAGGCATCATGATGTACTAATTAGTGAGACAGACTCCCCGCGGGTGTGATCTCGAGGAGCTCTTGAGCCAGTAAAATATCGAGCGATTGAGAAAAATCGCGAGCACACCCGCGAAAGCCGGCGAGGCTCTGGGAGATTCCAGCGACGCCATCACATTTATATGAGCAGTGACATAGCGCAGGTCGGGCCATGAGGCTGCAGCCAAAACGCCTTAGGTCTGGAACTGGCCGCCCTGCTAGATTCAATAAAGCTGCACCACGGGACCGTCCGCTGCTGCTATTGGCGAATTGAGCTAGCATTACTGGACGAGGCGCCGGTACAACAGTGCCACCCTTGCTAGCTGAAAGTCTTGCATGGCCACAAGAGTGGCGGAGCCTGCAGCATCGAAAATGCCCAAGACCAAGTCAGGGAAAGCTCAAAGCCGGCTAGGCGTCCACGTTTACCGTCTGGCGATCTGGGCCGCTCTGGGAAACGTCATATCCATGCTGTGTAAACTGTCTGTGCAGTGAGGGGAAGGGAGCCACTCGAAGGGAGCCACTCGGCTCAGTCGGCCTTGGGAACGATTTCCACAAGTAGTGTCTATGTCGCTGTTTGGGGTGCCGTTTTTGGCAGATTAGACCGGCCAATCTCGGCACCTTCAACTTCTTCACGGTCGTTTTTCACGACCTCGCTCCCTTGTTCCATTATGGCGCCCCAACGCACTGCCATTAACCGTCCCTAGAGGGCTTGATTGACTTTTTGCGCGCAGCAGCTGCACTTTGCAGATGCTGATGAGCGTGTACGAGTACTGTGTAATAGCCCGTTTCCACAACATTTTCGGCCACTTAAAGCCATCGGGACGGCAACCAGCAGGTGCCATGGTAAACAGTACAACCGCCCGGCTCTTGTCCAGCTTACGTTTGAATATGCACGCTTGCTTGAATTGCAAGATAGGTTCCTCACTATTTTCTTCCAGGCTCTTGCTATTAGTATACTTGACGACAATCTTAGTCTTGATGCGCTCTCTGACCTCCGTGAACCTCTCTTTTAGGAATCGCTAAGTTTCTCATGGCGAATTTCTTCCTACCGTGTACGTTCTCTGTTCCTCAGCCTGTTAATTCCCTCACAGTGTTAACCCCCTTACCCCGTTAATCCTCCCTCCATCTTAATCCCCTGCCCTCCCTTAGTTTTCTAAGCCCAGCTGTCAGATTTCTAACAGTTTGAGCCTCTGCTAACAAACCGCTACAGCTGTCTCCTACACACTACGTAGCCCTCTAACACGTGCTCTTCCAGGAGGAACAGTAACGCTTACATGACATTACGGACTGTATTACCCGTGCGATAGGAGCTTGCCCTTTGTTCTATCTTCATAATTACCAACCCCAGCATTCTGTGGAGCCCGTGCTCCCTTACAGACAGACGACCCTAACAGTCGAGTGGTTTGTAATAAGTAGCCGTACGACGGCCTCGTGCCCGCTTTCGGCAGCTGACCATAGTGCTGTCCGGCCATCGTCACCCCTCGCCTCAATATTCGCCCCTTTCTCAAGGAGTAGCCGCACGACAACCTCGTGCCCGCTCTCGGCAGCTGACCATAGTACTGTCCGGCCATAGTAAGCACTCGCCTCTATATTCGCTCCTTTCTCGAGGAGTAGCCGCACGACGGCCTCGTGCCCGCTCTCGGCAGCTAACCATAGTACTGTCTGGCCATCGTCACCCGCCGCCTCCATATTTGCCGCTTTTTCAGGCAGCCGTTCAACGATAGTCTTATGGCCTTTCCCGACAGCGGAAGTAAGTAATTCCCGACTAATCACCTCCACTGAGCCGGCCCGGGCTCCTTTTATTAGTTTGTTAGGTACAACTTCATGCCCACTGCAAAGGGCGTAGGATATTGGCGTTCTCCCAATTTCGTCCACTGAATCGACGCGGGCTTTTGCCTTAACAAGCCGCTTGGTGGTGGCCATGTGTCCATTCCAAGCAGCATATGATGGAGGTGTTCGACCGTATCTATCTCCCACGTCGACATCCGTGCCTTTCCAAATGCTGATCTGGCGAAGTGTCTGAAGTGAGTTTTAGGGCCCCTAATCAGCAGCTTTACAACGCCGTTAAATCTATTCTCTGAAGCCCAAGAGAGCGCTGAGCGCCGATATGTGCCGTTAAGGGAGTTTACTTCGACATCATCTCTCTTAAGCAGCAGTTCCACAACCCGCTCTAGTCCAAAATAAGAAGCAATCATGAGGATTGTGAAGTTCTGAGGGAAATCTGCCTTTGTGTCTGCCCAGTAGATTCTAAACCAAGTTAGACAACGTCTTGTCCGCGCATCGCAAATCGCTAGCAGTGAGTCCGTAATTGCGTCATCATCCTCGATGCTAGACGCGCGGGAGTGATAAGCCCAGTTTTTAGCAGAGTAGTGAAGAAAGACGTGATCAAGGTATTGAGATAATATCTCGTTCTCATCCAGAGAGTGGGTCTCGAACTCAGTAAAGAGCAGATGCCAAACACAGATCTGGCAAAGAATGCGATGGGACTCCCGTGGCTGGAGTGAGGATTTCCACCTTAGTTCATCGTCATTACTTTTCGGTCGGGCTTCTCCCAAACGAGCCTTTTCCGGGTGGACCCCTTTTGAAGGGTCATCCTGGACAAGGAATTCTCTCGCGGTCTGGTGAAGGAGGTATATTTTGGAGTCGATAATGGTGATAAAGAGGCCGCAGAGGTCTCTCACATATTCACGGAAGCGCTTATCAGCTTTGGGGTCTAGGTCTTCATACGACTGGTGGTCTGGTTGGAGAGCCAGCGCTACGGCCATTTCCGCTAGAGCCAAAGGCCGTGCTGCCCCGACGACAACATGTAGTAGTTTCTTGGCTTCTTCGGGATTATGACTCTTGTTCAGGATACCCTCGTATGCGTGGTCGACGGTTGGCGGAAGGGAGGAAACGGCCTTGCGTATCCCAAGTTTATTGATGCCAATGTCATCCTGGACTAAATCCATGGTGAGATAAACCCACAGATACGTCCGGTTTGGGGTACGCAGAAGCCCTTGTAAGAGCAGCTGTTCATCTTCTAGACTAAGAGTCAGACGGTCTCGGATGCTCTGGACCCTTGCGCGTATATAGATATCGATCTCTCGGGCAATCTTGTCCGTCTCAACTTCGCTTTCCCCACTTAAATGGACAAGAGGTAACCCTGGCATATCGAGAGGCTGGAAACCCCGTCGGATAGTGCCATGGGGCTGACTTATAATGAGAAACTTCAGGTTAAAGGCCTTCTCGGTTCGATATAGTTTGCACAGGGCTTGGGCGAGCATAGAATGTTCTTGGTCTTCACATTCGTCAAAGGCGTCAAGAATATAGACTATCTCGCCAGCATTCTTGTCCTGTGAAGCCATAATAAGGACCTCCCAGAGTTCGTCAAACGAGTCGGTAAAGTGTATTTCACGGGTTTCGAGCCGCTTAACGATCTCACTGGAGAAGAGGATCTCTCTTTGCGTAAAGAGTTGGTGTAAGATGCAGCAAAGGGCGCTTTTCGCGCTTCTCTGATCATCGATGTCGTCCTTGAAGAAGAAATAGCAGGTAGTTCTGGATGTGGTAGTCCGAAGCTCAGAGTCTACCAGATGCCTTGCTAAGACGGATTTCCCGCACCCAGGATCTGCGGAGACCCAGAGCATGCTGGACGAGCTGCTCTCTTGCCATTTTCGAAAAAGCTGGTGATTGACGAACCACTCGCACGTCCCCAAGACCCTATCTGGATTCCTATTCTTTCGATCCAGATATGGCGAGGTGTGGAGGGTCTTGAGGATAGCTATGCTCCGAGTGTCGTGGTCTGCCCCGCAAGATAGCTCATGGATGGCTTTCTCTAACTTGCCTATCTAGTCCTGTGTTGTTGCCATCCTAAGCAACTAGACGGTAGACAATTCTACCAAGCTGCCCTCTATTTCCTGCATCAAGGTCTTTGCCTGATTTGCTTTGCCCAAACATGACATGGCGAGGAAGATATCGTGGGCTGGCCGATCATTCGCCTCGTTTTTGCGCTTTTCCACTTCCTGGAAGATGTCACGCAATGCCTCAGCCTTCTCTTCGCAACGACCAATGACCAGCCCGATGATCTTTCTTGATGATTCGTCTAGGACCATGCCGTGGGCCAGAGTCAGGGTGTATTCCACAAGAGGAAGCCTTTGGTTCACATCACCAAATGTTTTCGGGAGGCCTCTGAGGTGTTAGATAGCCTTATATGTCGAGGAAATAGCCTGGATGATCGCGATCGTAGACGCGATGGTGCTGAGGGGATCCATTGTAAGGCTCTGGGGCCACGGCTTTGTAGGGGTTTTGGGTGCAGTGCGGTCGGTGGTAGGGGAGGACTTCAGCTACCTGAGGTGATGATGAGCCGCTGCATTTAACTTTTTTTGTACACGGGGGTGGGTTCGCACCTTTTCAGCCCTTTCCTTAGCATAGCTGTCTGGCCTGTGGGCGCTGCAGGTAAGGGAGTGTCGATCGAAGGAGCTCTCGTAGACCCGTTGGCGTGGAAGGGAAACCCCAAGGTCGTGAGAAGGTATGTCGTGGCGGGGTTAGCTGAATGTCTTTTGTCGTGAGGCTGCAACGGCTGCAGCCAACCATATCGTGTTGTGGCCACCGCCCTCCCAGCCCAAGTCTCTGGAGAACTGAAGACTCCAGGCCCAGCATGGTGATGGATATCAAGGCAGACGAAATTGACACTAAGAAAGGAAGAGTTGCTGGAGGTGTGGTTGGCGCAGGGACGGCGTCGATGTTCAGTTGTTCTTGGGGCACTGTAGGATGGCGCTGGGTCGCCGCCCTCATTTCTAAAAAGGCGAACTGAAAGCGGCTGCGGCCAAAAAAGCCGAATCTGCAATAAAACTCAATTGACTACTAAAGCAAATCGCTGCGCCGCGTTTTGCGTTTGAGCTTGAGTTCGAGATTTTACCAGGAGCTGGGCCGGGAAAAAACAAGTAAAAAAGGGGCGGACTCTTCACTTGACAGTACCTTTAAGCAGGCTAGCCATCTGATGGTCTGGGCCTATCACATCCTGCGGTAGCACTACCATTGAATCCATCTGCTCACTTAGTAGAGCTATTGAAGAATTGGTAGGGGCTGTTAGTTAAAGCTATTAGCACGGAACACTGGCGTTTTACAGTCCGCTTTGTTTTTGTCAATAGCTTACTACGGTACGCGGTCAGCCCGGAGAAAATAGAGGGAATGGCCTCACGCCCTTTATAGCAACGTCCCGCTTCGCTTAGTCCCCACCGGTTTATATCTGGAGGAACAAAATCGGCCCTGGAGGCAAGGGTCTGATTGGGCGGGTGGGTCAACTAGTTAAAACCGGTAGCCCCAATAGTGACACCCCGACAGTGACACCCCGACAGTGACACTCCGACAGTGACACGGGTATTCAAGTGATGTTTGCCTGGCACGACACCGACGACTGGAAACCGAGGCGGAATTTGGATGCGACAGAGCCACAGGCTTGCTGGAAACGGCACTATCGATTTCACTGCCAACCGACTAGCGTTTGGCTTGGGCAATTTCCATTTACACCGTGACGTGTACAAACTCGAAGGCCAAAGTGCGTTCGAATATGTCGGGTAATCCAAGATATGTGCGAGAAATCTGCGCCTCAAAGAAACAGAAAATGGAAATTGAACTTGCCTGCAGGTAGTGACGGAAGCCTAAGCAGCCATTTCTCTTGCAATGCACAGGCCCGGGGACACTTTGGTGGTGCTAGACTCGAGAGATAAAAGTACCACTCCATGCCGTCCAGGCCGACACGAAGAGCACTCCGAGTCCAAGGGCTGTCCAGAGTCAAAGATTTCTTGAGTGTAGATATTGGATCAAGTGGCTCATGCTCCCTATCTTTTTTTTTTTTTTTTCAAGAATTCACGAGTCGACGGTTTACCCAAGCTTTGACCTCGAGCCTTGGAAATTGGTGCCATCGAATGTGGGGTCAGTCAGCGACACGACGACGTCAATCACCTCACTGCCGCTGTCTGCGAATTGCGGGGAACCCCATCACCAGCATTGCCTATCCACCGCAAGCCGCCTGAAGGAGAACCTCCTGCGTCCGTTCCCGGAGCAGATCTAAATCTGATCAATATTCAATCCTGACTGGCTACCTATTCACATACGCAACTTGTTGTGGAAACTTGCATTAATTTCACAGATTCTGCCGGGATATTTTGAATGACTCCAGGAACCCGCAAACCGCCACAACACCAAAGGTCGTTTTATACGCAACCACTGTTCCTCATCTCGCTCCTCGTCTTAACACTGGCTGCGTTACTCTCCGCCGCCTCCGCCTCCCTCCCCTCTCACCGGCTTGCCCTCATCGCAGGCCAGCTCCTCACCGTGCGGCACATCTTCACGAGAGCAGGCAGCTCCTTGGCAGTAGCAATAACAAAAACAGCCACCGTCATCATGACATCACCGTACGCCAAAGAGCTCGAGGTGGCCCAGCTCGCCGTGCAGCGGGCGGCGCTGCTGACGAAGCGCGTGTTTCACGAAAAGGCCAAGGGCACCGTGTCCAAGGACGACAAGTCGCCCGTGACGGTCGGCGACTTTGGCGCGCAGGCCCTCATCATCAGCGCGCTGCAGGCCAACTTCCCGGCCGACGAGATCGTGGCCGAGGAGGAGTCGGCGCAGCTGCGCGCGGACCCATCCCTGCGCGACCAGATCTGGGAGCACGTCCGCAGCACGCGGCTCGACGACGCGGCTTCCGAGGAAGCCGTGCTGGGCGGCGCCGTCAAGGACGCCGAGGCCATGCTCGACCTCATCGGCCAGGGCAACAGCCAGGGCGGCGCGCGCGGCCGGATATGGGCCATCGACCCCATCGACGGCACCAAGGGCTTCCTGCGCGGCGGCCAGTACGCCGTGTGCCTGGCGTTGATGGTGGATGGGGACGTAAAGGTCGGCGTGCTCGGCTGTCCGAACCTGCCGGTCAACGACTCGGCGGCGCTGACAGCCGACATTGGCGCGAACCAGACCGACGACGAGGGGCGCGGCGTCATCTTCTCGGCCGTCATCGGCCAGGGCGCGACCAGCAGGCCGCTCGGCTCCGGAGCGCTGGCCAAGGGCCAGAAGATATCCATGAAGCCCATCACCGACTTGTCTAGCGCGAGCTTCTGCGAGAGCGTCGAGGCCGGCCACTCGAACCAGTCCGAGTCTGCCCAGATCGCGCAGAAGCTGGGAATTACCAAGCCGAGCGTGCGGATGGACTCCCAGGCCAAGTACGGCTCCATCGCTCGCGGGGCGGGCGACATCTACCTCCGCCTCCCGACCTCCAAGACGTACCAGGAGAAGATTTGGGACCACGCCGCTGGCGACTTGATAGTGCGGGAGGCGGGCGGTCAGGTTACCGACACCACTGGCAGCCGGTTGGACTTTAGCGTTGGCAGGACACTGGCAAGTAACAGGGGTGTGATTGCAGCGCCTGCGGCCATTCACAGCCAGGTCATCAAGGTGGTGCAAGAGGTTCTTGGGCAGAAGTGAAGCTCACGCCCCCCTTCCCCCCTCTTTGCGATACAAGCATAAAAAAGCCCACTTATTGTACAAAATAGACACAGACGTAGCCCCGCAAGAAGCGGGCGGTCAAATATACCACTAAATGTACAAAGACGCTTTCGAGTGCTGCCTCATTTAATCTTCTTCTGCTTCAGCTTGATCGTCTCTTCGTTGACAAAGATGCCCTTGCCCTTGTACGGCTCCGGAACGCGCCACTTGCGAATCCGGGCGGCGAACGACATGAGGACTTCCCTGTTGATGCCCTCGAGCAGCACTCTCGTCGGCTGCGGCGTGCTGGCCTTGACGCCTAACGGGCAGCCCATCTCGACCGGGTGGGAGAAGCCGAGCTTGAGTATGACGAACGGCTGGTCGGGGTATGTCTCGAGCGCCGGGCGCGTCTCGACCGTGGCTCTGTAACCAATGCCCACCAGGCGCAGCACCGCAGTGTGCCCTTCCGATACTCCCATAATGTGCCGGTTGAGGTATGCCCACGTGGTCCCTGTTGGTCACAGATACGTCAGTTCACGATGCGGTCTTATAGCTCAATGCGCCTAGGCTAGTCTCCGTCCAGTCGACATACCCCACATCTCCCTCTGCTGCTTCACGTTCCGGTCCTCCACGCTTAATACGGCTCTCCTCGCCGCGACGTCAAAGTCGATGTGAAGGAATGGGGGGATCTCTAGGTCGAGCGTTCCTATAGCTTGTCAGTATTGACGCCCTTGATATTGCACTCGCAGGGAGCAGCGAAAGAGCAGCGCGTCTGCGGCTGCGGCTCGCTCGTCGCTCACCCAGCGGGCCCGTCACTGTGACGGTTCGTCTCGCAATGTTAAGCCAGGTCGTCAGGTCCTTCTTGACCTTGGGCTCGCTAATTGCGAGCTCGACGCTTGGAGGGATAGAAATGGGCGTGGTGCCGAGCTTGGACGGCCGGCTTGTCGTCGCTGAAAAGAGGCGCGCGGGCGAGCTGCGGCTTGCCGTCGTCGTCTGGAAGGCAGGCACGAGGAAGCTCGGCAGCGTGATGACCGCCGAGGATGCAAGCGCCCTGGCTCTGCTGGGTGCGAGCATCGTTTGCGGCCGTGGAGGAATGTCGAATTGGTTAACGTGACACCCCTGGACCGTAACTGTTGTCGCTCTCTCTCTCAGTCGCCTGTGAGCAAGCACCCAAAAAAAGGATCGGGTCCCCGGGAAAGTATCGGCTAGCTCCGACCCCTTCCTGGCTGGGCTGGGCTTGGCAGCACGGTTTACAAGGGCTTAGCGTAGCTTAGTCACCTAGCCAACTCACTCGCCTCGGAAAGCCCCCTTTGCCGTCGGCACTTCGAAGCCATCTAAGAATTAGAAACACTTCATGGCCATGACCATAACGATATCTAAATTTAATCCATTTAGTAACTATGTCGTACTGCAAATACAAGCTCGATATTGAAGCATTGTCACGTTTAAATACGTTTGTTTCCTGTAAACACGCTAAAATCTAAGAAGATCATGAGCTGTTTGGTCTACAACCACCAAAAAAGGGTCCCTTCCCAGAAATGGACGAAATCTGTACTTCATCTTCGCGAGTGCGAATGACAATATCTTAGCAACCCAAAACCATAGCTGTGGCATTTTGGTATATGCCTATGGGCTTCCCAAACATATAGGCGGCTAGGTTGGAGACTGCTGGGCATTTGCTGGCGCCTCAGAAACAACTCGGCCTTCTCAGTTCTTGCCTCTAGCATATCACTTCAACCTCAGACAGCAATTGTCATTTGCGCTCTTGTCGTCATCAATCGTATGAACATGCTGCTTCGGGGAATCTGCAGGATTTCTACCTACTTTCACTTTCTTTCTCGTTCTTCGCCAATTTCATTTCTCTTCTTAACATCGACGGCCGCCCAAACGCTCCTGCTTCCTTTGGCCTTATTGTTATTTCACTCACCTCTTCCTTCCTTCCCCGTCCGACTTGGCTCGCGACTTCCAAAAATATAACTTTGCCTCTCTCATTTTTTTCTCCTTCAACCTCACCATCCTTATCCTAATTCCCCCGATTCTTTCTTCTCAGTCGCATATGAAGTTCGCGCGATAATCCCCCTTCAGTTCTTTTGCGCCTGTCCCGGCTCCTCCACAACAATGAACAATATGCAAGTCGCCTTCTTTTTTCTGACCCTTTTAGCGCCTTGCATCTGCTTCTCGTGGGGGGGCGAGAGGAAAGTGGTAATCCGTACGTCGTGTCTCCGATCAATCGTGGCCACCTTAGAGGTATCGAAAATTAACGACAGCTACAGCGGCTGCCAACACCTACGCTTCAGCCGGAGACACCCACTCGGGACTTCTCCAGCAGCCATCTCGGGTTCCTGACATCTACGCCATCGCGCTCAGTGAGCTTCAGGAACTCGAATCGGAACCTCTGTGCCATCGCGTGGCCGCCCGGCTTCTGGTGAACAACTGCCAACTCGTCGACGGGAAGAATGATGCGACCATCCTCACTGATAGCGGTCGCCAAGTTCGCGACTTCGTCGATTCGTATGCGGCTAGTCTTGCGATTTGCGACCTAGAGCGCGGGAGCTTTGCGATTCCGAAAGATTGCGCCAAATTTCGGGAGCCTTCGTTGAGCCAAATCGCCTTGAGGAACGAAGCATTCCTCCATGTCAGCCCCAAGGAGATCGGGCGCTGCTTATCCGCACTGGCAGCTTCTGATGCAGCATGGAGCACATGGATAAGTTACCGGCACAAGGCACTGCGCTTCTGCGAAGCTGCACGCGCGGACAATGAGAAGGGTCAGGCCGCACTCCCACTCGTTGCGGTTGCTGAGAGACACGAAAGCTGACAACCTACAAAGACTTGAGCATATTATTCTACCAGCGATTGACCAGGGTGATCTCAAAGCTTACCGAAGGCGTGGAGGTCGAGCTCCAGAGACGTATGCAAGATCTTGACAACCAGGCCCGGCAATATCTTGAGACCCTCGAACAACTAGCTCCACACATGGATCATTTGCATGATGAGCTTAGAAAGATGGAGAGCTACATTCAGGGCAACCTTGATATGACGCTGAAGAAATCTACCGACTCTGCAAACGACAGCCTGCAGCAGGCGGAAAACCTCCAACAGATGCTCCGCGTCTTGCTGTCTAATGTCCTCGAGAACAACTCCCAAATGGCTGCTGTCCACGAGCAGTCACTCCAGGTAGCATCCAAGAGGGCCAGCGATGATATAGGGGGCTTGGTGGCCATCGTCGCAATGGCGGCAACTTCTTCTAATTCCCTCCAGCAGCAAATTGTAGGTCGCTCATCTCACCGAACTCGACAAAGATAGCGCTAACAAATTTGGCAGGAGATTTCTAACCAGCAAGCCGCCGAGCTAAGCCGCCGTCAAGATACTCTCGAACAAGGAATGGATCGACTCCTCGTTGCTACCGAGGCGTTGTCCACTAAATACGAAGACCAGACTTACGTACTGATGCAAGCCAACAATCTAACAAACGATATTCTGGACTCCCTAGAAGACACAGCGACAGCAGCAGCTCTGGTCAGCAACTTGTTCCTCAGCAATTCAACATCTGGCACCTGGTGGCCATTTGTCGTTTTTCCATCAGCATCTCTGATTATGGGATCGTATGGTCTGCCTCCTTCCATGCTGCGAAATTTCGGACTACTAGCTCTTGGTGAGATGGTTGGGATCCTTGTCTCGTTTCACGAGCAAGTCGTGGATGGCATCCTTTTATACGCGCCTACAATCAGCGCAAACGCAACTGCATCTTCGCTTTGAAGATCTTTGATACCCTTTTCGCCACATTTTCCATAGCTCACCGGCTTTCTAAGCCAACCTATTCTTATCATGGTGGAATGTGATTTAGGGCGACCTGGGCTAGGCTTGGGGAAATATATTGTGGCATTGAGTCCATCACATTCTAAGGGAGCGAAGATGCGTCATTAAGTTAGCTAGCGCTCGCTCAAGGCGAATTTCAGTCAATATAAAATTGCCCATCTTTGTTAAATATTCTTCGTCGCTGTCTCGTGCTTTTGAAGTTATGATAATTACAGCACAGGAAGGAGAGGAAAGCAGGAGAGAATGTTGGAAATCATCAGCTTCCTGCTAAACATTATTTGCTTGGTAGGTGACTAACAGCCAGGTACGTATGTAAAGGACTGTTGGAAGTCGAAAGCGCAAAAGACAGAACATATTAGAAGGAAGATAAGCGAATATCTTCCACAAAAGTTGCCAAACTTTCAGCACCAGTCCCATTATTACTTCAATGACAAGAAATAAGGATACCCGAGCTCTCGAGTCAAAAAATAGAGAACAAAGCTCGTTTAGATGCAGAAACGCAAAAAAATGGGATAACCAGGAATCGAACCTGGGTCCTCTCGGATGTTGCGAGGCAACCACAACGAGAAGTACTGACCACTATACTATTATCCCTTTTGATGAATATGGAGTACTGTAGTGCTACCTATCACGGGAGAGGGGCCCTGGGAGAATGGGGAAATTGGGGCAACAGCGCCGTAGCGGCTCCACCAGGCGGCCTATTTCTTTTTCGTACAGCGCCCGAGCCCGTTACATCTTCACTCCAGTGCGTGCTCTACTTGCGGCGCGGCCTTTCTGGTTCCTTTTCACAGCGATTGGCTTTGTCGTCTTTGACGTATTGCGCCCTCTTCTTTTTTCACGAAGCATAGTTGGATTTTGAGATCTCCCGAGTTTATTAGCCACTTTTGCCCTTAAATGATGAGAACGTTCTTTCCACTGTTACGTCGTTACCTTACACTGTAATCCACATCATATAACCCTAACCCTGATTATTCACTCTAGCCGCTGGTGAAGATTTTGTCAAGGCAGTATCCGTAATTTACCACGTTTTACCACAACGTACTACGTACCTGGCCCATACCTTTCCACTGTAACCTACCTTCAACCGCTAAAAAACATCGTCGGCGCCGTTGATAGGGCAGCTGACGACGACGTATAGTCTGTTGCCTGCGAAGACCTTGCTCCAAGGTCCTCGCGGTTGCGTATTGGAAGCAACAGACAGGCAGGACTGACAAGTCGGTTGGCTGACAGGGCTGTCAACGGCGTCGAAGGCAGGGCACGCAGGATAGACATGCCAGACAGACAAGACAGCCAGATAACAGACAGACAGACAAAATGCAGACAGATCGCCGAACCGGCCCAATCAACCACTGAGTTTCGGCTGTTCATACACACACGTACACATCGCTTGGAGTCATTTGACTTTCCCGTTGGAGCAGACGGGAACTGTATTCCGGCCGGCAAAGTCCGTAAGAAAGCAACATGTCTCATCACGGGCTGTTCTGTGGGCCAACTTCGGCCAAGTCGTCAACTGACAAGAGGATTTTTCGAGTGCTCGTCATAGATAATAACAATTAACCCTTTGAAGAGAAAGCTGAGTGCAATAAGGGCGAAAAGCTTGATTACCGCGACATCCACCGGCTTCGACTTCCCATCAAACCAAGTAAGGTATTTTAGGGTTCAGTGACAGGAACGTCTCGGTAATTTTTGGCATCTCCTAGCAGTATAAAACCAAACATACCCTCCTTCCTCCTCTTTTTTATAAATTCTTCATCACAAGGTACAGGCAAGCAAACCCCCATCCCAACAAAAGAAAAGAAAAGAAAAAAGAAAAGAGAAAATTATTACACCACAAGAAAATGCTAACAAAAAGAAATTCGGTGCCTCAGACGTTTTTTACTTGTTCTTTTCATCATTTGTCTGATCCTCTCCACAGAGGCTAACAGACATGGATACTGATAATAGCCATGTGAGTCTCTGAGAGACCCAGCAATATTATTCCCAGGTGGCTAACATGTGAATCGAAACGACGATGTATTAGAAAGTCGTAACGTAAGTCATCATTGGCAATGCCATTGAACGACTTGGGCTGTTTTTGACAGACGCCAAGGGTTATTGGGCCAGTCCGGTTTGCTCTGAGGGAAAGACCAACAGGGGGACAATTCAAGATCCATCTAATCATGAGGAAGGCGGGCTTTGCCCGAGGCGTTGGGGGGAAGGCGCGGCCTACCTTACCCCTGGCGCAGTGCCAGCGGCAGTCCCAGCCCTCACGAAATGCAGAGAAGGCATGGCCCTATCGGGGACGAAGTCGTAACATTGTTGGGGACCATGATGATGATACGGAGCCGCCGCCATGTTTTCGAATGACATCAGCTCGCTCTGATGGCGTCCAAATTGTGCGGCCACGCCCAAGGATCTGAGTCCCTTGAGATTGAAGGGAGCTAGCTAGCTCCCTAGAGTTCAGTTTCAATATTCCATCTTGCTTATTTCTTTAACCGCTCACACTAGAACATCCCCAGCCCCTTGTTACCTACCTACCCTTCATCTTCAGCTGCACATCAGTCATAGTTGAAGCAGACGTCGAGGAACTCCCTCCCCCGCGTTCCAGACTCCAGGTCCAAGGCCGCGTGCCGAGAATGTCAAAAGCTTCCAAAACGGAAATTTGGCCAAGACGGAACAAGGAGGAAAGAATCAACGAGCGTTGAACTTGTCCCCCATATAGACCGGATGCTGTCGATGGCAGGCAACGATGATGTTTATATCCAGACACATACACACCAGCGGAAGCGGCAACTCGCTCGTCTAACGTCCTCCTGTTTTCCCACCCTTTTGGGAAGACGGCTTTTGTGCCCCCCTTCCTCTGCTTACCACCCCCGCCCTCCTGCAGTGAAACTTTGCTCACTGCCATCGTGGGTCTGGATGGGGAAGCAAGCACGGAGGATAGAGGAAACGGCGGCTCCCAGTCTGCGGCGTACGGTGACGGTAACAAGAGACCAGAGACAGAGTCGCCAACAAGTGCGGCAAAACGGCTTGCCCAAAGGCAGTCAGTCAGTCGGGCGAGGCACTAAGCGAAGGCGGTAAGAGGGGGAACGGGGGGGGAGACTCGTGTTGTAATGAATTAATTTTTATTCATTTAATCATCTTCATTCCAAAATACATGAATCAACACTTGGAGCCTTGTACACTGTTCAGGGTGGCGTCTGAAACAGATGTCTTTCTCTCCAAGAAGATGAGGTGGGTTGACACGATGCATTTCTTCCTCAGTCGTACCAAATGGCATTCATGCCGAAGCCGGGATGGTCGGGGATGCGGAGGCGAGCGACACGGTGCAAGAACTCGTCCTTCCAGCGGTACATCTCGACCCAGCCCTCCTGGTCGTCGGTGATGGCGACCCACTCGTCGCTCCAGTCGCAGGGGGAGACGGCGTTGCTGTGGCCGCCGCTGGTGGGGGTGGGATTCAGGCACAGCTGCGTCTCGATGCTGCCGCAGGAGCGCAGGCGGAAGGCGGCGACGTAGCCCGTCAGGTCGAAGCGGTTGGCGCGCGATGAGGCGAAGAGGTGGCCGCCCGACATGGTCAGCGCGCACACGTCGGCCCGGTACAGGCCCTTGCCCGTCGCCGGGTCGCGGTCGGGGATGCCTGGCGGGATTAGCGGGAAGCTGTGGTGCGTGTACACGGGCATGTGCGTCGCCGGGTCGATGACGTACTCGCAGATGCGGTTGCCCGCCTCCATCAGTGCGTACAGGTAGTTTCCCGTCGGGTGCATGGCTACCCACCGCGGGTGGTCGCCCGCGTCGGGCGCGTCGACGCTGCCCACCAGCTCCACCGCCTCCGGCTCCTCGCCCGCAGCCGGGGCCGATATCTTGCGGTGCACCCACAGCTTGTTGGCCGTTAGGTCCGCTGAGTAGAGGTACGTCTCGTTCGGGTCGAACACCATGCCGTGGATGCCCGTGTTGGGCTGGTACAGGTAGTTTTGCACGTTCCTGTCGAGCGCCCCGGAGCCCGTCACCGAGAAAACGTTGCCGAAGCCGGCATGCTTGTAGAATGGGTTGGCGTAAACGCCGTACGGGACCTTCTTCGCCGCTAGAAGGAAGATGGCGCGCGTGTTTGTCTCAGAGCTGTTTGCTAGGGCTGTGATGTGCCGCTTCGTCATCAGTAAGGAGGGAAAAAAAGACACAGAAAGAGTAGTCCTCCCCTTAATCGCATTCGAACGGGAAAGGGAGTCAGAACTTACGGTCCCCGCCTATGGGATGCGACGCTTCATGGACGATCTCGATAGGGCTCTTGACGGCGAAACTGGACCATTTCTTCATGGCCGCGCCATAGAGATTCTTCTTCGAGTGCTGTTGCCATTGTGAGCGAGAGGCGGCATCATGGACACGGGCAGCCGGCCGCCAATTGGGTCCATACATCGAAGGTCATCCATGATATCGGCTCGTCCTGGGGGATCTTGGTTGTCTTGACCAGACTTAGCGTCAACTTCTCGTCGTCGAACTGGACCGTGTAGATGGCTCCTGGCGGGGTCCATGTCCCAATCATTAGGTGGTGGAGTGGCATGGTCGAATGACGTCGGCTCGCACAGACGGGAGCTCGGAGGAAGATTGGAGAGACGCTGCTCCGAGAAAAAGACTGCAACGGGTGCAATGAAATCATACGATGACCGAGTGTCTACATGAGTTTGAGTTGCCGGCGAACCTAGGAGGGAAGACTAGCTACAGCGATTCGTTTGCCCGCACAGTATACCCTTCTCCCGTCCATCCTACATGTACGTCGCTTTCGCGGGCCTGGCAGGGAAGCGCGAAGTCGCGCTGCAGGCGGTAATAAATATCCCGTACCTGCCAATCGACCGGTCGGCCTCTCGGCAGCACTCAGGTTCAAATTCGGTATCAGGCAATGAGTGGGGATGAACATCACAACGGCTGGAGCTACGGTAGATGAGTGTGGCGGTCTCATCGCACGCGGGATTTCTGACCTGCAGCTGTTCTTCTGCGGCGCCCAGCACGCTGGCATCTGCCACAAAACCTTGTTCCAGAGCGCCCGTGACTGCGCGGGTAAAGGCTCACCCTGTGGATCTCCAGCTAGCGCGCCAGACCTAGCCTTCCCCATTGCCACCTAGCAGGTGGGATGGATGGAGAAGCCGAGAAGCCCAGACGCGCTAGTGGTTACTGGTTAGGGGTCACCCCGCAAAAACCCCAGGAGCTGGGGCTCTGGGCTCATGCTGAGACGAAAGTAGCAGAGCAGGCCATCGAGTCCTGAGAACCAAGATCCACCCGATTTTAGGAGGCTGAGGTCGGGGCGGATGGGGCAGACAGGGCAAGGCCTGTGTAAGAAATAGGAAACAGCTCATTCGGCGCCTGCATGCTTGGATTCGGGTGGCGGCCAGTTTAGGTTTCCCCTTCCGGGGAGCTCTGGAGCAATTCTGGCGGGAGAGCTAAGATAAAGTTTTGGGCATCTCAACGCAGGGCTAAATTTCTCCCGCGTTGCCTCCTCGGCCGTCCCCACTCCCGCAATGTCAGACTTGGGGACAAACAAGCTGCCGCGACGCCGTCCGATCGATCACGGCGGGGAAAATGACACTGCAGCGTGAGTGTGAGTGGCAGGCGTCCTATCAAGGAAGGCTCATTCACAACCCAGCTCAGCTCGATGGTCTATTTAATCAGAGGCACCTCGCCGTGTCTTTCGTCTACCTCTCCTTCCCATCAACATCCTCATCCTCAATAGACAGCTGTGCCTTGCTGACCAGCCCGTCTCAGCCTCTGACTCGAGATTACATACACATTCATCTCTCTGCCTTCACTTCACCCCATCTCGTCCATACCCTGTACATATTCACAGCAAATACCCGTCTGTACTCACACAATGGCCACCAACGGTGTTAACGGCGTCAACGGCGTCCATGCCGTCGATGGTGTCAATGGCGCCAAGGCCGTCAACGGCACCAACGGTGTTAGCCAGGCCCCTGAGCCCACCCCGGCCAAGCCCTCTCACAGATTCGACCCGGACTTCACCCGTCTCGTCGTTGAGAACATGGGACCCAAGACCACCGAGAGGCACCGTGTCGTCCTTGGTGCCCTGATCACCCACATTCACGACTTCGCCCGCGAGGTTGAGCTCAGTGTCGACGAGTGGATGGAGGGTGTCAAGTTCGTCAACGCCCTTGGCGAGATCTACACCAAGAGCAACAAGACACGGAACGAGACTCACCGTATCTGCGATGTCCTCGGCCTCGAGTCGTATGTGTGGCCCTTTTCCCATCTCATACCCTGCCAGCAGTAGCAGCAGCAGCAGCAGCAGCAGCGTGACTAACTGTCCTCAAGCCTCGTTGACGAGATCGCCCACAAAATCATTGCCGAGGGCGACATCGACCCTACATCGTCGTCCATTCTTGGCCCCTTCTGGTCGCCTAATGCTCCTTTCCGTGAGCTCGGTGGCAGCATCATCCAGGACGGCGTGCCGCCCAACGGCCGCGTTACCAAGATGCACGGCGTGATCCGCGACATCATCACTGGCAAGCCCATTCCCGGTGCCGTCTTCGACATCTGGCAGGCGTCGGCCAACGGCAGGTACGACTTCCAGGACCCTGACAACCAGACCCCCAACAACCTCCGTGGCAAGTTCCGCGCCGACGCCGACGGCAAGTATACGCTCTACTGCCTGCATCCCACAGCCTACAGCCTGCCCACCGACGGCCCCTCGTGGCAGCTGCTGTGCATGATGGACCGCCACCCCATGCGGCCAGCTCACATCCACATCATGGTGACGCACCCCGAGTTCCAGGGCTGCACCACCCAGCTCTACCCCAGCGACGACCAGTGGCTCTCCACCGACACCGTCTTCGCCGTCAAGGACGACCTGGTCGTCGACTTCAAGCCCCTCGAGGGCGATGACAAGGCCGTCCTCGAGCTCGAGTATAACGTCAACCTTGCCCCCAAGGGCTACAAGGGCAAGATGTAGAGCGGAGAGTGTGAGGAAAACAAGAATGAAAAGGGAGATTTAACTGTCAGAGTTAATACGTCTTGTATATAATACCCTATGCACATATTCTTATTCGTGTCTCGGTCGCGGAATTCGAGGAGGGAGATTGGTGCGGTCAGCTTTTTTTTTTTTGAGAGGGTTTCGGTTTTGCGTCGGTTTTGCGTCGGGCATTTACCTGGACGGGAGGTACATTTGATTTACTAGCCTCTTTTTTTCTGCTACATAGTTAATGAATGTAATGAACATATATTTACCTGAGGCTATCGGATCTGTTGAACTGCGCCAACTAAGAGGTCTCAATAAGCATGATTTGTGTTTCGCTCCAACTTCTCCATAAAGCACAATCCCTTTTACTTTGCCAACACGTTCACAAACACCACGCTACATAATTCAAAGATTACAATGCAATCGCATAAAGTAGTAGCCCTGCCCTCTCATATTCTGAAGTTGACTCACCGTCCAACTCAAGCACTCCCCGGCCCATTAAATATCTCCCGCCCGTCCAATCGGCATCCGTCTTTCTCACACAATAGACAGTAGTAAACACTAACGATGCTTTCTCTCGCATTAGCTGCGAAGGTGATTATGCACTAGCCGCCGCCAAATAAACAACCTAATGGCTTCATCATCTCTGATAGGTAACGGGAGAGGCAGCTATAGACGGAGCGGGTGTTGAACCCGGCAACCAAAGCCCTACATCCTGTACATGAGCCGATAAAACTACAAAAACATGGACAAGCACATAATATCCCACGCCACGAGACTCGAAAAGAACCCGGAGGTCGGGCGGTCGGCAGGCGTGCTGTCTTGACGGGGACGAGAAATAATGCGGAAACGCGGCTCAGATCGGACCAAGTAAGGGAAGGAAATACGGTACCTCTGATTTAGCGACTTCAATGCTACTGCAAGATCCATGAATTGGGTAATCAGTACGAGAGATCGTCAAGATGGGAGAGGAAAATCGAATCGTGCGCGAGCTTCTCCAGTGGAAAGCTCATCAGACGCAAGATGAAAAGTGTATTCGGCCGTGGGAGAGACCATCGCCACTCGGCAATAATAAGGACGAGAGCGAGGTCGAAGAGGACCGGGCCGGATGCAGTGAGACTAATAAAGGGGTGAGGATGAAGATGCTGTCTAAGTAGGTACGTAGTGTCTGTCTCAAGCAAGGAGAGAAACGTCGAAAAAAATGGAATGGCAGACACGAGACAGTATATGTACAGCAATTCAATCAATATTGGGCAGAAAACCCAACGCACTGCAAAGCATAACTACAGTTATCCTCTTCGAATGATGCGTTCATGTCTGGACTCTTTTGATTTGACGTCTAATATTTACAGTTGCTATGCGTTTGCTATGCGCCTCGATGCATGCTCTACTTCTTGGGCTCCTCCTGCACCTCGGGTTTTGGCGTGGGCAGCTTGAATGTGTCGGGCTTGGTGTCAATGCCGGCGCCGACCTGTTCCCAGGCGCTGGAGCCGCCCTCGAAGTTGCGGAAGGCCTGGGTGAGCTCGAGCGGCTCTGTGACGATGCGCTTCTTCTCTTCGTCGTAGCGGATCTCGGTGTAGCCGGTGAGGGGGAAGTCCTTGCGCAGCGGGTGGCCCTCGAAGCCGTAGTCGGTCAGGATGCGGCGCAGGTCCGGGTGACCGGTGAAGAAGACGCCGAACAGATCGTACACCTCGCGCTCGTACCAATTGGCGCCGTCGTACAGGCTCGTGACGCTGGGCACGGGCGACGTCTCGTCGGCGTACGTCTTGACACGGATCCGCGAATTGTGGCGCACGCTTAGCAGGTTGTACACGATCTCGAACCGCTGGTCGCGCGTGGGGAAGTCAACAGCCGTGATGGTGCTGCACTGCGTGAATTCCGCCGCCGTGTTGTCTAAAACCCGAGACCCAGAGTCAATGCACTGCGCCCAGCTTCTAGCTATGTTTGTACGCGCTTCTTACATTTCAGGAAGGTGAAAACCGGGATGACGCCGGAGGGGCAGATGTAGATGGTCAACTCGTCCTTCCAGACGGAGAACTGTTGGATGTACTTGGGCAGGCAGCCCATGAGCCACGATCCGTACTTGTGCAGATCGTCAGCCTTGGCCTGGTACTTATCGGCGGGGTTGACGGGAGGCGCCTTTAGGATGCCGACGGGGGCGCGGGGGAGGGAGCGCGGATTCGGAGAGTCCTTGGGGACGATGATGTTCTGGCGGGGCGTGGTTGCGAAACACCGCACGGCGGCCTCGTTGCGCACCGTAATTGGCGGCTTCGCAGGCCGGAGCACCGAGGCTAAGGCCCTGTTTCTGCAGGCCATGCTGGCCATGATCGGGAACGGGAGGTGCGGGCCCAATTGATCGAGAGTCAACCAGTTGTCTCGGTCGACAATGGGGTGCGTTGTGCTGGATTTGGATTGACGTCCCAGCTCCCAAGCTCAAGCCTGGATCATCTCACGTGACCCGTCACCTGCGAAAGCACTCCCGATGTACAGCACTCTCTATGTACAACACTCCGTACAGTGCAGACTTAGTTCTTACATCAGCTACGGTATTCCGTACATGCAGTAGGGAGTACGGATTACCTGCCTCACTTTCTAAAAAAAATCTCGGATAAGAATTTAAGGATAGCTATCCGTCCCCGTAAACGCAATTTTTTATCGCATGCGATAACTACAGCAACAAATAAGTCAGGCATCTGATCACTGGAGTCGTCGCCTTGTCTGTCCCCCCGTTAGCCCTTCCTTTGAGCCTTGCCCGCAGTGCGGTGACGCGACACGTGCCGCCTCGCGCTAGCCCATTTGGGTTAGGCAAATCTGCGAGCCTTTTGCTGGAAGGCTCTGCGTCGCCGCCTCTGCTACACACCTCCTGTCCTTTTTCCCACTCACCACTGCATCTCCTCCCGCTTATTAACACGACAAAGAAGCATCCTCAGAGGACACGCCTCTGGTTTTGTGCCTTCGCTAATCACGGGCCTTATCCGAGGGAGCCATTTGTTTTTTCTAATTAGACGGTCCACCCTGCCGCTTTTTGCGGCAGCCTAATACCTACCTAGACTCGGCACCCAGAGCACCGTACTGCACTCGCGCCCAGCATCCTTTTTTTTGCCCAACCATCAGCTCCGTTTCTCCGTCCTGTTTCGCGCAACCACATTAACCCGAATCGCTCTACACCCTCGGCTTTGCAGCCCGAGGACACCGCAAGCATGGCGCCACAGGATTCATTCATCGATGAGGAGGACGAGGTCTGGTATGGAACGCCCTGCCACGTCCTATCCATCCCCTGACCAGTGCTCCCCTCGTCAAGCTTTTGTCTGCTCAGTTGCCCCTCCCGCTGACCACAAACTCTGTATAGTCCCCTCTGTATCGAGGAATTCGACTTGTCCGACAGGAACTTCCGACCATGTCCCTGCGGTTACCAGGTAAGCCGCCCAGAACTCGCTTGCATGCTCGGGACCATGTGGCTGATAGCGCTCTCAGATTTGCCAGTTCTGCTTCAACAACATTAGGAACAACATGAATAGTTTGTGTCCTGCATGTCGAAGGCCGTACGACGAAAAGACAATTCAGTGGAAGGTTGTGACACAAGAAGAGTAAACTTAAACTGCCATCCCCCCGAACTCTATTGGACCCATACCCGGCTAACACATGCCAGGATTGCCGAGTTCAGAGCCAACATCCAGAAGAACCAAAAGAAGCGCGCAGCAGAACAGCGCCAGCGAGAAGTCCAAAAGCGCGAGGCCGAAAAGGAAAACCGCAAGAACCTCGTTGGAGTGCGAGTCGTCCAGAAGAACCTGGTTTATGTGACCGGGCTGACGCCGACGGTTCGCGAGGACGAGCTTCTCAGGACCCTTCGAAAGCCCGAGTTCTTCGGCCAGTACGGCAACATCCAGAAAATTTCGATTAGCAATCGGAAGGGCTCGGATGGCCTGAACCAGTCCCTCGGCATATACGTCACGTTTGAGAAGAAGGAAGATGCATCCCGATGTATCCAAGCCGTCAACGGTTCACAGAACGGCGACAGAGTACTGAGAGCCCAGCTGGGGACTACTAAATATTGCTCGGCCTGGCTTCGCCATGAGCAGTGTACCAACCGACAATGCATGTTCTTGCACGAGCTGGGAGACGAGGAGGATAGTTACACGCGACAAGATTTGTCCTCGATGAATAGCATCAGCACTCAGCGCCCTCTCCCGGCGCGGTCTGCTTCGAGACAACAGACCCATCCATCCCCCGCACCGCATGCAGCACAGCCCATGGCTCGCACCTCGAGCAAAGATGGTTCGGACAATGGCGATGGATCGGCTCTACCGTCTTCTGCTAATTGGGCTCGCAACCCTCAGGTCCGTAGCCGGAGAGGCAGCCACGCAACCAGCGGTGCAGCCCCGAGTCCCGCGATATCGAACTCATTGCCTGTGACTGCGGAGTCGGCCCAGGAAGCTATTGAAGAAGCGCCTTACGAAGAACACCAGACTCCTGCTGGACCTTCCACCGAAGTTGTTGCGGTTGCACCTGCCTCTAGGTCCCCCAAAACCAAAATCCAGAAAGCGAAGCGTATCCCACAAGACGCGCTGGCTTCATTGCTTAAGTCACTTAACAGCTGTACACTCAATTGGCCCACTGCAGACTCCGACGCCTCATTCCCGCCTCTTTTCGATGTAAGGGGTGGGGCGAAACGCAGAGCCATGCGCAACAACGAGGAGCTCAGCGTCACGGACGACCAGGAGCAATCCGTTGAAGCAAGAGACCCTTCCGAGGGAGAACCCGAAAGCAGCGGTAGTCTCGCTCTTGGCGGCGAACCCGAGGACCGCGAGCACGTCCGCGAGACGCATGGCTTTGACTTGCGCAGGACCGCTCAACCTCCTATCCAGCGCTCACCTGCCGATGGACTATTCGGGCCGCCCCTTGGTTCTGCCATTGGGTCTTCTTTTAGCCAGTCAACGACCAATTTGGGCTCGATTGGGAGTCGGGCCATGACGCCTCAGCAAACCGCGCAGCCCGCATTCATTCGTCCCCAAAGCACCTTTGTCGATCACCTTTCCCCAAGCGCCTCTTCGCAGGCGAGTCTCTTCCAGGGCCAGGGCCACAACCGACAAGGTTCCCGTTTCAGCTTTGCAAACGACGGCAGGGACGCGACGTCGTCGACCTCGGTTAAGCTTGCAGCAAATCCCCGGATTATGGCACAGCAGTCCTCAATGATGCCATCGTCCTTCCACAACCAACCCGGCAACCAGTATTACGCATCATCCATGTCGGGACCGCCCCCCGGGCTCAAGTCGACAGGCACCCCCCCTAGCATGTTCGGACAACATGGTTTTAACTCGACCTTTGGGGGCGTGTCCAAGGATTCCAACGAGATTCTTCATCTCCTAAACCGGGGGCGGAGTGCAGGCAACCAGGTCCACGATGCGGGCAAGCGTGAGTACATGTTTCCTTCGTTTTCTCAACAGTACCCACCCTCTACCTCCTCCACCCCTGCTCCTGCCTCAAGCCACTCGGCATCGCTCTACGGGCCACAGCCTGGAGCCTTGCAAGACTTTGGTTCAAAGCAGAAGAAGAAGGGAAAGAAGCACAGACACGCTAACACTTCCTCCGCCGGGGGGAGTGTCCTAGTTGATCTTGCGGACCCGAGCATCTTGCAGGTGAGACTGCAGTCTCAGCAGCAACAACATCTGCAGGCACAGGCTCAGGCTCAGAGCGGTGCCGGACTCGGACAGGTTCTGTTCAGTGGCCAGCCGCAAGGTGGGTACAACAATCCTGGCATGATGTACAACAACAATGTCGGACCCTACCAACGAGGATGGGGAATGCCTTAAACACACACCCAACACACAATACTCTTCATCACATGGATTTCCCATTTCCCCCTTATTGTCTGTTTTATTGGTTTTTCTCTTTCCTTTTCTTGGGGCGCGTTTGTCGCTTTATTGTCACAGTATATACCACGTCAGCTCTGTGACACGAGCGGGATCGGAAGTTCATGAGGCAATATGGGCTTTGCGCATTGATCTATGGGCATCACAAGAGTCGCTTCCAATGGGGGAGCCGCCTTGCCTTGGCGTCGTTTGCTTTTTGAAAAGAACGCGAGAGAGGCGTGGGCCAGAAACGCTCTCGGGGCCAGCCGTTCTTGCGACCTCGCTTCTATTTACCTTGCACATCTTGGGGACCTTGCATCATTGGGGTATCGGTCACGTCAGGCAAGCTCTCATCGTCTTCCTTTCAGGTTTCTCTTCATGTACGTTAACGTCGGCCCCAATTTCTTTACCGTCTGGGTTGGGGGCTTCCGTGTCTCAAATATAGCATTTTACGCTGTCTAAGACGGTTTATTTCCCATCTTGCGGAAGACGATGATGGTAGACTCTAACGTGACCCGAACCTTCTTGTATATAATGGCGTTGATTGTTTCTCGACTGGCTTCTCTTCCTACCAAGTGGTCTCTATCCTGACCTGGCGTTCGAAGGCACACCCCCTTACCTCGTTTCCCATCACCTCATGACACGCCCTTTTACTTTCGATGCTTGGGGGACTAACGGATAATGTAGATGACGACCTGCTTTCGTTTGAGGCGGTAACAACCAGTGTCGACGCTCTCGTCTCGGACGAGCCCATCGATGCCAGCATACGCCAACCACCTGGCGCCTTTGACTCGTCTCGCTCTGCCACTCCGTCGGTTCCTCCTGGGCTAGGTCTACCCCACGAAAATCTTCCGTTGACGGCTCCTCAATCTTCGCTAATCGGAGCCGCGTCTGTTGGTCCTCAGACATCTCCTGTGGCGCTTCCTATCCTGCCAATGAAAGCATCCGCGGCTATTTCCAGTCCTTTGGCTGGAAAGAGAGCTATCGTGCCGCTAACACCTGACGCAAAGAAAAACATTAAAGCCCTCGCGGTCGAAAGTGGGCTATCTAAAGATATTGCAAAGGCCAAATCGCAAGCTGTATTACAAGAGAAAGACTTTCCTGCCCTCAACACGCCGAAGCTCACTCAATCTGCTACCATACCCGTTCTCCCGAAAGCAATATCGTCCAAGCCAAACGCAGTGGGAAGTAAGAAGCCTTCCGAGAAGGTTCCTGATAAGGGGCCCGAGAAAGAAAAGCCAGTTGCGGTACCTACGAAAAACATAACTAGCCCAAAGGCAGAGCAGCGCACTACAGACAAAAAGCCAGTCCCAGGCATTTTGAACATCGCGGCAGCTACCAAAGCAGCTCAGGCGAGAAGTATAGAAGCATCAGCGACAACGGAGAAATCTGGCTTCGACAGGGATTCAGCCTTTCCCGCTCTTCCCACGCCCTCCACCGCATCCGTTTCGTCGCCTCTTGCTCGCATGGCGCCCAAGACCTTGAGGCTAGTGTCCACACCTAAAACGGAGGTGCCACCGACACCATCAGCCGGCGGTGCCCCGCTCTCGGCTGCTCCCTCTGTGCGATCTGCCGCCACTACGGCCATGCGACCTGAGACTCCTGTTAGCGAATTGATCTCAGATAGTGCCTCCATTTTCTCGGCATCCATGTCGGTGTCACGGACAAACTCGCCCCCTCCGACCAAGGCTGGGTCTGCTCCGGTGCGAACCACAACCAAGAGCCAACAGCGCAAGCAGCGCAAAGAGGCTTCCAAGAAAGACACATCGACAGTCGTAACCCAGCCCGCCAAGCTGGAGCCCGAGGTGGAGATTGCGCCCATCATCGGCCGGAAAAAGAAGCAGAAGAAGGAGAAGGAGAAGCCCAGCAGCCTGAACGCCACGCCAACGGTAAGTCGCCCAGAGACGCCCCTACAGCAGCCTCCGCCAGCGGCACCTGTCAAGGAGGCGAAGGAAATTAAAGAAGAGTCTTCTACGTATCGATCCACGGCAAACGAGACCACCATGTTAACCGAAGAGAGCCTCCCCAAGAAGGCTAGCGACTTTAAGGCTAAGAATGCCGAGGGATCAAAGCTAGATAGGTCTTCCAACCCATCCTCGTCTGGTTCGGCGTCACTGTCGCCTCCTACGCCCGCCGCGGTACTTGAAGATCTCCAAAAGGCCGGTCTTGCCCCTGCCAATGTCGACGATCTACCTTTCTTCAAACTTCCTACCGGCCAAGGCGACAAGTCAAGGAGCGATGTCGGCAGTGCTAGGGCGAGAGACATCTTGGCAGGCAATAGCATAACTCCGACCAAGTCAATGGTCACAGACGAGGACCAAACTAGTCTTCTTGCTGGCAAGCCGGTCCGGAAGCTTGTGGATGGCGCTCGAGTGTTGCTCACGCCAAATGGCGACTGCGTTCGGAATCTCACCGTTGAGGAAGAAGACCGCTTTCTGGAGCTTCAGAAGCGCATCGCCGAAGCAGCAGCCAGTCCGGCCGTGTTTGTATCATCCCGGCAAGAGGCCGGCGGCGGGTTCAGTTTGCTCAAGGGCCGTGCTGTGCCTAACGGGCCGCCCAGCTACTTTCCATCGGCTTCAGGCGCATACCGTTCGGACCCGATGAACAAGATACAGCGGGAAGAAGCGATATACTACATTAACCAATATGTGTTGCCGCGGCTGAATCTTAATGCTAGAGACATGAGCTTTCCCAAGGCAATGTCTTCGTGGAATCCGGACGCTCGAAGCACCGCTGCCTCGGCCGCCGCAGCGAACCTCGGCTCGCTCGCGCCCTGGATGTACGGCAGTGGGTCTCCGGCCCACGACGGCGACGCAGCAGCGCCTGAGCTCAGCTACCCCGGTCCCGTCGGCGCTTTTTCCGACGGACACCAGCATCATCATCATCCGGGCCTCGCCCCGTACCTCGAGATCTCGACGGGCAACATTCTCAACTCGCCACCACCGCCGTCGACGGCCGACGAGCTCCTGGCCTCTGCCGCTTCTGTCAGCGCCAAGCCCGGTCCTAACCCGGGCGCGACGGGGCCTTTTGGCAACGTGCCGCTCATGAGCCTCGAGGATGCAGAGCAAGCGCTCACGTTGGCGCGCAGGGAGACGGAAAAGCTGGACAAGCAGCTCGCGCAATTTGTTAAGAAGAACCGGCGCCTGCTCACCATGCACGGCGGGCATTGACTATCTACCGCCGCCTTCGTTGCCAGGGGCGGCCACGAGACGGACGTCCGCACTACCGCGCTCTTCATGGCCGACGGGAAATATCGATCAGTGCTCCTGCGCGCCCTGCGCCGCGTGAGCTGGCTTGGCGTCCGCGCCGCCTTTGCCGCCGCCTGGCTTGCTCTCCTTGTCGTTGAGTCTCTCCTGCTCCTCTTGTGGTCGTTCCTCACCCTCGTCTCGCACGGCGCCATGTACGTCGTTGAGGCTATGTGCGCGCTCCTCGACTGGGTCGGGGCCGAATATTGAGGTCTGCGTGCTTGCACTGAATGGGCCAAGAGGAGAGCATGGTTTGAGGTTTTTTTTAACGCTGGTGTTTGCTTTTGTCATTTTCGGATTTTCATCTTTTTTTCTTGTATAGACCCATATGACGCGAAATAAGTCTATTAATATTCTTTTGAGACATCTTTTTGCTTCAGTTTCCTTATCACGGGCGGGGCGTCTTCTCTTTTATTTTTTTTATTTTATTTTTTTACGGCTCCGTCGGCGCTTCAGCACACGGACTGTCTGACCAAAAGACCCCTCCGCCAAGCGCTTGGGTTTTGCTAATAATCAGCTCGTATCGCACCATTCCAACAAATACGAGAAAGACGGGGTGGTGGATGGAATGTTATATCATTAGTAGTAGTGGAAGTGTATCGTTTATTGTATTGGCACGGGCATGGACAAGGAACAGCGAATTGGGTTGGCAGGGCTAGGAAAGGGCAGCATGATCTTTATTCAGAGACGCGGAATATGCATACGATGTGTGTGCGATGCATTCGTTTTTCATCAGCAACGGCAGCGATAGCAAAGCGTATGGCTTGCAGACTAGCACTACTCCGAGAAGCAAATGCATATTCTTACCCACTAACTCTTTGCTGGTTCGTCATGTGGGAATATTCTGGTGCTGGCTGCTTCCATGCTTGGGTCGAAGCGTCCTCTTATGAAAGGGTTCCTAATAGGTTGATGGTGGCAGCTACCTGGAAGATTGCTAAGTTGTTCATAGATACAGTACACAGAGTGTGCATCTCTAAATTTTTCCCCTTTGTGACGCCATCTACTCTAGATGCATTGCTGTGCACACTAAAAAGTAACGACAGTTCATTCATGGGCTTCCAGGTCTTGGTCAGTCAAAAGGTTGGGCAGGCAGCGACTTGGTAATGGCTGGCCCGTGCCGCTAGTAACTGCTCCCACAAGCCCTTGGACGGATAGGATGTAGGGTATCGGATATAAGCGCGGCTACCCCACACAGTAGTCATTAATCGCATCTCGTATAAGTCACTTTGGTAGAGTGGCCTAATACGTTGCCCTGCTAATACTAGCATGTTAGGCAATCCCTTCGGGGGCGCAGGTTCGAATCCTGCAGGTGACGATGTGTCTAATTTTTTAAATTTTTTTTATTTTTCATTAATATTACGTCAATGTTACAAGAGACGCGCTTCTGCTTTTCTTATCCGAATCTAATTTTATCGTATTATTCCTAATGGGGTGTTTGGAGATTCGGTCGGCTCTAGGATCATGACGTTTAATTCTTGCGATGACGTTCCCTCTCGCGGTTTTCCTCATCTTTACTCGGTACGAAGTATTTAATGAGGACTAATTTCTCTTCACAAACCACGGGCCACGACCCGTAACAGGTTGCACATTAAATTTTGCATTTTGCCCATCTCATCTAGACCCATCCCATCATGTACCTTCTTCCTTCGTCAACGTGCACGTCTAGGTCTAGATGCTTCCTCATCCACCTTTCACCGCACGGTGTGGCCTTGTATCGCTCCTCTCTCTACGTCTTTCGCCCCAGTCCGCTCCACATCCACGACACATTATATATACCGTCCAAGAAAAATGTTTTGAAATATTTAACAAAATAAATGGTATGACATGATATGCATGAACCAAAGGAAGAGTAAGACCGATCCAACAAAAAAACAAATTAGAAAAGAAATCCAAAAAAACAAGGAAAGTGCATGCATGCAGTCGACCGACTACCTGCGCCCAAACTTCCACCACGCCTTCTTCTGCTGCTGCTGCAACAGCTGCTGCTCGTAGCCCTCCTCGCGGACGTTGTGCCGGCCGACGACGGTCAAGAAGACCTGGTCGAGTGTCGTGGGGCTGACGCTGTAGTGCTCGATGCCGAGGGCGTCTCTGTTCTCCTCGAGAAGCACGACGAGCTTGCCGATGGCGCTGCCGTCGCTGCTGCCAGCAGCGGCAGTGGCAGTAGCGACGCTGGGCGAGATGCTGTAGTCGTCATTCTGGTTGTCGTTGCCATTTTCGCTTGATGGTGATTTTGCGGTGGCTGCGGTGGCTGCGGCGGCGGCGGTGGCAATGGGGACGCTGAACCGCATCTGCCCGTGGTACGTGTTATCGTCGACGACGGCACCGAGGAACGTAGCGAGGACCCAGTCACGGACGCGCTGGACGTGCTCGGGCGTGGTTCGGGGGGCGCCGCGGCAGACTAGATGGACGTGGAGGGCCTCGCCAAAGCGGGATCGGAGGCGCTCTATCGACCCCATGGCGAGCATGCGCTTGGCGAGGATTCCAGCACGGCCGGCAAGGGCATCGGCTTCTTCCATGCTGTGCGTGGTTAGTAGGATGCTGCGGCCGGGGACGGTCGCGGCGAGGGTGCGCCACATGACGCGCTTGGCGGCGGCGTCGAGACCGCTGCTGGGCTCGTCGAGGAGCAGCACCGTCGGATTGCCCATGAGGGCGATGCCGAGCGAGAGCTTGCGCTTGTTGCCGCCGCTGAGGTCGTGAGCCTGCCGGTCGCGGAAGGCGCTAAGGCCGACGCCGGCGAGCACGGCGGCCACATTGTGCTCAATGTCCGAAATGCCACGCACGCGCGCGTAGAAGCGCAAGTGCTCTGTCACGGTCATGGAATCAATGGCGTCGAACTGGGGGCAGACGCCGAGGTGAGAACGAGCCTGCGCCAGGTGGCGCGTTACGCTGACGTCCTCGACGAACACGTCGCCGCCGCGGGAGACGCCTCCTGTCGGCTTGATGTCGCCGCGCACGACGCTAATGGTGGTCGACTTGCCGGCACCATTGGGCCCCAGAAGCGCGAATACCTCGCCGTGCTGGATGCCAAACGTGACATTGTCGACAGCCGTGTTGGACCCGAAGCTCTTGGTCAGGCTGACGACGCGCAGGCCGTCGGCGCTGCGCCCGTCGGCCCCGCTGGTGTTGGTCTTCACCCGCGCCATCTCGGTGGCTACCTCCTCGTCCTCCGACACGCCGTCGTCGGCAACCCGATTGGGCGGCTTGGACCGTGAGAAGAAGCCCTTGATGGATTCGCCAACGTTGCCGCCGTCGAACCAGATGAGCAGCGCGAACAAAAAGATGGACTGAAGAATCAAGTACAAGACCGGCCCGCCGTACTGCAGGATGCCACCCGGGTTGGGGGCCAGCTGCTCGCCTTCACAAGCGGTCGAAAACAGATTCAAAGCCAGGAACATGGTGCGGGCGGCGGATCCGATGGGCGCAAAGGCTGCTATGACAAAGTGGACTATGAGCAGGTAGCTGTCGATCTTGGAGATTGGCGCGTACGTCATGGTGCTCAGGTAAGCTATGAGATAGACGAGGAAGAGAACGACCTGGCCGCCCGCTGTGAAAGCGTAGGACGAGAGCTGGTTGTTGCTGAACAGCGAGACGTTATAGGACAGCAGTGTCGAGGCTAGGCCGTACAGCACCAGCACGAGGAAAACATAGCCAACATTGTACCACACATTGGGTGCCAAGCCGACGAACAGCGCAATGACGAGAATGCTCGCGGTCACGGCGATGGCAAAGTCAAAGGCCAGATAGGCGAGCCAGAGCGGCAGTGGTCGTACGCCGTTGGAATACTGGAGGCCACGCACTTGTCGTCGGCGCTCTAGGTTGGGATACAGCGAGAAAAAGGCCGGGTAGGCACACAGGGCCAGCACGACATAGACGAGCATCTGAAGCGCCTTACCCGTGTCGGGCGAGAAAGGCGAGTCAAAACTCACGTACGAGGATGCGAAGCTCGTGTTGGTCAACAGCATGTTCATAGCGTACTGGCCGAACCAGGCGCTGAACATTTCGGCGCCGTTTGCCTTGAAGGCTAGCGTTGGCCGCGAGTTGGCGTCACCAAGCCAGATGCCAGCTGGTACAATGTTCTTACGTTGCTGGGCGACATAGTTGTTGAATTCGGTCAGCGAGTCCACTATCGTCACGTTCTGCAAGAAGTCGATGGGGCTGGCGGCCCGGGTGTTAACTGTGGAAGTGACTGCGCCGCTGCCTGACCCGCCTCCTGAGTGGGCATATATGGGCAGGAAGAGCTGGATCAGTGTCTCTTGGGTGAACTTGTCCCTTGGCCCACCGACGAGAGAAAGCTGTAGCCCACCAATGCTGAAGTCGGGGGCAAAGATGTTCGTCGGGATATTCCGGGTGACCTGCGCAGCCGGGTCGCATCCCACCGCCCCCTGTCCCTTGACGTATAGCGTGACCAAGCCGGCCGCGATGACGGGGATGGCGAAAGCGGCCACAGGCGGGAAAAAGTTGTGCTTGAAGATGGTGCAGCGCTTCAGAAACAAAACCCACGTCTGGCGCAGGTACCCAATCCGGCGTCCCGACAAGAGCTCGAATCCTGCATTTCCGGCCCCTCCCTCATCGCTGCTCGTCTCCTTTTTATATGGTGCTTGTTTTTCGTCGAGTCCGGAGCCAAATCCGCCCTCAGCCTGGATCTCGTCGGCGAGCTGCAAGAAAACGTCTTCGATGGTCGGCCCAGAAAAGCGGTAGTCAGTGATGCCAGCAGTCTCGAGATCCTTGATGACCTTTGCGGCGAGACTGGACGACGACGCGACGTAGACAGCCTCCTCGAACGTGACGCGTTTCGTAACGCCTTCGACATCGGGAAGGCTCTTGAAGTCCTCGACATTGTTGACGTGGATCCGGTAGCCTCCGCCGAGCGTGTTTTTGAGCTCGACCGATGTGCCCTCGGCGCGAAGGTTGCCTTTGGACATGATGGCGATGTGGTCTGCAAGCAGGTCGGCCTCGTCGAGGAAATGCGTCGTCATGATGATGGTGCGCCGGCCGCGCTCAGCCAGAAGAATGTCCCAGATCTTTCTGCGGCTCAGGGGGTCCAGACCGCTCGATACCTCGTCGACGCAGCAGACGGCGCTACCACCCGTCAGCATCATTCCCAGCTGCAGCTTCCGCTTCTGGCCGCCCGAGAGTGTCTTGGACTGTGCCTTGATCTTCTGCTCGAGGTCAATTGACACGATCAGCTCGCGGATCTGCTGCTTGGTGGCCCGGTTGCGCGGCGTCTTCAGTCTGTTGAAGACGAGAACATGCTCTTCGACGGTTAGCTCGTCCCAGAAGACGTTCTTTTGCGGGGCGATGCCCAGACCGCCGGTGCCGTCGATGGTGATTTTGCCACTCGTGAGCTTGTTGATGCCGGCGATGGAGTCGAGCGTGGTGCTCTTGCCACTCCCGTTGGCACCGAGCAGGGCCAGGATCTGACCGCGGCCGGCCCTCAAAGTGAGCTTGTTTACGGCGACCACGGGCTCCTTTGGCTTTGCGACGAAGGAAAACAAGCGACGGAAGATGCTAGGCTTGTAGATCTTGGTAAAGTCATCGAGCTGGACGGCAGTTTCGGGCTCGAGGCCGCCACGGTTGTCGCCGACGACAATATTGCGGGTCGACGACGTGGTGCCGTGGAAGTACCTCTCAAGCAAGGCGCCAAGTATGGGGTAAACGATGATCTGGATGATCAGAAACACCCAGAGAGCAATGCCAGAGAGGTTCCATGGGCTATCGGGGGGGGTCTTGGTCAGGTTGGTGGGCAACTGCTTTTGCTCCCAGCGGGCCAGCAGCGAGATGAAGAAGGTGTAGTTGCAAGGGGCGAACAGCAGGCTGAGGATGGCGACGGCACCGGTCTTGGGGGCGGTGAGGCTCTGGGCCAGAATGGCCAGGATCAGATAGATGATGGTGATAGACACGCCGCTCAGCTGCGACTTCTTGAAAAAGGAAGCGCCGAAGATGGACATGGAGGCGAGAGCAAGGCCGGCCAGAATGTGGTAGAGCAGCACGACAAGAAAGCTGGTGTGGGCAAAGACGCCGCGCCACAATATCAGCGAGCCGATGAGCCAGCCGGGCAGATAGAGCACGGAGAAGGCGACGTGGTAGGACCAGAGACGCGAGGCCTGGGCCTGCCAGCGGTGCTTGACGACCATCATGGCGTCGAGCAGGGTGGACATGCCCGACTCGCGCTCGGTGGCGATGAAGCCCGTCATATGGTAGACGATGCCAATCATGCCGGCAATGAAGGTGACGCCGAGGAAGTTCATGATGGCGGACTGGTAGAGGACGCGGACCCTGTCGTCGCGCTCTTCTTGGGTGAGCGAGGTGAAGGGGTACTCGTCGGTCTGGCCGAGGGGGGTGGAGGAGTTGGCCGAGATGGCGGCGTCGACGGCCTTCTGGAGGGGGAGCATGTAGAGCTCCGAGTCGTTGTCGTCGCGGTTGATGTTGACCCTACCAGCACCTAGGGCACCATCGGCGCGCAGGGTGTAGTTCCACATGGCGCCGGCGCCCTCGGTGGGAGACGAGGCGAAGACGACGGCGCCAAAGCACGGAGTGACGCCACGGAGGGTTGCGCGACAGATGGCGGGCAGCTGGTTCTCGGAGCGGAGCACGACGGGCCTCCAGCCGGCATCGGTGACGGCCTTGGACAGGCCGGTGATGACGCGGCCGATGTCGCCGCCGGTGAAGCCATTATCGACAAAGACGACCGTGTCGCGGCCAGTGCCTCCGGCGGCGTTCAGGGCGCTGGCCAGGGACCGCACGGCATGGGGACTCGCGATGCCGTAGATGGCGGGCGGCACGAACAGGTTGCGGGCAAAGCTGAGGAAGGAGGTGAGCAAGATGGGCAGCAGAAAGGCGCGCACCACGGTGGCGAAGCTGTGACGCCCCAGCACAATCAACACGTTCTTGCGCGTGAGCGTCCACGTCTGCACGAAGACGTCCATGGCGACGACGCCGGTAGATAGCCGAAGTTGCTATTGAAGCTCAAGTTGAAGTCCAAGTTGCGCCGAGGTCGAGGTGTAGGTAAGGTAGTCGCCAAAGACAGACACCTAGGTAGACCTGGCTGGGTATTGCTGCTACCTATATCCGTATCGTGCTCCGAATCCGTATATCACCTCATCTCAGGATAGTCTCAAGAGTCAAAGCCGCCAGGGCGGCTGGGTTGTGATTCAGGGCTGGACTAGACTGGACTGGGCAGTGAGACGGAGTAATTAATACGGGGCTGATGAAAGAACAAAAGAATAAAAAGTGACAGTCATGTCATGGTGGCCAGACAAATCTCGCAAGGCAATGAATGGAAGCAGACGGCTGCCACAGCGTCAATCGAAACCATTCTTCACTCTTATTGCGATTGAGACTTGGCGCAGCCTGGGCGTTGCGCATCTGGTGCTGGTGGGTGTGGGCTGGGCGCATCCAAGTCTTCAAACACCCCCTGTACTGTCGGTCCTGCCTGCCAGTGCCTGCCTTTGCCCGAGCGGCCTGGGCCCCAGACCCCTGCCCATTGGATTGATTCGCCTTGACTGGGGGCGGGATCCTGCCCTGGCCAGTGAGGTGGTTCTCCCCCCGCCAGGAAAGTCAAGTCTGCCTCTCCAAGTCTTTTTCTTCTTCTAAAAACACTCAATTCCTCCGAGTCCTTTTATTTAACTCTCCTTCCTTCGGGCCTCGTGTTGAGACACTGCAGCAGGAGTTCTAAATACCGGCCGAGATACAATTCAACTTTTGGCTATATCCCACCGAGTATGTGCAATACGAGGCGTTTCGTCATCTAAGCGAAGCTCGCTTTGAGACTGAACAGTGCCTCGTATCCCTCGGATTGCTCTTTGGGAAAGAACAGCTGCGAACACGTATGCGATGGCTAAGTGGCCAAGACCACCAAATAAAAGAATCTAGATGAGAATGAGCTCAGGCTCAGCGAAGGCAAGCCTCGATCCAGAGCCTGCGTCAAAACCGCCCAAATCACGATTTCCTAGTCCGATCTGACCATGTAGGTAGTTTAGTGTCTTGAGAGCCGTCGGCGTTTGCAACCCCCGACTCCCGTCGGCCGTCACAACGGGTGACGGGTGACGGGTGACGGGAGCGCCAGCGACGACCCACATATTCAGCCGTCGCCGTCCGTCCCCAAAAAGAGGGTCTACACTCTAACAGTACACAGCAACCGGTCCACGGGCTGCTCGCCGTGTCCGAGCCCACTGACAGGTAAAGAGGGGAAGGTATCCGTAGACGGAACAGTACCCGTATATCCACGGAGTTACCTCAGGTCGTTACTGGTGGTGACGCGTACCCACCGTCCAAAGCAGCTGCACTTTGCCGTCTCCGCGCTTTTAACGGGACTTAATAGCTGCTTGCTTGCTTTGCCTGCCCCGCAGGGCCATGGGCATCCTCATTTTTTCCCCAGATCCTCGCTCTCTTCTCCAACGAGAGGCCGGCACGCAGCAAAACTTTGTTGGTTCCATTCTCCAACGCTTATTTCCACGAACATCATGATAGGTATCAAACCTACCACCAACGCTCGATAGATAAATGCCTGTCTCTACGGATTATGTACCACGACAGCAACTATAATCACCAACTCCGTCACCGAGAGTCCGCCGATACCTCTAATAGCTGGCCTAGGTATGCACAGTACCAATACTGTATTCCGAAAATCAACGACACCAAAAAAGGTGAGGAAGTGGGAGACAAACAACGACCCTTGCCTGACGTGGTAGCACAAAGGCTTACGTGTACCTCGTCCAGATAAGGTAGGCGGGTATAAAACCAAGGCGTTTTTGCACACACAATCCAATCTCCCACGAGGCAGTGCAACTGCAGTGGAACGGTGCGTGTAGATTCGATTCGCGTGGCCTGTTCGAAAAGTAGCGAATGGGGGCCGTGGGAATACGGCTACCGATACGCCCTGTACTTGTTCCACCTCAAAGACTCCAGGACTAAAAAAGGAATCTAAGAAGACAAAAAAATGGTATATGGCATCGTTAGAACGAACACATGCTAGTTGTGAATCGCTCTAAGCTTGTGACTCTGCATGCAAATTGAAACTAGGGTCAAACGTCTTTGAACTCTGTACGAAGGTACTTTTTGTAAAACATCTATAACTCGCCAAGGCATACGAGACCGGGTCAATATGCCCGCCAAGAGTAGGCAGGATGGCCAAGATAACCGCAATCATATCACCATTTGTGGTCCAGGACTTAATCTTCAGTTCCACAATAGCAGTACCAAGCGGTGGAAATATAGGGTCAATACCATGCTACATGTTCCTACAGAAGCCTTAGGCCTTCCAACTTTTTGCTTCCTTCGTCTATTTATGGGCTGTAGATAGAGTTAGCAGGAAGCATCAACACCTGAGGCAGGTTCAGGTCACTCACGGATGCCCTCCACAGGCAGCGGCTGCACATCGACAACCTCGGCCGCAAACTTCTCCCTGCCACCCTGCTTCTCCTCGCGGAGGAATGGGAACGCCAGCACCTCCCTGATCGAGTAGTTGTTGGTGATGAACATGGCAAGACGGTCAATACCAAGACCCCAGCCACCAGTTGGCGGCACTAGACATTTGGTCAGCATTATAACTCAATGGGACAGCATTCCGTGTAATGGTGGAAGATACATACGGCCGTACTCGAGGGCATTCAAGAAGCTCTCGTCAACCATTTGCCTGCAAGACATAGTCAGCACACGGCATGTTTAACCAGGGCGTGGATGGCACTGAAGGCCCCAAAATATAGGATACGCACGCCTCGTCGTCTCCCGCATCCTTCTGGCGGGCTTGCTCCTCGAATCTAAGTCGTTGGTCGAACGGATTGTTCAACTCAGTGTACGCGTTCGCAATTTCCTACGCAAAGGTTAGAGTTTCTACATCACACAAGCTCAACAGGTGATTAACAAACCTTCTTGCACACAAATGCCCTATGAAAATTGTCAGCGTACGTCGATATCAAAATAGCCCACACTGTTTGGTTGGAATACTCACTCGAATCTCTCGCAAAGGCCCTTCTTGGTCCTGTGATACTTGGCCAGAGGACTCATCATTTGCGGGTGCTCAAGAATGAACGTAGGGTTGACGCAGGTGTTCTCGATGAACTCTCCAGTAAGCTTGTCAATCATCCGCGCGTTAGTGAGTGGCGGAGCGCAGTCGACCTTCATCTTCTTGCAAATGTTCTGCAGGAACTTGTTGGTCTCGTCGGTGTGGAGTTCGTCATAGGGCGGGAATTTCTCCCCTGTAGCTCTCTCCAGTTCGGGGCTGGTTGTGGCGGCTGTCAGAAAAGGTCAATGTTTTGCTGTGGGGTGTCACGTACATCATCTCAACTCTCCGCCACGGGGCCTCCCAGTTAACATCGTAGACCTCTCCGTGCTGAGTTGTAAACTTGGTCTTGTAAGAGCCCGTGAGTTCTTTGACAAGAGATGACACCAACTCTTCTGTCAAGGCCTGAGGTTTGTTGTTAGCATGCTTTCGGGCTAGAGAAACTCGATTGGCAGTTGCTGTGCCAGAGATCCCAAGGGAAACAAACTCACCATCACGTCGTACTAAAGTCCAAGTTAGCAACCGTACTATAGTCGGAAAGAGTGACAACAGAATACATACCACATCGGCATAAGCCCAGTAGAACTCTAGAGAATTCAGTGTTAGCAGTCACATGAGACACTTTCGGGGTGAATCCGCAAGAGTTGTTGCTCAAATTGTGGACCGCCAGGTACCCAAAAGGGGTTGGAGGCGCATTCAGAAACGTACCACACGACGTGAATTCGGGGTTCTGTCAGGGTGCGTTAGCAATCTTGCAAGCTCGAGTACACCTACTGCGGTGTAGCGTTGTGATTCCATATACTCACGTGAGTAAGATCGATTCCTTCGTTTCGGAAGTTCTTTCCAAGCTCAAAACTGTCTTCTGTCAGTCCCTACTCGTCGGGCTGGAGAAGGCAGACTCACACTTTTCCAAACTGTCCCACAATCATCTTCTTGAGGACTATTTGATCGATTGGTTAGTAAAAATGTATCGGAAATCGTTCGCCGGGCACTTACACAGCTCCGGCGCCACTCGCATGAACATGTCAACATCCAAGTCGTTGTGGTGCGTGATGAAAGGAAGCTATACAGTCCACTATTAGCACAGTTTACATCCCGCGTTGGCCCTATAAGCTTGACCGGAGTCTGGCCCAGGCCCCTTTTTGGGCAAGACTTACTGCGGTTGCTCCGCCTGCAATGGCATGCATCATCGGAGTTTCAACCTCGATGAAGCGGCGCTCGTGGAAGACTTAAAACCAGTCAGACCTAGAGCCACATAAACCACGTTCAAAATCCACGTACAGTCTCTGATGTAGCGGACCATTCTGCTGCGCTGCCAAAGCACGTTGCGGGTCTGGTCGTTCCAAAGCATGTCGAGGTATCTCATGCGGGCTCTGGTTGGCGTAAAGTCAGCGGGCTTTCAAACCTCGAGGCACACACAGGGGGGCAAAAACGGGCCAGGTAAACCACAAACCTCTGCTCGCCATCCGAGAACGGGAAACGGACGCTGGGCAGCATGTGCAGGCACGGGCTCAAGAGCGTAATCTCGGTCGCGAAGATGGACAGCTCGCCCTCCTTGCCCTCGGCCAGCTTGTTCTTGGGGTTTGTGCGGCCGGCATAGCCAGTGATTCCGATGACATCGCCACGGCGGATATTCTCGTGTTGCTTCTCGAACGAAACGGCGCCCCCCTTGACCAATTGGGCCTGGCAGACAATCTGGATCGCGGTGCCAATGCTCACGGTGTCGGCCGAGGTGCGGAGGTCTTTGTGTCGGGGAGCCCGGTAGTTAGCACGCTGCTGTCCGAGGAGAATAGAGACTTGAGCTCATGGGGAGGCTGAAGAGGCGTTGCTTGCTCACCATAGAAGATCAGCTTGGATCCGCTCGCGCGCTTGTTGTAGATGCGGCCAGCGATCTGGATCACCTTGTCCTCAGCCGACTCGCCCGACTTGAGGTGGCCGAACTCGCTGACGAACTTGGAGTCGTCGTACGTGACGTGGAACTTGTGGGGATAGGGGTTCGTCTCGGGGCTCTTGAGCACTATAGGGGCACAAATGGTCAGAAAATGCGTCCATTCTATTCACACACGACAAGGCTAGACTGAGACAAACCCTGAAGGGGCGGGGCATGGGAATAGGAATGGGAAGCATACGCTCATTGACGTGGCGGGTCCGGATCTCGTAGTACTGGTTCGGGTTCAGGTCCTTCTCCTCGTCGCCTGCGGCAGTCTTGGGCTTGCTGGAGGGCTTCTCGGGAGCCGCGGCGGCCTTGGCAGCCTTTCCGGCCTCCTTCTGGCGCTGCTTCTGGCGCTTCTTGAGCTCCGTCTTGGAGATGCGCTCGCCCGTGACCTCGTCGAGGTGGAGGTTGGCCACCTCGTCGGTTGGGGGCGCTGGAGCGCTCGAGTCGGCCATGATGATCGGATGACGCTGTGCTGTCAGGAGCGAGGATCCGGGCGGGAGACTGACTGACCGTTCGATCGCGAGTTTTGATTAGATTGACTTGCAGTTGTGTTTTTGTGTGTGGCACAAAGTCGCTCGCTGTTGGCACCCAATTGACCCAAATATCCACAGGCGGGGTAAAATTTTGACTCACAGCAATTAGAAAGGAGGGGTGAGTCAACGTCAGCGGGAGCAATTCGTTTCCCACTTGTGGCTGCCCGCCCTGGCTGCGGAACGCGGGGCACAGCGCCTTTCGGTAAGCCACTAATAACTGATCGCCAACACACCTATAACAGGGGCCGGCAATCATTCCCGTCCATTGAGCAGGGGTCTTCGAAACGATAACAACAAAATCACCAGAAGCATCGTCTTACTCATTTGTTAGACAGAAATTGATTTCCATACACTATCCTACAATACTCTTGACATGATTCGCTGTGTCCGCTGCTACTCGCGATTTGGATGTTCTTTTACTGTAATAGTCCATAACTTTCCAGCCAAACAATACCCAAATTCCCAAGCTCGCCTTTCATCGCTTCAACATCCCTGGTGACTCGGATTGTAATCCTTATTGGGATCGCCATGGCCATGGTCCTTGTCGCCTCGCTGAGAGAAACAACCAAATACCCCATTATATTTTTTTGTCTTTTTTTTCCTCGTTTTTTGTGAAAGCCGTGTTAACTCTTGTTCAGTTGCGACGGCAGAACTCGTTAGTCCCCTGACTGACACCTCGGGAGCTGGCAGGCACCCTACCCGTTTCTCTGCCTCGAGATCTAACCCGTGAGCCACCTCCAGATCTACCTCTGGAGCCGCTTAGATAGCCGGCCCGAACTCTAGAGTGGCGTATGAATTACCCGCTTGGTAAACTGGGGTATTTATTGGGGCATTCGCTACGCCATTCACTGGAACATCTTGTGGGACATCCGCTGGGGCATCCGCTGGGGCATCGTCCCAAAAAGGACCTTCCCCTGGGATATCCTCTGGGATATCCTCTGGGGCATCCTCTGGAACAGCCTCAGCAGCACGTAGCGGAAAGAAATAGCGAAATCCCTTTTTATACCACCTTAGCGCTGGACGGTCGTGTTGGTTCTCGTTCTCTGGAGCCGGTTGGCCGCCTAGCTGGCCTGCTGGAGCTGACTGGTCCCCTGACTGCACCTCAGAGGTTGTCTGGTCACCGGGCTGAGCCCCTGGAGCAGCTTGGTTCTCTGATTGAGCCTCGGGGGCTGGCTGATTATCTGTCTGTGCATCAAGAGCGGCCTGTGGAACAGCCTGCGGAATAACCTCATCATCTGCCGGAAAACAGCAACTGCATACCCGTTTATACCATTTTCTTCGCGCCGGAGGGCCCTGTTGATTCCCGTTCCCCTGCGGCGACGTAGCCGGTGGATCCCCTGGCGGGTCTCCTGGGGCCGACTGGTCTCCTGGCGGATCTCCGGGAGTCGACTGGTCTCCTGGCTGCACGACGGGGGCCGGTTGGCTCTCTAACTGCACGATGGGGGCTAGCTGGATATCTGGCTGGGTCTTGGGAGCAAGCTGATCTTTTGCCTGCGCCTTTGGAGCCGCCCCAGACGCTTCCGCAATATTTTCGGCAACCGGCTTAGGTGGTAGCGCAGGGGCCGGGTCGGGGGTGGTGTCGGGAGTCGGCGCAGGTACCTGATTTGACGGCCCAGCTTGATTCGACGATTCAGCGTGAGCCTTCTGATTCTCAGCATTATTGTCGACCCCCCATTGCGGTACCCACGGATAATTCTTGTCCTCTGGGACACCCTTTGGCATCCAATCTGGACGCTCTATTTTCGCGTTATCCTCGGTTTCAGTGTCCGGTTTCTGAGGCTCAGGCTGACCTTCCGGCTGAATAATGCCCTCCGCTGACTCGGTCACGGCATTTTTATCCCCTCCTGGTCCAGTTACGGTGCTGCTGTTCCCCTCTGATCCGGCCACAGCTTTGTCATCTTTCCCCGTGTCGGTCACGGTGTCGTCAGCCTCTGGTCCGACTGCAGCGTTGCCATCTTGCTCTGGCTCAATCACGCCTTGGTTAGCTTCATCCAAGTCGACCCGGGAATCACCGTTTGGCTCTTCAGTCCCAAGGATGACCGGATAGTTGTTATCCCTCCAAACGGATGATAAGCTAGCCCCTGGATTCTCACCATTGGGCCAACAACCGTCTTTGGACCAATGCCGCAGTCCAAGGCGCGCAGCTAGCTGGGGTGTGATCTGATTTACCAACATCCGATACGGCTCCTTCATGATGTAACCGCTCCCAATTACTGCCCTCGAGAGGTGTAATGCAAACACCTTCAGCTCGTCGGTCAGGGGATGCGAAGTGTGTTCTCGCTCGTCCAAAGTCATCACCTTCCAGGCGGTATCCATCACGCTCTCGGCAATTCTGAAAAGCCGCTCTGGGGAGACGCCAAAGTCGGTGCTTTGCATGACCCAACTGACATGCAATAGCATCTGGTGCACGCAGTATGTCTTTCGGAGCGCTCGCGCAGGGCATCTGGTCGTGACCATAACGAAGCTGTAGTAGGTAAAAGAGTTGCCTCGGAATTCGAGTAGAATGATGGGCTCGTAAGAACCGTCATAGAAAAGGCTACCCTTGCTAGCCGTTGACGATGTGTCTGACTCGTCTTCGTCCTCGGAACCGCTGTCTCCCAGGCCAAAGTTTTTCTTGTAAGTGTCTTGCCGGCGCATGTCGTCCGGCGAGTACAAGCAAACCTCATAACGACAGCCACGGTCTAGGTCGATATAATCACCATCCTCGGCCAACAAGCCCGATCCGAGTGGCCTCGGGGGCGAGCGCGCAATGTAATCGTTATCGTCCTCCCAATCTTCATCGCCCTCCCAATCGTCACCTCCGTCGTTCCCCCAAAACCCGTCCCCACCCCCCGATGCCGGATGTGAAGAACTTCGAATCATTTGGTCTTGCTACAACGCTGGAATGATATCGTTGTCTGCCATCGTCAGCGGTTGTTGGGTCTCCGTATGACCTATCTCATACTCGGCATGCTCGACGTGTACGGCTCCTGTCATGTACTCATGGTGCTCGGCATGCTCGACGTGTGCGACTCCTGTCATGTGCTCATGGTGCTCGGCATGTTCAACGTGCGCGGCTTCTGTGATGTACTCATGGTGCTCGGCATGTTCACCGTGTGCGGCTTCTGTGATGTACTCATGATACTCGACATGTTCAACGTGTGCGGTTTCTGCGGCGTACTCATTTTGCTCGGCATGGTCTCGTCGGTCGACGCCTTCAGCTGGTGGGCCGGGGTGCTGCGACTCAAAGTGCTCTGTGAAACGCGACTGGGTGGCCGAACTAGGCTCAGAAAGGTTTTCATCCTCCTCCGAAAAATCAGGCGGAACACCTGACCCAGGCCGACGCTTGAGGCTTCGTTCTGGGATTGGTGGGACTGACTGAGCCGACGACGACGCGTATCCATGGAGTGGCGGAAGTGAGTCTATAAGCTGCTCCGGGGTAGCCCAAGACTCGTCCTCATCCTCGTCTAAATCAGACCACCTAGGCAGCGAGTGCATTTTGGTTAGCGGCCAATTTTTTGGATGGAAGTGTGAACGAATCTCGCGAGGCAAACAAAAGATGAAAGGAAAATTTACGAGAGCTCCTTCCTCTTCCTACTAGTCTTGTCGCTCGGCGGGGAGTCCGGCGGGGGGTTAGGCGGCTGGCCTGTCGGGGGGTCCGCCATTTGGTGTCGGTGTGGTTGGTGAAGTGTAGAAGTTTGATCTCTAGGTGAATGAAATGATCAAAAGAATGTGATTATTCGGAATAGCGAGAGTAAGAAAACGAAAGATAGAGGGAGGTTGTGCGGCCTGTGAGTCGGGGGTTTGTTGATTGAGAGAGGGAGGGCCTTGAAATCGAACCGTGAAGCGAGCTCATGAACTAGGCAGGCAGCGGGTTCTTTCTACTCCGGCAACCAAGTAAAGTCAGGTAGGTAAGGTAAATACGGACTGGCAGTACGGGTGTTTGCTACGCTCAGTTCCTCCTGCCGAAACCTTACCTGGATGTCCTAGTGGTAGGCACTAGGCAAATAAGGTAATAGCCACAGGCACAGGCTAGCTTTGCAGGACGAGAGGCCATTACCAAACTGCTACTCTAATGCTTTAAGGTTTCCTCGCTAATTCACGATACTGTTGAACACCCGCCACGTCCCAAACTTGTTTGAGCGTCCTAGAAGCTAGCTGCAAAGATGTTTGTATTTATTCAGTAACCTAGCTATTTATTACTCGATATTAACACATGTGTCTCAAATATGTGTATATAAGCATGGCCTTGTCCTCGGCCCGTCCTAGATCATCGCCATTTCCTCTGCTGACACGATACACTATGATACATGAAAGGCAAGTGGCAAGTTGAAATGCGGTGATATCCTGGCCTTGATTGACCCCAGAGACAACCGGCTTTTCAACAAATCTAGAGAATTATGATGCATGAACCCAAATCATGTATATACGGGACCCCAAAATAATCTCGACGCCGTGGTAGCTCATGATATGCACCAACCTTTATAAATTACTCTTTTTACACTTCTCGGTGTGTGTTGAAGCTCTTGCTGGACAGTGCGTATCCGGATGTGCAAGGGAGATGGTGGCAAGTGCCAATGGGGCGCGTAGAAGATGCTGTGACGGGATGGACTGCCTCAGTCCATATACATTGGCTCGCCACCGGCAACGCCTTGCATCATGCCAATGTCGGCCTGCCCCATTCTTCCGTGGCTGTGGCCATGGCCGTGGCTGTGGCCATGGCCGTGGCTGTGGCCCATTGTGTTGGGGTGGCCCATTTGATGCTGAACGTCGGCCTGCATCGACGTCATACCACTCATTGTTCGGTGCATGTTTGCGTTTGGACGGATTGTGTGGCCGGCGCCTCCGTGTGTGACGCTCCTGTTGTTTATTAGGCCGGCGTGGTTGCTATTTCTGGGAAATTGGGGGTGTGTCCCGCCCCGTGTACGGGCGACTTCGAGCTGGTTTGTCTGCTGAGCCGGTAACCTGTTAATCTGACGCGGCTGTTGATGTTGCTGGCGAGCATGTGAGGTTAATGCCTGATTACTTGCCACGGCATGGTTCATGGCAGCGTAGTCGTCCATCTCGGCATCAACATCTGCGTCAGCGTCCGCATCTTCGTCTCCTTCGGCGTCTTGGTCGCTCATATCCTCATCCTCATCCTCCTCCTCGTCCTCATTCTCGTCCTCTTCCTCGTCGTTGTCGTTGTCCTCCTTTATATCGGGGCTGGCCGAAGGTGCGGTGCTGGGAGCGTCCCCTACAGGTGCGACTTGTTGAGAGTTTCCAGAGGGTGGACTTGCCGTGATAAATGGTGTAGCCGAGCTGGCGAAGGCCGAGGCATTGTTGTTGGTTGTGGGTAGGTTCTGCGACTGGGGCGAGTTCTGAAGGGCTGGGACCTGCTGCTGTGCTCGAAATGCCGGTGCTTGTGCCTGGGGTGGGCTGGGATTCGCCGTGCCGCTGCTTGCCATCCCCGAGCCCAGGTTGCCCGTGCCCGGAGGGTTCAGCGGCCGTTGGCCCTGTAGACCATTGGTTGTAGACCGGGTCGACACGACAACGTTCTTCCACCGGTCGATGGCGTTGGAGATGATTGTGTTTAAGTCGGAATGGCGGTCGGTGAGGTTGAGGCCGACCCCGCCACGCTTGCGAATTACAAGCTGGTCCTGGAAGTAGTCTATCGCCTCTGGCTCTACGAAAACTGTCGTCGGCGGCGATATCTTAAATTCGCGTGGCTGCTGGAGTCGGTTTAGGTGCTCGATTTGTGACTTGATATGCGCGTTTTCCTGCTTGAGACTGTGCTGTACCTTGTTAAGCCTGTCGATTTCCTTCTGCTTCCGCCCAACACTCCGCGCTAGCTCCAAAGCCCATAGGTTCTCGCGCTGCGCTTGTGGAAGTCCATTCCAAACCCTGTACGTGATCTCCATGTGTTCAGACACTTTTGCTTCCAAGACTTCTGCCTTCTTTTCAGCATTGCGAATCTCATCCTTTGCGTTGGGCCTGAAGGCATCCACGGGTGGAGGGTATGGCAGGTCCTCGTTGGCAGCAGTGACGGCGCTTGCACAGGTGATTCTCCATTTCTGGAACTCGTCCTGGAAGTATTTCCGCAGTGCCTTGTATTGTTGCGACCCTGGCGGGAGAATTGACCACGACGTCGAGGTCGGTTGCTGGGTCGAAGAGAAAAGGGTCGGCGGCGGCTCCAAGCACTGTATTGTCAAGACCGGGAAATCAAGCGCCAGGGGATCAAAGTCGAAGGGTACCGAGTCCATGTCAATCTGCAGCCTACCAGAGAAGTCAGGAAACAGTAGAACTAGTGCGTAAGAATTGGTTGGGACCATGTCAGACACTTACTTGGCAGCCCTGAATGACCCGATCACCTCTCGCAGCGCCAGTTCGGCTGCCCTTGCGGTATCCAATGCATCTTGGAGCTGCTGCCTTGCGTCAAGCTGCTGCTTCATCGCCTGCCGGTTTATGGTTCGTTGTTGGGGGACAGTGGCCGGTTTTGGAGTGTCAGAAGCGCCTTCTCCGTCGCCGGTATTGGCGCCTTCTCCGTCCCGTGCTGCCGAAATGTCGTTGATTACCCCAGTGGCCTCCCAAGGCGTATTGAACGGGAACTGCCTTCCAACCGCCTCGCTAGCTGGCGCGCTCTCTTTTAGAGAGACTGGCGACTTCACCATGGGCGACTCTGTGTACTCTGAGCCGGGGCTTCGCTTTGACGTAGCCGTGGGCGTCCCGACCGAGGCCGAGGTGCCTCGCCGCGAGAGAGACGAGGCCTTTGCCTGCCTCCTTGTGATGTTACCCCTGAGCTTGCGTATGATGTCGACATCGTGTATACCGTCGGCCGCCTTTGGGTTCTTCTCCTTGATGTAGAGGTCGAGGTGGCGGCCGAGGGACGATGAGGTAAACGGCTGCTGGCAGAAGGGGCACTGCTTGTCCTTGGGGGCTTTGGGCGTGCTGCCGTCAACCGAGCGCTTCGACGTCTCCGCCATGATGCCAGGGCGGGCTCGAGTCGGATGGGCAGCGAGGCAGTGGGGGGGCAAGGAAGTCGAAGTGGGCGAATTCAAGGTACCCTAGAGCTAGAGCTCGAACCCGGCTAATTAGCTGAGCAGCAGCTCCTTCCAAGGAGCAAGGCTCTCCAAAAACCATTGAGACTGGCCCGAAGGAATGAGCTGGTAAAAATGCCCGACAGGTCGGGGCGAGTCGAGGCTTTAAAAAAGACGGGTTTAATTTTTTTTCCGCTGCTCTCTCAAAAGGGGGGGGGGGGGGCGCCTAGAATGGGGATGGGGATGGGGGAGGGCGATCCGGTATCGTTTCTTAGTCCCTCGCCGCTGCAGCGCGTTTCTTTTTCCGCCCCCTTTCTTCGCTGCAAGGCCTGGTAATCGGTGCAGGGGTCCCCCGGAACTTGACCTTTTAAGCTTCAGAAGGTCTTGAAGAGGAATGATCCGCTGGCTTCGGTGGAACCCGCTCACATCGTCGTCCTGACTGCCCAGGGAAGCCGTATTTATTAGGGGGAAGACCGTCTGATAGCTGCGGTGAGTATCCGTACTCCGTACATACGCCTCAACCCGGGGCGCTCTTCAGTCTGGAATTAAAGTGTCGTACATATCTGCGAGGCGCGAGCAGATAAAATTCCCACCGAATCAATGCCGCTAAAGGTGCAGCCCGGTTAGTTTAGGTACCTGCACCTAACCCCCAACGACGATGGCATCCCCTCCAATTGGCATGCGCTTGCATATACTGTACTGTACATACTTTTACATACGCCACTCCGCAGCCTCTGGTTCTAACCACAGTCCACCACTTGGTTGATGCACATACAACAAAGAGAGGATTATTTTGATACATCGGGAGTCCCGGTTAGTGAATTCCAACGCCGCGAAGCAACTGTTTCGTTTCAAGCATTACGATCCAAAACCCCACTGTTTGCCTGCCAAGATGATTGAGACTCTTGATTCCAGAGCGAGGTACGGATACTCCGTACCGCTGGTACAATTCACGCATCATCGTCTGGGGCAGCCCACGGCGTCACAGACGACGGCGCAACAGACGACGGCGCAGTGCACTTCGAGCGGCTCTAAAATAGCTCTGGCGAATGGAAGCACACCAGGTTCGCCTATCTGACCTGATTATCGGTCACATACCGTGCAGGAAAGAATGCTGAAAGCTAGCAAGAGAGGCTGCGGGAAACAGTCTCCCTCGTTCCCGGCATTCGTTGGCGCTGATCGTCGGCCTAGACTAGACGACAGACCCTGTACAAATACTGTACGTGTACATACACTACCGCTCTTGTTCTCCGTTTTAGTTTGCTCGTTGTGCGAGGTGAGGCGAGGTGAGCTTTTAGCAGAGGGATCGTGTGCGGAGTTTCGGGGGCCGTCTGTCCTGCCTGGGTCGTGTGGTGGGATCGATTCCATCGCTAGACCTCGACGCCTCGTCCTGTTCACCTACAGCATTAGGTGACGGGCTAGTCTCGTGTGTCGGACTCCTTTTGCTGCTCAGCCGCCTGTGCCTTTCGACTGATGGAAATCTGGAACACGGGAGAGCAACTTGAGGGCATGGGAGAAGGGTTAGGTTGCCTTTGAACCGTTACGCCATCCGTACTGCTAGAAGTAAACATTCCACGTTATTGATCCCATGCCTTGCGGGGGTTGATACTTAATTCAAGGTAGGACTACCTAGGTACCTAAGCAGCATCCTTACTATGGGAATCGGGGGTCGAAAACGTAGGTTTTCAAGGAGATGGTAGCAAAGTAATTCTCTATCCGATGTTGGCATCCAATGCTCTCTACTGAGTATGTTCTCCGAAGTATTAAATGCATCTACGTACAATACATGTAAGTGCGTCCCCCCTTTTCGCTTGCATCAGATCCAAATTGATGGAAATACGTGCGCGTACATCTCTAGTACAGCCAAATCTCTGAATGAGTGTTGGCGCAGTACTTTGTACATAGGAATTAGTACGTTCAGAAGATCGCCCAGAAATGTCTGGTAAAGGCATTCGAAGCAAGAGATAGGTCTTGGGAATTATATATAAGGTGTTCTAAAACGTACTCCTCCATTTGGCTAAAACTTCAAAAGCGAGCCGTGGAGTATAAGGCCATTTACATCTTGGAAGCTCAAGTCCCGTGCTAACAAACATTCCGGGATTGGACTGTACTGTCGCAAGGTGTCAGAGTAAGCAAACCAGGTGGGGGCTCTTCTATTCTCATCAACACCTTTCCCACTAAGATACGGCTGCGTACAGCTCTTATTTTCTTTCTGACAGAGTTTGATTTGCTGACTTGCCGCGCCTCAACCTGCATTCGCTAAATTGTCTTGGTTATCAGTCATTTTCCGTCTCCCGTAAACATAAACCCCGGGCCCTGGTAGTATCCAAATGCGCCTCTAAACGCCGGCGGCTGGGCCGACTTGTCAAGAAATCCGAAGCAAAGCCAAGGCTCGCATCTCAGGATGCTTGATTGAGTGCCCCTGACTTCTTCTGCGAGCAAGGCACAAGACGAGCCGCCTTTGACTGGTGCCGTCCTCTCCATAAAGCCAGACCCAGAAGACACACGCGTCCTAAATGACAACTGACCAGACAGGCCCCGCCGCCTACACTAATCCTATCTTGTCGCTGCCTAGATAACGAGTTTGAAGACGCCGCTGAGATGCTTGCGGCAAGATAAAAGAGATCCCACGAGGAATCATCAAGCCGCCAACAGGTCGTATTGCCGACAAACCCATTCACAAACGCTGTCTGCTGTGCTCTGCTGTGCCGCTTTGAAAATTAAGAAGGATCCTCCTCAAACGGCATCTAAGCCGACCGTCATGCCCACACCACATGAGATACTCGGACTTGGCAAGTAACAGTACTCGGCAGAGTAGCGGATCTCGCACCCGCGTTGCTAAATTGTTCGTTCGGGGGACTCCGTAACTTCGCGACCATGAGATGCGATTACACAGCTTACAGATTTCGACCAAGCTCAGATTCCGGGGTGCGGGGTCGGTTTTTTCGTAGAACCATGGTTTAAGTAATCTAAGTCCTTATAGCAGCTAGATATTCCGCATGATTCCTGAAAAAAACCTCTTACAGAGTAGGCCCTGATATGAAGAAGCCCGATAGAGCATGAATTCAAGGTGTTGCTGTCAAGCAAGAGAAGCTCAAAAGCTCACAGTGAGCTGCTGACCAAGTTTAACGTTGGAGTCGCCAAGACCACGCGGACTAAGTTCGGGACCGCTCCAATGCGGGAGGAGCCGCTTTTGACTGTCCCGCTATAGTGGGCCTTGAGCTTTTAAATGCAACACCAGCCACGTTATCACGTGATATACGGATATCAGCTACGTGAGTGCTACAGTGGGCGGCAAAAAGTTCTGATCCGCCAAGAAGTACTACAGTAAGCACTAAACCATATACGGCTAAATACAATACATCTCTTCTAAACGCGACAAAAAATAATGAAACAATCACAACATCACCAGCAACAACAGTATGGCTCGTGGCAAAGAGCTTTCACCACAGATGTGATCGCGGATCTGTGAGCTCCATTCGCTTCGATATAGCCACGCTCGAATACACAAGATGCATCCAGAGATTCCCCTCGGTACTATCAAATCGACCTTACGGCTTGAGAAGCTCCGGGTGAATAATCAGTCCCAAGCGCGTTCCGGAGCACCCCGAAAGATCACCGCAGAACAACGAGACTATATCTACGACGTGGTAACCCATATCAACCCTCACGTTACGCATCGAGACCTACTTGACTCAGTTGATAATGTTGTCAAAGAACGATCTATGCGAGGCCTTCTTAACGAGCTTGGTAAACGAAAATGGCGCCAACTTAAACGACCACAGCTGACTGAGGCCTAGGCTGCAGCCCGACTCGCCTGGGCTAAACGATGTCAACATTATACAGAGGAGGATTGGAAAAGGCTCAAATGGAGTGATAAATGTACGTGGAGCGCGGGGTTGGGAAACGACCAGTATGGACCTTTAATCGCCCATCGGAACAACTGGCTCAACATGATGTTCAAGAGGTTCTATGCAGTGGGAAAGGCGTAAAGAAGATGCTTTGGGCAGCTTTTGGCCACGATATACGCACTGGTCTGGTTCCTCTTGATGGCGATCCTCTTTCTGCAAGGCAAGGAGTATCTGGATGGGTAATTAGTTGCTTATATTCGGCCCGCCTTCCAGGCTTCATTCAACCTGGAGGTACCTTTATGCACGATAATGCATCAGTCCATACTGTGAGGGTAGTACGGGCTGTTCTTACTGGGCTAGGCATTCGTGTTATGGTATGGCCACCATACTCTCCAGACCTTAAACCAATTGAGAACCTCTGGGCTCTTATGAAGGCTGAGATCTATAGGTTAATCTAGAGCTTGAGCGAGCACCAGATACGGAAGAGACATTATAGCAGTTAATACAGGCTACAAAGGAGGCCTAGTGGTCAATTGACTAGGAGGTTCTATATAGATTATCGGTTACGATGCCTAAACGTGTAGCAGCTGTTTTGGAGGCAAAGGGGTGGTATACCAAGTACTGAGGGGCTTTGATTGCCTGGTTAGGTTAGCGTGGTACTTCTTGGCAGATCAGAACATTTTGCCGCCTACTGTACCACCACCTTCTGCCCCGAAGCCACACTTCCCCACGAGTCTCGATAGGAGCCGTATTTGATTCGTACCTGAATTTTTCCTCCACCCTCAAGTGCATTCGTGCCGCACTATATTTCAACAATGCCTCCAGGTGAGCTCCCCAGTCCCGGCGCAAACATGACGCGACACGAGCTCCTGCCCCAATCTATCGCGTCGCGTCGCCAATCGGCGCCATTTTCTGCAGACGTCGTCTTCTTTTGCGCGCGTCCCCACGTGTTAACTTAGCTAACGCCGCAGGTTTAGCTGTCAGCGATAACGAGGACGACTCGGAACAGGAGCTCGCGGCCCCTGTCAAGAAGACGGTTCGCGAAAAGAAGCCCGTGGCGTACACCGACGAGCAGGACGACGAGGTTGATGAGCCGCTACTAACCACCTCCGATAAGAACGGAGATGCAGGAGATAGCGATGGAGATGACGAAGAGTTGGAGGAGGAGGAGTACGACCCCACTGCCCCATTCTTGTCCTTGGATTGCTGAACTTGCCACCAGATATGTTGTTGAAAAGATCATGTCGCATATGATCGACGCCCAGGTACGGAGGGCTGTTGCCCCCAAGCTTGGAATATGCCGCTGACGCTCGACATTTAGGGCAAACTCCTCTTTGAGGTTAAGTGGGAGGGGTATGAGAAGAAGTCAGATCGGACGTGGGAGCCCGAGGAAAACTTCGCGTAAGATGAATTTTAGTCTCTCCTATCACTTTCCTTGCTAACCAACTTGGATTTACAGGGAGAGCGCGTCTCTAGCCCTTGAGGAGTATTTTCGAAGTGCCGGAGGCCGCGGCAAGGTCTTTAAGAGCACGGCGAATCCACTTAAGGGAAAAAAGCGCGGAAGACAATCCACAGGAACGCCTGCCGCGACTGGGAAGCGGTCAAAGAAGAACGGAGAACAACACCCTGCGGACGAAGACACACCTCTGACTGCGAAGAACGTACAATGGAAACCCCCAGCAGGAAGCTGGGAGGACCACATCGCGCAACTGGATGCCTGCGAAGACGAGGACACGCACAAGCTGATGGTCTACCTGACCTGGAAGAACGGACACAAGACGCAGCACGAGACGAGCGTAATCTATAACCGGTGCCCCCAGAAGGTATATTTCCATATTAGCATTCTGCCCCGCCCCTGCACCTGGAAACTCGCCAACATACTCTCAGATGTTACAATTCTACGAACGCCACGTACGAATCATCAAGAGAGATGATCAGACGTAGAGCCGGCGGGGACATCGGTCTGAGTTCCGGGACGGCCTGCAGACATAATAGCTTGAAATCGGCGCTGAGTACCATGTCTTCGTATAACATTGCTTCCATGTCCGCGTTGCTACGCTTACAAGGCGTTTTGAGCCCAGATGCTACGGCGCACTCTTTTCTGGAGCTTGCTCTCTACTCGGACAGCATGCTTTTTTCGGGTCCTTCGCGCCAATTTTTAGACGAATGGGCCGCATAACCTTTTTCTTCACTGATTTTTACGAATTGTCTTGAGCGTGGTTATGGATAGGGTTCTGGGGCGTGGATGGCATATCTGGGAGGGCAGAACAGGTGGGCCAAATGTACCGATAGTCGGTTTAGCACATTCTCCGCCTCAGTGCCTGCGGTCTGGAATACTCGATGAATTTAAAATAACAATGGATCTATCAGAATGCTACCGCGTTGCCATTGAAACATCTCGAACGCGACGTAATGAACCGATAATAATTATTTTCCTCTCTGAAAGTAAATCCAGGAACTGAGGTGGCGGATTGAAGTTTTGAACCCCTGCACCATCCACGAGGTTGGGATTTGGGGCTGCTAAAAGTGGTCCGTGAGCACCCTGCAGCGAAGCTGTCCCTGGGGAGGCTGGCGGGAACCGCGCTAGGGCTGGCACTAGGCCCCTCGTGTGGAGCTGCATACGGATACTGCTGCCAGCCTTCTTTTTTATTGACTTTGGCAACCAGGTGGCGGGGCAACCACGTATTTGATCGGGTGCGCCTTGCTCCTGCGCGCAGTCCATACCAACTTTTCTCTCCCTCTCTGTCTGTTTGCATTCCACAACGCTTTTGTTGTATCCAGACACTTTACAAAGTTTACTCAAGCTCCAACTCAAGCTCTCAAGAAGCTCCATTCAATCAGCGCCGAGTCAGATAGATTGCAGCCACGGATAAGAGCTCAGCTCAAGAATCAGTCAATCAGCTTCCAGCAACCCCGCAACGCCACCGCCAACGCTGCTAATTCGTAAGTCCTTTTTTCCCTCTTCTCGCTGCTTCAGAGACAAAGCTCGAACAACTCCTATCATAGCACAAACAAGGTCCTGTTGTCTAACAACCAACCCAGCTGCATTCATCTCAAGAAAAGCGCACAACCACCGTCCCAGCACATCTTCTACATACTTGCGCTTCGTTTGGTCGGAAGCACGAGAGAGAAGAAAAGTGAACCCGACGCACGCACACAAGATATATTCCATCCGCGCACCAATCCTTCCACACATCTCCTCTTGAGCATCGCACAAAAGGTCAGCCAAGATGAAGGAAAACGACGTCATCGCCGTCATTGTCATCATCCTGTTTATCCTTCTCGCCGCCATCGCCTTCGGCATCTACCACCTCGTCAGCGTAGCAAGGCGGAACATGCGCGGCACCGTCACAGCGTCCTCGGAGAGCAGCAGCGACCTGGACGATGACCGCTAGTCTTTGTGCTTTGTTCTCGCTGCTCTTTGCTGTTGCTGTGGACAAATTTCCATCGTTCCGCGGCAACGGCAGCAAAAAAAAAGGGCAACAGAAAAGGCTGGCAGGAGATGTGGGCAATTAATTCCTGCTCTGTTTGGGGCGTGGTGTGTTTTGTCTCTTTCTGAAAGCTCCCCATCGTTCGCCCCTAAGCTTTTTTCTTGGGGCAGGGGGGCAACCAGGGGAGGTGCGTTGCCACGGCAACCGAGACACGATCCCCTATATTCTCTCTCTCTGCTGGGTTGCCGACAAGCGGGAAACATAAGGTTGCCACTCGGATATGTGTCTTCTCTGCCTCGGGTCGACCTCGTGATGGGAGAAATTGCATCGACCAACTTTTCCTACCTAGGTGGGACAAGAAGGGGGGGCCAGTCCAGCCCCTGGGGGCTTTTCCGGCTGAAGGGGATACCAGTCCAAGTGGACCTTCTCATCTTCTTGCCCCCAATTTCTCTCCTCCCCCTAAGCACCGCCAGGGATTGAACGGACATACGGATGGATGCCGGCCGACCGACCGGCCTAAAGACCTATTTTTAATTGTCTGCGACGGACGGACACGACTGGCACACGAGACAAAAATGTTGCGGATCTAACGACGACAGGATTACGGGATATTTCCTTGTATTTTTGGGCTGATTTCAAGAGTATGAAGGCCCTCATCGCATATCATCATGGCGACGGCGACGGCAAAGCGCAGCACAGCACAACACAGCATGGTCGACAAATATCTCGGGATTCTTGCTGTTTTTGTCTGTTTTCTCTTTTCAGACACCGGTTGGCTTTGTGTTTGTGTCTGTCTTTTTTCGGCGTTTTAATTGCACTTTCGGCATCTAGCAATAGGGAAGCATTTCTGGATACAGATCATGAGGGGGGTAAAAGAGTTTGCTGGCGAGCAGAGCTAGGCTGTATGAGAGCCAGGGACAGAGGGACAGCAGTATTTAGCTGGCTGATGTAATGTATGTATGTACACATGTGTATATGCATATGCAGGTTTAGATAGAAGGTTGCAGGTATTGTTGGAGACTCTATGAGATACCATGACCTCCATATCTACGTCGAAATGGATTGGAAAAGGGGATTTAAATGAAAGGTTATCAAACAACAATACTCTGTTATCGTCCCTCTATATTCATTCAGAATTACAATTCTAGTGCAACCTGGAACTGCCAAGTGGGCAACGCTAGAGCATGTCATGATAACAGAGCAGGTAAAGGCTCTTGGAGTCTCGACCAAATATATCCGTATCTCTGTCCGACACGGTATCCCACACTTTGGTTTTCACTCGTCTGAGGCTTCGATTGCTGTCTCATTCGCAGCCACTTGAACCAGGTTTGACGTCAGGCTTGATTAGGTTGTGAAACAGCAGCACACAGCCCGCTCCCGTCCAACCTACGTCGAATGACGAGGCACGTGGGTGCACGGCAGCTTTGTGAGACAGGTCGTCTTCGCTTTGATCACGTCAAGGTCTTACCTCCATCGTCATGCGCAACGAGCGGCAAATGTTGATTGAACATGATCCAATTGAGCGGTTTCAGGGGTCTTGTCGGTCCTACACAATTCGTGTATTCCGTAGTCCGTCCGCCTTTACCGTTTGCCTCGGCCATGCGGTTTAACACCATTAAACTGATTACAGTTTGGCTTTTGTCTAGGCTTTTATCAGATTGAGATCAAAAAAGGAGTCAATAACACACCCCCCTTTACTTTTTCGCCTCCATATTCTCGTTCTGGTTTTAGGTAAATTCGTAAAGCCCTCAGTAAACAAACAAGGATTCCTGAAGACTGCCGTGATTCAATTGATCTGAGCACGAGGAGGGATGAGGGGTTTCTTTGTTACTCTGTTCCTCAAGGTACCCCCCAAATCAGGGGTCCTCGCGGAATGCCGAGTTTTGATGCTAGTGACTCAGTGATGCAGCCAACAGGCAAGCAGGCTCCGACATCCCTTACCTCTAAGTATCTGCACACCATTTTTCCTCCGTCCAGAAACAATCGGGCAGACGTTGTTTTGTTTGGCGCAATCCAAGCAGCTGCTGACGCCCGCATCTGTCAGCGGCCGGTTTCCTGCGCCTGCTTCTGCTTCTGCTTCTCACTAGTGCGCTATTCCGCGCCCCCTCCGCATCACAGAATCGCAATTGCATATGCGCGATCTACTTATTCTCATGCAGCTGCCCCGCTTGCAAGGCTTCGCCAAGCGCCTGAGCAGTTGAGAGGCATCAGTTCAAGAGCAACTGAGGTGCCCGAGTCAGAGTGAGCGTTTCAAGATCTTCACAAGGGCCCATGTACAGGAAACAAACGAATGGAAATACGGAAAACTATCTCGAGTATCAACTAGGATGACAGATTCATATGGAGAAGGTGCATCAATGATGGAGAACAAGACAGTTGGCTTCGATCTGATTAAGACCTCTGCCCAACCCAAACCCCCACGGGCGAGCGGTTGCACTGCAGAAAGCCTTGGGGCCACGGTCACGCTCGAAACCACCACTCCATTACCTTCTTGGGCGGGTGCCGTGGCTGCGGCGCGAGCTGGCCGTTTTCCGCGTGGGCAGGGCTATGGGGGTGTAGTCATCGCCCCCCTCCACCCCGCTTGTCTTTAAATCGCTGGAGATCGTACTGTAGGGAGCTACTCTACCAGGCTGTGTCTCCGCTTCTCCATGACTGGACCGGCTGGCTTTGATTGCGAATCCTCACGTCGGACACTTGACAGTGCCCCTCCCCCCGTTAATTGCGCGAGCTTAAGTGGATTGGCTCCATTGAATTGCGTCTTTTAGTCTCAACTTTTTGCCCCGCGAGCCCCGACAGCGGCAATCGTGATCCATGGATCCAGTGGCAGCCAGTGTCTAGGCCCAGCCAAAACTCTGTCCGTCTTTGAAACCTGGCCCCGCGTTGGTTTACCTTCCATACCTTACTTCGTATTAAAGTTGCAAAGGGCCCGCTCCTGCTCCGTACCCTCCTCCTGCCTTCGAGCCTACCCACCTCTATCCACCAAAGGCAGAACTTGCCCGGCCGATCAGTCATCGACAGCCTCCAACCCTCTCCGCCTCTCGGTTACCTATCCGCGTCGAGAATTTTGTGTTCTAGAAGACACACGGCCGTTGCAGCAACAGCGTCATTGTGCGGCGATCTCTTTGCTCTTGCTCAGTCGACAAGTTGCGCCTCTTATAAGCCTTATAGCCAACCCTGCAGGCAAATCATTGCCCGCCTTACCCAAACGTTCGGTTCCCCGCCCCGACCGACCAACCGAATTGCCCCGCATCCCTCGGCTGGCAGCGAGACCGAAGCTGTCCAACCAGCCCCTGCCTGCGTCATCCCCAGCGCAGTGCAGCGTATCGCATCGCATCGCATCGCGCCTCCGTCGCGACACTTGCGGCCACGAGCTCGTCCGCTCGCCCGCACGCCGCAATGAGCCCCCAACCCCCAAACCCGACCGCACCTGCGTCTACGCCTGCGTCTACCGCTGCGTCTTCGCAGGCCACCCCTCCCGAGCCGTTCCCGTCTGGCGCCACGCTGGTGCCGTACAACTTCCCGACGCAAAAGCTCAAGCTTCGGCAAACCCAGCAGGACAAGACACCTCTGGTCCTGGTTGCTTGCGGCTCCTTCTCCCGTGAGTCCCCGCGTCTGAGCCGTCCCCTTCTCGTGGAGTTTGGTCCCACTAACGTTTTCTGGTCTGCCCAAAAAGCCATTACCTACCTCCACCTGCGCATGTTCGAGATGGCCTCGGACTTTGTTCGGTTTAACACGGAATTCGAAGTGTGCGGTGGATATCTCTCGCCGGTAGGTTCTCCAAGAGCGGAAAACCCCCCCCCAGAAAGACGTGGAATTCAAATAGGGGGACGGGGGAGGAGTGCGGGTGGGCCAGTCCGGTTTCTAACGGGGCTCGATTGAAAAGGTCAGCGATGCGTACAAAAAGGTCGGACTTGCGCCCGGCCACCACCGAGTCAACATGTGCTCCAGAGCCGTCGACCAGTCGTCTTGGCTCATGGTCGATCCGTTCGAGACGGTGAAGGCGAACCAAGACGGCGAGCCCGAGTACGTGCCAACCGCCAAGGTGCTCCGGCACTTCGACTACGAGATCAATACGGTGCTTGGCGGTATCGAGGCGCCGGACGGGACCAGGAAGAAGGCCAGGATTGCTCTTCTCGCAGGTATGGTTTGCCGCTGCTCATCTGGAGCTGGCAACAGATGGTGTTGTCACCGTTTCCAAGCCTGTCGGCTTCTAGCTTCATGAGCTCCTGCTGATATTGAATTCTTTTAGGTGCTGATCTGGTCATGTCAATGGGTAAGGTCACAGAAAACCTAGGAGTCCAGCGGTCACACATACTAACTGTGAAATAGGGGAACCTGGGCTCTGGTCACCAGCGGATTTGCAAGTGATATTGGGCTCATTCGGTGCCTTTATTATCGAACGGTCGGGAACCGACATTGACGAAGCTCTGGGGTCGCTCAGTCAATACGAGAGCAACATCTGGGTCATCAGCCAAGTCATACAAAATGATATTAGGTTCGCACACCCGTTTTCGGAGGTGGTAGGATATCGCTGACTCGACAAATAGCTCCACCAAAGTCCGGCTCTTCCTGAAGAAAGATCTCAGTGTCCGGTCGGTAGCTTCCTGGACAGAATGTGTTACCAGACGGGGGGGTGTGCTGACTTGCTTCTAGCTACTTAATTCCAGACCCGGTCGTAGAGGTATGTTTCCGTCCCCCCAGTAATTTGCTCTCGGAACGTACACGTCAAATGCTTACTGGTTATGCGCACGCAGTACATCGAGGAGAACCACCTGTTCCACAACGAGCCAAACAAGGGAGGGAGAATGTCGCCAGCGGCTGATGCGAATCCCGGGCCCTCGGCTTCGTAGCTAACCAAACGCTGAACGTCCTTTTTCTTGCCTTTTACGAACTCGGCATCTCTTGTCAGCCACGGCCTGTTTACGAGAAGAGGATTACACGCGCGAACGACAACCGGACATGGGCTGAGAGGCGAGTGCGCACAGCCAGCATGGAATCTGCATAATAGCGACGGCCATATAAATCCTTTCTTCTTCTGTTGTCACTATTTTTTCTGCTTTTCATCGCTACACGATTAGAAGGCGGCAAGCGGATATTCTAGCTTTTTTGCCCTTTCAGACCGAGGTTTGGCGTTTTGATTGGGGGGGAGGGGGTTCGGTTTTCGGGGCTTTTGGGGAAGGGCGGCCATTTCCTTTTGCGTAGATTATATTTTTCTTTGGGAGGTTCCATATATTTATTTTGTTGTTGTTGTTGTTGTTGTTTGCTTTTGGGTATGAGCGGATGAACAATCTGGCTTTCGCAAGGTGCCTACCTACCTATGTTATTTACGGCGCCTGAGATAGACTATGAACTTCCTCACTCTCCACTCGGTCGCCGTAATGAGTAGACACATAAGCTGTTGGTTCGTCGATAGGGAACAGATCAAGTGCTCGGGGTTTGCTATAAGTCTAGTATAGATAACTCGTATATGGGGTGACTGGGGGCTGGGTGTGAAAATTGCCACGATGCGCCCATTGTAAGAGAAATATGTCTACTTTGCAAGATAAATAATAGCCATTTCACACCAACAATGAGAGATACGGCTTGGGATGGAAGCATTTTCCAAGACAGGGGCTGGTGTTACTAGGTAGTAATACCAAGGTTGTGCTGCTCCCCCTTCCCCCTTTTCCGTGACATTTTTTTTTAATATTTATTTTGTACTATTTCACTTTTCAATATTTCGCCATCATAAATGCCTTCTTATATAAAAGACATGCATCCAGCAGTTACGTGCATGACGACACCATAAACCTTCAATATCATAATATCATTTACGATGTACGTCCCTCCCCCAGACTCAATAGTTGAAACTCTCCGTCACCACCTCCTCCCCATCCCCAAGCCACGCCAGCACGACGCCCGTCATCTCCGGGCCCGCACACACGTAGAATTTCGCCTGAACACCCGCTTTGGCGCCCAGAAGGTCGCTCCGCGCCATCCTCCGGCGCGACACAACCTGCTTCTCGCCTATGATCTCGTGCAACGCCGCCGCCGCCGTCTCGTCTTCTTCTTTGTCGCCGCCCGTGACGAACAGCCTCGTCAGTGGCGCCAGCCCGGGCAACCGGCGGAACGTGTCGACCGCCAGCCCCAGGTCCGCGGCGCGCAGGCTCCAGAGTAGCGATAGCGCTGGCGGTTGTGATGTATTGCTGCCGGACGCAGCTGCAGCCGACAGGAACAGTCCAGGGGCCTGTGCTAGCAGCGGCGTGATGCCGACTCCGCCGGCCACGAAGACGGCTTTTTTGTTACTGCTGCTGCCGCTGCTGATGCGGAAGCCCTCGCCGCCGCCGAAGCCGACGACGGGGATCTCGAGCGGCGCCGCTGCCCGTAACTGGTGGGTCCACAGCAGGCGCGTGACGGGGCCGTGGCGCCGGGCCGTGATCTGCAGCTCGGTGTTTTGTGGGTTGCTGGCACTTGAGGGAGGTGGAGGCGTGTTGGACACGGTAAACGTGCGCACAAAGTCGTCGTTCAGGCTCTGCGGGTCGTCGTTGCGCATGTGCGACCACCCGTGGTCGAGCTCCGCGCCAAAGTCCAGCGTGACGTGCTGCCCGGGCTGCCACAAGGCGACCGGCTGCTTGGATGTGCCTGAGGATGCGAGCGTGAATGTGAACCGGTTGATGTTGGGCGTGATGACCTCGCGGCAGACGAGCGTCGCGACTGCTCCCCCCTCTCTAGCTTCGCTTGCAGTAGCACCGGTATCAAGCAGCGAAGCCGCGAGGCCCCCCTCGGTGGCCAGGCGGCGGACGGGCGGGTTGTAGGGGCTGGGCTCTTCGGCTTGGGCGCGGAACGGCAGGCCGTCGCGCACGAGGCGGGCCTCGCGCACGGCGATCTTGACGACCAACTTGGTGTGCGGCATCAGCGCGGCGGCTTGCGCGCCGACTAGTAGCTGCGTCTCGCCCGTCAGGTACAGCACGTCGGACGTGTCGTAGTCGGGGATGCACACGCCGATGCGCGGGTTCACGTGCAGGTTGCCCAGGCTCTGGTACAGCCGGTTGCCCGAGAACTCGGGGTACGCGATCACGATGCCGCTGCCGCCGTTGCTGCTGTCTTCTGTGGTTATCGGGGAGTTGCTGACCACGCGGATGAAGCCCGCCGGCCCGCCGCGGTGGTTCGTGTCCATGGTCGTGCCGTTGGTCGACGACAGGAAGAGCATGTCGGCTTTTTCGATCAGGGTGAGCGCCTCGGCCGGCAGGGCCAGTGGCGACGACGACGACGACGAAGACGACCACAGCAGCCGAGGGGCGGGTAGGTGCAGGACGACGTCCTTCTTGTTGATGTACTTGGGGCAGTTGCCGAGGGCCTCCTGGACGAGCATGCCGATCTGGGCCTCACCGACGCTGCTGCTGTCACCTCGGCCGTCCGCCAGCCGCAGCTCCAGCGAGCCGACCACCATCTTCCCGGCCAGCTTGACGCGGTCTCTCGTCTCGAGGTCGAAGCTCAGCCCGCTCATCATCTTGCCGCCGTCGGCGGGCCGGACGATCGGCGGTGCCGCGTCCCCATCAGACTCACCCGCGCCACTGAGCAGCGCCTGCGCAACGGGATCGTGGGCCCTGTCGACGAGGCTCTGCACGCCGAGGATGTTCTGCGCGACGGGCCGCGCGAACCCGCGCTCGCCGCCCCACACCGTCGTCCAGGGCCGGCCCTGCGCGTCTAGGGTCCCAAAGGCCGCAAGCGACGAGATGCTCACGCGGTAGCCGTGCGCGGACGACAGCCCCGCGTTGGTCGGGTTGCCGTGGCTCGACGTCGGCACCTTGAGCAGGCGGTGCATGGCCAGCTCGCCGGGGTGCCAGCCGTTGGAGTGCTCGTGGAGGGTCGCCATGGCTGGACACGAACAACGCCTAAGTACTCTCGACTTGAGATGCGGTAGCTATGTTGTGTGTAAGTGTGGATGCCTGGATGTATCTGTGAGCGTGAGTCTGTGTCTGTGTGTGAACTGAGGAGTATTATCCCTGTATATTTATTGTATATATACGAGGACAGGCTGCGTTGAGGCGAGACTTTGATGTTGAAAAACAAAGCAAGCCTGACAGAAGAGAGAAATGGCACTGCCCAAGGTCGACAGCAACTAGATATATTCTAGCTACAAACCTCCGTCGTCGAAGACACTAGTAGCATCGTGTAATCACTTCGGGCCCCGATCACACACATCGGGCTAGTCCGGACGGGCTGCAAGCGTACCCAAGATGACGAACCGTTCACAAATCAGCCTGCCCTTCGGACAAAGACAATGCGTCTAAGCGGTGGTATTACTAAGGAAAGCTGATTCGCCAAGAGAAGCCAGACACGGCAGTGCGAGTGCTAAGTTGTTGAAAGGGCGCGCTTCGCTTCACCTGCCTCGGTTGCCTCTTCCGTGCTGATGGAGGGGTCAAATACAAATACTGCCAACCTATGAGAACGGGCGGTGGCTCAGAGCTTCCCCGCGGAAAGCCCGTTGCAAGGCATGGCTGACTGTAGTATGGCGCCACTTCAGCGCCTGCCTTGGCCTCTGCAGAAGGAGCCGCGAGGGGAAAAGGGGGCTCAAAACTGACGACATTCTTACTCAGCCCCCACACCTATCAGGTATTGTCGACCACAAATCTGCAAACGCTCACTCTTTCCATAGCTAAGGTATATAATTCATTTCATCAAGCCGTCAGGATATATACAGAGAGAAGCTCCGTGAACATCAACACCAAGAAACCTAGCGGCCATGTAATCTGGCACTAGTAGACCTCCTCTGAAGCCCTTCTCCACCCGTCCGTTGCATCTATGAATTGCAACACCTTACGATAGAAAAGAAAAGAAAATGCCGCCAGGTAATAGCCAACCAAAGCCAAGGAGGGCCGGCCGCTATACCAAGACATGTATGCTTCAGAACAGACCCATTAATGGTAATATGTCCAGTTCCATTAGATGCGGACCTCGCTGTCACGAGTAGAAAGGCTTAGTACGCCCCGTATCGAGATCCGTTTCCTCTCTCCGTATCTTGGTTCCATCCGTTATTCCCATATCCGCCACGGGGATCGTTACCTCTCGGGCCGTTGGCTGCCATCGGGTTCGGTCGACTAAAGTAATCGGGCCCCCCACCTCCTTGCTGTGGCTGCTGATAAGGCGGTCTTGGCGGCCCCGCACTCCTCATCGAACCGTTGCTGTCTGCCTGCTGGTGATATGGTGGTCTAGCAGACCCCATACTCCTCATCGAGCCGTTGCTATCGGCTTGCTGATGGTATGGTTGAGGGACAGGAGCCGTCATATTCCGCTGAGGCGCAAATCGCTGCTGCGGCCCGCGAGGCGGCATCGGGTTCGTCGCGCTCCGAATGGGGTACCCGTCCGGTCCCATTCCCCGTGGCGATGACGGATCGTTAGGATATGAGTTGTTCGACGGAGCGGGGCTGGACCGTCCATTTGAGTAGTCGTCATATGGAGGTCGGCCCCCGTTGGGGTTCATCCTCGGATTACCAGAGTTCGGGCCTGGACTTGACTGTTCAGCCGAGTAATCGTCATACGGCCTGCTCCCACCAGTGTTCGTCCTCGAAAGGCCTTGGTTTGGATGGGGGCTAGGCTGTCCATTCGAATATTCGTCAAACGTTGGCCTTCCTCCAGCAGTATTGGTTCTTGCTGGGCCTTGGTTGGGGCCAGGTCCCCTGTACCCGGTGGAGGGACCCACGGGTGATCGGATAGGTGCCGGGAAGGCTGGCATGGTCTCGGTAGAATACGTGGCAGGGCTAGTAGTATAGCTTGTATTCAGTGCAGAGCCGTTGGAGCCCATCCGTTGAAGCGGCGGAACAGGCCCAAAGCTTTTGTTGGATGCCGAAGTTCCTGTTCTCGACGGCGGGTATCCGCTCAAATAGAGCGGCGGCAGCGTAGGAGTCGGAGACTCGGACCGAGACGTGCCCATCTCGGCAGCGCTGCTGACCAGTGGTGCCCTGCTTGAATATGAAGCCATCGTGCCTGAGCGGCTGGGAAGTGGCCGCTTCTGATCGATGGCATCCAGTTCGAAGCTGCCTGGCGTGCCGGGCCGCGAAGTGTAGGGTGGAAGGGTAGTAGTCGTATCGTTTCTGTTGAGCATTGGCATCTCAGGCAGCTTGTCATCACCGCCCAAGTTTGGCAGGGTCGCTTTCATCGTCAAGGGCCTGGCGCCGCCGTTTGTCTTGGCTGCCTTCATCTCCGCCTTCTTCCTCTCTCTCTCCTCCTCTGCCATCGCCTTGTCAATCTTCTTCGCGACGATCTGCTTCAGTCTCTTGTTGATCTTTCGCTCGCAGAAACCAGTCAGTCCGCCGTCTTGGGGCGGGATCGTATGCCACAAGAAGCAAACGAAAAACATGGCAGCAAGAAGCAGCGAGATCACGGCGAAAACCCAGATGACGAGAGTGAAGAGCATGCCCGACAGAATCACAATCAGACGATAGTCGCCATTCGCCGAAATTCTGATCTTATCAAAAAGAGTCGACAGCGAGTTCTCAAAGTTGAGTCCGTTAACGACCAACTTGCTGGAGTAAAACGAGTAGAGCGTGAGGGCGTTGATGATTTGGCGGGGCCCGGAGCAGATAATGATGCGAATCCAAGCTAATACCATGTTAGCAAATCCCGCCAGAAACCAGTCACGCGTCTGGGCGGTGGTCTTACATTGAAAGCTGAAATACGTGAAGAGGGCGATGTATTCAGCCCCCTTCTTGCTCTTCGTCAACTTAGTAAAGACCAGAAATCGCTTGTATCCGCGGCCGCGTCCCATTCGGATACTCTCCAGGCGCACTGCCAAGCTATCCAGAAATGACTCGGCAACGCTGCCCCTCTTCATGATCTTGCGGGCACGGAAGTGCTCGAATCCAAGGTTGATGAAGGAAAGTATGATACATATGGAGAAGACCCATTTAGACACGGCAAACGGAATCAACTGAGTCGGGGAAATCACTCCGGGCCACCGGTCAAAGATGAGGAGCTGGAGCGCCGTGAATGTATCGACCGAGTAAACTGCCAAGGAGATGAGGAGAGAAAACCAAAGGTAGGCATAGGCGAATCCTGTGAGGCAGGAGCCTGACTTGAAGTCATTGAGACTCTGTGAAAAGCAAAGTTAGTGTCTCATGTTTGCCCCGCAAACCTTACGGCAGAGTACTCACGATGAAGTCCCATTTCTGCTCCGGGTGAACCTCGACATCGCGTCGGCGATGGCTCATAAAGCCCATGATGTCGGCCCCAAGAAGGGGGGACTAAAAAACCAGGAAGTGCCCGGGAAACCGAAGTGAAATGAAAGAAATTATCGTCCCAGCCGAATAATTAGAGCGAAAAATGAAGGCTATCGACACAGCTCAATATGTCCAAGTCGGATATGTCGAAAAAGAGAGGACACGGTCAAACGATCGTATACCGGCCCGCCGTCTGCACAAGTCGTTCCTCGCCCGCGATGGTCTCGACTGTGCCTTCGTCGACGGAAGGATCGATGCTGTCCCGGTTAACGGGCGTCGGCGAGGTCAAGTCGTCCGTCCCATGTAAGGGAGGAGGGAGGGGAGAAAAAGGCACCGCCGGACAATCCGTGAAGCTGGACTCGTAAACGGCCACGGGGGCAGCGGCGAGAGTCTAGTGGCGCGAGAATCGCATTGCTGGAACCGCCAACTGGGTTCTTGTTGGCCGATCACCACAGCGACAGGCAGGTGGTGACAGGGAACAGGACCAAACTCTTGGTGTCGGGCTGGCAAGAGAGTGACGGCGCCTTGGATAGCCGCGCACCGCTGGAGTGGTGTGTGCTGGTGGTTGGGATGTCTGGGTCAAGAATAGTGTGGGTTGAACCCCCCCGAGTTTGATCGTCTGGGCAGAGCTGCACTGTCTAGTGTCAGGAGGACCGAAGCGGAAAAGATGCGACAATAGAGACGGGAGGGGGGTGTTTGCGCCGGGATTGGCTGGGTGGAGTGCTTTGCGGGCGTCGAGAATAATAGGTCGCGAGTCGTCGGTGGACCTTTCTGCGGATCGATGTTCAAAAGAGTGTTTGCTATTGACTGCGAGCACAATCGATGCGGTAAATAAGTGGCTAGATCTGTCAACCAAGACAATGATCTAAAGAGGGCGTCCCCGTAAATTGGTGAAATCGCGGGAACCAAGCGTGAAAGTGAATCTGCGACAAGGAGAAAGGGGAGGGAGGGCAGGCGCTTTGATGGCATGCTCGGATTCGGATGGCCACACCCCTTCGGGTCCTCCAGGGATTGGGCCTATCAAGCGAATGCGATAAGACTCTCGATTGGCTGGGGAAACGGTTGACAAGCATTGGTGTGGGGAAAGACGGCCGGATGCCCTTTGAGGGGATCTGTTACAGAATATCAGCTTTTCAGTATTGAAGACTGCCTAAAGACAATAATGAAAAATGGAGATAAAATTCAGAGAAAATTGCAACCTATCTAAGTAGTAGATATATGCAGAATACTCTAAATTCCGCAACAGAAGACTGTATTCGAATTTGCCGTGCCGAATGTTCAACATCTTCCCTTCCTTCCCAATTCGACTTTCCTGTACAGATGGCAAGGCGCAGGTACGGTACCCCTGCACGCCATCCCTGCCGCGGGACGGCCGCTTTAATGGCTGATTGGTGGCTTGGAGAGAAAAACGGGCGAAGACGCCAAAAAAGATGAGATTGCTGCCGCGTGTCTCTGTGAAACAATAGAAACAAGGGACCAATCCGTGAATCCACTGGAGTGCGGGAGTGGTGGGCTCAAGGAGGAACCAAGTCCGCCAAGAGCAGTCGAAACACGGGGTCTCGAGAGAAAGACACAAATCAAGATCGAAGGCTCGCCATTTCCCGGTATCTGAGAAACACGGGGCGCACATTCCGGCCGAGGGCAGAGTGAGTGAGGTGCACGATAGTATCGTTGCGCACCTCTCGAAACCCCCGGACCACAGAGAAATGCAGGGAGAGCAACGATATCCCGCCGAGAAGAGTGGTTCCTGCAACAGCGCAACTGTGCTGCGCGTTTGCCCTTTGGCTTGCACAATTTGGTTTTGTAATTATGGTGAAAGATCTTCCATTCCGTGAATGCATGCACGCTGATGAGCAGTTTCGTTCTCGTAAATCATTTGTAGTCTATATATGGTTGAACCCTCACGCCAAGCGGTTTCTCGTCGGTCTCCGAGCTCAACTCAAATCGGCCATTCGGTTTCATCCCATGTCCATATGTGCGTTATCCGTACTCTGCGTTCCGCCCGGTATCCGTGCCCGGTAGCGGATTGGGGGCCTAACAAACAGGCCACGACGCTTGAAAAATGATCTTGTGCTGGAAGGATTGAAGGCAATCGTGTCCTCGCAGAGTGGCCCAAAAAGGAAAGTCAAGCCTGCCCGCATATGTATTGTTGGCGGAATGCCGAAGGGCTCCCTCCTGGCCGGTGAAGGGGCCGCCGTGGTCGCCGCCATAGGTCGCACAACTCCTATTTCCGCCCCTGACATGAGCATCGACGCGGTCAATAGACAAAAGAAGAGGAGAGCGACCCGTCAACTAAAACGCAACGTTCTCTACCAGTTCTACAGACGGAGTCCCGAATTCCTTCTTGATAAGATCCCCGTAGGCAACGCGGAGCTCTCTCCTCTCCGTCTCGTCCAGGCCCGTCCGCCTGTCCTTCCTCCTGTTCCGAGAGGCGTCAGTCTCGGAGAGCTGGGCGTCCGGGTCCTGTCCGGTCGGGTCTTTGAGCTCGTAGGTGCGGCACTCGGCGTTGTTCCACCCCGTGCCGACATCCAAGACAATGTCCTCAAAGTCGTCGGACAGAAAGTGCAGGAAGCCGCCGTGCGTGACGGCGACAATGTGCGCGTCCACGTCGGCGCCGGAATTCTCCTCGAGGAACTTGGTGCCGAGGTCGCGGAGCCAGCGCCGGGCGGTGCGCGCGCGGGCCTCGAGCTTGGCCGCGTCGGGGTACCAGGGGGATCCGGGCGACTTGTCGGCCCACGTCAGCGTCAGCAGCCGCAGGTCGACGCGCGCGGCGTCGTCGTCGAACTCAGCCGCGAGCCGCTTCGGCGCCGTGCCCAGGTCGCACGGCAGGTTGGACACCTCCTGGATCTCGGGGAGTGCTGTCACTACCCGTCCCGCCTGCACCGCCGGCGCGAACGACAGCAGGCACGTGTACAGCGTGCGCCGCATCGGCGACGCCACCAGGTGCGTGATCTTGTCTTGGTAGGGAAACCCGGCCCGCAGCGCCGCGCACTGCTCCTTGCCCAGCGCCGTCAGGTCCGGGTCCGGGATCTGCTGGTTGATCTCAGTCAGGTTGTGGAACCCCTGCGCGTGACGCACTAGGTGGATGTATATTTTGCCCGTCATATTTTTGCTTTTTTCTTTTGTGGTGGTGTTGGTATAGTATGTCTCGACGGCGTTTCTTATTTGTTGTAGTATGTTACGTACGGATGGAACACAGGTGGGAAAGATGGGACGAATCACAAGCAGATGCGTAGGATCTCGAAGGACCAAGGACAGTAAAAGCTACAAATTGGGGAAACCGACAGCGGTTCTTATACGCATGTGGTACATACCTACTGTACTCGCCGGCTGTAACCCCCATCCGACACATGTCCAGGTGGTCGACAATGATAGGTTATGAGTCACGTAGGAGGGGATAAAGCCGTTGATCCTCCCCGGTTTCGCAGCGTCCAAAAATCCAGGCTGCAATGTTATCCAAGGTTGGAGGTAGGTAGTAGTCGCCGAGGTTTCAGCAACTAGTTCCTGCCTTCAGGTCTGCAAAGACGGTCGGGTAATCCACGTCGGAGGCAACTATCACCGGACATCGCTTTGTGGTTTTGCAAGACGTTGCATTTCAGAGACACTTTAATAAACCAACAATATTCTTCCCCTCCGACGCCCCAAACCTTCGACGGAAACTTGGGCAGCAATGGAATATCATTTGCCAGATGCGTTCATGCATGTGCGGAGTAGTAGCAGCCAGTAGGTTGCCCCAAACCGACGAGGCGGATCCGACGAGTCAAACCAACGAGTTCGGCAGACAGCGGCCCACCCAATCAGCAAGGCGGTCCCGGCTCCGGATCGACTTGATGATGGAGGCGGCGGCGTCGGCGGTGCGGGCCTTGTCACCCTCGGTCCAGCCTAATTCCTTCGAAACGATACAACACGCGTAAGAATGGTGGTTACATATCAGTAGACTGCAATATGATTTCTAATCCCTGAATGAATCTTCGCATTTGTCTTTCAGAGGCGTGAAAGACCCAAATGAATGCCTTGCAGCTCGCCTTACGACCTTTCTTCGAGGAAGGCGGTAGCTATTTGGAATCCCTAATGTGGAATTTTAAAGCCCCATTTCCCCTTCCACATGTCTCGTGATAGTCTGGGGAGGCATAAGCGCTAGGGGGGTTTGACGCAGGTGCCACGATGCTTAAAATAGTGGATTCAAGGTCGTCTTCTTCATTAAACGGATGTCTTGAAACAGGGGAGTACGAGCAAGAAAGCTAGAGATGGTGAACTGTTTAAGGTTTGTGTTCGAGGGAAACGGTCCATTGCTATTTTATTCGGCCCCCTCGTCTACGCCACGTCAGCGTGCAAAATACATAAAGGCCTCGGTAAATACCCACCCTCCCCTCTCTCACTATGCCTACGAACGCCATGGCTAAAGAGAATTTAGAGATTCGTTCACTATCTAAGCAACACTGCCCCGGCTTCCTTCTTGCTTATCTGAAACACAAATATATCTTTTAAGAGCCAGATACAATACCGCAACTCTACTGCGTATTCGCTTGGGTCTCCAACACCCCCCCTAACCCAAAGTTGTATCAGAGATCGATCAGGCTCTCTTCTACGACGGGCTGCTTTGGCGCATGTTGCGGGGCCGAAGGGAACACCTCCTGAGAGTATCCAGCATATGCTGCCGGAGGCAGAGCTTGCCACACTGGCGGTAGAGGCGTCTGCTGGGCAGCAGCATGCTGCCAGTACGGCTGCTGCGGCTGCTGAGGCGCTTGGTGTGCCTGTGGTGGCTGGGACGGCTGGGCAGGTACCGAAGCCGGAGTTTGCGGCAACGAAGGTTGGTAAGAATGAATCGACTGAGAGAGGTTTGGGTATGATGTCAGATTGGGGTCAGGGGCCGAAGCATTGGGTTGCTGCGCTTGTTGTGGCGGGGGTTGTGAGTTAAAGTAAAATGAGGCATTCGGGTCAGTCGTCGGTGTAGTCCCGAGCGAGTCTGCTGACGCAGCAGCAAGTTGCTGTTGAGACAGTGCTTGTTGTATATGGTTCCCCTGGGGAGGCGTGCTTTCGTTGAAAGTATAACCGGTCTGGTTGTATTGAGGCGCCTGAGCAGGCGGCGCACCACCCCAGCTCCCTGTTCTCTGCGGCACTTGTTGCTGAGGGTACTGGCCGTTGGGATGCCCAACGATCGATACTCGCTTGTCGTACTGTGCATATTGCGGCTGTGGCGTTGGTTGTGCATAGGAAGGAGGCCCTAAAGAGTGCCTGTAGTCTTGTTGTTGCTCTCCCGTGTAAAAGCTCTCTGCCGGCCCAGCATTGCCGGGTGCGTTTGCCTGTAGTGAGGGGTACGGCCCAGAGGCTTGCCTCGGCGGAGGAAGATTGTAGCCCCCTATGCTATGCTGGCTGTAGGCCTTTGATAGCCGTTCTTCTAGCATGCGGTCATAGTACCGTACAACGGTGGATAGCTTCGCATGCAAATCAAGCAGAGTATCTAGCGTAGGTTAGCATGGGTGGTTTGAAGGTGCGAACATTATCAACTCACCATGCTTGCTCATAGTCTCGCCATAGGTCCGTGCAAGCTTTGGCCGCAGAGTACCTATACTGTCATACAACTCCTGTATCTGCGGCTCTCGCAGGATGGTACCGGGCGGCTGTGTTTGTAGGCGATCGACTAATGTAGCAAAGAGGTTGATATTCTCTGCCTCGACAGGCGTGAGCTCATAGTCGTTTTTGGGAAGCGCAAAAGGTGCAGCTGTCGATGAGCTGCCGACATTCGCAGCCTGCTGTTTGAGAGCCGCAGCGTGCTGCTTCTTTTGTTCCTCCATATCTGCTAGCGATGCGGCGATGGCGGCTTTTAGGTCGTCGTCTTCTTCCTCTGCGGCTTTAGAAGCCGGGGGCGAGTGCCCATTGACCTTGGGTTGGGCTGAAGGCACGGCACTGGCGGCTTGCGGGACATAGCCCCGAGAGTGGCTCCTAACTTCCTCCAGGCTCATAGCCAGGGCCTTCTTCAAATCCTCGTCAAAACCGTCGTCCACCCGGGCATTGCGCGGCTGCATCGTCGACGAGGACCGGTGCTTTGCGGGAAACGTAGGAGAGCGCTCATTCCCACCTCCTCCCCCTCTCGAGGACTTGTCAGTAAGCTTCGCATAGCACCCATCGTCGACACGGACAGGCTGGAGAATGCCTAGGTGGGGGAGGGGCAGCGACTTGCTCGAGCACTGTTGATCAAAGCAATTCCCGCAGTTGCGGCAGTGGTGCTTTCTGTTGGTGAAGGTAAATGCAGTTCGGCATCTCATGCAAACGTCGGAGTCTATCCACTCGGGTGGCTAGGTAAGAGTCAGCGTATGCGTAATTGTCCAGACTGGAGATCTCACGAACCGCACTGCTGTCAATCATGCTGCTAGAGACGCTGACGCGCGGGGGGAACTGGAAGCCCTCCCTTTGCAGGGTCGTGTACACCTCGCCGATGTATGATAGAGTATAACGACCCTCGGTGGCAGCAGCCCACGACTGGATAAGTTCAAGTATTTTCGCACGCACTTCGGCGTTGACAGCGGCGGGGCCGGCCGCCTTCAGAAGTGACACCACGCTTTCCATAAACTCCCGCGACGCGATCTCGGCCAGGAAATGGGCGCCGCCATTCTTGACACATGTATCCGTGAGCTAGTTCTGTTAGCCAACAAGTTCGTTCGCCAGGCATTTCGATCCCGCGCGCCAGCCGCTCAGGCAAGTGTGGGCGAAGACTTACGTTGAGCGCGCTAAGCTGGGTATTGGGGTTCTTGTTGTTGATGCGCTTTTTGAGCGAGCGCATGGCCTCCTTAGGCTGGACCGTCTTGGATCTGATAACATCTGAGATCTCGAGGTTAAGAGCAATGTCCTCACTATGGCAAGACACAGGTTAGAGATCAGACGTGCCCAACGAGTCGGGGAAGAGCAGAACGAGAGAACGGGGACGCATCGTACAGGCTGCTGCTCGTGGCCTTCTCGATCTGTTCATCTAGGGCGCCGTTGGCCCCGGACGACCACCAACCCATCATTCTGAAGACCGCCGTGCAAAATCAGGACGGGCCGTGGGACGTCGGGATTTGATGGTGTTGCGGCTCCCGAGGGTGTCGATGAGCGAAGGAAGGCCAAGGTAACAGCTGGACTGGGGGTGTCGGTACTCGCGGCTGAGGCTGTCGTGCATCGACTCGCGGAGTTCGGTGTCAAGGCTATCGATCAGACAAACCCCATCGGCGAAACCAATTTCTAGCCCGTGGCATTCAGCGGGCGTCGGCTATGGGCAGTTGCTTGGAATACGGTGGTAAGTTTGCGATGAACTGTAAGATGGATCTGTCGAGTTACGCCTCAGCCTGCCGTTGGTTACGTATGAAGCCTGGTTGGAGACGGGACCTTTGGAGCTTGCCCCTCCAGCTACGGGTACCAAGGAGGTGCAGTACGTAAGGCATGTGCAGCTTGTACCTGGGCTAGCACGAGTGCTGCCTGCATGTCAATTGGCTGGCAGCTGTAAGCACTAGACCCTAGCCGTCTGCCACGCGGCGGCTGTTTGCCACCCGCTGGTACGGCGTATAAGTCCGTATCGCAGCAGCCAATAACCCGACGTTACGAATACTCCGTACCTAGGGTTATCCGAGGCAGACTGAGAGAGGTTTACCGTGCTGTGCAGTTCATTAAGCTCAGTGCCTTTCTCCTTGATAAACTTGAGTTTTTCTACTTTCAGTATGGGAATGACCATCTTCGACCCGTGCTCTGTAATTTGTTACAGGTGACCAGAACGGGCCGCTGTGACCTTGACATATGGATATGGACCCAAGGTTTAGGCCATTTCACATGACCAGACGGGAGTTTACAGGGTTAGGTTCCAGTGGTCTGGGCGGTAACGGCCTGTAAATAATAACACTAATAACAGTCCCAACCACGGCCTCGGCGGCTATCAATGGTCAAGGTGGTCAATCAACCGCATTCGTCACTGTTGCAGGACGAGCCTCGAACCGCACCCCTCAACCTTACCTACCGCAAAACGTAACCTTTTTTTGACGCCACATGCGAATGAAGTTGGGGCATAACCGTGTCGCCTAGCCGCCTCAGACAAAGAATGCTCCCTCCCCATTCCAAACGATCGAACGTCAGCAGTCGCTCGCCCATCGCTTTTCGCCCCTTAAAGACTGGCTCTGAGTCCGACACGTATGCTGTCTAAGGCGGCGTCTTCGCATTCCTCTGCCTAGATATTCTCGACGAAGTAGGAAGCCAGCGCTGAGCCGGGCATCACACCCCGCGCGACTCGCGGCCACCAAGACGAAGACGCCCAAACGATGTGGCCAGGCCTCCGCTATTTCTCATAACCGGCTTTCGCCTACACGATACCTACCAGCCGCGTCCAAGCCGTCTGGGTCGATCCCAGGCCTGCTGGGAATGGCTGGGTCGAGCACTCTGCTCGACCACGCAGGGTCCATGCCTCCTGTCAGCGGCCAGAAGGCCTTCGGATTCCAGGGTGGCGCTCGAGGGGGCAGGCGACCCATACCCCACATCGACGACATCGTCTCCGTTACCGTCGACGTCGACACCCATGCTCCCATCGAGAAGGTCCTCCAGGTAGCCGAGACTTACCTGCGCCAGGCTGAATCCTCCAAAAACTTTGGCCGCCCCGACCTGGCGCTGGCCGATTACATCAAGACCAACATCATCGTCCTCGACATCATCAAGAAGAACAAGGGGTGGGTATCGCTACAGAACGATAATAAGACTCAGTATGAACGGTACCAGCGCCTCTTGCGCCAGGTTCTTGCTGCGCATACCGATTTCGAGCAGATCAAGGCCGAGATCAAGGCCGACAACCAAGAGAGTGGCGTGCAGCCTACTGTTGTTCGGCCGCTGGCGAATGGAGAGGGCATCGATAGCCGGACAGGACAGGATAACATGGCCGCCAAGACAGCTCAGGATGGCAGCGTGACAGATCGGGGCGTTCTGAACGGCAGTGCTGGAACCAAGGCGAACGGCACACCGCGCCGACCACCACCTCCTCCAATCAAGACCAAACCGCATGTTCACCCGAAACCCCAAGGCCTACACGGCAATGCCATCCGGCCAGCCGCTCGGGGAGATTCGTCGTCGAACAAGGCGTCGCAGGATCTCCTCCAGCGTTTTGCGAATCTGCGGGCTAGCACCGCCAGCACTATTCAAGACCCGCGCATCCGTACGCAGCCTATTGCGCCTCAGAATCTACTGGAGCAGCAGGATTTGTTGGGATCGCAGTATTCAAGCTCTCTTTCAGGCGATGCGTCTGATATGCCAAGATTGCCCGATGCCATCTATAACCCGGCCAGAGGGACAATATCAAATGAGGCCGCCGAGCTTCCCTCAAGTGCTCCACACGCCATCTATACTCGAACAAACTCTACGGCATCTTTCTCCAGTTATGCGAAGAGCAGTAAACCCCCTTCGTTTGAGGAGTATTTTGTGCCTGCCCAGGCGTTTGGCACAATGTCAGCCCCGGCTCCAGCGAAACGTTCAAAAATCACCATTCCAGATGGCACCACCATTACTGCTCAGGACCTTTTCCGGTACATGAAGGCCGGTTCCAAGGATATCTCCATACTCATAATTGATATCAGGAACCGAGAGGAATTCGATGAAGGTCACATCATGTCTCAGGCTACCATCTGTCTCGAGGCTGAAGTCCTCATGAGAGACCATATCTCGGCGAGCCAAATAGCAGACAGCATGATTCTCGCGCCAGCCGCAGAGCAACTCCTGTTTGAAAGGCGCCACGAGTTCGATTTGGTGGTGTTCTACGACGAGGAGTCTGACCGCGTTGCTGGAAAGGCAGATACTCCCGAACAGCGGGCGATCCAGGGCCTCTTTAATGCCCTCAGCCATTACGATTTCTCTGGTGGATCAGGCCCGAAGTCAGGGCCGAAGTTGCTCAAGGGCGGCCTGGACGCCTGGACAAGCCTCGTAGGCAGGGGCGCCCTACAGTCATCGTCAACCACCTCGATGAAGTCCTCAAAGTCATACACTTCGAGCCCCTTGGTGAGGGGTCTCTTGACCCGCCGTCAGACTCACATTCCCCGGCCGATTCAAGACCCAGAGGAAGCCCGGAGGTGGGAGGAAACCATTTCTGATATAGGAGGCATATCTCCCGTCAGGACTACAGAAGAATTTCTCCGTCGGTTCCCCGCCGTGTCGGCGATCCAGGAGTCGATGGTATCCCCAGTTAGTCCCACTGGAAGTCAGCCGCCAACCAGCCCCTTTCAATCTCGCCTGTCTCACGAGGAGACTCTTTACACCTCTTTACCGTCACCACCAACTCGCCCACCCCCCACCCTTCCACGGAGGAGCTACAGCGGACTCGCCGAGGCAGAAAATACCTCGCCATTAATGGCTAAGAGGGCAACCATGAAGGCGGGGGTGGAACATTTCCGGGAAAATCGGACAGGATTACAGAACCCTGGGGTATTCTGCTTCGCAAACAGCTCCTTACAGGCCATGTTTGCCACACCTGGTTTCGCCCGCGAGCTATGGACCGGCTCCTGGAAGGATACATACCCGGTGCCTATGAAACGTGATGAGAGATACCAAAACCCCCAGTTGCTTATCAAGTGCCTCGCCAACCTATTTCACTGGCTAGACCAGGGGACATTCAAGTCCCTGGAAGCTAAAACTGTTATGGTATGTGTTCTGTTTTGTCCAGTTTGTTTTGGAAGACTTGGGGCTGACGATTTTTTAGGAGTATATATATGCTATCCATATGTCAGGTGTCGATGGCAAGAAGAAGCCAGAATCTGAAATATTTGGAGGGCCGGCACAACAAGACGCCCAAGAATTCTACTCGTTCATCATGGACAATATCCACGACGAGACAAACATTTACAGGGACAAAAAGCCCCCAAAGGAGGAAAAGCCCTACACTCCCAAAGACGGCACCATTATCCAAAACGCCATGGACTACTGGCGAGACTATTCGAGCGCGAGCGCTTCCATTATCGACAAATACTTCCGGGGTCTAGAGGTGTTCATTTCGCGCTGTCACAACCGGACATGCCGCCAAGAAATACGGCTCTTCCAACCCTGCGACGTTTGGATCCTCAACCTGGCTGGTGTGAACGATCCCACAGATCTGGATCAACTCCTCGTCAACCATCAAGCGCCGGAGCAATTCCCGGACCTTCTCTGCGAGACATGCAACAAGCCGGGGAGGACGAGGAGATCGAGATTTGCCCGGCTGCCCAACCGCCTCGCGTTTTGTCTTAACCGCTTCCACACCCTAGGGGGTTCGATGGGCGGCAGCGCGGGCGGCGGGCGGGCGGCGGCCAACAAGATCCACACCAAGGTCCGCTTTCCTATCCGCGACCTCGACCTAACCAAGTACTGCGCCGAGCCGGACCCGGACATGACGTCGACCGACGACCCGCACTTCGCCGGCCGCATGCGCTATGACTGCTACGCCGTCACGGTGCACGTCGGCCACGGCATCAACGGCGGCCACTACTACAGCTACGTCCAGGACGAGCTCTCCAAGGACCCCGCCAGCTGGTACCGCTGCAACGACGACGTCGTCGACCGCGTCAAAATCGGCACCCCGGGCGCCGTCGGCGACTTCACCGAGACCATGTACCAGAACGGAAACACGTCGGCCTATATGGTGTATTATCGGCGCCAAGGGACGTGATTTTTGGATTTTTTTGCGTGTTCGTGTTTGATGGGGATGGACTCTTAGGGATCCAGGATAAATGTGGAAAGGTGAACGTCCATCTTTGCGGCATGTGTCATTTAGATGCTTTGCCCGGTCGGCCATCCATGATACTTATGATCGAAACGGTCTCGGGAGGTCCTGGCTGTTGATAGATGTGGAAACCGCCATTGGTGGGTTGAAAGCTAGCTGCCTTTTTTTGTTCTGTTGCGGTAGCATTTCCCTTCCCCAAATGTTAGAGGGAGGGAGGGCGAGCGCCGAGAGAAGAAGGACTACGCAAATATGATGGTTCTTCTTTGCTGTTCTTGTTGTTCCTGCTGTTGCTGCAGTTGCAACTGCAACTTCCTCTCGTTCTGGGTAGGTAGGTGCTTTGGGAGGTTGTCAATACGTACTACCTACGTAGTAGTAGTGCCAAACAATGTGCCGCGTTTACGACGTGCATGCATGCTCTTCGTCTTCCTTTTTCGCTTTGCCATTTTTATATTGGCATGGGCGAAGCTACCAACTTCGGTACCTGCCTGCCTGCCTGCCGCCAAGGGTGTGAGCAACAGACATCCATACAGACAGTGCATAAGCTGTGTGCGCATTCGGAATCCCAAGGTTCACGGCCATGCATGTAAGCAGCACGTAAGCTTTAAACGACTGCAAGGTTCTGGCATGTCTTACATGATAGGAGGCAGAAATGGACAGAGCATCTGACTAACAGCCAACAAGGTTGAGAATGAACATCTTCCCATTACACCCCCTGAGGTAAATATTATTCTAGATGACAAATTACTCGGAGAGAGAGGCGCGACTCATTATGGTTATTGTTATACATGATAGGACACACTTACCGACCTTAGGTGCAAGCTATGCTGCCAAACAACCCACATAGACAGACTAATACATAAGCGCCCAAACAGATGATCTCGTCCTTCTTTCTTTCAATTTTCGGCAATGCAATTGGCAATCTCCTTCTCGTGTTTTTCTTGGATTACTCTCCGGTTTACTTTCTGCGTTGCCGTCACGTAGCCCTATCATCACGGGTTAGCAAACAACGACCAGTAAAGGTGAAAGGGGAGGTGACTAAGTAAGAAAAGTTAAGAACTCACATTTATGGGCGTCCACTCCTCGTCTACAATCAAAACTCCGGTTACCGTCTCGTTGGCGCTGAGGCCTGCCTTCTTCGCGGCGGTTTTCAGCTCCTTGAGGACGGCGGTGCGCACTTTGGGGTGAGTGCGCATCGAGTGCTCGTCAACGCCGAGCTCGGCCGCAAGTTCGGAAAGGGCCTTCTCGTTGGCAAAGACGACCGCGATGGGCCGCGGAGCCTCGCTTCCGCCATATACCATGACGTTCTGGACGCACGGCGCGCCGCGGTAGACGGCCTCGAGCTTCTCAAAGGCGATGTACTCGCCGCCCTGGAGCTTGACGAGGTTCTTGACGCGGTCGATGACGCGCAAGTGGCCATTGGCGCCGAACTCGCCAATGTCACCAGTGCGGAACCAGCCGTCCGAGGTTACGGCCTTAGCCGTCTCCTCAGGATTCACGAAGTAGGTCGTCAGAACCGGACCGCCGCGCATAAGAATCTCGCCCTGCGGCGGCGTCGAGTCGGTGCTGTAGTTGAGCTCGGGAATCGAGACAAGCTTCACCTCGATTGCGCCCGGGACGGTGCCGCTGGTGTCCTGTGACCACTGCAGAGGGGAGCCGAGGCCGCCATTGCCGCAGGACTCGGTCAGCCCGTACCCGCTGATCATGGGTGCCACCACCATGCTCAAGAAGTGTAACGTGCCTGCCGAGATGCCGCTGGCGCCGTTGACAATGAAGCGAAGCCGGTCACCCGTCATTATGCGCACCTTGCCGAAGACCATGCGGTCGAACAGGGTGTGCCCGGGCAGCCCCTTGGCCACCAAAAAGGACTTCAGCTTGAGCGCGCCCCAGAAAAGCGAGCGTGTGACTATGCCCGAGCTGTTGACCCGGCTTTCGACGCCTTTCCTGACTGTCTCCCACACCTGCGGCACGCCAATCATGACGGTAGGCCGGAACGCGCGCATATCGCCGGCACAGTTGCGCATGCTGCTATCGACGAGGGTGCGCGGGTGGCCGTAGCCGAGGGTGCCGCCGATGAAGACGACGCAGTTCTCGACGACGAGCTCGAAAATGTGCGCAAGGGGCAGGTAGGCAAGCACGTTTTCACGGTTACTTACAACCCCCTTCATGACACTGTATATGCCGGCCACAGCTGACACAAAGCTGGCATGGGTCACTGGGACGCCTTTGGGGAGTCCGGTACTGCCCGACGTGTACATGATGCAGTACGTCTCGTCGGCCTGGGGTTCCACGGGCGCCGTCGGGTTCTCCTCGCCGAGCGCGCGCACCTCTTCGAACGACAGGACGGTGAGGTCCGGGTGGGACGCCTTGAACGCCTTGATCTCAACGTCGGGCACGGGGTTGTGGGTGGCGTGGTTGTAGATGAGCACCTTGACAGACGGCGCCCTCTTCAGGGGGCCGGCTATTGTCTTCAACAGGTGGGGGTCAACGAATATGGCATCTGCCTTGCTCTGGACGAGCGAGTGCTCAACGCCGCTCTCGCCGAGAGTGTCATAGGCCGTGACGATGGTTATTGACTGGGACGAGCACGCGTGTGACATGTTCAACCATTGCGCACTGTTTGCCATTTCCAGAAAGTTAGGGAGGGACAAGGATGGGGACAGAGGCACGACACACATACCTCGTGGCAGCAAATATGTGGACCTTGTCCTTTGGTGACAGACCCAGCTTCCTGAGACCTGCGCCGACCTGCAGGGCCATGATATAGTAGTCCGTGTACGTCATATACTCGTAGTCGGAGAGCTCGAAAAAGGTCCATTCCTTGTCAGTCTCGATGGTCTCGCCGTCGAGACCCTTGGAGATGACCTTTTTGGTTTCCCGATGGGTGCGGAGGAGTCTGCGGGTGCCGACGGCAGGCTCATTGCCGTAAGTGGAGGCACTTTTCTTGAGGAGGTCAAAGGTGGTGTTTATGTCTGGCGTGGGACGCGTCCATAGGGCATCCTTGGCCGAGGGATGGCGGCGGGGGATGGTTTCGCCCGGGACCGGGTCGTAGCCCGATGCTTCGACGGTGAACGGCGGCTTCTGCACCATCCGCAGCGGCAGAGGGCCGTCGACGAAGGACGGCATTGCGGTGACTGGCAGACAGACGGGCGGGAAAGAAAGTGCTAGTTCTAGATGGGTGGATAGTTGCCGTGGTTGTCGCTTGGATGCCTCGTCCGGGGTACTCCGTATAGGGGACAAAGTTTAGCAGAGAGTGTATGTGTGTGTAGGTGTGGAGTGCAACGGGGCACAGTGCAGAACACAGCGGGCGGGCTTCGGCAGTTTGAACGTCAAGTTTGCGGCCGGTCGAGCTTTCAGAAACCCGGTCGTCTACTAGGGATGAAGGTAGCCTAACTCGGATTCTTTAGGGCTGGTTCTGTATGTGTTTGTTGGCGGCTTGGGAAACGGAGAATGCGGACCTTCCTGAGGCGAGGTGGGCGGAAAACTGCCAGCCGTCAGCTAGCTCTAAACTAGCACGCCCAATTTGAAACTTTGCAGGTTGGGCAAGGATCGCAAACAGCTCGGACTTGTGCGTCAGCGGTGGACAACTTAAATAGAGGAAGGAGCGAGTGAGGCTTGATGACTGCCAGAGATTCTAGGCCTTCCGTGAATCCGTGAAGTCTATTACACGTGGGCGGTTGCTTTATATGAGGTGTATGTACATACGGTATGTACATGTACAGGACATACAGTACCGTGCCGAGGTGGAGACGGCCGATGCAGCAATTTTCGGGGGGCTTTTTGTAGAATCCCGACCCTCATGGATCCCCTTTTCCTCAACGATCCAATCAAGGGAGCAACGGACCTTGGCCCCAAACCTTAGCGTCTGGTCTGACGGCTGACGGCCGCACCTCCAAAGCACAGATGGTGGATGTGAGATGACAATGGAATGAGGCGACCCCTGGAAAGGTTGCTGACCTCTACGGCGGCCAAGAGCCGAGCTAGGTCGAGCCTATTCCTTTTTCTTTGCTTATAACTCTCCGGCATTGAACCGCAGCGGCTGCGCTGCCTAGGTGTCCAGTGGGAAATAGCTTGCTATGACTGACGCCGCAAGGGCGAGGGATAGCCTAGGATCCCATTTTCGTCAGTCAGATTCATGACATCAAGGTTGCGGTCCCTCCCAGAGTCCCGACTGCAACCCGCAACCCGCACGCAACCTCAAACTCGTTCGTCTCATCTCGTTTTTGGGGGGGGCATCCACCGATGTGTAATACCAGTGACTACCTGGCACTAACTTGACCTCGCAGCCCTATAATGCGGGGTCAGATCGGACTCCTCCCATCCAAACGCGGCGAAGTCAGATTTGCCTCGGCTGCCTACCTGACCACTCGGAGACAGCCGTCTTTGACTTGCCTCGGAAGGTTGAGTTGGTCGTGTGCTTTGTGTATGTACGTACCTGCGTGAGGGGACCTAGGTGTCCTACAACAAGGTTGCATTATTATTATGTTGGGTCAGTAACAGAGGCTTATTATTAGCGGAAAAAGTACCATTTTAGCTGCAGCACGATTAAACCAGCCTTTTCTAGTTCGAACATGACAGAAGTGCCAAACGGTATCCACGGATGTTCTTTCAACATGCTCAATGCAACTAAGGTAACCTGTTGTAGGACATGGGCCTCCCTCCCGGCATCGACGGATGTCGTGACGGTCCGTCGCTGCCTTGCTTGGCAATAAGGTTCACACACTCACCTCATGTAATATTGTACCAGTTTAATTTGCAGTGCAGGCAGGAACGAAAGAGGCTGAACACTAAACGCAAGACTCCAGTGGAACTTCTTCATTTAGTTCTATTCCCCTTTTTGGCAATAGATAAAACCGGGAGAACATGGCATCGGCATCGGACCCTGTCGTTTGTTCCCTACCAGGTACTATTCTTATCAAGATTACGCCCAGTGCCGGTTCTCACCTACATGTCCATTCTCATGAGCCTGTTGTAACTTGTGTCGGTTCGAGGCAATCGACAAGCCTCGTTGTCTGTCCCAAGATGCTGCCTGATTGGGCAGAAAAGGCGAGGGGCACGCGTCAGCTACCGAACAATGGAATCCCCCCACAGCGGTAGGAGCAAGCAGCAGCAGGGCTGTGAGTGTGACGCTGGAGCAGCCCTGGACGCGGAGACGGCCAGCAGCGGTCAGCACTTCAAACAGTCGCTCTTCTGAATAAGCAAGCATCACCGGAAACGACTACTACCCCACGTACCAGGACAAGCCAGCCCTATCGAGCCTTTCGAACCTGACTAATTGATGCCATGGACGAAACTGGCGCAGTGGGCGGCGCAATAGATGGGATTGGCGGCGGCGGCGATGAGATGGATGGATTTGCGTTCTATCTTGACCCCCGAGACGACTCGTGGCAAGGCCAAGGTTCCGACTTGCTCAACAACAGCTCGTCGTCGTCGTCGTCGCCGGGATCCTCACTAGGCTCACCAACACCAACACCAACACCAACTGCCTCGGCCTCGGCCTCTGAAACCAGCCAGACACTGTCGGTTCGGCGCAAGCCCATCCCAAGGAAGGGCCACACAAAGTCGCGCCGAGGCTGCTTTGCCTGCAAGAGACGGAAAGTCAAGTGCCAGGAGACGCAGCCCGCCTGCCTCAACTGTTCGCGGATCGGGCTCAAATGCGAATATCCTCCACCGCCCGAGTTATCGTCTTTGGCGTCCCAAGTTTGGCAGCTAGAACCAACACAGTCTCAGCCCCCGTCCCAGCCCCAGGCCTTGTCGCTGTACACCTCGACTCCCTTGCAGTCGACTCCGTCCCTCTTACCCAGCTTCACCATGCAAGACTTCCGCTTCTTCCATCATTTTATCCTCAACGCTTTCCCACCTCTTCCTATGAACGGAGACGGCGTATGGCAGTCCGTCGCGGCCCTCTCGCATCAAGTTTGTTCCCCTGCCATATACAGTAGACCGGTTCTCGTTGACTGACCCGCTCCCAGTATGACTACTTGTTGCACGCCATGCTAGGCCTCGCCGCTTCGCACTTGAGCCTGTTTGGTGACGATTCTTCGTCGGTGGCTCTTTCCTACCGCGTGAAGGCTCTACAAAGCCTCAACCAGGCCCTCAACACACCCCCCACGTCAAACATAGAAGCAGACGCTAGGTTCGCCACCGTGCTAGCCCTGGCATTCCAGGCTTCTACGATGCCTGAGGGAATGGTCGAGTGGGTAACCATGGCTCGAGGATGTGGCATCATTGCCAGGTCTGAAGCCATCTACACTTCGGAGAAATCGATATTCTTCACTCTCGGCCAACAGGGTGTGTCCAGAAGCATAAAGAGGTTAACGCCGCGTGATCCCAAAAATCTCCCAGAGCTCCCCACCGAAGATTTGGTTAGAGAGTTCCTTGTCTCTCTTAGGGCGATTGCGCCCCTCTGCTCAAGCCCGATCGAGGTCATGTTTCTCGCCGAGATCGAGCGTGCCGCGAAACTGGCCACTGTATCGGCAGACGAAGGTGAGACTCGGAAATGTCTCGGCTCGTTTTTGGACCGTACCCTATGGCTAACACTGTCGCCGATATAGCATTTGCCGCTCTCACGGGTCAATACGTGATGCTTAGCCACGCCAGCGAAGAAGAATACGCCCCCTTTACGAACCCTGAGAACTATGCAGTTCAGCTCCTGCTGATCCACTTCTCACTAATAGAGTACGCCATGGGCGCTCGCACACTCTCGGAAGAAGGTATAAAGTTTGTTTACCGCAAATGGGCAGCCATCCGGTGGGTGGGCCGTCTCGTCGACACGCTCCCAGAGGAGTTCCACCAATATTTAGAGTGGCCCATCAAATACGCCCAACATTTGACAAAACACGAATAGCTGGGCCCTGAACTACCTGTTCTTGGCCGTCTATCAGCACGGCATTCATGTCTGCTCAGGAGCCACGGGGCTTCTGGTTCCAAAGGAGCCTAGCTCTTTTTGGTCGCCGTCTTCTTCGACTCTCTCCATCCAACCATCACTCCCAAGACATGTGCTGGGATGATAGACGCAGAAGACCGAAATAGCGACAACCATAGGTACAGCGTCAAACACCCAGAACAGCCACTCGTGGTTGAAGGAGTACCCCCTAACACCCTCGGCGAACTCTGCCACTCGGTAGATAGACCGAATCTGTTTGTTATTTTTGGGTCAACACAAGTACGCCATTCCTCCCGATGCGCCACCATCTGCAGTGATTGAGCTCATGGCCGGGTAGGATAAAGAGAGAGAAGAGAAACCGCACGCATTGTACGTACCAGGATCAGAAACGACGAAATGTAGACAGCCGCCACAACCTGCTTCCAGCCGGCCGGCGCGTGGGGTGCCGCATGGCTCGTCGCCAACCAGTGGAACCTCGCAAAGACAGCCAGAAAGAAGCAGAATCCAGCCACTTGCAAAGCCAGACCGGCGACAAGGACATTGAGGCCCGTTTGCGCCCGTGGCCCCTGCCAGTTGACCACAATGGCCACGATGGAGCCGCTGCTCTGCACGAAGAATGATATGATGTCGAGCCCCACGAACACGCGTGTGATCAGCCGCCCATGGACCCCGAATACGCGCTGATGCCGAGCTGGAAGCACCCACTACACTAGCCGACCGATCAGTAGGTAGTTGCCCGCGGCCACGAAGACGGGCGCTAGAACCACGAACGAGAGAGTCACGGCGAATAAGGCCTTTTTTGCCGTGTTCCAAGAGTAGGGGGTCAGCTCTATTTACTTCATTTCTCTCCCCCTCTAGTAGGACAAAGGAAAGGACGGACAGAATGGAGGACGGGTGGAGAAAGTAAGACAAACTTCGACGTACTGTCTGGGTCGGCTGCTTGATGGAGATACACCGCGTCACATATCCCAATACCTCGAGCCAGGAGCCGGCGACGACGCAGCCGAAATACCAGGCCCGATGGCGTATCATGGTCAAGTAGAATATGTAGATGAAGGATGCTCCGTAGATGAAGGATGCTCCGTAGATAATTGATGCGATGATGGCTAGCGGCAAGTTTGGCTCGTACATCCAGACCATTCGGGGAGCGTTGATGTTTGCTGGTTGGCTCATTGTGGCGTTATTTATTGTCGACGTTGTTGTTCCTTGTTGTTGCTCTTCTTCTTCTTCTTCTTCCTTTGGAAACACTGCTCCTCTCCTTCTAGGCTTCTTTTCTTTCTTTTGGCAGCCCAACCAGAGTAGTGTCGGGAGCGTCTCAAACGAGTGTCGTTCGATCGGCGATGGGGGCTGGGTTCGAATAAAAACTTTTCGGCAATGGAAATAGAAGACTGGAGAAAATGAACAGACAAACTGGATATAGCTTTCTCAGCACTGGTTGTGAGTCGCAGAAGCAAGGGGATGATACGCAACGATGCAAGAAACCTGAAGCGAAAAGGCTATGGTGCCTCGGCCTGCTGATAAGGTGTAGGGAGGACTATTATATCCCCTACGGAAGCCAACTCTTGCATGGGTATCCAAGAGCGCCCGACCCTCTCAGGCCTCTCCCGCCTTGCTCGTGTGTGGCAGTGCCGTGGTCCAGCTCGGCGGGCCCCCGGGACATAGAGATAGGGGGAGAGCAACGCCAAGAACCAACCAACAACCCCCCCCTTTGCCGGTACCATAGTCGGGGACCGCATTGGCGTTTGTTTAAGGTCTGAAGAACAATCCAGCAGGCACTGTTGACGCGCGGCAAACGAAGCAAGGAGAGAGACTGAGAGCTTGGCTTCACTACCGCCATGCCGTTTACCTGTTGAAAATTGGCAGAAGCAAAGCAACGCGAAACTCCAGCCGTAGGCGAAGGGACCTCTTTTGTTCGTATAGGTAGCTAGATAAGGAGAGAGGGAGGCAAAGCTCCCCTGACTGGGCCTGGGCTTCTCGTATAAGCGCAGCCCCCAATCCAGGAACAAACCAATCAGCGTTACACACACACCACATCGTTGTTACACACCTACAGAGGGAGAGGGAGAGGGAGAGGAAGTGGTATTCTGCGTATGGATGAGGCAATTGCTGCTCTGCCTTTGTTCTTTTTGTTTTCCATTTTATTGGTGATATCCATCGAAAGAGATGGACGGGTATCTATCTACCTAGATATATAAGAATGATATCCCCTTTCGGGAACCAACCCCCAAACCCCTTAGCGCGTGCGCGGCTTGCGTACCCGAATCCGACGAATGCGAGGCGCATATCCGTATACATACATACACACAATCCAACCCCTGACTGAATGTCTGTTAGCGGGGCACTTTCCATGATGTTAAGGGCCTCGGTATCTTACGACTCGCCGTAAATATATTTCGCCGAGGAAGGTGATAGAAATACCTATTAAAGGCTTTTCTTAGCTACTTTATCTGCTATGATCTTTACTCTACCAAAGCACCACGCTAATAGACATCCAGGGACTAAACTATATGTACGATACACATATACAGACACACATGCTACAGCCAACAGGCAGCTCGGCTTGGCTTGGCATGGGTGGTGTGTATGTATATGTGTGTGTGTATGTATATGTGTGTGTATATGTGTGCGTGCGGCTCCTCCCGGACGCACATATACGGTATCTAGAGCTAGGCATGCTACGTAGGTGCCGGCCGAGGACATGCTTATTTGTGTAGCGGGCCTGTCCTGTCCTACCCTGGGTGTTGGCGGTTTGAGACTGGGGCTCAGCATGGGGTTATCTTACGCTTGTTATGTAGATATTACTACCGTATAGTCTTCCAGAGTCCTCTAGAAGATCTAATAGTTAGTTACGACATCCTATAATACGAGACTCTATTTGGCTTCAGACCCCGGAGAGATATTGTGGATTGACCAAGGTAAGTCATAAGTAAACCCCACGTGAAATTATAGCCAAAGGACTATACACCGAGACTAGAATTTACTGCCCGTATTTTGGGTAGTATATATCTAGCTAAAGTAACTATATGCAATATACTTAGAGTGAGATCACGTCTCTCTCTTATCCCCCTAGGTATCTAGGTAGATGTCTGTGGAAAATCCACCACAACCTACGGGAGGGGGAATATCATAGGAAATACCCTAGAACGCCATACGTCCTCTATATGCGCCAGAAATTGAAAGCAAATTAGTAGCAACTCCCGGGGTCTAGCGACCCAAAATAGGTTAGTAGTTAGTCTATCTAAATGGCAGACTCGTCCTCTTCCGTTTTAATAAGAGGATTATAGCCTCCGTCGGCCTCGGCAAGGTCGCCCTTGCCCGCCTCTTTATTCTCGTCGCCAATCTCATCCTGGCCGTTCTCGACGTCCTCCGCGGCCTCGTTGCTCTCCTCGGCGAAATCGAATGGGATTTCGACGTTCTTAAGTACGAGAGAGTGATCGTCTTGCTTCGGCGCCCGCCAGTCGGCGAGCCACTTCATGACTATGGCTCCCAGCCGCTGCTGGAGTAGCAACTTGCGCTCGTCGCGTGCCGAGCCAATGTTGTTTTTGTCCTCGAACTGGAAGTTGTTGAGCAGCAGCGCGATCTGGCCCTTGACCTTGTCCGTGGCAAAGGCTGAGATGTCGCTAAACTCGTGCGCCAGCTGCCCTACGTTCTGAATGTACTGCTCTACCATCTTGGTGAAGCCCGCATGGCACAGTTCCCGGCACTCGGCTTTCACTTGGTTGCGGAGGTACGCCCGTTGGCGTAGGAATTGGTTCTCGCCTGCACGGTTTTCCCAAGTCGGTTGGTTAGCTGCCTCCTCGTGATGATAAGCGAAGGGTAAATTGTAAGATCCATACCTTTTTCCTTGAGAGCCCCGGCAAAAATTGGGTTCAGCTTTTCTTTCAGCGTCTTCACAAATTGGGGGTGGATTTTGGAAGACGATCTCGAGAGGTCTTCGAGAGCCTTGCGGATTTTGTCCCGGATCTCGTTCTTGACTGCTTGGATGGCGGGAATGCCGGCCTCCAAGTGAGGCAGGACACCGGGGGCTATGGCCTGGACCTGAGCTCTCAGATGGTCGAGATAGGCCTCCCAGATCGCCTCGATTATGTCCATCAGGGGGTTTTCCGCTGCGGGGATCTGGACGTGGAACACGGAGAACCAGTCTTTGGCGATGAGTTGGAGGAGAGGTGCTGACCTGCGGCGGAAGTGGAATAAATCAGCGGTTTGAACATTCCATGTAACGGGGGAGAGTAACTTAGAATGCTAGGGAAAAGTTGTATGAACGTCGATTCTGGCCCGTGGTTGTGTAAGGACCTCCATTGTGTCTCAATATTGCCGCAAAGCTGCACCAGTGCATCAGGAGCGATGATGTCTTGTCCTCCGGATTTTTCACAGGCCACCTCGTCACGGCCATTCCCGACACTTTGGTGCAAGCCTGGAGGCGTGCGTTGATGTCACCCAGAGGGTTCATTTCCCGAATCTTTCTTGACCCGTTGTTGAGATGGTCACCGAGTTTCTATCCCTCGTATGATTAGCAAGCGGAATACAAGGAGAGAAAAGAAAAGAAAAGGGAAGAAGAGAAAAGAATAGGAGCTAAGGATGTACTTACCTCGCGATATATGAAATGAATGCTCAAGAGGATATCCTCAATCGACTGACGCGAGGATGCAATAAGCCGACTTCCATTCTGGATCGTAGACCAACTCTGTATCTCGAGAAAGAGCCGGCACAGAGCATTGAGTAGGCGATCCAAGTGCTCATTACGCTTATCGAGCGTCGTCGTTCTGATCCACCGGCTGAGACACGGGATACCCGTATAGTTTAGGGACGGAAACCCCAAGACCTTTTTCGGCTTTTGGAGGTCTCGATATGCCATGGCGGAGACGGGGAATACCTCGACGGAACCATCGTAGAGACCCCCCGACGCCGCCGCCCCTTTGGTCTTCTCGCTCAAGAGTTTTTTTTGCCGCTCCTTGAAGTCGCTCCGGATGGCCTTGGCTATGCGTTCGCCGTTCATCCTCATACATGCCCACCTAAGTCTGCCCTCTATCGTTTCGAGCTCTTTGTTAATGCCCGCCCGCGAGTTTCCCAGCTTTCGAAGAGCGGTCTTCTGCTTTCTGCGCTCCTTGTTGAGGTCCTTCTTCTTGATTTTCAGACCTGCTAATTTTGTAATAAACTTCCTGTCTATGGCGGGGGTAAGTAACAAGTTATACATTCATTCAAAAGGGGCGTGGGATGGGGTCCATACCATCCTTCACCTTTTGCGCGCCTGGGCCAGAAGCCGTCAAAGCCTTGACCTCGCTGTCATAGCTGTTTAGCTTCGAGTCCATGTCGGTCAACGTTTTTTGCTCCGTCTTGATTTGCGACTCGATTGGGCGTAGGCTTGTTATGAGCCTCTTTACCTGCTCGTTGTCGTCTTGGAGAGCCTTGTCTGTCTTTGGAGACTGTGTGCTCTTGACAAAGACATCGCAGTCGATTTCGTCGATCTGGGAGACGACCACGCAAAATCTCTTCTTGTTGAACTTGTCATCCATCTGCATAGACACGGTCTGGTAATCGCTCATTAATTGAACCCCCGTCTTTCCGTCGACGGCACGGCGTGCGGGCACGACGATTACAGTGATCTCCAATGCCTGCAGAAACCTCTCGGTGACCTGAGCACGGCTTTCTACTGCGTCTGCAAGACCAGGTAGATCTACCAGGACGAGCCCGTGCTTGAGGATGTCGGCCTTGATGAACAGCTTCGCTTCGTTGATGAGGGGCCATGCCTTAAACCCATACGTGTTGTCTGATGCGTCAATGTACGGCTTGACAATTTCGGAAAACTCGTCGGCGTCAGCGGATGAAATTCTCTTGGTGGTGTCGAGGAGCGCCAGCACGTCCTGGTTGGATTCAAGTAGCGATTCTGCCGTCATGTCCTTGAGTTCCTCTTCTTTGACTCCCCATACCGCGGAAATCTTTTTGAGCCCTTCGGAAATCTGCGCTTCCATTTCGGCTATCTGGTGCATCCTATCCTCGTCGTCGTCCTCTTCATCTTCGGCGTATGCGTCGCGGTCTCGGATTTCCTTGTATGTGGCTTCCAGTTCCTTGGCCACATCTTTGCGGGAGCGGAACACGATCTCGGCCCTGAATCTATGCTGGGGACGGTTGTCTCTGTTCCACAAAACCTTGCAGGCACACGACGTCGAGGCCTCAGAGTTGCTAGAAGGCAATAGCTCTGGCACTTCCAGCAGCGTGTTCAAAATCGTGCTTTTCCCCGCCCCTGTCTGCCCTGCAACGCCTACCAGAATCTCCAGTTCTTGGTACTCCTGGTTGAGTTTGGCTTTGAACAAGAGACATGTCAGCTAAACTGCACTTGCGAATCACGGGGCCGTACTAACTAACCTATCTCGTCCATCCATGGGATGATGACATCTTGGTCGAATATATTATCGGATGCCTCGTGCCCAGAAGTCTCGTTCCTCGTGGCTGTGAGGATTTCGTGACGAATTTCCAGCAGACATTTTAGAGCATCATCGACGGCCTGCTGCTTGACCCAGACTCGAGCGCTAATGTCTTTGTCACGGCACTGATTCCAGGCGAAGCTAGATGGCTCAGCCAGCGTCCGATCGTGCTCGATGGCCCTCTCAGTCGAGTTGGCCACGCCTGTAAATGTGGTCTCGGTCGACTCTGGCAGCGGACCGGTGCTTTTGAGTCGGTTTGCGACGTTGTGCGGCCCATCCGTTGGCAGGTCCACATCCATGGCAGACTCACCCGATAAGCTTTGCGTCTCCAGGCCAGTCTCTGCCGACCGGACATCGAAGTTGGCCGTGGCACTCCTGTCAGCAAGTTCAAATGGCGAACTCATGATGCCGCAAGCGGTCTTAGTTTATAATGTTTTCAATGTTTTTTTTTGGGAGGGGGGGGGGATGATGAAAAATGAAGCTCTGGTCCAAGTGGCGGTGCTAGGGAAGGTAGATAAGAATGATGAGTAGGAATGGCGAGAAGCGCAGAAGGGCGGAAGGGCGGAAGGAGAAGTTGAAGTGGGGGAAAATATGCTAGCTTATCGAGGAAGCTTTGAGGTGCTGTTGGTAGTAGTGATAAGCATGGAGGCGGTTGGCAGGACGAAGTCTGAAGCGCCGCCAGTGGAAATGAGGAGAAGTCAGGGTTCTAGCGTTTACTCTTGCTTCCTGAAGGGCATGTGACGAACCGAAGGCATCGGTCACCTACTTGCTCCTACGAATGTAAAAAGGGAAGGTGAGATAGGTAAGGATGAGCGAGAAAGAACGAAGAGGTCCGGGTGCGTTTGAAGATGACCTTTCCTGTGCCGCTTCTTGTTGGTCTTCCTCGAGACGTGAGCAAGAGGGAGGAAATCTGGAATGTGGAAGATGAGGTGAGTAGGTACGCCCTTAAGGTGATGAGTAAGGTAGGTGAGGTCTAGACCTGGTATGTAGGTAAGTGGGAGCGCGGAATGATGAAGAGGGTCCTCCTGTGATTTTTCATGTACCGGTCTTCGTGTTCCAAAAGGAAAGACTGCCTAAGCAGGGGGTGAGGTGACGAAGGAACGTAGGTAAGTTAGGTCCCCCGATAGGCAAGATCAAAATTTAAGGTGGCGGGTGGAAAGGTGCCTGAGGAGGCAAGCTGCAGTTTTAGATCTGGAGACGAATAGGAAGCGGCGCAACAAGGGGCCTTCCTATTCCAGGTGCCTGTCTACCAGGTGAGAGAGAGCAAGTGCTCAAGGTATATCACGTATCCAGGATCCGAAACTCAGAAGCAGCAGAGCCAGTCCCTGGGTTAGCAGACCCGAAGAGGTGAGTACTGATCGACCCGACCCTTTTCGAACGTTTGAGGATCATCCAGACTTTTGCTTGGCTATCTGAAGGCTTACACCAGCCCTCTCTCTGCACTTCTGACATGAAAGTGAGAAGTTCGACCTCATCTTGCTTTTGACCTAGGTACCCAAGGCCTCTCTCCATTAGGGCTTTAGATTTCTCTATCAGGCGTCAACGTAATCGCTAGAAGTCCCAGCTCTCTCGTCGTTCCTTTTCTTCCTTTTCTCTTCGCCGCTCGGCCATGTGGCTGGCTCGCCCTTGAAAATCCACATATACATCTTCCAAGATACTATATCTCTAATTTTTAGCTTCCTCTACTTTGATAAAGCGTTCGTCCATAGCAGCCTCGATCAGCATCTCCCACGTTACAGACGTACGTACGGCCGGGGCCGGATCAAAGGAAACACCAGGTGGCGGCCTACGGAATATATCCTTCAATAACCCAGCAGCGCTCATACTCGCGAGTAGCTTCTGGGCGGCGCACCTTGAGTGCCACCAGTGAGTACGCATATGCCGTTATACGATTCTGGGGCTTGATGATACTGTAGTTATGGCTTTGAGGGACCGGAAGACTTCTCTCCAACATCGTTGTCCTCGTTAACAGGAGCAGCCTCGTCTTTGACATTTATCTATAACCCAATCCCTGAGTATTCACTTTGGATGGAAAAGGCACCCCAAGGAATGTTAACCGAAACTAAAAAACTTCTGTTACTGCCCCCCGCCTTTTCTCTCGCAGCAGCCGACTAACGAAACCCCAGAGCCTTCTAATCAACCAGATACCTACCTAATTACCACATCGACAGCTTGTCTCGAGCCGCATACGGGTACGTCGACATGTACCCACGGCCGCTGCTTTAGCTTCTACCCACAACCTAACCGTCACAGCGTTCTGGACGACACGGGCGGGGAAGGAGCACATCCAGGGCGCCGGAGCGTTTGCTTGGCGCCCTGTCTCTACAACATAGTTTGCGCTAGACAATTACCAGTGGCGGTATTTCCCTAAGGCCCTCCCGTCCCTCTTTTCCCCTCCTTCCACGGCAAGGACAGTCTAGTTCAAGATATATCCAGCCCGTCAGCGTGCATGCCATACTTCCCGGACCATCTGCTGTGACAGCCACGGATGCGGGAACGGAGGGCGTCAAGACAGCAGCAGCAGCAGCAGCAGCAGCGAGCCGTCCGGGATTAGAGTTTAGGGAGAATCACACGCCGTTAAGAGAACTGTCTGTGACCCACAAGCCCCCGTTGTATCTCTACATCCTCCTCTTTCTCGTCTGATCTCCCATGCTACGTATACATAGACAGAGAAAGCACGTGGCTACCCGCCGCGCTACTCAGACTCCACCAGCCAAACCCCGGGGGAAGAGATGGCGCCACCGTCACAACATTTGACTCGGCCAAGCCAGTCAGCTAGCCAGCCAGCCAGTCAGTTAGTTACTTACCAAGATCAGACACGCTGTCAGTGTCGCCAAGCTTTGCGGGTAAAGGGAACACACCAGACAGGGAGACCTGACTCGCTTCAGCCCGGCGATTCACCCAGCCACGGTCAGGGCTTCGCTCTCAAACACGTACAAACATGTAAGACAGCGGGCACGACGACGGCGTCCCCGCCGCCACCGCACGTGGCGATCTACCCTAGCCCTATCCCATCCCGACTTGGCCTCCGCGTGGGCAATGGCGCTACTGCACGACGAGTAGCTTGAGGGCCATATAGCCTTCAACCTGTTGGACATCCTGCCTTCGTTCGTTCGCCCCCCCCGTTCATACCAAGCCCGCTCACTCGTTCCGCCCGGGTTACCGGTGGTTACGTTGTTAACTCGATCCCGCCGTTCTACTGTTTTGTTCTACCACGCCATGGATAACTGACGAGATTTCTGGAGGGACCGGCCAGTCTAAAACAGAAGACAGTTGAGGGAGAGCTGTCAGCCAGCCAGCCCGTGAGCCCGACTAATAAGCCAGGCCAGATACACGAGTTACCTACAATATCTGGCTGGAAGAGCGCCCAGTGAGCAGGAAGGCGGGGCTGGTGTCTACGACACAACACATTTCGCATTTCGAGGCATGAGCAATGCTCCTGTATAAAAGGGGTTATTTCCTCCCTGTTTCTCCAAACTTGATGGGACTGTATACTTCTGTGCTTCTCTCTCAAGCAGATACAGCTAGGACATGGGAGAGGAGAGACGCTGTTTTGAAGCAAGGAAACGACACAATAGTAAGTAATAAAAAAGATAGAAGAAAAAATACTACCTCTTTTAACTGGAAATGCAGGGAGGATAACGGCGCGTGTAAGAATTGTACCTACCTAAGCAAGCCAAAGCGATCTTGCATGCATGCACAAACAATATTTACCCATTGCCCTTTGAGGACTAAATCGCGTCTCAGCACCCAAGTCAATTGTTGTTGTTGTCGTTGTCGCCGCTCGAGTCAGGAGACCCGAACCCGTCGTTAGGGCAGCGACTCGGCGCACGTTTCGATCCCCCTTTCCCCCTGAAACGCAGCCGCGAGCCGAGCGCCGTCCCACCAACTAATGCACTTGCTAGTGCACTTGCAGCATAGAGGTTATCGATACCCTACACTAATTAGCAATGATGGACGGGCATGACAGGGCAGCTGTGTTTGAAGTCTGAGGCATTGTGGCTTGGGCTTTGGCTTTGTTGGGTCCTGGTCGTTGCGCCATGGGTATGGAAAGCTGGGGGTTGGAGGTTGGAGTTTCCCGGCCTCCTCCGGGGAAAGGCGTCTTTTCGGGGCTTCTCGAAGCCTTCCAAACAGGGGGGTGTGGCGGCGGTCCCCCCCCCCCCCAAGAGGAACGATATAAATCATGCGGGAGCCACACTAAAACGGCGCCTCGGTAGCTGTTTCTTGCCAAGTTGGTAGCAAGTTCGTTGACACTCGGACAAGGCAATCCCACGACGCTTGATCGGCTTGGTGGCCGACAAAGGCCCGACTTGGGGCCTGCTTTTTCCTTTTTACCTGTAAAACGTTGACGTATGCCGCCGTCACTATCCATCGGACGGATTGAAAGCAGTGCGTTTGAGGATTGTAGCAGAGACTTGCGCCTCTTCATCAGCTTCGACAAGACACTATCGCCCCCGCCCCGACATCGTGAGTTGCCCGGCCCGATTGTGTGACGACTTTGACCTTTCGCCCCAGTAGACGGGATCAAGGAATGAAGATGTATTGGGTATGGAGGACTCTAGGCGCCTCTCTAATATGTAAGGGCTATACGAGGCAGACGGGGCTCGTCTCGCTCGCTTGCTATATTCCCATGGACTGCCGTTGTGATAATGCACCAATCAGGAGTTGGCGACCAATTGGCCGTCGCTCCCAACGAAACGGGGCTCGCTTGCCCGTGACATCTAGAGTACACTACACCACTGGATCTGGGTCTAGGTCTGGGTCCAGGTCTGGGTTTAGTCTCCGATCGGAGAGAATCGAGCTGGATGTAGTCCTTCGGTGTGCCTATGGCGGCGGGGCCGAGTACTTGGAACTAAAATGCCGTGTGCTAGCTTGCAGCTTGGACAGCTTGGCGGGACCCATTGCTTGCTGATTGCTCATGGCCCAGAACAAATGGAGTTGGCCAACGAGAATAGACATGCTCCCGAGAAAATACCGTCTCACTGCTGCGTGTTGCTGGCTGCCAGACCGGGAGTTGCCAAGTCTAGCACTGGGCTGCCGGCGAACGGGCGACGAGGCATGCGCAAATCCCCGACGGTGCACTTGCAGTCGGAGTCCTGCCCCGAGAGAGAAACACCGGCCTACCGACCTACCTAACTGCAGATAGTGGGCTACTTGCGGAAGGATGTCAGATGGCGACAAAGACGCCAGAATAGGCTGGGGTCCAAGAGCAGTCTGTCCAAGTCTATTGCCCGGGCGCCCCCCACGCTTCTCGGGGAAGGCGAGAGAGGTCGACGGCCAGTGAAGATAACAACAAATACAGGATTGAATGGGATGCAAGTTGTGTTGCGGGTCTGCGTCCAGGACTCCAGTTGAACAGGGCCGCGGAAGTCCAGTCTGCCGGGCCGGTCGGCGCCATGGTGAGCAAAAGGGATGAGGGAGGGTGAAGGGAGTGAGGGGAAAGGTGGATTGGGTGGCTACGAGCAGCCGACCAAGGGCGAATGTCATCCCCGCCGTGGGACGGAACGGGCAGCATCCAACGGGAGGGCAAGGAAAGGAAGCGGGAAAAAAAGAGACAATAGACAAGAGACAAGACAAAAATGACCAGACCGTCGCTGTGGAGAGAAAGGAAGAGAGGAAGAGAGGAAAACTAGAATTAACGACGCACAGCGCGCGGGCGCGAGCGCGGGCGGGCACCGAGCCGGTAAAGGTAACTAGTAGCAACAACAACAGCAGAGAGTAAAAAGAAGAAGACGGGATGCAGTCATAAAAGTCGGTGAGCGACGAAGCTGGGTAGCTCACGATGATTTGATTTGTACACGAACGCTTGCAGCCGAACGGGAGGAGAGGGTGGTGGAAAGCTTGCTGCTGCTTGCTGCTGCGTGCTGCTGCGCGAGCCCCATGCCATGCCGGCCAGCAAACAGGATGCTGTTCCGATAATAAGCCTTATCGAGGATGTGATGTAACTCGACACCCTCTCCATCTCGCGCGCAGCCACACCAAACTACCCACCACCACCATAGTGGTAGCTTGGGTTAGCTAGCTGGCGAAGGAGGGGTGAGGGAGGGGAGAGAGGGAGGGGGAGGTGCTGAGCTACCCCTCCATTGAGGGATGTGACATGAGCAGACCGTGTGTGTGGGTGGTCAGTGGTGGATTGTGTCTACGCCTATCTACCCGCGGAATATTAACCTAGATAGAGCAGGATTATAAGAGATCAAATATTCGTGCAGGTATCGCGACAGGAGGGTTGGCGAGATAGGCTCGCAAAAAGTACATAGAGACATACATTACAACCTGCAAGCCACATGCGCCTCACCTTCATCCGACCGCCATCCGCCTCGCCGTCTTGTTCCCAATCGCATGCCAATCAATTTCCTGAATGACCGAATCTGCTTTCTGCCCTGGCCAGTAGCCGAAGTTGGCGAAAACGGTGGTCGGATACTGAACAGCAGCACAATGGGCGCCGGCCGTCGATTTTCTCGTCACAGCGCCGCCGCCGCCGTCGCCGCCGATGAAAACATGAGAGATGATTAATAACGGGCAGGGGATATGCATTACTCGCAGATACGGAATAATAATAATAACAATAATAATAATAAATATACCTAAACGAGAGCGAGCTTTTTTTTTGTTGGCGCGGGCTGAGACAAGCAGGGCCGGCAACCGGGCTTCAAGTCACGGCGGCTGGGTCCTGTGTGACGGCCATCGTCATTGGAGTCGCGCGGGTTGCGCTCGTCCACCGCAACGAGGGTCCTCAAACACTTTCTTTCCATTTTTGTTCCTCCTGTTGGTGTTTCTTCGGTTCCTGCCTGCCGCCCCCTCCCTCCTTTCCGTTTGGGCTTGGGCGGCTGACCGACCGACACTTCAGTTGCGACTGACGTGTCTGGGAGACGTCGGGTCTGCCAGCAAAGCCCTTCCCTCCTTCTCGTATGTATTGTACCATCGCGAGCAGAGAGACGCTGTCTGCTTCCGACTTTTTCATGGAGAGCTCAACAAAACGAGCTAAGTGCTGTAGGGCTACCTATGGTGCCCCCCTCTGGAGTGTACAGCACGCACGCCATTTTAGTGTAGACCCGCCTGGGTATTCTGTACTCCGTACTTGCTCGGTTGACCTCACCGACTCTTGCTCGTCCCGGTGATATTCATGCGTTCAATGCGCGCTCAATTGGAGTCATTGCTGAACGTGCTGGGCCCTAACGTTAGCTTTCAGGTGTTGCGCGGTAAGCCATCCACCCCCCCCCCCCACTGCTCCACAATGGGCCATCACGCAAGCAACCCCGGAATGTCAGCTGGAGGCTGGTTGTCTTCTTAATTTTGTTGTTAACTACTGGGGTTATTATTCTGGGAAGATCAACGTCTTGAAACGTATTCCTCAAGCGGTAGGTCCTAGCCCCTAATAATAGGATAGAACCCTAGAGACCTCAAGACGCTACGGCTCGCCTAAAACGTGTTTCTCAGAGTATTAACGGAGGCGTTACAAAGTTGTTGTTATTGATAGTGCCCCCACTGTAATGAAGAAGCCGGTCTTCGACAAGGAAGAACTCCAGAGACATGTCAAGAAGAGCGAACTCCTTGGATTAACCGAACAAAATTGGCCATGATTCAAGCAGTAAACCTAGCAGAGGCTTCGCGACTCGAAACCGGATTTTCAGGTTCTCAACGACGGAAAACGGTGCTGCCCTCGCTAGCCGAGGTGTTGCTCGCAATCACAGGTGACGACAACTACAACAATAAACGCCGTTGTGATCCGACTACCTGCGTACCCTAGCTCTTCTGACACGCCTAAGTAAAATTGCATGCTCCGGGATCTCCCTTTTCACTCCTCGTGGCCCTCGGGTGACGCGCTCAGCACAGCCAGCCCTGAAGGACAGCGGTTTCGTCGGCGCTGTAGGTGTTATCGTCACAACTGCAAAGCTTCAGGAGGTGGAAACCAGGCACAAACCGATGCCGCGATGGCTCTCTCCGATTGGCCGCCAGCGTGGGCCAGCTACGCACGAAGGTCTATCAAAAATTCACTGCGCACCAAGAAATATTGTTTGTTTCCCGCGCCTGCCCACTGGTGACAATTCTCCACTGCTAGGGAGGGGGGTTCAACGAGAAAGAAATATATAATGCTGTTTAACGACAAGGAGTTTCCCTAGTATCGTATGAGCGGGGAAATCGAAGCGGTGAGGCCTTTTTTAAAACTTGATGATTTCTAACTTCCAGGTTCCGTTTGTGAATTTTGTTGGTTTTTTGTTTCGTCTTGGCTTGCGAATGTGGGCAAAACGGCTCCGCTCCCGACGTTGCGACATCTGAAAACCCCACGCTCCAAGACAAACCTTGTTAATGAATAGCCTGCGTCCGTAGTAGCACGACGAAGAGATAATAGGTTATGGACAGAAGGGAGGGCATTGGCCGTCATGTGAACAAGCGATTGCTGGCAAAAAGGTCAGTAAACTGGCCCACGGATCCGTACCTTGATCTTAATTGGTACGATTCTTATTTTATATTTGCTGCCACACCTCCTCCATCTCTTTTGTTCCAGGGCCCGGTACGCCATCCGGTCTGACTAAACACTGCCCGGGTGGTCCCGCGGCAGACCCGTCATTAGAAAGCCCGCCCAGCACGAATATATAGAGGTGAGCGGGCCGAGGCGGCGAATTCTTCCGCCCCCTTTTGCCGGCGGCCCGCCGAAGCAAGACGTCTTCTCCTCTCTTACGTCCCCCCACTCCTGCTCCCTAGAGGCAGCACCGAGGATAGGGGAAATTTAGGTCCGACTGTCCATTTGTTGGCAAGGCTCATGCTCCCAAATGGCAGTGGTGGTGGCGGTGGCGGTGGTTGATGTGCACGGGACACATCGGTTCAGGGGCAAAAGCGGCTGCGCCTCGATCAGCAGTCGTCCGAGAGGGACGGCCCGCTGCTGACAACTGTTGCCTCACGGCGTAGCAGGCACGAATACACTACACACGCCGGGGGAGATCTGCGGTCCATAAACATTGCCCGATGGCGGAGAAGGGGTCGGGAAAGGGGGGAAAGCGAAACTCGAATAATTACGGACAAGGCGGCCAGCCATATTCTCACAGCCTGGAGAACGAGGTGCTGTCAGTCTGCGACGAACAACAAAGCATTTTACCTATGACGAAATTGATGCCCAAGACGCACAAAACAGAAAATGGACGTGGTTGGGCCGTCCGAAAAAGCCTGTTCCCCAGATGCGCTAACCTCAGCTCATCTCCCTACCTCCCCCCAATTTACGGGCCTGTCTGTCGTGTATCACACTCGAATCTGATCGAGGGGTTTGAGTGGTAGGGTAACCCCCTACTTAGTAGTTAAATCGCTGGGCTGCAGGACATCGATCGACCTCATCAGGGGTCTCGTCTCTTTTCTGCCAACTTGACAGGGGTCGATTTTCTGGGAGATATGCACCACATCTTACATTTACGTAGGTATTTCTTTTTTCTCTTCCCAGGGTGGATCAGATGCAAGCGCCTTTTCCGTAGGGCGGTATTGGTCTTGATTTTCACCGTTCCGAGACGAGAACCGACTCCGACGAAATTTTTGCCACTGTCGTCAAAACAAGATAGAGAATGCTCCTGGCAAGTCGGCAAAAAGAGTCACAGGACAGATCACAACATAAGCAATAATCGAAAGCGTGTGCAAATTAAAATGAACTTCCACTTCCCGTACGGACAAATGTGTTATACATGCATTGCGATATCGCTACATCTCATTCTCCTTCACTCATCATCGTTCTCGTAGTCCTCCTCATCGCTCTCGCTATCCTCGTCCTCTGGGCCTCTCTCCGCACGAGCGATAGCTTCATCCACCGCCAAATGAACACGACGAGCTGCTTCAGCGCTCTCGTCATCGTTGAGTATCAATGGCGAATCAAAGCTGTGATCTACAATCCACGATTCCACCACGCGCATTTCTGCTGTTCCAAAATGGGTAGCCAGAGCAAGCAGCATGCTCTGGCGCATATAGTTACCTGGGGTTAGGAAAGGCCTTTGCTGGTAGTACCGAGCCCAAACATCCTGCCATCCCTGACATTTGACATCTTTAATGCGGATCAGTGCCATGATGAAATGGAAATACATGAACCGGGAGACAGGCTGCTTGTCGTTGCGGAATTGCAGCTCCTTTCCATCCAAGTCTCCACTAAGGTCTTTGGGTCCATTGTAAGATGTGTTTCGAATGTCAGAGGAGATGACATCGACTTTCCAGCGCGTGATGGGGTTTTCCGTTGCATCAACCGGTACGATGAGAAGATGGTAGCTATCAAACCACTTCTCAATCTTGCCTAACGAAAGAAGGGCGTTTCCGGCCCGTTGGAGCGATGGTGCTCGGCTGCCGAACAAAATCTCACCGAGCTCGTCGCTGTCGAGAAAGAAGGATACGATATGCGTAGCTTTGACTAGGTCCGTGTCCCACCAAGAGCCCGTGACGTGGCACTAAACCAGGCCGTAGCGTATCTTGATCTTGGGACCACCTTCCTTGCCCGTGCCGCCAAGTACCTTGCCCCCGACCTCGCCATCGTAGTACCGCAGCGCGTCAGAGCGAAAGGAAGAGGGCCGTTTCTTAGTCTTACTAACGCCATCGCACTTTTTATACAGTGCCAAGAGACATGCAGAGATGCTACCACCACGTGGATCCAGCAACCGTACGACACCAGGATCGTCAAAACGTGCCTTCTTCAGCTTCTGTTTCCACAAATAATCACCAGCAGAGAGGTATCGGTGGTCGGTGTTTCGAAGTCGTTTCGCTACTATGTGGGGTTGGATGAGGTTGGTATATCGTTCTTCGATAATGACCTGTCGCTCCAGCTGAAGCTCGTCCTTTTTCTTCAAGGCTAGCTCAACCCCCAACGACGCAAGCTCAAGGCCGGATCTCGCATCGGGCTCGTATCGCTCTTCATCTGGGTCGAGGTCGGGCTCTAACTTGCGAGAGAGGTCGTCAAAGGCCTTTTGTAGCTCGTGAGAAACGCTTCGTGCTTTCTCATAGTTGTCTCTCGCTCTCGACAGTGGCAGTGACGGTCGCAGGATAGCTACTGACGGTGGGCTGTGCTTCGGCGAACGAAGGATCCATGTTTTGCGGTGTTGATAAAGCAAAGGCGCCGAAGCTACCAATGCAAAAAAAGCGGCTAGTCTACACAAGTTATTAGTCATCGGCGGGACTAGGTTCTTAGGCAGCAGCACTTACGAAGGAAAACCGAAGTCTGAGCAATTGGCACCGAAGCTACCAAAAGCAACCGAAGATGGAAATCGACGGTGTTGAAGATGCAAAGGCGCCGTAGCTACCAATGCGGCTGGTCTGCACAAGTTATCAGTCATAGGCGGGACTGGGTTCTTGGGCAGCAGCACTTACGAAGGGAGACCGAATTCTGAGTGATAGATGCCGAAGGAACTCATACAACGAAGAGAGTAGGTAGGCAAGGGGAAAGAAAAAAGCCTTGGTGTATTACGAATAAAAAGAATAAAGCAAAGGCGAGTGGAAAGAAAGGAAAGAAAAAAATTCTTGGCGAAGTATGATTGTCAACCTCACAATCTCTACCTTACTGGCAAAGGAAAGTGCGGGGGGAGGGCCAACGACGAAGATCTTACCGTAAGCAAGCTTTCCCCGGTAACATCAAGTAATTTGTGTTTAAAGCTGTCAGCGCTACCAGAAAAAGACACGAGACAAGCGTATGACCCCGCTTCCATGTTTTCCCCCTCCGCAGTCCTTTTTTTTTTCTTCTTCTTAGGTATGGGGTCTATAGACAATTTTCCGGCTTCTTGAAAGCGGAACCTCTACACCTTGCATAGCACTAAATCCTGCGGAAGAGAACCCCTCAAAAAACTACGTTGTGTCTTGTTCGTAGTTATGTACCTATACAACCGCTACTATATTAGTAGAGTTGGTGGCATGCTCGAGAAAAAAGGGGGCGCGGAGTTTATTACGACCCCCTCAACCTAAAAGGCAATGAATGGCCAACTTGACTTTCTGGGTACCTACGTACACATCTACATAGGTAAAGTACCTAAGCATCTTAATCTATATTTAGGTACCGTGGCTGTCTCAAAGACAAACACTTCCTAAGTAGCTAGCTACTAATGACTTGAAACGGCGAGCCATCTCACCAAAAAGAAGTAAAGAGGTTAAAAAACCAAAACGGCCCCCATAGCATGCGAAAGAGCATAAAGAGAAGGAAAGGGGAGGGGGAAGAAAGAAGAGGTGGTAGACCGAATCAAAACCAAACAACACACACCACACCACACACACCACCACCACCGGGCAGCAATACCGATATTGAGGCGACCGTTTGTGCATCCCCACGCGGCATCTGCCCGCAGCAGCAGCAGAATTACCTACATATACACACATACATACCTCCTTACGTAGATACGTGGACCGAGGGGCGCGCGTGTGGTAGTGGAGGACGAAAACGAGGAAGAAGACGGTACGCACACATCAACCACGCACACACGGCATGCTTACGTGTATATAGATAGTTTGATGACGAGACTTTCCACCAACCTACCTACCCATCTACTAGCAAAACTAAGTGCCTACGTTGCAATCGCGGCATTGCGATCACGGGACAGCATGTTAAGAAACACTCGGGTAAGGAGGTAAGGTATGGTAGCTTTTAGCTTCTGACAATCGTGGCCTAGGTTCAACCCTCCAAGTTACCTGTCTGTGTGCCCTTTCACATGCTTCCGTCCCCACCCCCTTTCTAGGCGGTAAGCAACAGCTCAGACGCCAGTCAACAAGCTAACTCTAACTTGGTTGCTGGCTGGTTGCAAGAGAGAAACAGACAGGCAAAGTCACAGTATTCACCAATGTTATAATCGTCAAGATTTTGTATGAATGAATTCTTTTAGTTATTTTTTTCCCAGGTTGTTTGTAATTTTGGGGGTTTTTTTGTCCCTTTTACCAAGTGCATCTCCTAGTTTTGGTCGAGGGAGAGCCAGCCTTTTTGTTTTGGGTTAGGGCCCAGGTCATGTCGGAATCCTTTTGGGTTCCGCCCGTCCCATCATCGCTGGTCAAAACACTTTTCCCACCGATAGTTTTCTTTTTCCCGTGGAAAGAAACGCACACGTCCTGCTCCTCAACCGCCTCCAGACTCAAATAGCTTTGCTCTCCCTCTTCGTCTACCCCACGGCGTGGCGCAGAAGGAAAATCGGCCAAAAGACAATGGTTGCCCACTTGCTTCAGCCCTAGAGTACACACCGCCGTCCCTTTCCTCCTGCGCAAAACCGATTATGTCGCCGCCCCCAGTGAAGCTAGTGAGAACATGTGATACGAGTAGAGCTCTGGCCGTGGCCAAAGCAGAAAATTGAAAGGCAACCGGAGATCGTGGTATCATAGTGATGAGAGAAACGCCGCTTGATGAAAATAAAAGACGCAAATGGATATCAAACCGGCCCATCCGGTAAATTAGGGCAGTGATGCCGTCATTGTAAACATCGGTCCCACCATGCCAGCCATCCTAGACCGAGGACATGAGACCATCCGACCAGATGCATGGTATTAAAGGTCGGATTGATGCGTCCAATGAGCGAGCCGACCACACAGAGCTTGCTGTGGTCGACTCAGAAAGATAAACGCCAACCAGGTCATGCATTATGTCGTTAGAGTAATCGCTCGCGATGCTCGGTTCAAGTACACATGGCAGCTATACTGTCTGCCTGATGCATAGTCCGTTGACTCTCGTGCACGTCTTGTAGTGAAGTCGGGATATATGCAGTAAAGAGGTCGTGAAAAGTGTCTTGTTAGGGAATGGAAATCACCAGCCTTGGGCATGGTAGCCGGTGAATTGGTTTTTGCTGAAATAGTTGTCCCAGCTGCTGGCGTTGGCATCATTGTCTTTCATGTAGGGCCTCTCCGGGTACTGATTCAAGTTCGCTACGTCCTGAGATGTGTGGCGGCGCTTGAGAACCGCATTGGCCGTCTGGCTCTTCTGCGATCGCTCCCACAGCAGTTGCCGGCGAAGGGACTCGGTCAGCTCAGTAGCGAGCATGTTGCGCCTAGTAGTGCGAGGAGACAGTGCAGCTTGGTAATGCAGGCCCGTGGCAACGGCATTGATTGGTTGCGCAGCAGATCTGGGGATCTCGTTGATAGACCGCATTGGTGGCGGGCCGCGGTTACCTCTCTTCATCATGAGCGGTGCTTCGTCCGAATCGTTAGGAGAAGCAACCAAAGAAGGACCATTGAGGTTGGCTCTCGTTCTGGGAAGCGCCGACGTCGACTGAGATGCTGCGTTGCCCAGCTTCTGGGGCCGACTGCTCCCTTGCGCCAACATGAGGGTAATGAGAGATCTTCGCGAGGTGAGGTTGACCTTGGAATCTACGCGCTGAAAGTTGAACTTTTCATCGACACTCGACTTCCCGCTATCCTCGACCGAATCTTCCCAATCGGACGAGTCATCGTCATCGTCAATGGCGCTCTCGTCGACGTAGTCGGTCTCCGACTGTTCGCTAATGGCAGACGAGGCAAATGTCTGGGTGACAACTTGGTTGCTGAAGGAAGCCGTCTTCTTTTGCGCGTTGAGTGTCGAGCCGGCTCTAGGGATGTGGAGAGCACTCTTGAGCGAATCGTCGGCTTCCGATGAACCACCAACCTGGAACATCTTAGATTTCTGTTGGGGTACCGGCACTTTTCGCACATCGAGGCTATGGTCCTTGTCGCTGTACGAGTCGTCACCGGAGCCGGAAGAGCCACCAAGGGCGAACTTAGCCTGTTGCTTCTTAGGCTGGACAAGCTTCGGCGCCGGGGCATCTGTCGGCTCGGGAATGGCGCTTAGAGACGGAGAGTTTGACGCCTGGGATGTAATGCGGCAAATGGGCAATGAGGACGGAGAAAACCCGCGCGTGACAATGGTGCGGGGTCGCTCCATTGCCTCTTGTTGCAGTGACTCCACTGAGGTAGTCTCTGGTGTTCGGCAGGGAGATTCTGTCGTCGTTGAGCCTGATCGCTCGGTTTCGGCCTCGGCCTGAGGTTTGGGAGGGCTCAGAGGCTTTGCCTGCACTTGGGGGAGTTTTGCTTGCACCTGTGGGAGGGGCGATGAGATGGCGGGGAGTGGGTCGTTGAGCGAGCCTTTAGCCTCGATGATGGAAACGACCATCTTCTCCAGGTCGTCGGAAGTAATGTGTCGCTCCCTACCGCGGCTGCGGCTGCTGGCGCACGAGTCCTGGCGTTGGATACGCGGGCGCAGTATGTCGAGGGGTGCCGATTCTGCTGTAAAATCAACCGCCTCTTCATCCGCGACGGAATCGACGCTGCCAGAAAGCTGAGGAACGTCGTCGGTCAGAGATCGGGGTGAGCGAATATCTTTTGGCTGGGTAGTAGCAGTCGACCGGAGAAAAGCTTCGCCACTCTCGCAGCAAAAGGTTTCTCTGTTCCAGAGGCGCCAGCTCAAATTCTCGAGTCTGCGTCCTTGGGCAACTGAATCACGGCAGCGCGCAAAAACTGTACATGGCATTTTGTCAGCCACCAAGGGCGAGAGGGTGGCGAGACACAAAGACCAAAAACTTACCTGTCCACATGCTAAAAAGGTTCTGAGGGTTTGTTGTGTCAACTTTGTGGATGACGTTGGCGTCTACTTGCAAGACGGGCGTCTCTAAAGACAAGGGCATAATGACGGCGGTGGCTGCTCGATTTTCCGAGCGGGTGCTGAGTTGTAGTCAGGACGAATTGTGACGGTTACTTCGCGACACGATCGCGAATGTCGCCAGACAAGAGGTTTCGTCCCGAGAACGAGCTGAAGCGATCCTAAGATCAGCTCTGCACCAAATGCGGGCTCTCTGGAAATCGAGATTCGGCAGTTCCGCTTCGTGTGCGAGACTCGAACGTCGGGAACTTGGCTTCGTCGTCCTCGTGGTTCGAGCCAAAGTCAGTCTCACTGTCGGCTGCACCGTCTTCGCGCTTGTGGCTGCTTGTTGGTGGGTCTGGTCGTCGAATGCGCGCGCACTTTCGTTCGGCTGCACTGAGTTTGTCGATTGGGGGAAGAAATGCTGGATGCAGGCGTTGATCGACTCGGTATAGATGGCCTTGTTGAATACTAGACTACAAGTGCAAATGCAGCTGGTGTTAACAACGATGAGGTTGTCGAGCAGCACTATGTTGCGGACACGAGATGGAGAGGGAGAGAAGGTGTGGTGGGGAGCGGGTGTTGATGTATATGGCTGTTGAATGGAGGTGGAGGACCAGGGCCCGGTTGCTCTGCGTTGCGTGGGATGGTCCAGGGCTAGGGAATAAAATCAACTACCTGAGGTACTCGGTACTTGTACAAGCCCTCTAGAGGTCCCGACGTACCTAGGGCAGACTGGCAGGGGGCATCGTAGTGGAGGGGTGGCGGCGGAGGGCCTCGATAAAAGTGGATGGCCCAGCAGGGGTGACGGGCGTAGTGAAAGTACTGGTCAGAAGTCTCTCCTCCGTCCCCTGGCTAGTTTTTTTGCTGCCCTGTCTCGTGCCTGGGCTGCTCCTCCCCACTCTTTGCGCTTTCTCCGCCAGTCTACCCGAACTTTTCCACGCCCCACAGCTTGCGGAGACTCCTTGGTCGCTTGTATAGGTCAAAAGTGACAGTCTCGTAAAGCCTGGCCAAAGAGGCCGAGAACGCTGCGTGATGGCCAGGAAGAGCCAATGGCCCGCCCAGCCCTCTTGCCTCGATTCTAGGTCTTACAGGCGCTTTTAGGGAATGGTGGGAGACATTCACACCGCAAGGAAACAGCAGCGGACCCCAGCCCCGCTTGCTTGGAAAGGCAATATGATGTGAGATTACTGCCCAAAAGGGCATAAGCAGAGATGGAAAGCCTAGGCCATTTAGGGCATTTATAAACTGTGGGGTTCGGGGACTCTTTCGGCGTTGTGAAATCATGCGGCGTTTCGCAAACGGCGCACTAAACAAGGGGCAAATTAAACCCAGAAAGTTTAGCTAATACCCGGAATGGAAAGATGGCGACGATGGCTTGCGACCAAGCTCCCAAAAGGGAACCATTAGTCCGAACAAGGCCAAGCGGCCGTATTTGGGCTCCCTGGCGTTGGGCTTCCGGGGAAATCTCCCGGCGGACAGGTCGTCGCAGCGTTTTGCATATTGAGGCGCCGTTAAAGTTGTTGCTGGCCGTCGAGCCGTCGTCCTTGGACTCACTCACCTCAGTTGAAGTCAGGAGGCAGCCTTGCCGTCTCCCAGCAAAGTCAGGTGTCCCAGCTGGGGAGCCTAGGCCATTTCCCCGCAAATCGCCACGCCTAGCACCTGAACTCGGCCCAGCACCCTGCTCCTCACCTTGCTTGGTTGTTGCAATTGAGGTTCACCACATTGGATCTCAAGCCAACCGCCGTTACTCCGCACTCAATCCCGCCGACGGCCCACGGGCCTGTTGATCATCCAGCCCGTGATCACGAGCGCGTCTCGCGAATTGCACTGTAGCCTTGGGGCCACTGGCTTCATCAAAGTGAAAACAATGCCGCATCGATCCTGTCTGCATTCGGTCGGCCCAGTGGAAGCGAGGCAGCAGAGACGACGAGTCACGCTCATCGTTGTTTGCTGCATCATATCACGAGTGTGCCGAACGCTCATTGCGCTGTCGTAGACCTCGGTGTCGCCAATGGAATGTCACTTGTCAGCGCTGGAGCGCTGGGGACAGGCTGTCAAGCACACCAAGCGACTAGGGTTCTGAGGCCTAATTCGTCACTTCAGGGCTCCCTGTGGTCGAATCGACGGCGGCAAGACGTGCTGTGCCGGCCAAAGCTGGCTGTGGCGAGCTGGGCCTCTGATGACTAGTCTCGCCCGCTGGGTGATATCTTTTTGGGGGTTGTCGCTCCCCCCTATCAGCTGACACCTCGTGATCCGTCCATTGCTGGCGGTTGGTTCCGCGAGCCGCGGCCATTAAACGAGAGCAGGCCCCGACGATATCACTTTGGCCGCCAGCCAGCCATGCACGTGCAAAAAGATGCTGCCGCTGCCGTTTAGCATGAAGCTGTCGCCGCACACGGTGCCTGCCCCGATTCACACTCGCGGCAGGCTTGCGTTTCCCCATTGCCTCCCAGTCTCATCCTCATTATAGTATCCGCATCACCCGCATTTACACATTACAAAGCAAGGAGCGCAGGAATTGAGTTTTAGAGAGTCCACGATGCTTTATCTGGACGCTGCCAATCATCCATCAAGTCGTTGGCCACGCTTTGTGGACGATACCGGCCTCTGGCCTCCCACGCCTTGAAACGTTACGACCAACAGTCGACTGTCCAAACAGGCCCAATGTTCTCTGGTTGCATTCACGACTCTTTTGCTGTTATTTTTCTTTTGTTTTGCCCAGAGAGGGAAGAGTGATCAACATTATCACAAGTTTCCGCACGCTATGCACTAGTAGGTGACCAGTCGGCTGATGCCTGTCTTTCTTGCTCCTGGTGCCATGAAGTTCTGAACTTGCTGTACCGTTTCGTTCACCCCACGCCTCAGGGGAGATGGATGGGCTTTGAAAGGCTGGGAGAAGTTAGAACGGAGAACCCTGCCGTCGTCTTCATCCTCCCGGGCTCTCGTCCCTTCTACGAAAGGCGTTAGGGGGCCGGGTGCCCGCCACGCGAACCGTGACGATACGGCAGGCCCCAACAACCGTAATCTCGTTGGACTCCCTGCCAGCGGAAGCTGCCCGGTCTCTCCGGTGGTACCATAATCGCTCTTCCTTCCAAACCGAGACTAAACTACCCTGTCGTCGACAAGCGATCGCTCCCAAAAAGCCCCATTCCCGGTTTCACCCACGATGTTTTTTCCACATCTCCCATGGCCTTGGGAAAGCTACTGCGCGCTGAAGCCGTGGCACTGGGTCCATAGGACGCCTGAGGGAAGTTGTCGTTCGGATTCGGAGGCTTTGTGGGTCGTGTTGGCATGGAAGGCGACAGGGCCCTTCCATCGCTGAGACTTCGCAATCACGACTTCGGATGACGAAGTGGAAGAGGGAGGAGGCCAAGAAGGGAGCGGGAGGCACCCGGAGCCGCGATGGCAGCCGCTTGGGCAAGCCTCGTCCAGAGTACAGATTCCAGGGCAGGCAGATTCAGTTCCGCAGTTCTCTGGTGAGACGGAAAACCGCCATCATCCTCCGTCACGTTTTGTTGCAAGCCAGTGCGCATCACCTCATGGACTCGGTGCGACACTTGACCCCGAAAGACATTCCGGAATACTCCGTAAACGACTCTCAGACGGGCAGCGCAAACATTACAAGACAATAAACAAACAACTTGTCGCATTCCCTACTAAGCTTGGTAAACGGTGTTCTGGCTAGGCACAACCACTCGGGACGTTGAACGGAGATGGTCTGATTGCGTTTGGGATTCCAAGACGGGAGGTTGTCGGGGAAGCTGGGGTAACGAAGCCGGACTCGGGTGGGATTCCGCCCCATGGAAGCAGACCGCAGGAGAAGCTCATGTGCGACGCAAACGTGATTGATCAGCTCCTAGGCTTTGGGATATGGAAACTATGCTCAGAAGCCCGGGTTTGCACTAATTCAGGTTGGTGTGTAAAGTGCGATAGGCTGTGTGCAAGGATGTTGAAAGGCAGCCACCCAGCCTGGCAGCTCTCGGGGACCAAAAATGATGCCCTTGGTAACAGGCTGCCAATGGTTGGACCATTATTCCCCACTCCCAGAGCTCTGGGACGCTCTCACGCTTGGAGCTTAATCAAGCTAATCTCGTCCCCGGGAACAGGTTCACGGGGGGGTTACACGGGGCCACCACCAGAGCCGGTTTCGCCCAGTCAGAAAACTTGTGAGGCTTGATATTTTCGATAATGTACCTTCACTATTACCATGATTATAACACCTGTTCGAGAGCTCAGTTGTCACATCTGAGACCTCACGAGGCGCGATGCAAACCCCTTTTGCTTCTCAGCTCGATCTGTGCGACTCAGGAGTCGGCGGCGGCATCGAAATCGCTCATGGTCTTTTGACGCGTTCAACCCGCCACCATCAACTCCCCGTTAATTTCTCGTCTTGTCGGGAAACTGCGGGAAGACTGAGCATTGGGATTGGGGGAGGCAGGTCCCGGTGTTCGGACATGCGACCACCGAATCAGAGCTTTACCCCGCGCCCACATGGCCAACTCGCTCGCCCACCCCCACGGCCAAAGCTCGCGCTTGGCAATTGTGAATCCTTCGCAACCACACCTTCTCACTTGAGGGGGGTTGCATCACGCTCAGGGTTCGAAACGGGGGAGGCTCAGGGTGGAATTGACTTCTCAACGAGGCAACGCCTTCCAGCGCGAAGTGGTCAGGAGTCGAGTTTCGCTAATGCGATATTTTGATCGTTCGACTTCTGCCCCCCAACCTGCCCCCATGTTTCCCCATTCTACCTCGGTGACAGGTTTGGGGGGATTGGGGAAACCGCGCTTCGAGAAACAGGGGGGGTTTCGTTCTTTAATTTGTTCACTGCTGCCTTTTTACCAATTGCTCGTCGCGTAAAGAGTGGCTGCACGTGGTTTATATTGCCTCCCCGCCTCTCTTTCCTTTCACCGTGACAAATGCGCTTGATGTTACCCGGTTGTGGCGAACAGAGGATCGCTCGCACGTGTGCGTGTGTGATCTGAGCAGTTCGCTTTACGGTCAATGAGGTGCGTGCGTGCGTGCGTTTGTCGAAGACGATCAATCATCGATACTTACCTCCCTAGGTAGTTTGTCATTTAAAATCTGAGCAGTTTCCAGACCATTCGAGAGGGCGAAAAAGGTGCAAACGTCGCCCCGGGCGAGAAGAACGTCGAAAAAGAAAAGACGAAAAGACCACGAACCTTTTCGGGATAACGTAACGGAACCCGCCGATATCACGGGGCGGAGAAGAGGAACGCGGAGGAAACATGAACACGGGTCCGCCAAAATGTGAGATTGGTGTTGCACACAAGCGCCACGGCAACAACAAAACCCCCTGGATCGCGGATCTCCTGTCTTCCCGAGGATCTGTCTGGCCCTTTGAAAGCCTCGGGGGGCTCTCCTCCTCTTCCCCGGCGGGTGGGGCATACCCTGTCCAGTCAGACTGTCAGCCAGTCAGCTTAGCAAGAGGTCGAGATTAGAAAATGTGAGAAGTGATAGGTATGAAGAGCTGACAACCAAAATGGGAGTAATGCAGCCCCAATTTAGCAAAAAAGACAATGTGACTTGTCTCTTGCTTACCGCCCCAATTACGATCGTATTCGCTGCCAACGGTTACACGGCCGGCTTTCGCAGGTTTCTTGAGCCAGGCTCTCTCCCCAAAAAGGCAGAAACGCCACTGACTTCACAGCCTCCACTGCCTTGCGCGGAAGCGAAACGCGCTCTGAGCCCAAAAGCCAGGCCGGTAGTTGAGCAAATTGCGAAGCCAAGCAACAACCCACCTAGCAGAGAGCAAAACCTGGTTAGCGTTTCTATTTCGCATATATAATACAACAGCGGAGAGCGAAAAATAGCACAACAGCCTTAAAAGAGGGTTTGAAACTTTCATGCAAACTATTTCGTTTGAGGAGGGTTGCGTTGGTTCAAGTCGGTTGCGCTTTGGTCCATCCGCCCCCTCCTAAGCGTCGTCCTTCTCTCCCCGCTTCCTAATCGAGTGAGTGAACAGACGAAAAGTAGGACAGGGGCAGTTCCAAAGATAACTCGTCCCAAGTAGAAGGAAGATACTCTAAACACGCAATGCCATTGCCGTTTTGCTTACGTTGTGCTTAATTGAGGCTTGCAACAACAACTTGCTACCAACGGCGGCAACCATACTACTGACTCGACTGGGTTTCTTAGTTACCCAGACAGAAGTATTGCTTTCGGAACGGTTTGGGAATGAATGACTATAGGGTCGCATCAATTCGGGGAGCAGGCTCTCACTATCTCTCTGCATCGGATCTCTTGACAACGAGGCTCCAACATCCCAACATCCGAGCCATTGGCTATGGACAACCCCTCAACCCCTCTTCCGAAGCCTCCCGGCCGCCTCCCTTTCCCGTTTCGTTCATCGCCGAAGATCTCTCGAGGTGGTGCCCGGTGGTGGTGGTGGTGGTGGCGGTTGCTTGTTTGTTTGTTCGTTTCGGCGGTGAATGTCGGTTCCGTTGGCAAGAGTGTATCAGGTTGAATAGAAGTCAGCAGCAGTTCCCCCAAACCCCCACGTCATCCATACGCGGTCATACAAAGACCCATCTTCGTTCCCAAATCTGGCATCAGTCCGAGGAGGGGATTTGAGGGTGGGTAAGAGTATGCGATATTCCAGACGGTATTCCCTTTTATATGGCCTGTGTGTGTGCCAGATGCGGCTATCCACTGACAGGGGGTCGAACTCTGAGCGGAGATGACGGGCACCTGCAGCACGCAGTGAGCAGCGGCAACCAGCAGTCACGGTGCTCCAGGCCACGCAGCATGCACATTGCACGGAGTATGTGATAGTAATAATAGGTAGGGGCCTTTTTCTTTTCTTTTCTTCCTTTTTCGTTTCAACAAAATAGCAAACCGGCAGGAATAATGTTTGATTGCCTTTTCTTGCATGAAGCTTTTTTGATCCTCCTGATACTTTCTACTCGCGCTGCTCTGTAGGTTGTCTCCCCTTTGACCCCACGGCGGCGCCATGTGCGTCGCAATTCATGTGCTCGAGGTACCTCCGTATGTACAGAGGTACTCCGTTTGGGAGGGTTCCTCTGTCTTCTTTTGCCGAGCACTGCTTCATCACACTGCATTGTTGAGTTACACAAAGTCTCTACTCCGAAGGGAGAGAGAATGGGCCATGGCGCAGAAGGAAATAAAATAATAATTGCAAATCAATTTTCTGTCAACCTGGTTTTAGGAGACGTCCATGGTTTTCCCTCCCATCGGTTTCGACGCGTTCACACACACATGCACACGCACGCGCCACAACTGCAAAACGGAAGCAAACTAGAGCTTAGAAAAGCTGGTTCGTAACCAGCACCGCGAGACGCAAACGCCCGTCTCCCGTACGTAGGCGAAGAATGAACGAAGCCAACAACCCTTTCCGCTTTGCGAGACCGGCGAATGCAGCAACCCGAAAACAAGCTGCACGCATACCTCCCATGCCTTGCAAACACGGCGGCTTTGGAGTTTACCATTGCGTACGTCGAATGGGGGTTGTGTTGTGTGCGTGAGAAGTGTGTTACGTTCCGCCCCGTATGTAAGTCAGGTAGCAAGGTGAGAAAAATACGGAGCACCTGCCCACCTCGCCGGTGACGTTCGGAGTACTGTACGGAGTACTTTGTCCGGAGCATGTAAGCCGTACCGTCCGTCCCGGACAACCGCACTGCGGCCGAGAGACGGCAACGACACTGAATGTCTTAAAAACAAGTATTTTTCCTCCTGGACGTGGGCAGACGGATAGGATACTCAAAGCTGCCAATCACTGCCGTTCCTCTAGAACGCGCCCGTTGAGATTCCAACGGTAATGCGCCGGAGGTTACGTACATGTACATAAGGCAGGTCATGGCTTTTGAGAAGTCGGCCATGTCAATCATCAATCGCCAGCCAGTCACTGCACCAGAGCGAGAGCGAGCTGAGCTGAGGTGGGCCTCCTCCCTGGCCAGGCCTCGACCGCCTGTGTCCGAGTGCATGGGCCAGCCGCCGGAAATCCGATTGAGATTAGCGAGGCTAGCTAGGTGATCGACGGATACTTTGCGCACAGTACCGATGCACTTCGCAGATCCTGTCATGAGAATCACCGAATCTCGCCGAGAAAGCAAAACGCCAGTCACGCGAGGAGAGGACTGTATCCTGTGAAAATAGGTAGTTTGTCAAAGAAGGGCGTTAAAACACATTAAATCATATTTTTATTGTCCTGTTATTCCCTCCAACCATCCCATCCCATCCCTTAGGTCCCTGTCTGATGCCGGTGCGCTGGAATGCGCAAAGGACAGGAGCACAAGCATCCGGGGTAAGACCTCTCCCTACAAATGCAGTTCAGTTTAGTAGAGCCTCATCTGAGGTCTAGCGACAAGAAAAATCACCAAAAAATCGGGTAATAAAGTGCACTTGCCGTACGTCACTGGTGATGCAGCCCAGACTCAACTTCGCGCACAGCAGGCATTTGCATCCCCGGCTTTGTTACATATTTTGCTTCCCCAAACTAATCAGGGTCGGAGCAGCAGGAGAGCGGGCCCCCATCTTCGGCCCTTCCAGCCGAAGGGAGGCTGTCAACATTGGAGGCCGGTCCCGGCTTCCTGGGGCGCGGCGTATTGGTGCCGCAGAGGCATGCAGACGAGCAACGCGGATGCCATGGAGATTCCGGACCCCTTGAGAATGTGTTGCACCGTTTTTGACACTCCCTCTGGGGACATTTATCACCCCATCAAAGTGTCACTCTGGCCGTCTTTCTCCGCCCCGCATGCCAAATACAACCAAGTGCCTCTCCTCCATAGAAGTACAGGACTACCGGCAGAAACGGGTAACCATCACAGTAACCATCCAGGCTGTTCGTTCTCCGAGGTAACCAAGTGGGGAACGAGTTACTGTTTGTTGATTTCATTTTCCTTGGTTAACGCCTTATTTAGGTCCCCGGTTATATGTCATTTTGTTCTAGAATACCGTTTCCAATATACGGAAGCTCTACTCCCCAAGGCCGCCCATCCATATTTCCCGGCGGTTGCAAATCGCACAACCCAAGGTTCTAGCATTCTTCCCGTCCTCGTAGCCCGTCAAAACCAATTTCGCACCGGATCTGAAGCCGGCATGGCATGGCACGCGGCCTAGCGCAAGCATGGGAATATGGGATAGTGCCTGGGGCACACGTGTCGGCCAGGGTGTCTTTCTGCTGCTATTATAGTACGTCGCTGCTTGAGCCTCCGGGGAAGCCAATTTATCTGGTTTATACAGTACAGCGCATCGCCAACGGGGGACGCCAGACCCTTCGGCCCGGCACCTTCCATCCATGCAATCATTCCGTAACAAGCCCGCGACTGTGGAGTCCGGGGGAGCCAGAGAGTCGTTATAGACGAGCGAGACCTGGCCTACTCCGTATTGTAAAAATAAAGAAACTACAATTATTATTATTATTTTGTTATTTTTTTTAATATCCCCTTTTTTTAATGAGGCTGGTTGCCTCGACTCGTCAACAGGGCAGCAACTCCACAGATGAATGGACCCTGGTAGGGGCGGAATATCCAGACGGGGTTTTGGCTTCGCTTAATGTTGTTCCGCAGTTCCAGGTTGTGTTGAAAATTCGGACGACCGCTCGGTACCGTAGCTGTCCTATCTATGTACGTACCGTGTCCAATCCCAGAAGCTCGAATTCCCGTTACAAGTCGTGCCCGCATAGGGAATATATACCACGTGGATTAGAGAAAAGAGACACCTGTCAAGCAAATGCCTATGCGTGATTCAGAGCAGCCTCGCCGTTGCGCCGCGCACGCGACTCTCTCCTTCCTTACCTCAGTAGTAATTATCCGGGCAAGCAATGCAAGCCTCAACATTCCAGTTTTGCAGCAGTGCCCAACCGGTTTTGCCCCTCTGTCTTCGCAAAGACCTCCACTGTCGAATCCACCCGGTCTCCTCTTATTTAAAATTTTCTTTCTCGGCCTTCGGAAGGACAAGGACGAGAGAAGGCCGAAAAAAGCTTGTCCCGCACGGAACCATGCACCCTACCTAGTGTGTACCAGTGTAGCTACCCCGAAATAACCGGGGCGGAATGAAAATTGCAAGGCTGCCCTAGGCTTTGCTCCAGCAACGTGAATCACGAGGGGCACGTTTTCCCTTTTTTGCCATTGTTAAGATTCTCGTTTTTATTTTTATTTTATTTTTATTTTTAGTTCCTTGACCCCTAGTCCCTTTTTAATCCCTTTGTTGATGTGCTTGGGCCAGCGTGATCTTTCCCTGGCCGCCGGGGCATCTACCCCAGCCCCCATGACTACTGACTGATATCTTTTGACACCCAGCGCGCCGGGATCACGGCTGCCATCGGCGCCGGGTCGTGCCCCGCGTTTTGCATCACGGCTGCAAACCCCGCACCCTTATTAGTGGCAATGCCGTGCCCAACCGGACAGACCCGGGGAGAGGAGGCAGGCAGACCTATGTAAGTGGCTCGTGACCACCTCTCTCTCCTCACTTGGGCGGTTGTTCTGCTTGCTAGCGAAAATGGAAGGGAGTCACGCCGACACTTCAGTTGTCCACAGGTGAAGCTAAAGGATTAACCCCCCTTCAATGCGGACACACGTACGAAGTACACGCAAGACGTATCTTCTGCCAGGCTTGCGGCCGAAGCGGGATCGGCCTCGGCCAGGTGGGCCACCGAGCCCACCCGGGCTGAGGTGCTCGTGATGCATGGCTGCCCTATGCTCCTCCTTTACCTCCAAAACATTGGCCTAGTTCTTGGTGTTGTGCAAGAGAGGGGTTTCTTTTTGCCATGTGCACGGGCAGTAGGCGCAAGGCGGGCGAGACCATGTGCCGCCGAATTCCAGTCTAGACTCTGTGATGTAGCGTCTTCCCACATGTCTTCAAGTTCCCCGGCTCTCAGCGAGAGGGGGTGACTCTGTAAAGCCCTTATTGGGGGGGGGGGGCAGGATGAGGGGTTGCTTCTTCGAGATGTTGCAAAGAAAGCAAAATAAGAATATTACCTAGGTATATAAAATATTATTCGATTTTATTTCGGGGATATGGCCTGAGAATGGGCTGGTGAGCCCAGCATAAATTCGTAACGGCCGCTCGAGTCACCGTTGTTCCCAAGCAGAGACACATTTGTATTCCGCACATACGGAGCAGGAAATGGTAGTTGCTATTCTTCCCACCCCGTCGCTGTGTGACATTCACATTCATCGCCTCCTCGCGGGCGGCCCTTGAGTCAATCAGGCAGGCAAACCAGGGCGAGTCGGAGTGGAACGCTGACCGCCAACGGATCGGGTGAAGCGACCGTGTGTTTTCCACCAGTCATTGATTCCCAAGTCGTAAATGCATCCTGTCATGCTTCCCTCGGACGGGCCGTTGCCGATCTGATGAGCCACAGACAGATAGAGAAAGGGAGCGAGGCGCAACAACAAATCTAAAAGGCTACTACCTGGGGCTGAGCAAATATGCAGCCCTTCAGCTCCGCATATTGCTAGAAGGGGAATTAAATATTAAAAAAACGGTTTGGGCTGGCTGGCTGGCTGGCCCCAATGCACCGCCGTTATGGGCCCGTTTTTGTCGGTTGGTCGGGTCGTCTCAGGAGAACAGCCGAATGGAGGGTTGCCATCACGGGGACGACTTGTTATTCAGCCCTGTAATGCTCCTCTGCGCCCGGGGTGAAGTCTGATCGGTCTCGAGCACTTACAACACTCACCTCACTGATGTCTGCCTTGTTGGGCCACGTCGTGAGATAAATGCGTGTGAGGAGGGAAGGGGGGGGAGGGATGACGGGACGGTGCCCGAAACCCGCCGAGGTCTGGTTCTTTTCCCCCCCATGGACGTTCCATCCCATTGCGACTCTCGTGAATTGGGTTTTGGCATTGTCAAGTCCTACCCCGCCAAAAAAGATGGAAGCCAGCCGCCCCCCGTGTGTACGTCTGTGAGGTTTCTCAGGGTCCATTGGTGCGAGGAGGGTGTGGCCGTTGAGACATCAGACCCTTGGACGACCCTATAGACGCTGCCGCGTGTACGTTGTCGCTAGAGTGCGCTGTTCAGAAGAGGTCAGTCGACTGTTCTTTTTTTTTTTTGCTCCTCTGCGGGAAGGAAGGAAAAATCCCGCTCCCAATGCACATATCTTGTCGTGGGTCTACACATCCGTGGCCTGGGGATGGGATCACAGGTTCTTTCCCCAGATTCTCGGCTGCAGATCATGGCTCATGTCGACGTGGGGCCAGCGCGCAAGCGAGGCAAGCCAATGCCATTGCCGCTGGCTGGGCCATTTCCCCCGCGGTCATGTGTACCGAAATGGCATTGATTACGCAAATTCCAGCCTTCTCTTGCCGCCTGCCGCCCAGCCAGCCAGCCCGCCCACGCCACCTGCCGCTGGGAGACTCGAGACTTGGAGCCTGATGAGGAAGCTTGTACTCGTAGCAGACGCGGGATCAGGCCGTTGCTGGTTTGTTGTCAGAACCCCCGTCGTCAGTGCACGCCGTTCTACTCTTGGTTGACTTTGTCACCGAGGTGGTGCGCTCAAGTGACCGGCAGGACAACATCCTATTTGACGACCCTCCCCCGCCTCGGTGCTGCCCCAGGACGATCGGATTGTCCTATTTAATTACCTATTTTATACGGATACGTGTCCTGTACTCCGTTCAGGTGGTTGCACATCGGCTTACTTTCAGGCCAGCCGAGTCAGCACCGGAATCGATGCTCTTGCTTCCCCGGATAACACACTTGTTGACGGAGCCATACCACCCATGAGGCTGGTACTTGTGGGAATGCACCATTGAGCAGATGACATTGAGCCGAATTCGATGATAACCCCGAACTCAGAGAGAAGCAGCCATCGCCTGAGCGGCCAGTGGTGAGCGGCGAGCGGGATGGTCGAGGGTAAATTGGGCTGCTACTACGGTAATTGTCTGAAAGTTATCCGTACATGCCATTTGAGGGAGCCCAAGACGGTCACCTGAGTTAAGCGGCACCGGGAACCGTGTGAGGACGAGCATGCCGTTCGGTAGGCACTCGGGAGACTCGAGGCGCCCTCTTCCATGTGTGGAATCAATCCCACGTGGCAGCATATTGGGACGGACGTATGGGACTTTTCAGCGGTGACCACGCACACGGTACGAGTACTCCGTATTTATGTGCACCGCATTGTAGGGCCGATACTCCATGTCTTTCTGGATGCGCCAGGTGCTGTAGATACTTAGGTAGGTAATACTCGGGACAGAGCCGAATATTTGCTAGACTGCTTTGACTGCTTCGCTGTCCAACATGCAATGCCCGAATACCTTTTGCCTGACGTAACACCTGAGGTGATTGCTGGCGGGCCGATTTGTTGAGTCCTGTGATTCGAGATCGATCTAGGCAGGCGATATGCAAGCAGTGTAGATCTGCAGCGATTGCTAGCAGGGCAGGAGCTGCAACCGTCAGTCACTTGGGAGATGCCCCGGACAGAAGCATTCCTGGCAGCTGGAGGACCCGAGTTTGGCATGATGTCAGCAGCCAGTGGGGCGACACCAAACGCCGCTACTGCCCCGCAGTCCATTATTTGCATCTATCCGTTTAGCAGCCAGCAGCAACTAACAACCCGACATATCTTAGTCTCCAAAGGCTTCATATTTAACTCTCAGAGAGCTTCCTAGACACATTTGCAGTCAATGAAATCGCCAGGGGACAATTCGGTGATGGCGCACTATAACCTAGATTACAAATTGGCTTTCGGCCGATTCGACCGTGGGGACCGACCAATTCTTCAATTTCTCTAAAAACATACTTTCCTCGATCCAATTGTTCACAAACAACGCCCCCTCCCGATGGATAGGTACAGTACGGGCGACATGGCTGAGACACGGAGCCAATTCTGGTCTTGCTCGAAGCGAAACTTTTATTTTGGCATTTTTTGAAAATTCATCAATTATTTCTCGATTTGATCTTTTCTACTTTTCCTTATTTCTCTCCTACACTTTACGCCGTTCAATGTCTTCACGACTTGTAGAGCCCACGAGTTCACCAACTGCTCGGTACTCCGTACGGCCTTGAGATACAGGAAACATTCACAAGAGGCAGTACCAAATACCTCGAGTCCGGCCAGTCCGCGCAAGCCCTGGTTGGTGAATGGCCTTGCAATGTCCAGCATTACACAAGAACAGCTGCAAGTCATCCATTCCATCCCATCCGTCAGGAGCGCTGCCCTTGTCCATCTCGCGCCGTACCGCATCGACGCCCGGCTTGGCCCTTTCGTCGCCGTTGCAGATACTGAAAACTGACAGTGTTTGTGTATGTGCACGTTTGTAGGAAGTACGTAACACGCCGCAACACCGCGACGTAGCGACGGCGCGGCGCGGCGCAACAAAATCCCATGCTCTAACTCACACACCATGGTGTCGAGGCCGCGGCCATAGATTTGACGCCGAATAAGCCACTGTGAACTCTTCCAAAACCCGGCACTTGGGCACCAGTCGTCTCCACTCTCTCGACTGGTCGCAGGAGCTGTCCTCGGCAGCTCACGGGGATATTAGTATTGCCTGCGTACCGTGCATGCGAATTGTCGACCTGCCCAATATCTGCTGATCGGGGCCGTGGAGAGCTCGTCGCTCACCGGCTGAGACGGGTTTCCAGCCATTGGTATCCTCCAATCTACGTCAAACGAGACCATCGCCTCGATCGATATACGACCTAGCTCCCATCTAACCTTTTGCCAACCATTTTAGCAAGTCCGAGATGCGGGTTCCAGCGTGATCCCAGCGCCACGGGTCATCAATGGCAACGGTCTCACATACCGCTTTCTGGGCAAACCAGTTACCGTTCGCCTGCGATTTAGTGAAGTTGGCCAGAGACAACGCCTCTGCTGGTCGGGAGTCTTTCGACAGCGGTTTGGTCATGCGCGCGACTCTGAGTGGCACAGCGCTAGATCAATTTCGGTGCCACGGACAAGACGGCCCCATGCCCACGAATCCGATGAATATTGAAGCGAAGCCTGGGGGAACACAGCCCTTCTCAACAGCCACTCGTGGTAGGTTGGTTGGACGTCATTTAACACGAGTTTCCGCGTCTCCTTGGCGATCGAATGTCGCACAATGCCAATACAGACAGTTCACGGCCAACTGCTGAAGCTTTGGCTCAACAGTATGGTTTGCCACCTGGCATCGGGCTGTTGACTAGCTCCAGAGTACGAAGTAACACCACCAGTCACCACCCCCGTCCTCTTGTGCTCCCGCGTGGGGGGCGGGGCGGCAGGCAATGGGGGGAAGGGGGTCTCCGGGGGAGGGGGGTTCAAGCCTCGTCGAGGCTGAGGTCATCTGGAGAGCACCGAACAATTGGATTGGTCACGGCCAATCCCAGACCAGAATACTCATCGCAGCGACCATTCCTCCTGCTGTGTAGCCGCATCTTTAACACGATTGTTGATCCCTTTGGCGTGCTGGCTGCGGCTTTGAGAACCAGCCCCGAGAGAGTCGGTGTGCAGTGCTATCAGCTCTGAAGAATGAACATCTGACATGGGAGCTGTTTGATGGCAGGCCACGATTCCGTCCTTCCTCCGTGTAACTTGAGAGGGTGCGCAGGCAGCAATCACGTCGCCACCGCTCCGGGGAAACAGGGCTACAATGTTTCGGTCCGTTCCTTTCTTACGGCCAATATGCTGTCATTTATGAGTTTGTGGGGGTGTGGTCAGACTTACTCCCCCATCTCAGTCGAGAGGCAAATCGGGGAAGGTGAGACGGACTCGGTGAGCCTTGCCGCGCTCCTGCATAGCCAATGAGAGAGCCATTCTTGAGGCTGCAATGCTGACAGACACCAGACGGCAAGCACGGCAGTTAGATTTTACGTCTTGGCCTCCCTGCTCAACCCAAAAGTCAAATACTACAGGTCTCCCAAGACAACAGAGATGCTGAAGATGGTTGCCTCTGTGGCGTAGGTTGTATCCTCGGATACAGATACGTTATGTCTCGCGAGCAACTTATGAGGCCCACTTGGGAAAGACAACAGAAGTTCCGAGAAAAGGATGAGTGCGAAACTGCGACTTACCGATGGCTCTGAGATGGAGAGGCAGATCGCATACTTCAGTCCGATGGATATTGAGTTCTCAAGGATCCAAGACTAGGTGTGGGGTGGTACGTGGTACGTATGAAGGACTAACCGATGTCCAGAAACCACTCCGTACCTAGTATTGAGTTGTCTCTCTTCTCTTTATTATTATGTCACCTTTGTTCTTAGGTTTGGCTTGCTCTTGGCCAGTACCGTCTGTGAAACGGTCCGTCATCCCAGATGGAAGCTACCTCACCTACTTACTGGCTCTGGGCCTTTGCAAGGAAATCCGGTCCCGAGGTGGCAGATGGATACTTAATTCTCCGTACGGAGACGTGCATCGGGGACAATAAGCAACACCACCCCCTTGCGCATGCTCTGTTGCCAGCCCCGAAAAGCCAACTACGAAGTACACCGTACCGTTCCAACAGACTGGTAGGCTTTCCAGGGTCTTCGCCTGACCGCCTCTTCCTGCCTGGCAGGTTCTGTGCAGGCTGAGGCGCACCCTTCTCCGCGAAGGCTAAAGGGCCGGCTAAATCGCTTTGCTGGAAGCCCAGCCGACTGGCCGGTGTAGCTGGGCGCCCCATGTAGCGGATCATCCCAGCTAGCCAATTTACCCGGAAGGCGGAGGGCTAGGGCACACGCTCGGCAGCTAGAGCGCTTATGGCGGCGACTGCCTCTAACTTGTGGATTTGGGCACTGTTCAGAACTGACACAACACAGACAAGCACTCCGCTGCCCGCGACGGCCGAATCGGGGCGGGGCGGGATCGGCGAAGGAGAGGAAATTGGCAGACGCCTCATGACAAGAACAGACAGATCTTGTCTTCTTTGGGATCTGAATCAAGCAAGTCCCGAAGGCGCCCCAAGCGCGTGTTTGCTGCGTGACTGTTTCGCGCAACTGGCGCGTTTCGTTTCGTTTCGTCCCTCCCGCGGGCGGCGCGGGGGGGGGGGGGGGGGGGGGGGGGGGGTACGGACGGGGGTATGAACGGACGGACGGACGGACGGACGGACGGCCAGCTGATAGGGCCCGGACCTTTTTGCTCACCATGCCAGAGCATTGCGAACGAACATAGCAGAAGCCGTTCCATGGTTTGTTCTTTTCGTCTGTCCGTGTGTCACAACGAGAATGAGACGGTGAGAGGGATGGAGAGAGGTGGATGGCAAACGGCCTCAGTCGTGTCGATCCCAACACAACGCCTCTTCCTTTCCGCTCGCTCCCAGGACTTGGAAAGGGGTTGGGCCAGAGCGGTCCGCCAATGTGAAGAGCAAACGGACACAGACCGCGATCGCGCGTCATGTTTCTCGACTCTGCGACCCGCGCCAGTCGTCAGTGGTGGGCTTGTCGTCGCCATCGCGTCGTGGTGCCCAACGGCCAGCCAACACACCCAACAAACAACAGGACGTAACCTCCCTCTTACCAAGCATTCATTCCTACCTCGGGAGTTTACCATTACAAATTTTCCGAGCCTTTGGACTGACTGCAGGGAACTTTTTCTCGTCAGTCTCATTTCTCCTTCCTGGGGAAAAGGTCATCATCACCTCGTGGTTGCAGCAGCGCCGCAGTGAGACAGAACTAAATTTTAGTGTATCCTTCCTGCCGGTGTCGTCGTAAAGCAAGCCCCCCTCCCCGTCCCCCAACCTCAAAGTGGTTCAACAGGCTGTCCCGATGGTTACGTTGGATCGCGCTACGCGCCCGCGCCTCTGATACATATTCGATACATGGCGATATACGCAACTCCTTCCATAGGGGTTGTATGTACGTCACGCGTTGGTTCGCTTGAGGCTACACTACCTGACCTGACCTAACCTGACCTGACCTGACCTGACCTGACCTGGCCTGACCTGACCTGACCTGACCTGACCTGACCTGACCTAACCTGGCCTGACCTGACCTGGCCTGCTCTGGGGGCTGAAAAAAAGAGGCTCGGGTCTCTCATTCACACCCACAACGTACGGAAATGAGAAGCTGCCGCGGCGCGCGGCGGTGACGAATTTCCCAAGAGACAACGTGCGTTGTACAGAGGTGTGCCGATCGTTGATTTTGTGTTTGCTGGATCGCCGTGAAACACTTTCACCACGCCGCTTGTCTGCACCGGCCACCGGACCATGCCTTTTTTTCTCCGTCTTTCCCCTTCTCTCATTATATTCCCAGCCTGCCATCTACGTAACACTCTATCCCGAGCAACCCGAATTAGTCCAGTGTAGGTTGGCGGCGTTGGCAGCCTTTTTTATACATTAAATCGAGCACGCGCCGGTTACACGACGCTGGCGGCATGACGAGACAGGTATGGAAGGCAAGGCAGGTAGCTAGGTATGTTGTATGTTGTACCTGTAGGAAGGGAGAGTGTGTGGACAGATCTGGGCTCCGTCCGAACTTGTGTGCAGGTTGTCAGTTCTCAGTCACCGGTTGTCAGTTTGTTCGGGCGCATCCCTCTCTCTCACCACCTCCTCCCCCTTGCCTTCCCGGTTGCTGTCAGCGAGCAAACGCTGGCCGAGTCCCGAGAACCTCGCAGCGCAACCAAACCCCAAAGCAGCTCTCGCTCTCACTCTGTCTCTGTCTCTGTCTCTGTCTGCAACTCTTTTCGGCCTCGCTCGCTTGCTCGCTTCCACCCCCCCTCGTCTCGCCATCCATCCCCACCGCCTTCGGGGCGGGAAACCGGCCCAGGGCAGGCCCAGGGCGTTCTAGGCACTCGGGCCAGAATGCGTGCTAGAATATGGAATTCACTCGCCCGCCAAGAACTAGTGACTGACTGACTGACTGACCTGATGCGGGCTGGTAATTGCATTTGCTCTCTGGTTGGCTCTAAACTAACGGCGTGATCGTTCTCTCTTTTCTTTTTCGCGTCCAGCCTCCTGACTGCCGGTTTCCACTCCCTCCCTTCCTACCTATCGTTTCAGCGAGTCTTGCCTTTATTCATTTCTTGATCTTTAATCGGGTTGGTTGGCTGGCTGAGTGGTTGGGCCGGACGGGACGAGACAAGAATAACGTGGTAAGAGACGAGGATGAAATGGCCCTGGCCCTGGCCCAGCCCTTTTGTTGCCTCAGACAGACAGACAGACAGACAGACAGACCTACCGCCCCGCGTGCACGCAGTTTGATTTTTGGAAATACCCATGTAGCTCCAAATAATAATCTTATGTATCATGGCGTGGTGTGGTTATCGCGGGGTCAGTGAGGCTCAGTCGCGATCACGGGTTGCCCCTCTGAAACGACACCAGCCAAACCAGCCCGGCCGCTCTCTTTTTGCTCACTACCGACCGACTACCACCACCCCAGGCATTCAATTCAATTCACTCTGCGCCGCCTCCTCCCTCCCTCGCTCCCTCCCGTCTGCCTGCCTGCCTGCCTCCTCCTCCCTCCACCCTCCGGTAGCAGGGATGGACGGGGGCCTAGCTACCTTACCTACCACTGCATTTTTTGTTCATTGGCCTTTCACACGGGTTCAAGAATTCCGTAGCAGTGCTCTTGACTTTTCTGTCTTGTACGCTATTTCACCGTTTTGCCCGTGTTGTAATTTGTGCCTCCATGTATGTGATGTGTTGCGTGACCGTTTGCCGCGAATACGCTGACGTACGTCGTCCTTTGCAGGGGAAAAGAAACAAGAGAAAAGAGAAAAGCAAATATGAGAGAGAAAAGTGACACGATACACAAAAAAGATGAGAAGAGAAGCAAAAAGAAAAGAAAAAAAAAGAAGAAAAAAACTCACCGAATATCGCCGGCAGACTTCTGCCGTCTCTCTCTTTCTGTGGCTGACGGCCTTACTCAGTTTGCCGGCCGGATATCTCGGGGGGATGGATGGAGGCAATGGAGGGAGGGAAGAAGCCGTGTCGTCGGTCGGCGCTGTGGCTGCTGAGCTGAGCAGCTCGCCGTGCCGTTGGTGCGAGCAAAACAGACAGACAAACAAACATGAGTTTGGAAGGAAGAGCGAGTAATAACTCTCTCTCTCCCTCTATCCGTGCCGGCGTCATCTCTGCACACACACCGACCGACAGCGTCTAGTCCGATTTTGGAGAGCGAAGCGGTTGCGGTTGCGGGAGGAGAAGGATGAGGAGGGGAAGCGACGCTTGGCAAGTTGCTTTTTTTTCTCGTCTTCGGTAATACAATTGGTAAAAAAAAAAGGGGGGGGGGAATAACAATAAAAAAGAACCCTCGTCAATCCCTCTTTGCCTGTTGATTTTACGCAACCAAAACAGCGAGCGGCAGGAGGTTGAACTTCTACACCGTCACGCAATTGCACTCGCGGTGGGGGGTTGGGTTGTGATACATGTGCGGGTCTGAGAGAAAAACAGACAGAGTAGAAGAGAAAGCAGTCTAGTCTAGTCCAACAAGAAAAGCAGGTCAGGTGTCGAAGAAGAAAAGGCCAGGTCGAAGCGAGAATAACGGAATAAGACGACACCGGTTTCTGTTACCTGAAGCGATGTGATGAAAGGAAACTAGCAGCCAGTCAAGCGAAGGCAAAGCCAACACCACTCACTCTGTCCTTCCCCTCTTTGACGCGAGCTCCAGTCTCCGCAATCGGTCGGGCAGGTTTAAGCAATTGTCGGCAACGCTACAAACTTGTCGTCGCCGTAGCTCGAGGGGGAAAGGGGATGGGGACCGGTCAGGGGCATTGTCAACAATAATCCGCAAGGCACGGGAAATACAGACGAAGAACAGCTGCTTGTTGGCTACCAAGCCAAATACCCCATTCCAGTTGACAAACACCACAAGATAAAGTTGAGTGCACCGCTACAGTTCTTATTTACACTGACTTTTCAGACCAGAACTTGCTTCCCTGCACAAAGACATTTCCAGGCAGAGTCTCTGGGAATTTGAAATGAACCTACCAAATTAAGTACGCCTTGTTGACCAAGCGTTGATATTAAACCCCCTTAAATCATACCCAAAGACCTGCTTTGCTTTCCAACCATTCTTTTCATCCCATATTAATGTGAAATCTGCACGGCCACTACCGGAAATAATGCCGCGCCAAGTATTGAAATCGCAAACTGCCACGACGAGATGGCGTTCCACATGGCGCTTTGGGGTGCTGAAATATTCGCCTGGTCAACCGATGTCAATACAGTGGGCATGGCTTCGAAGTAGTCGCCCGCGGCCATGACAAAGCAGAGCCCCATGCCTGCAGCAGCAGCAATGTTGCGAGTCGATATGATCTTGCCCCTTCTTTCCTTCTCTTTGCCATCTCCAGCAAAGGCATCGCTCGTCTCCTCTCCCCACGCCATAGGCTGTAGCCAAAATGCAACGACATATCGGGCGGAGGCAAAGCCGATCAATAGTGACGAGTAGTATCTGAGGTATACCAGACAGGCCCAACGATTTGTCATGTCGGGGGTCGTCATACACTCTAGAAAAGCAAGGTGGCCCGCGGCAACGCCCATTTGAATCGTCGACGACAACACCCCCCACGGCACGACGCGGTTGACCAAAGGGAGTTCCACCGACGAGAGCGAGTCCTTGCGATGACAGTAAGCCGCAACGCGAACGGTACCTTGAGCAACAAGAGCAATGGCGCTGGCCTGGGAGAGACCAACATAGCCTGAAAAATTGGCACCCAACAGAACGCAGTAGCCTATGCTGCAGAGGAGGCTGACCACCAAGGGCAAGGGCAGCTGTGTGGGAGCTGCGACGGTTGTTTTGGTCTGGAGCTTTTCGCCCAACAGCACTGCCGAGCCGGTGGCCTTGCTCACATCCTGTGAAGTGCCAGTGGTGGGAGAGGCGGCAGTCAACTCTCTCGAGGTTACGCAGCTCCCAACCTTCTCCGATTCTAGCCCGCTTCCGGCATACAGATATCCGATCTGACCGATGGCTTCGAGCAACAAAAAGCTCATTGACATGCAGGACAAAAAAGTGCCTCTGTCGACTGTACTTTCCATGGTTGGGCTGAGAAGGATGACGGCTCCGGCGAAGACAAGGCCACCTTGCATGCACATTCTGGGAGATTTCTGTTCTGCCTCGGCTGGCACAACTGAGAACCTCACCAGACAAGCCGTAGCATGGGCACCGAAAAGGCCAGCAATCACGGCTTGTAACGAAGCCCACGCAATGCTGTGGATCTCGGCTTTGGAGGTGAGGTGGTTTACGTTGGCCTCGTATATCCACAGCGCCGAAACCTCGGTGCAGACGATGCCGAGCCCCAGGAATATACCGAGAAGATTGATTTCCCAGTTCCCAGCAACGATTAATTTGGTGGGACTCCCAATTCTAACGGCAAGTAGCTCTGAGCGGGTGAGTTCGCGGGCCGACATTCTGAGCATGTATAGAATGTAGATACTCATGGCTCCAACGTTGAGGACGAGAGCGAGGCTATTCGTCCCGCCCTGCAGCGACCAGACAATGGCAACAAGAGCTCCCGTGACGCGGAACAACACGACATTCAATGTAATGGCAACTGACAGCCAAACACTGAGGCGTGGGGTGAGGCGGCCATGCATCTTGAGCAGGCGGCGAGAGTTGTTGGCAAACTCGGAGAGGAGCGTTGCCCAGATGAGGTACATCTGGCGACGCGGAAAGTTCCAGGCGAGGATCCCAATCATAGCAGCAATGCTGAGCATATGGTGCACGACAAGCTCGGGGATCGAGACGTAGTGCGGCAACTCCTGGACGAATAGAACAGCCCGGCAGCCCCAACACCACTGCTCTTCCGCGCTGAGGGGCCTCGCAAGGCCGGCGATGTCGGTCTCGGCGGACGTCGTCAGTAGAGCCGTCGTACATGCCACCATCGACACGGCCTTGAATATTAAGCCGAGCCATGTGCCGAAGTATAGATCGTACCGCCTCCGAATGTCGAGCTTGAGGTCTTCAAAAAACTCGGGGTTGACGTGGCGCACGATGGTCTCGGCAGCAAGTCTCAACAAAACCCATGCCGTCAGGCCGGCGAGAAAGGGAACAAAAGGGACCTCGGCCTTGGTGCTGACGATGCCTAGCTGCAGTTGTGAATCCATGTTGTTGCTCGCTCTAGCAGCGAAGCCGGCTGGAGTGTTGAAACGAGGATAGGCTTTGCTTAGGGAGGAAAGTCTGTTCGAGGACGATGTCCCATGTCAAGCAAAAGGAGAATACGTAGTGGCCTAAAGCATTCTCGGGCTGCCGAAAAAAGCTGAATTAGCCGACGTACCCAAAGGCATGCTGTAGCAAGTACAGTATTGAATTGAATGAGGACCTCGGTGGGCGGTGTACGTGTGCCGGGTGCTCAACGTGAGAAGCTCTCAGCTTGGAACCTTGTTGGGGTGTTCCTTCCTCGGTTAGAAGAGGAGACGAGGCGGTTTGTTCAATGGCGGCAAGAACGCAAGGACATAAGAACATTGCAGGAAGGAGTAGCCCCATTTCTCCGTAACGAACTTGGGGGAAATGCCCATCCCAGGGGGGCAGCTGCCCATATCTATGGTAGTCTTCCACATAATAGCCGTCCGTGGTGACCTCGATGGTCTTCCACTTGGCCACCAACGATGCGCCTAGAACAGCCTAGGATATAGGTTTGGGCGTTCAAGCCATACTTTGGGCTCGGAAAAAGTGAGTCGGCGTCGAACCTTAAGCGAGGTCAACAACAGCCACCGCCCCGCGATTGTGTCAGGACGGATTCTTGAGGGTCGCACTTCGTCGCATAATATGGCGTGGTTTACACAGTGGTTTGAAGAAAAATAATTACTAGTCGTAAGTATGAACGATGAAGAACTGGGGGCGAGTGAAATATCAACAGCCGGCGGACCGTGTTGACAACAAGTGGCCGTCAAGCACGTCATGTCGTCTTATACGTGCAAGAGACGAAGCTAGCGACGATTGGGTTTTGAGTTTTGTCGAGCATATTTCCCGCAAGGTCTAGTCTTTCACATTCCACGCCAAAGAGATTGACAGCGGCCGCTATGTACCTCGCCGTGACGGCTCCAAATTTCCACCTAGTCCAGCAGAGAGAAGACACACAAGGCGACGAGCTCTTGGTCTTGGCAAGCATGTCGACTCAGCGGATCCTTTCTAGGTTGTTACTCACCACCCCGCCACTTCTTCCTGGACAGCCTCCTACCTTACCTACCTCTCCACGGTACTTTACTGGCTACGCTAGATCAACTTTACACCCTGAATAGCAACTCTGCTCTCGTCGCACTTCTTCTTGCAGTACAAAATATCTAATCGTTGAGCTCTCGAATTAGGATTGCTAAAGCCTGACAGGCAATGGAACAGACAGCGCAAGAGAACACGACGGGGCCAGGTTCAATGACCACAACACAGAGAGTTTCGCGAAAGCGAGCAAGAGCAATATATGGCTTCATGTTGCTGATACATTTCATGCTCGCCGTCGACATGACCTCGATAGCTGTCGCCCTTCCGGTACGAACCCCCTCCGCTCCCCACGAGGCCTGTCTCTTGACAATTGGTCACGACGTTTGACAGAGGAATAAGTTCAACAGTTTGACTTTGTGGCTAGACGATAGCAAGGGAGATGCATGCCAGCAAGACGGCTGTCTTCAGCATGGGGACCGTGTTCTCGCTGAGTGCGACCATCTTCCAGCAGCCCATTGCCGAGATCTCGCACGTGGTGGGCAGGAAGCCCGCCTTCCTCGCCGTCCTGGGTGTCTTCGCCATCGGCTCCATTGCGGCTGCTACGGCCAAGGACATGACCACTCTCCTGGTCGGCCGGAGCATGCAGGGCTTCGCCTCGGGCGGCTCGGTCCTCGCCGCCATAGTGCTCACCGATCTCGTCGATCTCCGCGACAGGGCCACCTGGTTGTCGGTTCAGAACTCGGTCCAAGCCGTTGGCCTCGTCACCGGCCCTCTCATTGGTGCAAGCCTTCTGAAGGCGACTTCTTGGGTGTGTTATTCTCACACACCGAACATAACATGCCCTCCAGATATGTCAACCCGTGAGGCCTAGGCTGACAATAAGTGCTTTGTGACAGAGATGGTTGTTCTGGATCAACCTACCCGCTATTGCAGCTTCGGCCGCCGGTCTGGGAGTTCTCCTAGGATTTGACAGACCTGCAGAGGGCATCTGGGTGACCCTCCGGAAAGTTGACTGGGTAGGGATACTAATCTTCATGCCCTCGGCGGTGGCTCTCCTCGTCACCTTTACCATGGCCGGCATTTTCTTCGCGTGGAAATCATGGCAGGCCATCATGTCGCTACTGTTGGGCATTGGCGGACTGGCGACGTTGGCCGTACACCAGCGATATCTCGCCAAGAACCCCATGTTCAGATCGAGCCTCTTTGCCAAATGGACCACGACGTGTAGTTTCTTTGGGCAGGCCGTGTTTGGAGTGTGCATCAACATGATATTCTACTACTTGGTTGTTTTCTGGTCAGGGGTTCGCGGCTTCGACGAGATCCTGACAGGAGTTGCTCTCCTCCCCGAGACGCTGAGCATTCCCGTGGCAGCCATCGTGTGCGGACTGACGATGCGCAAGACGGGCCGAATCTGCTGGGCAATGCTCGTAGGGTGGCCATTGACATCGCTGTCCATAGGCTTGCTCTGGTTTCTCGACACCAAGACCCCTCTGGCTGCCCTCATCGTCATCAATACTGGCGTGGGCTTGGGAGCTGGCATCATTGCCTCCGCGCTCAACGTAGCGATTCTGGCAACTACGACGCGGGAGGACAATGGGCACGCCATGGCGATGGGTTGGCTCTTCAAGTCGGCGGGCATGTGCTTGGGCATCGCCATCGGCACCGCCGTGTTCTCAGTGCAGATGGAGAGCCGGCTAAGGCAGATGGATGAACCCGAGATGACAGCCGAGTCGCTGCTGCGGGTACTCAAGAACGTCAAGAACGACCTGGCCGGACAGGAGGCCATTGTGCGCACGCTAAGGATTCTCTGGACCATTTGCTGCGGCCTATCGGGCCTCGCCGGCCTCCTGTGCGGCTCTTGCAAGTACCCCACGCTCAACGACAGGATGCAGGCCCAGGGTGACGGAGCAGTAAAGGACGTCGAGTCGGGAAGTAGTAGCAACTGCAGCAGCGCCACACAAGCCAAACACCCGCAACACCATATCACCGCTGTCGACCATGGTCTTCCGCAGACCGGTCTCAAATCCTAAGACGGGGGCTAAATATATTGGTAATATTGAATATTTAATTGGAAATACGGCATGAGCTGCGTTGTTTTGAACGGGGGTACGGATAAACGGAGTGTTATTTTCTAACCATTTTTGGCCGGAATTGTATTTTATTCTTTTATCATTGTCTCGTGTTTCTTTTCTTATCCCTTTCTGTTTTAGTGTCTAGGATAGCATCCCTTGGCACATCAGAAGCTCTTTCCATTTCAGTCAGAAGTGATGCTTGGTGTCGGCGGTGGTGGACAAGGTAGAAATATGTAGATTATCGCCCCCCGCTGGAATAGGGCAAGGATAGACACAACATCAATACACTCTCTCGGGGGTCGGAAATCCGATTCATCAAAGAAAACGAGATTGTGATGTTTGGTTTTCCTTTCCACGTGTTTGCATTCTGTGCAGGCGGGGCCCCCCCTCTGACGTCGCCTCGGTAATTCTTTCCCCTCCCCCTCTCTCCCCAAATATTTTTTCCATTGCCAGCTGATCCCCCCCGGTGATGTCAACGGGAGCGGTCTGTCGGTCACTTTCGGGCCACCTGAGGAGGGGGGGGGGGGGGGGAAGAAGAGGGGAATGGGGGAAACAAAGAAAAAAAAACTTGATGGCATGGCAAGGCGATTCGGATTAATGACCTAATTCGGGCACTTTGCCTAGTTTGGGACATTCCATAGGGACAAGAAACATGTGAAAGATGGCCGAACAATAAAAAATTTAAAGCTATTGAATACGGGGAAAAGAAGATAATGTGAGGTATGGAGGTGGGTAAAATTAAAGACCATGAGATGAGATGGGATGCCCGGGACTCGCCGAGGTTGCTGGAGATCTCTCTCGGTTGTTATGCCGCTCCAGTTGCTGATTCTTTGCCTAAACCGTAAGATATTCAGAGGAAAGAGGTCTCGAGTAGCCAGTACTTTTGCCAAGGTTCTATAGGTAACTTACCTACCCCAGCTGAGCGGTTTCCTATTGTGGTTTTAATTTTGTTTTATCAATTTTGTTTTATCAAATCTATTTAATTCCATTTTATTTAATTTGGGTTTCACTTTTTTGTCTTGTTCCCCTTCTCGCGGGGCTTGTTTGTTTGGTTGCTGCTGGCTGGCCAGACCTGTGGCTTCGTCAAACGGAATGGTTGTTTCACCTTCAGCAGCGCAATACGGTCTTCCGCCACTACGCCACCTACGTAACGTCTACAATCACCTTATTTTTCCAGCTCCCCTATTTCTTTTGTCTTTATCTCGAGATCTCCTAGAAACGATAATGCTAGTGCAAGGATTAAAATAAAATCACATTTAAAATATTTCTATTCTTCCCAAAGTTGTTGCCCTCTGCCCCTGGAACCGTTTTACCTCTAGGGGGCGTAACCGAACCAGCCAATAGAGTTAGCTTCCAGTTCGCCCTGGCCGCAACTGGCAGCCCGGTGGCCGGGAAAGCCAAGGGGAGAGGTCGAACTGCCTGAAATGGAACATGGCCGGCGTCATTTTCGAAGCATGGGAGACCCTGCATTAACGCATCTTCTGGAACATGGGATAGAAGAAGCCCAGCGACATGCGTCAAGGCGCAAGGCGCCGGCGCCGGCGTAGCTTCTTTTGGATCCCCCCCGGGCCATGTCCGAGAGATACGCATACGCACACAGAGAGAGGGAGTGCAGGTTGAGTTTGGCCTCATTTCATGGGCTGTTGTTAGTCTCGGTATCGAGTACTTCCCCAGTTATCCCGACAATGTTGAACCCCTTGCCCCCAGGTCTCATGCGCTTGGATGCTGGGGTTGAGAATTCCATATCTCTCTCGAGGTGGGGTCGAGGTTCGTTGCTCGAATTGCTTGCACCTTCCTCACCCGGACTCTTCCGTTTGCCTGTGTGCGGTCGCTGCCGTTGCCTGCAACAAGCAAACGTGTCATGGGAAGTCGAAATGGCGCAGATAGGGGATTTCAGAATAGAGGGTTCACACAAGCCGCGATCGCGCGGGGGGGTTAGCTCTTCTTTATTTGTCACGAGAAAACGGAGGCAGGAACGGCACCACCCAAGTTGTTTTTAGCTTTGCATCACGGTAAAGAATAATAAAAAAGAAAACTAAAACTCTAAGAAATGCGGGTATCCTCTTTCGTCGCTCAAACTGGTCAACGCTTCTTCGGTTCATCCGATCAATACACACCTTCAACCTGATCAATGCAGGCATGCGGAAGAGGCTTAAAAACACAAGAGACACGTGGTTGATGCGACAATGGGCGGCGGGTGGGTTTTTCTGTGCGACGTCTAGCCCCTGGAATGCGGGGGCGGTTCAAACTTGGGACGACAAAACAAAGCGAAAGTGGCAGCAGACGCAATGCGCTGCTGCCCATCATCTTCTGCATGGTATTGCTGGGCGATTAACGCCGCATGAACCCATCCGGTGCTTCAGAGTTGGAGTGGTCCCGCTCACGACGGTGTTGGACTCTATGGCATTCCGTATGCACTCCGCATTCTCTTGGGCGATCCCGAGCGTCTCCAGAGACACAACGCCGACACGACACGAAAGCCAGGCCAATCGATATTTTGCATGACAATCTTGGTCCGTGGTCACTGAGGGGAGTCACTGGACACTGATAGCCACTTGCGGTCGAAAAGGAACCTAGGCAAATCACATGGCAGACAGGTCGAGATAGCAATCGCCCCCAAAGAGAAACAATGTGGTTTCAATCAATCAATCGAGACCGTGCCAGACAAAAACCTCAGGGACCGAAGGAAAGGGTATTCCAGAATGTGGCGCTCCCCGTGGACCCCCGGAAGATCCCTTTGCTTTTTCCTTTGTTGAGAGGGCGACATTGGCTGGCGGCGCCTCAGATTCGGGGCCGAGCCGAGAGCACGGACTCGCGAGCTCATCAACTCAAGAACGCGTCGCGCGGTTCCGAAGAGAGCTGGACGAGTTCGCGTTCTCTCTCCAACGGACCCCACTTTACGGGTCTCAGGCCCTGCCATGCCGCCCGCCGTAGAGAGAGTTGCCCCATCCCCAATTATTTTTGTTTTCCTGCCATGGCCCCCAAATCGGCCCCTCCGTCCCGCTGGACGGGGTTGAGCAATTAACCGTGCCGTTCCCCGGATCCCACCCCTTTTGCCATTGCAGTATGATGTATTGCTGCATTCGGCAACTCTTCTCCTTGTGTAGTACAAATATAGACGTGCATGTGGCATGCGCGCCAGTGCAGAGTGCAGCAGCAGACTCGTGGCATTCCATTTGGAAAGAGGCGAACAAGAGAATGGAGGGAGAGAGGCACAGGCGGGTCAGTCCGCAACATCGATGTAGCCGGCCCGCCTGAAAGGCTGCGGCTTTCTATGGGAGAGGCGCGCCAATCAATGGTGGCGCGTTTGAAGACTCCTTCGCTCGCCCGCTCCGTTTGTCCAAGCGTTTCCTGACGGGAACCAGGAGTAAGAAAACTGGACTCAAGTGGATAAAATAAGTGAGTAGAAAATAAACTAATAAAGGATATAATGAAAACGGATACTTCTCCTGGTACCTGCCGTGCGATACTACCTGCTTCGCGTTTCTGACGACTTGGCGTTGAATTGTTTGCTCGTTCATGACATAATTGTACTTAGCTGATAGACAGAGAGATTGACTCTCTACCGTATATCCTTGCCAGCCTGTGAAGCTCAAGAAGTCTACTGTCTGTTGTTGGCAACTCCTAATAACCCTACTTGCCGTCTCGATCACGACTTACAACACAAATAATGCTGGAGATGCAGGCATCGCGGTGGTGCCCGAAGGTTGTCTTTCCGAATACTCCCCTGTTTGATAGGCCGGTCCTTTATCCAGCTGCGAGGGATGTGTGAAAAAAAAAACCAGAAAACTCAACGCGTAGCAAAACGTTCACACACTTCCCATCACATCCTGTTACTGCACGCTCTGACGGTTTGCCTGCCGGGGAAAGACTTTCCCAAGTGTTCAAGTGGCAGGTTCCCGCCAGCTTACCAACCAAGCTAACAACAACACTGCACCTGGAGCCGTCTTGTTAGGTCATGTCATGTCATCCCACCGGAGTTGGTTCCGTGTCTGGCGAGCGAACGAGCAAGAGGAGCCCGAGTGAACAAGGTACCGTAGCTGGCTGGAGGACCTTTTCCCCCACACCTTGACCGTTTTCATGGGCAAGGAGCCAGCCAGCCAGAGCTACGAACCGGGAAAGGAGCTAGGCCTTCCCCGGCGCGCCGGTGAGGGTTTGAGATTTGGCCAGAGTCGGGGAAACTATGGAACCTTGCTTGGTTGGTTTGCCGGCGGCAAGTAGGTAGCCAAAGCCCAGCCCGCCCGTGCTGCCCCGCAAATGTCCGAGCGCCGGTAGGCAGGTGGATATGACTGGTCACCTTACACAACAAAGATTTGGGCGGTGCCTATTAGCACTTAGCAGATGTTAACTTTTAGACAAGAGGGGGAGGAGGGGGGGAGGGGCTTGTCGTTCGTACGACAAACCCGAATTCGGGACGAGGGGGGTAGCGATCCAGAAAACGGAGACTTCTGGAAAACAGAGACACGGCTGGGAATGGCAACTCGGTGAAGACGTTAGCGGGGAAAGAGAACTAACACTACAACTGCCAGAGAGAAGCGGCGGGCAGGGGATGGCAAGTGCGAGGAAGGCGCCAACAATAGGTTTTCTCGCCTGGGCATTCGGTGCCTGGGTACGACGAATCCGTCCCGTCGTCTGCCAGGGGCCTGCAGGGAACTTAATCTAGGGCCCCTACCCTGCCATGGTGCTGTCAGAGAGGGAACAAATATTGGGTTGGGAATATTCATTGTTCCGTCAATTCTTTTCTTTTTTGTCTCGATAGAAATAATAATATTCAGGGTTATTATTTTTTCGAGACTATTATTTCTTACCCCTGTTTTCCTTTGTTACTGGCGTTGGGCCGGCGGGTGCTCGGTCCCTGTCACTTTGTTTTCTAGAACACGGCCGTGTGTCACCGAGCAGGTGCTGGAGACGACTTCTGGATTCCGATCTAGAAAATCGGCAGTGGCTTCCGAGGCGGGAATTAGAGAAATGAGACGTTAAAAAAGCCAACTCTAAAAAATACAACGTAGAATTAAATCCACGAGAAAGAACAGAAAATACTAATATTAATGATTTTTTTATTTAATCATGAATATTATCCCAGGGGGTTTATGACGGCGCAACGGATCCATCGCTCGCATGCGCCGCACCCGGCGTGAAAATGAAGACAACCCTTCGGAAGCACCAACGAAAAACGACCGAGAGCGCCGGCACTTTTTCTCCCCTCCCCCTCTATCACCCACACCAACTAGTAACTCCCTAACTACTAGCCCAGTCCGTACTGCCGACAGGACATTGTTTCTAAAACAGTCTACACTAGCAATCCCTCGCTACTGTAGGCGGCGGTTTTTACGCGCAGTGTGGGGGATGAGGTGGATGACACGCGCATCCGGGCCCCGTGTAAGTTGTGGCATCGCAATCGCAATCGCATCGCATCGCATCGGGCCCGCATTGCGCAACGTGCCCCCGAGGAATCCCCGTCCTGCCCGTCCACGATCCGTCCGCGATACCGGAGAAGCCTCAGATACATACATAACAGCGGCCGGTTCTTCTCCAGCCCCCGGGATTTGAGTTCTCTCAGACTGTTCCTGTTAAAATAAAAGCAACTCTGTTTCCAACTTTTGCATCCACGAGCACTTGTGAGCCGCCTTGTTCGCGCCCGGGATGGGTCGTCTGTCCACCAGAGCGAGAGTGTGGGGGGACGAGATGTGAACAGAGTTACGTACATCGTTGTCGGTCTCCTGGCCGGGCTGTGGTGTGCCGCCGTGCGGCGCGGAGGGGGAACTGTACATACATATGTGGGTGGTGGGTGTGCGGCAGAGGGGCCACATGACGAATCGCAGATGGGGGCCAGGCGCTTCATCCATCGGGGCGGCGAACCCGCCACGGCGGAAACGAAGCACGTTCCTGGATTAAGCGACGAGAGGGCAGAGGCAGACACCGGAGTAGTCGGGCGGGCGCCTAAATCGATCTCCCACACCAACACCACCTTGCTTCTTCTTCTTACTGCATATCGACGACCGACGGGGGTTGGAGCAGGCACGAATATCCGGACCACCTGCCACAATCGCTCCATGGTCTGCCTCAGGAGGCATCACCACCCCTACCTACCTACCTACACCGACAGCAGCAGCAGCACCACCACCACCAACAGAGCCGCCGCGCGCCAACAAGAAAAAAGAGAAACGTATGCTAACTGCCATACTAAACTACAGAACATTGCATATAGATCGTATAGTGTGCGCGGCAAAGACGCTATCGTTCAGGAGTTTCCTCCGTCTTTTACAGATATTCCAATTGGTATTGCTTCCCGGTCTTCCGGGCTGGGACGTTCAAGTATCCTACGCATGTACTTCGTAGTGATATGTAGATCCAAACTCGACCTGCACCGGTATACACGGGAGTGCATTCAATCTTTCGCCTGCCTTGGGGCTGAAAGTCATAAAACCGGCCGCCACGAATTGAATGAATGAGTGATGACCACAGAATGAATGAATGCACGGATTGGCGGGGGGGCAGCATTTCCTCGTGGCAGCCACGTCTACATGTCTGTATGTACTCTGTATGTGTATGCATGCACTTCAAAGGCACCTACCTCGATTCTCGATTCTCGAGGCGCGAAGCGCGTAAACCCAAAGCCACCCGTCGGTTGATCGGCGAGTTGCGACTCCATCATCCCTCCGTCCCATGTGATGTACACGATACAAGCTGTTTTCCTTTTTACAACCTACCTTAGATTATGATATGACCGCCGAGCCAACAGACAACACAACACAAGCGCGCGCGCCGCCGCACTCCCGAACACAGCACACAGGGCAGCCTAGGGCACATTGCGGGAGGAGGAGGACCGACCGATTGTGTTCGGCAAGTTTTTCGGCCAGCTAGCGTGCGGGTGTGCGGCGGGACGCTCCGTTTTCTCTGCTCACTTGATCATTTGATCTTCCCGCGTGGCTGAAGAAGCATTCTGAAACAATCCAAGAAGGGGCGCGAAACCACCAACAACCCACACGTTCGCCTTCAGCCTTGAACCAGCCCTGTAGGATATACAGTAAGCAAAGCGAAAGATGGGGTACTGTATCAATCGCCGAGTGTAAAAAAGAGGCGCTATTCACTATGCTACGCTAAGATATTACAAAACAACGCTCTGCCACTGCGCGAGGGGTTAGAGACTTTCTACAGGGCTACTGGTACACTCTGTAAGTCGCTCCCATAGCTCAGTAGACCAGGTGGCAACGACTCGCTGCGCTCCCCTTCTCTGCTCGGAGCAAGCACGAGAGCTAGTCAGCGCCCTTGTTGGCGCTGCCGCCGATTCTCCTGTGCTTTCGTTTGTCGCCGCGGCGCATGAGCACCTGATTTCTGGTGCCCTTGCCGCCTTCCCAGTAACCGTTTCCGCGCTTGCCGATGACGCTGCGGCCGCAAAAGGCGCAGCTGTCGACTCTGTAGTTTTGCTCGCGCGAGCAAAAGCCACATATCATACGGTTCGCCCACTCGATGACGTGCGAGCCGTCCTCGCCGTCGTCGTGGCACTTGTCGCAGGGATAGACTTTGCTGCAGCACGAGAAGCGGAACCACCGGAAGCTGCGCTTATAGTGCTGGCAGGCGCCGCGGTTCGGGAGCGGCTCGCCGACGTGTAGCCCGAGTTTGTCCTGGCGCCGCCGCGGCCCGCTGGTCGGCGGTAGCTGGCCGCTCATGCCGGGAGCGTAGGCTATGAACTTGATATCGGGGATCTTGAACGTGAAGCGGCCGTGGCATTCTCGACACACGTTGGTAGTGACCTCGCCACGGACCGATGTTAGGCCCTGCTGGTATGGCGTTGAGCATGTGCTGCATGTTGGTACGAACGTGCTGCGCGACCGGGGCTGTTAGTTCATGTGGTTGTGGCAATAAGGTAATAAAAATATTTGTGGGAATAGGGGGGGAGGGGCTTTGTTCAACGGTGAAGAGCGTAAAACGCACCTGGGAAGTATATCCGCCACCGTGCAGCCAGAGGCGTCAATAAAGCCCGCGCGCGTAGAGTTTTGATGTACGAGCTCCTGGCGGAATTTGACCGTCAACGAAGTTGCACACTTCTTGCAGCTGCTCGACTTTTCCAAATTGTCCTTCAGCCCGCCAATCTCGTTCAGCGTCTTGCAACGCGCGCACTTGACGCTAATACTGAGCACGGATACGTGGAGAAGGTCGATACCATGCAGCTCGATCGACGGGAAGGACATGGCCGTCCCCCTTTCTAAAGTTTGTGTAGGAAGATTAGAGCTCTCTGCTTGGACAGTGGCACCTCCGTCCGCCTCTTCTTCTTCGTCGTCGTCGTCGTCGTCGTCGGAACACGTAAAGGCGTCAGACGAGTCGATCTCTTTTGAATCAGCGACATCGGCCCACTCAGGGGGTCTTTGAATGAAGTGGATGTGCCCTTTTCCAGAATCTAGAGCAGGTGAATGTTTGACCTCCTTCGTCTCCTTGCCTGGGCTGGGTGGCACCTCGACGGCAACCTTCTCGGCAACCGTTCTCTGAGTCTGAGCCTGTTTCGCAAGATCGTGAAAATTCTGGGCTAAATAGTTTAGATGGCTCGTCAAAGACATCTGTTTTTGCTCTGTCGCCTTCTGAGAGAATAGCTCCTCGACAGGCTCCGCCCCATGCGACTCTACGTCGTTAAGGAGGAGTCTCAGCGGCTGCAAGGGGTAGAGGAGGGGGATGATAAGCTGGATAGACTGGACCGGCCGAAGCCCAACCGGAAGATTTGCCCTGCGTTTTGGCTCCAGGGGTAGAGTATAGACAATGCCGTCACTAGATTTGTGGTACACGGGCTGCCGCCCCATGCGGGCCTCGAGCTGTCTGACCTCCTGCGCCCGTCTCGCCTTGGCTTCCGAGATCTGCTCCCTAGAAAAGGTCGGCTCTAGGATGTACGGCCGGTGTACGGGGGGCGATGGCTTGGGAGAAACCGGCGCAGTCTGCTTTTCTGGGGCAGTTTCGAAGTCGACATGCCTGGTGTCCTTGAAGATGACCAATTTCACAGTCTCGGCCTTCTCCTCTGCCAGGAACGACTCAAGCCGTTTGTCCAGGGCATTGGTCAGGGCGAGCAGGGTTGCGCCGCGTTTCTCCTGAACCAACTTGTCCCAGCCTTGCTCGATGTTGATGGCAAAGCCTTTGGGGATCTCTGTGTTCTTAACCAGTAGTCGCGGCGGCTCTGCGGGATATGCCGCTGGGACCCGGAGATCGCATCGCAGCTGATCTAACTCGAAGGGGAAGTCTGGGTCAGACGGGGTGAGGCTAAACACAAGGGACGTGCCCCCGTTTCCAAGATTGGACTCCATGGGCGAGAACCGGCGCGTCAATTGTCTGATCTGATATCCCCTTGCGTCTTGGAATTGGCGTTCCGGGATAGGCTTCGGAACCACCCGAGACGCCGGTGCCTCTCCGACAGCCTGCCTAGTTGATCTTGGCGAAACGCCATCTTTAGGTCGGATGGGAATCATTTTTGATCGAGGTAAAATGCAAATCGGTATATTTGTATCAAGTGCTATTGTGAAAAAAACGAGGGTGAAGGTGAGGGCACCTAGGTTGGGAAGCGCTGGCTGGGTACGGGGAGTGCCGCCCAGCTCGCAACAGCAAAAGCAAGTGGGGTGGGATCAATGAATGAGGATGCAGCAATTGAGTTTTGCGCCGGGGATTACAAGCTGTTTTATCATCGACCCGAGAGTCTCAAATGACATCCTGTGGCTGTTGTTCGAGACGACTATACATCGAATGAGCCACGATGAATCATTTTACCATGACTCAGAGAGGTTCTTTCCCCTCCAAATTGGGGCAACTTTTGATCGTTAGGACAAAGTGGTGTTGTTTCACCGCACGGACATTTTTCGGACTTGGCTCACGGGAAAGGACGGGTAAGGTGAGGCTTGGTGAAGCCTTCTTTAGTCCCATTTTATCGTTATTGCAGAGAAAATCCTGTATCTTGCAATTTCACAACTTAACTAGGAGCCGTTAGTTAGGTTAGGTTCTCTCCCAGGCCAATAGCAACCTAAGTCTTTGGTTGATTTTTCATGCAAAGTCGAAAGCGCTTGGCAGGAGCGGGCCAGTTACATAATACATAACAGAGGCCCCACAACAGGCATGGACTCGGAATTTTATTTTCTTTCTTAACCTCCTATGACTCACACGCAGCTTTATTATGCCATCCCCCAGCCTTTACTCGCAGCCAGCAAGCAATTGTGCGAGCAACATAACGAGAACAACAGCTGCGTGGCGCAGCGGAAGCGCGCCGGGCTCATAACCCGGAGGTCACTCGATCGAAACGAGTCGCTGCTAAATCTCGGTTTCTCTTTTTGCTTCTCTACCCATTATTATTGTCAATAACATTATTGTTCCCTTTTCTCCCCGTTCACTCCTTTGCACTTCCCGTTGTCTACTTTTTTAATACCTAGTATTTTTTTATCTCGTCGTCACCTATTCATTGGCCCTCAAAAGTTTTCCAACTTCTTCTTAACCTTTATGAACTATCATTGCCGTGCCCAGCAAGGTTATCGTTGATACCAATCCCTGAGCACTCCCAAAATTTTGTGTTCACAACCTCGGCTCGCTTTTCTTCCGCACTCCACGCCCCATTCTATTCTAACCCTAGCTAGCAGATGCTTGTAAGTCACGGGTACAGCACATCATGTAAAGACGGACCAAAAAAATGTCCCGGGGAAATTGGGGAGACGACGACGACGACAACGCCTGCGTCCAAGTAGGTATGTCGTGTGTTTAGGCAGAATCCGTCGTTCCCGGGAGGGCTTGCGCACCCCGTCCCAGGGCTAGGGGTTCTACCCCACAGTTCCAGATCCGCTGAATGGGCGACGTGAAATAAATAGACAATCCGGGGAGCATATGTATGTAGGGGAAAGGGGAGAGAATGGGGGCGGGTCGCTACCTGCCCGTGCCCCGTTTCCATGGAGCTAGAAGTCTGGGGCATATCTTCTGGGTGTTTCTTGAACATAAATCGGGCCAGGGGGGTGGGAGGACTCGTACATACCGAAAAAGAAAAGAAAAAGAAACGAATAAAGAGAGAAGAAACAAGATAATATAACACTCGCGGGGCATACCGTTCATTCTACGTTTTTATTCCATTTTCACTCTCTGCCTCGCCGGATTTGGCCTTGTCCTTCCCTCAATGGCACCGGTTGATGGCTGCCGGGGCAAGGGATGCCAGGTCGAACCCATCTGGGTATAATGGATAAAGGGGAACTTCGGGCGTGAAACCCACGTGGGAGTGAGACGGGAAGAGGGAGGACATGCGAGTGCGGCAGAGTCGTTCCTCTCTGGTGGGGTTTAAATGTGCGAACACACTTATAGCAGCGTGCGGCCGGGCTGGAACAAGCTTAAATTGCTCGGTGAAGCTCTCTCTCCCCTGTTTCCGAGGTATATCACCTGAGGCGCATCGTTCGTTATTACTTTCTCGGGAAAGCCATCGGCCCTTCTGGTACTAGAGATACCGGCCAAGGAAACAGCTTGTATATTAGGAGCGAGGTACTGGAGAGCGGAGCAAATATGAAGTTCATTTTTTTTTATCTCAGTAACGTCTTTGTTGTCCGTGGACGTTCGTCGCGTCCAAGATGCCCACCATATACAATCCAACCCCTGAGTGTTTGTTGGCGTGGTACTTTCTAAGATCCTAATGGCCTTAGCATCCTACGACTCGCCGTAAAGGTTTTTCGCTAAGGGAGGCAATAGCTATTTGAATCCTTAATTTGGAATCTTAGAGGTCTATTCATTCTCTCGAAATACCTATTAAAGGCCCTTCCTGGCCGGTTCATTTATTATTTTCTTTTCCTTCGTAAGTACCACGCTAACATTTAGGGATTGGATTGTAACCATAGTCTCAGCCTAGCCCAAGCTTGACAGAAGGACCAACCGCGAGTTTTTATAGGGCAAAAACAAGTCAAGGCATTTGCCATCGTTCGTTATCTAGATGTGCTGAGGGAGTTGGTGACTTCCCCGAGACATCATAATAACCTAGACCTGACGAAATAGAGCAAGGCAATGGCTGTTGCGAAACGATGAGATCTTGAGAGAGGTCAGTATATCAGCATTTACTGGAGCACACAAGCAGGGAAATTATCGGTAATACCCTTATCCGATTGCAGATAAGATGCCTGGTAGGCTTTCCAAGAAATGGTTTGTAGCCTTGCCGTACTACTGGCACCTCGGGGCTTCACCGTCTCTAACGGTATGAGAAATGACAAGAAATGACAATAAGGCGGAAGAGAGCAAGACATAAAATTCTGCCCAAGCACTACCTAAGAAACGGAGACAATGCACTACATTGCCGAGTTGTCAAAGATACCATTGACAGGGCGAGCGAATCGGTCTCTGCCGAGATACCTTTCGTGATGTTTTCAGTACATTAGAATCGTTGTTGTAGCCTTCACCGAGCCCAACCCTCACCAACTCAGATACGCAACGGGTCGGGCTTTTGTGTCCCCTGGCCGCTTGCCTTGGCCTTGCCGGCAGTATGACATATGACGAGGCAAGGGAAAGCTTGGGTGCAACGATGACAGTTGGCAATGTAATCTTGAATGGAAGCCTTGCTTCGTTCGTCCTGCCTCCATGGGAGGGAGAGTAGTAGTAACAACTTGACGTATCGAAACGCCTGCCGGCCAAATAAGCCCGGCAGAGCGGTATCGCGTAACGGATTCGATCAGGAGACGCCCAGCTCCGCAGGACTGCCACCACCAGGGCCGCTCTGGCGGACCGTTTGGGGAGAGATGATAGGCGCTCGAACCGGCCGCGGTCGCAGGTGGAGTAAAGAAAGAGTGTGGCTTGCCACGTCAATTGGGGAGGCGGCGAGGCAGCGGTTTCGGCGCACCAGTCGAAGTGCACGAGGCTCACCACTGTTTTCCCGTTGCGAGAAATGGACGAATGACATCGGCTCGATAGCGGAGGGCTTCCATCGTGGTCGGTTGGGCAAGGCCCGGCCCAACGACGAGATAGACAGCAAACCGAACCCGAGCTTTGCAAAGCATTATTGTCCTATGACTTGCAATGCCAGCAGTTTGTCATTTGTTTGTTTGGCCCATGGCCATCCGTATCCATATCACATCTCAGCTTTCGAGCTTAGATGTGTGCACCTCAGGACAAGTCGGCAGGCATTTGGGATGATGCTGCGAGGCCTGTAGAGAAGTTGAAGGCAAAGAGAGAGAGTAACAGTTTCCCGAGTTGTCCGTTGGCTCTACCGGCGGCACTTGATTCGAGAGGAAAGTCATGAGTCGCGACGAGGAAGAAGCATGGCTAGGCAATGTGTAATTCCCGACCGACCGTTGAGGAGACCAGGGGGCACGCCATGGCGGTGGGAGGGTCAGGGAGGGAATGTGCAGAGGATGACGACAACGGCGAAGCAACGACGATACGGGATTGACGGAACAAAAAAGAGTCACAAGAATAATTACCTGCTTTTGGTGAGCAGCCCGCATGTTCCAAGCGTGCGTACCTACTACGGCAGATACACAAACCCAAGGAACGGTAGCGTAGCGGTGAAGAGGATCGATTCGAGACGACGTACTACGTAAGGTAGACGAGACGACAGCTGCCCTTCAGCCTACCTGCTGCCTGCCCGGGCTGGCCACAGAGGAGGAGTGGTTTGGTCGATATCGCTCTGGCGGCTGCACGGGGCCCCTGGCGGGCATTACTCACCTGGCTGGAGTTGATGAGTTGGCAAGCGGCTGTCGGGGCCAGATGACCACGAATCGGCGGTTGGGTGCCTGAGGCCGACATTAAAGCTTAGAATGGTTGGTGGTAGGGGCGCTTCGGGCTGGAGAGGTGGCCGCGCGGGGAGGAAAGATGGAACTGAGGTAGAAGGGACGGGACGGCGGGGGGAGGGGGGGGGGATAAACGGGACGGGACTGACACCTGGCGAGACCCGCGACGGGCATGTGATGACTCTGGGTCTTTTTCTTGATTTTCCACCCCCCAAAAACCAGAACTTGGGATAAATTGGCATTGCCTTTATTTTTTTAATTATTGGATTTATCGTCGCTCGTCGCGGGAGCTCTCGACACGGTTCGGATCTGCAGAGCGCAGTTGTAAAACTTTAGGTTGCCGTATGTTGCTGAGTGACAGGGTCCCGGACTTACACGATGGATCTTATGTGATTAGTGACCAAAGTCCGTTACCACAACGAGGTAGCAAAGGCTCGCTAAAAGAATGTCTGCCTTGGTTCCAAGCCATACACGCTGTCTATCTACTTGGCGACTCGAGCAAGCGATTTGGGGCTCCAACATACTAATAGCGCGAAAGATAAAATACGAGATAATTAAAACGTCAAAGATAAAAAGAGAATATATCTTACAGCTGGAGAAAGGTACATACGAATACCAAGCCAGAAATTGCGGGGATAGACCTTCGGACCTTTTTGGTTCTCGCAGTGTTAGTTCTCAACACGAAAAAGAGAAACCCTTCAAATAACCACGTCAGCAATCTATTTAGGTACGCTGCTGTGACCTCCGACTTCAGCATCTCCGCGAAAGCTGCCTGGGGACGAGAGTCGAGCTGTGGCTGAGCACTGTGTTAGGTGCGGCGTTTCGCACCGCCTCACCCCTGCTTTGGGGGTTTCCTAACTGCACCTGACCAGCACCTGACTGCCTGTCCGTGGCGGGCTACAGGCCCTGTAAAAGTAGTGCTGAGAGGGGGGCCGTTTCCCCTCAGCCCGGTTGTGTGCTGGGCGTGGGGTAACGTACATAGGTAGAGCGAGCCACCGTTTTCGCGACAGTTGCCGATTTAATCTTGCTTGATTTAAATCCATTTTTTTTTTAAAATTATTATCTCCAACCACAATTACTACTAGTCAATAGATTTCCAACCAGCCTTAGGTTTCTCTCCCCACGGTGGCGCCCGCACATGTACCACACTCGCAACCCTCACACGCACACCCTCACACATCACCGGGACATCCAACAACCTATCGTCTGTTTCTCGTTGAGAAGGAAGAGGGAGGGAGCACTCTGTGTCTCAGGCTCCTCGCTGGGACTGATTAGGCCCGTCGCCTGTCTCGTTTTCTAGACCCCCCCTACTACGTATGGTTCAGACCCTGGCTGCGTCACTTCAGCCTTCCGAGACAGTTGGTCGAGGAAATGACTCCATATCCGCTGGCCACTCCCATTATTGGTGATACCAAATAATCATAATCGCTAATCCCAAGCCTCACGTGCTGCAGACATCGGGGCCGCCGTGTGCACGCACAAGTAAGTGTTCTGGCCTGGGCCAGGTCTGTCTGGTCAAGCGGGCTTTAACCCTTTTCGCGATGCGACTTACACCAAACCCGGCCGGCCAGCCAGCCCTATCGCCAATCGCTGCAGATAGTGGTAAAGGAGTCAGCTGAAGCCACCCACGCATGCCCGTTTTAAGATGATGACCCCAAGTTGCCTCCACATATGTATGGATATGCACGACCGGCCTCCTGTTACTCGTTGTTCGTCGCCAATTGCAATTTAGGGCTGCTGCAGCAGTATATCTCATGTCTTTGCTTTTCCTCTCAGCTGCCTTCGTTTCAGATGCACTAGCTGGTCTCGGGCCCTGATGTCTCACTTCACATTCCCAGAGTGCAGGAGGATAGAGGAAGGAGAAGTAAAACGGAGAAAAGAATGAAGAAAGAAAAAGAAAAAAAAGAAAGAAAGGAAAATATCAATGCAAATGGCAGAAATAAAAACATATGTATAACCACGAACGAGAAATAAAGGGGCAAACAAAAGAGGCGAACGCCAAGAGCTGATTGACACCCTGTCACACTACTCGCAAACAAGCAGACGAGACAAGAGAAAGCAAAAGCAAAAGCAAAAGCAAAAGCGAAAGCGAAAGAGAAAAGCAAACCGGCGATACTTCGCTCTAGAGTAGAGTTCTAATGCCACCTGTCGGCGTTCGCCTGTCCTCAACCTACTGCCATGTGCTACTACTACTGCTATTGACCCAAACGACGTCGTAGCCGGTGTGCCACTGCACGCATCCGGTGTGTCACAAATGCTTCCTTCCCTTCCCTTCGGTCGTTCTACGACGCTCTAGAGCCTGGCTGCGAATGGTCTTATTATTTTCTGGGTACTACTACTGATAAAACTACTGGTTTGCTGCCAAAGGTACAGTGTACCCATCCATTCTTGAGACGAGGTGGGATGTGGACCGATAACGATGCCAGGCAAATGTATCTCAGTGGCCTCTATCGCTTGTTGGCAGCTGATCTATCACGCGAAGCTGTCACCCGGAAATTAAATCACCGAAAGCATCCTCGGGAAGTACTTGCCCGCTTCCCACGGCTTTGCCGTTCTTGATGTAATGAGGAGGGCGTCTCCTGATTGTCTTACAGCGTGTTGCGTTGTTTGCGTCACAGTCAACGCAGACCTAGAAACGAGTCCTTGGTGGTGCCGGAAAATTTTCTTCTATCTGTTCTTGCTTTGCAATTTTCCCAGAGAAAGCAACTTGCAGCTAGTGGCCAACCCCCTGGGCTTGCCTCGTACTGTAACTGTAGAAACCTAGGGGGCATTGTTGCTAAAGACGACTGATCGACCCTTTACATCTAGCCGGCCAGCAGAATGGCAAGACTCAAACGCCAACAACCCAAAAGCAAACAATCTCGAGTTCACACTCACTGATCACCACTTTGGCTCTTCGCGATCCACCTTAGGGGTCGCGAGGGCATTTCGGTCAGCGAATGGGTCGTTCTCGTCTTCCTCGTCAAAGTCATCTTCGTCTTCAGACTCCACCTGTTGTCGAACTTGTCGTGGCGACGACATCGACGGCTTTGTCATAGCCGAAGGGCGGGGCGGCGGTACGGGTCGCGGCGGGTGCGGCGGTGGACTGGTACTGAGACTCAGACTAACCATGCCTGGGATCGGGGATCTTGGGCTGGTTGGTGAATTGGGCTCTTTTCCTTTGGCTTTCTCAGTTGCCACTATCAGGCGGTCAGCGCTCCGGCTCCGAAGAAGAATAAAAGAGAGGAACAGTGAGTTCATACTGCGGTAAAGGTGAGCTTGCTCAGCGACATCATCGTCCGAGTCGCTGTCGGCATCGATAGACCGATCTAGCTGCTCGAATGTCATGAGAGCAGTGACAAGTTCGTCATTTGCGTGCAGGAGCCCCCCGAGCCATTGCTCCGAGTCCACATGATGGATCTAAGCTCCTATTAGCGATCAATCGCGGCAACACGTGGAAAGAGGTCAACGTACATATCGCAGGATCTTCCTTCTTAGCTGCTTGCAAGTCTCAAACCGCTCCAGCGCGAGTTGGTTCTCGGAGATGCGCTCCTTCTCGCGGTTGATTGTCTGAAGAGTATTCGTCAAGTTCGTAGCCGCAATAGAGGCCTCGGCGATGTGAGCTTTCATCTGCTCCTTCTCGGCCTCAAGGTTGAAAGGCTTGTGCTTCTTGTTCTTCTTGTCCTTTTCTTTCTTCTTCTTATCCTTACCGACGTGGCTAAAAGACTCGACCTGCCCAGTCACCTGCGGCCCGAAAAACGGTGCCCCTGAAACTGATGCCGTTCTACGCGATGCGGGCGAGGGCTGAGCGGGCGAGGGCTGAGAAGGGCCTGCAGGGTTTCTCTCCTCTTCGTCTTCATCATCGCCGAAGGGGTTTGCAGTCTCCTTAAGAACCTTCGACCTCTCTTGGGTGACGGCATGTTTGCGACGAGGGAGTTCCTGTAATAATGGGCGAGGTTAGAAGAACAATATGGGCAGGCGATGACACCAGGTATGTTGGTACCTTGTAGAGACTCGCGACGCGCTCCATTCCTCGAGTGCTTTTATACTCGGCAGCCCAGCTGCGGAAGAGAACCGCGCACTTCTTTTTGACATCTGGGTCAGAAAGATCTGCGGTAGCACAGAAGCGCAGGCGTTCAAGCAGCGGCTCATCAGCAAAGGTCCGCTGGAAGCGAGGACCAGCGTTTTGGATGAGCCCATCGAGAAGGGTCAGAGCGCGGAGCTGACGATGTAGGTTTCCGTATTTGAGCTTCTTCCTAATGGCGCGAGCAGCTTCAACAGGGCCAGAATCCTGAAGATTCACAACCTCGACAAGGTCGGGGATGCCGCTGAGATCATTCTCCGGGATGGCCTCACTCGTCAGTCGCTCGACTGTGACGGTGACTGCCGTATACGGCTTTTTCTGTAGGCGTGTTCAGCAAGCGCGGCATAGCTAGGTAACGCAAGTTTATTCAAGAGCACTTACCGAAGAGAACATGGCGGCGACTCTAGGGGTACCTCGCTGGGAACCGAGGGGGAAATCCGAGCGTGGTTCTTAGATGTGGCCTTGCCAACGAGACTGTTCATGCGTTAGACGGTAGCACATTAGCAATGACCACTATACAATGATTCACTTTCAAATGCTTTTTAACTGTAGGGCTGGATGCCTAGATCTGCGGAGTATAAGGTTCAGAGCTGAACTCTTGAAGCTTCCTTTGTCATGCGCCATCTAGCCGAGCTGCCCCATCCACTTAGCTCATCAGAATAGTCAATGAGCCTACGTACTATTTGACCAAGAGGACAGATGCACTGTTGATGCGATGTTTCTGGCGTTGGGTCACGCGGGAGTGGCTGAAGCCAGAGCTTCCTTGAAGGAGATGGCCTGGCTGGCTCCTGCTTGGGCAGACAATGAGAGAAGTCAAGAGGGCTGTTGCCTTTTGGCGAGGCTCGAGGCTTCAGTCCAAGAAGGCGCACGTTCCGAAGTTGGGGGGGGTTTGTTGTTGGCCGATAAGATAACGGAGGGCACCCGATGGCGGGGTAGTTACCTTAGTTTTCTAGCTCAACGAGCGCTTTTCAGGCGCTGACTGGTTGTATCGTACATCCATGTACCACGCGGGCCGTAACAAATGGATGGAGTGTCGTATGAGTTCCAGCTGCCAAGATTATCAGGCTCCGAAGTGATTTCACAAAGGAAACAATTTAGGATTTCAGATCGTATGACAAAGGGATGGATGGGCAAGAGCACTCTGAATTGCTCGGTGGATGTAGCGTAATAGCCCGTCCCCGCAATACCATCGACCCGGCCGCGAGGCAGGCGCGGTGCAGATTGGCGTCATCGGCCAAGCTCCCGCATAACGGCGACGGGTGGCAGTCAACTGGTGGCAGCCAACTGGTGGCAGCTGTCCGAGCTTCTCTCAGGGGTAGAAAGGGGGAAGGGACGACTTACACGCACCTTCACCGCTGCTATGCGTAGTTACCTATTTTGACAAATAGCACGTTTCAACTTGATTTCTTGCGTCAATTTGTTCTTCACTCACTCTTACATCTGCCTAAATTTTCGGGCTCATCCAACATTCAGTTCAACGGTTCTCGGCGTAGATAGGTTGTACTGACAGCGCCTTGAAGACCCGAAATCCGTTCGCTTTCTGATTCCATCCAAAAACTGAAAATTCTGCCCCTCCTGCGTGGTCGAGTGCTTCGATCCAAAAACTTCTAGAAGGAAAAAGGTAGGCCAAGGGGATCTTACTAGTATTCAACCATGCTGATGCCAAGAATGCTCCTTACAGGTCCAGAATCGAGACTTCTAACGTCTCGGTTCACCATGTCAAGCAAAAGATGGAGTACCGCCAGCAACACTGCTGGGCCAGACGACGCCCAATTGGGACATCAAACGGAGCATGGCCCCAGGAAGAAACAACGGCGGCAGTTTGTCGCGGAGTCAAGTCAGGAATACGAGGCCCCTGTATCGCCTAGTGTAATACTAAGACCCGCTACCGAAACCTCACAAGCATCGATGGGAGAATTTACTGAAACAAAGACTGCTTCTCCCCTTACACCAACAGTACCGGAGCCTGTTCATTTGGGAGTGCCACCTTTGACTAACCCGACCCAGATGCATTCATCCCTCGATGAATCTGGTTTTGACTCGTCACGGGGTGGATGGAATTCCAGAGCCCAGATGCAATTGTCAGTACAGACGGATGGTAGGCCACCATCTGGCACAACACACATCCGTCGTCCGAGCACCGCAACAGATTATGACGACGGAGAGGTCATAGAAGTGCTGCAAACCATCGCAAGCGCTCAATTCCCACCCGGAAAAACGGACTGCTACTCCGTAACGGCATCTGATGAGGAAGACATGGCGAGAATGGTCGATTTTCTGTCACCCCAGAGTCAAAAATCTATACCGCTCCCAAGCGTCATCAACGACCTAGACGTCTCATCCACTGCTGAGGTCTTTGACGCTAGTCTCCAGAGATATTCGCCGACCATCATTCGGCAGACAGGTGATATTCGTTGCAATAGCAAGGAATTGCTGGACTCTGATGTCAAAGGGGACAACGTACTGGAGAATGCGCAGTGTCCCCAGAAAAAATGGTCCCATATTCACAGATGTCCTCTTCGCCACAGACAGCAAGAGCAGGCCTAGAGAACCAAATAATGCCGAATGATGAGAAGATATCCTACGCCCCAGAGACCCAGCAAACTAATGTACCCCAGCCTTTTGCAAGGGCCCTTTTCCCACGTCTAGTACGAGACAAATCGCCGGTCATCAGTCTCTCGAACTCCTGCTATCTCCGAACTTGCTTCCGAATGAGCTAGCTAGTCAACGAAGCGGCGAGCTGGTTCAACAATGGCACTCAACAAAAACATAAGAAGTCCCAAGAACACACCCTGAAGTTGTGTTTGAACTATACGCATGTGTGACTTTGTCGTCCAGAGAAGCCGCCGCCCGAGTTCAGCATTTCCAATTTATGGACCTGTTCAAAGAGGAACGGCCATTTCCAACAGGGACACTGAGAGGATGGAAAACCGACAGCCTAATCGATCGACAGAGCTCCGCTTTCTTAAGCGTCTCTAACCAGAACACGATGAAGTGTCGCTGTATTTGTACGCCCAATCGAGAGGCGAAAAACAAGATGGGATGGGGACTGGCTGTTTTATCGATTCGGCAGGCAGACTGGGCCGAGGTTGACCTCATAAGACGGGCCGTCCGGGTCGAGTAAAGCCCCCACTGAACAAGAAATGCGTGACCATCTGAAGGAAAAGAGAAAACATGGATGCAAACTGTCTAATTTGGCACTGATACCATGTTGCTTTATATAGGATGGTTTGGTTGCTTACTCTTGCTGAGCGCGAGGTTCCAATATTGCCTCGAGAAACGATTGCATTCGAAGAAGATGCATTCCTATTAGCTTCAAGATATATCTAGAACTTGACATTACAGCAATATTAGGCCTAATTCCCCCCTCTCCCGAAATGAAAATGTCTACTATAACCGCTGTGACTAAGGTACTCTCTTCGTTTACTTATTTAGCTAATAGTAACGCAGCGCGATTACCATACATACCTAGGCAGGGTCCTGATAGAACCTTTGACGGTCTGGAGTAAAAGTTATCTTGAACGAAATTCTGTTACAAATTCTCTCAGAACATGATACTTTATAGAACGTGGTTCTTATATTCTCTTTTTTTAAAATGGTATTCTTTTGCTTGGATAGACAAGGAGAGAAGTCTAGAGGGCTAGCATTCTAACGACACCCGGCTAGCTTTCCTTAGCTACCTACCTATCAGCCATTGACAGCTCAAAAGGGAACACAAAGTGTTATGCGGATCGTACGGCGGGTTGAAACCGTCTCTGACTAAAAAGGTTCAACGTCATCTTAGAGTCCTGTGTTACGGGCTCTGATAGCTGCACCTCCATCCTCCAGAGAAAAGCATTTGGTGTGAGTCTCTTTCTCAGCATAGAGAATCTCAAACCTATTGTTTTCTAGGATTCGATTGTACACACCAAAGGCGAGCCACCTTTACAATTTAGAGTGTTCTTACCTACTCTCCTTTACTTTTACCCTTTTACCTGTTTTTAATTTTCAACTTTACTTCCTCCTTATATTAGAGACCGTTTACCCCCTGAATGTCTTCATAGCCATCCGGCAAACTTGAGAAGCTTTTGCATCCGGCACCGGGGTAGTGCAATGATCACTCAGGACATTGCATTTAATTTTGTTGAAATATAATGGTCTATTTTTATCGTACTCTAACCCCAAGCCAATTAGACAAGATAAAGAAAAGGGGGAAAACAAGAGAACCATGCCAGTTGTTTGGACGGGTTATATGCAGTCTTATGTTCAATGCATCCGCGCATCCGCAATGCTACAGGGTATGGCAAGCAAAGCTAACAAACACCGGGCTTCTTACCAACCAAAAGGCTCCAAAGAAGACTGCGCAAACTACACATAACCCCCGGGAGCGACCACGCAGAGTAGACACCCAGCTTAACGCAGGTATGACACGGGGTTACGGTGCACTTCCTTGAAGTATCTCTTGCTGTGACCCACCTCTCTCTGCCTCTGCCCTGAGAACTCCTTCTTGCGACCTCTCATGATGATGCCCTTGAAATGCGCCATACTCTGATCTGTGGCGCCGGCACCACCCAGACCACCAAGGTCACGGTTTACCAAGGCACGACCGTGAGCGGCACTGTCGCGGACAGCAACCTGCCGACTGTCGCCATCCACGTCCATCTCGTTTTCGGCAGCCTCTGCTGCCTCAATTGCCAGGCGCCCCTCACGTTCCTCACGTTCCGCAGGGGATGGGTAGCTGTGCAAGTTCTGGCGATAGTACTTGTTCAGCGAGCGGTGGCCTACAGACTTGCCTGATGGCAGATGTAACTCGTACTCGTCGTAGAAGACGGCGTGAGCACGCTTGTGGTTGTGAGCGTGGAAGCCATCGCGCTGGCGGTGAGCACGCTGGTCGTCGCGCGAGTGGTGCGGGTGCTTATCAAGACGGGCATATTGGTGGTAGTGCTGCTCGGCAGGGACAGCGTGCAGATCGTCGGAGTCGAGTGATGATGCAGAGCTGTCCGTCTCCCAGCCATCATCCTCCATCTTCTTGTCGCCATCGCCAGTGGCTTTGGACGACCGTCTGGCGCCAAGCTTGGCACCTCCATTTGGCTTGATGTCCTCCATTGACTCATCCTCGGACTCATCATCCGACGTTTCATCGTCCGAATAGGTGTTGCGGAAATCGTAGAACTCGCCGATCTCAAGCTGCTCGTCTGTAGTCGTAAAGGGAATCTGGCAATGGCCCTTGTCTCGCATGTGTGTTTGTACCGCGTACGTATTGGCCTTCACTTTGCTGCAAAGAAGGCATTCGTTCAAGACAAAAACACGCTCTTGCAAGGCGCCCAGCAATCCTTCCAGGTTCACTAAATACGGCTTTTCCGGGATAAACATTCCATGTATCCGCTCCATATGAAGGGCGTTCAGTGGTGGGGTTGGTGATTCGTAGTTGCAGAACAGACACGTCTTGAGAGACGGGTCCGCCACGGCACCCTTGGGTGCGCCCGGGACAGCCGTTGAGGGCGTCGCGGACTTGGACGGTGGCTCACTTGCCGTCTGTGACACAGGATGATCTACCTTGCGGTTGGCGGCGGCAGACAGGCGGGGATTTGAAGGTCGCTTGACGGGAGATTTGCGGTCTTGCAGCCCGGTGTTCTTCAGTCCCTCGGCCATTTCGTTGAACTCCTCCTCGGCATCTGAATCAACCTCCGACTTGTCGTCTGCTGGCTCTCCCAACGAAAATGTCGAGCTCACCATGGAGCTTGCCTCGTCGTCGACCTTGGCATTTGAACTTGAGGGTGCGGCAGCAACCTTTGCCTTGTGTTTCGCGCTCCCAAGATGGTTTCGATATGCATTCTCGGTGAAGTACGACTTTTGGCAGATGTCACACCCTTTCTCGAAACCGGCTTTGTCAGCCTGGGCCGTCGATGCAGCGCGGGCCTGTAGGACTTTGTCTGTAAAAGTCTCGGACGTGATGGGAGGCAGAGAAGCAACCCGGCGCTTGAGGTTGTACCGGCTGTGAGTGATAATAAGTCTCGGTATGTTGGGCGCGTGGGCACTTGTCCGACAGAAACACTTACTGCCAATCACTCCGCATATGCCCTTTTTGAAGGTCGTTGTTGCGAAAGGCAACTAGACATGTGTTGCAGGTATACGGGTGTGAGGCTCCAATGTCGGCGGCAGCATCGCTGCCCTGGACGGCCCTGCTGCCCGAGATGGTCGCCATGGTATCGGATTGATCGACTCTGGCGGAAAGGTTCTTTTGCAGGTGCAGTGCGACCGCGGAATGGAACTTGTATTTGAGTTTTGAGACCGGGAAGGCGGAAACCCAAGAGTGATCTATTAATAATCAGAGGCAGGGCTTTTGTTCCTGTCCATCAAAATGTTTGGACGAGACGGTGGTCAGTCAGCGTGGGACGGAGTGGTCGCAAGACCGGAGGCGTGCAATGGCGGGGATCTTGTGATGCAACCGCAACAAACACAGGCGCTATTGCTGCCCCCGTGATGTTTGGGAATGGCTGGCTGGGGACCGAAGGGGAGCGGCTAAGTCAGTGATGAGGCGGGAATACCGGCTGCTGGCGGCTGGGCAGTCTGGTGATCGATCTTGGTTGTGGGCGATTACCCAGAGACGGTTGAAGTGGGCGAGAGGGTGAAGGGATTGTGCAATAAAGTAATAAAGACCACAACGGCCGCTGAATAATTTCTAGTGGCGGTTTCTTGAGCCAGCCCTCCCCTCCGCTTTGGTGGGGGTTTTCAGGCACAACTTACGACGTCACAGCCCAATCGCTACTAGCCTTCCGGTGCTTGGCATGCGCAAGCCCTGGACCCTCCCTCCTGGGCGCCCTTACTTGCCGTCCATCCACCTGGTTGGAGCATCCACCTATTGGTGTGGATTCTAGCCGTATTTCCATCTGTCCTCAAACGGTAATCTGTACCTAACTCACTAAAGCGATCCCGAGGCTGTTGGTCTGACCAACCGACAGTCTACCTTAGTTAACTTCTATTGAAGAAACCTGGATCGTCACGGGTTTCACACATAATACTGTTTGGCAAGGAATTGGTATGCTAGTACAGAGTATTATAACATTGTTTCGAGTATGTATTATATTGAACCCCCGAAATACAGGGGACGGATATTCAAACCAATCGCTGAACAATTGTTGGTGCGGCTCTCCGTACTTGAAAAAGAGACATGATTAGGTTGATGAACGCAGCCAGGAAATCCTTTTCCCAGGTATTTCTAAGAGGGGATAAAGACCGACCTTTAGGAGGTAAGACTAAGAAATTCTATTAGAGGCTTCAAGAGTGACCGCCGCCCCTTGATAAATAAAAACTTTGAAAGCGAGCCGCAAGGTCATAAGGCCTCTTGCATCTTGAAGAGTCTCATTGATAAACATCCAGTAACTGGTCTATCTACCAAGGTACCTTGGTTCTAGACCGAAGCGAGAGGAAATTCACTGAATATGATCCTTTGTGATTCATCTCCCTGACCGTAGTTGTGCCTCACTCCAAGTTTTCTATATTTTATGAGCCGTCATACAAAAATTTATGACCGTCTCATTTCAGCTGATACCATTGTCGGTGAAAGACGGGGGACGCGCAAGATGGTGTATGATGTAAGTTATGTACAGTACTGTACGGTATTCTTTCAAAGCACCAACGGCCGTTGCTGACTCATCCGGGACTCCCATCATTTTCGTCAAGTCGTAGCAGCAGCCAGCGTGAGGCAGACGGGCCGGGGCTGGAAACAAGCCTCCACAGGCGCAGCGCAACAACGCAGGTAGATCGACGACGAGTCCCGATCCATCCTTCCCCCAGATTTTCCACCCTGGAGCGACAACCCCTGGCAACAACTACCAACCGCGCTTGAATCCGCACGTACTGTACGTCCGTTCGCCCACAGAGCCTCAAGGCCGTCGAGTGCTCAAGCTTACGTGTAGAATGCCCCCGGTGCAGTTCGTGTCTTGAACATCAAATCAATCGCACCGCATTCGTTATTATTGCGCCACTCGCTAGCGCTCTCGTCGTGTACTGTACTGTACATACATACAACTTTGGTTCACTTCTCATACCTACATACTGCCTCGTCCAGCCAGCTTCGAATTGCCTGGTCGAGCCAACCAAGTCTGCATCTCGAACCAAATCTCTGCAGTAGTCCCGATAATTCCTGCCTTCCTGCCTTTCTGCCTTCCTGCCAACCTCACCACACCTGATAGGAATCCTCCGCCGGGATATTGATCCATGTCATGACTCCAGATACCCCTCGGCCACCCGATGGCCGTGGTATTGCTGGGAGCAATGGTCACGGCCAATACCAAGGCCACAGCAAAGGCGGCATGGGCGAGCTGGATATTTTGGCAGCCGGGCTTTGGGAGGAGGCGCGCTTTGCAAGACTACCCTGTGACGCACCCAGCGAGCTGAGAGACTTGGTCGAGGACATCGAGAACCCGAAGCGGGTATACTCGATACACAGGGCCACGCGCCGACATAATTTCCAGCTGCTCGTGCAGAAGTGAGTTGTGCCCCGTCGTCCGTCTTGGAGGCACCGCTAACATGTCTCACCCCCAAAGGTTCATCGTGCAGATTCGCGATGGCTGTGGCGCCCAGAACTGCTCGACACCAACCTGCTTCACATACCGGAAACGGCTCGCAGGTCGCGGCCCGACCCGGAGGTACAATACCACAAGCGCAAGAGCTCTGGCAATATACCAAGCAAGTCAGGACAACCCTGAGAATGGATTGTGTCCTAGCTTGAGACCCGTCAAAGCCCCCCCTGCTGCCCTAAACCAACTTGTTTTCGTGCCGAATCCTAAGCCGTCCCTGCGTGAAGACCAGATTTCGAGCGCCTCGGTCAAGGGAAAGGCCATTGCTGGAGTCGCCGTGTCTCCAAAGAGTCCTGTGATTGGAACACAATCAGGTCTTGCTCGGACGCGCAGCGGGAGCGGAAGTGGTAGCGGCAGTGCGACTAGCTCAAGAGCCCCCAAAGAGCCCCAAACAAGCCCTCTCAAAACAGGCAACGTCCCAAAGCAGCCCACTCGTCCGTCCTTCTCTGTGTCCGAAGAACCTGTTAGCAAAGACTACCGCTCCTTTGCTGCAAATGTGTTTGGGTCTGTGGCTTTCAAGATGTTGGAGTGGCTTACCCCGGCTGCGATAGAAGACATGTTTCGGAAGACCCAAGACCTCCAGTCCGGGCTCAAAGGCGGCCAGTCTCAGGCATCAAATCCATATTCTATCCCGGAAAACGAGCCCTTCTCTTTACCACCCCAATCTCTAACCCATTCATCCGAGCAGGGGCACGCTAGGAAAGAAGTCCGCGAGAAGGTGAACAAAACGGAAAAGGGCCCTAACGGTGACCATCTAAACCATGATTCGCTGCCTTCCCCTAGATCCGGAGTACAGCGTCACAACTCAAATACAAAGGTCTTAACGCCGTCCGGCTCGAAACCAAAACACCAGCTCTCCATTGACCCATTTGCCACGGAAACCTTGGGCGACGACCCCTATTCGGGCTTGTTGAAGTCTCCTCGCGCTAATGGCGGCCCAACGGATAAGAGTGCGCGGGGTCTTAAGTCGACTAGTTCGAAGCTATCCCTCCCGATATCTCAGCTGTCGTCAGCCGGCTTCTTTGACGATGTCTCATTAGAGAAGATGCCGCCCCCGAAACCTGTCGATCTGAAGCCCAAAGCCAACCGAACCCAAATGGACGGAACGGGGGGCAGCGAGTCTAGCAGTCCGGGTGAGTTTGTTTTTGTCTCCAGGTCGGGCAGCAGCAATTCTTTCCAAGCTGTTGACCCGGAGACGGAGCCAGAGGACGAAAGTGAGCTACCTCAGGCTCTATCGAAGCTCAATGTTGAGGTCGTGGACTTCATTTGCGATGTCATTCAGGAGGATGGAGCGGCCGAGAAGCACATGCTTGAGCCACCATCCATCAAGAGATTCCACACCGGAGATACGCGCCAGGGAAAGCCTCTAAAACGAAAGTCACGACCTTTGGACATAAACCGCTCCGACCTAAAGTTAGAGTGGAAGCTGTTCCTGGAGCAGACCCTTTTTTATGTCCTCAGCAACCCGGAACTCCTAATTCGGTCGTTTACCAAGAAAGGTCAATTGTACGACTCTCACACTCTTTGGTACTGCATGTTGAGGATGACGCGTGTTGCGCCAAAGCTCGTGTTTGATAGCCTCTGGATGGCTGCTGCCAGCCTCTTCGCCCCCCCAAAATCGCTTCAATCACTCCGTTCCCCAACAGCCAAGCTCTTCCCAAAGGACGAAGAATCGCTCTCCAACACAGAAGCAGGTCGTCTGATGTCCATCTGCCTGCATGCCCTGATAGCTGCAGCCCCGGTAGTCGCGAGCAAGAAAAAGCTGGATGACGTGTCCCGAACCAGGGCCCAGGGCATGATCCTTGGCAGAAGCGAATTCACATCACAAAGATTAGCTGATCCTTTGCTTGATATCTGCCTTCAGTACGAGGATGCCTTTTCTGACGACCTCGCGCTCCGGCTGGCTAAGCGCTTATTCGCCGCCATCAGTACGCGTCGTTATTACGATGCGATGGGTGAATCAAGTTATGAGGGCGACGGCAACGAAGAACCTGACGTCCTTGCTCCGTTATTCTCACAGTTGGATTTTCGCAATAGGGATGCTATCTACATCTGCAACTTCACTCTTAGCGAAAACTCTCTCCACGAAGCCCGCGTCCCGATACTGCTACTCGACTGGGCAAGGATGGTTATGATGAGCGACTGGGATGGCAATCCCGAAGTTCCAGGCGATGGGCCATTCGGTGGCGCTCTAGCTCTTGTCGAGACTATGCGTATGTTACCTCTTCTCCTCACAAGATAGTCAGTTAGCTAACGTTACTATTTTAGATAACAAACGACACGAACTACAGCTTGAGGACACCCAATTCCTATCCGAATTCTTCGGCGATAGGCTGGATGTGATGCAAATGCCGACATTGTGGCTCTCTCACACTCGGACCCAGCAGGAAATGCATCTCCTGGATTTTCCCTACTTGTTCAACCCGACAACGCTGGTCACTTACTTCCGTTCCATCAACTTTTCAAGAATGGCGCGCTCGTTCGAGGAGGCTACGTCTCTACAGGACAAGATAGAGGTCGTGATCTCTCGACTAAGTATAAACAGACACGATCAGAACGTTCTCAACGACCGCCTGAAGACGGCGGAATCGAAGTACCTGATGCTTGAAATCAGCAGAGACAACATTGTTCGTGACACATTCAACCAGCTGTGGCGAAGAGAAGAAAGAGAACTGTTGAAGCCAATCAAGGTTCGCCTCGGCAAAGAATCGTTCGAGGAAGGGATTGACTCTGGCGGAATCCAACAGGAGTTTTTCCGGGTGGCCATTGCAGAGATCATGAAACCTGGGCATTGTATTTTCACCGTCGACGACAGAACCCGCATGGCCTGGTTCGTACCGGGGTCGATGGAACCCTTGTGGAAGTTTGAGCTGGTTGGCCTGCTTGTTTCCCTCGCCGTCTACAACGGTCTGACGCTCCCAGTGACCTTCCCGAAGGCACTTTATCGTAAAATTCTTGGGGAGCCCGTTACAGATCTCATTCATATCGCCGATGGCTGGCCTCAACTGGCCAGTTCGCTCACCGAATTGTTGGATCATAACGAGAAGGCCGGCCTTGTTGAGGATATCTTTTGTGTCACATACGAGTTCTCGGCAGAGGTATTCGGCTCACACGTCTCCAGAGAGATGAAATCGCCTTCCACAGAAGAAGAGTGGCCGCAATTTCCCAAAACAGTCGCAGGGGCCTCTTCCGGTCCTGATCCAACTCTCGGCAACCCGGGGCCAGACGACGCGCCCATGGTTACTAGTGCCAACCGCATTGCGTACGTCCACGACTACATTCGCTACCTTACGGATGTGTCTGTAAGGCCGCAGTTCGAAGCCTTCTCCCGCGGCTTTCGCATGTGCTTCCACCCGAAGAGCTTGACCTTGCTTTCTTCCAACATCCTGCAGTCTCTTGTCGAGGGCGTACAGGACATAGACATTGCTAAGCTGAGGAAAACTGCTCGCTATGTGGGATATGACCCAACAGATCGCGTTGTGAAAGACTTTTGGAGCATAGTTAAGCGCTATGACGATAATATGAAGCGCAAGCTTCTCGAATTCGTCACGGCCAGCGACCGCGTTCCTTCAGGTGGAATCGACAAACTTCAGTTTATCATACAGAGGAATGGCGATGGCGAAAACAATCACCTCCCTACGTCCTACACATGCTACGGGATCTTGTTGCTTCCTTCGTACAAGGATAAGGAGGTTCTTCGACAGCGGCTGGCCACGGCACTGGAAAATTCCCAAGGCTTTGGAAATCCTTGAGAGTGCCAACCACTCAGGTAGGCCGGCGACAAGCTGGCCCTCATGTGATGACTTTGCTTTTCTGGGCTTGTTTTCAACTTTTTTCCCCCCAAGTATCATTAGGCATCCTGGGGCCGGATGAGCAAGCGTCTGCGTATTGTCCTTTTTTTTATTCAAACCCCTTTCTGCATGGAACGGGCGAAGCGAAAACACCATAATGTAATTTAGTAGACAGCTAAAAGTTGGCAAGAAATTAGTACTCATTCACACAGGAAAAGTTATTGCTCCTCCCCCTTATTTACGAGGCAAACTCTCGAGTAAACATCAGTCTTCTCTTTTTTTATTTTATGTTTTTAAGGGGAGGGGGGTTTGGGTGGTGTTCTTTTCTTCTTGTCATGGCTACAATATCTATATTTACTGTTTTTATCTTAGTTACTACAGGAATTATCGATCAATCAGGGTTATGCGGCTCAATCAGGGTTACGCGGCTTAATTAAGCTTATGCGAATGCAGGGCTGTGATTGGTCTAACAGGCAAAAGAGTGATGGAATCAGGCCAGCGCACGGACCACACCCGCCCAACACGTGGCGCAACACGTGACCGGGAGGCACCCTGATTGAGTGCCTTCGTGTCCCCGTAGTTCGTGATCCTTTCGAGAGACACAGAAGAATACGATGAACACCACCACCACACCCTTTCGTAGCGGTTACTATAGTAACTAGCACGGATGACCTTGCCATTCCAACAATTACCCCTTGTTTGTCTTTAACCCACGGATATATTCAGGTAGAAAAGAGCCTAGCTTAGGTTTGGAGTTTAGCTATTTAAGCAATATTTCTCACTGTAGATCGTGGAGCAGTGTGTTCTTTACAACTTGACTTTTGGTTCTAAAAAAAAAGGCATCTCTAGACAAGATGACGTGAACTCGCTATTAGACAACCCTCCGCCTGGTTCCGTTCATGCAAGTAAATACAAGATCCCCAGGCGTTGTCAACGCCCGCCTTTTATTGTTTTATTTATCGAGGGTCATATCTATTGCTGCTTGCTGCCTTCCACGTTTCGGCCTTTTTTTTTAAAAGTCGTCGTCGCCCGAACCAGCTATAATAACATTGTTCACCTTGAGCACCATCCTGCACAGCTGCGTGGCTAGCATGAGCTGCTGCTTCTTGCCAATGAGCGGGTCAATGACAAAAGCCTGCTTCATGTCGTTGGAGCCAGCGCCCATGCAGTCGACTCCGAGGCGGCCGCGGCCGGCCGGGTCTTTGACCTGCTGGCTCTTGACCTCGGCCAGGGTGGCAATGGGGTTGAGACCGCTGTTTTGGGCCAGAGCCATCGGCACGGCGTCGAGCGCCTCGGCGAAGGCGCGCATGGCATATTGCTCGAGCCCGGGCGTCTTGACGGCCGCATCCTCGACTGCCAGGCTGCAAGCAATCTCGGCCGCGCCGCCGCCGTACACGACGCGATTGTCGCGCACGAGGTTGCGCACGACGCACAGAGCGTCGTGGAGAGAGCGCTTTGCCTCGTCGATGATCTGGAGAGAGAGATGAAGTTAGCAGGCGGCATCTCCCTAGAGATCAATATGGAGACCATAATTTATGGCAGCACTTACCATCTTGTTGCTGCCCCTGACAAACACTGTCACGGCTCTTGTGTTGGCGCACTCCTCAATCACCAGCATCTTCTCTCTTGTTGTACCAAACGTCATCTCGCGGACAATACCAGCCGTGCCGAGCTTCCCGGCCTTAAGGTCCTCGAACCGAGGCACGATGCGACCGTTTGTCGCAATGGCGATCAGCTCGATCTCGGGACCGCCCACCCATCTTACCGCAGGAAGCTTATTCTGCAGAAGCAAGTGGTTGGCCTCATCATCGAAACCCCACTGGCAGATAGCTAGGTTCGCGCCAGTATCCTTTATTTGCTGAATCATCTCCACGAACTTCTCGTGTTCGTAGGTCTGCAGCTTCTTGAACTCGTCAACGCTAGTGATGTCTAGCCTGTGCTTCGTCTTGGGCTTTGGCGGCTCAAACGCGCACGTCAAGATGGCGATCTTGGCGTCCCGGACCTCAGACGGCATTTGCGGGTGCGAAAAGTCCTTGTCGATGATGACTCCCTTCACGAGCAGCGTGTCCTCGAGTGCGCCACCGACTTTGCCGTCCACCTTGATCAGCTCAAAGTCGACGTCCTTGCGCTCTAGATCTGCTACCGAGAGCACCGCGTCCACGGCAATCTTGGCAAACTGGTCGTGCGCCTTGGAGACAATCTTGCTACCCAAGCTTGTCCTCGCCACCTTGAGCAGGTTTGTCGTCTCCTCTTTGCTGAACTCGATAACGTCTGAAATCTTGTCAAGCTCCGCCACCGCAATGTCGCAAGCCTGGTCGTAGCCGTCAGCGATGCGGATGGGGTGGATGCCTTTGTCGATGAGCTCCGCCGCTTGCTCGAGCAGGGCGCCGGCTAGGACAACTACACCCGTGGTGCCATCACCAATCTCGTCGTCTTGCGACTTGGAGAGCTCCACCAGTAGCTTGGCCACGTGGTTGGTAATCTCCATCTGTTGCAGGATTGTCGCCCCATCGTTCGTTACTGTGATATCGCCATCTGGGGAGATGAGGATCTTGTCGAGGCCGCGGGGGCCTAATGAGGTCTTGACAATGTTTGCGACGGTCCGGGCGGCAAGAATGTGAGACTTGACGGCTTCGTTACCATACTGGCGCTTCTTCTTTCCCTGGCTAGAGAGAGAAGCAGAGAGGGTCAGCAACAGAGTACAAGCCTCGACGGAGTAGAAGCAAGCAAACTGACTCTCTGACAACGATGAAGGGCCGCCCCTGCTCATCCTTCATCACCGCCGCTGTAGACCACATTTGTTAGCATTGCGTCAGCAAGGAGCACAGGAGCACCAAAGTAGGCGAGCGACCAAGCAAACGAGCATCACCGCGTACCATTTGACAAATCCAAATCTAAACGACGCTTCGGTTAGTTTTCTCTTGCATGTTTTCGCTCTGCCAACAGCCGGAGGTTAACGTACTCATGGCCATTTTGGGTCGTGTTCTTGTATCTTGGGAGTTGCGCGGAGTTTTGATGGGCGATAATGCAACTTCGGAGGAGATTTTGAGGGGTGGTGTTTGTCGAGATGAACAGGGCGCCGGGAAGAGCTCTGATGTCCACCGCTAGGCATCTTCGATCGCCAAAAGCTCAAATTCTAATCTCAAAAAATTCAGCCACTACGCAACGCAATCCCCCGCCCCTGCTGTGGCGTCTGGCAGAATCTTGGGTCAAGTCCCAGCCAAAATTTCCGGAGCGCACCAGCCTCAGGAGCCCCGCGATTTGACGCTCACCGCTTTTGCTCTGGGCCCAAACCATGATAGCGGGGCTCTGGCAATGGCCCAAACCTCAACCCCGCCACGATCAGGCCCGAGCTGCAATGAACTTGGCTACGATTTCAACCTCAAGAAACACGTCGATTTAAACCTCGAAATTGTCCTGCAAATTCGTTGGCCAAGAATTTACACTTTGAGGGGTAGCGCGGGACCACTAGAGTTATTATCTTCTTTACTTTTGCCGTTAGAGAAGGCATACTCAAATCTACATGATTTGACCACATCCCCGGTTCTATGAATACTTGGTCACCCATTCCCGCTTCTCACCTTTCTCCCTGTCACACACACTCGGACTTTCACTTCTCCAAACTCAGTTCCCGCCTTGTCTCGGGCCACTCTTGGTTATACACCACACAACAACACAACAGCCTGAACATCTCTCTGCTCCATCAAGTCGAAGTCAATACAACCGCTTCATCTGCACACACTTTCCGGGCTCGGACACGCTCTGCGAAAATGTCTCGCCATCAGGAGGTTCGCAACCTCGACTACAAAGACGTCCTGGATGACTACGATGGCTACTGCGAGGAAGAAGACGAGCTTAGCCCCGAGGACCGGGCCCTTATGACACAGGGCACAATCACTGTCCAAACTGCTCTTGGTGTCGAGGCTGCCAAAGTCAGCGTTGCTCAGATCGAGGAGTCTCTTTGGCACTACTACTATGACACAGATAAGGTTGTCGAATACCTTATCAAGAAGTTCATCAACCCGCCCCAGAAGACGGCGAAACCCGCTCCCAATCCTTCGAGTAAGTATACCTTTCTTAAGCCCATTCATATAGCAAGTGCAGCTCCCAGAGTACATACTGCGGGGTCGTCTCAGGTCGACGAGTGACGTGGCACGATGGACGTTTATTCTGTCCATTTGGAGTTACCCTGGTCGCAAACATCGTTGACAGTAGGTCAAGCGGAAGAACTTTCACTGCAATGCCATCTATCTACTGCTGGCGGCCCAAAGCAACCTCGGCAGGACTTCTCGCACCTCTTCAAGGATCTTCCGTGGGGCAACATACCGAAGGACCGGGAAACCGTCTTCATCCCGCCGCTGCTGCCTCGCATCGGGCTGCTCGGTGGATCAGGTTCCCCTCCAAAGATGTCCAAGCTCCAGCAGCTCGCAGCCGCGAGGAAGAAGAAGGCAGAGGAAAGAGCTGCCCAGCAGAAGCTAGAGCAGACACGAACCAAGATGACACAGCTCTCCGTCGAGGAACAAGATCGGCAAAAAGAAAACGCTCCCTCAGATGGACCGTTTGGCAAACGTCTCAAAACATCAGAGTCGACTGCTGAAGGTCGTAAGCCTTTGACCACCGCTGAACCTGGACGATCCGAGCCCTTGAGCCAATCTACTCCGATGGCCCTCGAGAACAGCCAGCATGCGAAAGCAGCCACAGCGGACTCACCAAAACCAACGCCGGAGAAGGCACAGCCATCTGCTTTTGCCCAGGTTCTCTTCGGGCCTCCTCTAGCATCGCCGAAACAGAAATTGCAGGATGTCTTCCCCTTGACCTACACCGATTTGTCACCTTCTGTCCTCGAGGCCTTTTCCAAACCCAGTCCGGATGACGTTGTTTATGCAGCGCAGGCGAAAGGTTCGCTCATGGGAAAGGGTCAGTGCTAATGTAAATACTAATAGTTGATATAGCTGGGAAGAAGACGGCCGCCACCCAAACCAAGAAAAAGGGTGCTTCCTCCCTGGATGCTGTGGCCAGCGATGTTAAGGGGTTGAAGATTGAGGACGCCCCCCTCCCCAAAAGCCGGAATCTTGACGTGCTCTCCGAATTCGAAAGGAGCAAAAGCAAGAAAGCTGCCAGCTTTGTGGTTGTCGGTCACGTGGACGCTGGGAAAAGTACCATGATGGGCCGGCTTCTCCTCGATCTCAATGTCGTCGATCAGCGCACAGTTGATAAACTCCGCCAAGAAGCAACGAAGATTGGGAAATCTTCCTTCGCCCTCGCTTGGATATTGGACCAAAGGACGGAAGAGCGTGCCCGGGGTGTCACAATCGACATTGCCACCAACCGATTCGAAACCGACAAGACGGTTTTTACAATCCTAGACGCACCGGGTCACAGGGACTTTATTCCCAATATGATTGCTGGGGCAAGCCAAGCCGATTTCGCGATACTTGTCATAGATGCAAGCACTGGCGCTTTCGAATCCGGTCTCAAGGGCCAAACACGAGAACATTCGCTGCTTATTCGGAGCATGGGTGTCTCGAGGGTCATTGTGGCAATCAACAAACTCGACACTGTCGGCTGGTCGCAGGAGAGGTTTGACGAGATCAAGAATCAGGTCTCTGGCTTTTTATCAGCAACCGGGTTCCAACAAAAGAACATCACCTTCGTCCCCGTGTCTGGTCTGCATGGCGATAATCTAGTGCGGAAGTCGTCAGATCCGGCGGCGTCTTGGTACACGGGCCCGCCACTTGTGGAAGAACTCGAAAACTCGGAGCCGAGCGCAAGAGCATTGGCCAAGCCACTACGGATGACCATTTCAGAGGTTTTCCGTACCCCACAGAGCCCGATCTCAATATCTGGCCGAATCGACGCCGGGTCTCTTCAGGCGGGCGATCCGCTTCTAATTCAACCAAGCGGAGAGAAGGCATACGTCAAGTCGCTCCAGGTTGATGAGGAACCGGTGGAATGGGCAGTGGCCGGCCAGAACGCGGTACTCCACCTGACCAACATCGATCAGGTTCACGTACGAGTGGGGGATATCATCTGCGACCCGGCGAAGCCAATCGAATGCCTGGACACGTTCACTCTCAAAGCGCTGGCTTTCGACTTTTTGATGCCAATGCAGGTGGATGTACATCGGGGTAGGCTGCATGCCGCGGGAAGGATAGAGTCCATCACGGCGCTTTTGGACAAGGTAACGGGTGCGGTGGTAAAAAAGAAGCCAAAAATCGCAAAGCCGGCAACTGTAGCGAGGGTCGTGGTGAAACTGAACTCGACGGTGCCGCTAGAAGCTGGGCAGAGGGTCGTCTTGAGAAGTGGTGGAGAAACTGTGGCAGCTGGGTTGTTAGAATAGAGCTAGAACAAAAGATTGAGGCTCAGTCACAGCAGCACACGTCGTTTACGAGAGAACCCATGCCGTGTATCGTGTGTATTACGCCACTACCATACTGTATGGATCAGTATCAAGGCTATATCCCTTCTGTGAGCCCAACTTCCCCCGGGGCATTGACCACCTGTTTCTCTTGCACGGACAACTGGAACCTTCTACGAACTTCGACATAATTAATAGTCAAGTGCCTCTTATGTCTGCAGCCGTGGTCCATTACGCTACAACGAGTAAGGTAGATGGCGAAATTCAAAACCCGGGAAAGTCTACGGAGGGCTGGGGCCGAATATGGATGGATTGGTTGCCCTGTGATTTACCCCTGAAACCCCTGAGCTTCTTATCTGAAGAGCGGTGGGAGGAAGAGGACACGCTTTCAGCAGCAAAGGCAGCCGTTTACGACTCGGGCGTACTGCACTACTGTATTTGCCAGCCCAGACATTGCGGTCCCACACGCGTAAGAGCTTATAGTGATCTGTTAATAATGCCTTAGGAAGGCAGTAATGAGTAGGTATCGCTGACTAAAGTCGATAATGATATCTGTCTTCTGTGAGAGCCAGTTGTGGTATATCCGTACCTCTGTTGACTGTGTGTGCGTGAATGGAAATGGCCCAATGCTTGTTTGCCAGGCGCACCCACGCCCCCGGGGCTGTGCGGGGGTAGCAGCCCTGCCGCCTTGTCCTTGCGGGGGAGGACAGCCGCAACAAGACGAGCCGCAAGCCCACACTAACAAAAAGGCCACTCTGTCAGGAACAAGGGGTGTTTCGATTTGCTTTCCAGGACCAAAGACACGATACCAAAAACAAAGGATTGACCCAGCGGGCGCGTGTTAATAAATCGTCCCTGCAGCACCGAAAGTGAAAGAAATTGTGAGGTGCATACCGATGCAAGAGAGTTTACCTAGGAGCTCGTCTCAAAAAAAAAAAAAAAAAAAACAAGCAAGGACAGCTCGTAATCTGCAGAGTGTGCGCCCCGAGTCAGCGAGAAGTGGTTGTTTTATTCTGTTTGTCGTTTTCATCTCATTCTCTGTGAGGGGGAGATTCCATTGCTATCGGTGACGCTGATCGCCCCAAGCGGATGGGGCAAAGAAAGTAACAGAAGGCAACTGAAAGGTACACAGAACCCAAGGAGACGCAGTGCTGGGTGGGATTTTGGCCCAAGGCTGCGTGTAGCTGGTACCTTCGTTCCCAAATCCAACCCCTGAAAGCCGGGGACGGCAGGCAAGCAGCTAATCGCCCCGCGCGCCGCTGCGGGTGCTTGCTTGTACAGTGCCAAATAGAAAATTGAGAGGTGGCTTGTCAGCAAAGCGACAGCATTAAGGACAGATTTCCGGATCTCCATTTAATTTTCCGTTGCAAAGGTTCAAAAGGCCAACGCCTCTTCTTTCCCACCCTTTTCTTTACAACCCACGACTTCTTTCTCCCACCCACGCCGTCTCCTTAACCCCCTCTTCTAACCTTGACGCTCTCTTGAGGAGACAATAGGTTGGCGTGCATTGTTGTCGCTGGACAACATCTTCCTTTCTTCCGCTTCGCTTCATTGCGCTTTCGAAAAGTAGCGGGTTCGCTTTTCTCCCACCCAGGGCTCTCGTCATGGAGCCTCGATCGCGGAGCTGGGCCCTCGGCCTCAGCATCATTGGCCTCTTTGGCCTGCTATTTTCTATGGGCTTTGTCCAGCAGGTCAAGGGCGACGATGTCCAGGAGTACGGAACAGTTATTGGCATTGTAAGTCTTCAATCCTCACTCTGCTTGGTCTTTCTCAGTCCAAATCGTCTTAACACGTGTTCTTTTAGGATCTCGGCACCACATACTCGTAAGTTCGATTTTCGAACCCCCTGCACCCTCGCCAGAATTCGGTGTGCCTCAGCACTTGCGGGGGCAGATAATCAAATCGGCGGCGAAGGAACTGCCACCAATTGCGCTGGGGGGCTCTAGATACGCGGCTGGGTTTGAAAGCACAAAGAGACTAACGTATTTAAAGATGTGTTGGCGTAATGCAGAAAGGCAAAGTCGAAATTTTGGTCAACGATCAAGGTACGTGCTGCCGGCACCAGCCAACCTACCTATGTGCTCTTCCAATCGCCGGCCAAACGCAACTAACATGCCCCAGGAAACCGTATCACCCCCTCATATGTGGCTTTCACCGACGATGAGCGGTTGGTTGGAGATGCGGCCAAGAACCAGGCCCCGGCAAACCCATTTAACACCATTTTCGACATCAAGCGTCTGATCGGCCGCAAGTTCTCGGAGAAGGATATTCAGAGTGATATCAAGCATTTCCCTTTCCGTGTCACTTCAAAGGACGATAAGGTACGTAGTGGCAAACCGCACCCCATGCAAGCCGGGGAGCCTTCCAAGGTTGTAATGTTATCGATGGCGAAGTCTAACTTTTCGCAGCCAGTTGTCACGGTCCAAGTTAACGGAGCCGACAAGACCTTCACCCCCGAGGAAATCTCGGCCATGGTCCTCGGAAAAGTACGTTCAATCACTACCCTGGACAATGTGATCCTAGCCGTTTCGCGTGGGACATAAGCTGACCCCCTGATTAGATGAAGGAGACTGCTGAGAGCTATCTCGGAAAGAAGGTCACCCACGCCGTCGTTACCGTCCCCGCCTACTTCAACGATAACCAGCGCCAGGCCACCAAGGATGCCGGCATGATTGCTGGTCTCAACGTCCTTCGTATTGTCAACGAGCCCACCGCCGCCGCTATTGCGTACGGCTTGGACAAGACCGATGGCGAGCGTCAGATCATTGTCTACGATCTCGGTGGTGGTACTTTCGATGTCTCTCTCCTGTCCATCGACCAGGGTGTCTTCGAGGTTCTCGCCACTGCCGGAGATACCCACCTTGGTGGTGAGGACTTCGACCAGCGTGTCATCAACCACTTTGCCAAGACGTTCAACAAGAAGCACGGTGTCGATGTCACAACCGACGCCAAGGCTATGGGCAAGCTAAAGCGTGAAGCCGAGAAGGCCAAGCGTTCTCTGTCAAGCATGATGTCTACCCGTGTTGAAATCGAGTCTTTCTTCAGTGGCAAGGACTTCAGCGAGACCTTGACGCGCGCCAAGTTCGAAGAGCTCAACAACGATCTCTTCAAGAAGACGCTCAAGCCCGTTGAGCAGGTTCTCAAGGATGCCAAGGTTGCCAAGTCCGAGATTGACGATATCGTTCTTGTCGGCGGTTCTACTCGTATCCCCAAGGTGCAGGCTCTTATCGAGGAGTTCTTTGGCGGCAAGAAGGCCAGCAAGGGTATCAACCCCGACGAGGCCGTTGCCTTTGGCGCTGCTGTTCAGGCCGGTGTGTTGAGCGGCGAGCAGGGCACTGAGGAAATCGTTCTCATGGATGTCAACCCGTTGACGCTCGGAATTGAGACCACTGGCGGTGTCATGACTAAGCTGATCACCCGTAACACCCCGATCCCGACTCGCAAGAGCCAGATCTTTTCCACGGCCGCCGATAACCAGCCGGTGGTCCTTATTCAGGTCTACGAGGGCGAGCGCTCGATGACCAAGGACAACAACCTTCTCGGCAAGTTTGAGCTTACTGGCATTCCGCCGGCCCCCCGGGGTGTGCCCCAGATTGAGGTCTCCTTCGAGCTCGATGCCAATGGCATTCTCAAGGTGTCGGCCCATGACAAGGGTACCGGCAAGGCCGAGTCTATCACTATTACCAACGACAAGGGCCGTCTCACTCAGGAGGAGATCGACCGCATGGTCGCCGAAGCCGAGAAGTATGCCGAAGAGGACAAGGCCACTCGTGAGCGCATTGAAGCTCGTAACGGCCTTGAGAACTACGCTTTCAGCCTGAAGAACCAGGCCAACGACGATGAGGGTCTTGGTAAGTTTCACGCCCTATATGAGTCAAGACCAGCTACTAACCCACTCATAGGCAAGAAGATCAGCGATGAGGACAAGGAGACCATCCTGGACGCCGTCAAGGAGGCCCAGGACTGGCTTGAGGAGAACGCTGCCACTGCCTCTACCGAGGACTTTGAAGAGCAGAAGGAGAAGCTGTCCAACGTGGCCTACCCCATCACAAGCAAGCTTTACTCACAAGGCGAGGCTGGTGCTGAGGATGACGATCCCGAGGGCCATGACGAACTTTAATAACATAGATTCCCCATTTGTTTTTGCTGGCATTCCAAAAGAAGTCATAGCTTCAGGATTTTTTTACGTTCGCCCATGATTTTACCGGTGTTTGGCAGGTGGTGTATTGGAGTCGGCATATATCACGAGTGGAGAGATCCGCATGTAACTGTATAAGTATATTACCAGCCATACAGATTTGCGACCGTTGATACACAATAAACTGCAACCGTACCTCGTTAATCATGAATCAAACTTTCTGTGATCCGGTTCCGTGTCTGAGAGTTTGTATCTAAGTGAAGTCAACGTCATCGTTCATGATAATAAACCCATGGCTATGGCTGGGTATAGTTTAGCATCCAACCGCTCACTCAACAATATCGTTGCAAAGTTACAGTGTGAGCTCCTTTTCCGGCCTCTGAACTTGTTTAATGTAAATTGTGGGAAATGTTAACAAATATTGGAAGCTACCCCGGATATCCCTATGTAGTTAGTTTAGCTTATGAGGTAACCTTTCTCATAACAATTCGTACTCTTTGAGATTGATTAGCTAATCTGTCACAAAGCAACGCGTGCAACCCCCCTCTCCACGGCGAGATGCACGGGTATGTAGGTAGTAGTTAAGTTCATGGACACACGGGCAGGATTTTGGGTTTGAGCTCGCTTTCAAGTCATCTCAAGGTTAGGTACCTACCTAACCTAGGGGTTGTCTTGCTTACAGCCCAGTGTGTGTACTAACTTCTACGCACCTTATCCACCCACTTACCCCCTGGCCAACGTAATCCTCCTTTTTATGTTCTCGGCGTGCTATCGGGTACTGCTTTTTTCTTTTAAACATTCTCAAAAACCTGGTTGGGTTCCCTTGCGGAAAGGAGGATACACCTAGGAAATAACTGAGTGTGTAAGCGGCATGTGTTTATTCTGCCTGGGCTAAACATACACTTCTTCATCGAGAGCTCCTGTATCGCCAAACGCGACTGTTGGAATGACAAGGTCATTCGTGCTAGTCACTATAGTAACCGCTGCGAAAGGGTGGGGTGGCTGTGTTGCTCGTATTCTTCTATGTCTACCAAAAGGATCACGAACTACGGGGACATGAAGGCGCTCTGTCAGGGTGTCCCGCGGTCACGTGCTGCACCACGTGTTGGGCGGGTGTGGCCCGTGCGCTGACCTGATTGATCGGTAATTCCTACAACAGCAACTATAATCTAGGTCAATGGATTTCAAGAAGCCTCGAGAATTATGACATAAATCATTAAACGTCTCGACGGATACCATTTGCACAACTGATTTGCAGAAGCGAACACAAATTTAATTTCATATTATCAAACTTTTAGAAGCCGGTTTAACTGGCGTGCACGCCATGGTGAATGGCCTAATTGATGTGGACGATAACCACTGGAGCCAAGGAGACAGAGGGACTGAAAGAGACGACAATTATTATCTGTTAGTAACGCTAATAGCAAAAACATGGCTGAAGCCTGAGCTTCCACGGTTCTACCCCCTCCTCAGATGAAAATTTCATAACCTTGTCAACAGAACCATAGCCCTACAAAGCCTCACAATGATGGTTAGACTTGAATATTGGTTTTTCTTTTGTTTGGATACTGTAACTAGACACACACCTGAGTTGCAATGTCCTTGGCCTGCGGCTCAGCGACAATAGGAAGAGTTGGTGAACGTCCGAGGACTAGAGAGATTGGGACTGCCTGCGGCGAAGTATATTTTGTTTTACCCCAAAGCCACACAAAGCATAGCCAACGTCTGATCTGTAGGAGTTTGTGAGGTGCCAGTGGTGTTTGGGGTTCCAGTCATTTCTGATGGGTCAAGAGGAACAATTCTTAGTCAAACCACTTCGGGCACCATGTCTCCTTTCCTGTCTCATCATTCTTGTGGTAGAATTGCTCTCTCTCCCTATTCCACTTCCAGTAACTATCTTGCTCGGGTCCTGGCTTGGACCCTGAAAGGTGAGAGTAGTCTTGTTCGCCGTGCTTAAATTCATCCTCGTCACAGGAAAACCGAAGCTCCTCATGAGCGACATCTGGTTGGCTATGGCTCAAGCACTGCTCCCGGCGAAGCGGACCACTCTTGGGAGAGAGGTGAGAATTGGTTTCAACATGCTGCTGTTGCTGACTGTGCAACCCACCAGGCGATGTAATCTGTCCGCTCGAGGCTTTGAACGATCCAGCCTCTTTGGCCGACGGAGACTTGTGGGAGACAGCATCACCATCAATAGGCGTACTTCGTTCGGCGGGAAGAGAAGAATCTGACATGGTCGTGCGATGTGTTGTCGGGAGGCTGAATGTTGGATATCCAGCCGGTGTCCCACTCGAGTTGAGCGAGGGTGATGTATAGCGGTCTCTGAGCTGCGGAGCTCCATTTAACCAGGAATTCCCATTGTGAGAGTCGCCACCAGTCATGGGTCTCTGGAGCACAACGGTGCTGTGGACATCGAGAACACGGAGGCACAGGCTGCCTATGCTGCTCGGGGGTGGTACGGGACCGGAATGATAGAAAGTGCCATTTGTTGATGCGTTGAACGGGATTCCGTAACCCGACCGGAAGGATGCATAGCCAGGATTGGGTTCTTGGTGGCGAGGGAAGGAAGAGTTCAAAGTGCCACAGCCGTCCAAGAAGTCGACTCTGGGGTCCCCAAGAGGCGGGGAGGACAGAGTGAAGTTGGGAGTATACTCGGGGGAATGGCGTGGGCGACAATGTTGATCTTGGGGGAGGTATGGGAAGTTGACGCCAGGTTCAAGCCGAGACTCTGCTGCAATTTGGGCAACACTGCCTGGAGGTCTGGGACGAGCGAAAAGGAGACATGGGTCGTGCAGCCAGGGATTCACAGCGCTGCTTTGTCGTGCTTCCATTGACACGCATGGTTTGATAGGAAAATTGACTAGGAGCCCGTAACGGAGGTGGTTGTCAAACGACAACGACGCGGAACATCAGTCGGAACGAAGCTATTATCAAGATGTGTGGTCGGATAGTAGAAGGGGCAGAAGGCGGCTTCAACCGGGAATCAGCTGGCCGAAATAAAATCCCTCAACATGAGGACAGCCGTAATTTATAAACGCATAGGATTGCGCCCAGCTGCGTCCAGCTCCGAGAGATATCCGAAAGTCTTGCGCGGCTCTAGCGAGATAGATTACGGAAATCCACGGCGGTGGCTGAGTGAGTGGGCATCATCTCGGTGAGGGTGAGGCGAGCGCAGATCACCAACTTGTGACTGCGCGGAAAAGACCAAACCATATTCCCTAATATCTCTCCCGAAAAAAAGATGAGGCTGTGACAGACGCCCCGTCACGGTGGATGAGTATAGTGGTTCTAATAGTGCCAGGATGGTCTCTGGTGGGGTCCCGGTGCGTGGTCAATCTCAATGTGGAAGAGGGTGACCAGCGGATGGTTGGCAGCCTTGCCGTCAGCTCTCCAGCACCCAGCACCTGCCATCTACCTACCTTAGGTAGATGGGTAAATTCTACCAACCGCCATGCAATCTGCTCCAGAAAATGAAAATGAGATGGGTATGGGTTCGGCATTTAAACGTGTAGCTAATTGAAGACCGGGGGCAAGGTCAAGCAAGAATGAAGAGGGCATATCTCCCGGGACACGAGTTTCCGTGCCTCGACCTAGAACGTACCTGCCTAAGTACCGTAGGCGGACAGGCTCAGACAAATGCATCATGTATTATCGGCATGCCTAGTAGGAGACCTTGTACGGAAGGTGCGGCTCGCGAGAGGAGGGAATGCGTAAGGCTACCCGGAGGCAAATCCCAGTGAGGCGACCTGATCACCACCAACATGCCACCCTCATCTCCGCGGGTACCCATAATGGCTGTGAAATCGTCTTCTATGCCGTCAAAAAGCGAGGAAAGGCGGCCGAAGAAAATTGTGAGGCTGTTGGTTGAGGCTAAAAGCCGAGATCGCTACTTCCGTCAGCGCAAAATACGTGTGTGGAAGTTGAGCGCCAAGGAAGGCGCCACCACACATGATGATGAACTTGAAATTACACAGCCGCCGCGCAGTGACGCGGCTCGTTCTAAACTCTACGATTTGAGCTCGGGCGGTTCTCGAGGTTGATTGTCGAAGCAAAATTCCAATTCCTCCACCCAATCACTTAGACGGGTCAAATGGAGTGTCTAAGCCAAATTCCACCAGGACCTTCCATCCTGCGGCAAACCGCGCTTTACTCCTGTCTTATTATCTGTTGCTCTCTGCGGCCTTCAACAGATATACTACCCGGGCAGCTCAAACCGAGACCACCTCCACGCAACTCCGTAACCGGCCAATAACTCTGACTCAGTGGCATATACCCATGAAAGTTTATATGCTTCAAGAGTTCTCCTGGGTCTGGTACTGGAATTGGCGTTGGCACTGGCACCTTGATATTCCGGCTATCTACGCTGCCCCCGCCTATAAGCCCAAGGACGCGCACTTTCTCCTTCTCCTACCACCTATACTACGCATATTGCTTGTAGCTTCAGGGGATGACCACGTCAACTGAATACAAGGCAACCGAGATAGGCTGGTCTAGTCCTTACGGACGGCATTACCGCCCTCTCTTCTCGACGAGCCGGTATACGCCCTCTGGGGGCACAGAGGAGTCTCCATTTCTGATCGACTTCATTATTTGAGGTGACTCTTGCCCGCCTCTCAGTCTCGGTCACTATCCACTACAGCCACCCACTACGGAGAGGACATCGCGTCATGAACCACAGACAGGACCCTCACCCTGCCGGACGGGAGCATCAGTCATACCTTACCGTCGAGTCTCCATTATCACAGAGGCAGCCAGGGCTAGGACAAAACTACCTCCCCCTCACGCCTGCGAGGGCTGCTCACTCGAGCCAATGGCAACCAACGTTCTCGGATCCGATGCCCCATCTGCCGCAGAACACTACGCCTCAGAATACCACATCGCATCCCACCCGCCCAGCTTCACACATCACACCAGAGAGACCGCCTGGTGACCAAGGACCAAGCTATACCCAAGGGTCAAGCTTCCATTCCACCCCGGAATCCCAACTGTCATCCCCCTATCCTGTCCACAATATAATTGTGCCACCAAGGCCTGGTTTCAATGCTCACAACTCTCCGCCGTCGCACCCACTGCCATGGGTGATTCTGAACCCTCATGATCAGTGGATAGACTCCGCTGCCTTCAACCCGGCGAGGCCTCTACACGTGTCGGCGGTTAGACCCTTATCGCCAACGGCCCCGAACGATCTTCAGTCCAGGCCAGGTCCCATCAACACCCTGCACGAGCTATTGAGCGTCACAGTAAACCGCATGAATGGAACAGCCTTGCTCGACATAGGCTATGACTATGCCCTCATCAATGAGTCTATCGCGAGAAGGCTCCGCTTGGATTTGCAGCCCATTCCGCAAGCAAGGAAACTCGGAATTCTGACTCCGGTGGGCTATAGAGAACCGACACACTGGGCGACCATCACCTGTGATATCCCAGCACTGAGCTTGACGAACTATACCCTTCACGTGCAGGCTGTCGACTGGCAATTTCCTACTGCCTACGTGTTGATACTTGGGAGAAAAGTCTGGGAGAAGGCAACCCAAGCTCCCAGTCAAACCACCTCCGGACCGGCTCCTCCGCCGCTCATTCCCAATCTCGAAATGATGAACCGGACGCAGCCAGAGCATATGATGGTTTTCCAGCATACACTCCCTGTTGGAAGCCGGAACTTGGAGCCGAGAGGATCCCCAATATACCGCTCTGCCACTCAACAAGCACCTCAGAGAAGTCAACATTTTCTCTCGGCGCCAAGCCAACGACCAGTACATGACCCCTTTCTCGGTACACAAAGCAACCAGAGCGGGAGCACCGACTGGACATCCGTATCAGCCCCAAACTATACACTGTCGATGAATTTGACGGCGCTGTCATCACAAACCAGCGATCATGTCGGCGGCACAGTTGACGATTCTTGGCCGGACGACATGTGTGTGACAGAAAGTCGCACTCAGTCTCTGGTATTGGACTATCCATCCATGTCTGACGCATTAAATACTTCAGATGACCTTTCCCTCAGCCTCTTGCGCGAATAGCAGTGAGTGAATCTTGCTAGGACGGAGAAGAGTGCTACAGAGTGCGCTGAACGAGGTAAGTGAAACTTGGAGGGAGTCTGGACTCTCATTTGTACAGCATCATGGCCGTGACGGTAGCATAGCAGGCTGTTGCTTCTACTTCCTGTCTCTCTCACTTTCATATATACAGTTTTGTTTATTGGGGGACTTGACTTGCCCCTTTTTATACCTTGCCTTGCTTGGACAAGCATCCTACGGCGGGGATATTGGAATGGGATAGGGTTTTTTTCCTTCTATGATCTGCACTGGCATACATGTACCGTACATATTTCATACCACGACGCCATAGACATGCGGAGTTTGGGGGGTTGCGCGTCATCGAACAATTTTGGCTTTTTTCTCTTGTCAGGTATCTAGTTTGCTTTGGAAAGGGGGAGGGCGGTCTCGGCTAAGCAGAATTTCTAAACTCACAGAGCCGCGGAAACGACTTGCGAGGTCAAGGGACCTCTTTTTATTTTTTCTTTTTGCCAAAGGTTGCATGATATGATAGTGGTCGTTTGACCGAAACAAATGGCGTCGAGTTCTTTGCCGTCGTCACCATTGTTTATCGGCGCAATCCTGGAGGGCTGCTTGGTAGCCAGCAGAGGCTGGACATTTGGGCCAGGAGACGAGCTCTGTCATGTATAATTCTAGTTTCTAGCTGAAATAGAGATTGAAATACGAATTTGCGTTTCTTCTCGCTTATAACTTGTGCTTCTATTTGCGTCTCTGGGTTCTGTTACAATTCATGAGCCTCCGCTTGTTTTGGTGAAGGGCACCTTGGTGCTTGGAAACATGTCATAACTGGTGCGTTGTCTGTTAATTGCCATTGGCTGTTTCGTTCTAAAACAACCTTTGCGTATCTAGGTAGCTGTGGGCTTCTCTTCCGAAGCACAAGAGGGAGGGACATCGACAGGCTCAAGGAATCCACGGGGCTCTAGACCCGAGAGCGCCGGTTCGAATTCAGCCACGACATCCAGCCTCCTGAACAGCCAGGTGGGACCGCACAAGTGTGATCGCATCAACCAAAGCACGGGAAAGCCCTACAACACCATCTTTTCCAGGCTATACGATCTCACGCGCCACGGAGACACCATTCACAACACACGCAAGCAAAAGGTCCGGTGCGCGATCTGTGCACCGACGAAAAGACATTTAGCCCTATTCTCCTCCATTCTTTATGCCGGCCTTTTTGTCGACTATGTTCGGCGCACCGTTCCCAAGGTACTCGTGGCTAGTACAGAAGCTTCCAAAGGGAATAGGGACTGCCATAGCACAAGGGGGCCGAAACCCGGTAAATAACCGTCCGAGGATTTCAGCACTACAGACAAGCCGAGGAAGAGGATTGGGTATTTGATCAGCGCTCACTGGGTCGTTGTTGGTATGGTGTGGGCCAGTTTCGTTGTAGGGGGTTTTTGTTGTTGGGTTAGCTTCTCTACCTAATAGTTTCATGGTAAAATTTTTTTCATTGAATGAAGAGCATAATAAGAGATATATCAGGAACAAGCATTTTTCGGATTATTAAGGGAAAAACTAACAAAACACAAACAACGGCCGAGAGACATTCATCTTACACAAGTACACTCTCCATTTTTTTGTCCAACCACCTGTTACGACCGACTTGCGAAATACACCGCAACTCGTCTCAGATAAACGACTCGGGAAGCGGTGCCCAAAGAATCGAGCCAGTCGACTTCTCAACGCGGAACCACCGCTCCACGGCCTCGCTCCACTCCCAGGGGCCGAGCTCTTTGGTCTTGTCGCTCCGTACAAAGGGGGCCAAGAAGGGGCGGAAGACATTCACGTCGCCCGTCATTTGATACTCGCGATTGGCCCTTGCTCTGGCCCGGTGCTCCCGCCCGCTGAAGATCCTCCGCCTGAGCAATACGGCATCCGACGAGCTGCCGTCGGCCGCGGAGCTCCGGAGCTCCGGAACGCTCACAAATGTCCAGTCCAACCAAATAATGTCGCTGGCGCTCTCGCCAGTCACTGGGTCGAGATCAGTGGTACAATGTGACGGTGGGGTTTTGTGTCTCCTGGACTTTTTGCTGCCTGATCCATCTGCCGAGTTTGGAGCCCTCCTTTTTGCTCTCGTGGCCATGGTAACGCCGCCCAAGTCCACAATATTGCCCTGTACAGGCCTCAACGTTCCCCCCCTTTGCCATTTCCGTGCAAAATCATTATTTTGAGACTTCTTGCCACTGTTTTGTATGACTTGCTTTAGTTTCTGTTGTTGTTTGCCGGATTCGGAACCACCGTTCGTTCCGGCGACTGAGTTTGTAGCCATTTCTGCATCGCCCCCGCGCCCTGCGTCTTGCCCCCGTCCAAGCATTGGCTTCTGATGTTGTTTGTCAGGTCTTCCGGTTGTTCCGTGTTGGATGGCTGACTCGGCCGGTACTGAGCCTGGCCAATTGGGGGGGGGGGGTCTTGCTTGCCCTAATTCCCAGCGGAACTATAGGAATTGTCGGTTGGGTTGAAAACGTTGTGTTTGGGCATTTAGGGCATCGACGGCTGCCTATTCGGCAGCAGAGAAGCGGCAAATGAAGGGCCCTAGAGGAATAGGCTGCCGAGTACCAAGCTTGAAGAGGCGCTGAGAAGAGCTGAATGAGGCGGCTTACAGTTACATCAGCCGCTCACAGCTCCTCGCCGCCAAAAACAGAAAAAAAGGTCCCGATACCCGAGTTCAGTCAGGTTCAGCAGATGTATTACTAGAAACCAAGCTTAATTGGCAATAGTGTGGTCTAGCATTTGACTGCACCAAGGGATTGGCAGCTAATGATCGGAACGAGAGAGAGACCTTATGGGTTCTGGCACGAAGTAATTGAAAGAGAAAAAGGGGCCAAAATGAAGCTAGCTAACTTAAAGACGAATTCATTACCAGGTTTAACGGGCGTTTGAGAAAAACACACCGGAGCATCTAGACTTTGGATTGGCATTGAAAAATCTAGAAGCCGGTACTAAACGAGCGGGTGAGAGCACAATAGGCCTACTAAGCCACCCTCGTCTCTTCTTCGATGTTCCATTATGGATTGGCAAAGGCCAGGCGACCAATTGAGAGGCCTTGAGCATGAAAGCCACAAAGATGGCGCGGGCGAAGCGGTTGTTTGTGGGTGCAATCATGTTCCTTGGGCGTGTAGTCTGGGGGCGTCTGAAAGAGCAGGCTGTGGCCTCAAAGTGGCAGCGCCGCGAGCCTTAACTCGATCGAGCGATGGGTAGGCCGCGGGGTCGCATCACCAGCTGCAGATGCTCAGCAGCTGGGCGGAAGAGGCCGTGTTCGAATAGATTGCGTCGGTAAACCATCAAAGTTAGACTTGAAATGTGACAGGTAAGGCTGCAAGGTGAGGGAGCTCTCGGCCACCAAAAGGAGCCGGAGTGGAGAAGCTGGCCGAGCTGAGAGGGAGGTTGGAGAGGGGGGACGGAAAGACACGGCAGCCGCAACCAACTCAGATGAGCTAATTTAGGTAAGAACAGCCCACAGAAGTAGTAAGAGCAGCCGTACAAGGCGATACCCTTCAAAGTACTAGTAAGAAAGTACCTACCTAAGGTACCTACGGTAGCTTCCAGTTCAACCTGAGCCCTGTCTGTCTTCCAGCCCGGCGAAATGCCAAATCACCTAGATGGGCCTGGCTGGCGCTGGCAAAACAGCCGACAGGACCTCCCCGACATTTTCCCAACTGCCCGCCGAGGTGGCTGCAGGTTGGATCGTTCGCCTTCTTCCCTACAGGGTAGTTGCTTCCTACCTTAGCTTCCATTAGCAACTCCGGAAGATCAAGCCGAAACACCCTACTCGCGCCTTCTTTCCAGAAATGTTTGGCAGGTGGTGGAGGCACGCTACATTTTCCTACATCCTCAACTGACCCAGCCACCCGCGGTCCCCCAGGGGATTCGGCGGTACCCCAAAAAATGCTATGAGGGCTATGTCGCTAGGTTGTTCTGCGCTTTGCGCAATATCCTCGTGAGGGCCTCAGGCGGGAGTTAGTCTTCGCCGGTCAAGGTCTGAGGCTGGGGGGGAGGCCGGCTCTGGTTCCGACAGATACCGTGGTCACCTCTTTCTCGCCGTTGAACTGCCAACTGCCGCCAAATGGTGGCTTGGGGTGAGTCGTGTCGGTATGTACCGAGACGGCCTCTGTGAGCAACCTCCGGGCGGTTGTTCGTGAGCAGGCGAAGGAGTTGCCTGAGTTCGGTCAACACAAGAAGGTAGGAAGCTAATGAGACACCTACTTTGCTGGTTTGCGAGCTAATCCGCCGCTGTTGAAAGGCAACTGGACGTTTAACCTAACGGAAAGCCTGAGCTGGACCGCGTCGGCCATTCCTTCAAAAGCCGACGCAATCCAATTACCCCGTTGACGGAAAGAACCAAAATACCCAAGAAGGGAACCCGCCTTTTGGATTTCTTCTCCCCTAGATCAGAGTTCGGTTGAAAAGTTCCATATGATGGATTTTTGCATGCTAGTGCACAACCAACATCCCTGTCTGTGAAAAAACAAATAACTTCGGGGGTTGTCCAACAGAAGTCTTTCCATGCCGGCGTCACTTACAAGCTTCTGCTCCAGATGTCAAACCAGCACGGCCAACTATGAAGGTAGCCCATCCATCGACAACCACTCAAACCCACCCCCGCGAGTTTCGCTTTTAAGAAACTGCCCCCGCCAAAGACAATTTCCTACTTCTTTTCAGTATTTCGGCCGATCCGCGCTCTACCCTTTTCGAACACATAACCCCTCTCGCTGGCGGTGAGCTTCGAGCTGAAGGCTTGGTCAGTCAAACAACATCAGAAAAGCGAGTGAGCGACCCGAGGTTTTGTGAGGGTTTATCCAGGTGCCGTTGACCGACTCGCTGCTGGCCATGTCCGATTTCTCGCCGCCATCGGAAGCATCGAACGATCGCCGGACACGTCGGCCGAATCCCTCAACTCCACACCCCCCAGTCCGGACGGCGCCCTACCCGACAAGACCTCGGGGTAACCAACAGGGTAACCAGCCGCGGCTAGGCAACCCCAACGTCGGGGGACTGGTACGTCCACAGAATAATCGGAGTCTGCATCCCAGATTCGGAGCGACACTTCCAAGTGGCCCGGCCTCGCAGTTGGTCTCGCCACGACAACATGGAGATCAGTCGTATGCCAGCATCTCTGGTTCTCTATCATATGCATGGGACGAGCAGATAGCCCCCGACATGGGCTTCGGGGTGCATTCCAGAAATCAACCTCGGGCTGGGGGCTCTACGTCGCAAGTGGAGGTCCGGCATCCTTCTTGGACCGAGAGGGAGCAGATAAGGCAGGATTACCGGAGATCGAGACTGAAATATAATAATGAATATGGCCGGGCCACGCCAGTCATCCTCAGAGGTATGAATGGGGAGGATCATGCCTTTCAGTCTGTCTGCGTCCAACGTCTTCCTGTCACGGTGGTGCACCCGAGAGGCCTCCTGTGGCTGGACACTAAGCCGATCGAGCTTCCCCCCGGCAAAACGATACGGCAGCTTGTCTCCCCTCTCGGCCGAATCAACCTGCGACGATATGCCGAGCTCATCGTCAAACAACGGCGATTTGGTGTCGAGCCCAAGATGAACACAGTTCACGTTTTGGATGACGACTTTCCGTATGAGGATATCGACATCTATTTCGGCCAGCCGTTCTTGGAAACGAATCCGGATTTCGAAGAAAACTCGCCAGCAACATCCGTTTTCGATGGCAACGCCGTGCCCCAGAAGCCGCTATACGTTGGAAGCAATATCACAGGTTCACAAGGTCCGGGGAAGAGCGCACCTCTCAGCTGGGCCAACGCAACGCACATTCAGGCGGCCCCGGGAGCGTCTGGGTCATCAGGGAGCGTGTCCTTGGACGCCTGGGGTAAGCAACGTTTTCCATTGCCTCTGACACTCCTGAGAATATAAACTCGACATGCTTTTTGGGTTGCTCGCTTAGTCGACGTTGCGATTATCGATTTGCGGCTGAACAGGAGCGGCCTGGCCCGCGAATGTGGGGATCGGTTTGTCTTGCTTGAACGCTAACGGGTCACAGGCAACATAACAAGCCATACTGATTGGACCCCACTGGAACACGCCCATCCTCCCCCTGATCGGCAGGCCCAGATCTTTTATCCAAGCTTCAACAGCCAGATCACCTCTCCCGCATACGGCAGCAACACTAGTTCTGCTATGCCTCCAGAAGGATCCACTTACCCGGCCACGCATTCCCCAGTCAACCCGGACCCGGAAATGGGCGAGCCTTGGAATGACTTGGAGTTTCCCTAGAACACAGGCGAACTTGGGATCAGATCTCTAGGCCCTTGAATTCACCAACGACGCCTCATCTGATCGCGCCGGGGGTGATGCAACTTCCACCCAGACGTTTCAATATCAGTACGATGTGGAATGTCCTCGAAAACGTGGAGGAATAATTTCCCCGGCGCCAATGTCGAGCAAGCTCTTGCAAGGCAATCGGGTGATCAGAAACTTACAACGATGGTTTCCTCTTGTTCGTCGTCGATGGAGGACGGAAAAGCGAGCTGGCAAGATGCGCAAGGACTGCGTTCTCTTTTATACAACCTCCAATTCGTTTTAGAATTAGATGGGGATCTACGTAAAGGGCGGGTAGAGTGCCAGGATGTGGTTTCCTTCTTTGTCTACTTTGGGTGAACTCTCTGCGATGGGCTTCTATTCTCTTACCTTTTTCTTCAATTTGCCCCCATTTCTTTTCCCCTTTTGAATAGATGACACCTTCACGCCCTAAAACTCGGCAGCGAGTTAGTGATGGGAATATACACCTACCTACCTGAATTTAATCACCTTGTTCGATTTTCGCACACTTGGGCGGTCGAGTCAGTTTGACTCCCGAACTGGCAATGTCTCTAGTATTGGCTGGAATCACGCTACCGATGCTCACATGGCGCATCAGGCCGCCAGTCAGGTATAGAGGCATAGGTTCCCCGCAAGTGGCTGACGTGGACCAGACCAACAAGAATGAATGGATTTCTGAATTGGAAATTATAATTGGATCGTTGACTGGTTGCCAGCATCGACATCCTCGTCATGCCGCGTGGTTGGCCAGCACATGATTGGGCGGTCTAAAGTGGCAGTGTTTCCATTTATGCCCTCTCTCCCCTTTCTGGGAAAGTCCATTGTTTCTCCTTCTCTCCCCTCATTTTTGTTTGAAGGTTGGTTGACTTTATATTTTTTTGGGAAGAGGGAAGGAAGAAAACAAATGTGGCTGGGCAAGAACTATCTTTTGCTTTTGTTCCTGTTGTCCTGATGTTATTGCTGCTCTGTCTAATACGGAGTAATTAATTACCCTTTTGTCCTCCAAGAACTGCCTGACTCACTGGGATCCGAGTCATAAGCGTGCCTGCCTAGCCAATAATCCGAACACCATGCTTCTCTTCGACTCTGTCCTCACTTGTCCCGACTTCTCCTGCGCTGCTCAGAGAAGTCAGCAGTCTCGACATTCTGGTTTGGAGAAGGTGATTCTTCCTGTCTCGAGCCCTCCATCTCTTTCCTGTTGTCGCGGTAGTAGGTCGCCAGGGACTGGCCCATCAAAACTAGCTTGATACAGTCTTTGCGCGATACAACCTCGATCGGTTTACCAGTGTCCTACGAAAGGGGCATGAAAAAGGCGTGATGCAAATAGAAATCATGAGAAGCATATCCCCTGGTTCATCTCTCTCCTATTAAAAATATACATGTATTCCAGCGCACACATTTCCTCTCGCCTCAAACTGTTTTAAACATGAAACCCCTCTAGCAGGATCGCTCACAAAAACAAACTCGACGATAGACTCGCGCTCACCTGAATACATACAGTTCCGACATACTATTCTCCGACATGCTCCCTGCGAGTCCCTTCCTGCGCACAAACGTGTACCAAAAAATCCAACGGAAACGATCACCGCCATGCGAATCAGAAATAATACATAGACAAATAAGGGAAAAGGGGATAAGAGAAACTAAACCTCAGGTCCTTGTCAAAAGGGGGCCGAAAGCCAATAGTGGATCGAGAAAAGGGGGTGTTCCCAATATAGTTGAGAGGATACGACGGTTGAAGTCAGTTACATGCGGCTTGCGCCAGTCTAAAACCGCGGCATTCCAGATGGGTGAAAAGCTCCACGGAATTGGGCAGCTGAGTTCACAACGTCCAAGAGTCCTTGGGTGTTACCACTGCGCCGGTAAAGCTCTTCGGCGTCTTTCCTCTGCCGCTCCAGAGTTTCAGCATGAAGCTGCTGTTGGGCTCGCTGGTCCGTCCAAACATCGCTGGAATATTTGGGTCCGGTAAACGTATGTCTCGAATTCGAGTAATGAGAAGGAACTGGGCTGAGATAGTCCTCATCTGGATCCGCAAATGGCGTAGAAACAGACTCGCTGTAGCATGAGGAGTCGTCGTCCGTTGGTGTTGGGGACATGGGAGGTGGAGAGTCCAACGGCTCGTAGTTTAGAGAGCGGCAACTTTCAGGCCGAGGTTCAAGCCAGCTCCACTCGTTGGATTGTTCTAGATCCCCGGAGTAGACTACTTCTCGCGAAGGGAGCTTCTGGAAGCCCTGGTAAGTGGGAAAATATGACCTTGGCCGGTGTGGAGCTCTCGGGATGGAATATGCAGCTGAGGAGGTCTGGAAATCTTTGACGTGGTCGAACAATCTGGTAAAAGATCCAAACCCGCCCTGGAAGCTGATGGCCGCTCCCTCTAGGGTGAGAAGGTGTTTTGTCGTCCAGACTGGGTAGCTATGGCCCGGGAAGCCCCAGACAGCTTCGATGAAGAAGTTCCCAGTTCTGGCCCAGGGGTAAAGGGATTTCTTGTCATAGCCGCTGAGTAGCGACACAAGATGGACATCAATTGTATGGATGCCGTCAGGGCGATGGCTCGACGCATTCACGTCGCACTCCATGGGACCGGCCAAGACGCCGCCAGTTGCTGTTCCGTCGGGATACGTGGAGAGCTTCTGGACCTTTATGACCATGGCCGCTTCTCCAAGCTGTAATTTGCTTAGTGAGAGGTCCATTGGAGGGACGTCTGAAAGGGGGTGAAAGCTTACCGTGTTGGAGACATTTCCAACAGCTTTGGAGGCGGCCTTGGACGACGCACTACGAGGCATCGCGTCGTCGTGTTACAAGAGGCAGGTCCAAGTTTAGAAGTCTCAAGCGATAACATAGTCTCATCGGTGGAAAAAGAATGATGAAGATAGGTCCAGGGAAGGTCCCGACCGAAGACGAAGGGCATATTAGCAAGTCTTGAATGAGCTGTCTCAACCAGAGGCCACCCCAACCCTGAAAGATCAGAGTGACGAGACAAGGCTGCGTGCGCCGTGCGGCAAAGGCGACAAACAGAAATAGCTAGCGTATCATTTTAACACTTCTTATTTCGAGGCACGGAAGGAGAGGATCTGTCCATATCTTTTTTGCTCTTAGGGCCTTCCCGATTCGGCATTTGTAAATTCTTGGTGCATGTGCAAGCCGCCCAGGCCAGCCGTGCAATCAACTCTCAGGACTGTGGCCGCTAAGTGCGGGGTGCTGACGCTACCCCTTCCCCTTGGGACCTCAGCTGAGACTCCTCAGCAAAGGTCCGCCCCCAGGAAGGAGGGAAGGTGTGACCCAACCCTGACTTTTGCGCCGTGGCTGCGCCCTCACAGCTTGCATCAGCTCAAGCAAGGTTCCGTAGTTTTGACCAATAGCCCGCCCGCGAGCGGGAACGAGAGGGAGCCTTTTCTTATCCACGCGGCCTGCATTTCCATCTTCCCCTTTTCTTCTGTCGGCTCAGCCAGACCTCCCGCCTAGACCTGCCAGGACTTGCTAGGACACACGACGTTGGGAAGACATGTGACGGGCAAGAAATGATGTTGTTAGGTAACCCGGCGGACGTGGAGCCAAACACCGATTCTTGACCGACGAGATGCGAACCCGTCAAGTTTGGACGCCTTCCAGTGGCCTGGGCTTCAAAACCCCTGTCTTCTCCCACCTTAGGGGAAGGCAATGAATGGTTCGCATTCGCATGGACAAACCCCATTTGAATCAAAAGAGCTCGCTCCCTCCGATCTCCCAGCAGATAGCCAAATCACCTGTATTTTGTCTGCCTCGGCGTTTGGCATCTTAATCCCAGCGAGCTAGGTCATTTATTTGCTTTAAAGCGTTGAGTGAAAAACGTTTCTCTGCCAGCTCGTTTGGATAACTTGACATTTTGCGTTTTCTGCGCGCGAGCGAATTTGTGCTCGTGATTACGCGTTAGGTCGTGCCTCTGACACAGCCTCAGACGGCTGCGATTTTCCTTCAACGCCTATACCGCCTAAACCACTAAAGAATCCCGCGAGCTTGTAGGTCACGACCGGCACGCCAGACACGGAACTAGAGAAAATACGATGCTGCCACCCCAAGCTCCCCGAACAGTTCTTCTTCCCTCCCGACTCCAAACGTCAGCATATAGGCCGAGCTACAGCACCGTATAGCTCCCACCCAACACAACACAACAGGGCACTGGTGGTGGTACCGAATGCACAAGCAGCGACGTGAAAAAGGCCGATCGGTAAAGACGAGGAGAAGGACAGGAGGGAGAGGGGGGAGGGGAAACCGCATCGGACGGCCGCCCAACAGACCTCGAATGTAAGTGTTGACGCATCTTTGCGTATTTACACACATAGCGCAGTTGTCAACTCCGTCGTCCTTTGGATTTTTGCAAAATATGCTGACCTTTCTCTATAGTAACCCCCCAGAAAGCCCAGTCATTATTGCTCCAAGACCCGAAGCAAACTCAAGCCTGGAATTTTGTCGTGTCGATTCGCACCCTGTTTCCGAGAACCTGGACGAGCAACCACAACCCAACAACATAATTACCCCAAGCGTCTCATCAGCAGCACAAGCCTACTTAGACACTTCGAAGTCTGTGGAGGCCTCCAAATCGACTACGATGTCTGTGCAACGAGGCCGCCCATCACTGAGAGTCCGGGTGCCTCCTCCATTTGATATCAATAATCTTGCCCATGATGAACTAGCAGTGGATGTCGAGATAATGACACCAGGCGGTGACTTTGTGAAACTGCCAAAAACTATCATTTCTCCGCGCTTCCCTCGATTATTTATACCGGCAAGGACTGCCGAGGTCTTGGGCTGGCATCCATACGAGTTATCCGGAGACGACATCCAAACTTTTGTGACGCCGCTGGGTCGTATCAGGACCACACGGGCCGTGTTTCTTTACTTTAGGGTCCCGCAACTGCAGGCACCTCTCAAGCTTTGTCGGATTCCCGTCCTGGACGATGATGATGTCAGCCTGGGGGTGCCCCTGATTTTGGGGAAGCCTTTTATCGACTTTTTTTTTGGCGACCAGTGGCCCCTTGCCGAGACACCATACGACGAGCCATTGGTTATCTCTGAAAGTAATCAGAGCACCGCAATTGTGTCTCAATACGTTCCACCAGTTATGCCCCCTCCACAGGCTGGGCGTAATCCAGGTCTTTGGCCTGGCGGCGGTTATGGCGGCCCCATACCCAACATGCCCTTGGATAATGATAATGATAATGAGATACCGGATTGGGACGGTGGGTATTTTGGTACGTCGTCAATTCAAGAACAAGCCGCAACGTGGTGCATGTGAGCTAACTTGTAGCCAAAGCCAATTTCGGACAATGGTATTGGTAGGGGGTTGACGGGTAGCCACGTGTGGTGGATCTGCACGACGAGGCTAGCTGTGACGCTAGAACTGCGCTCAGTCGATGCTTCTGCTGTGTCGCAAACCTACCTTAAGACTCGGGTATTTGGGGTGTGACTCTTCTGTTGTACTTATTCCTATTTTTCTTTTTGCTAGCCGGGCCGCTTCACCCTTCCTCTGCGCCCCAATAACTGTGGCAACATGAGCTGTATTGATCGCCCACTATAAAAAGATTGTTCATATTGGGCTGGTCATTTTCAGGTCCAGACTAGCGATGACGTCACATCCTAACTAGCGTTCGTCCTCACTAAACAGTTGTCCATAAGCAGTGTCCAGTGAGAACATATCAATGGAGAAAATGTCATAATTCATTTCGAGCAATTCTTACAATGCAAATACCTTCCTTGAAATGATGCTCTATCTGTCAATATTCGCGCCCTCGGTGTCGTTGGCGTGCTTTGGTTGCTCACCTGCGATCTGCAATGTCCGAACTTCGGAGCAGCAAGGCGGCCACTTACACGGAGAGGGTTAGGGTTGCAGTCTGCGCCAACTAGCATTTTTCTTTCAATACCACGAACATGTATAATTTTTTTCCCCTCCATACAATTTGAATAAAAAAAAAGATCAACAATAGAGAGAGATATTACAAGACAGAGATTCGGGCGAAGGTGTTATGGCATCCCGGGGCTAGCTCATCCTTGCCCGCCATGTGCCATTGCTGACGGCCCCTCGAGGTGAAGAAGCAGAAGCAGCAGCAGCAGCAGTACCATTAGCCCTGCGTCCCCCGCGCTGCTGCTGGCGAGACTCAAGGGTCGCCACCATCTGCGACATGCTTCTAGCCTGCAGGAGCTTACTCGTATCTCCTGTGGCCTCGAACTCCTCTTCGGCCTGCCCGCGGAACCACTCGACAAGCTGCTGCGAGTACGCCATGGCCCGCCGCTCCTTTTCGTCCTGTCGCTCGTGCCAGCCGTCGCCGCCGCCGCCACACCGGCGTGCGACCCCTCCACGCCTACGCAGCGCCGCCTGCTGCTGCCGCCGCCGCTGAGCAAATGTATGGACATTATAATTACCATTATTAGTGTTGTTGTTGTTGTTCATCGCCGAACGGCCGCAAGGGCTCTTTGCCAGAGCCTCGTCGTCCCGACACCACAGACGGCCCTTCATCAGCGCGCAGCAGGCGTTCTGCATATGTACTAGCCGCTGCCTCTTGCGCTCCGCGGCGTCCTCCAGCTCCTGCTTGGCAGCAGCGATCGCGGCCTCCTCCTGGACCCGGTTGAACCCGTTCACGTGCTCGACGAGCTTCCACGCCCAGTCCAGGCCCTGGGCGAAGGAGATCATGCCGCCGTCAACATCGGCGTCGGCAACCACCATGTGCCGCGTCTTGAAGGCGGGCGGCTGGCTCTGGCCGTTGAGATGCCACTCGATCATCACAAACCTGATCTTGCCCGAGTTGAACCAGCCCTCGCCGCTCATGTCGTGCATCAGAGAGCGTAGAGTCGCGAGCGAGATGTAGTGCGTGTTGGGCCCGCTCCCCCGCAGATGGGCCGGCACTTTGTGTCTGTAGTTGTTGGCCTTGTCCTGGGATGCAGGGACCGAACAGTTGGGGACGCGGTTGATGTGTACTGACGTCCCGGGAACGGTTATAGACGACACCCAGATTGTCGTGTGAGCTGGGGTTTTGGCGCTGGGAGTCTTGCTTTCGTGTCAGCAAACCCTAAGTGAACATGTCTCGAGATATATGAAGTTGGAAGATTAAATGGAACTTACCCCATCCCGCATTAAGAATCCATCTGGTGATCCTTCACGCTTAATGACGATGGGCGTAACACCTGTGCTATCTAACATGGAGGTGCGATCAGGATCCATCTTCCAAGATAGACCAATATAAAGGCTGCTGAGTCTGGTATTAAAAACTACCTAACGCATATTCCGAGCTTTGTGAGCTGGTAGCAAGTTGGTAGCAATGTATTGACTTGTAATGAACCGGGTAGCAGTGGGTGAGTTTAAAAGAGATAGATTGTGACAAGAACGTTGGCAACATGAAAGGTTTATATCTACCGTCATCACCGTTGAAGTCAAAAGATCAAGCCATCTTTGACGAGGCTCTATCTTTTGCTGTTTTTAGAGCCCAATTTTCAGTCAACTACGTCGATAAGGTAGGCAGTGACATCGGCAATTGAAGGTTTACCATACACCAGTATTTACATCGGCTTATTTTTGACCAAACAGATGCGGCCCAGCTCAGGTCGTCAGCCTTAAAAATCGCTGCTCGAGTCTTTCATATGAGTCAAGGTGAAGCTCGGTCAAATAGTCCTCTGCGCTTGCACACGGCTAGCAAAGGTCATTTTGTCGCGGGTAGTGGTCTCAAGCCGCAGTGGGCTGCGGGTTGTGGCCGGGCAACGGGGCGTCGTGCGTTCTTCGGTCACAGTCTGGCACCGCAAGCAGAACGCGACTCCAATCTGGAAGCCCTACATTGACGTTCACCGAACAAAAATCCGCCGCACCGACCAGGCTAGAGGGTAATCGTAACTGTGCAGTTGGTGGCTCTGTTGTAAGTAGGAGGAAGGAGCTCCCATTGCCATTGACGAGCTTGCGCTTTGCTCTTTTCGGCCTTCTGTCAGGTTTCTGTCCAATCAGGTTCGGGGAGATATCTCGGCGGCTAAGGCTGTCCCCGCGAGTGATCCTGAGAAGGCTGCGGCGTTTCCATATCGTATGAGGGCTTTGTTTCCCTTTTCTCTCCGCATCCCCCCAACTTTTTTGCCTTCTTAAGTTGCCCGTCTCCTAACATTCCTAAATTTCCCTTTTTTTGCCTGCCCAAGGTTCCAGGCACTCCTACAGGAGTTCGGCCTCAGTCCTCAGCTCGGTCCTTACGATGAGGCAACGACTCAGCCACATCCGAGATACCGTCACGACCCCTGGCGATTAGCACGATGCCCGATTCCTGATAGGCCTTCGGCCGAGCCAATAGGCAGGGCTACTTGCCACGAGCTTTCGGCCACTCGCCCGCTGCTGGCCACGCATCAGCTGTCTTAGACCCGACCACCAAAAAAATTCTGAACATTCTCGCAATAGCGCGCCAACTCCATACATCGGTTTGCACCATGACGCAGTTTCGTGTTAGCAGCGGCGACAGGTTTCGGCGCTCTGCCGTGGGTATAGCATTTGGTGCGCGCGCCGTTGCTGGCTTGTCTAATTTGCACGGGCCGGAGCTCTAGAAATTGATTCTCACAAGTTTGAAGCCTGGGCACTGGGTAGCGAATAGCAGCCAACGGCATACTGTGGACCGCCACAAATGTGCGGACAGTAGCTGGCACATCCATCCGCCTTTCCTAGGTAGTGCCTGCTCCCCCTACCTCTGACGTCCGACCTTGAAATGCCGTTTGAAATTTCCCGACCGAGACGAAGTCACGCTCCAGTAAAGGCGCGCAGTCGTTGCCAGACCAGGGTGCTGTTTTTTCTCGCAACCCTTAACCTTGTCCTCCGGGAACCATCCGGCTCCTGACCAGTCCGTCCCGTCTCTCATACAACAAAACCGTGGAGGATCGGGTTGGAGGTACTGTACCCTCAAGGGAGGTTCCTCTTGCTGCAGTGCCGCAGCAGCTTGAACCTACGTGTGGACCTTGCATCCGTATCCGTACTGCCGTACGTACCGTACTACATCTTACCTTGTCCTGTCTCTTAGCTCCCCACTTACACACACCTTGGACCTTGCTTAAGTCAAGGGTATCGCCGCGTTTCGCCGCACCCACCTCCCACCACCTTCAAAAGCGTTGCCATAACCGCGGTGATGGACTTCCTTGGTTTCATTTGAAATTCGAGATGGCATTTCAGGGTACAATTACCTCTCTTCCCCCAGAGGTCCCCAAGCCACGCCTCGTTTTTCTGCATCGTGGAACTTCGCCCTACCCCCTTTAAACAAGAGCATATTACAAGTGTTGATGCCGTCTACCTTCTCGAACCATGGAGCCATCCAGAGAAATACAAAGGAACCACCCTACTTGCGACCTCTTTCCCGATTTTCCTAATCCGGCTTTTGCATCACTGGCAACCAACAGTCAGCAAGACAGCTCGGCACTCCTGCCGGAGAACACTATTTACAAACAAGCCTCTATTAAGAAGAGGCGCCGCTCCTTGGACAGCTCATCGGATTCTCTGCAGTCCAAGCGCCGCCGTGGTCGACCGAAGAACGCCAAAGGACCAGATCGAACCGGCAACGACTTCGTCCAGATACTCCCTCGTGACGAAGCCAAGGAGGACGGTGTAATTCAGCAAGCAGTTCAACATATTGATATTTTTTCGCCATCAGACGCGTCAACCCTGTTCCCTTCTTATACCAGTGAGCTCCCAACCACATACCCTTTGCCCTGTCCTGGACAGGTCGACGTCGACCTTGTCCTCTTCTCGCCTTCGCATAACCATCCACCACAGCAACACCCTTGCTAACCATACATACAGCCGACAATCCCGCACACGACATGTCTATGAACCAACAACTTGCTGCCATGGCGGGACAGGACGGCTTGCTTGACAACCACATTCACGACCAGCAGTTCTTTGGCGAGTTTAGCGATCTCATGGATATGACGGGCGAGTCCTGGGACGAGTCCTGGAGCGATTACACCATGCTCTCTCCTCCGCAGGAGCCCGTGCAAACTTCTTTGAAGCGACAGAACAAGCAGGCAGACCCGCGCGTCACTTCGATCATTAATCCCGAAAAGGAAGTGGTCACACATGCGAGCTTTCTTGCCAATTACAACAACATCGTCACGCTCGACAACGTGTTTTTCTCACTACGCCATGATTACTCGATTATGTGGGAGGACACGCTTAAGCTATTCGGCTTCGAGCCCGCGCGGGGAAAGACAGTGAGGCCCCTGAACCCTCAAGGTGGCGTCTTCAACCCCATCGGCGAATCCTGCATCTACATGTGGTTCGGTCACCAAAGGCCTTCTCAAGACCGCCCTGTTCTTGTCGATTTCTTGGTCCTCCCCGGCTCCCCGGACAAAGCTGGCGTTATATTTATTTTGGGGAAGTCTGATATTCGTAAGATTTTCGGATCAGACTGGACACCAGAGCGGCACATTGCGATGATGGAACCGACTGCACGTCACGACAGTACGTTGGACACAGCTCTGGGCATCCAGTAACTTTCAATACGTTGCGACAATGCCTGTCCAGAGTCTTCGATCACGCAAACCTTCGATGTTCAATACCGCCTTTATCCCCAACCTAGTCCATTTCAACCAAACTCTCATCTTCTCTGTCACTTTCGACTTACTCTTTCAGTCAAGTCGTCCTCCACTCTTTTAAGCTCTTTTTACGACCTTTACGTCATCTTACTTGCTGCTGTCGCCTGGTTGTCGTTGTCGTTACTCTCGCTTGGCCCTCGCAACAACGTGCATGTTGAAAGACATCGGCTGGTCATAACATGAACTGCGAGGAATCTATATGTACATGGGCAACCAGGCGACCATTTGCTCCGGCAAGACAGACACTTTCACCCAAAACAAGATGCCGGAACTTTTGGCCACATGCAGCTGGGTTAGTTTTGTTGACCAGCATTCACCTGGACTTTTAATTCTTTTTGGCAGCTTGGAGAGTTCTTTGTTCTAAATTTTTTTGCTTCTTTATGCTCCTTAGAACGATGGAATATATTGCACACCCCGTCCTCCCCCCATAGCCTAAACCATGTAGCGTAATTAGATTGCTCAGGCGCAACATGACATCAAATTGGCCTCGCCTGCTGTGAATCGCAGCCCCTTACTCAGCCGAGGCCTTGGGACCTCACAGAGTAGTGCGGGCGTGTATGCGCTCTGGACTCTGGTGAATGCGGCTCTGTTTGATCCATCGCGGCCCGTCAGCTTCCAAACTTACGCGTCAGCGCACACTGACCAGGTCCGCAACAATAGCGACTCGGGTCATGATGCGAATCCGTAACTCGCGAAGCGCAAAACCGTTGTCAGCCAAGCAAGGAATTCGCCTACGTCGCTGCCCAATGTGGCATTGCGCCTATCAGATTTCATGCCCAAGCATCTGCGCCACCACTCCACGCACCTCAATTACCTATTTCGGATGTAACTTCTGGCCGCATTTCCCAAAATTACAGTCACAGGGTGGTCACGGATCATGCCATTCATTATTGCATCATACCACATTAGGAAGGTGATCCGGATCAAGTGGAATTCCCCTTTCCCCCCCTGGCTTGCTGCGTAGCGGCTGCCTTTCTTCTCGGTAAGGGAATTCAGCTAAGTGATCCACGGATGTATTTTTGAGAGAGGTGGGATGGAAAAGGCGACAAGCGGGCCGTGATACAATATCAAGGGGCACAGGCGGGCATACGTAATCCCCTCTTTCTTTCCCCGTCGGCCAGCCGAGCGCCTCCTCGCCTCGCCTGCCGCTCGCTGCGAACCTCCCCAGCTGGACCTCGGGAGTCTGGACCTCGGGACCTCTGGTATTAATACGGAGATACCTTCTATTTTTATTTTCTTTTGGTGGGTGTTTTTTGTCTTTTTTTTTCTCTGTCTTTTTTTTTTTTTTTGAAATTCCTACACTGCCAAACTTGGCCCCCCTTTTGTCCCGGACGCCCAGACCGCACACTGGTGCCAGGCCGGTCCGCCCAAGTGTCCCCACGTGCGGCTGCGCTGCGCTGTGAGCGGTGCGAGAGACTACCTACTTTGCCTCGCTTGTAGTGAATCGAGTTTGATAGACCGAGACTGACAGAGGAGGAAGGATTTGCCCCAGTGGGGCCGGGGGCCCCGACGATGACGATGATAATACCAGCCATCCATCCATCCACCATCCATCCATCCTTGGTGGGGTGAATGAGGCGGTGGGGCTCGTGGGAGAGTAAAATTTCCTTTCCGGCGCCATTCCCGGCGGCGCCGCCAGCCACCCCCTTGTTTTTCTTGTCCCCCGTAGGCGCAGCGGGCGGAGCTCTGTTGTTGACTTTGCTGTGGCGTCACTGTCGGGTGTTTGTTTCGTTTTGTTTCATTTTGGCGATCGAACCAGTCACTCACAGCTGCTGCCTAGGGAACGCAAGGTGTGCGTGTCTTAAGACTGAGGTTCGTTGACTTTTAGACTAGGCAACCTAGACTTCGGCTGATCGTGCGCAGCGGAGGCTGACTTGGACCACGCTTGATTAAATCATCACTTGTACGTAAAGATGAACACGCCGTGAGTTGAGAGGATTTAAACATTTGGTTTTGATTGGCTTGTTAGCTTGGGTATATCTTGTGTAATCGACGTATACGTGCCCAGCTGCCCAACCAACACTTACACATTCGGGCTTACAGTAGAGTAGAGCTATGGCAAGCCGACGGATGGTCGTGATACGGTTTGATTGGTGCGCCAGTTTAGACGTCAGACTGTGCATTCCAGTGTATGGTTGCTATAGTCTGAACGGGGCTTTTGACGAATACCTCTGGGGTTACGTAGTACAAAACGTACAAGGTCTTACCTTGTAGGTTTCCTGATTGTCAATTTAGTGTCTGTGGGGAAGCTGTCAGTACCTAATCCTACTAAACGCACCGCCACGAGTTAATACCAACGACACCGTTGAGAAACATAGTGTACGGTACCCGACCAGCGTAAAGCGAAGGATTGCGTACACCGTCCATTGGTGGCTTGGAGTGTGGTCGGATATGGCCCGTTCACTCGGTGCCCAAGTCCCCTTACCCTCAGGCAGGGGCACTCATGCGCCTAGAGTCTGAGTTATTGTCTCCATTGCCCGACTATAGCAATATCCATAGAGTTGCATTTAAATGTTTTTCTCTTTTAAGAGTGTTCGGAGATGCTATTTGTCATGTTGAACTTTCAACGAGGTATGTTTTTTTACTCAGGTAAGGCAACTGCCTCATAAACTCTGGTATATCTCTACAATATGGACAAGTCGATTGAGAAGGGAGTGGTGTCCATTCCCTTACTTAACATTTTAAAAGGCATAGATACCTGCAGGCACCTATGCTCCAAAGCCAAGGTACGGCTTGAAGGCCGGGCCCGTTTGTCTTTACCGTTACTTAACCATCCCATGCAAAAGAACACGTCAGAACGCCAAGCCACACAGAAGGCAGGCCGCCGCCGCCAGTGCTGTCTGCGCCGGACGAGCCGCATCAGCACCCGCGCTACTGGTCGATGTAGCAACTCTCGCAGAACTCGTCGTCGTTGGCGTCGGCGGCGTCGTAGCCAAGCTCGTCACGGAGCGAGAGATGTTGCTGGCGACGTCGGCATCGATCCTGACAGAACATGGGCTCGGGGATCTGCCCGCGTCCTCGGCGTCTACGGCCAGGATGGGACAGAGCGGCGCCGCCAGGTCGGGCACAATGTCGATGGTGGCGGTGAGCCCCGGGCAGCCGCGCTCTCCCTGTCCCTCGAGCGGGATGTCGGGGGCTTTACCCTGCCCGCCGTCGAGCCAACCCCGGCCAGCAGCTTCTTTGTCGGCTTCCCAGTCCCGGCCAGGCTGTCGTTTAGCGTCACGAAGAGGTAGCCGCCGCCGTCGACGGCCGTCTGTTTGGCGATGCTGCCGTTGGCGTATTATATAATGGAGAAGACGATGGTGAAGTTGCCAATGGTCTGTGCCGCCGTCACGTTCTGCACCGCCACCACCACGGGGAACATGTCCGACGGTTTGTACGTCCCGTTGCGCGGGAACACAACGTCGAGCTCAAAGTGCGGCTAGGGCAACTGCGCGGCGGCGGTAGCTACTACTGCTAGGACAGTGATCGCTATCTGGAATAGGTACATCATGATGCGCTAGTGTGTTTTTTTACTCTCTTGTTCTCTTTCTCTTTCTTTCCTTGGCCGCGGACGAAATGGCGCCGCGGGTTGGTGTTGGAAAGCAAGAGGGGAAGAAGCAGCAAGGTAGACAGAACTACATGGCTCTGAAGATCACCAAAGGCCCGCACCGAGAACCAGCACGCCGTAAACAGCGAGTGACGACACAGCTCGTGCCCATTGTAGGGTACACACAAGCGCCAGTTGGTATATGGTGTGGAGCACCAGTCGCACAGAGTCTCTTGGCCAAGGCTATTGCAGACACTGCAGCATGAACGTTCCCGATCCTTGGTTCGAGCCAATGTTAGTATTGTTCGCTTGGCTGGGTAGGTTCTATTGGGGAATGAAGGATTGTTCGCTAGGACTGAGGGCCTACTTAGACTGAATGTAAGGTGCGTACTGTAATGTACATGTACATACGGAATCCCACGAGGGCATTTAGGTGGGAGAATTCTAGTCGCCTTTCGAGGCCGCGTGCTCGATGTCAAGTCACAGCTGACATTTCCGTGTCTTGCAGGAGAGACCAAGGCATGTATGCAAGGCACATGCTGGACCCTGCGTCAGGGCGTTACACACACCTAAGGAGGACTGCTCAAAGTGTTCGTACATACATCAGGTATCCACTCACGGGATTAGCACGTGCTCCCGCGTTTTGGAACCAAACACGAAATGTCCCGTCCCAGAGGCGCTAATTCCCAGGGCCCGAACGCCCTGTTCGGGAAAATGGTAGCGCCTTGTAGCGCCCAGCCTGCTTGACACCACATCCCGGCTGGCGCGTGTGTCTGCGACGCGTCTCAAACCAAATCATCAAAGATATGGACCCCAACACCGAGCTTGTGATCATCTTCATCCAATTCTCACCGACCACCCACCGCACTTGATTGCTTTGTATTATACCAATTGGTGTCGCTGCAAAAGCAGCCTTCTTCAGCCAGCCCCGCAGCCAGTTTTGCGCACAACCTTTTTCCCCTCGAGCCCAAATCTTGCGACATCGTCAACAACGCCCGTGTGGATCTCGCCGTGAACGTGTGTTTATTGATGGCCGGTGACGAGATGGCAAATGCGCAGGCGACGCACGGGGTGCGAGCCGCTAGCAAGAGGCAAAGAGGTGACGGCGTCACCATTCGACCCCGAGGCAAGAGATTGAAGACGACGGGGCCTGCGCCTAGCACCACCTCTGCCGGTCCCTCAACCCGCCGTAGGACCCGACTCGCCACTGTTGACAGGGACGACGAGGAGACCGTGGACGGGGAAGTCCTCGCCGTTATGAATAACTTTTCGACGCTCCGAAAGTCGGCCCCGCAGCAAAAGTCTGGTGCCATTGAGGTCTTGATTCCCTCCTCAAGAACAAAAGTGTCTGAATTCTCGGACAACTTGCTCCGAGACACGCTCTCGGAGCGCGGCCTACTCGGGCCACCTAAAAAAGTGCCTCGCAAAAACCAAAAGGCTCACCAGAGTGAACCCAAAAGCCCGGTGAAGCGCCGGGTAATTCCAGAGTCGCCCCAGCTGTCGCTCGAGACGGTCGACAAGGCCGACCACGAAATGGATGACGATGGGGATGCCAGCGACGAATATGCCAGCGACGAAGGGGGTGACGATGAAAAGATCGACGGCGAAATAAATCCCTCACATGAAGAGAATAGCGAACCCAGCCGTCGGACAGTAAACGGGCTTGGAAATCGTAGCTTGGCGAACTCGGCTCCTCGCGTCTCGTCCTCAGTCGTGGAAGCTGAAGGCGAAGGCGCAGCCGCAGGTGCAGGCGAAGAAGTCGGAGAACAAGAACTTGGTAACGTCGATGGAGAAGAAAGAGACCAGGGTGACTCTCTCGTGATAGAAGCACCTGCTACCACCGACGCCCAGTTCTCAGTGGAGATTTCACGCAAAGATCTTGGCCGCATGGACAGGTTGATGGGCCGGCCAGGCTGGACAGGCATGCGCAAAACATGGAAAACATCCCTGCTTCCGTTTGAAAACTTGGAAATCGAGAGCGAGGCTGCCATGCTCAAAACTGGCCTCGGCGGCAAACTCTACAGCGCTTTATTCGAGCTGAAGGGTCGCCTTGACGGTGGTCGTTCGGCCACAAGTCTTGCCGAACAAAACACATGGCTGCGCAGAGAGAAGCGGCGCCTCAGCAAGCCCATGTCCGCGATCACCAGGACTGTTACAAGAATCTGCGAGGCTGACCTTGTGGCTGGCAGTTCTGTGGAATTAAGCGACGAAGACTTGGAGTCTCGCCGTCTCTTGGTCGAAGACATGGTTGGAAAGATCATCCCGATGCTGGTTCTGATCCTCTCGAGTTCGTTCGACCTTGGAGGGGTTGGCCGCGACATTGATGATGGGCCACCAAACGAAGGTACCTTCACTGCCAGCACGATGCAGTATCTGGTGCAGATTACGGGCTGGCTTAATCGACTCGTCAACGTCATCAAATTTGAACTTTCTCAGCGGCCGTTAGAGGACGAGAGTAGCTCCGAGCTAACCCCGGTCGATATCCAGAAACTGAATGAGGACCGCAAAATTTTCGGCGAACTCCTCAAGAACTACTGGTACCCAAGGCTCAAGAAGGCCGAAAAGGATCTAAAGGAGAAACAAGACGAAGAGAAACTCCGCGCAGAGCGAGTTGTGCGCGATGAGATTATTAAAACACAGAGAGAGCAGCAGGAGTATGAGGAGCTTGCCAAGACGGGACAGCGATGGGCGCGTTTTGAAGAGTCTACGCATCAACTAAAGAGGCTGCCGCGGCCTGCACAAGAAATCTGGCGAAAGGCCAATCAGCCAACGTGGTCCTCGTACGGGCCGGGATTGCTCCCGTCATCAGGGAGGCCGCATGCGGTGCCTTACAACGGGTTTCGGCCGATTCGCAACGAGGACAAGCGGCGGTTACTAAGAGAGCTAAGGCGCGAGAACCGGCTGGCAACTACAGAGGACTTGGAATACTACGCCGGAAAACTAAGACTAGATGTTGCCCAAGTTCTCGCCGAAACGGAACTCCTCAAAATGGCGGCGCGGGACCTTGCTCGCCAAAATAACATCCGTGTCGAGGCCTGGGCCAGGTAGGAGGCTGTACGGTAGCGGAGTGGAGGATCAATGTTTTGTTTAGCTGGTGTTGGTACGGATACGGATAGTAAGCTGTTTGAGCAACGGCGCCCCACGGTGTTATTGCAGGATACCCCTAGTGCATTTATTGTCTGCTTCTTGTTCCTCTTGGCTGATATTATTTTAACTCGACTTGCTTGTGTTGTTGCTCGCTGTGGAAATGAAATAAGGATGTTTAGTCATTTGGAAGAGATTCAGCCCTGCCCTGAGCGAAAAGAATAACGGGTATTTCTCATTGGAAAACGTCACCACATACGAAGTACGGACACCAATCTGAGTTCAAGGAGGGAAAACGCTAGCATAAATTGGTTGGTGGGTGCGTACTGTACTACGTATGTACTCAACCTTGAAATTTTGTTCCGAAGTCATCACCCATTCAACACTCACCCCACATTGCCACTTCAGTCTGGCCCCCGTCCCGGGGCTAGACCCCACTTCCCCGCAACGCGACACCCTTTCCCGACGGGAACCGCGTAAAGATGTGGGTGAGGGGTTTTCGACAAGTCCCGGTTCGGATCACGTTCCGGAGGAGTGTCTCGTTTGTCAGAGTCAAGCCTGTTGAAATGCTATGAAACCCTGCTGCTGTTTGAATCGAAGCGAAGCTAAATATATTTGGTACATTTAATGATAGTTATTTCCGAGGAGAGTACGGATGAAATGCGGAATCCTTGTTTGTGCCTCGGAAAATGTAGATGGATGACACTCACTACTCACTACACAAGTACTGTAACAATACCACCAGATCCGGACAATCGGTGCTAGACTGAGCCAACCTAGCATCTTAGTTTGTGGCATAACAACTGATATGCCGAACGGTTATCAAACAACTGCGGCACGCAGCAATTGTTCAACAGAGCAGGGTGGGATAACCTGGAAATCGCAATAATCAATAGCGTCCCGGCACTAGCACAGCGGTGAACAAGGTCGAGACAGGGGCGTTGGGGGGGTGGGGCCGCTATTCCGCAGGCTCGTGGCACGAGGCACATTGGACACGGGAAGATGGCCAGGGGCCTGTGCCTTTAGCGAGAGCTTAATGGTTGAGTGCGGGTGCAACGCTTAGAAAGTTTAGTCGCTTGACGACATCCATGGACTGTTTTCTTTCTTCCAAGTCTTTGTGAAGGACTAGTTAAGTAGTTTACAACCTCTTTTAGCGACGCTCCAAAATCCCATGTCGGATTTCATTGGACGACAAGAGCACCAGCTTCAATCATATAAACTCGAAACCGAGTGTTTCCGCGTGCGTTTTGGCCGTGTTGCAGCGGCGGCGCGAGCTGAGAAGAGCCGAGATCGGGGTCGAATGAGGCGCGTTCGAGACACCCGACGGATAACGCCGTGCGACGAGAGCTTTGCTGTCTCGGCGTCGGCACCATCGCGCTCTCAGATCAGACATAGCGATGGATGACCTCTCTCGAATGATGGACGCTGATGGCGACATGGAGGACGAGGCCGCCATGATTATGATGGACACGGGCAAGGGGGCGGGCGTGGCGAGCGCCGCGATACGATCACCGCTATCCAAGACAAGGTCGCTATCGGACGGAGGTGGAACACCAAAGCTAACCCCGTCCCCCCATATCTTCGAGGTCTCGCAACGGCAGACCAAGGACGACATTGGCATCAGAGACAAGGAGTCGGAGTCGTCTTTGCTCCCGTCAACACCTGTGCGCGCAAAGTTCCCGCTGCGAGGTCTCGCGCTCCAGCTGCCCCCGCGGGACTCAACTTCGCCCGCCCAGTCTAAACCCGCCCCGCTCTCGCCCAAACTCGACCATTCCCAAACTTACGCGTCGCCGACAAATATTCTGCCCCGGCGCTCGCGCGGTCTGGACTTTTCGCGGGCGGCCACGAGCCTACACCACTCCACCCTTGCCGACCAAGCGTCGCCCGACTCGTCGCCGACCATCGGCTCGCGCGCCATGAACATCCCCGGCCGCCGCAACGGGGACTACGGCATTGCCGAGCAGTCATCCAATTCTCTGTGGTCAATCATTGGCAACCAGGATCGCATGCTCATCTCGAGTTCCCTGGGGAGCAACGCCCACATTGGCTCCGACTCGTCTTCGAGCTCAGAGCCCGACGACTTCATGGACGAGGATATGGATGAGGCCTACGTCACTACACCGCACGCTTCGAGAAACATTGCCCTGCACGGCGCCCCGTGGATGGCCGCTGGCGGCTCGCCCGCCGTCAATAGCCTCTTGAGCTTTCAACAGCGGCAGCGGCAGAGGAAGCAGAACAAGAAGAAGTTGCGCGGGCCGTTGGGTTTCGCCTCATTTGCCTCTCCTGCCAACCCTAATGTTATGTCCAAATCGCCCCCCAGCAACATGGGTGGCCAGAAAGACATGTCTCCCCACGCCAGACGCGAGAGCATAAGTTGGGCGGCGAACCAGCTACATATCTCCGGAAACGAGAGCGATGACAATGTCAACAAGGGGTTCGATAGCCCGGGCGTCGTCCGCCGCCCTGTTACGCGCCGAGGGAACCTCCTCGTAAGCTAAGGCGCATGGCGCACTCCCTTTTTGGACATTGCTTTACTAACAGGTACCACAGCCAAAAACCAAGGGCTTCGCACGCATTCGGGCCGCTTTGGCGGAAGAGAGCGCTCCGGTTGAAACCGAATTTCGTCGCGAGGCAGAGGTAGTTCGCCAGGTGCGCGAAAGCGATATGGATCTCGAACCTAGAATGCTTACCTCTCACTCGGCCGCCACAACAGCCTTGTCCAGCCCCAACCTAGCTGCCCAGGACAGCCTCGACGACGTCTCGGAAGACATCATGATGATGGATCCCACAATGGGGAGCGGTCTTGGCATGACGGCTGGCGGCGGCGGCACCTTCAAGCAGCAAGTAATGAGGAACTCCAAGGGCAAAGGCTTCTGGGACACATTTTCGGATGGCGGCAGCAGTAGTATGAGTGCGCCGCGCATCACGCCGCCGCCGCCGCCATTTGCGCTGCTCGCGCGTGGGTCGTCGGCCGGCCTGAGCCTCGATGATATCAGCATGGACTCACCGTCAGCTAGCTCCACTGGAGCAAGCCAGAATGCCTTTATCCTCGCTAGTGGCGGCGTGCAAACCACGACGAGTAGCTCGAGCAACGGTACTCCACAACCCGTCTCCTACGCCCTTAGCAACGGCAACGGTAGCGGTAGCGGTAGCGGTGGCGCAACCGGTATCCCCACCGCCGCCGAAATCACGCGCCGCATCAACAGCAAACGCCGCCGCGACGACGACTTCGACCCCGTCAGTTTCAAGCGTCGAGCCGTCAGCCCGGGCATGAGCGTCCACAACTCGCCCATCATGCAGAGCCCGCTGCAGCGCGACATGGTGCCGTGGGGCTCCGGGTCGCGCCCCGGCAGCGTCGGCGGCGACACCACTGCCAGTGCTGGCAAACCTGCTGGCGGCGGAGGCGGGAGCGGTGCGCCTAGCGAGAATGGCAGCGGAAGCGGTGGTGGAAACGGCAACAGCAACCGCTTGAGCTTGAGCTTGGGTGGGGGCAAAGGCCGTGTGGGCTTTCAGGGTATGGTGGACACCAATGATGGCATCACGCGGCTGAGCATCGAATGATGCATCTTGTCTTTCTCGAGGGCTAGGTGGGGAGTAGGAGTGCGTAGCGCTTTTCTTTCAACCTTTTTTTTTTCTTATTTTTCTCTCTTCTTTGCATCGAATTGGCCGCACGGACAGGTTTTTTTACGGGAAGGGGTCGGAAGGAGTCATCATTATCGTTATCATCATACTGTAGCGCACACGGCGTCTTGGGTTCCTTCTACATCCCGTTCGAACTCCTTTCTCTTTCCTCTTGCTTATGCTCTTGCCTAGTCTTCTTAGCTCTATCTGGTCTTTGGTGGTCTGGGAAGGGGTGCTCATCAGGGCGGTACATCAATTACATGTAAGGTTAATATACAGATTCTCGGTGCGGGGCGTGGAAAGGGGGGTGTTATGGGGGGGGTTTTTTTTTTTGCAAACAGGCGGGGCGTCTCATTGCTCTTCCGGTTTCCGGTCAGTTCAGTGCCGTATACGTATATACCTAGGTCTAGGTGGGAAAGCATAATCAAGTTCGGGGCCTATCTGGTTACTTGTTTTATTTTTTAATTCAATGACTTATGTGATCATGCTTTCCTGTCGCCCCTTCTTTGCCTGTCTTCGGTCCCTTCGCTAGGTGCTGGATGGAAGTGGCTAGCACCATGCCATGGCGAGCCAAATCTAGCCAGCGAGAAGGTGTGCCTTTCATCTGTCTGCCCGTCTTGGCATGAAAATACAGCAGAGACATATATCTACAAACACGGACAGACAGTACACACAGACAAGGAGGTATATACTAGGCCCTACGTACATGAGTTGGGTGTGCGTGTGTGTATGTGTTCGGTGTGGGTAGTAAGTACAGCGCGCATATATGAGCATATGTGAAGATTTTTTTTTTCACTTTTCCATTCCGCCCCGGCCCCCCAGACAGGCGAACAAAACCAATTGACAATGAAAAATGAAAAGTATTAGTAAATAAAAGAATTATGCTTCTCGCCCCCGAAACCCCCGCCGCCGGGGACAATGCCGATGCCTTCTTCGGGCACGTACAGCGTGCCCAGCCGCGCGTCCAACCACCGCCCCAGCTCGCCCACCTGCCGCCGCATCGCCAGCACGTTGGCCGGTGACAGCGCACCTCCGCCGCCGCTTGCTGCTGCTGATGATGATGATGATGATAGGTTCCCCGCGCCTGCGGTCGTTGCTGCCGAGGCGCCTCCCGCTGCCGTCGGTGGTGTTCCAGAGCCGCCCGGCCCGTTCTCTATCTCCCCGTCCGAAGTAGGCCCCGGCCGTGGAGATGTCTCAGGCACTGTTGCTGATGGCACTGCGGTTGCTGGCGCGGGTGGTAATGCTGGCGTCGCTAAAGCGCTGTGGCTCTGACTGTGGGCTGCCGCGGCGCCATCAGTAGTCTCGCTGTCGCCTGCGCCGCCACCTTCTGCTGCCGTTGCTATTTCTGTAATTGCTGCCGCTGCCGCCGTAGTTGATGTGCCTGCACTCCCGCTACTGTTCGCGCCTTGGCTCTTGCTGCTGCTGCGGGCGCTCTCGGGCCCAATGGGGCCGCCCATGCAGATGAACAGCATCCCGCAACGCAGGCGCCGTATCACGAACACGGCGCCGCTGTCGAGCTGCACCGTCACCGCCGGGGCTGCTCCCCCTCCGCCTCCCCCGCCTCTGCTGCTGCTTGCGCTGCCTCCTCTTGGGGTGTGGAAGCCGTCGGTCGAAAACGACGAAGGGGAAAGCGGCGGGTGCGGGTGCGGCGGCGGCGGCAGGGGCAGCGCGGACTCGACAGCGTCGCCGAACGTGCTGGCGGTGCTGTTGAGCGTGGTGCTGCTGCTGCTGCGGGCGGCGATGGCGGGCGCGTGCAGGGCCCACAGGGAGGCTGCCACGGCGCACTGGCGGCGCAGGGCGCTGGCGGGCAGGTTGCTGGCATGTGCGAGCAGGTTGCCGGCCGGCGTCGTGAGGGCCGCCGCGCGGATGTGCGCCGACAGGTTGGCGCGCAGGAACGCCGTCACCCGCTTCGTCAGGAGCAGCGGCGGCGGAGGCGGCATGACGCGCGAAGTTGACGACGACGCCATGATCGACCGTAGGTAGGTGCTTGCTTAGTTGCTTGGCTGGCTCTGCGGAGGATGGATGGATGGGTGAATGTATGGGTGGAGTTGTTTCCAACGTCGCCCGTTAGTCGTCTGCATGCACTTGGGTAGTGGAGGTATGTAGCGGTGGCTTGAGTATTTTAAAGAGTTACAAAAAAAACGAGTGGCCTGTTTGTGCTAGGCGCCCGCGGGATTTAGACGCGCATGCGCGCAGCGCAGGAACTGCTGTCGGCGAGGCTGCCGTATTGTACATGCAGATTAGACTTTGGGTGGCTGATGATGACGGTGGAGGGTGGCCTTTGCAAGGAGCTCGAGACGGAGAGGCTCCGGGTTGACGGTTGGAACTGCGGGGCTGGGACGACCTGAGCTTTGGCGGCTTATCGATAACTGCGGGAACTGATGGGGGAAGCTTCCAAGGTATTCTTTTCATCCGGTATCGAAATTACCACCTCCTTTTGGTAAATTGACACTTATATCCAATTCAGTACAAATACGGAGTGCCGTTTCGAAGTTCCCAAACTTTTTATCTAAGCACAATTTCTTGCTTGCCAGCTTGCCAGCTTGCCAAACTTCAATACCGACTAACACGTCGCCGTCTCCGCCAAACGAATTGCACATCAACTTCTTATCCAATCCAAACAAGGACTCGACACTTCAACTCAATAGAAACAATTTGATAGGTAAAACTTGAACAAAGGTAAACCTGTACGTACGACAGTAAAACTCGACCGGGATAAAAGGGAGAAAAAAAGCCCCTATTCACCACACACCATTACACACAGCCCCTACTCCACCCCCTTTAATCTACCAAACAGATGGCTTCTCTTCCACCGTCAGCGTCTCCCTGGCCGCCTCTAGCTGCTCGGCCCTGTGGCGGCGGGCATTCTGCTTCCTAAACCAGATGTCGTCAAACAGGTCGCGATGGAGGCGGCCATCAGCAGTATTATCGGCCCACCACGCGTAGTCGGACCAAAACGAGTCGAGGACGTGGCTAGCGTGCACGTCGCCGCTGCGGTTGAGGCACAGTAGGAGGTGCAGGAGGTTGCAGAGGCCGGCCGAGTAGCGCCCTCCTCCTCCAGTTCCTCCATACTCGCTGTCGACGTCGTCACTGCCGACGGGCCGCTGCTGCTGCTGCTGCCGGAGCGGCTCGAATACCTGGTCAATGTCGACGTCCTCGAGACACGTGTGCGGGCACCGCGGCCGATTCGTTGCCGCCGCCGGGTCGATGACGTGGTTGCACCCGCACAGCACGCACTCCTCGGCCGCCGGCAGCGCCTTGCCCCGCATCATGTGGTACAGGATCGCGCCGAGGGCATACAGCTCAGTGCCAATCGTGTACGGTCGCTCGTTCTGTAAACGGGAGAGTCGTCAACGTGACTGTTTCTGGGACTGGGTGGTTCGTCCGACTATCTTGCTCTGTCTATCCCACGTTGTTGCTAGATGGAAAAAGAGATCACCAGACACACACTCACCTGGGGCAAGACCTGTCCTTCAGTAGCCCACCGCGCGCGGCGCGCACGCACCTGCGCCAGCCGGACGGTTGAAGTGCTGTCTTTCTCCATAGCCACGACGGGCGCGGCGCCGCCGGTCGAGCCCGAGACGTACGCGTTGGAAAAGTTGCCGAGCTTGACGGCGCCGTACGACTCGATGCCCTTGGGCTGCTGGAGGAAGATGTTCTCGGGCCGGATGTCGCGGTGCAGGATGGGCAGCCAGTCGGCTTCGGGGGTCGTCGTGCTCCTCAGGCGGATGCAGCGGCCGCCGCGGAAAGCGAGGCCGGGGCCAACGCCGTAGACGTCGCGGATGCCCTCGTGCAGCCACTGCAGTGCGCGCAGCATGCCCAGTGCCACCTCCCATATGAGGCCCTCGGGCAGGAAACCGCCGTCCGTTGGGCGCAGCGGCGGGTTTTTGAACAGAGCCTCGAGCGTGCCGCCGTCGCACCAGTCCCACATGAGAATGCGCTTGGGTTGGTCGTAGCTCCCGCCGAGGCCCTGCAGCGGGTAGTTAATCACCTCTGTGTTTATGCTCACCAGGTTCTCGTGGTTGAGGACGTTGGCTGCTGCGACGCCGGCTCCGCGCTGGACCAGTTGTTGTGCTGTGGTGAGTGGCACGTCTCTATTCCGGGGAGTTTCGAATGTGTGCGCTATGAAGCTCTCGCCATCACTAATTCGCCGCACAAGGGCGAGTCCATCCGCAAGCTGTTTGTAAACATAGTATCTAGGGCTCGGTATTTCGGGCCTCTGCACTCTCTTGGTCAAGGGCATGGTCGAGGCTGGCGGTCGTCTTTGGATACGGTGCAAGAAAACAATGTCTGACTGGAGATTATTGGCCGTCACAGGAGAAGAATTGGGGAAGAGTTGAACAGGATGTTCAGGAAGTCTCGAGTCAAATCGCTAAATACCATCCAAGTGTTTGGAATGCCCGCTCTCGGGCGCCGCTTCTTTGTTCTCGACCAACATTCCTCAGTCCGGAAATCCTACAAAGCTTTGAACTTCTTTAGTTGTCAACGTGAGCCCACCAATGGAATCTCTTTTATTCACATTGGGGATTTGAGGGCTTTAGGAAAGAGTAGGCAAAACCCTTTCGGCCCTAGCCTCCGTCATGGTACTATGGTTTTCGTCCGCCTCGGACTGGACCTCGAATACCCCGACGGCAAGCATCCTAAAAGACTAAGATAGAGCAAAGGCGTTAGTGCTAGAACACAATTCACAATAATTGCAACTAAGATATAGTAGAACGAATGTGAAAGAAAGCTTACATCAAAACTTGCTGCGAGGATGCACGGTGAGTTGCCTAAACACCTCCTCCGCAACGCCAGCGTCTCCACAGGAGGGGGTGGCCGTGTCGACTGGCCAAGGTCGTCGGTAGTGTCTCCGAGCCAGCCTGACATGCGAAGAGCCCCCGATGGGCTCCGAAACACTACCCTCAGAGCGAGGATGCAATCCGCGCTCAGACGGACGTTGAAGCCAATGAACGACTCGCCAGGCTCTAGCGCAACAACCGCCTCGAGATCATTCAGAACGTAGCCGAGGCTCTCGGGTGTCGTAGAGCTGCCGTAAAAGATACGAAGCCCAGAAACACACCTCCGCCCTCCCAAATTGATAACGGACACCCCAACGCCGGTCATTGTTGACGACGCTAGTGGTAACTGTAGACAGACAGTCGAGCAGACGCGCTCTGTGCCATCTTCTCGGACCATCGTTGCAGTGGCGTTTCTGATCGGGTGCGAGGCCTGGGGATTCGATTCTCGCCCCATGTCTTGTTGTGTACCGGAGGCAAATGGGATAGGCCGTGTAAAGAAGTCTCCGGCTAGAGCGACACCAGAGCCCCAGAGCGAGTGAAAGGAAATAACCTCGGTCAGTCGATTCCACCAGTGCCTCCGCTTAGCGAGGCATGCCATTTCGGCGTCGACTTCGCGGTTCGCTGGGCTAGGATGATCTAGAGCCCTCCTGATCTGGAAATATAAGGCTCGCCAATCTTGTTCCGCTAAGACTTTCTCTGGAAGGGCAAAGCCAAGTTCGAATGGAGGCATAAACCGACTGAGCCAGAAGCTGTTGGGCAGAGCCACCAGTCTAGATGTATAAGCCACGGCTCGCGAAGCTAGACGCAGGTTGACCAGGTCTATCGTCCTTGTGAAGCCGATGATAGTCTGAATTATCTCCTCGGGGAGATCTGAGAATATGTCGTCCCTTTCACGAGCGAATGCGAGAGACTCGTGGCTTTGCGGGTTGAGGCCCAACTGAGACAGCGGCATAGCCTTGCGGGAAAGGGGCGGCTGACTGAATCCGAGCTCGACTGCAAGTTTCTCGATCGTCTGTAGCTTCTGCAGGCTTTGTCTAGGGTTGTGCTTTTCGTACACCTGTGCCGACGGAAGAAGGAGTTGGGGGAGATCGTATCGGCTTCGACTCTGGCCAGCCACAAAGGGGTTAAAGTTCCAGTTCAGAGATGCCAGCGCTTTGCACCAGGTCGTTGCGCAGGCAACCACATCCTCGACTCTCGGCTCGATTATTTCCCAGCAGTCTGCGTGCACACGGAAATTCCATTTGTGTTGCGAGTGGATATATACGGGGCTGGACATGATGTCGATGTCCTCTCTGGCGATGCCAACATCCTCGACCGATAAATCAGATCTACTCGGCACAGCAAAGGTAGGATCGATATTGTGACCGGGAATGCCCTCAGAGGGCAGTCGAAATCCGATCCCGGATATGGTTGCCCAGTTGTTGCTGCTAATGGTGTCTTGGGAAAATCCGATGACTCTGCAGAGCGAGAGCCTGTGGCTGGGCCTGCTGTCATCGCTTGATTTCTGGACTTCTCTCTGGCAGAGCCAGCACATGTAGTCTGGCATCGAGTAAATGTTTGAGGGGTTCGGGATGTGAGGCATCTGGGGCGACATGGGAGAGCTGCCTAGCGAAGCGACAAAACGCATGGACGATACTTATTTGGTCTGCTCAGGGAGCCGGCGATGACTGGATTTGGGAGAAACACAGCTCCCTTATCCGGACGAAGGTCCAAACAAGATCAGGTATGGGACTTGAAGAACCAGGGAGGGCCATCATGACCCAAAACGTGGCATGCCTTGACAAGATGAGCCTACAGATGCCTCAGCGGGCTTCATAGTGCATGATAATGTGCGCTCTCGTCGTATCATGGAGGCACGGTATGTAGGTGGTGGTCAAGACAAAGATTTGCGCCTCGTCTCGCATCCTTCCCCCTCGCCAATCTTCATTGTTTGGGTTGGAAATCATGTCCGGATCGTAACAGGCAACTGAGCCACGCGCTTCGGGCAGGAGGGGGAGATGGCAACACTGCCCACCCGCTGGTTGCGGGCCCTAGGAGAGGACCTCGGGGGGTCATCGGGGTCCGCTCTCGTGCAGCCGGTCACCTAGCGTGTGCGAGACGGAAGCGGGTCGACTGTGCATGCTGTACTCGACTGTGCATGCTGTACTCGACTGTGCATGCTGTACTCGACTGTGCATGCTGTACGCGACTGTGCATGCTGTACGCGTATTCACCTGGATCCCTCCAATGGAGCGATGCCTGGAGTCGTGTTGGCTGCGGGCGACTCCCGCGGATTATCATATGTGGCCAGCCTCGCCCTTCCGTGCCTTTTGGAGCGTGTTTGGTTGCAACCAAGGATTCAAAGCTACACGGGCCGTCGTCTGCACTAATTGCTTGTTCCTCCGGCCCGGAATAGCTACGGATAGTCACTTCAGTTGCGAGGCCAGACGTCGTGATTCGCTGGTAACCGGACCCGACAGTTTGGAAGCGAATAGGATGCTGTGCTCCCCCAAATCGCCGGCGGCTAGCAATTGGAGGGTCGAGAGTGAGGACTGAGATGCTGGGGGCAGTGGACTGACGGAGTCATACATTGCAGCGATATGACCCATCGTCTACAGACAATCCAGTGCTTGAATCTTTTCCAGCCACCTAGCTATACCTAAATGGCCGCTTTTCGGCGCTGGCTTTCAACTTTGCTGTCTTGCCTGGAGGCCAGAGGCAAGCAAGACTTGATGGCGAGGTTGTGAGCTGTCGTTATTTGACTGAAGACTTGGTCATGCTCGCACTTGCCGTGCTTCGGAAGCTGATTTTCAACTTGTGGTTGCGTGTCTGAGCCGTTCCTTCCCTCGAAGTATCCATATGGTGCGTCAAAATGCGCCATTTTCCCAGGCAGGCAACAGCCCACCACCTCAGATTGCGCCCTTATCTTGATCAGCCACAGAAACCAGGAGATGGAAAGAACGTATCATGGTCACCGTTTCGAGTTCAGATGCACGCCATCACAAAGAATGCCACACACTCAACTTCAGTTGTAACTCTCTGAACTTGATCCGTCTCTCAGTCCTGCATCTGCGGCGTGGGGGCAAGGAGAGGTGGTATTTATCCGGAAATCCCCGGTCCATAGCATGTTTCGACACGCAAGGCAACATACCTTAGTTAGGTAGGTAAGCATCATAAAACAACCCCATTAACTGGTCGTATGTCATACAAGCCAAGAGAAGAGCGAGACCCCTACACCTCCAACCTTGTCTGATCGCCTCTCTCAGCTTGATGCATTCTTCGTTTAGTCCTTGGCAGGAAGAACTAAAAGGGCAAGGCTACGCGTGCAACCTCGGGAAGTAAGGTGGGCGGGTATTGCTCTCGAGTCTTCAGTCTTCATCCTTCACCTTACCATTCAGCCTGCAGGATCGACAAGCCGATGCATCACACCAGCGCCACACACAGCATCTTGGATCCATTCACCAGGCTGCTATATTTTCTAGAAGGTTGGCAAGAATGGATCATAGGTACTGTATGTAACCACTTTCCTTCCCCCAACCCTCATCCTGGCTTAAGGCGGCTTGCCGTCTCGTAAACAAAAAATGTTTTGAGTTTCGAGGTTTAAGTAAACACGGAAGAGACGGGCGGAGAATTCTCGTGAGCCTTGGTTTATTTCTGGCTATCGGAGACATAATTCCGTTTCTCGCGTTGCCGCGTCCTTTTTCCTGTGTGCTCCATTTGAAGGTTATTTCAACCTTTGTTGTATAACCCCTTAAAAGGTCCTGCAGCTGTCGTGTCTATAACATAAGGCTGTGTAATGCAGATTCCGCTGACAAAATGAAGCCCCCAAAAATGTAACAAGAGCTAGAGGACACTGAATTGTCTTATTGATCCCCTCTTTCGCCTCCCTCGTCAGCCCGAGTAGTGGCAAAAAAAGAGGAACCTGTCCTCGCCCTTCTTCTCGCCCCCTATAGAAATATAAAGCACAAATGCAGCTATTACAAGACTTGTATAATCATTTGGCAAACCTGTTGCTGTGGCCATTAAATGGGCTGGAGAGCCCCGCTGCTATGGCCGTCGAGGAGGGGCTTGCTGCGATCAATACCTTGCTCTAACTCCTTTTCATCCCTCCTCCCTTCTATTACCGTTTTTTCTTCTTTCCATTAGTCGATAACGCTTCGCGTTGTTTGGCGTGTTATACCAGCGATACAGAACGTTTTCCCGCAAGAGAATTCCGGCGTCATGCCGGTAGAGACCAGGTCCCGGTCCGAGCCGGGCGGCGTTTGGCTCTTCTTTTGCGTTTTTGTCGCTCTCCGCATTGCGAGCAAGCCCATTATGCAAAGGCGCCGACGACCGACATGGCGGCGGCTGAAATAAGAGAGAGATAAATGTCAGCCGCTTCTGAAATTTTGAAACATGTTTCCCAACCCTGCATCGCAGTCGAATATCACATACCTCCTAGTAGGACAAAGCTGAATGCCAAGACCTTGTCGTTTTTCTTCAAAGTCCGCTGTGCTTCCTCGGAAAGGAAGTCCTCGGCCAACAGATCGACGAGGGCGGCATAGAGAAGGAGACCAGACGAGCTAATTGGTCATAAATCAGCCTCTAAGATATACAGATAGAGTAAATGAGAAAAAGCCAGCAACTCACATGGCATTGAAGACGCCGACAATGATCAGCCCAAAGGCGCTGTTTGGGTCGTACGAGTTCTTGGCCAAAAGCCCGATGGCCTGTCCGATGGGGGCCGTGGTACCGAAAGCCACCACCAAGACCCACGGGCGAATGCTGCCGCGGGGGTACGGGACGGCGGCGATGCGGGAGCCGAGACCCAGGCCCTCGAACATTTGGTGGAACAGGATGGCGACGAGTAGGATGATGAAGCCGTCGATGGTGATGCTGATGGTCATGCCCACGAAGACGGAGTGGAACAGGATGCCTCCCTCGAGTAGGGTGATGTTCATCGACATCTTCTTGAAGACCAGGGGGTCGACCGCCTGGCCCGTCTCAACGTCAATGTAGGGCGAATTGAAGGCCGGCGGCGCCTGGGCGACGATGGATTGGCGTTGGGCTTCCATGGTGTTCTGCGGCTGCTGCGGCGGGGCAGCTTCCTTGATCATCTTCACCAGCTGGAGGCGCTGGCGGACGTATTGCTCGTAAAAGACCACGAACCACGGTGGCATCTCAGACTTGAGAGCGGTTTCATTGGCGTCAGCAAACGGATCCTCATTCCGGTATGTCCTTTTTTCGTCGTAATTCATCTGCGCTACCTTTTTCTCGTACTCCATGTCTTCAATCTCAAAGTCGATGTCACTGGAGTATCGGGGGGGTCTCTGCGGGCGCGCGTCCATGTTTCCTGCGCCAGCAAGAGGAGCCTGTCCTCCTGCTGGGTGGGTATGACCCTCAAATCCCATGGGTCCGCCGTGGGAATGGCCACCTGTCTTTCCGTTCAACCACATCTCAACGACAAAGAGACAAAACATCGAACCCATCATAATAACTCCAGGCATTGCTGGATACTGCTTGGTGAACAGGTCCGGGAGGCACGGATCCATGAGATTTCCAAAAGCTGTGGGGAGGAGCTGTTTTTCTCTTTCGCGTCAGCTCTTCATATTCTCCCCTGATTTTCTATTAGGAGCCGAGTTTCTCTTACATGCACGAAAGCGGTAGCGATTAGGACGCCCGTGCCGAAGTGTTTGCAAATAAAGAACACTCTGGTCGGCACCTTGATCCATTTAACCTTCTTCGCGACGACGGGGAAGCCGGCACCAAAGATTGAAAATATCAAGACCAAAACTAAAAAAAAAAAGGGGGACACTTGTCAGTCAAGTAAACACGTCGCCATGTATCTCGAGGGAGATTCCGGCTTATGAGCGAACTCACACAGTCCCAAGACGTGGATGCCAAGATCATATTCGCCGATTTCCTCGCCGTCGCCTCCTCCGCAAAGCGGTTTTGCGTCACCCATAGAAGCCATTCCAACGCGGTTTCTCCCCTTGGAGGCCTGAGGCCCAGAACTATTGTTGATTCAGTCCCGTCTCGCCTGGAGAGAGACGTTGTAGAAGACAAGTGAGTGAATGTGCTAAGTGCGGAGCCGCCCGGCGGCTCCTCCAAAGGAAAGGGGTAAAATCGAGCAAAGGGCGTCAATCCCTAGGCCGGAAAGAAAAATAAGAGAAGAAAAGAAAACCGAAAAGGGGAAGGATTGGAAGAAAGGGGCGATGAAAAGCGAGGGCTAAGACACGAATTAAGAAGCAGACTTAACACCAAGTCCTTCCAGAGGACAGCAACTACAAGAGAACAGAACAGAACTACTCAACGCCTCAGAACCGAGAACCTGAGGAAAATCTTTCCGACCCAAGGAGGTCGTTTGTCTTTGTAACACGCATGATGCCATGGCTGATGATCGATGAGTCGCGCTGGGCAAGAGGTGCCGCGAGTCGTGTGCTCGGGGAGCCAGGGCAATCCTGTACTCGCCGCCAGAATCCCCCCAGGGAGAACGAGGTCACGGAGCCCAGAGACTGGTTAGCCAAGCCTCATTCACCCGCCAAGAGTCTTATCCTTTGAGGATGGACATATATTGGTGTTGATCAACAACTTGGATGCAGCCGGAGTCTCTACGTTACTTCCAACTATGTGATCGTTGGAGGCATGGCGCCAAGCTGACAGGGCCGTCACTTGGCTGTATCGACGAATCCGGCGAGCCGGCCAAGCCGGATTTCCTCCTGTGTTTCCTCTTCTGGGTTCATGACCTTGGCGACAGCTTCATCAAAAACAACCTGAACTACCAACCGTATCTATGCCTTTCACCTACAAAACTCAGTAGGCCCGCAAGAGGCTGAACGCCGCTTTCCTAGCGGCCGGCCCTAAAATGGCTACAACGGGGCTTGGGAGAAACTCAAAATCAATCGCATTGTATCCACTGTGACGAAAGACGGACGTTGTCTTCAGGGGTCGTCCCTGGGACTGCCTTGGAGTCGGAAGATAAATGGCTTCTTCTCCATCACATAAACAAGTCTCCGAGTTCCGCGATCGACGGCATGGGATGGGACCATTTCGCGGGGGGCAAAACAACGGCCAAGAGAAAATGGCCGGCGGATTTGTCAGTGTTGAAACAAGCCTAGGTTTCTGGAGCAGCGAACCGGGATCAACTGCCGGCTGCAGCTCGGGCATTTTGGGCCCGGTCCCGATCGTGACACCCTTTCTCCACGGGACGGCACCGTGTGCGGGTCGACTGGTTAACCCGTGGGTATCCGCCCACGGTGGTCAAGTTTCGGAATCAATTGCGGACCCTGGCGTCAAAGAGATATGAGCTAGAGCTTGAAAATAGCAAATATGTCACCAACCTGAGAGGAAAATTCCCACGCCTCTTGCCACATGATTTCGATCAGGTTGCATTGCAGATGCCGTCCGGTTAGGCTTTCCCATTCTGAAGCCTCGCGGACGAGGCAAGATCAAGCGGGGAAGCAGGGGAGTCCCTGGCTCTTTGGGTCTTGGTGCTTCGCCAAGTTGGCTCAGACTCTTGGCGCACGTTTGACAACTAACCTGCCGTGTCAACGACACTGAGGGAGGGAAGGCTAGTGTTGAAGAGGCCCTTGGAAATACACCGTCGACCAAGAGCCGGCTTGGCGCGCAAGGCTCTCCTTGTGTCCTAGAGCGCCTGCCCCATCAGTGTGTAACCGCGGGTCCTGGCTGAAGGCGGATCGTACAAGATGGTGCCGCACAGTATGTTCGCGGCTTCTTTATGTCCCGCCTCGTCGAAACACTTCCCCCGTAGCCAACGGCGGGGCAATGTCGACCAGGAAAGTGCTTGGACTACCCATCAACGGCGACGCCGTCACAGCAAGCTCGCCATGCGTAGAACATTCCACGACAGTGCCGCTTCGGAACTTTGCTCGGGACTCGGCACCGCGCCAAGAGGTCTACCAGGCAAGCGCCGATGCACCATCTACCCTCGTGTCACAAAGCGGGTTGAGTGTATTAGATCCACCTCTACCAGCTGCCGGCGCCCCGTCCACTCACTTTCCATTGAGGTTGTGCTTCGTTAGGGGTTAGGTGAATATAGGCGAGACATGCAGTTTAAAGGGCCGGAGCACAGATAGCGTGTGACCGTGTTTGTACATGAGGTCCGTGATGGCTCTAGATGCGTGACAGACTCTCCCCCTTCCTATGTCTACTGCAGGCAGAGTTAGTTGATACGACGGGGTGCCGGTGCACTAGGTAAACGATACCTCCTACCCCTGCCTAGACATAGCCCAGAGGACAGTATAATACTATAGATGCTCGCTGGATTGGATCGTCCGACATTTCTTGCCCAAACCTTGCTCCAGCCTCTTGTGGATGTTGTGTAGTTGCTTGTAATTCGTTCTTCGCACAAGCTAGTGGCCCGTCCCGATGGCCAGTCAAACTTCCCCAGACACTGCTCTTTCGATAGGTAAGTACCTAATCCAGGATATGGGTCCTGGTGGCCGGCCATGCTCCATTCCGGCTCTGGAACATCGCGGGTCTCTCGCTCGTTCAGCCACTTGATCGGTTCCAAACATGTATATGCGTTGCTGATTGACTGACGGCCGTGACAGATACCCCGGATTCCCCAGTCACGCTGGTCGCGACAGGACAAGAAGAGAACAACCATCTCGAGCCAGGTCATGACAGCGACGGAAGCCAAACGGCAGACGCCAGACCGAACGCTGCCCCACGGGCACCAGCTAGGCAGGACACATCGTCTTCGGCAATCGAAACCCAAGACCCGTTGAACATCGGACGCCACCGTCGAGAAAATGTCAGCAAGAAACAGATGAAGATCGATCATCCGGCAGGAAACAAGAGAAAACTCAAAAAGTACTACTCGAGGCAGAATGAGCTCATTGACAAGTTCCTTGGCGCCGATGACGAAGAGGCCAATGCCGTGATAGACGATGCCCGGTACGCGCCGCGAATTAAGTTCGCCGTCAACATGTCCTTTGTGGTCAACCTGTGCCTATTCGTCATCCAGATGTACGCAGCCATCGCCACCGGATCTCTGTCGGTTTGTTGCCCTCTTGAACTATCTTCTCGGAGTACTACTAACCGGGAAGCTAGCTCTTTGCAACGGCAGCAGACGCATTCGTAAGTGGCCCACACGTCAAGGAGGCAACCCAGAGCTGACATAGACCCGATATCCAGATGGATCTGGTATCGTCGTTTGTGATGCTTGTCACATCACGGCTTGCGGCCAGGCCGAGCGTGTACAAGTATCCTGTCGTGAGTGCCCCGAACCCCAGCCACTGTGGCTTGTCGAGCATGATATTGATGGGCTCTCTGCAGGGCCGTACTCGGATTGAGACTTTGGGAATCATCCTATTCTGTGCCTTGATGACAACAGTTGCCATTCAGCTCCTGGTAAGTTGATAGTCAGCCTCATCCGTAGCCCTTTCTTGATGCTTACCGCGGTTACTACATTAAAGATTGAGTCTGTCCGGAGTCTAGCAGGCGGAGAAAGCCATGACGGAGAGGCGCTCCAAATCATACCGCTTGTTTTCGTCGGCATTGCCAGTGAGCATTCGTGTCCACCCTCTACCCATCCCTGTCGGTGCCGCTGACTTTTTTTCACCTTAGTCCTCGCCAAGACTAGTATGATGATATACTGCTTCATTTATCGCAGGTTCCCAGCAGTCCAGATCTTCTTTATCGACCACCGCAACGACATCGTCGTCAACATCTTTGGCCTCGCCATGTCGATTGTGGGAGACCGGTTCGTCTGGTATCTCGATCCGATCGGAGCCATCTTCATCGCGCTCCTGATCCTGTTCTCTTGGGTGACAAATGCCTTTGAGCACGTCTGGCTTTTGGTGGGAAAGTCGGCGCCCAAGGAGTTCATCTCCAAGCTCATATACATGGCCATGACGCACGACGACAGAATCAACAAGGTTGATACAGTAAGTGGAACACCAGCCGTGATTCCATCGTAATTTGACTAACCCGGGTGAAACAGTGCCGAGCGTACCACGCCGGACAGAACTTTTATGTCGAGATTGACATTGTCATGGACGAGGATCTTCCGTTGCGAACAACGCATGACATAGGACAAGACCTGCAGAGAAAGCTCGAGGGACTGAGCGAGGTCGAGAGAGCTTTCGTGCACATCGACTATGAGCACGCGCATGATCCCCACGAAGAGCACAAGCCCTTGTACTTGAAGAAGCAGGCGAAGGCCAAGAGAAGTATCAAGGATGTTCTGCTCTTTAGGAAACCGGCGATGGAGCAGGCCATGGCCAACTCGGAACAGTCTCCTCCACCTTGACCTGTCTGACAGTAAAGAACAGAACGCTCGAGGACGGTCGAGATAGCTACATGGAATGTTGGCAAGGGGGGCATCTAGGATGGGAGACTTTCATTCCGGTAAGGCTTTGCAATTGGAGGGGATTCCGGTACACGAAAAGAGGTGGGAGTGGAAGATGGTCGAGACTGGCCGGACTAGCCACTAAAACGGGAGAGGTTCTTAGGCGGGGAAGGATGCAATCCAGCCCTGGCTGGTTTGTTGATTACCTTAAGTACCCTGCCCACCTTAGGTTGTACTGTAGTTCGGCCTCAAATGATACAAGTCGATGGGTAACGAAAATCGAGGACTTCACGATGTGTACCAGAAGAAAGATTATAGGGGAGAGCTGGGAAAACAAAACGGCTATTATCTGAGAGATTTCTTCGACAACTTTTTTATTTCAAGACTATCTGTCTTTACTTATAAAATGTCAAAAAGTTCAAAATAGTTGAAGGTTGACGAAAGTTGAAATGGTTCGACTCGGGATCGCTAAAGGTAAGTGGGGCAGATTGCTAGCGAATCATTCGCCATGCAATTGGATTAACGTGCGAAGCGCAAGGGTTAGGGGAGTTGGGTAGTAATCGCGGTAGGCACGAACCGCTAAAGCAGCAATAAAGGGTGGGCTGACTTTTTCTCCCCTGAACTCTCTACTCTGAGCTGCCAACTTCGCTGCTTGGCCAAACCTATCGCGATGGCCCTCTTTCAAACTGGGCTTCGCAGGGCTGCTGCCCAGCTATCGCCTTGTTTTGCCCGCAGCGGCCAGAGTCTTCAGCGGCAGCTGGCGCTCGCGTCTCCCTCACCGTTGTCCAAGCTAGCCAAGCTCCAGAAAGCTTGCCGAACCTTCACCACAGCCGAGTCGCAGTCCCCCATGAGCTTACTGGGCGACAAGCTCCTGGCCCAAAATGCCTTGAAGGCCAATGCGAAGCCACCGAAGGCTCCATTCTTTCCCGAGACGACCGACAAAAAAGTCGGCTACTGGCTCCTCGGCAGCGCTGTCAGCGTCTTTGGCATCGTCGTTTTCGGTGGGCTGACGCGGTTGACAGAGTCCGGGTATGTGACCTGGTAGTACAGATGGATATTTTCCAATGCATCGAGCGAGAACTAAGTGGCAGTCTTGCAGCCTGAGCATTACAGAATGGAGGCCAGTAACTGGTTCTCTACCGCCGCTCTCCCAGGCCCAGTGGGAGTCCGAATTCGAAAAGTACCGGGCCTCCCCCGAGTTTAAGCTCATCAACCCGCACATGGACCTCTCCGAATTCAAGAAGATATACTACATGGAGTGGACACACCGTCTCTGGGGGCGCGTCATTGGCATGTCCTTTGTGCTGCCAACCGTGTACTTCATCGCTAGGCGCCGGGTGACGCCTCGGATGGCTGCCACCCTGGTGGGCATTTCGGGCCTCATTGGGTTCCAGGGCTTCATCGGATGGTGGATGGTCAAGTCAGGGCTGAAGGATGACCTCTTTGCCCCAGGTTCACACCCTCGTGTCAGCCAGTATCGGTTGGCCGCGCACCTTGCCACCGCCTTTGTCTGCTACTCGTGGATGCTGCTAGCTGGTCTCAGCATCTTTCGGACCCATCGCGCACTGCGCAACCCTGAAGCCGCATCCTCGGCGTTCAAGGCGCTACAGTCGCCCGCCCTGAGGGTGCTCCGCGGTTCTGTTGTGGCCCTCACGGCGCTCATCTTCACCACTGTCCTCTCTGGCGCCCTGGTCGCCGGCCTTGATGCAGGACTCATCTACAATGACGTTTTCAGTATGGGTAACGGCATCGTCCCCCCAACTTCTGAGTTGTGGGATAAGTTCTACTGCCGTAAAGAAGACGGTTCGGATCTCTGGTGGCGCAACCTGCTCGAGAATCCCTCCCTGGTCCAGCTCGACCACCGTATCCTGGCAACGACAACCCTCACAGCCGTGCTGGCGCTTTTCGCCTACAGTCGGACGGGCCGGGTAAAGGTTGCGATTCCTAAAGACGTGCGCAAGGGCGTCAACGGCCTGGTGCATCTCGCATCTTTGCAGGTGGCGCTCGGCATCAGCACTCTCATCTATATTGTTCCCGTTCCTTTAGCAGCAGCCCACCAGGCTGGAGCCCTCGCTCTGTTGACGGGCGCTTTGATTGTCGGCCAGCGTCTGCGTATTCCAAGGAGTACTATGGCGTTGGTGCAAAGGAAGCTTCTGAAGAGGGCTCCGGTGGAAAGGTTATCGGGCGCTATCCGACGTGTGTGAGTTTGTAAACTTACAGATGTCTGAGCTATACCCGTCGCCTCCTGAGATGTAAATCATGTACATTAATTTCATGTCTGCATAGTGCAAGATCCAACTCGACACTTGATGTTACCCAAGCCTCTTTCCAGTAACAATGTGTCACTTATTCCAGGTCATATGAGGCGTTCTAGGACATTGATGCATCATGCTGGACCTCCGGCGCTTGGTCAGACCACTTTAACCCAGAATGCGTCTCCTTCGCCCGCCTAGACACCAGAGGTAAAGTAGCTAACTGCCGTAGCGTTTGCGCCCGTCTCTTCTATTTGGAGCCTTTGGCTGTCTGGCGGCACTGTAAGTTCCCGTCTGGTATTGTGTGCGTCCAGTGATATGCAGCTTCCCGCGTCAGGAGGTAAGGAACAATATCAACTACCGATCCGGGAGACTGCTGCAGGGACCTGCGACACTTGTCTCAGTTGTTGATATTAGTCCAGAGGGAAATTCTTGCCCTGTCTTGGCGTTTCTTGAGATAAGTCTTATCTGTTTTTTGTCTCCTGGCCAGTTAGAAGGGGTTGATGATGCTCCAGAGGTAAGGAATGCATTTTATTTTTACGTACCTTACTCAAGTATATGTTTTATTTTGTACTCAGGGAGCGACCTCCACTGTTAGATCTATCACCAGAGCGAAATGGCTCACACCCATACACGCTAAGATGAATTACAGTACCTATATTCCGCCTAAGTCTTCCTTACCTAGGTGGTAGGGTATTTGGACTTCGAGTTGTACGACAGGCGCTCGTAAGAATCCGGGTACGACTGTTGCGCAAGCTGTCGCACGTAATTCTGTCTTAATATGGCTGTATTCTTGTATGTGTTCTAGATACTGTGCGACATGAGGACGCTTGTGACCCCCATCCGCCTCACTTGGAGGAGGTCGCGACCCGACGCAGCGGGCGCTCCCTAGCGCCTTCCTCCGCCCCTCTACACTTCATAGATTGGTGCGGGGAACAAAGGGCCCCCGTCCCGGCGCTGTCGTGCCACCGGGCGGCTGCTGCTGGGGTTCAGTCAGGTGGCCGGGCACCACCTTCAACGTGGTGTAACGCAATTGGAGTGAAGGGGGGGATGGAAGGTTCGCCTCACCCACCTACTCGATGTTGGTGCGGCCTCTCGTCTGTTTCCGCTTTGCGTCCCGTTATTCTCGGCACAGTCCTGACCTCGACTGGAACTTTGCGGCCTCCAGCTGCTTGTCTGGCTTTGTCTTGTCTTTTCCTGTATCACTTGATTTCCTCGAGTTTTAGGCATCACTCCCATTCTTTCCAATTGAAGCTACGCATCTAAACCTTTGCACCCATGACTTTGAGGGGAGGGGGGTCAAAGCAATGGCGTACATGTGCCATGTATGTGCCACCTCGCTCATGAGACATCCTGCATTGAGGCCGACGACAACGCAGGAAGCCGGTTTTTGAACCCTTCTACCTACCGGAATTAGACAGCGACGGCATTCCCCACCTCGGAACGAGTACGACGGCCAGGCTCAATATTCCATATCTGCTCCGTCCCGTTGCACGGATACTCGACCTGTGGTGCCGACAGTCTTTGACAGGAGGTATCTAAAATGACGGCACCTGAGATGGGGCAAAATTCTCCAAGGCCACTTGCCACATCACGGGGATGGGCCTAGCTGAATTACCTGACATACGAAAGAGTCTGCAACTCAGACCTGAAGATCCTCGAAAGACAAAGGTCTCAGCGGTTAGGTCCCGCCTGGACTGGCCTTTACCTCACGTTAACATGGGTTCTGCTGTAAAAAAAGAAAGGCGAGACAGGAAATATAGCCCGAAGCTCGTTGTCAATCCGGGGTCCAGTCCAGGCCGCTTTAGCGATTCCCCACCATAATCCAGACACCCCCACACCCGCGATTTTCCTGGTGTTGGGGTCCAGATGGATGCGGGGGCCCGAGAATTACCTTACTCGCTTCCATCTCGAATTTGATGGATTAACTTGTCGAGACTACTACCACGGGATGGCGGCGTGCGTCTCGTTAACCGTTGAGTGGCTCCGACTTGCACTCGGCCACGCCGAGACAACGGTCCCGTCTTTGCAAGTGAGGCAAGCCGGGGTCCAGAGGGTATGTACGGCACGCAACCTGCATCCATTCTATTTGCAAGACGTCAGTCGTTTTGGCCCCGCTTGCCCTGTCAATTGGCAAGGCTGCGTCAACGACACGGGAAGGTGGCGTCCTCGTGCTTGCCCAAGCCTGCACCTGAGTGAAAGCAGAAGCACAGCACCTCCGTATCCAGTACTCGTACCTACCCACCCCCATTCTGCTCCTATCTCGGCCCTTAATGTTGGCCGTGACTGGTCGAGGGCCTCCGAGGTGCCCTAACCCTAACCACTTGGGAAGGTGTACAGCAGGCCGAGGGAAATATGAGACATCATTTTTACGGGTCAATCCTGCACCGTATCAAAATATGCACCGTTGTCAGCTGCTATAACTGTTTTGTCCGTAGTCTGGGGTTCAATTGGAATCTGGGTTATCCCAGCCGCGGCGCTAAATAATTGAAAAAGGGGGGGGGAGAACCGTCAAGGCTATTATTATATATGTCGTACATTCTTTGTACTTCCTTCATAACAGACCCCCACCCCTTTTCTACCCTCTGTCTCGTGTTGTTCCCCGCGCATCTCACACATCCCAGATATTCCAATATCGACTTGATACCTTTGACTTTAAACACCGCACGTCTCCAGACCTGGGTGCAAGCTGAACCCAGTTGGACGACACCTGTCGCCTTCATGTCTTGACCAACGGGTTATTGACGCCGATGAACCTTTGCTGTTACTAGACAGCCTGTTCTCGTGTGGTCATTGAAACTGTTTCCCAAACCTCGCCACTCACTGTCTTGTTTGGCACGGCACGGCACGGCCCTGCCATCAGTTTGTTATTTGAGCCCCTCATCCTACAGGGACGAAAGAGTCGGCGATAGGAGAGACGAGAAGAGGAGGAGGAAGCAAGGAAGAGAAGAAGGAAGGAAGGAAGCAGCGACCAAGACAGGGGACAATCCTGAGAGACCGCAACATCACGCCATAGCATCTCGCCGTCCTGATCAAAGAGCAGGCGCTTGTCTCCAGGCTCCAACCAGACGAGATTTTGGTCTCTTGTTGTTTTTGTTGTTGTTGTTGTTGTTGTTGTTGTTGTTGTTGTTGTTGTCTTGAGCCTGTCACCGGCGTCCCACGTTCCGGCTTGGCCTCGCAACATGTGTCTCCAGATCGACTACCTCTTCACCTGCGGCCACCGATGCTTCGCAAAGTTTGACAACTGCACCGACTTCGGACTGACGTGCTACGGCGCCGGCGGCAACCACGAGGACAAGCCGGTTCAGGATGTCTGCAGGGACTGTAAGATGCGCACCTATGACCCCAACCCCACCGGTCGGTCAAATGATCCGTATCGAAAGAAGCGGAGCACACCAGCTGGCAAATGACCGCGGCGTCGAGCTTGTTAACGGCTTCGGGGCGCGTGGCTGTGGGAGAGCGAGTGTGGTCAAGTGCCTTGGTTGGGCTGTACAGCCCTTTTTTGTCAGCGGCTAGGTTTGTTTCCTCATGAAAATGAAAGCGATAAGCAAGAAGACTGACAAGCACCGTTCTGTAGGAAATAATGACGAGAGAGGAGACGGTCGGACTCAGATTGATTCGTAATCGCTAGTTGTTCATGAGTCTGCTGTCATTACAGCGATTGGATTGCTTTTGGGAAGTACTGGAGACTTTGTCACTGGGGCCATAGCAAGCCCGAGTTGCTTTGTTGCACTTTCCTGCTAATACACACATGGATGTACACTCCTATATATACACTCCTTATATACTGAATACAACTCTCAAATACTAGTGCTGTATTATATTCCGTACAATATGTCATCGCTCGATTCAAGGTTCCACCCTCAGGTCTGTGTTCACGGCCACGGCACCTCTCGGGACTTTCTTGTAATAGTATCCAGTCATCGATGTCGCACATCCTTGACAGTCCCGCAACTTGAGTACTACAGACACATATGTTGGGCCACCAGCTAAGCTACCCTTCCGGCGCCTCCCTTGTCATTCGTTCTGAGGGTGATGATTTCAAGAGAAATATACATATCTACTCACACAAGTTGCTAATGTAAATCAGTCTCTGTCCAGTGAGTCGACTAGATGACCGTCTTCTCGACTCGGGCGTAGTTGCTCACATTCATGAAGTACAGCTACCGACTATCCCCGCTATAGCACAATAACACATCATCAATCGTGACTACCTCTATTACTCGTCAACCTGACTTGAGTACGACGAGTCAACTGGGAAGGAAAAGAAAAAGCATAAATACGGCCGAGTTTCCCCTGAGCTCCCAGTCCATCCATCCTTTTCTATCAAGCATCAACCGCAAATAGCAAACAGACACGCAAAGTCCATTTCGTTCACACTCTAACGTATCAGAAACTAAACTCGTTGACGCCGTCCCAAAACGCGAAAAGCCCCTGGCGATCGATATTCATCCGAAATCATCGGCCTCTCTAGAAGTCCAAGATGTGCAGGCAACGGCTTATAGGGTATAGAGACTGTGACCACCACTTCGTCAGCGAGAAACGCGAGTGTGGGAAGGAGAGCTGCAACAACCGTTCCCCTCAGTATATCATCGACCCGCAGGGGAGGTGGAAGTCGGGTGGACCGAGTTGGGACACATTTGTGCACGAGGGGAAGTGCTACAACTGTAGGAACCAGGGCGGCGACATGGACGCGACCCGGCTGAAGACGCCCAAATGGACCAAATGGATCAAGCCGCAGTCGCCCGAGCCCCCGAGCCCCAACCCTGTCCCCAGCACGCCGCCGCCGCCGCCGGCCACGTCATCATCGGCCAGTGCAACACCCTCGGCACGCTCCCCGTCTCCGGCGCCATCATATCCCGGATATCCCCCGCCAGCATATACGCCGCACGATCCACTACGCCCCGAGACGCCTACCGTCATCATGTCCATGCCCTGGACGCCGTTCCAAGGGCTTGGATATGGCGACGTGGTGCCGGGGCCGCCCAGCGCCTACGTGCCGCGACCGGTAGTGGTACCGCAGCCCAGATACCCCAATCGGCAGACAGCGCTGGGCTCCCACCCGGTGGTGCAGTCGCAGTATGTGCAGACCCCGGACGGGCTGCGCGTGGTCGACGCCAACGGGGTTCCCTGGCCCGTCGACCCGAGGCAGCTCGCCGCCCAGCAGCAGACGCCACAGAACTCTGACAAGAAGAAGAAGAAGGGGGGACGGTAGACAAGTCACTACCTTCTTTCTCTCTGGAGTCATTTGTTGCTGCTAGATCGGTGGCAACTCTTCTTCGTGCATAAAACGGTTTCTTTTTTTTTCTTTCATGGGATTATTTGTTTTTCTCCTTCCATCCACGACACTGTCTCCAGTTTCTCTCCTGAAACACACCGAATAAGAACACGCCCATACACGCACGGCTATCTAAACCACCTACCGAAGATCCCAACACCAGCCGAAACACTCCAAGACAATAATAAAAAGTATCACCTACCGAACAGCAACAACAACAAAAACACCCCATCTCCACGATGTGCGAACAGGCCGTGCTAGCCTTCATGGACTGCAACTGCTACGCAAACCTTTACCTCCAACGCTGCCGGGTGCCGGGGTGTAACACCCCACAGCGGTGGCAGCACGACACGCGGGAGCTGTGGAAGACGGCGCAGGGCGGGCACAGCAGCAGCAGCAGCAACATCAACCACGCGAGCAGCACGCACTGCGTCGAGTGCGTGCAGGCCGGCAAGTGCACGCTGTGCACCGCCCAGGACCGCCAGCTGCTGGCGGCGCTGCGGCTGCCTGCGGCCCGTATTGAAGTTGAGGGGACCGAGGTTGGGAGGATGGATGGGAGTGGGAGTGGCGAGGATAGGGGGAAGGGCAAGGGGCGGTGGAAGGGGTGGGGGAAGGGTAAGGGAAAGGAGTGATGTTCCTTTTGTTGCCTGGTTCTGGTGCAGGGAAAAGGTCTGCTGTTATCTGTGACGGAGTTCTGGAGTATGGTTGGCATACATGCTTGGCGTGCTTGGAATTTGGATTCAGGCATCTGTGGCGTTGCGTTGCTTTTTCTGGTCAGGACGGTTGGCAATTTTTTTGCTGTTTGTTCTCAGTTTCCTTTTTAGTTGTTTTCTTCATGTCGTAGGTGTTACTAGTCCTGGCTCTTCTATGTCCGAGGAGTGAGTTGGAGTTAGCGGGCCTAACATCCCAAAGTGCCGTCTTGAGTGCTTTGGTTGCTTATGGTCTAGTTAGTTAGGTAGTCAGTTGGTTAAACGATAACCGAAAGTCGTTCGCTTATACTTGTGCCATGCAGTTAAGTATCGTTGTTAGTGATAACTCGAGATGATGAGACAGGGGATGGCGAAAATCCATTTAAGTCGGCATCATCACTCCAAGATCTGCTCACGTGATTTCGCGGCAACTCCCCGCGTTGGCTCTTCCTTTCATGTCCCCGCTCCGCGCCAAAGCCAACGGAACAAACTGGTCACTCTTTCATTCCAAGGCAGGACCGACAATGGCGGATGAAATGCATCTGCCTGCTGGCGCCAACCCTCTACACGTACAGGGGAGAACATCAAACACTTCAAGTTTTGTAGCGCTATCTTCACTCCTACGGAGCACTGATTTTAAACTGGACGGGAGGGAGCCGCGCCCTTTGTAATAACCCGTCAAAACCAAATACCTAAGGCACACACACTCCCCACCCCAATCAATAAAGAACACACCTCACTTCCTTAGCCTTTCGGCAATATGGTGGGCCGAAAGCGCGCCGCGCCCGCCGCGCCGTCGCCGTTCGACCGGCGGACCGTGGCAGGCCGCGGCGCTGCCGTGCCCGATGTCTTCCGCGAGATGCTGGTCGAGGCGAGGTCCTCTGGCGTCATGCCGGCGCCTTCTGTCAGACATCGAGCTCAGCGCGCCCGCTCCTCGTTAGAGCCCGAGGAGCGACCGGTAAAACGGAAGCGCCCTGGCCAGCGGACCACCCGTCCCACCACACAAGTGCCCCCCAAAGAGCCCCCTCCACGGCCGTCTGATATCGGGGGCGCCTTCAGTGACGATGACGATGACGACGAGGGAATCGTGTTTGAAGATGTCATCATCCCGGCCCCCACCGTGCAAACGATGGTCCTTGATTCTAGCAACGACGATGAAGACGACGATGAAGACGAGGTGGATATGGATTTCGGGGCTGCCAGCCACCCGGCCAAGGACAGGGTTCTGGACCTGAACTTGACGGCCACGAGAGCAGCCATGGCGTCTGCGCCACCCCCCGCGGCCGACCGGCGAAAGCCCATCTCCTCCAAGGAAAGGGAGCGGCGTGTGGAAATCCACAAGATGCATCTACTATGTTTGCTCTCGCACGTGCAGCGCCGCAACCGGTGGTGCAGCGACGCCGAGGTCCACGCCGCGCTGCGGCCCCTCGTGTCCGAGAGGATGCTCAAGTATCTCTTGCCGCGCGAAAGTCTGACACAGTTTAGCCGCACCCTGTCTCTAAAGAACGGGATCCAAGACACCCTCGACATGATCCAGGCCAGGTTTGCCATCACGGAACGCGGTATGCGCAGGGCACTGTGGGCCGAAGACATGGAACTACTCAAGAATGTACTTGATATCTTCTCGATGAGTTACTTAGTTGCCCGCTAGCTGACCTTGATGCTTCTACAGTGCAGGCTGCCAGACGACATCGATTCTACGCTGGAAAAGAGCGACTTTATCGAGGCTGTAAAGTCGTTGAAGGGCTCCCGCGATGTTGGCGCCCAGTTGTATTGTGCATTGCTCCGATGCGCCGGTCTCGAGGCGCGGCTAGTCTGCTCCCTGCAGCCCCTGTCGTGCGCCCCCGGAGCTCCCCAGATGCCCAAGTCGCGCGCTGTCGGGTCTATGCCGTCCAATCCCGAGCCGTCCAAGTCTGCGCCGAAACTCTCCAAAGGCGATGTCTACGAGGCAGCCATGGCTAGATACGACACGAGAAATCCTCCAGGTCCGGCGTCCTCTACTGCCCTCACGCCACGGCAGCGGCTGGGCCACCCTCTCGCCGCCGCGTACCGTGTCCCGGTCATGCGAGACCCTGAGCCCGCTCCGCAGCCCACGCCTACGCCCACGGTCACGAAGATCAAGGGGGAATCTCCGTTTCCAGTCTTCTGGGTCGAGGTCCTGGACGTGGCGCACCAAAAATGGCACCCCGTAGACCCCTTGGTCACCCGTACATTGTGGAAACCGCAAGCCCTCGAGCCCCCGGCAAATGATAGGGAGAACTGCCTAACCTATGTCATTGCATTCGAGGCCGATGGGAGCGCTCGAGACGTGACTAGGCGGTATGCCAAAGCGTACAACTCAAAGACGCGCAAGATGCGCGTCGACGGGGCGCCGGCTGCGAACCGCCCCGTTGGCAGCAGCAGTGCAGGCCCTGGCGGCGGCGGCCTGAGCGGGCAGCGCTGGTGGCGGAGGACGATGAGGACGTTCGAAAGAGAGTGCCCGACAGATCTCGACCAGATCGAGATGAACGAGCTGGCGGCCGAAGAGACCAAGGAGCCCATGCCGCGCAACGTGGCCGACTTCAAGGACCACCCCCTATACGCGCTCCAGCGCCATCTTCGGCGGCACGAGGTGATCGTGCCGGACGTGAAACCCATCGGCACCGTCAGCGCTGGCAGTAAGGCCCCCCTGGAGCGCATCTATCGCCGACGCGACGTACGTGTTGCGTACTCCAGAGAGAAGTGGTACCGTCTAGGGAGAGAGGTTGAGCCTGGCGCAGAGCCGGTCAAGATTCTGCCCAAGCGGCGCAAACCAGGGCGGCGCAAAGGCCGATTTGACGACTCGGACGATGATGACGACGACATGGTCCCAGAGTACGACGACGACCCGGACAAGGTAGGGCTGTTCGGTGAGGCCATCTTGTCAGCTACCAGCGTGCCGCTCTACACGGCCGCGCAGACGACGCTGTACGAGGCGCCGCCCGTCGTCAACGGGCGCGTGCCCAAGAACAAGTTTGGAAACCTCGACTTGTACGTGCCGAGCATGGTACCGCGCGGTGGCGCACACGTTGTACACGAGTTGGCGGCCCAAGCTGCCTTTACCCTCGGCGTCGACTTCGCGCCCGCCCTGACGGGATTCTCGTTCAAAGGCCGTGAAGGTACTGCCGTCCTCAGCGGTGTCGTCGTGCCCGAGGAGGCCGAGGAGGCCGTACGTGCTGCCATCGCCGGGCTCGAAGACCTCGAGGCCGAGAGGGAGTGCGAGCGCAGGTCTCGTATGGCGCTGAGGATGTGGAGTTGGTTCCTCAAGGGCCTGCGCATCCGCGACAGGATCTGGGCAGGCGCAGCGGAGGCCGACGAAGCGGACGACGGCGATGACCGGGGTGACAAGGGCAAGGGCCTAGCTTCACGACATGATGATGACGGGGGCGAGGATGACGTTGATGCCGACCTAGCCAGCCTCCCGAGTGATGTCTCAGAAGAGTTTTCTATGGAAGAGGATGACGACGAGGGCGGGGGGTTCTTTGTCGAGTAGCTGTCGGTCATGTGAATAGCGTATTTTGTAGAGCAAGTTTGCAGATGCAGCAGCTGCGGTTGGAAACAATAGAGTGTGGATACGTGCCGCTAGTAGCTGACGGGCCTGTAAGTTAGCAGAAGTCCGGACTAATGATGCCTGACGTTCCAGTACATACAGGGCAGATTTGGCGTCGCATTTACAGCCTTCTCACCTTCTGTGCCTCACCAAACCGATTTTGCCGGGTATGCTGACTGCTGTCATTGAGCCACACCTGCAACTACCAACTCGGCGAGTCTCAACATTTCGCCTGTGAGAAACACCTTCCGCCAGATGCGCCGACCCGGGCCAATTTATTTTTTATTTTAAACTCCCAAACAACACAAGGCATTGCCACTGCACTGCTCCACAGAGCAACGGCCCGCGAAGTCTATCCGCCATTGCAGTACCTAAACCACTACTATATCTCGCCACCATCCTGGCTACCTATACACACCACACTATGGGAGGCAAGGATAAGCCGGGAAAGCAACAGACTGCCCTGCCCAAGAACTGGCCGGCTCAGATCCCGTACCTAACGGGGCCGCTGTACTCGCCACGCCTAACAGCCGCGCACCTCGCCGCGATCCGCACTAGACCTTTACCCCCGGCTGAGACAGATACAGACATAGTAGTAGGCACGTTTGAGATCCCGCGCGGTCTCAAGCCCGGCCCCAGCGCCGCCGTGCGCATCACGCCGATCACGGACCCATCGCACCCAGCCCACGGGCAGTGCGGCCTGTTTGCCGTGCGCGACCTCAAGCCCGGCGAGCTGGTCGTGCCGTATTTCGGCGAGGTGCACGTCGGTTCTGGCCCTGATGCTATTTCAGAGGGAGAGGACGAGCACGCCGCGTCCGACTACGACCTGTGGCTCGACCGCGACGGCAACGTAGCCGTCGACGCGGCGCGCGCGGGCAACGAGGCCAGGTTCATCAATGACTACCGCGGCGTTCCTGTGTCGTCGGGCGCGTCGTCTTACTCTTCGTCGAGGCCAGCGGAGGGGCTGGGGGGACTGACGCGCGCGCGGCCCAACGCAGAGTTCCGCGCTGTTTGGGACCCACGCCTGTGTCAATGTCGTGGCGAGATGACCATGGCTGTGTTTGTGCTGCCAGCAGGGAAGAAGAAGAGACAGAGAAAGGACGGGACGCAAGGCGGGATCGCCAAGGGCGAGGAGGTCTTGGTGAGCTACGGCAAGGGGTTCTGGGGGGAGAGGCAGGGCAGCAGCAGCAGTTGACCGCGTTATCCGTCTGCTCCTCTCCTTAGCCTTATGTCTGTCTGTCCTTGCTAGAACCCCCATCTTCGAAGATATCTGTCCAGGTTCTTGGAGATCGAGGCGTGCATCTCGTCGACCTTTGCGGGCCCCGCTTCTCTAGCTAGCGCGGCATGTAGAAGTAGGGGGGTGAGACATCCTCGAGAAACTACTTCAGCGCGGCCAGCTCGCCGCAGCCCGCGATGTCGGCCGGCCGGAGGACCCCGGTGCCAGCGAGCGCCTCGTCCATGGCCTTGGCCACGGCCCAGCTGAATCCTCCTCCTGTTTTGGGGTTTTCGCCGTCGTGGACGGAGGGCGGCGCGTTGCCCTTGAACCCCTCGAGGAGACACTTGCGCAGCTGGTTCTCGTCGGCGTCGTCCTCGAGCGGCCCAATCACCAAAAAGCCGAAGCCCAGCGAGTAAAAGTACTCGTCGGCGGGAGTGGCGACGTGCGCGAAGTCGTAGTCGAGCAGCGCCGTGGTGCGGTTCGCCGCCGCGTCGTGCAGCATATTGAACATGTCTGGGAAGAGCGTTAGGGGTATGGCGTTCAAGACTTGAGGGTAGGCAAAAAGACTGACCAGAGTCGCCATAGACCAGCGTCTGCCGCGGAACCGAGTTGTCCCTGACCTTTTGCGCGATGCCCCCCTCTTCCTCTTCCGAGGACAACGCAAACATGTCGAGTCATTCGCGGAGGCCGCCGTTGCGCCGCCAGCCCTGCAGGCGGTCCGACGTGTCCGCCTCGGCCAGCTGCCGCCGCAGCACGTCCTGCTGCGCGTCTGCGTCGAGCCCGTCGAACACGCTGTCGAGCTGCGCGCCGCGCTTGAACTCCTGCACGATCCAGCTGCGGCCCGCCGCCAACGACGGGCTCCAGCCGTACACACGAGGGACCATGCTCTCGTCGCTGCTCTTGCTGGGGTAGTCGTCCAGGGTGTTGCGCATGAGCATCATGGCGGCGACCTCGTTCTCGACTCGCACGGCCTCGTTGACCAGGGCCTGCGGGTCGGAGATGCGCACGACGACGGCGGCTTGGTCGGCCGGCAGCGCTTCGGTGCCGTGGCGGCGGGGCCCTGCGTTGCTTGCCTGGCCCTGGCTCTGGGGAGAAAGAGCCAGATCGGCGCGGTAGACCCAGTTGATGGTGTTGCGGCCCAGGCTATGGATAGCCGTGACCTGGGGGGGAGAGTCAGCAAGCAGCCGTGGTGATATCGAGCCACATTCACATCTTCTTATTGTCCCATATCACATGGTCGCGCAATGACAGGGCAGTATTTTCGTAACTCTCTGGACCAGTCCCGTCGCAGTAGGCCGACAATGAAGTCCAGCCCCTTTTTTTCTCGATCACTCGACATTCTGGGCAGTGAAGGTGTAGCTTGGGCTTGCTCGTGCTGGGTTGGGTGCAGAGACGGACTCCGGAGAGAGATGAAAGATGTGTTGCTTGTTTGGTTCTAGCAGACTCAAAAAGGGGTGAGGGTATGGGATCAATACATATATTTATACTGGAGTAGACATATATATATGGAAACTCTTCGCCATTTTTCCAGTTATGCAGTTGCTTCCTCGAATCCTTCTCGACCGGGTCGTGGTTGTTGAAACTCTGGCAACACAGTGCATTGGAGAAGTGCAACGGATTGATTAAGAATTAATATGTATATCAATGCTCACGCTGCAGCTGTATTCTCGAGGCATTCTGCAAGTCTCAACCGCAACCCATTCAGCATCTGCAGGGATAGAATCATAAGTAGTTGACCGTTGGAAGCACCCCACGGCTAACGGGTACTGTAGCCTGCCGCCCGTTCAACCCCAAGCCCCGCTAGCCAACCCGAAGCTGCCCCTAATAATAGACTAAGGTACCCCATCAGTGAAGACAGCGGGGGTTCCCCAATTTCTCGGCTCCCCCACGACAGCGTCTCGGCCTTACAACCTACCTTACCGACTCGCCAACATCCAACACATCTCGATCAGCCGGCTATTATATAGGGACTATATCGGTCCGAGCGACAGCATGGACCCTCCACCGCGCCAAGCGGCGCCGTCGTCGTCGCCGTTCCCGCGGCTCGAGGTGCTCGACCGCTCCGCGGCGCACACATTTGCGCGCCCGGCGAAGCTGATCAACGACGGGCCCGACGTGGCGCACTTCCTAACGTCGAAAGCCTACCGCGACATTGGCACGTTCGTCATGCAGCTGAACCGTGCGCTGTGTCCCCGCAGCAAGACGCAACCCACAGACAGTGCAGGCATCGAGTCGTTCACGCTCGGCGCCGGCCGCGAGCGCGACCCCGAGCCCGTGGCCCGGCTGCGCCAGCTGTTGCAGCGCGTCGAGGCCTTCGTCGACGAGGCGCCGCCCGACCCCGGGCCGCGGCGTTTTGGTAATGTCAGCTTCCGCACGTGGCACGCCCTGCTGGACGAGCGAGCCGACGCCCTTCTGCGCGAGTTCCTGCCGCGCGGCGTCCTCGAGTTTCCCTCTACCTCTGCGGGGACAACAACGGCGGCTGAGTTGAAGGCGGGCGAGGAAGGGTTGTTGGAAACAGGAGAGGAACAGGGCGAGGCCGGGCCGCTCGACGAGGTCAAGGCGTATTTCCTCGGCAGCTTCGGGAGTGCTCAGCGGCTAGACTACGGCACGGGCCACGAGCTGAGTTTCCTGGCCTTCTTGGGCTGTGTGTGGAAGCTGGGTGCCTTTAAGAGCGAAGCCGCCGACAGCGAGAGGGCACTCGAAGATGTGGAGCGGAGCATTGTCCTGGGCGTGATGGGGCCGTGGGTTTTTTTCCCTCCTCCTATCCGCCCCCTTTCACATAACCGCCGTACACACACTAACACAGCATCCCCCCAGCTACCTCCAAGTAATACGCCGTCTGATCCTGACCTACACGCTCGAGCCGGCCGGGTCGCATGGTGTGTGGGGGCTCGACGACCACTCGTTCCTGCCGTACATCTTCGGGTCAGCGCAACTAACGCGGCCGATCGGCGAGGGGTCCGGCGAGGCGATGCCGCTCGAGGGCTCGCTTCAGGGAGCGCCGCGGCCGGCCGACGTGGCCAAGGTGGACGCGGGCTTCGAGCGCCTGCGCCGCGACAACATGTACTTCTCGGCGGTCGGCTTCATCCGCGACGTCAAGACGGGGCCGTTCTGGGAGCACAGCCCAATCCTGTTCGACGTGTCTGGGATCCGCGACGGCTGGGGCAAGATCAACAAGGGCATGGTCAAGATGTTCAACGCCGAGGTCCTGTCCAAGTTCCCCGTTGTCCAGCACTTCCGCTTCGGCGCGCTCTTCTCGTGGGACCAAGACCCCGACGCCCCCGCCCCCGCCCAGTCCGTCCACATGGCCAACCAGCCTGCTTCTGCTATCGCTACTCTTGCTGCTGCTGCTGCTGCTGCTGCTACTGCTGCCGGTACTGCGGCGCCCTGGGCGCAAGCGACTCGGATGCCTCCCGGCACCGGAGGAGGGCCGGGAATCCCGTACTCCAAAGCCCCTTGGGCCAGCCGAGGTGTCGGCGGTGGAGCTGGGGGCAGCAGCGCGGTACCCCCTCTTCCGCGGGGAGGGCCGCCCGACACAGGGCCGCTTCCGCCGACCTCGTTCCCCAAGGGCATCCCAGGCAAGGCCAACAACCAGTTCGCCGTCACCAAGGCGCCGTGGGCGAACGACTGAATAAGACAAGATTGGCTGGGTCCGCACGTGGTCAACGAAATAATGTTTTGTTATAATTCAACAGAGCCATGGTTTGATTTTAGGTTGGCTGTATATAAAAGATGAAAATGCAACAAGGTGACAGAAGAACAAAGTGATACCCCGATAGATCAACTAAAATTACACAAGGCAATAAATGTAGTTTCAAAAGCCCTAACCAAGATTGCTGCCCTTTTAGTATCCTGTCAAATGAAGAAACACCTCATATACTACATCTCCCGACTCACGTGTACTGTATACATTTTAAGCCATCTATGTACACCCACTGCCAAACCGCCTCGGCAGTCCCAATATCATACGGTTAAAAGTGTTATTTGCTCTCGGGTTTAACCTCGGTGTGACCCTCGGGTTCGTGGTCCGCCATACTTTCCCCCGGGTGTGTGGTTACGGGCATGTCGACTGTCGGATAGCTCGGCGGGCGGTCCTGTTCGGCTGTGCCCCAGCTCCCTTCGGTCTTGCCGACGGTGAACTCTAGGACGCCGCCCTTGAGAAAGAAGTCGTGCGTGATCCAGTTCCGCGTGTGCGTTTTGCCGTTGAGCGTGGCGCTCTGGATGTAGATGGCCTTTTGCTCCGGATCGAAGTTCTTGACGCGGATGACGGCCCACTCGTGCTGCTGCTTGCCATTGGAACCTGGCGGCGGCGGTGGGACGCGGAGGCGGACTTCGGGAAAGAACGGCGGCGTCAAGAGGTAGACGTCCATGCCGGCGACGGGGAAGAAGCCCATGAAGGAAAATGCCGTGAAGGCGCCCATTGCGCAGTCGTCGTTGCCCGGGATCCCGTTGACACTGGCGTTGAACAGGTCTGGAATATAGTGATGCGTCCAAAAACTGCTGAGCCCGGGGCGCCCGCCATAGTGGAACTGGAAAGTGGGCAAGAAGCCTTGCTCGTTCCCCATGTAAGAGATGCCGCTCTTGTGGAAGAAGGTTAGGCGTTCGACGAAGCTCTCGGGGCCTCCCATGAGACCGATCAAGCCCGCCATGTCTTGCGGCACAAAGAAGCTATACAGCCATGGGCTTCCCTCGTACGTGTCAAAGCCCGTGTCGTAGTAGCAGCTGTGCTGGTTTTGGATGGGACTGCAGGTACGAGTGTTTTGGTACCGAAATGTGCCATTGATCATACGCGGCTGCATAAAGCCGGTGAACTGGGTGCTCACCACCGTGCCCGACGTGTCCCGGTACTTGTCACGCTGTTCGGAATTCCAGTAGTTTTTCCAGTTGCCTCCACGCTGGTAATACTTCTGGGCATCCGCTTCGTGGCCCAGGCCCTCGGCCATGCGCGAGATGCAGAAGTCGTCAAAGGCATACTCGACGCCCCGGCTAACGGTACGGCTCGTCGGCCCAGTCCCATTTTTATCCTCGTCGTTCCAAGGAATCCACCCAAGCTCATGCCAGCTGACGAGATTGCCGCGGCCTTCGAGGCCCCAGTTCTTTGGCTCGACTGTCTTGTATCAGCCTTAATCTCTGTAAAGACGAACTCATGAGGGTGGCTCAATATGCACTCCTTACCTTCTGCATCGGAAACAACCGCTTCATAGGCTTTATCCCAGTTGATGCCTTCAGTCAGATTCTTGATAAAGGCGTCGGCAATCACTACGTCTGCGTTCGACCCCCCTTGAGTATAGCCCTTGCAGAAGCTCATCCGACAGTCAGGAAGTTTTCCTAGATGGCTAGTCAGTGGGTTATCCTCTCGTGCGATTTGTTTTATAGAGATGCTGTAGACGTACCTTCGTGTTCGTAAATGTTGATAAGGGCACGTACCATCTGCGCTTGAGCAGCAGGATCGATGATGGTTAGCAGGGGGTGTTGTGCACGGAACGAATCCCATATGCAATAAAAACTAGTCCCTGGGTCAGTTGAAACGAACAGAGAGTACGTAGTTTGATGGCTCTCGAGCACTCACGAGTCAAAGTACGGTTCGGTCGAATTCCATAAGTAATTCTCTCCCGTGTAGTTCTGGGGGGATAGCATAGTGCGGTACAGGCCAGACCAAAAAGTGGTTTGGAGCTCCTCGCTCACTCCGGTCGCATCGACTTGGATCGCCGACATCTTTTCTGCCCACGCCTCCTGGGCATCGCTTTCTACTCTTTCAAACTCGAAGTTGGGAATCTCGGCCTCGGCATTTTCACAAGCCTTCTCAGCAGAGATGAACGAGACTCCCACCCGGGCTAGTATGGAGTCTGTGGTGGGTTTGTCGAACTGGATCCAAACGCCAGCAGACCCAGTCGGGATGTAATAGCCCGCGCCCACGCTGTCAAGGAACTTTGGCTCCTCGGTGGCGTTGTTCGAGATGAAAGTGCCGGAGCGCCGGATCTCGGCGCCTTTGAAGTCGGCACAGAAAAAGGCTTGGTAGCGACCATAGCCAAAAGACGGGTTGTATTGGCCTTCGCCGATGACACGCGCCGACTCTGGATATACTTGGATGCCGCCAGCATTACGACTATTTGCGAGGTCGACCAGATCTACCACCACAAGCGGACTATAAGGAACGCCTGGCTTGAGCTTATCTTCCTCTGTCATCCCGACCTCGACCGTGCTGGTCCCAGGAAACGAGAAGCGATAGAGTGCTGTGTGTGCCGTGACGGTCATCTCGGCGCGAACCGAGTTGGTTAGGTTGATACCAAAGAAGCCAGCACTGGCGAGAGTTGAACCGGGAACCCGAGGCACGCCTCTGGTCATGACAGAGTACTCGCACTTGGTGAAGTCGTCGTCGAGACAACCGGGGTGAAAGAAAAGGGGGAAGTTTCCCAGGGATGGGTTCCCTCCGGTTCCAGAATCATGCATGTGCGAGAAGCCAATGACAAGATTGTCGTCAGTCACAAAGCCAGCGGCATTTTCAGCCGGGCTTGCTGTATCAGCGACAGCTTTCGCCATCCCTAAACAATTGTCAGTCATCTCACCGCCACACCACCAAAGGACTCGCGCCAGCGGACCTACCGTATGGCAGTGATGCGCCGGGGAAAACATGACCTGACAGAAACCCAACGTGTTAGTACTCGAATCTGTTGCGAGGTTAACAGACAACTTACCTCCATTGGCGGTCCCTATTAAAGGGTCAATAAACTGAAGAATGTCAACGGCTTGGCCCGCAGACCCGTGGGAGCGTCCAGGGTCGGTCGAAAAGAGCAAGAACAGCAATACGCCGCGCAGGTCGAAGTCGGAGCTGGGAAGCAAGAGGAACACGAAGAGACAGAACAAGGCAAACAGCAGCGCCCGACTCCTCCGCGGGACGATTTTGAAGTGCGTGGGTGCCATGGCGGCCTTGCGATATGGCGACCCTTCAGTCCTTTTGGTTTTCCTCATGGCCTGTTTTCCCACTCTAAACGAGGCAAGAACTTCTTTTTGATCTTATTGGAGGGCCGTGCTCCCCTAGGGAGTAAGCGGTCAGGATGATGAAGCCCACATTATATGGCTACTGCGCCACAAACAAAAGGTTTGGGATGTCATTCAAAGGTCATCGTATTCACCAATACGCCGAAGTTGGAATCTCATAGCTGTGGCCAGCGACAGATCGATCCAACAGAAAGGACAGTTGTTTCGTTTGCCGGGTTGCCGGGCTGCCAAGAGGGGGGGCAAGGTACATTGGGCGCCCTATAGCGTTGTCTGTCCAAGCAACGGCGGCACTAGAAGGGGTGAGCGGCCACCAAGGACGCCACACCTGCGGGCGGCAAGGGTCGACTGGCGTTGTTGGTTCGTCTGTCAAAGCTCCGTACATACCCACATACGAACAGCACATTGTGGGCGGAAATCCAGGTCCCTTGCCAGAGGCCCATCGCTGACGGGTCCGTTCATAGCGGCCATCAAAACTTCCTCGCAGGAGGTGGGCATATTCTTCCGACGGGCTTTGGACGGTGGGGCGAAGGCGCTGTGTCCTTTTTCTCTTCCCCGGCTGAATCTGAACTGCCGTGATCAAAAACAGATGTTCTCGGCACCTGTATGTAATATGAAGGTATGAAGAATGAAGCTCTGTTTCGGGGCCCGGAGGCCAGGGGAAGACAAGAAAGATAGAGAGGAAGAAAAGAATACAACTTCAAGTTAAAGGCAGCAAGGTTGATACATGGATATGAGAAGGATCATTAAACTTCCAATGGAGGTCGCGACCGATTCTGTCATTACTTCGAAGGTGATTGGTTGCCGAACCCAACTGCTCTGCCGCCTGTAAACCCGAGAGGGAAACAACGATGAGACTGAAACTGACAGAAGTGCCGTCCACCATGGCTGGTGCGGCCCTGCATCCATTCTCCATTTCGATCTCCAAATCCATTCATCTTCAAAGGTCCGTTGAAGTTGCGATAGCACCCGCCCTCCATCTCTACACTGTTAACTGGAAGCTCTCCAGCGTCCCGGGCAAGCCAGGCTGCCTGCCTTAGGTAATCTGTACAGATTGTATGTATGGTGCACCCTCGGCCCGCCGCCAAGCCGATCTAATGCACACCCCAGCCTGGCCCCTCAGGGTCTGTGACGAGTTGGGATTGTTTCTCCAGCGCTTTTTTGAGGGAACCTCGACCTCATCACACGCAGGATTTACAGCGTCACAATATTGTCACCAAATATTACAACCGTTGATTCTTATCGCTTAAAACGGTCGGTCTGCCCAACATTCAGCCAGATCGCTTGCCCACCATTTATCTCCCTCGGACCAGCCAGAATCCGCGGCTGCAAATGGAATGGGCTCCCCTACTACGTCACGTAGGCAGCGGCCACCCTACCTACTAGACGTACCCCTACCTGACGCCTGCCGGAGGGTTTCTCCTGGATGGGTGAGGCCTGCTGACGGGACAGAAATTTGACCCTTTTCCACGACGGGAGCAGTGCTGATGGTGACTGACGTTGGAGCGAGGCAATCAAATATGCCATTAATTAAAAAGGGCTTACTCCTTATCGCCGAGTACGCTGGATGGGGTGCCTACCTACTATGTATGCACATTGCACATATTCCGCACATATCGGCCAACGTGCTAGTACTGTCTAGGGGAGGGGCATAATCCTTGGCTCCCTGCCCGACCTAATAAAGTCGCTAAGGTCCCTTATTATAGATGGACATGCTCGCCGCGACCGACTGCTCAGACCGCTAAGACGGCTCTCGTTCTGGAAATGCGCTGCTGTTCTTCAATTCGATTCTGTTCCCAAGGTGATGCTGCGGTGTCCGCTGCCACGCTGCTGTGCGCCCCCGTGAAGCTGGAGCTGGAGCAACCATGAGGGTGCCCCTGTGGTTGTTGCCTCTGCAGATATTCGGAATCCCTAGAGCCTGGGCAGTTGACTCGTTGCAGTTGCAATCACAATCACCCCAGTCGCCGCAAATCACGTTGGACTTGGAGCCGGACGACGTCTCCTGCCCGGACTACACCTCTTATGCCTCGCGACGCCATGATCCGCCGTCGACGGGCGCGTATCGGCTGCCGTACCAGCGCCCAGTCCCGCCATGTCGCACCTTCAACCTCTCCGAGGTCGAGGAGACGATTGCTGCTATGGAGAAGGTCGTGAAAGACCCAGACCTGTTTCGGCTGTTTGAGAACTGCTTCCCAAATACGCTCGATACCGCCATTACCTGGAAGGGCAGGGCCACCGTCGAGGCTGCAGACCTTGAGCTAGGAATTACTAGCAATGGCACGGGTGAAGAGGTACGAGAAAATGTCGAGCCAACGAGACCCCGGAGCTGCCTAGGTAATAAATACTAACTTCTGCCAAAGCTCACTTTCATCACCACCGGCGACATCAACGCCATGTGGCTCCGGGACAGCGCCAACCAGCTCCAGAGCTACAAGTCGCTGCTCAGGGCCAACGGCTCGTCGTCGTCCCTGGCCTCGCTGTTCCGCGGCACCATCAACCTGCAGGCGCGGTACATCCAAGCGTCGCCGCACTGCAATGCCTTCCAGGCGCCTGCCGAGGCGAACCTCACGGGAGCCTTCGGCCTCGGCTCCGGCGCTGACTACGTGTGGCCGACGCCCGACGCGACGGCCGTCTTCGAGTGCAAGTACGAGCTCGACTCGCTGGCCGCGTTTTTGCAGCTCAGCCACGAGTACTACGTCAGCACGGGGGACGCGGCCTTTTTCGCGGGAGCGGGGGCAGGGGCCGAGGCCGAGGCCGAGGACATGGTCGGCGGGTGGAGCGACGGCGGGTGGAGCGACGCGCTCGACGCCGTGCTCAACACCACGGCCGAGCTGCTAGCCGGCACGTACGGCGACGACGGGTCGGTGGCGGCGTCGCCGTACACGTTCCAGCGCTCGACGTCGACGGCCACCGAGACGCTGTGCAACGGCGGCGTCGGCGCGCCCGTGCGCGGCGGCACCGGCCTCGTGCGCAGCGCCTTCCGCCCCAGCGACGACGCCTGCACCTACCAGCTCTTCATCCCCGGCAACATGATGCTGTCGCGCTACCTGACGCTGTGCGCCGACATTGTCGACACGCTGGGCGAGACGGAGAAGGCGGGCATGATGCGCGTGTTTGCCGACAGCATCCGCGCCGGCATCGAAAAGTACGGCAGGGTGAACCACCGCCTGTTTGGCAAGATCTACGCGTACGAAGTGGATGGCTACGGCAGCTACAATGTCATGGTAAGTGGAACAGTGACTTGCCTCAGTTTTGCCGTCCTAGGGAGAAATGTGTGTGTGTGTGTGTGTGCGTGTGCGTGCGTGTGTGTGTGTATGCGCAGCCCCGTGCCTACGTGAGTTTGCAAGCAGATCGCAAAATACGAGACCAAAACACAAAGAAGCCCGCCAGCTACAAACATGATCACGACTGTGCATTGTTCCAAGCGGTAGCTAACGCCCATTAACAAAAACAGGACGACGCCAATATCCCCAGCCTCCTGAGCGCTCCCATGTTCGGCTACGTCAGCCGCCACGACCCGGTCTACCAAAACACGCGGCGCTTCATTCTCAGCAAGGAGAACCCCTATTTCATGTTTGGGCCCGTGATCAACTCGTTCGTCCCACCCGGCCCCACCCCAAACTCCCCAAGCCACAACGTGGTACAACGTTGCACGAACAAGCAAGCAAGCTAACACCGGGTATAGCACGGGCGGCCCGCACGCCGGGCCCGGCATGGCGTGGCCCATGAGCCTGATCGTGCGGATACTGACGAGCGACGACGACGATGAGATCGTCGACTCGCTGAGGCAGATCCTCTCGTCGACGGACGGGCTAGGCCTCATCCACGAGTCGATCAACACGCAGTCTGAGTCGGTGTGGACGAGACAGTGGTGAGTAATCAGCATCGCTGCCCGTGTACACTCATCCCCTCTGCCATGTTCACATAACTATTCCCTGGACACGGAATACTCACAAGCATTTTTCTTCTCTATAGGTTCTCGTGGGCCAACGGCCTGTTCGGGCAGATGATGCTCGACCTGCGGCAAAGAAAACCGCACCTGCTGGCGCTCAGCTACCAGCCGACAAATCACAAGAAAGAGACGCTAGTCTCAAATCACGAGGACGAGACGCCAGTCTCAGGGACCGCCAGTCTATTCGATAATAATGGTAATATTAGTGATAGTAGTTAATGCCACAACATAATCCATCATCGTGAAACCGCCACCGTCGTCTTTTCTCCCCCTCGAACTCGCCCTTCGTAAAACCGATTAAATCTAGAGGTGCACTATACTATCTAGAGCGGGCAGATAGACTTGATATCGTAATGTGCAAAACGCGTTGCATATCATTACATGAAAGCCTCAGTCCAAAGCTCGCCCATTGCCCCTCAAAACTCTATAGCCTCCTATAATACTCATCTGGCGTATCTGCGATCTAACACATTTGAGAAAACAACAACTTTCTGGGAAACACCCCCTAACTTAGATCAAACCCGGCCCCGCTCGAGACTGCGTACAGGAGCTTGCTCTTGAGCGTAGCGGCGGTCTGGTACTGTGGTAACTTCAACAGGTTCATACACGTGCTTGCGCTCGGCAGCCTATCCTGGTCCTGCCCGCCGTCACGGATGCTGAAGGCGGGACTCAGCTGGCTGAAGCCAAGCAGCGGTGCGCGCGGAGTGCTCGTGACGTACTTGAGCACGTCGCGGCGCTCGCGGTCCTCGAGGCCGCGCACGACGTCCCAGAACATTTTGACCGTAGGATGCTCTTCGCCGTCGTCGCCAATGGCGTAGACGCCGCTGTAAAAGGTGTGGCGGCGCCAATCCTCAACGTCGATCTCCGAGTTGTCGCCGCCCACCAGCCGCTGCAACTCGATCTGGTTGAACATGCTGAGCCAGGCGGGGTCGATGATTGTGCCTAGACCGCGAAGGAATGCACGCGTCTGCGCGTGTGGCTGCACCGCAAGGCGGTGGCGTGCTACATAGCTGATGTAGAGAGGCTTGTTCTCATTGGTGACGGGCACGTTCTCGCCGTCAGGGATGAGGTTGCGCGTCACAGTGCTGACCGGCATATCAGGCGGCGATACTTGATCAGTGATGGTAAAGTCGAGGTCGAGGTCGCTGACGTCGCCCGGATAGTTCTTCAGCTGCAGCATGCCCTGATACAGCTCGTCGTCTAGATCTCGAAGATCGTTGATGTTGGCACGATAGGTATCGGTGCCGGCCGTGGCCCACTTGAGGAGGAAAAACCCGGCAAATACAATATCGATCAAGATGCCCTCGTACATGCATTTCCCAATAATTCGACCGAGAAACTCGTACTGCCGTAGGAGATCCGCCAAGCTCTCGCGCCACGTCTCTGAGCCTTCGGGAACCTCGGCTCTCCGAAGCGCCTCTCTCTGTTGGTCAACGGCGGATGGATTCGGATAGTACGAGTTCTGGCTGTTGGTGACAAATAACCGCTGATCTTGAGTGAAAGCCTCGGTCGTGACGCTCGTCAGAAACTCCTTGGTCACGCCGCCACCATCTATCCCGGCTTCTTGCATCCCGAATTCATCCACGAATGTAATCTGAATCGGCTCTTTCAGGCCGTCCTCCAACTCCCAGAACTTATTCATTGCATCCAAAAAGATGCGGCCTCTGGTGATTTGTGCCTGGTGTCGGCCAAGCACCTGCGTCGCAGCCGAGTTCGGATGCTCAAAACCCCCTCCGTGTTGGTCGAGTATCCATAGCCTCCATCTGTCTGGGTCAATAAACCCACCTCTTCTCCGTTCTTTGTCGAGGTGAACGAACTGCCGGAATATCTGAACCCGTATCTCAAATGGCACGATAAATGGCATGTTCCGTAAGATCTCAAGTCGCGGGCCGATTGATGCTAGCATCCTCTCCCGGGCGGCCTTTCTCTGTTGTGTTCTCAGCCTTTCCAGCTGCGCGTGAAGCGATGGTCTTTGAACCGTAAACGTTAGATTGGCGGGCTCATCCGTATCCATCTCATCGCCATCCCCGCCGTCGTCATCATCTTCACCAGACTCACGGAGCTCCCGCTGCCTCTGTTCTTCGAGTACGACGGCAGAGAAGAAGCCTTCCATATCGAACTTGGACGTCATGAGCCAATGACCCTGCGGCAGGAATGGACGCCGAGAATCTCGCTCATAGAGCATTCTCATTGCTGCCGTTACGAGACTCCTGAACGCGTCAAAATCAATTCCTGCCGTGATGACGAACGTCGATACCTTCTGGACACGACCGACATCTACCGAGTTACTACGGCGGACCGGGGAAGCCAAGAAGTCATCAAGGCCGCTCAAGTTCCTGGTAGGTCCCGCTGCTGCTTCCAGCAGCTCGGCAGCGCTGTAGTACAGCGTGAAGCTCAGGTGCTTCAGAAAGCGCGTGAGGCGTTTCAGTTCCTCTAGCGAAAGCGTACTTGAGCGTAACCGCAAGGCGGTGCTCCCGACGCTGGCTTGGGAATTAAGGCCGCTGAAAAAATCGTCGTCGTCAGTTAGCCGGAGAATAAAGACATACAACTCGAGAAATAAGAGAATAGTTCGCCATTCTCGATGCCACTGCGAATCAGTCTTGGCGGCCGACGACTCTAAGGAATTCGATTTCTGTCGCAAGACGTTGAGGGTAGCTTCCTCGTTGGAGACAATAGTGGAGAAAATCGAAGTCTGGCTCATGGCATTCCAGAAGAACTTAAGAGCAGGCAGCGAGCCGCGCCGAGTAGACATGTCTACTAGATACAGGCGCATCCTAATGTCGTCGCTAAGCGTGGGGAAACAGTAGATCAACGTGAGGATGTAGCCAGCGAGGAAGCTAGCGTCCTCAAACTCCGAGGAAGATCTAAACATGACCTCGTCAATAGGGGAAGACAGGGGCAGTGCGGTGGGTTTGACGTACAAGGTGAACATGTCAAGAAGACTAGAGATTTCGTCCTTATCAATCAAAGAAGAAAGTTTATTCAATATGTAGGGAGGGAGTGCGTTATGGAACATGTCCTCAGGCTTTCGAGTTTCACGTGAGCCTCGAGAGTCGGGAGCTCTAGAGCCTGCTCGTATCCGGGTAGATGAGAGGGACAGGAGCAAATACAAGGCCTTGAGAAATTTTGGGTTCCAAGTGTGCTGCCTCTTGGCCTTTTGCAGCGCAACTAGATGTGCTAGCAGCCACAAGATAGTGAGGTAGGATTTAGGTGTCTTGGGCTCTGCCGGCGGGTTGTTGAGAAGAGACTCAGACAGACAGTCGGTGTCAACATCGGCCACAAAAGAGCCGACGTCGGCTTCAAACAAGACCAGATCGGGCTGCGTCAAGAAGGAAAGGGCAAACTCGTGGTAAGCCGCCGAGGTGAATGACGCTGTTACGACAGTTAGCAAACAGGGCTTTCCCTCCAGCAGCGGGAAGAGGCGCTACGTACCTGGGACGCCAGTCGCAATAAGCGGTGCAACCACGATGGCCCGAAGGAGATCCCGCGACGGAGATTCTGGGCTAACATGGCGGCCACACTCGCCCAACACTCTGCAATACCTTCCTAGAACAGGCTCTATCGATCGAGGCCGTATTTTTAGTATGCCATTCAGCGTTTCCAACAAAACTTGCGTCTGTGGTAGTGTGGTAGCGACGTCAGACCTGCCGGATAGCAATTGTTGTTAGCATGACGATAGGTTACAAAACATGGGTACGATATGCTCCAAGGGAAGGAAGGGGGCGGTGTTACCCTTCCAGCGAGGCGATCAGCAAGCGGGCAAGCTTGTTTAGTCGGGTGAAATGTACGGCTCCCGAAACGAAAGCACTGAAGTTGGACCGTAGGAGATCTTGAGCCACCCAAACCAGTCTGCGGTGATCCTCAGGGCTGACCCCTCCGTTGACGGCCAAGACAAGAGGAAGGGCCCGCACAGATCTCTGCTGCGCATCCACCGCGTCTTGCCCATCGTAGAGTCGGTCGAGTGCCTGACGGCGGGAAGCTCTCAAACTCCATCGCACGCAGTGGCCCCTCCATGTCTTTTGAATGCGCAGCGCCGCCTTGAGCCGGTCTCTCTCGTGCTGCCTCTGCTGACGTTCGGCCTGGGCGAGCGCAACTGACTTGGAAGCTCCGGCGGCCGCAGTGCTGGGGCCACCCCAGGATGGGTTGGTGAAGGGATTGGCGGTTCGTTGGCCGCTGAGGTTGACGTTCCGCGCTCTCCGCGAGTTGCCCGTGAAGGTCGGGAACATGGCTAGATGCCTCAAGTGCGTAATGCGTGGTCAAGGTAGGGAGGTGGGCAGGTGGTGAGGCAGGCAGTGACAGTCTAGGGTATGCTTCTGCTGTGGCGGGGTTGTTTGCCCAGGCGTGGTTCGACGATTCACTGACGCTGGATCCCGGCAGTCAATAAGGTACTGTTAGCCCACCCAACAAGACTGGGTAGACCGGACCACCTTGTTGATCAAGAAGCAAACCACGACAGCTCAACAGTGAACATGCAGCAGGCGTAAACCCCTTTCTCTCAAATCATGCAGGGTCGTGACAGGAAAACAAAACACAAGCTCGGATTGCGGTGCGGCAACGACGCAAGCGATCTCGAGGCAGCACGAGAGCAAGGTACCTCAGGTACGGAGTATTGTACTGCTGGACTGTGCACCCGAGCACGGCCCGAGAGCTTCGTCAATGAGGGAAGGTTGTCAAACTCTTGCTGTAAAGTGCCTCATGGTTTAAGGGGGCAAATATAGGAAAGTTACGTGGTGAAGACACGGGACCTCAACTTGCCACTATATCTGTGTTGCGTTGCGTTTCGTTGCCTTCCAGAAAGTTGACATCCACTGGGTAAGGCACCTTTGGGTCTCGGGCCACTGTCCGTTTAGTTATAGTGACAGCCCTGGAGCTCTCTTGCCCAATTCTACCCTTAGGTAAGGCAGGTGGGCTGTTGGGGATGGAGCTATCAGTAAGCTACGGCGCAGGTGCTGCTTCCTCCGCTGAGACTGAGCAGTGAGGCCAGCACAAAGCCCCACCTGGGCTCTGATAAACGTCAGCTAGCGATAAGACTTTGTAGGTTGGCTCTCGCAGAGCAGAAACCAAAAAAGCCCCATTAATAGCCATTTACAGGTTAGAGAGATATCACCATCCTCTCCTAGATAAATATTTCATACCTTTGCCCCTCAACGCCCCAAAGATCGTCCCTAGAAAAGTCACTTTTCCTCGCGGGAGACAAAGGACACGCCATACGGCTTGTAGACTCGAGTCTCAGATACTCTAAAATACACCGTACGGCGGGCTAAATGAATGAGGTGCAAGATTCGTTTGCCCCACATTTCAAACTTCTGCACAGTACGGAATATGTAGACGGTTGAGGGTGGGGCTGCTCGTTTGCGATTCTTGAGAAGCGGCATTGACACAGCTCAAAGCTGCAGTGCAGTGCGCGCCTGCTTCAAAATCCAAACCCTACGTAGATAACCGAGAAAATCAGAGCAAGGCCGAAGCTTAATTCACATAGAAGAAAATCATCCCCGAGGAAGATCTTACGGGAAGCGGGAAAATTTACTCGTATATTTAGTGTATGGATGGCATGGAAGAACTCTCTGCCAGGAAAGGAGCGAGGACTGGGAAATCTGGGGTTGCCGTCTGTAATTCGCTAATTGCATAAATCACGGTTCTTTGGCAAGAACGAACGTGGGTAAAAAAAAATCTGCCCGCAGTCGCCAATGTGGGCTGCCTTTTTTCTTTTCTCTCCATCCACTTCAAACCCTTTATCTCCCAAGCCCTCCCCCCCAAACACACAGAAAGAAGGCAGATAAGTCCGTTACCATCGCACTGGTTTCTGTTCTGTTCTACTTCTTTTCTGCTCTTCTAAACTTGACAAAAAAAATTGAAAATCCACTGAAAAAATCACGAGCCTACCAGCCAAAAACCCCATAAAAGAAAAAAAAATTCCTGAACCCGCGCCTCCAACAAAAACCACCATCCCCCGTCACCTTTGAAGATACGCACTGCGCCGTCCTCGATTGGAGACCTTCTCGTCAGCACCCGACAACGGCTTTTCGAGGCTTTCCCCGTCGCGTTCTTTATTCCAGTTGGAGCTCGCTTTTGTCTGCCGGCTTCTTTCTTCGCGCAGATATTCCCCTACCAAGCACCTTCCGACGGCCCTTTTCAGTTCTACATCACGGTATGCCGATTCTCATTTAACAGCTGTCTGCTTTGTCGAGTCGCAACGCATCCCATTGCCTCATCGCTCGCAGCGCAGTCGTGCGAAAGCTGGAAACTGACTCGGTTTCATTTTTCAGTTCAAGAGAGCATCATGGCCGCTCCTGTTGCCCCCAACGCTGTTGACCAGCTTGCCGCTGAGCTTGGCAATGCCAGCCTGAATGGTGGTGACAACAAGGTCACACCCGCCATCAATACCAATGTAGGCTCCGACTACCAGGGCGATGATCTCGACACTGCTGGCCCCACCCCGAGCTCGGCTGCCCCCCATCCCCAGGCGTCGGCTTCCCTTTACGTCGGCGAGCTTGACCCTTCGGTCACGGAGGCCATGCTCTTCGAGCTGTTCTCTCAGATTGGCTCCGTCGCCTCCATTCGGGTCTGCCGCGACGCTGTCACCCGCCGCTCGCTCGGCTATGCCTATGTCAATTATAACACCACCTCGGACGGTGAGAAAGCGCTCGAGGAACTGAATTACACGCTCATTAAGGGCCGCCCGTGCCGTATCATGTGGTCCCAACGCGATCCCGCCCTTCGCAAGACAGGCCAGGGCAATGTGTTCATCAAGAACCTTGATGTCGCCATCGACAACAAGGCCCTGCACGATACCTTTGCTGCCTTCGGAAACATTCTCAGCTGCAAGGTTGCCCAGGACGAGAATGGAAACTCCAAGGGCTACGGATTTGTGCACTACGAGACGGATGATGCTGCTTCGCAGGCTATCAAGCACGTCAACGGCATGCTTTTGAACGAGAAGAAGGTGTACGTCGGCCACCACATTCCCAAGAAGGATCGCCAGAGCAAGTTCGAAGAGATGAAGGCCAACTTCACCAACATCTACGTCAAGAATATCGCTCTCGACGTGACCGACGAGGAGTTTCACAAGTTGTTCGAAGACTATGGCGATGTTACGTCGTCGTCGCTCGCTCGCGACAACGAGGGCAAGAGCCGTGGATTCGGCTTCGTCAACTTCACTTCTCATGAGATTGCCTCCAAGGCCGTCAATGAGCTCAATGGAAAGGACGTTCACGGCCAGGAGATCTATGTCGGCCGCGCTCAGAAAAAGCACGAGCGCGAGGAAGAACTGCGGAGATCGTACGAGGCTGCTCGCCAAGAGAAAGCTAACAAGTATCAAGGCGTCAACCTCTACATCAAGAACCTGGATGACGATGTTGACGATGACAAGTTGCGCCAAATGTTCTCCGAATTTGGCCCGATCACTTCTTCCAAGGTTATGAGGGATGCTCTGACCGACGGGGCCGAGGATGAGCCTAAGGAGGGCAAAGATAAGGAGAACAAGAAAGAAGGCGAGAAGGAAGGTGAGGAGGAGACCGCCGACAAGAAGACGGAGAAAAAGGGAGACCGCAAACTGGGCAAGAGCAAGGGCTTCGGCTTCGTCTGCTTCAGCAATCCCGATGACGCCACCAAGGCTGTTGCCGAGATGAACCAGCGCATGATCAACGGCAAGCCACTCTATGTTGCTCTGGCCCAGCGCAAGGATGTCCGGAAGAGCCAGCTTGAGGCGAGCATCCAAGCTCGCAACCAGCTTAGGATGCAACAGGCTGCCGCGCAAGCCGGCATGCCCCAGCAGTACATGCAGCCCCCGGTTTATTTCGCCCCGGGCCAGCAGCCCGGTCCGGGTGGTTTCATGCCTCCGGCCGGCGGCCGCGGCATGGCGCCGTTCCCCCAGAATGCCAACATTATGCCCGGTGCCCAGGGTGGTCGGCCAGGACAGTTCCCCGGTTATCCCGGCCAGCAAGGAGGTCGCGGAGGTATGCCTCCCCAGCAGCAAATGCCGCCTTTCCCCATCATGGGCCAGTTCCCCCCTGGCGGTTACGCGCAACCGAACAACCCCCAGTTCATTGCGGCCATTCAGCAAGTGCAGCAGCAAGCTGCCACTCTTAGTGGAGGGCGCGGCGGCCCTGGAGGCCGCGGAATCCAGGGAATTCCCGGCGGTATGCCTCAGGGAATGAGTGTTGGCGGCCCTGGAATGCCTGGCTATCCTCCTAATGCCAGGCCCCAGAACGGCAACCTGCCCGCCCGTGGTGGCATGTCGGGCCGTGGCGGCAGCTTTATGAGCGCTGGTCGTGGCGCTGTCCCGCCTGCCGGAGCTATCGGCCTGGGTGGAGAGCTGAACGCTAGCGCCTTGCTTCAGTCACAGCTTGCTTCTACTACCAACATGCAGCAACAAAAGCAGATTCTCGGCGAGAACCTCTTCCCCAAGATCCAAGTTATTCAGCCTGAGCTGGCTGGAAAGATCACTGGCATGCTGCTGGAGATGGACAATCCCGAGCTCATCAGCCTGTACGTTTTCCTACACCAAGTTCTACGACCCCTTTTCACTAACTTGACCCAGCTTTGAGGATGATAATGCTTTGATGGCCAAGGTGAATGAAGCTATGGCCGTCTATGACGAGTACCTGAAGAACCAGGGAGACGAGGACAAGTCGGGTAAGAAGGATGAGCAGTCGGAGGAGAAGGCTTAAAACCGGCGTTCACGTGAATCTCGAGGCTGCCACTAACTCTACGGCGGTATGGCGGCGGTTGGTCTCATTTCTCAGCCGCGCTTTCGTTATCGTCATTTCGGATCTTTCAAGTCGGTCTCGCAACAGGGTCTGGAAAAGTTTTGATACCAGCTTGACTTGGTAGCAGCATGATATTTGCATCCGATGCCAGCCAGGGGGCTTGGCGTGAGGTGAATTTGGACGAGACTTTTATGAGGTCAGAAGTCTCTCCGACGACTTATTATATCACCATTGCCACGGCATCAATACGTCATCCTCATGTATTCATAGACTTGTTTTTTTTTTGGCCAGAATCTGGTCCATCAGGTGTCCATCTCTGGACAGGGCGGGATTTTCTTTTCGACCGACTCGGCGTTTTATGGTTACGGTTCTCAGGAGTGTCCTGCCGAGCTAAGCTCTGGAGTTTTCAGGGCCGGCCTTGCTCGGCACAATACCCCGGTCATTCTGGTCAGCAGAAGACCATCATCGCACAAAAACGTCTTTGAGAGGACTAGATAGACGTTATTCTACGAACAGGAGCACTAGCTAATAGATACTAAAATACTACCATCAGTCTGCTAGCCGTGGTTGGAGTGAGGCGAGGTTCGTGGCTGTAGAATTGCGTATCGTGACACTATCAGATCACAGTACCTGATGTTTTTTATCCGTATCTGATTTTAGCCTCCGAGGAACATCTTATAGGTGTTTTTTTTGTTTACCTTGCCGTTGTAGAGCCATCTGAAAGTGAACCTGTAGGAACCCACGAGGGAAAACTGTTGTCGCCTTCTCCAGAGACTAATTCACCGTCTCTTGTGCAATGTAAATAAATCACCTATGCAACTACTGCTCCCCAGCATCTGCGCTGAACGACACCATTTGCCCTGTCTAAATATGAATCGTGCATGCGAAGTATATTTATATATATGTATGTTTGTTTGTTCGTTACTCTTGCTGGCCCCCATCCCCGACCCAGTGAGTCAGTCAGCCAGTCAACCAGTCGGCTAATTCCCTTCCCATGCTTTGTTGGTTATGTACGCCGTGATGAGTTATGTCCCATCCATATCCCAGAGCATCAGTTGCTCTTAGTTTGTCTTTCCCGAGTCTGAAGAAAATTGAAAAAGAGATCAAAGGGAAAAGAACAAGTGGAAAAGAGCTTGTGACAATAAATGATTAAGTCATGCGGAAATAAGCGAAAAACTCCTTTCCAGACAAGTTAGTCAGTTAGTCGTCCAACTAACCCAAAGCTTGTTTGACCATCCTATCCAACCCTCCATCCCCATGTACCTACCCCGGTTTACATTTGATCTACTGTTCCATCCTTTCTAGGCCAGGGGAAGGGTAGCCGGCTAGTTACGTAGTTAGTACTCGCCGTTGTCCCTTAAACTCCTAAACCACCTTGCATCTTCCAAATCAACTAGACCAACAACTACTCAGACAAGTACTGTGTAGCGTATACAAAGCCACTAGACGTGAAGTGGGAAGCAGAAAACCCCAACCACCAGTCAGTCCCCGGGTTCCCATTTCGTAAAAGGAAAGAAAAGGAAAGAAAAGGAACGAAGCAAACGCCATGACTAATCCCGACACTGTAAACAAACACAGCTTTATGCTCCCCCTTATTCCCAAACCTCGTCTTTCAGTCATAATATGCACTTCCCTCAGCAGCAGCAGCAGCAGCAGCAGCAGGCGACCCCGAGAGGCCAACATTACCACGGCTTCCGCCGTAGAGCATCTCCATAAGCTTGCCCTTCTGGCGGGTGCGGACGCTCTCGAGGTACTCGCCTACGTCCTCGAGGCCGCGGATCTGCTCGTCGAGGGAGATGGTGGAGCTGTTGACGGAGCGGACGAGGGGGGAGACGAGCTTGCGGCGCAGCGTCTCGAGGTTGGCCTTGAGGATCATGAGCTTGTGGTTGTGGGCGATCATGATCTCCTTGTTGAGGACTGTGTTCTTGCGCACGCCGAGCAGTAGCTGCCGGTTGCGGTCGTACTTGTTGACGTCGGCGGCGCGCGGCCCGAGGATGCGCGTCCACAGCGACGACAGCAGCTCGTCGTGCAGCTCGTCCTGCAGCGACGACTCGCGCACCACGGTCCGCGCCAGGTTGAGGAACTGGTGGTCAATGGACTCATACAGCGCCAGGAGGGTGAGGCTGTGCTGCAGCTCATTGGTGATGGCTTCTTCGAGCACCGACAGAAACTCGCGGAATGTGCGCTGCAGCGTCTGCTTGGTGCGCTGCGGCGTTGACGGGCCGAATATGGACGAGGCAACGACTCCTATGGCCGTCGCCTGCCCTGTCGTCGGATTCTCCAAGATGCCGGCGTTGGAAAGCATGTTGTGGATGTTGTCAAAAGCTGACGAAAGTGGAAGCGAGGGCTGCTGCTGCAACTGGTAGAGTTCTCTGCGCGCCCAGTCCATCACAATGAGGATACTAACAAGGGCGGGTTAGAAGAGTATTCCGCGAAGTCATGTAACACGGGAAAAAGAGAGAGCGACGTACCTATCAATGTCTCCGTTGACACTTGAAAAGAATTTGATCAGCTCAACGGCGAGCGTCTTGAGGCTGTCGCTGAGCTCGTCGAGCTCCTTCACCATGATAGGCGCCGATGTCATGTTGCTACTGCGGACGCTCTCGCTGAGATCCCACACGGCGACACCCGTGGCCTGGATCTCGCCGACCTGCTGGATACCGCGCTCCGAGTAGTAGATGAGGGGCTCGAACGACCGCGCGACGCCGGCAACCTTGACCAGGTCGGGCACCGGTCGCATCGCGGGTGGCTGGAAGAGCGACCGCATGGCCCCGTACGATATGAAAGCAACTAGGGCCGATATCATCACGGACGCGCGCGAGCCAAATATGACGCCAAAACTTGTCCGGACAAGGTTTATGGCGGCTTCGATGGGCTCCGTCCGCTGAAGGACTTCTGCCCGAAGCGCGAATCGGAAATCTGAGGATCATGCATCAGCCGAAGCTGCACAGGACAATGAAAGAAGTATACAGATAACATTTGAATTTGTACTCTTGATCAGGTTAGACGCAAGGCTGGGTCCCCTTTCTCTTGGCCATTCTAAAATAGAGAAATAAAATAAAGAAAATAGGTGGCACTTACAGTTATTATTCCCGGCGTTTGCGTCTTGTTGCCCAACCACGTCACTCCTGTCCCCGAAGCGTCCCAACGTCGTTAGCGCGCCGCCTTTGCCACCGTCCTCCACCTTGACCTTTACATCCTCGCCGTCTGCGTCGGCTAGATACTGGCGTGCAACGTGATACTCTTCGGGGGCTGGGCTGGGCTCCTTATCCGGGGACATGCTGTCGGGGGGCAGGCGGGTGCGGATGGCCTGGGCGAGAATCAGGTCGCCCTCGTCGGCGCTCTCGTACTCGGGGCTCGACTCGCGGGAGTCGTATGCCGGCTGCTGCAGCTGTCCGCCAAAGGGGCCAAAGCCGCCCGCTCCACCTCCCGCCCCTAGGGCCAGTGTCAGCTGGTCGTCGTCGCTACTCCTGCGCCAGAAGCCGCTGCTGCGGTCGCCGTTGCCGAGGCGCTTCCAGGCCGGAGGACTGTAGCCACCGGCCGAAGCCTCCGAGTCCGAAACGTCGTCCTCCGCCATCTCGCTCGGCAGGTCCTCCTCCTCCTCCTCCTCCCCCCCAGTCGAGTGCTCGAAGTCCTCCAGTGACGCGTCGAGATGGTCTAGTGGCACTTCGAACGTTCGAGTCGCTGTCGCCGCCATAGTTTCTTGAGCTTGCGCTTGAGCTTGCCGATGCCCCCTTTTCTCTCTCGCTATTTCTCTTGCTGCTTCCACCGCTGCTGCTGTTACCGCTTACACGTAGCTGCTGTTTGCGGCTACTGCTGCTGCTACTCGGTTTTTCCTTTCTCGAGCCGCTGCTTCCCTGGCTGCTGTTTTTGAAGGCGTAGTCCGCAATCAGAGGCGGGAGCGGCTTGTTCTCGATCTGCCGTTGCTGACGCTGTCGCCGCCGCTGGGCCTGTCTGGCATCAAACCTCTCCTCGTACTCTTCTTCGTCGTCGTCGCTATACCCGCCTCTGTCTCCTCTCGACACCACGACGCGGGGCACTGCCACGGCGGCGGCGGCAGCGACGGCAGTGGTGGCGCTGCGGCGGAGAAATCGGTAGCCCAGGCGGATCGGCGAGGGCAGGGGCGGCAGGTAGAGGAACAGGAAGACCAGGGCCAGAACCAGAGAGGCGACCCAGGCGCTCGGGGCGATGGTGACGCTGAGCAGTGAGACGTGGGTGTTGACGGTGAAGAGAGACTGCATCGGACGAGATTTGGGGTTCTCATAGGTCCGTCTCTCTCCTCGCTGGCTTTGTGCAGCGAGGGAGGGAGGGAGCGAAGACACAAGGCTTTGTTTGTTTGTTTGTTTGGTTGTATGTTGCTGTGCTGCCTGCCTAGTTCTAGTGCAGTGCAGACAGATACAATGTAAATTACGAGATATAACACCTCGACAGATTGTCGCAAGGATAGTCGAATTGAAGGTGAAAAGAGCGAGAAAGAAAAAAGGCGACCGCGACGGGCAAGAATTGGACACCGTCGAAGCCTCCCTCCAGGAAAGCCAAAAGAAAAATGCGAGAGATAGCTAGTAGCAATGCCCAATGGGCGAACATTCATGACAGGGCCATATCTGAAAACGAGAGGCTGGGAGCCTTCCACACGCACACGAATGGGCTTCTGTGGCTCGATGATTCACAGCATTGGAACCCGCGCCAGCCCAGCCAGCCAACCACCCCGCGCGCGCGTTGTCCCCGCGCTATCCATCCAGGAAGGGGGCCGCTTTAAGTGGCCGCACGGCTACCAATCAATCTTCCGGCACTTTGATTCGCGAGAAACAACTTACGTCTTGGTAAGAAAGTACTAGTTCACCACGGGAGAATTTTGTAAGACCCGAGGCCAGGTACTAGAACGTAGACGGCTTTCAGACTTGCGGATCATTTCCTTCGGGACTCGGCAATGTCCATACAGACAGACGGCACAGGCGATAAACTCAAGAGTAGCGGGGTATGTAGGCTAGGCTATCTTATCACCCCGCCATTTCTCGACTTACACATTTGGGCCGCCTGTATTCTATACATAAGGTAGCCAACAATCATTCAGGGATTGGCCTGTCATGATGTACCGAGTGAAATGAAGTGACTCGTCTCGAACACAGCAAGCCAGCATAGTCACCCGTCTCCTGCCGGAAAGGAAACAAAAAAAAGATCAACTGCGGATGCTGGTGTTTTCTGATATCGTAATCGCTGATGCTTGTTTAAAAAGTGAAAGAGCCGCTAGCTAGACCCATACTGGGAAAGCAAAAAAATCATAGTCATCAACGTCGTCAAAATGCCCCCCCTTTTCTCAGACAGCCAACACTTTTGTGTACATACAATGAATCCGCTGTGGATGTGCTAAAACATCCCCTCTTCCCCTTTAGTTTTAGACCTAATTCTTCTCCTGCCTCGTGGCGGGCCAAAACATCCTTCTAATCAATTTTAGCGTTTACTAGACTCCTGGCTGCGGGATTGTTGATGTTATTGACTTGGTGCGTGGCTGGTAGTCGCTTGTACTTGCTCTGCTTCCTGAGACGTTTCCGTGCTACCATGACAGGCACCGAGCTTTTGGTAACGAGGTAGTTGGAAAACGAGCCAAGAATGACACTGCGACATGTCTGTGTAAGCGTTGCATCTCGACAAAAGGGAAAGAATAAGAACGGGGGAGATAAAGGGGCTATGCTCACCCTTTAAGCGCGCTTCGCCCTCGGCTCCCGAGAATGACAAGAGTAGGGTTCACGAGATCGATCACCTCCGTAATCAAGTGCTTTGGGTTCTTGCAATGAAGAACCTCGACGATAACACGGACTTGAAGTCTCGTCTTCCGCAAAAGCTTCGTCACGCGCTCGCTGATGTCGTACACGGCTCGATACCGTTCTTCCTCGGCCTTGCTGCGCTCTCTGCTAGACGGCGCCGGCGAAACACTAGCGCCCGAGCTGTTGCTAGCCAGCAGTGGCGCAAATGGCGAGGAGCCCTTCTGCATAGGCAACGCCGTGCCACCCGGTGTGGTTGGGATCTTGTTGGTAGCCATAGCATTAATAGCCACCGCTTGCTCCTTCATTGCCTTGGGATCGTCCGGCACCATGGCGTTATCCCCAGACACGATCCCCGTCTCCTCGTCGACGCAATATATGGCCACCAGGGTGTCGCCGTCGCGGAGCACGGTCCCAATCGCCCATTCTAGGGCGTGTGTCGACTCGTCACTGAGATCCGTCGCTACCATATATTTGCGGGGATGCCTATGCTCTTCTTCGGCCTCCTGAACGAGCTTGGAATACTCTCCACGCGTGATAACCTGGACGGTGCGGTGGGCCTCGGGCGTGTCCTTGATTTGTGTCATGGAAAACGAGAGCCTTTGCGCTCTTTTGATGTCGGTGAGGTCGGCCTCCGTGTCCGAGTCTATGGGAGTGCGCGAGCCAGCACTCCTAGGGGGCAAGTCAAAACTCGTGACTGGATGGATACCCGGCTTGCCCGACTTTACTCGCTCGCCCGATGGGTTCGTAACGGTAATCTCTGGCTCGTCGAGCAGTGACCGATATTTGTACGTAGGTTGCCGTGAAGCCACCTCAATGCCTGACCGGGGCTGTTAGTTAAACGGCGGACGAAGAAGAGTTTAGGCCAGTACATACGTTCTTCCTCGGCAGCCGCCATAAGGCTCCGAGCCGCTTTGTTAGTGGAGGATGTCGGTCCTGGGTTTTTCTGGTCCCTACTGTCGAAGTTGCGAGCAGCCTTCCTACCACGCTCGCCTTCGTCATCCGACGACTCATCGTTATCTTCGCTACTATCTTCGACTAACAACTCGCCGTCGGGGCCCAGGTAGTCCTTAGCTAACCGGCCACTCCCAGCCATGTCGTCTGATCTTTTCGGCCGCCCCAGTTCAGAAAGGCTTCCCCTAGATCTCGCCAGGGCAGCATCTGACAGGCGCCGGTAGGCGTTGTTGATATCGATCTCTGGGGCCTCGTTGATAGTTGATCGTCCAGCGGGACTCAACTGGCGCCCCATCAGTAGATTGTGGGGCGAGATGGAACGCACGCCTAAGCGGTTGTGAGGGGACTTGGATTTGTTGCCCGGCCGCATCGACGGTCCGCCAAGAGAGTAGTGGCGTCCCCTATCACCGGGTAGCATCAGACCGGACACGTCGTTGCCTCGCATGACTTCGGCCATAGAAGACGAGTTGGCATTCGAGCGCTTGCCGCCCTGCGTTACCCTCTTCGGGAGAGCCTGGCCGGCATTGGTTGTGATGATGTTTCCAAATTGGTAGTCCGAAGTACGGTCCAGGCGCGAGCCCGAAGACCTCGGTCCAAAATCGACGGGCCTCGTGGCCGCATCCGACATGCTCCTCGGATGGGCACGAAGGTTCGGCTCTGTGGGCGACGAGGGGTTACTAAACACGGGCTTAAAGTTAGAGGAGGAGGAGGAGGAAGACGGCGTGCCGACGTCCAGCATGCTGCGGACCGCTGGTGGCGGAGGACTGTCCACGTCCAGCATGCTCCGTACGGGCGCTATGCGCGGGGATGCTATCTTAGCATTGGTTTTCGGCGAGCCAGCAGGGGGGATGACGGGGGATGGAGGAGCATCGTCACCAATGTCTAGCATGCTGCGCACGGGGGAGCGAGGCGAGGTGAAGGGGGAGGGCTCGCGGCCCCCCATCGAGCTGGGAACGCCTGGCCGCGGTGCCTGGGGACCCTCGAGGAGCGCGAGCACCTCCCTCCGCTCTTCGTCGAGCATCGCCTCCATCGACATGGCCTGGCGGTTCGCCATGGCGGGCGACGGGATCGGGATCGGGATCAGGACCGGATGCGGGTGCTGGTGCTACTGCGACTGCGGGTTTGACGAGGTTTGTACGCTGTGTGATGTACGGATAGGCTGCGTGCTACCGTACACTGGCTGGGCTGGCGTAGCTCGAAACACCAGCACGGTAGGTGGGTAGGGTAGGTAGGGTATGGTAGGTGGTTATGGATAAAAATCCGGGCCGACCAGAGGATGTCGGATGGGCAATCAAGGCGTGGGCGGCGAAAAGGAGCGGGTGCGGTCGGCGGTTGGGGAGCCCAGCGACGAGTTAAGATATGAGGCGGATATCCGATATGGAATGAATGCAGCCAGCATCGTGGGGTTGAGGTGTGTCAAGGTGCCCTTTGCCTTTGTCGAGCTAGAGCGACAGCCCTCAGCGCATGGCGGGGCGTCAGCCCGGTTGGATTTTCCCTGTCTGGTCCAGTGTGTTTGCGGCTGCCTGCCAAGCCAAAGGCCAGCCTAGGTACGGAGGTAACTTGGTAGAGAAAGAGGAGGCACGATTCGCGAGCTTTTGCCAAGGAGGATAGAGTGCTAGTAGCTCTGTGCCAAGGCGCCACTGGTGAAGCAAGCAAAGATTCCGGTTGGTGAAGGTCGAAAAGCGTGGGTGCCGTTACACAAAGCTGTGTAGCCGAGGCGTCGGCCGTTGTCCAGGCGCTGTCGATAATTGCGCGCGGGGGATGATTTAGGTGGGAGCTTCTCCTGACTTTGTTCGTTCACGATGATGGTGCGCGGATTTTCCCAACGGTGGTTTGGAGCTCGGTTGAAAGAATGAACAACGATGCATGACGTGTGGGGCGGAGGGCGAGCAATCAGCAGCTCGTTGCCTTTACCATGTAGGTTAGCTTCACACAGTAGGTTAGGTCAGGCCGCCTGTGGAGCTTGGGTTAGCTACCCGAAGGCTCCTGGTATGTGCGTACCTTCCGGGCTTATTTAAGGGTTGGTGACATCTCGCCAGCAGGCTGAGAGCCCCCATCCCGTCCCGCATTCAATCCTCCCCGGGCCCCAGACCAAGGCCTAGACCTCGTCCCCAAAACAAGAGGAGAGGAATGAAACAAGCAAGTGCTCCGAACGGCTCCCGCCTTTTTCTGTCACGTCAGATTGACTGTGTTACCTTTTGTTCTCTTAATAAGGTGATTACTCTAGACGCCCCCCAACTTGAAGCTTATCCACACGCCGGTTCTCGCACTCTTGGAATGAGGCTCAATGTCTCACTCTCAGCAAGTCCCGGACCAATGGCAAGTTGTCGCGCCCTTCTTCCCTCACCTGCGGGTTTTGCACTAGATGTCCTGTCACCTAATATCAGCACGATATCCTGAGTAGGCGTTTTACCTTGTAAGAGCGACCAGCGAACAGCATTGAAGTATTATCGGGCCGATGCAGAGTTTCCCACGTAGGGTCTTTACTCTGGAGAAATTGCGTATAAGCTCAAAACAAAAGTAAAGGTAACTCGAAATACTATAGAATCACATCCTTGAACGTTTATTGTTGTGGGACTTGCGGGATATAAAATACTTTGTTGTCTTGCAGTTCGCCCTGAGGGTCCCCTCAAAAGGATGCAGCAGGTCTCAGAGCTTCAATGTAAAGCATCCTAAGCCTAGAGGCCTATCTCCCTCTTGGAATGCCTGGCAAAGGCATCTTCCGGCCGATTAAGTCCGTATTTGCTATATAGTCTTTATTCTCCCCGAAATCCGCTCCAACAATTATTTGGGTTTATGACTAAAATGCACCACCTCGCTGCCCAGGCCCTGCCATCTCAGCGTACTCCTTCCAGCTGTCACGCCTATGACAGCTACCAGAGCCGAACCTCACTTGGCCAATATCAGACACTGGCCCGGTTCTTAGTTCATGATCAAAAGAATCATAAGAGCCGAACCTGTGACATGTTAACTGCGACAAAGTTTGCCTCTAGTTTCCTGCAGACAGATGGGATGATGGCCAAGGGGCAACGCGGTACCCCGCAACGTGTGATTCATTTTCGAGACACAGGTATTTCGAAACACAGGTAATGTACAGTGAGACGGCGCTCCTCCCAAGAAGCCATGGCAAAAAAAAACAGCTAAAAAGACCTTGTATATACAAGTAACCTTCGTCAGCCACTCGAAGACCCACCCCTCCCCAGTTTTTTTTCCTCCCTTTCTTTCCTCTAATGTCTCCTCGGCGGCGCTTTATAATTCAGATTGGCTCTGGCGGACGTGGCCTGCTTGTGAAGCAGAAAGCGCTTGTCCCAGACGCCGGACCGGCCCTCGACCACAGCGACGATCTCCTCGGCCACGCGCGTTGGGAACATGCCGCGTCCACTCCCCTTGGACGGCTTCTTCTCCACTACATCCAGGATCCACTGGAACGCCATCCTCCGGCGCTGGCGCGCCGCTAGAGGGACGGGGATATCGAGCGCTTTACCACCACCGGCCGCGCCGGCCAAGGCCCGTACGCGAACCAGAGGCGCCACCGAGTCGATGGCGATGGTGATGTAGGTGATAGGGTCAAGCGGGAGGTGCGCGGCTGGGGGCGAGCCCGGCATTAGAGGCTTGGACGGGTTTATTTTCGGCGGGGGGGAGGTTCGGAGGTAGTTTAATATCATAGCCATGTCCTGCCAGCGGGCGTTGTGTCTTTGGTTAGCTGGCTTTCTCATAAACAGTAGCACGGGGGCAATGGGGCATGCTCGAGCTGAGATCTCACCCTTTGTGCTTTGCTCAGCTTCCCGTCCCGCATAATCAGCTTCGTGAGCTGGACAACCACATCGTCGTAGCGGTGCTTCATATGCATCGGCGACGGCAGCGGCAACTGTGGCAATCCGTATTTGTGGCCTTCGACTGCGGGGTCAAAGGGATTGAGGCCGTACGAGATCATTTTGAGCTTGTCCAGCGCCTGCAACACGTTGTCGTCGTGCTCGGACTCGTTTTTTTTCGCTTGGCTCTCCGGCTCCGGCTGCAGCTCCGGCTGCAGAGCTTCTGGCTCCGGCTCCCGCTGTAGAGCAGCTTCTGGCTCCTGTGGCTCGGCTTGGCTCTTTGGAGCGCTCCCGCGCAAAGAATCCAGCACGTCTTCATAGCCTTCGGGAAGCTTAGAAGCGGGAACGGCGGGAGTGGTGTTAGTGGTGTTTGTAGAATCGGCAAAGGTTCGCACGGGGACTGCAGCGCAACGCAGCGGTGGCCGCGCACTGAGAGGCCGTGGCCGTATGGATAACGCCCGGCACGCGGCCCAGACCTTCAACCTGGGAGGCATTGTCGCCGTATATATGTTTGTTTGTTTATGCGGGCAATGTCACGAGATGTGACAATCGCGCTGCCCCCCTAGAAATCAACCTGCGTCGCATATCCCGATTGACTTATTCTCAAAAAAATTGGCCCACGACCCGACGTTTTGCCGATTTGGGAGATTGACAGGTCTGGCGCTGCCGGGACAGGCTTCTGACGCTAGCGGCTAGCACTGGCCAGAAGAGACGGGATCCAAGCTTCAGGGCACGTGCCTCTGACAACTTGTGGTGGGGGACAATTCTGCACGGTACGAGCTGTCTCCCACCTCAACTTGCCCCACCCCACCACACCGAGCTGACCTGACCTGAGCTACTAATATCCGAACCTTAGAATACCCCGCCAGATGCAAGACGTCGATCCTCAACCTCGATGTCTCTCTGCGTTAATTGTCACTCTGACTCTAGTCAGGTTTAAGACAAGAGACAAAGCGTAGATGTGCGCGCCAGCCAGCGCAGTGTTGAGGTGACCAGTCAAGTCCCTTGCAGGTTTTGTCTCTTGAAGCCGGGGACCGCGTCAGATGACTTTCCCGGTCACCGCCAGTCTCCTCTCCGACCTAGGTCTACGGTGGCATGTATGTATGAACAGCGGACGGACGCACATACACCTACGTACATACACTACTCCATAGCTTAATTCTCGTCCACTTTAGGTCGGGTCTGTCTCTCTCTTTCCAACCCAAGTCGAGCCTCAGCCTCCCGGCGTGTCGCTCAGTGTTTCTTATTAAGCAGCACTTTATTCCTGTTAGGTTGTCATGAGCGCCGGAGTTACGCTTCCCTCAGGTAGCGATGGACAATCAACTACGTACACAAATACATATGCGTGTGGGACGGAAGGAAGCCTCACTTTGCGTCATATTTCTCGTCGAGAAGGCACTCCAACGACATCGGATAATGTACTCGATGTACTCCGCACTCAGAACAAGTGTCAGCGGAGAGGGAGAAACAACGAAATGGCCCTAGCATGCGTTCACCCATCCATTCGCTCGTCTATTCATTCATGCTTGCTGCTGTGATAGCCTGCAGCAGGTGCAGCTACATATACCACCGATGCCGGTGCTGCTGGCGCTGGTGCTTCAGCTGCTGCTATTGCTTTCCACAACTTTTTGATGTCCAGTATTTTGCGGCTGTGTATGTACGTGTACGTGTGTGTGAAAGTGGCATGCAGATCTATCTGCACACGACATCCCGCCGAGCGAGAGCCCACCAAGGCAAGGCATGGATGCCCCATCCCCATCCCACACGCCCCCTTTTCCCTTTCCTTCAGGCTGGTGTTGACCCCCTTGGATGCCCCCCACCCCGGCCGCCATTGCATGGCTAGTCGGTTTCCTTCCTGCAAGAGCCGCCCGTGAGCTTCCCGAAATGCGCGAATCTCAGCCGACCCTTGACACCCTCCGCCACAGTGGCGTGGTCACGGGAGTGGTACCTCCCCCCAGCGACAAACCTACGCCCGAGGTCCACGTGTTTGCTGCTTTACTCCGGCATGTTGGGGGGAGGAATCCTTTCCTCGGTCAGGTAGGCAGGCAGGCAGGCAGGCAGACCATTTCACATCTTGTCTCACAAGATAGCAACTTCAGCCCAGTCCATCACTCTTAACCCCGCACGCATTGTTGAGGTACATACGTACATGTACATCCGGGTGCGGATCTGTCCTCCGGTGGCCCCCCGCCGCCCCCCCCCCCCCCCCCCCCCATCTTCCCCATCTTTCATCAATGAGCGAGAGATCCCGGGAGAAGGAAGCTAGGCCTGAGATCTGGAGAGGACGCAAAAGGGTAGGGAGCAGACACAGTTGGGGTAGGACGTACGCAGTGCTCTACTTAGCTTCCTTGTCCTTTTTGCACCCTATTAGGGCAGTTTAGAAATGGCCATGTTCATCCCAACGTGGTAATTACTCCCAAGCTCACTAGAGCTTGCTTGGCCTGGTCACCAAGGGAAGACGAACAAGAACCCTGCCAGAGTTGCTAGTCCGCTCGTCTCTTTTGGTCACATGCTTTGCATCGTCGCGTGATACGAGATATTTAGTGTTTTTTTTCTTTGGGGCTCTTTTGTGACGCCTAAATTGAAGTTCTAGGTATTATTGAAAATCATCAAATTACTAACAAACTCGTCTAAGTCGTATCGTCTTGTCGCCCCGAGCCCAGAAAACCCCAGGAAACACCAAAGACCAGAAAGGCAAGCAAGCAAGCAAGCAAGCAACCAAAAAAGTCGGCCCGGTCCCTGCCGCCATGCTCTAAGCCGTGACCCAGTAGTCTCGTCCGTCTGGATTTTCCCAAGACTGTTTTACCTCTTCCGTCCCTGTCTCATTCTTCTTTTCCCATATCTCCCCCCTAGCCCTGAACATTCCATGGATCGATCCCAGAGAGGTCATGAGCCCATTTCCCAAGCCTAAAGTTCCTGGAACGTTAGAGGGAAGTGAGGAAGAAAGGACGTGAAAGAAAGAAAAAACAGAAGAACTCAAAAAGCAGCCAGTCTTCGTTCGTTCGCGACATCGAAAGACAAAAGAAAAGAAATGAGACCCAGCCCAATGCCCCCGTACCATTTTCCATGACGCTGTATCCGTAAAAGAAAACTAAAAAGGGATCCGAAGAGGTCAGATGTTTAATGAAGCAAGCTCGCTGTTGAAACCGAAAAAGATAAAATAAAAGCCCTCCAAAAAAAAAGAACAAGTCAGTAAAAAAGACATTTTTGCGCCAAATCCATGGAAATGTTGCCCGTTTTGCCGTGTGGCATGACCGATTGTTCCATCAACTCCAAATAGTGCTAAAGACAGAAAGGTGAACGCGTGGTGTCGGTATCATACAAGGGAATATGCGAAGCCGAAAAAAAACGAAGTAGACAGAAGGAATACCGAATATGGGAGAATAGACCAAGAAGCGAGATCGAGCGACCTCGTGAAATCCGACCACACTAGAAGTTCTCTAACAAGAGAAGAGAACCCAAAGCAAAATCAAGTCCCCCCGGAGAGGAAGAGGATGGGGCAACCGCCAGAGGCTTGGTGGTTTGCCGCCGCCTCGTTTTCCCCTCCGCCTTCGTAGCGGCCGTCTTCATCGCCTTCTACCATCCGCCCCGGCTGGTGGATGGCGACGCGGGGCTCGAACCGCTGAGGTAGGTCAGAGCCATCTCGGCAGCGTCCTCTTTGGCATTGTTGAGATTCTTCCCGTCGTACCAGAAACGAGCCTGGAGTGTTTTTCCATTGATGGTCACTCGGCTGGACCACGCGGTGCGGCCTCCTGAGACGCCATGGAAACGGAGGTCATCGGATCAGCCTTTGCAAATTTTCCTTGGTCTTTGTACCTCACGAGCGAAGGGAAGAGCAAAAGATGCCGAGATGGATTCTGGAGAGCAATAGGGGCATGACACCCAGCGGTTGGGTTAATAAAGTTTGTTGCTTGACTTACCTCGTCTGTCGGATATAATCTGGAATACTGGCGTTCCAATCTGGATTTCCCGGCAAGCCTCTATTAACAGTGAATATGTGTCAGCAATATCAGCATGGCAGAGAAGAGAACGAGAGAGCATCTTACCATCCAACCTGTCCTGCCATGGTGTGCCGCTCTTATAAGACATTGTTCCTTTGTCGGCCCCAAAGCGTTGTTTGGGTTTGGAATGATATCTAGGTGATGACAGGTTCGGCAATAATCGTCTCCTGGTGTTGAGTGTTGAATTGGTCGAAAGTGAGGGGAGACTGGATATAGAGACTGGTTGATCAAAGTTCTTTGGCGTTAAGTCGAAGTAGAAGTTATCGAGAGTGAGAATGGGAACCAACAAAAGCGAAGCTGGTGGTGATGATGGTGGTGTTGTTGATGATGATGATGATGAGAGATGTGTAGAACAGAGGAGTCGGAGGGAGTATTTGGTCGTACTTTGGTTTCTTCTTATACTCCTTCGGTCATGATCTCAGGGAAGACGAAAGGAGAAGCGCTGGTACCATTGGGCGGGTCAACCTAGAACAAGGTACAATCCGAAACCCGGATATTGGTGATGTGGCCGAAAGGGATTCGATATTATGGGACGGAAAGAAATAAGTCAATGGGTAGGTGCTTGCAGTCCGCTGTAACTGGCGTCTCAATCTTCGATCTCCTTCTCTGAGACTCTCTTCTTATTTCTAAGAAACAGTGGTTTCCGCCTTAAGTGGGCGGTTTGCTCGTCGCAAAGGTGCAGGATGGCAGCGAGTGAATTACGGGCAAGGGACGGGACTGTGCATCGTGGGCCTAAGTGACGGATGGGAGACAACTTATTGCGCTGGGTTCCAAGAAGTGCAATTCTCTTCTAAACGAGGGGGCGAAGGGGAGAAGAATGGACAGGTAAAAAAAATAAAGAGGGAAAAGGACCAGTTATCTCGTGTGAAGAGAGAAAGCCCGGCTGGCTGGTCTACGAGCTAGGTACCTTTTTTTTTGGTGGTTCCGCTGGCCTTCCTGCTGCCGGCGTGCGGACGGGGAGCTTTTCTTTGCTTTTTTTCTCAGGTCCGTTTTTTTCTTTTTCCTTCTTCTCTGCTGCCAGTGCGCCTCAACGTTCCGTACGCCAACTCACGTCCCTCTTGGTGAGGCCGTGGCACTCGGGAATTAGATCCATTGGGACAGGAGCAAGCCAGGGCGCTAGCAATCGTGACGGCAGCAGCAACAACAACACGGCATACGCCGGGCTGTATGCACTGGGAGTCTGGCACGACGTAGCATAGATAGATGCACAGTACCTTGATAAGTTAGTGCGGAAACCGACGCCTAGAATCAGAGTCAAGGCTCGGGGCCCGCCGAGCTCGCAAGATGATGCAAGGAGGGAGACCGGGAAAGAAGAAAGCAGGCAAGACGAGAAAAAGCAATATGGTGAGCGGCCAGCCAAAGAAAGGCTTGTCAGCCCACCCGGCCGGCAGGTACGTACCTTATCCAAGGATGGTTCACTAAAACGTCAAGAGATGCTAAGGGAACAGGGCAAAATTGGGGATGTGTTGTACCATCAGACCGGCATTGACATTGTAGAGATCTGATGCCGGGATTCTGTCAGGCTGGGCAGGAATGCCAGAGATTTGGGTGCCAAGGTCTCGCAGTTATGAGTTGTCAGTGCACTTCTAGATCAAATACGGAACCGTATGGGTCTTGCAAGTCTGTGAAAAAAAAAATGCTGCAACCAAACCCCCTCACACAGCTGGGGGGCTCACCTGAATTCCGGGCTGGCAGTTGCTCGTCAAATCAAGGCAGTCACCGGTGGCGTCGGGAAAGATACGGAGGTTGTTGTGCAGATCACCACTCGGTCTGTCGTCGACCGACCCGTCACATCTAGACGGGTGGGATGGCGCCAATTGACAAGCCTGGACTTGCTAGAAGCGGGCTCCGTGTGTTTGCGTCTTCCCATCTCAACTGCGTCGAGCCCGACCGGGGTCTTCCGACGACGAGATCCGAGCGGCCGGGCCAGAGGGGAAGGGCGAGGGAACCGGCAGATGGACAATGGACACCAAACAAGCAGACTAGGCTCACACGAGCATCTAGCGTTGTATTCGCACAGGTACGTATGTTCATACATACTCTCCGTAGCCAGTGACCGATTGTGCTGATGGGCCGTCACGTCCTAGCCATTCTTGATCTGAGCGACCGGGCTGGCGGCGATCAACCGCAAGTGATCCACACCTCCGTTCCCTCGTCCCGGTCCACCGGGAGCCTCACATCAGCGGCGAATAACTCCGTCGTGGGTGATTGCATGCCCAGGTATTGCACATACACTTATGTTGTGCAGCAATAAATGGGCATTCATCGGGCTCTAAAGGAAACGGGGCCTCACCAACCGGACAGGGCTACGAGCAGATGGCGGCATTAACCTATCAGGTGGACAACTGCCTCTTGTTCGAGAGCTTTTGCGCTTGCTTCAGTGAAGTGGCTCTTCCTTGAGCCCCCATTTTGACGAGAGACAGGCAGTCATTGGTTGGACGGCTCATGCTGAAAGCCCCGACAGAACACAGAGGCTGCTTGTCACACGCTACTGTGCGAAGCTGTCTCGAGCACAGCGCCGCAAGACACCAGAATACATCGGACCTTTATTGTCGTATCCATGTACTCCGTGCTGGGAATGTGCAACTTTGTACATGTGCAATACAATGACACATTTGGGTGAGAGAGCAATGCACTTTGTCACTGGACACGCTCCGTAACGCCTTGCTATCTGCCTTGCCGTTACAGCGGCATAGCGCATCCGGGGACTGGAACCGCGGAAGTTATTATTCGAGAAGCGATCGGGGAGTTCGGCGGCGGCATGTGTGTACGGATATGGTAGGTAACCAGGTTCACGCGGTCCCGCAAAGCTTATCAGCCCTGTGCCAATCGCTGGTGGATCGTGGCGTCGAGCAGTACACAGGGTGTCTCGCCAGCACACCAATAGGCCAAGCCTTTTGATCAACTTGCAGGTGATCGGTCGCCTGACAACGCGGCTCACGCACCGGCAGTGCGCTCTTTCAGTTCCAAATCCAGAACTTATGCTTAATGGGCTTCGCTATTCAGGAGGGTTTGGCCAGTCAAGACGGCGAAGCAGGGACTGGTGACGAAGACGTCGACTTTCAAGGCCGTTATAACAGAAGGATACGGATAGAAAAAGCACGAGCCAGGCGTTCAGCCTCGCCCGAGGTGATTGATGTCTTGTGAGCGAAAGTTCGACGCGGCCAGCGGGCGCGCACCCAAGATGACGACGCGACTCGGCAAATCAACCGTATCACGACAGCGGAGTGTGTTCAAGGAAGGCTGGCTGGGCACAACGGCGCCGGTAAGGTATAGATAAAGCCACGGATGCCGCTAGTCGCTAAGGGCGAAAGCGTTGAGTGCTTGCCAGCGGGAGAAAAGAGAAACCGCGTGTGCAACATTGCGCAAAAGCCAGCCAGCGTTTCAGAGCCGTGGACAGCTGCCGTAACCCGTCCCCATGTTGTCCGAAGGCCGGAGCGGCCTTTCCAGTAACATTCGGAGACCGGCTGGCCTTCGGGGCCTCGGAGAAGCATTGATACTGACGACATGGTCGGCGAAGAAGCGCATCGGAAAACAGTTGAGGCAGCGAGGGGCTACTTAAGCCTCGGCCATTTGAAGCAGGCAGCACAGAATATTGCCACCGCGCGGTAGCATTGACCAGCTGGAGAGGTCGCTCGACAACCGACGATAGGACACGGTGAGATGGGACTGACGTTGCCAGCAGAGACAGGTTCCCAGGCCGCGATTTCGCGCATCGGCTCTAGCTAATTTTAGATGCTCGGGCGTTCAGGCTCACATGCATCAGCGAACCACGGGGTTTCTTGCTCGTTTGGGAAGTCGTTGGATGGAGGCTCACACGGGGAGCCCATCAATAGGTCGAGGTTGCGGGTGTGCCTTTGACGCTCGGCCAGCAAAGCCGACGTCCTTCGGGCTACGGCATCTTGTCGCCGTAGCTACCCCTTCTTTCTTTGGCCGCCGCTCCACGGCCATCGCCATCGCCATCGCCACGGAACGCCTCCAACCCGACGATGAATGGGGAGAACGGAGATGCGATACCGAAGTCATTCTTTATACTTAGTCCCTCAATAGCTAAGTACTTCGAGATTGTAGTGTCGGATGCGCCTCCGCGTCGTTTGCGGCTTATCCTGCCTGGCATGGAGGCAGGCAGACCCGGCGGAAGGGCTCGCGGTATGCTAAGCCGGGCCGACGACGGGTAAGAGTTAACCCTCGCATTGTAAGTGCCTTGGTACTACAACCTGGACCACCGAATCAAATCGGATTCCTGGTGGGGAGAAGAAGAGAGTTGGTCGTTGCCAAGGCTGGGCAGTCTTGACAATGAATGCGGTGCGTCGTGGTCGGATTTCGGACAGCCAGGGCAAACAGGCGGATGTCCCCTTCTCCTATCTTACCCACCGCGTCTTCTTTGTATGGGACAGCGAAGAGTCATACGACACATTACCTGCCGAAGTATGCCGATGCTTCAAGCTTAGAGGTTTATAAGGAAGCCGCGGCAGACAATGGAAGCAGGCACGATTGGCACGCGCGACTGCCTCGAGTGGTCTCAGGTCGCGCGCCTAGAATAAGGTATCTCCACAGAGTCCACTCCGAGGCAAGCGCGATAGGAGGCCTGTTGAAACCGTGACGCGGCAGGTCCTTGGCTGGTGTGCCTCTAGGCTCCTTCCATCGAAGTATTTGAACTGCATGTCCAATAGCAAGAGCTCTTTCCGTCAATGTGCCTTCCAAGCCTCCTTGACGACATTGGCATACGGGGACTAGAAGAGCTGAACCGATCCATGGAGGGATTGGCAAAGCGACCCCCTCGGTGCAGTGGATTTGACGGACCACATATTTAGACCTTTGCGCGCGCGATGGGCAGATTGATTTTTGGATCCTTCAAGACGGAGTCCACTCACGTTTTTCTACACGCATATGCTCCACCTACCTCATCTGTCCAGGCCGCTTCTTTCCCCAACTTGAACATTTTCCCCTTTATTTTTTGAAAATAAGGAAATATCGTATCCGCCTTAATCGCGAAATATCCCATCGTCATGTCGTACCCGCAGCAGCAATACCAGAACAGCCCCCCTCCACAGGCCTACTATCCCCAAGGATACTCTCCTCAGCAAGGACCTCCACAGGGATATCCCCCTCAGGGATATCCTCAAGGCCAGTCTTCCCAAGGCTACCCTCAGCAGGACCATTCTGCTCAGGGCTACCAGCAAGGACCGCACCAAGGGTAGGCTCCGCGACCTTCCTTCGTTCAGCGACGAGGTATCCGTTAGGGTTCCAAAACCTCCTCGGTCCAACGGAGTTTATGTCTTTCGAGGGCTTGTCCCTTTAGGTGGCCAAACGGAGCCTGCACGCTGCTGCCCTTTCGAGCGCAATTGCTAACTCGCTTTGCTTCCTCCAACGTAGTTACCAAAATGGCCCGGGAAATCAGGTACGCCGCGCAATGTGAAGAATGTTTTTCTCAACGAGGGGTCCCACGAGATGCCGTGTAGCACAAGAAGCGCAGATTATGTTGTGTGCAGCAATCAAGCTGACAGGATGGCTTTTTTTAGATGAATTATGCTCCTCCGCAGCAAGAGAAGAAGGAAAACGACCGCGGCTGTCTCTACGGATTGTATGTTGTTTCCATTTCCGTTTTTCTTCCAGTATCGGGGCCGGTCAGGAACGGAGAGCTGGCACACCGAGTCCTCTGCCCTAATTTATGCCCCGACTTGATGCTTTTGCTGGCACGCCGTGAACTAATATTTCTTAACAGCATGGCCACATTCTGCTGCTGCTTTCTCTGCTGCGAGACATGCGATTGCTGCTGCGATATTTGCTGCTAGTCGGCGAGTAACCGCCAGGGGGTGCAAATCAATACGCCCGGAACCGGAGAGTAAAAGGATCCGCTGAGCAATGTTGAGCCTTATACCGGCGGCTATTGCAAGTGGAAGATTGATGAGTGCCAAGGCGACGGAGGGACGAGGCGGGCCGTCGCAAACAAGAAGCGTTGCTCAAGTGTACCACCAGGCCCATCTCGCAATATCTCAGGTGGCATATTCAGAGATGCCGCGATATCCAGGGAAGGAGGGCATCAAATAGATGTTTGCTTCGTAGGGGGTAGAGAGCTTGTGTGTAACCGTCGTTGTGAGTGGGACCAATGTCAGTGGAAAGCTGAGAGAGTGACCTGCAAGGTAGATGCAAACCTAACCCGTGCAGAAAACCCTGTAGGCAAGGTAGCTAGCTCATACGTATGTAGGAATATACATCAACATAAGGTACTGTAAAGCTTTGATATAGTTGTCGGTTTCCTTCTAATAGCCAAGGGCAGGTTTCTTGGAGGGTTCCTATGTATATGGCTATAAAAGAACTGGCTAAATTCCTGTGTGTACTGTACATAACAAAATCCAGGTTGCAATCACAAGCTTGAGACAGCAGCCAACAAAATCAGGTTTCCAGAAGTATCCTGAAGCAAAGTCTCCATTGATACCTCAAAATAGCCACACTTGTATTTAATGCTTGTCATAAGCTCAAGTAGGGAGTATTTTATGTAGTTAGTAGGTTTATCTCAGACAGGGGTTACTTCATCTCAAAGTTGGCACTAGATATTGGGTCTTGCTTCGATTCAGGTGTTGCTTAAGCTCGGCTTTGGCCGAGTCACCCCTGCCAGTCAGAGGTTGAACAGACCCAAGGAGAAGTCCTTTGAACAAATTATAGAAAAGGTCGCCAGAACATTCGGCTGCAGAGTTGCATGCCAATATCACATCAACCCATCTATTCCTAGGATTTGCGTCTTGTTGGATTATTGTATTTTAATTCGAATTTTAAAACGAAAGAGGATGCCTTTTGGTGTCAAATGAGGGGGTGGCCGGATACTTTCGAACCCCCGCTGTGCCTCGGTTCCCGAGCTTCCCCAAGCCAACGGCGCAACATGGCCCATTGTCTCATCTGACCTTGTCAGCCACCGACTCACACAGCCATATCAAAAGGCAATTCCTCTCGAGCTTCTACTCTTTGTTTCCCCTCTTCAATTCTCGAATTCTGGGCTAAATTAACTTTTTATTTTACACGCGCGCAACGAACGCATCCCGAACTTACTTGACCCCATACCTGACCCGACAGCCCTGTGCCTGTACCTGTATAGTATAGTACGGCCATTCCCCAGGCCATTCCTTGCCGCCCCCTGAAGACAGAAGATGCCTTTCAACACAGAACTGACGCGCCGGCTCGGCATCGCTGGTACGTGCCTCCGAAAGCATCCCGATATTTTCCTCACCTGCCGTTCCGCTCAACGGGCCGGCCACTCTGTTAGGAGGATGGAGCTTTTATTATAACAATGCGTGGCATAAAATATGCATTCACTAACATGTGGTTTTCTGAAATATTACAGTGCCTGTCGTGCAGGGTGGCATGCAAGTGAGTTGGCCACCGACTCTCCACAACTTCATGGTCTTACTGGTTGCTAACCTGTCCACCTCATCAATCAGCATGTGGGCTACGCTGAGATGGCGAGTGCCGTGTCGAATGCGGGCGGCCTGGGCATCATCACGGCGCTGATATTTCCCGACCCTGAGGGGCTGCGCCAGGAGATCCGCAAGTGCCGGAAGCTGACCAGCAAGCCGTTCGGCGTCAACATCACCCTGCTCCCCGCGCTGGTGCCCCCCAACTACGACGCCTACGCCCAGGTCGTCATTGACGAGGGCGTCGAGATCGTCGAGACGGCCGGCAACTCGCCCGGCCCCGTCATCTCCAAGCTCAAGAAGGCCGGCTGCATTGTGCTCCACAAGTGCACCACTATCAGGCACGCCGAGTCCGCAGTGAAGTTGGGAGTCGACTTTTTGAGCATTGACGGCTTCGAGTGCGCTGGGTACGTTTATTGTGACTTTTGATGACATCATCCCTACTATCCAACTCGTTTATAACACTTGACAAAACTGACCTCTTGTCTTACACCACTACAGCCACGTTGGTGAATCAGACATCACCAACTTTATCCTGCTGAGCAAGGCGCGGCAGACGCTCAAGGTGCCTTTTATCGCGTCGGGCGGCTTCGCCGACGGGCAGGGGCTGGCGGCGGCGCTGTGCCTAGGGGCGTGCGGCATTAACATGGGCACGCGGTTCCTATGCACGGTCGAGAGCCCGATCCACATCAAGATTAAGGAGGAGATTGTGCGGGCGCAGGAGACGGACACGGCGCTGCTGCTGCGGCGCTGGCGCAACACGACGCGCCTGTACCGCAACAAGGTGACGGAGCAGGCGCTTAAGATCGAGCAGGAGAGCACCACAGGCGAGTTCTCTGAGATCGCGCCCTACGTGAGCGGCAAGCGCGGCCGCGAGGTGTTCCTCAACGGCGACCCGGAATATGGCGTCTGGACGGCCGGGCAGGTCATCGGGCTCATCCACGACATCCCCACGTGCAAGGACCTCATCGCGCGCATCGAGAAGGAGGCCGAGGCCACCCTGACGGAGAAGACGGGGCTGTACGCCCCTGTTGCCCCTTCGGCAAAGTTATAGCACTGTCAAGGGTGATTTTGTATATTTATTGTCGGCGTCGGTCTATTGCATACCTCGGTACATTAGATAGCTCATTTCTCTTAGGACTCTGGTGACGCCTTTCCGTTTCACTCCTTCTGTTTGATCCGACTCGCGAGCCGAGTCTAACATGAAGTGTGATATCAGGCTAGGAATTTCTTTTAGATTCACTACTAGAATCAAATTCATTGTCAGAATCAAATTTATGGAGTGAGCAAGAAGAAACATATGTCGACTGCATTGCTCAGCGTGCAAGCCGAGGTAGCGAAGTGGGAAGTGGCCCACATACCCACCCCTAACCCTAACCAAAGCGTACCCATGACTCGCGTTGGCATCGAGTGGTCAGCTGATCGACCCCTGTAAACGATGGGCTCGGCTCAAAAATGTAGCGGCTCAATTCCATGCCCGCCCGAGGCCTACGGTCTCTCACTGGGACGGCGCACCAGTGGGGGAGGGGAGGACCTCGGCATGTGCTTCGTCTGCCGAACGATGTCGTGGGTTTCTTCGTCAGCAGGCCATGATATTGTCGTTGTCCGTTCTGCTATTCCTACCGTCTTTTATTACCTTAGTATTCTAGTCTGTGATTGAGCAGAAACGGTACCTTGCATCCAACACAGGGCAACTGTAACTCCCCGACCTTTTGTGCTTACAACAACCCCTCGCCACGTTCCCCAACTTCCTAAAAATTTCCCGGCCGAGGGATAGATATCCGAATCCCCGCGCGATCGCAGCAGTTGCCGCCCGCACGACCTAAGTAGATACGAGACATAAGCCAATCGCCCATCATGGTCGCCGACGCAGTCGTCTATCACCCGGCGGTGTCGCACTACCTCAAGTTCGTGGCGACGACGGTGGGGCGCGACAAGCTGCTGCGCACGATCCAGTACTTTGCGCGCTTCTACGCGTGGTACCTGCTGCGGACGAACCGGCCGGCGGCGGCGGTGCAGCCGTGGGAGGCGGTCAAGAAGCAGTTCGGGCTGGTGCGCAAGGTGCTGCGCGCGGGCAAGAACGTCGAGCACTTCAAGGCGGCCGCCGTAGCCGCCGACGCCCGCAACATGGATCCCGTGCTGCGCTACGCCGCCGTCGGCCGCCAGCTCGGCTACGCCGGCTACCTCACCTTCGACCTCGCCACCCTGCTCGACACGCTTGGCGTCCGCAAGTCGCCCGCTACCAAGCGCTTCCAGCGCGAGGCCTTTCGCTTCTGGGCCATGGGCCTCGCCTGCAGCGTCGTCGCCCAGACCTACACGCTGTACCGGCTGCGCCAGCGCGAGGCGCGCGTCGACCGCAAGGAGGGCGAGGGTGTGGTTGAGAGCAAGCGCATTGTCCTGTGAGTTTTTGTTCATTCCATTTTCGTCTTCGTCGTTTCTCTCGCTCATGCGGCCTGCTAACCGGATGTGTCTATCTACATAGGGAGCGCGCTGCGAGCCGGCTCCAGCTGACATCCGACCTCTGCGACCTGGCGGTTCCGCTCTCGGCCCTGAACTGGGTCGGCTTCGACGACGGCTTTATCGGCCTCGCCGGCACGCTGAGCAGCTTGATTGGGCTTTACTCTCAATGGAAGAAGACGGCATGAGCGCAGAGAAGGAGGGGAGAATGGTTCTAAATGTGTACAAGTACGAGGCAGAAACCCCCGTAAACCAAGTCCGAAATAGAGAAGGGAAGCGATGATGCTGCGGAGATATAGTTCAGACCGGCTAGAACTGCCTTACGCTCGCTGGGATTTTAGAGATAGCTCTTTTCGCGGCCATTGCTTGAACAGCTACTATCCGTTTGTTTTGATACCTTGTTGTCCTAATTGCGCCATTGGAACCACTTGTTGGCCATTGTCTTTCCAGATATCGTGTACCTCTCGCATTTCACTCCGCATCCTAGTTGTTCTTAGTGTATTTGCCCCCTACGTCACACGAGAAGACAAACGAGTGTCATGACTGAAGCGTATTAGCTCTTTTCAGATATGAATGGCTCACCCGTCACGTGGTAGTTGTTGAAGTTTGATATACATGTGTGTCTATGCACAAATGTATATATACCTATCAATAAGGTGGCACGTGGGTGTTCTGGGGTCAGGCAAGCAATGGAACTTCTTCTGCAGCGATCCAAGTCTGAAGTGGTTGAACGATGGGACTGCCCCTTCGGCCCCACCCCCACCACCAAAGTTCCCAAAAGATGCAGGCTGATGGGCTCGTAGGGGAATGAAGACGACCCCACCATCCTTCCCACGGAGGTATTAGTACTCCGCGAGCTGTTGCATACCGCAAGAGCTCCATCGTCGTGGAGTAAAGCTAATTCCTTGTTGGAAATCGACCAGGGGTCGCAGGGCAGTGAACGGGGCGCTGTTTGTGGCCGTCGTGTAATGGTACTGTACCTATGTATGCCTGCGGCGCGGCGATCAGATCGCCCGTTTGAGCTTGAAACCTGCCGCACGAGAAAAGACGCTTCACTCAGACGGTCAGATTGGTGTTACCTAGCATTTGGGAAGTGCAATTAAAGATCTGAGCTGAGAGGTGTCTCTTTTCTACGCAACACAACGAACGGCCTGGGGCATTTGATATTCCCATGCTCACATTAGCTACCTTATATACCTTACCTTCCAAATATAAAGGGAGTATTTGTATTCAGTTTGTTAGCCGGCCGAACTATAGCCGCCTACCGGATACACAGCCCCTAATCCGGACGACTAACGTCAATTAGCGCAGCAAACCAACAATGGAAGTGACGCACTTGAAAACCTGTAGAGAGGCTGGAGGGGGGGGGCGACCGCAGCTGGTTTCACCCCCCAAGCATCGTCTTTGCCCACCGTTTCACCGACAGATACCAACTCCATGACGGGCAGCACGTTGAGGGCGGTAAGGAGATGACAATGCCAACGAAGTGATGCTTACAAGTTGCCTAGATCTCGTATGTCTGTACTGTACAGCACATACATATAGTAGTGCCTGCCCTGCTAGTAATTTTACTGATTCGTCCATCCATTTGTGAGGCTTCCAACCTGAGATTTCCCATGTAATTGGACAACAAGTCCCACACCGAACAGTACTTGTACTTGGTTCTCTCCCACTCCCATGGAATATTCCACGTATTCCCTCCCTGTCCCAACGCGCGCCACTGCCTTGCCTGGGGAAATCTGCAATCCGCGTAGGTAGTGTACGGATGTCCCAACTCCGTCCGTGCATGTATGTACAGTACATACATCCTAGTAGTTCTAGTTGGTCCCTAGCATGAAATCTGGCGTCTGAACTCTGAAGCTTCCCGGTTCTAAAGCCTACCTCGCCTTCCCCTCCACATCGTCCCCCACTTCTCAGCCGTCGGATTCACAAGCTCTCCAGGGAGGAACTGTTCAAAGCCACAAAACTCGTCATCAAGTCTGGTTTGAGTCTCACACTCGGAACGCAAACAGCAAATACGAACGCCGTTTCACATTTTCGCAATACTAGGTTGTCCCACGAAAGAACTTGAAGAGTATAGACAAAGGAGCATAAAAGAGAACGACACCGGCGCCTGCCACGCGACATAAAAAAGCTTCTATCCGCCCTTGGGAAGCTTATTGTCGCGCGTTTCTGAACTTCAACATCAGACGGTGCACCACAACGCCCCCTACACGTCTCCGCAACCACCAATTGGCTCACCACAACACGTCCTAGTTCTGCCCTTCCCCCTCGGCCAGCAATTATGGCTGCGCCAGCTGAGTTGGGAGAGCTGGGGCTCTCCATCGTCGGCCTGGGCAGCGAGTACCCGCCCTACTCGCTCAAGCCCGACGCCCTGGAGACGTTGGCCCGGAAGTACTACCCAGAGTCGCCGGCGTAAGCTCCCCTCTCCTTTCTCTGCCATGCATGCATGTAGCAAATATGGCTTGCTGGCTGGCTAGCTGGCTGACACTTGTCGACCGAGAAACAACCAGCATGCAAAAGGTGCTCGCCATCAACCGCTACACGGGCATCGACTACCGGTCCTCGATCGGCACGGCCGACCACCCGCTGGTCAACCAGGACCATGCACCAAGCATTACCGAACTCCACAAGATATTCATGTCTGACGGAGTCCCATTAGCCATCGGCGCGGCGCGTAAAGCGCTAGCCGAGGCTCGCATCGAGCCCGCCCAAGTCACGCATGTGGTATCTACAACGTGCACCAACTCGGCTAACCCGGGCTACGACCACTTTGTAGCCAAGGCGCTAGGGTTGGGTCCGGGGGTCGAAAAGGTGCTGCTACACGGGTGCGGGTGCAGTGGAGGGCTAGCGGCGCTGAGGACGGCGGCGAACCTATGCCTAGGCCACGCCATGCGCGGCAAGCCGGCGCGGATCCTAGTGGTGGCTCTCGAGGTCAGCACCTCTATGGTTCGCAGCGAACTCGACAGCATCAACGCGACGCAAGAGACGCGCATCGGCGTGGCCCTGTTCAGCGACTGCGGCAGCGCTGTGGTGCTGAGCAACGGCATCGCCGACCACAGCAACAGCACCGGCATTCCACCCCCCATATATGAGCTACTAGGCTGGGAACACCGTGTCATCCCGGACACGGAGGAGGATCTCGGCTTCGACGTAGACCCGATCGGCTGGAAGGTGGTGCTTTCTCCCCGGGTCCCCAAGCTTACGCAGGCTGTGCTCGCGCCAACGTACGCGGCCATGATGAACTCCCTTCCGCCGTTGCCGAAAGCGTACCAGATTCCGGCCGACTTTGACTGGGCCATGCATCCCGGCGGGGCCACCATACTCACGGGCGCCGAGAAGGCCATGAACATCTCGCCCGAGCACATGCGCGCCAGCTACGACACGTACATCCGCCACGGCAACAGCAGCTCGGCCACCATCTTCAGCGTGCTGGACCGCCTGCGGTCCAAGGAAATGGACGAGCTAGCACCCGGGGGGCGGGTCCGCGACTTTGTCATCGGCTGCGCCTTTGGTCCCGGCATCACGGTTGAGATGTGCATGCTCAAGCGGAACATGGCGACCGGGGATAGCATCATCCTGTCAGGGCTGCAGACGCCGCCCGAAACAGAGAGCGAGGCAGGCAGCGGCCCGAGCGAAGACGGCATCGACGAGGACGAGGACGAGCCAAGACCACACGGCCAGGGCCAAGACGGCACCAACGCGGCGAGGAGTAGTCGTCGCGATAGCGACAGCGCAAGTGGTAGTAGTAGTGGCTTAAAAGAGTCAGCGGCGGAAGACGCGTTTATAAACGAGGCGATGGAGCACGTCGAGCTGGACTGAGGACGCGGCCGCGCAGAACTCGTTTATAATGTTGCCAAACAGATCAGAGACAGCGATTCCCCGCCTTTCTTTTCTTCTCGTTTTTGTAAATACCGTTTTCTGATTCTCGGCGCTGAAAATACAGGATTGAAAACCTTGAAAAGAAAGAATCATAATGAGATCCATGTTGTTGATGGGCGCTTACTCAGACCTTGTCGTTAGGACGAAGTTCAAGTTGTGCGGCGTAGTATGTCAACCCAGTCACGGCTAAGAAACGAAGGCAGACTAGCGACTCGGCTCTCGATTACCTGCCTCTTGGCTCGCCTAGAACCCCAAGATTGGCCGGTGCCGCCATGCGAGCTGACATGATTATGCCGAAAGCCTTGGGCACCTAATAAGTAGTAGGTAAGATAGCCATGAGAATATATATGCAAGGTATGTGAGAAGGCGCCTCCACTTGTATACAGTCTCGTCAGAATACAAACACACATCACGTCCGTCCTCGGTAGGTACTGGCAGGTAGGTAATGCGCGCGTGTGGTGCACGGCCGCATTCGAACGGAGCAGAGCGGGATAGGTAAAAGCAGTGCAGTTGGCGGCGGGGATGGGAACCTGCCAAAAACAAAAACAAGAACGTGAAATCTAAGGTACTGTTGAATGTTGAGGCAAGGTCGAAGTCGTCTTCCTAGCCCGGCGCCGGCTGTCCCTAGTTCTAGTTCTGGTTCTGGTTCTGGTTCTGGTTCCAGTCTGTCGTACTCGCGAGAGCGGGGCCGCCTCGGCGAGCTACAAGAGAGAGGTATAAGACACTCATGCCTAGGTATGTACCTACTTAGCTAGCTAGCTGGTTTGGGATAACAAGGGCATGAACCAAGTCGGCTGACGAATTGCGTGGCTCTTCAATTGCCCCTGAAATTTGGTTGGTTACTTTATGTAGGTGAATACCTAGGTAGGTAGGCAGCTCTCATATATCACCAACAGCTTCATGAACCAGCCCTCGGAGCGGGTTATACGAAGAAATCAATAATACTGAGAGAGGTCGGGCGTACACACCAATCAAGATCCCTCGCCATCTTAGAAAGCCATTAGGCTGCAGAGTGTCGCAGACAAAAATGCGCGAGCAGAAGAAGAAAATATCAAGTCGCAAACTCCGCATGGAAGTATTCGTAGAATAGCCACTACTACCTAGTCCATAGAATATAGAACAGGGAGAAAAATCCATAGAGCGCGCGCATAAGCACTGGACTTTCCATTGCCATTACCAAGTACGAAATACTATCCCCGTGCAAAGCCAAAAGCTCTGAGAAGGCAGATAGGGTATCAAGCTCGTGATTAGTTCCGAGGCAGCCCGCACAACAAAACATACGCATAGAGACCCTCGTAAGACCAATTATTCGTCTTCCACGTCCCCCTTGAGATAGTCATTTACGAGCTTGCCTTCTCGGCAAGAGCGGGGTCCACCGCCTCCTCCAGCGACCCCAGACTCTCACCCTTCTTAAGGCCGAGCTGGCGCGTGTCGTAGCCATTCTCCTCGAGGTATGCACGAAACCGGGCGTCCTCGTGGGTGATGGTGTCCTGGCCGATCTCAGGGAGGCAGAAGATTACGAGCACGGCGCTGAGGATGCACAGGCTGCTAGACACCCAGAACGGGTACTGGGCCTGCAACGTGTCCGAGTTACCACCGGCCGCGGCAATATATGGAAAGACCCAGGTGCCGACAAAGGCTCCGATCTTGCCGACGGCGGCCGCGATGCCGTAGTACTGGCCCCGCACACCCGTCGCGCACGTCTTGGCTGCGATAAGGCCAATGTTGTTGCCTGGACCCAGCTCGCCGAGCGACTGGAAGATGCCGTAGACAACGGCGAATGCTCCCACCATGCTCGGTTGCGCAAGGCGGTCGTAGCAGGCCGCCATGATGAAACCTACGATGGCCTGCAGTGTGACGCCAATTGCAAGCGCGTAGCGAGGGCCGATCCAGTCCGAGACGGGTGCGCCCAGCATCGTCCCCGGAATGTAGAAGAGGTTGATGACCGTGTTCCATCCAAAGACGGTCGTGAGCGGCGCAGTGGAACTGTCGAAGATATTGGCCAGGATCGGGGACGAGTAGATGCTAAATGAGTATGCCGAGAACTAGCCAAGAATATTCGTATAAGTAGTTGCCCTTATTTCCATGACTCGAGGTGAACAAGAAGATACTCACATCGTAGAGAAACCAGATCAAGCTGACGGCAGCCAAGCGGGGGCCGTAAAACTTCAAAACCAGTAGGTAGGGCGTCTTAGCGTACTTCATCGAGTTTCGCTGGTACTCCGCAGGCTCCTTCAAGTACACACGCAAAACGAGCAGACTGAGGGGGAACACAACGCCAATTCCGAGGCTGGTACGCCAAATGGTGCTGAGATGCTCGTTGTTGCAAGCTGCCGCGACTACATAGGGAACAAATGCGCCAATGACAAACCCCTTTTAGTTCTCAGGGTCAGCCCAGCTCAGCCTTGGGAGCCAAACATCTCCACGCGGTAAAGAAACTCACCCAGTCGATCATGGTGTTGGTGAACATGATGAACCACAGATTCCTCGAGCCGGCCTTGAGCTCGCCAGTCGACTCGGCACATCCTACGCTGCCAGCAGGGTATTCACCCCCTATCCCAATGCCGACCTGTCGTGTCACAACAAAGTCAGAGCGCGTCCCCAGTGGTAGCGGCCAGAGGCGGCGTTTCGTCAACTTACAAAGAAGCGCCAGGCTGTTAGAATGTTAAACATGCCAACCGGGTCACCGTGGTAGTACGAGCCAGCCGCGAGCGCGGTGAAGACGATCAGAATCAACGTCGAAGTCAGAAGGGTGTTGGTCCGTGACCACTTGTCGGATCTGTCACGAGGAAGTCAGGAGCTGTTGCTATATATCCACATGCCACGGGAGAGGGCAGGATATGAGTTTATGCCCCTCGCAGACGTACAGGTAGCCAAAGACCAGCTGGCCGACGACGGTCCCGGCAAACGCAATGTCGCCGAGATAGTGCTTGGCGTTGGACGTCTTCCACACGTCGCCATATTGAATGGCCAGGATGGTGACGACAGATCCAATGACCTAGATTTCGAGTCAAAACGAAGTCGAGGCAGATATTAGTCTGTGGACGCGCGCGCTTTGATTTCGCTAGACTAATGGGGAGAAGACGGAGAACGTGTCAATTTCGGGAACCCACGTTGTTGATGTAGCCGTCTGAGAAGAGTCCGGCACCGCATGCTATGACTGGGAGGATCGCGGACCAGAACGAACGGGATTCGGCCAGGGGAGGAGCCTGGGGGGCATTGGCAACGGCGCCAGCGCCGGCATCAACAGGCGACTCGGCCTCCTGAGCCTCGGCTTCGGTCTCTTTGTTGCGGCCAGACATGGTAATTCTCATCGGCGTCCGTTCTGCAACCTGGAGAGGAGAGACGACGATCCCGTATCGATATCGGAGGAAAAAATACGGCGACGCGACTCAAAGGATAGAGCGCGGCGGCAACAATGAAGGATGAGTTTCGGTAGTTTGTCGCAAACCAGCTACGTAGCTAGGCGATCAAATAGAATCGACCCCGCGCACACAGGCGCACGGTAGTAGAAGAAAGCTCGTGTGAAGAGGCTAGGTAAGGTTTGATGAGGAAGGAGAGACAACCTGTGTGGGTTTGGTTGAAGTGGTGGGGAAGGCGGAGGGGGAAGCGAAGGCGAGGGGGGGAGGGGATGGGATGGATGGGGGAAGCTATTTCAGAGCCGAGGGGAATTCCAATCTGCAGATCCCCGGCGGGCAAGAGAGTCAATTCGCAGAATGCAGGATAAGTTCGGGTAGGGGTCCTAGGTAGCAGGTAGCTTTGGAGGGACAAGGTAAGGTATGATAGGGATGCACGTTCTATGCGTGCACTCAAACTGGGCCTGGCGAACCACGTCCCTGCAAACCCTCTCCAAGGTACCTACCAGAGGTATGGCTAGGTTGGGATGGTTGGGAACAACAAAGCATGCGACCTGGTGAGCGCCTTCTTCACCTTAGTTCCTTGCGCCAACCATGCTTCCCTCCAAACTCAAATACTGGGGCAGAGCCAGCACGGACACACGTGGAGCAACGTGAGGACGACGAGAAAAGTTCCCTTCAACTACAAGAAGGGTCCTTGCCGCCTCCCCTGGGGCGTTCGTAGTGATACCATCATCAACCCCGTCGGCCTCTTTCCCGTAATGAGACATCAATAAAGCTCAGGGAGCTCCTCGGGCAGGCCGCCAAGCGACTGGGAGCTATCCTTGGCCGTCACATGCTTAATGCTTGGTGGTGGGCGCTATCGTGCAGCAGAGCCCCTTTACAACCTAACTTGGGCGTGGGCGGGCGGTAGGTAGGTAAGGGTTGGAAACCAATCTTGGTTCTTGGTCAAAAGTAGCTGGCCCAAAGACTCGATGAAAAAAATCACATTATAATGAAAGAGGCAGGTGACGTTGTCGTGCATAGACCGGGGACAAGCTTTTGGCGTTTCTCTGGGCGGGGAGCTACCCCGCTAAGAGCTAGCCCAGTCCTGGGCAGGTGGGGTCGCTGGAGTGGCGCCCGCCCTCCCCCGTTTAAACGCACTGAGCCTCGGCCAATCGAAGGCCAAAGCTGCACAGGCCACAGAGTCACGTCTGCATGAGGAACTGCAGCCGGCATTGGCCGCCATTTTCCATCTTTCCAACGGATGGGGGGCATGTCTCAGAGCGCTGGAACATTGATTCTCTCAGCTGAGCTGCTTTATCAAATACAATGGCACGTCGAAGTTCGAACTGGCGATGATGGATGCTTGGCGCAATTGAATTGGAGGTCGAGATAGAGTGCTCTCACAAACTTCCGGCCGCGTCGCCTCAGCACAGCACAGGTTTGGTGCGCCGCATTGGCCTCGGTACTCGAGCTCGAGGCTTCCTCGATCAATCCGAGGTTGCGGACTCGAACAGATAGATAGGACTGTCGGTTATCGCAGTTCGGCTATCCATACAGCGTCGCACCGCTGCAGGAGCATTTCCCCCCGATAAGCGACCAGAGATGGAAGAGCCTTGGGATACCTAGTTGCGCCCCCCCTTCTCTAGGTCGTGCACAGCTAAACACTGCTGCAAGCCCGCCCGGTAACGGCAACAATGCTGTATTCAACCAGGCCGCAGGTCGCTGGCCTCGGGGCTTCACCGACAGTTTGGTCGGCATGTCCGAACCTAACCCACTTAACTTTGCGCGGTACCTATAGCGAACACATAGTACACGTGTGCAGCCACCGCCGAAGCAGGGCCGGAGACTGGTAGCTTTCGCTACAACACTATCGATATGCTGGTGGAGGGTTGCTTGTCAAATTCCCGACTATGTATGGTACAGGTATCTATAGAGAAAACTTAGATTCAAGGCACTGGCCGAGTCAGTCGGTCCCCTTCGCTTGGCGGCACAGAGTGAGTGAGCCGACGGTAGGGGTTTCCGCTGGCCAATTATCAAACCGGCAAACCCACGTGTTTTTATAAAGCCCAGGTCGTGGATCTTCCAAACCACCGGGAAGGTTGGTGGTCGACGTGAGTTCCTCATTCGAGCTCGTTCATCCAAAAGCCGTGAGTTGGCGTGCATTGGACAGGTCCTCCCTCTGCTCTCTCTTGAACATCTTGCTTCTGAATTGTCGTCTTCCGAGTGTCTGCCAACCTTCATCGCCTCCATCTGAAACCGAGGGTGTCACGAGTTGGTTGTTTGTACTTCTAAACCGCTAGGCTGACCCGGCGCCGCGCCGGCATCTATCCGAAGCCAAGGCCAATTGCCGTCAACGCCATCTCCCGATTGGTATCCGTCCTGTGCAGTAAATTGTCACAGCCAAAGCACGGGCCCATCTTCGATTCAACACCCAGATTTGGAGATAACAAAGTTGGTCTTCTCTTATTTATTATTTATCATTTTCGTAGCCCGTAATTCGACATGCTTGGTGTAGAGGGTCTTGGCCTGGCCTATATAGCCTTGTCAAAACGTAAAAAAAGCCTTTCATGTTCTGGTCTCCCCGCGTACCCGTCGGACTGACAGGTCATGCCGGCGTCATCGACAATATGGCTGGTGTAGTTTGAGTAGATGGCCGCGATGATAAGTTTCATTTCTAGGAACCTAGATGTTAGTCTGATGAGGACGCGAAGACAAACGAAAGTGTCACCCAGCCACTCACCATGCATTGCGAAATTGGATCCGATGCACATCCTGCCCCCGGAACTGAAGGCCCAAAACTGTCGTCTCTGAAGCTTTTTTCTTTCCTCCTCGCTGTCATCAGCCGATGGAAGCCACCGGGTGTAGACCCACCTCTCCGGTTCAGGGAATATATTTTCGTCGCGGTGCAACGTATATGGCATCGCCGCTATCCGAACCGTCCCCGGAACTTTGTATTTCCCAATCTGGCAACCTGCTTGCGGCGTTTGGCGAGGCTGCGCGCCTGGGAGAGGGGCGTGAAGACGAAGTGTCTCCATGACCACAGCGTGAAGCAGCGGCAAGCTGTCAAGTTGCTTGTAATCTGGCAAGAGGGTTTCCTTGCCGCCTTGATCCAAACGCATATTTGGCGCAAGACCAGCGAGCTCAGCCCGAAGCGCCGCCTGAAGGCTCAGTGACTGGGACAGCTGCCAACTCAAGTACGACAATGTTATCCCGGTCGTCTCCTGGCCAGCCATGGCATGGTCAAAGAGCTCAGAGACGACAGAGAAGGGCGTATTCAAAAGCGCCTTTGGATACAGAACCGAAGTAGTTCCGTGAGCCTCAAACTCCTTTTGGAGGCCAGAAACTAGAGCATTCCAGACTGTTGGTTGGCTGACGGAAGCTGCTGATGTCCACTTAGCTGAAGTGAATCTCTTGGCCGTTGCCTGACATAGCCCCTGGCACCAGTCTCCGAGCTCCTTGTTGGCCGCGTCTACCCATTTGGGGCACAGAGGAATGCTCATCTTGCGACAGATACGAGCAAGTCGAGGCATTTCATTGTCGAAGAACCCATAGTCGTTACGGGCCTTGTACAACTCGAGAAAGTGGTCTCCATATGCCCTTTTGCTTAGGAAGTTAGAGCTATTATCAAGACCAAAGATATAGGCGGTGATGAAGTCCATGGTGGCTGCCATAAATACCGAATACATGTCTATGCAATGGTTCGCCGGCGATATTCCGAGCAGGGGAAGAAGCCTATCATAGAGAAGAGCACGGGCCTGAGCGGCGGCCGACGGGCTGGACTGGATGTAAGATTTGGAGTATACGTTCGATATCAGCCGCTTCCGTGCTGAATGCTCTGCTGCGGCCCGTTCTGAGAACATGCAAGGGACGCTTTGGGACCACGAGTGAGCAGACGGCGGCAGACGGCGGCAGGCGCAGGACTCAACTCCATCTCACTGTCGGTAACGGTGACACACAGCACACAAGCACTTACCCATAGTTGTCGAAGACGGAGTACCAGGCCGGCTTGTCGAAGCCGCCCTGGTAGACAGTGCGGACGCAGTCCATGTCATTGATGCTTAGCTCATTGGGCCCGATGCGGATGACAGGGCCCAGCCGGCGATGGGCATCATGGAGTGTTCTGTTCTCCCTGTGCACGAAGCGGATGCCGAGGATCCAGACGCGTGATAAGGGCGCTGACCAGTGCGCGTTTGGGATTTTGGCCAGCGGCGACAAGACGGCGGGTTGGAGTATGCAGCGCCACGTAAGAATTACGGCCAAAGCAGCGCCTATGAGAATGCTCAGCGGTGAAACCTCATTAACAGCCATATTGTCAGTTCCTATCTCTGAGTTTCGAGATTGTCAATGGCGTCGCTTGCCGTGACGAAGGTGGACCCGTTGGAGCAGGCAGCACTCCGTTGTGTTGGCACAAGGTGCATTGCTAGCGCTTCCAACATCAGGCATGTTACTCATAGCCTGGAAACCGTATAGGGGCTGTGTGGGTCCTGGAATAGATCGTATATACGTGTATTATACGATTTTAACTATGTTCCATAAAGTTCAACCATGAAATGGTAGTTGTATTTCAGTGTATTTCGAATTTACGATACTGTATTCATTTTGCTCTGTCAACTCGGCTTGCAAATCCCGTCCCAGTTAAAAAGTTGATCTCAGCCTCGGACTTCCCCGAGTCACTTTGGCCAGCAGTGTTAGAAATCTTTTTGCTACCCCCATATCTGCCTCTAGTATCTACCTTAGTTATATCACCGTCGCCGGTTGCGTCTAGAAATGTACGAATTTAACAATAATTCCAGATCCATTCGTTACCAATTACAATCACAATCACACCTTCGCCAGACATAAGCCAAAAGAAAGAGAAAATGAACGGCTTACGGACAGAGCGCCACAGAGTGCAAGACATCGAACTAGCGATGGCTGCACTAACCACGAACCAGAGCCTGGCGGACCTACCAAACGAGATATTGCTCCTTGTTCTGGCAAATCTCGAAAGCGCTCGGGACATGCGATCCGTGGCCCTAGCGTGTCGGCGACTGCACCAGCTCGTGAGAGACGAGGGCTGGAGGGTTTTTGTAAAAACCGGCTTCAGCTCCATGTCGGTCCCTGAATCTAGGAAAGGCCAACACAACTGGCGGCAGCTGGCCGAGTCCCTTACGTGGCAGAGCCGCTGCTGGGACAGGCGAGCGCTCCAGTTCCAGAGCTTTGTTCCTGTTTCCGCGCCCCGCCAGCACGCATCTCGGAGGGCCCTCTTCCAGCCCGTTCTGGATGCTTCCTTCGACCCCGACACACAAGAAGAGCTGGTCGTATGGGGTGCCGGGGAGACTGTTGTTGCCCGGTACCGCGAGCGACGAGCCTCGGGCAGGCCGGCAAAAATCACTTGGCTCAGATCCGAGGGCAAGGATTTCGGTCTCGTAGCCGGCCATGACGACGTCCGCGCAGTAGCAATAGCGAGGCACTACGGAGCCCACCCCGGTGGTCGGGCGATTCTAACAGGACGAGACAACGGAGAATTGGCCCTCCTGTCTGCCGAGCCGGGGCGGTTCGGCGAGCGTCTTGCCAAGTTCAGTCCTGCTTTTTCCAGCGAGGAAGCCATCTCAGGCACCAGGCCAGAGAAATCTACAGACCAGGATACTGTCAACTCTTTGGATGTCACGTATAGCGGTTCCGGGAGCCTGGTTGCTGCAGCGACAAGGTCCACCATCTTGGTTTACAAACTCCCCGAGGATGGCAGCACCCAAGCAGCACCATCTGCGACTTACGACTTGGCAAAAGAGGCTTTTAACTCAAGCTCTATACAGCTGTGTCGCGCGGTATGGATGGGCCAAGGTGATGTATTGGCGCTGGCGCTGAAGGGCGACAAGGAGAATCTCCGCTACATGACCATCACCCCGTCCGGATGGACCTATCTCTCGACTGCCAAGAACCCAGACGTGGAAAAACAGTTCAGTACCCGTAATAGCAACATCTGTCCGAATTCACTGCAGCATGTCCACCCGCAGGCATGGAACAAGGGCGGCACAAGTTTGCTGCTCAGCGCCTGGAGGGATGGCACGTGCAGGTAAGTGAAATCGACATGCCCCGGACAGCTAGTTGCTCCAATCTCGTGCTGAACCGTACTCACAGGCTTCAAGATCTTCGCACTCCTTCGCCGTTTGACGCCGTTTATCAGGACAACATAGACCCTTGGGCTGACATGGAGGCACTGATGGTTTACGGCACAGAGCGTTTTGTAGGAGGCGGCATGAATGGGGCAACGGTCAAGGTCTTTGATTTCCGGTGGACGAAAGGCTATCACCACAGCTCGGGGCTTCCATGTCTCGACCGAGCACCCTTCTCGCCGCCTCCGCAGCCGTTCCTCCAGCCACCCGGCATTGGTAGCAGTACCCACGGCCCCGGGACCTGCAATTATCTTCGAGGCGAATTGTGCCGTTGGCACACGCTCTCGAGGCACCTTTACTACCGGCCGAACGCTACCTTCTTTCTTTCGAGTTCGTTGGCGCGCAGGAACGGCCCGACAAGCGTCTGGTCGCTCGCTAAAGCCTCAAACGTGGCGCCAAACTTCTTCATTGGCATATTGGGAGGAATTATTGAAGCCAACTTGGAGCCGTCTCAAGACAAGACGGCAACGATGAGGAGCAGCACCATCAGCGACCCTAACTTTGGGTTTGGGGACTGGAGGCGAACGGGCGCGGAACAAGGGGGTTACGTAGCAAAGCCGCTTGACATGGCGGTGATGGAGACTGGCGACGGGGCTGCTGTATGGGGGAACGACCGGCCCATCCGGCTCCCTCGCATGCTAACGCCGGGCTTTGATGCGCCAGATATCATCCCTCTGGCGAGTCATCACCGACTCGACCCTCGGCTGCATCTTGTTCGTAATGTGGAACGTCGCCTATTGGCTTGACCTAGACTTTTATATTTCCACCTCCAACTCCACGTACACGCACGCACATTCCTTATCTTTGTGCGTATCAGACGCATTTTCGGAGTTCAGTGCAGACAGAAGAACCAACACTCGTCACGAAACATTCGACGCCCTCTAGCAGTGCCGCGTATTATTACTGTAATTATGCACGTACCATACGCTCACGCCTATTCTGTGACGTCACTGTTGGAGCTGATGTTTCAAACGAGCCAGGGTTAGGGGTGACCCTTGATGACCCACCCGTGTAGCAGCACTTTGGGGAAACCCTGGAAGCTAAGACCCTGATTTGCCGCGTCCCGCAATTGCTCAGAATCCAATTCTGTTACGAGACACGAAGGAGAACAGGTCACGAGGACAGAAGAGAATACACGTCTTATTAGCCACAGACCACCAATACACAGCGGACTTGGCGGGTCACGAACCCCAGCTCCTCATGTGAGCCGGGCCAGGCCAAAGAGACCCAGAGACCAAGGGGCCACAAAGTTGTTCCGGAAACACTTCTTGGCCCCGGCGGATGCCTCCCCCTGACGCCCCAGGGGCCCGCCAGAATTGCCGGGCTTTGGGCAAGCTCGAGGCAGCTTCGGCACAAGCGTATGCGCCCACGCTTGGCCGCGCGCGTTTCGTCCCGGGAAATCCTCTTTGCAAAGTGGCACCCGCGTCGGGATCTCGTCCTCAGCCCCCCTGCTAGGCCCTCGACGGGCTCTTTTCGGGGAGCTTGCCAGCGTCCTCTTGGCCGGAATTGGCCATCGAGTCCCGAACCCAGCTCCAGCTCCTGTCCGCCCATTCGCGACGGGAAAGCCCAGAGCTGCACAACGGGAGCGCATTACACATAACCGAAGTCTGAAGAAGGCCATTGGACAAACACCGACCTGTGTAAGCACCCGCCGCCAACCACGTTCCATCGAATTCACCCGTTCGTCGTCCTATTCATAGCCGTGCCTTTGCCGATGGCGGCCGAGAGGATGGAGGGGCAGAGGGGTAGGCGGCCCATCACGGCTGCAGCTCGGGAAGCTCCCCTAGGTCCCCACCTCCCCAGGTCCTCCCACATTACCTACCTTGATACAAGATGCGTACGCCGCCCTGGCTCGAATAAAAAGTACAAAGAGTCCCTATTTCATTGTTTGGATTCTCTCGTGTCCGTCTTTGCTGTGCCACTCCATCGACTCGTGCCTATCTACTCCACACTTATTCTCCCCGGTTGGATATTGCCGAGTTCTTGATCTACCATCCGCGTCACGCTCGCATGACGATTTGCATTTTGATTCGAACCCCACCAAACCCCTCCAAACTAGCCCCTAGCCTAGCTTGCGTATAAGTCAAACTCAAACCTTAGCCTCTCGCGATCCATTGACAGCAACAAACTTGGGGGGGGGGAAAGGAGTAGCATTTATTTTCGAGTGAAAGAAGAGGGAATTACCGGGCTTGGGTTCGTTCTGATACGAGAAAGTCGATTTGTTTTATCCAATTCACTACACATCTCAAGTTACTGGTCTCCGTTCCCAAAGGCGCCTTACGGAATACATCGCGAGCGAAACCCACACTCCACACAATGGCGTCACTTACAACGTCCAGCGGCGACGCCCAAGGGGAGCAGATCAACACACACATCGTCACCCTCACTAGATTTCTTACCGAAGAGCAAGTCAAGCACAAGGAAGCCACCGGGGACTTCACGTAAGTAAACAACATACATCCCTCTCTCCATTTTCGCTTCTACAGTTCCCCCCTTTTTAGTCAGGTACCTACCACTTCTCCTTGGGGTATGCTTGCTCACAGCCAGCAACCTATCGCAGCCTCCTCTGCCATGCGCTGCAGTTCTCCTTCAAGTCAATCGCCTACTACATCCGGCGTGCGACACTGGTGAACCTGACAGGGCTGGCGGGGTCCATGAACACGACGGGAGACGAGCAGAAGAAGCTCGACGTCATCAGCAACGACCTGTTCATCGAGGCGATGCGGTCGAGCGGCAAGTGCGCGCTGCTAGTGTCGGAGGAAGAGGAGGAGGTCATCTTCTTCGGCGACGCCAAGCACGCCCGGTACGCGCTCGCGTGCGACCCCATCGACGGCAGCTCCAACCTGGACGCGGGCGTGTCGGTGGGCACCATTTTCGGGATCCACAAGCTGGCCGAGGGGTCGACGGGCACCAAGGAGGACATCCTAAAGCCGGGCACAGAGCTGGTAGCGGCGGGGTTCACCATGTACGGCGCGTCGGCGCAGCTCGTCATCACGATGCGCGGCGGCAGCGTCAACGGCTTCACGCTCGACACGGGGCTCGGCGAGTTCATCCTCACGCACCCCGACATGCGCATCCCGCGCAGGCGCGCCATCTACTCGGTCAACGAGGGCAACTCTCTCTACTGGGAGGACGACGTCAAGCGCTACTTTGAGTCGCTCAAGCAGCCCAGCCCCGAGACTAACGGCAAGCCCTACAGCGCCCGCTACATCGGCAGCATGGTCGCCGACGCCTATCGCACTCTCCTCTACGGCGGCATCTTCGCCTACCCGGCCGACAAGAAGAGCCCCAAGGGGAAGCTGCGCATCCTGTACGAGTGCGCCCCCATGGCTATGGTGTTTGAGAACGGTAAGCCCCTCTGTCATTTTCCTCACGTCTATAATAATGGCTAACGAGTTTCTGTTTGTTTTTTTGCCCAAATAGCTGGCGGCCAGGCGATCGACAGCAACATGAACCGCATGCTTGAAGTGGTTCCCGAGAACATCCACGACAGAGCGGGCATCTTCATGGGCAGCTATGACGAGGTGGAGAAGGTCAAGGGGTTCCACAAGAACTAAAGGAAGGGAGGCAAAGTAAACAAATAACTCTATTATTATGAGAATGAAATGATATCCATGCGTTGGTGCGCATTGCATGAGGGGTGATGTTTCCCAGCACCACATGATTTTAGGTTTCTCCCGACGGAAAATTGCTCGAGGTAAACTTTGGCCGTTGTGATAATGAGTTTCATCGTTGTCCCGTCGCCGCGGATTCGCGTGTTGCATATCGCACCTCGGTGTTTTCATTACCTAGCAAAGTAGCAAAGTTCAGTATCCGTACTCACTCATAGACGTGGGAGTGAGCCGCTGCTCTGAGTCCATCTCGGGGCCGGCGTCTATCCACGATGTTGGAGGTCCGCTCCGGACCGTTCGTTAGGTATCGTGGCCTACATCACATGGTCCAGAGAGCACCAGTAAAAAGTAATGGAAGAAGGGGAAAAAAGAGAGGCCGAAAGCCCGCCGGACCCGGCATGGCGCCATCCACATTCCACCGCGTGGGCGCCTCCAATTCCAACGGCTTTCCATTTTTCTTGTTTGAAGTGCCCAGTGTTGGTTCCATGCGAGAGAGAGCAACACGAGCAAAGCCTAGTGTTGAGGTGGGGTTTAGCGGTTTCCAGTTTCAGGGTCGAGTCAGGGGAAAGAAGTGCATTTTGGGGAAACATGCAGGCAGGGCGTGCATGCCCGGTTCCTCAGTGAAGCAAGCCTCGTTGATGGAAGAAAAAATCGCATGTGAAATGTTATTCCCATTCCTGGTGCATACCTAGGTAGCCTCTTCAAAGCATGCGTCTCGGCAGGTTTCTGTCCCGCACCCAACTCGGTCAGCTCGGCCGCCGCTTCCCCAGGCTCCTCGCAGTGAGAGCTGCCCTGTGCTTGTTCCAGAACCGCGGATTGCCGCTGGGGCCTGGGGGGGCAAGGGTCAAGATGGAAGGGGGGCAAAGCCTCAATGGACGCGGGATACGGATAGTTGGCGGAGAAAAAAAGCATGTGAAAGGCCGCTGCGGAGAGCGGCACGCACCACAAGATGCACCCTAAGGCGCGCTAGACCGCAACCAGCAATACCTCGGTCGTTTTCTGACATCACCTGCCCTCTCCACGTCTCACGCCGGCCTTGTCTCCATCTTCATCCTGTCTCCGATCGCAGCTCCAATCTCCTAGCACGCCGTGCCCGAAGTCGAAAAAATAACATACAGATGTGCTAGTAGTCAAGGTAGCATCTGTCCGTCTTGCTTATAACATCTTTTTCCGCGACTCGGTTTCCCATTTCCCCCGAAACCAACAACTCAAACACAAAATCCTGTCCACGTCTACCTACATTCCGATCTCCTCCCCATAAACGAGTAGACAAAATTCACAAAGTCTATAATCATGGGTGGTTAGTGAATTCCCGCTCTTCCGGTTTGCCACTGGCCGGGCCGATGAGTCCCGACTGACAGAGTGCACTGCTGTAGCTCTTGATAGACTGTCCGCCCTGGGCAACCAGCTGTCCGGCTCCGTTGCGGCGGGTGGCAAGGCGAAGATTTTGGAGAAGAACCCCGACGATGTGAGTTGAGCAATCGATTTGCACTTCATACGAATATACTTTAATTGTTCTGCTGACAAGCTGTCTACGCTAGATCGTCGTGACAGCATGCCTGCGAACAGCGATCACAAAAGGCGGAAAGGGAGGATTCAAGGACACGCACGCGGCCGACCTCATGGCGGGAGCCCTGAAGGGAATTATTGACCGGTCCGGCATCGACCCGAGCCTGGTCGAGGATATCTGCGTCGGCACAGTGCTTGCGCCGGGCGGTGGTGCGACCGAGATGCGCGCCGCCAGTCTGGTAGCCGGATTCCCCGAGTCGGCTGCCGTCCGCACCCTTAACCGGCAATGCTCGTCGGGTCTTCAGGCCTGCGTCGACGTCGCCAACCAGATCCGCTCCGGCATGATCCAGGTCGGCATCGGCGCCGGTGTTGAGAGCATGTCGCTGCAGTACGGCCCTGGTGCCGTCAGCGAGTTCTCCGAGGCGTTCGAGAACCACCCCGAGGCAGCCAACTGCAAGGTTCCCATGGGAATCCTCTCGGAGCAGATGGCTAAGGACAAGGGTGTGAGCCGCGCGAGCCAGGATGCTTTCGCTGCTGCGTCGTTCCAAAAGGCTGTGAAGGCGCAGGCTGCTGGCCTCTTTAAGGAGGAGATCCTGCCCCTCAAGGTCAAGTTTGAGGACCCCAAGTCGGGCGAGACCAGGGAGATTGTTGTCGACCGCGACGACGGCGTCCGCGACGGCGTCACTGCTGAGTCTCTCGGCAAAATCAAGGCGGCTTTCGCCAAGGAGGGCGGGAGCATCCACGCCGGCAATGCTAGCCAGGTCAGCGACGGCGCTGCCGCTGTGCTGCTGATGAAGCGGTCTACTGCCGAAAGGCTCGGTCAAACCATCGTCGGCAAGTTTGTTGCCGCCTCGATCGTCGGCGTCAAGCCCCTCCTCATGGGCGTGGGCCCTTGGAAAGCCATCCCTAAGGTGTTTGAGCTTACTGGCCTGACTAAGGAGGACGTCGACATTTTCGAGATCAACGAGGCTTTCGCCAGCCAGTGTCTGTGGTGCGCGCACGAGCTAGGAATCCCGCAGGAGAAGATCAACCCCAAGGGCGGCGCCATTGCCTTTGGTCACCCCCTTGGCTGCACCGGCGCCCGCCAAGTCTCAACATTGTTGTACGAGCTGAAGAGGAGGAACCAGAAGATTGGTGTCACGTCCATGTGCGTCGGCACCGGCATGGGAATGGCTGCCGTATGGGTGGCCGAATAAGCGGCTCGGACAATCCTGTAAACCATCCTGACATGAAATGTAGTGTATTTCTAGGCTTTCGCTTAGGTTATTGGTTATATATAACTCGACGCGCCTTGCCATCTAAATCAAAATTTACCCATCTACCTCATGTGCAATCGATCCTATCGTTAATAACCGAGGGTGCGAAGTACACATGTGGACATTTCACGTCGCTAGTAGCCGATAGGGTGCGAGGGTGTAGTCGTACGGAGCACCCGAGATTCGCTTCAAGATTCTATGGCAAAGTGAAAGTCTGATTGCTGGCACAATTGTTTACCTGGTCAAACCCGGAGAGCCGCAGAGGGGCTTTCTGGCAACCCTTCCCCGCTAGATCCACTTGGCTGGAAAACAGGGTTCAGACCCGAGTGGGAGAGGACTGTACTGTACTAGTGAGAAAGAAAATTTGGATTGATTGCACATGTAGATAGATGCACATGAGAGACGCGAAAATAAACGACGGGAAAAGTAGGTTGAGAAAATGGACGGCCCAGTTTATCGATAACCAGGAACCTGACTCCGGAATCTCCTCGTAAATGGGCAAGTTACAATTTGTCTCCCGTGTGAATGTGGGGATATCAAGAACTTTGATCCCATCCATGTCACTTAACTCCAAACCCCACCCAAGAGACTTTAGGTTGTGAGTGTGATGGAGACTCAATTGGAACCGCAGCCAATGGGAGAGCAGGGAATCACAGACATCCCGTCACCGCTTCTGGCTCTTGCCGGGGGAGGAACAATTCAGTTCAGAGCCGAGAACGGTTGAGCTTGCCTCAAGTCAACCGCTTCTCCCTGGGCAAATCAATTCTCCCGCAAAATATCAACCTGAACAGCTGCGACCCTGCTCCCGTGTTGCGCAAGTCTTCATACACAAGTCATTCGCACTTCCAAGCCAACGGCCGCCAATTGGTTACACCAGACGGCCAACAAGGCGAAAGCCCGGTTCGACCTGCAGATACAGATATACCTTGAACAGAGCAGTGACTGCGCTGTCTGCGCCGTCCGCCTGCCACAGCAGCACCACAGCACCCCGCATCTCAATGACGAGCCAGGCTGCGCAGAGCAACCTGCCACAAGATACCAGCTGCTTGTGCTCAATCCGCCGCTAGAGGACAGTGGCAGCCAGCAGGGAATCTGGGCAGTCCTGCGGCCCAGAACTTGGCAGGTCAGACCATTGGCGACTGCTCTGCGCTGCACGGCACGGCAATAATAAGCCCACGCCTGGGAGGGAGAAGAGAAGGGTTGTCAGGGAGGAAAAGGGCACAGCAAACTGCGACGGGCCAGTCGTGGCACGCCTCAAAATGGCGAAAGACAGAGAGACAACCGATGCGTCGGGCACCAGCCAATCAAAAAGACCGCCCTTGAACCACTTTGACAGCACCGATCCGCAGCCCTCGCACTACCGGGCAAAGACTCAGAAACACATCGTTGGCGGCGGTGGCCGCTTCCATGCCAGAGTTCCCTCGACGAAAGCTCTACACAAACACCATGCCGCCCCATCTACCACCAAATTAAATCGCAGACAAGGGTCGCTCTCGCCCGAGCGGGCAGCAGCAGGACCACTTGTCTCGTCCCATCGGCGTGCGACCTCCTCCGACCTGAAGCTCGCGCGAGACGCCTCTTCGAGCAGCCTCAAGAAGAATTCGTCGCAAACCAGCCTCAAGCGCAATCGCTCCCAGGCCGACGTGACGAAGAAATCAAGGTCGTCGGCGAACCTGATGCGCTCCTCGTCTCATTCCGCTGTCGCCAAGCTCAAGTCTACTACTGGTTCCAAGGTCCATTTTAACATAGGCGACGACGGCCAGGACGACGAACAGGACGACGACGAGTGGCAGGACGCCAGCACCTCGGCATCCCCCCTTCTCTCGAGACGCGGGTCGACCATTAACGGGGGCGTTGTGAGCAGTCCTCCGGCGAACAGAGCGAATAATACACAGCCGACAGCCCCATTCCCGCATCGCGCAGACACCGGAGAGCGCCCGTCTATGCAGTCTATGCAAGGTGCAAACGGCTTGACGTTGAATCTCGCCCGAGAGATAGTCGACCACAACCAGTACCTCACCTCGCGCATCCTACAACGCACCTCGTCGCCTAGTGCTCCTCCGAAAATGTCGACCGACAATGTCTTGGTTCACCCGTCTTCATCTCGGCCGCATTCGCCAGACTCGATCCTCCACGAAATACTCACCCCTTCGAGTACTCCCCACATAGCAACTCACCTTCAAACGGGCAGCAGTGGTATGGCGGAGCTCACATCCCGCTTTCTTGAACATAATAGCCATGATTCCGGGTCGGGCATACCTGGTGTGAGTTTTTTGACCTCTGCCATCCATGGCGGTCTCTCACGGGCGCCGGTGAATGGAAAGACCCAAGCCGGTGCTCCGCGTCGGCCGCGATCCTTAGGGAATTTGGCGCAGGCGCGAGATCAAGTTTACGAGGAAACACGCGAGCATGAGGCGGCAGTTGGGGGCGCGCATCTCTCGGACGGAGAGCGCTTTGACAATGGTGTACCAACAGCTGGTAACCACCGCCGGCCTAATGGAGTCTATGCCATCCCGAGGGACATGAACCGCACCCAGCAGAAGTTGAATCTCCAGCGCGCAAGCTCAACCCTGGAGACGGCCCACCCGCACCCTGGTGTGGGTATTGGCTTGGCAGGGGTCCCGGTAACTGCTAGATCCCTTACCGGTAGTTCCAGCTACGATTCTAGAGACCCCAGACTGGCCAAGCTTCGGGAGAGAATTGGTATGGAGTATCTGGTTGTCCGTCGCTTCCAGAACCCCGTGGCCCGATCGCTTGCACGGCTGTCTCAACTGCCCGGCCTAGGCAAGACCATGCCTAAGGATGGCCAGGCCTCTTCTCGGCCAGGAACTTCTCACTCCAAACGTGGCTCGGAGGTCAGTGGCAGGCCTGCGGAAGGCTCGCATAATCCCCAAGACAGCGACATTATCGGACCTAGCGCGGCGGCAATGTTGGACCATCGCGCAAACAGACGGCCGACTACTCCGCGAGAGACTCTCTCAGACATGCAGGCCAACAGCTCTAGCCCTAGTGTCGAGACCGACGATGGAGCCGGCACAATCCACGAAGGGCAGGGGCTTGGCAGAACTAGTCTGACGGACGGAGAGGACGAAGCTAACACTCTGGCCATACTCCGCAGTATGTGGGAGAAACCCGTAGATCTCAGTGCGAGCCAGGACTAGGAGACTGGGCGTGAGAGACGGAAGAGCAGGTCACCCAGTGATCTAGAATATGTCGACGAGCCTTTGATCAATTTATACTGCGAGGCTCTCGGCGCACATTAGAGTGCTACGACTGCTTACGAACAAATTTATTTCCACTACGATGCCGTTCTCGGCAGGGCAGGAGACGACAGGATATGGCATTCCGGCTATGGCTGGGGAGGGGCGGGGCTGGGTTGCCCATCATTTATACAAGCTGGCTGTGGTCATACCATCATCATACACGCACCTGTGCTGGGACCAAGGGATGGGGGTATATAAAAAGCAAGGGTCCTATTTTTTAATCAGCGCCTAATTTCTAAACGCTTTTGTTTTGGCCCGACGGAGAAGAGGCAAGGGGCCATACGAGAAATATTTTCCTCGTGGCTGAAGACAAAATAGCGTAAACAGCGTGTATATACTTAATCAATTATTGTTTATTAACAAACTTTGATGAACACTAGAAGTCTTGAATATCGCGTTCTATGTGCCTAGGTCACTAGTGCTTCGATAAAATTCTCATGCCGCTGTATACTGGCGGCCTCAAGTGAGTCAAAACAAAGTTATCGGCTCAGAGTTTCTGTAGTTATTTACTGTAAAGAGGGTTGAGCTCGGTTCTGATACCTGTAATCGTCTGTAATTTTGGCATTACCGATACCGGCTTCGTTCCTCACCTTTTCGTCACTTTTCAAGAAATAGCAGGCGTTGGTCCGTGCACGACTCCCGTCTCCACACCCGTTCTTAAGTGGCAGGTAGGTCGCGTCGCCTCCAACATTTTCGAGGCAACCCCGCCACCTTCCTTCCTCACCTCGTCTTCCATCGTCGACCCGCAACAACCTGCAGACAGCACAACAGTTGGAAGGTTTGTAGCGACGCATCTCATTTGACGATATCTGGTAACGCTTTCTTCGTGTCAAATCAAGCAAAATGAGCGCCAAAATCTTGGCCGAGATCAAGGATCTCGAATCCGGGATCAAGAATGACGAACTTGCGTTCGAGGAGTGCAAGGGCCAGGTAGGCAAACACCCGTCCGCTCTGACCGCCGTGGTTTTTTAGTGAACAAGGTTGACATCGGTTCGGTCAGCTCGGTTTCGTCTTGACCAATCTCAAAGACCAGCCCGACAATGAGGAGCTCGTGGCTATTAAAGGCGACATGGACGAGATGCTTGAATCCCTCAACAAGGATCTGGAGCAGAAGCGCCAGAAATTACAGGCAATGCGTCAGGGCCTACCCAAAGACAAACAGCCACAGTCGCCCACCCCGGAGCCCAAGTGGTCCCATGAGAATCACCCCGCCTTTAAGCAGCCAGCCCCTCTCGAGGAAAAGGAGCCGGAACTGATTAATTACCAAGTCAATGACAATGTTCTGGCGAAGTGGGTTTCGGGCGACAAGGGCTACTACGCGGCCCGAATCACATCTGTCACTGGTTCCTCGACCGCACCTGTCTACACTGTCAAGTTCAAGAGCTACGATACTATTGAGACTCTACGTGCGAAGGATATTCGCCCATTCGCACAGAAGCGTAAGGCGGACGGCACTGCTGTTGGTGGCTCCAGCGCCAATACAGACGGCACGAATCAATCCCCAGTGCCCTCAACCGCCATCTCGAATGCCGGTACAACCAATGGAATTGTCATCAATGCGGCTGCGGAGAAATACCCGCAAGCTCAGCAGTCGACCAAGACTGATGATAATGGCGAGGATAAACCTCGCAAGCATAAAAAGATTAAGGCCAACAAGGAGCTTGAGGCTGGAAAAAATAAGTGGCAGGAGTTTACCCAGAAGGGAAAGCTCGGGAAGGCTGTGAAGAAAGACAGCATGTTCCGCACCCCCGACGGCGTCCGTGGCAGAGGTATGCAAGGCAAATCTTTTCTCCCTCTTCTGCCTACCTCTACCAAATTGAGATGTTAACACGTTATTATCTTGCAGTTGGGTTCACTGGCTCCGGTCAGGCTATGAGAAAGGACCCAACTAGAAGCCGACATGTCTACCAGCCCAACGAAGATTTGGACTAACTTTAGTCTCTTTGACATCCAGGCATACGCCCACAACTTCAACGATATTCATTCACTAGCGTTTGGCATAGGAGTTTGGGGATTTGGTCATCGGCGATCATCAGCTGGCGTTTCGAGGATTTGGGATGAACAAACCTGGTCTACTTTCTCCTGGTTTCATTTCCTCCCCCCTTCCTGACCTTCTTGCCTCTCCCCGCAACATGTTCATTTTTATGACACAACCTTCAGAGGCCAGGCTAACGTGGTTTTACCAATCGCGAAGGTGTCGTCCGGCATGGTAGCCTTCTCTCAAAACCCCTTCCGATAAGGCGGGCTCTCTTCTTCAGCCCAGCCTGTTGGTCGTTGCGGGAGAGATTAGCACCACCGCCCACGATACTGGAACAAATCAGAGGTCGGGCAAATAGCAATGTGATACCCTTTGCTCTCAGACCTATGTCTTTGGCATCTTGGTGGTCAAGCATATGTGAATGTGACAGTGATGAACCTCATTCCTGCAACCGCGAGTCGTATCTCCAAACGGTCAGCTTCCCTTGCTGGACACTTTTGGAACGCATGTTTTCGCGACATAGAAGGGTCTACAATCTAGCCATGGATTGGCTATCAGCGTGTGACTGCTAGACGTTGAACTTTTCACTCTTTAATTTTCCAATGTAATAATACTACTATTTTGAGAGAACACAAGGTTCTTGGCTTCGGAAGCAATGAACCTTTGACGCAAAATTAAAAAAACAATACATCCTATATTTTACACGAGTTGTACATAATGCCTACTCATACACTAATGTTCCCAGTCCGGGACTTCTCCCACCATTCTTCCCTCAAGTCTCGACCTCGCCATGGTCTGACACCACCAGGTATAGTGCATCGTCAACCGGTGGTACTAGACTAGAAATTGACGAAGGTGATGGCCAAGTCTCGGCCGTCCAACGATCAAGGCACCAAAGCAGGGCCTTATGCTAGGTCTTTGTTGACGAGAATAACGGTCCGTCATCATGCCACAAACGGGCCAGGTAGAAAGGCTTGACCCTGTCGTCGACAGGCTTGCTGTCAGTTGACAGGATGGAAATGCGGCCAGACTCGTAGGTTTTATACATGGAGACCCGCAGTATGTATGTACAGGTATATGGAGATATTCGTTTCTGTGGAATGGGTAGGGCGAGCGTTGCTGCACTGGTCGGTTTAAGTGGACGAAGAGGGGAGGTCGATCTTGGAGGCGAGGGTGGTGGCAATGTCTATAAACACCTTTGCCCTCTCGGACTGCGGCTCGGCGACGACGGTGGGCTTGCCGCGGCTGGCGTCCTCGCCGATGTTGGGGTGCAGCGGGATGTCGCCGAGGAAATCGAGGCCGTGGTCGGCGCAGGCGCGCTGGACGCGGTCCGAGGACCCGAAGACGGCCGTGTCACCGTGGCAGTGCGGGCAGCGGAACACGGACATGTTCTGCACGAGCCCCAGCAGCGGCACGGCCACCTTGCGGAACATGTCGACGCCCTTGACGGCGTCCTGCACGGCCAGCGCGTGCGGCGTCGTCACCACCACGGCCCCCGCCAGCTCCACCTGCTGCGTGATGCTCAGCTGCGTGTCCCCCGTGCCCGGCGGCAGGTCCAGCACCAGCACGTCGAGCCCGCCGCCCCACTCGACCTCGTGCAGCAGTTGTTGGACCGCCTTGAGCAGCATCGGCCCCCGCCACACCAGCGCCGAGCTAGACCCCACCAAGTACCCGATTGACATGGTCTGCACGCCGTAGTTGGTCAGCGGTACCAGCTGGTTGTGCGCCGTCAGCCGCGGGGCCTCGTCCAGGTTGAACAGGGTCGGGATCGACGGCCCGAACACGTCCATGTCGAGGATGCCGGACCGGTAGCCCAGGCGCGCAAACGCTAGAGCGAGGTTGGCTGTGGGTGGTGAGTGCGGCACATGTTAGAGGTGCGTGTGTGTGTGTGTGTGTGTGTGTGTGTGTGTTGTTGTTGTTGCTTTCTCGCTCCCCTACCCCCTTTCCATTCTCTCACAACAACAAGCTTGGGTCCCCCTTACCAGAAAGGGCGGGGACACATCGAGAACCCATGTATATATAGAAATGGGGCATGACAGGGAAAAGAACAAAAACAAACTTGCCTGCCACTGTGCTCTTTCCCACGCCGCCCTTGGCCGACGACACAGCAATCACTTTCGCCACGCCCTTGATCGGCCGCTTTTGCGGAAGGCCGCGCTGCATGCGCGGGATTGTGCCAGTCCGCGGAAGACCCTGTGTGTCATTGTGTCAGTAGACAGTATTTATGAATAAGACTTATAAAGGTACGTGTGTGTGTAAATATAAGGCGAATAATGGAATGGTAAATAAAAAGGAGCTGTTCTCACTAAGGGGTTCTCATGCTGGAGCACTCGTGAAGTGTGGAAAAGGCGAAGCTGCTGCATGCTACTACTGGATGGCAGTAACAGGCCGCTCATGCCGGCACCGCCTGTGAGGGCCGAAAAGGTCCGTAACTTATGTAGTATCACCATGTTCTCTAAGGCTGCATGAAGGGGGAGCTCGAACTCAGCTCCCTTACATGACGATGATGAATGAGAATGAGCTAACTCGTCTGAGGGCCCCTGAGGTGATCCATTGACCCCTGCTCGTTGCTCCCAGTCCACTAGGTGCTTCCCATTTTAGCGCGTTCAGCGGGTTGCCCAGAGGTCTACGTTCTGCCGTACGCCACCGCCAAAAATTTCCAGCGGTGCTCAATCGATCCCAGCTGGGGCGACTGCTAGAATTTTTCCAGCAGAAACGTGGGGTTCAAGTTTTGTTTCCTGCCGCCCATCAACCCGTGATCTTTGTCGCGGAAATTAAAAATAAAAATCAACAACAACTCGGCCTCCACCATGACAACGATAGGCAAAAGCCGCACGAGGCGGCGGATATCTGAATGGGAGGACAAGCCGGTCAAAGGTTCGAATACTCTTTTCTCCCGACAAGTTAACTGCATCGTCTCCAGCGACGAAAGACCAAAAAAAAATAGTACACTAACTCGGTGTCGCAACACTCGTCTTTAGACATTGACCCGGAGAATGAAGCCGCTGCCGACGATGACGAAGGCAGTAGCAGTGAGGACTCGGCCGACGAGAATGCTGGGACTGAGCACTACATTACCGTAGGGTATGTCGAATCGTTCTCATCCCCCCTCCCCTTCACGATATGCGCTTTTGGTCCACTCGCTCCACCGTTTGGGGCCAGTAGCTACTACGGCACATGATGCTAATTGCCCGTGGTCTCACTTTATAGAAAGAGCAAGCTTCGCCAAAAAGAAGCAGCGTTGCTGGGACCGGAATACCGAGGGGCCCGCGTCAGCCGCGCGGCGCTGGCCGAAAGCAGCGGCGACGACCTTGACAGCGAGGAGGACGAAGAAGAAGAAGAGGATGATGAAGACCAGTCTGGATCGGAAGAGTTTGCCGACCCGGACACGGCGGACCTCGAGGCGGACCACGTTGACGACGACGCCGAGATCGACAGCGACGAAGCCTTTGGGGAAAGCGACGTCGAACTGGCCAAGCGCTTCAAGTTTGGCGGAGGGGCCTCGAAGCCGCAGGATCTGAAGAGCCGCATTGCAAAGAGGCCTTCTGCCGCTGACTTCATGTCTGGGTCGGAAGACGAGGGGTTCAGCGGAGAGCAGGAAGGAGAGGACGCCTCTGAGAATGACTCCGAATTGGACGGCCTGGACGACGCACCACTCTCCGGCAGCGAGGGGGACGAAGCTGGCGAGGATGAGGACGATGAGGACGAGGATGACGAGGATGGCGAGGACGATGAGGACGAGGATGACGAGGATGGCGAGGACGATGAGGACGAGGATGACGAGGATGGCGAGGACGACGAGGGTGATGAAGAGGGTGGGGATGATGGGCCCGTTGACGACAATGACGACCAGCGTGCCGAGCTCCGCAAGATCATGAGCGAAGGCGAGAAGAGCATCGTGGCTGCCATGTCACAAGCTGCCAAAGCGGACGCAGACAAGGGCGTGGCGGTGCGCCTGCAGCGCCGGGAATTCGACTCCATCCTGAACCTCCGTATCCGACTTCAAAAAGCGCTGGTGGCGGTGAACTCGTTCGGAGTGGTGGAGGCCAGCAACGAGACCGATATGGAGCCGTACCAAGCGGCTGAAGAAGCCGCCATCAAGCTTTGGAACACTATCGACAGTGTCCGGCACAGTCTTGGATCAGAGAGCAAGGCAAAGGCTGGGGAGAAGAGGAAGCGAGAGGAAATCGACCTGGACACGCCAAGCGAAGCCATCTGGGAGCACATGGAGACGGTCGAGGGCGCTGCGCTCTCGCACCGGCGAAAGGTGCTGGATAAGTGGTCTACCAGGGTGCGGAGCTCTGGGGCGGCCGTCTCGACCCGGAGGTTGGGCGAGTCGGCGAATCAGTCTCTGGCGTCGGTCCTGGACGACCAGCTCCTGAGCATAGACCGGCTTGTCAAGCGCGCACGAACTCCCCGCTCCTGCGCCCCGGCTCAGGCGGCCAAGAAGGTGGAGGAGGAGGACAAGGACGTTTACGACGATGCCGACTTCTACCAGCTGCTCCTCAAGGAGCTCGTCGACCAGCGCAGCCTAGACTCGGGTGCGCCGGGCGAGTTCGTGGCGACTGTGCGGTGGGCGGCCTTGAAGGAGGCCAAGACCAGAAAGCTGGTAGACCGCAAAGCAAGCAAGGGGAGGAAGCTGAGGTTCACGGTGCACGAGAAACTGCAGAACTTCATGGCACCCGAGGACCGCAGAACGTGGGAGGACCATGCGATAGACAGGTTTTTAGCCACGCTCTTTGGGCAGACGATGGAGCTCAAGGAGGACGAGGCGGCATCGGAAGACGAGATGGGCGGTGCCAATGTGGAAGAAGAGGGTCTGCGGCTCTTCCGAGGCTAAGCCTGGCCTCTATCATTTATTGTGTTGACAAGATAAAATCATCTACTGTTTTGTTGAACTGAATCCGAGTCTATACAAGCCAGTTCCGTGACAGTCCCTTCGTCTGTCTGCTATCACTCTCCCTGAATGCCCCTTTTCCCGTCCAGCGTCACGACATCGCCACCGCAGACCACCCAGCCGCCACCAACCCAACCAAGCACACGGCGTGCACAGCTAAATGCACCCCGGGGCCCCCTAACACCTGCGACGGCCCCACCACTCGCCGACGACTGCTACTACTCAGCCGAGAATACGCCCGCCACATCGGCCACGCGTGGTACGTCCCCACGCACAGCGACACCAGCCCCGCCGTCGCGTCAAACCCGGGGAGCAAGACAAATACGCCGCACACTAAGTTGGTGGTAAGAAGCAACCCCCCGTAGCTCGCCAGGATCAGCTCCGCCTCGCGCGTCGCGCCGGGGAGTTGTGTGTGTGGTTGGAAAATGAATGAGAGCGCTGCTAGGGTTTCGATTGTGATGTGTAGGATGAGGGGCGCTTTTTGGAGGGCTGTCATTGTTTTCGTCTCTCTTTTTTATTGCTTTTGGTTTTAGTCTTTTGTATTCCCTGGTTCCCGTCTTCTGTCCCCCTTTTTGCAAGATGAGCGGAAAGTCGTATTTTATTTATCTCTGGATTGTTGCCGGCCGGGGTTTGACCCTAATATGTCTGTGTGTGTAGGCTGGAAGAGGAGGCGCTGATATGTTGTGTTGTGTGTTTTTCTGGTGTTTGTCTCTAATTGATGGACGAGTTTGTTCAAAGACAGACACACAGACACAGTTTCGAGAACCTTTCCCTTTCCTGTAGTCGTTGTCTAGTTCCCAGAGAAAGTAAAGCCCAAAACAGATGTGAGAGACGCGGTATATTAGCCTTCAGCAGTGAAGGAGTACTTTTGTGTTTCTGTTGATGAATTATGGGAAGCCAGAGGTGAGTGAGATGAGGGGTAGGTGAAGATTTTTCTTTTCTTGTTTCCCCATTGAGACTACGAACGACGTTCGTGCACAACTCAGAGTGCAACATCGTCAACCAGACTTACATACCTGGGGAATTTATTCCCAGATGAACACATTACCGAGTCATAAAACATAGGGCATAATATTGAGCGGCCTTGGTTTCTGTAAAATAGAACTCTCGTCATCATTAAGGAGCCGGGTTTAGCGCCCCTTGAGCGCTTCAGCAACGCCGAGTAGCTTAGCCCCAGATTCTTCAGTACGAGTGCTGATCTGAACAGGGACACCGTCACCGGGGCCTATTCCTCAGGCTACCTGCGCTAAAAGGCTAATGGGACTTGGGACATCAAAAACGCGGTCATTCGCGCAATAAAAGTTGTGGCAATGACCACGAGGAGTGGGGGAGCGGAGGATGGCACGGATGCATCGATAGGTTTGACGCTCCTACAAGGTTCCCTCAAAATTGCGAGCAGCCTCAACTATGGCCAGGGCCAGCTACCAAATGTAATAAACCAAACAACGGAGAATCCGGGAGCCGTTGAGAATGTACGTGAATAAATCCCTCAATTAGATTCCGGCTTTGCACTATGTTAGAGCTCCTCCATGGCATGCCCAATAATTTTCAGACTGTTTCTCTGTTTTCGTATCCTGTCAGTCTTTCCACAGGCGCACGGGGTGAATAAAGTCATAGCCATCCCTCATCTCTGCCATCTTCCGAAAAATGACCTGCGTGCCCTATTTTTGTCGCAGAATCTTGAGCTTCCTAGACGTGAGATTGCATCTATACCTCGCGAACCTGCAGCGAAACCCGCTGCAATGGGCACAGCAAAGGAGGTGCCCGACTTCCACATGTCCTTACCTTTCCACTTACATGGAACTGCCACGCCTATCGTGGCAAAATTATCTGTTTTGGACTGAGGAGAAGGGTTCATGCCGCCTTTGTTGCCCTTCCCATCCGTGGCGTGGATGCAGATTACCCCGTCTTTACGGGCTGGCCTGGCACGTCCGGAGAGACTACCGTTATTTGAAGCCGCGGCGATGATAAGTTTGCCAGCATTAACGGTGTTGTCTACAGCCGCATCGATCACATCATTTTCATCTTCGAAGCCGAAAGACATGGAGATGATGTGTGCGTCGCATTCCTTGACGGCCCAATCTATTGCCTACGTATCGACACATTAGCGCCAAGTGTTATAATTCGAAAATCAGGAGTGGAAGGCAGACTGACCTTTGCAATTCCAAGCATAGATTCATCGTTGATGACCTTCCCGGTACAGATCTTTCCAACGTAGATTTCTGCGGCTGGTGCAGTCTTCAGAAGAAGCTGAGCAACACGTGTCCCATGTCTACAACTATCCTGCCGCTACTCATCTGGGTTTCCGACGAAGCTCGTGCTCTTCTGGGCGTTGATGCGTCCGAACTTAATAGCAGGGCGAATGGGCGAGTCTGTCTCGTCCGCCCCGGAGTCTAAGACAACGATTCGGATTCTCTCATGTGTGGGGCATTGTGTCGAGCTGCTCATATTCCCATGTAAGTTCCGATTCTTTCGAAAGATATGTTTCAGGCCGCTGAGGAACAAACGCGCTGTTATCCTAGGCACACAAATCACATGCTGTTAGAAAAGGATCGTTGAGTTAACTAAGGCGAGGCTGGCGGCTCATATGCCGCAACATGCTGGGGTGGCCAAAAAAGAAAAGCGAGTATCCTCCTCACCAGGTCGCAGGCCACACACACCATTGGGTAGGCAGGTACTTTGAGGTGTCAATCTCAAGCCATTCAGGAATATTGGCAACCTATCATTCGTTGTAATCCGACAACAGCCCATGCAGTACTGAGATTGTCTGACCGCTGGCCTCTCCGACGGCCAATGTCGAAGTGAAGTGCTCTCTACATTCAGACATTGGCGAAGCAGAGAGTTGCAGAATGATAACCTTTTGGCAACAATTGCTTTCTTGATACCCTCGGTTCATCCAATTTACCTACACGGCAAGTGAGAAAAAGTCTCCAAAGTCATCACCATAACTAGATCTCAATCCTCTTCCCAGCCGACCTTAACTCCACGTTTGCCTTGCCTTGGGTCTGTCTGGCCCAGCCTGCTCACCGTGACTCGACACGCATTGGCGGGAAACTCCACGGCATTATGGACGGGGCAAAAGAGGACATGGGCGTGTCAACAGCCATAGGTATTCGACATCACCCACGCCTGTCTCAAATCCTTTGATCAAATCGTGACCGACTATGATGACTCTTTCCTCAGTCTTCGTAATAGTTTCTTATTCTGGATCGGTTGCATTTTATAGCTGCAGCAACCAGGAAAACATCCGCAAAACAATTCAATCATTCGCTGACGGCTTTTGTGACCGACGAAGACATTGCCTTTCGCAGGGACATTGCATCTTGGGTCCGCCAGAGGTTTTCAGCCGCTCGCAGGGGGCTCTGTCAACAGTTGGGCGACTCCATAGCGATCCGGCGTCGGATACTGCTACAAACTGAACGCCACGCAAGGAGTCTTGCCGTCAGGCGCGTACCTGGTAACCTTCTTCACCATCCAGAAAAACGAGCTCTCACGGCAGCAATAAGCACCATGTCAACGAGTCAAGGGGATAAATTCGAGTACCCACCGATACCAGAAGCGAGTGGAGGCGAGACGCGGATCCAATGCCCCTTTTGCTTCAAGGCCTTGGGACGCAAAGAACTGGAGGCGGGAGACGACTACTGGAAACATCACAGCTTACGGCTCGCCTTGAAGGTTTTTCGCTGAGGGAGGTAGTCGTTCTTTGGATCCCTATTATAGAATCTTGGAGGCCTTTCTCTATCCTAGAAATACTTAGGTATCAAAGGCTTTTCCTAGCCGGTGTATTCTGTGTGTGATCTTGAATCTTTGTTCTAAGTATTTAGGTACTACGCCAATAAACATTGAAGGAATGGACTGTACATATTGGAGTGCTGTGACTGAATTTTGGCTTTACATATCCACGCGTTGGCGAGGGGAGTCCAGGGCGTCCGAAATGTAATATATCCCACAATCAACAATCAGCTTTCATTTGTAAATGTACGTACAATTCTTAAGTATCCGGCCTTGTAATCATAGGTACATAGTAGATAGCGTTCAGACCAGTGGCTACGATTGTGGAGTGTACGGCATCATTTTCCACCTGTTCACTATGCCAGACCGCAAGGAACGAACCATATCTCATCTTCGCCCCCCGTATCCATGGGGACGAAACCATCAACATCGCTCCCATCTAAATCTGTGACTGTGAAAGGTTCGCAGTCGTCCTCCTCAGAGACCGGCTCGTCATCCGCTAATACCGCATTCCTGGCTACCCTTTTAGTTGCTAGGGACGGGCGACCGACGAGGAACGCCCGCTTATGATATAGCTTTTGCACCTGGATGCCCAGCACAAAGTCGGCCGGCTTGCCGAAAGCTGACACGGTCCTGGACGCTGTCGAAACCGCGGCGTGGGCCCCTACCTGGACATCGACAAGCCCGGCCGGCACTTGAGCATCCGCGCCTGCCGTGCCCGTAAACTCGCGGCCGCACTCCGTCGAGACCGTAGCGCCCCAGGCGATCTTCAGCCCCGTAATGAGCTACACGGGTGCCTTGCGGCTCGCCATGTCCAGGTAGTCCTTCACCTCGGTGAGCCCCAGGCACTGCTTGAAATAGCTCGGCGAGGGGTGGAAGTAGGCCGTCTCCAGCCGCGCGACCATGTACACGTTTTCCTCGCTCCGCTGGCCCTTCAGGCTTGCGCCGCCGCCGATGCTGCCGTCGAGGACCCTGGCGAGAAGGCTGGCCTCGCCGACGAAAGAGAACTTGGCGCTGGCCGTGATGTCTTCCTTGACGTCTGCATATCGCTGGCCGTCTTGGATGGTGATGCGCGAAGCGCCCTGGTTAATGGGGTAGAATGACTGCAGGTTTCTAACAAGTGTGCTTAAATCAAGGGGCCTGTTGGGGAATGGGTAACGATGATAGAGAGAAGGCTGCACGCTACGCCGTGTGTCTTGCTGATTTATTTCCCTACCTTACTGACGGGCGCATAGCTTCACACCTGGTGCATTTGTGGGCGTTTTTGATAGCATGCGTCACAGGGGCATCCCACCCCCCCAAGAAGGGTCTTGTGAATCTCGGAGAGCTCATCTTTTTCGCAAAGTGGTTTTTGTTTTACACCAAGAAATGTGAATCTAGCTAGAAAACGCGATATTAGTTATAGCAAGGCAAGCTGTTTCAACCCAACGCAATGCTTACTCTGGCTACTGGCTGGCCATGAGTCGTTACCTCACCTGCGCACCATCTGACACTTCTTTTTCCTAAATTTCAGACTGATTATTGTCTCATCGTGGTTGTCCATGTTTTCTCTATTTCGTTAAAAATCGTAAAAAAGACTGCAAACTGCCTTCCGCTCTGACCATGCAGCTGCCAATATGCCACCTACTTATATACATTGAAGACGTATACGTCATTCTGACCATCCAACATCCCGCCACTTCACTTACGTAGATGTTTAGGTTAACTTTCACTTCGCTCCTTACTTCTCAGAACCCCTCGACGTGGCTCCCGACGCCCTTCTCCCTCGCAAAACGAATCAGGTGCATCCCCACCGTCAAGTCCATCAGCGCCAGCCCGACGCTCTTGTAAATCACGTTTCCGTTGTGCAGCCACTGGGACAAGTGGTCCTCCTTCTCCTTCTTCTTCTTCTGGTGCTTCTTCTCTCGCTCCTCGGACGACCGCCTGTCGAAGCTGAAACTCCGCCGGTGAGGAGACGATGTGCTCTTACGGCCGGGCGACGATGCTCGGCTGGGCGATATGGATCCACCGCCGCTAACGGTGGGGCTGCCGGAGTCGAGAAAGACGCTTGACATGGATGACCCGGGACCGCTAAAACTGCCAAGGTCCAGCTTTTCGAACTCGACAGACGGGGCCACGCTGCTTCTGCTGCTGCTGTCGGGCTGCGAGCTTGCATCGACCTCTCCCTCGCGGGCATCTGCCATGTCTGCTTGCTGGAGCATGACCAGCTCTCCTAGTCTACGCAAAGCGAAAGGTGGAATGTCAGCAAAAGTCTCTTGGAAAAGGGGAGAAAGCTAGAATGACGACCGGCATACACGGCCGTTGTGAATATGGGGTAGGGGGATCAGGGGTAGGCCTTACTCGACAAGTTGGTTCGGCAGGATGCCGGCCTCGATCAGCTCGCCTGCCTCTTTAAGCGCGCCGTCTAGAGTATCAACGACAACGACGCCGCCCTCGACAGCATGACGGTGGAAGTGGCGATGGTGGCCCTTTTCCGAGATGCTAGTGGCCTGGTGGATTAGGCCAACGGGAATCTCACGCATCATCGGAGTGTAGCTGCCGATGGCGACGAAGAGGCGGCCCTTGCGCCGGGCGTCCTTGTTGGTCATGATTTCGGCGTCGAAGAGCGGGACCGTCGAGGGCGTGCAGCAGAATATGACGTCCGAGTCGAGCAGCTGGGTGGCGAGCAGGCGCTTGTAGTCTCCGTACTTGGGTGTCAGCACGCCAAAGGTGCATCCTGCCCAGCCCTCGCGGACCTTCATCTCGGTCGGGACTGTGTACAGGCGGTGCATCATCTGCTTGAGGCTCGGGCTGAAGCGGCGGTTGATGATGTGCACCTGCTTGGTAGTGGCCCCGCGCAGCATGAGGGTGAGGCGTACGTGCCAGTAGGCCTGCTCGCCGCCGCCAAAGACAGCCAGGGTGCGGACATGCTCACGCTTCTGCACCAGACAGAGCGAGGCCAAAGCGGTCCGGAAGGCTGTCGGGGTGCTCGCATTGAGGATGCCAACGGGTGCGCCGTCGGGCGAGAAGAGGGTGATGGCGCCGGTAGGCTTGATTATGGGGCGCTCGGCCTCATTGGTGTGGTCTTGGTTCTCAGCCGAGGAGAGGGTGATCACTAAGTGCTGTTAGTCGCATATTTCTCTCGTTTTTACCGGCACCCGGCCAGATGAAGGGAATTCCCCAAGACTCGCCAAGTCGCCGCAACGTACATACCCTTGATGGCGTGGCCAGCGGGGCTTACCGATGGCATGTACAGGGTAGTGCCGCCTGTGACATTGTTATTTATCGACGTCCGGCTCGGTTGTTGGATCAGGCTCTGTTCGGGCACCTGGGTGCCCGTCGAGTATTGATGGAGAGCGGCCCTGAGCTCGGCCCGGAAGTTCTCGAGCTCGTCGATTGCCAGGTTCTCCAGAAGAAACCTGATCTGGTCGTCAGTCAGAACTGAGAGCGTCATTGGCCTAGGCGTCTTGGACGTCTAAGTGGTTTCTCGGTATTCGTTTGAGGTGGATATCGCCGTCTTGGATTCTGGGGTATGTTTCTGTATTTCTGCGCCCATTAATTATAGGCAAGGTAGTGTCGGGTATTGAGAATAATGGCCTTCTGATTCTGGCTGTTTCGCGCCTGGCTGAGATGACGATTTGATTGTATTGTCAACGGGGCCGCTCAGCCAAGGCTTGGGAGGTTGCTGGCCTACGAATATATGGAGGGGACTGGGCGAGGGGCCGAACAGGAGTGGAGAAACGGGCTGTACTCTAAATGTTCGCCAAGCGGCCTGGTCTGATCTTGGGTAGGTTAGGATTTGCGAGGATGACCCTGGGGCGAGCGAGCGGCAGAAGCGGAACTGGCGACTCTTTTCTCAGTCAAGTCAAACGATAAACCCAACGACGCAAGCGAGGGCTTTGTGACTAAATGCAGCTTCTTTGGTGTTCTTTCTCGGCGTCCCTTCCAGAACCACGTTGGTATTGGTTTCAGGTACCGAACCTTGTCTCCACTGCTTGGGACGATTCAACCAAAAGCCATAAAACCGCCTAGACAAGCGAGGAACTCGGGAGCCCGAGCTTCTGTAAGTGCAAGATTTGGTGAGTGAGGGGCAGCTCCTTCCTCCTTCCCTCCTTCCGTCTTCTCTAGCCTCGAACAAACATCTTACAGAAAGAGCACAGTACCAGTACTTCGTACACGCGTGCAAAACAGGCTCATCAAGTGTCTCATTGGATACCATGTGCTCAATGAGTGGTGTTAGTGCATCGCAAAAACTCCAAAGACTCTCGTTGTAATTCAGATGACCCATGATAGATTATATCGCATGATCGCCAGGCAAGTCAGTTGTAACCATCACCCGGTGTGTGCCCGCTCTCCCATGCCGCCTTACTCCGTTGCTTAATGAAAACATGTTGAACCTGCGCCTTTCCCCCTAGATAATAAAAGACATACGCAAATCCATGGATAACCTCGCCCCCAATAGCCATACCCCCATCACAATCACTGCAGGGCCGCCATAGAGGCATTTCCGCCTCGGAACACCAGCTGTGCGTACTTGCCGCGCACCACGTCGTCTGAGCCGTCGCCGGAGAAGCCGCGGCCGCCCTTGGTGCCGTAGCCCAGGTCCCGGATGCGCCCGCTGGCGATATCGAACAGGCAGCCGTGGACCTCGAGGCCGCGATCGCGGATGGCCTCCTGCACGGTGAAGTTGGCGAGGAGCACCTTGACGCCCGCCTCGACGTTGAACTCGGCGATGCGCATGGCCCGCGCCGCGTCGTCCTTGATGGCATCGAGCTCCTCCGCATGCTCCTGGCGGACCGCCTTGAGAGGCGTCAGCCACGTGTCCAGCACTCCGCCGACGCGCGAGTCCGAGAGGGCCGCCGCCGCGCCGCCGCACGCCGTGTGCCCGCACAGGACCACGTGCTTGACCTTGAGGAGCGCCACCGCGTACTCGATCACGGCCGACGTGTTGATGTCGGTCGGCGAGATGATGTTGGCGATGTTGCGGTGCACAAACACGTCGCCCGGCTGCAGCCCCAGGATTGTAGTCTCAGGGCATCGCGAGTCGGAGCATCCCAGCCAGACTGGATTCCGAACACCATGCGCATTAGCATCTATGACTGCTGTCTCCCTTTTACTCGCCCCCACACATGCTCTTCGAGGACAAGACGCGGGGGAGAAAATGGCCTGGGGATAACTCACGAATCTGAGGAGACTGGCCGCTAGCCAACTTGGAGAAAAAGGCCGGGTTCTGATGCGCCTTGTAGCCAGCCCACGCGTTGTTGGAGCTCAGCGCATAGAGGAAAGGGTCCTCTGCGTAGTTTATTTCTCACGGTCAGCCAAACCCGCTTTCACCGGCTGGAATACCTAGGTAGGTAGGCGCTCATGAATGGGAGGGATGGGCACTACTCACGTTGTTGCGCCATCTCCGGGGGTGGAAGGCGAGAAGAAGGAAATGTAAAGAAGAAGACTCGCTTGCGCCGCGTGTAGTTGAAATGAGCCTGTCTCTCGCCAAAGAATGACGAGGTGCCGCCCGTGTATTAAACACTGTGGGTGCGTCTAAGATATGTGGAAGGTTTCGAGAATATGGAAGACGAGAAAGCGAGACTTTAAATTTAAATTAGGATATAGGCGTTGAAGATATAAGGGCAAACGCGCGATTTTCTGGTCCTCTGTATTATCCTCAGATCTAGATAGGACGGCCAGTCAGCTACCCGTCGTCTGATTACTTATTATCTCGCCTCGTGTAGGTAGGTATGTACGGAGTATGCGCTGGGGCTTTACGGGCCGAGGGAGGGGAGCAGCAGCCAGGAACCAACACGACTTCCTTCTGTGCAAACATATTCAAGCACTGGCAGCATCGGGGGCCTGTAAATTAAGCTTGGTGGGGGAACTGTTTGATCTCGGGAACGCCCGAAGTGACGAGTAGTCATCGTGGGAGTTTTCCGCTACGGAGAGTTTCGCTTACCTACCTGGGCAAGTGCCGAAAGAAAAGACGGACGGAACGGTCGGTATGCGCCGAGAGGTATCACGAAATGGGATTTCGTCTAGCCGGAGCAGGAAAGGCGGGCAAACAACGAGACAACGCTTGCTAAGGTGGTGAGTTAATCGAACGACACACCAGGTGAGGTTTTTTTGGAGGAGACAGATGCAAGATCGACCTAGAAGGGGAAAGGTAAAGGAAAAAAGAAAAAGAAACAGCAAGACAACGAGACAACACCGGGGCCGAGTTATATAACCCGGACCTTCTTCCCCCTCTCTTTCGGGTCTTCCAAATCAGGTCCATGTCTTGGAACGAGGCTGGGCATCGTCGGTGCTGAATCCATCTCACCCTTCAGGGCGCACACACCGCACACGTACGGCATTGGACAAACACACACAGGACACGCCTTCCCCCTAGATCCATCTCTATCCCGCCTCTGCTGCAACTTTAAGGTAGGGACGACAAGTATGTACCAGGGACAAACTTTAGCGGTGCCGGCTCGCCAAAGCACAATAGCCTTCAAGATCCGTGTCTGACGTTTCGGGCTGAAACTCTCTTCTGGAGGAAAGAGCAAGAGAGACGAGTTCCTTGGGGTGGCTCAGGCCCGGACACTGGACAGGGTGGTGAAGAAACCCGGCCGTCGATCGCCCAACCAACCTCGAGGGCTACCAACGGCACCCCCCTCTTGCTCCCCCGTCCCCCCGAACTGCGTTAGGGCCAAGCGGCCAAGGCTGCACGGAACACCTTGCGGGGAGGCCCTGTTTAGCCAACTAAATAGACCGATACTAAAACCAATTGAACTTCTAGCCTCTTTTCTTTAATCCTTTTTTGTCTTTTGCACCGTTGTACCTTTAAATTCTTGGCAGAGGCAATGTGTCCACAGACGTTGACAGCGGCCAGTCAGACTCGAACGAACATTCTCTGTGAGTCTCTGTGAGAGGTCAAAAGCACACTGCCAAGCCAATTACCCTAAGCCGGCAGCCGTCATCGTGTGACAATACGTATCAAACCCTACTATGTTTGCGTATCAGTTTGAGGTCAAAGCCGCCCCAGAAACGTTAAACTAAGAGGACTTGATACGCCAGGATTTACGTATAGAGGGCTCTTCATGTAATAGACCCAAGGCTGCTTGTTCCTAGCCCAAATCATGCATATACGCTTCCAATCCTACTGTTCAGTATGCTTTTATGTTTCTGCGTCAAATGGTAGCGCGTAAGGATCGAGAAAGATCAACCATACCATACAAATGACTAGTCTTTTCCGTTCGCCGGAGTTCAATCGGCGTCACGATTGGTCGACCGCAGCTCAAAAAACCAGCTTCCACCATTCTAATCGCCAAATCAATGCCCAAAATGACTACGCCAATCAACGGTAGGCTAGTCAAAACTACGTAAGCGGTTGATCCAAACACCAAGCAAACCATCACCAGATTTCCTATCCAACGGCATGAACAGGCTGATCAACGGTGGGTTTGTTCAGCCGACGGATCATTCTACCAGCTTCCCGACCGATCGGTCGCGAGCCTACCTGGCCGACCGAGCCAAACCAACGTCGACAGCCGGATCGACAAGCTGAACCAGAGGTCAATTAGCCTCAGGGACTGGGAAGACGAACTTGATCAAAAGCAACAGGGCCTCAACCGACAGGCCAATATCCTTCGGGTCTGGGAAACTGATCTCTCGGCCCAGTCAGAAGCCTTCAGTCTTCGATTGGCCGAGCCAACGGCAGTCCGAATGCCCTTACTTTCCCTCACCACGATTCAGACAGTCGTGTCAATCCAGCCTGTCGACGGCGTTGTTCTTCTGACAGGCCTGTCAATAACCTTGTCAGCCCGGCTCGGACTGACAACCCTGCTGTAGGCAGTCCTGCTAATATGTTGCTTCTAGTACGGTAAGCTCGAGGACCCTCGCTAGGCAAGGGTTTCTCAGGCAACAGAAAGTCTTCCACGTCGTTGAGAAGGTCGCCAGCAGCCCTGTTAACAACACAGCTGACAGCCGCATCAGCCGCCAAGTCGGGGACTGCTTCAGCTAGCCCATTGACTGCCCACCCACCCACACCTTCTTCAGCCTGCACCCGCGGAGCCTGCGGAGCCGCATTTGGTTCCAGGAACCAGTTGTTCAGCCGCCTACGTGGCCACAGTCACGGCCGCCAGCCTGTTGCCCTGAACAGGTCGGGTTTTACTGGCCCGGGCCGCCTTGACAGTCCTGTCAATACGGACAGCCCTGTCGAATCAGGCAGTCCTGACAGTCAGGACTGCCCTATTAACATGGCCAGCCGATTACAGGGGCTGATCTATCAGTTAGCTTCGCTCCTGCCTTGTGCCCATAGAACAATTCCAGGAGATGGGACATCGTCGCCCTGGGATGGGACATCGAGAGCGGCGTTGGCTTACTGAGGATAGGATCTTTGTGTTGTGTGGCATTTGATGCACCCCCACCTGGGCCTGGCCTGTGCCAAAGCCTATGCCCTGAACTCGCCGGTCTCGGTGTGCCACAACATCGAAAATAACATGTCCTGGAAGGCTTCAACAGTACCTGCACTGGAATTAACCTCAGGTACTTTGATCGTTCCATTCAAGGACCAGGCTTTCAGCCGCCAACCAATTTGGAATCTTAATCAAAGTGAGTGGGTCGTTGTGCATCATAAAACCTCGGGGTTGGAACATCTTTACTACCTGTACCGAATCTAAAATTGCGATATCTGCTGCGAGATCGGGAGTTTCTTCTAAATTACGGCCTAGAGCAAAAAAAAAACACTATAACGACTCTCCTACGGTGGAATAACTCCTCTTCTGGGACTTTTCTCAGTGTCAGTGCCGAGTCTACAGGATCCAATGAACTGCCCAATCCTCAAAATTGGGGTTCTGAGCGTCGAATAATTCTGGGTCCTTGATCATATTTCACATCAAGATGGGAGATACGTACGACTTGTCACCCAAGTCTCAACATTGAGCTGTATCTTGGAGCAGCATCTCATCTAACCAATCCCGGTACTGCAGCACAATAACTGCTCCCATGCACACAGGCGCTTTGGCTTGGCTAGTCTTTCATTGCACCGGCAGGATGGGGGCCTAATGAGCACCCTTGTTGCTAAAGGATGTCGATTAGCTTCATGCCTGTCCCTGACGCTCTGACACGTCCATCCCGGCCGGCTCGCACTCTTGTAGGTGTTTTGGATGTTAGTATACATCCTAGTGGTCTTCTAGGTCCCCACGGAGGACCAACAGACCTGGTGATAGGCGTGCAGAGGTGTCTTATGGCCAACGAGAGAGGCTGCTATCGGCGGTTGAAGTCCTCCTTGAGAGTCTTGCTCCTTTCAGAAGCCGCGAGGATACCCGGCATAGGTAGAAAGACAGCACAGCCGCTCTAGCCTCGTAGACGGCAAAGCACGATCCCGGGATAGGTCGGTAGGGAGAGAAGAGGGAACTCTGGTGATGTCTTGGCTTGCTTTCTAACGTCCACTCGTTAAGTACTTGAATAGAATATCACGCTCGTTGAAAATACGTGTACAAAATATTGCAGTGTGTGAAAAAAATCCGGTTAGTCAGATATTTAACGGTTAACGGAGTGCAACTGTCCAGTCACAAAGTACCAGGGAGGTAAACATGATGCTTGTAATGAAGATGTTGCGGACGGTTCTTATCCGATGAAAATACCAACATGTCTCTCTCTTGACTTCGGAGGCCAGAGGCCAATTCCCTGATGTCAAGCCCTCTGTACTACAGGTTGACGAATTCGAGAGAAGCAAACACTGGCTCGGCCATGCTAGCAGCGGGCGAATCCTTCAAACGGTTATCTCCACCCCCAGTAACGATGATATTGACTTCTCTCAGCTTTGGCACTGTTGACTTCAGCAACAGTACCATCTCTTCCAATACATGGCGTTCGTCAAAAAACAGTGCTCTGTCGAAGACCGATTCTTGGGATGATCCTGTTTCTAGTTTATGCTTGAGGTCTTGAATGAATGGCATAGCCTTCTTCATCTCCGCCTTTTCAATCTTCTTGGAAAGGCTCTTCACATCTAGGGTAACACCATCAAACATGTTCCGGACCAGCTCAACATACTTCTCTTGCCAAGACGTCCAAGTGGTTGCCACAAAAATGTTGAGACGTTTGTCCTTGGTTGGATCAAAGAGCAATCCCTTACCTGCCAGCGCACGAATGAGTCGTAGTATCCGTTGGCGTCGGTTGTAATAAAGCTTCGGCGCCAGTCAATACCGCACCCGAAGTCGGTAGGGTGCTTTTGCCAGAACTCAGGGAAGTAGTGGAGCCAATATTTAAGCATCGGCAAATTTGTGGATTTCCTCGCGCGGGATTCCCAACGACAATATGACTTGGAACTGATATTTGGCCTTGGTCGTTTTCAGAGCAGCCTTGCCTAAACAGAGCCCTTCTTATCAACCAAGGGGTATCGCTTTCATAACTAGGGAGGCATTGTTACCCTTCTTCAGGTTTGTAAACTTGGTGCCGTCTTCTCTGGGACGTGGCTGCGCCGGCGGGTCGCTTGGACCGTCGTCCACGACGCTTGCTTCCACATATCCGTCGAAGGTGCTTCCGAACATGGCGATCTCATTTACGAGCTTGTGGGCGCAGGCCTTTATTGGCATACCAGTTGCATGATAGCCCTGGGGATACAAGGTGTTCTTCCCTTGGGCTCTCGCAACACGAGCTGCGAAGTCCACCTTGGACACAGTGAAGACGTGGCCAAAGTGCGGCGTGCCGTTAACATATCTTTGATAAGTTTAGTAGGATACCACGCCACAACGGATGAGTGGGGTGGGGGCGCACGGATATACCATAGTCCTGAAGAATTTGGGAAACTTGAGGGCTAGTTCATTGGGAGATAGCGATCCATTTGGGTATTCATTGCAGGACGGCGCATCCGGCTCAAATACCTTTTCCTCTTGTCACAACTTCTGGTATTTCTTCTCGATGACCTGGAGAGCATCTCTCTTATCCGTCTACAGACAATTTAAACGTTAGCTATCTATATATATAGATATGTTATACACAGCTTGACGTGTTACCAGACATTTTCGATTCTCACTGTGGCATGAGACTCATTGTCGGTGTTGGCGTCCATGGCTACCCAAACTAGCGGGGTAATTGCCTCTTCGGTTGAGTTGAGATTGTTGAGAAGTTGCTGCTCGTGCGCTTGAGAATCAGGATGCCCGAGAAACCATTTGAGTCATAGCCTAACGGCGACCTTACGTTAAAGAACTCGGATCAATTAATTTGTCGGGTACGCAGCCGTTTGCTGGAATGGCGCCTGGAACACATAGTGTGACAGGCCAAACGATATTAGCACTTTCTTTCTGCATGATTGCTTGGAGTTGGGATGGAGCGTTTTTGCCGTCGTAGAACTTCAATAGTGGAGGGGGAGGAATGGTAAGCAATAATACCAAGTGCTCTCTCGACTGAGCATTTCGAACATGACTTCGCAGTACGCCGCTCCCCGCAGCTTTAGAGCTGTCAACTGAGGAGTAGAAGCAGTAGCGTAAGAAGTGGATATATTACATAGGGCTATACTACCCGGTAGGTGGTAGGAAGCTTGGCCAATCCTGGAACGTGGTGTTCTGAGCCTTGCACTGGGAAGGTACTAGGGAAGGTGACCCTTAACACTTGTCTGAGCCTCCGTACCTACTATGTAGCTATTGAGGAGATGGGCATAGGCTTGTGGCTGAATCTTTTGCCTTGCAAATTTGGATGGGACCAAGATGCTTCCTTATTAGCCGGCTAGGCTGTAGACCCCTAAGGGATCTGCCTCTGAATTTTCTAAAAGACCGTCAAAAGTATAAAATGTCGAAGAAAGGTACCGTACGGAGTACATTCTCACGTGATTCTCTCGAAACTCAGAGATTTGAAGAGTAGCCAATAGTACTAGAGGAAAAAAACACAGCGGACCCATCTCAGTGGATTCTGAGCTCCTTTTGGTATAAGATTATTGGTTACTCTCGCAAAATCCCCCATAATCACACCCCGCCTAAATCTCCGAGTTTCAAGAGAATATACGGCAGCAAAGGCGCGAGGAAACGTAATCTCTTCAGAGGCTTGAAGGTTAGCTTGAGAGGGACGCAATTTAATAGATAGGTATGCTACACTCTGGAGTAAATTGACGAAAGCTCTCCGCAGGCGCGGGTGTCATTGTGCTCCGACACCGGGTGGCATGAATACAAAGGTAGGTAGTAATATCAAGAGCTGCAAATTGTTCTTAACGCGCCACTATGCATTTGCCCAGCAGATTTAGCAGTTGCGAAAATAAATGGCATGCAATCGTATGCAAATTGACATGCTGCGTTGTGAGAGCCCTCACGAACATAATGTAGGTAAACGACGCATTTGGAGGTCATATCCGCATATGGCGGAGGCACGGTCTGATTCCCTAACTAGTTTTGGTATTTCCATACGCCGCCCGAAAGTGCAACCACGCCAGTCCGTCCATTTCAATGCATCATTAGACCTTGATGGCAGTCTCGAGAGCCTTCTTGCGCTTCTCGATCCGCTTCGTGGCCTTGTAGCCCATGATGCCACCGCCCCACTTCTTGCGCGCATCCTCGTTCTTCTCAAGATATCCCTCCTTGACGGCCGACACGAGCTTGGAGAGCTCGGTCTTGTCCTCTGAGCGAACCTCGGTAAGGGCCAGAACGGCAGCAGTCTGTAAAACGTATGAGCAGAGAAACTTGCCAAGTACTAGTGTGAATCAAACCTTCTTGTGGACGACGGTTCCGAGTCTCGCCTTGCCCTTCACAATGGCGTAGGGGACACCCATCTTGCGGCACAAGGCGGGGAGGAAGATAACCAGCTCAATAGGGTCAACATCGTTGGGGATGAGGACAAGAGCAGCCTTCTTGTTCTCAATCAGACCAACAACGTGGTTGAGGCCGTACTTGACAACGTAGGGCTTCTTGCTGGCGTCCTCCTTCTTCTTGCCCTCCTTGATGGCAGTCGCCTCCTTCAGGAGACGCTCCTTCTTCTCGGGCTTGGTCTCGGGGCGGTACTTGTTGAGGAGCTTGAAAGCCTGGGCAGCCGTGTTCTTGTCGAGAACGGTCTGGAACTGTGCGATCGCAGGCGGCACCTTGAGGCGCAGGTTGAGGATCTTCTTCTGGCGCTGAAGACGGATATACTCAGGCCACTTCACCATGCGCGACAGGTTGCGGTGGGGCTGGATATCCTGGCCAATACCGAAGTTCCGGGTCCGCTTCTCGATGAGAGGGTTCTGTCGCTGTGTTAGCGGGGCATATTGAACATTTTGAGCATCGAGGTATACTGACCTTGGGGGCCTTCTTGGCACCAGCCTTCCCCTGGGGGAAGGGGGCCGGCGCGGCCTTCTTGCCTGTCTTAGCTTTGGGAGGCTATCATCGAGTAGAAGACATCAGTAAATGTTTTGAATCCATTGACTTCAGTCTTCGTGCACTCTAAAGAGCGGCCGGGTGGGCGTTGCCGCCACGCCACAAGCCAGCTCAAGCCAATTCATCACCTGCGGCCTTGCGGCCGACAAGCGGAAAAACAATGCATCTCGAGAAATCCCAAGAGCACGTTTGCAATCGTGCGTCTAGGACGTCGTGCAGTAAGTAGGTATGCGACCGTCATGTACTCACCATGGTGTATGAAGGCTGTCGGCTCAGGTCTCCGGAATGACTTGAGGTGCGAGACGTTTGGATTTGGGAATTCGGATCGCGAGCGAGGAAAAGTGTGTGGATTTCTCGTAGGGTATGGCGGAAAATCCTCGGGACAGGGGGTAGATTGTGGATGGGGATTTGTGCGTGAAAAGCACTTACCACTTGGCCTTGTCGAGTATTGCCCCCACACCTGGCGTAGCTCTAGAATGGAGAGTCCAACTTTTGAGTTAACCCCACCAACAAGAATGTCCCCGCCAACACCAGCTGCCCGCTGCCCGTCACTCACAGTCGGATACGGACGCCTTCACATCGGGTCAAAAACAAAAAGAAAAAGGGAGGGAAAAAATACGTAACAAACTTGACCATATTTCCACATAATGCAATGTGTAGGAATTACTGATTAATCAGGCTTAGGGAGCTACAGAGTTGTGATTGGTCGACAGGAAAAGAGTGGGAAACCATTAGCCCACGGGCTACACGTGCCCCAACACGTGACCACGAAGCATCGTCAAACCCGCCCGCATCCTGTCCCCGTAGTTCGTGATTTTTGAGATAGACATAGAAGAATACGATCAACACAACCGCCACCCCACCTTTCGCAGCGGTTACTATAGTGATTAGCACGAATGACCTTGTCATTCCAACACAATGGCTCCCACACTTTGCGCCATGTGTAAGACCCAGCGGGCGCTCATCAAGCGGCCCAAGAACCACGCAAAGCTGTGCAAAGCCTGTTTTATAACCATTTTCGAGGATGAGGTGCACCACACAATCACCTCGTCGAACCTGTTTTTCCCCGGCGAGAAGGTCGCAATAGGCGCGTCGGGCGGCAAGGACTCGACCGTCTTGGCTTCTGTTCTCAAGACACTAAACGAACGCCACGGGTATGGACTTGATCTTGTTCTTCTGAGTATCGACGAGGGGATCAAGGGGTACCGCGATGACTCCCTGGAAACGGTCAAGAGAAATGCCCTCCAGTATGAGATGCCCCTCAAGATCGTGGGCTACGATGAGCTGTACGGCTGGACCATGGACCAGGTCGTCGAGACGATTGGCAAGAAGGGCAACTGCACATACTGCGGCGTGTTCCGGCGGCAGGCGTTGGACCGCGGCGCAAAGATGCTAGGCATCAAGCACGTCGTGACGGGCCACAATGCCGACGACGTCGCCGAGACGGTCCTGATGAACCTCCTCCGCGGGGACCTGTCGCGTCTCTCACGGAGCACCAGTATCGTGACGGGAGACAGTGGGTCCGAGGTCAAGCGGAGCAAGCCCCTTAAGTACTCTTATGAAAAAGAAATCGTTCTCTATGCCCACCACAAGAAGCTCGACTACTTCAGCACCGAGTGCATCTACAGCCCAGAGGCCTTTCGCGGCAGTGCTAGAAGCCTCATCAAGCAGCTGGAGAGGGTGCGCCCCAGTGCCATCCTAGACATCGTCCGGAGTGGCGAAGACATGTCGAGACTGGTGCCAAGAGAATCGTCGTCGTCGTGTGGCGGTTGCAAGACCACGCCAGTCGCATCTGCTCCTGCCGTCGAGGATGATATTGGGGGATGTGGTTCCCGGAACGGGCGTACCCCGGGAGGCGAAATGGCTGCAATGGACAAGCAGTTGATAGAGAACGAGGCGTACGAGAGGCTCGAGATTGATGTGGCAAGCACCATGGCCAGGAACAAGGCGACACAAAATGAGAAACCAAAGGATATACCTATAAGAAACGGGGGTTCAAAGGCTGCCACCCGTCAGGTCCTTGGGAACTGCAAGCGTTGCGGATACATGTCGAGCCACGACATATGTCAGGCCTGCACATTGCTGGAGGGTCTTAATAAGAATAGGCCGCAGATACAGATCTGAACACTTCATACACTGCTATAATGTCTAAATGAACCCCTATATGGGATTCGGTACGCGCGAGACCACCGAGGGTGTCACCTGTCTTCATTGTAATGTTTGTGAAGTTTGTCAATTCATCAAGGTGCACGTACAATCCTCGTCTTCCGAAGTCGCTATCTGGATACCAATGCCCCCACCGATTTGCCTCTTCTTCTTATGATATCCGTGGCTCGGTCTGGTGATTACAAAAGTTAGCAGTACTCTTGCATAGCACTTCCGTAGGAATACACATACTCTCCAAGGGTTATTCAGTTCGAATCCAGGCGGTGGCAAATGGTTGCCCGTCTGCCCCCGCAAGTGGCCCGTAAGTCTCCGGTCACGATCCATCACTGTTGGGAGAGCAAACGTTAGCACAATCCCTCATTATCTACCCGTTTGCCGCCGTTGACTCGTATCGGATATTGTGCTTCGTACTTTGCTGTCCAGAAGTTAGCTACCATTGCATTAGACTACGGTAAGAATGGTGCCGCTACCTTGTCCCATTGGTCGAGTGAACGTCTGGTTCGCTTGCCCGCGTTGTTCATATTCTTGACCTTGGACATGCCAGCTCCAGTAACTCCGAACATCTGCACCCAATTGTCAGTTCCGGGTCTTAGCGTCGTCGCCGTCCGGGGGTGCTCACGGCGAGGATGATTGCATAGGGAATCAGCGTCTCGAAAGGAACAGGCATTGCGGCGGTGTTTCGGCCTACGCAGCAGTATTAGTTGAGTTTCTCGGGCTATCGGGCGCGAATTTGGGACCGTACGTGAAGCCCTCGGCGACACTGGGTGTTGTTATGGTAGCTGCGTGCAACCTGCACTTGCATCAGAGTCGATCAATCGCGAACGTCAGGGAATTGGCGAATTAGTATTCTGGAGGGACGGCATGGCTGCCTCAGGCTGAAAGGAGCTCTAACCCAGCGGGCTCCACCAATCATACCCGAGAGCCTCCCTACAGGGGCAGATGACTAAGCCTGGCACCCTTGCGGGCCATCAGTGGATTTGTGAGTTCGGGGAAGGTTGGAACGCCTGAAGTGTGATGCAAGGAGAACGCGCGATGCGCAGCCGAGCTAAACTCTCACCTACTTCACCATCGATTGGGATGGTTCGAGTGCGATTTTAACGCGTCTATCAGCATCATACAACTGGTAATACATTTGTGCAGCTTCCTTTACGCCATCTTCCGCCTCGACCTTGCGCGTCAGGGATTCCTGTGCCCCAAGTCGCGACACCTCATCTTCCTCAATGCCTTGCGCATCGCGCCCACGAGCTTCCCATCCGCCCAGCTGTCTCTGCCCACCCCCCTCAATCTATACGCCCTGCGCGACCATCATGCGCCAGGCATGATACTTCCAGGACTCTCTGCCCACGTCTACTTGGTATGCGCTGCTTCTGCGTTGGCGGCTCTTGACGAGACTCGCGAACGTCGCTCGGTTAGAGCTCACTGGGACCGACAAACAATTCAACACAACACAGAATGGCCGACGCGCAGCTTTTGGAAGAAAACAAGCAACAACGAGTCACAATGTCTGTGCGGGATGCCGAGCCCGGCGAGGACGGCGTCGATGCCGACGTGATTATGGGCAACGGAGGCGCGTCCCTTTCCACCAGCCAGATCGATCTCGGAACCACAATCTGCGAGGCCGACAATGACCAGGACATGGATGACGACGAAGATGCCGAGGACCAAAACGGAGATGATGATGCTGAGGACGAGGAAGACCTTCCCACGGACGCCTCCGAGGGCGAATCTGAGTCCGAAGACGATGACGATGCCTTCGAGGAGGATGATCCCGAAGGGGAGGAAGACGAAGATATCCAACCTCGGGGCTCCTCCGCCCAACGGCGGGTTTCAAAAGTCAAAGATGAACATGACGAAGAGGAGGAAGACGAGGAGGAAGACGAGGAGGAAGACGAGGAGGAAGACGAAGGAGAAGGCGTCGGTGCCGTCAAGATAAAGCCAGGCGAAACAGAGGAAGATGATGACGACGATAGCGTCGTTGGAAGCTCTGCCTCGGAGTCGGGCTCAGAAAGCATCAGCGATGTGGACTCTGATGGCGCCCCGTGGGAAGATGCCCACGAGCGAGACGAGAGGGACGGCGAAAACGAATCAGAGAATGCAAACCCTAACAATTGCATTTTTTGCAAGCAGGACGAGGAACACGACCCAGCCGAAGAATTTGAGGTCTATTTGGCTTGCTCTAGTTGTGGGGATAACGGTAAGTTTCCTTCCATCATGTAGTGTGACGGTTAGCTAACAAGGATGCAGCCCATCAGCAGTGCGCCCGAGACGCGAAGGCAATGTCTAGTGAAGACGGTGAGTTGTCCCGCTCTGATCTCTAAGACCCCCGCTAATAACTACAACAGGCCCAGAAACCTGGAAGTGTCCTGAGTGTGCGGGGGACGACTCGGATGCTGCCGAAGAGCAGGACGAGAAGCATGACGTGGAGTTGAATGGGACAGTCGAAATAGATGACCCCCCTTCTAATCGCCGCGCTGGTGCTCCCAAAGTTGCACGAGACCTCCTGCCCTCGCACAAAGGCGGCGTCAAGCCAGATGCACATTCTATGTTTAACCACCTCGTCCTGGACGAGGACCCGATGGACGGGTCCCGTGTGCTGAGAAAGCGGAAGACATCTTCTGCCGAAGCAGACGAGAACATTATGGCTCTGCGCAAACGCCGTAGGAATACTTCTGACGAGCAGAGCAATGACGACACGAACGAACGTGACGAGTCAACACGACCGGTTTCATCGAGATCACTACGACAAAAGGTATTGAGCCCCCCCGCGTCTATTCTTAAGAAGATTCGTGGCAGCGTCATTATCAAGATGCGAGTCAACACCTTCGAGCTTCGCCATATTCTTTCACGAAAACCAAGAGGAAACAAAAAGCGTTCCCATAAGGCCGGGGCGCGGCCCTCGAGAAGGGATGCTTCCCGCGTCCCTGCAGCAACGGTAGCATCGGCTATGGCGCCATTCACGCCTTCGAGCTACTCCCAACCATTTTACTCGTTTTACGACAAGGAAACGGACGAGCTGAAAGGCAAGCCATATGGTGGAATTCTTACCGAAGCTGAAGCCGATACCTCCAAGACCCTGCCGAGTAACGACGACAGAAGACGGTTTGACGAGGCCAAGCAAAAAGCCGAGGAGGAATGGAGACAACGCCTTCTCAAAATGCAGGCTGAAGTCGAAGTCATGACGAAGAAATCCAAGAAGGCCACAGGACCAGCAAGCCAGATCGAGTGCATCGAGTTTGGCGGCTGGGAAATCGACACTTGGTACGCGGCTCCTTATCCCGAGGAGTACAGTAGGAACCGTGTCCTTTATATATGCGAGTTCTGTCTCAAATACATGAACTCAGACTATGTGGCCTGGCGGCACAAACTCAAATGTCCGGCGAAACACCCACCAGGAGACGAGATTTACCACCACGGCTCTGTGTCTGTTTTCGAAGTCGATGGCCGCAAGAACCCGGTCTACTGCCAAAACTTGTGTCTTCTAGCGAAACTGTTCTTGGGATCCAAGACACTCTACTACGACGTGGAGCCATTTCTATTCTACGTCCTCTGCGAGTACGACGATCTCGGTTACCATTTTGTTGGCTATTTTTCAAAGGAGAAACGAGCCAGCAGCCAGAACAATGTCTCTTGCATTCTTACATTACCTATCCACCAACGCAAAGGATATGGTAACCTACTGATCGACTTCTCCTACCTCCTCACCCGGGTGGAGCAAAAGACTGGATCCCCAGAGAAGCCGCTCTCGGACATGGGTCTGGTCTCCTACCGCAACTACTGGCGGCTGATTATGTGCCGGTACCTTCTGGACCATAGCCCGGAGGATGGGTCGCAGAAGAAAGGCTTGAGCATTAAGAAAATCTCCGACGACACCGGACTTACGCCAGACGATGTAATATCGGCGCTTGAGGGCCTACGGTGTCTAGTCCGAGACCCCCAGACGCAACTCTACGCTTTCCGTGTTGACCAACAATACTGCCGAGATTACATTGAGAAATGGGAGAGCAAGAAATATGTGCAGCTTAACCCCAAGGCGTTGACATGGACGCCTTATGTCATGGGGAGGAGCAACGCAACGAACTTTGAGCTCGGCCCGGCCCTTAACGCGATCGCACCTCGTGAGGATGAAGAGGAACACAAAGCAGTGGTTGCTCCTGCGAGAGAAGGCCTGGTAAACGGTACAGGCACTCTTACCCAGGCAGACACTCCCATGCAGGAAGCAAAAATCGAAGCCAATTCGACGGTTCTCGAGTCCACCGAGCCAAACGAGACGGGTGCAGTACCCGGCGATGACATTCCGCAAGAAGCACTAGCCAAACCCAACGGCATCCTTGTCAATGGCGAGGCCATTGAAGAGCAAACTCGGCGCCAATCAGGAAACGGCGTCAAGGACACCTCCGAAGACTGGACATGGCAGTACAGAGACATCCCGCCTTCACGATTTGAAGTGGTCCCTCCAATTACGGGCTCCCGAAGAGTTGACCGGGTTCGGACTGCGCTCTCTCGGCCGCCTGCGGTGCGAACTATCAGCAGCGCCCCTCGACCAAGACAGAAGCGACCAAGCGGTAGTTCCCGTCGTTCGTCTGCTGGCAAGCCCAAGAGCAGCAGTAAGCGAAAGTCTGGCGGGACGGGTCGCGGTCCAGGCCGTTGGCCAAAGGGCACAAAGAAGAGCGATTACGGCAATGCAGACAGCGGCCCGGGTCTGCCACCGGGCTGGGTTGCGGCGCGAAACAAGCAGCTCACTGCCAATACCGACGTCAAGACCGACACCAAGGACACTGTGCAGGTCCAGACACCGACAGTCAAAGAGACAAAAAGTCAGCGAGGTGGCGACACGACCAGCAGCAGGAGGAATGGTTCCGTTGGCGAGAGCAGCGTTGGCAAGAGCAGCGGTGGCAAGAGCAGCATCAGCAAGGGGAGGTCCTCTCCCAAGTCTCACTCTGGTAAAGACAGCACAGATCTCGCCATGCGAGATGATGATGCCGAGGATGACAATGGGAAAGGAGAGGACAAGGACGAAGATGATAGCAGCGACGATAACGACGAGGAGTCGGGAGAGTCGGAGGACAATGACGAGTAATTGTGCGAATACTCTATGTAGAGCGCGTTTAATCTGCTTTGCAGTTATTGGGGAAGGAGTATCGGTTCTTTTGAGTGACATCTTGCAGGATGCACTAGACTTGGTATTTAAGGTAGGTAAATAGGCATTGGGCAAATCTTGGGCGTCTCAGGGCGTGGTGCCCAGCAGCCAACCTGTGCGAGCAAACGAGGCAGAGACATAACGGTTATACCCTCAAATGTTCTAGATATTTTGTACAAGTACGGGCAACTTGTTGGAGCGAATGAAAAAAAAGTTAATAGGCGGAGGTTTCCATTTTTACTAACAAATACTAGTACTAGGGGAATGCGAACATATCAGCCAATGTCGGGTGTTATTTGTCATGTCACTTGTTGTGAATGGCTTTACGTGAAAATGTGCTTTCGTCGTCCTGACACGTGTGAGTTGCCCCCGGGATAGAGACGTTTACGTCAACCTAAGGAGATTGATGCTAGTGACAACACACTAGCTACCGCAACAAATACATGAAGCTATTTTAGTGCTCGGATGGGGCTCAGTCTAGACTGTTCCTGATCAGCTAAATATGGACTGCATTATGATAATACGTTCATACTTTTTTCTTAGGTACTGACCTCCATGCCTGGTAGGGCTCTAAGTTAACCGCGAGTTCTTAGATCAGCGGCACTTAGGTAACCTAAAGCTGGAAGGCAGACTGTCAGTGTCACAGGCCGGGCCGGTAGAGGCGCCCTATTTGACTCTCTGCCAGCCGGCAACCGATCTCGGGATCGGATGTAAATAGGTTTCTAATACATACGTAAGTATATCTGTCCTTCTATCTTCATTCTTCGTATCAACCTTGGACATTGTACGAAGGTTATTTGAAATTCCTTGCCTACCAGGTAAGGTGCCTCGCTCTCTCCCACCCTCGAAGTTCTAGGACATTGCCGCCGAGAAACAGCCCGGCCTGGTGACAGGACTCAGCTAGCGCCTCGTGCGTGCTGTATGCACAGTGCACAACCTAGGAAGGTAACTGAACCATCCACCCGCGTAATGACTACACACACCTATCTTAGATACTGCGCACCCAGCGAACGTATTTCGTACCTGCTTCCCAGGGCAGGTTCCATTGCCTTTGGACCCGTCTCCCGCCTCAATCGGCCAAGCTCCTGCACCTATCTTCAACTCACCCAACATTTATTTCGCGCCAGGCTTCCTCAATCAGCTTGCTTTGCTCGACCACGGCACTAAATATCCGCTGTCGCCATCCCACCGCCGCCTATTAACCACTTGCTTTCTGGTGTCGCTCTGTTGTGTACGAGGCCTCTGACATATTGTTACCCATTTATTGCCTCCGCCAGAGTCTGGCCGCGCGGCCCCATTTTTGTCCGGGATCTTAGCTGTAAGGTAATCATCACTGCCAAGTTCGACCACTTGACAACCCGGCCGACCCACCCGCCTCCCTCCAGGCTTGCGACTGAAGGAACACTATCGAACTGCCCTATCGTTTGACACTCGCCATCGCCGGTACTCTATCTATCACATACCGCTTTCCGGCTCTATTTTGTCGAGGAGGCGCCAAGATGTCGAAGGTCATTCGGAGCGTCAAGAATGTCACCAAGGGCTACTCTAGCGTCCAGGTCAAGGTGCGCGAAGGTGCGTGTCTACAGCAATTGCGCATTCACCTGGTCGGAGCATGCATCCTGTGATCGCTTGCTGACAACAGTTGCCCCCCGGATACAGCGACGAGCAATGACCCATGGGGCCCGACGGGGACTCAGATGAGCGAGATCGCCCAGTTGACGTACAATTCGTGAGTACTGTGCCGTTTCGAGTCTCGGTTTCATTAGGAGCGAGGCTTAGATCGCCTGATCGGTCGCCTGCTCGACGCCGTCGACAGCCAAGGAGTCGGTGTTGCTGACGCCGCCTCTAGTTCTACCGAATTCTATGAGATCATGGACATGATCGACAAGCGACTTAACGACAAGGGCAAGAACTGGCGACACGTCTTGAAGGCCTTGAAGGTTATGGACTACTGCCTCCACGAGGGGTCGGAGCTGGTTGTAACGTGGGCCAAGCAGAACATCTTCATCATCAAGACTCTCCGCGAATTCCAGTACATTGACGAGGAAGGCAAAGATGTTGGACAGAATGGTGGGCACAGCGTTCCAATCTGTCTTGATTTCGTCCGCGTCGCGATGGTTAGACTAACATTCTGACCACAGTTCGTGTTGCCGCCAAGGAGCTCACGGCGCTGGTGCTGGACGAGGAGAGGCTGAGAGCGGAGCGCAGCGACAGGAAGACCTGGAAATCCCGTGTTACAGGCCTAGAGGAATACGCCCCTACGTCCCCCGAGCCGCCACGCCGACAGCGGACTCGCCAGTTCACCGAAGAGGACGACACCGAGTACAGGCTAGCCATCGAGGCAAGTAAGGCGCAAGAGGAAGAGGACAGGAGAAAGCGCATGAGCCGGGCGGGCGAAGAGGATGACGACGATCTCGCCAAAGCCATCAAGCTCAGCAAAGAGGAAGAGGAGCGACGTCGACGAGAGCTTGAGGAGAGCAATGTCTCATCTTTGTTCGATGATGAGCCAGCGCAGAGTTCTCAGCCTCAGCCCAGGTTCAACCAGGGCTATGAGCAGGGCAGTGCTGTAGATTTCTTTGCGAACCCGATCGACCAGAGCCAGATGCCTCTTCAGCAGACCGGTTATATGCCCAACGCGTACACGGGATATCCGACACAGCAGACTGGATACCCGGCCCAGCAGACCGGATACCAGGATGCCTTTTCGAACGGATTCGGCGCGCAGCCGATAGCTTTCGATCCCTACGGCCAACAGCAGGTGCCCCAGCAGGCGTTCCAGCAACCTCAGCCGACGGGATATAATCCTTATGCTCAGCAGCCACAGCAGCAGTTTCAACCCCAGCAATTCCAACCGCAGGTTCAGGAGGCGTTGTTGAACCCTGGTAGCAACAACCCTTGGGCCGGCAACAGCGCGCAGTCAGGCATCAAGCCGATGCCGACTGGCTCTAACAACCCCTTTGCGCCGCAGCAGCCGCAGCAGCAGCAGGCGTTCAGCAGACCCCAGGCATTCAAAGCGCCGTCGATGCCATCTCTTGGCACCCTTCCAGAACAGAAGACACTCTCTTCCTTCTCGCAGATCCCCACCTACAACCAGCCCCAGCCTACTCTTCAGTCTCAGCCACAACGAGAAACAAACGAACACGAGGCTAGACTGAACGCTCTCCTTTCTAGCGGCGAGGGCATGGACACGTTCGGAAACACTGGAAACCTCCGTATCCCGGCGCAGCACACGGCTCCTGGCACCTTCGTCAACAGCGCTGGTGCTGGCCTGAGTAGGCTTACGGCCGATGCCACAGGCAACAACCCCTTTCTAAGACAGCAGTTCACAGGGTTGCCCAACGTATCGTATGGAGGCCAGCAGATGCCCGCTGCGACAAGTCCGGCGGGAATGAACGGGTACGGGACGCATGCAACGAACAACCCCTTTGCCGGGCGGCAACAGCAACAGACGGGCCAGGGCGACTTGATTCAGTTTTAGACACGGTATTGGGGAGGCTGGAGGATGGATTTTTTGACGTTGTATTTTCTCTTCACGAAGAGCTCTATTTTGCTTTCTTTTGGGAGTGGCCTGTGATACGATACCCAAAAAGTATGGCGATCAAGGGCTCACCTGGTAGCTAAACACTCACCCACCTCACCTTACATCACCCTCCTCACCGCCCGCTAGGAACGATGGACTAGGTCTTAAAATGCTTCATACTCTCTGAACCACTTCACCGAAACAAAAATTATCGCGTTTGATCTTGACTCCCAGCGGGGAATGGTGACTTGATGGTTGCGATTTTGATGATTTGATACTATGCTTGATCGACACATTCCAGGATGATATGGTAAGTCGCCGGGAACTTTGTGCTGTGAATGTATATCGCACTTGGACCCAAGAACTGCCTGACGGTAGAGTGGGAGAACAGACGGGAGTCGGGCGACCATAAGAGGGGCTCAGCCAACAGTGCCCGTCTAGCTGCTGCAGGCCGTCGAAGAACTGAGACCAGCAAGGGAAAAGGGTTGGGGAGTGCCGGGGGATTTATACTGTTTGAAATGGAACCCGCACACTACTCATGATTCATCAGCATATATGGTGCGCTGGCGCTGTGAAACCTCTGGCGCCTAGCTTTGCAGCGAATCAATGCACCACATTATATTCCCTTCGCTTTCCAGCGAGGTTGTCACTCTCTTATCGTGACCTGTGACTCGAATTTTGGTGCAAGGCAGACTGGCGCGATTAGTAAGAAAGGCTGCAAAGGCCAATGACAGGCCAGAATTGATTCACAGGCAGTGAAAGAGACATCACGTGACGTTAACTTTCCTCATGTGCTTAGAATGTCCGATAAAATGTGATGAATCACGACCGCAGGCTTTGTTTTTTGGATTTCTTTTCAAGGTACAAAAGGGCATCAGGGATTTCCCAAAAGTCATTGCCGCCACACGTTTTGTGTGTTGCTGTTCTATCTGTATCTTCAAGGTCTCTCCCACTTTTGTAGCGAAAAAGGGCGAGAGGCAGCAGGTAAACGGGAACGCGAAGCACGGGCCCCCACTGTCGCGTCATCCATTGGTCGGCTTTAGCTCGAGGCCCACAAATTGGGCTCCAGCCGAGCAGAGAAAGCTGAACCAGGCTGGACACAGTTCAGCAACTTCTCGCCGAGCTGCTGCCAACCTCGCCCGTAATCGCGCCTTCTATCTCGAAGGAAAGGAAAGAGGTGCCCTTCCCTGCCCAGGCCTGGCACCTTGTTTCCGCTCGAGCGATACTCCGTATTGCGCTCGGTTTCTTCAAATTCACGACACTCCTTTCTAATTTTTCCAATCATCGGTTTGTCGTCAATTCTCTCGCCCTTCCCGCGCGGTTGGGTTGCGTGCTTCCCCTTTCGCGACAGACCCTTATCCGACAATTTTTTTTTCCCTCTTCCGCGTCAACCCCTCGATACTCGGCATCGACACTACCATCGCCGCCATGTCGTTTGGAAATGGAGCCTTCGGCTTCGGCCAGAATAACCAGCAGCAACAGCAGCAGCAGCCGGCGTCCACGTTTGGCGGATTCGGCGGGGGCTCAAACACCACCGCAGGTATGTCATCCCAGTCTCTCCATCGCGCGCAACCGCACGTCATGTCGCAAGCATCTCACTTCATTATCACCACTGTTTCTACTTTGTGCGATCTCCTGAATCGGAACCGATTGATCTAACCACAAACACAGGTTTTGGTGCCTCTGGAAGCAGTGCATTCGGACAGGGCACGACACCCGCTGCCGGCGGTACCAGTCTCTTCGGTGGTGGTGGGCTAGGAGGCGGAGGTGGTTTTGGTGCCAACAACACTGCTACCACAGGTGGGTTTGGAAGTGGGAGTTTTGGAGGCGGCACCAAACCGGCCTTCGGAGCCCCGGTCGGAACCAATACCGGCGGAGGCATTTTTGGAACAAACCCAGCGACCAACACCGCCTCGGGCTTTGGCGGCGGCGGAGGATTTAACACCGCTGCTACGACTTCGAGCACCTCGTTTGGTGGCTCATCACTCTTCGGCGCCAACAAACCCGCCGCTACAGGATTCGGCTCTGGCACCACAGGATTCGGCAGTGGCACCACGGCTGTCGGCACCAGCACCAGCCTCTTTGGCGGAGGTGCCGGTATCGCTGCAGGTGCCGGGTTTGGCGGCGCCACAAACAACCCGGGCATTGGCGCAAATATCGGAGACCCTCCAGGCACCGCTGTGATCCCCTTTACCCCTACTGTGGAGAAAGAGGCGAACAACACTTCCCAGAGTAATTCCTTTCAGAACATCCTATTCATGGATGCTTACAAAAAGTGGTCGTCTGAGGAGCTGAGGCTAGCAGACTACAACCAAGGACGGAAGCAAGGCAGTGCCGGCGGCACCGGCGCGTTTGGCGGTTCGGGCTTTGGAACCGGCGGCTTTGGAGCCAACACCCAAACGAATACCGGCTTTGGCGCTGGATCGTCCTTGTTTGGCGGCCAACAACAGCAACAACCGGCGCCCAATGCCTTTGGTCAAACAGCAGCAACGACTTCTGGCGGTTTCGGTGCAGGATCGTCACTCTTTGGAGCCAACAAACCCGCTGCTACTGGAGGGCTCTTTAGTTCGACACCAGCACAGCCCGCCCAGTCGGGCGGATTATTCGGCGGTGGAGGCTTTGGTGCAACGAACACCACAACGACCAACGCCTTTGGGGCGAATAATAACGCTGCGGGTGGCACCAGTCTCTTTGGAGCCAACACGACAGCTCAAAAGCCCGGGTTCGGTTTTGGAAATACCGGCGGTAGCGGCTTCGGTGCTTCAACGACGAACGCCTTCGGGGCCAACCCGACAACGACCAACACCGGAGGCGGATTGTTTAGCAATACAGCACAGCAAAATACTGGCGGTGGCAGTCTTTTTGGGCAACAGCCACAACAGCAGCAGCAGCCGGCGGCCACAGGGTTTGGTGCCGCGGGTGGTCTTGGTGCTCAGGCCCAGAATACCGGTGGTGGACTGTTCGGCAACAACCAGCCAAAACCCGGAGGTCTTTTTGCGAACACCACCGCGGCAACGGGAGGTTCTTCACTGTTTGGCGGCAACCCCGCTCCCTCAGGGAATGCTTTTGGTGGCAACACGAACCAGAACGTCGGCGGCATGTTCGGTGCGAAGCCGGCTGGCACAGGTACCGGCCTGTTTGGGTCTGCCACCACAGCCCAACCCGGGAATACCGGCACAGGTCTTTTTAGCGGTCTTGGACAGCAGAACCAGGCGCAACAGCCTGCGCAGTCATCCCTGTTTGGCTTAGGCCAAAACAATCAGCAGAAGCCATCCATGTTTGGGGGCTCGCAGCCTTCTCTGGGCGGCAGTCTATTCAACAACCAGCCCGCCCAACAGCAAGGCAGCTTGTTCGGGAACAACACCAACAATCAGCAAAACGCTCAGGGTGGCGGGTTCGGGCTAGGGAACTCCTTGCTCGGAAATTCCCAAAACATGCAGCCGGCCCAGCAGTCATTTTCCACCAGCATCAATGACATGTCGGCGTATGGCTCGTCAACACTCTTCTCCGGTCTGGCAGACGACAAGGTCCAAAACCCCGGCCCCCTTGCCACCCCATTGTCAAGCAAAGTAAAGGCAAAGAGCCGCGCAATCTTGCCAATGTACAAGCTCAGCCCTGCCAATGCTACTCGGTTTATGACGCCGCAGAAGCGAGGCTTCGGGTTCTCGTATAGCACTTACGGCTCTCCGTCGAGCCCGTCGAGCGCAGCTAGCACCCCTGGTGGCTTTGGGCAGAGCCTTCTAGTTGGCAGCGTCAACCGTGGATTGAGTAAGAGTATTTCTGCGAGTAACCTGCGACGAACCTATAATGCAGAGGACAGCATTCTCGCGCCGGGTGCCTTCTCGGCGAGCTCAGGTCCCCGACTTCTTGGAGGCTCTAGCAACCACAAGAGGCTCGTCATTAACAGGGATATGCGAAGCGATCTTTTCACGTCCCCGATCAAAGACATGCATAACCAAGATGTTACGAACGCCGGCCATAAGTTGCAAAAGCGAGTCAGCTTCGACACTAGCTCCGCCGGTACTACAGACACTAGTTCACGGGATCGAGCACAAGATACCCCTGACAGTGGCTCCAATAACGAGGATTATCTGCAGCTAAAGTCTGCTACCCGCCCCGGCACTAATGGTGTCAACGGATCCAAGCCATCCCCCGTGACTGCTTCTCCTGATGGTGACCAGGCCAAGGGTAAGGAGCTGGCGATTGTCCATGAGGAGGAGTCTCCTGCCGTTCCCCGGGCCGCGGACAAGAAAAACGGAAGCCAAATTGACGCTGGTGCATATTGGATGTCACCTACAGCCGAAGAGATTCACGCGATGAATAGGATGCAGCGCCAGAAGGTTGCCAATTTCGTGGTTGGCCGTGAGAATGTCGGAAGTGTCTCGTTCAATGTCCCCGTTGATCTGAGCAACATCGATCTTGAGGGACTGTTTGACAACATTATCGTCTTGGAACCCCGGTCCGCCACCGTGTACCCGATTGCAGCAAAGAAGCCACCTGTCGGCAAAGGCCTGAATGTGCCGGCGCTCATCTCCTTGGAACACTCGTATCCCCGCGGCGGCCTTGAAACTTCTGGTCGGCGTCTTGAGAGGCACATTGAGAGACTGAAGACCGCAATAGCCGACACTATCTTTGAGAACTATGATAAGGAGACGGGCGTGTGGACTTTCACGGTCGAGCACTTTACAACTTATGGTCTTGGCGAAGACGACGATGAGGATGCGGATGAGACCGATGCAGATCTTGTTCTGGGAGGTCAGAGCCCAATGGACGTTCAACTGCCTCAGTACTCGCCGGAGAAGGAATCCGTTCCCTCGCCAGATCAAGAACCTGAAGATGATACCTTCGACTTCAAGCGCTCCCGGTGTGCAGTCCCCGGTGCTTTTGACGAGGGCGCTTTATCGGACGATGAAGGGAACCTGGGTAGTGCTCAACCGTACGGTATGCTCTCCCATCACGGATTCCAGGATGCCGATGCTCCTATCCCTTCTCGTGAGTGGCCCGAGGATGAGAGCATGGCTGACGGACACGACAACTACCAGCACGAAGCCTATGAAGACATGTCCCAACAAGGCTCCGTCGAAGATCACGAAGAAATGGCCCTCTCCCGTTACGTCGGAAACGACTTTCAAGTACCCGGCGGGATCATGAGAGCAAGGATGCGAGCGCTGAAGAAGTCTGCAGCGCCAACGCGAATCGAGGTTGCGGGCGGAAACGACTGGACACAGATATTGCAAGCGAGTGTGAGGGCACCAAGGACAGTGGATCGAGGAACGCTACGCGCTCAAAACGAGTCTGGCGCTGCATGGGATTTGAAGGATCGTGGAAGCCCTACCCCCCAGAACCAACCGCACTTGCTGGATGGAAATGGCTTCGCGACCAGCATTGACTTGATGAAGTCACTCTTCGAGCAGGCAAAGGGCCCGGCTCAGCCTGCGCAGTCGGCGTCAGCAAAAGGTTTCGTAAAGGTCCGTGTGCAACTCGTCTCCTAGATACCTTGCACCATCTTCTTGTTGCCTCTGTTCATTCTATAAAATTGCTCTTTGTACCTATTATTCCTTGCCATGAATACAAACTAAGTGTTGTTCTTTCTTTTAGTGGCCCTATCAAAAGCGCACCAAGGTTGATACAGAAGATGATCCCGCGGTATCTCGACCAAACTGGGGCCCCAATGAGACGCTTGTCACCACCCACGATGGCGCAACCAACCTGCTTTCTCTTGGCAGTGATATCGCCAGCAGTGCGCCATCGGCTACCGAATCAACCACGAAACTTTCTCAACTTCAGCAATACATCGACATTACCTCAGCCAGCCCGAATCGCCCAGAGGCACCTGGCCCAGAACTCCGAACGCTGGCTCAGGGAGATCCAGTATGGGAGCTCGCCGCTCTGCTGTTTGAAGATGATGGATCAAACCTGGTTGCCTTTTGGAGGCAACTGATATCGCAGGCCACCAACCAGGCACTTGACCAGGCTTCCAGCCCTGAAGAGAAGGCCATCATTTGCCTTGCGGGAAATCGTGTGTCTGAGGCCTGTGGACACTTACTAGCTGGCAGGGACTTCCGGTTGGCGACTCTCGTCTCATGCATTGGGAGTCAGACCAAGGATATGCGGACTCAGCTGAAGGACTGGCGAGAGTCTAATGTGCTCGCCGAGATTTCTGAACCTGTGCGGGCGATCTACGAACTCCTTTCAGGCAATGCTTGCGTCTGTGCCGGCGTCAAGAATGTGCCTATCGAAAACCGCGTGGCTTCTTTTACCATTTCGCAACGTTTTGGCCTCGACTGGATGCAGTCGTTTGGTCTCCGTCTCTTCTATACCACGGGGTCCATGGGAGGCGCCGCGGAAATCGCCGAAGCTGTCCGCTCTTTCCAGTCTGATATTGAGCAGGACAAGGAGCCAGAGCCCAACAGCGCTCTGTGGTCGCTCCTCAAAGCATTCGCTTTCCGCCTCTTCGACTGGTCGGATACTCGTCTCGGGTGGCTACTTGCGAAGGCCATATTTGCCACTGGCAAGGTGTCGTTTGGGCAAAACGCCGCAGAGACGCTTGATATGGCTACCATCTCTTTCGCGTCCACACTCACGGCCCAGACCCATTGGGTCCCAGCGACCTTTGTTCTGCTCCAGCTCTCCGACGGCTCGGCCCGCGAGGCGGCTGTCCGTGATCATTTGGGACGTCATGCACACCTCATTAGCTCTAAGAGAGATGAACACAGCACGTTCTCGGCCCTGCGGAAGTTTGGCGTATCCGAGAGCTGGATTTGGGAAGCAAAGGCGTTGGACTTCCGATCCCTCCAGGACTCGCGGCAGGAATACCTCTCACTCATCTGGGCCGGCAACTATGTGGAAGCAAATCGTGCGTTTGTAGACCGCGTTGGCCCTGATCTGGTGATTGAGCGTGACTTTAAGAGGCTCTTCGCATACGCCCAGCTACTTTTCAAGGTGCGCAAGAGCCTGCCCGATTGGGACCGAGCGGCGGCGGTTTACCTCTTGTATCCCATCGCGCTTCTCGAAGGCAAGAAGCACCGTCAGGAGGATCTTGACCGCTACGATAGCCAGCTATTTGACGGTCTGGTTGCACTCCGTGCAGCCAGCCACGGCGGCATCCGCCAAGGGGCGGCGATTGCCGACATGGCGGAAGAGTTGATTAAGACGCACGGAGGTGATGCAAGACTCTTCCAGCTGCTGCCCGACGACATCCGCGGCAAGTACATGCGGATTCAGGCGCTCGAGAGCATGGGATGAACTGGACAATCATGAAAATTTCGACAAAAAATGGTGGGAGGGGCGGAGGGGTGGAGGGATATCAGTTTGCGAAGTCCCAAGACGGACCCTAATATCTTGTTTGCGGAGGTGGATGTATGGATGACGGATTATGGGATCTTAGCACCAGAGAGCGAAAAAAAAGGAAAAGATTTGGGCCCTTTCTGAGTGTGTCTCGCATGGACTTCTGAGTGTGTGTGTCTCGCATGGACACACAGTGTTGCGAGTAGCGAAATAGTCTTATAGTAATCAGAAGATTAGAAGTAGGTAGCTGCTTGTTTTACCTCGTCCTCTCTCCGCTATGGCAAGAGGGCGATGGTCTCATGGCTACGTAGCCTAGTCAGTCATCTTGTCATATTCTACGGCAAAGACTAGGCCGTCTGAAGTGTTGCCAGGCAGATAGATATAAAACCGTCAGTGAGCAAGGAGAGATAAGACATTGCTGCTCCCCGAATGTGAAATCGTACAGTTGGGACAACTCCAAGTGTTGGGCGTGACCACTCTTCTTGATTCGTACATGTGTAAATAAATCTAGTGATCAAGCTGCATTTGTGCCCGACGTGTTGAGTACCTGCGTATGTTACCTAGTGTGAATGTCAAGGGGCGAGCAAACAAGGATTACCTTGGGTATGTATATACCTAGAGAATAATAGAGCATCAAGACAGTACGGGGGAAACCAAGCTTCGAGTATCTGAGTGTGTGGGCGTATGGACTGTGCCTCGAGTAAGCCCAGGCCCAGCTCTGGATGTATCTATCCTAGTGGTATCGTCATGATGCATGGAGTCGCCGCAATGGTGTCCGTTCAGAGCTATATGCTAACACATTTGCAGCATCTTATGTAGGTACGGAGTAGAAGTTGGGTCCTTTCCTCTAGTAGAACAAGTCTCAGTCCCTGTCTCTCCCCTTCTTCCCGCATATGTTTCGACCTACCTTTACGAAAGCCAAGCAGGAAACGATGGGATTTTAAGTCAAATTCTCCTTTTTGCTTCAAGGTAGGTAGCCGGCTGGTAAGGAAAAAGGTACAGCCATCTTGTTCAGTAGGTAGGTAGGTATCACCGGCAACAACGATCACAATGACATCCCTAATCCAAGCAGCAAAACTTAAAAAGAGAAACGGGAAAAGGGCAGCTTGGTCTCAGACAGCCACAATCCTCCTCCTCCTCCTCCGCCTCTGTAGCCACCCATCCCCTCCCTCTTGCTCGTGCCGGGGCCCTTCTCGCCCATCCGCGAGACGCACTACAACATGCACGTCCTTCTTGGGCTCGAGGATGTGCACGGGCAGCACTCCGTCCTCCTTGCCGGGCACGACGATGGCCGCCCCCGCCGCCGTGCCTGGAGGCGCCTCGAGGTCAAATGTCAGCACAATCATGGCCACAAAGGCGAGGATCTCGTGCGTGGCAAAGTGGCGACCGGGACAGAGCGTCTTGCCGCCGCCAAATGCACGGAACGCGGCAGGGTGGATGCCTCCACCTCCGCCTCCGCCTCCTGCTTGCGTTTGCGTTTGTTGTTGTTGTTGTTGTTGTTGTTGGAGCTTCGCAAAGCGCCCAGGATTGAACTTGTCTGCGTCTGGGCCCCAGATGGTCTTGTCGGCATGAATGGCGCCGCCGGCAATCTGCACGACACTTCCAGCCTGGAGATGGAATCGGCCGCCAGCGAGTGCCGTGTCCGTCTTGACCAGCCGCGTCGAGTAGTTGTCGGAGCCGAGGCGGAGGCACTCGCGGAAGACGGCGAGCAGGGTCGGGCAGCGTGTCTTGACATCGTCGAGACTGAGGCTCAACAACTCTTCTTCCTCTTCGTCATCCCCTGTCTCCCCCTTTTCCACGACAGTAGTGGTGGTGGTATAAGCAGCCCATAACTCCTCTCTCACCTCTGCCAACAGCCCTGCACTGGCAAATATTTGCAGCACAACCCAGAAGGTGGTCGTGGCCGTGTTGACGATGCCGGCGAAGAGGAACGAGACTTCTGAGCGAGCGGCAGCCTCGAGCGTACAACCATGCGCCAGCGCAATAGCAACTCGCTTACGCACGATGCTGTTGTCGGCGAGCTTTTCGTGGCGGCCAGCACGTAGGTACTCGGCGAAGGCAGCGGCCAGGGCCTCGCGGCCGCGGTACGGTTTTCGTGCTGTCACGGCAGGCAGTACATTCATGAGTAGCGAGCCGAGCCCGTGGTCAAAATCCCAGAACGCTTCCTCTAGCTCGGGCCGGGCGGCAATGGGGTTGTCATCGCCGTACAGGAAACGCGCCGTAGCAATGGCGACAAAATGGCGAACCCAGAGAAGCAGGTTGACCGTCCTCACCTGAACCTCCGCTTGCTCGTGCGGCTGGGGAAGTTGCTCTGACAGAGGCAGGCTGGCGGCATAGGTGTTGACCTGGCTGGCGAGTTCTGTAGCGGCGGCAAAGCTGAGCTGGTTGAGAGCGTCACCGGGGCCGAGGTAGTCGTACACCATGTCGTGTATGTCGGCCAGGAACCCCCGTTGCTCGCCGGGCTCGGGGTCGAGGTTCTTGCGCACAATGTCGATGGTGGCCGCGTCGAGGCCCAGCACGCGCTTGGTGATGTCGGGCACAAGCGGCGTGAATGACAGGGCTTTGGAAGCTCGCTGAACGGCGGCGGCTAGCGATGGGTCCGTCACCATGTAGATGCGCGACCCGGGAACAGGTAGCGTGAAGATGAGCTTGCCGCGGTTGCGGAGGCTGTGGTAGACGCGTAAGCTCCTCCAGCTCTGCACCACGAGAGGCGGACAGTAGGTAAGGTGGGTAGATTCACGTACCCGAGGCCCTTCACATATCTGCCGCCCTGGACAGCCATGCCCAAGAGATGGCCGACGAAAGGGATGGGCGAGGCGACGATGGGCGGCTCGTTTGGGTGCGTCTTGGTGAGCTGCAGCCGGTATAAGACGAGATAGAGGCTCACGACGACGAGGGCTGCCGCCATGACCACGCCGCCGACGTCCATCTTCTCGACGAGACCATCCATGTCACCACGATGTCGATAGCGACAGGATGCACGTTGCGTTGCACTTTTCTCATGTGCAACGATCAGGAAATGGCTAGGCTAGTAACGATGCGGGAAATCAAGGTGTCGGTGGTATTGTATTGGCTTCTGAAGAAACAGGATCCACGGCCGCCTTGATTCATCGAAATAGGAAACTGTCATAGAGGAGGAGGAGCTCGGGCGTGACACCCTGATGAGTGTGCGTGTGGTCTTGTGCATGGTTCCTTCCCAAATTAACGGCACGAAATGGGTTGCATTGGCGAATCACGAGGCAACCTAGCTTGGTCCCCGAAAATGGCTTGACATGTTGCCCACCCTATCAGAACGGGAATCTTGGCGTCTTCTACATAGGCGTGGGAAGAAGAGAAAGAAGAGAAAACGGAATTGCCACCAAGGTTGGCATCACGGATTACCTGCGCACCAACGTCTTGTCTTGGCTGGTCAAGATGCTGGAAACCCTTCAGGGGTCGGGGGTTAGGGTTCCAACATGTTGTGTCACCACCCACTAAGTATCTAAGGTATCCATCTATCTGCATAGATTCCCACTATCGCGCTCTCGTTGGACCAAAATAAGGTAACATAACAAGGCTACTTTGGCATCGGTGAGCCCTTGTTGGGCGTGAAAACAGGGGCCCCTCCGAATCCAGACGCCGGCCCAGCCACGGACCCCGTACCCGGACCCAGACCCGGGCCTCCCGCCTTACGGGAGGGCGTCGGTGTCGACGGCGCAGCGCCTTCCATGGGTATCGGCGGCGTATCCGTTCTCTGCACCACCTGATCGTCCTTGCGCTGCGGCTTGAAGTTCGTCCCCCGCCCCGCTCTGTAGATGTCCTCGAGTATAATTTCTAGTATACCTGCGTCAATAAACTCGAGATACTTGCGGTGAAGCTTCAAAGCCGTCCGCGCATCCTCGATCGAGTCGTGCGTCTCCAGCTGGATGTCCTCTTTGAGAAGATACCACGCCAGGAACGCGAGCGAGAGCTTCCGCAGCCTCGCTTTGAGGTAGAAAAAGTCAATAGTGTCAATCACCTGCGCCCGCGGTACCTGCATGTTGATGACTCGGAAATCTTGCCGCAGCCCGTGGCCGAGAAACTTGCAGCCCAGGTTAAGAAGCACCCAAAGCTTCTTGTACGCGGCTTTGAGAGGCACCAGGTTGTGCCTCGACTTGCGCGGATCTAAATCAGAGGGTGTAATCCCCGAATACATCGTCAGATAGTCCACAATGGGTTCTCTGATGATGATATAGTCGTCGATGAATGCCGTGCCCTCGTGCTCTCCCTGCCCTCGGACCACCGACACTCTGGCCAGAGCGTGAGACATGGGTCGGATTGTTTCCTTTTGCCCGTCTGAGTTAATTTGGATCTCGGGCTGCTTAAGCGAGACAAACTCCGTGTCCAGAGCGACTATCGTATCAGGGCCGGGCTTCTCCGTTTCTCGGTCGAGAATTTGGTACGTCTTCGTACTGCTATCCATCGTCGGGCTTTTTATTCTTGGTTAGCAACCATTCCAGGGGCACGCGCAAGTAATCTCCCAACTTACTTTAGGTCCTGGTACAGAATCGACGTGTCCAGCTTCTCCCTCCAATCCGTCGAAATCTTATTGTTGGCGGCTTTGAGCTGGAACATGAGAACCGCCGGCATCTTCCATGACATGTTGAACGTTAAAGCCTCTTCTCTCGAGATGGACCGCACCGAGAAGTCATTGAAAAGATGCCATCGGCTTTGTCCCGGCGGAGTAGACTCGGCGTGCGCAACTAGCAAAGCAAACTCGTCAGCTTTAGAACCCACGGTAGAGCCCGCCACGACACCTAAACTTGCCATTAATCATGCCCACAAGATGCGGCTTCTGGGGAGAGCTGGTCTCCACGCTAACAACCAGACCAATCAAAGAATAGACGGTAATGTCGTGGATCCCGCGTTGAAGGTGCAGCTTGAGGTCCTCTCCTTCGTAACAGAAGAACTGGCCTTGATCTACTATGATGCCAATCTCTTCCGGGAGCCATCCGGGAGTCGCCCAGAGCCTCCGCTGGTCGGGACTTGCTGTGGCTGCGTTAAGAGCCAGAACTGCAGGAATGCTGGAGATGGTTTTCCGCATCTGCAAGTTCTGATATCGCTGGCATCTGCTACACCATCCCTTAGAAGTCGTCTCGCGTTCAACCCCCATTTTGAGAACTTGAGAAAACGTGGTCCTCGGTGCTCTGACGCCTCTACCTACCGGCTTCTGTGCTGGGTATATCAACTCGTTTACCCACGTGTTGCCTGGGCGAGTTGACTCGTTACGGCAATGCGTGCACCTGATAGTTATCACGGCAGAAGTGGTGAGGACCCGAGAAACGAACTCGTCTGGGGTCAGGGGTTGGGGTAGGTTGAACAAGGCTTGCTCGAGGGCGGTAGACGCGGGAGAGATGCTCTGGTATCCTCTCGAGATGTCTTGAAAGAGAAACCTGCTCAGGGCCTGGACCATGGCTGCCAATGACGCCGGGTGCGTCCCCTCTTCAAGCAAACCCATCGGCCCTGATTCTGAGGTATATCCCAGGGCCTTCAGCATGTTTGTGGCCTGGCATGTCGAGCCTTCAGCTTTCTGAAGCATATCGAAAACGTACCCTAATTCGCAGAGCAGACAGGGATCGACCAGACAGGCCGTCGCGGCGTGCTGGAGCGCCATGTTACGCAGCAAGGGGGTGTAATGCATAAGCTGCAGCAGAGAGTTGGCGTACGAGTTTGCGATGTGATTTTCCAAGCCTGCGTAGCGTGTTTTGTTGAAGAAGCTTTGGTGCAACGTCAGCTCTAAGCGGCCACGGATACACATCACAAGTGTTCAGAATCGATAGGGGTTATCTCTCACCCGAAATCAAAATCGTCGACGCCAAATTTGCTGTACTTTATTTCCAGGTTAAGATAAACGGCTGGGGCTTCCGGTTTGAGGCATTCAAGCTCGCTGCTCGTTGGTGTATCCGCCACTTGGTCACTCGAGCCGCCGCCGTTAGAGGAGCTGGCCGACTCTCGTGCCTTCTCGCTCAAGAACTTTGGGGGCTGCATCGAGTTTGACGCATTACCGGCTGTTCGCGTATCTTCAAACTGGTTCCTTCGTAGACCTCTGGTGTTACGCCCATAAAATCCCCAGTCGACCTTCGTGAGCGAAGAGAGAAAGGCCTGATCAAGCTGCGCCGGGGGAGCTCCGACGTCAGATATTATATCAGCAGGCCATGCCGAAAACAGTGTTTCGCGGTAGTAAGGCATTCCCACGGAGCTCAGGGGACTAAGGAGAGACGGGGTCAGTCAATAATGGCTTCACCGAGGGTCTCCTGCGCACACAAGACTCACGTATCCGGAGACCAATCAAGAAGGGGGGCGGGCTCTTCGGGCTCGGGCAGCTCGACGGGCAGAGCCAGGTCGGTGAAGCGCAGCTTGGACGGGGGCCCCCACAGGTACAGATTGCACTCGGCGTCAGCCATCACAAGGGCTTCGCCCGAGGGCGCAATCTCAAACTTGCCCAGAAAAGAATGGATATTCGCGTAGCGAACATTGCTCGTGTTAGGATTCATAAGGTCGACAACGTGCATCTGCCCGTGCTGAGATGCCACAATGCTGGTGGTGAGCATTCTCGGATGCAGCCTAACATGGGCGGCGAGCGGTGGGAAGGGCATTGGCTTCATCGATGACATGTTTTTCAGGTCAAAGACGTTGACGTATGGGTCCAGCATAAATGCCTGCGCGGCTTGCTGCTTAATCGATCCTCCGCAGGTGACGATAAAATCGTGTTGAGCGTCCATGTCGTTGATGTACGACGAGTGGGCTTGCCAACTCCTAATCACCCTGAGGGATGTGGGGTCTAGCAGGTTGACACAGCCGTTCTTGGTGGCGGCGCATATGTATCGGCTCTTCTTCATGATCATGTAGTGGTTCTCGGTGGCGACCTGGGTGAATGAGCGACGAAACGCGGGAACGGGAACAACGCCCCCCCACCGCACCCCAAGCGGAAGCAGTGGGAGGCAGACACGAAAGATTGACAAACCTGTCTAACAATCTCTCCCTTGGTGACGTCAATGACAAACATGGTGTCTTGCCCGCCGGCAACCAGTATCTCGGATGCTCCGCGGGAAGTAAAGGCCATGCAGCGCAAGTCTTTCATTTCATCGTGTCTGCAATAGGGTGTAAGCGAGTAAGCGGCCCGAGGTCCTCCCTCGCATTAGTGCTCGCCGTGACGGCCATACCGGATGTTCCACAGGGCAGGCCCCCTCCGCATCGCCATGTGGATGCACCGTGTGCCCAGCGCAATGACGCCTTTCTCATGAAAGAGGAATTGGCGCACAGGGCCTTCGGCAGGAGGTTGTATTCGGAAGGCAGTGTATGGCTGCAGGTCGCGGCCGCAGAAGGAGACCACTCGGCCCTGCGGTAGTCAGCACACGAAGCCCGCTTTTGTTTGTTGACGGGCATGACATACTCGGTCGCTGCCGGCCCATAGTTGCTCCTGCGCAGTGTCGAAGGCTAGGGCAGTCGCGGGTCTCGGGTATTCAGCGCTTCCCGGCGCCGGGAAGGCGATGCGCGTAACCTGTAGGCGTAAGCACGAAATCAGCGACCCTGTCCAAGAGAAGAGGGAGAGAAACAGACGGGAGGGAACGGGGGCGGCCTGGAGAGGCTCGTGACAGCCAAAGTCCAAACGTCGAGAGCAACCAATTCATCCAGAACCTAGGGGGGATGGGTCGCACAGCACTCACCTCGTCCCAGTCCGCATCCATAGTCAACGCCAAATTACATCTTACCAAGTACTAGTAAAGAAGATGTCGTCAGCCTGGCTTCACCAGGGCCACCTCCAAAATAGGGTTAGAAGTTGGGATTGGATTCGATAGCCGGATCGATGTTTTGGGAATCCCCACACTTGCCTTTCAATTATCAGCCTTGCGTTTGGGCACCCTTGCCGGACAGCTGCAGGCGGGGCGGGCTCATCCCCACATTTTGCCCCTTGGACAGGTTGCATACACCAGGATGCTGAATACAGCCTAGTACAGTCCGCTGACAACTGCTTAACGTTGGGTGTTACCTAGAGAACCAATTTTTCGAGGTTGATTTATTGACACGAATGGAAAAAACTTCAACATATTGATTGATAACTACGATATTTCTTACCTTTGCACAGCAGAGCCTCGTTGCTCCCAACTACAGAAATCTTTTCCGTGAAAACCCAGGACCAAGACCAGCCATTGACGCGCATTTGCGTTCACTTGGACTATGTATGTACTTATGTACGTCCTCAATAGTATAATACCGAGCAGCGACGAGAACAACGGCGACGGCGACAGCAATAAAAACAATAGGAATCTGCCATAAAATAAAAAGCCCACACAGACATGCCGCCAATACAAACGCCGAGAATCGAAATCTCTTTATGCAGTCCCACTAAAGACACGCAAAGGGAAGAAAACCTGGAAATCAGAATTAAAGTCGCGCAACAAACGCCAGACCCTCTACTCGAGCGGCACCCTCTACTTAGTGAGCCAGCCGAGATAGTCGGCAACGATCAACGTCACCATTCTGCGCGGGAACAAACTGTCAGCATGCGATTACGGAGAGCGGCAATCACACTACCAGCAAAAGTGTGGGTGGGTGAGACTTACGCATGTGGTGCGATGCGCACATAGTAGGTCCCGAATCCCCTGTAGAACCTCAATATGCCCTCTTGCTTGGCCACCTTGGAAAAACAGTCGGCCATGCTGCTGTAGGGAAGTTTCCCGTCCGGCCCCTTGCTCTGTTTTTGCAGCCGCGTCTTGACGAAATCAAAGGGCAGCGAGAAAAACGAGGCGAAGAAGCCGGCAACGGCGCTGGCGCTCAGCGTTTGCGTGTTGCTTGTCCAGTTCGTCCTGATCTTCAACTGCGCCTTGGCTTCGCTGAAGAAGGCCAGCTGCCCAAAGTTGAGCGCCATGGCTCGCACAACAGTTGGGGCTGCACCGGCCCACAGTGCCCCAACGCCCTCACTTTTGGCAATGGAGCTGAGCGCATCAATCACCGACTTGTAGTTCTTTCGCTCGGCCAACGGCTTGAGCCCGTCGCTCTGCATTCGGATCAGGGCAAGATCCGCCGGGTTTCCGATCATGGCCGCGAGGCCGCCGGCTGTTAGCCCTGCCGTCGCACGCTCGCCGAAGCCTACAGTTTGCCCCTTGGCCTTGGCTCGGGCAGCAAGCTGGCCCATAAAGGTGTCGAAGAATCCGATTCGGGCTGTCGTGTACACGGCCTGGCGAAGCAGGCCGGCCGACAGGCCTGTGTAGAGATCGCGAGCCTTGCCGCTTGCCAGTATCTCGCGCGTCACCGAAATGGGCGTCGCTTTCGGACCGCCGGCTTTGCCTTCGCCCGCAAGTTGGATGCGCACCTTGATCATGTCGACAGGCTGGATCACCGTGGTGGCAACCATGCCGCTGAGCCCTCCATTGATGAAGGGCAGCGCAGCGCGCATGTAGGGCGTATGGAGGAAGTCGTTGGCGACAGCAACCGTGTCACCCTGGACGCCCTTGGCCGAGCCCATAACTTCGGACGTCCTGGATCGTGCTGCTTCAGCGGCTTGCTTGACTGTGCCGGACATGGCTGGCTGCAATAGACGCGCGGGGTTGGCAGCGAAGGCTAAAAGGGAGATGCTGACCACTCGGCCCCTCAAGCCACCCAAGTCTTATAATCCCAACGACGACGACAGTATCGGGGGGTGGCCAACTGTGTGATGCGAGCGTGTTAGCTCCCTGGTCGTCTCTCCCTGGTCGCACCTTTGCACGAAGGCTTCACTGGCTCCAAGAGGGACAGCCAGACGCAGGGCGTGCATGGATCCGTTCCCGTCCAAGGTTTCTACCACGACCTGGTGGCTTTTGGCTCAAAAGCGGCCGGGGTGCCTCGCCTCGTCGGCTTTGGTCGGCAAAGAGAACCCCATCGCCGCCATCTCCATTGCAAGCTAAAGCCTCCAACTACTACCTAGGATTGTGGGCCACCGGGAAAGGTTGGAATCCCTAGCTCCTGCATGCGGCCGGCACGAAGGCTTGGAACTTGGGGAAAAGCAGCGGCAAGCGGGGGTGGGGCAGAGGGAACTGTCCCCGGAGCGCCGACCTCACAGGAATGGGGGGCGAGCGACATGACAGGTGACTTCAACGTGCCTAACTTACCCAAAAATGCCCCCGAAGCGGCAACCAACTGGTCTTTCTCGAGTGCGAAGCTCCAGTTGCCTTCAGGTCAAAGTCCCCCGAAGAAATTGAAATTGGGTGAATTCACAAGACGCTGCTGCGTGTTGAAGTAACAAACGTTGGCTTAGGATCCGGGGAAGCTCGTCTTTCGTCGGCGTGTCAAGTGGGGCGGGGTCGCGTGCTCAGAATGACTGGCCGAATGGATTCAACAAGAAAGCCGAGACACGGGGAGATGGCGCTCTTTGAAAGAAACTTTATGATTTTGTAACACAAACTAACAAACAAGACGTCCTTGATAGGAAATAAAAGAAAAAGAAGAAAAGAGGCAGATGTGAACGGGGAGGGCTGCGCTACCAGAGGATGGATAGTCGATCGATCGATAGGTCCTCGATTTGTTTTGCCGAGGGTTGCAGATATGGGGCGGAAGAAAACGGACCAGGACAAAGAAAAACAGGACCAAGGTAAGACGTTGAGCTTAAATGCTTGTGTCGGTAATATATTTATGGCATGAATGGAAGGGCTTGCGGCAGTAGGTCAGGTACTGTACCTACCTATGGCGTCGTTTGGGGGAAGGAGGGGTGGCCAGCCTGCCTCCTACCCACCACCATCCATCCATCCTCTGCTCTGCAGAAGCCAAAGTCCAACCTACACCAGTAGGGTAACGGCTTCCCTCGTACACACACACACACCACTGCACTTTTCGTTGGGGGAGGCAATGTTGGAGACACATTCGAAACTCGCAATCCACAGAGGCGTGGCCTCCAGGAACCGTCCCCGGCCAGTCTGTCACCGACCTTGCGCACCGCCTCGGGGACCTTTCCATCGGGAAAACAACCGCTCGACTCACGTAGCTATCTCAACTCACCTTCGCATGGCCGCTACATGGTCCAAGTTGCATTTCGTCTCCCGGAGCGGGGTCGCGGGTTTCGGTATTTGCAGAGTGCAGCACGTCCCGCTCTGCATTATCATCCGACACACCGAGTACATAGGTAGGAAGACGTGGAAGCTAGCCTAGACATGTGTCGATGCTTTGCTCCTTGCTGACGCGAGGCCTGCGTTGTAAGCTCTCATGTCCGAAGTACGTAGTCTCATAAATACTCCGTGCCTTGAACGTGTGTTGTATATGTGCTTGGAGAAGACAGCGCTAGTATCCGTGCGAGATGGAGTGCAGCGCGAGCGACGCCTCACCATGCCTCACGGAACTTAAACCGAGATCAAAGACTCTCTAACCTCTCTGCAAGGGAAGTGGCCGTAGATGGCAATCAGGTGCCTTCCCTGCTTGTTACCCCGTAGGTAACTGTTGGTGGAAACCAGGACCTTGACCATGTCATTTCCATCTCAAGGTGGGGGGAGATCAGGTTCCTGTTCCTCCATTACTCCCAGCTAGCCGGCAGCTGCCATCCAACTACTCCATTCCGTACCTCCCAGTTCATCATCCCTCAAGGTTCCTTTCGCCCCTCCTCTCTGACGATGGATGGCACCCAAAGGCCTGCGAGCTGTGCGACAATTGAGGGGTTACAAGCCACCTCCGCACGTCCAGTCGAGTAGGTAGGTATGCTTAAAGGACTTTTCTCGGTATAGGGATGCCGTCTCCAGAACATCACATCCCCTCCAGACAGGCCGGACTATATTCGATTCGAACATCGGGCTCGGTACAATAGATACGAGGCCTGGGCGCTAGTGGTTCTTGAGCGCGCCTGTTGCCCAGAGCAAGCAAGCCACTCGGTCCTTGCCCTCTAAGGACGTGTGTGCATGTCCGCTACGGTAGGCTCAAACAATTATGGAGTACATACGTTAGCTAGGGACTTGCGCAAGTGAGCAGCAGGCAGGTAGGCCAGTCTTGAAAAGCAGCATCCCGACTTACACGCGCTTCTCTAGGCACTCTGGGCACCACCCCGCTAGTGGGGCCCTCTCCTAAGCCGAGCGAGCCAGCACGCCCGCACCGCACCGCACGCTCCCCACCCGAACGCGCCGACTCTCTGTGACTTGCCCGATGCGCGCGAAAATGCGGGGTCGCATGCTCGCACACTCTCGGCTTTGTCGAGAAGCGGAAATTCACGTACCTAGGCAAAGCAAGTACGTATCCCAACCACACGTGCGACGAACCATACAGTATTTTCAAACCACGAGCGATATCGGCATCCCGTTTTACAATGGAAAACCCGAGCAATCTCAAGAGGAACTCGGCCGACCTCGCGTTGGCCCGGAACTCCTGTTTCGGAAACAACCGTGACGTCAGGTCGGCTTACAGCCCAACAGAAAAGAACTACGGGGGAAATTAGAGGCCTTCTAACCGTTAATGGCATCGCCTCTAGCCTAGTCAACCCTAGAGGGTTATATATGGGCTTAGCGAAACTCGGGCTCTGTCAACGTGCGATGTCCAAGTGAGGACTAAGAGAATCGTGGGAGAAGAATGACATGAAAGTTTTGGGCAGTTAAGAATGCCGGATGAATCTACCGAGACTCTAAATAATAATAGTTAAATTCAGGTAAAATCAAAAATCATTTGGGCCGTCTCGCCGGGGCTGCGAACGGTTACGGGAAGGGCGACGTGGAACAACAAAAGATAGAAAAACAAGAAAAACAAGAAAAAAAAGACTCGCCCGAGATTCGAACTAGCAACCTATTAAAGACAAAAAGCAAAGAGGGTTCAAAGGGAACACGTCTTCTCCGCCTCATAAGAACGTGACCGTTTGACCAACCGGCCGAGTTTCCTGTAAGGGATAAATGTTTTAGCTACTTCGCTGAAAGGAAGCACTAGAAACAGGATATATATGTGCCCATGTGGTCTTTAAATCGTTCATCCCATCGCTATCGGGACTGATTCTACTTACTTATTCAGGAGATAGATGCACAGGCAAAGCCCCTCCCATTCACCATTTACTCTAAACAGCAAGGGTGTCGGCGCAGTGAGGCAAAGAGAAATCGGAATGGCTCACCTTGTCGTGTCAGGCCACAGACTCTACCTCTTCTGCACTGGCAGTAGACAGCATGGCAGGGAAACGCTTCTCTATACAGGGTACGGCAAGAGTACTCCAAGCCCGTAAGCATGGCCCAACTACCCTACTTAAAATATGTATATACCGCTCAGAAACGCTGGATACATAGGTAACTCCCCCCATGATGCAACCCCCCCTCCCCATCCCCCCGGAAATGAAAAATGCAGATATACAGCTTCCCCCCCTTGTAAATGAGAAAGAAACCCCCCCCCCCCCCGAACGTCATGTTGCGATATAGCCATGTCTTCATCTCCCAAAAAAAGAAAACCTGACCAGGGCGGCGGCTCAGGACTCGCTCCGTAAAGGACTAGACCCCAAAACTCGACTCTCAGTATCCGGTGCTGGGAAACGTGCCAAGACGACCGCCGTCAACCACAATGACGTTGCCGTTGCAATAGGCGCCGGCGCGCGACGCGAGGTAGAGGATCTGGCCGGCCATGTCGACCTCGTCGCCCATGCGTCCGAGCGGCACCATGCTCTTGTCTAGCGGGATGGCCTGGTTGCCGCCGCTCGACATGGACCCGCCTGCTGCTTGCACGATGGGGGCTGCCATCTCGCTTGGGAAGACTGTTACAGGTGTTTTGATGTTGGTCAGTAGAACATAGAAGGGAAACCGTGGCTGGTAAAAGGGGGGAGGTGGAATTCTTACGTCCTGGGCAGAGGCAATTCGCACTAGAGACAAAGATATGTGTTAGTATATATATGCCGTAAAGTACATGCAGAGGCCGAGCAGGGACAAAAACATACCGGATATTCCATGTCGGGAGGACGCAGCTCAGCTGCTTCGCAATGTGCGTGGCAGCGGCCTTGCTCGGGCCGTAGGCGTAGCCGCCGGGGGCCTTCTTGTTGAAGGCGCCGATGCTGCTCGTGATGATGACCTGGCTGGACTGGACGACGTTGCCTCGCTTGTTGCCGCTATCGAGCAGCTTGAGCAGCGCCATGGCCGTGTACCAGACGCTGGTGGCGTTGACCTTGAAGGTGTTGGTGAAGTCGTCAAAGTCGAAGCCGAGCTGCTCGTCGCGCCACTCGTCGAGCGTCGTGTCAGGGCCCGGCGCCTTGACCTGCGGCCCACTGATGCCAGCGTTGCACACCACCAGGTTGAGGTACCCCATGTCCGTCTCCACCACTGACACGATGCTCTGCAGGCTGACCTTGGACGTCACGTCGCAGTACAGCGGCATCACTACCGTAGGTCGCCCGATCGACGCCGCCGCCTCCTGAAGGACGTCGACGCGCCGCCCGACAATGTACACGCGTGCCGCTCCCGCGTCTGCTAGTGCCTTGGCAATCATGAGCCCAATTCCTTTATCGACATGTTAGTAAGTAGGTTCATGTGCATGCAGTCTTTGGAGGTTGGAAGAGTATAATTAATGAATAAAAAACGATAAAAAAAACATACCCGTGCCTCCCCCGGTCACGAGGGCGACGAGGCCCTTGACCGAAAAGAGGCCCTCGACGTCGATATGTGGCGCCTGCATGGTTTAAAAGGCAGGGTGCCCTAAATGGATGTTCTGGGACTGTTCAATCTTCGTCTCTCTCTGTCGCCCAAACAAGCTTATTTCAAGTTTGAGACAGAGGTACGTAGTATGGTATGGTATGGTATGGTATTACACCTTGGCCTGAACTTTTGTAATCAGCAACAACTACAGCACGGATAAACTGCCGTCCAACAAGGGAGGGGCGAGAAGGCGGGGTGTACGGTGTAAGGTATGGTAAAAAGGGTATGCAAGGTATAACCCAAGGGTACCTAAAGTGAGAGAGAGAGTGAAGCTCAGATAAACAAACCGACTTACTTTGTGGTAGATAGACCGAATGGCGGGTAGACAAGCAAGCCAAGTGCGATTTCAGTGGATATAGACGATACCTTATTGCTGCTCTGTCGGATGCGAAGGCTCAAATTGCCAAGTATGGATTTTATCTCCCGAAATATAAGTAATAGGCGGTGCTTCTTGTCTCCCAGTATCTTGTGGTGCTTGTTGCTGTTGTTGTTTATCGCATGTTGGTTAGGACTATGGGGCCGAATGCGGAACCCCTCGTTCCCCCTTATGAATGAATGCCTGCCGTGATTATTCCATCAAACCCTCCCCACCTTCATTTTCCCCCGCCCCCCACTCATACAGTAAGTAACATCACCCTGGTGATGTCACCCAACACAACAACTTGACTACCTTTACGGACTCAGCAGCTTTTATCGAAGATATTGAAAGCTGACGTGATTCAGATAACCTGATGTTGAAGAAATACGGACAGGTTTTATGTCATGGAAAAGGGGTTAAAATCAAATGTTGCCTCTTGATCAAGTTGCCACATCAGCAACAACGGATCGAGGAGACAGACCAAGCTAAGTCAATGCAGATAGCATATATACAAGTGAGTGACTTTTCTGCATATTTCTTTCTACTATCGCGGTCTAAAATACTGCAATATCTTACGCCAAAAATCGACTTCAGTGCGACCGAGTCAGTCGTCTGCGAGACCCCTGATGAGGCAACAACATACGCTCTTTCACTTCACCGTCGCAGTTACATGCCCTAGGCCTAGATCGCTGCTAGGAAGGCACAACTCTAGCCCCCAACACTTAGGCACTTTCGTCGGTAATGAGCTTGATGATTTTGCCAATAGCAATGGTTTGCCCCTAGAGAATAATGTTAGCACTGTGTCCGAAGCGCGCAGACGGATTCGACATACCTGGTCTCGGAGGGTGAAGCGGCCCATCTGGGGATAGTCTTCAAACCGCTCGACACATACCGACCCTGCGCCACCAATGATCTCCATGCGAGCAATGATGCTGTCTCCCTTCTTCGCGTGGGACGGCGGGAGCTTGCTCTTCCGGTTGGTGCCCTTCTGTAGCTTGTGGAGCAAGGCCCCGAACGTCACCTCCTCAATGGCAGCATGAACGTGCAGCACACAGTTGAAACCAGCCGTCAGAATGTTCTTGAGGTCCAAGATGCGGATCTGTGCCTCGAACTGGGACACGTTGTGTACCAGCCGCTTGGGCGAGCACAGGACAAAGCCGGGCATGATCTCCTCCTCTTCGATACCCCTGAGACGAACACGCACCTGGTCACCGCACTGAGCCAGTCCCACCTCGTCTTCCGTCTCGCCATAGACGGCCGAAACTTCGATTGTCTGCTTGTTGGGCATCATAATCAGGCTCATGCCCTTCTTGATCACGCCCGCCTCAACCTTGCCCTCAATCATGGTACCCATGTCACGGTACTTGCCGGCAACAGGCATCATGAATGGCGCGTTGATCTTTCGCTCCAGTGCCTTCATGTCGTCGAGGTATTCGAGAAGCGAGGGGCCATTGTACCACGGGCACGTGTCCTTTGGCACGCGGTCCTTGATGCCCATTGTCTGTTGAGCGGCAATCGGCATGAAGAACACGTCTGTCTTGAGGTTATAACCCGTGCCCTTGAGAAACTGCGAGAGCTTGGTGGTGCACTCGAGAAAGCGCTCATGCGACCAGTTGACGGTGGGATCGTCCATCTTGTTGATAACAACAACCAGCTTGTTCACCCCCTGTGTCTTGGCAAGCATGGCATGCTCTCGAGTTTGGCCGCCTTTCTCGAAGCCAGTTTCGTACTCACCCTTGCGCGCGCTGATAACCAAGATACCGACATCGGCCTGAGACGCTCCGCCAATCATGTTTGGCACGTACGTCTTGTGGCCGGGCGCATCGAGGATGCTGTAGCGCCGCTTCTCCGTCTCGAAGAAACCGCGTCCAACCTCGACAGTCTTTCCCTTAGATCGCTCCTCGTTGGTCAAATCGAGCGCCCAGGAGAGATACCAGGTCTCACGGCCCATGTCCTTGGCCTCCCTCTTATACTTGTCCATCGTCCTCTGGTCCACCATGCCGGTGACGTAGAGGATGGAGCCTCCAAGGGTGCTCTTGCCGGCATCGACGTGGCCGATGAAGATGATGTTTACGTGCTCCTTGCCGTAAATCTCCTTCAGAGTCTCTTGATCAACGTCGGCGGTCTGCTCCTTTTCAACAGCGTCGACTTCGCGGACCACTCCTTTGGGTGCCGCCGCACGAGTAGGGCTAGACCTGCCAGACGATGGCGTCGGCGAGGAGGCTCCACTCGCGCTGGCCTTGGCGTCTGTCTTCTCAATCGCCTTGGTCGCAGTGACCTTTGCAGCCGATTCCGCAGTGCCCTCTTTGATGGCGTCATCTTTCTTGTCCTCCTCCGTCTTTGGCTCCTCCTTGGGGGGTGCTGTCGCACCAATCGACAGGATCTTAGCCTTCGGCTTGGCGGTGTCACCCCCAATGCTCAAAACCTTTGGGCTACCATCACTTGAGGCAGCGGGTTTTGGCGAGGTCATAGAGGGAGAAGCGTCAACCGGCCGCTTTACTATCGTTGGGACGGGCTTGGGAGCCTGCTGCTGCGCTTGCGAGGGCTGCTGAAACCCTTGTTGTGGTTGCTGGTAGCCTTGGTATTGACCTGTAGTTCATGTTGAGCCCCTGTCCTTGACACACAAATGGAACCATCCATGAAAAGCCGCCTACCGTATGTTTGGTTGTAGCCACCTTGCTGTTGTCCGTAGCCGGCAGCATAAGGCTGCCCATATCCGCCGTACGTCTGCTGGGCACCCGAGTACTGGGGATAGTAGCCCCGTCCGGCGCCGCCCCCGTAGTATGGCTGCTGCTGGTATTGGGGCACGAAGCCACCGCCGGCAAATGCCTGGCCGGGCTGGAAGTTCTGCGCTGAAGGGTGGAAAGAGGCCACAGCAGGTCGGAAGGTGCCCTGGGGGGCTTGCTGATTGCCAACGTTCAACTGCTGTTGCGTTTGGCGCGCCAGGTTCTCGTCCTGGGCAGCCGGGTCATCTTCCCACGAGTCCTTGAGGTCAGACATTTTGTCGATGTGCGCCCTAAATTTTCGAGCGACTGCGGGTCAGGAGGGCGTCTATATTGGCACGGCTGATGGCTGTCGAGGTATTGGGGCCTGCGCCAACCCCACTGCTAAAGGTCTTCGGAGTGCTTTTCGCTTCGTTGTCGTCAAAGCCAGGTGGGCCGAAGTACTACAAAGCGGGCGTTATCGTTAGGTACAATACTTGCAACTCCGAGGCGGCCCACGGGTATTATAGGTTTCTTACTTGTTGGACTCCTTGCAACTCGACAGCACCTGTTTCCGCGTTTCGAGTGTCGGGAACTGGGGAAGATTTGCCTGGTGAGGGCTGCCCCACCATGCAGTGGCGGGGAAGTTGGAAAGGACGAAAGGTCTTGGCCCAGTACAGTGGGATGGGTGAGTCACACGGCGTAGTTCGCCGCAGACGAGACGATGTCACAGGCACAATCGGCACAGTGCGCAGAGCATTGCGGGCTGACAATCGCCAACTCAAACCCATTTACGTACGGCAGTGTCTGTGCGGTACATCAAAGTTTGCACACGCCAGGCAGTAACAGCATCCCTGCCTGGCTTGGTAGGTAGGTTAGGCAAAAACAAACAGCGCCCGCCCTGTTGTTCAGTCTGACCTGGATTTCAACCACGCAAATATCTGCTTAGTTTTGCACCGTTGTGTCTGCTGTCACTTACATAGATCCCTCGAGAATGGACATCCGTGAGAGACCATGGACGCACTTTTGGCCAGCCTTGGTGCCCACGTGTATAGCTATGCCATAAAATCGGGCATTGCGCTGACATCAAGCTACGCCCTCCAACAGTGCTCGCGCCTTCTACAGAATGTCAACGACAAGTCGCTCCGCAAAGAGCTCAAGTCATTGCAGAAGCTACTAGACAGCAAGATCAGGGTTAGTTTGCCCGCAAAGCCCACAACACTCCCGTCATTCTTGACACTTAAAAGCCTGGGCTGTTTGGGTTTCATCAGAAATGGATCCTTGCTGATCTTCAATTGCCACAGATCCTCTCTCCCGCAATCGACTTGATCGAGTTCAAGTGAGTTCTCATCCCAAGTACCCCCACCCCTTCCACACTTCCCGCCTGCCTTGCCCGTATCTTATCGTGGGTACCTCACTTTAGGGCCCAAGGTAAGGGGGGTTATATAGGTCAATGGTTATTGTGCACAGCTCACGCTGTATGATTCAGGTCTGGGCGTGGGAACGTCTTTCTCGAGTCGGCCGTCCCTCTCGCCAAGTCTCTTCATCGGGAAATCGTCCGCCTCGGGAAACGTCTCGACGATGCCGCCAGCGTCGAGGAAGGCTTTCGCCGAACTAGGCGCAAGGCCAGCATGCCAGAGGCCCAATATGCCGAGCTCATGTCGATAGTCCGAGACATTAGAAAGCTGCTTGAGCGGATCGACAGAGATATCCCTCTGATCCAGCTTGCCATCACTGCTTCAGGCGAGAAGATGTCCACGTCTTTGACCCCTGGTATCTCTCCATCACGGATGATGCAGGCGAGCGCCTTTCTCTTTTCCGGGGATGCGCAGTTTTCGAGCGACCCGACTCGGCCCGTGCAGATTGGTCCATCCTTTACGCTGTCCCTCTACATGCTTTTTCTCGGCCATTCTCAGGACGCGCCTCGAAAAGAGAACGAGCAGGGCGGTTCTTCACTGACGTACCCAAGCCACTCTAATGGCCTCGTCCACCAAAACCAGCCCTACGGGCTTGGAGAAGGCGAGAGAAAGCCCATATGGCAGGAAGTGATGCACAAAGCCCGGGTGCGGCTTTGCCGTACTCCTGTAGACTGGGCGTTTGACACTGTGCAGGGGTATTCCCCCAAAGACTCACCTGGCCAGGAAATCAGTGGGAGCACTCCAGCGGTATCGTCTACGGAATTCCCAGGGCATACTGGTGAATACTCGTACCATTTGGAGATTATTGAGGACCTGGATGATGGCCGTGTCCACGACGAGGGGTACGGCCCAGCGCCATTTGACGGTATGCCAAAGGCTGGCATACGTGATTCTCTCCCAATCTACCAAATCTCCAAGATATTCTACACCGACACCGGAAGGATTCTCAACATTGGGAATTCCGATGACGGAGACAACAATCCAGTCTTGCTTATAAAGAGAGATGTCAAGGCTCGCACACCAGTGAGAGCACGGCAAGAATGGTTTGATGGCTTGAGTGAGCCAGAAGACGGGGATTCCGGAACGGAAGATGAGTCGTCTCAGTCTGATGACCAAGCGGAAATCGACCGGCAGCTGCGAGAGGAGAGTGAGCTTTCTGCACGATCCGTGGACGAACAGCAAATGCCACAGACACAGCGCTTGCCTCCCCATCTGGATCCGGAGTGGCTGGCTCTCGAGGTCTTCGTTGAAGACGACGATAGCTCCTCTGACAATACGGTGGACGAGAATGAAGAAGATGACGATGGTGTTGAAAACGAGAGCGGGGACCCAACTCTAGACAAGTCCTTGTCGCTAGCGGAACGACCTACAGGGCCGCGACCGAAGTCATCCATTGACTCCAATCTTCTTGCCCGGATCAGGAACGTCTCTTTACGGCCTACAACACCCCCTCAGGAGATTTCTCGACTCGAGTCCAACAATCTTGCGACATTGCAAACTGAATTCTCCGAGTCTTACGTATCCAAGTCCCCGTTCGGCGGCATCATCACGTCATTGTCTCTACTGGAGATGATGATCCGGCTCACGAGTCTCCAGGAATTCCAACAGACATCTCATCTATCGATTCCGGATCACATCCTCACCTTCTTCTTAGAGGAAACGTCGACGACGGGCTTGAGGGGTGAGGCGCGTTTGGAGGTGCGGAAGGAGGCTAGGCGGCGGGTGGGATTTGATCCTTATACAGACACCCCGAAGAAATAGACACGTCTGATATGCAGTAGTGTGATGAATTATACCAAAAGGAAACAGAATGACGAGAACGTGGCTTTTATGTCTCCCCCTTTCTTTATCCAAGGGTTAGGGTTAAAGTCGATTGTTTGGTGGGGGAACTTATCGTGAAGTAAGTAGGGGCCGCCTAAACTCCTAGTCTTCGGTTGCCTTGGAAGCCATAAATTCGACGTCGTCATCCATGTAAACACGCGAGAACGGTGATCCCCGCGACTTTTCCACTTTACGCGAATTTCTACCTCTGCGACAGCGAGACGTTCCTATCAATTATCAAATAGGTAGTTTTTGCACTAAACGTGACCGATGAGGTAATTCTGCCACATCCATTACCATCCGTGCAGACCTAAATCGCACTACGTACAGCAAACCTATAGGGCGTCGTGCACGAATGAATTGTATGCTAACAAGGAAACCGAACGACCTAGAAAACCGGGCGCCAATTTCGCATTTCAACCCAAAAACGATCTCGCTTCAACCCAATCACTCGAGTTTGACGCATCTTCACAAGGGAATCGGCGCACAAAGAAGACTAAGGCGGAGCTGAGACAGAGCTTCTACGATCTTCTCGATTCCACTACAATCAGCTATCCTGCCTCGCCCGCCCCATCGCGCGACCAGCCGCGAGCCGGTCCGGAGTCTGGCACGATGCCGCTGTCGCGATCGCCATCGTTTGGCGACGATGACCTCGAGCTGATAAGCTCGCAAACGGCCAACCTATCCATCGACGCCCCACGCGACAAGTCGCCGTTGCGGCCAATTCACAATCCCAACGACGAGATCATCAGCGTCCACAGCAGTCCGGCGGGTGGCAAGTTCACACCGGCCAACCGTGGCGAGGTTATTGACATCTCCAACAGTCCGGCTACGGCAACGCCGACCTTTGGTCACCCGACCCAGCTGCCGTCCAACTTGCCCAAGCGCAAAAATGACCACAGCAATCTCTTCATTCAGCGCACGACCCATCCAGAGTTTCACAGGGACCTGTATAGGGGGTCCGGTCCCCTGAAACCCAAGACTCAGGGTCGGAAGGCGCCCCCGTTGCAGATGTTCAGCTCCATGGGCGAAAACTCACAGCCAGTGACGCAGTACAGCCAGCCCGCCTCCTCCTACACGGACCAGGTCTTCTACACAGACCCAGCCAAAGCGAATGCAGACCTGAAGGCGCTGCTCGAGGGCGGATTGGACGAAGACGAAGATGACGAAAATGGCGAAGGGAAGGATATACAGGAGACAATCGACGACGGCACACTCAAGGGCATCAAGGTGAAGCTTCTCCCGCACCAGGTTGAGGGAGTGACATGGATGCGTGGGCGGGAGCTCGGCCCCGTCAAGAAAGGCAAGGTGCCAAAAGGCGGCATTCTCGCCGACGACATGGGTCTTGGCAAGACGCTGCAGAGCATCTCCTTGATCCTCAGCAACCCGATGCCATGCCCAGAAGACAAGGGGTGGAAAAAGCACTTCAGCGACCTTAAGAAGGCGACTCTAGTGGTTGCACCCCTTGCGCTCATCCGGCAGTGGGAGGCCGAGATCAAGGACAAGGTGGAGAAAGACCACGCCCTCAAGGTCTACGTGCACCATGGCCCCCAGCGAACCAAGGATCCCAGAGTGCTCTGCCGCTACGATGTGGTCATCACCACGTACCAGATCCTGGTCTCGGAGTATGGCCACAGCAACCCGGACGGCAGTGGCCTACAGGCGGGCTGCTTCGGCGTCCACTGGTTCCGCGTCATCTTAGACGAGGCGCACAGCATAAAGAACCGGAACGCCAAGGCCACCAAAGCTGTCTGTGCTCTGCGCGCTGAGTACCGCTGGTGTCTAACCGGCACTCCGATGCAGAACAACCTCGACGAGTTGCAGTCGCTCGTCCATTTCCTCCGCGTACAGCCCTACGACAACCTGGCCGAGTGGCGAGCCCAGATCGATGCGCCTATGAAGAACGGCAAGGGGCACATTGCCATCCGCCGACTGCATTCCCTCCTGCGCTGCTTCATGAAGCGGCGGACCAAGGATATCCTGAAAGAGGAGGGCGCTCTCGTGGCTGGCGGGAAGAAGGCGATGGATGCCGCTGTGGCAAAGGCGAAGAAGGAGGGCAAGGAGGTAGAGGCGCCCAAGTCTGCGTTCAAGATCACAGAGCGGAAGGTAGTCACGGTCGAGACCGAGCTCTCTCCCGCCGAGCGCGAATTCTACGACCAACTGGAAGAGCGCGCCGACGCGAGTCTTGAGAAGATGATGAAGGGCAAGGTGAACTACGCCAACGCCCTGGTGCTCTTACTCCGGCTGCGCCAGGCGTGCAACCACCCGCGCCTGACCGACTCTAAGATCGACAAGGACAAAGACGCGTTGGCTACAGATGCGGTGGCACATCCAAAAGCCAGCAGCGTGGATGCAGATCTCGACGACCTTGCCGACGCATTCGGTGGCATGGGCATCCAAACAAAACAGTGCGACATGTGCCTGGGCGACCTGTCGAGAAAGGAGGCTGCCGACGGCTTCCTTCGATGCGCCGCCTGCACCGAGGGACTGGAGAAGATCAATTCGGGCACTCCGAAGCAGAAATCAAAGAAGGACCGAAGGGTCAGCATCGTGAAGGAGGAAATCAAGATCGAAAAGATTGACAGGCGGCGGCCTCGGAACCGGAAGATCATTACCGACAGCGACGACGAGGACGAAGAGGCCGAGGGAAGCTGGATAATCCCCGAGGACAAACGTGGCCCCCTGCGTCTTGGCAAGGCCGGAGGCACAGACGACGAAAATGCCGAAGGCGGTGGTGAAGACTTGGGGGCTGACGACTCGGACCATTCTTCGGAAGCAGGGGAGGACGACGGGAGCCAGCTCCACAGCTTCATCGTAAACGACGAGGCTCCAAAGGATGAGCCGGATTCGGACTCAGGTTCAGACGACGATACGTTTGTGTCGGTGTCTAAGATCCACTCACAAGCCGTGCAACAGCAGCGTCAGGAGTCGCGCTCCGAGTCGGGGGATTCGGATCAGGGCATCTCCGAGTCCGAGCTGGGGTCGAGCTCCGAGTCGGACGACAGCTCCCGGCCGCGCAACGGGGCTCACCAGAAGCGGCACAAGAAGAGCCGGGGCAAGAATGGCGCGAGCCAGGTCATGGTGTCGGCCAAGATCCGCGAGCTCCTGAGCATCCTGCGCAAGGAGGCGGGCGAGCACAAGTTCATCGTGTTTTCCCAGTTCACGTCGATGCTGGACATGATCGAACCGTTCCTGCGGGCGCAGCCAGGGCTCAAGGCGGCGCGTTACGACGGCAAGATGGCCAACGACGCGCGCGAGGCAGCGCTGCACGCGCTGCGCACCGACCCGCATACGCGCGTGCTGCTCTGCAGCCTCAAGTGCGGCTCGCTCGGGCTCAACCTGACGGCGGCCACGCGCGTTGTCATTGTCGAGCCCTTCTGGAACCCCTTCGTCGAGGAGCAGGCCATCGACCGCGTGCACCGGCTGACGCAGACCACGGATGTCGTCGTCTACAAGCTCACGGTGGCGCAGACGGTCGAGGCCCGCATCCTCGAGCTCCAGAACAAGAAGCGCCTCCTCGCCGAGGCCACCATCGAGGGCGGCATGCGCAAGAAGGACAAGAACGCCATGAAGGTTGGCTTGCAGGAGATACTCGACCTGTTCAAGCACGACGCCCGCCACGCCGCCGACGACCACGGGCTCGACAACGGCGACTTTGTCGACCCCCGTGTCATTGCCCAGGATGTCGGCGCCATGATTTCGCGGAAGCCGCGGAAGAAGGAGGACGAGATCTACGGGAGACGGTGGTAGAGTCTGATGGGCTGCTTGTATGGATGTGTTTGCTACGAATCTTTCTCTTCTTGCATGGTGGGAAAGCTAGGGTCTGTCGGTTTGTTTTCGAGGCTCTTTCGGCTTGTTTACGCTGCTACGTGTACGGAGTGTATGGGAGGGATTATATTGAATTTGTCATTGGATGGGCGCTGGGTTAGGTATGGGATCAGTCCTCGGCTCTCTCTCACATACACTCATACAAGCGCGTCTTTATATTGGCGGCGGTTGTGGGTATGCATGCAGTGGAGATCACCCAATGTGTTGTTCTTTTTTTCTCCTTCACTGTTTAGGTTTGGGGCGTGATACATAACACTTGGGTTTTATGAATTGGGTGTGCATAGGTTTTTTTCATTCTTGATGTGGTATATGTGTGTATGTGTACGGAATACCATTGTGACTGGTGGTGGTGAGTGGTGATTGGTTTTATTCATGCATTTGGGTTTGACGGCCTGGAGAGAACCCCGAATTTTACCATTTCACTTGAAGAACACAATCGGTATCTCAAGCCCCCACCTCTCGTTTGAGTTTATGCACACCTGCGATTTTAGGCTTCTCTACTTCACCTAGTTATCTTAAGAGCTCTCGTCCCCTGAAACTCTCTAAATAATCGAGCACCAAAGTCGAAAATTTTACACGCCGCGAGCCCCGCACCACCGCAGCAATAATTGGCGGCTCAGCACTTCTGATCCCCAACCTCAAAACTCACCTGTAAGGACCCCGCGCTAAGAAAAATGGACCGGGACCGGGACCGGGACCACAGCGACGACGACAACGGGGAGGCGGTGGGCACGGGGGCGCTGTTCGCGGACCCCGAGGGCTACTACCCGCCGTCGCCGCCGCCGACAACACAAACCTACACCATGGCGAACGGGGCGGTCATCACGCTGCACCTGGTGGGCCACAGCCCGCTCGAGGCGCACCGGCTGTGGAACGGGGCGCGCGTGGTGTCGGAGCACTTCGAGGCGCACCCGGCCGAGGTGCGCGGCCGCTCCGTGCTCGAGATCGGCGCCGGCGCTGGCCTGCCCAGCATCGTCGCCGCTGCCCTCGGTGCCGAGCGCGTCGTCGTCACCGACTACCCGGACCCGGATCTCGTCGCCACCATGTGGAAGAACATCCGCGGCTGCCCCGAGCTGGTCGACGATGACAGCCCCGACGGCGTGCCCCGCAATATCGTCGCCGACGGCCACGTCTGGGGCGCCGACCCCGCGCCACTACTGGCGCACTTATCATCATCACCATCAAACTCTACCCCGAAGGGCTTCGACGTGCTCATCCTCGCGGATCTGCTGTTCCGGCATTCGGAGCACGGCAGCATGCTGCGCACGGTCGAGAGCACGCTGCGGCGGCGGCGCGGCAGCAAGGCGTTCGTCGTCTTCACGTCGTACCGGCCCTGGCTGCAGCACAAGGACCTGGCCTTCTTCGACCTGGCGCGCGCGCGCGGATTCGAGGTCGAGCGCGTCCTCGAGCGCAAGATGGACCGCCCGCTGTTCGAGAACGACCCCGGCGACGAGGAGGTGCGCAAGACTGTCTCCGGCTGGGTCCTGCGCTGGCCCGAGGCTAGCTGTGTTGCTGAGGGCGGTGATGAGTGAGCCACGGGGAATCCTGTGCAGGCAAGGCAAGGCAAGGCAAGGCAAGGCAAGGCAAGGCAAGACAAGGCAAGGGATTAGAGGGAAAGGGAGAAAAAGTAGCGTCGGCTATATTTGCTGTTTTTGTTTCCCGAAAAACCTCCAGGGGCCAACCTCCAAGGACAGCATTTCGAGTTCGTCTTCATGCCATGTAGGTAGAATAGACGTACTCCCCCTATCTCTCTACTATATATACAAGGGGGCAGCACGGGTATATCTATTTGCCTGCTGACACCTGGGTACACATGCAACAGCAGCAGCACGGGTCACTTGGCCAGGAAGCGCTTTCACAGAGACAAAGTGGCCCGAGCAGAGCAGCTGCCATCTAAGATGGGGCTTTGAGGGAACAAGCAGTACCAGGCAAGCAACTACCCAAGAAGACTGGATGGGCACTCTTCTACAAACCCACCCCGTGCTGATAGTTTGCTTTCTAGTCTGTCAGGAGCGGAGGAGACAACCCCAAGTCATGACGGCCTCGAGATTCCAAGCAGCCGGTTGGCACACTTGGAATCTGCCCTCCCACATCTGTACGTAGTGTAGCGGCATATATAGACGAATAAGGCTATACATACTCAGTAAACATGCTCGGCTTTGACTCTTCTCGGTACCGCCCCGAGCATCAACCAGGAGGATGGGCCTTGTTGATGCTTGGCCACCTGCATAAGCGCCACGCCCTGCGTGTCCAATAAAGGCGGGCGGCGATAGCGGTTGGTAATCGTACCCCTTGCCTGCCGGAGGAGTCGGTCACTCGACTCGACTCGACTGTGGTGCGGTGTTTGGATAGGGTGCCAGTACGGGTTACGGGGTACGGAGTACGGGGTTTGGGATGTCGAAAAGGGTTATCAGTTGGGGGCTGAGGCCACTGCCCGGTATAAATGAACTGTGTAGGTAGGTATATCCAGATTGTGCAATAGACCATGTCGATGCCATACAGTTCACTTCATGAATGTTTATTAGTGGGGTCCGTCATATAAAAGGCCCACTGTAGTAAGGGGTCCCTCTGAGGGAGGCAATAAGCAGCTATATTATAAAATCCCAGCCCTATCTTCCGCCGACACTACAGATACCCCTGAATGGCCTTCCAGGTCGGTTTTATTTACTGAGTCTCCTACCGTACTATCTCAAGTGCCGCGCCAACAGCCATTCAGAGATTGGACTGTACACTAGAAATGGGTATCTTGTATTCTGCCTTGCCATGAAGATGTTGTATAACGACCGGGCGCCAAAGCCCAACTTCTCAAGTATTGACCTGTCCAACGCGTTTTTCCTTCCCAGACACTTGTACAATCCAATTCCTGAATGTTTGTTGGCGTGGTGCTTACGAAGGAAAAGAAAATAACAAATGAACCGGCCAGGAAGGGTCTTCAATAAAGCACCACGCCAACAAACATTCAGGGAAAGGATTGTCTGCCGGGGAGACGAAAACACCGTTATTTTTGCGGCACACTGTTAAGATGGCCGTTTCGCCAGCTTCCCCGTTGCGGCGGCGGCGCAATTTATTTAAGGGGAGCTGTGCCTCCCTCCTGTTGGCAGCTCTCGCTATCGCAGATATTGAGCAGAAAGCATCCGAGTCGTATCAAAATGTCCCGACGCCGCGTTCTCGTTCTCAGCAAACCTATCAAGTTACGCGACGATGAAGAGCGATAACGAAAAGCGGACGAGGACGATGAGTTCCTCGCAGATGATAATTTCGATTGTAAGCGGAAAGTATGTCCTCGTCTATAAGAAGAGCGGTTTCGTACATAGTAAGCGATACGGCTATAAGTACCTACCTGATCTCGTAAGTTGTGTTATTTGTTCTTCGTTAACGATAAGATATTAGATTCGTTAAGAAGTTTAAGGGCGGGGGCTTTGACCAGATTTGGTTAGGTCTTTGTAACGACGGGAAATACGAAAAGACTATAATAAAGTCGTACTTTCGAGATTATGTTAAGTCGTCGACGACTACCCGCCCGGTCCTCGGGGATGGGGACGACGAATACGAGACTATCTAGACGATTACTGATACGAAGACCGTAATAATGCATTAGAGGTGCTTGGTTATAGAGGCGGACAATACGATCCTTAGAGATAAGAGGCGTAAAGACCCTAGTAATCGTGGTTTATGGAAATTAAAGTAGGATAAAAGCGATTCTAGAGAAAGCCCGGTAGCTGATATCAGTAATATAAGGAGAGTCCGACTTTATAAAAGGGCCTCCCCGTACTAATACGTTTAGTAGATCCGGACGGATTTTGTAGAAATATTTAACTTAAGGCGCGAATCGGGGCTTTTATTCGAGAAGGTTGAGATAATAGCCGAATGTTACGATCCTGGCTCAAGGGTGCAGGAGGCGTTTTAAGCCTACTGCAGATTGGCTGGTGCAACCAAGTGGGGTATCCTGTCACGGCAAGTGTAAGGCGCGTTGTCGCAGTTGCTAGAGTGGCCATATATAGCCCACTACGGTGTTACAATCTGGACAACAGGTCCACGGAGCTAGGCCCGGCCTAGGATTGTCGGGGTCTGGACGGCAGGTAGGAGATGACAGGAGACAAGGAGTATCGTGCACAGATTGCGAAAAACAGGCTTTCAACACACAACCAATGTATGCTTAACCAGATGCATTGATAGCTGCAGAACCGTTCTCCAGAGAGAGCGTGCTGCCAGCTCCTATATAGAACTATGAGCAACCAATCAGAGTTCCTGCCTTACATGCTCAGTCGTGCTCAGTCCTAGACGCACTGATCCCTACTGAGCTCCCTGCTCAGTGCGCTCAGTGGGTCTCGGCACTGATCCTACTGAGCTCAGCCATGCTCAGTGCTCCTTGGCAATGGCCCCACTGAGCACTCCCTAATTGGATGCACCTTCTCTTAGCGAGAGCCCCACCCTAAGTGCCGTTCCAGCCAATCCGCAGCGGGCGGGCAACGCCCTCTGCACCTTTGAACCAGGATCGTAACATATCACCAACTGGCAGAGCCACTTATTACAAACCACTCGACTGTTAGGGTCGTCTGTCTGTAAGGGAGCACGGGCTCCACAGAATGCTGGGGTTGGTAATTATGAAGATAGAACAAAGGGCAAGCTCCTATCGCACGGGTAATACAGTCAAATCGGAATGCCACTCAAAGTATATGAGTGCAGCGAATGTGTATTGCTTGCTTGAAGAACCAAGCAAGAACTATCTAAGACCGTGGCTACGGTCGTCGTATATATCTATCTAGGGCGGGCCAATCAGGTCGTTGCTCCGTTGCTCCCTGGCAGAGCTACAGAGCGTTGCTCCGTTGCTCCCTGGCGGAGCTACAGAGCAACCCCGTAGAGCCAACCAAACCGTTGCTCCGTACCCCACCGCACAGAGCAAATGCGGGTCCCTGCCCCGCATGCCTGTCTCGTCATCCCTATTGGCCGGCCCCACTTTCAGAGCTATGACTAACCCAGAATGGGCGTGGTTCATCACATTGTTGCTTAGCTAAAACTTAGCTAATTAGATTGAAGAGAACCGGGTTATATAGTAGTGACCATCGATAAGGATTCGGAGGCAGACGTCGAAGTAGGACCAGCTCCTGCTACGATTCGACAAATCTACTGCCTTCGACGACGGCGAGGTCTGAGGAGTTGGTGGAAACGGACATCCTCTCAGACTATTGCGTGACGCGACCGCTGACCTAACCATGTGGTCTAAGGCTCGGGGCCGCGGCCGGCCCCAGTAGACTAGCGATCGCGGGACCGCTCCGAAGTCGTGGTCGGCAGTGAGGCTTCCCGCGCCGCCGGTATTATCCGCCAACCGACTGATCCTGGGAACGACTCCTGGGAGAAGCGGAGCTCGGGGGCGGCAGGTATATAGCCGACGTTCACAGGGCGGGATTCGGAGTATCGGGCATGGCCCAGAAGGCGGCCTTATCCAGCAGCATCCGAAAACAACCACTGGTAGCGACGAGTCTTTGGACGTAGCCTGCCTCATCAACAAGTGTTGCCTTTGATCACGAGCAGCAAAGGCTTTCGGGCGAGTCACAATCCAACACAGTCATGTCCCCGGGCTTCCTCACGCCGGCTTCGCCTACCATAACAAAGGCTAGGAGTTGGGGTTGCGCCGCAGAGCACGAGCACGATGATATCCCGCGCTAGCGCCGTCTTCTGGATGATCTACACGCATCAGCCAGCCACACGACGGCTTCTCGCCTCCATCTCTCTAGACCTGCCATCATCTTCGCGACCCGGCGCTGCTTCGTCGCCATCTGTGTGCATGCGGATTCGTCCGGTATACTGGGATGACCCATCACCCTCGCGCTCCCCGAGGCGAACGCTCGCGCTATAAGAGATGGTGTTGTTGGATGGTGCTATATATGTTTGAACAGTTCTCTATTTAGTCCAAAAGATAGAATACTAGCTCCGTACCACCACCGGAACTCGAGAAGAGGGGGAAGGGGAGTACTATACCAAAGGGATAATCACCACAGTGAAGCGCCGGACCAGCTTGGGGGACCAGCTCGCGCACGCCACACCGGGTCGCTCTGTAGAAACACTACCGCTGGCCTTTTAGCTCGTGCTGTCGAGTTGGGGCCGGTTCGTCGTCAGCACCGGCAGGAGCGAGGCAAGGCTATCGAGGGAAGGTCGAGAACGGAGAGGAACGAGAGGAGTGGTGTCGAGCATCGTGGGAGAGTCGTAGAGGGGAGTGTGCGCAAAGGCAGCAAGCTTCTCCCGGAGGGCGGCCATCCGCCAAGCCGGCCGATCCCCGGGCGAGAGGCATCGTCGTTGGTGTGTGCCCAGCAAAGGATGAGAACACGCCTGAGAAGGGGCCTGCCCTCTCGATCCTTGTTCACGGGGTGTAGAACAAAGACGAGGTGATGCTCAAGAGCTGTCATGATGATGGAGCACATCCCCCCGCTGGTGATGTGAGCTTGGATCGCAGTCGCTCGAGTGCGGGGTCAGCGGGAAAGTCGGCACGGTCCTTGTCTTCCTCCGCGAGCGCCTTGACTTACAGAAGCTAACTTGCACTCGTATCCTTACAGCCTCATTCTCAGTGGGACTACACCTCTGCAGCGCGCCGGGCGGCCCTAGAGCTTGTTAGTTAGGGGTAAGCCTCGAGAAACCCGACCTCTTTCTTTCAGGCTTCTTGAAAGCGGCTCGTACACAATATTTCGACTAACCAAATGTGTATATTGACCCACTCTTTTTTTCGGATCAAGCCTAAGAACCCCGCTTTACTGAACTTTCTATCTCAGCACTTTCACGTCCATACCCCTACGTATCCCCACCAAGTAAGTTCCTTAGAGGTTCGTCTATAGTCTGGGAACGGGATGTCCCGCCTGGAAGGTTGGTGCAGCCAATTAGGAAGTGCTCAGTGGCGCTGGGAGCGCTCAGTCCTGATCACCCTGTGGAGCACTGAGCATATAAGGGAAGGACTCTGATTGGTCATTCATAGTTCTATATAGGGAAGCTGGAGAACACTACCTTTCAGTATTCCCCAGCTATCAACTTACACACTATTCTCTTCATTGCTTGAAGCTTGCAGCACGGAGTCAAACTCCTGCAATCTGTGCATCTTTGATACTCCTTACCTCTTGATTTGCCTTGGTGGCATACCGTCTTGTCATCTTACCCACCCCAACCCACATCAATCCTAAGCAGAGCTTAGCCTTTCGGTGAACCCTTTGTTCAGATTGTAACACCCCCACGGGGGTCCTTCCCGTCAACAGTAATCACATCACGTTCCAGGCCCTAGCTGACACGCCAAGCCGCCACCGCCGCTCTCGTATGCCCGAGCAGTCGGCAATATAGAATAGGGGCGGTCTTCATTAAGGACCATCGCCGGCCCGCATCGTCGGGCTGCCGCAACTCCGTACCCTAGTGCTGCAATCTCAGCGGGTTCGGACCGCGGCCTCCTCGCTGACGTCCGGGTAAGGGTGAGCGGAGTTTTGGCGGAGCTAGAACTCCAGCAAGGGGGAACCAGCTTAATAGCGCCGACCCTCGTGACTTCGTGATATAGACATAGCAGTAACGCCGCTATAGTGCTTATGGTGAGTCATCTCTCATTAACTTCCGGCTACGTACAGCTCTAGACCGACTAGGATAGGAATCCGCTATCTGCTTGCCAAGCCGGGTCTCCTCTCAATAGGCGAACAAAATACTCTCAAGTACGGGCTATCACACCCTCCTCATCGACGTGTAGCTTTACCGCGTTGCCCGCACTTTGCTATCTTCCAGTCTATAACTCATTACCAAGCCTCTAAGACTGCACAGAACTTGGAGTCAGTTGGTATAGAGAGGAATGGATGGGATGGGCGTCAATATTACAAACCACTCAACTGTCAGGGTCGTCTGTCTGTAAGGGAGCACGGGCTCCACAGAATGCTGGGGTTGGTAATTATGAAGATAGAACAAAGGGCAAGCTCCTATCGCACGGGTAATACAGTCAAATCGGAATGCCACTCAAAGTGTATGAGTGCAGTGAATGTGTATTGCTTGCTTGAAGAACCAAGCAAGAACTATCTAAGACCGTGGACACGATCGTCGTATATATCTATCTACGTAACCAATAACAGTGGTTCCGTTGTCCCGTGGTCCCGCGTCCGGGTCACCGCCCGACCGGACCTGTCCCGCGTCCCCGAGCTCCAGAGCTCGGAATCCTGGAACGCTCCTGATTGGCTTGCGCCAAAAGTGCATGCCCCACCTTTGTGCATAACCACAGGGAATCCACAGGGATTCGTGACAGTCAAACCTTCGTCGAAGACCTCCTGAGTCTAGACCGTGGGTTAGCTGGCGCGTGAGCCTCGGGTAGGCATCAACAAACCTTTATGCCCTCCACCTCCGCCAACATCTCTTTTCTCATATACTTCATTCCCTTATACTGGCGCTGGAGAATATCGTATAGCTTCGTTATAAGTTGCTTTGCTCTTTCCTCCCTTCTTTTTAGTCCGGAAATCTCCTCTTTGAGCACCTTGATCTCTTCCGTTCTCAGCTATTCGTTTAGCTCGAGTTGTGTGAACGTCTTGTCGACCTGCGGGTGATTTTTGTTATCACGGCCCTTAGTTCGGCCTTTGGGGCCCTTGGGTGCTCCACAACTTCTCGTTTCCATGTCGAGTATGATATTGTCGACGGCAACTGCCAGAACTGTTATATAAAGGACGAGCTTTATAGCGCGGTATCTTGGTGTTGAATTAAAGAAGAGAGAGAAGGAGAGAAGACATGAAAAAAAGGGGGCGGGGAACTTGTGAAGGCAGGCATATACGAGAGTCGATGCTGCAAGTAAAGAATGGCTGTATTTGTAAATAACTAAGCTAAGGAAAGAAAAAGGAAAAGAAGAAGCCTGCGGTTCCTGCAGGCTGTGGTTTTGTGGTTGAGTGGTGGGGCAATCGGGCTAGTCCTAATTGGGAAGAGGGGCTGCGAGGTGAAGCCTCCAGCTAGTGCATGGTTGCGGCACCACGGGCCATAGTTCGGCCGTGCCGTAACAGAACTCGTCCCTATAAATACTTCGGGAATCAGCAGGTTGGCTTGTCTCACGTGAATGCGTGGTTGGCCACGCTCCGACTCCGGATCCTTTTCTCGGTCATCTTCCCTTCGCTCTTTGCAGTCCTCGAGCCGATGGACTTACGAGGCCGGGTACGCTTAAGCCTATCTATCTCCGGTCTGTGAGGACAAAGGAGAGTCAATGGCCTAGCACCCATACCAAACCGGAGCAGGTGACCGGGGACGCCAATAGACATATTGTCGCTCAAGGTCGGCGACTTGCCCAGACGCTCCCCTTCTCGGACTCCTCGATGCTCCAAGGTGACACAGCCGAGGCACGCCGTTCCGTCCCAGAGATGGTGTTCTACCTGGGCTGCGTAGGTGGCCACCTCAGATGAACATCACCGACACCCAACACCCTCCTCCTCCTCTAATCACTCCCCTCAGGCTTCAACGTAATGGTCGGGTCGTTCGGCGGTGCTCCAACCTGGCACGGTTGAGGTACGCTGTTCCGTCCTAGAGATGGTGTTCTGATCGAAGCCACACCCTCGCATCCGATGCAAATCAGGTTTTTGTCGTCGGGAGGGACCCAACCGGCCGCTGTCGCCATCCTATCACTTGCTGATCCTTGTACTTCCAACTGAAGACCGGCCGCAACCACTCCAGATTCACCGAAGAACAGAGCCACACTCCGTAGCCTTGCTCCACGGCCCGCAGATTGCTCAACGATCATTCGAGGTGCCGGCGTCGGGGGCAAACCGAGCTACAAGGGCAGACATCAAGGAGTCTAAGCCTCCCTAGCGTAGGACCATACGGCGGCTGCTGTCTACTTCTTCCGTCCACCACATTAAGGCCCCACCTCCCAATAGAACCTCATAACACACACCTTTTCGCTTAACCGCTGAGGTTTGTGTTGCGTCTTCTCGCAAAGTGGTTAACCGTTTTGGTTACCCTCTCCTAATTTAGAACGCGGACAAGCGTTCGGCGTGTTTTTAAATGATGCGTTGAAGAGGCGCGATGGTTTGGCAAACAAGTCGTGAATGGCGCATCAAGCTAGCGGCTGTTATGACGTAAGATATGCGGAACAACTCAAGGAATAGTGTCCGTGGCGCTCCGGCCAGGGATGCGGGCATAGAGCACGTGCCTACGCTCACGTGCTTCCTTAGCTCCTTTGTCGTACGCTCGAAAGAATCGCTATTCCAACAAATAGAATAAACAAACAAGAAACGGGATAGATGCATCCTTCCCGAGCGTGATTATAATTAATCATAATCTCAATAGGAGTCGAGGTTATTTTTTAAATGCAACTCGATCAAATCCCTGAATATTTATCAGCGGAAAACTTTCCAATATTTCAAAGACCTCAACGCCCTACGACTCGTCCGAAGGGATTTTCACCGAGGGAGCCAATAGCGTCAAGAATCCCCATTCTATAATCTTAAAGGCCTCTCTCTACCACAGAAATACCTAGTCTAATGCTAACGCTACTTTTACTGATTGGCCCAGCCACAGTATGCAAGTAGATCAGCACCTGCCCGGTATCCATGCCCAGACCAAAAAGAAATTCAACCTCTCACAAATAATCGCGCCTTTAGTAGCCTGCTACTGTTTGGAACTTGCCGTTCTTACCTACCCACCCTGCCCAGGTACGTATCACATTGACCAGCCCTCAAAAGACTTTGTCATCCAGGTTCCATCGTCGGATCCTGAACAGCTCGGTCAATCAGGGCTCACGAGCCGAGCCGAACCGGCTTGGGAAAGCCCCAGAGATCGAGGGCATTCTGAATCAGGGTCGTGTTGAGATCTTCGATATTCGCCCACTGCTCCTTGCCGTGGGGCCCGCCATAGTCGCGGATAAATGCGTTCAGGTCCGTCAGGCATTCTCTCAAGCTGTCCAGGGTGCCCACCATGGCCGGATCCGGGGTCTTTGTGTCCTTTAAATACTTGGGAAACTGGATGGTCAGTTTCTTCTCGTCTTTCCAGTCGGTGGCGTTGGCTCCCAACTCGAGGGCGTGCTCCCTGGGGCACCACACAATGATGCCGTGGAACATTGGGATGCCATCCTGGACGGACCGGAACAGGGTGGGGACCGACTTGAAGGCCGACTCTTCGACCTCCTTCAGGCAGACGAGCATGGCCGCTGCGGACGTGATGGGGGACGACGACTTTTTCTGCCAGTGGGAAGAAAATTTGGGGTTAGCAAACTCGAAGTCGGGACACGCAGGTCAAGAGGCATAAGGTAATTATGAAGCACGAGGCATGAGGCCACGATTCAGTAAGCAGGAAGTCACTCACGATTTGGCCGTCCACATTTCCCTGCCTCTCAAACTTGGACTCGGAGCTCTTGAACTTCCAGCTTGCGTCTGTCTCTGGAAACCTGGCCCACTCTCCTTCGGGCAGGACAAACGCCCCGTTAGGGAGGGTGGAGCTGGAATCGATAACGATGCCCGTGGTTTTGCACCTCGCGACTCGGTGCCGGGAGAGGTCGTAGATTTCAAAGTTGAATATGGCGGCACCCCCCGCGCCCTTGTGGGCGTTCAGCTCGTTGATTGCCTTGACGGCAAACGACGTGCAGCGACCCGAGTAGGTGTTCCAGGTGGGGCCTAGTTGCTGGAGGTTGGCCGTGTTGAGGTGAGTCTCCGTGGCCTTCTTGATGGAATTCTTGGGGTCTTCCAAGAATTGCTTGTGCGTCTTTCCACTCGCCTTGATGAGCTGTTCCATCATCAACATCCCAGTGTAGGCACCGCCGTTGAAGATTTTCACCCACTCGCGTTGAGCGAGAACGAGAGGATCATTTTGAGACATGGTGGAGGTCAGGAATCAGAGCAGATGACAGTAGCGAAGATGATAATCAAAGCCAAGCAAGCAAGCAGAGCCAGAGGTAGCTGAGTGGTGATGCCAGAGGTTGGACTAGGATAGGGTCCAAACCACCTAGGCCTGACCTTTATATATATAGGAAAGGTAGATGGTAGATGGCTCCAACTGGCAGAAGATGCGTTAAACTAAAAGGGGCCGAATGTTCGGGCATCCAGGCTCGTATCCATGATACATCGCCGGGGCGGCACGGCCGCTGAGCCCTGGCTACTAAGATCGGCGACGGTTTGTTCCACCAAAGGGTTGTTCGCCCGTTTGATGGAAGAAGGAAGGATTGTGTCGGGTTGGCGGGAAGTGAGACAACAGAAAGGAAATCGAATTCCACCTGTAAAGCTGTAAGCTCACATCGAGTGTCGACCCATCTCAGGTCCCTCGGACCAGGACGGTCACGGCACGGCCATTGTGACCGCCTCATGACTGCTGAGACCGGTGACAGTTTGTTCCAAAGATAGATGAAAGGGCTGTCGATCAGCCGGTTTGAGGGAGGAGGCGTCGTTGCTGTGAGTGTGGCAGCTTGGCCTTGAGCCTAGCACCCCGGGCCGGGACTATTTTTGGAATCAAACCGCAACTGACAATCAAAAGGTCAGGGGTACTTTTGTTTGTGGGTTAGTGTCGCTGTGCAGCAAGTTCTAACGATTTGACCCCTTCATGCGCGGGGCCCGGACGGCACGGGCTACTGGGCCTTGGCTGGCTGGCTGGCACGGGACGGCGGGGTGTTCCTACCATATAGTAAGCGGCGCGAAGAAAACTCGAAACTCGGTGGTCACGCCGGAAGTGGGGGCCGGTCCGAAATTTAGGGTCGGATCCGGATTTCCGGTCTGGGGCAAATCCAACACCTTATTGGTCTCATCGTAAAACTCACCTCCACCGTTTCAGGGTCCAATCCTCTGGGCAGCCGCTTGGGCTACAAATAGTGAGAGTAAGAAAACTCACTACTTGGCGTTCCATTTTGGTAATGAACAGTTATAAAAGCCTTCAGCTCCCGTCCTATTGTTGCCGGGTTTTTGACATCCATCAGACTAAGTCGTCCACTTTCAGAGCAACCACCCAGTCAGCCTGCACTTGATCGCTACTACCTTTGTTTCCTGCAAATAATCGAAAGCATTCCTTTGCCCTATAACCCACCCAGTGCGACAAAATGCCCACCGTCGACGTGAAAGCCATGTTCGCGACAATAAAGGCAGCAAATCTTACAACTTCAACACAAAAGAGTAAGTAGTCCAGTACACTGCAAACCCCACCCCAAGTCAGCTTTAGGCGGGTCGTCCAGTCGAAGCCACTTCCTCCCTCCGGCCTTCAGAAATCAGAGGTCCGCATCTAGACCGTGCACGCTGATCACACCGATGCAGACATTCTCGGGCCACCCAAAGCGACCGACGGCGGCACCGTGAAGGCAATCCTGATACAAATCGAGTCCCCGCCCCCTGCTACTGCCGCGCCGGTGCAGACGACGGCCAAGTAGGGTGAAAGGGCTTGCGGTACAGGTAGAGGGCAGGATTAGGACTAGGATGGACCCTTTCCTGTTCTCGACGCAGGCCTAGGCGCGCGTTGGGGGCGGTCTGCGGTTTGCTGGCTGCCAGAGGTGTAAGATGTCAGATACTTGAGCCTTCTTATCTCGCGGGCTGGGCCCGCCGCCCAGAGGGCTACAAGTGCGACTTGGAATCTTGGCTGGACCGAGACGAGGCATACTTACTTGTGGGGTTCAACAATAGACTGTGTAAAATCGAGCCAGCGCCGGTGTGACTGGATGTCACTGCACATTTCCCGCCACAAAGTGAATTGTTAGCCCGAGTAATCATCTTCGCGTGCGTGAGCTACGTAAACAGGGGTCGCGAGATATATCGTACCTTAGCGTCTCCTCTATCATGACGCGCTCTTCTTCGGTGGTGTTGGGGTCGCGAAGGTCTTCTCGCCAACTTTCCTCCTCCGCGTCCAACAGCGCTCGCATGGCAACATTTGCCGGAACACCGGTGTGCGCCACCGGATGGCCTTCTCTTTGTAAGCCTAGACTCTGGAGCAGAGGGAGGATATCTTAAAATTAATTCTCTCGTCCGCTGACATACGTGGAGAGTTTCTCTGCCTCTCGGCTGCTATTTGAAGCAGACCTCGAACATCGACCGCGTTAACGTTTCCGGCCGGTCGGGGCCCATTGGCATTGCCATTATCGCTCCGGTTCCCGTCGGCGCGGTCCTTGCTGCTCTCGGCCATTCTCGAGTTGATGTAAGATGCAAGATGCAAGAAACCTAACGTGGTTGAGTGAGGTGCGGTGGGCGTTATTGGAAGTGACAAAGCGTGGGGTAAGGTAGCTGGGGTTCACAGGTCGGTAATGGATGACGGAGGAAGAACTGGGAAGAGGAAAGAAAAGCCAACAGCGCACCTTCCTTTCAATGCTCGCTGACAAGTTCTGCAGCTCTGCGGCGGAAGGCCCACTATTTGGACCAATGAAAGCGCAAGCGTAAAGGAGCTGTGAACTGTAAAATGCGCCCAAAAGCAGTCAATCTGCGAATGTCTTCTAAAAAAAAAAAATAAACATGCAAGCAGCCCCTAGAAGATAATTACAATGAAAAAGAGAGAACACTCACCAAGTGCTAAGCAGACAGAAAGGCGAGAATAGCTGAAACTAAATATTTGTTGCCGGACAGCAAGGCGGCCGGCTGACCTGACCTTGATCCCCTGTTGGAACAACGCGCTGAGCAGCCACATGTGGCTGTGGAGGCGCAGGGGCGCAGGGTCACCAAACGTAAATAAGTGGCCTACGGCCACTTCCACTCCTTCATAGATCTAGATACACACAACGAATCCAACACTTGAACCACCAGCCTACGGCGCGGAATGCGCCCTGTTGTTTCCAGTACCGGTACCTGGTGCTTCCAACATACCCAAAAAACATTTCCCGCTTTTTTATTCGCCGAGCACAAACAGCCTTCCAGATTGAGAAGAGGAAGAAAAAAAGTCACAAAAAAAGTTTGGAAAAAAAAGAAAATTTCATAAAAGTACATAGGTGGTCATAAGGCAAAGCGCAAAAGCCTTGCATTCTCTAATGAATTACGCAAAACCCCAGAATTTTTTGATAAGAAAAAAGCCGTCCTCCACCGGTGGAGTCTAAACACCAATCCTACGATCCTGTCCCCGCCCATCGCCAGTAACCCAAAAAAGGAAATTATAATTATAAAAAAAAGCTTAATACGGCGGCTTCGTGACGGTGCCCAAACTGCGCTCTCCTGCTTGGCTATCAATTCCTTTCAGGAGAGATTGGAGGTCCATCGCTGGCACAGGCGCTCCTCAGAGCTGGTGCCCCAGGACGACGACACTCCGCGGTCACCGCTGCGGCTCTTGAGGCTCCGTTTCGACGTGGCTGGCCTGGGTAGCGTCGCTGGGTAATCCTGCAATGTCTTGGCCTTTGACACTCGCCCCTCGAGGCCGCTGGGAATTGGTGGCACCGGCGGTACGGCCTTCACGGGCCCGTCACCGCCACTACTGATATGGTCTATGCTGCTGTCGTGCGTTGGATGTGAGCTCAACGGCCCGCCAAGAATCGGAAGTTTCCGGTCCCGCGAGGAAGGCCGCAACTGTTGGCTCGCCTCCAAGCCGTCTGTTGCTACAGGTTCGCCCACGGCGGCAGGGTTGAGAGAGACCTCGCTGGGCGTCATGTCGTAACTGACAAGACTGTCGCTGCTGCTGCTGCTGTCGGTATGTTGCAGCCCGTGCATTGTAGGCGGCGGCTGCAGATGACCTGACAGTACGAGTTTGAGCTGCTCGACCGACGTTACAGCTTGCTCCTTGCCCGCAGGGCTCCTCCCAGCCGGTGAGGCATTGCTGCGAACGCTTGACTTCCGAAGCTTGGCAGAGAGTGGCGCGCCGGGATTGCCGGTTAGCGATGACGAAGGGCTGAGATTGGCCTTGCTGGCAAAGGAAGATGGTGTCCTAGTCGCATGGGCGTGTCCATTCCCGTTCGCTGTCAACCCGCCATTTGCCGCGAGGCGGTTCTTATTTATCCCTATAGTACCCGACCGCGATCCGTTCAGCGAGGTAGACTTGCTGACCGCCTGGACGGCAGCCAAGGTGGCGTCCCGGGACCAATCCGCAAGCATCTGCTCGCGGAAGTGAGAGGGAATCTCGCGTTCCATCTCGATAGCAGGGATGGTGCTCAGGGACGAGCCGATAACGGGATAGGAGAAGCTTCGGCCAGGACTACCGGCCGGGCTTGTGGGCGGCGAGATTGTCGCCTCTTCGTACCCGTGGTAGACGCTCTCCACCAAAGCGATACGGTCGTCAAAGGGGAGCAACGCCTCCGATTCGATTTCCTTAATAGGGAGCCTTAGTTGAGGTCTCGCCATTCTAGGGGTCCCTACCAGCTCCATAAGTGGGGGTAGCATATAGATACCCTCGACCCAGAAGTACTTACTACGGCGACGAACGATTTCGTTATAGATCGCCCTTCCTATAACCGACGCCTCAAAGTCGAACTTCTTAGTCAGAATCCAGAAGTAGCCGTACACCAAGCTCCCGAGGCGGACCTTAGTAATAGGCGTATCAGCGTCCTGAATATCCTCCTGGAGTCTGAAAATCATAGGCAGGCCATATCTAACGGCGTTCGCGCCGAGCCGATTCACAAGCTTTGCCAGCAAAACGTAAAGCAGCATAACGTCTATCAAATACTACGCAGGGGAAAACTCTGACGAAGGCATTTGGTGTCATGCAGAAGGGGCCTGGCGCAATAAACGCGAGATAATAGCTGTACATATTGTGCCCTTCTTTCTCGATAGCAATGAGATTGGCGAGATCCTCTTCGGCAGCCGAGCACCAGATCTCCGAAAGGCCGGAAACTCGCTCCTACTCCATAGTCAGATTGAGAATTGGTTCGATACGTACCATATCCTGATCGTTCCCGTCAACCCGAGAGAGACACCTATTATGCGCTAGCAGATTGACGTCATCTCACCTTTGATCAAGAATTCCAGATGGACGGGTGGCTTGGGAAGGAGTAGAGGGGATCTCGACGGGAAGGAACTGACGTTTTGCGACGAGAAGCGTCCAGTTTCACGCTTTATGTATTTCCATTTCGTCATAGCTCTAGTCCGTATTAAGGACATTAAGCGACAAGGATGGCGAGATATTTGGGCCCGATATTACCAGCAACGCCCATTTCCCACGCCGGGTAACTATGTGCGACAGAGCATGCTACTCGCGCTGGCCACCCATTTTGGGACGGCCGATATGAACGTCGTCGAATCCTGGATTACGGATTACGGGTCACGGTTTCGAGTCTCCATTGATGTTAACCGAGGAGACACAAGAGGCAGCACGCCGAGTGCACGAGGCCGTGGGCCAGGCGATCGATCGTGCTAGCAGTATGGAAGATAGCGATAGTAGCAGCGGCGATGAGGACGAGGACGAAGATGAGGGTGAGGACGAAGACGGGGATGATTAGGCAGGTAAGGCTAGTGGGCAGGAGAGAAAGAAAAATCATATGTATTTATATAACTTGACTACGTAGATACTAATTCTACGACGTATCCCACTACTTGTGTAATTGGGCAGGGTTGGGCTTTTGGCTTTTGGACTTCTCGTATGAAATAAAACCCCGAGAAGTTGTCCGTTCTTTCGAGAACAAGCAATTTAGATTATATATTGGCAAACATCGCCGTGCCGTATTGGATTCTCAAAAGAGAGGGTTTTAATGCAGACTGAATGAAGCCTGATCCCTTTATATTGAACCTTGTAGGTTTCAAATGGTTCGGCAGCCTCTTGCTACTATTGCCCGCATCCGATGGTATAACCTGGGCATCGGCATAGGGTGGAGGAGGCGAGCTCAGTACAAGCACGCCTCCGAGCCATGAGATCTTTTATGAGAATTCGTGCCGTTTCCAAACTTCTCGTGTTCGAAGCCGCCAAACAGCATCTAAAGTGCTGCATTATGTATAAGATACCTTAGTTTATTTATTACCTTACTTTAGTACCTGCTCCAAGCCTTCGTTGCTGCGCCTTAGCTTACACACGGGTTCGTCGGGCATGTTCTAGCGAGTTCCATTTGTCAGAAATCCGAGCAATATGCTGTGCTGTGCCTTACTATGCCAACAGGTGCACGGATTTGCTTTTTTTGCATGTGCAAATATTTAAACCAGCTGATCCGTGTTAACTCACCGTTTCTCGCGTAACTTTGCATACGTATGTGTTTCCTTCTCGAATTCGTTATCCTGACCCGTTCGCGGGAATACCGCTTCTTTTCGTTCGTTTACCAATTGAACTAGCAGGCTCAGGGATTAAAAGTCGCCAAAATGTACCTCAGTAGTGTAGAAGAGCGCTGTGGGTGCTCGAGCTTGCTTCGCTACTACCCTCTCCGTTGCTACATGCACAGAGAGGCTCCCGCAAACAACCCCGCTCGAGTACACTAGGACCCTGGGCAGCTGGGATTTGCAGTCCGCCGACTACCCACCTTTGCATCCCCACCTAGGTTGCCTGCCAACCTCCTCCCCACCTGTGCTGCCCACTATTCAGTATCTCCATGCCAAGCCAAGAAGCCACAAAGAGGGCGGGTGGTTACTTCAGTCCTCGATTGAAGGAACTACAGACACGCCTTGTAATGAGGCCGCTAACCATAAACCTGTCGTAGACCAGCGAAGAGGCAGTGCGTAAAAAGTAGCAACTACCTGCCTACCCCACAGTTTAACGTGCAGACAAGATGGGCAGACAGGGCCCCAACTTTTTAGAGGTAGCTAGCACCTATCCACCGCGAGTCTTAGATGCTACGCAAGAACCACATCAACAGCGGCAAGCCACTGGCATTAACCTAATACTCTAGCGCTGGTGAAGCGGTAAAACCGAGAAGGAAGCAAAAAAGTATGAAAGGTGATGCTTTTTCTAAGGCTAGGTGGGCGCGGCGGATTTCCTTAAGGTAGGAAATCCCCAGACCCCGCTATGTCACGTGCTAGCGCCGAACGCTATTAGTGGGGCTCCCACCAGCGCTTCACGTAATGAAGCTATTTACACTTTTCGTGCATCAAATGCCGGGCAATACAGCAAAAGCCCATTGTCCTCAATGGAATTCCCACCCCAAGACTTCACCTTCTCATCCCATGGCTCAATCCCTCTTCTGCCGTGGGCGCAATATGCGCCCCGGTACTACCTCAGCTGCGGGGGTAGTGGGGTCAGAATTGACTCCTTTTTTGCTGCCAAGAACTATCTCAGGGGCCTCTGCCGGCAGATCCTGACGCTCTGATTGATTCATCTCCTCAGCGGGTGCTTCCTTCACCCTGCGGGGGCGTCCGCACTTCTTTGGCTTGCCTCCTTTTCTTGCCCAATATTCTTCCAACAATTTCTGAGCGTGGCGCATTCCAAACTCCGTTTTCCAAGTGTTGTATTGGTTGCCCCAGCCTTTCCACTTGACCAAGTACTTGTACTTGCCGTTTCTTTGCTTCTGGTGCTGGACGACGTGCTCTAGTTCCCAGCTTTCTCCGTCTTCCAGTCCTGACTGGTCCTGATCATCTTCCACGGGCCCTGGAGGAGGAACATCGCGGTGGAAGGGGTCCTCCTCTTCGTTGGCGGGCAGGAGGTGCGCAACGGACACAACCGGATGTATTCCGAAGTTCTCAGGGAAGTCCAACTTGTATGCCAGCCTGCCTACTCTCTTGAGAATGGTCCAGGGCCCTGACCGCTGCTGAGAGTATTTTCGGGGCGGCTTTCCTGGTAGGTGGTAGCCGTGATGTAAGTTGAGATACACTTTCTGCTTCTCTCTGAATTCGACAGGCCTGTGCTTCTCGTCGTACTGCCTCTTCGCTCTTGCGGCGGCGAAGTCCATAGCGAGTTGAGCGTCATGTCTCAGGTGATCTCTAAGGGCAGCTGCTTCCGTGGCTGTGGGGCCGTCTCCCAGTGTCTTGGAGAGAATGTCTAGCGGGCTAGGCAGCTTGAAGCCAAATAACTGCTCGTGGGGTGAGGATCTGATAGCGCTTGTATAGGCACTGTTGAGGTTCCATTGTAGAGAGGGCACCAGCTCTAGCCAGTTGGCTGCCGGGTTTTCGAAGACGTGAAATCTGACTGCCAACTCCACCGTTTGGTTCTTTCTTTCTGATAGGCCGTCGGTTTGAAGGTGGCAAGCGGCCGACATGAGTAGGCGGGTGCCCAAACCTTTCCAGATTCCTCTCCAGAGTTCGGAAGTAACTTCCTATCTCTATCAGATATGATCCCGTGAGGAATTCCCCAGTCGTATAGCATCAGGCAGCGGACTAAGACCATCCCCCAGTCCTCGGCCTTATATGTAGAATGACCGGGTATCAGCATGGATCTTTTGGAAGTTTTGCAGGTAACGGTGAGCAGTTGATCGAGCTTGCCGTGACCCTCTAAGGCCCAAGGGGTTCCAGCGGATGGAAATTCTGGAAGGCCGACTATGAAGTCCATTGCTATCAGTCTCATGGGTAAACCATCGTTAGGGCGAATAGGTTGGTAGTCTCCGATGGGCTTCTTGTTGTTTTTCCGGTTGAGTGCGCATACGGTGCAGTGTTTGACGTATTCTTTAACGTGATAGGTCTTCTTGTGAATAGAAAGACCTCTCAGGTCGTAGAGCATGCGCTCATCTGCGAAGTGATGCTTCTCGTCGTGCACAGCTTCTAGTATTTTGCTGATCATGTTGTGTGGAACACACAGACTTCTGGTACCGTCGGTGCGGATGTTGTATAGAAGTCTATCTGTGAGAATGAAAGGCATTCCGCCCGAAAAAATCCATCGGTGTCCTCGTCGATGCGTGCTCCTTTGTCCTTGAGATCCTTGATGATAGGGGCGTATTTGCGGTCCGTTTGGTAGCCCTCAATGAAGTCTTTCTTCATATCAACGTCCATCTGCGCCTCAGCGAACGTGAACCAGACTTCATCGAGCACGACCTCGCCCTGCGGACGCTCTAGCGTGTCGCCAAAAGCTTCTAGGCGGCTTAGGGCATCAGGGACGAAGTTCTTTTTCCCGGGGATATGGTAGACTTTAAGGGGTACTGAGACAGGTATATTGACGGTTTATCAGCCTCTTGTTAGCACGATCGGTAGACGACGTGTTAAGAGACGTTTGTTCCACAATTCCCCTGGTTGCTGAGTGGTCTGTGAACACGATAATTGGTTGGTTCGCCGAATGGATCATAGTTCGGAGCCTTTTGACGCTCCAGACAAGGGCGGCGACTTCCAGCTCTGAAGGACGGTATCTCAGCTCTGCCTTGGCCAGACATCTGCTCAGGAACATCACGGGCAGGACTTTAGTTGCGGGTATGACTGTGCCTTGGGTAGGCTCCCAGGTTTCTCCGTTTTTCAGGTGGTATAGCATGATGCAAAACCCACGCTGTGCAGAGGCGTCAATCTGAAAAAAGAGCTGCTTGTTTGGGTCGTGATGGTGAATAATCGGGGCAGACTCGCTGCAGATGATGTCTTGCAGGGCTTGGAAGGAGAGCAGTTCTTCTTCTGTAGGCTCGAACGTAGTGGCCTTCAATAGTTTGCCCGTCTCGTCGGGTGCCCGTTGACGACTCTGCCCTCTTTCCTTCCCTCGGCCAGCAGGGCGACCTTTCGAAGCTGTAGAGGTTCGACTATTTTGGCGTAATACGGAATGAGGTGACGCAGAAAACCTGTACTCCCGATATATGTCTCCAAATCCTTCAGTCTGGCTGGAAACTTGAGCTTCTTGAAGGCCTCAACTCGGTCCTTGGTGGTGGTGAGACCAAGGCCGTCGACGCGGAAACCAAGCAGCTCAACATTTGGGTAGCCCATGTATGACTTCGTTGGGGAGATCGCGATGTTCTTACTGTGGAAGAGCTTGAACAAGGTCCGTAGGTGGCGGAGGTGGTCCTCTTTGGTGTCTGAGAAGATCACTATGTCGTCTATGAAGGCTCTGCAGTAGGAGGAGTGGTCGGTGAGAAGCCTGTCCATGAACCGTTGAGTGTAGGCGGGAGAGTTTCGATAACCCATGAGGGCAACTGTCGATCTCTCTAGCCCTCGAGGACTGATTAGGGTAAACCGGTCTCTGTGTGGTGGGTAAACTCCGAACTGGTAGAAGAATGAGGTTGCGTCTATGGCCGTGATGTATGTTTTGCCTCGTAACGAAGCTATCACTTCCGCCTGTAGGGGCAACGGGTAGTTGTCTGGGACAGAGACCCTGTTCAGAGATCTCAAGTCGATGACAACTCGGCCTTTTTCTACCCCGTGAACAGTACGCCATACCACGAAAACGGGCGCTGCAGACGATGTCGGTTCGTGAACCATTCCATGCGGTTTTCCCTGTGGAGCTGATTGAATATAGTATCAAGAACCACTCTATCCTTCTGACTCAACGGGTATGAGCGGTTGGCGATCCTCTGGTTTTGCCAACCTTCTACCAGAGAGAGCTTCATCATTTCGGCTTCACGGACTTTGATAAGTCCTTCGTTAACCCAGAGTTTCGGGAATTCTTTAACGACCTTCTTCAGCTCTTTTGCCAATGCCTTATCCGCGTTGTAGATTCTGACCCCCTCTTCTGTAACCATTTCTGGTAAATCATCTGACACCTTCAGCCCCAATGTAGAATGTTTTTCGATATTTGGCGGTAGCGTCTCGATTTTGTCGGGGTCTGGCTCAACGAGGACGCCGGGTCGTTCGATAGTAACCGGCTCGGGGGTGGGTTCAATGATATTATAAACAAAGTCACTGACGGGCGTGTCCGTAATACCAGTAGGTTCGACGTTCGCTGGGTCCGGTATGTAGGGAGGGTTGTCGAGAGAGACATCTCCCGTAGCTAGTCCACGAATCAGGTTAGTCATCTCAAACTCCGAGGAAACAGGCGGCGCGTAAAAGCAGATATCCGTCATATTAACTCCAACGGTCGGTACGGAGTCTAAGAGCGAAAAGCCAGAACCGAGCGTATAAGGTACAGAGTTACCAGGTGGCTGGACGCTTGTCATAGCTGCTGCTGAGGCAGCCGCTGAGCCAAATAAAGACGTAGCTACTGTGGCTGCTGTCAAGCCCTTCATCGCTTTGCCCCAGGTGGTTGCGAAGTAACCGCTGTCGGTGTTCTCGTTGATCTCGCCGACGTGCGAGTTCTTCGGGATCGTCATCGTTCCCGTGGACGGGTTGATGACGCGGACGACCTTGGGGGTTTTGGCATCGATTAAGGCGTTAACGACTGCGGAATGTTTTGCGTTAAATAGAAAACTTCTATCCGCCGGGAGAGGCTTGTAGTCCACTGGGAGGTAGGCTTGTTGTCCGGAAGAAGGACGACTTTACGAGTTGTCACAACCTTGCGGACGCAGGGGTGGGCTCTATCAACACACTGAAACGAAACCTTGAAGTACAATTTGTCGAAAACGACATGCTCTGAGTGGTAGTCGATAACGGCTTCGTAAGGGCACAAAAAGTCGTTGGCCATCAGAAGGTTAGGGATATCGACGTCTACTACCCAGGCTGACTTTATGAACTTCATGAGTACTGGCTTGCCGCTCAAGTCTGTGCCGGGCAGAAAGATCTTGAAAGTGGCCCATTCGGAGAGCTTCGGACCTTTTCCCACACCGTTAAGTCGTCCTCCATTATGCTTCTCTATAGAGTGCTCAAGCGTATTCAAGAAGGCACGGTGGATAATCGTTCTGCTGGCACCCGGATCAAAACAGAACTCGACATCTTCAGCCTCAGTGGCGTATCTGCCTCTGGCTCGTAGGTGTGTGAACTTTGACCGTGGGTTTTTGTCTGTTTCCTGTACGATCTCTTCAGGGGCCTCTTTGACTTCAAACTGCGCCTGAGTAGCCGATAAGGCGATGTCTTTAGAAGGAGGCTCCGGTGGAGCTGGCAGGTCCATATTGTCCACGATCTTTCCTGCTTTTGCATGCTCACAGGACTTTAGGTGAGAGAAGAGCTTGTTGCGGGATCCGAAAAGCTTGTGACAATAGCCACAAGTACGCCGCACAGGAGAGCTTGGCGAAGGCGTAGCGATGCCCTCCATCTGCACTGCTTTAAAGGGGGTGCAGTTTTTGATATGAGAGCGCTTTTCTCTAGCGGTAATGAAGTTCTTGTGACACTTATGACAAGTGAGGTGTCAGTCGAGGATCAGAAAAGCTTTTTCCATCTCCTTTTCTTCATTAATTGAACTTTCTGACGAAGACTCCGAGTCCGAATCGTAAGAACTATCTTCTCCGAACTCGCCGTCGGCAAAGTGCGCTCTGTCTTTATACCGCTTTCTTCGGTCGTCGTCATGGTGCCGGTGATCGCGCTTGCGGTCCCGGTCCTTGTCTTGGTCCTTACCACGCTCCCTGTCGCGGTAGCGGTCCTTCTCACGAACCTCATCCTTCTCATACTCTTTCTCTTTATCCCTGTACTTGTCTTTACGGCTATAGCGGCCTTCACTACGGTAGCGGTCGTCACGGCGGTACCGGTCATCGCGATGACGGTGCTTGGACTTGTGCTTGCGGTATTCGGGGTAGTAGGACTGGTTGTCGTCATAGCTAGGCTGAGGGACGTCGCTGAGGTCTTGCAGAATGTTGAAGGGTTTCTGCATGATACGAGGGTACTTCTCACAAGCTGCAGATCGTAGAAGAGGTCGGACTTCGTCCACTCTCTGCATATACTCGGCCAAGGTCTGGGCCTTCAACGGGGCTGGCAGGTACTGCTTTATTTCCAGGCTGGTTGAGGTCCAGATTTGAGTCATGACGCCGTGCCAGTTGTCATTATTTGGGAGGAGAGTCCCCATGGCTCTGGCATATCGAAGCTTTCTCTGAATGAAACGGGTCAGGGCCCACTTCGTCTTTGGCGACGTGCTTTAGGGTAAGAGGTCCTGCACCGAATTTCTCGGTAGCCTCGGTGGCATCGGGGGCGAAACGATCTCTCAGGGCGGTCATAGTAGTATCCAGGCAGGCGTGACGCAGTGCCACGCGAGAGTCTGCGTTGAGTTCATTATTCCACCAGAGGAGGGCTGCACCTCCGAGCAAGGTATTCATCAGTCCGAGAAGCTGGCGCTCGTTATCCTCTCTAGTGGTCTCGTCCTCCAAGAAGGCCTCAAGACGGTCCGTGAAGCAAAAGACATCAGAGCATATGATGTTCTTTCCATCTGTAATAATGCCCAGGTCGTCGGGGTCTGGGTAAAACGGGATGAACTGCCCAACGTCCTCTCTCTTGATCTTGGGTGCGGAGGAGGTGCTGGCTGTGATTCGCAGCTACCATTTGAAGCGGTAAAATCGAGAAGGAAGCAAAAAAGTATGAAAGGTGATGCTTTTTCTAAGGCTAGGTGGGCGCGGCGGATTTCCTTAAGGTAGGAAATCCCCAGGCCCCGCTATGTCACGTGCTAGCGCCGAACGCTATTAGTGGGGCTCCCACCAGCGCTTCACGTAATGAAGCTATTTACACTTTTCGTGCATCAGCTGGCCAAGTTGCTGCGAGTGATTTGTATTCGACTGCCTCGCGCGACGATTAGACGACGCTTGAATTTCGCTCGAAGCGAGAACATAGACGGTGCGCCACAAAGAGCATGCACGCTGGGGCCTGTATTCCGACTAGCTATCAATTTAGCTTATCGCGAGGTCTCTTTCAGCGGGGCATAGGGTGGGAGGCAGCCTGTTCGAAAACGGAAGCCACCGTTTTATAACGGTCAATTTTACACAGGTCCGTGGGTCACTAACAGAGGGAATGAGGGTCCCGTTTTTGGGTCCCAAAAACCCCGGTTTTTGACCCCCTCTACCTCGTAGGGCAAGCTTCTAGGGATTGGATTGTAGTTTGTCTCTCAAGTCTCACTGGCAGTTCATGACGACGGCTTCTCTTACCATGGCAACGATCGGTCGATCAGTCTCAGATCATGTTTGGAAAAAGAAAGAAAAAACCAAAATCGTCTATCAATGGCCCTGCCGTGCTGTCTGGCTCGGGGTGGGTTGGGTTGTCCCTTGGCAACTGAATTCAGACTTACATACCCGCAGTAGGTAATGCCTTTTTCTTGGCGGGTTGCAATTCTTCAAGGCCAATCATGCTGTACGAAGACGCTTCTGCGGTGCAACTAGTGCAGAAAGCGAGGAAGCAGCTTCCGAGACTTCAGGAACCTATCTGGAAGGAATCGTCTCCTGAACCTGCGCGCCTGCCTTGTTTCGTCCTTGTTAAGGAGAACATTGGCCAATCATGTTCCGGCCAAATCGCCCCCACCTGTTGGCCTGGGTCTCTGGTCTCCTGGCGGCGGGTGGGAAGAGCTGCGCCTCCATTCCAACCCCACAACCCCCCCTACCTGCCAACTTTATTTGTTCCCTTGCCTGTAGCTGACGCGGCCTTTTTCAGTGAGGGCTGTCTGCTCAACCTCTTTCCACTCTTGTTCGCGAGGAGGGGATCGCCCGTTGTGGTGCAGACCCTTTCCCGGCCGCTCGAGTCGGGCGGTTCGAGAGCACACGGGGGTAGTATTGAGTGGTACAGTTGTGTGCGGTTACACAGACACGCTGACTCCGCTCAATAACGCACGCGAGAAGTCATGAAGGAAGCGAGGATATGGCACTTTGTCTGCAGCCCGGCTCGTGGTCCTGAGAGTCCCGGTCCGCTCTCAGGCCCAGGACGGAGCCCACACTGACAGACAGGCACAGGGTAAGGGCCCGAATAACGCGCCCTACTAACAACAACACAGCCTCCCGCCGTCGACTCACGGTAGTGTGAAGGTAACCTACTTCGTACATACCGTACATTAGCTACCGAGCCCTGTACTCCACTGCGCAGTCAACTGTGGCCTGTGTTGTATGGGCGCACCTTCATACCGTACATGTACTGTACATACACAGATTCATTCATTCGGATATGCGGAGCCTGCCGGTGCTGTAAGGTAGTCACTTGCAGATTCCCCTTGTTGGCCTTGCCCTCGCCAGTCCCAGTCTCTGGCTCGTGTCAGGCGGGGGCTGACTGATGGATGGGATTGGGACGGCACCCAACCGAACCAGAAAGCACCAAAGCAGAATTCACAAAACACGCTGGCGCCCGGCCAGCTCGCGTCTTCTGCTCTCTTGTTGTGTGCCTTCACGTCCCTTGGGTTGCCGGCCTGCTCACCACCGCCCCTCGTCGCCCTCTCGTCAAGGTACGCTTCGCGTTGCGGTGGGAAGTTGGCCTAGGTCAGCCAGGTCAGGTCGCCACCATGGCGTGGGAAGCCTCAACATGGCTGGTTCTCGTCCGGCTGTTTCAGCTGGTCGAGCTGCTGGCCGTGGTGGGCCTCAACGGCTTCTTGACCGTCATGAACTATACCGAGAGGTACTACTGGTCGCCATTCATCATGGTCATTGAGGTTCTGGTATGCGGTGATCCCTCACCATCTTCATCATCCATCGACCGATGCGGGACTGTGTCTGTGAACGGCCGAGTCTTACTGACGCCCACTGCCACCTACCAGTTGATTCTCCTCGCCATCTACACTACGCTCGCCCTCGTCTTCAGGCACACCGGCCAACGGTCGAAGAGGCCGGCGTGTTTCGTCTGCTTTGTCGTAACGGATTCAATCGCCTGCGCTACCATTCTCGCCATAATAACACTTCTTGCCCGCGCCGGCCTCCCCAAAGACTGTGATGGCTTTGCGACGTGTGAGTACCCCGCTGAAGTAACAAGCCGGGCCTATTCTCATTCCATTTGCTTCTAGTCGACGGCGAGGGCGAAATGGCATCCGTCCAGCCCAATGTCTATTATTACAACGCGGCGCTGCCGAAATTGACTCTACAAAAATACTGCGGCCTCGAACGCTCAACTTACAGCGTTGCCATTTCGCTTGTGTATGTAGCCATCGCCCCCCTCCAAACTGCTGTTGTTGATGATGCCGACTAACACCCGCCTACCAGCTTCACCTACATTGCCACCATAGTCCTAACTGTCTTGCGCATATTTGAGAGGACTTACACCAAGAACTCAAAGGTCAGCGAAGTCCTCGACTCGCTCGAGCGCAACAACCTCGACGAATTCAAGCTGTCCGACGACGTGCCGTCGCACTCGTCGACGCCCACTCTCGCACTGCCATCGCGGCCCCTACCCCCGCCAAGCGAGGGCATAATGACCCGCAGCAACTCGCTCCGCAGCACCGTCACGGCATCCACCTCGCACGCTGGTTCAAGCCTTGACCGGGCCTGTCTCATACCTCGCCGGCCCGTCGGTCAACCGCCTGCGCCGCAAGCAAAGCCGTCGATTCCGCCCATGCCAGTCATAGTCAGCGCCGGTGGGGTTCAACACCAAGGCTTTGTAACCGTCACCCTAGAGGAGGAGGACGAACACGACGAACACCACGACGACGACGACGACGACGACAACGACGACGACGACGACGACGACGACGGCAGCGCCGAGGCCGCCCTGGTCGCCGATGGGATGCAGCACCGCGAGCAGCAGCAGCAGAGGGATCAGCAGTTCCGCCTGCCCATGCTGCCCGAGGAGGAGCAGTCGGCCGCGTCGGCGCTCGTCTCGGACGGCATGCGGCCCTCGGAGCCGTCGCTACCGCCGTACTACCCCCGCAATGGCGGCGGCATGCCCGGCCATAGCTCCGAGAGCAACGAGATGCGGCTCAGCGAGTACGTCAAGGGCGAGACACGGGCGCAGAACCTCAAAGACTCGGGGGGGTACTGATTCAGCAATTCTCCGAGCTCGAACCGGGACCAGATTGGCATACGTTTTCCTTTTGAGAGGGTCAGTGGGGAACGGGCTGGGATTTTTTTTTTCGCTTTCTCTTTCTCATGACAAAAAAATGACCCACGGATATATGATACCACCTGCAAGCGACTCGTTGGGGCGCTGGGGAGAACAGGAGTGAAATTGGGGCTGGGATTTTTTTGGTATTTCCATTTTCTTTTTGTGTTCACCTAATTTGTCTTTCAGGGGCAGGCGGGCGCATGCTATGAAGAACCAGAGAAACTCCATGATGTTCTCTAGGGGTTGGATATTTTGCCTTTGTCTCTTTTCCACATACCACGTATAGCGTGTATATCTGTATGTATACCCCCGTGCGGGACAGAATAAAAGAATAATAATACACCTACCGTTGGTAGTGCACATGCGTTCGGAGGTTTGACCAATGTGGCTGGGCTTTCAGCTGTACCTACCTAGGTATATACAATGTCTATGCATATCCTCATTATGTATTTCTGGACCATCTTGTGAGTATGTGTTGGTTGTCCACGTCCATGGAGTATTGGAGAGTACAGGATGAGAATACCACTAGACTTCTACAAACCGGAAAACTACTTTTGACTTGGAAAGGATTTCCCCCTAAAATTCATAAATATCCATTTTTCATTTCATGTCCGCTCATATGAAGACGCCCATATGAAGAGAAACCCCCATATCTCGCTTGACCACCCGCCTTAGAGACCAAGGACGGGCAGCCGCTAGGTACTAGCTACGTACTACCCAAAGCGCCTCCGCGCGAGCTCCTTCAGCGTCTCAATGGTGCGGTCCTCCTTCTCGCGGTAGGCGGCGATGCGCTCGTTGCGCTCGGCAGCGGCAGCGCGGGCCTCCTCCTCGCGGCGCGACTGGCGCTGTGACGTGCGCTGCTGCTGTACGGCGAGTAGCTTGCGGTGCTCTTCGATACCATCGCCGCCGCCGAGCAGCTCGGCCTCGGGCACCGCCGCGCCGTCGGGCGACGGCTCGCGGAACGCCTTGAGCTTGGCGTTGAGCGCCTGCCGCTTCTCGAGCTTGCGCTCACGCGTGCCCGCGTCTGCACGCGGCATAAGCTCCTCGAGCTGCTCCTTCTGCTGCCGCCGGTCCGCTTTGCGCGCCTCACGCAGCGCTTCCGCCTCGCCCTCGCGCTCTGCCGCTGCCGTCTCGCGCCGCTCGGCGAGGTCTTGCAGTGTCGGAATGCCGGGGCCGTGCCGGGACGCTGCTGTCCCGGCCCGTTGTTGTGGGGGTAGCGACGGGCCGTAGTCGTCGTCGTCATCGTCGTCGTCTTGGTCAGCTTTGGTGATGTTGGCGTAGCCGTCCGTCTCCTCTTCCGACTCTAGCCTATGAGGCGGCTGCCGCGAGCTGCTCCCCCAACTTCCACCTCCACCTCCACGTTGCAGCTGTCTCTTCTGCTTCGGCTCAGCAACCCGTCGACTGACAACCTCCTCCTCCTCCTCCCCCACCTCTTCCTTGGTGAGCCGCTGCTCCTGCTTCAGCCGCGCGTAGACCTCGGGGTCGTACCAGCCCTCGGCCAGCTCGCCGCGGTTCCACTTGCCGACGAAGCTCTTCCAACGGCCGCGCACCTCGACCTCGTCGAGCGACGCAATGTCCAGCGCCTTGTGCAGCTCCAGGTAGTCGGCAAACAGGGGCCGGAAGGCCGCAAAGTCATGCCGCCCCAACAACTTGCGCGCGCCGAACGGCAGCGCCATGGGCTCCTCGTCTGCTGCTGCTGCGCGCGGCTGCGCGTCCGCGGCTGTTCTCCTACTGCTGCGGTGATGGTGATGATGGTGGTGGCGGTGGCGGTGACGCGAGGCAGGTTCCTTGGCATCATTAACGTCATCGTCGTTGTGGTTGTAGTGATCCTCTTTTCCCTCGTCCCCGTCCCTCGAACGATGGCGCCGCTGGTGGCGAGGGCGTACGGGGTCCCGCTCTCGCTCCCGATTCCGATCACCATCAGTCCTTGGGTCTCGGCGGGGCCTGTCGCGCTCGCGACTTGGCTCCCTCTCACGGTACTCGATGCGGGCTGGGCGGGCCGGCGACCTTGACCTCGAGTGTCGCGAGGTTGGGCGCTTTGAGCGCGAATGCACTGGCGGAGACCGCGACCGCGACGCCACGCTCCGGGGCGGCAGTGACGGCATGGCCTAATGATACACTCTTGCCTAAGTGTTTGATACGTCTCCTGGATGGCGATGGGACCCGCTCCCTGTGCAGCTAAAGAGATAGGCTGAGAGGTCGGGTGGCTGTTGGTGCGGCGTTCGACGGAACAAAGCTAGGTTTCTTATTGGGGGAGCCTTGCAAGGCTGTCGGAGTGTTTAGTTAACGGATATTGACAGGCTTTTGGGGGGCACGTTAGCGCCAATCATTCCGTTCAGCCGCATTGGGGACCCCTGAAACACATCAAGACGACACTCGACCACTCCGAACAGCAAAACTGACTCTGAGGTGTTGTATGTACCTACGTACGTATGCATATGCGTGTTGTTAGGTATCGACAGTTAGCTAACACACAGCTGAAAACCTATAAATAATGCTCGAGGCCAGTCCAACCAAACCAGTCCAAACGCACATGGCTGAGATGCAACGGCAAATAACTTTTATCCTCCTGTTTTCGCCCTTGATGCAGAAAAGCAAGTTGAGTCCAGCCCAAGACAACTCGCTGCAAAGCAAACGCTCCACCACCTGCCTGACTGACGCCCATTCGGTCGCCAGTCTCCAAAATCTCGCCTGTCATATATGAAGGTAGCAGATAATCCGCTAAAAATCACGGATGCCTCTCATGGGTATCTTGTTCCTTCGCGCCTTACTTTTCTCTCCATATGTCCACGGTTCCAGAATCAACCGCTCCACATCACCCCAAACCATCGAGGTTCAGAGGTGCTTTAACTCGCATGTCGCAGCCGCCAAGTTGTAAAGCCCTATCCTGACGAAGTCGGAGGAGCTAGTCGTCAGCATTATTATGCAAGCTACATCCAATGCAGTCGCAATCGTCGCCGCAAAGACAAGAATCCATGCTCCCAAAACAGCCGCTATCCATCCGGAGCGGTATATTCACGAAGAAATAGTCCGCCGTCGACAAAGACTGCTCGTTATTCGCAGCCGACCCGTCGCTCGCTGCCTGTGAATCTGGAGAGGCGGGGGCCGTGTTTCCGTTCCGTGTAGGCGTCCCGCTGCTGCCGCTACCAACGCCCGCGTTTGCGCTGGTTTCGTTGTAGGCATTGTTGACATACTGCAGTGTCTGATCATTGAATGGATGAGCCAAACACCCGAGGCATTGACAACCGGCACCGCAGGTGCACTCGTGACTCATGCCGTGATCGGCCCCAGCTCCGTTCGGAGCGGCCAACATCGGAGGCCCCATTGTCATGTTGGGCTGAGAGGACATCTCTTGCCAAGTGCTCTGTTCCATCGGGTGCTGCCAGGATCCATACTGAGCTGGGTAGGTAAAGATAGTAGGGTAGCCGAATGGCGCGGGCGCGGGCATGGGCTGCGGCTTTAGCTCTACGGGAGGTGCGTAATGCTCTAGATACTGCTGCGAGAAATCTGACTGCAGTGGCTGCTGTTGTGGAATATTGCCCGAATGCAACTCCGGCCCTTCATCTTTAGGGCCGCAGCAGCAGCTGCCCCCATTCGTGACACCGTTTGATTTTGGCAACAGTGGTGTACCTAACCCAGCGGGCTGATGAGGAAGTGTTAAAGATGTCAACGGTGATCCCAGGCCGTTGCTCTGGCGTGGAGAGACCACCCCCTCCTCGTTCTTGACCTCTTGCGACAGATGGTGTCCTGGGGCGTACTGGATATCCATGGGATACGGAACAGGGGTTCCATAACCCAGGTTTTGGGAAGGCGTGAATTCACTTCCAGGAGGGGCCCGAGGCACGAACTCAACGCCGGGTCCAAACCCCGTGAGATTGCTCAGCGGCATCTGAGGCTGTAGGCCATTCCCAGCCATGGGCATCGCATTGGCATCCATACTGCCGCTGTGTGGTGTCACCAAACTGCCTACCATCCTCTGCAGCTGCGAGGGGTCATATGATTGCTTCCTGCTGCTGGATCTGGAACCATTGCTAGCTTTGACCACCCGAAAGGCAGACCGGGTTGGCGATGTCGGCGGGGAGGTGGGAGATGGATTTCCCTCGACTACTCCGTTCCCTATCCCAGACTCGGGTTCGCAACCGCATTTCTGCTTCCGCGGGATAGCAACCTTGACCCCTCCGCAAGCACAAGGCCTTCCGGGGGGGCAGGGACACGTGCTCAGCGGGCGGCCAGGTTTTCGCACCGGGACCATTATTCGCTCGGAAGAGTGATTGCACTTCGTAGATCGGTGGCCGCGGATACATGGCGCGCTGTCACGGGAGAGTTAGTTACATGTTCATATAAACAAACAAGGTTCCACAAATGAACAAGGTCGCCGTCCGAGAAAAGGCGGTAGTAAAACGGACCACCATCCACGTTCCGGAAGGGCAAACGGCGATGGACAGTGTAGGAACGTGAGACATACCAGGCCATTTTCTGGCCATTTATCATGGGCATCCTGGCGGTTGAAGGCACAGTGGCACAGGAGGCATCTGCGGCGGAAGTCGACAATCTTATTGGGCTTAATGGGCTTAAGTGTTTATCGACAAGGGGGGACGTTGACGATGCGGATACCTGAGGAAACCGTTGGTCCCGTAGCTCATACCAGCTCAACAGGCCCCGGGTTTAGCAGACGATACCAGATAGGATGAGGTGTCAGCGGTGAAATCGTGCTCAGCCGAGTCCCGAGACTCGAGGGTGTCCAGTGGTCAAGAGGAACCCGCTGGCAGGTGTTTGAGCGCTGCCTAGGAGGTGGAGGGGACAAGTCCGGGAGCCGAGAAACAGAATCCTGTATGTATCGCGCTTACGGCTCCATACGGTAGTAGGTGACGGGGGGCTTGGTGTCTTAACAGTCTCTTGCCTAGTATTAACGTTTTGGAGGCTGCCCCAAGATTCCAGAAACAACGGACTACTTGCTAGCAGCGGGGATGATGTGACCACGGCGAGGCGAGACAAGCCGTCATCTAGCACTTAGCGCGCCGTCGTAGGATAGTTACAAAGCCTATCGTTCAAGATTCGCGATGGGGCTGGCCCTTGTGACCTGAGTGGCGCGAGGATGTTTTCACAACGGAAGCCACTCCCATACATGCCGAGCAAGTGGGCACTAGTCGATGACGAAGTGCGCGGCGGCGGCGCGGTGCGCGGCTTTGCCCCTTAGCAAGCTGGGACCCAAGATGGCGCCGTCCTAGGCCAGAGACTTGTCGACGGTGAATAAGGTGGGCACGAGAATGTGCTAGCTAGCTGTGTGCGCCTTGAGGCATGACAATCTTTAAGCTTTGTGGTACTCTAAACAAGAAGACAAGAACAGCGAGGCGGCGCAAGTGGGCTTGAGTCGGGACTTGCAAGCACGGGAAGCCAAGGCTGCCAGACAGGGGCGAGGCAAGGCGAGGCGAGGCGAGGCGAGAGACGAACCGGACGACTGAACCCAGGACTCGCTCGCTCACACCAGGCCAGCCGGCGCCGTCTCTCTACTTCCTGACCCTCTCGAGTCGGAGGAGAACTTGAGGGGCAAAGGGCTTGTTGGGGTGAAGGGAGTGGGCAGTGGCAGGCGGGAACGAGAGAAACTGAACCCACCTCCGATAGGTAGGCTACGGAAGGGGCTACAGACAGAGCCTTAGGTTTGGTGGTTCAATGCCGAGGGAGTCGGAGGTATGTACTGTGGTCGGTAGGATACCATCGCCCAGCGCCGTTGTTGCGATGGTGGAAGTGTATCCCGTACGACGGCCAGATTACTACAATACCTAGATTGCGTGGGACAAAGAAAGGTGGCAGGGGCTCGGACTTGTCGTCTTGTCAGATCTTGGGATTCACGGCAGCAAGGCGGACCCCGTCCCATCAGCACCTCTCCCGTCTCGTCGCCTAGCTCCCTTCCTTCCTTCCCTTCCTCCCTTCCCCTCCCCGTGAGACGAGTGAGACTCGCTCGACTCATTCTGCCAGCGTCCCACGTTGATTCGACCCAGGACTAGGGGCATTTCCCAAGTGCAGGTGCGAGTGGGCATGTTGGTGGGGTGCGGCGTGGTCGGGGGGTACTGAGCAAGTTTCTATTGGCTGACCTGGGGCGGCCCAAGGGTTGCGGCGGAAAGTTGTGGGCAAGTACGTGACTGGCGGTGGGCACGCACGTCCCAACTGGGGAGCCGGGACCTTCACAACGCCCCAGCCAAGTTTACCCTGCACCTGACAACCGACCACGAGTCCGTGGGCCGACCAACTCTCGGACGAATCAAACCACCATGGGTTCCCGTCGTCGGGAATATCGGACAGTAGGACGGCAAGAGCGGCTCTTAGACACAGGTGGCGGTTGTCTGTCATAAGATATAGCGCCAATTCAAACCGAGTCTTCGGAATGCCGTGTTTTGCAAGCTGATTCAAGACCACAAGCCGTTTCTGCAAACCCTCGTAAAGCCCTACGAGGCGGTTGAGAAGTTGGGGGGTTTCATTCTCGGGCGTCTCTGTTGTATAGGTATGCACAAATTAATATCAGGGACCCGAATAACAGTCGATATTGCGCAGCTGGCTAGACCCTTCCATGGCGGCCTGAATTATTATTGGAATGGCCATGCGTGGCATTTGAAGGCAATGTTTACTTATTAACAACCTAAAGCGGCAAGACTGCCCGCCTTACATCTAGGTAATATACCTCAGCTAGATAGGAGCCATGTACCCAAGGCAGGTGTGTACTGTACTTACAAGAACTACCATAGTCTCTCAAAAACGCCATACTATTAGCGCATCAGTGCCTTGGAGTTTCAGCGATTACGACGTACATGGTTAAGAACTAGGTCTGCCTCAAGTCTTGTCCTTCAGTGTGCCTACCTGGTCTCATGTAGACTCTAGTATTCGTGCGGAGTACGGAGCACGGAATACGGCACTCTTTTAAGACAACAAGGAGCCGGGCAGTACGGATCCGTTCAGTGGCGGGCCGGTCTTTCCCTACCCGCAGATCGGATCTCTTGGCGATCTAATCCCATCGAGACTTAAAGTCTCAAGACAAACCAACTCTTCCTCACCTTTTGACCACACCCGAATAGCGCAAAGTTTATGCTAGCGTTCACTCTCCGGCACGGGCTCCATAGACTCAAAGCTAGTTCAAGTGGAGGAATGGCTCGCTTCTGATTCAGAGTCTCCGTCAAGTTTGCATTTAATGATCCTCGTCTGAGCCTGAGCCGGCAAACATGTCCACTGCCCGTATCCGCTTCCTGGGCACCGCTGCCTTGAACGAGGACATCTTAAAGCCGCCGACTGACTTGACTTCTGGTTTGGTTGTCAACGGTCGTGCCACCGGCGTTTCATCTAACCCGCCCATGACGGCGTCATGATCGGTGGGGCCTTCGTGTGCCTCGCCTTGACGGCCGTCCAGAGTATCATCGTCCGGATAACCGTCAATATCATCTTCTGACAGAAGTTCTCCTGCACCAAAAGAATACTGTACTTGCGATAACTGCGGCTCTCTATCAGTTTCGCCAGTATCTAGCATCCTATCGGCACGACCCGATCCGTTTGCTGGCTCTAGATAGCTTGCAGGTAGATTAGACGCGGCCGAGATCGCACTAGCCTTGCCTCCTTCCGCAGTTGAGCGTGTAACCGACTTCCAGCGGCTTGTCGTCTTTCCTGTCTCGCCGCCACTCGTATCCTTCTTGACCGAGGGCGGGTTTTTGAAACTGCTGTAGAAAAAAGCCTGTGTCTCTTCCGGGAATATATTCTTGCCATCCCAGATAGACAAGACGTACTCTATGCTATTCTTCCAGTTGTTGGCACGCATGAGGCCAAAGTTGAACTTGTCAGCCATCATACCCAGCATCTCAAAGGTTTTGTGCTTTCGAAGTGCCGTCTCGAGAAGCTGACGGAATCGCCAGGCAAGGTTTTTATTCCCCGACAACTCCAGAATATCGCTCACAACATATAGGCCGATTAACCGCGATTCCCTTATGTCGGTAGCATCAGATGCGGCTTTGTCCTCAGCTGCTGGCGAAACATGGCGAGAGTCCTCGCCATCGCCGTCTTTGCCCTTAGAATCCTTCTTGCACTTTGGATTTGCAGACGTAAATGCTAATGGACGCTCAATATTCGAGACTACCATCTCGGCAACCTCATCGGCACCCTTGCTTGTGTGTGCGAGAGCAAACGCGCTTACGCTGGCTATGTCTCCATTCTTGATTTTGGATAATGTGGTTGGGAGCCGCGCTAGGAGGTAGGCGAGCCTAGACTTGTCGATGGGGTTCAGGAACGTGTCATCTTTTGTCTTGGATCCAGATCCAGTTTCGTTCTGGCGCGGCTTGTCGGGCTCGAAATCATCTTCATCTAACGAGTTGTAGTCGGGGTCGGAAACAAACTCGTCGACGCCAGTCGCGTACTCGTAAGGCAGACGTTCATCAGGCACTTTCCAGGCATGACTTCTTTCAAACAGGGGGACATACTTGTCCACCCGTCGACGCGACCAGAAGCCCGTGATAATATCCCACAGTCTCCAGCGATACCATATGCCGCCTTCACTCCGCGCGTCCCAGATCCAGGCCCACTTTTCTTCTCGCTGGACCTCTGGTCGTGACATGAGGAGGGCCTCGAACTCAGCTCCGCGCTCCAAAACAGACTCAATAACCTTGTGAATCATTCGTAGCTGCTTGATGTCTCCTGGGGGACGGGTGGGTACATGCAAAAGATCGTTTCTGTCGACTGAAGCGCTCGCGGGGCCGTAAGAAGACGGAGGTGCGTAGGCGCGTCCATGACCGATCGGTTGCGACAAGTGGGTTTTAACAGATGGCTCTACCCTTTTCGCCCCGAAGGGATGCGACGAAGGCCCCGAGGACACCGAGATAGGGAGGCTGGAGGATATGGCGGCTGAAGAGAGATATTTTTGTGCAGACAGGAAGAACCCGAATCCGAGGTAGCGGTTTTGCAGCACGCTCGCCGCAGCATCTATGTCCTTCGCAGGGGTTTCCTGTGACAAAATGACAATCGCCGTGTTCGACTTTCGTTCGGTGCCGCTTGGTCCAGAGGGTGGTATGATTTTGACGTCGTCGACCGTCAAATTTGAGGGAACCAGGGCCTTAATGGCGGATAGCGACGTATTCAGCGGGATGTTGGCGAGACGCAGGGTGGGCTTCGATATAGCCTTTTCCTGTGCTCTGTCGGCCACGGGGGCATTCTCATCCGTCCGCGACCGTGAATCCCAGCTGCTAAGACCAAGCCTACCACGTCCCTCATCTCTCGATTGGAAGCCTTCAAAGGGTCTCTTCTTCCCAAGGGAAGACGGTACGGGACCCAGACTACCAGGGCCGCTTTTCATCGTGGGGCCCGAGGGGACGCCGAAGTGTCTCTTGCCAGAACCTCCTCCATAGCCAGTCGATGCGCCCAACGGCGGCTTATTCGGGAATCCATCGGTGAGTCTTGACGGCGGGGGTTTTGAGTCTCGGGCGGAGGAACGAAAGCTATCATCGTCGCCGAAGGTCTCGCGGAAGCTTTCCAGGGCGGCAGCCGTCTCGGCCTCCTCTCTGCGACGCTTGGCCTCGGCCTCAGCTTTTTGGCGCTCGAATGCCGACTGCTTGACTGGCCTCTGCAACTTGGCCTCGGCGTCGGGGAATTCAGTAATCTTCTTTCTCGACGACATTTTTGGTAGGTTGAGATTGGCCACGCATGACTGAGTGCTGGCGGTCACTCAGTTGTGTCTTCGATGCTTGTGCGTGCACTGTTGTTAGCGGAGCGCCGCTGTCAAGGCAGTTTACGCGTTTTGTCAGCAGCTAGATGACCCAGAAGTGAAAAGGTGAAGTCAAGTTGGTCCGTGCGTGGCTGCGAGAAACAACTCTACGAGCAACCTAGGAGTGTCCAGTGGTAATTTACTGTATGTACGAATACTGAGCACCTACCAGATATGTGAATATGGAAATACCTTACCTTAAATTCGCTGCAGTGCACTGGATGCCGGGGTAAACAACACACAGAGGAATTACCTCAAAAGCTTTAAAGTGAAAGGTGCAGTATCCAAGGGAAACAATCTATTGGCACTGTCAAAAGTTCGAAGCTGCCCAACCGGGTTGACCCAGGTCGGCCTACAGGCTACAACCAGTTCGCGCTAGCTCGCAGCTCCTCTCGAAAGTACAATCAATCCCCGAATACTCGGCTATTACTACTTTGAACGTTGTGGGACCTTCCAATATGTGAAAGGCTCATTGGCTTGGGTTTCGTCCTGACCGTTTTGCTCAAACTTAAATAGAGTCGGCAGCTCTTGGAGCTCCTAGAATAGGATCATACCTCCCTCCTCCCTCTATGAATCCCTGTCAAAGGCTTTTCGTGGCCGGTTGTTTGCCATAATCCTTGTTCTTCCCAATTACAGATCCGTACCGCTACCAATTGTCATTCAGGGGTTGGATTGTAATGGAAGCCACAGTTGGCGAATGCTCTTGTCCATTCCTTGAAACTTGTAAGGAACGATGGACTATAGCTGCCTAGCTGCCATGTCTTAAATCCTGTGCCTAAACCCTAAACGATCATGCTGTGTGGTGATTTGCTTCTCTTTCCCAAGTCTTTTCCTCTCTCTGATGTCCGATACGACATGCCTGGATGAAGCGTGACCGACATGTAGACACGTTACCAATCTTTATCTTCTCCCGCCGAGATCATGCTTGGGGCCGACTGGGCAGGGTGTATTAACAGTTATGTACCGCGACATGTACATATGGATGTTAATCAGCAAAGTTCCAGCACGCCCTTCGGTCTTGGCTGTATCGACCTTCCGGCTTGCTTTATTTAAATAAAGACGTTCCAGACACAGCGAGAAGCCCATACCTGCCCTGGACTTGTCTGAAACACCCAGTGTCCCGTCTCAAGCGGACAAGCTCTGCCTGCTGTACCATAATAAGGTTTGCGTTGGCGGTGGCGTCCTTCCAAGCTTGGAAACAAGAAGGCACGCCAACAGAGACAACCACGCACAGTCATCAGTCGCACACCATGTACGCACACACACCGTGACGCACACGCACACGCACACGCCCACAAACACCTGCTTACACACACCTCCCTCTGAGTCTACACCTGGCCGGCCGACAAGTCGAGCCAATCCCCTCCACCGACTCTGTGGGCTTTTCCCGCCTTTCGCTGGGCTGGGGGTTATTGAGCAACTTGCGGTTTTTATGGGGCTTGTCTTCCCAAGTTCCCAAAGAAAATGACCTCTTCTTCCCCTCCTCTCCCTCCCCTTCTTTGTCCTTCACTTCCTCCTTCTCCCCTCCTCAAGCCTGCTTCTGCTTCTGCCTCTGAAGCTCCATTTGCCTTCTCTCCACCCTCCTCCATTATTATCATCGGTTCGGGGGTCTTTGGCCTTGGAACTGCCTGGGCTCTTGCCCGGCGTCCTGCTTTCTCGCAATGCTCCATCACCGTCGTTGACCGATCCGACCCCTCCCAATCTCGGCCGGACGTTTTCCCTGCCCCCGACGCCGCCAGCGTTGACACCAGCCGGATCATCCGGGCTGACTACTACGATGCTGCCTATGCTGCTCTAGCCGCCGAGGCCCAGGTGCATTGGCGGGAGCAAGCCAAACCCACCGACCTCGGTGCCCAGGGGCGGTACAATGAGAGCGGTCTCGTCTTGGTCGCTGACTTGCCACATGGAACAGCTGTGCCGCCGTCGCCTCCCGGAGCTGAAACAGCCGTCGCGCAGCACGCCGCCCCCGCCAAGAAAAAGACGGGCATGGACTATGCTCGCGGTAGCTGGGCAAACGTGCTCTCACTAGCATCCAACGATCCCTCATTGACTAGTCGCATCCACGAACTTCCTAATGCCGCCGCCATTCGTGACGCGGTCGGCACCGGCGGCGGCTCTGGATCGTGGGGATACATCAATGAAGCCAGCGGCTGGGCAGATGCCGGGGCCTCGATGGCCTGGCTCGTAGACCGAGTCCAAGACACTGGGCGTGTCAAATTCGTGGCTGCCACCGCCCTGGCTCTTGAGCACCAGGGCACTACCGTCACCGGCGCCAAGCTCTCTGATGGCTGTGTTCTCTCGGCGGAGCTCGTCGTCGTCGCCGCAGGCGCGTGGACTGGAGGCTTGATAGACCTGGCAGGCCAGGCGACTGCCACGGGTCAAGTACTGGGGTACCTGGACATCACGGAAGCGGAGCAGGAACAACTTGGCCGCATGCCGGCACTGCTGAACCTGACGACGGGGCTGTTCGTCATTCCTCCTGCGAAGCGAGTGCTCAAAGTCGCGCGGCACGCCTACGGTTACCTCAACCCAACCAAGTTGGCGACGGCGCCACTTCCTTCGTCATCTGCAGGATCCGCGTCCGCTCTAGCCTTTTCTCACCCCTTGACTCATTTATCGGACCTATCCCTTGCCATCCCCAAAGAGGGAGCCGACGACCTCCGCCGCGCTTTGGGCGAGATGGTGCCGCTGCCTGGCCTCCGGGACCGGCCCTTCTCCAAGACACGGCTGTGCTGGTACATGGACACCCCCACGGCCGACTTCCTCATCGACTACCACCCCAACTTCCAAGGCCTGTTCGTGGCGACGGGTGGCAGTGGTCACGCCTTCAAGTTCATGCCCGTGATTGGTGACAAGATCGTCGATTGCATGATGCACAACTGCCCACGACAGTTCGAGGGCAAGTGGGCTTGGAAACCGGTTACGACTACTGGTGGCACAGTTTGGTCATCGGTAGTAACAGAAGATGGTACACGGGGCGGGACGCCTGGGCTTGTCTTGGCAGATGAGCTTGTCAAGGGTGTTACGAGGCACTATCCCTCTCGTTGATCTAGCAGCAAATCGAGGGGAGGCAAATGGAGGGCGGACACAGGAAACAGGTGAGCCACATTACACACAATTCCAGGACGATGACACACCATAATTATGTCAAATAAGACGATGGCATTTGCGGCTTAATGCCACAACTAAACAGCGCAATGAGTCCCAAAAGATATCGCCTGCTACTGATAAGTCTCAAAAGAGAAAAATCTGCTGCAAGCGGTACGCGAGACTCAGCTGCCAAGGATTTTGAGTGCTTGTCGCACCATGAACCATCATGGAATGGTGCGAGAGCAGATGTGCTCTCACATTTCCATCATTCTCGTTTTTGCTCTCTGCGAAAGCTTGCTCTCCATCTGTGATGCCACGATCGAATCAGGCCAGTAGAAAGCAGCCACAGTCCTTCCTGGAACTGCGAATGTTCCGAACTCCACGATCTCTCTGTACAGTTCCACGGAACTGCGTATTATGACGGCGGTTGACCTCCGCACATACCGCCGCGCGCAGTGTTGGAGATCCCTGCGCAATCTATGTAATATAGTGAGGTCTTTGACCTCTGGCGAAGATAGCTCCTAGCCTGTATCCATCCGTCCCAAACGCCGGTGCAATGCTGAAGAAAAAAAGAGAGAAAATGACGCAAGTGATACAATGCAACGTGCCAGCTTGCGATGAGTGCTGGTTCGTGCCCGGGCTTTTTGTGGGTATGAAGACGAGTCGTAATGTCATGACGAGGAGTGCAAAAGAGGGAGAAAAGGTTATGGTACAGAAGTTGACGAAGGTGGAGGGGTATGGCGTGCCTGCTACCCAACTCGGGAGTTTTTAAATCTTCCGGAAATCTGCTGTACGTTAGTGCCGATTCCAATAAGAGGAACATGAGAACGAGAAACATACCTTGCAGCACAGGATAGATCATCTCGAAAGCCTGGTAGATCTCTTCACGGACTTTGGCGCCAGTGAGTACGATCTGAGCATTTGTTAATGATGGCCTTCGGCTTAGGAGACATAAGGTGGCCTTTCATACCTTGCCGCTGACGAAAATGAGAAGCACGATCTTCGGCTTGATCATGCGATAGATCAGACCCGGGAACAGCTCAGGCTCATAAGAGCTGAAGTTATGATGCTTGGACGCCAAGCCCTCAAGACGAATGGGGAACTTGATATCGCAAGATCCAACGATGTTCTGTATTTTGAAATCGGTAAACTTGGCGTTGAAACCAAGCTTTTGGATGATACGCGCATATTTCCGCGACGCAAGCTTCGAGTCGTCCTCCGATTTCGCGCCCGTGACAACCATCTTTCCACTTGCGAAGATAAGAGCAGTCGTCTTCGGCTCGCGAATCCGCATGATTACAGCCGCGAAACGCTTCGGGTTGTACTATTTCAACCGTCAGGACCAAACCTTGCAGCAGGCACCCAGCAGCGGCTATAATTCCAATGCTAGGGACTCACCTCGGCATTTCTCGCATGCAGTGCAATCGTCTTCAAGTCCAAGCGGCAATCAAGATTGACCGTGGCAACGATATTCCTGATTTGAGTCAGCCTACCGCCTCTTCATTACGGAAAAGAGGTGTGGTCCTACTGGAGCGTGGGAGTAAGCCCACTGGGGCCAGGGGCTGCAGCCGGGGTGGCAGCTGGCGTAGCGGGAGTCACCCCATTCGCGTTCATGCCTTGGTTGCCCAGCTGCCCACCGTGGACCGATCCATTTGCGCTTTGCGCGGTAGATGGAGGTGTGAGTGCCCCCGCCGCGCCGGGAAACGAGAGCGAACCGGGAGCCGTGAACGCCTTTGCCTGGGCAGCATTGGAAGGGTGAGTCTGGATGGCTTCCATATTTGCGAAAAAGTTTGAGATCGTGACAACGAAGTTCAAATTCTGTCAAGAGCAGATCTAATGTCACTAGGGTTAGCCCGAGAATGATGAGTGGCTGCGCAATTGTGAAAATGTGCAATTGAGGGATCACAAAACTTTGCGCGGTGAGGTTGCTTTGCGGAAGACTTGGAAGGCACGAAGAGGCCTGCCAAATTTATAGTGGGAGTGGTGGTTGTGAGGTGGGGGCGGGGTTGCGGCGGCAAAAATTTGGCGGCAGCACAATGCCATGCGCAAAGACGCAGTGACATGACAATAGGACAAGGACAATAACAGTATCTGAAGGAAACCGCTTACTTAATGTGGGAGATGAACAACTAAATGTCTCCCCTACACTGCTGCTCCGAGCTCTCTTATGCAATGGTCAAGATCTCTCGATCGATGGCCACGATAGGTGGGCTGGCTGCTGGATTTTGCCGGTGCGATGGACTTCGGTCGCGCTCGAAGACGACTTGACACGATGCCAAGGCCACGTCCGACGTGATCGGAACACACGCAGCGTCGAAATGACGGTTGTCCACAGTTCAACTCACGCAAGGAGACTTCTTTTCCTCCGGGATAACTAGCAAAAGTGCACTGTGACCTGTGCGAATGGTTTTTCTATTGTCTTCGACGATGTAAGTCGGTCGACGGTGACGTTGGAGGTCGAGTTCTTTGGTAGGCAAAGGGTCCGCGATGGCGAGTCGGCAGGATCCTTTGTCCAGAACGAGGATCAATCTCCAGTCAATCGACGGCTGACTTCCTTAGCCTAAATGAGGGATGCGCCCACACAACGCAGGTTTGAGAGAGAAAAAGAACAAATGCACGACAGCAGCAGGCAGAGCTGGAGCTGTTGTGATTGTGTTGTGAAGTCGGTGCTTCGGTGAGAAGGTGAGGGGGTGTGGTGGGGGTGAAAAAAATCGAGGCCAAACGTAGGTAGCAGATACGTAAGGCCGGTCGGGACTTCCGCGCAAGACTCTCAAAACAGACGGGTTGGAGGGAGCGCGGGCTTCTTATAATTTTTGCCCAGGGTGCGCTTTGTCGCCTGAGGCAGCCACGCTAGCCGTGTGGCGGCGGGTCCCTTGGTCTTTGATGTTTTGGGAGGCACACTAGGGCAGTTTTGGACCAATAAGAGGCCGCGGGGCCCAGGGCTTTTTTATCTTTTTTCGAATCTGGGCCACACACTTCGTGTGCTCCTGCCCACCTCCTGCGCAAGCATGCACCTACCCCCAAGTACCGGTACACGCGAATTTGCCTTCCTTGCCCAACTAGCTCAGCCTAGTCCGCCTTCCTGGGCCTGTTGTACCTTTGCGCTGCAGCTGGAGACCCCCTCAAGCCAGATGACGACATTTTCGATCTGAAATTCCTTCTAGAGTAGATGATCGATTTTAAGAGCCCCTCCCCCAAAAAAATGGGAATGTCTACTCGGCTGTAGATAACGTTTTTTCGGACCGTAGTTAGCTAAAAGGTACATTAAAATCCCTACCAAGTCACTAGCCCAGCGAGACCTCTATTTTCCACGCGAAAAAATAATAGATTAATAGTCGACCTACTCATCTTCAGATGGTTAGTACAATGCAGCTTTAACTACGCCTAACTCCCGGAACCAGGCCATAACCCTAACGAACTACTGGTTAACTGCAAGACCCTGGCAACTGCCCTCTTGCAACTGACTGGCACGGGCAACCCCCTTGTAATTGACTGACTGCCCTAACTGCCCTGCTTGACTGCAAGACCCGGGCAACTGTCTTGCAATTGACAGGTTGGCTAACTAGCCCGGGCAACCTACTTACGTAGAGTTTGATTGCGTAGAGGCTGATTGCGTATAGGTTGACCGAATGGCTTGTAGGTGCAGGGAGACTTCATCCCTATATTCAGCTGTGTTCCTTCGTCCCAGAAATGCATGCTCTTTTTAGAGTAAAAAGTGCAGGCGCGGCCCAAGGGCCTATGTCCCTCGGTCCGAAAAGACGGTGCCTACGGTTCGAGTAGACATTCCCAAAAAATACTCTCGACAAATTACGCTTTTGCACCAGCTACCACTTACCCCATTTTCTTCGAAGTATTTATACCGTCATTTCTATCGCTCGTCTTCTGAACCTCCCGTCGTTTCTCACACCCTTGCCACTCAATCTCTGGGTCACATCCCGCTTCTATGGCGTCCGGGTCGATTGTATCACCAACGGTGAAGCATGGGGCTCATCGTTATTTGTGTCGGCGTATACCATACCCACTCAGCACTGCCAGATCAAGAAATCGAAGTTCCGACAATACGACTGACCAGCGTACAAAGTCTTTTCAAGGCAATTGATTACACCACCAGTGATAATCTTGTCGTCACTCGCAAGACCATTTTCCCCTTACAATATCTAATAGCATACTAATTAATCATCTAGATGTCTCTCCCGAGGACATGGCAGCAATTGAGCGCGAGCATCAGCAAAGGAGCCGGAGATTCCGATTCTGCTTCTACGATCGAAATTCACAGCTACTTGCTATCACGATCCCCACAGGTTTGCACGAGGCTCTTCATGTTAACCTTTACAATCTTTTTCGGGACCAACTTGTGCGAAGTGGTGACGAGGAAAGCTGGAAAAGTATGGCGGCTACCACTTTCTGGATGCCAGACCATAGCGGTAAGGCGACTCTTGCGGCGGTCCGATACCAGATTGCGAAGCAAGTGGTCGTTGGCCGTCATTAGTAATCGAGGTTGGCGTTACTGAGTCGTTGATTCAACTCCGGCATAATATCGCTGGTGGTTTTCAGCGTCAAATCATGAGGTCAAAATCGTTCTGCTCGCCAAATTCTTCCACCAGACACGCCATGTTATCATCGAAAGATGGGAGGAAGAGCCGCGAGTTCCTCCTGAAAGTCGGGCTACTATGTCTCAACCGATCCCACTTCCAGTTTGCCGAGAGACAATTGAGATCACGCAGAATACGACAACTAGTCCAGTATATTGGGATGTATCTAGGGAAGCATTGGTACTAAGATTCAGGATTCTTTTTTTACAGGATCCCAGACCACAGGAGGGGGATATTATTATCAGTGTTCAGAAACTACAACGGTATGCGGAGATCATCTGGGCGGAGATACTTTAGTTTGTACGGAGGCTCAGTGACCTGACAGCGGGCCTTTCAAGCGTTGATCATGGTCAAATTGGGCTCACCAGATGCTCAAAGATAGAGTCGTTCTCCTTTCTCGCTTGACGCGATCTGCGGAGGCGGAAAGGGGCAAAAGGAGAAAAGAAGGAGTGAGAAAATGGTGTAATGGAGCGGTCCGGTATCCTTTTGCCCCAGGAGCCCCTTGACACTGCATGCACCCGTGCCCCGTTGGTCAGGTTCCTTCTGTCGAGTGCCGCTCGGATGTAGCGGTACAAATAGCGAGAAATAGGTCCAGGGTGGCCCGTGTGGCTTCAAATGTCCCATCCCTGTCTCTGTGTTCCCGACCACCAGCCTCATTATGACTCACTCATTCTTTCGTCCTCTCCTCTTTTGTCGGCCCACCCCTTTTTGCGATCGCATTGATTTCCGACCCACGAGTAAAACACTGATTGTTTGTCTTTCTAGGCCGGAATGATAAGACACTGACTCTCATCGATTTCTTGTCGCTTTTGCGGGCGGGCGGAACTGAAATGAGGGAGGAGGCTTGCAGCCAGAGCCTTGGGTCGCGTCCGTCGGGCGGGCGTGGTAAAAAATTCCCCAGCTGTCTTAATTCAGTTCATTCCCTGCAGCCTTTCGCTTTCTACCACACACCCCCCCTTCCCAAGATTGCACACCCTATTCCACCGCAGGCTGGCGGAGCTTGGCTGGGCAACAGGGCTTCAGGCAGATCAGATGGTTGGCTGGCTGGCTTCTGCTTGTTGCCATTCTCCTCTCACATGCCCCTCCAACCCACCACCCAGAGCTTTGCATTGTTGAGATGCCGGAAGGCTGCATTGCTCTGCCGCGACTCATTGGGCGTGTTTTATCCTAGCGCTTAAAGCGATTGCTATCATGCCTTGTTTGATATACTCAGCGTGGGAAAAGGCAAGTAGTATAGGCAGGAGGTGTGCATTCCGATCTGGAGCAAAGGTATTTTGGGGGTGTGGAAGGAGAAATGGACCCTTCCCGTCTGTTCGCTGACACTCAGTACGCCTGTCGGCTGTAGCGTTGGCAACGAGCCGTGCTTTCACGTCGGCTGTGTCGCCCTTTTTACTTTTCTTTCCGCGGGATTGCGTCTTCGCACTTGTTTTCACACAGTACACTACGGAGTAAGGCAGGGTTCGACAAGGGTGTGCGGATAGAATGTTTAATTTCACCGGCACGTCTGTTCATTGGTTGGGCGCGCGCTGGAGGGCGTTTCCGTCTCGCGTCTCAATCGCGTTTCTGCTTTCAGTTGACTGCAATCTTGACCTGCCTAGCCTTCTTCGGTACTTAGTACCAAGGAAGCTAAAATGATAACCCGAATTTATAACCCTCTGGTTCGGCTCAGGCGAAAAGAGCTGTCCAAAGTGTCTTGCCGTCTTTTTCCTTTGGTCACACGACCTCTGCGCCGAGCAAGACTTCGACGCCTGACTGTGAGTCTTGCTGGACTTGTCACTTGTCAGAGACAGTTCAGCTATGGCTTGACTGAGTCCCAACATGCCGTGCGACCCAGAGCGATTTCCTCACCCAGCTTGAGTTCCCGAGCTTCAAGACATTCAAGTATCGTAAGTATACTACAGACAAGGACAACGACGATGAAGTTACTTGTTGCAGATGCTTTACGTACGCTCTACCCGGTTATCACTGGTGGGTTGATAGCGTCCTTGCCCCACGGATTTTACCGTGGTTAGACGTGGCGAGCATGCTGAAAGTATAACCTCTATTAACCACCACCAAGGACTCCCTAAGCCGCCTGTTTGTCGTATATCAAAGACCTTGGCTTCTAGATTTGAACCGCAATTCTGTTTATTCTTCTCGCTCATAATAATAACCCATGTAGACTCCTTTTCCAGCTTTCCAGGTGTGATTGTCATGCCACTTATCTCTTTCCTTCCCTTTTTCTTCTGGCTCAAACCAACACCCGCGAAGACGAACCAACTCATAGCCGAGCATATATGAGATCGCATCCGTAGGCACATATATAGCCTATCCAAAGGCTATCTTTTAATAAATCTCAAAGCAAGAGCGTTTGCCATTTGCTGTCTTGACAGTGGCCAAAAACAACGACACTCCACATGGCCCGGGCAGGATACCTTCTATGGCGACGTCAATAAACAAATTCTTGCAACTGCTCGCGACCCGCCCACCTCTCTTACCTGCCTTCCTTAGGTATGCAAACAGGCAAGGCGGTCGGTCAGTCGGTGTTGTTTTGCACGCACAGGAGCGAACTCAGGGCAGTAACGCGTAACCAGTACCAGATCGCTTTTTTAGTTTCCCCCTTTCCGCATACCAACTACATAAGTAGAGGCCTACCGTACCGTATAAAAGACCTATTGCTTCAGAGGTACACACAGATGCCGAGTTTATCTCTCTCTCTCTCTCTCTCTCTTTCAGTTCCTTTCTGTCGGACGTTCGAACAGCACAGAGTTTTGCGAAACAAACTTACAAGGTAAAGTATCAGCGGAGCAAACATGGCGAGAACACACACTCGGAATAGTAAGTGATGATTATAGTTTGCTTCTCAGCTTCAATATTCTTTTGAACAGAGATAAATAAAACCAACAGAAAAAAGAAAAATGTTACATTCCCGCCGCCTGCTTGAGCCAGTCAATCTACCAGTGCCATCCATGTATTTACGTATATGTGTATATATCAAGATAAAGCTCGCAGGCCAAGTAAGTGCCTGCCCAACATGATATGTAGCATTCTCTGATAGTTTTTATTTTCCTTTCATTTTGTTATTTTCTTTTTGGTGTGCTTTTCTTCGTACACGGTTTGTGTCATGTCATGTAGTATTTGGGGCCCTCGCCGCCCTGTGGCACCTGCCAGTTGATGTCCTGGTGGGGGGCCTTGATGTCGCACGTCTTGCAGTGGATGCAGCTGTATTAAGGGAGAGATTAGCATGGCGTACAAAGTGACAGACGTTATCCGGTCACATAGGGAGACACTGAATTTTTGGCATCAAAAAAAAGGGGGGGGTGCAACTCACTTCTGGGCATTGATCTGGAACCGCACGCCCTCGGGCTTGGAGGCGTCGTCGACGTACTCGTAGACGCCGGCGGGGCAGAAGCGGTTCTCAAGCCCCTTGAAGGTCGGGTACGTCTCGGCCGTGTGCTTGTCCCAGTCCCTGACCTGCAGGTGGACGGGCTGGTCCTCCTCGTGGTTGGTGCCCGTGCGCGAGACGCTGGTGAGGATGTCAAAGGTGAGCTTGCCGTCGGGCTTGGGGTACTCGATCTTCTTGCAGCTGTCGGCCGGCTTCGTGGCCGCATGGTCCGTCACCCTGTGCCGGAACGTCCAGGGCACGCGGCCCTTGAGCAGGAACGCCTCGAGGCCCGAGTACATGATGCCGCCCCAGATGCCGAGGGGCGTGTGGAACGACGGGCGCATGTTGCGCACCTCCTTCAGCTCCTTCCAGATGGACGACTTGCGCAGCGCGCCCTCGTAGTCGTACAGGAACACTGACGCCTCGTCGCTGCTGTCGGCCAGCGCCGTCCACGTGGCCTCGGCCGCGAGCATGCCAGACTTCATGGCGTTGTGGGTGCCCTTGACCTTGGGCACGTTGACGAAGCCGGCCGAGTCGCCGATCAGCGCGCCGCCGGGGAATGCGACCTTGGGGATGGACTGGAAGCCGCCCTCGACCAGCGCGCGCGCGCCGTACGAGATGCACTTGCCGCCCTCAAGAACGTTCTTGTAGAGGGGGTGCTGCTTGAGCTTCTGAAACTCGCCGTACGGCGACAGCCAGGGGTTCGAGTAGTCGAGCGCCACCACCTGGCCGATGCTGACCAGGTTGTCTCCAAAGTGGTACATCCAGGCGCCGCCATATGTGTCGGCGGGCAGGGGGTAGCCCATCGAGTGCACGATCTCGCCCTTCTTGAATTTCTCGGGCGGAACCTCCCACACCTCCTTGATGCCGAGGCCGTACGTCTGGGGCTGGCTGTCGCTCCGGAGGTCAAACTTCTTGATGACCTGCTTGGTCAAGCTGCCGTGGCAGCCCTCGCCGAACAGGGTGATCCTGGCGTGGAACTCCATGCCCCTCTCAAATGAGTCCTTTGGCTTCCCACTCCGCGCCATGCCCAGGTCGTTGGTGGCCACGCCCTTGACGCTGCCGTCGGGCCTGTACAGGACCTCGCTGGCGGCGAAGCCCGGGTAGACCTCGACCTCGAGCTCCTCGGCGCGCTCGCCCAGCCACTTTGTGAATTCGTTCAGGCTAACAATGTAGTTGCCGTGGTTGTGCATCTGCGGGGGCGTGGGCAGGGGGATGGCGAGCGTCTTGGTGAGGAAGCGCATCGAGTCGCCGCCGGCGGGGGTGGCGCCCTCGAAGCGAGCGGCATTGTCCTCGGCAAGCCAGTCGGGGAGCAGTTCCTCGACGGCGGTGGGCTGGATGACGGCGCCCGACAGGATGTGGGCGCCGATCTCGCCGGCCTTTTCGAGCAGCAGCACGCGGAAGTCGTCGTTGCCGGCGGCCTTGGCGAGCTGCTTGAGGCGGATGGCAGCGGCCAGGCCCGCGGGCCCGCCGCCCACGATGCACACATCTACCTCGTCGCTCTCGCGGTCGACGGTTTGCGGATCGAAGGACTCGTCGACGTCGGCGAGGAGGCGCGCGGGTGTGGTCGAGAGCGGCCGCCCGGGCGTGGGCGTGGGCTGCGAGAGGACGGGGGTGGATGATTGGCGGGCATTGGGCCGGCGGACGGCGGCCGTCGACAGACTTCTGAGCCCCTGTGTCTGTCGGCGGAGTCGCCGTGTGGTGGCGGTTGTGGTTGTGGTCGTGGTGCGCTGGGCCAAGGTGGCCTGGCGGCGGAGGCACGTGGCGAGGCGCACTGAGGGAGACATGGCCGACAGGTTGGTGGGGTTGCGTCCTGTGTCCTATACCCTGTATCCTGTATCCTATGCCAACATGACCTGGCTGTGGGAGGGTGAGCAGAGGCGGGAACATAGATTGGCGGGAGCCGAGAATTGGAACTGTGAATTGGAATTATTGGCGATAGAATTGGATTGGCGTTGTTCTCGCGCCAGCCGCAACTCGCAGGCGCCGGCTGTCCCAGCAGTAGCACCGAGTATCAAAGATTGTATGAGGCAAGCTCCGATTTCTGGCCGCCACAATGGAGATCCTCCCCATGACGTTTTCCGGCAACCCGCTGTTTCCAATGCCCAATGGGCGTGCTGGCATTTGACCCATCCCCGGCCTGTGCGAACTCGGCAATAGGTCGCAGCATAGATCTCGGCCCACTCCAGCGACCCCACTGGCCAGTGTCTGGGCCTGTGGCCAAGCAAGCTAAGGTGCACTGTCTTCTAGTTGCTTAGCCGAGGCAAGCCGAGAGGCAAGCCGAGAACCCCCCTTGTCGAGCTTCTGAAGATGCATTCATTCCTTTCGTCCATTTCATTGCCCACGCCACATTTGTGACTGTCAACAGAGAGATTCGCAGCTGTTGTCAACATGTTGCGTGGATTCTATACACAGTATGGCTTCGTTCAGGTGTGAGATTACATAAATATTACAACAAACAATAAACAAATACCCCCCTAGCTTTGACACAGTACGGATATCTTGCCTCGGTCACTGGCATACGTGTTTCCGAGCCCCCTTCCCGTCCGAATCAGAGCCCGTTCCTATTGCGGTGCGGGATGTGGTACTTTGCGTTCCGCGGATGGTTGCGGATGGTGGCCCAAAAGTCGTAGGCGCGGTCGTTCTCGCCCAGCTCCTGGGTCTCCTTGAGTCGCCTGCGCTTCTCGAGCTTGCGGCGCTTCTTGCTCTGCTTGCGCCACGCGGGCTCGACCTTGCTGACGTAGCGCAGGTAGCCCTTCCACGCGCGCTTGGCGAACCTGTACGTGAGCTTGAACATGCGCTGCACGCGCCAGCTGAAGGCCGCCGCCAGCGACGCCAGGATCAGGAACACCGACGTCGGCAGCGAGATGGCCCCAATGTCGCTCAGACTCGGCAGGTTGCCCTCCTCCTGCCACTCCGACGTGTTCATCCCGAACAGCCCCGTGAAGAAGGTCAGCGGCAGGAAGATGACGGTGAAGGTCGTGAAGATCATCACCGAGAGGTTCTGGCTCGACGCCAGCTCCGCCTGCAGCCGAGACCAGCGCACTTCGTCCACCTGTGCCTGCCGCTGGGCCATTTCAAGCATTTTCTCGTACTGGAACAAAGGTCAGGAACACTGCTGGTATGGTGTGGTTTGGTATGGTCAGTCGGTCGGTCGACGAGAGCCCCGGTACTTACATCCCTCCTCGTGGTCTCTATCCTCTTCAGCATCTCGTTGGTCTTCTCCTTGAACTCGTCCAGGTACTCGACAGCCTCGTCCAGGTATGCCTGGCCGTTTGTCGTGATGTTCCGCAGCTCCTCCCGCTCCGTAAACGTGGTCTTCATGGACTTGATCACCGAGTCTTGGGTGTCAAACAGCTTGTTGAGGATCGAAAGCTCGTCCTCCATGTCGCGCAGCTCGAGGAGGGCAGACGTGTTCTCCCTGTTCTCGTCCTCTGCCCTTTTCATCTCCCTCTGGTGCCGCCTCTTGATCGAGGCTGCGCTGTTTACGTCGGGGTCCAGGTCCGAGTCCGAGTCCGTGTCCGAAGCCGAGTCGCAGTCGCCCGCGTTGCTCGAGTCGTCGTCCAAGTCTGGGTTGAGAGTCTGCGTGCGGAATTGCTTCATGTTCAACGTCATCCGCTCGGACTTTTTTTATTTATTTATTCTGGGAGTTAGCAGCTGTGACCTAGACGAAGAACTGAGTCGTGAGGTTTATGGTCAGGCACTCACCAGCATCCCGATTGCTTCTTCAAAGATGCGGAACATCTCGAGGTCTGGGTGCGTGGACCGTTCGAGAAACACAATGACCGCGTGGAAGACAATCAGCGCGGCGAGGTCTAGCGCGTTGTCGGTTCTCCCCGTAAGATCGCCGTTTAGCTCGTTGTAGACGCTGTTCCGCAGATCTGCCTGCTGGAACAGCCGCCCCTCTCTCGCATTCGACTCTCGCTTGGGGAAGTAGGTTGTCAGTGTGGCTACCGCAGAGTCAGCATTAACAATTTGGTTATCGCGTCGCCGGGCATCGCCGGGCATCGCCAGCTTACTGGTGTCTATGGCCCAAAGCCAGAGCTGGTCGACCATGAGCAGATTGCCAGGCTTCAAGTCGGCCTCCATCTCAAGCTCTACATCCTTTTCCGGGTCTGCGGGGCTGTCCCGGCCAGAACTGTGCTCCCGCTTCAAAGAAGACGAGCTCACACGCAGCGACCGACCGGCGTCGCGGCGAGCGGCATCGCGGCGAGCCCGGTTAGTCGTCCCTGCCAGCGGCTTCCTCCCGAGCTTCTTGGTGAGCTTGTAGAGCATCTGGTCGTCGTCGCGGCTGTGCGTGTCCTGGAGCGAGTGGTGGCCAAACTGGTCCAGCGTGCGTCGCGGGTTGAGCGGCGGGTCGAAGCCGACGTACTCCCAGATAACCTGTGACTCCAGCGACCGCTTCGACACGTCCTCGGGGACCGGGTTCGCCCGGCCGTGGTCCCGGCGCCGCTGGATCAGGCTGCGGCGCCGGATGACGCTCGAGTACGTGTCGAAGTGCAGGTACGGGAAGTAGAGGTAGAGATAGCTCGGCCTGGGACTAGAACTCGCCAGTGGGTTGAACGGAGATGGGATCCGGGGCGACAGTATCGACTCGGGCGGCAGATAGTTGCAAATGGGTTTCATAAAGGCCGGCTGCGACTCGGAATGCCGGTTCTGGATGGTTTTGGCCTCCCAGTGGTCGTACTCGAAGAGAACTGAATAGTTGCCCGCGACCGTGTCGCGAAGCTTTTCAAACAAGGTCTTGACCCATACTGGATTGTTGAAGGGTAGATGGATCCAAATGAATTTCCTCAGCGCGGGGTCGGGTCGAGAGAAGCCAGCTACGAGCTCGTCTTGCATGGCCGACGCCTTCATCAGCAGCCCTGCCCGCTGTCTAGACAGGGCATCAAAATGTATCGATTGTTCGGCGGGGAAAGTGGCAGAGTCAAGGGCACTGAGCTGGATTGCTGGCTCCGACGCTGTGCTGACACTTGCGCGGCTGTCGATGCTAGGAGGCCGTGTTGGCATGTTTGGAACGCTCAAGCTGTGTCCTGCCAGACCTTCTGATAGGGTGCCACTGTCCGAAAGGGGCTGTATAGGTGGCCGAGCCGGTGTATCCGTAACGACGATGCCTGGTGACGCCGTCATGGCTTTAGAAGATAATGGGTTGGCTGTGCTACCACTAGGACTCTGCTCGTCAACCCCAAGGCCAGAGACGCCGCTGGATTCTTGTGCTCTTCTGCCGAGGTTTTCCAGCATGTCGTGCCCATGGTACTGGTGGCTGTCGTGTCGCCTAGGAATCTTGTGCATCCTCTCCCCTAAGCAGGCTTCGGGACCTTTTTCGAGAAACTCAGTCAGAGAATTCTTGCTGGAATACAAGCGAGTCGTTGCCGAGTCCACGTCCCCAGCTGTGTCTGGATAGAAACCGATGACTTCGACATGGACGTGGTTCTCCAGGTGCAGTGGAGTGTGAGCATACTTGGTGCTGAGGTCTTGTGCCTTGGCGATTGCGGCCGTTAGATCTGCGAGGTACGTTGTCATGGTGTTGATGTTGTCGGGCCCAAAGGAAGCAAGATGAGCGTGGTTGCTGTCGACCGAGAATATGTCTTCCTGCCATATGTCAAGCAAGGCAGATTTTATCGACACCAACGGGGCCTCAAACTGGACCTCGCTGACGAGCCCAGCACCTGTGCCAGAGAGTTGCGAGTCTTGGGTCTCGTAAAGCGACCAAAGACGGAACTCGCTTGCAATGTCGACAAATTGCTCATGGAGTCTCGAAAGTCCCGGATGGTTGAGACTCAACTCGTCGGCCAGAGACCTAGGGAGAGGCCGTTGCAGGTGAAGCAACTGCCGGATACTCCTCTTGAGACTCTTCATCGACATGTAACTTGAGCCGCGGTGCGGAGTTCCTGAACATGTTGAGCGCAAGGAGCACCCTGAAATGTACAAGGGACGACTCACCGAAAAAGCTCACGCCATGGCAGCTGGACGTTATCTGGCCGAATAGGGGCGTCTTGCTTGCCAGAAGTAGAGCAAGCTTTACTACCAAGCCGCCAATGCTGTGGCCAATAAAGAACAGGGGCCGTGGCGAATGCTGTGTGACCGCTTAAATCAGCAAACTAGGTAGCCAGCCGCACACTGTCGACGGGCAGGCACAGGTCGAGGCTTACGTTTCCCTGGCGAACTTGCTTCACCTTGTCTAGCAGGTCTCTGGCTAGGTCCTCCAGCCGCATTTCATCAGCCAAGGCCCGGTGCCTGTACAGCAAGACCCTCGCCGTGTTGACTTTGCTGCGGATGTCTTGCCTGACCCAGACGTGGCCAGCCCGAGGGAGATTGCGGTCGATGACGGGGCTGAGGATGACATTGCCGGCCAGTTTCGCCACGGTAGGGAGCCTCTGCAGCTCGTTCTGGGGCTCGAGACCAAAGTAGTGGTCGGGAAGAGGCGCCGAGGTCCAGGTCTTGACAGGATCCGCACCGGGACATGGAACGGCGATGATGTCGACGTACGTGTCGTTGTGTCCGTTCCCGGCCCCGGGGAGATCGCCGTCGATGACCGCGAAGCCGGGCTCGAGATCCGACTCGGGAATCGAGCTGGCAGTCAAGCCCGACTCTCGAGTCATGCGCATGCCGAGCTCGTTGCCTTTGTCTCCCTCTGAGATATGCTCCCCTGCAGCTTCTCTCGCCGCATCACGCCTCTGTGACGCGTTCTGGTCGGCGTCGACGCCGACAACCTCGCCCTCATCCTGGATTTTCACTACTGGATCCATCTCAGCCTTGTCGCCAAGACCATCTCGGCCATTGTCCATGCCCTAGCCAAGGCAGCCCAACGGCCACTCAACGACAACTCAGGCTGATGTGCACAACGAATAAATGACAGCGCGGGCAGGGGGTGAAGATGCAGGCGCTAAGAGAAAGGGAGGAAAAATAACAACACTGATGCTCATAAAAGAGGTAGTTAAGATATGTAACGCACGCAGCACCAGCATATCTCACGGCTTCTCACGGCTTCAAAAGAGACGAGGACAGGCGAGCCACAGCGCCCAAGCACGAATTATGGAGACAGGGCTGTAGAAATAACCAGGCAGGACGGGCTATGAAGCATCATGCCAAGATGCCGCCAATTCGACTACCTTCCCCTTCTGATGCATTCTTGGCTTCTAATACGGGTCTTACGGCACGCGACATGCGATCCAACACCCAAGCTCAAGTCCAGTTCTCGTCTGCTGCCTCGTCGCAAGGCTCCAACCTAAGACGGCACCCAACGTCGCGTTTCCCACCCCTCTCTACCCTAGTTCTTAAGAGCCCAAAAGAAAGCTGCCAGGGTGGGAAGAGGCCTAATAAACCAGAGGGGGGTTCTTCGTCGCCATTGGCTCCTGCCTCGTTATTGGGTGTATTCCGCATTGGGCGACTCTGGGGAGTGGTCGGTCGGGCTCTATCTGTAACCCGGAACGGAGCCGATGCAGGGTGCGGCTGCTGCTGCTTTGATTCCAGTGCGGGATGTTGCATCCAAGCTCAGAGACAATATTAGGTTTGTTTACCTGCTGCTAGATGCGCATACCTTACTAAAATTCTGTATCCGTAGCAAGCTCTCGTTAATTGATGCAGATGCGGAATTACGGAACTGTCTATTATGAGTTTACCTTAATATTACCGTCTAGAGCCTTGGTTGAGTTGAGGACCGGATCAGTGCATCCAGTCCAGAAGTGGATCCCTGAATGATCGACCGTCGGCGCGATAAAGTAAGGATAAAAGTCAAATAAAATCAGCTAGCAAGACAGGAATTTCTAGGACGGAGATGGATACGTTGGCCTCGGTGGTTTTAATACTGAGACACCAAGAGCAGCCGCCTCCCTAAGCGCAAGGCAATGAGGCGTTCTGCATCTTGAAAGGACCCCCGCTAACGAACATTCAGGGATTGGACGGCATGGGCTTCGTGTATGGATATTTCTGCACTAGATGGTGTGCAAGCCTCTCCAGATAGGTGCCTTAGAGTAGCGTAAGGTATCCGTACTTAGCTTGCGCCAAGATTGTTTGAGGAAGGTATGTAGCCAGCCACTGAGCCGCGAGTAAATGATATCGGATGCAATCCGAAATCGAGAAACGGCAAGACCTGGTATCGAGAGGTACTGTAATGGCTATTAAAATTTACACTGTGCCGTAAGGAACACAAAGGAAGCACCGAAGGACAAAGTTAGGCACCATTACGGAATACATGTTCCCTATACGCTAGTGCCTCAGAGCACGGAACCCCACCTGGATGCAATCGTGGCTTCAATCGTGCCCTAATTTCCAGGCAGCAATACCCCCCAGCGTCAGGCACGGGAACACAACTTCTGGCTTCAGCACGGGCCTCTCCCGTCCTGCCCAGCCAAGCTCAAGCGACCCATTTCTTCCGTCAACCTCACACGTCGAAAAAAGCAACCTCCACCACGCAGCAGCCCTGACGTCCAATCCATCAACTCTTCGTGACCTATCCCTACTTCTGTCGCGTACGGATCGCCCGCCGACGTCTGCCGTCTTTGTACCGACCGCCCCGACAAACTCGAGCTGCCCGCTCCAGCTTCAGCTTCGCGCCTCACGACGATCTAGAGAGGAAGGGAAGTGGCTCTGTCTCGTAGGGGATAGCAGCGTCAGCTTTCCTCGCCCTCCTCCCACCACCTGGTAATCCATGGTCTCTCAACCCAGATCGGGTTCTTTCTCGCCAAACCCAGCCGCCCACCCCATACACACCGGCCTCGCCCACTCGCCGCACCCCTCCCACCACGGTGCGCTGAGCGCGGCTGCCAGCCCCAGTACCAGCAGCCCCACTGGGTCGAGCTCCCTCACCAAGATTGCTGTCGCCCAGGTCTACTTGCTCCTCAGCACCATCAAGGAGGACAAGGACGACCCTCACAAGTGGGACGTACAAGCCGAATCCCTCAGAAAGGTACGTAAATATTATTTTCCCGACCGCGCGCCCGCTGCAATCGTCGCCCCTCGCCTGCTCTGCTCTGCTCTGCTCCCGCCATAAAAAGAAAACAATCCAGTGTCCCCCCCCTCACCTCGTGCCCTCGTTACTTACGTTGCGTAACCCCCTCCTCGTACACCCCCTCCACTCCACCGGAAAATGTCTCCCGAGCTAACATTACCTCTCCCGCCAGCTTATCGATGAACACGGCATGGATGTGTTTTCAAGATACTTTACGCGACTGGTGGTCGCAAATGCCTCGCAGATATTCCCGAGCCCTAACAGGCCGGTAGCAAATCCCGGCAACTACCACCTGCTCATCGCCGAGATGCGGAAGCTGCTCCTGGAGTTCTCCCAGTCCCGAATGGTAGCTGAGTCGATCGAGACTGGTACAGAAGACATCTTCCGCGATTTTGACCTGTCTACTTTCATGGAGCATTTCAAGCTGGATGCCCTCGAGAAGACGGTGCTGGCACTTGCCTTCAAGCTTGGGCCAAGGTCGGAACTCAAGACAAAAGGCGAGTCGAAACTCCCAGCATGATTGGCCAGCCCCCTCCTTCTCGCCATTGCCCTGGCCCTTGCCATCGTCCTCGTCCCTCCTCTTGCTGACTCTGCTTTGCATAGCCGATGCTATCTTGTCAACCAACTTCTCCTCCTTTCTGAACCTACTCAGCCAACCTGCTGGGGATCATTCCGATCTTCCAAACGACTTCATCGCTGAGCTGCTCGACCGCTTTATCCAGGCCCATCCTCCGAACTTTAATGCCGTCGCAAAACGGGAGCTGGAGCACAGAGTTCAGAGCCGATATTCGCAGTCGCAAGGAGGCAAACCGCCCCCCTCGGAAGTGCTAGCAGCTCTCGACCTGGTGCGCCTGCTTGCAGACAAGCCACCCAATGCTCTAGCGCTTTACATGCACCGGAGCGGCCCCGAATTTACTGCCAACGAAGAGACGTGCTTGGCTTACCTTCAGAACAGGCCAGCCCCCATCCAGTTGAACGAGGAACAAGTCTCGATTGCGTTGATGTACGCAACCATCAGCCAGACTCCACGGCATAACCCCTCTGCGCTCGTTGCAGCTTTGATGCGTATACTTCCCAGTGGCTTCAGGTGGCAAGACGTGGTTTCCTATTTCGATCACGGCGGGGCCCGCATCACTTCGGCACAGTTCTTGCGGCTGTACAACGCCCTCTTACAAGTGGCGCGGGCCGACAGCGAGCATTTGAACATCCAGCGCTTGTGGGGTGGAGAGTGGGAGAACCCCGAAACCCAACTCTCGTTCATCTGCGCGTTCGCATCCCTAAAACCAGAGCAGCTGGACGCGACTACGATCCCTGGTCTAAAGCCCACCTTCACAGTCGCCGAGTATGCGCAGTCGCACGCCTCGATCCAAGAGAAGGCCGCCCACGCCGTCAAGCATCCCTTGGTTTCGGAAGCAGCTCTCTCGGCCGTATTTAACGTGGCCCTTCACTCGTCGCATGCCTCCACGAGTATCGAAGCCGAGCGCCTCTTCCAAGATGTCGTAGTACCGAATCTCCCCATCTTTGTCGTCTCGGCTTTTGGAGTCCCGAAACCCTGGCCCGAGATGGCAGAAGAGACGCTCTCGACCCTCTTTGATGGGTTTCTCGCCCGATCAGAGGATTCCGACTTTGTCATGGATAGTCTGTGGAGGAGGGATAAAGAGTGGGTGAAACAGCGTTTGATCGATGCGCACGCCCTGAAGCCCATCACTCTGCCGCTTATATTTGACCACGCGATGCGGCAAAACTGGCTCGACGAGCTTGTCTATCTTCCTAACGGGTTCGGTCTCGATCTTGCCGCCCTTGCACATGCTGAAGGCTATCTCGACCTCCAGCAGTGGGCACGGCGAAATGCCGAACGCGGCACGGAAATTGCCAGGGCACTGCTCCGTTTCCTCGTGATCAAGGGCACTCAAGAGATGGAATTCCAGCGGCCTCCGGAGGGTCAATCACCTGTCAAGACCAGCACAACCCTGCACGTCACAACTGTTTTGGCGCTCCTTCAGATTTTGGAAGAATTTCTACCCAAGACGCCAGTTCCAGAGTTGATCATGGTCCAACGGCAATGCATTACTTCATATCCAAGGCTGATCAATTATGGAGAAGGCTTTGACGACATTATTCTTGCGAATGCACGGAATGGCAACGCGCTGCCTCCGGCTGCCAATGCCAAAATGGAGGAGCACTACAAGAAGATGTACGGCGACGAGATGCAAGTCCGAAATGTGGTTGAAGTACTGGAGCAGTACAAGCACTCACGGGATCCGCTGGAGCAAGATGTTTTTGCTTGCATGATTCATGGTTTGTTCGAGGAGTACGTCCACTATGTCGATTACCCTCTCGAGGCTTTGGCCACCACCGCTGTGCTCTTTGGTGGCATCATCTCGCACAAACTAGTATCGGATCTGCCCCTGCAGATTGGGCTGGGCATGATTCTTGAGGCGGTCCGGGACCACAACCCAGAGGAGTCGATGTACAAGTTTGGGTTGCAGGCTCTTATTCAGCTCTTTGGTCGCCTGCGCGAGTGGCCGGGGTTTTGCAAACAGCTCCTCCAGATACCCGGCCTCCAAGGAACCGAGGCTTGGAAGACTGCAGAGGAGGTGGTTCGAGAGCATGAGGAGTCGCTACTACGCTCACGTAATGGAGGCAACGGCACACATTCGGTTTTGATCAGCAACGACAAGCTATCCAACGGCAACTTGGACGAGGCTCTTGCGCTAGAGCAACACCCGCCTCCCTTTGCCTCGATCAACGTCGACCCGCCACCTCCAGGTGTCATGTTCGAAAACCCCAGCAGCGATGCACAGGGGAAAATCCAGTTCGTTCTGAACAATCTCACGGATACCACGCTGCAGTCGATGTTTAAGGAGCTCCGCGAGATGCTGGAGTCCAAGCACCAGCAGTGGTTCGCCAGTCACCTAGTCGAAGAACGGGCCAAGATGCAACCCAACTACCACCACGTATACCTCGACCTTGTCAAGCAGTTTGAGGACCGGGCCTTATGGGGCAAGGTACTGAGAGAGACATACGTCAGCGTCTCGCGAATGCTGAACTCGGAACTGACCCTACAAAACACAACCGAGAGGACCCACCTCAAGAACCTCGGCGGCTGGTTGGGACTTCTGACCCTAGCCAGGGACAAACCTATCAAGCAGAAGAATGTCGCCTTCAAGCAGCTGTTGATCGAAGCCCATGACACCAAACGCCTTATTGTGGTCATCCCATTTGTCTGCAAGGTTTTGATCCAGGGAGCTTCGTCCAATATCTTTAGGCCTCCAAACCCATGGCTAATGGAGATCATTCATCTCTTGATTGAACTCTACCACAATGCCGAGCTAAAGCTGAATCTTAAATTTGAGATTGAAGTTCTCTGCAAGGGCCTCAGTCTCGATCATAAGAACATCGAGCCTTCTGGGGAAATCCTCAACAGGGTTCCTATCGAGGAAGTCGCGGATAGCATCGGGCAGGAATCACTTGACGCGTTCGAGAACCTGCCCTTGAATAGAATGCCTAGCGCCGCAAACACTCTTATTACCCACACACTCCCATCGATCCCCGACCTCGGCCCCGGCCTGACTGTTCCGGCAACAGAGGTCGTCAGCCCAGTCAAGCTACGCGAGATCATCCTCGGTTCGCTCACAGCAGCCCTGGAGGACATTATACAGCCTGTTGTAGATCGGTCGGTCACAATCGCTGCCATTTCAACTCAGCAGATGATTCATAAGGATTTTGCTACGGAGCCCGACGAGAACCGCGTTCGAAATGCGGCGATCAACATGGTGAAGTCGACCGCCGGCAACTTGGCACTCGTCACTTCCAAGGAACCGCTCAGGGCCAACTTCACCAACCATCTGCGGAACTTTTCGAGCGACCTGCCACAGGGATTGCCCGAAGGCATTATCATGCTTTGCGTTAATTCCAATCTTGATCTAGCTTCGGACGTAATTGAGAAATCTGCCCAGGAGCGCGCCGTGCCCGAAATTGAGGAGATGATTGAAAACGAGATGGAGGCCAGGCGCCGCCACCGGCTTCAGCGACCCAATGATCCATTTATCGACCCAACCCTGAGTCGTTGGGCCATGACCATACCTCACCCATTCAAGCTGAATCCGAACATCAACGGCCTGAATGCCGAGCAGATGGCCATCTATGACGATTTTGCCCGGCAACCGAGGGTGACAGCCGCTCCGGCTTTAATCTCGCACATCCCGTCAAGTTCGGATGTGAGATCTCTTGCAAACGAGGTCCTTGGGGACCAGTATAACTCCGTCTCCAGCCTCCCGACCCCCGCCGAGACGCCCGCGATGCCCCATTTGAGCGTACAGCTTCAGCACTACCCCCAAGCCAATAGCGGAGCCGCGGCAAATGGACGGCAGACCAGCCTGAACCAGGTAGACGCTAGGAATGTCGTCGAGAGAGTCGCTAAGCTCCTCGAACAGCTCGCCGCTGCGGCCACAGGTTGCCAAGAAGAACACTTCGCCGATCTTCCTCGGTCGCATGCTGTGTTGGATATCATAGATGCTTTGGTTCAGCTCATCATCAAAACCCAGCAGACATCTGAGGATTTTGCCTCGTATGCCGCAACCCAGATTTCTCAGCTGCTATTTCGACAGCCCGAAGACAGTCTCTCGCTGGAGTGTCTTGTCCATGTTCTAGAGACGCTCAGGAAAATCGCCGGACCTGCGACGAGCCAGCAGATTCGCACCGTGTTTCACCAGCATCCAGGACAACTATTCCTCAATCTGCCCCTGATTGCCGCGCTCCTCGGAACCGACCTGCTTGACTGGAGAAGCATCGATGCTGCGATGGCTAAGGCTCTCCAGCAACGGAAAGATGGGTCTGTCGAGTTTCTGGAGCAGCTGATGGATATCACTCTGCTGAGCGAGAGCCCGCTTGCACTCTACGCCGACTTTGTGCAGAGCCTGGAGGCGGCTTGGGATTGGATCACAGAGGAGCCGGATGTCCCTGCTGGTCAACGCTTCAAGGCGAAAATCCTCGCGCCCCCACCCGACCTGCCCGCACACTTGACCCAAGAGGAAGTCACGGCAATCCAACAGGATCAGATGGACTACGTCTTTGACGAATGGGTCCAGCTATGCAACAACCCGCAGGCTTCGGGCCAGGCTGCCAAGATTTTTGTGCAACAGTTGGGCTCCCGGCGCGTGGTGAACAGCAAGGACGACTTGTTCATCTTCGCCCGCCAAGCACTCGACAAGTCGGTTGACCGCTATGAGCAGGTTGTCCATTCGGGCGGGAGCTTTACCGAAGGCTATCAGTCAGTCGATGCTCTAGTTAAGATGCTTGTCATCTTTCTGAAGTCCCTGCCTGATGGCACCGATGGGCGCTCGTCGCGTGCTGCTTTTGTCGACTCCACTCTTGCGCTCGGAATTCTGGTCCTGAATAGCCATCACGTCAAGCGAGGAGAACTCTTCAACCAGCGGGTCTTTTTCAGATTCTTCTCAATCCTGCTTCATGAGGTTGGCGCCATTTTAGACCAGGTTCCTGACGTTGATCACGACCGTATCTTCTTAAAGTTTGCGGCGCGCCTCAGTGACCTCAGGCCAAGCCTTTACCCGGGCTTCGTCTTTGGATGGACGGCCCTCCTATCCCATCGGGTTTTCTTGCCTGAAATTCTGCAGTTGCCTCAAGATGCCGGCTGGGCGCCGTTTACAAAGCTTCTCGCGCAGCTCCTCTCGTATCTAGGCGATATGCTCAAGCCCCTTGAAGTGTCGGCTCTAGCTAAGGATATCTACCAAGCCGCCCTCAAGCTGCTTGTAATCTTGCAGCATGACTTTCCCGAGTACCTGGCTGCGAACCATCTTGAGCTTTGCCAGAGCCTTCCGCCGCATGCCACTCAGCTCATCAACATGATCCTCGTCGCGAGCCCAGCGTCGGCCGCCAAGTCGGCCGACCCTTTTCAGCCCGGCCTCAAGGTTGATAGAATCCCCAATGTGAGGGAAGCGCCTCTCAACTCTTACGACTTTGTTGGACTCCTTCGCCAGATTGGGCTGTATGACATTCTGGAACAGACGCTGCAGAACGGCCCGGCCGAGGATGCTATTGCTCAAATAAGTCATGCGATCAACAGGACTGAGGGCGATGATTCAACCTTTGGCTATGTCCCGATCAACGTCAATCGCCATGTTATTGACGCAGTTGTTGCCTATATTGGCGCCTCTGCCGTTAACCGTGCGACGTCCAAGAGCGACCCCACTGTCTTCGTTCCGGGCGCCTCAGAGATCAGAACCTTGTACATGCTTGTGACGGAGCTCTCGCCTGAAGCGAGATATTACCTCATCAGCAGCATGGTGAACGAGCTACGGTTTCCGAACGCGTCTACCCACTACTTCAGCCAGGCCATTCTGGACATCTTCGGGCACGACATGTCGGACCCCGAGGAGACCGATATCCGGCAGCAGATTGTTCGGGTTCTCCTCGAGAGGCTCGTTGGGTTCTGGCCCCAGCCATGGGGACTCATGATTACTGTGCTCGAACTGATCAAGAACGACAAATATATCTTCTTTGACCTGCCGTTCATCAAGGCAGCCCCCGATGTACGTCTGACCATTTGAAGATGAAGTTCCCAAAACTAATTGTTGCAATAGGTCGCAGAACACTTCGCGGCTGTCTTGACCTCTAGTGTCTAAGTGGTGCACCAGAGAGTGTATCACGACCAGGTCGTTGATCAAAAACAAGCTAGAGCTCCGTCCAGGGCACCGCCTCCGCTGTTTGCAGACGGATCTAGACACCTTTATTTTTCTGCGTCAAACCATTCGCAACCTCGCAAAACTCACACAGTTCCTTGTATGGCTGTAGCATTCGGATGGGACAGGGCCTGGGCGGCACACGGCTACCCCGGAAACAACATATTAATAGCCATGGCAGGTGGGATGGATTTACATCAAGCGTTGCATGCCTTCTACGAGATGGGTTTTTTCTTTTTGGACGGTTAGATGACATACCACGGAATGGCGTTTGGCAGTATAGAGACACTGCTTTTTAAGGCTGCTCAGGGGCATGGGGGAAAGCCTCGAGCGGGAGGTCTTGGCCTGAAAACAGGTGTGGATAAGCTGACAAGGAGGTCAGTGGTGTGCTCAAACCGAGCATGTAGTTTATGTAGTATAATATAAGGAACCGTGCTTGTTCTTGTTTACGGTTCTTTCCTTCGGTTAGTTCGTTGCTTTTCTGAGTTCGGTTTAGAAATGAATTTGTCTGGTTGTCCATGAAACGCTGCCAGTTTCTAGTGTTCCCTATGTACTGTACGATACCAAGGTCAAGGGGGTAGCAAATACCGTGTCTCTGGATACGACGACAAAACGCTTACCAGGATGGGCGATTTTAGAGGCACTGAAAATCTCTGCTGGGTCTGTGGCCCATGTGTGTACAATCTAGTCCCCGAATGGCCTCAATGCCTTACTCCTCGCCCTGAAGACGCTCTGCCGAGGGAGGTATATTTTAGAATCTTGGAGGCTTATCCACCTATTACAAACATGTACTAACCTCGGCTCATTTGTTACTTTCTTTTCCTTAGGAAGTACCACGCCAATATATTTTCAGGAATTGGGTTGTATGAACTCAATGAGCACATCCTTCTTTGTATCATGACTATAGGTTTGCCGAGTGCTTTTATTGCCTACCCGTATCTACCCAGGTATATAATTTGTTTCGTCTGCTCAAGGAGGCTCTGCTCGAGGAGAGACTTCCATAAATAGATCTAGTACCAAAGTGAATTGGCTTATTATACCTGTGGGAACTACCAGTCAACGGGATGCACAGCCTCAGTGGCTGACCAGCACACGGGCCGCTATGCGGTACGTGTCCGAGGCGCAACCATCACGTAGCCTCCGGGCATCGCCAAATCCAATGCGCACCCTGTTACCGTAGTTCGTGATACTTTTACATAGAGCAGACCAGAATACAACCACCCCATTCGCATCGGTTACTACAGTGACTATGGAACGAATGACCTTGTCATTCCAATAATACCCATCACCGCGCACAGACTTAAATGAACACAGTTAAACCTACCTAGAGGTATATATAACAACCCTGAGACAGAAACAAAGTGGTAAGTCACTGAGAGGTATGGAACCTTCAGTCTGTTGAGTTTCTTCTTGACTACCTTGGGTATGGATACAGTGTCGGTAAACTCGCGGCACTCGGTTCTCACGAGCTGCCGAAATAGTAACTGGCAGTGGGACTATCTATGCTTCACATGCTGCTGCACTCCGTACCAAGTACGTGTACATAAGATTACTTTCGTTCAACAGAGGGCATATTGTATAAATCACGTAAATAACTGGAAGAGGGCGAGCGAGATAACCTTAACTCCCACAAGATGACATCAACGCTAATGACTGCCCCCGCATGACGTTGTCGATGAGTGATATGATGATCCAGGGGAGCTTTGCCACTTTGGCGATCCCTCTAACAGAGAGTCTAGAATAAGTGGAATGAAAGGTCGACAATTAGATCATAATTCGGCTGGCAATATTCCGTATTTTCGACAAAATGGGCGTGTTTGCGACCAGCGACACAAAGGCGGTGACAAGGCGGTGAGCCAAACTTGGCGCGCGTGTGACGGAGCATTTTTTTGAAGGGGCAAACGTGAACAAGGGAAGGGGGCCGGGTGTGGAATCCGGGGGAAGTTCCAGAAGCAAAAGAAAAAGCCTATTGGACAAGGCGGCGCCCTCATGCAGCAGCTGGCTCCCAACGGGCAACACACCCCTCGCACAACACACGCACGGGCTGGTTGGGGCGGAGCTCATCCATCCAGCCACCAACCACCAAGGTTTCCTAAAAGAGCCAGCAGGAAGGAGCGCAAACGCGCAGGGAAGGGGCGATCATTCGCGGGGAGGGAAAAGGCGCCGCACGTCGCACGTCACCCAACCCCAACTGAGCAACCACCCAAATCTCGATGCGATGTGGTGCGGTGCGGTGCGGTGCAGGCTCCAACGATAAAAAGGCTATCGTAGATTGGAGCAGATGACGGGGAGGGGAGAACATATAGTTGGCACTATATATAAATATATATTGAATGGCTCAGAGTGAGTCTTACACACCACATCAAACTCTCCCAAACTATAGTCGCCAGCCTTGTATTAATATTTTTTTTTCGCTAGCCTCCCTTCTTTCGGGGGGGTCTGACGTGGTCAATTATGTAAATCATAGTTCATAGTGGAAAGGGAGGTGCGTGAGACTTTTTTGTCCTTAGCCTGTCTCTAAATGCAAGGGGGCGGGTGAGGTGGTAGGAGGTTGAGTGAGGGGGAGGGAAGGACGGCTCGAAGAGGGAAAAATCGACGTCCAAGCGGCTGTCTCGCCAGAAGTTCAGGACCAGCCCGAAAGAAGGCATTCGGCTGCCCAAAACGTCAGCCGCCATTGGCCACCTCAAATTCCGGGACCCCACTCCTCGTGTGAGTGTAAGCACTTAAGCACCCACTGCGGGGGAGCGAGAAGAAAAAAAAGAAGTGAACCAAACTTGGAGTCAAATCGGCCATGGCAACGAACGGGCGCGCTGCACTGGGGTACATCCGCGCGTGTTGTGTCTCTGGTCGACCAGGCACCCTCCTTCACTCATGTCATTGCCTCGGTGCGGCGATTTAGGGTCGACTACCAGAAACGGGTTTGCCTCCTGGGGTCATCCCAACGAGGGTTATGGACACTGCGGCTGTCTCGGTCAACTAGTGTAAAAATAGAGACACGAGAAGGAAAGAAGAAGAAAAAGTATGTAATAGAAAGAGGACAGGAAATTTTGTGACAAGATGTACCAAAAGAGGGACCATTGACAATTTGCACGATTTGGGGTAAGCCATGTGCTTGCTGTACATCCAGGCTGGAGGTCGGATCTTGCGCACCTCCAGTAACTCCGTGCCGAAAGTCTTTTATTTGCTGCATTCCTGTGAAACACAAGCAAGCAGCCTCTCAGGTGCTGCGCAACAGAGAGAGGGAGGCTGGCTTGAACTGACTTATTACAACCGAGCTTGCCTTGCAACAAAAAAGCAAGCCCATCGGGAATACACTCGGCACAAACCTCAGCCGATACTTATGATACATGCTTTTTTGTTTGCCTTGAGCGCCATGCCCCTGAAAAAAAGAAAAGAAAAAAGGGAGAAAAAAAGTCGGATGATGAACGATGGATGATACCTATCGGGAAATCTTGAGGACTGAACCGTCTTTGGGCGCGCGCGCGCTCACTCACACACTACACGCGTCTCGCAACAGGTAGCTGACTGGCCCATTCTTCGGATTCGTAGGAGATAAAAAGACGCTGCCGACGCAATGGTATCCATCTAGCGCTCCTAGAAGTGGATGTTTCTGATGTCACTCATTAGCAGCTTTGGTCGGCCGAGGCCATGACCCGTAATGACGGAGTTCGTGATCCTCCTTTTTTTTGGTCTCATGAAATGAAGAATAAGGTTCGGCGGCAAGTCTGTAAATATCAGGTACAAACCTAATAACTCGAAGTTTTATAAGTCGTGGTTCAAGATCGCTTGTTTCATTTTTTGCCCACTGTCAAACGATGGGCCCCCTTTTTGATGGCGGTTGCCGCGATGGACGACTTCTAGACATGTGTATTCCTATTCCTTGCATGGACCAGGCTAGTCGCAACTCGGAAGTCCTCTCGCAAGTCGCAACTGCCTTCGCGATCCAACTTTTTGTGCCATCGGTAATTGAATGTGGGAACCTGCATGCGGGTTGCTTTCGCCCAGCTGCGCTCTCGTTGGAGCCTCTATCTCCCTCTTGCAGGCTCTCGCAGGTTTCTGTGCATGACTGACTGCCTTTTGCGCCGCTCACTGCCTGGTGGGTGCTTCGTGAGTGGGTGGGCAAAACCGCTCCACAGGTGGGATGGACCCATACCGCCTTTTGGACGGCTCGCCTTGACCATCCCTGTCACTACGTCCCGGTCCTGGCTTGCTCAAGGTACCCACACTCCTCCCCCCTGTCTCACTCTGGGCTTGGCGAGCTTGGGTCTTGCATCGCAAGCCGTCGCCCCCGTCCTGTTGCCCGTCCCAAAACTCTCCCAGGCAATTCCCACCCCAACGGCGGGAGCGAAAAAAAAGTTACGGCGACACTTTCGTTTGCGCCTCCATCCCCATCATCGCCTCCTGTCTCGCATCCGAGCCCTCCGCCCGCCACCTTTTTGAGCTTGCCTCCCTCGCGCGAATTAGCTTCAGCTTTCGAGACCTAACCTAAGGCTTTGCCGAGAGTGACTTTTACTTGCGACTCGGGCCAAGTGTGGTATCGTGTTTTGGCGCAGGGTAGAAGCATTGGCCGGGCGATCTCCAATCTCGCTCTCCTGCCTCGTACCCATCATACCTTATCCGACACCCGACATCCGAAACCGTCGAGCAGAAAACGAAAAAAGCGCAGCGCAGCAGCATCGCATTAGCAGGCAATCTCGTTACAGCTTTGCAAATCTGTCGCACATCGTAGCCTACTTCACTTGCTTGCTTGCCGGTCCTCCTGCACCGTCTGCCCGTCATGCCATATAACACGCGCCGCAAGTCGCTGTCGCTGCCGTCGCTCGGTATCCATGTCCCCGTAACACATGCTGCTCGAGCTGCTGCTGCCGCCGCCAACGCTGCCGCGAATCGAGCTTCTCCCACTAGCAACACCAGCGCCCGCACGCCCTCGCCGACATCCATGGCGCCGCTACGGACACCGCTCTCGAGAGATGACCAGCCTCCGTCCAAGAAGCTGAAGAGAGCTCACAGCCAAGACGACAGCACACCCTCTTCCGAACCCCTTCCCAAGAGGCGCGATGACACAGTCAAGTTCGAGAATACGCCGCCGCCTTCGCCTCCTGCACAGCGCCCGTCTGTAGAGATGAACAACGACGACGATGAAGCAACGCTCATACCCAAGACGATAGATTTTGAGGGGATAAACGACGAGATTGTTGAGGCTGTTATTCTCCAGCTTCAAAATACAGGGAACCGGCCGCATTTGGTTAAGGAGCTTGCCGCCGTCTTGATGCAACAGCTGAAGATTGTCCAACAGTAAGCCGCTTTCGTCCCTTCTTTCCGTCAGTCAATGTCTTGCTAACCTCGTTGCTCTCTTAGGTCTGCGAACCCGTCTGCCATCATCTCGTCCCGGTTAGCCAGCTACCTGAAGCGGTCATGCTGGACTGCGCTCGCGCCGTGTCCGCTCGCTAAGGAGCTCGAGGCTGTCCACCCGCGCCGCACCTATTTCTACCTGACGACATGTCCCCATCTGCCGCTACCGGACCCGACCCAGGCAGCGACGCTCAGCCATCTCGCGCACTCGCGCATCATCATCTCACCGAGCCTGTCGAGCGCAGCATCGGGCTCAGAGGATGCAGACAGCGAGAGGAGGCGCGAGCTCAGCCCGAGCCCCGAGGTGGATCTGTCGAGTCCTGAGTTCGACGATATTGACGATGACGTCGCCATGCCTACAACACCCATCGGGTCCTTCTCGGCGCGCGGCTTTGGGATGGGCGGATCGCAACTGGGGCGCTCCTTGAGCGCTGCTGGCGGGCGTAACCACCGCGCTGCGTCGCCGCCGCTCGAGAAGGACGAGAAGGAGTTCACACAGACGGCTGATGGCCTGCAAAAACGGAAACTCAGCGGTGACTTGATGTCATCGGGTGCCAGCAACACAGGTAGCGCCGCGTCGGGGAGTATGGACATTGAGTACGGCGCCATCCCGAGGGACGACAATGCCCTGTTCGGCGACAAAACTTTCTTGTCGACAAACAGCATGAGCAGCCTGACCATGGCGTTTGTCACGAGCCCTGCGATCCGGCCATCACCTATGACACTCAACCTTAGCAAGACCAAGGACGTTGAGGCCGAGAGTTCGTGGCTCAGGATGGAGAACATGCTCGAGTGGGACCGCAGCCCGGAAAACATTGCCCTCGAGGAACTCGATGGGCTCCTGGACGACTACTAATTCCTAAAGGCCGCGCGAGCCGCCGCAGGAAAAGAGTATCGTTCCTGCCGTTGTTGTACGATCTAGAGATTGAAGCTCGAGCTAGGACGGTGGTGGTGGTGCACCCCTCCTCGGCTATCTTAGCTTGAAGTCTTTTTCTTATGTGCCTTTCTAACACTTTATTACCCCCCTCTCTCTCATCTCAAAACGTTATGTTTCGTCTTCTCAGTCATGTTAATTAGGGCTCGCGGGATCGGTGGGAAGACGGGGAGGTGTGGCAAAAAAAAAAACTCGGCCAGGTTCTTGTCCTCTTCCTTACTTTCCCATAGACGAAGCTGGGTCTCACTCGCAAGGCGTTAGGACTTTTTTGGTTTTTCTTTTCAAAAACCACAGCTGATGTGGGTTGTGGGTTGCTGGCGTTTTTTCTCAGGTTACAAGGCCGGCCGGTCAGCTGGTCGGGCGGGCGGGTTGGTCGGGACGGGACGGGGCGGGGCGGGTAGGCGGGTAGTCTGGTCTGTGTGGGCGGCGGGCAGGTAATGTCATATGTTTATAATGTCGACAATTTTTCTCGAATTTTCTACGCGCATGATGTTTTCTGTTTCGTTTCCGCTTGGCTTTTTTTGCTCAGTCTCGAGTTTGATCGGATCGGTTATCAGCGAATTGCTCTTTTTATCGCTACAACCCACTCTTCCTTCCTCTCTTCCTTTTTCTACTCTACGTACTACGTAGTACTACCATCCCCGCTCTGTTTTTTTATTCTTTTCGGGATTCCGTGTCGACTCGCGGGTCAGTCAGTTCTTGCTCCCTTCTATTTTATTTTGTCTCTCTCCCTCACCCTTTTAGAAAGATCAGATCGAAGGCGAAGACGGCATAGATACAAGGGAGGGTGTGGCGGCAACGTCTCTCTCTCTCTCTCTCTGTGTGTGTGTTACTTATACCCAGGTTTTATGTGTCGAGAGGAGGAGGCTGCGAAAAAGATCAAAAGTGAAAACTAAAGGGGTACATTTTATTATTTATCATCATCTAAACTCAATTGCGTACAAATGATTTTGCAAGCGTGTCTTGATGTGTTTGCTATGTTTGTGGCTGCGGGTCTTCACGGATGTATGTCGAGGAGAAGGGGGGAAACGACAAAGATGTTTCTCCTGCCGGTTGTCATTCGTCCCCGAGAAGGAAGGGGAAGTCATAAAAAGAAAACAGCCATAGGGCAGTGCTGAGATGACTGGAATGGGCGGAATGGAATCAGATTTCTTTCCTTCCGTTTCCCCCCACCCCCTCCACACACCATATAGACTGTAATTGCCGGGCCGACATGATAGAGATAGCAGAGAGGCACTAGATGCAGCAGCAGCATAGAGGATACGTACCCAAGCAGCGTTGCACACAAACCGTTGCCTAGAACATGCTGTATATTTTAAGGTGTCATGTATTGTGCAAATACATGTTAACCTACACAGCAGGCTCTTACCGAGAGGTCGGTCTGTATATGAAAATCTACTGTGTTCCCGTTGTTGTGGTTGCCGCCGTCCCTCTTCAACTAGCAACTGTTGGAGTAAAGCTGAAAAGGTAAGGGGGAGTTATCGAGTTACTTGCGCAAGATGACTTGGCGCTGGGGTGAAAGGGGGAAAGTGTTTGGTTTGTTTCCGTGTACAAGGTACACTGGTATGGTGGTTTTGTTGAGTAAATAGATGCGCTTTCAGGGACAAATACGGCACTGAGTGCCTCGAAGACACAGAAAACGAGAATCGTCTATTATGTCTAAAATATAATATAATACATCATCTACTACGTCAAGGAAGTGACTGGTACAGTAACATGGCCGACTATGTCTCGACCCAGCCGGCTAGGTTATATATACAGGCATGCTGGAGTTGCGCCATTTGTATCTGGACAACCTCTATTGTCTCTCCGCTGGGATACCCTGCTGCTGCTGCTTCTGCTACTGCTTCGTGCTGGCGACCCTGAGCTCGACAAGCAGAGTGGTGCCGGCCTGCAGGAGCAGCGGGCGCTCGAGCTTGACGACCTCGAGGCCAGGCACCGTTTTGGCGGCCTCGCGCACGATACACTCAATGTCGCGGTTCCACCAGCAGCCGTAGCGCTGGAAGTGGCGGCCGGCGTACTCGTCGAGCTTGTGGTTGATCCAGTCGTACCAGCCGCGGCCGTGCTCGAGCAGGAGGATGCGGCCCGTGTTGGGCTGGACGAGGGAGGCCATGTGGGCGAGCAGCTGGGCGGGGTCGGCCACACTGCAGAGGCCGAAGGACTGGACGATGGTGTCGTACTTCGCGGGCGGTGCTGGCGATGACGGCAGGGCCGGCGGCAGCGGCAGCGTGTTCTGCGCGTCGGCCATGACCAGACGCACGCGGCCGCCTAGCGTGTCGACTACCAGGCTTCCCTCGGGGGCGGCGGCGGCGCTCTGCTCGGGCAGCGGCTCGAGGCGGCGCTTGTGCATGATGCGCTTCAGGCCGGGCACCGCGTCTCGCAGCCGGGTGCGGGCAATGCCCAGCATGTCAGCCGAGATGTCGACGCCCGTGAAGCTCAGGACGCCGACCTGGTGCAACTGGGCCTGGTCGATCTTGGAGCCACCCCAGCGGTGCTGGTCGAGCAGTTTCACGAGGCGCTCGCGCTCGCGCTGGGCTCGGGCCTCGGCCTCGCCGGCGCCGCCCGAGGAAATGACGCCGGTCCAGTCGTAGTAGGGCATGTTACGGCCTGTGCCGACAGCGACTTCGAGGACGTGGCCATAGGCGCGCGCGGCCAGCTCCCTGCGCAGGCTACGGAGCCCCATCAGCCACTCGGGCAGGTTCAGTCCCCGGTCGAAGGCCTCGGCTGTCTGGCGGAGCTCCTCATCGGGGCAACCGGCGGCGACAGCAGTGTCTAATGTGCTGGGGCGTCCGGTTGGGATGGCGTCTTCTTGGGGAGCAGTGCCGGAGCTAGCACTGGGTCTGGGGGTAGGAGCAGGCACGGATGAGGCGAGAGGCGACTTGGGGTCCGGGGTCGGGGGCGACTTGATATATGAAGTTACCAGCATGCTCACATACAGACCGACAAACAGGGCAGCGAGGCCGGCGCCGACCAGAGGCCATTTGCGCTGCTGAAACAGGGCATCGAGGGTCTGGGGGCCTTGTGCGGTCGAGTCTGGCCCCGGTTCTGCCCCTGTTTCTGCCTCTTTTTTGGTCTCTGGGGCGGATATAGACGAACGTGAAGGATGAGGATGAGGAGAGGAAGAATCGTGTTTAGTTTTAGTTTTGGCTTTCACCCTGGCAGCCGGCTTTGGCTGAGGAGACCTGCGTAGCCGCTTGCGGTACGGCGCCGGCACCTTGAGCCGGGGGACAGAAACAGTAATAGGGAGGACGGCGGGTTCGGCCTCAAACATGCGGCGCGAACCGGGGCGTTTGCCGGGGCCGCGCGCCGAAGCCGACACACTGAAGCCGCGACTCCCTAATTCGGTCGGTGCCAGGCCGAACCTGAACCTAAGCCCGGGGCCAGTGCCAGCGCACCATGGCTGCTGCACTCGCGCCGGAAAGCGAATCGCCCAGGCCTGGCAGGCCATTGTCGTCGTGTCGACGATATCGTCACTGCTTTGGGCTCTAAACGGCTGCTTCCCAGTATTAAAATGCTACCGAGATAGCCATGCAATTCATTACTGGGACGACGAGCAATGCACTGCAATTTTAGCCTCGGCGGAGGAGATGGAAACGCCCCCCCCAGCGTTGAACCCTAACCCTTCCAACGGATTGCACACTACACTAAGCTACTCTTGAACCAAGCAGGCAGTCGCGTCCAGCAGCACCGTAACTTGTTAGACTCACTCATCGCCGCTCAACTCCAAAAGAAAACCAATCTCGCGCCGTGACCTGCCTGACTTTCCACGACTGCCTAAATATGGCGACGCAGCAAGACCTCCAAGACCTGCTGCGGCTCCTCACCGTGGGGCGCAAAGTGCCCATGATGCAAGCCATGACCCAGATCAAAGCCCTCCAGGCCGTCGACCTGCGAAGGTAAGCTCACGCCAGCTTCATTATTGGTTCCGAACACGGTCGTCTCAGGCAGTGAAAACCATTGGATGGATATATGAAAAGAGAGAAAAGAAACCTCGGACTGAAAACCCGCGTGTGCTGCTGCTGCTGCCGCCGCCCGCGAACGCGCAGTATCAAGCAGATCGCAGAATCTCCTCTCAAGACGGTCGAGTCGGCCATTGTCGACGAAAAAGCTGCCAGGGCCCTGCAATCGGCCTGCAAGGCGGCCGTAAAGCGCGGCGATCTCGGGGGTAGCGCCAAGAAACGGCCTGCACCGCAAGCTGGGCCCCTAGCCAAGCGCACGAGGACAGACAATGGCGGCGGCCTTATAAGAGGGCCCACCGACATGACGCCCCAGGAGCTCGAACGCTCGCTGGAGCTGCCCCTATCCCTGGACGAAGAGCGTATGGCCGCGACGGTTCTCCAGACCAACCGCGCACCGCTCGTGCTGGCATTTGCCGTCGAGCTCCTGGGGTATACGATGCCCGAGCAGCCGCTATCGAGTCGCCTGAGTCTGGGGCAGGCTGTTGTCAGCGCCAACTCGCGGAGCAAAGCCGTCAATATAGGGCTCGAAAAGGGCCCCAGCGCCGACGATGAGGGCTGGGGCGAAGGCCAGCCTCGCGTGCGCGTCCTGGGGAGGGAGGTGGCCGTACTCAAGCGGGGTGGCTACGACTGGCGAGGCGACGAGAATGTCGTCGGCGGCGATTTAGAGGCTGAAAACACGCCAAGTCTACGGGTTACAGACACGCAGTCGACCTCGACAACTGCCACTTTGGCTGAGCCGGAGTCCTCTGCTTCTCTCCCTGCTACTACTACTACTACTACTACTACTACTACTACTACGACTACTACGACTACTACTAGTAATAATAATAGCGGCGGTGCTGTTGGTTCTGGCCCTATCTGGGCTGTAAGCCAGCCAACCTCGCTCAAGTCGTCCACGTTCATCGCGCGCGCCGCCCACATCAGCAGCCCCGGGCAGAGAAAGGCTCTCATGGAGTCCCTTTTCGTAACTATACCCAGCCTCAAGACGGCCACTCACAACGCCTGGGCATATCGCCTGAAGCCTCCAGGCACCTTCCTGGGAGGCAGGGGGCGCGAGGAGTCGTTCGACGACGGTGAGACGGGGTGCGGCGACCTGATGCTGCGCGTCATGCGCGAAATAGGCGCCGTCGACACGCTCGTCGTCTTGACGCGGTGGTATGGCGGCGTGATGCTGGGGCCCGACCGGTGGCGGCTCATGCGTAACTGCGTGACAGGGGCGCTGAGCGAGCGTCTGCGCAGGACGGGCCGCGAGGTGGCACTGGGCGGCGAGGCCGTCTGGGGCCTCGATCTAGAGGCGGCGAGAGCGGCGGCTACCAAGTCAGGCGGAGGCAGTAACGGATACACAGCGAAGCACCAGCAACAACAACATGTCGTGGGCATGCAGATACACACGCCCGAGGGGGCGAGAAGCTATCTGCTCAAGAGCTTCGCCACAGCTCCTCCGCCGCTGCAGGACGCATCGCCTGCTGGGGAGACGGCGTCGCCAACGGGGAAGGCCAAAGCTCCCCCGAAGAAGAAAACGCTCAAGGCGCTCGAGGCGGAAAAGGAGGAGAATCTCGGTCTTCTTCTCGGGGCGTTACGGCTGCTGTTTGACAGCTGGGCCGACCACCTCGCCGGGCCCGAGCTTGATAGACGCGCATGGGCGTGGTACTTGGCTGTGCGGCCCGACGTTGACGAAGGCAAGGCCGGCTGGGGCGTCAAGGGCGAGCTGCGGCTCGCCGACATTCTCAAGTTGCGGAGGAAGGGGTAAGGACTGCGTCTGCTTCCCAATGAAGTTAATAGCGTTAATAGCTACCTACTTGTATACATTATGACGTCTACGTTACAAGGGGGGTTTAGGTCATGTATTTTTTTCTTGTTTGAGACACTGTAGTAAAACAGTCTCTACCTTGGCGATTTGCTTGGAGAGGATGAGTGAGTGATATCTAGAAAATCTAAATGTACGGAATGCTATCAATATTCTACGTCCAAGTCCGTCTATGCTATAGTATAATATTTCTATTGAACCAAAACGGCAACTATCTGCCCAGTTGGCTTCGCACAGCATCGTACAGCAGCATCACATGCGAGCCGTTCTCAACACACAGAATAATTAGCCAGGAAGTGGCGTCGAGAGCTTGATTTATACCAAGCTTGGCTGCCGTGTGGGGGATTCCCGCTGCAGACAATTGGCAAGCTGTCTGTCTGTCTGTCTGTCTTGTCGAGAGGGTGAGGTACCGCAATTGCGACTGCGGGGAAAGTCAATCCGCTGCAACTTGCAAGGTGGTGCTGCTGCACGCGCCTTCTTCATCCTTTGCAGATTGATTGAGGGTGGAAATCAGCGTCAGCCAAAGGTCGGTAGGCTAAAAAGCGGGGCGTCGCTCCTGGCAACCGTCCAGCGATAGCGCCGGCCGGCCCCCAGCCAAGTCAACATCAGCACCCACTAAGCCCCAAGCAAGAAAGAAGCCGTCGCTTACGGGTCCGTCCCCTCTCTTTCCCGATATCTTCCCGCATGCCATCCACCATCCAACCCAACCCAACCCGGGAAAAAGAAGAAGGAGAATATACGCAAACCGAAATATACCCACAACGAACTTTCCTTAACGACTGACTTCCGGCTCGACAGCTGGTTGGTTTGGCTTTGCGTTTCGCGTTCTGCATTTTCCGCAATATCGTCGCAAACAAACGCATTGCACTGCACCACCCGCAACTGTGCGTCTCAGTCTCGGTCTCGGTCTCGTTTGTGTGTACGTATCCGCATATACACAGACAATTAATTAAGTAGGGGGGGGGACACCGCAGAGCTTAGTGCTATACTATATCGCACGCACACAGCTCCGCAAAGCTACGTTGTTATTTATTTACTGCACGCAAGGAGAGAGAGAGCGAGCCGAGCGGAAAACATAGGGGCTGGTTGGGGTTTCGCCCTCGGTCGTCGTCATTGGCATCGTCATCCTCACTGTCGAGGTCGCTCCTACTCGTCCCCTCGAGAGCCTGCTAGCTGCAGTTGCCAGGCCATAGAGCGAGCCTCTAGGTGCAAACTCGGGACTCGCCTTCAAATTCAGGCGCAATGCCGGCCGCTACCAACGACGGGCCGGCAGTTGCCCTTTCCTGTACGTTGGCTTTCAGTTCTTCCCGGTCCCATCGCTGCCGCCGTCAGAGATGCAGCTGTTTGCTAACCACGGTGTGTGCCGCAGTTGCTAATAACTTCTGGGGCAAGGATGACGCTGGCGTCGGACCTCTGCTGGAGCGCATGCACGCGGCCAAGCAGACATGTGACGAGTTGCGCGCCTTCTATAGCGGTAAGTAAACACACTAGCCCTTCTCTTGCGCCTGCGCTGCGGTCTGTTGCTAACCATGAGGTCACCATGATGTGTGGGCGTACAGCACGGTCATCCATCGAAGACGAATACGCGCGCAAGCTCTTCTCGCTGTGCCGCAAGTCGCTCGGGTCGCAGGAGATGGGCACGCTCAGGGCATCGCTTGACGTGGTGCGCGGCGAGGTCGAGTCGATCGCCAAGCAGCACAACGGAATCGCGGCGCAGATGAAGAGCGAGCTCGAGGAGCCGCTCGCGGCCTTCGCCGGGGGCATGAAGGAGCGGCGCAAGATTGTGCAGAACACGGTCGAGAAGCTGCTCAAGACCAAGATCCAGCAGACGCAGATGGTCAACAAGACGCGGGACCGCTACGAGCAGGAGTGTCTCAAGATCAAGGGCTACCTGGCGCAGGGCCACATGGTCATGGGCCAGGAGGAGCGCAAGAACAAGGCCAAGCTCGAGAAGACGCAGATCAGCCTGGCCACGTCCAACAGCGAGTACGAGGCCGCCGTGAAGGCCCTCGAGGAGACGACGGCCCGCTGGAACCGCGAGTGGAAGGCAGCCGCCGACAAGTTCCAGGACCTCGAGGAGGAGCGCCTCGACTTCACCAAGAGCAGCCTATGGACCTTTGCCAACATCGCCTCGACCGTCTGCGTCAGCGACGACGCCTCGTGCGAGAAGATCCGCCTCTCGCTCGAGAAGATGGAGGTCGAGAAGGACATACTCAACTTCATCAGCGAGCGCGGCACCGGCCAGGAGATCCCCGACCCGCCAAAGTACATCAACTTTTGCCGCGGCGACGTCGACTCGCAGTCCGAGGCCTCGGAAGACGAGAGCTACTCGGTCGCCCAGTTCCCCCGGAGCATCAACCCGGCCTTCCGCTCGTCGTCGCCGCAGCCGTCGACGTACGAGTCGCACCACGACCCCAACTCGACGCTAGCGCGCAACCTAGTGCACGACGCAGTCGGCGAGGTCGGAGCCCTAGGCACGCCCAAGAGCCGCGAGAACACGGTGACGCCGCAGAAGCTGCCGCCGGCCATCCCCACACCCCAAGAAATACAGGCCCAGCAGCAGCAGCAGCAACAGCAGCAGTCCCGGCCGCGCCAGCCCCGCGGGTACCAGCCGCCGCGGGCCAACCTCGAGTACGACCCGGCCGAGTTCGCGCCGGTGCCGCACGACCCGTACCCCATGGACGGCATGACCATGCTGTGCCGGCCGACGGCGTCGGACCTCAGCTCGGCGCCGTCGGGCGTCTCCTCGGTGCGGCCCTCTAGCAGAGACTCGCACAGCGAGACGTCCTTCTCAAGCCAGGAGCCGGCGTCGGCGCCGTCGCCCACCAAGCTGCAGCTGCAGCAGCACCAGCCGGCGCCCACCACGCCGACGGCCGCGGGGGGCAAGGAGCGGAATCTTCTTAAGAAGAGGAGCGGCTTCTTCCAGAACCACAGCCCCTTCCGCCGCAAGAGCACCAGGGAGGTGGCGTCGCTCGCGGGCGGCGGCGGCGGCGGCAACGGCAGCAGGAACACATGGCACCCTTCCAATAACGGCGCGCGAAGCAACAACAACAACAACAACAACAGCAGCAGCAGCAGCAGCAGCCAGATAATGCTCCCGCCGTCTGACCACCGCAGCGCCAGCCCGGACCCGATCGCCGCCAACGCGAGCCTGGCGCTCAACGTGGGCCAGAACGTGTTCCCCGTCGAGACGCCTGACCGCCGCAGCGCCAAGGCCGCCGCCGCAACAGCCGCCGCGCCCGAAGACGACCCCATCGCGCTGGCGCTGGCCGAGATCAAGGGCTTCGCGGCCAGCAGCGGCAGCGGCAGCGGCACGGGCAAGGTGTCGTCGGTGCGCATGTCGGCGGACCACTACCACGGCATCGCGACGCCCGCGCCGGGCGCCACCAGCCCGCTGGTCTCGCGGTCGGCGGCACAACATCAGCCCCCACCCCCTATTGGCGGTGGTGCGGCATCGTCAGGCATACGCGGCACGCCGCCGCCGTCGTACGGCGACCACCAAGTACAACGACTGGGCGTGCCGCCACCGGCCGTGACGGCCAAGGCCATGAAGGAGTCGTCGCAGAAATTCCAGCAGCAGACGCGCAGCATCTTCAACACGGCCGCCTCTTCTTCTCCTTCATCCAACAATAATAGTAGTAATAACCACGACAGACCGGGCTCGTCGTACGGCGGAAGCATCCACAACCACAACCACAACCAAAACAGCAGCAGCAGCAGCAGCATGTCGCGCTCCGGCACGCGCTCGGTAGCCGACCTTCCGCGCGCCGCCTCGCCCGCGCCCCTGCGCAGCGTGTCGCCGCGGCCTGCGTCGCGCAACGGCGGTGGTGGATATGGGTCCCCCGCCCAGCAGCATCGGTCCGTCTCGCCGAACCCGTACGGAGGAGGCAGCAGCCAGAGGGGCAGCATAAGCGGCAGTGGCCAGCAGCAGCCGCGCGGCCAGCCGAGCTACCAGCGCGCGCCGTCGCAGCAGAACCAGAATAATCAGAGCCAGAGCCACTACAGCCAGCAGCACTCGCACCGCGGCTCGGACCAGGGCCTGTACAAGACGGCCAGCCGCGGCGGGGGAGGTGACTACCGCCACAGCTCTCCACACGACTTTAACGGTGGCGGCAGCGGAAGCCGGGCAGTGTCGCCGGCGCCGCCGTTCGCGAGCAGCGGGCGCAGCGACTACGGCCGCCCCAACAGCAGCAGCAGCAGCGTCAACATGGCCGTGCAGCTGGCGCCCGTGCTAGGCGACGAAGGGGGCGGGAGTGTCTACGGAGGTTCGCAGCGCGGGCGCGCCGGGACTGGCGGAACCGGGCGGCCGGGCACCAGCTCGTCGTCGTCGCGCGCCATGAGCTTCTACGATGGCGCCGGCGGATCGGCTGCGGCGCCGCGTCAGCGCAGCAAGAGCGTGGTTGCTGCCGACCCGGCTCTTGCTGCACGGGGGTATACGAGAGACGGGGGGGGGATTATGCATTTTGGTGAGTTTTTGTTTTGTTTCTGTTTCTGTTTCTGTTTCTGTTTCTATTTCTGTCTCTCGACTGCACAGCAATTGGAAGAAAGGACGAAGAACAAGGCTAATTACTGAACCAAACGAAAACAGCTCGCGCCCTCTACATGTACCAGGCGGCCATCCCCGAGGAGCTCGGCTTCGCCAAGGGCGACATGCTCGCCGTCATCCGCCACCAGGACGACGGCTGGTGGGAGGCCACCATCCAGGGCGGCGACGGCCGCATTGGCCTCGTGCCCAGCAATTACCTGCAGCAATGCTGATTGCTTCTGGCTCATTTTGGGAGGGAGGTGTTGGTATGTGCCCATGTCGACGACGACACGACGATGACGGCAACGAAAGAACGAACGGTTCGTTGGATTTGTTTTCTTCTTCTGCACATAGGTATAGAAATGCGGAGTGCCCTGTCCGAGACGAGACGATTTGTCATGCGCGAGGTTGATTGATTTCCTATTTTCTATTGGCTTTCTGCTCGCATTATCTGGGGCTGGAATGGTAGGGTGTTTATAGCACGTCGATGTTATGTCAGCCGGCCGAGTGGTTCTGACAGACAGGGGGGATTATCTTATTAGCATGCTGCTGCTGCTGCTGCTGCTGCTTTGTAGTCGTCGTCTTTTCTTGTTGTTGCTTGCTTGCTTGCTTGCTTGCTTGATAGGCGCAGAGTCATATCTGTATATTATTACATTACGTCCGCCAGCCAGTGAATAGAACCGAGGAATTACTTATTCGATTTCGTTCGAGACATTTGCTGTATTCTCCGTCAGGCTTGCCCGAACCTAGAGGAAGCTCGGATGTGTAGATAGACAGTGTGAATAAAACGTATTAGCCTCTAGGTTCGTGAGTCGGCTAGGATAACTCTGTCGGTGCCGTTCAATTGTTTGGCTTCTTGCTGTCCCGCGGCGGATGCTTCACAAGGCATGTTCAAGCTGTGAAAGTCGTCCCCTGAGCAGACGGAAAATATATATAAAAACACATCCAATTGCCCTTTCTAAATTCGGCCATCTTCCTTCCTACCTCAGCTTTTCGTCGAGGACTGCCCAATCCCCAAATGGTGCTGGAGAGGTAGGCACGACCATTAAATTGCCTTACCTAAGCAGGTCGACCCATGTCGCGTCGCACAAGATGGCGGGGAGGTGACATCAGAGCCGACGGGCTGGAACTGGCGTGCGAAACCAACCTACACGTGTACATTACAGCTCAAGGTCATGTTTTGCTGCTAATTCTGGCTAGCCCCGACCCGCTCTTTTCGGCACCCTCAACCACCCTCCAAAGTACATGAAGCTCGGCCCACCAGGTACCCGCCAAAGTCACTTCACAGCCCAGGAACTCCAAAGAGGCACCCAGATTCAGGGCTGCTGTCACAAACTACCGCTACACCAAGAACCCCAAAATTGGAGGAGTTCCACATTCTTGTGGGGAGCTTGCTTACCCTGCGTTTTATCTAACAGGAGCTTCCGGGCCTTGCTCCGCGAATAGCCGATGCTGTGAGTGACCTCCTTTGACTAACTTTGACCCCGTTTCCGGCCGACTCCGTGCGCCTTTGTATTCGGCCCAGCCGACTCAACCGCAATTGGCTTCACCTGGCCGCACCGGAATTCCTGGGTGTTACATTATCTCAATACTCTAATTCGTAGTTCAGCTAGATGGCTTGCTTTGACCCTCGAGGCCACGTGCGTTTCCACAGGTGTGGAGAACCCGGGACGCCAAAAGGTCAATCAATCAATCGATCAATCAATCAATCATGGGAGGAGCTTCACATTCTCTGAGTGGCACGTAGCCACGCCAGTCCACAAGGTTCGTTCGAACTGCCAGATGCGTCCAGCACTCCGCATTTCCACAGCATCTTGGAGAACTGCCCTTTCGTCCCAACATACACACACTTTTCATCCCAACAATGGAGAACCTAGCCGAGCCTATGTTCTTAAGACATCACACACCAGGCAAGATCATCAGCCACCCTTATACAAACGCACAGAAGAGTTGCCTCAATGTCTATCCTCCCACCATCCATCATGTCACCGAATGCCCACCACCGCAGCCAGAGTGACAGCACCATTCACCACTTTGCCGATAATAGAGACGACGAGACGTTCATCGGCGGATCACACGACGCCCTCGCTCCAGTTGGCATATCGTTCCGTGGCCAGGATGGTAGCTTATACCTGGGCAATGTGTCGATCGAACAGAACACGCTAGTACGACAGTACCTCCGCCGCACATTTGGGGTCGTGAACTTCTACTTTTGCGAGCCGTGGGTTGTATTGGGTTGCAGTACCTAAAGGCCGGCTGCCACCATCAGTTGGTGGCTTAATTGGTATATGGCGAACAACCGATGATATGGACTTTATGCCTATTATCGGCGAGGATGGACGGATTGATGACGAGATCGAACTAGAGCCGTCCATGCTGGATGTATTCGAGCTTGGTCTGACCCCAGCCGACGAAGCGATTATGAGACTAGCCACCCACCTGTTTACCGACTGCGAGGCTATCACATCCGTTGCCGACTCCTTAATCATCGAGCTGCCGTATATGGAGCAGACATGATTCTTGTGTCGCCTCGAGAATATGCCTCGCAGCATCGCTAATGCACCATTTACCTTGCAATACTCCAACGGCCCCCTTCGTAACACACCCAGGGGCAAGCGAGCGATACAACCAAGGCCAGAGCCCGAGGAGGACGAACTAGTTGTTGACGATACAGATTACGTTGCGAAAGACGGCAGATTTTACCCGGGGTCTATGATATCCTCCCAGGCAAGAGACGGAAGCATCTACTCGTCCGTATCCGCCGGGGTCCTCGTCCAAAAGGGGGTTGAGCTTCGCCTGACCTGCTCGTAGCACTGTTGGGAGGACCATGACAAAAAGTATTCCGAATTGCTGGGCCAGGAAGACGATGAGGCAAAGCGTGTATTCGGCGTGCTTCAGGGTAAGGGAGGAACGTACGTCGGGCAAGTGGTCCAGAGGGTGGGTAAGACCGACATTGCGCTGGCAGAGCTCGCTCCCGGAATTGCCTTCGAAAACTCGTTTATAGAGATAAAGGCCGTCGCCAAAAGATTGGTTCACAGCGAGCTTGTGAAGCTCAACGACGAGTTCCAAATCGATACGTTCGCCACCAGCCGCCAAAGACTGAAGTCTTTGGGAAGATGCTGGCAAATTGCTAGGAAGCCGGGTTAACCGCATGCCCATCTTGCCGCCCCCGACAATGACGAGTCTGGCCTACCGCCAGACGAGGTGGCGTATATATCAGCCAGACAGGGCGTATGTGTTACCAGTGACCTAATGCTTACCAGCAGACCATATATCCGCGATAGGGCTTGCGGGGCGGTCTTGCTGCGTTGCCGATCGAACACGATCAGGGTCGAGAGGGAAATGATGGAGCAGGGCGAAGTATGCGGCATGTTCCATTATGCCGACCTAACGGCCCGGAACGCGGCGGAGGCAGGTTCCTACCTTATATATGCGGACGCATTCGACCCGCTAATCGAGAATGGATGGACCGTCGTGCCTGTCCAGGGAGAGGTCAAGGCCAACCTGGTTCCATCCCCGAGACCAGAGGAGGGGGAACCGGTATCGACTTAGACAGGTCGGTGCCCCCGCCTACATCAAACCCAATCTCAATTGGGACGACTTTGGCGCGTCCTTCTCGGTTTGCGATGCGAAGAGTTCTGGCGCCAACGCCAAGTACATCGCATGGACCGCAGGCTGGACCCTGCAACAGGCAAGGGCTGAGGCGATGATGCACTGGGATATTCACGAGATCGATTTGCCAATAGCGGAACGCGTACGCTGCTCTTCGGCGGCCGTGCGTAGCGCTCCGAGCGCCTGGTCGCTATCTTCTGCCGCCTCTCCAAGCCAGACGATGACGCGGTTGGCGTTGGCATAAATCTTGGTCGTGGATTGAACCTGCTGTCCCTTCTCGTTGTTGTCGTGCTGGTTGATGCAGATAGCGTCTATCCATATGATGCGTTCGAGAAGGCGATCTCGAAGTTGTGACAGCGCCGCGTGAAGGTTCGCCATAATAAAAAAGTCGCTGCTAATTCCGGTGGGAGGAGGCTTGCCGTCTGGCTAAATTTGGATGGCTTTTGGGCTCTCCGTAGAGCCCCATACATACGACAAGGCCTCGTATAAGTGTGTCCCTTGGCTCGGCCCCTGTAGAGGGTACTCAAAGATTCGGCATTGTATAGGCGCGTCTTTGTCTTGGTCTGGTATTAAGTGAAGTAGGCGAATAAAGCCATCTGGCAAAGAAGAGTAGTTATATAAAGGTGTTGAGGGCGATGAATCTGCGGCTGGGTTTGCCTGGCTGGCTCCGTCGGACTGGGGCTTGGGCCCTAACCGCGCAGGTGCAGGAACGGGACCGCGCGGGCGATCTCTCTTTGGCCCCGACTACTCTATTGCGGCTAGGATGGGTGATATTATGACGAAGGAAAGTGATGTGCTGGGATACGGTGGGAGCCTCGCGTCTGGACATGATGGGCTGTCACGACCCGGCCCAAACCCGAGGCCCAGTCGTGCCAAAGGGCAGTGGGAGCGGGCCGTGACTGACTCAAGAGAAGGGCCCTCGGCTAAGCCCTGGAGAAACCAATGGCCAATTGGAAGGTGTCAAGCGGGGTCAGAACGCCAAAACCGCTGAACGAGGAGTGCTCAGCCTGCAGACCGCTGAGCACGCTGAGCGGAAATACCTAGGTACTTGTTGTTAGAAAGAAAGGGGTTCAGGGGCCCTGGGCACCCTGTCAGCGAAGCTGACTGAATGCCTGGCACTGCTAGAACGCTAGTGAGGCTGAGCACTGCGAGGACGTAATCGGAGCCTTGCGAAGAAGTCTGTAAGAGAAGGAGGTTCTGGCTGCAAGCCAGAACCACAAGATCAATCCAATCAACACAAGTAATACAATCACGCAGTTGCAACCCCATCAATTCCACGAATCCAGTGTGCCTTGTTTCCGACAGTCCTAAAGTTCACAACGTGACATTAGCAGCTCAGTTTCTGCCCCTTACCACTAACTGCAGAGCTCTATTAGGTGGCGGTTTACCTGACCTGCCCTCAATCGCGAGCGCCATAGAATCAAGGTGCTTGCTGCTTGCTGAGACGTCAGCTTTCTACCCCCCAGTCCGCGGATCTCGAACTCAGTCAAGCGTACGTCCTAATGCAGAGGATCGGGGAGAGTTGCGGATCAAATTCGAAAGACTTATGAGATTCGTGCCTACGAGTCTGATCCGTCCCTCCCAATGCCGGCGTCAAGTGTGTTGCATTACGTTACGTTACACGTCTAAGCTTGAGTGCAGGATTTTGCCATTGGTTAGGATACGCGAAGCCAGAGAAAACAGAAAACGAAAGGGATTAGGAGGAAAGACAGAATCGTGGCGAGGGGCCGAGGGCATGAAAGTATTTATCGTCAAGAGTTGACCTCGCGATCCAGCAGCTGGTACGCGGGGCACCAGGAATGAGGGACAAATTTTGGGTCCGTGCGCTGACCTATGATTGGCGGATGCCGCGGCCAGGCGAGCCGCGGCCGACCAGTCAGAAAACGGAAGCCTCGACGGCAGCACATGGATTACACATGCAAACACGACAAGCAGCTGCACCGTCAAGCCATCCATCCCTGGCCTCGCTGCCTCGTCCCCGGATCTCGATCTCGATTTCGATTTCGATTTCGGTTTCGATTTCGATTTCGATTCCGATTTCGATTTCGATTCCGATTTCGATTTCGATTTCGATTTCGATTTCGATTTCGGTTTCGGTTTCGGTTTCGGTTTCGATTTCGATTTCGGCTCCGGCTCCGGTCTTGGGTCTGATTTTGCTTCTTATACACGGCGAGGCTATGCGGCAGCTGTGCGCAGCAGAATGGACCCGTTGGAACAATTCCAGGCTAATGCCCTCGCCATCACAGCATACCTCTACAGCCATGCCCGCGCCGCCATAACGGGCTCTCCCGCATTCATATCAGCTCACTTTTCGGCCTTCAAACAGCACCTGGTCTGGGTCAGGCACAATGGCGGTTCTAGGCTCCAGGAAATCCTGCGAGCCATTGCCACGTTTGTCCTATTCTTGGTATACTCTAGCAGAGCCAAGCAGGGTCTCATCATCCTTGCGTTGGCCGTGCCCACCATATTCATTCAGACGATCCTTATGTTTACCTTGGGTACAGTCGGCTACGTTATGATGTACAACCGCGTTGTCCCGGACGTTGTGGCCAGAGTACCTGTCTATCTGCAATACGGGTAATTCGTCCCTCTCCTCTGCCCCCAAGCCCCAAGGCTAACCGCCCCGCCTCGCAGGTACGGGCGCAACCCCTTTGGTGTGGCCCGCATCACGAACGTCAAGACCAGACAGGCGTACGACATCTCCGTGTCGCTGACTCTCCCCCGGTCTCCGCCAAACCTCGAACTCGGCAACTTTATGGTTACGCTTGAGATGCTGGGCGAGTCGTCGCCGCTCCCGAAGGCCGCCATGCCTATCACTGCCTACACCCCAGAGAGCGCGCTCAAGAGCTCCACCGACCTCCACCGGACAGCCCTCATGGCCGACCGCCCGGTCCTCTTCTTCTCGGCCCGTCCCGCTCTGATCCCCTACTGGAACAAATACGTGTCGTTCGCCTCCCGGATGCTGTTCTTTCCGTACCACGCCCTCTTTGACACGGACAAGAAAAAGATAGTGATCCCCATGGCCGAGAATATCTACTTCCGGAGCCACTCGTCGGTCCCGACGAGGATCCTCGTCGAGGTCCAGGCCGGCCAAAGGCTGCAAGTCTACGCTGCCGAGGTGAAGATTACGGCGCGCCTGTCCGGGCTGGTGTGGTTCATGTACTACTTCAGGCTGGCGACATTTTTGGCCATGCTGACTAGTTTCTTGACCTTGTCGTCGATGGTCTCTGCGCTCATACTCCTGGCCACTATGTTCTGGTGGTCTTGGTCCCAGGATCCTCCCGGAGGCGGCGGCGGCGGCGGCGGTGGTGGTGGAAACAACGGCAGCGGAAACAACGGTGAGAACAACGACGGCGGCAATAACGACGGCGGGGGTGACCTAGAGACGCCCTCGGCGACGCCGAGCCTATCCGACACTAGACTTACGCGCACCACCACGGATAACCAGACGATCCCCGCTACGGATAACCAGCCACCTTCCACTACGGACAACCAGCCGCCGCCCGATAAATTCGACTGGGCGCCCCCCGATGATGACGAAGACGAGGTAAAAAGCGAGATCAAGTCGGAGGAAGAAGGCGAGGGCACCTCCTCAGTACTTCCCCCCGAGCTGCCGGCTGTGGCGCCCGGGGCCGAGGCTGACGACGAGGACGGCTCCGAGGAGGACCCCGTCAAGGAAGAGGAGCAGGAGTCCATCTACACCCCCCACATACCTCACGCGAGCCAAACGATTGATTCGGGCATCGGCGAGAGCAATAGCAGCCAAACAAGCTACATAGGCGCCCAGACGGGAGCCAAGCTCTCTGCGTCCAGTGGTGGCGCCTAGCAGCGAGGACCGATGGTCAAATAGCTGTAGCGGACGATGCGGACGGTGCGGACGGCGTTTTTAAGCAGATTTGCCACTGGCTTCACGGCTGTATATACCCCTTTCCGAATCATGGGCTTTTCATGTATTTGTTTTCGACTCTTTTAGAAGGTGGACTTGGACAGCGGTAAACATGATAAAATTATCTTGTTTTCTCGCAAAGATGTGTCTATTTGTTTTGCGTCCCATCACGCTGTGCTCTGCTCCCACGGTATTAATCAGTTCACAGTTACAGGTATAGTACTATGGGTTTGTAGTTCGTTGTAAAACTGCGACAACAATTCTGCTCTAATGACTGCTCTCTCCCCTCTTTCTCTGACACCCCCTTTTACTAGTCCTTTAATGACGGAAACGGGCAAAAGATGCTCGTGCTGTCTGGCAATAGTTTTGACATTGGATCGAACTTCTTTTCTTCATGACTCTCCGGTTAATCTTTCGCCCTTTGACCACGCTTGTTCACCAGACTACTCACCCCCCTGCCTGACCCATTCCTGGACACAACTCGGCTCCTCGTTTATAACCCCCCGCCTACAAACTTTTCATAGGAGTCCTGATTGTGTTTCTTTCTGTGTAGTGTGTGTGTTATACCGTAATGCCTATAAGCCAGATGTTTCTATCTCTACTGCGATTTAACGCGGTGCAAGTTCGCTGCCTATAAGGATGAAAATAAATTACATAGGATCCACTTGGCACTATAGACACTTTACTACCTCTGCGTTTTCTAGGTCGTTCAATGAATGAGCTGACTGCGTTGGCAATGCCTGGCTCGCGAAACAACGTCTCTCGGGTGCTCACAACTTTCTACGGAGAGGTAGATCTTTATACTTATTTAGTGTTGCTAGTCAGGCGGACACAATATGGCGCTGCCTAGCAGCATGGAATCTTGTCATACCTCTCTCTCCCTTCGAAGGCTAACGGTGTGCCAACAGTGTGCAAGACACTATGTATTGTGGTAACCCAGGTAATAAACAAACCTCCCTAGCCGAGACAACAATAATACGAAGTCGCATTTTCGCACGGGGGCACGCAAATTTCCATGTTCCTCAGGAGTTGGATTTGGATTAGGGATCCATATGGGCTGGTCTTTGGATTGGGCCTTAAAAAGCTTAAAAGAATTATACGGTACTATTCATCGGCGCCAAATGGTGCCCTATTTGCAAGCCAAATCGGGCGAGCGTTACGACAACTAAAATAGCTGCACGGCTGCCTTGTCCGGTCGCGTGTGCTATATAGGTTGGGTATCTCATCCTCCCTAACAAGTGAACTAGCGGGACAAGATCGTTTTCACCAGTACGGAATACGTGCGTACCTTTCTTACACACGACTAAGAGTGGGGATTGCCTTTTCCATTCTTGTTCTTGTGCCGTCCAGACTCCAGACTCTGGCGGGTCGAGTCGAGGGGCGGTGGGTGGCCTGTGCGCAAGCCCAGCCATAGCCAGACCGACCAGATCAGACGCATGCGTCAGCCAGCCAGCGGCCAGCTAGCCAGCGCCAGCGGCCAGCCAGCAGTAGAGCCAGCGCCAGCCCGTCAGCCAGCGCCAGCCCGAACCTGAACCTGAATGCCACAGCGCAGTGCAAAGGTACCACTTCCACTCCCCAAACCACCTGCACCAGGTTCCTTCAGCCTCATAAACAGACGGTCGGTCGATATCTCGCCAGAAAAGACACAAGACAAACCAAAAGGCCAACCAAGTGATGACGTGCTGGTTCCTTTGCCAGTGAATACACATGGAATACTCGGTATCCTGCGCTTCACGGGTCGAGCTAGGCGCCTGACAACCTGAACCTACCTCGCTCCGTAATTTCCGCCTGGCCCAACCCCTCTAAATCTCTGATGCCAACGCAGTCAAAAAGTACCTACCTGAGCATACCATACATACCTTACCTACCTGACCAAATACGTGGTCGCCGACATTGACGGCCAGCACTATCCCACGCCGCCAGCCCATACGGACCAAGGCGCCCAAAGGCCAAGCGATCCCCGGGCCTTGATCGACGTGACTGACCCTCTGCTTGCCCTTTTACGAGCGACCTCGACAAGGCCCTGATAGCGCACCCTCGAACCCCCTCTCCGCCCCCTCCTGTTTTTTTCTCCTCCCCCGAACCCAAGGTTAGACTGGCCGCCGTCAACTCCCTAGGGTTGTGACTAGCACCTTCTTGTATTTTCTATAACTTCCACTAGGTCTTTGTATCCTTCCTCGCAACTTGTACCCCGCTCTCTCGTTCTCAACGGCAAAGCCAAACTAAGAAGCGCTCAATACCGACACCCGACACCGACACCGGCAACGTAGAAGGGGCCCCGGATTATTCATACGCCCTTCCTCACCGACACGACACCACCCGGACCTTGCCGAAACTTCACTCCAAACCTTTCGAGCGCTGCCTTTGGTCGCCGCACCAAGTCCAGCACCATGCCCTGCTTCAAGGGCATCGCGGTTAGCATCCACGCCAATGGAGCTCCTCTACCAGAGCATGGCGTGCAGAAGCAGTCGCGCGTGTCGCGAATCAACACGTACATTCCCGTCCCCCAGCCCCAGCTGAGCAGCGAGTCCAACAAGCCCGAGCCCGCAAAGTTCGCCATCTCCATCACCCTGCTCACCCCGGGCCTGGCAATACCCTACTCGACCCCGCGCGCCACCGACTCCAACCCCTTCCCCAAGGCCCAGTTCGTCGGCGCCATGCCCTCAACCACGGGCGAGCGCGGCCAGTTCCACGGCGTCGTCGGCCCCTACATCCCCATGACCAACAGCGAGAACGAGACCATCGCCGCCTACATCTACTTTGACGGCAGAGCAAAAGAAGAGGTGGCCACGCTTCTTCGCCCGGGTGAAGAGACTTGGGTGAATAGCCGATGGGTTCAGGTCCCCGACTCGGAGGGTGGTGGCCTGGCCGAGAGAGAGTTCCTGTTCCGCGAGGTCGGTCTAGAGAGATGGCTCAACGGCCTTGACCTGCAGGGTCACGACGCCGCCGAGAAGCTGGAGCGAAGGAGGCAGAAGTTTGAGAAGCGCAAGAGACGGCAAAGGGCCGCCACGGAAGACGGCGCCGGTACGGATGCAGACAAGTCTGGCAAAGCGCAAAGCACCCTCCGCTACGGACCCGACGAAGGAGCACCCGTCGAGCCCATCTTTGACGAGGACGACTCGCTCTCTTCGTCAGACGACGACGAGCCTCCCGAGGCCACCGGCCAGATTAAGGTTGCCATGTTCCGCGTTATCGCGTCCGGGGAAATCAAGAAGGGGGAGTATTCGCCGCAGTTTGACGCTCATGACGACGATGACGAGGACACTAGCGCCGACAAGACCAATGCGAACGGATCCATCGATGCGGATGTCGAACACACTACGAGCTTTGCCAAACCTAAGACTCTGGATCCCAAGACGATTAGTACTCAGACGGTGACTGGCATCGACGGCCCAGATAAGCCATATGCTGTCTTTACATTTTTCTATCGTGGGGAGCGTAAGTCATGAGATCCAGGCCTCTAATCCAGGATCTTGCTAAACTCTAGTTTCCCCCCCTCAGGTCAACTCCAAAAGATGGGTGTCATGACTGCCTCTAAGCCGCCGACCGTCACCGCGACTGCGGCAAAACGGCGATCGGGTCAGCTTGACTTCTCAAACCTGGGTCCCTTGAAGACAAGCGGCACCGTGGGCTTCTCGACCTTCCGCGACAACGGAAAGCAGTCATCGAGGAGGCGGAAGTCACGCAAGAAGAGCAATGGCGCCATTGGTGGAGCAATGGACGAAGACAGCGACGAAGATGAAGACGGCGACGACAGCGATGCGATTCTCGGCAAGATGGAAGACGTTGACACTAAGTATGACAAGTCTAAACTCGGGCCCGAAGACGCACAGTTCTCTGGCGAGCTGGCAGACGGAGTCAATCGCATCCGGGTATGAGACCAGACTTTACTTATGACAGCTTGCGGTCGAATTGAAGAAGGCTGACCCCCAATGTCTAGCTCAAACGGGCACACTCTGCGGAGCCAGACAGTGCGGCCAGCTCACGAAAGTCACCTAGCACAGGCGCTGCAACGCCGCCCTCCACCGAAGCGCCAAAGCCCTCCATTGGTCTGTCGTCCACCACCCTTTTTGGCAAGAGTCTGCCCGAAGACAGCGTCATAGGCAGTCCGCTGAAGAAAGCACGACCTAGCATCAGTGAAGGCGCCGGAACCGGAACCGGTGGAGGCTTCCCCCCAGGTCTCGGTAATATCCTCGCCAAGGCAGAGGCTGCTCAGGCGGCTCACAGCAAGCAAGAGCATTCGGCGCCCATAAAGAAGGAGGAAGACATTGAGGAGGAGTTATAGGCACTCAAATTATGGGTACTTTCGGTTTGGTCACTGCCGTGTGTTAGTACTGTCTGGTTATCTGCCTCGGTTGCCCGATAATGGACGAAAAGAGGCGTAGGATATAAGTCACTTCTGTGCTGGTTTTACCGGCGGTACAATGGCGCGATAGAGCAATCTTTAAGACGGGGCAGGGTTGAGGTGGATATATGGGGCCTCTCTCTTTCTCTGTCCATGTCGACGGAGGCTCAGTGATGATCATTCTAGAGATGGTGAGAGTTATCTCAACAGCCTCCTTGGGAGAATATTAGGGTGGAATACAGATACTCCTTACTTCCCTCTCCAGCTAGCGCGTTTTGGGGAGGCCTACTACTACTACCATCTTTAATTGTTTTTTTTTCCTCCAAAAAGATAACAAAAAAGCGACGTCGTCCCAAACGGGTGACATTTCACAGATTTCTTATTCTTCATATTTCATGTCTGTTTCGGGTTGTATTTATTCCCTCGGTGGGGCCCACGACGCAGTAAGACCACCAGCGGCGGCGGCGGCGGCAATAGCAAGCAGGCGGAGCGGCCATGGGTGGAATCGGGCCAAGACACAATACTGTCGAAGCTGGGCAGACGGCAGAGGCAGTCAGGCAGCTAGGCAGCTAGGTACCTGGTCAGGGTAGTAGCAAAATTAGCTAGATTTAGAGTAGAGTCACTTTTGTCGTCGTTGCTATCGCCGTTGCTGTTATCGTTTCTACTATTTAGGGGTTTAATCTTCGGAATACACGCATACATTCCTGCTGTTGGTGTCACTCTTGTTGTTTGTACGAACTGAAACGGGATGGGTTTGGGAGATGGGCGAGGAATGGAAAGACGGTAAATAAAACAGCACAGATGTTGAGGCTGGGCGCTTTGAGTTCCTTTGCTCTGCTAGCCGATGATGGGCGGAGGGCATATTGAGGCAATAATTCTCTGTGCCGGAGGCCGTATGGGGGGTTTCTATCCTTGGTTTGTTTTACTTGACTTCTTTCCCCTTTTCGCGAAGGGAAATATATGGATGGCTATCAAGAAGATGTCCTGGGGAGGCGTGGCTTGTATATATCACTCTAGGTCGGCTTCGAGCTCGCTGGTTAGTTAGTATGGTATTGCCAAGTAGTACATAGAGAAAAGTACTTCTAAGGCGAGCGCTACGGCCTAGGTGGAATCTGTTATCCAGCCCAGCCAGCAGGAGTTACGTGTGAACTGATTCGGTTTTCCTTCCCCTTTCTGCTGAGGAGGGGGGAGGGAATGGAAGGGGTTTTGTCCCAAGAGGGATCGGTTTATCATGTTAGAGAAGCTGCCGGTGGTGGTTCGTACTCCCTACATGCCTTAAGTACCTAAGCTAAAGGGCTGACGGGCGAAGCACGTACATACCTATATGTCAGGACGTATCTAGAAACATATGGAGGTGAAAGGACAAGCATGGTGCTCGAGACACCTCACCATATATAAGATGGACCGCACGGCTTTGGTTCATATGTTGACGCCAATATCTATCCAAACAAGTTGCATTTTATCTTGAAAATCATACAGCCAATATTGGTACGTACTCCCTAGTTACTTCGGACTTCTCTGGTCATTGTTGTGGTAGAGAGCTGTGACGACGTGACCATCTATTTGTACGGCGTGTACCTCAAAGGGACGGGATGAGCGAGTGGTGATTTGCTTGTATTAAGGCGTGGTCTTGACGAGGACTGGCTGCGCACTGTTGATCCCAGTGCTTGCTTGGTTCGCAACACTGGGAACCAAAATAGAACATGGGGACACGGCCAAATATGACAGCAGAGCTGTATTTTCCTCCTGCTCCTCGTCCACTGTCCATCCTTCACCACATCTCAGGCTTCGAACTTCAAAATTGTAGGATATATCCTTCAGGCCAGGCCAAGATATGCGCATGTAAGGTAGCCTAAGCAGCTGCCCGCGTGGGAGAAAAGGGGCAAGAGAGACTGCTAGCGGGCAGCCAACTAAAAGCGATACAAACAACAAGCCTAGGTATCCGCCACGAAGATCAGAGCAGTGGTCATGCGGACGAGAATGGTAGGCAGAGAACCCCATGGGTCTTCGCATCATATCACGCCCACTCCCCGCTGCCATCCAGCCGTCAGAGGCCACGAAGAACAACACATGCATATTGGAAGCCCCGTTTCCCTCAAAGGATAGCTATTCTGCACATCTGAATGGGTATGTAGGTAGTGTGAATGAACAGCCCTTACCGTCCACTACACTACGGCGATTGTGTACATGTTGATGCGAAATACGGACAATCGATTCACCGTTGCTTAGTCACAAAGCGAAAGAATTCCTCGTTAGACTTTGCTCGGGGAGCGTCATACTCAAGGCAAGGTCCCACTCTTGTGTAAAGAAAGGTACCTATGCATGGTCTGCGCAGATTCTAATCTCGCGATATTGAAGTATCATATATTAGCCTCCAAAAGATATCAAGGCTCGGGTGCGTAGAGACCGTCCTCAGTAATTGACAAGGTGCCCAAAATGCATTTTATCTCCCTAAAAAAGACATCGTGACTTTGACTCAAACCCTAGACTTCTCCTTGTGTGCGTGGCTGGCGGGGCGAGATGTTGCCAGCTTGACCACAGGCGTGTTTTTTTGCTTCCACGCCATCCAATGACCTTGCAAGCCCCGCAGCGATGGGATCGCAACTTCGACGGGGACACGACGCTGACTCGGAAATCATCGAAAACCACCCTAAAAAAGATTCGAGGAGCAAAAGAAAGGGGGTAAGGCCGCGCTGCCTTACCCCCCCCGAAGACTCCAGGCGTCCCCTTGGTTTCTTCATGGGTGTACGGTAATGCATCGCTGGGAGGGGGCGGGTGCGGCCCTTGGCCCCCCCTCCCCCAGGTACTGCAACCATAGCTAAGCGAGTCGGGAATGGGCCCGCGGGCCCTTCTCGTCGCTCCTGTTGTAAACCTGCCCGGCAAACGGACCCTATAACCCCTTCAGTGACTGAAGCCCCCTCGGCTCTACTTTTCGTGGCAGCCGCTTCGACCCAGCGCCCGGCAGCTAGCAACGCTGACAATGACGCCCCCACGTTTGTCCGTTCCGTATTTCGAGTGCGCAGCAAGTTGAAGGTAAGGTGTTGGTCGTTCGGGCCGGTGTTGTTGTATTTTGAGCAAATACCCGCCACTACGCAGCCTGTACACAGTCGTACGCCCACAACACAAATCCCATTCACGGCCAACAAGTGAATCAACCTGTAAATGAGCCCTGCCGAAAGACGTGGGGAGCATTGAATTATCGCTAGACCTGTGGTGCCACGGCCGCAATAGCAAAGAATATATGGAGGAGACAGACCGTGCGGCCCGAGATATGGGTAAAACCGGGAGGGGAAGGAGATGCATGCAACAACTATCACGAGAGGGGGACCAGCAACTAGACTGGAGGGTTTAGGTACGCATGGGCAAAATCTAAGACTCCAAAGAAAATGACACCAGTTCAAATGGGGGGCTGGTGACACGATAGAGGCAAACAAGCAGCCGAGCAAACTTTGGTAGGAAAAGATAAAAACAGGGGTAGAGAACATATATTGCACATGAAGGCGATATTAATGTAGACACGCGTAAAAACAGCTTGCATGCCAACCAAGATAATTAATACTACCTACTACCTACCTACCTGAGGTAACCATTGATGTGGATGTTGCTCAAGAAAAGATCTCGACATTGACTACAATGCCTGACCAGAGATAGCAACGTCTCGAGGACTGAGACACAGCCCAGTTCCGACAACAGCACCTGCCAACCGCAGAAAGATGGGTTTCTGTTTCAATGGTTAGCTTACTGAACGGAATGCTAGGCCATCCTTTGCAAACAGATAATAGGGGACAAGTCAGACTGTTGAGCTTGATAATTTGATTGGTTCAACATGTAGATTCAGTTGGCCGTTCTTAATGGAAGTTGTTGTCATCATGAAAAGGCAGGTGCCTTGAGTGTGCAGGTGCGAGTAAATAAATGGTTGTGGTTCTTACCTGGCGGGTTGTCATCTCCTCAACCGGTTGGGATGCTGGTGATGTCCAGTGAGGAGGTGATAGTGGTTGTTTTTGTGTGTGAGGGAAAAGGGAAAGGAGAGCTTGTGGTCGAGATTTTTTTGATGTCAATTTATCCAACCAACGCTCCCCACTTTGGTGTGGGCACAGGCCAGGCCCCAACCAGTCCCAAGCCAAGCCTCGCCCGTCGGCTTTTTTTGCATCCCCCATTCTCTGCCTGAGGCCACAAAAGACCCCACCATCATGGGGGGTTTGGACCTGGGCTGCCTACCCGCCCTTCGTCTCCTTGGGTATCGACAAACTTCCATCAACACTAGCCATCCCACACAACAAATACCCAAGCAACGGTTTGACCGCCTACCTCTCTCCGCCTGCGCCTGCCGATACACAAGAATCTTCTTCAGGGACCCCAAGGTCTCACTCACAAACAAAATGGCGGGTAAGTTGGACTTGGAGGGGCAAGGCTGTTTTCCGCAGTCAACAAGTCTCAGCCTTCCCCGCGATCCCCTCGTTGTTTTGGGCACCGCGCGCTAACACCCCGCTCTAGACTTCAACCTAGTTGCGAGTAAGTGTGCACACTAAAATCGCGCTGTCGAGATGTTGGCTTCGCTTTAGACTTGGGGAGCGTTCTTGGAGCGCTCTCGCGCGACCGTCGCCACCGATAAGACTCTTGATGCTGTTGTGTATTGGGTGGTGTGCTGATGCGCCTTGTTCCCCCCTCACAGCCCAGTTCGTTGGTCACTACTACTCAACATTCGATTCGAACCGCGCGGACTTGGCAGGCCTCTACGTATGCGCCATCCCCTTTAAAGAAGCACTGGCATCTCCGACCTGGCTAACATGTGAGGTGGGAAACAGCGCGACAACTCCATGTTGACCTTCCAGTCTGCGCAAGAGCTCGGCGCTGCTGCGATCGCTCAGAAGCTTGTGGTAAGTCGCCATGGTTTAGCTTGGGAGTCGACGCTCCCGTCTTGTTCCACAGCTACGGCTTCGCTGACTGGTTTCTCCCTGTTCGCTTGGGTTATATAGAGCCTGCCGTTCCAGAAGGTTAAGCACCAACCTGTCACCACCGAAGCGCAGCCGACCCCCGGCGGCGGAATCGTGATCCTGGTTACCGGACAGCTCTTAGTACGTTTCAAAATAGCTGCGCATACCGGGTCGCATACAACATCTCACTGACATTTCTTCCTTCCTGGCTTACTAGGTCGACGACGAGCAAAACCCTCTCAGCTACTCCCAGGCGTTCCAGCTGTCCAAGGACCAGGCCGGGAATTGGTACGTCTTCAACGACATCTTCACACTCGTCTAAGTTTCAGTGAAGTTGGTGGTGTGGATGGGAGGCCGCCGTATTTGACGGGTTGCGCAGCTCTTTGGCAGCCCGAGCAGGGCGTTAAGGATATTATTCGCGCCTCCGTCGTTCGTTTTCCCTTGCGCCTTTTTCTCGGAGAAGATGCTGGATGTAGGTCGGTGGGGCGGTCAACAAGTTGGGTTAAAATATCTAAAGTATAACCCAAAGAGCAACAAATACACCTTGGCTTGGTAACTGCCGCAGTAGACCCCGATACATAGGTGTTGGCTGTGTATATGTGATTTGTACAAGACAAGACAGGTTTATATCCGCTAGACCTATACGGCTCACTTTCGCCGACCCGGCCCCGCCCGGCGCAAGCCTCTGTCAAATGTGTTGCCGCGTAACCTATGAAACTCGATACGTCAGCAAACGCGGCGCCGGATGACAGATGTCGCTGCCTGCTTGGGCACCTGCCGGGTCAACAAATGCAAGCCCAAAGCTTGTTCGCTGTGTAACAAAAATGAGGAAACACCCCACTGGTTTCGCGCGTTCGCCTAGATCTTGAATTCTCTATAAATGAGCTTTGAGTACTGTACGTATCGATATGGATCCAAGCGCTGGCATACGTGTCTGGGGAGCTGTTTCGGAAATTCCAGAAAGAATCAGAGACCCAGCGCCGCATGCCCAAACGTCAGGCCCCTGCTCGCCTGCCAGGTGCCAAGGGAGACACAGGGACCAATCACCGGGTCTCGGGTTGTTTTAGCACAGCCACCCACTGGACTTTCTGCCCGCTTGCCAGTGCGAAAAGACACCTTTTGATTTCTTGGCATTCGTTGCCAGCAGTTGCCCTGCCCGGTAGGGTGCTAGCAGTTACGACAGCTCAACTTGCTCACCATCGCAGCCCTTTTGCCAAAGCTTCACGCCTCTCTCAACAAGCCAGCTTCAGCATTGGTATTTCCGACACTTCCGCCAACGCAGCCCACTGCCTCCGTCACCGAAATCATTGCCCGGGACCGCCGATCTGGTACTTGGGAATTTCTGTGCAGTGCCCGACCCAGCAACACGCATCCCTCGTCCCGTCTTCGAAACTGCCACGGCACGGCCGGCAAAGAACAAAGGCTTTCATCAGCCGGGGGTGTGCTAGAATAGCCCGCTGAATATAACATCGCCTGCCCAGTCCGTCGCGGGATCCTCGCACAATACCTCGCCCATAGACCCGGTCACCGATACCTCACGGCAGAGACCCCAGCTGCTCTCTGTCCAGCCGATAACACACTCTGTCAAGATGACGCTGAAAGAGGAATTCGAGACGCGCAACTTCAGTACGTTGCTCTTGCCCCCCCTGCATCTGTGCCCCGAGACCCGGCCCCGGGCCCCCGGGCGGCCAGGCCGACAGCTTTGCGATTTGCTGACCAAGGCAATTGAACAAACACAGGCATCTACGCACAATGGTGAGCAAGGCTGTCGCTACATGCCCTTCTTCCTTCTCTCTCTTCGTTCCTTCCCGCCAGCGCTCCCCTGCGCAACGGGGACTCCAATGACGACATCACCACTACGGTGCTGCTTCCTCCCTTGGTCGAGTTGCGACGACGACACCTGAGGCGCATGGCGAACGGGGGACCTCCCTTGGAGATACGGTCTTGTTTTGTAGCGTTGAATATAATGAGCTGACGATATCGTCTTGGCGTTTGGTGTAGGCTCGGCGTCCTGTCCATGATCTTGTGCTTCGCCGTCGGCCTGGCCAACATCATCACACTTGATCTCTTGATCATCCCCTTTGCGGCCATCTGCCTGTAAGTTGCTCCTCACGAGATTCTCCCCCGCCCCCTCTCCCAGTCCCTGTCCGCGTCTCTCGTCGTGGTGTTCTTTTCTTTCTTCTTGGCTGTCATGACGTGGCGACTGGTCCATCCCTGGGAAGAGCCCCCGCCCTCTCTCATTCGTCCCTTTCTACGTGACAAGAGAACCAGGAAGCTAATGACTTTCCTCCCCTCCACCTGCTCAGCGCATCATCCTTCCTCATTCTCTTCATCGAGGTACCATTGCTCATGCGCATCTGCCCGACGTCGTCTGGCTTCGACGCGGCCGTTCGCCGCATCTCGACCAACTACATGCGCGCCGCCGCCTACGGAATCATGGCCCTCGTCCAGTGGCTGTCCATCATCCGCAACGCTACCAGCCTCATCGCTGCCGCCGTCACCCTCACCTTTACAGCTCTGTGCTACACGCTAGCCGCCGTCAAGGGCCAGGCTTTTGTCGGGAGCAAGACCCTCGGCGGAGCGGGCGTGGCACAAATGATTGTATGAGCGAATCTGTAAGGGGATTTTGTTGGTTTGGTCAAAGAGAGGTGGCGGTGGAGGGATGAGCTGTCCAAGCTACGATTTTGGGCATGCACGCAGGGCGCATGTTTAGAGTGTCGGAGTTGTTTACCTTGCTGTTGACCGGCCTTGGAGCAAAGTTGGTGGTGGCAGATGTGGTCGTTGAAAAGAGAGCCAGTTCAGGTGGTGGGGAGGAGTTGGCCCGCACATTTCATTCAAATGAGGTGGTGGACGAGGCAGGGAGGTGGACGAAGAGAATGGGCATCTTTTTCTGTTGCTTTTGTCAAGGATGTACCCCTTTCGTGTTTTTGAGGAGGATATTGACACGGGATATTACTGGGCAAAGGTTGTGCGTGAGACAAACACCATGGCGGAGAGAGAGAGAGACCACGAAACCCGCAGCTCAAAACCCGCATGTTTTTTTTCTTTTTTCGGTCTTCAGTTTTCCTATTATTCTTGGGGTCAAAAGGAATGGAAACGGGGTCAAATTTCTTTTAGGGACTGGCGGGGTTCAAGGCGTTGTCTTCAATAGTATATTCTTCCTATTTTATTTTCGCTTTCTTGCACTTCGCCACCCCGTGTGTAGCAGCTACCTAGGTACCGTACCTTGTGTAGGGCTAGTCTAGGTTTCGGTCTAGCTGCTTGTGTTCGCCTTACTCCGCCATTGGGTGACTGCTTGGTATTTGCCATGGGTGCCAGAGTAGTACGGGAACTGCTATCGTCCCTCTGCGCCTCCCTAAACCAATGTTGACCCTGTCGTTTTCATTTCTAGTCTTGTGACTCCCTTTGCGTTTACTGTCGTGTAAATTGTTTCGAGGGGTGATCGTTGGCCTTTTGCTAGGGGTTACTTCATAAAGTAGGTACGTATGCGTATTGTGCGCTGTGGGTTGATGGAGGGAGGCGACTTTACCATGTTGAAGTCTGGACTGCATAGGTATCATTGAATATCTCTGACGACGGTCCCGGGCAAAACACGGTACATAGTATAGAGGCCTAGAGAGATATGGCAATGAATGTGTAGGTAATGATATGCTCGTCATGTCGAATATTTCCAAGATAGGTCACTCATTACAAGAGCCACATTCTTGGTCACGTTTATTTTCTATCACGATTGTATACAGGGCAGTTGTGGATTGGAACGGGACAGTGATGGATGGATTGACAACTGCTGACCATATGAATTAGCTAAGGTAGTGATGATGGTGTGAGATTTTGAAAGTTGGGATTAGTCGAGGGAAGGAAACAGAGACGTGTGAGTGAAAGATGAAAGACGAGAAGGGACATTGTATAAGTCGGGAATATATCTAGAAATTCACAAGTTGCTAGGAACTGTAGGGAGCTTTCTGACAAACAAGAGCCGCGATGTTGCCGCAATCTTGATTTCAAGAACAATATGTGTTGTATATTTTGGCCGATATAAATGCTTTTCGAGACCTGTCCCATGTCCCAATGCTATGTCTTTGGTTGTCAAGTATCCGTTTGCATGAGGGTTCGTTTGTTCAGCACTACCACATCCCGGGTTCCACGCCCGGAAAGACAAGCTGCTGACCCTACGTTGATCTCGATGCAGTCTGAGGTGAAATCCGCTGGACCATTCAGCTATGTGAGGCGTTTGATACCCTGTATCGAAGCACAAATAAACCACTCAAGTCACTCTTAGAGAGGAAGCCCCCCATATCAATGGAATTAATTGCTCAGTGGGGGTACTGTAGTTTTGGAAACAGAGGCTACAGGCAGTATAGGCAGTATATGGCAACTAACTTAACTACGGATTACTTTCAACTTCACATCTCAACTCGAGAGGAAGTCACCGGCCAACCGAGCTTGATGGAGAGCGTCTTGGATAGCTTCGCATAACTCCAGGGGTGCTCCATGTTCCAGATACATAGCAGAGCTCCACTGAGCAAGAAGGGGATTCAAAACGCAAAAATAGATATGTAGAGCTCTGGCACCAGTTTGGCTTCCTGGGTCTGGAGACATTGAGTCGAGCAGCGGGCGTCATTCGAGAGGAACATCATGAGTGAGTGGTTTGGCATTGGCCTCTACAAACACGTCAGGCCATTCATTTGCGCCGCAGACAAATGGGACAGAAGAAAAGGGCTCTATGATGGAAAAGATGCGCGGGTTGGAAAAAGTGCTGGCAAACACTGTGTACCGACAATGGGCTTCTATCTGTGTCATTGGGAAGGGTTCGGAGACGGCACTTGCGGATGATAACCAAATAAAATCTAGACCACCTAGTCTCTGTGTTGTCGACAACCTGCACCCAGCACTGTTGCACCTCGGTGCAGAGGTACAGTGCGGTAGATACGTGCTTTGTCGCTGTCGATATACGGGGGTGATGCTCGTGAAAGGTACATGCGGAACAGGGAGCCCGACCAGGGCCCAACGGGCTCCCCGCAAAACAGTGTCGGATGTGGAAAAGGGGGTCTTGGCAGATGTGGAGGGCGGATGGTGCAGAAAAACAACAAATGCCCCGTGATCTGCTCTAGGTGGTAACGAGGGTAGAGGTATGTATGTAGGAGAGCACATGACCGCCTCTTGTGCGAATGCACCGGTCTTGAAGCTGAGCTTTTCGGGGCTTCCTTTCCGTGGCTAGCGGGCTTGCGGCGGGTTCTGTGGTTGTGGTTGTCTTTCAACCGTCCTTTTCAGTTTCCCTTTCAGTTCAACCGCAGGGGTGAAGGCTGGCCCGGCAAGGGTGATATAATATTCTGCAGGCAAGTGCAAGACATCGAGATCCCCCATCAAAACGACTTGCTCCACAGTGAGCAGATCCATGCTTCCCTCGACTTACACTACTAGCCAGTGCGAGCATCATTGTCGTAGACCGTGGCCAGTTTCTCTTCGCTAATTGAGTTGCCACTGAGGAAAAAGAGACTAGTGGGATTCAAGCAATGGCGGGTTGCGTCATATCTTGTCTAATGCTGAGGCATTTCTTAAAGTGCTGTGAGGTAAGAGCAAGGCAGTAAAACGAGTCAAATTAGAAATAGGTAATAGAGGCCTCACTTTGAATCCTTGGTCAACAATGAAAACGAAAGGCTCTCGCGGCCGCTCGAAAATCGAAACCCTTCGCCCCGCAAGCCGGGTTGGGGGGACCTTGGCTCCGCAGTTAGCAATCGACGAGCTAATCGCGGCTAGGAAAGGTTGTCCTCGTCACTGCCATGTACCGTGGGTAGGGCCCGAGGCTCGATATGTTCCCGCCAACACCACACCACCCACCGGCTTCTCAAGGCTCCCGACGGCGCATCGCGTCGCATCCTCTATGCGCAGAGAGAAAAGCGGTCACCGGGGAATTACGCACTGGGTGGGGCTCGTCGCGATTGGACTGGTGGTTATGAAAATTGCTCTCGGATGCATGGCGAGACGGATTACCTGCAGCAGGCGGCCTGGTTAGAAGCTGGAGAAAGTAGAAACATTCGACCAGGCCAGCCGCCGTCGCGCGTGTGAAAGACAAAGAGACTCGTCAGGTACGGATCACCGAGTACAGTACATACAGTATGCGCACACAGTAAGCGCACACCGTACCATTTCTTGGAAGGTGACCCCCAAGCGAAACACGTGGACTGGAAGCCGTACCTCACTGGGAGCCTGAGGACTCGAGGGGGCGTTCAAGCCACTGACAACTGCTCAAGAAGCAAATTAAAACCGTTCACCAAGTTCTCGATCCAACGACCCCGGCCGTGAGCTAAAAAGATCGAAAAGCCTCGCCGTCGTCCCAACTCCAGAGCATAGGAAGGAAGAAGAGAGCTTCAGCCTCTGACGGCCCGCTTTGGTCGCGGCCGAGGCGGTCAGATCCTTGGTTCGACAGTCGTCGGTCGATATGAAAAGGGGCCACATCGATTTGTTAATAATCTACGTACGCTACCAAGAAGGTAGACCTAGAGTACGGAGCAGTAGGGTCGGCCGGCTCTCTGCAACCGCAAGGTTCTTTCGCGATGGTGCACCATGGCAAAGTTTTCGAGTGTCCCCTCGTTCGTTCCTCGAATCCAGAACGCCCGCCCTGTCATCAAGCTTGGCCGGTGGGGAAATGGTGGGGTAAACCTGATGACGCTGATCAGGTCCAGGGGGCCACCACCTCATGCGGAAGTAGCTCCAAGGTAGTCGGCACCCGTCCGCTGATTCAGAAAAGACTTGAGCTGTGGACCAATTCCTCTCTGAAAACACGTAACCCTGAAGCCTCTAGTTTAGGTTGTTCATATGATGTGATTTCGGAGCTGAAGGCGCCAGCGTCTTGGAGCCGCGATGTCTCGTTTCGCGTAAAGAACGTCAAGATACGGAGTACCAGGGTGGGTATCGAAGGCCTTGGTACGGCGAGGTGAAGGAAGTCTCGAAGAGGCTCGCAAGATGGAATTGTGTGTTTGCACCGTCCCGTGGCCAATAAAGCCAGCCTTTGACCTACCTAGACACTGAGTAGAAGCTTCGACGCCCTCAACATCCTAAGGCTCGGGACAGTTGAAAGGAGTCAGAAAGGCACTGTGCGCGTTTCGACGCTTAAATAAACCAGCCGGAGGAAGGGGATACTTCGAGCCCGGGTACATGTGTTGTACATCTAGAAGGTACATCAGCGCAAATAAATCGCATTGGTAAGTCCTACAAGGGATTGTCGTCCTTCAAGCAGTGTGGATTCCACGTTTTGCAGAGTCACTGGACCACTTGGAATGCATCCTAACCTGATGAGGCCGGAATAGACAACAAGATCCCTGTTTACCTATGTCGTTGTTGGATGTTTTCCTAGGTACTGTAGGTACGGGTTAGTGAAGTTGCAAGTGCCCGTACTGTATGTAACTTCGTACTCCAGTACCTTATTGTACCAGGGCCCAGCAAATTCGAGCACAGTCGAGGCGGTTCAATACCGTGCAGCCAGGCCACCCAGCAACCTACTTGCCTACCTACCTAGCCACTCCGCAGGGCAGCCCTGGAGGCCGGATTTGTCGCTAGGTAATGACGAAGCCAGGAGACCTTGACGGCAGGGTGCAGCGATATAAGTGGCTGCACGCCGCCGCCCAAACTCGTCCACATCAAGTTTCATCTTCGACTCCGAGACTGGGTTTATTATGCCAACAACTCCAGCATCCTGATGATTTGAGTCTCAATTGAATCCGAGGACTTGTTTCCTGATTTCATTTTTCTCGTCGAATCATCGCCAACCGCCCCCGACCCATCTCTCGCATTTGATCCGCTTGCCGCGTCTTTTTTTCGCCCATCTTCATCCATCCACCAACAGCCCATCCGCCAGGTATGTTTGTCAAGCTCATGCGTGTGCCAATGGGAGGGCACGCGAAAGCTCCAGCAGCAGCTCCCCACCATCTTCCAGCTCTCTAGACCTTTCTTCCACGAGTTAGATGAAGACGGAGCCTACCTTAGCCATTACATACTTTACGCACACCACCCACTCCCCATCACCGTCCGTTGCACAAGTTTTGCTGGGTGTTGGGGAGGCGCCCGCAGCATAGCCATTCGCTGCTGGGCGGCCTCCTTGACACCTCACACACTGCCGCTGCACGTCCCCGTTGTTTCCTCGCTGCTGCTGGCATGGCATCAGCAAAGGCGAGCGAGGACAGCGAGGGGCGTCGCGCAGCTCTCCTCCCGTGATGGAGACATGCTGCATCCGCAGCGCCCCAGCTCTGCACGCGGAGGCGCACATTCCAGCCCAAAATATCCATACATTGCACGCCATGCACCTCCACTACCTTAGCTACCCTACCTGCCCGAGCTAGCCCGCGCGAGCAGCAGCCTGTCTTGCCTGCCTGTGCAAATTGGGTTGCTGGCGACGGCAAGCAACCCTTTCCACCTTTCTCTATCACCGGTATCGCTCCGCCTGTCTGACATGGCTTATCGGGCGACCGATGGGCCTGGTTTGGCGGTGACTCGTTATCTGCTAGCACAAGGCTGCCCCGGTCGAGTCCTTTTGTAACGCGCAGGGGCGGTGGATGCGCTTTGTCGCAAGCGAATGTAATGCACATACATCAAGATTCGAGATTGCTGCGAGGGAAGCTTCACCGATCGGATGGTTCAGGAGGCGGGCGGGCTACCGTTCCCCAACGGAGCTACCTCTTGGGTCCCCACCACCGCCCCCTTGCCCTTGTCCGTGACCATGACCTGCTGCCGCTCGGGGCCACCACTTATCTTGCATCTTGCTTCAACCTCGTTTATCTCTCTTGTTGCTCACCGATTGTTCTGCTCGTGCTAACTAATCCCGAGGCGCATCTCGCCAGACAGACTTGGTTTAGTCTCAGCCAGCACTTACACGGCTGTTTCCGCGAACACCCGACTTCGACTGCCTCCCTTGTTACACTCGCCCTGCCATCCTCCGCCTTCCTTCGCCGCGAAGTGAGGCTCGATATCAGACCCCGACTTCCCGCCCTTTTTAGTTTCCCTTCTTCCTCCCGCCACCATGTCGGCCACCACAGCCCACCAGCCTCCAGCCATACCACCCAGGCCCTCGAGAAGTCAGGAGAAAGCAAACATGCCTTTGATCCCCCCGCGGCCCGTTAACCGCCACCTCGAGCGTTCTGTGAGCCCGAACCCCAGCCGCTTTGCGCCCTCTCCCTTGAATGAGAGCCCCCTTGGGTCCAAGTCCTCTCCTGCCACTGGGCTCCGCTTCGGCTCGAGCAACGGCAATGGCAATGGCAACGGCCACAATGGAAACCACTCCGATCGCGCCATACCCCTAGATCTACCCTCAGTTGGTGAGGAGGGCATGGAATATGCTGGGCTGGCCGACGAGTTGAATACGAGCGCCCGCGAGCAGGCCAGCAGCCCCGAGCAGCTGCGGACCGTCGGAAATGACGTCAAGCTCCACGCTCCGAAACCCTCGTTGCCTGCCTCGAGCGCGAAGCAGCGCGTTATGGCTATCACCCGCACCGACAGTGACCGGGCTGCCTCGTTTGGCATTGGCAGGCCGAGCAGCGTTGAAGATTTGACCCCGGCATTGCCCTCCAACCGCAGCCTCAAAAAGAAGGCTAGCACTGCCAGCCAACTGTCGACGACAGACTATACAGATGACGAGCAGGGCATCCCCGAGATTGGCCAGCAGGTTCCCATGTATCCGAACGCTGGTGACGTCCAGGCTCCTTCCCCTGCGCCCGGTTCTGCCGCTGCTGAAGGAATCAAGACGAAGCACCACAGTCGCAAGCTATCGGCCCGTGGTGGAGCCTTGCCCCCCGGAAGCTACGGTCTTCACGGCCATGGTGTCGTGGCCCAAGACAAGCTTGAGAAGGCCTACTTTGAGAAGCACCCCGATCTCCTGATGAAGGAACACACGCCGCATCATCATGATCGGCCTTACGACTTTTCCATGAGCAGAGACGACCTAAACAAGATTGTTAGGGACACCGCAAGCCGCGGCTCCGGTCTCGCTGTTAAGGATTACGCGGGCACCCCCAGTGATCAAGTCGGTTGGCAAGTCATCGAGTCTGCCTCGCGTGTCGCATCACCCGGCCCCAGCGAGGCTAAATCTCCGCGCAAGCCTTCTTCTCTCGCTGGCTCAGACAAGGAATCCCGCCGCGCATCCGAGGCTGGAAACGTGATTCATGTCGATGAGCCTAATCGCCGGAAGTCGGTCATGTTTAGCGAGGGCGAATCGTCTGAAGTGGACGAGGAGGGACGTCAATACAGCGCCCCTATCCTTGCTGAGGACGAGCTGGCCAAGGATCCTGGGCCGTATGACCACCAGCCGGCAGTCGAGCCAACAGAACGTCGCGGAAGCGGCTACGAGATTCAGGAATCCACAAGCCGCCCTACGAGCAGGCCCGCAAGCTTGTACAAGGAGTCGTCGTTCGAAATTCGCTCGACTCCTCTGGAAGATGTAGAAGAGTACGAACCGCTATTTGCCGAGGACGAGAAAGAAAAGACGAAGAAACCCGAGGCGGAAGAGAAGAAGTCTAAGAAGCAACGGTTTCCTAGCGCTGACATCTGGGAGGATGCGCCCAGTAGCGTGCACTATACTGCAGAGGTGTCGACGCCTGATTTGTACGACGAGCAGGAAAAGCCGAAGGAGCAAATCGCCCCGCCGCCACGAGACGGCGAGACACCTGCCCAGGCATTTGCGCGTCACCAGGAGGAGTTGGCTGAGAAAGAGACGCGTGAGCATGGGCCGGAGGCGTTCCTGCCAATGCGCGGCAAGCAAAAACCTGTCTGGGTGCAACATAAGGCGCACCTCGCAACCGAGACGGCGGGCCGTCCCCCGCTTGGTCAGAGGTTCCCTAGTCGTGACGTATGGGAAGACACACCCGACAGCCTGAAGTTGGAGACGACCGTGTCGACTCCGCAGCAAGACAATGAGCAGTCGCCTGTTGAGTCCAAGTCGCCCGTAGAGTCCAGGTCGCCCGTGGAGTCCAAACTGGAGATTCCGGTCCGGCCTCAACCCAAATCGCCCGAGGCTTCCGAGAAGCCCGCAATTCCCGAGCGGCCCAAGGCGTCGGGCGATGAGAGTAAACCGGCGATTCCGGCCCGTCCGAAACCCCACATTCCAAATCGCCCTGCCAAGGCCGGCCCCACTTCGGGCGGTCTGGAGCCTGCCGAGGCTGCCGCGCCTCCGCGTGCGAAACCGGCTGTTCCTGTCCGCCCCGTGGGCTCCAAGATTGCTGCGCTGCAGGCCGGCTTTATGAGCGATCTCAATAACCGGCTGCGGTTGGGTCCCCAGGCCCTGAAGAAAGAAGAGCCCGCGCCGGTAGAGGAGCCAGTTGAAGAAAAAGAGAAGGCCCCCCTGAGCGATGCGCGCAAGGGCCGTGCCAGGGGTCCTCAGAGGAGAGCGCCTGTGGCGAGCGTCAGCCCTGCTCCCGCCGCCGCGCCCAAAGTAGACGAGCCGTTCAAGCTTGTCATAGCGCCAGCGCACACCCTCTTTGAGGTCGATCCTGACGAAGGCGTGTTAAGCGTCGGCGACAAGAGTGCCCTCGGACTCGACGGAGCAAAGGACGAGGAGGCGAAGGGCGAGGCGCAAAAATCAGACACCTCAAGTAGCGTCTCTGTTCCGACCGCTGCAGGACCTGAAGAACAAGAGCATGATGGTGAGAACAAGACGGCTGAGTCCCAGACGGAAGAGTTCGGAGTGCCGCCGGCTGCTGAAGAAGAGAGCAAGACACTGGCTACCAACATTGCGGGCGAATCAGTCGTGGAAGAGAAAGTCAAGGCTGACGAGAAACACCAGGACGAGGTGGAGCCCACTCATGCGGAGGAGCATTGACGTGACTGACATGACTAAATGACTTGTGTGTTTTTAACAGGAAAACGAGCAAAAAATCTAATAAAAGCAGGGGGGTCTTGACTTTAATTTTTCTGAACGGAATGGGGTCGTGCTCCGTAGCTTATAGGGGTTGTTTGCCTTTGCGTTTTCTTCCAATGTCAATACTATCTGTCTGCCGTTACGCGACTGTGTATACACGCGCCCACTAGTAGCATCTCGAGGTGTACATGATACTCGCTTTGGATTCAGTCTCCGTGGTGGACTCACTCTCTGTTGAGTGTTGATGTCACGACATGACAGCAAATACGAAGTAGGCAAACTAATGTACCATTTCCATGTTTACAGATCCCCGTAATTTCTGGCGATAAAACAGCCTCGCTATCTACAACAAGTTTCAGCAGGCACCTAGTGTGCCAATAAGCATCTCTACTACAACCTACAAACATCAGAAACCGAAAAAAGAGACCGATAGTCGCCTTCCGCTCAAACATTCTCCTATCCCTCCATTTTCTTGACCTAGGCTTGGAACGAGAAAGAACCTAAATATTAAATTCGGGACATCTCTCATCTTGCCCTCTGGCATACATACCCCTTAATTACCAGAATCGAGAACCAACGCCCCTGCCAAAGTACGTTGCAAATATTTGATGGCCTACAGACGAACTAGGTAACCTAGGTGCCCCGGCAATTCCTATTCTGCCGCTTCGACTTTCTCCCCGCTCCGTGCTTCGCCTTCTTCCTCGTCGGGGGGGATCCAGATCAGCACGCCGCCGTCCTTGTCGAGCTTCATGCCCTCGGTGGGGATCACGCGCAACACCTTCTGGAAGTACTTGTCGCGGACGACGAGGCCGGGCTTGATCCAGGTGCCGCCGGCGCCGTCGGCGCCACCGCCTGGAGTCGCTGGAGTTGGCGGCAGTGCCTTGTTGGCGCTAGGCGTGGTGGGCGTTGGGGTGGGCGGTGGTGGCCGCGGTAGGGGTAGGAGTCGGTAGGTGACGGAGCGGCGCGACACGGGGAGTAGGTTGAGGGTTGTCTGCTTGGGGCCGGAGAAGGCGAACTCGTCGCTGGGCTCCATGGAGACGCCGAAAGTGAGGAAGTGGGCCGAGGCGTTCTCGATGATGACGTGCAGGACCGTGAGCTGTGGCGTCCTTGGGCTGCTGTTGTCCTTGTTGAGTGACGGAGGGTTGGGCGGGATGTGTGAAACAGAAGCCAGCACGCGCGGCTCGGTGCCAAACAGAGTGAAGCGGGGGACGGGGAGTGTCGTGGTGTTGACTACTACTTCTGACGAAGAAGTATCTGGGTGACAGCGCGTCCACTTGATGACGAAGGACACGTCGAGGGTTGAGGGGCTGCGGTCGTCGAGCGTGCTTTTTCGCGCGTCGATGTCGAAGGCGGCCTCCACAATGGTCCGCGGACGGATCAGTCGCCCGCGCCCACGGTCTTCGTCGGCCAGTGGAAGCACACCGGGCTGCTTGGTGTGGAAGCACCGCACCGTCCTTGCCGTCTGGACGCGGATGTCGACGTTGACGACACGGAGGTCCTCCGACGCAAACGAGGCATAACGAGTTACCAGACACCATGCCTGGGAAATTCCCTTATGAGACATATTTGTTAGAGCAGTAGAAGCAGCATGAGCAGCATTGCCGCTGCCGCTACTGCCGTCGTTGCCATCGTCATCACCACCTGAGAGACCATTAACGCCATTGTAGTCAAACATGCTCGGCCAGGGATCGGGATGCACGCGCGGGAGCAGATCATAGTTGGCTTCGAATGGGTTGACAACGTTGAGCTGGAGGAGGGCGGTCTGCACGATGGGTGTCCCAGGGTCCGTCGAGAGGTGGTATGTGACCCGCATTGTCAAGTCGTATCTGTTAGACCGCTCGATGGGGGGCACATTGAGGCGGACGGTAAGCGCCTTTGAACTTTCGATAGTCCCGAGAGAAAGGCCACGCAACTTGCTCTCATCGTTCACGACCGTGCTGCTGGGGAGGGCGTCACCAGCCCCCTGGCCTACCACCTCAATGCTAAACACAGGCGTGTCTTCGCCAAACAGGTCGACATCAAGCTTGGCTAGGGCTCCGTCGGCCTCGTCATTGACAATCTCAAACTCGAGCTGAATGGGCTCGTCGTTGTAGTACTGGTCTTTCCAGGCTGGGGCTTTGATCTTCAACTTCGGAGGCCTTGGCAAGACGCGCACGGAAAGGGGGATTGCCCGGGCAATGCGTTTGGTAGACGACGCTGAGATGTACCACAGGTTGGAGCTATTGATTCCGCTCCCAAAGTAGAGGGATTGCTGCAAGTCAAAAGCTTCCGACTCAAAGCTCAACTTCAGCGAAACAGCACGCGTTTCGCCGGCTTCTCGAAGGGGTATATCAACGCCGAACACTGTAGTTTGGCTCGGCAGCAAGGTCAGGTTAGCGTTCCCACGCAAGGTGAGTTTCCTGTTTGATTCGTCCAGATTCTCGACTTCTGATTTCGCGCCGTCTTCGGCGGCATCTGTCAAGGACACGGCCGACAGCGCGACGGAGCCATGTTTGCGTGGTTCTGTGGCGGCGCCCGCTTGATGCTGTAGAACGACGCGGCCAACACTTCCACTGAACTCGATCTCTATGCTCTTTAGTACGACGGGCGCGGACCCTTGTTGCGCATTGGATTTGATTGCCAGCTGCCCTCGGGTGCTCTGGCCAGCCTTGCCCTCCTCGTCCCTAAAGACGAAGGAGGCGGAAACAAAAGGAAGAAGCTCTCCGTGCTCAATGTGGACACTGGGTTTGGACTTGGGCGCTATGCCTTCCAGGGACCTCGTGATGTCGTAGTGCCAGTTGGTGCGCCTTGTAAAGTCTGCAATAACGAGTTAGTAATCGGCAAAGGCAACGGGCTCGCGTTTGGTGCTGGAAGCGTACAGCAGACATACTTTGACCTAGCAGTTCCCAGTCGATGGCAATAATCAAATCGGCGTCGCCAACCGCAGCGGCCGCTGATCTAAGGGCCCAACTCAAATCCTCTGCAATGGCTACCCAACCCTCGGAGCGGAAAGACATGTCCCGCCAGAGCGAGCGCAGCAACTCGACAACCCTCTTCCAGTCCCTGACGAGGGCAAGTTCCTTGGCGCATTCGAGAGACAGCTCGGCGGCAAACCGAAACTGGTGTCTCTTGAGGAACTCGGAGCGAGCCCGCTTTAGGCAATCAACAATCATGCGGCTATGGTCTACACCGCCGGCGCCGTTCAAAGGGTACTCATCATGGGGATCTGGGCACATGTATGTGTCGTACGTAAACGCATTGTTGGCGACATGAGAGGCTGGAGAGGAGCTCGGCGGCCGCCTGTCGTCTTCGGACATGGCGTGGGCCAGATTCCGCCGCGCACTCAAATGCTTCGCCGCCAGGTGGTACCAGTAGCCCGTGTGATGTAGCATTTCCCACGGCTGCAGGCGCTCCCCCATGACATTCTTTTCGGGCTGGAGGTAGAGGTTCATGGTGGCAGGGGTAAAGCCGGAGACTGCGGTCCTCTCGATCAGGTTTGCCATAATGATTGCCCAGCGTGCCTCCCAGGCCTTCCACCCGTAGTTGGAGATGCCCCGGCCACGACGGTCGACGAACTCGGCAATCCTATCTCGATGCGACTGCCAGCGCCGGGCGGCGGCACTGTGCTGGCCGTTCCAGAGCAGGCATCGAAGGCAGCGCACGGCAATGACGTCGGCGAGAAAACGGGCCTCGTTCCACCGCGGGCTCCAGCTCGGAATGGCCTCGAGCAGCTCGGGACCGAGCAGGTTTTCGTAGGCCTGCTCAAACGACAGCAACGCATTGCCCAGCTCCAACCGGTACTCTGCGAACATGGCCGACTTGAAGTCATAGCGAACGTTCCATCCAGCCTGAGAGAGAGTCTGCGAAGTGCCCGAGGTGGGCGGCACTGTCGGCTGGGGGACCACGCCCCTGGCCTTCTTCTTGCGGGAATGCCTGCCGAGGTCACGAAAGTATTCAATGGCTACGCCGTAAAGCGTCGTCAGCATGTTCTCGGCCATGCGCTCTAGCTCGTCGGGGGATTCGCTGGACGGGGCGAGGAACAGCGACTTGGCATCTATGGCGCAAGCTCTGCGGATGGCCTCGAGACGTTCCTGGACGCTGTCGACCGAGTGAGTGTCCTGATCGCTGAATAGCACAACGGCCAGCCGCGTCTTATAGCCCGACTGGCTCAGAAGGCCCCGCAGGTTGTTCAGGTCTGTCTTGAGACGGTTGTCACAGAGGGTAGCAAGCGTAGGATCCGAGACAAGGTCGTAGAAGCAGAGCAGAACGCTGGGGACAAGGTCCTGGTGCTTGAGAATCCACTGCGCATCCATCAAGCCGTCAGGATATAGGGGCGACACGGGGCTCAGGGGCGAGAAGGGGGAGTGCAGGGTGGCCGACAGGTGCGGGCTCTCGACGCCGTCGGGCAGGCGCGCACGGCGCGGAGGCAGGAGGAAAGACTATATTTCGGCACCATCAGATATGCGATCACTTCACGACACGCACAACAAACACCGAGAACATCACCAAGGGAGCAAGACAGGACAGCACAGAGCTAAGCTTGCAAGCCTAGCTCTGGCGCCCCACGCTGTCTGTCTACGCACCCTCTCTGCCGTCTTGACGCGAAACCGGTAGCGCCGGGACGTGTCTCGGCTATTGGCGGGCAGCTGCGAGGCATCGTGGTCCTCTATGTAGCCTAGCAGAACGTGGGCCTGGTCTGAGTCGAGGGCGGGAAGCTCGGATCGGATCAGGATGGCCTGGTCCTTGAGCGCCGCACCCAGTTTCGCCTCGTGGATTGAGCCTGCCGACACGCCCAAGGTGAGAAGCAGAGGGATGTTGGGGTCTAGACTGCCGGCCGGGTAGTCGTCCATTGTATGCTTGCTTGTTTGCCGACTGGCGATGTTGGGCTTCGTACGGAGTAGGTAGCCTCGTTCTAGATCAGTCTTGCTGACATTACCAATCCCGGCAATGCTGCAGCTTGCAGGGCGCTCTGGGCAAACCCAAACGGCGTGCCCAACACAGGCAACGTTAACCAACTCTCCTTCCGTCCTCCCTTCCTCTCCTTTCCCTTTCCTTTGCTTCCTTACGTCTCAATTCCGAGGCCACGGTAATTTCGGGTTTGTGCGGCGGCGTTGGCTCGACGGCAAGGTCCAGGGGTTCTTTCCGATCTCGACGTCTGGAGCTCTGGAGGGGGCCTCGAGAGTTTTTGCTTCCAATTTTGCTTTGGCGCGACATATGCGGGCAGTACCTAACAGATAGTCGGGTGCAGCCTGGCGAGTTAAGTTTCGGCCGTTCAACCTACCTAATCATGGCCAGCTTCCTACCCCAGCGGACGGTTGTCGAGATGGGAACGGACCGATGACGGGATGTCGAATACTGGCTGACTGGCTGCAGGTGGGTGCTTTCAGCTCCAGCAGAGCGGCTTCCAACTGTGCCGGGCTGGGGTCTGAAGGATGGGGCTTCTTAGGCTGGGCTGGCGCTCGGGTGGCAGGGGTCGTTATCTTATCGGCTGGGCCCACTGCCTTAGCTCTTGCAGCTTGGGTGGCCGTGGCTCGCCAGGCGAGGTGGGGTAGTGGGCGGGAACCTAACCTGTCGCGTCCGCCGCTAAGAAACGCGTGCCGAGACGCGTCTAGCGCTGTCGCCCATCCAAACAGTGGCCGGGGCGCCGCCGTTGAACGTTTCCATGACCTTGAAGAACTCTCGGCATGCAAGGTTATGTGAATGTTCCGACCCTGACGACGTCTGCGCCCACGTCCACGCCCACGCTCATGTGCGCCACATATCTCTGTCCATCACAGCTGTATTAGTATAAGAGGTAGCTGCAAGAAAACGGACAGACAGTCACAATGCCTCTGCAAAAGTCCTTTTCCGAGCAGAACAGGCCGGCACCAAAGGTCCGTCTCTCTTTCCATTATATTCATTACCTTGCCCGTGCTATGCGCTAACATCCAGCAACGCCAGCGTCCTCAATGGCAACGGTCGAGAAGCAATCCCAATGCCCAGGCCCAGGCCCAGGCCCAAGCTGCTAAAGCTGCCTCTCGGCCACTGGCGCCCGTGTCCGAGTCAACCAAGAACAAGCTACTCGCCTTCCAGTTCGAGCCTCCATCCCCAGAGGCTGGCGACGACCCTGTTGCCGTGGCCCCAAACCTGCCCAATGGTGCTGGCGACCCGGCCAAAGAAGGGGGTAACAACATCAAGAAGGGGCTGGCCCCGGGCAAGACATCACCGCGTCGTCTTGGCCGACCAGACCCCGCTGTTGCGCCTGGGCCTGGCTCCCGCCTGACCTGGCAGGATCTGCTGGGCGTCCAGGAACTCCCCAAGGAAGACGACGCCGCTTCTCCCAGCGAGAGAATCATATGGCGGACCGACCACGGCGCCCAGCTCCCGCCCGCCATGTCTCCCATGCTCGCTCGAAAGGGCCGGAAACGTGTGAGGAGCTCGTCGCCCGCATCGTCGCCGGCCTCCAAGTCTGTCACCCCGGCCATCGACGCCAAGAAATTGGCCAACGTCCTCAGAACCCCTCGCGCCGATCCTGCATCCGAACTGTGGGATCGTTTTGCCCTTCCCGGCACAGATGCCAGCCCATCTAGCGCAACCAACCCGCTCCTCGCCCAGCTCATGGTATCTTCCTCCCCTCGCCCCTCCAGGGACGGCGCTGCACCCGGGAGCACTAGGTCACTCAGGAAAGCCATGAGCTGCGGCTCTCACTGGCCCAAACGGCGCAAAACCGATCGCAACGAAGAGCAAGGAGCCGCCTCCCAGGGTAGCCCCCGCCGCAATGCTAAATCCTCCTTGGTGTCAGCTCTGCTGGAAACAGTTGATGGCCAAATACAGAGATCAAAATCAGCCGAGGCCGCAGCACAGCAACCAAAGTCCCCATCGTCGCGGAAGCGATCGCTCCTGGGAAGGCGGACAGAGCCCAAGACTCAGAATGTGGTGTCGCCTTGTCGTCCGACCTCCAGGGGGGGATTGCTGGACCACAGAGCCCCAGTGCTGGACATTGAGGCGAACGGCATTGACAACCACCAGCCCGCAGCGGTAGCAGATAGCCCGTCCTCAGACTATGGCGACATTGATTTTGACGACAACACACTTATGGAGCTCGATGCCACTTTAGTAGTGGCGGAAGACGACAACCAAGACAATACGCTAGTCCCAGTACCCGCACATGAATCGGCTGGCTCGGCGACTGCTGACGACGACTTCGGAGATCTGGATGATAACCTGTTTGACGGGGCCGAAGACCTAGTGGCGGAAGTGGAATTCAAGCATTTCTCACAAGCAGCCTCTCAAGGCCAGAAGTACGACAGGCCACAGCAAATCGACCGGGGGGTGAGCAAAGACTCGTATGGGGATGATTTTGGCGATGACTTTGGCGAAGACTTTGACTTTGAGGCGGCGGAAATGGCAGCAACACAATCGGCCGTACATGCCCGAACCTCGTCATCTCGTGTACGTACATTTCGATAGCCACTTCGATGAAGCATCGTGCTAAAAGCCTCAAAAATAGTCGACTCAAAAACCCAAGGCGATCCAGAGATATAAGATAACGAACGTCCTCGAGAGCTCGTACACAGATGACCGTGGCCGTGAACTCCCCGAAAAGGTATGAGAAGCCGTCGCGGCCTTGCGCTAGAGAGAAGTATATATTTGCTAACGCGCCTTTTTTTCTTCAAGATACTGCTCGTGCAGGTCGAGAAAACCAACGTAGTGAAAACAATTCATCTCAGGGACGACTGGTATGACACGCAGGCTAGCCAGTCGGCTTTTGTTCACGTCATCGGCACCTTTGAGGCGTCGGGCAGGTGCATCGTCGACAACAACGAGAACATGGTGGTGTTGCACCCGGACCAACTCATTTCGTCCACTGTCGTTGCCGATTCGTTCACCTGCACGCGCCGAGCTGTTCTTCAAGACCGGGTCAAAGCCACGAGCGAGTTAAGCCCGGCTCTCGTGTACGGCACGATCCTCCACGAGATCTTTCAGGAGGCGCTGCTGGCCAACAACTGGGACATTAAATTCCTAGCGGGCGTCATCGACAAGACTCTAGAGAAGCACTTGGAGGACATTTACATCATCAAAGTTGGCATGGACGACGCGAGGGGCTACCTCCTGTCCAAGATGCCCGAGCTCAAGAATTGGGCAAAGGCTTTTGTGTCGCCGCAGCCGAACCCCGACGCTATTGTACAGGGCCGGAACGGGGAGCGGGCCAACATGTGCGTCAGCAAGCTGCTCGATGTCGAGGAGCACGTCTGGTCCCCAATGTACGGCCTCAAGGGCAACATTGATGCCACGGTGCAAGTGACGATGCGCGACAGCAAGTCCACCAAGACTCTAACCGTCCCTTTCGAGGTCAAGACAGGCAAGAATGCCATCAGCAACCACCAGGCCCAGACGGCCCTATACAATCTCTTGCTCTCGGACCGATACGACATTGAGATTGTGTACGGTATTCTGTACTACATGGAAACCTCGCAGACTCTTCGCATTCCGACTGTCCGCCACGAGCTCCGCCACATGATCATGCAGCGGAACCAGCTGGCCTGCTACGTCCGAGAGCGGAGTGTGCAGCTGCCGCCCATGAAGAAGAGCAAGAACATGTGCGGAAAGTGCTACGCCCAGACTTCCTGTTTCATATACCACAAGCTCGCCGACGACGGGGATGGCGAGACGAGTGGCCTTAACGACAGGTTTGACGAGGTAGTGAAACACCTGACTCCCACCCACAAGGACTTCTTCCTGAAGTGGGAGAACCTGTTGACCAAAGAGGAGAAAGAGAGCCAGAAGCTGCGGCGAGAGCTCTGGACCATGGTCAGTACGGAGCGCGAAAAGCTGGGGCGCTGTTTTTCCAATGTCACCATTGAAGAAGGCTCGGCTTCCGAAGAGCAGCACGCCGCCAAGATCAACCGCTTCTCGTATACCTTCATCAAGGACAAGCCGGCGCCTGGCTTTTCCTTCCTCGACTCGCAGCTCATTGTGGGAGAGCCCATTGTCATTTCCGACGAGCAAGGCCACTTTGCCCTGGCTCTCGGCTTCGTCACCGCCGTCCGAAAGCAGAGGATCAGCGTTGCCGTCGACAGAAGGCTCCATAATGCGCGCATCCGCCAGCCCGGCTTCGACGGGGTCGACAACCAGGTCTTTGCGAGCATCATGGAGGTGGCTTCCGCAGGGGCGAAGCCCGAGCAGTCCCAGGGCAAGATCAAGGAGGCCCCAATTCGCTACCGGCTTGACAAGGACGAGTTCAGCAACGGCATGGCGACGGTGCGAAACAATCTTGTCCAGGTCATGGCTAATGGGCCGTTTGGATCTCGCGAGATTCGCCGGCTCGTTGTCGACTTGGTCCCGCCGAGGTTCAAGACAGTGCCCACTCAATATCTGATGCCGGACAAGGACGGCCTGAATGTCGACCAGAAAGCGGCCGTCGAGAAGGCAATGAGCGCCATGGATTACGCTCTGGTCCTCGGGATGCCCGGCACTGGAAAGACTACCACCATCGCCCACATAATCAAGGCTTTGATTGGGCAGGGAAAGACGGTCCTCCTGACATCGTATACGCATTCTGCCGTCGACAACATCCTGCTTAAGCTCAAGCATGATAGCATCCCAATTCTTAGGCTGGGGGCCCCCGCCAAAGTGCACCCCGAGGTTCGCGACTTTGTGACTTTGGCCGGCCAGCCGATGGAGTCGTTTGAAGAGATCCGGAGAGCCTGGCACGACACGCCCGTCGTGGCTACGACGTGTCTGGGCATCAGCCACCAGATCTTCAACGAGCGTACGTTCGACTACTGCATCGTCGATGAGGCATCCCAGATTACACTGCCAATATGTCTCGGACCTATCAGGATGGCACGAACGTTTGTTCTTGTCGGAGACCACAACCAGCTGCCGCCGCTAGTGCAGAATGAAGAAGCACGCGCCGGCGGCCTCGACGCCTCGCTCTTCAAGCTGCTTTCCGACACGCACCCCCAGTCGGTTGTCAACCTCGAGCACCAGTACCGCATGTGCGAAGACATCATGACGCTGTCCAACACGCTCATCTACAAGGGACTCCTCAAGTGCGGCACCGAGGCGCTTCGCTCCGCCTCGCTGCCAATCCCCGACATGGACGCCCTACGCCAGCGCCACTTTGACGCAGCCTCATTTATTTCGTACTCCCAGCAGCGCAGCAGTGCCAGCAGCACAACTAGCCCGAGACGCCCCAAGGCGGGGCCTCCCGCATCATTCTGCCCGGCGCCGCGCCTCGGAAGTTGCTGGCTCCGCGAACTCCTAGACCCTGAGGCGCGCGTGCGCTTCGTCAACACGGACGCCATCCCCGACAGCCGCGAGGAGGCAAAGGGCAACCGCATCGTCAACCCTTGTGAGGCACGCGTCGTTGCGCAGCTTGTCGACGCTCTGCTAGCGGTAGGCGTGCCCGCGATTGAAATCGGTGTCATGACCCACTACCGCTCCCAGCTCGCACTGCTCAAGCACAACGTGCTGCGCACGGGGGGAAACGGCGCCGCCGATGTTGAGATGCACACGGCAGACCGCTTCCAGGGCCGCGACAAGGCTGTCGTTGTCCTCAGCCTCGTCCGCGCCAACGACGCCTGCTCCATTGGCGAGCTGCTCAAAGACTGGCGGCGCATCAACGTGGCGTTCACGCGCGCGAAGACCAAGCTGCTGGTTGTCGGCAGCCGCTCGACGCTGCGCGGCTGTGCGGGCGGCGGTGACCGCGGCGATGGCAACCCCAACGCCGGCGGCGAAATGCTCGCCCGCTTCATCGCCCTCATGGAGTCCCGTGACTGGATCTACGACCTCCCACCCACTGCCATAGACGCCCACATGGACCCTGCGTCCCTCGCCGGCTCCGCGGCCACCCAGCTGTCGCCAGCCAAGAAGTCTGCTGCTTATTCGCCTGCAAGGAAAAACACGCGCCCTGGCATGGCTGCCACGAAGAAGTCGCCCCGCCGCGCCAAGGTCGGAGAGCGCGTTCTCCTCAAGGGCAAGCCTGTACTGCGAGACATTTTGAATGATATGATGGATGGCATGTATTAGGCGCCAGCGAGCTCTGATATTTTCTAGATGATGATGATGCGTCCTTTTTTTTTGGCGTTGGGGCTGGAGACCCGGTTTATTGTGGTTTCATTTTTGGTGTGTACCAGGTTCTGGTGCTCACTTACTCCCCTTGCCGATATGGATACGGTATACATAATGGGGGGGTATAGAGTTGGGGACTGTTTTCTTTTTTATCTGCATAGGATATAGCATGCGTATTGCGTACAATGGTTTTGAGGGTCAGGGTCAGGTTTATTATTGCATATAGCATCCTGTTTCGTTACATACAGGTTTAGTTAAAAAGGTCGGGTTTGGAACATGGATATGGCATGGATATGGGACTTGGTATTGATATACATGAATATGAGGGTGGTTGAGTGAGTGGCCGGGGACAGACTTTTATTGTCTGTTTCGGGTGGTTTCGTAGTATTTACTCTCTAGCTGTATATAAAATAAAATACCTGACAGCGGGCGGTATCAATGAAGCCGAACATATTCCTTGCTGATACACTCACAGTTTGACTCCGCTATAGTCTATGAAGTGGCAAGCATGCACTGGTCACATTATCGTACGTAAAAGAGCAAGTTAGTCGCCTGTTGTTATCGACTCTCGTCTTCAGAATGTTCAAAATGGTCGGCTGAAAAAGAAAAGGCGCTGGTATATATACATATGTATGTACAAGTACGTATTCTCGGCGCTTCTTTCTTTCTTTACACGACAACGACAAGAAACCCCAAGCAAAAAAGAGAAAGAATTCGCCGCATACCTAAGTAGGTAGTCAAATCAAAGCCCGGCTTGAAACCAATCAGCTCATTCATTCCGCGCTATGCGACGCAGTGTGTGCAATCCCATGTTGTTTTATGCAAAACCTCCCTAAATAATACCAGCTCTTCGCATTTTTTTTCTTTTCGGTACCCCGATTTCTCTCTACTTTATAATAATCAAGTCGTCATCATCGTCGTCGTCGTTATTGTTCGGGATAATCACCCGGCGGCGGCCAATCTTTGCCGCCGCCGCTGCCGCCGACAGAGGCTCGCCGAGGCTCTCTCTCCCGGCCTCGCGGATGCCCTTCTCCGTCACGAAGCGCGTCTTCTTCCTAACAGGCGAGCGGTCGTTCCTGGCCGAGGTGGCGGTGGCGGTGGCGGTGGGAATGGATTCCGCGGCAGGGGCGTTGTTGGAGACCGCCGAGAAGCCGCCGTTTTTCGTCCCGTCCAGGTGCTCGCCTTCCTTCATCCGGCCGAGCTTTTTCGTCAGCGACGAGCCCCATCCCAGCGCAATCTTTGGCTGGGTGCCGCCTCCAGCGCTGCCGCTTCCACCGCCGCCACCAGTGGCTGTCGAGTTGGATGCCGACGAATCCGGCCGCTTTCGCTTGATTGGGCCGAGATCAATCTTGGGCTGCTCGGCGCCGCGCCTGCCGACGAGGCCGAGGGCGCGGGCGTCCCATTTTGGCGGCAAGTCGCCCTGGAGGGCCGAGCCGCTGTTGTTGTTTGACGACGAGATGCTCGACCCGAGAGCTGCTGCCTCGGCCGCGCGGCTCATGTACTCCTTGCCAGCGCCGCCGCCGATCTCGCCGAGGCGCTTGGCAATGTCGCGCTCGCGCTCCTTCTGCGCCAGGCGCCGCTTCAGCCCCTCTTCGCGCTCCACGCGGTCGGCCACGCCGCCGCCGTCGTCGTCCATCATCTCGGCCGCGCCGCGCCGCCCTCCGCTGATGAAGAAGCGGCTCTGCGTGGCGCGGTCGTAGTTGCCCATGGCAGCCTTGCGGCGGTCTTCCTCCTTCTTGTCGAATGCTTCCTTAGAGTTGGGGCGCTTGCCGCCGAAGCTGGAGCCGTTTAGCTCCATGCGGTTGTGGCGCGTCCGTTGCAGGGCCTCGTTGGTGTGAAACTCGCAGTACTCGGAGCGGCGCGCGTTGACCCAGGTGTTGCAGAACTGGCCGTCCTTTTTGACGCTTTTGCAGTAGCCTATGTCGCGCGCGTTGCCGATCTCGAGGATCGTGTCCTCGTCGCTGTTGATGACAAGACCAAACCGGCCCGTCGCCTCGCGCCCAGGCGGTGGCGGCAGGATGTTGGGATTCAGAATCGCCAGCACGGCCCCTACTGTCATCTTCCAGAAGCGGTCGAAGCCCGTATTGAAGAGAAAGAGCTCGACCTCGAATGCTAGGTCCACGAGCGTGAGCACCATATACTTACCGCGGTCCTGCTGTGCCTTTCCCGCCCCGCCAGGCCCGGGTCTGTGGCTTCGCGGGTCTGACTTGCTGGCGATAATGGCAAACACGACGACATCCGACTCAATGTCAGGCAGAGACCAGTCTGGTGCTTTGACATGGCGTAGCAGGTCTTGGAGGACATATGTCTTTTTTCCCGTGATGGCGCGGGTGAGCACCTGGTGGGGGAGAATCCGCTTGGAAAGATGGAGGCCCGAGTAGGGCTCAAAGGATGCTTCCGAGTCCCCACTTCCCGCCGGTGCGCCCGTTACCAACGAGGGGTTGTCTATAGACTCGTCTCCGGTGTCTAGCGCCGGAGCAGACCGTAAACTTGGGACAGTACTACTCCGCTGTAATGGCGCCCCTGTCGAGGAGAGTATATCATTCCTCGTGAACTCTTGTGGCTTGTAGGGCCGGTCGGGAATGTCCAGCGCCTTGGTCTTGTACTCTTCCATTTCTTGTTTGCCTACGCTAAAGGCCTTTGTGCGGATCTTTTGTATCCTCTGCTGCCGCTCCTGGCGGGCTGACTCTTCGGATCTCGCAGATGACAGCCTTTCGTTGAAGCTCAGTGGGCGGGGCGCATCGGCCTGCTGGACTTGAGCAGGTAATGGCGTTTTCGAGCGCCGCAAGTAGCCGCCGGGCTGGCCGGACCGGTCGTCGTGCATAGCCTTCACGCTGGGAGCTCGTCTAAGAGACACATCTGCCGCCCTTAACCCCTTATCGATTCCCAGCAGCACTCTATGTGGTGACGTCTGCAGGTTGGACGAGCTCTGAGCTTTCCTGACCGGCGACGCAGGAACCTGGACTCCAGTCTGAACAGGCTGCCCTTCCATCCTGTCTCGCACTGCCGCCAGCTTTGACTGCAGCGGAACCTCCCTCATGCCTACCGCGCTCCCAAGCCCGGGCCAATTCGAAATCGCAGTTGCATGCGCAGGCGCAGGCGCAGACGCAGACGCAGGCCCGGGATCCGACACTGCGCTCGCCTTCTTCTGGGCCTTTGCACTCTGTAGTTTTTTGAGCTTCAACCGGGCTTGGATTGCCTGCAATTTTAGCTGCAATGTTTCTTCGTCATCCTCATCGTCGTCATCGTCGTCGCCGCCATCAAAAAGCTGGTTGTCCATATCCGCCCCTAGCCCTGGGCCTCCAGACCTCGAGTTGAGGGTCGAGTGGGATCGCGCTGACCGGAGGCGGGATGGCGAGGGCGTTGGGGATTTGCGTTCGGCCATGCGTCGCAACCGCTCGCGGCCTCCTGGTGTGCCGAGCAGGACATCGTGGGGCGATCGCGGGGGCCACTGGGAGGCCATAACGGTCAGTGCGAAGCAAGTAATATCTTGGATCTCGACTTTCTCCCCGATCGAGGTTGCAAAAAAGGCTAGTTCTGGAGGCCGGAAGAATGTCCACACGGAGGGAAAGAAAGAGAAGAAAAAAACGAGCGTGAAGAGGGTTGCCGGGAAGAAGCTAGCCCTGCTGTTTACAGGCGCGAGATGTTGATGCAAGTCGTCGACGCAGGCCCAGGAACGCAGAGCAACAGGTTTATGCCAGGGGTCCTCCTATATTAGTCGCCAATTAATGTAGTACAAGGACGACATTGCTGGCGGGAAGGTGCAGTGAGACGTTCAGTTGGCCAGGTCGGTTTTTGGTGGGGGTTGTGGTGCCCAGGGCGAGTTCAGGCAGTGAAGCAGCCGAGAGAGCAGGTTGGCTCTTCCAATTCACAGGGCCTTCGACTTGGCTTTCAGAGACGAAAGTGCAACTCTTGTCTCCTGTCTAGACTTTGTCGACGTCGAGGCCGCAAATCGAAAGCGATAAGCCACAATTCCATGTCCGATAAGGAGGGGTGGTGGAATGCCTGGCTGCATGGGCCTGAAACGCGCCTGCAAGTTGAAAAGCGCGTGGCGCTCCAAGCAACGGTCGGACAGACGCGTAAAAGTCGCGTCGAACACAGATGAAAAGGTACAGGGGTAATTAAACACTGCCCACACGCCCGCCCGCCGCAGGTATCCGTAGGGCAACCACCAAAGTTGAACCCCATCTACGGATATTGAGTACATACTACATACTACGTTGGATATTTGGCATCACGTCCATTGCGCTGTAGAAGCGGACAGAGCCAATGCACAAGGTCTGATTTTTTTGGGCGCCCCAGAGACTTGCAAGACAAATCACCGACGCACGGTGCAGCCATGGCGAGGACGAGAGCGAGAGCCACAACGGCCAAGACGGCCAGCGCAACCACGACAGCGGCAAACACCAGCGCGCCCGCCGCATACACTCTCCATGCCGAGGCCGAGACCCCGCCCCGGCTATTCGTGATCCCGAAGAAGGCGACAGACGCCGCGCGCATCGTGACGCTGCAGCACCCGCGCTACGGAAAACCGACGCGCTACCTAGTCTGTCCCGAGGCGGGCTTCTTCGAGTTCACCAAGATCGCCGCGCCCAAGACGACGCCGCGGAGCTGGCTGATCGAGAGTGCGACACAGGATGGCGCGGCGGCGTCAGCAGCTACGCAGACTACAAAGAGCGCCGACTTCTACGTCGCGACGCCCATCGACCCCCTATTCCTAATCCTACCCACACTGGCCGCCGGCAGGTGCGCGGCCGACGACAAGACCTCCAAATCCAGGAGCAGGGAGAAGAAGAAGCGCATGTTCCTGTCGAGCGAGGACCACTTCGACGCCGTGTCAGACCCGAGCCGGCACCTGTCCAAGGTGCTGACGTGGCCCGCCGCGCGGCAGCTGATCGAGGCGCGCATGGCGGCCGTGTGCGACGCCGTCGAGGCCGGCGACGACCCCATGTTCCGGCTGAACGAGGCGAAGCTGCTGCGCGAGCTGCTGGCCAAGGCGCGGCGCATGGGCGCCCAGGGCCTGCCGCCGAGCATGGAGGAGAAGTTCGTGGCCAAAACCCTCGAGGCGCCCATTCTCGGCATCCAGAGCCAGCAGGCGTCCTCCGAAGCCCTGCCCAGTGGCGACAGCACCCAGAAGGCATCAGACGATAGCGGCAGCAGCAACATCGCGACACCCCAGTCGGAATCCACCGACTCCCAGTCTACCGTTTCGTCGCTTGAGACGGCAGCCAGCGAAGCCTCGACAGCCGCTACTTCGTTATCGTCAGACGGTACGGCCAGCAGTGAAATCGTCAACGCCATGACAGCGTCCCCAGAGGTCGTAGCGCTGCAGAGGCTGCGCGTGGCCTTTGACTTCATCTGCTCGAGCTACCTAGTGCCATCCCTGGCGGAGCAGCTCAAAGCGCAGCTTGCTCGCACAAGCACAGCCACAGCCACAGTGGAAGCAGGGGCGGTCGACTTTAAGCCCCTTGACGAGTACCTCACGCGCTTGGCCAAGCTGCGCCATGACGCCGCGGCCGCCAGGGCGTCGGATTACTCGCGCAAGCGCGCGCGCGACGAGGACGAGGACGAGCGGCTGGAGAAGCGTCGCAAGAAGGAGGAGGAGGACAAGGTCAAGAAGGCCAGCCAGAGCCTGGGCGTCAAGAAGCTGATGAAGGTCAACACGTCGGGCATGAAGAAGCTGAGCGAGTTTTTCAAGAAGAAATAAGGGGCTTTATTTTTGTGGGGGCATCTCTTTTTTCTGTTGTTGCGCCAACGCGGCATGTTGAATGACTGATTTGTACATATTCCATGATTTGTATAAGTCTTTGGTTTTCTTTGTTTGGGGGCTTTGTTTGGGTTGGCGTCTAGGGGCTTGATATGGTAATATGGTATCAGCAGGGCGGTTTAGGAATATCAGCGCAGTAACCCCCCCTCCCTCAGGGAGGTAGGTCAGTCAGTCACAGTCGACTATCATTTGACACCGCCTCTTGTTGACCGCCCTCCCCGCGTGTACCCCAAGCCTCTGCCTATCCCCGATGCGCCCCTTCCGCTGCTTGTGTCTGACGCCGTGCTAGTATTGACCCCGTACCCCGAACTCACGCCCCTCACCAATCCTCCTCTACCTCGCCCCGCTCGCGTGTGGCCGCGGCTTGCGGCCCCCCGGGGCGGCGCCGTGCCCGCTGTCCTCTGGCGATCCTCGTCCTCGGCCTTCCTCCGCGCCTCTTCCCGGCGGCGCTCGGCCTCGGCAGCCCTCCGCTCGGCGTCGCGCTGCTTCTGCAGGGCCTCGTTCTCGATGTCGGCGAGGTCCTGCGTGGCGCCGTTCCAGTCGGGGTTCAGAATCAGCCGCTGGTTGTATTCAGTCTGCGACAGTATCCGCGTCCAGGTGTTGAGCAGCGCAGAGGCGTTATCGACTGTCTTGGACACGGTCTAGATAGACGAGACATGCATCGGCAGGCTGCGATCAGTAACGGCAGCACCTAGAAAAAACTAGCAGGGGAGAGGAAGGAAGGGTAGCCCCTGCGTACGCCCATGTTGCCCTTTGCCCGCTCCAGCGTCGCAATGACCCCCTCGATGACCTCGTTGATGTTCCTCACGCCCTCCAGCTCCCGGCGCAGCGCCGTTTCGCGGGCCTCTTCAGCGTCGAATCGCGAGTTCTGATTGGCTGGCGTCTTGGCTCGCTCGGGCTGCGGCTGCTGGCGCTCGGCAGAGGGCGATGCGAAGAGATCTTCATGGTCTGAGCTCTCAAAGTTGTCTGCCATATTTGCGTGCAGTGCAGGGTCCTGAAGCGTTGCGCTTATTCGCTAGTATTCCCGGCACACCTCGAAAATTTAGAGAAGAAAAAAAAAAGGTAAGTTGGGCTGCTTGAGGCCGGATGACGTTGCTTTGTTGTCACTGCCAGCAAAATTGTTTGCAATGGGATTGGCGGGGTAAGATGGGGAGGCCCTTGCTGGAGTACGGGAGACGCGTCGCCTGGCCAGGTGGCATGTGGGGGTTTCGCGTTTTGGCGTCAGATTAATTTACCAAGCGCAAGGGCCAAGGCTGGCAGGAGGCTGGTCGAGCAACCGAAACCAAGCAGGGACGGCCCCCAGCCTCTTCACCTGCGTTCCACTCGTGTCCTCCACCATATTTTCCCGCATGTCCCTAGCAACGACATCAATTTGCATCCTCGAATGCGCTCGTTATTTCTGCCAACAACCCATTACTAGCTGATATCTTTGACCCATCTCGTGCGATTTCTATTGCACGTCATTATCACCACGGGCCTTACGCGACTTGTGTGCACTCGTCTCTTAATTCTGGCGCTGCCTGCTATTCCCTCCACCGCCTCTCGCAAAGCTACATCAAGTCCTACCTCGGTCCCAAAACCTATTGATATCTCTGTCAAACCTTTTCTAGTTCTCGGCTTGCGGTGCATCTCGTGCGATATCTTTAAAACTCCACATCAAGCTTCCTATCAGCTGGACTCGGCGGCTGGGGTTGCTCCCGACGTTTGGATCACGGCTAGTCACACCCCGATTGCGCAGGCTCGACCTAATCCGTCTGAGGTTATCGATACCCGAATATTGCTTGGAGTCTGCAGTCTGCCTAGGAGCGAAGCGGTTTGATTGGGGGGTTTGACGTTGCGGACGAAATTATTTTATCACAAATATCCGCAGACATGGAGGTTCTCCCAGCTGCCACACCGTCGCCCGGACCACCGTCTGAAATCCGCACACCTCCAGCCCCTCGGCACGGCTACTCTGACCACTACAACCCCTACACCCCGCGAAAGTCTGAGCGAAAGTCGCTCCGGATTGAGCAACGCATCGCAAATCGCACTCCCTCTCCAAATTTTTCATCCAGGCATCATTCCGATCATCGTTTTTCGTTAGGGTCCCCAAAGTCACACAAGCAAAACCCCGCCACAATGGCGTCGCCCGCAACCTCCCCACGAAAGCGCCGCGTGCCTGCTTTGGATTCGTCGCGCCGTGCTTCTGGAACCCTGGCACCCGACGGAAGTGCTCATGCCGCGACTGCTCTCGGGCTTGAGGTCCATAACAAGTCAATCCAACGCGGTCGCGCTGGTGCCTCTACCTCGCACGACATGCTCATCACTCCGGCCAAGACGCCTCAACCGCCGCCTACGGAGAAGAGCAAGGCCAAAATCAAGGCTGTCGCACGCAATTTGTTTTCGGACAGCGAAGTCATGCCCACCTCCAAAAAGACTCGTACCAGCAAGTACGTGCTCGATAGCTTCTCGGTTGCAGATGACGTAGATGAGCCTGTCCAGATTTACACGGACTCTCACGAGCGTATTCCCGAGGTCGATCGCAGTGCCGAGAACCCTTTCTTTGGCGATCACGTCCCTGCTGCGCCTGAGCCAGCCCGGCGCCGAAGCAAGCGCCAGACCGTGGCCATTCCTGGCGAGGGAAGTGTGACAGTCGATGAGGCCGTCGGCCGCAATGACGGCATTTTGGTCTCATTGTAAGAGTCTCCATTTCAACTTCTCTGCCGTTTTATACTAATATGTCGATTTTCAGCCGAGGAAAGAAGCAATTCCGCAAGTTTGCCCGGGGTGACGAGTCTGACCAGGCTGAAGGCGGTCTGGAGAGCGTCGTCGAGCGAAGCAAGCCTCTTTCCGCAAATTCCGTCACGCCCCGCCTGTTGTTCCCTACTAGCAAGGCCGACAAGCATTCCGAGATGAATCTAGAGGACGAGGAGGCCGACACGGACATTGAAGACCATGTTTTGGCGGGCACGGAGAACGACCCAGCCACTCCCATGGAGCTAGTTAACGAGGCTCCTGGTACGCCCAAAGCACCCCGTTTTGCACCAGCTTCTCCGCCGACGACAGCGCGCACGACGCGATTTGGAGCCAAAAAATCTGCTGAGACGACACCCATGAAGCCCAAATCTAGTGCTCACGGGAAGCGAGGCGCTTTTGACAGCTGGCGCCGAGTTAAGGGCGGCTCTGACGGTCAGAGCAGTAAGCGAGCCGGCGACGCACTCCCTGGCGCTGCCACGAAGCGGACCCGAGCCTAATGGTCTTATCTATCTCTTTTATCTTTCCTTTTTCTTACGGCATCACGACATTTTGATCACCTAGACGACCTTGATTTGGAGTTTGACGGAGGGCTTTTATATTGATCCCCTAGGAGGGACGATATCAGAATGCATGACCTGGTGCGATGGCGCGGAGCTAAGGGGTATCTACATGGAGCTTTTTATTAAGCCCATTGCCGAGGGGTTTGCCTCTCTCTGTTTTTCTTTCATGGTCATGGTGATATCGTTTTCGGCGGGACTAGTGGCGATGACAAGATGGGCAAGGTTTGGCGTGAAGCGGCGTATCTGCAGTCGCAAAGACGAGGTAGTCTGTCATGTCAGAGTTATGGGAGAATCGCATAGTTCTTCAGGGCTAAAGCGGCTACGTCAACATCACTGTATTTATTTTCTCGAGATGCGCAGCCGCATCCAAGGTCGCGTCAGCACCCAAGGCAGATGAGGTACCTACATAGGCGGGTAAGTAAGTACCTACCTTAGCTAGCAAATACATAGCTGAATGCGAGCAGGAAGACGCTCCGGTTTGTCCCCATGAGGTAACTATCCCGCGTGCTCTTTTCGGCACTTAATTTCTGTCCCTCCGGATTGCGTCTTGTCCTCCTTCTGGCAGCATTACATACAGCATGTAATAGCCTGCACGAAGACTCCGCTTTGACAGTTGTGTATGTACCCCACCCCCGCCATCGGACCATCATCACAACCCAACGGCCAAGGAAAAACGTCAACTGAAACCCAAGATTCAGACTTTTGTAGACTGGTGTTTGGCGCTACAGCACAAGTGCATAACAAGTACATGCCCGTCAGTACATGCAGTACATGACCTCGAGATAATAACGCCATCGAGGCTATCAAATACTGCCGCTGCCTGCACAACCTGGACTGGACTGGACTGCTACCCTGGACTGAAGAAGCGCAACCAGCACGCAACGCTCTCCGACCCAACTCAAGATTTGAAAGCAAAAAGGGAAAGGAAAAACAGGAGAAAAAGGAGAGAAAAAGAGAAGATGCACATTCTCGTTGTCAACGACGACGGGCCGCCGTCGCCGCACTCGTCCCCGTATGTGCACTCGCTGGTGCGCGAGCTTCAGGGGGCCGGGCATGTCGTCTCGGTGTGCCTGCCGCACACGCAGCGCTCGTGGATTGGCAAGGCGCACATGATCGGCCAGACGGTCAAGCCGCTCTACTACCGTCCCCCACAGCCGCCGCTGCCCGCTGCCGGCCTGACTCCGGTCCCGGGTGGTGCTGGTGGCAGCAGCAGTAACAAGAAGAACAGTGGCGATGACGACGGCGACGACGACGAGGGCTCGCACGGCACCACGCACACGCGCCCCAGCACGCGCCCCGGCACCGAGGAGTGGATCCTCGTCGACGGCACGCCGGCCTCGTGCGTGCAGATCGGTCTGTATCACTTCTTCCAGGACCGCGGGCCCGTCGATCTCGTTGTGAGCGGGCCCAACTACGGCCGCAACACAACGGCCGTCTTCGCCCTCAGCAGCGGCACTCTGGGCGGCGCCCTCGAGGCCGCCGTCTGCCGCCGCCGCGCCATCGCCCTGAGCTATGCCTTCTTCACCCGCAACCACGACCCCGTCATCATCGCCGCCGCCAGCCGCCAGAGCCTGCGCGTCATCGAGGCCCTGGCCGCCCAGTGGCCCGCCGACGGCAGCGCCGACCTCTACAGCGTCAACATACCCCTCCTCGAGGGCCTCGAGCAGGGCAAGGTGCTCTACACGGCCATGCTGCAGAACTACTGGGGCCCCGGCAGCTGCTTCACCGAAGTCGACGGCAGCGTCAACGGCGGCAGCGAGGAAGAGGAGCGCATCCGCGAAGGCGAGGGCCTCGACGAGGAGCACGAAAAGGACGAAACGGCCGTGCGCAACGGCTGCCACTCCCACAAGCACTTCAAGTGGTCGCCGCGCTTCACCGACGTGTATCGCAGCGTCGACGAGGCGCCCCCGGGCAACGACGGATGGGCGGTCAAGGAGGGCCATACCAGGTGAGTTGCTGCAGAATAGGGGAACCATCGGATGACCTGGCTAACTTTTCTCTTCTCCCCCTTTTTTTCAGTGTAACACCGCTCAAGGCCAATTTCTGGCACCCCTCAACACACTTACACGGTCAGGAGCTGCAATTGTAAGTCTATCCGAATCAAAACATCACCGTCATCATCACACACCTGGCGCGCCGCGGGCAAGAAGAGAAGAAGAAGCAATGTATCGAAGTGAGCAGCGCGGGATCCGCACACACAGAGAGAAAGAGAGGGCCGACATATGAGTATACGAGAGCATGAGCGTGAGAATGATGATGATGACGATGACGACGACGACGACGACGACGACGACGACGATAGAAGATCAGTGATACTAGAGCAACATCACCAGATAGAGCTCTGGTTACAAGTGCGGAGAGAAGAGGGCCAATTCTAGAAATAGACCAGACAGAATACCTCCTTGCTCTAGAAAGCTGCTTGCTCTCTAGGCATATTTCTTCTTGCATTGCCGTGCCCCCTTTTCTTCGTATTGCAATCGCAAACCCACAGGCCAAAGAAGACATTCTCACCATTCTATGCAACATTTGTAGGACTCCTTCCAATAGTGACAGCAGCGCATCGATATCTGCCCCTATTTCCTCATCTCAAGCCGCAGAGGCCGCCGCACAGAGCAGCGAAGCCGACGCAGTGGCGGCCCTCCCGCACAGAGGAACGGCGGCCTCGTCGCCATCGCCCCAACTCTACGCGCTCGTCGATTACGGCGACGACTACGTGCAGCCGCTGATCCTGTCGGAGCTCTCGGCGCTGCTCGCTCGCACCAAGACGAGCTGGCAGCTACTGAGCCCGCCGTCCCCGTCTCACGGCAGCCCGTCGCTCAACACACTGCTACCGCACCCTGACACGGACCGGGTGGTGCAGATCGGGCAGTACGAGGCGCTCGATTTCGCCTTCGCAGCCGCGCACCCGGCCACGGCGCGGCTCAACAGCTTCGTCATCCGCAAGGCCCTCATCCGCAAGCACTTCCTCTCAGCCACCGTCGACGCCTGGGTCGCCAAGCACCCCGCCTCGGTCCTGCGCACCCACGTCAAGCGCGCCGAGCCTTTTGAAGTTGACTACGCCGAGTTCCTCGACGACGCCCTCGTCGAGGCCTTTGACCTGCGTGCGAGCCTCGAGAGAAATGCCGCACGCCAGCAGGCCACGGGGCGTAGCGGCAGCGTCTCGGATGGGACGGAGGGCGAGAGTGTGGCGGAGCAGCAGCAAGGGGAAGGTGTCGTCACAGACGGCACTGGCGTTGGCCAAGTCGATGACGGCCCCGTGGAGTGGTGGATCCTCAAGCCCAGCATGAGCGACCGCGGACAGGGCATCCGGCTGTTCAGCACCATGGACGAGCTGCAGGGGATTTTCGACGCGTGGGAGGAGGATGCGGGGCTGTCGGACAGCGAGGACGAAGACGACGAAGACGGAGCGGTCACTACTACTACTAACGGCAGCAACAACACCAGTAGCGAGCGAGACTACATCACGACGTCGCACCTACGCCACTTCGTCGCGCAGCCCTACATCGACCCGCCGCTGCTGCTGCCGGAACTCGGCCGCCGCAAGTTCCACGTGCGCGTCTACGTGCTCGTCGTCGGCTGCATGCGCGTTTATGTCTACCGCGACATGCTGGCCCTGTTCGCCGCCAAGCCGTACCAGAGCCCCAACGACCATCTCCTCGGTAGTGGCGAAGGCGACGGCATCGACCTCGACGCCCACCTCACCAATACGTGCCTGCAGGACGAGACTGCCACCGACACAGTCCACCGCTTCTGGGACCTGCCGCTGCCCCACGGCGGCAAGCCCTCTACTACAAGTACTACTACAAGTACTATAGCAACAGACACCAACGAAGTCTCGCTGGAAAACATCTTCGCCCAGATCTGCGCCGTGACAGGCGACGTGTTCGAGGCAGCCGCCCGCGAGATGGTGGTGCACTTCCAGCCGCAGGAGCACGCGTTCGAGGTGTTTGGGCTCGACTTCCTCGTCGACGCCGCAGGCGCCGCCTGGCTGCTCGAGGTCAACGCGTTCCCCGACTTCCGGCAGACGGGCGCCGGGCTGAGCGGCGTGGTCGCGGCGTTCTGGCGCGGGGTGCTGCGGCGGGCTGTGTTGCCTTTTGTTGTTGTTGATGGAACTAATGAGGGAGGGGATGATGATGATGGTGGTGGTGATGAGGACATGATCTTGGTTCGTGACGTCGATCTCGGCCGCCGATGGGGCGGCGGCGGTGGCGGTGGGTCGGCTTAGAAGAATATGTTTTGGTTGTCCGTCCGTCCGGTTACCTACCTTACCTACCCTAGAATTTTGGGAGGGGAAAAGGGGGCTTAGACTTGACCTGGACCCGGCAAGCAAACAGACAGAGACAAACAGAGAAAGAAAGCCGGAGGCCCACCTAGGCACGTACACGTACGTAGTGGAACTCTAGTCATCCCACTGGGCAGCATAGCCACCCCCTCTCTCCCTGTCCCGCCGTCTCATCTACTCGCGTGTGCGTATATTGTGATTTTCCGCTGTCTTGATGCCTTGGCGTATTCGGTGAGCGAGCTAGAAAAAAACAGGTTCTGCACGTCCACGCGAATACGGGGCGAGACTGAGGGGGAAAAAAAGGGGAGGGGGGGGTAGGGGGGCCAAAAACAACGACCATGACAGGCACTTTCTTTCTTGTTATTTGCTAGCTCCAACAGGGAAAGAACTTGGCGACGGCTATGCTCGTGGTCATGGTAATTCACGGGCCAAGAAAGCCGCGGAGTACCTGAATTTCTTGTTTGACAAATATGTGAGATGCAAAATGCAAATTAACAGATGGGCGCACTGTGTTTACCTAAGTTATTTGGCTGCGAACATGGGGAGTGAGAGACACTAATAGATGAGCGAGGCGAGGCTGACAGTTGATTGGCTGAGAAGAGTTACCTTACCTATCTTGTAGTAGTTCAAGATACCGTTCACCAGGTAGGAACTATACGCATCGGAAAAAAGGGGGAAACATGTCAAAACACGTACTTGTATATCCACCATCCACCAGCAAAAGATCCCTCTTGGCGGGTTTCTTTTTTTTATATTTTTTTTCCTCTAGTGGCACTTGCGGAACACGCGGGAATTCACCATGTCTGTTGGAGAGCCCCCGTGACCGTCTTGCAGTGCCCCCCCGGTGTAAGCAGCGACAAATAAGAAATGTCAGCAGCACACCTGTTCTCCCCCGATGCTGCCGAGGTTGAGAAGCAATAGCAAACAGCCTACCTTAGCTAGTAGAGAGATATGTAATTGTGGGCGAGCACAGCCAGTTTCTTTTCTCACGCGGTTAGGAGCCAACTGCAGTGGTGGGCTAGCCAATGATTGTTCAGTTACGCATGCTTGCCTCTAGTCCGCTCCAGATATTGCTCACTGTCTCTGGATGTCCGGCTGCTTTCTTGATGACGAAGAGCGACGGCTTGATGTGTGCATGGAGGCATTCACGTACAGGGGAGAACGGGCCGCCCAACCCGTCCGTGGTGGCAGCCCGGTCCGATGTCGAGGTGAATATCCGTAGCCGCGTTGTCGTCGCCGCTGACACCAGCAACGTCCAGTCGGCTTTGGCAATAAGCTCGTACCATCGGGTGAGGTTCCAGAAGCACGATATTCCAGTAGGCCTGGAACGCGCAGGCCATCCTTCAAACGAACGCAGGCTTCTCGCCGTGAGACAGGCCGGGGGTACACCACTGACGCTGCCGCACCCTGCACGAGTCGCTTATACCTGCCGTCCCATGCTCGTGGCCTCCTGCCGGCCCCTCCCCCGGGACCGGGTGCACGGCAGGCAACAATAAGATGCGAGGGTCGGTAGTCTCTGAGACCAGCATCACCAGCGCATCTATACACTAGACGTCGTCTAGTTTCCACGGTGGCGCAGCCGGGCTACGTACGCGTCGTGAGCGGTTTCTTGGGCCGTGGCCTTGTACAAGCTGCCCAGCGCGCCGTCGGTGGACCGGGTCGGACGACGCGAGGCGAGGTACTGGCCCGTGACCGACAGAGTCACCTCGGCCAGCTCCATTTCCGAGAGCTTGGTATGAGCTCCGGACACGAGATCGCCTTGGATAGCCTGTCGATTCTGGCCAAGTATCGACCAAGAGACATGGGCTGCAGGCACGTCCATGTCCTCGTGGGCTGCCGACCACGAGAATGTGTTGGAAGCCGTCCCGATCAGCGCATAGCCCACTCATGCCTCTCCCGGCTGGAGCGCCGAGAGCGCCCGACAAGACATGAGCCAAGAGGGCCAGCACGGCTTCGTCTTTGGCCATTGGCTCGTCGGGCGTGACGAGACACGGTGAGTCTTGTAACGGCGAGAAGCCAAGGTGCGGGCCAAGATGCAGGGCTGGCCATCGAGCCAAGAAAAGAAAAGAGTCCAAAATCAAGCTGTGCGTATGCAAGCGGCAAAAGACGTCGCAGTCACGGTTTGGTCCGGACTTGACTTGGCTGGAGAATTCCCATGGGCCAAGACACTGCTAGAAACTCGGATCGGGTACATACTCATATTGTACGTACTCCTCGCCGTCCCGCCGGCGCCACTGCTCCGAGAGAATGCCACGACCTATGTTTTGTTTCGGATCTGATAACGACGATGCTATTCCCGCGGGCTCTATACCTACCTTGTCCATGTTATAAGCTTAGTAGCTCTCGAGTACCGAAACAAGTGTTTTGACTTGCTCGGCAGGAGCCGTCCCAAACTGTGTGCGTGATTGTGTGTGGTTCGGTTCGGATGCCGGAACACTTGTTGATCCAATGGGAATGCATCAGCGAGCCTAACATACAAGCAACACCCGACTTTAGTGTAGTGTAGGATTTTACCTCGTCCACCACCGTCTCTTCGGCAGATATTGTAATCCCCCCTGAAAGAGTGAGTCGGCGGCTTTTTCTGTCTGTCGACGACAGAGTTAGCGCAGCTCTTAGTTTCCTCGGCCTAATAAAAAAAAGGAGAGACACAAGAAAAATGTGAGATCGGGACAATTTGACTGAGAGCGGAAGGAAATTCCCCTCTTGTCCAACACAAATCCATCATCCTCGTCACCCCCCGCCCCTCACTTACCTGGCCTTACACAAACAAACCAAGACTTTTATCGCCGAGTTGCCCAGCGTTGCCGAGCCTGTGCCCAGCGAAGCCAAGAGCGTGTTGCACAGCGAGTTAAAACCCGCGCCAAGCAAAACACAGCCTCAATCTGCTCTCCTCTTTCATATTCCACCTTCTCTTTCGCCCTAGATTGCAACTTGGATGAGGGGTTGGAGCGGTTGAGCGGTTGAGGGGCTCTTGCGAAATCAGCGAGTGGGTCAAATCAATTGTCCGTCGATCCTCGTCCAAGACAGAGATGGTGGTTATTGCTGTAGTTGCCATAACGCCACTCATATTTAAGAGGCCTCTTTTTTAATTGCGATCAGTGATCCGAACACAGCCAGATCAAGTCCGCAGGTATCGCAATAAACAGCGAGCGTGGCTCTAAATATAAATTTATTGAGACTTTGCAATTTTGTAAGAGCACATACTGACCGTAACCGCCGCCAACAACCCTCCATTTGGGCTTCTCTGCGAAAGAACGGTTGACTTCCAGCTGTCTTTTCTGTTTGGACCCCGAGCCGCCCAATCGAGTAAACCCTTGCACCGGCGTGCAAACCCTTGCACCGGCGTGCATGCCAGCAGAAAAGAGGCTAGCTCCTTCCCGTCCAAGCGGGAACGTAACCTACAGTTCCCAAGTAGTGTAAGTATTACCGAGGGCTCGCCCCGATAAACGACAGTCCACACTCACTGCATGTGCAACCTGCCTGTTGAAGGAGCTCTGAAAAGCCCCGATTAGGAACCTGCAAATTCGACCGCACCACAAGACGAGGCTGTGAGCCAAATAGGCCAAAAGGCCAAGACGAGACAGAGGCGGCGCACCGCGTATTCTTCCAAATTCTAGAACAAACCGTTGTGTGTGTATAACAGCCCTAGGCCGTTTCCAGCCGGTTTCCCCATTAGACCTCTAACAAACTATAATACGCATGCGCTGCAATAGTAAAAGCGTGTTTCCTGTCGCTTGGCATTGGGCTTGTGGTGGTGGTAGTGATGGTCGTGGGGGCCGCATTGGGCAGATTTTCAAAGTACTCCGTTGGGAAAACCGTTTCGGAGGTGTGGTGCGGCCGGATCGGCGGCGCCAGCTCGGGGCGGGGCATTGCCGTCAGGCTTCTTTTAGCAGACAAAGCCCTTGGCTCAGACACACAAGAGAATTAGGTGGCTTCACGTCGACATGATGGATGAGTGATGAGACCGCTTCATGTCGACCGTGAAAAAAGTATGAGCTGCGCCGCGCTGTGCAGTGCTGCGCTACGTGCGAAACTTGGGTCGGAGCGGTGACAAGAGCAAAAGGCACGGCCTCCCTCTTGGCTCTTTTGACACGCACCAAAACAGTCTGCCACTCGCTCAATTGACACATATCGCTCAATACTTGTTATCAAAACAAGGCCGAATAAAAAAGTTTAGTGTCTAACCACTGCCCTACCCCACCCAAGCTGTCCGTAGCTGCAGTACCGTCAAGATTGACGTGGGCGCATCGTTGTGTTGTTTGAGGACATACTGACTTTTGCTGTTGTGGCTTATACCGACGCTGTGGTGAATGGTGAATGGAAAACCGTAGCATCATCGTGCATATTAGCGGGCGGGATGACGGTGGTGGAGATTTCGTCGAGAGCTTACCCCACGAGATATTGCCTCAGCATCATCACTGAACATATAGAATGGTTCCCGGTGCTAGAGCCAAGCCGTCTCGATATCGAGTCAGCGAAGTCCATGCCGTGTATAGTCTATCTCGAGAATGCTTTTCGGGAGTTCCGTGAAAACACCGATATGAGCCCTAATTAAGCTTGGCCACTGGTCGGCGTTGGCGCTGAGCTGCTGTACTCCGTGCGTGCACGTTAAACACCAAGACGGTTCGGTAGCTACTACATGTAGCAGGTTGCAGCCTGACATCGAGGGCAGCTTTCCCCACCAGACCGCGAGATCAGTCCTAGGGATAATGGACAAATTATTCTTGGGGAGAAAGGCGGCAGCATCCCAAGAATGCCAAGACCGACGACATCAAGCAAACGGCACCCCCTCCTGCTTTGTTGATGCATCGGCCAAGAGTTGCTCGACGTCAGTTTTGCCTAGTTTGGGCATTCGAGGGCGTCGGCGGCAAAACCAAGGTTCTGAGACACCAAGGGAGGCAGCTGCGCCCCGGATAAACTCGCAATCTGATGTTTGAACCCACCGTCCGGTCGGGTACTATCTCGTGAGTCTCGAGTCAAGGGACCGTCCGTATCATGCCATTTCCGGTTGACGCAATCGCAACCTCGAAATGCAAGAAAGGGAGGAGGCTGGCGCTGCCGGTGCGAGGTATTGTATGTAGGAGGCGAAAACACCAAGAACACCAAGAACAGCACTGCCTTCACCGACTGCAACAGAGTTTGTGGACCGTGACACTTCGATGCGTCCAAAGAAATTGAATGTGATCTGCTGGAATATCGCTGAGATTCGGCAATTTCTGCGTTTGTGGAGTCTCAGGTGTTCGGCAACTTTTACCTCAACTCGGAAAGACGTTTCCAACGTGGCAGTCACCTGGACTAAAACGCAGCGTGGGATATACCAATAGGATGGATGCAGGACGTTGACACTTCAGCGGTCCAAGGGTTAGGTTGTCTGATAAAGCTCTCTCGGATGTCTTGCATTGGGCATCTGGTACCCAATTGAAGTCTCGTGGGCATATCTAAGTCACATGTACTGCAACCTATCAAGAGGTTTCGGCCCCTGAACTGTCGTTCGCCTCACCGCGGACGAGAAACCTGGAAAGTATTAGCGCGAAGCCCAAGCCCCCACGGCGCTCTGACATGTTAAGAGAATTCTAAGCTTCGGCTGGTTGCGATGTTTTAAAGCTTAAAGACAAGACAAAAAAAAGGGGGGGGAGGGTAACGTGAAAAATAATAAAGAACCCTCTGGACATCTGGGCCTCGAAAAGATATCTATCCGTCACGCACGGAACGCCGTGCGGCACGACTGTTCAGACGCCAGACGCTCTGTAATTAGGCGGCACAGCAAATAGACAAGACAGGGGTTTGGTGTGGAGGATCAATTGGCTAAAAGGATACCCTCGGTAGGTAGCCGTAAGGTACATGTATCTTACCTTATGGAGTACCTCCTCCAAGGGTTTGACTTGGCTGTATCCGTAGACGACCATACATTTGTGACTCTTGATGGTATGCCAGAAGGTGTCGGTGACACTACAACTACCTACGTCGCACTAGAGCATGATTGGTGATTCGGAGCTCAGTCTGTTGCAGACCTATGGACTAGCAAGCTGGCAGCAGCGTTACAAAACAACAAAACCAATTCCATCTATATTATCCTCAACTGGCGGAAAAAATTACCTACCTAGATATCTATGTATGAATACAAGTTCAAAATATCTGCCTCGCTTTACCTCCATTAACGCAATTAAGCCCTTGCGACGGCGCAAAGAAGACATGCGGGAAAATTGCATGCCCGTGCTAGTCCGACATGGGGAGCCCCTAACAATTGATCTGATTCGCTTGGCGCTGCACAGCCTCTCTTGGCAATACCCGCTGAGGCCAATCCAAGAAAACAAACCTTGGGATACGTCTTTGATGAATGGCGCCTGCTCCTGGTTTTCGCACCGAGGCCTTTTCGATTTTCGTTTCTGAAGTCGCTGCCATTTGGGAACTGGAGAGGTTCTTCGTTCTTAACTAATTAGCTTCCTTCCTTGGGCAGAAGCCCGTCCTCGGCGCGCTGTCCAAAGTCCTATAGAAGTTACTTAACGATTCCATCCATCCTCCTGGTTCCTCCTCACTCCTTATACCACCTCAAGTACCTATCGCCGCACCTGCACATAACAGTACGCGGCCGCCCACAATCGAACCTGGGAGCCCTCTCATACTCCTTCTCCCTGTTGACTGTATCTGCTGCAGTTCCGTAGGCAGATATTTTTTTATTACTTCGTTTCTTGCGGAGTCTTTTGCACGCTCTCCTTTTGGAACAGCCCCTCTGCAGCCGCCTGGACTTGCGGAGCTGCCCTGGAAACCGTCAACCGCGGCGTGCAGCAGAACAAGAACATCACAGCACCCAACAGCTCCCTCCAACCTACCTACACCTACCTATCCAACTGCCTCACCCATTGACAGGAGAGGCATTGTTAATACCGAATTGCAACCCAGGCAATCCCATGGGCCTCCTTGGCTGACTTTTCTACTCTCGCCCCATTTGTGGCTTGGACCGAGATCAGGTTCGGAGCTGACGACTTAGTGCGCGTACTCCGTATGCTGCGCCTGCTTTTTGCGACCCTCTGCCAAGACCCGTCCGCCGCTGCGTGACAACAGCCTTGCCGCCTCCACGCCCAGACCTGTCCTTTGGAATAATACCTGCCTCCTTATCTAAATCCACCGGGCCCAGACGGAGACAGCCTTGTTGCCCCGTGGGCTGTGTTAACGTCGTCGCCTCTGACCCATACGCCACCTCCATTCCTCAGCTACCATGGCAAGCCCTCCCAGCCAGGATCAGGATGGCCGGAACGAGGACCCTCCGCCTACCCGGAGACCCAGAGCGTATGTCTACCTGCCTCCCTCCTGTCAGACCAGACTTGGAATATCCAACCCCGACTGTTTCGGTGCCTCGTACTTGACTGACACTCGCACTCATTTCGCAGTCCTACCATCACCATCGACACTACGGCCGTGAGTCCAACCAGCGTGCCGCCGCCAGATGCTGACGTTGGCCTGAGACCCATCTCCAACTCGCCGATATCTCCCACCGACGACACTATTAGTGCCGCGGATCCAGGCCCAAGCACACACCATCGGACATCGTCCGGCCACAGAGCAGAGATGCAACCCTCGAGATCCTTTGACAGCAGGGACAGCCGGCCAACAAGTCCACACAATGTGTCAAATCCCTTCTCATCACGCGGCAACGACCGCACTCAGGGATTTCTAGCCGTCCCCAACACAAGGCCACGACAAGACTCGGTCACGACAGATGACTCGCGCTCTGTCACATCCTCTCAGGGCGACACAGTCTTCGGTGCGCTATCGACGCAGGGAGAAAAGGGTGGCCAGTCAATTATCAGCGGCTCTTCTGACAACCAGCGCATCATGAACAACGAAAACGCGCTCAAGCCTGATGTTGGCCGGGAGGACGATTTCAAAGTCGACAACAACCCGTTTGCCTTTAGCCCAGGAATGTTGAACAAGATGTTCGATCCAAAGAGCTTGGACGCCTTTTGGAAACTTGGCGGGCTGGGGGGTTTGGAAAAGGGACTGCGCACCGATCGGAAGACGGGCCTGAGCGTTGATGAGATGGCTCTTCCTGGCCAGGTCTCCTTTCAAGAGGCAACTGCTCGGGCGCTCGGCAAGGCTGTGACCGAGGGTGTTGAGCCTATTGCCCAGTCTCTGGCCCGCACCGGGAGCCAAGCTTCGCAGCCACGGACACCTTCGGAGCACGAGCTATTTTCGTCAAGAAAACGCGTCTTCAAGGACAACAGACTCCCGGAAAAGAAGGGCAAGAGCTTGTTGCAGTTGATGTGGATCACATACAACGACAAGATATTGATCTTGCTTTCCGTTGCTGCCGTCGTTTCGCTCGCCGTTGGACTCTACCAATTCTTCGGCACACAACACAGCGAAACAAATCCCGGAGTCGAGTGGGTCGAGGGCGTGGCCATTATTGTGGCCATTGTGATTGTAGTTGTTGTCGGCTCTGTCAATGACTACCAAAAGGAACGCCAATTTGCCAAGCTCAACAAGAAGAAGGCGGACCGCATAATCAGGGCCGTCCGATCTGGAAAGACGATAGAAATGTCGGTTTACGATCTCCTGGTCGGGGATGTCGTGCATCTCGAGCCTGGCGACTTGATTCCAGTGGACGGCGTGCTGATCGAGGGCTTTAATGTGAAATGCGACGAATCCCAGGCCACTGGTGAGTCTGACATCATCCGCAAGAGGCCCGCCGACGAGGTTTACGCAGCCATCGAAAACAACGAGGATCTCCGGAAAATGGACCCCTTTATTCAGTCCGGCGCCCGTGTCATGGAGGGTGTTGGCACTTTCATGGTCACCTCGACTGGCGTCTTCTCAAGCTATGGCAAGACGTTGATGGCTCTCAATGAAGACCCCGAGATCACACCTCTCCAGTCCAAGCTCAATGTTATCGCTGAATACATTGCCAAGCTCGGAGGTGCCGCCGCGCTGCTGCTATTTATCGTTCTGTTCATCAAATTCCTTGTTCATCTCCCCAAGTCGAACGAGTCGCCTGCAGAAAAGGGTCAACAGTTTATCACCATCTTCATCGTTGTCGTCACCATTATCGTCGTGGCTGTGCCTGAGGGTCTCCCTCTAGCCGTTACTCTTGCATTGGCATTTGCGACAACGCGCATGTTGAAAGACAACAACTTGGTTCGGCACTTGAAAGCCTGTGAAGTCATGGGCAACGCAACAACCATTTGCTCTGACAAGACGGGCACCTTGACCCAGAACAAGATGCAGGTTGTGGCTGGAACTGTCGGCACAAGCCACAGGTTCGGCTCGGCCACTGCAACTGGGGAGCAGAGCCCCGAAGGCCCGGCAGAAAAGGGCGTTGGAATACAAGAGCTCGCGGCCAGTCTTAACCCGGAGGTCAAGGACCTACTTCTGAAATCCATCGCACTCAACTCTACCGCATTCGAAGGCGATGTTGACGGGGTCAACACCTTCATTGGGTCCAAAACCGAAACTGCTCTTCTTATCCTCGCCAAAGAGCATCTGGCCATGGGCCCGGTCGGCGAATTGCGAGCCAACGCCAAGGTGCTTCACCTCATTCCTTTCGACTCGGGACGCAAGTGCATGGGTATAGTTGTTCAACTTGAGAATGGCAAGGCCCGACTCTACGTCAAGGGAGCCTCGGAGATCGTTCTCGAGAAGTGCACGCAGGTCCTCCGCGATCCTTCCTCTGGCCTGACCTCTGCACCATTCACCGACGACAATCGCGAAACCATTACCCGGCTCATTGAGACATATGCGCGGGCCTCGCTCCGGACGATTGGCATCACCTATCGCGATTTTGACAAGTGGCCGCCAAGAGCTGTCCGTCGAGGTGATGGCGAGAAGGATGATATTGTGTTTGAGGATATTTGCAGAAACATGGTCTTCGTCGGCATGGTTGGCATCAAGGACCCGCTGCGTCCTGGAGTCCTCGAGGCGGTTAGAGACTGCCAGCGGGCCGGTGTCGTTGTGCGCATGGTCACCGGAGACAACAAGCTGACGGCCGAGGCGATCGCTCACGACTGCGGCATTCTCCAGCCCAACAGTGTGATCCTCGAGGGACCCGTATTCCGAAACATGACCAGGGCTCAGCAAGACGAAATCATCCCGCGACTTCACGTGTTGGCACGGTCCAGCCCCGATGACAAACGCATCTTGGTAAAGCGTTTGAAAGAAAAGGGCGAAACGGTTGCCGTCACGGGAGATGGCACCAACGATGCTCCCGCCTTGAAGATGGCTGATATTGGTTTCTCAATGGGCATAGCCGGCACAGAGGTGGCCAAAGAAGCATCAGCGATCATCCTCATGGACGACAACTTCGCCTCAATCGTGAAGGCGCTCAAGTGGGGACGTGCAGTCAACGACGCTGTCAAGCGTTTCCTCCAATTCCAGCTCACCGTCAATATCACAGCCGTCATCCTGACCTTCGTGTCAGCCGTGTCCAACGACAATGAAGAATCCGTCCTGACGGCTGTCCAACTTCTGTGGGTCAACCTCATCATGGACACGCTCGCAGCATTGGCTTTGGCGACGGACCCTCCTCAGGCAAGCGTGCTTGACCGCAAGCCGGAGCGTAAGGGTTCCTCAATCATCACCACCACCATGTGGAAGATGATTATCGGCCAAGCGATCTACCAACTCCTGATTACGTTCCTGTTGTATTTTGGCTCCGTGGAAATCCTCCCGGTCTACGACCCTTCGATTACGCGCGAAGATGTAAACACACTGGTTTTCAACACCTTTGTCTGGATGCAAATCTTCAACCAGTGGAAGTAAGAACTCGGCCATTAATATCCCCCCCTGCCTAGTTTCTCGTTACTAATGCACTTGTAGCAACCGGCGGCTTGACAACCACTTCAACATTTTTGAAGGCTTGACCAAGAACCCGTTTTTTATTGCCATCTCCTCCATTATGTGTGGCGGCCAGGTTCTCATCATCATGGTTGGCGGAGCAGCCTTCAGGATTTCTCCAAACAAGCAGTCTCCGGCGATGTGGGCATATGCCATCATCCTCGGTCTTCTCTCGATACCGGTTGGGATCATCGTCCGTCTCATTCCCGATGCGTTGCTTGAGCGACTCATTCCGGACTATCTCAAGCGGAGCAGCCGCAGCGATGTTCCTGGCCTGGCGATTTCAGATGACCAAGAGCGCTATACTTATTACCCAACGGCTTTAGTTGACGTTAGGCAGGAGTTGGCCTTTATCAAACGGATCAAGGGGGGTCGCCTCAACAACCTCAAGTTCCGTATGCAAGATGTTCTGTTGCCCAAGAAGAGCCCCTCGCACAGCCGAGAGCACTCTCGGGCAAACTCGATTCACGGCGGCTTGCCGCCTTCGACTCCGACTCGCGAAGACAGCTTCGGCAGTCATTCTCCGGCGCCAACCCCGGACTCGAGACGGCGCAGCAGGAGCATGCGCTCGAGATCAAACAGCGGTCTCGGCGCGGCTACTGTGATGACGGGCATCGTGGCCGGCAGTATTGCTGCTGGGTGGTCGCCGATTGATCGACGCGGCGAGCCTGATTTTGGGCAGTTCCCTAGACCGTCACCGACTGGCCCAAGCTCGCAGGGCTCGCAGTCCGAGTCGCAACCGTCGCAACAAACCGTCAGCCAGTCATCTGCCTTCAGCGAGCAAGAGTTGACAGAGGAGCCTGAGGATTTGTCGGAGCCGGGCCTAAGTCGCAGCCTCGACGTCCCTGTCCACGGCGTTCCCAAAGCGTCCTCATCAGAGCGCAAATCAACAGTCTGAGACAAAGAGGTGTTGTCGGCTAGATAAGAAGAGACAAGATGATGTCGACCTGGTCCCTCTAGGTGTCTTTAATCGTTATAATTGAGGGGTTTACGAGAGCGGTAAGGTTACACTGTACCGTATGCCATTATCCGCCTTTTTATTCAGGGGTGATGGGACAGGTCGGCCATTCACCATCTGTATTTTTCTTTGTATACTATTGTACAAACTGGTATGAGAGTCTTCTTGCCAGTCTGGGATTTCTTAACATCAAGGCAGCGTCCGGAGTTGGTGGCATCTTGCTTGCATTTGGGGCGGTTCACGGCTTGCGGCATCAAGCCGATAGACATTGCGTTGGTACGCACTCCACCAAAAAGTTTTTATGTAATTTTCATTTCTTGGTATCATGGTCGCAGAGAGACGGAGCTGCGAAGCATATAGCGGGACGGAGCATGTACATATAATGGATAACCAGGAGAAGATCTTTCCCGAGACCTTTTCTAATTGTCAACTTAGCATACCTAGTACCGAGCTGTGATGGTGTGGATGCTAGACCGGCCTACATTAGCTTTCTGGCTAGCATAGCTATGGCCATAGCCATAGCTATTCGGCAATGCTGGCATGCCGAGCTGCAACAGTGGCTGTGTGATGGCCGGGGATCGACAATTCACCTGAGCAATCCCGCCGCCAACTGGCAAAATTACCCACATTTGAATAGCAAAGTCGTGTCGTGCAAAGAAAAGCGGCGAGGCGAGGGTTTATTAGGGAGTACGTGTCTGGTCTGGTCTGGTCTGAGCGACTCGTGCATGAATGAATCGGCGCATTTCTAGATCCCATCTGGCGAGAAGTAGCACCTCATAATAATTAATCCATAGATACGGAGTATCTTTGACCGGAAACAAGACACCAAACAAGAACCCCCCAATAATTGGAATGATAATGTTGTCAAGGTGTCCGACGGCTGTGTCTGCAAGACTTGTGTGAGTTTGTCGAGATCAGTGTCGCAGCTTTGCGTCGCCCCACTTTCCTTCCCAACTACCTTTTCCAGGAACGGAGTTTCCAACGCCCTTACGGAGTATCAGCCATACATATTCTAGCCCCCTTCCTTCTCTCCTAGATATGTTGGGATTATGTGTCTGTCTGTCCGGCCTAGGTATTCCTTCCTTCCTATTTATTTATAACCCCCGCGGTTTTGAGGGGGGGTGGGCGGGCCGGAATTGGGCCATTCATTCTATTTCCGCCGCTCGCCTTCCTGCTCTCAATCCCATCCAGCAAATCCAGACTTGGCACCAACAAGGTTGAAAGGCCCGCCTCACCTACCTTAGTTGAGGGGCGAAGATGGTACTTTACTTATTTGGCACTAGATGCGGATTTTCGTCAGTGGTAATCTTGCTGGTGCTGCTGCTGTTGATGATAAGAGGAGGGGTTGCTAAGATATCCCTGAAAGCCTGTCTGTCCCTGTGAAACTTTATTGCGAAAACATGGCATCATGAGTCTATCACTACTACCTTAGGTTGCCTCTCTCGCTGACTGGCTGTTTCTGGTTGCTGGGATGGAAACCACTGGTCATATGATCATTGTCATTTAGAGGAGATAAAAGACGTTATTCGGATGGCGGTAGGCAGAAGAGAGAACAATCTAGTTCTAAAAAGACCTCGGAGGTCTCAACAGCCAATGTCAAGTATCCGTACCCTTGTGTGTACGAAGATCCTTGGCAAGTAAGGTAACCATCAAATCGGCCGCGAGCAGCAACAGTAGTTCTCTTCTGGTCGTGTAATTCTTTTAAAATGTCATAAATCACATTATCATTCACCGCCACAAATTCTGGTCTGCCTCTCCGAGTTTGTGTGCCTTCCGGTTTTGCATCTCCCTCGCTCTTGCGTTGCCCACCAACAGTCAGCAAGGAACTCAAGGGAGGTACATACATATACCGACTGTCCATTCTGGTAGACTTAGTACACGTGTTGCCGAATCGCACCCCCTTGTTTCTTCATTTTAGATAATCGCTTCGCAGATCGCATTCTTTTGTGAACCTCTCCAAACCAAACCGACCCGCCAAGAGCAGAAAGCCGATCACGTCGCTCGCCCCGCCTACAGAATATTATTAAGGTAGCCGTTGTCGTGACAGAAACAGACAGGCAGACATATCTGTGGACAGAATAATTAAAAGGTAGCATTTTGGCCGCACACGGGGGTTTATAAGACAGCGTAGTTTGGCATCCCAAGTCCGCCGAGTTTAATGATCCCCTGCAGGTTCGAGTCCAATCCCAATTCCACAATCCAACTACGTCCTCGCTATCTCCCAAAGTAGTTCAAGGTTACCGCGGACGAAACCCACGGCACCTCACCTAGTAGTAATTCCTCGCTTTGCGTAGTTTTGAAGTGCCCGAATCGTCCCCTGGAGCGTCGGCCCTTTCCCCCCTCCTAGGCTCTAGAATCTGGCCCTGGGGGTTCCGTCAGTTCCGCTCGCTCGCTCGCTCGCTCTCTAGCTCTTAGTGGACCCGCTTCTCGCGCTTTCCTTGCAGAAACTCTCACACACTCTTGTTCTCCTTCGGCCTTCACTTCACCATCTCCTTTTTCACCCTTTCTACCACCGACAAAAACCCCCCCCCCCCCAAAACCCGAGCCACTCTTGAAACACGTCGGGCCCATCAGCCAGCAGCCCTGCAACTCGGCACTCGATACTCGACATTTTGCTCAACATGCATCTTTAGGGATCCGCTGTGCTGTTGACCATCTCCATTGTTGCTGTCGCCGCCGCCGTGTTCTTTTGCCTCCCAGATAGCTTATTATTATTATCATTACCTATTGCTTTGCGTAGGACGGATACTCAGGAACCAACCAACGACAAATCAACACGGCCCGACCAACTGTTTCCATTTCCTTTTCAACAAGCACCACAAACACAGGCGAACGAACACAAGCCAAGCCAAGCAGTCTGTCTATCTGTCTCGATCCATCTCTCGGTTTCCTCTCGCCGCGCTCAGCTCGGCTCAGCTCACCAGCTTTCCTTTCTGCTGGCCGAATCGATTTGCTTCGCTTTGCTTTGCTGCTGCCTCACAACCCGAGTCTAGTCTGTTTAGCTAGCTTGTGTATGTCTCACCCGCCCATGCGCGCCGCCTGTTAACAGTTGTCCCAACTTTGCTTTTTGACTTACGGAATTTCCTGTCTCTCTCTCTTCACGTTTCCCGCTTCTTCTTTTTTTGTCTCTCTCTGTCCAACAACCACAGAGTTTCCTTTTTCGCCATTTCCCTCCCCACGCGCGGGCTTACTCCGTCGTGCAAACCCTTGGTTTACTTGCCACCTTTTCGGAACTCATTCGCCAAGACCCACGCCTTCTCTCTTGCTCCTTTTCTTCAGTAACCTTGAGTCGGCTGTTTTCACCCTCGCCATTTCCCTTCCTTCCTAAATTCATTTTCACAACTACACACACGAGGAAGAAGGCAGATTTTTTTTTAGTGCAACCAATTTGCGTCACCAACTTTGCACTTCTTTTCCCTTCGCCTTCTTGCTTTAACTACTGCCTACCTGGTTGGCTTTCTTATTTGCTTTCTCTTTCCCTTGATTGCGTCAACTGTCGCGCCTCTCAATTCCTGCAGACGGCCGATAGATAAATAAACAAGGCAAATAGAGAAAGATAAGAAAGGATGGACTCTAAAAGTCGCGCCTCTAGCAAGAGCCGCGCCCCTGCTGCCACAACCACCAGGAAGCCCAGTACACGAGTCAAGGCCGTCGTCGACTATGACGAGAAGCGCCACTTGCCGGAGCTCGCCGACGAGGTACCGCGCGCCGCTGTGAATGGCCTCACGGAACTCGAGGAGCGCGTTAGGGACCTCAACGAGTCTTGGGAAACCGAGTCCCTTTTCGAGGATGCGCTCGAGGATCTAACCGAGGACAAGTTTTTTGACGGCATGTAAATTTCTTTTTTAGTTATTATTGTTGTTATTGATGTTGCTCCTGTCTTATCTTGCGTTGCATTTCGTTCCAATCGGTCTTTAGCCCTGCATACTTCCTCATGAGCGTGTTGGTGTAGGAGGAGACATACATATACCCCACCGTGTTTCTTGAGCCGAGCCTGAGTCCTGAGCTGACCTGATTTTGAAGGTCCCGAAGCCTGCACGCCCGACGAGGCCGTCCACTTTCGCCAGTTACTGCGAACTGTCGGCCCCGAGGTGTTTTGTAAGAGAACCGTGGACGCTGGAGTCGTCACAGCTAAGAAGCTTCTCACCGCGTTCGGCATCCGCCCGCCCGCCTTTCTTGAAGGCGCCGAGGATGATGCCTATTTCAGTCTGCTTAGCCTGGCTCTGAGCCGCGAGCTGTCCAAGCGGGCCAAGTTGTCAAAGTACAACTCGGTTGACGATGCCGTCAACCTCATCAAGAGGTCGCGCAACATCATCGTCCTGACGGGCGCCGGCATCTCCACCTCGCTGGGTATCCCAGACTTTAGATCCAAGGGCACAGGTCTCTACTCCAAACTGGAACACCTCGGCCTCAACGACCCACAGGAGGTCTTCGACATATCCGTCTTCAGGAGCGACCCCACCATTTTCTACACCGTGGCGCGCGACATCCTGCCCAGCACGTCGCGCTTCTCGCCGACTCACGCCTTCATTGCCATGCTGCAAGAGAAGGGCAAGCTGCTGACGAACTACTCGCAAAATATCGACAATCTCGAGGCGAAGGCTGGAATCAGGCCCGAAAAGCTGGTACAGTGCCACGGCTCCTTTGCGACTGCCTCGTGCTTCAAGTGCGGCTACAAGGTCGACGGCGACTCGCTCTTTCCCGAGATCAAGGCCGGTAAGATCCCGCGGTGCCGCAAGTGTGCCCAGGGCAGCCGCACCACAAACAATAGCCGCAAGCGCAAGCTCAACCGCGACGGCACTGAGAAGAAAGTGCGCCGCAAGCCCGGCGACTACGACAGCAACTCGGACTCTGAGTTTGACCTGCCCACGAGCTCGTGCGGCGTCATGAAGCCCGACATCACCTTCTTTGGGGAGCCCCTGCCCGACGAGTTCTCTAAGCGTCTCACCGAGCACGACCGCGACCTCGTCGACCTTGTCATTGTCATCGGCACCAGCCTTAAGGTAGCTCCCGTCTCCGAGGTCGTCCCCTTCCTCCCTTCAAACATCCCCCAAATATACATCAGCCGCACCCCCGTCTCACACGTCAACTTCGACATCGACCTCCTCGGCGACTGCGATATCGTCGTCTCTGAGCTCTGCCGCCGCGCCGGCTGGGACCTCAAGCACGAGATGATCCCCGAAGGCCAGGTCATCAGCACCACCCTCGCCGACGGCTATCCCAGCCGCCACATTTTTGCTCAAGTCAAGCCAGACCCCGACTCTGAGTCGATCAAGGTGGAGGCCCCCGCTGAGACTGCCGACGAGTGATGCTGAATTGATCTTGCGTTTTCTTCTTTCACTTTTGTATCTTGCGAGTTTTAGGAAGGGTGGCAGTTTCCCCCCCCTTCTCCGTCTCTCAATCCGTCAACGTGCATGATACCCGGGATTTTATTTTCAACTTCAGCTTTTTTGTTTTTGTTGGCGAGGTGCAGAGCCACACACAACATACACCCGACGGAGGGGCGGCTGCTCGGCTCTTGTGTCTGCAACCCGCCCTTGAAATCTCTCTGTGGCTTCAGTGTCTTTCCTGTCACCTCTTTGCGTGAGCGATCCGGCTCGAGTCGCTTGGAAAGCTGGCTGTTGTTTTAAATAGGGGGGAGACTCGGCATGCTGTAGAGTGAAGCGCGGCGCTTACAAACTTTGACGTTCTTGTCATGACAACGACTCAACCAACGCAGCTTGTATGTATGGTCGGATAGATGGATATCCAGACGCACGATAGAGGAGATGTGCGCTGAACTGGCTGCTGCTTTCAGAGAATGGGGGCCTAGTCGGGTCACGACCTTTTTTTTTTCTTCCCCTTCGTCAGATAGCGGGTTGTGTGCAAAATTCAGGGACAAAAATGCCGTGGCATGCCGTGGCAAGTCAGTCAGTCAGTCTTCTTGTATGTTACGGGTGGTAGCAGAGACTGCTTACCATGAAGTCAGGTGGATATAATGAGAGGGCGTAGCAGGGATTTCTTGTTTCTTCCCCGGGGGATAGAAAACGGTGGAATTTACGGATAGCGTGAGGCAATATAGACGGGAATATAATCTTGACTTTTTTCCTTACATGCTTTTTGCGTTGGACTGCCTGGTTTTTGTTTTGCTTTTGGGTTATAATCCCTTCTTCCAAACCAAGATGATGCCATTGCCGTTGCCGTTGCTGTGGCGGTTGCGAATGATACAACTTGGAACGACGAGAATCAACCCCTACCAAGTATTATCAATCAACAGGGCAGGTATAGATTTCAATTTCCACCTAGGAATCAAATATGACTCTTTCGCTTTGTCCCGTCGCTCATTCTAAAGCACGCCATTCAGCCACCCTACCTAGGTAACCAGCCGAACCAGACCAGCCTATATACGTAAAAAGAGGTGTATATCCATTAACTCGCCTCGCACATGCCATATATCATAATAAGCTCTGGTATTTATCCAACCCCGACTTTTGCGGCTGAGCAGGCGTCTGCTGCTGCTGCTGCTGCTGCTGCTGGGCCATGCCCATAGCCATTCCCATCCCAGAACTGAGACTGCTGCTGCCGCCCAGGTTCATCATGTTGCCCATGCTGTTCATGCTCATGCCCATGCTATTAGTATTACCACCACCACCGCTGCCGCCGCCGCCACCCATGTTCCTCATAGTAGCCATTCCCATACCCATGCCCATGCCTGTGCCGGCATTGGACCCCATCATCCGATTTGCGGCGGCGGCGCCGATGGACGATGACGACGACCCCATCGAGTTCATGTTCATCATGAACATGCCCATGCCCATGCCGCCAAGGGAGGATGAGGAATTAGTTGTTTGCGGCTGCGGGCGCTGTGAAGGGGCTCCAGGCGGCGGTGCGAGGCTGAAGGCGGATGCCGGCGTGGACGTGCCAGCGGGTGGCGGGGAAAGCGCAATGGAGGACGAGGTGAAGAGGGACGGTTGGTGCGCCGCTGACAGAGATGGCGGCAGGCTGAGGGACATGGAGCCGAACGAAGATATCGGCGGCTGCTGCGGCGACGAGGGCGACGACCAAGGGTTGCTGCTGAGAGCTGAAGATGACGTGCCCCAGTTTATGGATGTGCTCGGAGGTGCTAGCGGCGGCGACGCTATGCTACTGCTAGGGGTTGGCTGCAGCGGCTGAGAGAACTGTGTTGCCGTCGGCGTGAGAGTCTCGAAGCGGGCTAGATCCGGGGTGACAGTCCTGAAGCTGGACTGTTGGGCCCGAACAGCGCCAAACGGTCCGGCGTTGGACGTCGCCGGGGCTGCCGAAGGCGCTTGCCCAGAAGATGACCAAGAGAAGGCGGGTGTTGTTGCTGCCGGGGCCGGCGCAGGTGCCGCGGGTCTCCCAGCCCTCGGATTAGAAGACGCGACAGAGGCACTGGGTATGTTAGAAGTCATATTGTCCCACCCAGAGTCGAGAGGGTTGCCACCACCCGATCCGCTCGACTTGCCCTTGACCAAGAGCTCGAAGTCGTCCACGGTATCGCCGTTCGCATCCAGTGACGAGCCGGCTATGGCGCCAAAAGACATAAAATCCTCGCCCGCCCCAGCCAGAGCGCCGTTGCCGCCGCCCGACAGCTCCTGCAACTTTTTGGTCTGCTCATCCTCGACTCTTCTTGACAAGGTCTTGATAAGATCCATGAACCCCTGGAACTGCTTGAGATCTAGTAGCGGCCCTAGACTCATGCTCCACAGGATGGGAAGAATATCCATGGCCACGAAGTCTGCATCTGCGATTTTGCCCACAACCTTCAAGACATTGAGGGCGGCAATCATAACCGCCGGCTCCTTGGTCTTGATCCCCTTGACGAGAGGCACAATCTTTTCCTGCATAGTGAACTTGTCGAGGACGCTAGACGAAGACGTCCTCTTCTTGTCGGACCCAAACCCGTCCAGCCCATCGTCGCTGTTCGGGTCGCTAGATCCGCCGCACAGAGTTACAAAGGCTTGTAAGCCTCTGACTTTGATTGCTAGACTGTTTGTTTTGCTAAATATTGTCGCAATAACTGGGAACAGCTCGTTCTTGATGGTGCTAAAGTCTAGCACAGACAATATTGTTGGTAGACTCCTCAGTGCAGCATCAACAAGCGTTGGTGTTGGCGACTCCAAGGATGCAAAGATTATGGGCAGGATATCTAAAGAGAAAAAGAGTTAGCGCCCGGCTCAGGGCCCGAAGGGAAAACCTCCACATACCGTCTTTGAATTCCTTCCCCGAGCAGTTGTTAGCTATGACGCCCAGCTGCTCGAGGATAATCATCAGACCTGCGTCCCTTGCCGCGTCTTTCTCTTGTGTCTGTTTTGCGTTTGTGACAAATATCTCCTTAAGACTGGGCCGTACTCTGTCCCCAAAGGCTCTCTTTCCAGAGGGCAACAGCTCTATTATCTTGAAGACGTTATGGAGTATGAGGGAGAGCAGTTCCCTATCTTTTAACTCATCTAATAGGGCGGGGAGAACCTTTTTCTCCATCACAGACTTGGGAAACGACGGCAGGACCTTGATAAGCCCCCTGAGAAACTGCGACTTCTCGTTGGGTGTTTTGGCTGGGAAGGCGTCCAGAAAGCGAATCGTTGAGATGAGTATATTGTCAAAGTACTCGCTCTGTTGGAACTCCTTGGCCGTCATGCGCTGGGCTGGTCTGCGAGTTATAAGCCGCGGAAGGACCTGGGTTGCTAATTCTTTGGGGAGGGGGCGGGAGGAAAGGAAGTTGTTGGTCGAGGACGGCACGCCCTGCGAGTTCTGGAACAGTCTCTTGTAGTTGGACACACTTGAGTTGCACTCTATCGGCGACCGGTGCGGAGAGTTATACAGGGCTACGCAGAGAAGTCCTAGCGAGAACATGTCGGCCGAGGAAGTGAGATTACTGTCCAAGACAAAATCCGGCGAGGTATAGTCTAGATTAAGCTGGACAGACCGGGGCAGCCTGGGGTCGAGGTGCAAGACGTCTACGAGGTCGATGGGCTGCACCGATGTTGTCGCCGACGAATTCTCGGCCGGGCCGCAGAAGGACAGGCCGCTAATCTTCCAGTCCGACTATCGAAAACGGATCAGAAACAGAGGCTAGAGCTACTCGGACAGTACGCCACACACGGCCACCAGAGTTCAGGCCGCAACCCGCAGAGCATGACCTACCTTGGCATTAATGAGGATAGCGTCGGGCGTGAGGTTGCCGTGGACGAGCCCGGCCGTCTCGTGTAGGAACTCCAGGGCCTTGCTGATTTGGAGCAGGCCCTTCTGGATCTCGAGCTCGTCAATCTCGAGCTCGCGCCGCCGCCGGGTGCCGTCGGCATCTTCAGTGACCCAGCGGCTGGAGCGGCCGCCGACGCCGCCGCCCTTTTCTTGCTCGTCCTTCTCCTCCAGCAGGCTGGCGAGCGAGGCGGTGACGGCCTCGGTGGCAAACTGCAGGCCGCCGCCTCGGGTTTTCTCGACGGGCTCGACAAGCTCCAGGACGTTGGGATGGCGGAGCCTGGCTAGCGACGCGGCCTCCTTCTCGAGCCTCTCGATAACGCCCTCGACAACCTTCTTGAAGGCGGCGGCGCCGGACCGGCCCAGGCCGCTGCTGTGGGCATCGAGCGACTTCCTGTCAAAGACGAAGACTGAAACATCCTTGCCCGTCGACTTCTTCTTGGCACTGTATATCTTCCAGGGGCCAGCCGTCGACGTGACGGTGGGGGAGATGGTGTAGTTGGACGAGATGTTGGTCGATGATATGGACTTGACCACGCTGGAAAACATGGCTCACGGTGGTCGGGAGATTCTGTGCGCTCGTGGTTCGCATTGCTCTCGCACTTCGCCTTCGTGCTCGCCCTCGCTTTCGCTTTCGAGATCGGTGGGGTGGTGTAATGCGCGGCTTCGGGGCTCTGGTGCGATCGGGCCGGGGGTTGAGGAAAAGTCAGGTCAGGGGCAGTCGGTCGGTCAGCTCGGCGTGGCACGCAGGCACAGGTGCATGGCAATATGAATCCCTGTGCGCAGAACTCAAGACGGGAGAGAGTTGCAGGTACTGCACGTAGTCGTAGGTGGCCGGGAATGCGGAGGGCCGACGCAACTCAGATCAGGGAGACGGGGACAGCGCTGCCCCAGACAAGGAGGATCCTGTGGGCGTGGAGCAGCGGTCGCATACCTACCGACTCCGTTCCGTTCTTCAAGTGCAAAAAAAGAGATAATCGATGCTTCAGAATCATTAAGTTATTAGCCAGCTTGGGCCACAACACAACACAACGCAACCCCGCTGGGAGTGAAAAATAATCTTTGTCGTGCCTGCCGTCAGCAACCAATGATTTGCGACACTGCACCAACTGCCTGCCTGCCCAACCTGAACCTTTTTTATGCTTATCCATCCATCCATTGCAAGCCTCCTCCCATCAGGCGCGGTTTCCAGCTGTGAACGCTTGGCAAGGCTGAGAGGTTCCATAGGTGCCGCGTTGGTACCTCGAAAAGAGCTGGAGTTCCAGCACGTTTCTTTAGGGAGCCGGCCCAGCGTGTTCCAGCACTGGGGACCACTACGGAATAGAGCCCGCCCGCTCGCTTGGAGGTCCGTTATTCCGAGCGGAACACCCAATCCCTTGAACAACCGCAGCTGCCCGTTCGAGCCCGCCCTTTCATAGACACTAGCCACGACCCTAGCTCAAATTCCAGGCTCCTGATTGGCTCAATTCGTTGCAACTGCAGAGCTCCGATAAGGGTCCGATGTTGTCCAGGGCAGGGCGTTGCTCTTCCCAATGGGTAGTTCAGTCATACAGAAGAGAGGTGTGTGATGAGTCGGCAGAGGATAAGTCTAAATAAATAATCTACAAGCTGCACTCTGACGCTCTCACAATCTCTCCATTCATTTGCGACCCGCTTCACCTGTGAGCGCCGTCTGTTTCTCTCACATAGTTAAACGGGTCGGTCCTCTAACGGCGGCCATTGGGCATACCCTACCTATTTGATTCGCAGCGGTGGAAGGTAACAGAAAAGTTAATTGGACTTCTAGAGTCGCAGGACCCATACCTTAGCCGTTCACCACCGCCATCCTAACTCTCCTTTTTTTCCTCCCCTCCCTCAGCTATTAATATTCCCGGCCCGCCATGCTGCGGCCACTCTTTCCCCGATGCCCCTCGGCCCTGCAGGCTGCGGCAGCGGCATCGCGGCCGTCGTCACGGTCAGTGCTGGGCTCGTGGAAGGCGGCGACGGCAGCGCGGCGCCAGTATAGCATCAAACCCCACGCCGCGTCCGTGTTCCAGCCCCAGGACATTGACCCGAGCAAGCTGGTGCTGGAGAAGACGAAGAGTCCCAAGACGCTGAAGAAGCCCGAGGACCTGGTGTTTGGGAGGAATTTCACAGGTATGGACTACACATGTTTCCCTATCTCTATTGTAATGCCTCCTCCTCTCCCCCTTTTCTAGCTGACCTGCGCGCCTTGCGCTCCTCTTAGACCACATGCTCACGATTGAGTGGAACGAGACGACGGGGTGGCTGGAGCCGCGGATCCAGCCGTACCAGAACCTGTCGCTGGACCCGGCGACGTGCGTGTTCCACTACGCCTTCGAGTGCTTCGAAGGGATGAAGGCGTACAAGGACAAGGCGGGCCGGATCCGGCTGTTCCGGCCCGACAAGAACATGGCGCGCATGAACAAGTCGGCGGCGCGCATCGCCCTACCCACGTTCGCGCCCACGGCCATGATCGACCTCATCGCCGCCTTCGCCAAGCTCGAGAGCCGCTTCATTCCCGAACAGAAGGGCTACTCGCTGTACCTGCGCCCGACCATGATCGGCACCCAGAAGACGCTCGGCGTCGGCCCGCCCGGCTCCGCCCTGCTGTATGTCATCGCCTCGCCCGTCGGCCCCTACTACCCCACCGGCTTCAAGGCCGTGTCGCTCGAGGCGACCGACTACGCCGTGCGTGCCTGGCCCGGCGGCGTCGGCGACATGAAGCTGGGCGCCAACTACGCGCCGTGCATCGTGCCGCAGCGCGAGGCCATGAGCCGCGGCTTCCAGCAGAACCTGTGGCTGTTCGGCGAGGAGGAGTTCGTGACCGAGGTCGGCACCATGAACTTCTTCGTGGCGCTGCGCAATCGCGAGACGGGCCAGAAAGAGCTGCTGACGGCGCCCCTGGACGGCACCATCCTCGAGGGCGTTACGCGCGACTCGGTGTTGGCGCTGGCGCGCGAGCGGCTGGTGCCCGAGGGCTGGAAGGTCGAGGAGCGCCGGTTCTCCATGAAGGAGGTGGCCGAGGCGTCGGCCGAGGGCCGCCTGATCGAGGCGTTTGGCGCCGGCACCGCCGCCATCGTCAGCCCCGTGCGCGCCATCAGCTGGAAGGGCCAGCTGATCAACTGCGGGCTCAAGGACCACGAGGAGTCGGGCGAGCTCACCCTCAAGGTCAAGTCGTGGATCGAGGCCCGCCAGTACGGCGACGAAGAGCACGAGTGGAGCTACGTGTGTTAGATATAGCGAGGGCGGGGGGATGACGTTGGTTTTCACTGGGCTCGGCTGGGCCGTCTACAAAAACGCGTATATAGCTGAGTAACGTAACTGGATAAAAAAACGTTAAAAAATAAGGAACAGGTCGTGGACAAACTACCTCGTGCCCGGTTCTTGACGAGCTTGACGAGCAGCATACAAATCAAATCCGGAAATGTCTGGCAGGGGAAGCAATAGGGTGTGCACCAAAACTAGCCGTACCAGTCTATGAATGCTCTTGGATGTCCAGATTGAAACGAATGCCTGGCTCGACAGCAGGGACTCTGTCGGTAGTTGTGAAGAAAATCTAACCGCGATTCACAACGACAAGATACCCCCCCGCCTTACGCAATGCAGACAGGAGGGAAGGCCGAAAGACAAAGGAGCAAGCGAGGACACCGGGAGAGAATAAAAATGAATATCATATACAAACACGCCCCTCTCCCGTCTCGAGTCTCCCAAAGTCTCGGTTGGTTCATTTCCGGCGGTCTATTTGAAGATGGGCTTCCCATGAATAATAACATCTGACTTTCGCTGCCCATTTCCGTCTCTGTTTCTCTCTTCTTACTCGTCTAGCCACTCAGAAAATCGATTTCACAAAGCCGCCACCGCCTGGATTTCTCATTTCTTCTCAGGGTCCTCGAGGATGCCCTCGACCTCTAATCGCCTACGCGCCTCCTCGAGCGCCCACGTTTGTATGCTGGACAGACACGCACGGTCAGTATTCCATCTCGTTTTCCTTTTCCAATAAATAAACATAAAAAGAAAAAATACCGCACCCCCTCCCCCTCTAGTCTCTACCATCTACTAACCAAGCCAAAAACAACAGACAGACAGTAAAAAAAAGGAAAAACTCACGACGTATCCGGCTTATAGGCGTACGCGACCAGGAACACCGCAATGCTGCCACAGAAGCCGTAGAAGAAGGGAGCCTCCCATCCCTCGCTCTGGTATTTCTCGCCGGGCTTGACGCCGAACAGCCAGCCGGTGGGGGGGTCGTACGAGGGGCCGTGGGAGGAGGCGCGCGCAGGAGACGACGAGAAGAGGCGGGCTGCGGGCGGCGCCAGGACTGTGGTTGACGTTGTCGTTGTCGAGAGAGAAGATGAGGTCCCTGTGATAGAAGAGCGCTGGACGGCGGCGCGGGCTGCGCGGACGCAGGAGCTCGGGCGGATGGCCGGCATGGCGGGCGGCCGGGCGGGCTCCAAATGAAAAGGGAAAAATTAAATAAGAAAAGGAGACTGAGCTGTCAATTGAATTGACTGCAGCCCGTCTGCTCGGAAACGGAAGAGTGGAGATGGGGGTGGTGGTGGTGTTGCGGCGACCGGGCAATCGGTCGGCGATAGAGGAGTCAGTCAATGTGATCCATCGTTGGTCATTCACGCAAGCTGGGGCTTGGTTGCGGCAAAAGGCACGCAAATGTGGCTTAATCACGTGGCGGGCCCCGTTCTTTCCCCGGTGGCTAAGATCTGGATTTGGTGTGGCTCACACTGCGGAGTCGGAGCATCTTGGCAGCGGAAAACAATAACCTTATCCGTACGGGATACCTTCGTACGGAGTAGCTACATTACATTTACAGCAGTGGCAGCAAAGCCTCACGGCAGTCAATGGGTCAGAAGTGACAAATGATATAATCTACCCGCTGCCTGGAAATATCCGTAGTTTATCTGGCTTCCTTAGCTCGATCTACGGGAATCCTGCGCTGCTCGCAGATTGTTTTCTAATTCCTATTCGCTTCTAAACCCAACCTATAATCGAGGTAGGCGTTCTGCTGCTGCTAATCCCCAACAGCCTCTTATTTAGCTCCGTTGGCCCCCTGCCCGAGTGAGGCACGGGACCACAGCGCAATCAGTAAGGTAGGAGTCAACTCGTTCCGAGCCGAGGTAGGACCTCCCTCAGATATAATACATTGTGTCCTCTAGATTTTTGTGGACCTTGCGAGACTTGATCGTGTGCGCATCCTTGCTACTCATTGATCCAGTGTCTTCAAAGAGCTCGCTCTAGTGAACGCGGGCTCTCGTGCAGACCAGGTCAGCATAGTACGCAGGCGGGCAGATGCTGACCGCTTGGTGGCTCGGCCATAGAGATAACACATGTCATGTGTAAGCTTCTCGAGGACGTCGGCCGCCGCGGCACCATAGTCGGCCCTGATGATCTCGTCGAGCAGAACCGTATAATGCGCCGGCCGAGCAGTGCCTGTTTTCACATGTGTTAGCATGTACAAGCTCAATATGGAGGATTGTCCACGACTTACCTTGAGTAGATGCATGGGCCTGCAAAAAGAAGTCCCAGTACCGCACGTTCGTCACGCCACGGTCAACAACTGTCCCTTCCTTTGGATTCTTGGATCTGGGATGAATGTGCTGGGTATCAGTTGGGAAAAAGCGCGTCTGGTGGCGCTTGGCTGACACGATTAAAGTGATACGCGGTTTCAGAATTGCCTGGTACGTTTGTTTACAGGCCTCTCGGATGTGCGGAAGTTCTTTTTCGAGGACCAGGCTGAACTGTCCTTCAGAAACACCATCACGGAAGATGAGAATGTTTTCAGGGAGCCGGCCCTGGTTGTTCTTCTGCCATAGATGCAGCCGGGACTTGAACTTCTCAACCAAGTCTTGGCCGAGCATCTCCTCTCTTGCCGGGCCCACCCACGCAACAGCTGGCCATTGAATGAGATTCTTATCAACGCTGGCCACCAGACCGACCATGCTAGACGCGTGTTTGTCCGCCCCGGCGGCAAGGTTCGTTGGATGGGTGACGTCGTATCCCACTACCATCGTCTTTCCAGATTTGAGCAATCCAATCTCGCCCCTGAGCATTTGGTTGGTTCCGCCAAACTTGAGATTGACCTTCAGAGTGACGTTGGCAAAATATCTCATCTGACCCTTTTCCTCGAGGATCTTGTCCTGCACAACACAGGCGTTCTGCAAGCCGTAGTCGACGTCTGCAATCTTCTTCACCATGTTGTACAGCGCCGTATCTTGGGCCGGGAGCAGCACAAGCACAAAATCCGGTCTAGCTTTTACGATCTTTTTGAAAGCTAGCTTCAGACTCGCTTCGTCGACAGCAGATTTGACCTTGAATCCCGGTTCGGTCGAACTCCCATTCAGTGGATTGCCTGGATTGCTGATTTTCATGCCCATATTGGTCGCCATGAACTTCATGAACTTGATGGCGACCGATTGGACTTCGGCATGGTGTCGGGGCTTTTGTTGCTTGGAGATGTGGAGGAACGTCCATGATCTGATCAATCGTCCTGGCTTGCTGATCTTCGCGCCCTTCATTAACCACCCGCCATTTTTCGGTCTGACCATGGAAAGTGAATTTCCTGTCTGAGCGAGATATGCCAGACCGGGCGGCGTAAGTTCTCGACCGATGACGGTAATAAGCTGCTTGTCGACGGAGACACCGAACCGGTCCTAGATTTCGTTAGCATGCCTGATAGGAAGACATATGAAGCAAACAAGCTTACAAGTAGCGGGTTGTTGTCAAACCCGAGCACCGCTCTCGCCACATTCGTGATAGAGTTCCCGTTGTGAGCCGGTGATTGGCAAGCGAACTTTATCATTTCGCTCTGCTCTCTTGGGTTCATCTTGGCCTTGACGGGGCCATATAGCAATTTGCAATGCTCCGCCAGAAAGTAAATCGGCTTCTGGACCGCCCCCACGTTGACCAAAGGAAGGCTCAGATTTGCCTTGATGTTGTATTCTAGCCACGTTAGTCACCATCGTAGCGAAGTGATCAAGTGTCAGAGTCCTACTGGCAGCGAAATAGTCCGCTACCGTCACAAACGTATCCCATTGGAGACCCTTCGGCGGGGCGGCGGACCCCGATTTTGGGTTTTCAGGTAGAACTGCACGGAAGCCAGACCACCATACTGCAGACCATGGGCAAATTTGGGAGCCTCCTGATTCCGGACATTGCTCCCAACTCGGCCGTCCTTAGCAGTGGCCAGGCCAGCAATCGATCTGCAGGCATCAAACCATTTGCCGGGTTTGTCGCCAGGGACCTTGCAGAGAACCCGCGACCTTCCGAGGAACTTGTGCAGGCTGTTAAGCTGCCGTTCATAGTTTTGCTTAACATGTGGTGGGTACTTCTGAAGCTGGTCAATCTTCTCCATTTTTGCCACCCCTTCGCGTTCGAACAAGCTACTCAGCTCCAGTTGGGCACGGAAGGGAGCATGCATCACGTTGGTATTCACGAGGATTCTCCCAGTGCCCGTGCGAACGCTCTGATAGTACCCTCGCAGCATGGCCAACAAACTTTCGCCGAAGGTGTTCACGGCTTCCCTCCTCTTGTCATCTATGGCAAACGCTCGGTTCCGTCCAACTGTGGCAATTCCTTCCCCTGCACGAGCTGTGTGTCCGAGGATAATGCCGAGGGCATCAAGAGCTCTCAGGTGCTTGGGGAAGGAACTGTCATTAACCGGTTCTTCCATCGTCTTCAGGTACTCGGTCAGGCTGTCGATGCTGATCCAATACGGGCCTGAGAACTTGACATTCCATTTTTCCGCCTCCGCTCGATGTGGCTCCTGGCACTCAACCACGAAAACACCATTTTCGGGGAGGTCGAAGGCCTGAAGGGTAATAACCTTGCCCTTGTATTCAGTGGCAACCGGGATATCAGGAGGGAGTTGACGCAGAGCAAGGCCGATGATCGCGGCCAATTTTGGACCCTTCGCCTCCTTGACGGCAGGCTTTCCGTTAGCGAATCCCGGCTTCCGCCCGAGCCGAATTTTGGACGGGGTGGTAAGAACTCGGATTCTCCCACGGGACTCGAAACTTGAAGGCCGCTTATCTGAGTCGTCAACTGGGACACGGAATTGGTGTGAGCCGCGACCCAGTTGCCTCAATCTCAGCGACATTGGGGTCCGGGGCTGGAATTGGAGAGCCTTGTCTAGAAGAAAAGGTCAGAATTGTTCGGCATGTTGCAACTTGGCGGCATACTCACCCAAAGACATTTCCGGCAAAGCTGCCGCCGCCGCCGCCATGTCCACCCCGGAAACCTCCACAGAAGCCGCCCCCGCCACGATACTCTCCGCCACCTCTACCTCTACCACGGCCACGATTGTCGAACATGGTGAACGGTAGCACAGGCGTCGGAGCAAAATGACCGAGCAGTGAATATCGATAGGGTCTATGATATTGAAGAAGAAATGATTCTCAAAGGAATATTTGCAAGAGAAGTTGCTGGCCTGTGAGCAAGGTGGCCTTCTCACACGAAGGCTCGGAAGATGATGATAGCGCGAGGTGTGGCGGCTAGCGAAGAACGAGAGCAGCAAAAGTCAACACATACACACCCAGCTCTTGGCTACGGCGTGTAAAAGATGGAGGATCTAAGGCTGGAGGTGTAAGAGGGGATTGACACTGCGGTCTGAATATCTTCTTTCTCGAGAAGATCCCCACTTCGTCAACCTTGTCGATGGGAAGTGGAGCGTGATCAACATAGTGTAGAAGGCAGGAAGCTTCCTCCCCTGTCAATCAAGGCAAGAGAAGAAATCAAAGAGATGTCGAAGGTCCCGGGCCTGCAAACGAGAGGCGGTCAGAAAACAAAAGACAGGCCATACCAGGCCGATGTCGACGCCAGGCAGCATCACAGAATCAAACCGCCTCCCTTAGGTACCTAGGAACCTGAAAGCATGGATGCATTGGGCCGGGCTGCCTCTGTGTGTGACGCGATAAGTGAACTGCAGCAAGATGGCCTCCAGCCCTGCCGGCGGCCCGGCTGCCTTTTTTGACGCCTTCGATTTCAAATACCGACCTGCCAGGGCTAGGCTAGGCTAGCTTCAAGCTTAAAGTGATCGAGGGTGTGTCTGCCGAGAGCTAATCCCCGATCTATCCTCCCCAAAGGGTCGTCGGGGTAGTTCCAATTGCCGGGGAAAATCTGCGGTCATCACTGCAGAGCACAGGCACTGTGGCGGTTGCTAACGCAGGGGCCCTTGCTTGTCCTAGCAAGCTAGCAGACTTCCCCTTCCTAGCTAAGGAAGGAGCGCCGACGCGAATACTATTGGGTACCTCATTGGCCGCTCTTTTCTTTTTATGTCATATTGCTATCAAGTACTGCCAGGGAGACCCTTTCGTCGTGCCGGCCGAGTGAGCTTGACACCACAGCACGGCGTGAGTCTTCTCGGTGTACGTGTCATCAGGTAGCAAATCCATGGTTGTGCCGAACCTTGACGGCTCCGGGCCGTTCAAAGTTCGGGTGTGTGGAGCGGAGCGGCCGGCATGTGATGCGCCAGTTGTACTGTGTAGTCAGCCGAATCCGAGAACCTTTCGTGTTCGACTTGTGCTTCGTGCTTTCGCCGGGTATTGGCTTTTTTTTTCTTTTCGTGACCAACTTTAATCTCTATACCGCATAAAGTACTGGATTTTGTTTGGGCGCTTTGTTTTCCTGTTTCTCAAGCTCCCGTCTATTGATTCAGTGGGAACTTGGGATGAATAGTTGCACGTTTGAGCCCCATAATTGCAACTCGAGAGCTGCCGTGAAACCCGCGTAATTGGGCCGGACCCGAAATTGGGATGGAGGGGGTTAGGTAAGCCGCCTTGTGGAGGTAGGTCTTGGCTGTGACGTGACGGAAATAACCTTCGGATTGAACCGGCCATGGTATCCGTTCCAAGGGCACACGACAAGTTTGAACAGTTGGCTTTTAACGCACGTCATGGTATTTTCTCCTTTAATTACATTGATTGACGCTCGGCGAGCGTGCCTTCCTCAGGAACTCCATCTGTGCTGCACTGTACTGCACTGTAGGTGCTGTATAGAATAGATCTACAGGCAGGCACGCTAGACCTCGGGATTCCTACCACCACACACCAGTGACAGAGTCACGCCGGAATATCACATGCTTGCTCCTTTTTTTCTATGTAAGGTAATCACCAGGCGCCGACAAACATTTTGAAGCCGCCGCTCCGGATGTCTGCACCCTTTCCATGTTGGCTGTTATCAACAGGCGAATACGGGAAGCTGCCTGCGCCTGCCTGAGCTGGGTGGCTCTTCGACATATCACAAAACATGTTTTCAGGAGCAAACGGGCTCACACCGGGCTTGGCTGGACGGCATAGCCGGTGGCTGGCTCGCCGAGCAAACTTGTCTCTGCCGATTTTGCTCAATTTTTCCAAACCTGGAGGGCTTGCCTAGGTACTAACAGATGCCCAAACAGTATATGCGCCTTGCCGTCGCCGTCGCCATCGCCGTCGCCGTCTGACACCAGAGAAACCTGGAGGTTTGTTCTCGGGGTTTGCTCCGGAGAACCCACAGCCCTCGTTCTCTGCTCTACATAGAGGCGGTGATGTGAGAATTCTCGCTCTTGATTTTCTCTTCCACTCCCGGCTTTTCTGGTGAATGTGCCACCTCCCAGCGGAGACAACACGCACTAGTTGTTGACCTCCTAATGTTGCAATACCACGAGTAGCACTGGCACCTGTAGGGCTTGTACATACATACCAAGTGGTCGAGTCCAATGCGAGCCCGGTGTACAACAAGCACACTAGGGGCTTGTGAAAGCAAAAGCCGCGCAATCTTGGTTGGCGGTGGACCAAAGATAGGCACACAATACACACATACACACATACACACATACACACATACACACATACACACATACACACATACACACATACACACATACACACATACACACATACACACATACACACATACACATACACCTGCCACACGCATACACACACACACGTGAACACGCGCGCGGGGGATGGAGGGGCACATCATCATCATCGAAATCTCGCCTTCAATTTGGGCTCGTCTTCCACACCAGCCTTGGCCAGATACGTATGGAAATGCGATATTATAGACGTCCAGTCTAGTATCTAGTACTAATAAACCATAGATATGCTACATGCTACCTGCTCCATTCCATCACTCCCTGCCTAAAGACAAAGGAAATAAATAAATAAATAAATAAAAAAGCAACAAATTCGCCTGCTCCAGTGCCATGCTTGGGTATTGTGGCTGCCGTCGTCCAAAACAAAAACAAAAAAAACACCATTCTACAATGCTCGCTTCCCTGTACTCCTCGCTGCAAAATTTCCTCGCTGGGTAAATTACTCGCTGTTATTTCCGTCTCGGGACTCTCCCTGTAGGTTCCAGCCGTACTCCGGCGGCATTCTCTTTTCGTGCCAAAGTTTGATTCTCTCTCTCTCCCCTTCCCCTTTCTTCCTTCCCCGGCTGGGAAAATCTCGAGCCGAACCCAGCTTGTTCAGGGCGTCTTGGGGGACGGTGACGGGCTCTCACTCTCGCTGTCGTATTCGTCTTCGCTGTCGTCATCGGTCAGCCCGGGAGTCTCGCTGCCATGGGAGGAGTCGACATCCTCATCGGAGTCAGAGTCGTCGTCGCTGCCATCATCGCTATCCTCATCACTCTCACTCTCACTATCGGAGTCGGAGTCGGAGTCATCAAGTCCCCTCCTTCGCCGCTGGTTGGCGATCCACTCTCGCCGCTTTGCAACGCTCATCCCATCCACCATTTCGTCGGTCTTCGTGCGGGGCCGCATCGCCCCCGTCACCCAGTCCTTAGTGTATGCGGCCGGCCGCCTGTTGTGCCGGTCGGGAAGGAACCACGGCGGCGGGGCCACTCCGCTGCCCCGTAGAAGCGAGGCGTGTTCAGCTGTCAGCCAAGTCAGCATGTTCTTCCGCAGCGATGCCTCTTGCTGCGCGGGAGAGACGAATAGTGCTAGCTTACCGGCGGCGGTGGTGGTTGTGGTTGTGGTGGTGGTGGTTGCCGTGGAGATGGCGGCCATGGCGATGGGAGCGCACCCAGTGCACTCAAGAGCCAGGCAGACCTCGCAGGACGAGATGCGAGTGCGCTTGGTAGGGCGTTCCATGTTGCAGGGGCCGGAAGACATTTCGTCGAATTTGCGTGACATTTTGGCCCGGTCGCGTGGTGTCGGGGGGGGAGCGAGGGTGGAAGAAAGGGGGAAGCTAGGTTTTTCTGTGCAACGCTCTGCAAATCAAAGAGGCAAGAAGAGTCAGGTCTAGAGTATGATCTCTGACTTTTGGCGATGATTTTTTGGGTGCAAGTGCAGTCGCGTGCAAGTGCAGTCGCGAGCGTGTTGTGTAATGTTTGTGGTGTGTATGTGCTTCGGTGCTTCGCGGTGTGGTTGCGGGATTGAGTTGTCGAAAAGAAAACGGTCCAGGAGATGACGGAAGATATGTCACTAGGAGCAGTTTTCTCCGAAAGGGGCCCCCCTAGCAAATACGATTTATACACCTCCCCGCTCTGGGCGAGCTTAACAGCAAGTCTGTTTCTGGTTTCTCCGATCCTGTTCAGAACACGGCCCAGAGCGTACGTAAAACAACAGCCCTGTTCAGTCGGGCGGGCAGGCAAGGCAGGCAGGTAGTGGAGAAAGGAGAAAGGAGGTTTTAGGAGGGGCGCCAAAACGAACAACCCTTCAGCGATCGGTGAAGGCAAGGTTTGTAAGGTACGTTTCGGGGTGGCCAGTCTTGAATGATACCTAGGTAGCTGAAGAAAAGAAACGTTATCGATAAACCACGAAAAGCGTGCCGTGTCGTTGAGCCTCCTGCGAAACTGTAGGTAGCTCGTGGAAAACCGTGGGCGGGCAGGCAACCTCAAATCACGAGGGCAGTCCTTTTGCAGGCAATACCAGTCCGACCCAGGCTCTTTCAATAGGGGGCTCAAGTCGGCTTTGCTACAGTCTCTCCTGAAAGAAAAGTGAAAAGAAATTGACTACCTTCCCTTAGCTATAAACTACAGTGAGGTGAGACTACCAGAGAGAAGCACAGAGAACGCGTGCAACGGCAGGCAGATACGAGACTTATATCCGGCCATGATTTCGTGTATTTTATTGCCAAAAAGTAGGCACCTATATCAAGCCTCTAGGCCCAAGCAGATATGCAAACCTGGCTTGCTGGGCAAACGCCACCACATGGAATCTTGTTCGCAAAACAAACACGTTGCGGCCAGCACCTTGACTCATGTCCCCCGCCCCAGAAGCACGAGGTTGGCTAGATTCATGACGGTAATGACCAGCCACACGAAGACGCCAAGGCCCACAACAGGCCAGCTGTTTGCCATCGTCACGAGACCTTCAGGTGGAGGAGAACCCTCCTCATCCCTTACACCACCCTCAGCAGCCTCCTCATTCCCCGCGGCAGCGGCAGCGGCAGCGGCTCTGGGCGCTCCGTACCTGGCCATGCCAGGGGTGACAGTCATGTGCTTGTGGGCCGAGGTGAAGTAGATCAGCGGAGCCGTGACGAAGGGCAGGACGATGCTGAGGGCGACCTGGCTGCCGTTGAGGGCGGCGTCGAGGCCGTCGCGGCCGATGACGCCGGCGATAACAATACTAGGCGCAATACTAATGGACCGCGTGACGAGCCGCCGGACCCACGGCCGCAGGCGCCAGTTGATGGCGCCCTCGCTGACCATCTGGCCGGCCAGCGTGCACACGATGCCGGCGCTGAGGCCCGAGAAGAGCAGCGCGAGCGCGAACACGGTGCCGGCCGCCGGCGCGATCGACGACGACAGCAGCCGGTGGATCCCGAACAGGTCCGGCCCCAGCGCCGCCGCCCCGGGCTCCCGGTACAGGCTTGCGCCGGCCACGATCAGGATGGCGCTGTTCACGAACAAGGCGAATGTAAACAGACATATCACGAGCTCGGCCATCGAGTACTTAAGGCAGAAGCGGATCGCCTCCAGGGACGGCATATACATCTTCTTGTCATCGCCACCGGCTTTCCGAGAATCACTACTGCTCCCGTCCGTTGTGGAAGAGGCGGGTGTGGGCGACGAAGTTGGGGTCGGGGGTAGAAGGCCGGCCTTGCTGTCGAAGTCATACAGGCGCGGCTGCACGATACCCGACCCTAGATACAGGCTGTGGGGCATCACGGTGGCTCCGAGAATGCCGCAGGCCTGGTAGAGGGCCGTCTTCTCAACGATGGAGCCCGACGGGAGATAGCCGCGGAAGACGTCGCCGACGGGTGTGTCGCGGATCAGCGACAGCTGGATGCAGAAGCACACGACCACGGCGAGGACGAGCAGCATGACAAAGAACTCAAACACCCTGAGGCCTCTCATGGACCCGCTGGGATTATAGAAAACGAGGATGAGTAGCACCTCGAGGATGGACACGGCGCATCCCGCGGGGAGGGGGATCTGCGGGACGAGCAGGTTGATGGCTATTGCCGTGCCGATGACCTAGTGGTGAAGCAGATCAGGAGGCGGCATCAGCATGTCGAGGCAATGGCAAGCTAAGGCAAGGACCCAACAAGGAAGCGCTCAGTCTCACCTCGGCGATATCCGTCGCGATGATGGCGGCCTCGGCCATGAAATAGAGCATGTAGTTGAGCCACGGCGGCAGGAACGCGCGGCACGCCTCGGCAAGGTTGAGTCCGCTGATGGTGCCCAGCTTGATGGACAGCGACTGGAGGAAGATCGCGAACACGTTGCTCAGCAGGACGATAAACAATAAGCGGAACTGGTACGAGGCGCCGGCTGCCACGTCGGTGGCGTAGTTTCCCGGGTCGACTTTCATGCCGGGGAGGAACCAAGGATTTCAGTGTCAGTTTAAGCTTGCTATACCACCACCTTACGCCATGAGACAAGATGCCGCAGGAAACCTACTGTACGCAACGGCCACCATGAATCCAGGCCCGGCAAACTTGCCAAGCGTCACAATGGTTTGCCTGGCCCTGCAGAGGCGCGACATGAAGAACCGCCGCCCAGCATGGCAGCTGTCTCGAGTGCTCTGGCTATTGGGATGTTGACGGCGACAACAGACGGGCTGGGTGCTGTCGGCAGAACCCCTCCCGAAACCCGACGAAGTAGTTCCGGGCGAGGCGCCCGTTGCGTTGCTGGGAGTCGCCGGCGCAGCCAGCAAATCCCCCTCGTCCAGCACGGAATGCAGCTTTTGGGCGTGCTGGTCTCGCCGCAGTGTCCTAGTGTTGGAGATACCATTGAGGTCCTGGTTTGTGGTCAAGTCGTTGGAGAATTGGTTCGGACTCTGGTTGTAGCCGTCGCCGTCGCCCGGCTGGGGCTTGTCGGTGTGTGATGGACGGTTCATGTTGCTGCCCCCGAGTCTCCGTGTTTAGCGCCAGAGTGCGCCGTAGTATGCATGCATGTGTGATACCTACATCCCATATCCCATCGGGCTGTGGCGAGGAGGAGGTGCCGTATAACGACTTGAACCTTTATATCTCGGCAGTAGTTTGAGATCTGGCTGTAACGGATTATGAGGTCTTGTTCACACAATGAAGAAAACACAAATATGAATAACTAGACAGAATAGGCTGGCCACTGTGGCTTGAGCGCACACGGCCGAGTTGGGATCACGTCCAAAACGGGACTTTAATTAGTTCACACTCACCTCCCGGGCAGAGCTTTCTGATATACAACATAGAGCAAGACTCGCCAGTCGTCACAGGATCGTAGGTTCCGGCATATGTCAGCATTCAACGGTCGGGTGCGTCACGATCAGAGCAATCCACTCGTGTTTCCGCCCATCTCTCTCCGCCTATTTCTCCAAGTCCGTGACCGAGTACAACCTAGTTCTAGCTAGGAGGACTAAGCCACAGCTCGTGACGCACAAGGATGGGGGCGAGACCAAGTTAGAGTTTCACAAAAGCATCCACCTTGACCTATGCTGAGCTAGGTCAAGAATGGCAGTCTAGATCCACAATCTTCCCTAAGAGGGCCAAAGAAGCACCAGCCCTGCCTTTTCAGACTACCGAGTATCTGTCTAGCTAGATCCACCTCGAGTTGTCCCACTCGGGGGGTATACCTACCTTAGTTTCTGCAATCAAAAATATAGGTAGGTACCTAGTTACCCAACTAATAAAGTTGATATTGACAAGCCTTGGAAATATGGGTTCGAGGCCAGGTCCAACGTCTCAGATAATGACACAACTCTCTCGATATACTATGATAAGGCTTCTAGGGGCGTTGAACTATGCGGAACCCAGTGGCCAGCCAAACCAGAAAATATAGTGGTGGCCAGGCCATGAAAAGAGCAAGCAGGTCAACTAAATGTATATAAGGTAACGAGACCCACGAAGCCACAGAAAGGAAGTGTGGGGGAATTTCGAGTCACTGATCGATATAATGCGGTGTTTTCAAACATCTAGCCATGTTGATAATCCAGTCTCCACGGGGACTCTACCTAGATTTAAGTGCACGTTTTCTGGCACGCCAACTTTGATTTCCCGCCAAATTCTAACAAAGTTGAAATGCATTTCTCCGTCGAAGCTTACTGAAAAACGTCATCCCATCAACAATACATTGAAAGACAGGCCTGTTACCCAGTTGCTAATTGCCTGTATGAGAAGTCGGTAAATTAAAAAAAAAATAAAGTACTAGGAGACGGTATTTGTTCGATTCTAAAAATAATTAAATGAGGAAAAACAAGGAAAAGAAGAATAGCATATGGCATACGGAGACACTCACGGTTGTTAATGTAGAACTGTAAGGTTGGCATCGCAGATTTATACGTACGTCAATGTAAAGTTAACAGCATTAGCGCCCATGTGCATGGGTTCTGATTGGACAGTGTGCGCTGGCCGTTCGCCGCAAGGGTCCACGACGGCTCCGGAAACCGGAGGCCCGACTCGCGATTCCCCGTGCACACATTCCCGGGGCAAGGCAGTGCGGGTCCATGTTATTCAATTTCTGGGGAATTCTCCACAAACCGCCATGGAACTGCTGTGGACTCTTGATAAGCCGTGGAACGCTTGTCGGGAGGTGATTTCTTCGCTGCTCATTTTGACCCAATAAGAGTCCGTACTGGGCAGACATGAGCCCTGGGCCCGAACCTGCCAACTCAATTAATTATATTCTAAGTCTATCGCTCATTATTTTTCGTTCGTCTTCATGGCCAGTTGATGGCACGACGAAGGTTCAAACATTGTTAGCCCCCCACTAGCTCGTCCTTTTTTCTGCCCGGTAGGTCCACGAGGCAACAATCTTCGGCAGCTGTCGTTGAAGGGGCGCCATCGGAGATTGTGGTACCAAGGTCCAGCCTGGCCAAATCTTGCTTGCTGGGCCGAAGAACCGCCCCATGCGTATCTTTCGGCAAGACCTTGTCGAGGCACATGGGCTGGTTCCTCTTTTGACGCCAGATTCGCGACGCGACGTTCAGCGGTTCACTCTTTCATGCACCACCCGAAGTCTTCGCTATGATGACCGGTCCGCCGAATTATAGCTCCTTCTTTCCCTGGACCTTCTTCGCATTGGACTTCATCCCGCTAGCCTTAGCCCTCTCGCGCTCACGCTTTGCGTATATGCCGGCTGTGAACGGGTTCTCGAATTGGATGGCGACCAAGTAGACCACGAGCACTACTCCGGTGAGGAAGATGCCCGCGGGCTTGCCGAATAACAGCGCGGTTCCTAGGAAGCTCATGGTGGACCCGTAGTACATGGGCGCGTTGGTGACGTTGAACGGGAATCCCGTCACCATGCTGTCCATCAGAATGCCAAAGTAGTCGCCGAGAAAGGTGCCTGTAATGCCCAGCTGCCAGGTGGAGGAGAGAACCAAGATGTTTCCAAAGGCCAGCAACACATATGCGGCGGCAGTCGGCAGGGGGCCCTGCAGAGCTGGGTGCGAGGGTTGGTCACGCAGGGCCCGCTCGTACAGGAAGTCGCGGAGGAGCCCCAGCGAGAAGATGGTAGCAGCTAACGCATAGCAGGCTGCTTGGGAATTGCCGCCAAAGATGCGCGTGAGGAACTTTGTGCGGTATTCTATGGGCGACATGTCAGAGGAGACGTCGAAGAAGGTACGAGGGAAGGTGTGGCGGGCAAACCTCGTCGGGCGACAATACTTCACAGACAACAAGCCTAACGTTAGCGAACAAATCGCAAGCCATGGCGCACCACGAGGCAAAGGGTAGGCATCTATCTCACTTCCAAAATGTTGGGTTGAATGCAATGGCACCAGCCGACACTGTTCTCGCGGTCAGGTTTCGGTTCAGGGAGCTGCTCGTTGGCCGGGTTGACATGTGACTGATCTTCGGGGGCACCTACGCAGCAAGCTCTTCTGGCTGAAGTCGACTAGGCCGGGCAGCGAGTCGAGTATAGAAGACATTGCAGCTCGGGGAGATGGCAAGACAATACGAGTAAAGCAGGTAGTGGAGAAAGGGGCAGGGAGGTAGCTAGGTCTCGAGTGTTTACTGTGTGGTAGGAAGTGCAACGGTTGGGAATTTTGGGAGTTTGTTGGTGTTGAATGAGGTAAGCCCTGAGGTGCAGAGTACGGACGAAGTTGTGCCCTGTTTCCCGGGCCGCCGTCGGGTGCCCGTCGTGCAGGCTGCTGCGGAGCTGTGCCCCACACCCCCAGCCCCAAGAAAGAAGGAAACAGTGGAGAATGCTCCCTACCTACCCCACGGCCCATGGCCCACGGCGACAGCTGCCCGCGAACCCCTTGCTGTGTCTCAAACAACGCGCCAATAGCGTCGAGATGAGACCACATTGCAGACGCAAACGGACGCATCGCCAAAGAGCCTCATGCCCAAACAGCTGGCTGTTTCCATCTTACAGCATACCTATCACGTGCCCTCGCGGCTTCCGAGGCTGGCCTCTACTTCCAGTTCCTGGATTTGACAAGTTGCATTCCCTCTAACACCTCAATGGCTCCCAGATCCGCCGCCAAGAGCGGCAAGCTTAAGTCGCTAGGGCCCAAAACCACCAAGAAGACAGATGGAGTGCCCGAAATTGACCCAAATTCGTCCTTCACTCCCAAGAGCTTCGAGGAAGAACTCAAAGCCCTCGCAGCCAAGGCCAAAGATGAGACATGGGCCAGGTTTGCAAAAGAGCAGGCGGCTGTCTATCTCAAGTCGATTGTCCTGCTCAGTCTCATAGCCGTCTACTCCAACGTCTCTCAACTGGCCTTGTCGCCCGTCTACGGCTCAATCCCCTCAGCCCAGTGGCACGCAAAACTGATAATGGCCGCCTGCTTTACCGGGTGGTCGTCCAACATGCTGCTCAGCCGAGCGCTGCCCTTCAAGCTCGCCACCCTGCTGCCTGTCATTGCCATATACATTCCCACTGTCCAGTTCTTTCTCTACAAAGCCAGCGCACTCCTCACGGCGTACTGGGGGCCGCTGGTCACCGAAGCACTCACCCTGTTCCCGCTCATGAGCATATCGGCAGCCTGTGTCGCCACCTATCTGGACGATGTCGACCTCTCTGCCCTGCCCTCGTGGCTCGCAGATGCGGCCCCGGGGCTTGGATCCTATGGCTTCTTTAAGGCGGCGGAGAAGTTATCAGGCAGCCTGCTGGCCCCCCATGTTGGGAAGTCCTTCTTCAACACCAGGCTTGGGCTGGAGACAGTGCTGGCGGCATCTTACGCGCTCCTCGCGCCCTCGCGCCTTTTACTTTTTACGGTTCCGGCCCTGCTGCACACGGCATTTTTGAACCCTCACGTGCCGACGTCCATGGCCCTGGCCTCGCTGAACAGCAGCCTCGCCTCGGAGGGGTGGATGATTTTAGATAGACAGGAATCTATCACTGGATATATCTCCGTCATGGAGAGCTTGACGGATGGGTTCCGCGTCATGCGCTGCGACCATAGCCTGCTGGGCGGCGAGTGGGTTAAATATATCGGCCAGGGGCAGTTCAAAGGTAATAAAGTTGCCGAGCCTATTTACGGCGTGTTTGCCATGTTGGAAGCCGTCAGGCTGGTCGAGACGCCACATCCGACTCCTGACTACGAGGCCAAAGCCCTGGTCGTGTAAGTGCCTCTCCGCCTTTCTATTTCCTGTTTATAGCACCCCCAAATTCCCACGAAACAAGTAAACAACAACTAACCCGCCGTCTTTCTCAGTGGGCTGGGAGTCGGCACTACCCCTGGCGCGTTGGTGGCGCACGGCGTCGACACAACCGTGGTCGAAATCGACCCCGTGGTGTACAAACTTGCCGAAAAGTATTTTCAGCTTCCCCAGAACCACACCGCCGTGATCGAGGACGCGGTTAGCTATGCAGCACGGCTCGCCAACGAAACCAGCAGCGTGGACAATCGTTTCGACTACATTATACACGACGTGTTCACGGGTGGTGCCGAGCCCATCCCGCTATTTACGCTCGAGTTTCTGCAGAACCTCAACGCCCTGCTCAAGCCCGAGGGCGTCATTGCTATTGTAAATTTACCCCCCTCCCCCCGTATCCCTATTCCATTGTCATCTCCCGGTGCGCAAATCCGCCGACAAACTGACGATAGCTACTAGAACTACGCTGGAGACTTTGCCCTCCCGCCGCCAAAAATCGTGCTGCAGACGATCCGGCGCGTATTCCCGTCGTGCCGGCTCTACCGCGAGCACCCGCGCGGCGAGGACGACTTTGAGAAGTCGGGCCGCGACTTTACCAACATGGTCATCTTCTGCACCAAACTGACCCGAGCCATTTCGTTCCGTGAGCCTACGGCGCGGGACTTGCTCAACAGCCCGTCGCGGGAGGCGTTTTTGAGCCCCCGGAACGAGGTCAAGGACACCGATTTTGTCGCCGGCCAAGACGAGAGCATCCTGACGAGAAACGACACGCAGAAGCTCACCAAGTGGCACGAGACGAGTGCCCTCGGCCACTGGACCGTCATGCGCACCGTCCTGCCCCCGGTCGTCTGGGAGGCTTGGTGATCAGCTGCGGAGAGGGAGAAGTCTGCGGAACACCTCTCTACCTTTTAAGCTTTGAAAGCAAAAGATAAGAGGAGATTATAACTTGCAGGGCGTGCTTGCCCTGTACGAAGATACCATGTGAATATTGTACACACTTTGAACCGACATGTTTGAGGATAAAAGTGAAAGAAATTCGGGATTACGTTCCCTGCATTATATTGGATGCAATACAATGCAGGCTTATATTGAAGAGCCCCTTGCCAACGTCAGACCGCCGGATACGTTCTCTGCTTGCTAATTACTAGTCCCATCTCAAACGCAAGGCAGCCAGCCCCCAACTGACACTCCTCATGCTCAGTCATCGTCTGCAGTCGTCTTCGGCTTCTCCTCCACCGTGCGAAGCGCCTCCAGCGCGTAGGCCTCGGCATCAGCATTAGACTCCGCCACGTAGTCCGCCAGGTACCCCGGGACATGGACGAGCTGGTTGTAGGGCCCCGGGAGGGGCGCGCCGAGGGTGGCGTGGACGGGCACGACGCCGGTCCACACGCGGGCTAGCAGCGCGGCGTCGTCGCGGTCGGCGCGGTCGTCGCCCGGCGGGCCCGTGTGGATCTTGGCGCTCCCCGCGGCGATGCGCACCCGCAGCACGCTCGTCGCCTGCATCTCGGCCGGCGTCGGCGGGACGCGCGTCGCTGCCCACCGGCCGGGGACCACACTGTCCGTGACGAGCTCCATCGCGTACAGTTTTTCCGCGGTGTCGGTGACTACCTCGGCGTGCCCAAACAGCACTGCGCTGCGGTAGTTGTAGCTGTGGTGCATTGGTGTCAGGGCGAGTACTAGCCCGTCGAGGTGCGTTGCTGCGACCGAGACGGGGAGGCCCTTCTCGTTGGTGTTGGCGTCCGCGGGGTCCCGCGACAGGTTCACGATACGGGATGATACGTACCTGGTCACCCCGTTGCACACGGTGATGTTAGTTTTGTTGGTTGAGTTGTTTAAGGGGTTTGCAGGAAGTGAAAGAAGACGAACCCGTGCAGATACAGGTCGAGCACGTCGCCGAGGTCAGCGCTGGGGCGTTCGAACGAGCCCATCTGGCCGATCATGGGCAGGATGGCCGGGAACGGGCTGCCGGGCGCTGCGAACGAGACATGCAGCAGCGGGCACGAGTTGATGATCTGGTGGATCGTCTCGAGCTCGTAGCGGCCTGTTTGCCGGTCAGGGAATGGAGGTTAGCCGATTTGATCTCCTCTTGTTGTGGCGGCGGACGGAAGAAGATCACCTCGATGGCCCTTCCGCTTGACCGTGCTGAACGGCTCCTTGGGATACTCTAGGTCCTGGCGAGGCATCTTGAGAGGGGCGTTGCGGAGTTGCGTGGTGTTTTTGGTCTTGGTTACACGAGGTAATGCCGGATGCTGTTCGTCGACTCGTATCTCGTCTCTCGTCTTTTCAATGGAGGTGTTGGAGAAGCGTGACGTATATTCTGTGACTGTTCTCGGACTGTCTCGTTCCCAGACTAGAGTGTGACCCTGAAGCCCTGTGACTCACATAAAAAATCGGTCCAGTGTCTGCATCGGACCATGGCCCAGCACGCCATAGTATGGCCGGGCGAGGTCGGAAGTAGCCGCCCTTTTGACCACAACCCACATCCCGGCACGGAGCGGGGACGGCGCATGTGCTCGGCCGAAGGCCGGATGATTGGCCAATGTTCGCCTCGCCGGAGCATCGGACTTGGTTCTTGATCCTTTGCAAGAGATTATCCCCTGGATTCAAAAGAGCCCGTTCAAGCCCATTGCATTACTCTGTATACGGCCATGTTTTCAGACTGGGTGTTTGTGGTGAAGATATTTATATTTATTTATTTCCATTTTTCACTGTTGCAGATGTGCGCACGATATCTATCAACGCCCCGACGAGGACACGCGAGCTACCAAGCAGGCATCGACGCACGACCTCCCGGAAAAGGCTGAGATAAGAGACCGATGGCCATGTTGCTTCCATGTGCCAGCGTGGCTTCTTGTTACGCCTCGGAGAACACTGTGCTCTTGAGCCGCAAAATGGGAGCTGCCGTTTGTAGTGATTAATGTAGTCCCGCCATGGCGGTTGAATGCTGTCGATCGAACTGTTTCCCCGCGGCTGAGTGAGTGCGCTCGTGGGTTTCTAGAAGGAGAAGAACGACGAGCTGCGGCTGCTGGAGATCGAGGTCTTTGCGTTTTGGATATGCACAGTCCCGAGTCCCAGCCAAGAGCGGGTAAATATCAGGTGCGGAAAGTTGACGAGTGGCTGTTTGAATGCCTTTCATTCTTCTACACTTCTATCCGCAGTAATTAATAGCAGAATTCGCGTTGGCCTGGCAGAGTTGGTAAGAACGCTTAGCGTGCCCGCCTGAAGAGGCCCGGCGCCGCTGAAGAGTGCCTTCCTCTTCCGTTCACGTAACGTAGGCAGTTGTCTTATCTGCGAGGAACAGACATGATTCAAAAGTTGCCTGGGTGCATCGCGGCTGCCTCGTGTGCCCGTGCTTCCCGCTAAGACGTGGGGGAAATTGCGCACGGATCCCAGCAACAGCCCCTGGCCCGCAGGAGACTTTGAGATGGTTGCAGTCATCCTCCCGGCCGCCTTGGCCTTCTCCTTTCTTTTCACTGCAAGTCTGCAACAGCTTTCGACTCTTTTCACCAAGCCGAACAATACCAGAGGGCTCCCCGGAGCTCACGACAGCATGATTGAACACGCTGGCTCTTCTTTTCAACACCTGCCTTTTATGGACCCGAGTTATCGAGTCTTTTTTGGTTCGGTTGGGTTGCTTTACTAAGTGTTAGTCAGGTACCTTGCATACCTGAATCATGCCGCCTTGGCCACCTCATGTTTGCTGCTTGAAGACCGCGTCTCTCAGTCTCAATTGGGAAGCCGTTCAGCAACCCTCACGAAGAATCTAACCTGCCCCTCCTCAGAAGTTTAGCTGGACAGTGAGAGAGGACGGGCGATGGAACGTCGGGCGATGCCGCCACGTATTTTAAGTTGTTTCGATGTTCCTCCTGGGTAGGAGGCAGTCGAGTCGACTCGAGGCGGGGCAGTCGGCGCAACATTGCCTCGATCGCCTGTTTATGGGCGGCTGTCGGCCTGACATGACACTCGCCGTCCGATCATCTCTGCCCGCTCGCTACGGGAGGGCCCTCGATGTCGAATTCCCTGCTAGAGCAGTAGTGCGACGTGGAACAGGTGCAGTTTCAAGTGAAACAGACGACGGAGACGGAGCGTCGCAGCCGACGAGCGCGAGTGCGCATAGGCCTTGTCAGCCTTGCATAGCCAGCCAATCAGCTCGCCCGCCTGCCCGCTGCATGAACTATGGATCGCCAGAATCTCGAACGACGCCCTGCAAGCTGCTTGTTTGAGCGTCGGTCCTGCTATCCCCAAGCAGCGACTCGGCGAAGCTGGGAACCCCCAGCTGAGGCGCCGTTGCGTGCTGCTGCACGCAAGAATGCGCCCCCCTTTTCCCCGCAAGCCGTCGCTGGGACCGGGATGGGGTGCTCATCAAGATCAAGGGTTGCGGTTCTAGTCTCCCTAGTATCAGGGTTCCGTCCCTGTCGCCGTGGACAAGCAAAATCTTGGCAGCAGGCTCTCTTGGCTCTTTCAGCAAGTCGATACCACTCGGCAACTCCTTACTCCACCGTCCCGGCTTGCCAGTCGCCAGTCGCGGTCCTCGGCTGCTCCTCGAGACAAACTCCATGCCCCCGTGCTTTCTCCCTCCTCCACCTTTACACTTTCTGCTTGTTGGTGCAAGGACATACACCAAAACAAGTGGTCCTCAGGTGTCAGTGTCAATGATGCTATTCAGAACTCGCCAGTGACCTCGACACCGGCCACTATGATACGCTCATTGCGCTAATATCCTTCTTTTCTCGGTTTGCCTGCTCCATTGACTGGGCCTTTTTTATTTTCCTTCTTTTGCGAACCGGCGTCGTCAAACATGGCAGTAGAGGGTGCGACCCAGGCCTTGATCGCCACCTTCTCTTTGTACGTTCCGTCTGCCGCCGTGATGCCCGCGATGGCTGCGCCTTGGGGAGGTTGTGATATGTGGTGCGCTAACTGGGTGACATGGACACTCTAGTGGAATTCTGTTAAACGCGGCCATTTCGGCCCTCGTTCTTTTCATCAAAGGCCATGGCACGACGGTATTCCGGGACGGCCCGAGGCTGGTCCTCCTATTGTTTCTCTTCAGCTCGGCCCTGTGGGCTCAGATCGACTTCATTACCATCATTATCGATACTTCAAAATCGTCGATGCCATGCCAGATTGGCATCGTTTTCTCCACCATTTTCGACCAGCTAGCGAGGTTCTCGATCGAACAGTACCTGTTATGGGCCATGAGCAGCATCAGCACCAAGCTTACCGTGGCTCAGATGGTCCCGCAGCTATTGGTTCTCGTTCGGTTTGTTGCGGGAGCTGTGTTCGTGGGCTTTACTCGACCGCAAACCGATGCATTCTGTCTTGCCACGTCGTCGTCCCTCCCTGTTGCGATTCTGGTCATTGCGTTGGATGCCGTGATCCTCCTGCTCCTGTTTTGGAGGGCATTCTCGACTGGGCTGGTCGCAAATATCCAGAAGCGGGGATCTGGCTCGGGTCGGAGCAAAGCTCTCATGCTCATCATGCTCGGGCTTGCCGTCTGGACTGCGGTAATTATACCTATAGCCTTCCCAACACGATAGCCCGAGCGTCGCTGACAAGCTTCCAGACTAGCGTGACATTGATGTTGGGAATGAGATCCATGGATCTCATTGCTAGGACCGCCGTCCCCGCAATCGGCTTGACACTTTTGATTAGTATGCTCATTGCCTCCAACTATACCCTGTTTTTATGATTAACACAATCTCTAGCTGTCCTTACTGGGTGCGCTGGGTTACTGGCTTCCCTAAGAGGGTCGCAGTCTAGTCCCCCCGAAGCACCGTCGCCTAGACGTATGAATATCAGCCGCGATATCTCTACTTCCGACTCCGATTATCCTCCTAGCCGCTACGAAGACATCAAGGAGGCGGCTATTCGATCATCTAAGACGTTTGTGAATCCAAGAGAAGCGCCACTTGTCAAGGACGAGACCGGGGTCGGACTGCCAATTGTTGCTCGGCCCATCACCGGCGTGGCGGGGATTGGCGGGGTTCCAATACAAGGGGTGCTGTTTCCTCCACCACGACTAGAGGCAGTGACAGTGCCAGTCCCTGCCCGAAAGCTCGAGACTTCGGGATCTCTTAGGTGGAAGAAGAATCTGTTTGACTTTGGAAAAAGCGGCCCCGCTGCGGCGATCTCGGCTGGAAGGATAACCATCAGCAACCCGATTATTCAAGACAACGACGACCCCCAGAATCCGCTGAACAAAATCCCCACCATCGGCCTCGAGGAGGCTGTCAAGGCCGAAAGGGAAAGGAGAGCCGGAATGCCAGTGGACTCGGATCCGGTAGTTAAGCGGCCGGCTCCTCCGCCACCCAGCGTGACTCCCGAGGAGGCCTTGAAGAGGGCTGTAAGTGTCAAGAGAAAGGAAGTAGCGTCCATCTCTTCGCAGCCGAGCATGATGGTCTCTATGGCCCTCCAACCCGATGCCGGCGGGATAAGCACGTCAGCACAGCTTTCACCTGGCGGTGACGAAGTCCGCCGAAGATCCCCACGGCAATCCACTCAATATCAGCAGCTGTCACCCGTCCCGGCTGAGCAAGTTCCCCAGGTCCTACAGGTTCCGCAACCTGCCATGCTCCCCAAGCCTCAGGCTCCGCAGGCTCGGCAAGCTCCGCAAGTTGCCCAAGCACCCCAGCCTTTGCAAGCTCGCCCCGTATCACCACCGCGCCAGGAACCCGTCAAGGCTGTAGCGGTACTTACACAGCAAGGTCTCCCAAGGCCAGAGATTAGACCTTCCAGGGCGCTTCTGCCGTCTCCAAAATCACCGCAGCCTGAAGCGCCAAAGAACGCTGTTCAGAGACGGCCGACGATTGGGCTACCCTCAAATCCGCGCGCACGTGGCTTGAAGATAGTTCAAGAATCTGGCCTTCAACGGCAACAAACTGTCATGTTCGTCAATAACATTGTGTACAATGATCCCACGGTTGTCCAGACGATCATTAAGGGCGCCAACGATCGAGCAATAAAGGGCGCGGCGGCTCCCGATACCCCCGGCACTGCCCGTTCAGTCGTCAATAGACCCCGGCCAATCCCACGGAAAGCCCCCGAGTCCCCAGCCCAAGCGAGCCCCGCCATCAACCACAGAAGGAGCAAGTCCGGCGGCTCGTTGAGCCGGAAGTCCATTCTGACGTCAACTCCGGGTAGCCCGACTCAGCTCCCGCCACTTCCACCTCCCCCGAGGAGTGCGGGTGTTGGGCTTCGGCCGCACCCTAACGACACCAAGAGTATGACGTTTGACGAGAAGATGACAATGTTCTTTCCGGCCCCTCCAAGCGGGAAAGGGACCAAGCGAAGATCGTCTGTCCCTGAACTGCCGCCAATTCCGGCAACATATCTGGATGACTCCTCTCCAACCGAATCTGAGCGCCGACGTTCTAACAGAACAACGAGAACGTCTATCAGAACTGGGAGCATTCTAGATGTGGATGAGATTACCCGGAAGCCGCTAGGGGAGACTTACCAGCTAAGCCCGCTCGCGTACCCAAGCCTTGCAGATGAGGTTGGCAATTCCTGGCTGCCAGGCATCTCTACCGAAAACGAGAGCCGCAAGACACCAAACACAAAGAATCCGTCAGAACCAGGCGCGAAACGTGCATCGTCTCCACTAATTCCTCCAGTACGCAGTTCAGCTTGGACAGAGACCACCGATACCAGAACTCGAGATACTCGTGATGAATTAACGACGAACTGGGGTTCCGTGTACTCTCCCGAGCTGGCTGTGAGCGTTCCAGTTCCGCAGAAAGCCTACCCCACTGCCATACGAAAGGGCGATCGCAAGGTTTCTGGGGCAGCTAAGACGAACGCCCCCCAAGGGGATAGACGCGATAGCGATGTCTTGCCCAACGTCCAAGATACAGCTGCGAGCCAGAAATCGGGTGCTCGAGGGCCGCGCTCCGAGTCGGAAGTTGCGGCTAAAGCCAACCGTGCTTCTCAGGGCCAATGGCATCGACGGGTTGGTGACGATTGCCCAACATTCTCGGATAGGAAGGAAAAGACACGCTCAAGGAAAATGTCACCGCCCACGCCACTTCAGCTCAACTCGATTGCCAGGAAGAACGCCATTGTCATTCAAGCAGAGCCATCTCCTCTTGAATCTCCAGAACACGCGCTGCAGCAGATCCAGGCCCAGCTAGAGAAGTTAGAACAGCCTAATTCGGGTGCTCTGGAGACACCGTCGCGCCGTCTAGCGCTGCTGGAGAACCTTGAGAAGGAGATAGGACAGCAAGAGGATCACTGGCAAGAGATGAAGCATGACATAGGCCGCGATTCATTGTCCAGCGTCCAAACCACATCGCCAACGAAACGGAGCTCCCGTGTCGAGTCCTTGGTGGTTCCTGTTAGCATCAATCAGGATGCGTCAATCAGGGCCAGTATTGGGGCAGAGCGAAGGGCATCGCGTCTTGCTCGGCTGCGATATAGCGGAACTATTAAGCCCAACGACACGGCGGCACACAGCCCTGAGGGACCCCGAATGAACAACTGGCAGAAGCGCCTGACAGAAGCCCAGGTGGAATACATGGACGCGGCAGCAGAACTGCTTCGCAATCGAAATGTCAACTACATGTCCCTGTCCAATGCCCAACTTGGCAGTCCCACTCCTCCGGATTCGGACCAGTCTGACGAGGAAGCGCCATCCCTCCAGGCGCGGCTAAAAATTGCGATGGCAAAGCCAGCAAAGAAAGTGCCCGAGCCAGCATTGCTATGGGCTCCAGCGCGTAAATGGAGAACCGCACACACAAGTTTGCTCTGGGAGCACGTCAGGAAGAGTGCTTCAGAACACGAGCCCTTGCTCCCCGGCCTCTCTGTTAGGCCGGCGCAAAGAAAAGAGACGGCTCCTCTCCCTATACACAGCTCGCAACTCTGGCGTAAGCCTTACTGGAATGTCAACCACGCGGCTACCGGGCTCTGGCGACCGCCTTGGGCCTCTGCCGCACCTCCAGCGGAGTCGATGCGACAGTCGTCACAGGCGGGATCGCAGTCCCAGTCCCAGAAAGCCCCGCGACCGCTCACTCAGCGTCCACCCCGCCGAAACAAGCGAGTGACTCTCCTCCCCGATATACTCGAGAGCCCCCAGCCCTTGCCTGATAAGCGCGGGACACTCGGGATTTTCCAGTTCCCCTGGGGTGAGAGATCCGACACTGCCTCCATCCAACCGCGGCCGACTAGAATGGCCATGCCTGGGACAATGACTTCGGGCGGCTCGTCCGGCAGTGCTGCTGCCGAGGCTCGGTTGAGGCAGCTTGAGGCAGCTGAATACTCTTCGTCCTTCTTTGATGATTATGACGACGATGAAGACGGAGAGCGAAACTCGGACGAGGGGGAGGGCGACGACAGCGACGATGGATTTGACGAAACCACTCTCTGGGAGATTGCCAGCCTTTTGAAGACGGACGACGTGCCCTCCAAGAATAGCATGTTTCTATCGTCGACCTCGGGCTCGGTCGTCGATGACTATATGGACGAGTTCCCCTCCGATGACGAAGACCGATCGTCTCGAGAGCAATCGATTATGATCGGCCTAGCCGAAGAGCCCCAAGAACTTCTCTTTGAGCAGCCCCGCGAGCCTCTGGTACCAGAGGCGCTACGCATGACGGAGGCTGCAGTGGCAGGGCGGCCCACTCTCCCGACCACGGAAGAGGGGAATGTGGCTCAAATCTCGGCACCGGGATTAGCCGCTGCAACACAACAGCCGAGGCCATCCATGATTCCTAGACCGGTCCCCGCTCCAGTGGAAACGGCAGCGCCGGCCCCCGCTCCGACCCCCGCACCAAAGCCGTCCCAGATACCCCGCCTTGCACCAGGCGAGATAAAGAAGGCGAGGATGACACGCAAGCAGGAGTCGGTCGGATTGTGGGATCGACCAGAGAAGCAAAACAAGGCTGCTTTGGAAGGTCTCTTTGAGGTTAACCCCAGTCGAACAGAGTACCGCACCACGCCCAACGAGCCGGCAGCCGGGTTTATAAACCGTAAGCCTCGCCAAGCAGGCCCTGCACAGCTCGAGAAGGTGTCATCGATGGGCCTCTGGGTGGCTAGGAAGGAGGAGTCGTCGGCAGGTCACTGGCTCGCCGGGGGTGTGGTCAAGACGAGCAAAATGCTCTGGGCAAACAGCAGACCGAAGGCCCGGGCTTTGGAGGGAGGTCTCTTCCAGCTTGACCCCCATCGAACTGACTACCGGACAACATCTTCCGAGCCGGCCGCGAAGAACATGGATCGTAAACCACGCCAGGTCGAGCTCAAGCCATTGGAAGTTTTGCCGTCGACGGCACTCTGGACAATCAAGAGCAAGCCAGAGCGGGCCGAGCAGCATTGGATTATCGGCAAGTTGAAATCCAAGGCAACGACCCGGGGCAAGGTGCCAGCTACTCGCGCGGACTGGGAGGCTGCTCTGAAGGAAGCAATCGCGGCCAGCTACCCACATACCAAGAGGGCCAGGCGAGTTGTGGCTACCCCGGCAGACTGGGACGCGGCGCTTCATGAGGCTCTCACCATCTCAGCTCGACCGACCTCGCCTCCTTTTGACGCTGCTACCTGTCACCCGGTGTTTGCTGCCAAGTCTCTCGCTACCCGTTCGGAGTCGTTCCACCCGGCGGCTACAGGATACACCTACGACGTAGCCGCTGTCCACCCTGTCTTTTTCGGCTCGCTAGCCATCACCTGCCCCGTGGAAGCCGTCCACCCTGTCATGTCTTCCTACGTGGCCAAGAAGCTCCGGCACCAGCGCTCTAGTTCTAGGCGTAGCATTCACGACCAATCCAGTTCCCGTAGCCGTAGCCTGAGTCGCTCGGATAGTCGGGGCAGCCGGCGGAAGGAGGAGATGATGGTGCCGGCACGCGTGCTTGAGCAAGTAGACAGCGATCTCCCTCCGCCGGTGCCGCGGTTTCCGGCAGAAGTCGTCGAGGCATTGTCAAGAAACGCCATGATCCAAGCCCAAGTAGAGGCACTAGAGCAGGAAAAGATCTTTGTCCAGCGTGCTGCGCAGGAGGAGTACAAGCGGAGAGCGTCCATCGCTATGCTCGGACAGCCTCTGGCGGAGCCCGAGCCTATGCCGTCGAGACCAGCCGAGACAGTGCGCTTCGACGCATCACAGCAACGCTTATCGATGGGTGTCCAGACGGTGGAAGACCTGCAGCGCCATCTTGAATCACAGGCCCAGGTCCGCCAATCGCTCATGTGGACGACCGACTCGGCGTCGCCCGCAGGGCAGAACAGATTCTGGTCTCCGTCCTCCAGCCCGCCATCCGCCAAGGCACAAGTGCCTCGGTCAAATCTGTGGTCTCCGAGCCGTCAGCCATCTCGACCCAGCCGTTCCTCGACGGGCTTATGGACGCCTCCAGCGACGAAATCGTCGGCTGACATCTCAGCGGCGGCCAAGGCTCCTGGTCTGGCTGTGACAACGACGGGTGAGGACGCCGAGGCTATTGCCCGCCATGCGCGCGGTCGCAAGACGAAGCAGGAGAAGCTGTGGTACGAGGAGATCCTCGCGCGGATTGCAGCCTTTGAGTCCGGGATTGATCCGTCGGCATCGTTCCCAGGCCAGGAGATGTGGACCCGCGGCGGGAGCGAGGGCGCGAGGCGGAACGCTGTTCGGGGCGGGCACAAGAACTGGCTGTCTGATGCTAGAGATAATAATCGAGTGAGTCGTGTGGTGCTGCGGTACTGAGGGGGTTTGAGCGGAGGCAGTAAATGGTAGTTGGCACAGGGTGTTTGAGGGGACGGGGGATGAATACCTGTGTTTTTGTATCTCTTTCAACTGCTCGAGGCACACGCATGTCCTCCTTCTGATACTTACTGTACTTTTTTTTATGTCGTATTCTACTTTGTGTTAGTTGGCAAATATCTACCCAGGCAGGTAGTTTTGTGCATCCTAGCTCTTAATCACGGGCATGTCCAATGTCTTTTTATCGTGAGCTCTTCTCTCCTTGCGCCGAGTTCAAGTGAAACGGATGTTGCTTTCTCGCTTCTCTCCAACTCATCATTTCAGGGGCAAACAAGGCTCGGCCAGCTAATGTCACCTACTAATCTTGCTATACATTTTCTCCTTATCAAGTACGGTACATACCTACCTACCTACCTACCTATCTAAGTGACAACAGAGTATGTACGTACAAACATGCAATAATAGAACGAGGAACTACTGAGCTTGGGAGATGGATCATTAAACTTGTTTTTTGGGGGGCCATCGTAGCAATCGTAGGGAAAGCATGATTCGACCTCGCCGCCGACGACAGGGGCCGAGGCCGAGCCGCCCAGATTCGATTTCCCGGCGTAGCCCAATGAGCTTGTCGCGTGCCTTGGGAGCGGGATCTCTCGCAACGTCATTCCGCCACCTCCATTCCATTCCCCGCATCGTCGCCTGGCCTGCAGAGGGGGAGATAGCCAGGCACAACACAACACACACACACACACACACACACACCTATTGTACATAGTGTGTTATTATAGCTTGTTTGAGGTTGTATTCTTCCCGGAGCATGCCTCCCCAATGAGCACTCGCACCTGCCCGCGTGATGCATGCTCCCCCCGACAAAATGCACCGCTGCCCGCTTGCTAGCAAGCTTTTGGTCCGAGTGCCTTGGGGCAAGGAAATAAGATACGTAGAGACGGGACGGATTACTTCATTTGTTGTTGTCGAGGCGTGTATCTCTGAGGTCGCGAGGCACACGGTTGGCTCGTCGCCCTGGGATTTCATGTGCAAATAAATGCCTGCGCTTTCGGGAAACGAAGATCTAGACCTGATTTACGGAGAGGAGCTGAGCCATAGGTGTGTACATACTGTACCTCGGTGGTTAATTGGCTTGGCGCGCACTGGGACTTGCACGCGAGAGCTACCTCACTTACACTAGTAACTAGCATGGCGATGCTGAGGTCAACCGACCTTTATCGTGACCGACAATTTGATTGTCTTAACCTCATCCAGCTGACGACCTTGGCCGAACACACGGAGCAAGCCATTCATGGCGATGAAGCCTGGAAAGAACTGGAACAACAGGGTGCGCTGCCGCTCTGCCAGGGCAGTGGCTGCCGACCTCAAATTGCTTGGTCTCAGGTTGGTGTCGCATCTGCTTGTTCATAAAGGGAAACCATCGCCCGATCACCGATTACCATGGACGGCTCGCTCCTTCCTCCCCCTCCCCCTCCCCCGCCGACTTCACCACTCGACCGACTTGCTACTATCGGGGCAAGAAGGTACGGTGAGAGTAGCACTAGTAGTAGTGTAACGCACCCGGCCGTTGTGAGGGAACTTTACTACTCAGTTTGGGCACTCTAGGAAGGAGCAGACGCTGGCCAAAACTTGACTGGGCTTTTTTACCTTTCACGGCGGCAAGAGGAAGGGAGCTTAAATACTAGAGGCAGGGACGCAGAGGTTGCCGGGGTTTTAAGTGCTACTAGTGGTACTGCTGGCACCTCGTTAGGTTCCACGCCGTCGCCAACATCCACCATGCCTTCCCAGTACGCATACCACCGTCGAGGCGGAGTCGCGGCGCCTAGGAGGGACATTGCCACGGCGGTTGCTGCCGTGTCATTGTTCATTCTGGCGCTGGTGGGCCTTGCCCAGCTCCGGGGCTCGCACGGGTACGGGTCTGCGACAACGAGGACAAAGTTTGCGCCGCAGGGGCTCCACGGCCATGGCGACGACCACGCGCTGCAGAGCAAGGCCAGGGCCGCCGCCGTGGGCGACAAGTACCTCGTCGGCGTCGGCAAGGCCGACATCACGGGGCCCGTGGTCGAGATCAACATGGCTGGCTATGCCAACACGGCCCAAGTCGGCTCGGGCCTGCGTCAACGCCTCTACTCGCGCGCCTTCATCGTCGCCAACGTCGCCAAGCCCGCCGACCGCTTCGTCTACCTCGTCCTCGACACCCAGTCGGGCGACACGGCCGTGCGCTTCGGCATCCTCGAGGGCGTCGCCGCTCTCGGTTCTGCCTACTCCGTCTATGGCAAGCCCAATATTGCCGTTACTGGCACCCACTCGCACAGCGGACCCGGCGGCTGGTTCAACTACCTGTTGCCCCAGATCACGAGCCTCGGATTTGACAGGCAGGGTTACCAGGCCATTGTCGACGGCGCCGTGCTGTCCATCAAGCGGGCGCACGAGTCGCTTCAGGAGGTGCGATGTCCCGCCACCACCAAGCCCCTTTTTTTCCCTGTATGCCTTTTGCTAACCTCGACTTGTCTTGCCTGCTGCTACTCTAGGGCTATCTTGACTTTGGCACCGTAAACATCACGGATGCCAACTTGAGCCGGAGTCTGTATGCCTATTTAGCCAACCCCGCGTCGGAGCGGGCCCAGTACTCCGACAGCGTGGACAAGGCATTGACGCTGCTGAGATTCAGGAGGGCATCCGACCTCAAAAGCATCGGCGTGTTCACGTGGTTTCCCGTCCATGGGACGTCGATGCTCGGCAACAACACCCACATCAGCGGCGACAACAAGGGTCTCTCGGCCTACCTGTTCGAGCAGTCCGTCAAGGGAAACAGCCAGGCCGCCGACGGGTTCGTGGCCGGGTTCTCGCAGGCCAACGTGGGCGATACTACGCCCAACGTGCTGGGGGCCTGGTGCGACGACGGGTCGGGCGCCATGTGCAGCTTTGAAGAGAGCACCTGCGCAGACGGCAAGTCGCAGTCATGCCACGGCCGCGGCCCGGCCTTTCAGAAGCTTGATCTCGGCGTGTCCAGCTGCTACGAGATCGCTAAGAGGCAGTTCTCGGGAGCTAAGACTCTATATGTATGCTGGTATCTTCAGAAACGGAATCTCAGAGATCTAGATGGCTAACACGTTCGTTGTAGAACTCTCTAGACTCTGCCTCGACGGCCGTCGTAGGGCCGACGGTCAAGTCCTTCCATTACTACAACGACATGCGGTTCTACAAGTTCTCCCTCGACAACGGCACCACCGTCCAGACGTGTCCAGCAGCACTCGGCCACTCGTTTGCGGCTGGAACGTCTGACTGGCCCGGCGCCTTCGACTTTACCCAGGGCGATTCAGGGGCGCCGAATAACCCCTTCTGGTCTGTCGTAGGAGGGCTGCTGCGCGTGCCCTCGGCCGAACAGACAGCCTGCCAAGCACCAAAGCCCATCCTCCTGGATGTCGGCGAGATGAGCGTGCCATATGCTTGGAGCCCCAACATTGTTGACGTACAAACCTTCCGCGTCGGCCAGTTCATCATAATCGTCTCGCCGTCCGAAGCCACGACCATGGCCGGTCGGCGGTGGCGCAACGCCGTGAAAGCCGCCGCGACAAGTCTCTCCCTGACCAACGGCGTCGAGCCGACGGTTGTCCTGGGCGGGCCCGCCAATACATACGCGCACTACGTGGCCACGCCCGAAGAATACGGCATCCAGCGGTACGAGGGCGCCAGCACGCTGTTCGGCCCTTGGGAGCTACCCGCCTACATCAACCTGACGCTCAAGGCGCTGCCATACCTCGCGCCGACCGCCACCGGCGCGCCGCCGCCCGGCCCCTCGCCGCCCGACAATCGCAACTCCAGCCTCAGCTTCATCACGGGCGTCGTGCAGGACAGCGCGCCCATCGGCTCCAGCTTCGGCGCGTGCACCGCGCAGCCCAGGCCCGCCTACGCGCGCGGCGACGTCGTCAACGCCACCTTTGCCGGCGCCAACCCGCGCAACAACCTGCGGCTCGAGGGCACGTACGCCGCCGTCGAGAAGTTGGGGTCAGACGGCACGACCTGGGCCCAGGTCCGCAGCGACGAAGACTGGGCCCTCGTCTACACGTGGTCCCGTACAAACTTCGTCCTTGGCTACAGCGCGGTCGTCATCTCCTGGGAGACGAGCGCCGCGGATGATGGCGCGGGCACGTATCGGATACGCTACTATGGCGACGCGAAGCCGCTGATTGGTAGCGTGAAGCCGTTTACCGGGACGAGTAATTCGTTTAAACTGAGCTAGGTTCTGGTGGGGGTTTGTGAATGGAGGGAGAGGGGTGCGGATATATATATATATATATACCTTGGGAGGTAGTGAGGTTGGAAATTGGATGGATGGATGATGGCATATATACCTTGCCTACTTGAGTACGGAGTACTTGGGTATGTTTGGACCCGGATGTAATTAATTAAATTTTCAATGGGATGTGCATGCATATTGGGTAAGGCATGATGGATTCTTCATCTTCATCTGATCTGGTTCCGAGATGTCCCTGAGATTCCTTGATGAACTGCCCTGAGACGCCCTTTTTAGACTGAAGGGTATATCTATCACTCCGAGTCTCCGGTTTTTATTATCTAAGACGGTTTAACTATGGTATTTAGAACGTATAGGTTTTGAGATGTGCTACTTCTTGTCCTGACTACCTATCTAAGTACCTTTCCGTCGTAAATACTTATATACAGCACAGCTTACAAGGTAGATTAAAATATCGGATGACAGAGATCTGGGATTACTACAATTCAGAGCGCTGTGATGACATGACTGCCAGGCAAATATCTATCAATACCCTCGTTTAGTGTGTCTAACGGGAACAATACAGGTGTATTCTTGCAGTCTTCTTTTTCCCTTATCTCCCCCGCTGCCTCTATCCATACTTAGGTATCCATGTCTACGTTCTTGCTTTCGGATCATCTAACTGGATAGGGACATACTGTACCTAGCCTCTACAGAGAACCTGCCGGAACCACCGCCCAGCAGCACCCTAAAGTCCCTCCCCGGCCTCGGCCTCGCTGGCCCCGTCAAAGACCTTTGCGCCGAACTTCCAGACCTGATGCACCGCCAAGCTCCTGCCCCTGCCCTCGACTGCCCCTGTCTCATCATCCAAGACAACCAAATCGGCATCGGCGCCCGCCTCGAGGCTGCCCTTGGCCGGCTGCACGCCGAGCATGGTGGCCGGGGTGGCGGTGACGGCGCGGAGGGCCTCTGGCACAGAAGCGCCGGACCAGCGCAGGAAGTTGTTGACACAGTCGAGCAGCGCGATGGAGCTGCCGGCGATGGTGTGGTCCGACCCTTCGAGCAGCAGTACCGCGCCCTTCTTGGTGATGAAGTGGTCGGCCGCCTCACCGCCGTTGGTCCACGGGTACGTGCCGTCGGGCAGCCCCACCAGGTGCATGGCGTCCGTCACCAAGATGAAGCCCGCCGAGTGCGCGTTCCACGCGATCTTGGTTGTTGCTGGGTGCAGGTGGATGCCGTCGGCGATGATGCCAAAGTACGGCCGCGAGCTGTTGTTGTTGTCGTTATCGTTGTTGTTGTTCGCGGTGCCCAGCACACCAAAGATGCCCGGGTTGCGGTGGTGCAGCGGCCGCATAGCGTTGAACAGGTGCGTGATCATGGTGGCGCCTGCGGCCACGGCGGCCGACGCCTCTTCGTACGTGGCTTCCGAGTGCCCGATCGAGCAGACGATGCCGCGCGAGCGGAGCTCGGGGATGATTTTGGTCATCTGGCCCAGCTCGGGGGCGGCCGTGATCATCTTGACGGGGATGGGGAGTGCTGTCCCGGCGACGGCTGGGTTGATGTTTTTGGCCCCGTACATCTCCTCGAGGTCTGCGATGCTCTCGGCCTCGCGGAGGACCTTTGTGTTGTGGACCCCGTTCTTGCCGGGGTTTAGAAAGGGGCCTTCGAGGTGGGCGCCGAGAGACTCGGCCCCGTCCTCGGCGACCCGCGTCCTCCCTGACGGGCCGAGATGCGGAAGAACCTAGTTCGGTAAGCTAAGTCCATGCTCCATGCCATGCCCGGCTTAATAGGAGACACGGCGTCACTCACTTTCTTGTAGAGATGGCTTGTCTGGCTGGTCACGGTGGGGACGTACGAGGTCACTCCAGTCTGGACGAGCCTCCTGTTCAGGTCGCGCACCTGCTTGACATACTGCGACATGTCGTCCAGGACGGTGGAGAAGTTGAAGCCATAGGCGCCGTTCAGCTGGCACTCTATGAAGCCCGGAGACACGATGCGGCCGCCGAGGTCAATAGTCTCGTCGGGTAGGATGAGCTCGTCGTAGAAGGTCGACTGGCTGCGGAGGATCTTTCCCGTAGCCGAGCTGACCCAGATGTCATCCCAGACCAAGTCGCTGCCGCGCACCAGCCGGCAGTTGGTCAACTTAGTGATGCCGTTTCCGGGGGCGGTTGCCAACGGCATGGCTCAGGGCGGAACTGACAGCAACTGAACTGCCAGTATGGTAGTAGTTGGTCTTGTTGTAAGGGGGGTTCTCAGCCAGGCCAGTGGTCCTGAGTAAGAAAGCGTTTCTGTGCCATAACTAACAGGGACATGAGAACACACACACACACACAGAGAGAGAGAGACGGGACATTAGGGGAATAATAGCAGACGAGAGTGGTTGCTGACTACCTTGGCTTGCGCCGATAGAATCCGCCAGACAGGGCTTAGTGATGCGTTGAACCACTCACTTACTCCTCTCAACCCCTGAGCTCGAGCTGCCATCTCGCATCCACCGAGCTGCCAATGCCGCCGGCGGAAGCGCCATGCAAGTGACGCAGACCGGGCACCTGGGTACCATGTGTTCCAGGTTTTTCGAGTTCCACAGCTTGGGATTTTGGAAATAGCGGTCATCCAGCAGAGGTTACCTTGGCTTACCTACAGAAACATGAGCCCCAGATAACCGCCGAGATAACCACGTAGGTAAGATAGGTTGGTAGATGGATGCAAACAATGTCTTGTTCTCAGTTGACCCTTGCTAGTTGCCTTGGGATTCCAACTGGGCGTCCACATGGCCACTGTCCTGCTTTGCATCGGCCAGACAGACAAGCCCTAGCCAGGCACTTTGTCGCCCCTGCATCAGTGGAAGTTTGCTTGCCACAAGGAAGGTACGGTAGTATGACAAGCAACTTGGTACAATGTGAGGTGTGCTGTGCTGTACTGTACATTACAATTACAATACGATACTCGTTGGTGCGGCGCGATGAGCGCGGTGGTCTTGTTGAACATGGAAGCAGAGGCACCCCTTATTGGAAATTCACTCCAAGCTTCTCTCTTTGGCCTGTCTCAACTTTTGGCTCGTGCTACTTTGGTTTGTTGCAGACAGCTCTTGCCTCCATCCAAAGTCTCTGGGTCCAAGGGCAGGAAGTAGCAGGGGATGTAACGTTGCCGGATCGCAGCGAGAAAGAGGCTGGATAGTACCTACCTAATGCGGCTAAGTGCGTTTCCGCTTGTTCCTTCCTGCCTTTCCTCCGTTCTGCGATTTCCAATTGATTCCCGCTCGCCATTGGCTGCCTGAACGTGGAAGGGCCAGATGGAAGTTCTTGATGGGGTTCAAATGGGGTCTTGCGTCTGTCAGTGAACGAGGAAGTCGCAGCTCTCCTCCCCCCTCAGCTGGTGCCACAAACCATTCAGTACCTCAAGCTGTGCGCTGTGGACAACAGATTTGAAGGTACTACCCACCTCAAGGCAAGGTAGCCACGGGAGCTAGCCAGACCCCCCGAGGCCCACCAGTGACAGTCTGGTAGCTCTACTCCAACAATCCCTCTGGATACCCTATCACGCATAACCTACCTCGATGAACGGCGGGCACTCGCCGCAGATTGTTGTTACACCTGTGGCCAGTCTCACCCGAGCGACCACCTCAGCACTGCGACAGCCAACGACGAGATGAGGTGATGCCGCCCTAACGTGACAACCGCCCCACGACCACCGCCTCGGACTACCTACTAGTACCTACCTGTCAATCAACATGGCTAAGTTGGACGCGGACCTGGACCCGCTATGGCAGGATCTGGACTGGTAACTCTCCCCCCCCTTGCCCTTCCTTGCCTTGGCCCAGGGGCGCCTTCGTCATTTTGCACCCCCGTTGCCTCAGCGGGTGCGGATGTATGTCCCGTGGGCGGCCCGATACCGTGTTGTCGGATCGACGCCCTCGCCGCTGTCCCGGCCGGGAAACACACACGCAGGATGTGCTCATGGTGTCCGCGGCTTGCTGACAAGATGGCTTCTCATCAGGGCGATTGGCCAGATGCTGATTATGGGATGGGACGGCACCGAGGTCACGCCCCAGATCCGTCATCTCATCGAGGACCACCATCTCGGCTCTATTCTCCTGACAGCGAAGAATCTCAAATGTTGTCTTGCCCTGCCCCGACTCTTGTCTCTGTGAAACCCCCCTATAGGAGCATGTAATGCATACGGGGGAGTATCGAAGGTTGCTAACGTACGACTGTTGAAACCAGCTGCCAACCAGACGGCCAAACTCGTGCAGGAGCTGCAGACTATTGCCCACCAGGCCGGCCACCCACACCCCCTGTTAATTGCCCTAGACCAGGAGAATGGCGGTGTAAACAGCCTCTTTGATGAGGATTACATTTGCCAGTTCCCTAGTTCCATGGGCCAGGCCGCCGCTGGCAATGCCGACCTAGCATACAAGATTGCCAAGGCTACGGCAACAGAAGTGTCGGCTGTCGGTGTCAATCTAATCCTCGGGCCCGTGTTGGATGTCCTCACAAATGCCCGTTACCAGCCGCTCGGCGTCCGCGCTACCGGCGATGACCCGCAGGAGGTATCGCAGTACGGCATTGCCGCCATGAATGGCTACAAAGACGCCGGACTGGCCACCTGCGGGAAGCACTTTCCCTCTTATGGGAATCTGGACTTCCTCGGCTCCAGCTTGGACATTCCCATCATTACCCAGACCCTGGAAGAGCTCTCTCTCAGCGCTCTTGTCCCGTTCCGCAATGCCATCGCTACGGGGAATCTTGATGCCATGTTTGTTGGCGGCTGCGGCATAACGAACCCTTCCATGAACGTAAACCATGCCTGCCTGTCTGACCAGGTCGTTGACGACCTTCTGAGAAACGAGCTGGGCTTCAACGGCGTCGCCATCTCCGAGTGTCTTGAGATGGAGGTTCTCCGAAACGAGATAGGGGTCAAGACTGGCACGGTCATGGCCGTCGAGGCCGGTTGCGATCTGGTGCTGCTTTGCCGTGCTTTTGATGTGCAGCTCGAAGCCATCTCGGGGCTCAAGCTCGGAGTCGAGAATGAGCTGCTCACCAAGGAACGCATCTATACTTCCCTAAAGCGTGTTCTCCGCATGAAGAACTCGTGTACCTCGTGGTCCAAGGCCTTAAATCCTGCCGGAATCTCTTTGCTGTCTAAAATCCACTCTGGCCACCTCGCGCTTTCTATGAAGGCGTATGATGACTCGATCACGGTCATGAGGGACAACGAAAAGCTCCTTTCTCTAAACGAATCTATGCACCAAGAAGAGGAGCTGCTCCTGCTGACCCCCTTAGTGAAGCCACTCCCCGCGTCCTCTCTGACCAAGAGCATCCTCGAGTCAAAAAATAAGACGGAGAGCACACCGACAATGCACGACAAGTGGTCTCACCGCGACCGTGGAGCCGCCATGAGTGGCGAGGGCGTTTTCAGGGAGTTTGGAAGGTCTCTTGCACGTGCCCGACACGGCAAGCTCTTACATACTTCTTACACTGCAAACGGAGTACGACCGGGTTAGCATGAGCCGCTTGCCTATTATTTATCTCAACAGCTGCTAACATGTAGTAGTCCACGAGAACTTGATTCACCGGGCATCTTGCATCATCATTGTGACTGCCGACGCGAATCGCAACTTGTATCAGGCTGGCTTCACTAAACATGTCGCCATGATGTGTTCGATGCTGCGAGCAAGTGGCCAGAAGAAATCGTTGCTGGTTGTCGCTGTCAGCTCACCATACGATTTTGCTATGGATAAATCTATCGGGACATACATCTGTACCTTTGACTTCACCGAGATGGCCATGGCCGCCCTTGTGCGGGTGCTGTTCGGCGATTTTGCGCCGCGCGGAACACTGCCGGGTACATTGAGGAAGAGCAAAAAGGTGCTCAAATCGAGGCAGCACTGGCTGGTTGAGCCATACAACCGGGATCGTGACGGAAGAGGCCTCGACGACCTCCTCCAAACCCTTGCCAGGGCAAGCGCGCCAAACTACCAGTTCTTACAAAAGACAGGCGCCAACACGTTCGAACTCTCCAACCCAAATATCGGCGAAGCGCACTTTGTCGTACGGAACAGCAGCACACAGGCTCTCTACGGATTCTGCGCGACGTACTACACGAAAGGAACGGGAATTCTTGGCGCCATCTTTGTGGACCCGGCGAAACGCAATGTGTCGATTGGAAGATCACTTCATCGCAGGGCCCTGCGAGGCTTAATCCAACAGCGGGGTGTCATGAAGATTCAGCTTGGGATGTGCTTCCCTGGGGTCTTCTTGGGGATCCCCGCAGATGACAGCGCCGGACTGAAGGCCTGGTTTGCTGGTAGCGGCTGGGACCTGCAGTTCCCGAAGCGATTGGTGAATATGGGCATACCGGAGCTGGCCAGCTGGAGTGCCCCCGAGGGCTTATTACAGAGCATCCAGAGAGCCAGCATCAGCTTTGACCTTATTCTCGGCCCGGATAACGCCGAGAGCGTCTTGAACCACGTCGGAACCCACGCCAGCCCCGAAGTTTTCGACTTGTATAAATTTGCGCTGCAAGAGACGAAGACGTGCGGCGTTGTGCGGGCCAAAAGCCCCGTCGACAGTTTGCTAGGCACCGTGATTATCTGCAGTCCCGGAAGCCCCCTTCACAACTATATTCCATCGCTGCAGTCTTTTAGAGGCGAGCTCGTTGGGGGCATTATTGCACCTATTGTGCCGTCAACTGCCCAGGCTGCACTGGTACTCCAGGGGCTGGCTCTAATGGGCGTGAGACAGAACAAGGCACACAAGTCAGCCAGAAGTGTGCTGAGCTGGGTTACAGACGAGCTGTACGAGCCGCTTTTGGCAATGGGATTTGATGTGCTGCAGGCTTTTGAAGAGATTACAAACTCGCCCGAAAGTGTGAGTCTTCTTTCAGCATTTTTCGAACTAACAAGTGGCCGCAACTAACCCTTAGACAACAGTGGACAGACCTTGGATAGTGAGCTGTGTGAAGAGTTTTGTTGATTTCTGGTTTGACTAATTTAAGAGACATACTAGGGTCATGTTCATTCATATATTCTATGCGTGGAGGAAATGCGTAGTGGATTCCTTGAGGAATCTAGCCCGCAGGTGAGACATCTATGGTGGGGGATAGGGTGGTGGTGCAGGGACCATCAGGTGGTCCCGGCTAGGCCAGGCTTGGCCCGTGCCTAGCAGATATTCTATATATTGTGTCTTGTTGTGGTTATTCTGAAGCCTACGGTTACTTCCTTTGCGAATCAAATCGACGTCGACTCTCATCCAGGAGATGAGCAGCTGTCACGGCCGCCTCCAGCTGGTGATGTCAAAGGGTTGGGGTTTCCCCGCATAGGGGCGCGGAATTGTCTGGCGGACCCACTCGATTGCGGGTACACGTAGATTCGCTGCGCCTTCGGCCTTATTTCCCCTCAGCGGGCAACTCTTCCCCGCCCCCGATTTTGAGATTCAAACGGCGCCAAGAACACCCGGTGATACGTGGTTGGACAACGTTGTTACCGGCTGATAGAAGCAGCATCTAGACACCCGCAGAGTGCAAAGCACTGTCTAAGAGGGGCAGGAGGCCAGATGAGTCCTGTCCTGTACATGCACCGTTAAGTTCTGAAGGATATTGTCAAGGGAAATCAATCCCATTATCAACCCCATAACTTGAGGAAAGAGATGGAACAGCCACGTGGAGGCCTACTCACATGGTGCCTGCCCGCTTTACACTGCTACCTAGTACGGATGAAATGAAGAGGATAGTATCTTGCCCAAATACGGAAGGAAGTCACCCCATGAAAACAGTTCTATCAGCTCCAGAGGAAGGCGTGGTGCGGGAAGCTACATAGCTCTGATCAACAGCGTTCGAAATGTGTGTGTGCGCCCTCGAACAGGGGACGGTCCGGGTTAAACAGAGTAGTAATCGGCCAGCTCTCCCCACTTCTCTCTGCTGTCCAAGTTAATTAACTGAGAGCCCGGTCCGACAAGTTCTAGACTGGAACCTGCCTTGGCTTTGCGGGCGATTATTGCCATTTTGACCGCAGCCGCCACTCCACTACTATCCAGACTATACCTATACTCTGTAGATACAGATACGATACTGCACAGTGCCTGCCTGCCTGCCTGCCTACGTCGCAGATGAACATGGCTCGTTGACGGCCAGCGCAGGCGCAGATCTCTCGGATTGACGGATTGAGCTCCCTTGGACCGACCGCATGAGCCGCGCCTTCGTCCCGACGCAGCGATGAGAAGGCGATGGCCATGGCCGCTTTCAATTCCCTGCCGGCGCTGTCATCCTCGGGCGCCACACCCGGTGGTGGTGGTAGTGCTGATCCCCTAGGAGGCCTGACTGCTTCGTCGGGCCCCTCGCTCGGCCTCGACGCCTTTGACCCAGACATCGCCTTTGACGAGTCGCTTCTGTGAGTACCAGACCAGACTTGGCTAGGTAGCGGAGCAGAGCAGAGCAGAGCGGAACAAGCTGACTCGTTCGGCTTGCCTGAGCGTCAGCGACAGCGTCAACGGCGGCCTGTCGACGCTCCCCTTCACCCCAACACAGTACGACTTCGAGACCTTTAGCACAACCTTTGAGGACCCGTTTTCGTACCCCACACGACACTATGATGGCGCCGGCGCCGTCGACGCCGAGATCTTCAACGACGATGCCGCCTCGCCCCAGGAGCTTGACAACAAGCTGCTAGGTTTTAGCGCCCTCATCCCCGGCGCCGCCGCCCTTGTTGACGAGGCTGGCCAGTTTGCTGAGCCCAACATGACAGCCGAGCTGTACGGCATGTTCTTCGTCGCCGAGGACGTCTTTGGCGGCGAGAACACGGGCCGCCCCCTCGAGCTGACGTGCTACCGCCGCAATCTCTGGCAGTGCTCGGGCCAGATCACCCTCCCGCGCCACATTGCCCACTGCGTCGATGACCAGGGCCGCCAGATGCCTGTCGTCGACCTCGCCGCCTCCATCACAGCCATTGAGAGCATCGAGGGCAAGTCCACCGAGATCATATCCATCCCCTGGAAGAGCAGCAATCCCCCGCTGGGCGGAGCAACAGGAGCCGAGGATACCAAGGTGGCAAGCTCCCCGCCCAACGTGCCGGTAGACCTCAGCAGCGGCCAGGAGCTTGACGGCAGCCGTGTGACGGTGCCTGTCTCATGGAAGCGGCTTCAGTTCAAGCACGCTACGGCCAACAACGGCCGCCGCAAGGGCCTCCAGCAGCACTACGTCGTGCAGATCAACCTGCTGGCCAAGACCAAGAGCAGCGAGTACATCAAGATTGCCGAGGTCCAATCCGGCCCTGTCATCGTGCGTGGCCGTAGTCCACGGAACTTTGACAGCCGAAAAGATGTGCCGTTGACGGGAGACAAGAAACTCGACCGGAGGACCACAGACCCGCCCGTGTCGACGTCGACCGGGGGCGGGCCGGGCACGAAGCAGCAGCAGCAGCAACAGCAACAGCAACAGCAACAGCAACAGCAACAGCAACAGCAACAGCAACAGCAACAGCAACAGCAACAGCAACAGCAACAGCAACAGCAACAGCAACAGCAACAACAACAACAACAACAATATTCACATCAGTTTCAGCCCCAAGAAAGGGGAGATCTAGCCCAAAACCTTCAGCGCTACCACTCGCTTGGGAATATACAGGTATGGTTCTTTGTTCTACACTAATCCTGGTTAACATAGAAGGGTCTAACAGTTACCCCTTTTCAGCAGCAGTCTGGCGATTGGTCAACACCACAATCGTTCGCCACGCCAAATGTTCACCCAAGCAAAAAGGTGGCAGTCTCACCCGGCCTGACGCGACCTCCAGTGCCGACGTGGGGCTCCGACACTACCAGTTCCAGGGGTAACAGCAAGTTCGCCGGCCTCTCCTCACCGCAGTCCCAGTTGATGTCTAAGCAGACATCGCACGGCGCCGCCGGAGGACCCACGCTACCCATAAATCTTTCTTTATCGGAAGACGAGCGCAGCCCCAACCGGTCTGGCTCCGAAAGCACGCAAAGCCCCCAGTTCGCCAAGTCAATAGCGTCAGTTTCTGCCAGCGGTCCCGCCGGGCAAAACCACCCGAACGGCAGTCCGCTTGAGACGGCCGACATGCTGTACGAGTATTTCCCGCTCAGTCTAGACGACTGGTAAGTCTCCTATCCTACGGTACTGTTATGCTACCTAGCGCAAACGGTCCGCTGACAAGCCTTTTTATCGCGAACAGGATGCCTCCCGTCGACGCCATCTACCGTCCGCATGTCGTGCACCACACCATCGTGCCGCCCGAGGTCAAGGCGCAGCAGATCAAGAGCAAGACGAAACGATATTTTGCTGCCGAGTAAAAGAAGCATGTTATGTGTAGGCCAATATATCTTGGCTTATACGTGCTACAAAGCCCCGTGTCAGCATGGCAATCGATCGGCATTCATCTATATGCGATAACTAACCCGAATTCTATAAATTCTTATCATGACGGAACATGAAGCGAAGCGAGCATTATATCATTGCTGGTGGCTTAATTCTTTTATAGGTGTAATATATTCAGCCGGACTCATTGCAAGGGCGAGTTGGGGGGAGGGACAAAGTCTGTCTGTTTGGCCATGATGAGGGGTATATATTACTGCGTCCCATATTTTCTTTTGGGTTGGGGTGGGTCAAGTGACATTGGATAGGATGAATAGACAATGGATGTAACAGCAGCGACATGTCTCGGCAGCTTGTCGCTCAATGACGTTTGACGATGATTCTTTATACAAATATACCTACCTATTTTAATGTATCCTCAGCTCAAGGCTTCTTCTATAGTTGCGAGGCCGCGATTTTTAGCACGTTAAAATGAGTCCATGTCCGTCGAAAGATTAGGTTCAAACTTAGGCTGATCAAAGGGGTCGATAACCCTAACCCTAACTTTGGTTGAACGACGGAACTCTTGAAGCATTATTATTCCTATATACATGGCGGAAAGAAAGAGAGAGGGAAAGTGGGAAAGAAAAGGAGAGCAATGGTAAAGAAGAACAAAACGCCACCCGCTCTCTACCTATCAGGATACCCGCACCCAGGCATCCGATAATGCAACCAGACTGCCATCCATCCCAGCTCACTCTCGTCTACCACCTCACACACGTTACGCCTCATTGCGATATTGCTTCAAACAGATGCGACTAGCTAATTTACCACTTCGTTAATTTCGGCATTACCATGTGTGGATCACTCTAGCGAAGCTAGCGCGACGGCGGCGCCTAGGAGAGAGCTCTCTTTGGCCTCGACCAGCTCAACAGACCCAGACACCAAACTCGACGAAGCTACGAGCTGGTTTATATATTGCTGGAGGGTATGCCGGTAGCCTGGATACCTCTCAATGACGGAGCCATTGAAAGCGGCCACGACATTGTTGAGGCTCATCTCGGTCTCAGTGTCGGCCGCGAATGGTGAGCCAGCGGTAGTGTCGCGGAGGAAGTCGGTCTCGGTTTCGGCTTTGAGCTCCCATAGCGCAAATAGCGACGCAGCAACGATGGACGCAGAGCGCTTTGAGATGTACGAAGACAGTGTCCGCAATGCGGCCATGTCGGCGGTGCTTGGCGGCGGAACATTTTCGGGTAAAGGGTGCCGAGTCGTGAATATCAGCCGCGCCACTTCAAGTGAAGAGCTACTATCACTGTAGACATGTCAGTTTTTGCGGCTTGTCTCTAAAAACAGGTGGTGTAACATACCCCTCTATCAGGGACAGGGTTTCGGTGTCGAGCGAATATGGCGTCGACAGCGAAGGCGGGACAACACTACTAAATAACCCAGTCGATTCAACAGCCTCGACTAAAGCGAGACGACAAACCTCCCCTAGATAATATCCGCTCACGAGATGCTCTAAAGGCTGGAAATCCGGGCGGGGATGTCCCTTTTTTAGAAGGATATCCCATCTGGTCAGGGGTAAAATGTCGGTTCCAAACATGCCTAGCTCAGTGTTGACAACGACGTGGCTAGCCTTCTCATACCAGCTGTCGGGCCTATCTCCGTATTTCGGCTGGCCAATGGTTGTAACGGGGAGGTGGGCGGCGATGTTGACACCTGTTCCCAGAATCAAGCCGAACCGCGTGGATGGACTAGAGTAAGCCTCGGACAGTAAGGCGGCACTCGAGTCGTTGACAATAGCCGACAGCTCCACGTGCAAGCCCCTCTTCTGACAGGCATTTTTTATAATTTCTCCTAGATCTTGGCCGAGGAGGCCCTCTGCTGCGAGGAAGCCCTTGCCCATGCCGGAGAGTATCCCGCCTTTTGAAGATGTTTGTCTAGAGATATGGTCAACACATGTTTAAGGGGACGAGCCGACGGAGATAGTTGGGGCTTGCATCGGCTGCAACTTACTCAATAGGAAAGCTCCAGGCCAGACCCATAAGAAGGGGGTTCATCAGGCTGTAGGACTGCCCGCCGTCTTGGGCTACTGTTTGTTGTATCCTCTCGGCCATCCAGTCGAAAAATGCAGCTCCACGAAGACTTCGAACGTCGTTATCGATCCTAAAGCAGTCGATTCGTATAATGACGGTCTCGCTCTTGCTGGCAGTTTCGCGACCCTTCAGCTCCACCAAGGCGACACGCAAAGTCGACCCGCCAACATCTAGGGCAAGATAACGGCCACGCTCGGTGCCGCTGGGTAGTTGGTGGTTGTATGACGGGAGCATGCAGGCCGGGTTGGACCGCAGGCCTTCCCGGAATTGGGCCTTCAGCTTTGCTGCAAAGGCTTCGAGACGGCCGTTGGCAATAGGCCCCAGAAGCAGCACCTCGGCCTCGGCAAGGAAGTCGGCCGCGTAGCCCCCTGTGGAGGCGCCCTTGGGGGGCTCGGCATCTTGGGGGGTCAGGGCGCCGGCTGGTCCGACCCAGAAGGCCAGCAGGGCCTGGAGGAAGGACTTGCCCCGGAGAAGAGACTTGAGGGCGGCGACGAGGGCATCCCGTAGCGATGTCATTGCAGAAATGAGCGGCTGCATGACACTCAAGACGGAAAGGCGGCAGAGCAGGGGGAGCGAGGGCTTTTTAAAGTCATCTGGAACCGGGAGGGGTCCAGCATACGAAAATATATGGACATTCGAATTCCAGACGGTACGAGAAAAGTCGGAGGGCGTGTGTCTGAGTGCGTGCTTTGCTGAGGTGCCTTGGTTTCGAGGTACCTGTTACCAAGTCCAGGCCATGTCCGCAGGGAGGAAGACACGGGGCGGGAACCCTGGGTATGGGATCTTAGGAGGGACGAGGACGAGGGCGAGGACAAGGATGGCTTGGATGGCGACAGAACAGCAGCAAAGCAACCCACAACCCACTTTCGGCTCCGAACAGGCGCAACGGTAATCGAGGCCCAGGCCTGAGTGAGTACCTACCTTGAGGAAGGTAGGTAGACAAGAGGTAAACACGACACTACCGGGCCCCTAAAAAGGCTGACACGGGAAAATGAAACCTGCCGGGAGCGCAGGGCACATGGACAATTGGGCCGTGGGCAGCGGGAGACCAAGGGCTTAAGGTTGCCGTGGTATAGGACCGGTAGTAGTGCAATGGATGTATGTGCGGTCTTCGTAAGGTAGGTAGTGGAGGTGTATGGGATAGCACATACGGTACTTGACGACGCCGTGAAGTGACGCCGGCTAGCCCGAGGGTATGGGAGGCACCTTCGCATCCAAGGTAGGTATCCAATATATGTATGTATGTACCCAGGAAGGGCAGTATGGAGGTTGAGGGAGATAGGTGGTATGGAGCCTTGGCAGCGACTGACCCTCGAGAGCCGGAGGGCGCCTCTTCCAATACTGGGAACCTCGGAAACTTACCTTGCCTAGCTGACAACTAAGGTACCTTACCCTAGGAAATGGAAGCTACCAATTCCTTCGAGACATAACCGTAGGTGTGGATTGCGGGAGCCTCTGCAACGACGACAAGGCAAGGAACGTCGATGAACACGCAGCCTCCACTCACTCCCCTTTCCGGTCCCGCCTCAGCAAAGCTGCTGAAGACACCTTAGCGCAGGGAACCTAAGGTACCTGTAGCTTATTCCTAGCCCCTGCCGCCACCTCAGCAGGGCGATGGAGGTGCAGCCTCGGCGCTTTAGCGGCCAGGCCCGCGGGCAAAAGCCACTAGCAATTAGATGGGAGCAAACACAGCTCAGGCTGGGATAAGAACTGAGATGCCAGTGTGGGGGAAGCTTGGGAGCGAATATGCAAATATATTGCGGCCACAATGCAATGGGACCAATGGCAGACGTCGGCGGGACCGGCTTGACGTCTGGCAAGGCTATAGTAAGTGCGCGTGGAGAGAGCGAGTGGCTGATGTGTTTCGCAGGCTGGGAGGACAATAAGGGAGGGATGTGAGTGAGTGAGATGGTGCAGTTCAGTTCAGTTCAGAGACGTCTTCTTCACTGTCCACTAGGCCCCGTCATCTCCCAGTCCTGACAGAAGCAGAAAGGGCACTTGCCTCATTGAGCAGAGGCGTGGGGAGCCAATTGCCTCCCAGGGCCTCGCTGTCCCCGCTGCCGCGTCCATTCTCTATGCAAAGCTTAATGCGAGAGAGTGGAAAAGATGGTCGACAGTAACGGAGAGATGGAGGGGACGTAACGTTGCCTTGGCGGGTCTATCAAATCGCCCCAACTGGCAACAGGCGACTTCAGGCGACTTGGCGCTACAGGATTACACCTACGCACGTTGACGCCCCTGCACGGGACCTGCGCTATAACATGGAACAGAGCAAGACAAGCTTTCTGCCCTGGGTGGTCTGTGCTTGGGCAGTCACGGCAAGTGCATTGTGTAAGGTGTATGTATTGTTTGTATATACATGTCACCGACCGCCAAATGCCACGGGCAGGCGCGTCCGGGGTGCCAGTGCCGTTGGACAAGAGATTCGAGATTGCACTGCGTCCGTCTGCCATCGCTTCAGCATCTCGTCCCGTCTACCGCGCTTATAGTTCCAGGTCGCGGCTGGAGCCCGCAGCGGACAGAAGAAGAATAAATATCACTATCATCTGAAGAAGAATGGCTGGGCTGTCGCTCGTCAGCCTCATTCCCAGAGTCCGGGGGAGCAAGCTGCCTGCTGATGTCACCAAGCATCAAACGCGTCTGACGGTTATTGCTCTGGGCAGGTTTCACTTATTACCTGCCTCGCCTTACCTCACAGAATGCAGCAGCGTCAAGTTACGGGGTGGGGTGCGGCTTCCACCCCATGGAAGTCTTCAACAGCTGCAGTCAGACGACCACGCACTTGCTCCTTCTCCTTCTATACTCTTACTCCAGGCCTCTGTCTGCGCTACTATACGAACCTAGTACACCTAGCCAGCAGGTGCCACCCGGACGGTAGGGATTGTGACGAGCAAGCAAGCACAACGTTGAGCTGGCAGGAAAAAAGAAGGACTACTAGTAACCCAAAACCTAGTCTGCCCGGCTTCGGCCATGGCATTCATGCTGAACCGTCACCGACTGATACACACTGACGACGGGTCTCCCTCAAACGTTCCATCTGCTTTTGGCCCCCCATCTCCTATCCTATCCTGTCCTGTCCTGTCCTGTCCTGTCCTGTCCAGTCCTATCGGTCGCTAGCCCGAGCCAAAACGCCGACCCAACAACCCAGCGACCAAGTCATGGCCGGCGCTATCCGCAGCCTCCCGATCCGGCCAAGAACTGCCCGGCCATCTGATCACGGTTCGACGTAGACGTTGGAGGACATGTCTCCCACCATCCAGTGTGTCTGTGCTTGCCGTTAAGAGGCTCCAGCGTACAAGACTGGTTTGCCCTGCCTGTAGTATTCTAAACTGTAGACTAGACACACTGCACCTCTATTGGAATAATCAAGCCTATTTCCCAAGTGACCCCTTTCCTAAGGCCCACCGAGGACCTTTGCCTCACTGTCTACCTCTCCTGTCTTTCTCTGCTGCAGTGTTGTCGTCTTCCCAATCTCCAGGATGAGGCTCATCATCAGAGATGACGCCGAGGCTGCCAGCCTCTACGTGGCCAACTACATCATCGATAGGATCAAGCACTATTCTCCCACACCGGCCAACCCCTTTGTCCTGGGGCTCCCCACTGGATCCAGTCCGCTCGGCGTCTACAGGATCCTCGTGGAGAGGTACAAGGCTGGAGAGGTGTGTTATGACTGAATCTTGTCGAGAGAATGCAAGACTGGGTCGACTAACGACGCTAATGGGCAGATCTCTTTCGAAAATGTCGTCACATTCAACATGGCGAGTCCAGGCGTCGCCTCTTCTCTGCGGCAGAAAGCTAACTGAGCGTTTGTTCCACCGCCATAGGATGAGTACATCGGCATCCCGCGGGACCATCCCGAAAGCTATCACAGCTTCATGTGGAAGCACTTCTTCTCGCACGTCAACATCCACCCGAGCCGCGTGCACATTCTTGACGGCAACGCTCCCGACCTCGAGGCCGAGTGCGTTGGCTACGAGGCCAAGATCCGCGCTGCAGGCGGCATCGACCTGTTCCTGGCCGGCATCGGCGAGGACGGCCACATCGCCTTCAACGAGCCCGGGTCCAGCCTAGCCTCGCGCACCCGCGTCAAGACGCTGGCTTACGACACCATACTGGCCAACAGCCGCTTCTTCGGCAACGACCTCACCCAAGTTCCTCGCATGGCCCTGACCGTCGGTGTCCAGACGGTTCTCGAGGCCCGCGAGGTCATCGCCATCATCCTCGGCGCCCGCAAGGCCCTTGCCCTCCAGCGCTGCGTCGAGCAGGGCGTCAATCACATGTGGACCCTCTCCTCCCTGCAGCTCCATCCACATCCCATGATCGTCTGCGACGAGGATGCTACTCTTGAGCTCCAGGTCAAGACGGTGAAGGTAGCATACCCCCCACCACCAATCCCTGTAGTAGCACCTTCCACAAGGGGCATATATTGACTTCTGACACAGTACTTCAAGAGCATCGAGCAAGTAGCCTGTGCCCAGGGCTTCGAGCAGATCTTGCCGTCTAGGATGCGGACAGGCCCCCGGCAAGCGACAACATCGACGCCACCGGCATCGCCTAAGACCATCATCACCCCTTCCGTCGAGCCCGCCGAGGACGTAACGCCCGAGTCTCCGACCATCTTCGCCCCGCAGCCAATCACCTCGCAGTTGCTGCGTCCCCAAACTCCCGCCGCCGAGTACCCCGTCCGGTCCGTGTCACCTGATCTCGTGCCGGACCGCATGGCATCTCGTATCCCCGACCCACGATTTACCCGACGCTTGACCCCGAATCCCGAGCAGCAGCAGATGGCCGCCCTCGTCCTTGGCGCTTAAAGTCGTGATGTGGGAGAACGGTGTGCGGTTGGCCTAATATGGCATCTATTTTGCTTAACTTATGAGGCAATGCAGGGCGGTGCTGAAAACAGACAGAATGATATAATGGGGGGAAGAGAATGTACTGCCACAGATACTGGTATCTGTCTTTGCCTCTTAGTCGTTCCTGGGGAAAGATTGCTCCTGGAAAGGCATTATCACAGGCCGCCAGGAACGTTTGTGCCAAAGGAATTTCATGAGGTGATCCGCGAGAATATACCAAGAGACTGAACCAATCAACCGAAGGATTTCCTTTTCCCTTGTTTTAATTATCTATCACTCCTACAGAGCGAACTTCTATCGTATTGGAATCACAAAAGACATGCCTTACACCCATCACCATGTACGACAATAAACAGAAGAGGAAACAAATCTGAAATAAAGCGACAACAAAACTTCGGAATATATATATATAGGTATATAAGGGGGTATCAGCGTCTTTTTATTGAATTCAAAGAAATAACATCTTCCCATTCCCGCCCTTTCGTTCCTTCTTCCCTTCCTTCTTGCCTTCCGTCCCCTCTTCCCACCCCTTCTTTCCATCCCCTTCTCCTCTCCCTCCATCCCAACTTGACTTCCCTCCCTCAAACCACCACACCTCACCCACTCTCACTGTCCTCTCAACCAACCTCCCAGCGGCGTCCAATCAACCCAACCTGCCACCAGTGAAGCCGAAGAGCAGGAAAAACAACTAAAATAGCTAATAAGGAGTTATAGATATGTGCAAAAGAAAGATCATATCTATCTACCAGGGGGGTACCAGGGGGGTGGTGGTGTTGGGTTATACAAGAAACAAGGAAACGGGCTTGTGTCCATATACATCATACAACAGCAACACAGACACACACATAAAAACAAAACAGCGACAGCCACTGCCACGAAAACGACAACGACAACTCCAGCCAATATTCCACAGCCTAGGAATCCGCAACTCGGCCCTCTCTCCAATTCTCTCTTCCCATTATCTCTTCCCCATTATCTCTCCGAGTCGCTCTCTTTCGAAAACTCCAATGATGGCGCTAGTGGTGACGGTGAAGATGGTGATGATGATGCGGCGGCGTGCGAAACATAAGGGTATGTGGGATGCGGCATGCGTGACGCAACACGAGAAAAACGACGAAGCAAATATGACTGACCCCCAAGCCCCTCCACAATAAAAAGAAAAAAGACAAAACAGACCATCCCGCCTGCCCTTTTGCTATGCTAGAGCCCTATGAGCCACAACCATGCCACTCCAGATGTGCCAAAGAAGGGGGAAATAGTGAAAAAGCCGAAAATGTCGGAAAAGAATATAGCGAATAATAAATCATGACCAAAGAAAAAAAAGAAAACAAAAATGTCGAACTCCGCCCCAAACGCCAGCCGATCCTCGTCCTTCCCCAACATGGTTTCCCGTGTCACTCCCATGAATGAATATATGCCTGTAAGCTATCTCCTCCCGTCCTTGCACTCGTTTTTGTTTTCCTTTCATTCCGCAAAACTGAACACTCCGTCCCAAAAAAAAACCCTTTTCCCTTGTCATCGTAGTCGTCGCAACCAGAAAAGCGAAACTAGAGAGAGAGTCTAGTCGGCCGTTGCTTAAGCAAATGGGCTTGTAGTTGACGGGTTGGGGAGAGGTAAGAAGGCGAAAATCTGAACAGGGGCCTCAGAGACTCGGGCTCTGTTTTGGGGATCCCCTCTCCTTTATTGCTTGAAACCGCGGCAATTCCACAGTTCCTTTGCCTGTTGCTGAACACGTTCCTTCGTCAGCTTGGGTTGCTCCCTTCCAAAGCTGAATGTGCATAGGTTGTTTCAAATTCCAAGTTGACTGCTGGTGGGTTCGACTACACTATCCGACAGGTTTATCAGGAGCTGAGTCAGACAACGCTTAGTTGCTGCATCGTCGCGAAGAACCGAAGTGAAGGTCTGGTCATGGAGAGGTACCGGAAGGCACTGTCTAAGCGCCTCACGTGCTCGAGCGTTATCACTGAGTCTATTTACACCAATCAGTTAGGTAGGCTAGATAGGGGGGCGGATTGTTAGCATACCGCAGAAAGCATCGCACAACATGCTTGAGCAGCCTGACCGTTTGCTGCTCAGCCAGCTGATTCACCATGTTGCTGAGGACTGTGCCGACCGCCTGGAAACGTTCGTACGTGGCGCAGATATAGTTGAGGCCATTGTCGTCAAGCAAAATCTTCTGAACGATGAAGATGGCAACGGTCTTGCTGAGCTCAGAACCCGTCTCCATGATGCGCAGACACAAAGGGATGATTTCGGTGGTAAGGAGGAAATTAATAACTTCGGATGAATCATTCTTAACAAGTGCGCCAATGACTCCGAGGGAGGTCAGGCGGAGGTATTCGAACGGCCGTGACTTGGAGGTGGTGTTGAGAAATGGATAGAGGAACAAGGGGATGTGCGCTGCGAGACACAAACGTCAGTAGACAATCTCGAATTCAAGAGCGTTGCAAAAACTGTATAGCTTACCGCTGAGGAACAGGGTACGCGTCTCGTTGTGCGATGCGACACACTGCAGAAGAGCCAATGCATTGCACACGCGGTTTGAAGCCGGGGCCGTGAGCTGGGACGGGTTTAGAAGGTTGTAAACACTTATGATCTCCTGGAGCAGAGACGTCATAACACCTAGTACAATATGTCAGCATGCCAGTGGGGCAAAGGCGCCGTGCCGCGGTTATGGGGAGTATAGCAGCAGAGGAACCCGGATAATCAGAAGGCACCGGCATGGCCTACCGAATGAGTGCCAGAGGATCAGGGCCAACTCGGGCACCTGCTCTCGCTTCTTGCTCAGCTCAAGGAGGGCGGCCTCGCGTGTGTTCTCGCTGAGGAGGTCGGCAATGTACTGGAGGGTGCGGCGGTTGTCCTCGGACACGGACGTCTCGATGGGGTTGTTGTCTTGAGTATGGGAGGCGGTCAGGGCATTGACGCTGTTGTGGGCGCCGGCGAGCCGGTTGTAGTGCTGCTGCTGGGCGACATTGGCGGCGGCGGCGGCAGCTTGGGCGTGGTGCTGGTGTGACGTGTGCTGCTGGTGCGATGTCTGCTGCTGGTGCATCCAGGCCGAGTCGGCCTGGGGGTATTGGTGGTGGCCGTAGACGTGCTGGCCCGGCATCATTTTTGCAGAGCCCAGCTTGGCAGCAGGCGGGCGGGATTTGGGATTCGGGCAGCGGGAAGGCTGTCGCTCGGTGGGACGAGGTTTTGGATGGTGTTTTGAGAGGGGACCGGAGAAGAGGGCGAGGCGGGGACACGGGTTCTGGGGTTTGTTGGGCTATCTGCCGCCCTTGACCTTTTGACAATGTGCGGAGGCCCGGCCAGGCTTCATGAGCAAGATAAAGGTAAAGGCCCAGTCGGCTTTGAATCGGGTACCGGAACACACGAGTCGCGTCGCTGGCTAATGCTGGATTCGGGTTTTCGAGTGCTAGTTGTGTGCCGCAGAGGACGGCCGGCTTTTGAGCGTGCTGGAGAAACGGGCAACGGCAAACGGCGCGAGGTCTGCGGCGTCGGCAACGGGACGTTAGAGGTGTGGGAAGAAGACTAGAAACGTGCTAGCCACGCCGAGTGGGCCAAATGGTGCTTTTCCAAGCTTGTTAGTTGGCGCACGGACCAGTCTGGCGGGGAAGAAGCTCGTGCCTTTCCTGCCTTTCTCACAACCCTTGCGCAGGCCCTGGAACCTCTTCAGTGCCCCAGCAATCAGAATTAGCAGGCACACCCACAACGACTTGACGAAAGCCCTTGATTGGGCTGCCCTACGAATCCGATCATGCGAGTTCGCCTCGTTACAGATTCCGTCAAGATTTCTTTCGCCCCCTGGACGAGTAAGTCTTGAAGTTGGCTTTAAGGCAGGTATATACCCGCACTTTCGTATGACACTAGTACCTTCGTATGACACCAGACGTTGTGTGAACCTTGTAGAATAAAACTACATCAAGAACGCCAAATATATTACGTCTTACAGTCAATCAGTACTCCGTATGTCAGGTGTATATACATAAGGTAGAGGGTAATTATATGTTCTCTACAGAAAATACTGATTTTAACAGAGACAATGTAAAAGAAACAAAAAAAAGCTCCCTGGAGTGCCCAAGCTCCAAAGAGATGAGAAGTGAAATGAAAGAGACATTCCCTCTCTCATCTTGTATGCTTCGCTCTCTCTCTCTTGGTTCCGTCCCCTTCCTCGAAGCACCACCCTTGGATAGAAGAAGAAAAATATACGTACAAAATAGTAAAAGTTAAAAAAAAAACACCAACTCCTGTCTTGTGGGTTTTTTTCTTCCCGACACCAATCCAAGCTAAACCCCAAACCTTCTCCGGTTTTATTTAATTCATAGTACACATGGGGTATCGTATGGACGGACTGTTCGCCAGCCTGGATATCTTTGCGTAGCCATTTCCATGTACGTGCCCGCTTGCGGAATACACCCAACGCCAGATCAAACAAACCGGCTAATCGTACACTGTTAATATTTCTTTTTACAAGAAGACAAGGAGACAAAACATGGTGCTTCCTAGAAGGAGCGTCGAGGCTACTCTCTGGCCTGGTCTGCCACCTGCTCCGGCGGTAGACGGGTCCGTAGGTTTTGCTGACCCGTCTGAGGGGCCGCCTGAGGGGTTGCCTGTGGGCTCGCCTGAAGGCTCGACGGTCGAAGAAGGCTCAGGCAGTGACACGGAACTCGTCGACGATGTAGGCGCGATGCCTGTCCCGTTGCCAAACGGCAGAGAGCCGTTCCCGATCGACACAGTATCTGTCGGGGTCCCAATCGCCACGGGATCCGATGTGGGCGTGACGGGATATACGACCGTCAACTGTGCCCCGCCGTCTGAAGAACCTCTAGAAGCACTGGAGATTGAAAAGAAACCAGAGCCTTCAGCACCAGTGGCGCTGGGTTCGGGCTCACCCACAACAGTGATCTCGGCTCCTCCGCCCAGGGTAGTAGTTTTACCACCAGATCCCTGAGATGGGGGTGTAAAAATTTCAATCGGGTTAGCTGAGGGGCTACTAATGACGGTAACGCCGACGCCTCCACTTGCGCCCTCGCTGCCACCGCTGTCGCCAACTTGGATAGTAGTAGTCGAGGTGCTGGGTCGAGGGATACTAATGATGGTAACACCGACACCTCCACTTGCGCCGCCGCTGCCACCGTTATAACCACTGTCGCCAACCTGGATAGTAGTAGTCGGGGTGCTAGGTGTAGGTTTGACAATGACAGTAACGAATCCTGAGTTGCTGTTGCTGCCACTGTTGCCGCCGCTGCAGATTCCTCCGCTGCAGCTTTCTCCAGTGCCGGCCGATTGTGTGGCCTGAGGCGACCAGGTCTTTTTGGAGCTTGACGATCCATATCCAGAGCCAAATCCTCCATAGTTGGAACCGGACCCTTCGGATCCAGAGCTTGATCCTCCAGACTGAGACCCTCCGTAGCTGGACCCCGACCACTCGGAGCCAGAGCCTCCAGACTGAGATCCTCCGTAACTGGAACCGGATCCGCTTTGGCCACTGGCACTACTGCTGCTGCTGCCGCTGCCGCTGCCGGCCCAGACAGTGTAAACTCCGCCGCCCGATGAACCTTTCGTGGTCGCAGGTTGTTGTATGACTGTAACGACTTCAGTGCCACCACCACCACCTTCGGCTTCGCAGACAGTGCAAACTTCTTCGGCAGACTGCGTGGACTGAGGTTGTTCAATGACTGTAACAACTTCAGAGCCGCCTCCTTCCTCGTCGCAAACATCGCACCCTTTGGTGGCGGATGGCGCTGGCTGAAGCTGTTCAATGACGACTGTGACGACCTCGGTGCCAATTCCTTCACAGGTATTGCACTCGCCGCCGTTACTGACAGACATTGAAGTTTGAGGCTGTTGGTAGATTGTGACAACTTCAGAGCTGCCGCCTTCTTCGTCGCAGATATCGCAGCCTCCCGAGGCAGATGAGGTTGCTTGAGGCTGTTCGTAAATCGTGACGTCTTGAGAGCCTCCGTTTTCCTCATCACAAACATCGCAACCTCCCGAGGCAGATGACGTCGTCTGAGGCTGCTGGTAGATTGTGATGTGTTCAGAGCCGTCGTCTTCCTCGTCACAAATATCGCAGCCGCTGCTGCTGGAAGTCGGTGTGGCCTCGATGACCGTGATGACTTCAGAACCGCCATTTTCTTCGTCACAGACATCGCAGTCTCCGCTGCTGCTTCCTCCGCTGGACGAGGGCATCGAGGGCGGCATGGTGTACAAGGGTTTGCCTTTGTCATTGATAGCGACCGTTACCGTCACCATTTCCCCTTCGCAGTTGTCGGGCGTAGCTTCTGCCCCGTTCACTACGACAGTAGAGACAAGCGTCATGGTTGACGTGACATCCGGTTCACCGTCTGATCCGGGAATTGTAATGACAGTCACGGCTGTGACTACCGACGTCACATCTTGTTCGCCGCTGCCGTCCAACCCTGCTCCGTCGATCACGATGGTAGCGACAAGCGTCATGGTTGACGTGACATCTGGCTCCCCGTCTGATCCAAGAATTGTAACGACAGTCGTGGCCGTGACGAACGACGTTACATCTTGTTCCCCGCCAGCTGCTCCGGTGGCTCCGGGTGCCGCCGTTATCGTGGCGTTCGATATTAGGCCAGTGCCATTGTTGCCGCCTATCCCAACACCAGCTCCAGCGGTGCCCTGCGCCTCCCCAACGGCTGTTACAATAGTCGTTGGGACACCAGCCGCGTCAACCGTGATAATGGTGGTAGCGGAAGTAGTCAGAGTGACATCAGGAGATGTGCCATTGCCTCCCGCTCCCGCTCCTGCCTGGGCCCCTGTCCCGGCCCCAGCACTTCCAGTGCTGTTGCCTCCTATACCCGCGCCTGGTGTGGCTTGCGCTCCGCCTGGTGCGCCTTGTGCTTCGCCGCCAGCTGTTACGATTGTAATGGGCACGCCGGCTGCGTCAACCGTAATGATGGTGGTGGCGGATGTAGTTATTGTAACATCAGGCTCTGTGGCAGCTGTGCCATTGCTTGGTATCAAGCTGCCGCTGCTATTCGAGGGTAATGGCTCACCGGTTATGGAATTTATGACCACATAAGTTGCCGCCTGGAGGTCGCCCAATGCACATTTCTTGACAAATTCTTCGAGCTGAAAGCCTTCTCGTCTCGTGTCGTCTTCTTCAATGGCGGCAAACAAGTCAAGAAAGGTCGTTCTGATGAGCAGGGGGTGCGGCTGAATGAACATCAGCAACAAGATGAGCTGCACGCCTGCCGTGGCTTGCTCCATGACCTGAAACTGGACAAGAGGGTCTATTTCTGAACTCATGATGGATTCTGTATCCTCCCGAACCTGCAGCGACGGCTGGAGCCAAGAAAGAAAGAACTGGCCAGACGTAATCATGTCAATTGGATTGAGCGTCGACAAGTTGACTGAGATCTCTAAAGCTATGGCGATATAAGTCCGGTTTTCCTTTGCCGCAGGGAACATGAGGACGGGCTCGTCAGAGACGTCTGGCAGAGTCGGTTAGCGGTCTTGCTTTCCCAAGTGTGGGTGCCCAAAGACAAAAACCATACCTTCCATCGTGGCAGTGCTCCCCGGCTCCGTGATAATCGTTGAGCCCATCTGTAATGTCAAGTTACTGCCGGCGGAAGCGGCAGCAGTAGCCACCGACCTCTTCCATGACGGACCTCTCCCATAGCTATCGACGCCAGAAACAAGAGACGCGAAGACCGCTAACACTGGCGGTAGCGACCTATGAAAACGCATAACGTATACGCCAAAGGAGCGGAAGGGAGGAAGGTTGGGAGGATAGGTTGGTGGGACCTATCCAGAAGCTTGAGGCGCAAGCCCACAGGATGCCGAGGGGGAGACCAAGACACCTCGAGAGCTTCCAAGGCGACGACAGATGGAGATGTCGAGGCTGCTGACAGCATGGAGGATAGCGATCAATGAAGAAACAAAAAGAGAGACTAGGGGAAAACTAAGGCGAGGCAACCGCGGGGGGCCATCATGGACCTTAACTACGGGGAGCCCCCTGAAGTGTGATTGGGAAGGGCATCGGCGATACATCTGGAATCTGGAGCTCGGATGAGTGGCTGCTGTGGCCATGAGGGCGGCCGCGATGAGTGGACAAGCTTAGTCGGGAGAGTTTCAACGGCCCCTTCACAGGCCAACACGGCCCGGCATGCCGCCCACGCATCGGCGGACGGCGGACGGGATTGGAGTCGGCGGGAACCGGGGCTTAGGTTGATGGGCTGGTGGTGGTTCGTTGACAGCTACTGAGTATGGATTTAGGTAATATGCGGCCGCGGCACGGGCAGGCAGGTTCTGTCTGGTCTGCCCCGTGCGAATCCAGAAGGACAACGTTGCCGTGCCGCTTGCTTTCAGGTGATGCGAGAATCAAGCAGCCGAGAGTGGAGAGCACGGCCAGCGTCGTGGCCTGCGGCTCCGGCCCGTGGCCGTTTCGTGTGTATTTTTGGAGACGGGAATGCACGTGTGGCCGTGAACATTTCCTTCCAGAACGATTCCACGTTGGCATTTCGCCCTGGCCCGACCTCCGGAGCCACCAACGAAAATAGGCAACGGACCACTGAAAGAGAACGAGAACGAGAACGAGAACGAGAACATCCCAGGGCCGCGTCCTTTCCCTGGCTATCATCTAGGCTGCCAACGACACTGCCCCTAGCATGGATGGACTAGATACCTAGAAAGGACTTGTATTGTAGGACATTTCCCAGAAGACGCCTGTTAGGGACGCAGCTGTGGCCACATACAAGTTCTTAGCATTGTTGTCCGATGTTTGACACGAACTTGGATCAAGTCCAACAAGCTAGGGGTAGGATGATAACCTGGAGGTTTTGTCATTGCGATTGCGGCGGCTGGCGGCTCTGCACAGTCTGATGTCATGCCATTTATGTAGGTACATACCTTATCCATTGATGTTGGTGGTTGGTGGTTGGTGGTTGGTGGTTGGTGGCGTGGCAAGCAGTGTTGCATCCCTCCGCATCGTCCCGAGTCAGTAATAAGTCGAATGGCGGCAATTGGCTACTATGTAAGTAACCATTGGATTGAGGGCGTGGAATGCTAGGTTATCCATTGATTGTATCAATACCTATGGTTATCTGTGCCTCACCTACCTATAGGTGCAGTACCCACCTCACACCTTGGTATCCATGGATTTGTCGGATGACTCTGACCAAAGTTGACTGCTTGCATTCGAGATGGATGGATTGTACGACGCTGTGTTCAACAGCAGGCAACTCTATGACATGATGCGATGCCCAGAGAAGAGTTGCAGGTGATGTCGGTGGTTGGAAGGGGTGCGTGGCTCCTTGGTTGGAGGAGGAGGTCGGAGGACTGGACCAAGAACGGGTCGAGACTCCACTGTCCTGTCATTGACGAACATTGGAGGCCGCCGCCCACCGCACTACCTTAGCCTGGCAGTAGATAAGGCACTTGACACAGTATCCCGGAACCCGGTTCCAAGCCCGGCATTGCGGCTACGGGCGGGATGGCAAAGAAACAGCTTAGGCGGCTGCTAGAGCAAATTGAATTCCTTCAACAAGTGCAAGAACCTCCCGATATCCTAGAAAGGCAATAGTCCTTCCTTCCCACTTAGGTAGCTTGTTCGCCAACCCATCTGATGGCCAGGAAGCCAACAACTTGCTCATTGCGCCTGCCGTCCATGCAATGCGCTAATATCTACTCCGTACTACTAGTGATGCATGTCCTGTCTTGGAAGGGCAACCGCGACGAGAGGTTGGCTTGACCGCCTTTATCGGCCTCGTTGATTACAGACGGACACTGTGGACGAGAACGGTACTTGTACAAACTCACGTGTCTCTGGGCTGTCACATCCCTCGTAGTTCTCATCCACATATTGCAACCCTTTCAGCAGTTCGTTCAGATGTGCATGCAATTCACCCCCGCCACCGACCCCACCATCCAACCTATCCTGTCAGCAGAAACAAAGAGCCCGGGGATGAAAACCTCGAGAAAGGCGGGGTACGGCGCAGCGCCAACAAGCTCTCTCAGACGCCAAAATCCGCCCGCTATGGAGCCTCCTCAAACAGCTGCCAAGAAAGCTCTCGTCTTGTTTCCAGAGGTACTTCCGAAGAGGCATAGTTAAGGCGCCACTCGCGCCAAGCTGCAATCACTAACGAACCAGGTTCAGAGCTCGCCCATTCATACAAATCATTGCCCCCATTCCATGCAGTCCCGAGCGTCACGAGCCAAAAGGCCCAGCCTTTTTTCTCGAATAATAAGCAGACGGACACCCATGGGAAGGAAGTTAAGCATCACGCGGAGGCGTACTTGGACAACCCGGGGTGCCAGCCGACAGACAAGCCACCTCCATCACTCTAGAAGTAGCTAAGTTCCGAGGGTTGGGTCTCAAGCTTGCATGTCAGCCTGCCTCCTACATGTATGTGCCTGCTTGTTGGATCCTCCAGAGCTTGAGCCGCCGCCATTTTCATCCGTCTATGGATCCATAAGGTTATATAACTTGGAGCACCCCTTTCGCACCGAGACACGGTACTTACCTTGGTTCTCTGGTCACCGGCCTCAGCACCACCGTAGGCTGTTTCGCCCTCGAGTCCCCGACCAGAGACCAAAGACCACCAGAGACCAGAGGCCGACCCCCGAGTCGCAGAGGCTCTCGCAAGGCCTCTTCCACTGTGTCCAGGACCGCCAAGTGTCCCTCCTCCCTAACCGACTCGAGGTTGGTTCCATTGCAGACTGCTCTGCTCAGGTCGCCCAGGTCGCTCAGGTCGCTCGCCCTTCTGTTGTGGCCGTGTCTGTCCCTGTTCCTGTCCATCCATTGCCCTGCCCTGCCTACTGAGCTGAGCACGGATTCTGCATACATACCAAGTGTATACAAGCCCAAGTCAGCTTCACCAAGCAACCTGCAAGATGGCCTCCGATGTCTCAGCGCAGGTCGTTTCAGCCGTCGCCCGGGCCTTGTTCTCGCGCGCCGACGCTGGCACCAGCACCAGCACTACCAACAAGACCGGTGCCCCTCCCCAGGCCGGCATCCTTGAGGGCGCCAACCCCATTGTCTACAATGGCTCAAACCCAATCACCTTGTTTATCGTCCAGGCAAGCTGCTACCCCCTCCGAGTGCGAGGCTCCTCTGTGCCGGTTGTTGGCCGCTCACTGCTGCCGGGTTTCACTGCGCAATGCAAGCCCCACGTCATGCACATATGGCGGCCTCGCACAACACACCGGCCCCGGGCCCCGGGTCTCGGCTCGCTCGTTGGCTGGCGGGCTAACAATACCCCTACTACCTAGGCCACTATCGTCATCATCTTCTGCCAGCTTTTGCACTGTAAGCCATCTTGCCTTCTGCCGTGTTGCTTGTTGGCCAGGGATGGCCCTGACTTAGGTGTCTAGATCCTCTTCGACTCCTCAACCAGCCCCGCGTCATTGCCGAGGTGATTGGTGGCATCATACTCGGACCTTCAGTCATGATGAGGATCCCTGGATTCAGAGATAGTAGGTCGTACCACCACACCACCCACACTAAGATTGACCAAAGACTGGCCCGGCATGCTAACTCGGGAGGAAATCAGCCATTTTCCCGCCCTTGTCCATCCCCGTATTTAGCAATGTCGCAAATCTGGGCCTTCTCATCTTCCTGTTCCTGGTTGCTCTCGAGGTACGTACCAAATCGACCGACTTGTACCCCCCCGTTTGGGTTGTCTGACCGTGCGTGCAATGGCAAACAGGTTGACATGCGCATGCTCACCCACAACTGGAAAGCTGCACTGAGCGTCGGCTTAGCGGGCATGATCCTTCCCTTTGGCCTGGGCTTTGCTGTCGCGTGGGGGTTGTATCACCAGTTTCACGACCCTACCAACCCCGTCGTGATCAGCTTTGGCGTCTTCGGCTTGTTCATCGGGACTGCGTTGGCCATCACCGCCTTCCCCGTGCTCTGCCGCATTCTGACCGAGTTGAACCTGCTTCGTTCCGACGTCGGCGTGACAGTCCTGGCTGCCGGCATCGGGAACGACGTGACTGGCTGGGTCCTCCTCGCCCTCTGCGTTGCCTTGGTCAACAACTCGAACGGCCTGGCTGCGCTCTGGGCATTGCTCGCCGCCATTGGATGGACGCTATTCCTGATCTTTGGCGTCCGGCCCCCTTTCATCTGGATACTGAAGCGTACTGGGAGTATCAAGAATGGCCCGACGCAGGGCATGGTCGCGCTGACCCTGCTGATGGTTCTGGCGTCTTCCTTTTTCACCGGTAAGCCCCTCTCCCCTTTTGAGCGCCCTGTCATCTGCTAGTTCTAACGACTCTTGCCAGGAATCATTGGCATTCATCCAATCTTTGGAGCCTTCTTGGTCGGGCTTATCTGCCCTCACGATGGCGGGTTTGCCATAAAAATGACCGAAAAGATTGAGGATCTTATATCCGTGCTGTTTCTGCCGCTTTACTTTGCCCTCTCGGGCTTAAGCACGGATCTGGGTCTTTTGAACGATGGCATCACGTGGGCCTATGTCATCGCCATCATTGCGTGCGCCTTTGCTGGCAAGATCATTGGCGGAACTCTGGCAGCGCGAGCGAACAAGCTCCTGTGGCGAGAGAGCATCACCATTGGCTGCCTCATGAGCTGCAAGGGACTCGTCGAGCTCATTGTCCTTGTAGGTCGCAAGAACAACCGGGGGCGTGGTCTGCGCTGTGGTTAACAATTGGACAGAATATTGGCCTACAAGCCCACATATTATCACAGCAGACGTTCACCATGTTTGTTGTCATGGCCTTGGTGCGTTGGTCTGACATCTTCCCTGCCCCGGCCGAGTTGCCACTGACACCCTCCTTTAGGTCACCACGGTAGCGACCACCCCTCTTACAAAGGCCTTTTACCCTCCGTGGTACCAGAAGAAGGTCGAGAGGTGGAGAAGGGGCGAGATTGACTGGGACGAGAATCCGCTTGAGCCCCCTGGCTCCAGCGAAGGCGATCATATCAGCAAGCTCAATATCTCTCAAGTTCGACGCCTCATGGTCCACCTACGTCTTGACAGCCTTTCAAGCGTCTTCACGTTCGTCGCTTTGTTCGGGCCGGAAAATCATGCCAAGGCAGCCCGGTTAGAGGGAGCCTCCGAAGGCGCCGAGGACACTGAGGCGCAGGTCAGGAGGAAACCCCTAGAAGTTCACGGGCTACGCGTCATCGAACTCACGGAGCGTACATCGACGGTGATGCACGTAACCGAGTTTGAGGAGGTTTTTTCGCTCCGCGACCCTGTCGTGAATGCCTTCCGTGCCTTCTCTCAGCTGCACGATGTGGCTGTCTCGGGCCGCGTCGCAGTCGCCCAAGTGGACGCTTATGCAGATACCCTGATGGCCCAGGCCTCGGAGGTCTCTTCGGATTTTGCGCTCATCCCCTGGGGCGAGTATGGCAGCGTCACGGATGACGACCAATCCGCGCCCTTCGCCGTGGATGCTAGCGACCGCTTCAGATCAAACGCGCACCTTGATTTCATCCACCAGACACTGCAAAAAGCGATAACGACGTGCAATACGGGCATCTTTATCGACAACGGCTTCGGCGGCATCATCAAGCCCGCCGATAAGCCGCTGCTTGCCCGAACCAAGAGCGCCATGTCTTTGCGCAGCCACCGCGAGCTCGCCTCCCTACCTGTCGCGGACAAGAGCCACCACATATTCTTCCCCTTCTTTGGCGGTGCTGATGACCGCGTTGCGCTGCGCATCGTCCTGCAGCTAGCCAAGAACTCTCACGTGACAGCCTCCATCGTCCATATTAGATGGCCAGCAGCCGAGGGACCCGAAGCGGCCGTTGCAGAGACTGAGGCGGCCAGCCCATCCAGGACAAAGAGATCCTTGTCCATCTTTGGAAAGGGCAAGAAATCGGACGGCAACGGTACCAATGCCGCCCACGAAGATGCATTCCTGTCGAGCTTGGAGAGCTCTTTACCCGATGAGCTTGCCGGGCGCGTCGTCTTCAGCAAGACGGATGTGACGCCTGCCACGGCACTGGCGGAAACGGTGGCCATATCGAAGAAGACGGTTGGCCAGACGCCCAAGAATGCGGGCGATATTGTCGTCCTGGGGCGGCGACACCCGGGCCTCGACGACTCGACGGCCGAGGCGACCAGCTCTGGGAGCCCCGATCTCACGCGGACCGTGGGTGCCATTGCCGACCAGCTGGTCACCTTTGGCGTCAAAGCGAGCATCTTAGTGGTCCAGGCCGGCGGCCGGGGGCTAGAAGCTTGATCCCCTTGTCAACAATCGTTGGTAACTTGGACATATGTAGACGGTCAATGTCTTCTCTTGTCTAGCAGCCCGGTATATAAGCCTCGGCACCTCTATTATACGACCGTCATGACACAGCAATAAGCAAGTTATAGTAATGTCTGGGATGGGGCTTATTGTCTGTTCAGATTAATTTCTTGTTTATATGGCGTCTTCTAGGTATCTACGTGTCATGAACCATTCATGAGAGTAATGTCAGTTATTCCGGCATGTTCTTTTTTCGTTATCAACAACACGTCAAACGGATATACTAATAAATATGTAAGAAGTACTCGGTGAAGGTTCATGTTGATAAAGGAAAGTTCCGTCACCCCTTTGCCAGCACTTGTTGTCCTTTCGTTACTTTTTATTGTGCCCATTTGCATATTCTCCCCAGACCCGCACACAATGACCAAAAACACTGGGTGGTATCTATTTTGTTTCCTTGATCTTTCTTTTGCACAACTCCCCTCAAGCCGGGAGGCCAGGCTCTGGAACCATGAAACCCAGACACCCAGACACCAGGCCCCAGAAACCCCAAAATCACCAATCAGGGATGCCCGCCGCGCCGCACCCGCCGCTTCCGCCGCCCCCAGCTGCGAGCAGCGCAACCGGCCTCCGCATCGGCAACTCCGAGTGCGGCCGCACGCCGGGCTTTTTAGCCCGCCGCCCGACAAACTCGAGCTTCTTGTCGAGCGCGTCGTACGCGCTCGGCCCCGCCTCGCCCTTGCGCACCATCCACTTCGCCGTGCCCAACGCCGCGTCCAGCTCCGCCACGGGCGGCAGCCGCAGGTAAACGAGCCCGTCGTCGCGCGCCTCGACGTCGAACGTGGCGATGGACAGCTTGTTCTCGTTGTCGTTCTTGCACGCCCCCGACGAGAGATCGTAATTGCGCTTGTGGTGCGGGCACGAGATCCACGGCGCCGCCGCCGGCGCGTCTCCTCCTTCTGCCGTTGTGGCGGGTGCTGTCTCCTGCCCGACGATGCCGTCGGCCAGCACAAAGGCGCGCTTGTGCGGGCACATCTGCTGCGTGGCGTACCACCGGCCGCGCACGCGCCACACGGCCAGCTGCGTGTCGCCGCGCTTGACGACGGCGCTGACGCCGTTGGGCATGTCGTCGGCGCCGGCGAAGTGGTCCGCCGACAGCACGGGCTGCCAGGCCGTCTCGGACCAGGTGCGGCGCAGGCCGGCGAAGTCGTCGTGCGCAGGCTCGCGCGCCCAGAACACGGGCCGCGCCTGGCCCCGGTCCGTCTCCGTCTCGACGCCGTCGGCCGCGTCGCTAGTGTTGGCGAACTGCCGGAACTGCGCGGCGATGGCCGGCGACGCCAGCGCCTCGGCCCACTCGTCGAAGAAGCTGTCGACCAGCTCCTGCATCTGCGCCTCGAGCGACGCGCAGATCCCCAGCTTGTCCTCGAGGATCACGGACCGCAGGTACCCGATCCCGCCCGGCAGCCCCTCGAGCCACCGCGCCGTCCGCTGCAGCCGGTCGGCCGTCCGGATGTAGAACATGAGGTAGCGGTCTAGGATCGGCACCACGTCCGCCGGCGCCACGTCCTTGGCCAGCAGCTCCGAGTGCTTGGGCTTGGCGCCGCCGTTGCCGCCGACGAAGATGTTGAAGCCCTTTTCGGTGGCGATGAGGCCGAAGCTTTTTTTTGGGAGGGGGTGTCAGTATTTGTTCATGAATCAGGGATAAGGGGCGTGTTGTTCCCCCTTTAGTTCCTGAACTAGATAACCAAAAACAAACAGAGGGAAGCACTCACTCCTTGTTCTGGGCCTCGGCGCACTCGCGCACGCAGCCGCTCACGCCACCCTTGATCTTGTGCGGGGCGCGGATGCTCTTGTAGCGCTCCTCGAGGCGCACGGCCATGCCGACGCTGTCGCCGATGCCGTAGCGGCACCACGTGGTGCCGACGCAGCTCTTGACGGTGCGCAGCGACTTGGCATACGCATGCCCGGATTCCATGCCGGCGTCGACTAGCGCGCGCCAGATGTCCAGCAGGTCCTGCTTGCGGGCGCCGAACATGTCGATGCGCTGGCCGCCCGTGATCTTGGTGTACAGGCCGTACTTCTTGGCGACGGCGCCGACGGCCAACAGCTTGTCGGGCGTGATCTCGCCGGCCGACACGCGCGGCACCACGCTGTACGTGCCGTTGCGCTGGATGTTGCCCAGGAACTTGTCGTTGGTGTCCTGCAGGCCGTGCGTCGTGCGGTCCATGACATGCCGGTTCCACAGGCTGGCCAGGATGCTGCCTACCGTCGGCTTGCACGCCTCGCACCCGACACTCTCCGGGTCGACGCCCGCCTCGCGCATCACCTCGGCCAGCGTCGTCAGCCGCTTGGCCATGACGATGTGGTAGAGTTCCGCCCGGCTGTGGTTGAAGTGCGCGCACACGTTGTTCTTGACCTCGTTGCCCATGGCCACCATGGTGCTGTTGAAGATGGCCGTCACCAGCGGCATGCACCCGCCGCACCCCGTGCCGGCTTTGGTGCACGACTTGACCTCGCCCACCGACTTGCACGTGCCGTCCTTGACCACGGCCACCACGTCGCCCTTGGTCACGTTGTGGCAGCTGCAGATCTGCGTGTCGTCGTCGAGATCGCCGCCGTCATCGCCGCCGCTGCCCTTGCTCGCCGCCCCCAGGATCAGCTCCGACGGCGCCACGTCGAGCTCCTTCTGGTTCTTGACCAGTGGCACCAGCTTGACGTAGTCCTTGGTGTCGCCGATCATCATGCCGCCGAGCAGGAACTTGCCGTCCATGGTGAAGATGTACTTTTTGTACACGTTCTGGAACGGGTCCTTGTACGTCAGCGCCTTGACGGGGGGCGGCGGCAGGCCGTTGGTCAGCGTCTTCACCGCGTCGGGCTTCCCGCGTGCCGTCCTGGCCGCCGCCGCGCGAGCCGGCAGGTGCTTGGGCCCGTCGCGGTCGGCGAAGAAGTCGCCGAAGCTGGCCACGTCGACGCCCAGCAGCTTGAGCTTGGTGCTGAGGTCGGGCCGCTTGTACAGCCGCGGCTGGTGCAGCTTGGCCTGCGTGAGGTTGAAGGCCAGCACGTCGGCCATCTCGACGCCAGGTGCGATCAGCCCAAACGTCTGCGCCTGCCAGCTCGCGCACTCGCCGATGGCGTAGATGTCGGGGACGCTAGTCTGCAGGCTGTCGTCGACGACGATGCCGCCGCCGCGGTCCGCGCACGTGATGCCCGCCCTGCGTGCCAGCTCGTCGCGCGGCCGCACGCCGATGGCGAAGCACAGCGTCGAGCACGCCATGTACTCGCCGTCTTCAAAGTGCACGCCCTTGACGCTGGTGGTGGTGCTGCCATCCTCGTCGGCACTGACGTGCACGTCGACTTTCCCGACTCTCTTGCCCAGCAGCACGTCGACACCGAGGCTGCGCACCTGCTCGACCACCATGCCGCCGGCATCGGCGTCCAGCTGCCGGCTCAGCACCCAGCGGTTGCGCTCGATGACCTTGACCTGGTCGAAGCACTCGAGGTCCATCATGGCCTTGGCGGCCTCGAGCCCGAGCAGGCCGCCGCCGACCACGGCGCCGACGGTGCCCTTTTGGAGCTGCGCCGAAAAGGCGATCAGCTGCTCCAGGTCGTCCACGGTGCGGTACACGAACACGCCCTGCGCGTCGTGGCCCGGCGTGTGCCGCGGCAGCACCGCGTCGGACCCCGTCGCGAGCACCAGGATGTCGTAGCCGATTTCCCGACCGCCGCCGTCGGCTGGTGCTGCGCACGCCACTACTTTCCTGTCCGCATGGATGGCCGTCACCTTAGTGTTAAGGTAGTAGCCCAGCGCACCGTCGAGCACGTCGTCGTACTGTTGTGTGCATGGCGCGAGTCAGCCGCGGCTCTCGAGATCCACATAAGAGAGGAAGAACTTACCCATTCCCGCGGGTTCAGGTACAAGTTCTCAACCTTGCGGTGCTCGAAAAAGGTCGTCAGGCCTACGCGGTTGTAGGCCACATGGGGCTCCTCGCCAATGACGACAATGTCGTATTCGCGGGCCCTGGCGTCGAGCTTGAGGAGTTTCTCACTGCCGGCAAGCACCCGAGTGTCGTTATTAGCCTTCTGTCTTTTGGCGGTGGCGGTGATAAGTGTCAGACACTGTGTAGACTTACGTGAAGCTGATGCCGACCATGCCCAGCCCGACAACGACAATCTTTTTCTTCTTGCGCTGCTCGGCAGCACCACCGCCGCCGTTGCCATTGGTGGCGGCGGCGGCAGCTGCAGTATTGTCGGCCATGTTGGAAGGATGGCGGCCTTGCGAGACGAGAACGTCTCCAGATAGAGTAGATGGGTATCTAGCAAGGTAAAGGGCGATGAAAGGGCGATGAAGGAGGTCTACAGAAAGGGGCTGAAGGTGTATCTCACAGCGGGAGCAGTGCCCAATACTCCAATATCAACGACAACGCTCAATCACTGAGATGCCATGGTCATAGTAGACAAACGGCAAATCGCGACGAGAAACTAGATGCGCGGGCAGTTACAAGAGAGAAAATTACAAGAGAGAAAAAAAGGAAAACAAGCCGAATATGGGCGGACAAGCTAGAGCAGAGCTTGTGTGTCTGTCTCCTAGACCGGCGGTGCTACTTACTTTAATACTGTAGGTACGTACGTAATCCGCGGTGCGGTCTAGATTGAAGTCTGCAAAGAGAGAAAAGAAACGGACCGAGGGGAAAGAGGGTCCGAGGAATCTTGCATTTCCGGTCCCTCCATCTGCCGCAGCCGATCGGACCCCACGCCGTCAGTCCCGCGGAGTCGTCTTTGCTGTCCGCTGCTGCTACTACAATGATACACTACCTTATCCTTCCCCAGGTACCCCGATGTGCAGTGCCTTGCCTTACTTGAACCTGCAGTACATTCATTTATTTGTTTATCCATTCATTCATTTCCCCGGGTCTTGCTGGCCGCGGATCTTAGACTTTGTCCTCCTAGTACATCCTACCGGTCGAGCAGCCCGGCGGGGCGTCAGCCAAGCAGCCGGCCGGGCATTGCCTTTCCACGGCTCACGGCACATTCCATTTACACACATACCTACATACACAGACAGCACTGGAACCTCCCCTCCTCAGCAGGTAAAAACCTTGCCTTGACTTGACTTGACTTGGCTAAGCAATCAAACAAACAAGCAAGCAAGCAAGCAATCAGGCAGGCAGGCAGGCAGGCAAGCAAGCAGATCTTGATCACGACGCGAGGGGTGCAAGCGAACGCCACCGATAAGGCCGCTGGCTGGGCGCATCAAGGATAAGTAAGTGGTGGTAGGTGAACCAATCAGGCGCCGTGCAAAAGGAGATGCGGGTTTTGAGCCTCCCCCGCGGAGAAAGTACCGTGGCCTAGCATGTCGACGACGTGGGGTGGAGCGCGCTATCATGTACGTATCTAAAGAGCTTCCATGCATCAAGTTTGAGCCACCTGGTAGCTAGTACATAGTAGTATTCGCAGGCGAGTCGAGCAAATACAGAAATCCCAAGAATAGATTGCGTTCCATTATTAGGCTAGGCCCGGCCAGTCCGGACTGGTGAAAAACTGGTCTAACATGAGTGATGATTGTTCTAACCGTGCCGAATTATGCTAGGTATGTGCTGTCAACCAACTATTTTGTGAGGAGCAAAATGCCCAGACCAACGACCCTTGAACATGAACAAAGGAGCGAAATCAATGCACACAAGTGCTGTCCCCGGCCTACCAGCAGGAAGCCCATTGCTTTTTAGTTGCCCGCCTATAGCCCATCCCGTCCCTTCAGAACGAAAAGGAAAAAAAAACAACGCCAAAGAAGCTGCATTTGAATTTGAACACAATTCCCCTCTTCAACAGATCGCGCACTGCGATCCAGTAGAGCAAGGGGGCAAGTTAATAATGTAAGAAAAGACACATCACGAAAGGAACGTCCCGTCTCCCACCTCCACCTCAGCAATCTTCCCCGTCCTCGTCGCAGTCGTCCATACTCGCATAGCCCGGGTCCGTCTCCATCCCAACCAGGCTCTTGGTGATGCTCAGGCACCTGTTGATCATCTTCTGTCTCGCGGCCGCGTCCAGCCCCGATCTCTCGCCCGCCGAGCTTCCAATCCAGATTCGAAGCCCGCCCGCCAGTCTCTCGAGCGACCTGCTGCAGCTCTCCCGGCAAACGGCGTGCTGGTGGAGCGCCTCCATAAGGTGGAAAGCCGCAACGTAGCCGAGGAAGGACATGTTGTCGACCGTCGAGCACACGAGAATCGAGTCAATGACCATGTACGCCTCTTGAGGCGGGTCGGCGGGCCTCTGGAGGTGGGCAATCACCTTGGCGCAGTCCAGCGCCATCTTCGCATCCTGGTCTTCCATCAGAGGCGGGAGGCCTCGGGCGTAGTGTGGATGTCTGGTAGGGTTGGCGAATGGATCCAACGCCTGCTTGGCCGCCAAGATGTTGGCTCCGCGCATCTCATTGACAAGAACCGCACGGGCGACGAGCCCTCGGATTTGGGCGTCGGATCCGGGTGGCGCCATGTCGATAGCCAGGTTGAGGTCCTCCACTGCCGCTCCTCCGGGGCTGCCGATCGTCTCGGGGAGGCTGCCAACCAAGACACGCTGGAGGATAAGGCTCGAATACCACGCCGCCACAGCGTCGATGGGCGAAATGACGGCGGGATCATCTACCACCGTATCCATACCGTCAAGTCTCCCGACCACCTTGTAGGCCGTGTGCTTGTTCCACGCCAGATTGTGGGCTCTCTGAACAATCTCGTCGTTGAGAACCTCGTCGCAGTCCCGCTCCAGAAGCAGAGCAAGATGCTTGGGAAGAACCTCGTCAATGGGGTCGCTCCCGTCATGGGGCGAGCTGAAGATACGGTAGAGCTGCTTGGCCTCGTTCCACCACGACCTGGCAAGCTTGGCGGCGAAGATATCGGGCAGCCACAATGCGCCGTTCGGCCACCAAAGCAGGACCCGGATATGCAACGCCTTCATCATCATACGAAGAGGAGTTTCTGGAAGGGTGCCCGAAGCAAGGAGGGTCAAAGTCAGACGACTCCTACTGATCTCGTCATCGCCACCGGCAAGCTGGGCATCCAAGGCAATCGTCCAGGCCTTGATCCGGGCCGATTCCTCTTCCTCGCTCAGACCAGTCAACACCAAAAACCAACGATCACCGGTGAAATTCCGAAGCATATATTTGACAGTCTTCAACGACAGCGCCGCTGCCTCGAGTAAGAAGTTGTGTTGCGGTACCCACACGGTCTGGATCGCCGTGAGCCAGGCTTGTCTCCTGACGTGGATTGACGAAGCAAGTGAAGGCACCGCTTTGACCAACGAGGGACTCTGTTTGGCTTTCCCGGCCGGGTGTGAAAAGGACGTGTCGACAAATGTCGAGCAAGCGACCCACAAGAACAAAGCAAGGAGCGAGAAAAGCCTGAGCTGGGCTATCGCATCAATAGCCGAGATGTAATAACCCCCGATGCTGAAGTGAGTCGAGCGCACAAACGACGAGAGGAGAGGGAGTGGGACGGCGAGAAGACCGCGCCCTTGTGGCGTCTCGTTGCTCGGCTCGTTCTCGACGAGCGCCTCGACAAGCATCAGCCCAGCCAGAGAGCCCACCATGAGCTTCCCGAAGTAAGGGCTCCAACGACCAGCCTGTGCTTGTGCCTGTGCCTGTTGCTGCTCCTGTTGGATCTGCTGCTGGCGGAAGAGCGCAGCATTCTGTCCAAATGGCTGCGCCGGCACCGGGTACGGCCGCCCGGCGTTCAGCTGCTGTGATGCTAGGATACGTTTCATGTCGTCCGGTATAGGAATTACGCCCGCGGGTTCCGGTCCTCGAGGTACCTGCATCGGCGTGTTCATAAACGCAGCATCGTGGGGATATTGGACGGGCGTTGGCGGCTGCTGAAGCGGGTTGGGTAGCTGGCCCGTCAGGGCGCCTGCCATGAAGAGCTTCTCAAACGCGGTGATCCTAGCCTGCATGCTGGTGTTCTCGTCTAGCAGGCGGTTGTTCCGCTTCTCCAGATGCCTAATATACTCGGTAGCCTTGCTTAGGACCTGAGGTAAACGCATTAGCTGGACGCTCCAATGGATCGATAGACTACCAAAACTTACTGTTGCCTTGTTGAGCTTGTGGGCAGGAGTGAGGCCGTGGAGCTCCTCCCTGTCCTCTGTAGTGTCTTCGCCTCGAGCACTCTTGGACATGATGCGAAGGGCGGGGACGCTGTCCCGCAGCGCTGCTATCTTGTCATTAAGGTTAGTCCGGTATCTTTTCTCGATCATATTGTGGGCCGTCTTCTTGACGGGCTGATGGCCGTCGAGGTCGTCATCATCGTCGTCGTCATCGTCAACCTCGGCTGACGACTTGCGTTTCCTACTGCCAGACTTGGACGGCTCGGCAAAGTCGGGCGACGATCCGGCGCCTTTATCGTGACTGCCACTGACACCCGAATCAGGACTCCCAGCACTCTTGGGCGAGTGGTACTGGAGATGAGGAGGCATGGCAATAGTCTTCAGCCTCTCTTGTTGAGCAGGGGTTAGGGTGTTCCGGATGCGTGAGATGTCGGGACTATGGCTCTGGTTGATGGCGAAGGGGTTGGTGAAGCCGGCGGTATCCAGGCCGGGGCTGATGCCTGAAATTGGAGAGGACTGGAAGTAAGGCTGTTGCTGCTGCTGCTGTTGCTGCTGCAGGTAAGTCTGGTTCAGGCCAAATTGGTGGACCGGGAGTTCCCAGCTCTGCGTGTGGTGAGGTGCCAGCGAAGGAGCGGCACTCAAGGGACTCTCGCCACTGGCCGAGTCGTAGGGAGGCGTGTTCTGGAATGTGGCCCAGTTGGAGGGATCGGGGTTGTAGAAGGGGGGCGGATGGCCGCCGTTGGAAACCGACGGCGATGCGGATATGTTGGCAAAGCCAGGCGGAGTGCCACCAGAGACGGCGGCTGTGGCCTCACCCGCAGAGGAGCTAGCAGAGGTGGTGGTGGTAGTGGTGGCAGTGGGATCATCGCCAACGTCAGGTGCGAGGCCGTCATCTCCCAGGGTGCTGTCGCCCAGGTCGAACGTGTCCAGGCCCGCGAACAGGCCCGGCGAGTCAGCGTTGACGTCGGCCATTGTGTCTTCAAGCTTGATTGCGCGCCAGGGGCCCCGAGCTATACAATGGGCTGTTGCATGCAGCTTTTGGTGGGCGGAGGCGGGCAGCCTGAGGTGGGTTGCGGGACAAGCGGGGCGTCGGGAGCCCTTCCTTGGATTGGACTGGCCAATCGTCTAGGAACCTAGGAAGCGATAGCTAATGTTCGGCGCTCAAAGGGCCTGGGCCGCGTGCCGGCGTGTTGAGCGCAGTGCCGGTTCTGGCGCCCGATTGCTTTCGTTTGTGCGGGTGTGAGCGATTGAGGGTGCGGTGCTGGGAGACTTGCGGTGCGGTTGGGAATGGGGCTACGGTCGAACGATTTGTGCCAGGATCGTATGATTGAACTCGCGGCAGGTCCCGAGACAGGTCGGTGCGGGGCCCGCCCAAAGAGGAATGGATTTCTTCCAGTGACACCTCAAACACCATGGAGCAGAACAGAACACATGTGAAGTCGACGTGCTAACCCAAGATTGCAGGCTAGTATGATTGAATTCCGAATTCCCTCTTCCAAAACACGCGCTAGGTTTTGCGCTATGCTGTGTGTGCATGGAGATTGATTCCAGACCGCTATCCCACCAGGCAGCAGTTGGCCTCACGGCAGAGGCACGGGCATTCGGGAAGCAATAAGACGTCCTAGAGCCGGATTATCGATTCGGTTTATCGGGTGCGAACTGGATAGATTCCGGGACACCTTGCCTATAACTCTGAAGCCCCGGAGTACACAGCACAGTGTGTGTTTTTAAGAAGGGATTCCCAGTCATTGGAGGAAGGCGCTCGCCACGCGCACGAGATGTTACGCAGTATTCGTACGGCAGTAACAAATAAACAGAGCTCAGTGCCACCAAATATAAACAGCCGAGCCAGATCATTGGACCGAACGAAGCAAGCAACTTCGGAATTTCCATATTGTTCTCGCCAGAGGCGAAATTCAGCCTGCGACATACCGATTCTCGGCCTGTCTACCTACACAAGGAGCCCAGCTAAGGTAATTAATTATAAGGTGCAACGGAAGTATGGCGGATTCCCGTTCGCCTCCCTGCATAAACTTCCCATGCCAGATCCGTAAAGTCGCATCCCCGCAGCAGCACCACACCCAACTATAATTCTTTCAGAACCCAATAAAGACAGGAAATCGACACAATCATGACGCTGATCAGGGGTGCAGGCGGAAGCGGCTTACAGCCTGGGAAAAGGTCGACAAATTTCGTCACAAGCTATCCGTACCTAGAATTGGCCAAGGGGGTCTATCGCGGTTAGATGGAAACAGTGCTGAAACATCTCGCACTCCTCAAACAGAAACCATCTCACAGAAACATGCACACACGGACGTGGCACACACTCAACCCTTTCGGTCTTGCACTGCTAGTTCGCTATTCCGTATTTGACCTCTGCCTAGTCCGCTCACTCTCGTGCCAATCGAGAAGATATAAGGAGAAAAGAATATCTTCAATCATGTTCTTCTTTTCATCATACATATCCACGCATTTCAACCCCACCGCCCAACATTGCTTCCACCTCTATATGGACAATGGCCAAAGAGCCAACGATCTCCCCTCCCTGCATACAAGACAGCTATCAAAAATGCGCCGCCGAATTATAAAGTCCCCAGGCTCCCCCGTTTGCCTGCCGTATGGAAAAATGAATGGAAAAAAAAGGTAAAAAGAAGAAGGAATCAGGTCTCGACTTGTATATCAGGAAGGAACCAAGGGGAAATTTCCCGAAACAATCAGATATGCCGCAAAAAATGATTTCACCAAATATCATCCTCTCCCCTGACCATCTCGACAGTGGGCGTCTTGGGCTCGAAGCGCTTCATGCGTTTGCGGTCGGCACGTGTGACCAAGCTAGGCGTGATTGGCACTACGGGAGAGAAAGGCTGGTATGGGGTATAGGGAACGGGGGCGCCCGTCCAAGGGGTTCTCTGACCCGTTTGAAGACCGGGGGACAAGGGCCCGGCGGCGCGGGTAAAGACCGTCTGCTTTGTGCTGTAGCTGGCGGCGGGACTGCTTGGGCTTCCCTCATAGGCGCGGAATGGGAGAACGCCACCGGGACGCACCGCGGAGGTGCCCGAGGTCGCCGACACAGCCGTCGTGTTGATGGGGCTAATCGACGTGTTGACGGGAGCAAGGTTCTTGGCACGAGCAGTGTCGCCAAAGGTCTGGCCCGGCTTGGGCGACATGGGCAGCGTGTCCAGGCTCGGGAACCGGTTTACACCGGGCTTGGGCGACATGGGCAACCCAACGAGGCCCGACGTCGACGATGTCGATCTCTCCGAGACAGCCGAAGTTGGTTCTCTGTCGGTGCTCGTCGCAGCCGATACATCGCGCGAGTGAGACGGCTCCTGTTCTTCACGCACCTCTCGCCTAGCGAATCGTGCCTCCCGAGTTGGAGGCTGGGCAAGGGCCGAGTCGATGCGCTCAGCAATGCTCTGTGTGCTGATAGGAGATATGTCGGGCGTCGGGAGATGGTTGCTAGGTGCCCGGCGGAAAGGCAGAACGTCCGAGTGGACCGAGGCCGCTGGTGGCGGCGCATAGTGACGCGGCTGCATCGCGTTCATCTCCTGGTCCTCGTGGCGGGGGAAAGTTCCCGACATGGGAGTCATGATGGGTGATGAGATGGATACGCTCTGAGGCACCTTGTTCTTCCTCGGCGACTTGAGAAAAGAGAGGATCGAAGACCCACGCGACTGCGCCTTGTCGTCTCTCGACAGGTTCAGACTTGTGGGCTTGTTCTTCTCCCTTTTCAGGGCCCGCGGCGTCGCCGGAGACGGGGGCGGCGGCGACTTGGTCGAGGGCGCCGGGAGTGGAGGGCCCTGGTACTCCTTACCCTGGGCCCTGGCGTCCTCCTGCTCCATCACGTACTTGTACATGTCTTCTAGCTGTTGCTGCGCCATTGCTCTATCGTGGTTTACAACTACCGGATCAACTGACAGGTCGTTGCCCAAGGCAAGGACGGTCGAGGTCGGCGATTCGACGGTATGCAGCGAGTGCTGGGACCTTGCGCCGGCACTGAGCGGATAGGACCTGGTTGGGCTGAGGGGCGAATTTGAAGGGAGCGAGAAGTTTCTGGGCGGGTGTTCGCTGGTGGCAGAAAGCTGCTGGAACTGGTCGATGGCGTTCTTGTACTCCTCTTCGGACTGGAGAAAGAAGGGGGGAGGAAAGGGGTCAAAGTCCGGGTCCTCTTCACCGAACTCGGCCGCTCTCAGGTGGTCACGGCGCCGTTTGGAAAGAGCAATAAGGAGAGAGGCGACCACGACCAGGGAGAGACCGTAGGCTCCGACGATGCCACCGATCTGGGCTGGGAGGTATGACGGGTCACGGAGAGCACCGGCCGACGCTGGGGGGCCGTCCTCGGGAGACGGGGCAGGATCCCAATTGATGTTGAGTGGGTTGTCTCGCGCAGATACTAAAACACCAACACCGGGCGACGACGGAACAGACACAGCAGCGCAGAGAGGAAGCCAAAACGAGGCAGTCAAGAAACGAAGGACGACAACAACAGCGAAGTTATAGGAGTGCACGCCGCAGCGCATGATGATGTGACGGCGGGGCCGAGTCGGGGTGAACCTGGGAGAGGAAGGAGGAGTCGTCGAGCTTCACCAACGCCGCATTGCGAGGTCAGTATCCCCTGTGCCGAAACACGTTGTGACTGAGATGCAGAGAGGGAGCAGGCAGATCGGCAGTGGCATTTGGATGGCTCGGAGGCACGACTGGGTATATAGCGGCTGTTGAGACGCAAGGCAGCGTCCACCAGCCGACTTGTGTCGAGTACGGACACCAAGTAGTCGCTGGAGCGGCAGGCATTGGCCGTTGTGTGAAATTGACTCTGACTTGCTGGGCCCGCTTTAGGCACTTGCATGAGCACCTTCCAAGACCCCAAAGTAGCGCCGCGGACAGAGCGACTGTCACGGCTTCCCTTCCCCTCCCTCCTTCTCAAGCCCAAAGGCACCTCAGATGTCCGCTCCGCGAGCGTCAGGGCCTAGCCTGGGTCTCCATCGAGCCCGGCTCCTCGCCAGCCCATACCAGCCCAGCCCAGCAGCGGGCAGTGACGGGCAGAACAGGGGGCCCTTGGGCTGCAGCGAGTGCGGGAGCGCGCTCTCTCCTCTACCCGCTGGTTGGCCGCGTTCAGGGATGCACAAACGGCTGAGCGGTAAAAGCTCTTGATTGATTGGATGGCACGAAATGGGCGCACGGGCAGAAACCATCAACCCCCCCGCCATCCACCCGCATTTTCTCCCCCTGGCAGGCCAAGAGCCAGTCCCTCTTGCTCGCCTCCCCGCCGCCTCTTTGGTGCCGCTGCAAAGTCGCTGCCGGCACCAATTGTGGATGCTCCACTTTTTGGTCCGTAGTGTACTCTGTACTATGTAGATCCGCTTGCTGTGTGGAAGCGATCGACCTTAACGAGCAAACGAGATGAATCACTGTTTATTAGTGTGTATGCTCAGTGCCATAGCGTTCCCGAAGTCTTTCCAAGCTGCATGCTTTTTGACTCGTCTTGCAGAGGCAGCGTGTATGCCTCATGTTCGCAAAGTCAGTCAGGTCGGTCGGGCGTAGGGAGGCTTGCTAAAGGCTGTAGCTAGTGTCGTATATTTTTCCGACGACGACTCATGCATTGGTCCGCTGCCAGTTTAGCGGCCGTCTCGTCACACCTGGATTGTGATCATCACGAACTCGCGATGCTTGGATGGTCTGCACGGTATGGGAGCCGGAAGGGCCGTCTTAATCCCGACTTCGGGCTCGGTAGAGTTGCTTTCTCGAGAAGAAACCTCGAGGAAGCAACTTTACGGAGTTCGGGCTGTACCTACCAAATTACGCATCATGCCTCTGACCTGGCGGTGTCCGTGTGCTGATCGACAGGTGCTGGGGTTATGATTTGTCTGTGTCCAATCAACTGCTGCTCGGATTCTAAACTCAGGGAGTTACCGAGTGCAGATGACAATAATGAGTAAGTGTTGGGAAATAACAAGGGGATTTAAGAGACATGGGTCCACTTGGCTACCAGGTGGATGCGGATTTGTGTTGACAAGTCATAAGAATAGACGCTAGAGGCCCACTCGAGATCCATTACACTAGTGCTCCGTACTGGCGGTCGGGGTATCGTTGGATGGTTTATATCGACGACATGATGCTTTGAAAGTCAAATCCCTCTAGCAATGCAACAATGCAATTATGGCAACGACAGGGCTCGAACCGGGGCTCTGATAATCTGACCTGGCCAGGAAGGATCGAACTTGAGCATTTCGTAGTCAACTGCCCCTCAGCCACCCAGAGATGGCGACATCTTAGAAGCGAAGGGTACTTCTCTGGTAACGCCAAGCATATGCCATCCCAGGCCGAGGTAGTTGCAAAAAGTTACTGACACAACAAAAGAATTGGGGAAAAGAGCGACATTTAAAAAGCGAGGGTCCTCGAAAGGAAGGTTACCAGACAGTTTACCCGTCATGAGTAGACGCATTTCAGCTACATCGCTCGCTGATTTGTCTTTTAGGATAGTATAAGAGGCGGGGACAAGTGAGAGGAGACAGGTGCTATGCTATCAATCTGTCCCTAGCTGTCACGTGCATTCGCGCATCTGGCGATCGGCGGGGGGCCGGGGTAGCCCATGCATCTCCAAATCGCGCCTGCTCTCTTCGCGTCCGTGGTCAAGACAAAACAACTCAGGCTACCGAGTACTCCGTAGAGTGGAGAGTTTCATTGCCATCGCTAAAACGGTAGAGGTTTGCCTTCTTGTGCTGCATCATTCATATTCATTGCAAACTTGCGACCATTCCATCCATCTTCGGGCAGTGTGGCTTCTGGAGCTACTAATTGCACGATACACAACGCCGACACGAAAAGGCAACATGGACACGATACCGAATTGGACGCCGTAATTAATGACCTAACTGAATTCGCATGTTCTTTACGTGTACATGTACAGATATAGGCTCAAAGCGTGATTGACGGACGACTGACGCGTTGATGCCGCGCCAACCAGGCCAATTAACTACTTGTTTCGAAGGATATCGACGACCAAGAGATCAACCCAAGACACTACAGGATCCTATCTAAAATACCTACAGTAACCTAGGCTGCCATGTCGGCCTCGTCAGAGAGGAGAAATGTGATCCTCGCCAAACTCAACGACGCCCAGAGCCGCGCTGTCCGGTCCAAGGCCCCAACTGTCGCCATCCTGGCCGGCCCGGGCAGCGGCAAGACGCACACCTTGACCTCGCGCGTCGTCTGGCTGGTCGACTGCGAGGGCTTCCGCCCCGAAGATGTCGTCGTTGCCACCTTCACCGTCAAGGCCGCCCGCGAAATGCAGGAGCGCATCGGCAAGGCCCTCGGCTCCGGCCGCGAGAAGAAGCTCGTCCTGGGCACCTTCCACAGCATCGCCCGCCGCTATCTCGCTGCATACGGCCGCCACATCGGCCTTGCCCAGAAGTTTGGCATTGCCGACGACTCCGACTCGCGCGCCATTATCCTCCGCATCTGCAAGAGGCTGCAGCTGGCCATTGACCCACCTGCTGCCCGCGCCTGGATCAGCAAGAGGAAGGCCAAGGGCTCAGGTGCCGACTCCGACTTCAGCTCCGTGGGCGCGCAAAAATTGCTGACCAAGACACCGGCCAAGACTGCCGGTCAGCGGGAGCTCGAGACTTGCTACACCGAGTACCAGAGCCAGCTCGAGCGCTCCAATCTCCTTGACTATGATGACCTCCTAGTCCGCTGTGTTGAGCTGCTCCGAAAGTTCCCCTCTTGCGTGTCTAACGTAAAGACGGTTCTCATCGACGAGTACCAGGACACCAACGGGGTGCAGTACGAGCTCATGAAGCTGCTCGCCCAGAAACACGGCCGAATCACTGTTGTGGGTGACCCAGACCAGAGCATCTACGGGTGGCGGTCTGCCGAGATTAGGAATCTGTGGCGCCTGCTCGAGGACTACCCTGGCGCCGCCGAGATATCGCTCGAGGAGAACTACCGCTCGTCCCAGTCCATCGTCACCCTGTCGCTTCTCGTGATACAGCAGGACGAGAAGCGATACAAAAAGGCATTGAAGCCCGTGCACAACAAGGGGTCGCGCCCGGTCCTGCGGAGGCTCAAAAACGCCTCTACCGAGGCCGAATGGATTGTCTCGGAGATACGGAGGGCCATTCTCATGTCGGGCGGGATGCTAACTCATAACGACGTGGCTGTGCTGCTGCGCTCTGCGGCCTTGTCTCGACACGTCGAGAGTGCCCTGGGAAAAGCCGGCGTTGCCTACCGCATGGTAGGCGGCTTCAAGTTTTACGATCGTGCAGAGATCAAAACGGTCCTGGACTATCTCCGCGTCATACACCAACCCGAGAATAATGACGCGCTCGCCAGGATCATGAACGTCCCCCGGCGGGGCATCGGGGAGGGAACCGTCAAGTCCCTAATCGATGAAGCTGAGAAGTCCTCATTGAGCCTCTGGTCCTTGCTGGTTAAGCATTGCCGCGGAGATCGCGCAGCCAAAACAAAAATCTCAAAACATGCCGAGCAGAAAATCAGTGGCGGTCTGCTCCGCCTTCTTGATAGTGTGAGGAAGCGGATTGAGCAGGCCGCCAACGACTCCAGTCAATTTGGGCTTGTCGAGATAATCCAGCAGCTACTGGAGGCTCTTAGCTTCCAAAAGGTGTTGCAGGAGACTCACCCCGACGACCATGAGCAGAGATGGGCGAATGTGCAAGAATTCATCAGCCTCGCTAACGACTTTGTTCGAGATCTTGGTCAGAACGTGGATGACTATCTCCCAGAGATTGATGGCGTCCAGCAGACCAAGGATGTCGATGCTCTGCCCAGGTTTCTAGCGAATGTTTCCCTCGCGTCTGATGCCCAGACCAAGGGCGACGACCAGGATAACAAGCCTCTTGTGACTCTCTCGACCATCCACGCAGCCAAGGGTCTTGAATGGCCTATCGTCTTCGTCCCGGCGGTTTATAACGGCTCGATCCCCCACATGCGGTCCGAAGACAACGACGAGGAGCGACGGCTGCTTTATGTGGCCATGACAAGAGCCCAAGCCCTGCTCCACCTCAGCTGCCCGCTTTATAGCTCAAATAGCAACGGCGAGCGGAATGAGTTGTCGCCCTTTGTCAAACCTGTGGCCGCTGCTTTCGCCAAGAAAGGGCCCTGTTTCGACCGGCCAGTGATGAGTGAGATTGCTCGCATTCTCGAGCGACAGCTGCCTGCCGAGCAGTCCATTTATAAGGGTATGCCGGCCATGTTCAGCACCGAAGACAGCTTGTTCCCTCTCGACCCTGAGGAGACCCGGGAAATCCCGGCTGGCGGAGCTGCGCGCGGTGGAAGTAATGTTTCCGCCGATGCATCGCGCCCGAAACGACCTAGACTTTATGGCCCACCGCCTGCCCAAGATACCAGCGAAGAACCTGCCTGGCATAAGGAGTACGCGACCACTATGGAGCAGTCGTCTGGTTTTACCGTGTCATCGCTCCCTGGCTTCGTCAGTGCAGGGACCCATCAAGTCGCTCTTGCTGCTGCCAACGCGGCAGCTGAAGCTAGCAGAAAGGCCGGGAAACATGTAAGACCATCAACCAACAAGCGACCGGCGGATCAGAAGAGTATTGTCGGTTTTATAAGAACAAACTCTTCCTCCGCTGGTCCAGCGGCTCTACGCGTCCAGGAAACGACCGCGATTACAGCCACAGGTCGATTAGCAAGGCCAAACTATAACCCAACAACGCACAACTCGGGTGGGGCTCAGCGTGCCAGTGACAACTTAACGAGGCTGGCAATAGAGCCAGAACTTGTCGGACGCAAGCTGGGAGCCGGAAAGCTTCTAACACGCCCAGTGCGACCTGACGATGGAGTTGGCCAGAACGAGGTTGGCAGGCGGAAGGAGTACCATTGCTTCTCCAGCTCGCCGACAAAACCTGTTCCCGTAGAGAAGGGCTCTGAGGCCGTTGGAGAGACGAACGAGAACGAGCCCCCTCCTGAGCCAACTCGAGCGGCGGCCTGCCTGCATGCTACGACGTACAACATGCCCAAAGGACTTGGCGGCGGGCTTAGAAGGACCGTCGGATTGAGTCGAGACAGCATTGCGCCCATGGCCAAGCTCAGGAAACCGTTCAAGCCTTTGACGATTAGCCGACCGTGAACCTGTACCCGCCACACATGGTCCTCGAGAGTTTTGGGCCGAGTAGTGTTTTGGGGTTGGAAGAGGGCTAAAGGGGCGGTCAGGCGGCATTGTAGCTAAACTCCTTTTGCCCTGGGAATAGATACCATGAAGTCTTGCTCCCGATGGACCAAAAAACCCGGCCGGCCGTTATGTGCAATATTCCAACTGAGATTGTGATGTGAGTTTACGAAACACCGTGGTTAGTGGATCATGTGTTGTTACATTACTCAATAGGGATTCAAGTTTCCACGTCGAGCTTAGGAGGCGGGAGGAACCGGGTGCTGCGCCTGGGGCCGTGTTCGCGATTCACTTATGCTACCTTAGGTAGGGCTGGTTGGCCGGTTGTTGGACGGACCAATACGACGTCTTCGCATTGTATGTACGTAATGAGATTGAGCCGACAGTCAAACCGTCGTAAAGAGACCACATGAAAGCTCAAAGCCGTAATATCTCTTTCTTCAAACCCTCCAGCATAGAAACTTAGTATTCGACATTCATTTTCTAGTTTATTGTCTGCCTACTTTACGACCAGCACTTTAAACATTTACAGCGCGCTCATGAAATCGTGACAACCTCGGCAATAACATAAACACACAACACAGCCGCTGCTATTACCACCGTTGCGCCCCAAAACATCATCACACTTCATCCCATCTAGGTACCTACCTACCTACCCGCCAACATGGCGGCCGTAATAGTTGCCACCCGGCGAATTCTCAGCCCCACCACCACCGCCTCGTCTGCCCTCCGAGCATCGTGGCAACCGCAGCAGTCGTCGGCAGCAACAGCCAGTGGACGGACAGCGGCGCGCTTCTTAACATCGAGCGTGTTCCGCACCAGGGACAACAACAGCAACAATAATCCAAACCCCGACCCCAAGCCGGCGCCACCCCACACGAACCAGAACCCATCGTATCCCAAGTTCAACCTCAGAGAAATCGTGCCGAACCCGCGGGTTCGCCGGTGGCTAGTCGCCGGGCTCGTCGCCATGGCGCTGCTGGAGCTGTCGGCGTGGGTCAAGTTCTATCCCAAGATCATGGGCGGGAAAGGAGGGGACGGTTCGTCTCCTGCTGGCAGTGGAGGGAATAGTAGCTCGTCAGCGTAGGGGGGGGTTGAGTGGAGAGAGAAAAATAAGGCAAGAGAGGGAGAGCCATGTTGTGCTCTCTGTTCTGCTGGTAGAGGTCATCGAATCGATTAACACGCCACTCACCCGTCACTATCGCTATTACAAATGATTGGCAACAAGGCTAGGAAATACAGAGAAACGCCTGACAACACACACAATATACACACCACACACTATACGCACCACACCACACCACACACACATATAGATATATATACATGTACTACTACCATTATCCCTTATATGTATAACAGAAACACACACTACTCAGCTAGCGCATCCGTACCTAGTAAAACAAGAGCCAGGCACCTCCAATCATGTCAAGACTTAATTGACTGTCAAATGGTCGCTTTACCAATTATATCGCCATTCTTCCACTATTCTCGCAGAAGAAGGCCCCTGAGAAAAACCATGATCCCATCTCCTATCTCTTCAAGTGTGCTACCTATGTGCGTGCTATGTATATCTCAACGAGACCGACTATAGTATGTCGTAAACCTTCCCCCCCCTTTCTTCAAACCCACCAACCATATACACAAGCACACACACCATTCGTTCCAAAATCCAGATACTTTGTTGCCCTCCGCCAGCCAACCACGTACCATATGTAGGCATTCATAACTCAACTGCCGTTCCTTAAATACGCATGGCCAGACTGTCAACTCCAGTCTAAATCCGACAGACGGCATGATGACCAGCTCGACAAAGCCAGAGGGACCAGAAGAAGCCAGAGGGACCAGAAGAAGCCAGAGGCGAGCCGCAGATTCAATTGGTCGTACATACATGTCTAAAGCTAACCAGCGCGTACGTCTGTCCCTACGTACGTGCTGCGAACAACACCTTGGGTCTTAATTTTGGATGCGCCGTCAATCTCAGAGACGAGAACAGCAGAGGAGGACGGCTAAGTTGTGTTTTACATACGTAAATAAAGCGTGTAAGGCCAAAAATTGCCCTGCTGATCGACAGGTTGTATTAAATAAAATAATTGTCAAAAGAGAAGAAAATAGCCCCTGGCGCCCAAACAAACTCCCATATTTTCGTGACCGGTAATGGCCTATTGTACCCTCATAAGCCTGCAATGGTGACGACGACTAGCCTATAGCCTTAGCTCCCTCACAATCTGCTCTGCCATGGTCTTGTAGTTCCATGTGTTGCCCGCCACCCGCTTAAACTGAACGCCGTGCAGGCTTACGATTGGAACCTTTACTATCAAAATCTCGAACTTGATCTCCCCGTCCGCCACTGTCGGCTCCGGCTGGCTGGGGTCGTCGGCAAGACTAGGCGAGTGTCGGCAGCTGAACCCTCCCCTGATCTCGGTGTAATCGACTCCAATCTGTTTTAACACGCGCTTGATGTCGGCCCGTATCTCCAAAAGCGGCTTCGTCGACGTCGTCGACACGCTGAAGATTCCTTTCAGATAGACGGGCTTGGCAAGATCCGGATCCTGCTCTAGCCTCTCGTGCGAACCCCCGCTGGTCTCACCCTCGCCGTCGCCGTCGCCGTCGCCGCCTAGCTCAGCGTCAGTTTCTTCCTTTACCGGCTGTTGCTCGCGCTCCGCTTCTCGCCTGGCTCTCCGCGCCTGGATGCTCTCTCTGCGCGCATGCCCGAGCGATTTGGCCCGCATAGAGACAGAACCCCGTATCAACGTGTTTGGTTTGCTCTCTGTAGGCGTAGTTGGCGGGGGCGGCTCCTTCCGCCTGTCGCGCGTGCTAAGCCTCCGGAAAATACCAGCTGCTGTACTTTCCTTCTTGACAGGTATCATGTCAGGCGACAGGAGCCCATTCTTGACGGGCTCTCGAGCTTGATCCTCGCTGTGGGATCTCGCCCTCTGCCTGGTCCGGCCTTCTGTAACATGCGTAGGTTGCGGTGGAACAATCTCGGCCAGGGAATGCTTCTCCCTGGGTCGCGCAATGGGCGAAGGTGGGACCGGGGGCGCCTCGCTTTGCTGTGGAGATGAAGGCTGATGTGCCTTGGAAGGCTGCTGGGGCTCTTTCCTCTCGCGCTCCAGCTTCTCCCGGACGAGGTAGTAGATCGAGATCATAGGGTCGAACGCGTTCAGAGGATCGTCGCCAATACTCAGACCCTCGGAGCTCGTATTTGTCAAAGTCTCTTTGCTGGTGACAGAATTTCTCCTCTTGTAAAAATCAAAACCAAAGCCACGTCGCTTTTCGGCATCCCTTTGGGTAGGCTGCGGTATGTCTCTTTCTCTCTCGAGGCGACGGACGGCCGCTTGGTACTTGGGCGACTTGATTTTCCTGGTTAACTCGTCGCGGATATACTCTGGGGGTCCAAACTTGAACCCGGTCATACGGTCGATGACCTCGGCGTCTAGTGGCAGTGCCAAGGGCTCACGATGTGGCAAATAGTTATCAGGCGGCGCGCCGTAGCCTTTCAGCATCCAGGGGTGGTTCATGACCTCGTACATAGTGGCGCGTTGCTTCGGATCCGTCACTAGCATCCGAGAAATCAAGTTCTTGCATTCTACGGACGAGGTTAGCGCAGTCTCGGGAGATAGGCACACAGGTACAAGGCTACCCACCAGACGTGAGCCAATTGGGATAGTCAACTGCGCCCTTCTTGATCTTTTGGTGAAGGGCGGGCATGTACTGGTCGTCAAACGGCACCTTGCCGCAAACCAGGACGAAGAGGACGACACCAAAGCTCCACACGTCAACCTCGGGACCCGTGTAGGGCTTTGCTTGGAGGAGTTCCGGGGCAGCGAAATAAAGACTTCCACAGTATGTCTTGAGCTTCCTGTCATCCTCCGGGGAGAAGAGGTTGCTGAGACCAAAGTCAATGATCTTGATGTCGCCCGTCTTGCTGATGAGGATATTCTCAATCTTCAGGTCGCGATGGACAATGCTATTCCGGTGGCAGTAGTCGACGGCACTCGCTATTTGCCTGGCAAACTTGCGGGCCTGCTTCTCCTTCAGTTTCCCGTGAGAGATGATGTAGTCAAGCATCTGCCCTCCATTCACATATTCAAAGAGCATGTACCAATGCCACCGCGTGCGCAGGTTGTCGTGGAGCGCGCAGATGTATTTATGGCTCAGTAGGCTGACAATGGCAGCCTCGCGGGCGTTGCGGTCCTCGCGAGCGCTGTCTGTCTTTTCTCGCTCTTCTCTAGTCTGACGACCGTCGTCGGGGGTCACCCTCTCGATGATCTTGCATGCCACCTGTTGCGAGGCAAATAATGCCAAGTTAGTTTCTGGCAGAGTTATAACGATTACAGGGTGTATAGAGAAGGGCGGCTTGCAAATTCGTTGGTGCCTTCCTTCTTGGCCAGCTTCACCTTGCCCATGCTGCCCTGGCCGATTGTCTTCATGAAGGTGTAATTTCCAGAGGGGGCGGGGATGGCAGCGCGATATCTGTGCTTGGGCTGGCGATGCCCCCCTGCGGAATCGCGATGGTCGTCTGGCGCGACCGCCATGTTGGGTGCAGGCGCGGGCGTGGGCGAGTGGCCAGCCATTTCGGGCTGCGGTGCGTGTCGCGGCGACGTAGCGGCTGACGTTGACCTCTGGCTGCTGCGGCGGTGGGGGCGCGACGACTCGGCTTTTGAGGACGACTCTGACCTTGGCAATGGTTCGGCTCGGGATGATGTGGGTGGACGCCGCGTGCGAACTGATTGCGAGCGCATAGGCCCGTCGGCACCAGCAGGGACAGACGTGGCCATGGAGATGTTTGATCTGGATGCGAGGGAAACAGGACTCGGATGGCTGGCGCCGACTCGCAGCGCTATGGGCAAGCGCGGGAAATGAGGCTCTCAAGGGGGGGATCAGCCTCAGACGCGGACCACCAGCAACGACGAAACGTAAAACGGATGCAAAGCAGGGCACGCGGGCCACTGTCTGTCGAGTAGCGGCGACGTCACAGTTCGACTCGACACGAACACGCCCGCGGTTGCGTGTCGGCGGCGAGTATGGAAGCGGAAGTAAGAATGCGGCGGGGGATGTTTAGCTTTAGTGGTCAAACTCGGTGGTAGCACTGAGATTGAGAAATGGGCCGGGCGATGGAAATCGGGATGGGAGAAGGTTGACGACGTCCCCGGGGGAGGAGCTTTGGCGGACAAGGAACCTGGAACCTTGGGGGGTTGGCTTTTTGGGCGGGGAGGGGAGCCAGGGGAGGGAGCTGCTCTCTTGGGTTCAATCCAATTGCGAATGCCCGCGCCCAGAGTGGGAGGTTGCAGCTTGCAGCGTGTCGCTCCCAGGTTGGGCAGTTGACGGAGCTTTTAGTGAGCTGGACGGGTGAGAATTCGCTGCGGTGTTTGGGCTGACCCCTAGCCCACCTCAGGTAGTGTGTCCTGGCGTGAGTGACTAACGGCTTGCAGGTGAACTTACCTGTATTTCGAACCCCTCTCACAGATTGGACGGCTCAGGCTCGAAAGGCGAAATGGGCAACCTAAGAGAGGTTCGGTACTAGACCTTTCATTGCTTTTCGAGTTTGTGATAAGCCACGCCAGCCCCTCGTTTGTTCTCTTCGACTCTTTCGGGGTTCCAGTCTCTCCCATCGCCCTCGTATAGGTCGTGCAGGCAATGGATACCTTACAGCGAAATGGAGTCACAGAAAGCCGTCATTTCATTCACACATGGATTCTTCAGCTCCACCCCTCTGGTGATATCAGCAGCGGGGGCTGACGGTACCAATTGCATGGCCCCGCTCCCCGGACCTGCTGGAGCCTGACCGGGTCTGGGAAGCACTGCGTGGCCGTCTGCACTGCAATGACTTTTTATCTCATGTGTGAAATCAAGCTCGGGTCGAGACACAAGGCCAAGGTTGTAGGCACTGTGACGGAAGGGGTGAGGCCATGCTCTCCAAGACCCGCACTCAATAAATACCTAATTACTGCCCGGTACGCATTCCGCGCCTCAGGTCATTAAATGCCCCTTAAACAACCCCATTCACAATATTTCATCCTCCCTCTCAGGTCATGATTGCGAGCGAGCTCTACTAAACACCCTCGGCAGCATGTCAGGTCTCGCTTGATGGCAATCCGGGAAGCAAAAATCGCTCTCCATCACAGGTCAGGCCAGCTAGCCCAGATGGGTGGCCCCTTCCTCGGTCGGTCCCATACCACTACGCCCGTACATACCCCGTACCTCTGTGCAGTCCCTCGAGAGGCGGAATGGCTGCATAGTGCGCTTCAGGGCTGGCTTTCCGGCTGCGAGCAGTCCTCTTATTGGTGTGGTCCTCTTATTGGTGTGGTCGATACAGGTGTTGGTCAGACAGCCACGGCCCCCAAGCTAACAGACGTTACCTGAGCAGACTGTCAGTTCACCGTCGGTAAATATTAGTTTCAAACGGCTTCGCTTCAAACCTAAGCATTCAGAAGCGCGGGATGTACTCTGTGCCCACGTAGTAAAGGTATCCAAGCATAACTTGATACCCTCCCTACCTGGTTGGCACATGCCTGATGCACACACAAGGTCGGTTGGACCTCGTCTGTCGCCACCGGCTAAGCAAGCGTCGTCTATCATTGGCCCCTTTGGACTCTTCATCAAGCGCGATGCGGCCGAAAGAGAAAAGTATGTGTGGGCTGGCCAGAAGATAGGCCCAGTCGGAAGGAACTACCAGGCAGACGAACCTAGGCTTTCTGTAGCCTGTTGTACGACAGGTCGGGGTAGCATCATCTCTCGAAAAGAAAGCCAAATGCTCTCGATAAGCGACACATCCTAGCCAGGTGTCAGCATCTTAATAGCTCATCGCATGTTTTCTGTGTGCATGCATCTCGACTGCATTGGTCAATGGCAAGGCAAGCTTTGATCATGAGGCTAGAACTGAGTCGTCTAGGGGTGCGAGGGGGTCTGTTTCCAAGCTGGCCCCCATACATCATTCACGACTTTTCCTTCCGCATGTACGAAGAAGATAGGCTAGTCATTGAGGCAGTTAAGTCCCACGGTGGTGATGCAAACTTCCCTGCATTGACGATCCACGGGTGCAGCAGCTCTCCCCCTCCAAATGATATCATGATGCTGATCGTGAGGGCGCAGATGTCTCAAACCAGCTTGTGGGGGGAATCCTGCTTCAATGCAGGAAGCGCGGTTTCATCTCGGGCAGCTTACTGGCCCAATGGTAATGGCATCTGCCGAGTCGACTCTTGAAAACTTTGAGAGTTTCCATGGTCAAGCTCCCGTCGGTCCAGCATCGCCTTGAGATCTCTGGGGCTGGAAAATGTCACCGAAGCCAGGTCGCCCGGGCCACGGTGCAGTCTTTCAATAGAGTCTGGTAAATAAAATCTGGCTAGGAAAAGGATTTTCTAGTGTAGGAGGGAGATAGAGCTATTGAATTCTATAACAGCAGTTCCAACAGCTGGGCTACCTCAAACCTTTACTTGGGGCAAAGGTACAGATACCGAGTTCATTTGGGGAGTCCTCCGCCACTTCGATAACCGTTCACGAGTTGGACTGAGGTATCCATAGCTTCCTACGAATAATATATTCACCATACGCGATGAACGAAATGCGGGATAAATGCAATTCCTCTGTTCATCTAACACCTACTTGGTCGGGAATCGTTTACAATTAACCTAGATAGTATCCATAGAAAGATGAGGGTGTTTCGGGCATACATCTGCCTCTGTCCCGACTGTGGAAAGCTGGCGGAGCTGGATAGCGGAGCCTCTTCTCCAACTTTATCCCCGCAATGACCAGAGACTGGCAGAATGTGCCCCACCACTACACAAAAGCAACCCGACCGCCTTCCCTCCCGAACCTGAGCCTTGTAAACTAGTCTAATTTTAGCGGACACGGCGGCGATGCCGACTTGCGCTGCACTTGTTAGACTTCTGATGCATCGCGGTTAATCTAGATCTTTTGCTCAGAGACTAACCGCCCCACCCGGTCCCCATGTCCTACAAGAGGTCGCGAGGCACATTTGAGGCCGACATTGCTGCGCAACAATCGCCTTATGTTATTTTCGGAACTGCCCTCCCTCCTCTCGATCCCGAGGTCCGCGACGATGGCTCCTTCGTGCCCGTTTGGAAGCAGGAGGTGAGGGACGAGAGGGGGAGGAAGCGCCTCCACGGCGCTTTCACTGGAGGATGGAGTGCAGGGTAAGATGCTATTTCCCCCTCGCCGATAACCATCATAACGGCCGGCTAACGGATTTCTCAGCTACTTCAACACAGTTGGCTCCAAGGAAGGATGGACGCCCTCAACCTTTGTTTCCTCGCGTACGAACCGCCACAAGGATGACTCTCACGCTGCCAGCCAGCGGCCCGAAGATTTTATGGATGACGAGGATCTCGCAGATGCCGAAGAATCCAAGAGAATCCAGGCCACAGCCGCCTTTACTGGCCTTGGCTCTACCGAGGATGATGCCTCGAGAGCGAGCAGCCTCATGGGCCTTTCTCGTACCGAGAGCGAAACCATGGGTACAAAGCTCCTGAGGAAAATGGGCTGGAAGGAAGGTCAAGGAGTTGGCCCAAAGATCCGAAGGACAGCTCGCCTCGAGCTGCGCAACGACGTAGACGACAAGAGCAATACCTTTCTTTTCGCACCCGAGAATATTCCCATGATTGGCTTCACGCGCAAATTGGATCGCAAAGGACTCGGGTATGCCGGGGAGTCTACTTTACTGCCAGCTGGCTTCTCTACCAAGACCAGCGGCTTCAGTGCTGTCCATGACGACATCGACGCCGACGAAAACATTGACGATCTTAAACAATCACGATTCTCCCTTGACCTGGGCCGCATGAAAAAAGAAAGAGGCCGGGGTGGCATCGGAATAGGCGTCTTAAATGACACCGGATCCGATGACGAAGACCACTACGAGATTGGCCCACGAATATCATATAACCGAATAATAGGGGGTGACCGAAAGAAAAAGAAGGCGGCAGCCCCAACTAACTCAGCTGTCAAAACAAGGCCAACATTCATTCCCAAGAAAGCAGGCCTGGGGAGAGTGGCGCTTGGTGTGCGCAAATGCCACGACGGACGGCTCCCCTTGGATGGCTTTGTGTTTGGCAAAGAGGCCGACACGTTGTTGTCCACTGTTGGTTCAGAACAAAAATACCCGCCCCCTGAGATTCCGGCGGACTGGGTTTCTGCAAAGGTGCCTAAATTACAAAGTGACCCCAACACTTATGTATCGACTGCAGATGCGGCCAAAGCCTCGACTCTTGATCCCAAATCCCGCGCAGCGCTTCTCGGCGAAAAACAGCTTCCTAGCAAATCTATCTTTGACTTCCTGTCTCCAGCCGCCCGGGACCATCTAGCTTCTGTCACTGGCAAGACTGACCTACCGGAAGCTCGAGGGGGGGTCCCAGCGGGCTATGCGCTCACCGAAGCAGACCGCCTGCAGAATCTGATAAACCAAATCCCAAAGATGGATATGGAGACCGCCATTGCTGCTATTTCCCGTGGTGTAGGTGTCGGCGCTCCATATGCGGAAGACGAACAGAAGCGGTCAAGATACCGGGCGTATCTCGAGTACCAGGCCGGTTTCAACAAGAATCCTCCACAGAAACCAAGTCAAACTAGTACCGATGATTGGCTAAGAGAACTAAAAGAGTTCTTCGAATGCGCGAGGATATTTAAGCCCATGACAGGCCTGATGGCTAGCCGGTTCACAACATCGTCCTCCTCCACGAAACTCACAGCCGGCTCGCGAGACGACGTGGGAGATAAGGACGTGCTTTCTAGGCCTCCCGCAAAGCCGCAAGACCCAGCAGAAGAAGCCGCAAAGCTTGGCATGTTTGGGCCTTTGACAAGGTCTGTTGTCAATTTTTATCCCACGAGGCTGCTATGCAAGAGGTTCAACGTCAGACCGCCGGCGCATGTTCAGCCAGACCAAGAACCAGCGGGCTCTGGCAGAGCCAGAAACGAGGCCCCGCCTCACAACGACGCGTATGATGAGCAAAGGGCCTCCCGCCCGGAGCTCCTGGCTTTGAAATTCGGATCAGGTTCATACTCGAGCCCTCCAGCTGCAGTCCTCAGAGACCCGGCGTCTGTTACAGAAGCCGAGGCCATTGTCCAAAAGCAAGCCGACAAACCTGCCATTGACTCAACAAGAAATGATGCTTTGGAGGGCGCAAAGGCCGGGGAAGACGTTTTCAAGGCTATTTTTGGAGATAGCGACGATGACGATTGAACGGCTATAAAACAATGAAGCAAAGCAACCATTTCCGAAAGTCGACACTGAAGTTGCTCACGACAAAAACCATCGAGTATCTTGTCGCACTGTAAAACTTTTTGAGCATACTGTATTAAATGTAGAATATTTTGAGGGCAGAGAGCCTAACGACCTCACAAACAGAAGCAAACGCCCCGCTTGTAAAACTCAACGTCCCGAGAATACGGATAGCAGACCTGCGGCGGCTCTTCGCATCTGGATGAAGGTGCTCTGTTGAGGTGAAGTGAAGAGAGTCTGGACTGTGCATATGTGCAATTGTGCATGAGCCGCTAAGCTGAGTCGGCAGTGGTGATTGGATCAAACCCCCTGGCGGTTAGGTGCTTGGAACCACAGTGGGGCCCGGGGAATGGGCCACCCATTGGTGTGGTCCAGGTTTTGACGCCGGGCGCTGTAAATGTTCCCACTCCCGTCCAGATTGGATTCCTTAGGTAGGTCCACATCCTATTGTGGGAGATCTTAACAACCTAGACCAGTGGAACACCCCCCGTTCAAGTCGCCCCATTGCTCTCGGCTTCGTGCATGCTTGTTGTATTCATTGAACTGCCAAGTGGTCCTCGAACGTGCGCACCCTCCAGCCAATGTGTTGAGTCGAGCTTCGGGACAGCATTTGGTCGGGTTTTTCGGTCTGATTGTCAGGAATTCATCCGTATTTTGGCTGGCCTTGTCCACCAACCGAACCGCGAACCGGCCGTCAATCACCCGCGCTTCTCTGGTCTCGCGGCCTCGTGCCCCCCTGATCAACGCAATTCGCCGGCCATTTGCCTTGTTTTCTCCCCGACTAGACGTGACGCACCCATCGAAAGCGACAGCAAACAGCATCGGCGCCGGTAGCCACCGTACGGGTTTGGCTTCGAGAGCGTTGTATAGGCAGATCCATCGCAGGCCCACCGCCAACCGTCATCACGTCGTCCGATTCGCAAGAAACCCGTTGCTCGTCCTCCGGGCCCATCCCCCCGAACAAAGGCAGCGTCGAGGAAGAAGCAGGAATCACGGAGCCGTTAGAGATTGCACCGCAGACGGACCTGGTCTGTTTCACCGCCGAGGTCGACGACGAGATTCTCCTCAATCCCGCCGTTGCTCAAGCCTCCGCTCCGGGCCAACGCTCTCCACCTCCCCAGTACCCAGCGTCAGAGGCATCAGCGAGCACTTCCCCATTCCGCCCGCCGCCGCCTTTTTCCTCGCTCTTTACTAATCCAGATTCCGGGTCTGCGAGCTTCGTTCTCGAGCCGTTCGAGCCCTATAAGCAAGCCGTCGCCGGCGACGACGACGTCGCCTCAACTTCTGCGGCCGCGCCAGCGTATGCGCCGTCTGAGCAGGTAGCCCCCAGTTCCTCGAACAGTGCCTTTGCGGCCTCGCAGTTCCAGGACGAGACAAAACGCGCCCTTCCTCAGGATACCAAGGGCGAGTCATCGCGCAGCAAGGACGACGAGGCAGAACCACCACCCGCATATTCGGAGGGATATAGTCCGCTCCAGTCATTTTCATACCTCATGGCTGCCGCAGGTGGCTCGTCGAGTATTATTACTCAGGTCCAACAAGGCGGGCCGCCCATTAATAGCCTTGGAGGTAAGCCAGACCTCGCAGTCCACGACCAGTGCCAGTTGCTAACGGGATAGCAGATGTCGGCGCCGATGAGACGATCACGATGGACCTCCGGTAAGATATCACCACTCGGATTCTGAAGAAGGCCGACACAGCTAACCACCGTTTGATAGGGGCACGCGCTTTGCTCTGTCAAGAGATGAGCTGCTGACACTACCCGAGTTCGTCCTGCTTTCGCTGTTCCCGAACGGGCTTTTTCCCGAAGGGCACATGGGTGGCTTTATAGAGGGGGATGCCATACAAGTTGATGTAGGTCACATCTAATCAAACCCCGGCGCGACGTCGACGGTGACTGCCAGTTGTCACAGGGCGCATGGCTTATAGGCACTTACACCTTCACAGTACGATCCGGCATCTCTCCAGTACATGCTCGACTTTTTCCGGACGGTAGCGCAAAGTATTCCAGCAGAGGCAAGCGCCAGCCACGAGGCCGACGGGGTGGTACCCCTAGACCCCGGAGCAAGGGACGACAGCAGCAAACGGGCGGGTATCATCGTGCTGCGCGAGGACCTCGATTTCTACGTCATCCCTCACAAGAAGGATATGCGCCAGGCCGAGACGATTGAGGTTAAGAGGGCTGCCGCCAAGGCGCTCTTAAAGCAGAACGGCATCTTCAGCGGGCTGAAGAGGAGCGACGAGCCGGGCACTACGGAAGCCCACCTTATCGAGATGCTGACAGCCGGGTGAGCTTTTCCGACTTTTACTCTTTCCCTGGCTAGCGACGTTATACTTCGTTGATTTAGCGTACTGATTTGGCGGTATTTTAGCGGCTTCAATCACGATGACCGCTGGGGTCACCGTGCCGGCGAACCCAGCAAGGCCGTCATCTGCAGTCTCGCACTTGCCCGTCTCCGCTCCGATATTCGCGGCAACGAGATGGGCAGCAACGCTGTAGGCATGGCGCAGAAGCTGCTGCTGTTTTGGCGCAAGCCGGCACGCCGCTGCTGGTGGGAGGGCGTTGAGCTGGACAATGTCGAGGGCGTGGAGGGCAAGAAACTCAAGGTCTGGATTCGTAGGGTGTGGACGCTCGAGATGAGCGTCATAGGCTTGCGCTAATGGTCGGGCGTCTCTCCCTTTGTTTGTCTTTTGTCCATTTTGAAAAGACGGAGAGAGCTGTCGGGAAATGGCTAAGGGTCCAAATGTCATTTCTCTTTTCCCTTCTGCGGCAAAAGCAGGAGATCTTGAGAGATGATGGCACGACCCTGAAGGCCCACGAAATTTGTCGGTGTGTAGATGGTATACTGGCCAGCTTTTCTCCGGCGAGGCGCGGAGCTATGTTGTCTCTCTTCGTCCCATTTTTGCTCTTTCGTTTAGGAATGGAGGGTGTGGGAAGTTCGAGGAGTTTTCCAGTTTCTCCCGTTTCCCTATTTTCCCCCCCTTAAGTATTTGCTTAGTCCCCCCTTCTTCTTTGTATAGCCAGCTTTCTACTAGGTTGCTTTTGCACGGCAAACAGATACACATACTGCGAAAAAGGTCTCTAAATAATCAATCTTTCCTTCGATCTTTTTAAGTCGCCTTGCCCAACTGCCAATGGAGTTGGTGATTTGTCTGTTATAAATGGATGGATATACAGGTACCAATGCAACTTCTTTCTGGGTCATTCGGAAGGAAACTGGTTTACGCAAAGATGGCAACAAATCTACCTATGTGCCTCCGTTATCTTATCCCTTGTGGCGATGTCTCGTGTGCACTGGCGCTCGACGATGTGAAGGGGCACATATGTATTCCGTATGGGGTTGGGGTTTTGTTTGGTAATACTCCACGAACAGAGAAAGCGGTGTTCTGGCCGCCGAATTCGGCTGGCGCATGCTGCTATTTTAGGCGGCTTTAACTAAGCGCATAAGGTTTTTCACAAGTATGCGGCCTCTCCATACTCGTGAAGACCCCACTCTCCATAGCCAGCATCGCCGTCAATCGCACCTAGCAACCACGTGAACGCCGCGCGCCGCATTCTTTATTTACTGCGGTTGCGAGCAAAAGTTTTATACCCATTATGGTGGTGTGGCATTTGGGGGCTCACCCTGACCCGGCCCATGTCGGTACCCGTACATGTGCTAAAACTTACCCATAATACGTAGTACCTCCCTCTTTCCTTCCCCAAAACAATCAAATGACAACCCTCAACATAGCTCTCAGCAAGGAACAGATCCAGATCATCGCGAGGAACCCACTCGACGAGTCGTTGAAGGACATTCGCGTCAAATTACGTGATTGCGCCGATGCGCCAACGGATGGCCTTCTTAGTATGCTCATCCTCTCCCCAGCGGCCTTCAACCTCCTAGCACCAGACGGAAGCGGCAATGTTGCGGGAAAACTATTGGAAATAAAGCAGACTTTACGAGATGGCTCACTTGAACCTGAGGAACTCAGGCCACTCCTTGACGTTGTCAATTCTTCCGATGCCAATATATGGGCTGCTGTCATCCAGCTCATCCAAGATGTCCAGCCGCTGACACCCCGCCCTCGACCATCATCGCTACCTTCCTCGGGATGCCGGTTAAGACGAGCTCGAACCGACTCGACGACAGCGAAACGCGCGTCATTGTTGAGGGTGAACTCTTCCACGAGATCAAGGGATGCACCTTCCGCAGTGTGAAGGGGTTCTGGGACAAGTTCCTCAACCCGCAGCGTTGGCGCGAGGACCAGAACACAATGCTACGTGGGGTTATGTCTGCGCACGACGGGAAAAAGTGGACAGGATTCCCTTCTACGCCGGACGAACGACTAGTTTGGGACTGGTTTCGCTCGCTCGAGGAGCGCTTTCTGGGTGATACACCACACAAGCTCTATACGACCAGAACGGCGAACCAATTCGAGGAGCGGCAAGGCCAGATGGATCTCTTCTTCCAGATCCGGATGCCGTAGTCGAACGACAAATTCGAGTATAAGGAGGTTCTTGTAGTCGGAGAGCAGAAGACCTACGATACAGGCCGGTTCAAGGCGACGCTACTCCAGCTAACGCGCCATGTACGGGGAGTCTTTATCGACCAGCCGACGCGCCGCTTCGTCCAGGCCTTCTCACTTTGCGGCTGTACGATGGAGCTCTGGGTCTTCGATCGATCTGGGCCATACAGCTTGGGGCCTTCAACATCCACGAGGAGCCGGGGAAGTTTGCGCGCGCCCTTGTTGGGTACGCAACCATGAGCGACGACGAGATGGGCCTGGACACGTTCATCGAGCGGGATAATGCGGATCGCCACGTCACACTAGACGGTACCGGCGGCAAAGAGACGAAGATACAACTAGTAAAGGCGATGGTGAGGCAGCAAGCTATCGTATGTCGCGGAACCACGTGCTACAAGACGCAGGACGGGTATGTAGCCAAGTTCTCGTGGGTATCGGACAAGCGGAAGCTGGAGGTGGAACATCTAACGCTGGCAGAAGAGCGAGGAGTCGAGGGTGTGGCTAAGTTGGTGGCGCATCGACAAATTACGACGATCGCCGACCTACGGGACGGTCTGGTATTTCCGAACGCCCATCGGTTCCGGGACGATGGCGTAGCGGGTTCGAAGATATTAGGCTCCAAGCGCAAGTCATTATCCGACACCGCGGCGAGCTCGAAGACATCTAGCCACAAGCGCAAATCATCATCCGACTACACGTCTAATGCGTCCGGGCCCAAGCGGCGGCGATCTGGTAGCAAGTCAAGGCAGGTACAGGAGCTAGACGACCAGCTATCGATAGGCAAGAACAAACCGAGTCTATACATGGAAAGCGAGGAGCCGTGGGAGAACAGGATCTACTCCTGTCTAGTTATCTCGCCCGCGGGTCGCGTTATCAGCGACATTAGGAATATCAAGGAACTGCTGGAGGCGATGCGAGACGCGATCAAGGCGCACCGGTCTTTATATATAGCTGGCAATATCCTTCATCGCGATATTTCATCGAACAATATTATTATTACGGAGTCAAAGACGAAGAACGACTTCAAAGGCATGCTCATCGACCTTGATCTAGCCAAGGTCAGAGATAGCGGCCCGAGTGGCGCGCGGCACCAGACGGGTACGATACAGTTCATGGGGGTGGAGGTGCTACGCAAGGCGGATCATACTTATCGGCACGGCCTGGGGTCGTTCTTCTACGTCCTGCTATGGATGTGCGCACGTCAATCGTAGAGGAACGAGTTTGCGGGCCAAGAGCTGCCGCCTCAGGAGTCTTCTTCGGCGATGGATAATCAGCAGCTTCAAGTATATTGTAGCGACAAAGGTAGGTAATATGACGATGGATGGGCTCGAGGAGATTATGACCGAATTCCCTGAAGCCCTGGATGCTGTTGAGCCTCTCTGTCTGAGGATTTGGAAGCTTCTCTTTCCCCTGGACAAGGATGAACGTATGACTTTTGGAACGCCTGTGGGAGAGCCAGATCAACTGTATAGGTCTATTATAGCAGCATACGATGAGGCTATTAGCAAGCTATAGAGTTATGTTATTACTGAGCGAAAAGAGGACATGGAGTCGTGGGGTTAATGGAAGGGCCGCGCTAAACCAAATGAAGAGAAGTTGGGGAAGGCGCCTTTCCCAGAGCGTGTAGCATCGTGTTCTCTAATACTCAATAATTCGAACCAAGATGCGGGGACGGATATCTCCTCAGTGGCATTTCCATGTTCTCGGCATGACATCATTCGTTGGTTTCACGAGCAGCAACGAATTCCGAGAATTTCACTTGCGTGCGTACGTGATCTTCCTCCGCCAAGACAGCTGCTTGTAATGCCGATATAACGTACACCATGGTAGCTAACTAGGGAATTTTCGTTAGCACCGAGAATCAGGCAGACTTGAGAAAGTTAGGAACTTGTGAAATCGACCGCGCAGCTTTCCGTAACAAGAAATTAAGTAATCCTCGCAGACCACTGGCAGACTCTGGATGGCAGCGACGAGTTGGGTACTTGACAAACGAAAGAATGGCAAGAGTTTCACCGGGTTGCATGAAACACCAGATCTGCTTGGCCCTTTTCGGCTGCTTTGCAACCCGGTAGCCAATCGCCTGTCATTGGGATCGACGGCGACAGAAAGTTCCCATGTCGAGAACCGGCTCTCTTAAACCCGCGTACGTGGGATGGTAGTAGTAACCGGGAGGGTAAGGTACCTTAGTTTTACAGATTGACGACAATGCGTGACTGACCCCGGGCTTTCTTCTTCGACAACCATCTCCTCCCTCCCCTTTGTTTCACTGCGTCACCAACGCTCGTGGGTTGATCGATTAAAGGCTCGCTTGAGCACTACTTATTATCACCACAATAAATAAATAAATACCTTGGTAACCATCAGGTTCAATACTGTTTGTTGTGTTTGCGTGGTCCCCGGGATTTGGCTCAACATGTTCCGGCACGCTCGGCTAGCCGCGATAGCGGGCGCATCCTCGCTATGGGAGTGCTCCTGTAGCCTCTCCTGTATTCCGGGATTGCCTTTGCACAGCAGATCTCGCTGTCCGGCGCGGCGCCGTCTGATTGCCTAAATGTCCCGTCGTCGAAGGGCGCACCAGTGGTGGCAACTGGCTTCTCGGCGCAGTTGGCCGCCACCGGCCTCAGTGGGCCCCAGGGCCTCGTCCTCGACTCCAAGGGAGGGTGCGCTGCTGGTCGTGGAACAAGGAAAGGGCATCAAGCGTCTGACGCTGTCTGACAACGGGGGCTCGTGTCTGACTGTAGCCCAGACGACGACTTTAGTCCAAAACACGGATGTGAGTGAGACTACCTTGACGACGTGTACAACACGTCAACTGATGCCCAGGTCTACAACCTCTAGCTCACCCACAGCATTGAACTCTCGCAAGATGGAAAGACGCTGTTCGCATCCATCAGTAACGAGGTCTTTAGCTGGGCGTACGATGTTGACACGGCCTCGGTCAGCAGCCAGAGGACCATCATCCAGATCATGACCAACCCGGACCACATCTCACGCACCCTGCTGCTCTCCCGCAAGCAGCCCGATCTGCTGCTCGTGTCCCGCGGCAGCGGCGAGAAGATTGACGAGCTGGCCGCCCACGAGCCCAACGGCATCTCGCAGATCCGCGCCTTCAACCTCTCGGCCCTGCCCCAAGGCGCCGTCTACGACTACCCTAGCTAGGGCCGCAGCCTCGGCTGGGGCCTGCGCAACTCGGCCGGCGTCGCCGAGCACCCCGTCACGGGCGGCATCTACAGCGTCGAGAACAGCGCCGACCAGCTCTCCCGCTCCCAGACCGACATCCACCAGGACAACCCTGGCGAGGAGCTCAACTTCCACGGCTACCTCAACGGCACGGCCGAGGACGGCCAGGCCACCAACTACGGCTATCCCACCTGCTTCGCCCTGTGGAAGACGGACGGCTTCCCCGACCTAGCCAGCGGCATGCGCGTCGGCAGCCAGTTCGCCCTCGACCCCAAGGACGACGGCGCCTGCGCGAGCAACTACACCTCTCCGTGACTGACGTTCCAGGTACGTGTTTCTTTTCTTCTTTCTCTTCTTCGTGCAGTTACAATCCCAGCGATATAGATTCCAATTCTCAGAACTAACCCACCCCCCCTTTCAGGCCCACACTGCGCCGCTCGACATCAAGTTCAACGCCAACGGCACGCTCGCCTACGTGACGTTCCACGGCAGCTAGAACCGCGACGCGCCCGTGGGGTACAAGCTCTCGGTGATCAGCACCGCCGCCGTCGTCGACGTGCTCACCAACGCGGACACCACCGCCTGCCTGGGCGCGTGCTTCCGCCCCGTCGGCCTGGCTGTTGATGGCGATACTGGTCGCGTCTTCATGACCAGCGACTCAACCGGCGAGATCTACGCCGTTCAGCGGCTCCCCGGCGCCGGCGGACTAGCGGCGGGCCCGTCTAGCGGTGCCTCGGCTCGGCTCGGGCTGCTGTGGTTTGACGGTGGACTGCTGCCGCTTTTAGGGTGGACGTTGGTCGTGTCGGCTGTGCTGGGCGGGGGCGTCATGTTTGCGGTGCCTGTTTTTGGCTGAGACGTGGTTGTCTGTTTGTTTATCTAGGTATCTATCTTATCTGTTGGGTTGGTTTTGGTTTGATGTTTATTCTTTACGGACGAGCGATGATTGAAACGATGAGAAATGAAACAAAAACGACTGAGGGGATAGTGAGTACGAGTGAGGGTTGGTGTATCGGCATATCGTTTCGCCGAGGCTGGAGGTCATACAAAATAGACTCGATGACCTCCTGGTCTGTTAATTGCATACACTGTCTTAATGCCCTGTCTTTAATTCTACGTGAAAGGGCCTAGGGCAGAATCAACGGCAACGAGCTACCTAAGATGAGGCACCTATGGCCCACCCAATCGGCGACTCTTCCTATTGTGCTAAAGATGAAACTTGCCTATTGTCTATACCGAATGCGAAACACCTAGGTTCCTGTTGTTCTGCCTTGCTTCTATCATCCGATAAAATCTGAAACGACCGGCACTGCCTATTGAACATGAACCTGAAACACGTTCACACGCTCACATCTGCCATCGCAAGCCTCAAGCTCCAAGCTGTTGGCCCAAGTGACGACCAACCTAGAGTCGCGGGTCATGATGAGATCACAAGGATTAGGCGACTGGCTAGTCGGCGCCCGCCAGATGAAAGGCTCCAAAAGCAGAAGAAAACATAACATTGGGAGTCAATTCTTTATCTACTAAATAAAGCCCTGCAGGAAAAAGCCCGTAAACGCCCTCACCACACTCGCTTTGTAATAAAACTCGGCATGGCCATCGTTTTTTTCTTTTTTCGTCTTCAGGTCTCCCTCTCATGGTGGTGAAAATTACTCCTCAATGGTCTTGACGCACTCCCACTCGCCGCGCAGGTTCTCCTTCCACAGCGTCACCTTGTTGTCGGCGCCGCTGGCGGCCAGGACGTTGCCGCTCAGCGACCAGCTGACGCGCCAGACGGCCGCGTCGAACGGCAGCACCTTGTAGTTCCACTGGGTGGGGTTGGCCGGGTCGCTCGTCCAGATGCGCACTGTCTGGTCTTGCGACGCGCTGGCAATGTAGCTCTTCTGCAGCACCGTCGGGCTCCAGGCCACGTCGCGCACCCAGTTCGTGTGGCCTGTCAGCGGCTCCCGCTCGAGCTTGTAGGCCTTAGCCTGCGGGTCATAGACCCAGATCTTGAGCAGGTTGTCCGACCCGCCCGTGACGAAGCGCCGGTTGCCCGTCGAGCCCGGGCCCGGGTTGCTGCTGACGATGCTGCCGGGCATGGTGGCCGGGGCCCACGACACCGAGTTGACGCCGAGCCCGTGCGCCTGAAACAGGCTGTGATCCCAGCTGTTGTCCTTGAACTCGAGCACGCTGACGTGGCCGTCCGACGACGCGCACGCCAGCAGGCAGCCGGCCTCGTGCGGCGCCCACGACACAATGTTGACGCTGGCCTTGTGCAGTGCGAAGTCGAAGATGCGCTGCCAGCTCCCGCCCTGCTCGCGCCAGATCAGGACCTTGCCGTCGTAGCCCGCGCTCGCCAGGATGTTGCCGTACTTGGGATGCGCCCACGACACGCACCACACCGCGCCATCGTGACTACAGTTTCCCCACGCTCGGCCACTAGTCAGCACAACCTGTTCTTGTCCTTGATCGCCAAGGCAGCGGGCATTCATTCATATCCTTACCCTTTCAGCGTCTCCGTGAGCCTCTGGGACTCGCCCTCGATCTCGAAGATTTTGATGGTGCGGTCCGAGGAGCACGTCGCTAACCGCCGGCCGTAGTAATCCAGAACCGCATCATGCTGTGTCGGGTGGTCAGAGCCGCAGGAATGCCGTCTCGTAGCGTGCGCTGCCTGGGCGGCAAGCTAGGAGGGTAACGTACGATCATGCCATCGTGGCCCGAGTTTGCGATTACTTGGGCGCCCGCCGCCTAGAGAAGGGAGAGAACTTGGTTAGCAGAGGCCAGGTCCTTTGCGACTCGGGTGCTGCTCTCGATCGTGAGCGCAGCTTGAGGAATTCGGGGACAGCAGATGCGCACCATGTTGTCTGCGGGTCTGCACCTGGAATTTGGAGGAAATGGTGGTTTCTATGTCCGGGAAATGTGTTGCGTAGGTTTCTGGCCAGATCGTCGATGTTCAATTGGCGATACGGACAGCAAGGCTAGAAGACAGCTAGGAAGGCATGGAGGTGGGCTGTAATAGATGTACTTCCTACATGCACTGGTACGTAAATGTACGCATACACGTCTGTCACACTACCTTACACAGTGTGGACGTTGCTGGGGCATACCCTGCCGTCCCACCTGGCAAGAAATTCAAGGTGAGGAGAGGTGAGCCACTCAGAAAGCTTGGCAGCCCTGCACGGCAGCTTCCTCACCTAGGTCAGGCAGGCCGTCAGACGCCACCTCGGCCCCACCTGCCCCGCCTGTGGTTTACGTCGGCTCGCAACTGTGTGTGCCGAGCTATCGGATCACAAGCTTCTTTTGATTGCGGCCGTCTTTAATTTCTCCCTCTTTCCATCCCGCAACACCACCACGACGCCCTTTGCCCTTTGCCCTTGGTCCGTCGCCCGTCTATTCAACAGGACGGCTCCCACACCGCACCGATCTCATTGATTAACATAAGACTAGACTAGACCACTCTGGGGCTAAGCGGGTCTGGCCCCGATGGCCGGAGAGCGGTTTCTATTCAACAATGCGGCTTCAATGAAACATGAAACATGCCCCTTTTGGTTTCCTATTCAAGTTCGGCTCGAATAATACCACAATACTAACACAATAATACCAACGCCGTCCGCGGCTTCTATTCACGCCCGCCCCTTCGCACCCACCGCGCTCACGCTGGCCGCCTATATTATATCGTAGCATACGCTTTGGAACGCTACCCTTCTTGATCCTCCTTGGCAGGAAACCTCGTCCTCGTCGCTGTTATATTGCATCTCTGCCGTCACATCCTGACCTGCCTAGAGCCCAAGCAAGCCCAAACACAGCAACATGGCCGACAACATGTGCGGCCCGTCCAGCGGCGCCAAGTCACTTGTTGCGCATGCCGAGCGCGACCGCACTCTCCACCAAGACCGCCTCGCCAACGGCCCCAACGTCGGTGCCGGTGCTGTAAGTGATGTTGTTGCTGTTTCCTGTTTGTGCTAGTGCGCCATCTCTAGGCTGAGTCTAACCCCGACATCCTTCAGTCTTTCCGATCCCAGATGCAGCACTCTGGTGCCGCCGACATGGCCTTTGAGGGTTTCCAGCAGGGTAGACCCATGGACCCTGTCCACTCCATGTCCCCGGTTGTCAAATTTAACCCGCAGTCGCCCATGAACATTGCTAGCTTTGCCACCGGAGCTTATGGCAACCACCTGAGCGGTGCGCCTGCCGTCTTTGGTGCCGGCCCGGCCGGCCATTTCAAGCCCTTCCCGGCCCCGGACGGCGCCCCCCAGGAGTGGCTCGACCAGTTTGCCAACATGCACGTCGTTGACACAGCCCACAATGGTCCCGCTATGACCAACCAGCCGATGGCCATGATGATGCCAGGACCCGTCGATCACAACCAGCTTGCCGTCGGTCTCCAGCAGAACCTCATGATGGCCCGTCCGTACGGCGCTCCGCCCATGTTTGGAACCCCCATCTCCGCGTTTTCCCACGGCTTCCAGACTGCGGACGTGAACGGAACCGCCAAGGTCGCCGAGGCCAGCTTCGTGGGCGGAGAGTCGAACATCGATGTCGAGGCTTTTAACCGTGCCTTTGGCGAGTATGACGAGGCTGAGTTCGAGCGCGAGCTGACTAACTGGAAGGAGGAGCAGGCTATTGCTGATAGAGAGTTTATCGAGGCCCAGGATGAGTGGATGGCCGAGCATGGCCCCAAGGCCGAGGCTCGCACAGTCCAGCCTCCCACCTTGGAGGAGATGGCAGTCATTAATACAGATCTCGAGATTCTTGCCCAGGAGCTCGAGGAGAACCAGGCTGTCCGCGACACCCGTGTCGTGCCCGACGAAACCCCCATGGCCGAGGACATCCGCCGCCACCGCGATGATGACGATCTCGCCCAGGCTGCTGTCGATATTCTCAACTCGGTTGCTGGAAACGAGTCGGAGAAATTCAAAAACTCCAACTTTTTTCAGCTCATGCGCCGCATTGGTAACAAGGAAATTGTGGTCGAGGGCCCTAACCTCATTGACGCCGTGACTGGCGAGACCATCGTCCCCAATAAGGACACCGCCCAGAGCGGTCTGCTTGCTAGCCAGGATTCGGGCACCGACAGCATTTCTACTCCTACTTCGACCGGCGACAAGGCCGACGGCCAGAGCGGCGATGCCGACCACAACCTGCACCATGCTGTGGCCTGATTGCCCGTTCACGGCGCGTAGCTCTCTTTCTGGGTGGTTCCGGGCGGTTCATCTCGTCTGCCTTGGCCTCGCACTCAGAGAAGCTTGCGCCTTGCATGGGCCGAAATTGGCAGATTTCCTTGCTCAACCTTCTCACTCTCCGCGACCCTAGCCTTTGCGACGTTGTCATTGCTCTCTCATCCCCTGCCCCTTTCTCCTTCCACTTTATATCCTTACAACGCATGGGTCCTCCACTTCGTCTGGGGATGTTCGTTCTGGTGCATCTGTTATGGCGGTGGGCACAAAACGGTAGATCGGTGCTATAGAAGGCCGGGTTAGGCGTTATGGACAGAGCATGTGTGTTTTTACCTCACAGGGCTTTGTTATCAGTACCTTTAGGGGAAGTGTGTAGATATCGAGCTCATTTTCATTGTTCTACACAGGTTACACAGGCAGACACTAGGCAGGCAAATACATCTGGTGCATCATCATTGACTGTGTCCTCGGGTTGTGGCGCTAAGTGATTTTGTGTGTGCTGTGCCTTGTTGGTCTGGGATCGTGTCTTTACACTTCACCTCACGGGGGCAGAGGCTTTGGGACGTTGCCACTTGTTCCTGCCGCCCTCGGCCTCGACGTTGGAGTCGCGCGCGGCTAATAGGGGTGAGTCGGCCGAAATGCGGACTAAATCCCGGGGAAGTGGCAACAAAGTAAACCAACGACCATCAACGCTGATAGCGTGGCTACCTTAGGTAGGTATGGGTTGCGCGACGATGGCGACATCCGCTTTCCCTCGGAGGGGGCGGGGTCCACCTGACTCCAGTTATAAATGTCAAGTGCCCGTTGCTGTCAACGTTTTTGTATAAGACTTGTTCTAAGAGCAAACTACATCAATAATTAGCTCCTCTCCGAAAAGAATACGGCCATACGCAAATCCGGGGTATCAGCCGAAAAGAAGACGGCAACGAGAAGGCAACATGTCGGACCCCTCGAGCTACAGCTACCCCTCGCCGCTAGCCGGGTACGAAAACGCGCCGCCGTTGCCCGACGACCGCGCCGACGACGGCAAGAGCTTCCTTAACCCGCAGACGGGCGTGCTGAGCTCCGCCTACGAGCGCTTCGTCGAGCCGCTGGACAACGGCCGGCGCGGCGGGTTGTAAGTTAGATGCCCAATTTTTTCTTATAAACTCTCTTACGCTTTCTGTTTCTGCCCGGGTTGTTCACTGTCCAGTGCCTTGGTCAATCAATACGCGGAACCGAAAGGGGGCACAGTAGTCGTGTTTTGTGCAGAAGTAAAGGAAGAGAAAGGATTCTTCCAGTCAGACGTTTATTTTGACATGTCCCTGCTCATACTCTTTTCCATCCTCATTTTTATTTTTATTATTATTATCAATTTAATAACAAGAACAAAAAACAAAACAGCGACGTGCACATCTACTACCTCGCGCACAACGCCGAGCAGGCGGCGTACGCCGCGGCGCTGTGGGAGCGCATCCGGCGCGAGTTCCCCGAGCTGCGCATCTACCGGCTGTTCGACCGGCCGGTGGGGCCGCACCCCGTGCCTATGTTCGAGGTCAACCTGCTGTCGCCGGCGCAGTTCGGCGCCTTTGTCCCGTGGCTAGCCATCTGGCGCGGCCCGCTGTCGGCGCTCATCCATCCCAACACGGTCGAGGACGGCGTGCCACCTGCTGAGGTTGCGGCGCGCAACCACAGCCAGCGCGCCATCTGGATGGGCGAGCGCTATCCTATTGACTTAGGCCTGTTTCGCAGGTTCGGCGCGGCCCAGGCGGCGGCGGCTCCTGCTGCTGCTGTTCCTGGTGCTGGTGCTGGTGCTGGTGCTGCTGATCAGGAGGGGAAGCCTTTGTCCTCTTGATGAGATATGCGGAATTTGGGGACCGGTATTCGGCTGACGCCTCTGTCCCCTAAGAGAGAGACACTCTTGTGTTGCATCCGAGGATTGATGTAGTATTATATTAGTTCAGCCGCTCCGTGTCACCGGGCTCTTCACCTGCCGGACTGGACCTCAGGTAGTTTCCCATAGGTATGTCGAATGCAACCAGGTGACGTTGGCATCTTGTCATGATGGGAGATGGGGACAGACTCTTTTATGTTTCGATCACGTTAACGACATTTAAATGTCTGTAAGGGGCGGTCTTCATTCGTTACCAGTATTTCACGTGAGTATAGGGATATCGGGGGTGCATCTGCTCGGAATAAGCCGCATCGCCGCCAGGCAGTTAACCCCCCTGGCGCCCGCATTGAGGTGTGGCGCTGGGTAGCTTGCTTCAGGATTGCTTAGGTCATTTCCCCCGGCGCGTGCGTGTGAATCCTGAAAGATTGGTAACTGGGCCCAGGCATGTTTGCTGGCGTGTCTATTTTCGTGTTTGAATTTCTCTTTCGAAACTCACAGGTAATTAATTGGCAGAAGGGAAGATAAATGAAAGCCCTGTTGGAAAAGAAAAACGCCCAAAATGTATTTGATTTGATCAGGTAGGTACTGTACCGAACTCGTCGGAAACTTCAAACGCCGCGGCTCTTTAGTTCGCCCGTGCTGACGGGAAGGGCTGCGCGAGCATGCGGCCAGAACATATGTATATTACTTCCCTTATTTAAGAGCCCAGACTCAGCCCCCGCCAACTCTTCAATTTATAAGCGTATCCTTTTCTTTTCCCATGTCAAGGTCCCGGCGACTTGGGAAGCAGCGAAAATGGGAGCCCCTTCGCATATACGGATATCATCAATTAGCTCAAGGCTGGACGGGCAAGAAGATGGGGTCGTATGATGGTGGGAGTGTGTGGGAGACAGCGACACAGAGAGAGGGGCTTTTATTTTTTCGAATCGATCGCGTTGCATTCCCATTTCAGCCACTCACCTCCCGAATTACACGGGGGTTTTGTTCTCGATCTGCGGGTTTTCAGCTCGCAGGGGGGGGGAGTGGTGGTCCCGTCCTCGACACACTTCTTCAGGGGGGAGGAAGATGTTAGCGCTTGGCAGCTGCAGCCACCAGGAACCGTAACTTGGCCAAGGCCCGTTCCCCTTTCATGACTGGACTTGGCGCCCACTGGGCTTCTGAGGGGGAAGATGGGCTCCCTGGTCATGATGTTAATGGATGGTAGATGGATGGACGGGTACGGAGTACATCCCGTGGCGCCTCGTCTGTCTGCTGGCTGGAAGGCTGCTCGCGTCCCTCTCTCCTCCGCCGGACCATGGTGTAGTAGCCCCCCTCGTTTTTTTCTTCCTTTCCTCTTCCGCGCATCTTGACGACGCGAGGTGCCCTGTGGTATACTGTATATCCATTTTCCCGGCGTAGACGATCTGCATTGTCTCGCCAAGTGCCGTTCCGTTACACTTCTTGTCCATCTTTGCTTTCCCGGTTTTGACTCTGTTGCTTGAAATTTATACCACACACCCTCGCCGAGGTCGATTTCTCGTCCTTAAGATGCGTCGCCTACGCATATCGTCTCTTCTGCCCGTGTCTTTGGCACTGGCCGCTACCGCTGCCGCGAACTCGATTGTCTATGTGACGGACCTAACCGTCTACACCGCACTTGTACATACTTGACCCTCTTCCTGCTCTCGCCCGTCTCGTCTCGCCGCCGACGGAAACTAACGTAGCGCAAGGCACCATGTGCTCAAAATGGTCTCAGATACAATGTCATGGGCTTGACAGCCCAGGCGTGCCCCGAAGCCGTCACCGACCTCCAAGCCTGTGTCTGCACCAAGAACCAGAACTTCGGGTCGATAGCATCGGCCGTCTCGTCCTCGGTCGCCTATTACTGCGGATCAACCGCCAGCCAAGATCAGGCGTCGGTGTCAACTGTAAGGGAGGGGGAGAGATAGGAAATACCGCTACCTACTCGGCCTCCGACCGTGCTGATTTTGCTTCTCTCGCCAGGTCCTCAGTGTATACTGCAACCAGGACGCCACCGTAGCTTTCCCTACGCCAGTCACGCCCGTCTCGGCGTACATTACCGACTTCCCCGAGTTCGGAAATCTGGCGTATTGCGCTAGCTATTACCTCTCATACGTAGTCAAGTAAGTTGGAAGACGGCCGTTTGCTGCATTTGTCGCCCCTGAGACTTCCGCTAACACTTGTTGTAGCTCCTTGGTAAGCTCCTAAGTCTCCTATGGCTGGCCCCGGAGCTGCTGGTCCAGTGAGGCCGGCCCGTAGGTGAAATAACTCTGACCCTGTCCGCAGACGCAAGACGCGTGCCCGACCGACGCGACCGCCCTGGCGAGCTGCGCCTGCTCAAAGAACCAGAACTCGCTCGTGATCAGCCAGGACATCAATACGTCAGTCAAGTCGGCATGCTCCGGCCACACTGCCGATGTGTCGTCGGCGCAGGCTATGTTTGCCGCATACTGCGCCCTCAACAACGGCACGTCCGCCTTCCCGCAGACGACAAACCCGCCTGGTGACAGTAAGCATAGAGCCTCAAGACCCGCAAGAGGGTTAAGTGCCAATCCCTACTAAATAGCGCTTGAAACGCTGACCGAGCTTGCAGTGACGTACTACATCTCGGACTTGCCGCAGTATTCTTCGCTGGCTCCGTGTGCGGCCAACGCGCTCTCATATGCTGTTCTGCGGGTAAGCCACCCCCCCCCCCCCCCCGCGCATCTCGTCTGAATCCCGTCGGGATTCGAATGCCATTCTTTTTTTAGCTGGTGAGATTTTCGTATCTGACAAGGAGTGCGTCAACGCTGCTAGCAAACGGCCGGCCTGTGTCCCACGGGTCCTATGGCGCTCGCGTCGTGCGCCTGCTTCAAGGACGGCATGACGTCGAATATACTGAGCCAGATCACCTCCTATGTCAAGGAAGGCTGTGCCTCGACGGCAACCGACGACATCTCGTCGGCCGTTGGAGTGGGTTTTCCTTTTTTCCCCTCTCTTTATTTTCTCTTCTTACCTACCTCGTGAGCTTGGTTCCTAAATGCTTCTTCAGGTCTATGACTTCTACTGCAATGCCGCCAATGCCAAGGTCACTGCGGATGGCGTCACCAACTCGGTCTCCCAGCCAACACCAACAAGGTCTAGTGGCTCAAAGTTCACGGGCAATTTTGGCGGGACCGGCGGCGGGTCTACTGGCAGCAGCGGCGGGAGTGGAAGCAACAATGGCAATGGCAGCGGCAGCAGCAGTGGAACCGGGACTGGAAATGGGATCGGGGGAAGCACTGCCCCTGCCACTAGCGATACGGCGAACAAAGGAGGCCCTAGTACCGGTGTTATTGCGGGCGTCGTTGTCGGCGTCGTTGCCGTGCTAGCCATCGTCGGGGTCCTCGTCTTCTTCCTCGTCAAGCAGGCGCAGAAACGCAAGGCCGCATCCCACCATGCGCTCCCGGAGAACGCATCTCCGAGCAATTACCCGGATCCCTATGGCGGAAAGCACGAGCTGGCATCCGAGGCAGTGGCGGCCGGCGCCGTCGCGGGTGCAGGAGCAGGGGCAGGGGCGCATCCGCCGCCGAGCCCATCTCCGAGCACGCTCAAGGTCGCGGGCCCTCCGCGCACCGACAACGTGTCTCCAGTCTCGGCACACGCCCACACCCTCACGCCGCCGCCGAACAAGCTCGACCCCTACGGCCAAGCTCAGCACCCACCCTTGCCCAACAGCGCCGAGCTGTACGGCCAGAACCCGGCGTACTCGCCAGCCCCTAACACCGCCGAGCTGTATGCCCAGGGAGGCCACCAGTATCCGCCGCACGCAAACAGGCCAGAACTCCAGGGGCATGGCGCGCCATACTCGCCTGCGGGCTCTGCCGAGCTGTATGCCCAGGGAAGCGGCCAGTATCCGCCCGCAAACAGGCCAGAGCTCCAGGGGCAAGGCGCGCCGTACCCCCCGCCGAACCGGCCCGAGTTGATGGGCCAGTACGGCTATCCGCAGCAGCAGCAACAGCAGCCGCCGCACCAGGGCTACTACAGCCCCCAAACGCCCCAGGGCCCCCAGCAACCGCCGGTCGAGCTCCAGAACATGGTCTGGCAGTCCGGCCCCGTGCCTGGCTACTACGAGATGGACGGGTCCCGCAACGCCAACCACAACAGCCTGCCTGGGCACGCCAGGTGACCAGACTCGGATGTGGCGAGGGGAAGATGGTCAATATCGTAGTCGTGCTTCAAGCACAAGTCCATGTCTGGCGAGTAAAAGCTGCAGCGTTATTGTTTTCCCCCAGTTTTCTTCTTTTTCCATGTGTGTATGATACCAGCGAAATTCTTTTGGGGTCAGTAATTAAGGGGGCAGCTCTGGTGTTGGGGGGAAGGGGGCGTGATAATTTATTGCATTTGCGTTGGTGCTTTTCCTACATGTTGTGTGACGAATTATAAAATGGAATGAATATATGAGAAGGTGGTTAGAGGGTTTCCTGTATGAGAGACTGTTGAGGCGCGGAGTAGAATGGCCGGGACAAGTCAAAGTTGGATCTGAACTTAATCATTCTAGACGAAAGCATGAGACCTGGAGAATTAATTCTCCGTGGAAAGATTTTGACTTTGGGCGTTGGCGTACGGAAGGAGGGCTTAGGTTGGGCCTTTTTAGGTCCCGGCTGTATCACACCAAAAATAGAGTTCGAATTTGGCTGGCGTTGGCATCTCTGACATTTACGAGGAGCCAGAACACACAAGACACGTGAATGCGCGCACGGGCCAGGTAAGCTACAGCGCGCTTCATTCAGCATTGTTCGCCAAGTTGAGCGCCAGCATGCTGCTTGACTGTCATGACAACTTTACAGCTCCTAGGCTCCACTATTCTTCGACTTGGTGATTGGCCAAGTCATGCCCAGAACTCTGGTTGCTTGGCTGCTCTCCCGAAAACAGTTGCGCAAGAAGTGAACTGGGTGCCCTTACATCGTCAAAGAAAAATCACAACACCGCAAAAGTCCGCGCCGCAGAATCAGCCCTTGTCGCTATCCCCTATCCCCGACCTGCGCCCGGTTCTGCGATTTTCAATCGAGGCACGAAATCGCATCTTTATCTATGCACTGCTGACCAACGGCGCGCACGATGGCGGCGGTCGAGGTGGACCTGAGCTACCTGTCTGCCCACGTCGGCGTGCCGCAGCTCAGTCTCGACAATGTCGTGACTGCGCCCACCACCGAGCTCGTCAGGAGCGTCTTGGAGGCCGTCGTCGCCAAGCTGCGCGAGCTCGAGCAGGACAAATTCCGGCTCGGGATCGAATTGGAAGGCGCCGTCCGGAGCTCAGAGTCGCGATGCGAGCAATTCAAGGCCACTGCCGACAAGGCCCTCAAGGACGTCGACGAGATTAGACAGAAGCTGCAGACTGAAGGTACAACTCAGCCAAACCCCTCTGTTCCCCGTGCCATTGATATCGTCGCATCTTCCTAACATTCCCTGTCATTACAGAAACTGCGCGACGGGCTTTGGAGAATGAGCTCCAGACCCTCAAGTCTTCGGGCACCGCCTCAATTTCCGAAATTGAAACCCTTCGCGCGCGAATAACCTCGCTGGAAGTCTCAAACCGAGAGACGCTCGCCATCGTCGACTCCAAGACGACTGCGAATGCCAGCCTGGCTGAGGAGCTGCAGAAGCAGCACCAAAAGACCCTGAAGCTGAACCAAGAAATCACGGCGCTCAACCAGTCCGTCCAGACTACCCAGACCGCCGCAAACTCGGCCAAGTACCGCGAGGAGTCTCTGAAGCAGGAACTTGAGCTTGCGAAGAAGAGCAACGAGTGGTTTGAAGCCGAGCTGTCAACCAAGAGCGCCGAGAACATCAAATTCCGTAGAGAAAAGGGCGCCCGAATTACCGAACTACAGCGCCTGAATGAGGAGGCGAACTCGACCATCGAGTCACTGACTCGCAACGACCAGGTCCTGCGCAAGCGATTGGAGGAGGCGCAGTCTAAAGCCCAAGAGGCCTTGATCAAGGTGCAGCAACTACAAGAAGCCGCCGCACGCGCCGAAGAGGGTTTCAAGCAGGAACTAGAGTCCTCTAGACGTCTAGTCGAGCTCAAAGACCAACAATCGCAAACACACCGCAACAGGCTCAAGGAGGTGGAGCTGAGACTGGAGCAAGTCAAGGACGACGGGGCCGACGAGATCCGCCGTATCCGACTGGAGCTTGAGCAGGAGAAGCAGGACCACGTCCAGACCGAACAGCATGTGCAGGAGCTGGAGACTGAGGTCGATCGTCTCAAGGCGGTCCTCGAATCTCACGATGCCATTCCTAGCTCGGCGCCACAGACCCCCAGGGCTAACGGCGCCTTCCTGGGGCGGTCCGGCTCGCCATTCGGCACGCCAGCCTCTATGCGCGGTAAGGCATCCTTCCGCGCGACTGATGCTCTCGAGGAACTCTACACCGTCAAGGGCCAGCTCTCTGGAGAGAAACGGCGAAATAAGAAATTGCAAGAAGATCTTGACGACGCTGTCAGCATGTTGGAGGCCAAACTTCCCGAGATCGACGAGCTCAGTGCCGAGTCCGAGCGTCTGAGAAACGAGCTAGTTCATATGTCTGAGATATCGCAGCAGTCATACGAAGAGCGCGATGCCGCCGTGAAGGTAGCCCGGAAAGCCGACGCCGCCGCCGCGTCGACGCAGGCCGAGATCAAGATCCTTCGCACACAGTTGCGTGATCTGAGCACACAGATCCATGTCCTGATCTTCAATATTCACGCTCAAGAGAAGGGCATGGATCAGCTGACAGACGAAGAACTGTCGCAATTCGAGCGCCTACAGCGCGGCGAGGTTGCCAAAAACGCCCTGGACGACATGTCGGATACACACCAGTTCATCACCGAAAAGTTTGTCGCCTTCAAGGACATTTATGAACTGCAGGCCAAGAACCAGGAGCTGCTGAGAGTTACGCGCGACCTTGCGGACAAAATGGAGAACGAGGAGGCTCTTGCTGCCAAGCAAGTCGCGGCCCATGATCACCAGGAAGTCCAGCAGCTTCGCGGTACTGTCGCGATATTACAAGACGAGGTCCAGTCTATTACGGTGCGCATGAGGAGCTACATGACCGAGCGCGACATGTTCCGTCGCATGCTCCAGCAGAAAGCCAACACTGCCGAAATCCATGCCGCTCTTGGAACCTCCGCAGACCAGCGACAGGTGCTTGCCAGCATCGAGCAAAACTCGTCCACCGACGAAGCTGATCTCACTGCCGCACTCCGGGAGCTGCAATCTCAATTCGACTCTTATCGGAACGATCAGACCACAGATAGGAATTCGATGAAGGAACAGATAGAACGACTCTCGGCTGAAAAGAGCACCCTGCAGAGCGAAGTCTCCCGAGTCTCGAGCCAGCTTACTCTTGCCACTGAACGCTACAATATGCTAGAGTCGAACTTCAAGGCGGCGCAGACCGAGAACCGAGAACTCCAGAAGCGGGCGCAGATTCTGTCTGAGGCTGCAGCCAAACAGGATATGCGCACTCAGCAAGTTGCCGAAGACCTTGTTGAAGCTCGGGGCTTGACAGAAAGTCTCCGCAGTGAGAACGCCAACCTGAAAGCGGAGAAGACTTTGTGGAAGAGCATCCAGGATCGCCTGAGCCAAGACAATGAAACCCTTGCGCAGGACAGGACGAGACTTAACAACCTCGTTTCCAACCAGCAGTCTCTCCTAAACGAACGTGAATTGAGCGAGTCTGAGACCAAGCGGAGACTGCAAGGCCAGATCGATTCATTCGATGCTGAACTCAATACAACAAAACGGAAGCTCGCTGAGGAGGTCGAGGGGGGCAAGAAGATACAGCTACGGAAGGAATTCGATGCTCAGCAATACCAGAAGCGCATTGATGACCTCACCTCGACAATTGGCCAGATCAAGGAGGAGAATGTGGCAGTCAAAACTACCCGCGATCACCTTCAAGCCCGTGTTGGCGAGCTGGAGATTGAGCTTCGGAACGCACAGGAGCGAGCCGAGAGACTTCGGCCCATCCCGACATCCAGATCTCAGACTTCAGGAGCCTCAGAGCAGGCGTCTGCAGAAGCTGAATCTCAGGCACGCATTGAAGAGTTGGAGAACGAGGTTCAGGACCTCAAGAACAGCCTCGAGCTGGTCGACGCACAACTCGACAATACCAAGCAGCAGAGTGATAACTTCATGCAGCTGAGCCGTGAACTAGAACAGGAGCTCGCGAGCATGAGCGAGGCTCAGGAGCTGTATCGTGCCGAAATGGACGCCGCCATTGCCTCCAAGGATAGTGGCATCAACGAACTGCAACAACGGGTCGAGGCGCTTACGACGGAGCTTAGCAGTTCGAATAGCGAGCTTAATGCGCTGCGCGATTCGCGGGCCGATGTCTCCCGGAAGTTTGAGGAGAAGGAGAGGATGCTCTTGAGCGACATTTCTCGCCTGAAGACCGAGGAGTCGCGGTACAAGGAGACTGCCAGATTCCACCAACAGGACTTGCGAGCCCAGGCAGAGATTGCAACCAAGGCACAGCAAGATTACGAGCAAGAGTTGGTCAGGCATGCCGAAGCAGCCAAGTTGCTGCAGCAGATCCGGGCAGAGCACAACATCCTCAAGACCGATGCGGCGGTATTCAAGGCCGAGGCTGACTCTGCCAGGCTTTCGCTTGCACAGAGCGAGCAGTCCTGGGAGGAGCGTCGCCAACGCTTTGAGCAGGAAATCGCTGAAATCAAGGTTAGGCGAGACGATGTCGTCGCCCAGAACAAGCTACTCCACCAACAGCTGGACGGGGTCACGGCTCAGATATCGGCCTTGCAGCAGAGCAGAGCTAATGGTGCCTCCGAGGGACCGGCAGCTTCGGTTGCGGATACTGCAACGGAGGGTCTGCGGGAGCTCAACGGCTACTTGCGGCGCGAAAAGGAGATTCTCGAGGTTCAGTACGACCTCAAGGTGCAGGAAGCCAGACGCCTGCAGCAACAGTTTGAATACTCGCAGTCGCAGCTGGACGAGGCCCGTCTGAAGCTCGAGCAGGAACGCAGGTCACAGGCCGACAGTTCGCAGAACTCCATCACCCACAAGGAGCTCATGGACAAGCTCAACGAGCTCAACCTCATCCGGGAGAGCAACGTCACTTTGCGCAACGAGAACCAGCGGACGCAGGCTCAGCTCGAGCAGAAGACGCGGAAGATCTCGGAGCTGG